ATCAGACTGATACTTTAACAACACTTTTGACGACACAGTATTCAACAGTACAACTTGAATTGCATTGTTCAATGCAACTTGGAGCTGCATAACTAGAGTGTCGTCTATCGGTTCAGCTGGAGGTAACATCATATCTCCAGTTGTAAAATAAACGTCAAGGCCAGCACCCTGAGTGGCAACAAGCATACCAGTGTAACTGTTCCATTTAGGATAGTTCATAGACGAAGAAAGCTTCAAGCTCTCATCTCTAGGGCAAGTGAGAGCGAATTGGCTCATAACCTGTTGTAATCTAGCTATTCTATTATGAATATCCATTGTATATGTTCACTTTTTCTTATGTTTGTTGCTTATTAATTTATAACTAATATAACTAGCCTACAAACTAATATTCTCAAACATAAATACAAGGGACAAACCTCTTGTATTTATACACTTACACCTTCGGTTAAACTTGCCATTATTCATTTATCATGGCGGCTAACTTTCCAGTTTTAGATTACTTAAGATGCCTTATCATGATAAGACTCTTATCTCTTATCACTCGATCATGATTGGCTTCGGCATCTTATCTCAACATTTATAAGTTTCTAAAGTATTTACCGTCAAAAAAACAGAAAGGCTTAGGTCAGCACTCTCTTCAATCAGCAGAACAGGAAAGGTGTCGGGAAGGAAAGAGGTATATCTACAAAAACTTGGGAAAGGTTACAGAGAATACAAGGAAGCAGGACTTGTAAAGCATTACTGACTGAAAAGAAACCTACGCATACCACATGCTTTTTCTCTTGGTCCAGGACTGCCGCTTTCGCTCGAGCCTGTAGGTATTTGTCTGGTTTGAGCTTGGCCTTCTTAGTGTCTAGTTTTCAGTGAGCTAATGTTATTGCCTGTGCCACCATTTGGGGCGTTATGAAAGGCAGTGATACTTCCTGTCTTACGAACCTTTTGTAAGCATTGGCTTTGACACTCCTCTTGGTACGCGTTTAGGTAAGTCCCTCACTGAGAGACGAGGGAAAGAAGAACAACAACCCAAGCAACAACCGTAGATGGCGCAGAGCTTTCGTAACGGTGTTCTGTCTCCGCGATAAAAAAAATATTGAGCACCTTACGCAGTTTAAGACAATTGACAGGTACAAGAGTGGCTAACCGCTTCACTCTTTCTTCTGTTTCCTGAGCATCCCCCAGAATTTCGACAGATATAGGTTGGGTATCGAAGTAACGAGAAGGAAAGCAAAATGCAATCCGTACTTACCACTCCTAAGAAAAGAAAACATAGGCCCTCGATAAGCGACCAGTTGGAAAATATAAATAATTCCCCGTTATCTTCCGCTCCAACAAGAAACAGTTTACCAAATACAACGGTAGCAGTGGGAGAATCGGACGTCACACTGTACCTGGATGGCAATGACCGTACTGCAAGACAGATTGATTTTACTGAGGGGGTCGTTCTCAATGACAGCGCAGAAAAAAATCAAGGGGACAGTGCAGTTGAAGAAGACTATAAAGAGGATAGCGATCATGATGGGCGTCACGGACAAAACAAAAAGGAGTCTTTCTTGAAGCAAGTGGAAAATTTATCTTCCATTCTGGTGATAATACTGGAACAGGTAATCTCTTCTATCACGTTCCTGTTACCCGAGTCCTTCATAAATGTTTTCACGGTTATGAGCCGCTTTATATTTTCATCATTCAAAACCAACAATGAAACGTATAACCATTTCTTGGCAAACGGGGAGAGTTCTGAAGAAGATGATGTTTTGCGTAAAGTCGAGAAACTGAAAAACTTCGAAAGCTTTCATCAAATATGTGAGTTGCATGGGTTCAGTGCAGAGTCTCATTTAACCCATACGGTTGACGGGTTCAAGTTGACAATACATAGGTTGAACCCTGAAGCAAATGGATTTAAGCCTAATGGAAAGGCAGTATACTTACAGCACGGACTATTGATGACAAGTGATGTATGGTGTGTAATGCTGGACAAGAATGACAACTTACCGTTCCGTTTATGTGAATTAGGCTATGATGTTTTCCTTGGCAACAACAGAGGTAATAAATATTCAAATAAACATTCTAGGTTTAAAGCCTCTCAGAAAGAATTCTGGGATTTCTCAATAGATGAATTTGCCATGTACGATATCCCAGCTTCACTAAATTATATATTGAAACTGAAAGAAATTGACAAGTTGATATATATTGGATTCAGCCAGGGCTGTTCGCAGATTTTGTCATCTGTTTCTATCAACAATGATTTAAATGACAAGATTGAAAAGCTCATTTTGATTGCACCTGCTACTACCCCGAAGAAGTTGTCAAATTGGTTGATCAACTCGATTATCAATTTCGATCCTCAGTTGCTCTATATGCTCTTTGGGCGCAAGATTTTAATGAAGTCAGTCATGTTTTGGCGGAGAATAACGTATCCCCCAATGTTTGTGAAGTTGATTGATATCCCAAACGATGTGCTATTTGGTTGGAAATCTTACAATATCGACATAATGCAAAAATTGGTTTCATATTATCATCTCTATTCCACAACCTCCGTGAAATGTGTTGTACATTGGTTCCAGATCATCAAGTCGAAGAAGTTTCAAATGTACCAAGAGCAAGACTATTTCCAACCATTTGAATATCCTACCGATAAGACCATCAAAATAAAGAAATTGCTAATAATATATGGTATGAATGATTCACTTGTTGATATAGACGTGTTAGTGGGGCAGTTGCCTGAATTCCATGATATGAGGTTTACTCAGGTGAAGGATGGGAAGGTGGTTGGCCAAAAGCATATAGTCGAAAATGTGGAGCTGAGCAGTGGAGAAGAGCAGCAAGACGGAAACTATAAGGTGAAATTGGATGACGAATGTTCTGAGTTGCGGATATACGGTATCAACAAGTATGAGCACTTGGATTTGCTTTGGGGGAAATACATGAACGAGAATGTAATCAAAAATGTTGTTGATTTTATTCATTGATCAGAAAAGTTTATGTGTATAATGTATAAAAGAATGATAGTAAATGTATGGACATGGCTAGTTGATTGATTAAAGGGTGAGCGCTGAGTTATGCTTGCTATAAAAAAAGATACAACAATCATATAGAGTAATAGTATAGATACCATCAATCCACATAGATGGGAACCGACAAAAAACAACAAACTAACACAATAGGAAAGAATAATTCTGAAATTTCTAGATCTAAAGATAGAGTTTAGTGAGAAAAGATGGGAAGGGGGAGGGGGCATCATTTGTCGATTGGTGGAATACCCAAGCCGTTGTGGTTTCTGTACATCAAGACACCGTTGTCGCCTTCAACGAACTCACAGGATCTGAGGGATTTCCAGAGGGTGACAAACATGTTCTCGTCGGAGTATCTGTAGTCGTCACCAATGAACTTCTTGACGGCCTCGGTCGCCTTTCTTGCGTTGTAGAATGGAATTCTCGAGACGTAATGGTGTAAGACGTGAGTCTCGATAATGTCGTGGAAGAAGAACCAGCCGACGAAACCAAACTCTCTGTCAATAGTGGCACCTGCACCTCTAGCAAAGTTCCACTCGTTGTCCTCGTAATGAGGCAAGGTGATGTCGGTGTGCTGTAAGTAGGTAAGGAAGACAATCCAGTGGTTGACCAAAAGGTAAGGAATGAACCAGTTGACCATGCAGTTGAACCATCCAAAATGCTGGATCCACTGGTAGACGGAATAACCGACTGTCAAGATACCGATATCTGACAGAACGATGTACCAGAAGTCACCCTTGTCGAAAATAGGTGCCACTGGGTTGAAGTGGGATGCGACAAACTTCTTGTACCACTTGTCCTGCAACTCTGGGTGCTTTTGGCCGGTTGCATCAATGAAGAGGTAGGTTTGGAATCCAACGGTCTGCTGAATGATAAGGGTGATGATGGAGGAGATTGGGGAGTCTGCGGTGACCTCGGAGAGCGACATGACGCCTCTCTTCTCCTTCCACTCGCTGGTTCTAGGAGGAATAAACACCATGTCTTTGTCAATGTGGCCCGTGTGCTGGTGGTGCTTCTTGTGGGAGAACTTCCAGCTGAAGTATGGGTTCCCGCAGTAGGAGTGCAAGACCCAGCCAACAAAATCGTTGACCCAGCCGTACTCGGAGAAGGCCTGGTGACCGCACTCGTGAGCAAGGATCCAGAGACCGACCATAGGGAACGACTCGATGACGGTGTATGCGGCCCATGCGAAGAACCGGACGGTCTTGGAGGGGATCATTGGGATGAACGTTGCGGCGAGGTAGCCGAAGAAGAATAAGAAGAAAATGTCACGGGCGACAAAGGAAAGCGACTTGACCAAGTCCCTTTTAAAGCATTCCTTTGGAATGACATTGAGCACCTGTGCGATGGTGAAGTCCGGAGCCTTGAACTCCTTACCGTTGAGGTCCTTGGCGTAGAGGTTTGCAGTGACCTTCTGCTGCTTCTGGGCCCTGTTGGTAGCCGAAGTAGCGTTTTCAACGCTGGTTGTGGCTGCTGTGGTGGACATGGTCGGCGAGAAAAGAGAGGATGCAGACCTTGTTGGAGAGAACAGCCGAAGAGGAAAGATAACACCAGAGAATCACTGACGCAGTAGCTTTCAGACGTGCAAAAATTTTGCATGAAGAAAAAAATCGACTGTTTATTGCGTGTGATCGTTCTCATGTACGTGTTTTTTTTTACTTCTCGCGAGTGTTGAAGTTTTTATTTCCGCGGCCGTTGCGAGTTGAAAAAAAAAAACGTTGGGCCGTTCGTGTATTTAAACGGAGAAGCGGCTAGCCGATCGGAGATAGAGAGATAGTAGGAGTGTTCGTAAGTGGGAGCAGAGTAAAAGGTGGAGTAGAAAGTAGGGTAGGTTAGGTAAAGATAGGGTAGAATAAAAGTAGAACAAGAGTAGAGTAAAAGTAGACTAAAAGTAGAATAAGAATAGGGAAAAAAGCAGAGTAGAGTAAGGTAGAGTAAACTGGAGATAAGGAAGATGGCTCGAATAAAGGGGGGGGGAAGAGGTAGACAAAATAGGGGAGGCAGGGGAGGCAGGGTAGGCGCACGGCTAGGCGGCGGCGGGGGTGTCGACGGGAGGCACGCCGTTGCCGTTATGGTTGCGGAACATCATGACGCCGTTATCGCCCTGGACGAACTCGCACCAGCGCAGGGCCTGCCAGAGCATCTTGAACATGTTTGTGTCCGACTGGCGGTAGTGGGAGCCGAGGACGGGCTTGATGGCTTCGGTGGCCTTGCGGGCGTTGTAGAAGGGGATTCTGCCGCAGTAGTGGTGGAGGACGTGGGTCTCGATGAGGTCGTGGAAGAAGAACCAGCCAACAAAGCCGAAGTCCCGGTCGATGGTGGCGCCGGCGCCGCGCGGAAAGGTCCACTGGGCGTCGGTGTAGCGGGGCAGAGACATGTCGGTGTGCTGCAGGTAGGTGATGAAGACCACCCAGTGGTTGACAAGCAGGTAGGGGAGGAACCAGTCGACGAGGCAGGAGAAGGCGCCGAGGCGGCGGACCCAGAGGCGCAGGACGGCGAGCTGGAGCAGGATGCCTGCGTCGGAGGCCACGATGTACCAGAAGTTACTCTTGTCGAAGATCAGGGCGTGTGGGTTGAAGTGGGAGGCACCGAAGTGGCGGCGCCACCAGCTGGTGCTGGCGGCGAGCTGCGGGTGGGGCTGGCCCGTGGCGTCGAAGAGCAGGTAGGCCTGGAAGCCCACGGTCTGCTGGACGAGCAGCGTGGCGATGGACACGAGAGGCGAGTCCTCGGCGAGCTCTGCAAGCGACACGACCCCCCGCTTGTGCTTCCACTCGTCCAGGGTGCGCGGCACGTACGCCATGTCCTTGCGCAGGTGGCCGTTGTTCTTGTGGTGCTTTCTGTGGGAGAACTTCCAGCTGAAGTAGGGGTTGAGGCAGTAGGAGTGCAGCACCCACCCGACCGCGTCGTTGACCCACCCGTAGTCCGAGAACGCCTGGTGCCCGCACTCGTGCGCCAGGATCCACAGCCCCGTCATGGGCAGCGCCAGCAGGTTCACGTAGACGGCCCAGCACACCCCCCGCAGCGCCGCCGACCCCACCAGCGGGATCGCAGTGTGCGCCACGCACGCCAGCACCACCATGCACAGCACGTCTCGCAGCACATACCCCCCGGATTTCGCCAGACTCGACCGGAAGCACTCTTTCGGAATCGCCTTGAGCACGTCGTTGATGGAAAAGTCGGGAGCACGGAACCGCCGACCCGTGGTGTCCACGGCCTCCGCGCTGCGTGTGGGCCCGCCTGCTGCGACGCATCGCAGCGTGCTGCCGCCACCCGTCACCCCGGTGCTGCTTGCAGCGCTGATGCTGCTGGTCTTGCTGATCGTGCTGATCGTTGTCGTAGTGGTTGTGCTCATGGCGGATGTCTGACCAGCGGATGTCTGACCAGCGGATGTCCGACCATGTCTGACCGGGCAACAAATCCAACGGGGCAAGGCCCTGCCCTTTTATAGCCCCATTCTGCCCGCCACCACCCTGCTAGCAGCCCCTTTGCAGCCCAGGCTGCCATGCCGAACCCCGGTGGAGATAGCAGAAGGGCCGATTCGGGGCACGCTTAGGGCAGGGGGCTCGGAGGGGGGCCAGACGAGACAATGGTACGACCCGATGGGGCAATTTGTCGGGCCCGCGCGGCGTCTAGCGCACGTTAGCGCGGCGCGGCGCAGGCCGCGTGGTTGCTGGCGGCGGCAAGGAGAACACCCCCTGCGGATGGGGAGGGAGACGGGGAGGGAGACGGGGCAGAACAGAAAGGCAGTTGGTTGGTTGTAGACACAGATCTCTATGTAGGGTGTATATAGGAGCAGGCGGAGCAGGCGGAGCAGGCGAAACAGCGTCAGTCCTTGGCAGGAGGCACGCCGAGGCCGTTGACGTTGCGGAACATCTTGACGCCGGACGAGCCCTCGACAAACTGGCAGTAGCGGCCGGACTTCCAGAGGGTGAGCCACATGTTCTCGTCGCTGTGGGCGTAGTGGTCGCCCATGACCTCGCGGATGGCCTTGGTGCCGACGCGGGCGTTGTAGAAGGGGATGCGGGACACGTAGTGGTGGAGCACGTGGGTCTCGATGATGTCGTGGAAGAAGAAGGAGCCCACGACGCCAAACTCGCGGTCGATGGTGGCGGCGGCGCCCCGGGCAAAGTTCCACTCGTGGTCCTCGTAGTGGGGCAGGGTGACGTCCGAGTGCTGCAAGTAGGTGATGAACACCAACCAGTGGTTGGTGAACACGTAGGGCAGGAACCAGTGGACGAAGCAGGCAAAGGCGCCGAAGTGGCGCACCCACTCGTAGAGCACAAACAGCTGTGTCAGCAGCCCCACGTCCGACAGCACAATGAACCAGTAGTCCCGCTTCTCGAAGATGGGCGACGCCGGGTTGAAGTGCGACTTGAGCAGCGGGCTGTACCAGCGGTTGCCCACCTCTGGGTGGGGCTGGCCCGTCACGTTTGTGAGCAGGTAGCAGATCCAGCCGCCGAACTGCTGCATGAGCAGCTCCTTGAGCGTCACCAGCGGCGCGTCGGCCGCGAGCTCCGACAGCGTCACCACGTTTCTGTTGTGCGCAAACTGCTCTCTAGTGGGCGGCACAAACACCATGTCTCTCGTGAGGTGGCCCGTGGCCTTGTGGTGCTTGCCGTGCGAGTACTTCCACGAGAAGTACGGCACCATGAGGTACGAGTGCAGCACCCACCCGACCGTGTCGTTCACCCATCCGTAGTCCGAGAACGCCTGGTGTCCGCACTCGTGCGCCATCACCCACAGCCCCGTGTAGGGAAGCGACTGTAGCACCGCGTACGCAAGCCACCCGGCTGCCCGCAAGTATGCGTTGGGCAGCAGCGGAACGGTTTTCTGCGCCACAAGCCCGAACGCCACTGCCACTGCTATGTCTCTTGCCACGTACGACAGCGACCGCGCTAGGTCCCTGTTGTAGCACTGCTTAGGGATCGCGTCAAGCACCGTCTTGATGGTGTAGTCCGGCACCTTGAACTCGTTTCCGAGCGTGTCGATCGTCACCAGGCCCTTGGTCACCGTCTTGGCGTCCTTGAACGACGCCACGTTGCCGTGTTTCTTGGTCACGCTTGTGTTGCCGTTGCCGGCTCCGGAGCCGCCGGCGTTATCGTTTGATCCCGTCACCGTCACAGCAGACATCTTGTACGGGGGAGGAGGTAGGGGGAGGAAGACGTGCAGAACCGACCTTTCACTTCAAGAACGCATCCGCAACACACTCACAGAAAGAGCAACCGGGGCACCATCGCACAGGGAGGGCAGCCGTCCTCATATATATATATATATCTCTATACATATATATATTATATATATTATATCTACGTATCTGGAAAAGCAACCCGCGGTGCACGGACACGGCCTGCTTGCAGTTGCGCCGAGTAGGAGGAAAAAAAAAAAAATCGCATGCTCTGGCAGGCGTTGGGCCAACCGCGAAATCGAGCGGAGCGTGTGGCCTGCTGCTGTTCGGAGTACTGTGGGGCTCCCAACAGATGGTGGCGCGCGCTGGACGGGGAGGGGGAGGACAGATAGCGGGTGCGTGGGTTGACGGACCAACAAAACGCAAGCAAGCCGGGGAAGAGGAAAAATTTTCTCTTTTTCCCCGAGCAAAAGAAAGGAGGGCCGGAAGCGCCGGGGGGGGGGGTGAGAAAAAAGGAGGGAAGACGAGAGGCGACGCGACTGCGGGTTCTGAGTTCTGCAGCTGGCAGATACAGGGCGCCGCACGTGTTTGCGTGCTTACGGCAGCAGGTTTGCGCGTGCTTACGGCAGCAGAACTGCCCGCGCTCCTGCTACTAGTACAGACTATCTTGCCTAGCGACCCCTGCTATTTGCAAAGTGTATCTGGATGCCGATCTCGGTGCCCAGACTTCGATTGTCACGTGCAGAGTTTCTGGATGTGCCTGCTGGATGTGCCTGCTGGATGTGTCTCTGGATGTACGCTGCTGCGACGCTGCTGCGACGCCCCTGTACACCGCCGCCGCCGCCGCTTACGTACGCGGGCTTCGCTTTTTTTCGTCCAGGAACGCGACGATCACGTCCACGCGGGCTCACGCGCCGGCCCCCCCGTTGCTGCCCCTGCTCTGCGCGCGCTGCACGCTGCACAGCCGCGCCACAGCTGCCCAATCCGGTCCAACACCACAACAAGCCAGCCCCACCGCTTCCCAAACAGGCAGGCGCAGGGCCCAGCGCCACGGTCTAGACCCCGCAGGCGTCTCTGGCCAGCTTCTGGCGGCTTTTCGCGCCAGCACTCCGCCCGCTGCGGAGCCACCGGGCCTTTCTGGGCCCTGCATGCGCTTTTCTTGCTGCACGCCCGCATTGGGATTCCATTGAGCCTGGCCTGGCGCAGCCAGAAAGCCAGGTGCTGGTGCTGCAGCTGCACCACTAGGGCCACCGTCTTTCTTTTCGTGGTCAAGGCCTGCGGTGGTGGTGATAATTGGTGGCTTCTGGCACTGTTGTACGCCAGCTGCTGCTCCGCTAAGGTGGTCCTCCTTTGCCACCACACCGTCCTCCGCAGCTAAAGCACCCGCTACAGCACCGACACAGCAATTCGTTTGCTTCTCCCCGTCCTTCTTCTCCCCAGAGTTGGTGAAAGATTCTAACAACACAGGAAAAAAAAGAAAGGAAGGAAGAAAAAGAAAAAAAATCTTCTCTCTCGGTCTGGTTGCTTTGTTTGTTTGTCTCATTCAACACACCTGTTAGTCGGTTCTATCGTCCAAGACAAGAACCATACACCCGCAACACCACCCCCACCCACTTTCGCTTCCCAAAATCACTCCCCCCCGCTAGTTGGATTCGTTTCCTAACTGCAGTCACTCGCTATCTCTATCTCTATCTCTATCTCCATCTCTGCCACACAATGCCATCCTCGTACTACCTGGACCCCATCAGCCAGCAGCAGTTGAACCCGCGGTTCTACCACAAGGTCAACCTGCGCAAACTCGTGTCGTTGCCGATGGTCAACCTCAAGTTGATCTCCTTGTGCTTCATCTGGTACCTCACGTCCGTCGTGTCGTCGTCCACAACCAAGGAGATCTTGAAAGACTTCAAATACCCTGTCACGCTCACGGAAATCCAGTTCGTCATGAGCGGCATCTTCTGCATGGTCCTGCTCATCTCCGTCAAGTACGCCAAACACATGCTCAACGTCAATTGCTTCAAGAACTTCCCCGACGGAACGTTCCCTCCGCTCCTGACAGACACACACTACTCCGTCCGGAAAAACTTCCTCTATCCATCCTCCTTGATCTTGAAAACAACCGTCCCGATGGGCATGTTCCAGTTCATCGGCCAGATCGCCTCCCACAACTCCACCTCCATCATACCCGTCTCCCTGGTCCACACCATCAAGGCCCTCTCCCCTCTGACAACAGTCCTCATCTACAGAGTCGTCTTCAAGAAAAAGTTCTCTTTGAAAACCTACCTCACTTTGATACCCTTGGTCACCGGTGTCATGCTCTGCTGCACTAGAAACGACAACTTGAACATCTCGGACTCCCTCTTCTTCAAGGGCAGTGCCTTTGCCTTTATCTCCATGCTCATCTTTGTCTCCCAGAACATTTTCGCCAAGAAGATCCTCACCTGGGACGATGGCTCCTCCACAAAGGAAACCTTGAAGCCAGACCCCCACCAAAGCACCAACTCCGACGATGAGGACGACGAGGACGTTGAGCGTAGAGCAAAGGACTTCTTGAACAGATTCAATTGGAGAATAACGCGTGCCGAATCGGCCACTTCAACCCCAATCTTGCCAATCTCCATGTCTCCTCCAAAGACTCCTAAATCCATTTTCAACATGTTTGGAGGCTCATCGGCCCCTCCTTCCCCAACGTCGCTCCCTGAACTCTCGGGTTTTAACGTCAAGGGTAACTACAACCTCTCCAACAGCAGCAGCCAGAAACTTGACAAAATCTCCGTCTTGTTCTATTGCTCCGTCGTCGGGTTTGTCTTGACGTTACCTTTCTATTTGCTATCCGAGTACAGAAACATGAACAACAAATTGCAGTTTTCCTTGTCCGACCTCAACCCAGAACTCACCTATTTGATCCTCATGTACGGATTATCGCACTTTGTCCAATCTTTGATGGCGTTCCAGATCTTGGGCATGGTGTCGCCTGTCAATTACTCCATTGCCAACATTCTAAAGAGAATAATCATTATTTCGTGCAGCATTCTCATTGAGGGAATCACCTTGAGTATGCAACAATGGGTCGGTTTGACATTGACCTTTGTTGGCCTGTACTGCTACGACAAATGGGGTGTCCAAAGGAAAAACTTTTAGGAGAATCTTTTCACTCTTTACTCCTGAACAACGGGAGACCCCCACGCTTTCAACTTGCATGCATTAGCACCATCAGCAAACAACTATCACTATCCACATCACCAGTGTCATCACCCTCTTTTTTATTATTTGTTTCACTTTACTCTGTTTCCCTACTATTTTTTCTGTAATACTCTTTGTTCAGTTCTCCACTCCAATTTCTTTTCTTGCTCATCGGTGTTTTTTGCCTTTGATAGTCTACAAATACCTGGTCTTCCATTTCTTGACGCGGTCTGCTCCAGATCCAGCCATACTGCATTCCTATTACAACTGCCGTTGCCAATATTCCGGCAACGACCGCGTTGTTAAAAGAGCATGGTGCACTACATGCATGCACTACAAACACACTCACTCATTCAGTCACATTATAAAGTTTTTAGTTTTTTTTGCCGTCCTCATCGACGCCCCATCTTTCATATAGCTTTTCTCTGTCTCAACCTCAATGCAAATCTTTCTTCAAGGAATATATTTGTCGTAGTATTAAACTGAAAACAAGACTAGATGGATACACGCAACGTATACACTACATAGCGCCCCACTCACTCACTTGAGCGCTGGCTTAGGCTTGCCCCAGTTGGCAATGTACTCTTTGGCGTAGTCTCCCAACGACACCATGAAGATGGTCTGCCAGACACCCAAGCCGATTCTCGGCGTGACACCCTTGTAGAGGCCCTTGATCCCGTTGGTCTTGTACACGTACTTCAAGGTCGTGAAAACGTTCAAGTTCTTTGGTCTGTTCGGGTCGTCCACCCTGCTCTGCATCTCCACTCTCGCAACCTCGAACGGCTGGTTCCAGGCACTCAAGCCACCTCCGACAACAGAACTGAGGATTTTCTCCACTGCGCCAAGCTTCTCGTCCTTCTTCTTGCCCGTGAAGTTCCTGATCCAGTCCTCCGCCAATCTGGCCAAACCAAACCGCGACCCCCAGTTGGTCATCTGTCTCATGGCCACCGCGTTGACACCCTTGTTGATACCGCGGATGCCCTCCTTCTGGTAGATCTCCTTGAACACCGTGAACGTGCTCTTGGCAGGCTTGCCGTCGCTCGTGCTCTTGGTCCGCGTGATCTCAACCGTCTTCATGCACGTGCAGAACCCCATCGTGAGGTACGCCTGCGACAACCCTCCAAGCATACCACCACCAATACCGGACACAAACGGCGACGCACCCAACACCCGGAACTGGTATTCACCTTCCGTCATCACCGCAAGCAACACCGCACCCTTGGTGGACGCCTCGAACCATGCCCAAGGAATCAACCCCTGGTAGAACCCCAGCGGACCCCCACGCTTCCAGATATGTTTCACAGCCTGCGTGAGACCAAAGTCTCTGTGTGCCGCCATCGTGGTCTTGGTCACCTCGAGTGGCTGACCAAGCGACGACACTTCCGCCAAGTTCAACCCTGCACCAAGCAAAAGGTTGGAAATTGTGATTGGCTTTTTTTCGATTTTCTCTGCCATTGCTGCTGCTGTTTGTTTTACTTACTAAAAGCACACAATATCACGACAACAAGAGGAACAACTTCTGCACAATTGTCCAAATTGGCTGAAAAAAGGCTCTTTCTATCTCCCTCCTCTGCTGGCCTCCTCTTTCCAAATGAAGACTCATCTTTTTCACCACCCGGGCGGCAAACGCGTCTTCTCAGCCGCTTTATCACCCCGGGCGCTTACGTAACATGAAAAAACCCCCGGGGTCGTCGCCGATGCCGGAGATGCGGACAGCCGCCGGCCGCCAAAGAATGTGGGGAAAAAGCGCCGACGCGTCGATGGGCGCGTCGGCGCCCTTGGGCCGGGGACCGGGGAGGGGTTTGACCAGAAATAAACCCCGATAATACCTGAGCCGACTGGCAGCGGTGTCCTTGGCCTGGCTCATCTATTTCTCCTTGTTCATGAGCCCTCTTTTTGATGGTGTTCTAGATACACAGAGTAGGTGGTGAAGCGTGGAGCTATCGAACACACAGCACATGGCATCCGGAATGCAGTTTTTGAAACAGCAGCTTTGTTGCCGTGGCGGCTGTCTTGGGATCGGGGATCAGGCGTTATCTCTGGCAGTGCAGCGGTTGGTGCACACGAGCAGCAAGGGGCTGGGGCAGCAGAGGGTGTGCAGACGGACTTATGCCACGGTGGGCGGTGTGGATGGCGACGATGATGCCGGCAGTCGGCGAAACACAAAGGAGGGGCAGAAGGACACGGGGAACACAGAACTGGATCACAAGATCCTCAAGCTGATACACGCGTACCCGCAGTCTCCGACGGCCACGCCCTACGAGGTGCTCAACATCGCCTCGTCGGATAAAAACAGCGTTTCGGGGGCTGACTTGAAGAAACGGTTCTTCCAGTTGGCGAAGATCTACCACCCGGACTCGAGTTCGGCACACGGGTACCCGTTGGAGAGGGGCAGGCAAAGCCCGGCGCTGACGGACGAAACAAAGGAGGCCCGGTTCAAAAGGGTGTTGTCCGCATACAACCTTCTCAAGAACCCGATCGCCAAGGCCAACTACGACCGCTACAACGTCGGCTGGAACGACTTCTCGAATCTCCGCACGAACGCAAACATGTACAGCCCCTCGAGCTCGGAGTACAGGAACTTCTCGGGCAGCAACTTCTACCGGTCCAACTTCACCTCGTACGAGACGGGCACGTGGGAAGACCGGTACAGGTACGGCTACGGGTCTGCGTACGGGTTCCACAACGACCAGTCGTGGTCGTCGTCGAAGACAGGCGACATGAAGGAGGAGCTTCTCAAGAACAAGAAGACGATCTTTTTGAGCTTCGTGCTCACGATCGCCGTCTACGGCGCGTTGCAGCTCACCCACCTCTATCTCTACGACGATGTCATTGGAGAACACTACAACGAGAGCCTGTCTGCAAGCAGCGTCAACGTCCACGAGAAGTCCGAAGACGATTTGTTCCACGCATACACCAACTACGGGTTGGGCGACACGAAGGAGGACAGAATCAACCGGTTTCTTTGGTGGCGCAAGCTCACGATGGCGTTCAGCTTGGCAGACGTGAAGGAGGTGCTGGACCATCTTTACAAACGCGGCATAATAGAGAACTCCGAGGAGAACACCAAGCTGAGACGGTATGACTACGAGGCCAGGAAGGACTAGGTCCTGGACCGGTATCGACATGGGGGTTATCATATAGGGTAAAAAGAGTGTAAATGCGTGTTTGTTTGTTTACTGTATTATTTAATTCAACAGACCAAGGCCACTCAAAAGTCTTTATCTTCGAGTCTTCTCAGTAAGTACTCGACCTCGACCTTCTTGGTCAGCGGGATCACCCAGTCCTTGTAGATGCCCACGACGGCCTCCGGGTGCACCTTGCTCGTGCCCTGGTTCCCCGCAGTGGGGTCCGTCCCGTACGCCTTGGCCTTCTCCATCAACCGCTTCAAAATGTTCTCCTCGACGGCCGAGTTCGTGATGTTCGCCATGATGCCGTCGACGTCCCTGCGCTCGATCAGCGCCGTGTACTTCTCCCGGTCCGCCTGGAACTTCGCCTCCGCCACAAACATCCCAAAGTGGATCCGCCTGCTGATGCTCTGCAACGTGAATATGTCCACCAGCGCTGTCGAGCCAAAGTTCTCACACTCGTCTCCGACGTCCTTGGCCACACGTGGGATCATCTTGTTAATGTACACGTCCATGATCTCGCCATTCACGTTCACCTCCCGGAAGTACTCCGCAAGAAGCTTCGGGTACTCGATCGCTGGCAAAAACGACTTCTTCACCACCTGCGGGTAGAACGGGTACTGGTCAGGCGACTGGTATCTTCTCACCTGCGATTCGACCGTCTCGTGCTGTTGGAAAAGCCAGTCAAGAAACGACCCGTCGAAGTCCGGGATCTTAATTTGCGCAGAGTTCTTCTCGTAGATCGAAGGCATACAGGGGAAATCTGACCGCTCGATCAGGTTGAAGATGATTGTGTCCTCCATCCGAATCAAGTCTTCACGGATGTTGGACAAGTTGTACACGCTTTCCGGCTTGAGGAAGTTCATTCTCGCAGTGCCTTTCTGTGTCTGCTGTGCAATTGCTCTTCCAACGACTGGTCTTGCAAAAGCAGCAAGTCTTCTGTGCATGTACCCCCTAATGCTTTTCCCCCCACACAGACCCTCCATCTTTCCATCTGTCCATCCATCTATCTGTCCTCTGCCGGCCGCTGCAGCGTAATCGCTCTGCCCGCGGCAGCGAGGTGACTCAGCAGAAAACGGTTCGGGGTTGCTACATCGTAGATAAACCCGGTCTTCGAGGGGAAGACCAGTGGAGGGACAAACGGAGAGGCCTGGATTGGAGTTGACGATGTGGTAGTGGATGTTACGGTGGTGGTGGTCTATGTAGGTGGAATAGTAAGGTAGGTAAAAGAGTAATTAGTTGATGAGACGCATGGTCCACTCGAAAGCCATGAAGGTGGCTGCGTTGGCCGGCGCAGCTCTGAGGATCGTCGGGGTGAAGCCGACAAAGAAGCCCCTCCAGCCCAGCGGAGAAGCCAGGATGCTTCTGACGACGTGGAGACTGTTTCTGTACTTCCAGGCGCCGAGCGTGTCTGTCTGCAGCTTGCTTTTGATGACGTCGACAGGGTACACCGTGATCCACATGGAGTATCCGGCGAGGCCGCCAAAGAGACACAACTTCCAGGACTCGACCTGCTGCCGGGCAATGCTGTGCTTGTGCATCGTGTTCTGCACGAGGGCCTCGAACGTCATGAAGTAGACGCCGATACCGATCGACTCCCGCATGAGCGTCGGAACAAGGCCCCGGAATATCGCCGCCGTGCCGCCGGCCGAGTAGATGTGCCTCAGCACGTCGATGGGACCCTTGTACACGCCAGCACCGCCGGCACTGCTCCCCGTCTGCACCTGGAGCCTGATCCGGACGTGTTCGATCGGACTCGCCAAGAACCCGTTGGCAAAGCCGCCCGCCCCGCCGGCAATCAGGAACTGCAGCGAGTTCATCCGGTTCGGCCCGTCGTTCACGTACGTGAAGAACCGCTTCATCGACTCGTTCACACTGAACTGAATCGACACACACGCCCCGATCCCGACTAACGGCAACAGCGTGCCCTTGTAGAACGCCAGCGGACCCTCGTTCTTGAGCAACGACCGGATTACCTCGATCGGCGACGTCCCCGGCGTCGGCGAAGACTGGATCCGGACCTTCGTCGTGTCGAACGGCTGGCCCACCAGCACCTGAGCAACTCCTCCGACCGTGCCTGCAAAGATGTCCTTGGCTGCTTGCAGCTTCGAGGCTGGCGCCGGTTCGTCTAGAAGCAACGAAATCTCTGATTCTTGCGTCATTGTTTTCGCCTATCTCCTCTGTCTGGCTATTGCATCTTCTTCTAGTTTTCTCTCCGTACTTTTCATCGTCTTTGTCTTCTTCTTCTTCACGCTCCGTCGTCAACTTCACCTGTTTCCTCCTCCTCCTCCTCCTCGAACAGAGTCAGCGGCAACGGCTGCCCGCCGCGCCGGAGTCAGATCACCGGAGTCAGCCGCGGGACCAGGTTTCGAGGCCGGAGGACAGCCGATAAGAAAGGACGGGGCGCCAAGACGGCTTGTGGCGACGGAGATGGAAGGTTGCAGGATCCAAAGCCGCAGGCAAGGCCGTTAAGGAGACGCCAGAGGGCAGCGATGCATCCGATACAGCAACAGGAGTGTTTGCAGACGACAGGCTGCACGAAAAACGGTGCTGCAGCGCAGCCAGTGACGGCGGGTGGAAGAGAGACAGGAAAAGAAACAGGAAAAGAAACGGTTAAAGACTTCGTTGTAAAAGACGAGAAGAAGACGACGGAGAGACGGGAGAGGGATACGGCGAAGGTGGATCAGCAGAGCCGAAGGAAAGACAGGGAGAGAACGGCAGCACCACCGGTGCCGCAGCCTGCAGCACCGCCGCAGTCGAAACACACGTCAATCCTTAAGCCGGGGGCGACGTTCTCGGGCTACCAGGAGTCGGGCCGGCAGCGGTACGAGGTGCAGGTGAAGCTCCTCGAGGTGGACCTGAACTCGTCGACGCTGTCGGGATTCCTCACGATCCACAACCTCACGGACGCCCATCCGCTCATGGTGACGTTCTTCAAGGGCGAAGTGGTGGGCCCCCACTTCTCCTTCGAGACGAGACACGCCTCGTGGGAGACTTCCCTGCGTAACGACATCCAGCACTGGGCCCGCTTCACGCCGTGGCGCAAACTAGACATTGACATTTCGAACGACGCCGAAAACGCCGATTACTACCAGCACAGGGCTCTCCAGAATGAGTATCTCTTCATGCGCTGGAAAGAGCTGTTCCTCTACCCGGACTTCAACATCAGCGGCGTCAAGGGTGCCTCGTTTGCCGGGTTCTACTACCTCAGCTTGAACCAGGTGTCAGGGAACATCACCGGCCTGTACTTTCATCGCAGCTCAGACATGTTCCAGCAATTGAACCTTTCTTTCGTGCCAGACGCCGGCATGAGCGCAACGTATGAGTACGCATAAATGAAGGAAGCGGTTGCTTGTTACGAGAAAACTTTCGGTATGTATCCATCGACTATACATCTATCTATCCACCTCCAATGTATAATAATGCCCACACCACTGCTCCGATTATGCCTCCCGGATTATAGACTTTCGAACTTGTTGTCATATCTGTGCTTTTTCGCCTTGAAGTTCTCGACCTCGTCCCGCAAAAGCAGTTTCATATCGTTGAGCGTTCTCACCTTCCACTCAAAGCTAAAGTTGAAAGTCTGGTCCATCTCAACCTCGTCGTCCTTATTTCGAATATCCTCCAAATAAGGGTGTCTCAAAATCCGGTCAATGTCAAAACGTTTTGCAACATCCCAGCATATCATGCCATCCAACAAGTCCTGTGCCTTGGCGTTGGAGTGAGGATATATATCACTCCAGTTTTTCTTCTGATACCTTGGCTTCGGATCGGAGAAGATCTCCCATGCTATGGTTGATCCGTACCCGAAAATGATTTCCTTCGAAGGAGTGCCAATCACCTTGCAAATCTCGTTGATCTGCTGCATTTGATCGTCACCAATGAATATCGGTCTTCTACCGTACAATTCAGCCAATATGCATCCAACAGCCCAGATGTCCACGGCTTTACCATACGGTTTCCTCGTCAAAATTAAATCAGGTGCCCTATACCATCTAGTGGCAACATAGTTGGTAATGTTGCTCGACCGATGATTCCGATTCATGTACTTCTCATTGATGCCTCGAGCCAACCCAAAATCACAAATCTTGAGGCACCCCTGGGATGTAACCAATATGTTGCCGGGCTTCAAATCACGATGAATCACATCAGCTGAATGGATATACTTGACACCACAACATATCTGGTAAAAAAATGATTTGATGTGGAACTCAGAAAACTGGACTGAACTATGAATCACTTTTGCCAAATCGTAATCAATCAATTCTTGGAAACAATACAACCCATCATATGGTTTCATGTACACAATGTCCAAATCAACCAACCCTATTATATTTTTGTGACCTTTGAAAAACTCCATAAGCTTCAACTCTCGGATGGCCCGCTTTAGAAGCACTTCTTTGTTGAATATATTGCAAACTTTTTTAATCGCCAAAGAGGATTTGTCCTTTGTCTTCAAATCTATAGCAGAACAAACAGTTCCATATGATCCTTTACCAAGAACCTGTAGGACCTTGTATCGGGAGTCAATCAAAAAGCTGGCTTTTTCATACACAACACGGTTGTCCCCAATGCTGTCACAAGCGTTCGAAGTATAATAGTCGTTTGCTTTCCCTGTTCCCATATTCGCTCCTCCAGGGCCCACACCTATATCTCCGTCGTTGTAGCCATACAGTGATGCCTTTGGATTGTAAAACTTGTGTACGCCAAATCCATCCTTTGAGAACAACTCGTTTATAGTCATATTGAAGCAAAGTTTTCTCGATTATATTAATCGATGTCAGGAGCAAAGCAATGTTAGGCTATCTTTCGAAACGCCGATTCTCGGACACTAGATGGTTTCAGTCCTTCTGAAGGGGATAAGCAATGTCGCTTGCAGAAAGTATCCTTAACTTTTTTTGCTACATTAACATCCACGAAACAACACTCCACCAGCCTCAAATGGGCAAGTGTGCCTCTCGATAACATTTAAGTTACCGCACTGGGAAGTTCCAGCATCAACTTTCATGTCTTGAGCACGCTGCCGAATCCGGTAACTCGCCCTGCGTCAGAAACGCAATCGCATCAGCTTCATTACGAATCTGCGAAATGAACAAGCCGTAATCGAGTTGGATAATAGCAGTCACTTGCTTGAGAACGGGCAGTACCATCGAACCGTACATACCAGAAGGCTGCTTCTATACAAGAAGTTCTCCAAAAGATTATGAACTTTGATTTTTCTTCCATATCCCCCACAGCGCATACAATTGCTATATCCGCATACATCGACTTCTTACCGTCATTGCAGTATTCGAAGCCGTTAGGAACTTCGAGATTCTTGAAAACCATACAATGCTTATCTCCAAGTGGATATGTGGTGGTGAAATTACTTATCAAACCACCCGAGACAGAAATAGACATGCACGTTTACCTAGATAGGCTGAACGAACTAAAATCACAACTCCACGATATACCCAACACTCTTCCGTTCGACACGTTGATAGATTCAGAGCGTGCCACATATCTAGTACGACCTTATGTGCGGTACAATCTATATGATAGACTTTCTATACGTCCTTTTTTTGAAAGCGTTGAGAAAAAATGGATTGTGTATCAGCTATTGGTGACCTTATCAAAGATGCATGAAAATGGAATCTGCCATGGTGACTTGAAGACTGAAAACGTGTTGCTCACCTCCTGGAATTGGATTTTGTTGTCTGATATTGGACTATTCAAGCCAGTTTACCTACCGGACCAGAATCAATCTCAATTCTCATTTTATTTCGATACCATCCAAAGGCACTCCTGTTATGTTGCACCCGAGAGATTTAAGAGCCAAGCAGAAATTGACGAGCTTTCGAAGAACCCGGAAAACTTTAAATTGAGACCTGAAGTTGACATTTTTTCACTTGGATGTGTTATTGCCGAGCTGTACAGTGATGGTCTACCCATTTTTTCTCTCCCCCAAATGTTTCGATATAAGAAGAAAGAATATATTCCAAACTTGGATGCAATTGAAGACTCAAATATTAGAAAGTTGATCCGTAGTATGATAAGCTTAGATCCAAAGGAAAGGTTATCTGCAAAGCAATATTTAGTCAACTTTAGAAAGCTACTGTTTCCTGATTTCTTTTACAATTTCCTGTACTCTTACGTAAAGAACCTCTCCACTTATTCACCTACATCAACCGACCCATCTTCACAGTTCCAAATATGTGATTATCGAATCGACCGATTGTACCAAGATTTTGATAAAATCTCTCTCTACTTGGGTTTTAAGCGCAACATTATAGAGGCTGACGAAAACAATACACAGAAGAGAAACGAAGCAAGCTTAATACCAGTTGAATTGAATTTACCGGGAATGAACAAACATATACCACAAAATACTGCTGCAATATTCAAGGACGAATCTGTCAACGATTGCTCCTCTTTGATACTCCTCTCCATTCTATGCCATAATGTACGAAATACGACCCACTCATCATACAGAATTAAGGCTTGTGATTTGATTTTGGCATTTGGTGAGCAATTACACGACGAAGCTAAGTTTGATAGATGTTTACCATACTTAATAAACATGCTCGATGATCCCAGCGAAAGTGTTCAGATCTCTGCACTTTGCTGTATGACCCAACTTTTGATGATGATTGATACCATTACCCCAATAAATGTTCACGTTTTTACTGAATATATTGTACCCAAACTACAATTATTTCTAAAAAGGTCGTATATGGCAATCAAACAAAAATCTTTGAACATGATAGCTAGCCCTTCAAAATTTGAGGATAGATCACAGCCACAAACCTCCTCTAAAAGTCCTGACGTTATAAGAGGCTCTTACGTTAGAATGGTTTTTGCATGCTGTTTACCATATTTAGCCATGACATCAAAAAAATTCTACGAGTTATCTGTTTTACTCAAAAATAGGGTAGGCACTTATCGTGACCCAGATATTGATAGCATAATATTCAATGATAGAGATAGGAACGAGTTCGAATACGCAGAGATCGTTCAAAATTTTGAGCATTTGACCATACAGATTTTGACTGACAGTAATATTTATGTGAGAATTGCTTTAATGAGAAATATTCGCCCTCTCTGTTCTTTCTTTGGGAAAGATAAAACCAATGATGTCATATTGAGTCATCTGATCACCTATCTGAACGATAAAAATCCCCAAATCAAGCTTGCCTTTGTATCAAGCATTGTTCCATTATCTATCTTTGTCGGGGTCACAAGTTTAGAGCAATACATTTTGCCATTATTGGTGCAAGCCTTATATGGACCCGAAGAGACCATTGTTATCACTTTATTGAAAGTCTTGACCGAATTGATTAACTTAGGATTGGTAAGAAAAGAATGCTTTTGGGACCTTGTTAACCTTTCTGTCGTTTTAATTTTACATCCTAATGGTTTGATCCGTCAGTCTGTGTTGAACTTGATAATTGTTATTGGAAAGCAACTTTCTATGTCGGACTTCTATTGCATGCTATATCCTTTGATTAGACCCTTCTTTCAACATGAAGTCACAAGTTTTGTTTGGGAAAACTTGTATATAGCAGCTCATACTCCCTTGCCAAGGGCAGTTTTCAACAGTCTTGTTCTTTGGAGCTTATCTACTCAAGATTCACTTTTCTGGCAAAGATTGTCGATTGAAAATGGATCAAAGAATATTGATATGTTTGGAAATGCAAAATTAATTTTCTCTAAGAAAAGGGCATTAAACGGGAGCACTTCCTCAAGCAATGGAGGACGAGGCAACGCAGATGATTTTGTGGCCAACTTCGAAGTTCCATTAAGTAGTTCCGATGCAGAAAAAATAGAAAAGTTGAAAGGTCTGGGGCTTAAAAGTAATGAGTTGTGGAAAATTGCATCACTGAGATCCTATATTTACAAAGTTTCAAGGTTATCTCTGAGAGCTTCGAAGTGCAAGATAGGTGCCGACGTTACTAGATTGATTCCTAGAAGTGTGTTCATTGATGTGATTCATAGGTACGAGGCGAACGATAGAACAGAGGACTACATAATATCTAATCCAGCAGAAAATAATAGAAATCTCTCACTTTCGTCTAACAATAATGGTACTAAAGAAAGAGGAGGTCCACTCATCTTGAGAAATTTGCAAACCCCTAAACCAGTCGTCACAACCAGTGACAAAATGGCGTTTGGTGAGTCGTCTAATAACTTTTTAAAGAGAGAAAATCCTTTATTTGAAGATTTTGGAGATGCTAATGTTTATGATGAGAGTATGCAGCTGAAAAAGTTAACTACTGATATATCTTACAGCTATCCAGGTAGGAACCCTTTCATTCTAAAGTTTTTGCGCAGCCTTGTGTTTGAGCCAGATTTACAAGATTATCATGAGTTTGGTCAACTAGTTGACACTACAAGCATTGGAGTTAGCGAACCTGTAGAGGGAACCAACAAAACATGTGTTCTAGTTTCCAGGTTGATAGACCATAAAGCCTCTATAATTGATCTCATAGTTGCCCCAGACCATGAATACTTTATATCTGGTGATATCTTGGGTGTTTTGAAAATTTGGGAGTCGAAAAGGCTAGAAATTGATGTCACCGGAGAACCGTGCTTGTCTGTTAACCTAGGGTCACCGATAAAATCCATATGCATGATGAAAGATCGCCACTGTTTTGCAGTATCCAAAGAAGATGGCTCGGTAGATATTTTTAGGGTTGACTTTGTCAGCACCTTAGAGAATTTCAAGCTTAAAGTTTACCCTACAACATCCATCACACTTCTCAAGCATTACAAAGTGGGATCTGATGACCAGTATGCAAGCAACCTCCGCTTCAGCTTAATCAGAAATAAACCTTATCTATTCATGGTTACGCCAACCTCAAAAATAATCGGAGTGGATATACGCAACATGAAGGAAGTTTATAATTTGCAAAACAACATAGTACACGGAAGTATTCAGTCACTTTATGTTGATGGGATGCAGACGTGGGCTGTGGCTGGAACGAACAAAGGTGTTATTGATTTATGGGATTTGGAAGCTGGGCTCTGCGTGAAATCTACAAAGTTCAAGCACAGCTCATATGGAATTACAAAAATGGTTGAAGTTAGTAATGTTTTGTCGAGCTCTAAGAACAACGAAAAGTTTGTGTGTTTTGTTGGAGGGACAGGGGATTCTGATGTTATTATCTGGGATGTCGAAAGAGCCCAGCCGAGAATCGTACTGTGCTCGAGTAGTAAAAAATCTTTTTCTACCATTGAGCTCTACAGTGTGTGCGAAGTTAATGACGAAATTGAAGACAGTATCCTAGATTTATACATCAACAAGAAACATGTCGAAAGTGACAATGGATGTACCAGTGTGGCGTATAGCTCTTTCGACAACAGCTCCAAACAAGGAAAAATACTAGCTGCTCAGCACAACAGAAAAATAATTGAGTGGGATCTCAGCAACTTTGAGGATTCACGGGTGGTTGTTGACGTTCGAGGTAAGGATGGACATGTCGGTGATTATCCTGTTTACTCCGAAACACAGGTGAACTCAATGTTGACTTTTGTGCACGAGAGATACATCTCAGCGAAGAACAAAGACACTACAGCCTCCAACAGAATCGGGAATGGCCCCAAAGTTGTCAGCAAGGCCCCCTGTGAAAGTATCAGCTCTCTTACCTACCTTCAAGTGCCCTACAAAATGGTGGTCTGTGGAGATCAATCAGGGGCAATCAACATATACAGATAGATATGTAAGCGTATAGTAAGTATTACTGAAACATTAGCGAGGCGAGAAGATCGATCACCAGCAAAAAAATCAGCATTGATAACATGGATTCGCTAGACTTCAACAGTTCGACTTCCGATCACTTTGAGCATAACGTTAGTGATCGAAAGGGCAATAACCCAAAAGCTTCAATTCACAGCATGTCGGATTCGGAGGAGCATGAAGGCTCATATGGGTACGATGACTCTGACGAAGCGTCGTCTCTAGAGTTCAGTGACGTGGATTACGGAGATGACAATTCACTGAATGAATTGGATCATGAAGACACGCACGCAAAAGTGATGTTTTCTTTCCCTACTTCCACTACGTCCAGCGGTATACCCACACATAGAATGAAATATCAAGCACTGTGTATTGATGAAATACAAAAGTACATAGAACAAAAAGTCAAAGAGCTGAGTGATTTATTGCAACTAGATAATGGGAAGTGTCTTGTACTGCTATTGACATATGGATGGAATGAACACAAATTGCTAGACGACTATGTGAATTGCGATGAGCAGAGAAAACTCTTGCTTCAACATGGTGTTTATGACAAGGCTTATCCGAAAGATTTGAGTTGCTTACTGACGAAAGAGACCGGAGAAGAAGTCATCTGCAGTATATGCTGTTGTTCGCCCGAGCCTTCGGAGCCAATGACTTTTTTTTCACTTTTCGGCTGCAAGCATAAATTTTGTACAGAATGTTACAGCCACTATATTCAAACCAAAAATGAAGGATCACAAGTTGTTATTGACTGCCCCTTCTCGGATCCCAAATGCACGCTGAAAATAACCACCCTAGAGTTGGGTATTTTGAGTGATTTTATGGAAAAATCTATTAAACAGCCCAAGGAGAAATTACATCAAGCCAAGCTTATTTCGGAAGATGAAATAAAACAGCTGTATAATCTATCTTCGGATGACGAGCAGCTCGACTCAGATGGAAATGTCATTGATCAGTTTGATGATGATAAAGAAGAAAAAGATCGAGAGGTAACTAGCATTAATGACATCGTGTATGACTTTCACAAGGCAATGCTAAAAAGGGAAAGAGAAGAAATGGATTCCAAGAGAAATAGGACGATATTATCCAAATACTGGTATAATGTTAGCAACCAGTATTGTATGACACAAGTGAAGAGATTCAAACATTGTCCGTACCCTGATTGCGAGAGCGTGGTTGAATTCTTAGGTTTTGATTCAGACAATATCGCAAGCATTGAAGAGCAAATCAGTTTCTTGCTTATACCACTGGTGAGGTGTGGTAGAAAGCACCAATTCTGTTTTGCTTGTATGGAAGTTTCCCATGCTCCGTGTCCGTGCAAAGTTGTTGAGAAATGGAAACAAAAATGTGAAGATGATTCCGAAACCCTTAACTGGATCCAGTCAAATACGAAAGATTGTCCAAAGTGTCATGCGATTATTGAGAAAAACGGAGGATGTAATCACCTTACCTGCACAGCTTGTAATTATCAATTTTGTTGGCTTTGTTTAGGTGATTGGTCTTCACACACAAACAGTTACAGATGCGATCAATATAAAGGAAACGACAGTCTTGATGGTGACAGTGTTAGAGCCAGCTTAGAGAGGTACATGTTTTATTTCGATCACTTCAACAATCAAAGAATTTCACACGATAAAGATAGAGAAATTTTAGAGAAATTCGAAAGCAGGATTAGAGAGCTACAAATAAAGGCGGGGGTGTCATGGATTGAAACTGTTTTTTACAAGGAGTGTGTCACTGCTTTACTAGAATGTCGACAGATACTCAAATGGTCATATGCGTTCCTTTTTTATGTTCCTAAATGTCGAGGAAAACAATTAGTTGAGGCTGCACAGTGGCAGCTTTCGGATAAGGTGGAGCGTCTTTCCAAGCTATTTGCCGATACTCCTGCAGCTAACGTTTTAGCCTGCAAGGAATCTTTTCTATATATCAAGAGCTCGATGATTGTTGCCCAAGAGAAGTTTTTGGAAACATGCATCGACATATTTGCCGATCCTACTACAATGAATTCGTTCAAGAGAAGACTGAACATAACATGATCGTGGCAGTTTACTCCACCTCACCAAATTATCCTTTGCAATTTTTATAGATATCATTAATACTATCAGAACTATATACGCTACTACAAGAAATGAATAACAAACTTTACGTTGATCAAGAAACAAAATGTGAGAAACCTTTAGAGAGATGCTTGGACTAATCATACTAGGCTCTAGCGATATCACTTTCTAATGCCAAAACTAAACCTGTTCTAGCAGGCAAATAGACTTCAACAAAATTTCTCCTACCATTCCACGATAGGTCAGTAGTAAAAAAAGTACTCTTCCCTTCATCAATTAAACCATGACCACCATATTCAATTCTATCAGTATTAAGAACAATTTTGTAAGTGCCTGGTGTCTCTACGCCAACACGATAACTGACGTAACTGTTTGTAGGATGAAAATTGAAAAGGAAAAGTTTGTTTGCCCTTTCATAAACGACGACTTTATCGCTTTCATTCTTCAACGAAATATAGGCAGGCTCAGTATTGAGCCAAGGGAACCTTGTTTCAGTCTCGTTCATTGCCTTATCAAACTGGTACAAAAACTGGTAGCGAAGCAGGTCGTCCTTTATCAAATTGAACTGTCTTCTTGCATAATGATACGACTCACCGTTACCTATTCTTGGGAAATCCAACCATTCAGGATGTCCAAATTCATTACCTTCAAAGTTCAAATAGGCTTCTCCGCCCATGGATTGAGTGATTAGTCTGATCATCTTATGCAATTGAATACCCCGATCAATAACTTGAGTTAAAGGCGACAGCACAGACATGTGTGTATACATTTCAGCGTCCATCAACCAAAAGGCAAGAGTCTTGTCACCCACTAACGCTTGATCATGGGATTCACAGTATGCCACGCACTTCTCACGATAACGACGGTTACTCAAGGTGTGAGTGATGTCGCCCATGTCCCATTCTTCATCTTTCTTATGCTTTAAGATTTTGATCCACATATCTGGGATAGACATCGCAAGTCTGTAGTCGAAACCGACACCACCGTGCTCACGAGGACGGCACAATGTTGGATAGCCCGAGACATCTTCTGCAATCGTTGTGATAGTACAATCGTTGGCGGCAGAATAAAGAGAGCCTAGATCGTTTGCAATCATCATATAAGCCAATGCCTCCTTGTCCACGGGAGCAAAGGGGCTCAAATATTCGTTATAGTCACCGGAGAATCCCGCTCCGACACCATGATGGAGATACAACATAGAAGTGACACCGTCGAATCTGAAGCCGTCGAAACCATATTCATCTAAGTAAAACTTCAAGTTGCTCAAAAGGAATCTCAAGGTTTCATAATGGCCATAGTTGAATAGTCTGGAGTCCCATTGATCGTGGACACCTTTGCCACCGGAGTGAAAATAGCAGTAGTCCGTGCCGTCAAACATGTTTAAACCGTCTTCCACATTTTTGGAAGCATGAGAGTGCACAACATCTAGCAGGACTCTCAAACCCATGCCGTGAGCAGTGTCAATGAGACGTTTCAAATCCTCCGGAGTACCAAACCTGGAACTAATGGCAAAGAAGGAGGTGATCTGGTAGCCAAAGGAAGCGTAGTAGGCGTGCTCCATGACGGACATCAACTGGATGGTGTTGTAGCCCAAGTCCTTGATGATGGGCAAGACGTTTTCTGTGAATTCGTTGTAGGTGCCAACCTTTGGCTCTGGAGTGGAGATGCCGACATGAGCCTCGTAGATCTTCAACGACGCTGGCAACTTGGGTCTTTTGTTCTGGAAGGTGTATTTCTGAGGCGGGTTCCAGAACCTGGCCTCGTACGAAGGGTTGTTGTACTCCTTCGGAGGCTGTGTGGCTCTTTGTATGTACGCAGGCAACCTTGCGATCTTTTCTCCGTTGGGCAACGTGAGAAAGATCTTCACCCGTGAATTGTGCGGGATTCCAGGGGAGCCGTCGGCGTTTGGTGGCACCGTGACCGTGAAGTGGCCTGTGGCTGACTTCGTCATGACATTGGCGTCATGGGCCCAGTTGTTGAAGTCGCCAATCAAGCAAGCGTGCGTTGCGTTGGGGGCGTACTCATTGTACACAATGGAGTTGTCCTTCTGAACGTGGAGCCCCATTGTCTTGTACGAGTCTGCAAACGCCAAAAGGCCGCCCTCATTGGCGTTGAACTTCTCAATCCACTGGTTGGCTAGCGAGCTTCTGTAGGCCAACTCTTCGACGAAAGGCTCTAACCAGGGGTCAACCTGGGTCAACTCCTTCATGGATGCCGGTACTTTTGTGTGCTCTGCCATTGTTACTGCTGTACAAAGGGGTTGAGCTGCGGAACGGAGAGAGACAGCAGGAGCCGAGACAGTGGAGAAACAGGGCCGCAAAGTCAGGAGAAATCGTAGAAGGCAAAAGTATAGTTCAATCCGGCATCCTCATCAACCCCACAAAAGTGGCAGCTGAGCTGAGCACACGGCCTGCCTATCTGCAGGCGGACTGGCTTTTTCTTGCCTGTCACCTTATTTTTTATTGTCCTTTTTATCGCTTACCGCATTCGATAAGAAGTGGGGTGGAGCAGGGTCGAGAGGAGGCGGGAGGTGGCCGGGACGGAGACCAGAGAGTCTATCACGAGGGGATTGTTGGCGTATGTAGGAAGTATATAGGTGTACATATCGGGTGTCTCTGTGGGATGTGGCCGGCAGGGTTATTTAGGCCTGGCCCAGTCGACGGAGATGATCATGTTCATCAAACCTCTGCCGTCGAGGGCCTCCTTGACGGCCTCGGCGCCGCGCTGGGTGGTCATGTTGACGAAGGCAACCCCGAGCGACTCGCCAGTCTCCCTGTTCTTCAATATCGACACCCGGTCGTAGTTGCCGAACTTGGACACGATCATCTGCAAGGAGTCCCTGTCGATGGCGGCGTTCAGGTTGGTGATTCTCAAGGCCGGCACCTCGGCGCCGACGCCCAGGTCGGAGCCGCCCGCACGCATGTTAGGAGGCACGTATCTGGACGAGCCTGGTGCTGGCGTGCCCGCCTTGGCGTCGGCGTCCGCAGCGCCGGACGGGTTGAACATCTTGTCGGAGCCAAAGGTGTCTCTGTACGGACACTTCACGGTGTAGTGGCCGGTACCGCCACAAACTCTGCACTTGAACGTGCTCTTCACCTGCTTGTTCTTCGCCTGCTCCTGCTCCCGGTCCTCGTCCGCCTTCCAGGTCGTGCTCAATATCAGCTTCACCTCCTCTGTGATCTGTGTCGTCTTGGAGTCCGGCCCAACCGTCTTGTTGTCCTTCTCGACCCCAAACCGCTTCCAGTGCGCCCGCTGCGCCACCAGCGGGTTCACCTTCTCCATTGTCTTCACAAACTTGATCTTCTGCGTCACCTTCACCTTCTTCTTCTGGTCGTTGAACCGGTACGAGATCACCGTTTTGGTTCCGTCGTTGTTGTCGATCACCTGTGGAGGCGCCAGCTCCGCCTCTGCGTCTGCCCAGTTTGTCGATGCCATACTGTACTGCCTTCTTTTGCTGTCTCTTCTGCACCACACTCTCCTCCCTTTCTGCTGCTCTTTGTCTCTTCTTCCTCATCATCTTCCCAATGCTCAGCTCTTTCAGCATCCTCTGGCCCCCCTCCACGAGCCTGAAAAATTTTTAACGCGAAAATCCGTGCACCGGCCCTTTTTCTCACTTACCCGGCCTTCTGTTTGCGACGCACTTTTTGCGTCCTTGAAAGCGAAAAAAAACCCGGAAAGCGAAAAGTTTTTTTTTTCACTTGGGGCTACAGCGAGACGAGGATGGGGGAGGCTGGATGGCTGTCGTTGCCACCAAGACCTACTTCTTCTTCGTTGGAAGTGTTGGGTTTGCAGTGTGTGTGGTGTAGACAGGTGTGTAGGAAGTTGGAAAGTCTGCTGTAATCATACACACAAGCACATTCGAAATGTCTACCAGACCACAAGTTTCCGTCGTTTCCATCAAGGGTGAGACCACGTCCACCGCTTTGCCACTTCCAGCCGTCTTCAAGGCTCCAATCAGACCAGATGTGGTGCACTCTGTGTTCACAAAGGTGAACAAGAACAAGAGACAGGCTTACGCTGTTGCAGAAAACGCCGGCATGCAGCACTCTGCTGAATCTTGGGGTACCGGTAGAGCTGTTGCCAGAATTCCAAGAGTTGGTGGTGGTGGTACCCACAGATCGGGTCAGGGTGCCTTCGGTAACATGTGTAGAGGCGGTAGAATGTTCGCCCCAACCAAGATCTGGAGAAGATGGCACATCAAGGTGAACCACAACGAAAAGAAGTACGCAACTGCTTCCGCTGTGGCCGCCTCCGCCGTCCAGTCTCTTGTCTTGGCCAGAGGCCACAGAATCGAGAAGATTGCTGAAATCCCATTGGTTGTCTCGGATGACTTGCAGTCCGTCGAGAAGACCAAGGACGCCATCGCCGCCTTGAAGGCTTTGAACGCCCACAAGGACGTCATCAAGGTCATCAAGTCCAAGAAGATGAGAGCCGGTAAGGGTAAGATGAGAGGCAGAAGATTCACCCAGAGAAGAGGTCCTTTGGTTGTCTACGCCCAGGACAACGGTCTTGTCAAGGCCTTCAGAAACGTCCCAGGTGTCGAGACCGCCAACGTCAGATCCCTCGGCTTGTTGCAATTGGCTCCAGGTGCCCACTTGGGTAGATTCATCATCTGGACCGAATCCGCCTTTGCTGCCTTGGACTCTGTCTACACCTCCCTCCCAACCAACATCATCTCCAACACCGATGTCACCAGAATCATCAACTCTGACGAAATCAAGGCTGTTGTCAAGGCTGCTGGTCCATCCCAGTCCAAAAAGACTGCTTCTTTGAAGAAGAACCCATACAAGAACAAGCAAATCTTGTACAGATTGAACCCTTACGCCAAGGCCTTCTCTGAAAAGAAGTTAGGTTCCGCCAAGGCCCCAGCTTCCAAGAAGGCTGACTACGCCAAGTTCACCGAAGTCTTCAAGTCTGCTTAAGCGACGTGTTGTCTCCGCGTAGAATCCTGCACCAGGGCCTATATATCTCCTTTCAGTCCTATATATCACCTCTGTATCTTTCTACATCTAATTGGCTTGACCTTCTCTTACCCACCCCGATCTGCTACCTCTTCTGCCAGCTCTTCTGCCGTCTCTTTCCCCACCAAACCCTCGAGATCAAAACCTTAAGGCAGGCCCGAAACACCGCTCCGACATGCTACGCGTTCCCCCCACAGCGCCCCGCGTAGCACCCCGGGTGCCTCTTTTTCCCCAGACCTATCGACACCGCTCACCGCCTTGCTGGACCTGGGAGGAAGATCGATTGTGTCTTTTCCATATCTGTTTGTTTCCTGGATCGGCCGTTGCTGCACCGGTGTATGTCTGCAGTGACCCCCAAGTCGCCGGACAGATAGCCAGTAGTTCAACTATTGTGCAAGGAGCTCCGAAGGCGGAAGGCGGGGCAAGGAAAGCAAGACACCATGACCAAGAAGTTGCCTATAGACGTGAAGCAGTCCCGGAAGCCTACTCGGGTTGCCTGCTCCTTCTGCCACTCGAAACATCTGCAGTGCGATACCACCAGACCGTGCAAGAACTGCATCAAACGTGGACACGCAGACTCGTGCACGGATGCCATCCGGAGGAAGAAAGGGATACCGAAATCGAGGCTCCCTTCCGACGCAGCACCGACGGCCGCAGGTCAGGATGGCACATCGAGACTGAAGCCGGAACTTTCGCCAAGCCCAGCCACCGCCTCCACGACGGCAGGGAACACTCCAGTAGACCTGCTGCTGAAACACAGCAACGGTTCCATTGCTGCGGGGCCGGATGGAAAGACAGGAGCCACTGTCTCCGGGAAAGCAAACCCGGAGATTTTGAGCACGGCAAAGCACAGCACAGCCGAAAAAGCACAAGCCGTCAAAGTCCCCAAGAAACGTGGCAGACCCCCAAAGAACAAAACAAACGACCTCTTGACTCCGAAGACGAAACAGGGAAAAACAAAGGGGAAAAAGTCTCAGAAGCTGAACAACGGAGAACCAAAGGAAACGATCGCCGCTGAAGAACGTGCCCCAGAGGAACTCGGCAAAGAAGAAGCCGGTGGAAAAGAGGAGAAGGAGATAGGAGGAGGAGAAAGGGGAGGCAACAATGCCCAATGCCCTTCTCTCCAAAAACAAAATTTGAACTCACAACAGTACACAAACGCTACCAACCATGAACGACCTAGCTTTATTGAGTCGAACCTGCAGAGCACGAACGATCTTGCTGGACTGGGTGTTGTGACTCCAGCATCATCATCAAACCTTTTGCCGCCTCCAATATCGTTGCTGAATCTTGCCAACGTTTCCCTCAGCAGCATGAACTTACAGCAGATGAACCCCAGCTCGAGCGGAACAGTATCTCAGAACATGAAGACCGATCCCTCGCTATCCGACTTGAGGCTCCCCTCTTTCTCAGACTTGAAAGCACCATTGTTTCCTTCAATGATGGGAGAGGTCCGAACTCCACAGTTTGATCTGAAAGTACCAGTACAATCGTTCTCTCCGGACTTGAAAAACCATAGTGGGTCCAACCAAACCCTGTCGATGATGGGGCTCCCTAGTCTATCTTCTGCTGGTATGCAAGCTCTTTTACAGAATCACTCAGCAGATACCGGCTTTTTGAAAAAGGCACAGGACAAAGACGACACGCTTCCTAGACCTTCTCAAAGCTCTGAATCGGCTAACATCGATCCTAGGAATGTTCCTCTAAATTTGGGTGTGGATATTATGTCCGCCAACGACAGGGAAATGCATTCTCACCTTAACTCAAACCAACCTTCCAAAACTGCCGATATAAATAGTCGGGGCAACGTTTCCAACCAAGCGTCGGCCTCTGCCCGAGATCATGGAATTTTAGGCATGATTCAAGACCCAGCGCATACAGTCGATCCTGAAACCCCCGGATCTCCATTAGAGTTTAGTGTCAGCAGTACCACAAGAGCAAACACAATGGATATGAATGCCCCCACACATGAAAGTTTGCCCTTATCGTCCAACCACAGCTTGAACCAAAGTTTAGATTCAAGATTTGCAACACAGGATGTACTCTCGTCAAATAGCTCCATTCGGAATTTTGAGTCGACTATGGCCAACGAAGAGTACACCCAGCTAACAGATTTGCTAAACACAAACCCACCGACTCCAACTGGTGGGTTTCCAGAGGGGAAAAAGAAACGGATGGAAATGCATGACAACATCGGCAGTAAGCTGAAAACTTTACGTTCAAGCAGACTTCCATCACCGGAACTAGAAAATGAAGAGGCTTTTGTTAAGGGAATATCTCCAACGGACTCGGATGATGATGACGATACCAGGCCGTTTATTGTAATCAATCTTGAAGATCTCACAATGATATCATCGTATCCAAACAACACAACTCCGAACTCCTTTGTATACAACGCAGATCATTCACAGATGCCAAACACGGCAAAGGAGGTACCTCATGATATTGAGCAAGCAGAAAACTATACATCACCTTTGATCATGAGACATGTCATCAAACAACCGGACGATATATATCTCACCAGCATAGTAAAGGCATACCAATACCCGAAAGCGTACCATGCTCTCATTGCGTATTTGAAGAAACGATTCAATAAACGGCAGTTGCTTGAAATTGCTAAATGTATGGCCAAATATAGACCTAGTTTTATCAGTGCCACCAAGAGTTTGTATGAGAATGATTTGATTTTCACAGAGAGAAGTTTTCAAAGAACTCTTCTGGAATATGAAAACCTGATCTCAATGTCTCCTTCGCCTACAATCATTTGGAGGCGTACTGGTGAAATTGTTGCCTTAACCAACGAGTTTGCTGTGATGACAGGCTATTCACGAATGAGTTTGTTGAGTAAACGGACTTACATAGTGGAGTTGATGGATGATGAGAGTACAATCAACTATTTTCGGAGTTTCAGCGAGTTTGCATTTGGTGATTTGAATGCAACTTACGTGACTGATTGTAATTTACGGAAGGCAGAGGATGACAACTATCTAAGATGTTGTTGCGTGTGGACTATCAAAAGAGATGTGTTTGACATTCCGATGTTGATAGTCGGTCAATTTTTGCCAGTTTTAGAGTAGTGTATGATTGTATGTATAAATGTATATTAATTAATCAAAAAGAAAATAAAGTTTCTATGGGCCCTATATAGAAAGGGTTTTGAATTTGAGAATGGAAAAATATAACGTCTAAGTAAATATATGAATTTGTATAAAAAAGGGTCGAATTGGAACTAGTTTATTATTTTTTCGATAACCTTACCAAAAGCGACGACTTCTTCATCGAAGTATCTTCTGGCAGACAATTGGAAACATATTGGAGCACCTTCAAACAATTCAGGAATGTATTTATCCTGCTCAATCTTGTCGATGGCAGATCTTGGTGTGTATGTAGTGTCTTTGACGTCGAGCTTAGGGTCTTGCTTCAAGCCAGTTGGGAAGACCAAGGTTGGTAAGTCAAGGATGTTGAAAAGAGTGGTGTAACCCCAGTAGTATGCACCAGCCTCACCATCGTTGATACAGACAGGTGCACAACCAACATATGTTGGAGAGATTATGAAGTCAACTTTTTCCTTAGTGAAGTAGTCTAAATACTTCTTTCTCAATGCATCTCTTCTGTAGTTCAATTCTCTGTTTTCAGTCACATTGTACATCTTGTCACCATTTGCAAATGAAAGTGCCCACTTGGTCAAAGGCAAGAGAGGTTCACCAGATGGACGGAGCATTTCTCTTTGAGCGTAGTTACCGTCACATGTGTACATTTCGTGGACAACGTCGTAGGCTTCTTGGATGTCCAGAGGATCAAACTTGACGACGTTGACTCCTGCAGCCTTCAACTTGGACTCGACAAACTCTAGACCACGTGCAATAGGAGGATGTGGCTTGACCAAGCCGTCGTCATACATAATTGCGACAGTGACATCCTTTGGACTTGGTTCAGGAACTTCTCTCCACAAGACTGGGATACACCAAGGGTCGTCATCCCATGGCTTACCCTCATTGATGTACGACTTCATGAACAAGTCGATGTCGGCGACAGAATTGGTGATTGGACCGGCAACGGCCACAACCGATTCTTGGCCCTTACCGGAGGAGACACCACCAAGACAAGATATACGTCTTGAGGTTGGTCTCAAACCGTAACATCCGGAAAACGCAGCTGGGCCTCTGATGGAACCACCAATGTCTGTACCCACCCCGATTGCGGAACCACGTCCGGCAACACATGCACCTTCACCGCCCGAGGAACCTCCTGGCGTGAGAAGAGAGTTGTGTGGGTTTCTGCTTCTACCGATGATGTTGTTATTGGAGTCCAAATGCATCAAGGTCTGTGGTTGGTTGGTACGGACGAAGAATGTCGCACCCAACTTTCTCAACGTCTTGATGGTGGTTGCGTCATCCTTTGGAATGTTGTCCAACCATGCGACCCACCCACCGTTGGTGATCTTACCGGCGTAGCCGATCTGCTCCTTCAAGGAGATAGGCAGACCGTGCAAAGGACCGACAGTCTTGCCTTCCTTTGCCAGGTATGCATCCAGCTCTTCCGCTCTCTTGAGGCCCTCGTGGATGAAGAAGTCCATGGCGAAGTTCGTGAACTGTTGCAGGATCACCGCACGGTGTGCAAAGGCCTTCAAGACCTCAACCGACGAGTACTCCTTCGACGCGATCTTGGCAGCCAAGTCCGACGCAGAGGTCGTGGTGATCTCCTTCTCCTTGTCGGTCAATGCCTTGGTTGTGGACAAGAACTCAACGGTGTCGAAGATCTTGGCGTCGAGGTCCTTTGGAACCTCCGGTTCCGGAACACGGTACTCAGCAAGCGTGTTCTTATCTAGCGCATCACGATAAGCCTGGATCTTTGGCTTCCATGTCTCGAAGAGCTTGGGATCGGAGACATCGTCCTTGAACGTGTACAACGATTCGATATTAGCAGGGGCACCAGTGGCAGGCATGACGGTTTCTGTGTGTATGGCAGTCTGTTCGACGGTTTGTCTTTTCTCCTTATCGGCCTCGAGTCAGAGAGTTGGAAAAGTAGCAACTGAAGCGTATTTCACGAATGCTGAAGCGCAAAGAACAGGAACAGCATCCAAAACGCCAGACACCTAAGCAGCAAATCCTGTACCTTTATATAACGCCCCGTCGTGAGCCATTTGCTTGCGTATCTGCCCGTAAAGCCCGTGTCCATGCCGGCAGCGGAATCTTCGATCTGAGGAACCTTATCGGATCCATCTTTGTCCGAAAGCAGCAACGTCGGCTAGAGCAAGACGTCTTGGACCTTCCTAATCCGGCAACTACCACTGCACCCGTGCACCGTAACGCGCTGTCTCGGTTTTGCTCATATCTTGCCGCCAGCAGGGCAGTTTGCAGAGTAGGTGAGGGAACAGAGAAGGGCAGAGGGACGGAAGGACAGAGAGGATGAGGAGGGTGTAGCGGTTGCGGAAGGCGGGGGCGGTTGTAGAGGCGGCAACCACGGCGGGTTTCTGTTCCGGTGATCTTTCAGGGCTATTGCATAGTATCGGACAAAAGCAGAAGTGCCCATTTTGCGGAATTTTGAAACTATTGTCAGCATTGGTAAATTTTTTTTTTCACATCCAAGGTAGACAATGAGTGTTGCGTCATCGGACCAAGACACTAGAGAGCGGCCGAAGAAGACGGCGTATAGAGCGGTGACACGGTTGCCGAAGACACGGACGAAGACTGGGTGCTTCACGTGCCGGAAAAGAAAGAAGAAGTGCGATGAAAAAGGCCCAGTATGTCTCGGGTGTTCACGTAACTTCCTGAAATGCGTGTGGCCGTCGTATGCGACGGAAACGCTGCCGAAGAACTTCACGATTTCGTCGTGCACGGTGGACGACTTCGAGAGCGGCGTTCCGGCTGTTGCAAGCCGGCAGGCAGAAATGGAGACAGGGATCACGGCAGCGGAGACGGCGTCGCCCACGTCACTAGGCGACGACGGCCCTTTTGACGAGGACATTCCGAATATCCCATCGAGCTTGTGTTCGGTGATGGAGGTGCGGTCGTACAAACACAAGGTCTTCTACCCGCACACAACGACGATCCCGGAGTCGATCGATTTTGTCATCGAGTCGATCTCGGGCAGCGGTAGACACAGACGCCGCACCGCCTCTGGCGTCAGTGCCTGCGAGTCGGACTCTACCAGCTCGAGCTCGCAGTTTGTGCCATCGTTGGACGACATCGGTGTCGACCACCACGCAATCTCCCAGATGTTCAGCTCGCTCTACTCGAAGTCCGTGGACAGCGATCTTCCGATCAGCTCGTCGGACTCGGACGAGAACTTCTATGAAGGGTTGCTCAACTACAGCTCGAAGGCGAACATCCCGGCGGTGTCTATCAAAAACCCTGTTATTGCGGCCTTCCGTGAGATTTTCTTTGCTCGTGGCTGTTCCTACTTGGCCAAGAGCAACTTGGATGAAAACCCGGAAGTGTCGGAGAAGTACACTGCTGCTGCGAACAGACACTACGACAATTCCGTCGTGATCATGTCGAACCACGCGGTCTCCTATGGCGCCAAAACGAAAACCTCCACAGGGGTCGAGCATTGGATGGTTTTCTCGATGAGGACGCTGTGCATGGCCGACAGACTCATGGGCTTGATATCGGAAAACTGCATCTCGAACTTGATATCCGTCGAGGGCAGGATATCGTCTGTGGAGGCCAACTCCACACTTGACGGGCTTACGGATTGCGCAGCGAGGAACTTCGACAAGGTTTTATTTTCAGAGGTGTTGTTCTGCTACCCGTTCTTGATCTACTTTTCCAAATTCGACTCGTTGCTAGAGATCGTGCCTCCGGTGAAGCTATTCCAGAACTACAACGAGGAGATGGTTGCCATTTTCTTGGACAGCAGCAGCCAGCCAGCGCCAAACTTGGAAGTCAACGAGGGCTCGTCCGGCTGGCTGAGAAACGTGTTGAATACTGCCGTGATCAATGTTCTTCAGAACTTGACCAAGATGATGTGGCTACTACGTATGAGAAACTCGCTAGAGACAGACCAGCTAAACACGAGTCTCAAGCATCTCAAGACGGACATCTCGTTGATCTGGACGACGATCCAGACTGCCGAAATCCAGCTGGACAAGGAGGACCCGTTTGTCGACTTCGCCAAGCTTTCGCACATGTCGTCGGAGATCTTGTTTCTTGCCGTCAGCGACACCCCAATCAACGCCTCGAGCCCGATCATCGGGTTCTACCTTGACCAGTTCATGGCCAGCTACGAGTCCTACCTGAAAAACTCCAATACCCATGGCGATACGATCGCCAAATGCTTTTTTGTGCTACCTCTCTTTGTTGCCGCATGTGCTGCGCAAACCCTATACCAGAAAGAGTTCATCAGCAAGGAGCTGTACATTCTTTCGCGTGATCTCGGCCACGACTTTGTCGAGCAGTTGATGCTGTCGGTCGAGGATGCGTGGTGTGCTGAACAGAACGGAGATGCCACGACGTTCAGCAAGCTTGTTTCCCGAGACGGGTTTGCGAGCTTGGCAAGGGTTTAATAGAGAGCTCCGTGGCCATCTGCTTTTTTGCTTTTCCCTTTTCCCTTTTCCTGCTCCACACGCAGATCCTTTCATTTCTCTAGGTGTATACTAGCATTTTCGATTTTCTACTTTTTTGGGAGAGATGCAATGTCTCTGAACACTTAATATATTTGCTTCCGGGGTTTCCCTTCATCCTTTTTCCTTTCGCCCTTCTCCCTCTGCCAACCGGGGGAGTGCACAGGTCCTCCTGCGTCTGATACGGGATGCATCGTTGACGTTCTTATCGCCGTGGTAGCTGTCTAACCTTCGGTGCAGGGGAAAGACGATTTTTTTTCGATTTTCTCATTTTCCGACGTTTTTCTATCTATTTTTTTTCTTTTCGAGAATGGCCTGGAGAAGATGAGGATGGCTGGCCTAACGGTTAGATGAGTGGACAGGCCAGGACAGACAGCAACGTGACTGGCGGCACTGCGGGAGCTGCTGTGCTATTCTATCTGACGGTGAGAAAGCTACAGGCTCTGTGTGCTGCAATTGAGAGAAAGACACCCGACAATGGACAGATTCAAGATCCCGGACAGCCCGCCCTTGCCAAAGCAGGAAACAAACGCCCCGGAGACGAGGATTCCTGCGCAGCTCGGTTCGGAGCTAGACCTCGGTGATGACGATGACGATGACGACGAAGGAGACGTGCGTGTGAAGCGGGAGGAGGACGTCGACATGGCGGACGAGCTGCCGCCGGGGCCTGGGCCCGCCACTGTCTTCAGCACGGGCCGGGCGCCGCAGCCGATCAACAACTTCGAGCAGTTTGAGCACACGGACTCGCTGCCGGCGACGCCCGAGGACCTCCCCGGCAGCGGGGCGGGCAGCTGCGCCGTTCCGCAGGACCCCAACTACGTGACGCCGATGATGGACTTCTCGGACCCTGTGCGGCCGCCGCTGGACCTGCTGAACCCGTTTGGCGCCAACAACACGCTCTCGTCGTCGGACCCGATCCCGATCACGCTCAGCGGCAGCGGCAGCAGCCGCCGGCTCTCGGACCTGCAGCAGCAGAAGGTGTCCGAGTACATCGACGACAGGCTGCTGGGCATCCAGCGGGGGTTTGTCAAGTACCTCTCCTCGAAGGAGGAGGCTGACCTCGAGGGCCTTGCGTGGGAGCAGATCGCCGCCCGCATCGACGAGGTCGTCGAGTTCGTCTGGTACGCCCTCTTCCACGTCACCGGCGTGCCTGCCGTCTACCACAGCAACGTCCTTGCGGACGAGTGCATCCGGGCCATCTTCGACTCCCGTTTCCCCGAGATCAAGACCAGGCTCGACGCCTCCATCCGCCCCTGCCAGCACCTCCTCGTCCGGCCCTCCGCCGACGCCCCGCTACCCGCTCTCGCCCTCCCCGCCACCGTCGACACCCCGGCACACGTCTCCTTCCTCATCAAGCTCTCCGGCGACCTCATCGACTACATCGTCAAGTACGACTTCGCCACCTTCACCGACTGGATCGTCCTCCTTCGCCTCGCCGCTAAGCTCGACAACGTCCTGTCCGTCCTCGTCGACTACTCCGCCCTCCCGACAACCCCTACACTTGTCAGCACAACCGACAAGGTCCGTCTGGCCTCCATTGTCCAGCGCACCAAGATCGCCGTTGTCGAGCTCTTCGACCGCTTCGTCCGCCACCTCGACCCAGCCCAGACCGCCCTCCACCAGCCCGCCATCGACCACTTCCAGGGCTATGCCGGCGAGACCTACGAGGGTCTTGTCGACCGTACGTCCGTCTAGCTCCTGCTGTGCATCTTTTCTGTACCTTCTGTACCCTCTGTATCCTCTGTACCCCGGAAACCCTCATCAGTTCCGACCTGACGTCTGGCTTCCGTAGCCTTTACCGCCGATAGCGTGCACCTTCCCGATACGGTAACCCGGGCGGCGGCTCGGGCGAGCCCCGGGATCCGCGCCAGGCTCGTCCCGGGGCCGGCAGCCGGGTATAAAGGGCGGGTGCCCCGCAAGGTGACGGGTTTTAGGGGGTGGAGCGGAGGCGGCTGCGGAGACGGAGTAAAGGCTTCGGACAAGCAGCAGAAGTAGAAAAAGAAGGCTTTTTCTGGTTCCATCTGAAGACAGAGACGATTCGAAGAAGTCGAGTGGAATAATTAGCAGTAGCAGCAACACTAGCACTAGCAAAAGCAAAAGCAGCAGCAAAAGCAACACAAGTCTACATAATACCATGTATCCTCTCGAAGTCGAAGTCAGCATTCCAAACGGAAACACACACAAGCTCCCTACGGGCTTGTTCATCAACAACGAGTTTGTCGCCTCCAGCGACGGCAAGACACAGGAGGTGGAGAACCCGGGGACCGGCGAGACGGTGTGTTCGGTGTACTTGGCCAGCGCCGAGGACATCGACCGGGCGGTGGATGCGGCCGAGGACGCATTCATCAACAAGTGGTCGACCATCTCGGGCAAGAGCAAGGCGGAGTACCTGTACAAGATCGCAGACCTCATTGTGAAGTACTCGGCGGAGCTTGCAGACTTGGAGGCAATTGAGTCGGGCAAGCCGCGGGAAACAAACGCCATCTTCGACGTGTTGCACTCGGCGGACGTGTTCAGATACTACGCCGGCAAGGCGGTTGGGGCCCAGGACGGCAAGACGGTCGAGACGGAGCCGTCCAAGTTCACGTACACGGTGTACGAGCCGTTTGGCGTGTGCGCCGCCGTCATTGCGTGGAACTTCCCAATGAGCACCCTCGCATGGAAGGTGGCGCCATGCTTGGCCGCCGGTAACACCTTTGTGGTCAAGACGTCCGAGTTGACGCCTTTGAGCGCCCTGTTCATGTGCAAGATCTTCAAGGAGGCAGACCTCCCTGCCGGTGTGGTCAACATCACCTGCGGTCTCGGCTCCGTCGCCGGCGTGAAGTTGAGCGAGCACCCTAAGGTGCAGAAGATCTCCTTCACGGGCTCCACCAGTGTCGGCAAGCTGATCCAGCAGAGCGCAGCAAAGTCCAACTTGAAGTACTGCACCTTGGAGTGCGGAGGCAAGTCTCCATTGGTCATCTACGAGGACGCCGACCTCGACCAGGTGGTCAAGTGGGCTGCCTTCGGCATCTTCTTCAACAAGGGCGAGATCTGTACCGCGTCGTCGAGAATCTACGTGCAGGAGAGCATCTACGACAAGTTCTTGACCAAGTTCAAGGACCACGTCGAGGAGGCGTTCGTGCAGGGCGGGCAGTTCACCCCTGGCGTCAACGTCGGGCCAACCGTGTGCAAGGCCCAGCAGGAGAAGATCCTCGGCTTCATCGACTCCGCCAAGAAGGAAGGAGGCAGAATTGTCACCGGTGGTAAGATCCCTCCAACCACCAACAAGAACGGCTACTTCATCGAGCCGACCGTCATTGCCGACTGCAACCAGGAGATGACCGCCGTCAGAGAGGAGATCTTCGGTCCCGTCGTGTGTGTCTCCAAGTTCACCAGCGACGACGAGGCCATCGCCCTCAGCAACGACTCCGACTACGGTTTGGCTGCTTACCTTTTCACAAACGACATCAACAGGTCCCAGAACTACATCAGAAAGGTCCAGAGCGGCCAGGTGTTTGTCAACATCACCTTTGCTGCCGACTTCAGAATGCCCTTCGGCGGCTACAAGATGAGTGGTAACGGCAGAGAATTGGGCGATGAGGGCCTCAAGGCCTTCCAGCAGGTCAAGGCCGTTCACATCAACCTCTCCAACCGTCTCTGAACATGTTTATTGTGTCTAATCTGTCTACTCTCTTTTCTTCCCCCTACCCGAATATATTCCACCCCTATGCCAACTATATAACATGCAGTCCCGATGGGATGTCCGGGATTTCCAAAAACGAGACGATCGGCCCCCCGCAGGCGATTTTGCTTTTCCCCATGCTGGAAAAAAAACGTACGTCCTGCAGCGATTCTTCAGCTTCCTCCAACCGTGTTAACCGTCGGCAAGATGTGACAGGAGCAGACAGAGCGGAAGCTGAAGACCCAAGAGCCATTTCATTCTTGGTGGTAGTGCTGCTACAGTGAGCTCAGGTTGGTGACTTTTAGCCGCTGGCAATTTCCTCTACTCTTGCACCATAGACATCCAGAGGACTCGGAGAAAGAAAGAACGACAACCACGATCTTCCATCTTGCATCTCAAATATATGAACACTGATAGCACACGCCAACACACACAACATGTTCTACTGCAAGGGAAAAATACGATACCCGAATCTTTCTTCTTTGCTGAAGAAAAGTGGTCACCAGCTGCGGTTCAATTATAGTCTGCCACACACGAACATCAACGACGACAACATCGAAGCGGTGGGTAGACAGCTGGACGACCAGCAGATAAACTATGCAAATAAGGTCATCTCCATCATCAAAACACCGGACGAGGTGAAAAACGAGTTGCAAGGATTTGTTCATGCGGATTTCACAAACTTCAAGGAACTGACTGCACCTGGGGTGTCGAACCAGAAAATCTTGTCTCGAAATGTTGAGTACAAGAGCATCAACAAGCTAAACGAGATACTCAGCGACAATCAGGTGAAGAAGGCCTTGGAATTGGTCAAATCGAACTACAAGCAAGGCAACTTCCTCACCTTTGTCGAGTTCCAGAACCTATTCATACAGTTTTTGCCGTTCAACTGGTACGCATACAGGTTGCTGAAACTATACGAGACCAAGTACGACCTCACCTCTGTACATACCAAAGTGCTGGCCCTTGTTTTAAAGATCTCCTACGCTAACTTCGATTTCAAGCTCTTTGACCGGTCGTTCCAATCATTTCAGACGAAGAGTGACAAAATCCCCGTCGACATTTTGATGTCTGCCATCCAGGTGTATTTGAAAACCGAAAACATACAAATTGCAACACAGCTTTTCAACCAGCAGGTTATGACGGAAGAAGATCTACCGCCGAGAATTCTCGATCTCTTCATTTCGAACCTATACAATCAAACAAGAAACATAAACCTCTGTTTCTCTTCCTACCGGCTATGGCTCTCGAAGAAGCTAGACACAAATATATCAATTGATTCGTTCATGTATAACTTGCTGCTCGAATCGGGCAACACAGAAGATATCAGCTGGATCGAAAAGTCTCTGAAAGATCGAAATAGATACGATAAGTTCGTCATCCGTTTTGGCAACTTATGCAATGACTTATCGAAAAACTACAACAGCTACAATACATTCATAAACTCGGAAGAGCTCCTCAAATTCAAAATTCTTGCTGAAAGAGATAATGAGGTCACTTCTTTGTTGAACAACCTAACCTATCTACATTTGCGACATCGGAACTATGAACTAGCACTAGAGACTTTCAAACAAGTCGACAACAGGAAAGATTTCCAGTTGACTATATTCTCAATCTTGAGACATTTCGAAAAGGAGCAAAAGCCAGAAATGATCTACAGCGTCTTGAAGAATTTGAAGGAACAATCCAATTATAGAATACATTGGTCTCAGATTTTAATATACTGGAGATCGGTCATAAAGAAATACCCTCATCTAGGATTCGAACTTCAAAAAAAATTTAAGAAATCTTTGAAACGATCGAAATATCACAGGTTTGGATTTCTATCCAAAATGTTGCTAGTCAATAAGCAATCGAGTAATGGAGCAACCCTTGAGATCAGGTATTACCCCATAGTAAAGTACGACAATCTGGAATTCGATATCAAGCCACTACCTGCTGCTCCTAAGTTACAGAACATTGAATCCAGACTCGTGGCTGGAATCTTACCTAATAGTGAGCTTCTCAGAAAAAGTGTCAAACTCACCAATGATAAATTTGAATTCGATCGATTGGTTGAAATTGCAAACCAGCTTCAATTGAGAACCTCTAAGAATACAGCACAAGTGAAAAATATTAAACTGAACGTTGAGATATTTTACAAGGAATGTTCGTTTGGTACGAAGTTATCAATGAAAGAATTCATCAATGAGCAGCTAAATATCATCGATGATACCAAGTTTGTTGATGATCAAGATCTTTGTGAGTTATTCAAGGTTTGTGTCAAATCCGAATTTTACGAAGAAAGTGTGTTTGTTCTTTCTTTATTGGAAGAATATAAGGTGAAAATCGTTGGTGATCAGCAAATACTGAAATTTCTGTCCATGTTCATTAAATGGTGCTGGATAAACAAGGATTTCAAAGATCTACTAACCATTTTGGAATGGTTGAAAAATCAAACTGAGTTTACCACCGATAAGTACTTCTGGTCGAATTTGAAAAATGCAGCTTCGAAGAATGTATCTCGAATAGAACGGGAGTTCTGCGATATTTCACATTCGAGCTTCACCCAAGATCAAATCGTAGCTTTGGGGGAGGAAAAAACATACATCGAGAAGGTTTTGCCCCACGTGATGAACTATTATGATTACACGTTAGATAAGATCAAAGATAAGAATCTTGAAAGAAGTGACTTGGTTATTGATCATAGCTTTCGTTGCTTCTCGCAAATGATCAAGTGGGTTGACGAGGACACGGAAACGATGTTCGAAGGCGAATGGTGAGGGTGAAATGCGCTTGGTTGCATCAGTGAACCTTTTTTACTAGATATAGAAAAGCATTTATTATTATTTATAGACTTACATGTAAATATACAAACCCATGTGAAACAACACTTTATGATGTCGCTAGGCTGTTCTTCTTTTCTTCTTCTTGTGCCTTGAGGAGTGACTTCTGGAAGGTATTAAGTCGTCACTTGAAAGATCATCACCCGCTGCGTCATCGTTATTGTCATCGTCATCGTCATCTTCATCTTCGTCGTCTAGAATCGCCTTTTTCCTTCCTGATTTGACTGTCTTCAGGAGATCATCATCTACATCATCGTCGTCATCGCTATCGCCACCGTGTACTTCGATATCTTCTTCTTCTTCTGATACGTCGTCGTCGTCGCTCGGCAACAATGCTCGTGAACGTCGTGGATTGATAAGTCCGCCATCAGATTCATCATCAGAAAGGTAGACCGGTTCAGCCGCATTGGCATTCAGTATCACATCCTCATCGCCTGAGGCAAACTTGTCCTCATCAACTATCTCGACGTCTGAAGTATTCACATATTCATTGTCGCCGCTCTCATTATCATCGTCGTTGTCCTCTTCCTCCTTTTCTTCATCATCATCCACCACAAATCCGTCATCACTATCGTATGCATCAACATAGCCAGTTTCGTCGCCATGATGGTGATCCCTTCTCTCATTGTGCGACCGCCTCCTATATGCATCGTTATCCTCCGTCCCGTCGCCGTCTTCTTCGCCGCCGTCGCTTTCTTCGGCCTCATTATCGACTATCCGCCCACGCATATCGTTCAGCCCGTTGTCATAATCTTCCCAGTCGTCGGAATCTGAATGAAGAGCACGGTCTCGACGCGGTCCCCGACCAAACTCATCTTCATCCTCCTCGTCATCGTCGTCGTCATCCAACTCATCGCCATCGGTCCTATCCTGCCATCCGACCATTGTCCTACCGCAGTTCTCACAATGGCCATCAACTAGTTCCCAATGGCACGCCGAGCATCGCGGGACACCATCCTCAGTGTCGACAACTGCTCTGCCCCAGTTGGAGGCTATCTTCTTCAGCCAGGGGAAGTCATTTGCCTTATCGACGGAGAACTCCTCATTTTTCTCCTTTTCCCATGACTCGAGTTTTTTCTTATACGATTTGTAATCCTTCAGGTGCAGTTCTTTTGCCGTTTGGGACAGATCGTCGATCAACGCCACAATAATATTCTTCACAGAATGGTTCAGTATGGGTTTTGTTTCCCCAATAATTGAGCGGCAAATCGGACACGAAGGGTTGCATTGGAACCAGTGCTTTATACACGAGTAGCAGAAGGTGTGACCACAAGTTGGTAAGAGGTAAGGCTGTGTTGGTACATCTTGGCAAATGGGACAACAAAGCTGGATTGACAAGTTGTTTAGAATCGTGTGGAACTGGAAAACCAACTCAGATCTGCCGGCTGAGTCCAGATCATTGCCTGAAAATTCGGGGAAGGAGAGGAGCCCCTGAAAGGTATTCGGCATGGTTGACTAGAGTGAAGGCTCGTGGATACTGCTGCACTTGATTGAGAGTAGCAGATTCGTCGTCAGTTGTGGCAAAAGAGCTAAAGTGCAGGGCGTATGCGATAAGAGTATACACGAAAAAAAACAATCAATTATTCATGTCCTCTGCATTTACTATGTAATGGGGGGAAAGTGGGTAAATAATAATTAAGATGAAACAGGAAGGCGTTTGCACGTGACTCGCGACAGCTATTTCTGTCGTGAGGATCAGGGGTGGTCAACCTTACTGTGTTAATTTAATCCAATAGCTAATCAGCGAGTCAGGCGGTAACTCAACGCCTGGTTTTCCCTACCATCGTGTGCTTCTCTTAGATGGATATGGTTTTGGAAAGGGAATCACCGAACAAAGTGATAATCGAGGACAGAACTTCTACAATGCAGAATACCACAACGTACAAATTCTCACCACAAGGGAGGACTCTGGGCGAAACAGCGATTACGTAAGCGTGCTTACCTAAGGCACGTCTATCTTCGGGGATACGCCGAGCAAATCGGAAGAGAGGCCGATGCAGTTCTGCCGACCTTGTCTGCCGGAGAAACCGTCTTCCGGCAGGGTGGTTGAGTTGCTATTAGTAATGCACGGGCGATAGAATGGTTGCCGTGTGCAGGGAGGACAAGGCAGGGCTGCGTGGGCGGCCCGGAACAACATGCGCCCGTGTGCAACGGTGTATTTGCCCAGACGGTGTGTAGCCGGTGCAGTGCCGCCGGTGCTGGCCGTAATGGGGACATAAGTCCGTCGTGCGAGTGTGGAGAAGAGGCACGGATGCGGCAGGGAACAGCCAGTCGGAGGCGTACTAGTTGCGAGGCTGGCGGAGGGCTAGCGTGCAGGTGTGCGGGTGGACCAGCTACACTGCTTCGCTGCACAGCCGGATGCCGTCGTCTAATGGGGCCAGATGGGCACGCCGATGCATTTCTGCTGCTGTCTGGGCGCAAAACGGAGCCAGCGGGCAAGCGGGCGAGAGACCCAGGCGTAGCGGCAGCAGCAGCGGGTACCGCAGGCAGGGCGCTGGGCTGCCAGATAGCGCCGGCAAGCAGCCAACCAGCGAAGGCCTGTGTCACGACCGGTGCCTGAAAGCGCCCGATGAGCGACCCAGCGGTGTCCCGATCCGTGCGACAAATAAAAACGGTTGGCTAGTCGGCTGGGCTGGTGCGGTGGTGGGGGAGGGCAGGGCAGAGAGGCGAACCCGGGGGATCGGAGCGACGGTTGCCATTACAGGGACGCATCCGATTCAACGGAAGCAAGATAGCCACCGGCGCCGACGGCCTGGCCTGAGACGTGTTGCCGAGAGGGGTTCTCGACTGTAGCGGTGTAGCGGTGTAGCGACGCTATTGCGGTGCTATTGCGGTGCTATAGCGCGGTGTGCGGGTGCTGCCGCTATGCCCGTGGAGATAGACGATACGCTGTGTTGCAGCAGCACAATTACACTGCTGGAAGCGTGCTAATGGCCGGCGCGGGGCTGCGTGCCCGTGGGCGGCGATGGCAGACCCGCCGTGGCCGCCGCAGCCGGCGCAGCGTGCGTTGTCAGGCGTGGGCAGCCAATTTTCCAGCTTGTTTACAGCGGCGGCCGCATTGGGCAGCGGTCCCCGCGACAACGGGGCTTATTCTGATTGGCTGCGGGCCCGTTCCGGGTGTTTTGCAGCCGGGCTGTTCCGCCGTGCGTGAATGTTGACAGTTTGCTTGTTCGGGAAGGCGCGAGTGACGTATTTGCGTGGTTTTACCCTCTGGGGCAGCCCGATCGGGGCAAAATTGGGCGCGAGTGGGTGTTCTGTAGCGAGGGGCCGGCCTGCGGCAGGCTGCGGCTGGCGGGGAGGAGAGGCAGCCGGGGCAGTAGTTGCCAGGTAGGGAAGCGAGATGCAAACAAACAGTACAGCGGAGCAGCGCTGGGGGCCGGTGGGCGGGAGAGAAAGAAGGCGGCAGAAGGGCCGAGATTAGTCGCCGGTGTCGAAACGGGGGAAATGGACGGTGGGCGGTATAAAGCTCAGCTAGTTGGCGAAGTTACTTAACAACGACCGCTTTTCCTGGTATGTGCTGCTTTCTTGCACCTGTCCAGCTCCCTCTTCTTTTTCTTCTTCTTCTTCCCGTCCCCCTCCTTCTTCTTCTTTCCTTCAGAACCTCTCTCTTTCCCTCTTCCCCCTCTTTTTGATTGTTCCTCCTTTCGGCAGTCTCTTTTATTAAGTATCAGATACCCCGTCACTCAAACAAACTACCCCCCTTCTTGCTAACCCAATTTAATACTCTAATTTGCTTTGTTAAGAAATTAGGAAAAAAATAGCAGCGGATACATCCTTGAGAAAAAGAAAAGAAGAAACGTCCCTTTTTGTATTTTTTCAAAGATTTTGGTCCCGTTTTTTTTCGTCTCTTAATATTCATATTATTATTTACTTTCATTCGTTCCCACAACAACACACCACGCATAGTTTATTTGTTTGACTAGAAGTGCCTTTCTAAAAAAGATGTCTGAAAAAGAAGTCCACGAGCCCGTCGAGGAAAAAGCTCCACAAGTCCCAGTCGACGCTGCGGAAGAAGAAGACGATGACGAAGACATCGACCAATTGGTTATGGAATTACAGTCCAACCACAACATTGGCGGTGAGGATGGTGAAGACGAGGACGACGACGAGGAAGAAGAACACCACTCGTCTTCCTACAAGGAAGTCCCAGACGAGTACTTGCACACCGACCCTGTCAGCGGTTTGACTGCTTCCGAAGTCTCCAAGAGAAAGAAGAAGTTTGGTTTGAACCAGATGGCCGAGGAGAAGGAAAACCTCGTCCTGAAGTTCTGTATGTTCTTTATCGGTCCAATTCAATTCGTCATGGAAGCCGCTGCCATCTTGGCCTGTGGTTTGGAAGATTGGGTTGATTTCGGTGTCATTTGTGGTTTGTTGATGCTTAACGCTTCTGTTGGTTTCATCCAAGAATACCAAGCCGGTTCTATTGTCGACGAGTTGAAGAAGACCTTGGCCAACTCCGCCACCGTCATTAGAGATGGTCAACCAACCGAAGTCCCAGCTAACGAGGTTGTTCCAGGAGACATCTTAAAGTTGGAGGACGGTACCGTCATTCCAGCCGATGGTAAGCTTGTTTCCGAAGAATGTTTCCTTCAAGTCGATCAATCCGCTATTACTGGTGAGTCTTTGGCTGTCGACAAGCACTTCAACGACCCAACTTTCTCCTCCTCTACTGTTAAGAGAGGTGAAGGTTTCATGATTGTCACTGCTACCGGTGACAACACCTTCGTCGGTAGAGCTGCTGCTTTGGTCAACAAGGCTTCTGGTGGCCAAGGTCATTTCACTGAAGTTTTGAACGGTATCGGTACTTTATTGTTGGTTTTCGTCATCATCACCTTGTTATTGGTCTGGTGTGCTTGTTTCTACAGATCTGACCCAATTGTCAGAATCTTGAGATACTCCTTGGCCATCACCATTGTTGGTGTCCCAGTCGGTTTGCCAGCTGTTGTTACCACCACCATGGCTGTCGGTGCTGCTTACTTGGCTAAGAAGCAAGCTATTGTCCAAAAGTTGTCTGCTATTGAATCTTTGGCTGGTGTCGAAATCTTGTGTTCCGATAAGACTGGTACTTTGACCAAGAACAAGTTGTCCTTGCACGAACCATACACTGTTGCTGGCGTTGAACCAGATGACTTGATGTTGACTGCTTGTTTGGCTGCTTCCAGAAAGAGAAAGGGTTTAGATGCTATTGACAAGGCTTTCTTGAAGTCTTTGATCAACTATCCAAAGGCTAGAGCTGCTATGAAGGAATACAAGACTTTAGAATTCCAACCTTTCGACCCTGTTTCCAAGAAGGTTACTGCCATCGTTGAATCCCCAGAAGGTGAAAAGATCATCTGTGTTAAGGGTGCACCATTGTTCGTTTTGAAGACTGTCGCTGAAGACCACCCAATTCCAGAAGATATCTTGGAAGCTTACCAAAACAAGGTTGAGGAATTTGCTTCCAGAGGTTTCAGATCTTTGGGTGTTGCTAGAAAGAGAGGTGAAGGTCACTGGGAAATTCTGGGTATCATGCCATGTATGGACCCTCCAAGAGATGACACTGCTGCTACCGTTGCTGAAGCTAGAAGACTTGGTTTGAGAGTTAAGATGTTAACTGGTGATGCCGTTGGTATTGCTAAGGAAACTTGTAGACAATTAGGTCTTGGTGATCAAATTTTCGATGCTGAGAGATTAGGTCTTGGTGGCGGTGGTGACATGGCTGGTTCCGAATTATACGATTTCGTTGAGAACGCTGATGGTTTCGCTGAGGTTTTCCCACAACACAAGTATAACGTTGTTGAAATTTTGCAAGAAAGAGGCTACTTGGTTGCTATGACTGGTGATGGTGTCAATGATGCTCCATCTTTAAAGAAGGCTGATACTGGTATTGCCGTCGAAGGTGCTTCCGATGCCGCAAGATCTGCTGCTGATATTGTTTTCCTTGCTCCTGGTTTATCTGCTATCATTGATGCTTTGAAGACTTCCAGACAAATTTTCCACAGAATGTACTCCTACGTTGTCTACCGTATTGCTTTGTCCTTGCATTTGGAAATCTTCCTTGGTTTATGGATTGCTATCTTGGATGAATCATTGAACATTGACTTGGTTGTTTTCATTGCTATTTTCGCTGATGTTGCTACCTTGGCCATTGCTTACGATAACGCTCCATTTGCTCAAAAGCCAGTCAAGTGGAACTTGCCAAGATTATGGGGTATGTCCATTGTTCTTGGTATCTTCTTAGCTATCGGTACCTGGATTACCTTGACCACCATGTTCTTGCCAAAGGGTGGTATCATCCAAAACTTCGGTTCTATTGATGGTGTTATTTTCTTGCAAATTTCTTTGACTGAAAACTGGTTGATTTTCATTACAAGAGCTGTTGGTCCTTTCTGGTCTTCTATTCCATCTTGGCAATTATCCGGTGCTGTCTTCATTGTTGACATCATCGCTACTTGTTTCACCCTTTTCGGTTGGTGGTCCCAGAACTGGAACGACATTGTTACTGTCGTTAGAGTCTGGATCTGGTCTTTCGGTACCTTCTGTGTCTTGGGTGGTGCTTACTACTCCATGTCTGAATCCGAAAAGTTCGACAGATTGATGAACGGTAAGCCAATGAAGCAAAAGGAAAGCAACAGATCATTCGAAGATTTCGTTGCTGCTATGAAGAGAGTCTCCACTCAACACGAAAAGTCAACTTAAGGGTGATAGACATTGTAAATAATAAAAAGATTGAAAGAAATAAAAATCAAAGAGGATAATCTACACACTCAACTCTTCTCTAATTCCCAAAATCAAAAACATTAATTTTTAATAAAAAATAACAATATCTAATTACTCTATCCATTACACTAATCTTTAATTTTTAACAACTCTTTTCACATTTTAATTTTTTAACTTTGACTTTTGAAGCCTTTTTTCATTCGAATAATAGTAATAATTACGTTGTATTATTCCCTAATAAAATTCTATTTAATAAATAAATAATCACTTTAATACTTAACTAAATATTTTAAGGACTTGATGGTATTTTTCATTTTTTCCCCGACACACTAATCTATTTACATGTGCATGGAAAAGAGCTACTATATCCAATTATTTGTTGAACTTGGCGTAAAAATCCTCACGCTCTCTCCTAAGCTCTTTCGTGTAGTTCATGTATTTCTCCTTATCTCTGATTTCGTCCACACTGTGGAAAGCGTTGCTGAACACCTTGTCCACCTTCCGGGACGCAACCTTCATCTCGTCAACAGTTTCAAGCGTTGCGTAGTCAAATGTGAGGAAAGCTTTCTTTTGTATCTCTGTGCAGGCCATGAAAAAGTCGGCCAGCTTTGTGCATTCATCACTGTCAAGTCTTGCAACCGCAGTAACACGTTCCCAGATTTTCTGTCTCCCTAAGCAGTCATAGAATGCATGCTGGATTTCCGAGCAATTTGTTAGCACAACTTCCTTTTCGTCGTTCTCACGACGATATTTATCAAACTCAAAGTTTTGGTACTCTTTTGGCTTCTTCATGCTGTTTGCAGTTGAGATAACTGTAGGAAGTTTCGGTATTTCCACCTGTGCTTGTGCCGCTGTTTCTCCTGCGGACAACTCTGTTCCAGCCTGCGGACCCTTCGCCTGTATCATACTCAAGAAATCATTTTCTTCTCCCGTGACCCCATTGCTACTTTCAACAGCCTGCTTGGAAGCTTCCGCATTGGCAGATTGTCTTCGTAACAAGGCCTTGAATTCACGATTGCTCAACTGCGATTCTCTCGTTTCTAGATATTGAGCTAGATCTTCTGAAATTATATTATCGCTATTATCACCACCACCAGTCGTAGAGGCTGCTGGTGCTTGACGCTGATCTGAATAGCTGCTTCCTTTTGAAGACCCCCAAAATAATCCCATAATGGTGTTACTTCCACTTTTGTACGCTGATGTCCCCACTGTATCTAGTCTTTAAACTCAAGCGTCTAGTGCACTAAGCAAAGGCCAGCATTAAGCTAGGTGAAGTGATTTACATGTTCATGATTCAGAAAAAATACAATATGTATTACATAATCAAAACTAAATGGCTTCCAAAATTCTTTGAAAGGCTTCTGTACTCTTCCTTTCTATAATCTCTCTCTGCGTCGTTTCTGCGTCCTCGGGCAAACCCAACCAATCCATAGGTTCCTTTTCCGGTAAGTTCTTGATCCATTCGACATAATCCATTGTATTGTAACCTTCAGGTGCCGAGAGTTTGTCACTTCCGCCGAACTCTAATATATTGAAGTGTGAGCCCAACATACCACTTCGGAATAGCGCAAATCCGCATCTCTGCAACGCCTGCAAGTCACCATGGTCGTCAAACTTACCACCAAAAATCAGAGAAGAGATCATTTTTCCGACTGTTTCAAGCATTTCTGCACTTACTTCAAATTCGACCTCATCGGTTTCGTATTTGGAAATGATGAATTTACCAATAAATTTTTCGGCGTTACGTAGATCTGATTGACTGATTTCGTATCTTTTGGTAAACCCACCTTTGCTAAATCGTAGCCGTGATAAAAGTAAAGAGAAAAACCAAACAAGGACCAAGTAAAGTTTTTTAAGTTCTTTGGGCTTGATGTTGTTGAGCTTGTGTAGGCTTAAAGGACTGGTATCATTGAGCAACTGGTCTATCATGTTCTTCTTCAATCCTTGCTCATTTTCAATAACAATTTGCTTGCACGATTTCAGAAGCAAAGGAGGTAGCTTGGATTCAATTTTGCTAGTTAATATCAATTTGAACTTTTCTTCTTTTGCTATATCACCGCTTTTAAGTATGGAAATAGTTTCGTTAATAAGCTCCAAAAATTCACTTGACATTTCGATATTTTCAATGACAAGCCAAGTCTTGGATCCTTTCAACTCCATGATCATCCTGCTAGCAACATCACAGTCGTCACTCGATCCCATTGCATATTTAACGAGCTCAACATTTTCCCCCAAAGATATCTCTTTGATTCTAATGGTAGCGTCGTTACCTTTGGTAGATCTCAGCAGTATGATCTGATTTTTTCTGACATTTTCACTCAAACTCATATCCTCATAATTTGCTACACCAACAAAATGATCCAATAATCTTTTTAAAATTCCCTTATCTTTCTCCAATATGGAACTAGATGTTTCTCGGTAAGTGCGCTGGGAAAACTCAGTTATTATTGTTTCAACAGTTGAAGATAATTTGAACTCAAGGGACCCACGTAATATTTTCTTCAACTCGTCTTTTGGATAAACATAGTTTTTGTTAACAGCAACTAGCTTGTCAAAGACTGTTGTTAGTTTAGCATACAATTCTCCCAATGCTCTGAATTCATTCCGAATTGTATTATAGCTATGTATCATTGAAGCAGACTCTATCATTTGAGTCTCCAACACCTTAGTTTCCTGCTTGAGAGTCTCCAATTTTGATAACAATTTATCATCATCTAAAATATTATCCTCACTTGAATTGAGTAATTCTAACAACTCCTTTTCGTACTTTTTCAGCTGTTCCTTACATTCAGTGTTCTTTTTTGTTAACAATAATCTCTTAGCCTCAACCTCAGGATCTCTCACTTCCAAAGTCAAGTTAAGTGCTTCATTTATCATTGTTTCAGAAGTAAATGAGTAGTTGAGTATGTTCATTCGGCTTGAAATAAAAGGTGATACCTCTAATGTCGAATCTCTTGTATGAATATACAACTCAAAATCAGGAGACAGATCAACGTCCCGGTCCCCGATTTTGACCACCGTTCTACCAGCACCCATAACACGAACATCTTTGGCAATAAGTCTATTGATAACGGGGTCAAAATACTCACCATCGCAAAGCAAAATAGTACCGCCAAATTTTGCACAATTTTCAAGTTTCTTTTTGAAATTAGGATCCAAAAAACTCGTTATCACTAATTGCTTAGGTTCCGTCAATCGAATCAAAAAAGGTATCAACAACTCTGAAGGATCAATAATAAAAGAAAAACGATTGTCAAAGGGGGAAGCCAAAATGGCGGTGTTATCTATAAACTGTTCATCATTTGGGAGACCGTAGTTTTGCCATTCGATGACATTATCTGCTGGGAAAATGTAAGTTGTTAAAAGTTGACCCTCTTCAGTGCTAAATGGGATTTGTTTTTCACTGAGTAGCGACTTCCATGCATCAAGTAGTTTCGTTCTAAATGTTGGTGCCAAAAAACCACAATAAGTAGTGAAAGCTGAAACTAAGATGATATTACCAACCATGGTCTCTTTTTGTTGCTGATAATCTAAAACATTAGCTTCCCATCTTTGACGCTCACTACCCAAACTAGATAGTAGCTTCACACTCCGATCAAGTTTTTGCCTGACATTTTCCATTTCAATTCGAATATTTTCTTTGACACGGATTGTCTCACTGTATTGTATCTTGTATTTCTCAACTTCGTCTTGTAAATCCTTTACCAAGCTATTTATTGCAATCAGTTTTGCTTTGGTGTCTACCAACTTCCCCTCAAGCTTTTCAAGCTCATTTTTTAGAGGACTAAATTTCACAACAATAGCAGAGAACTTTAGTTGTGCCTTTATCCACATAAAAAGAGGACCACACGCTTTACTAGCCCTGTTAGCGGACTCATAGTTGAAGTTATTTTTGGACAAGTAATGGTTTTCCATGTATAAAAGAATTTCAGAAGTCAATTGCTCGTCTCCTTTGAAATTAATTATACTGGCGATAAAGTCATCTTGTCTAATAACGTGCTGAACATCTCTCCAGTTTTGGACGTTGTAACCCAGCATGAAGCAAATAGATTCCAGGACAAGTTTTATTGTCTCTGGAGGGTTGTGCATCGATCGCAATTCAGTCAAATGCTGCTTTTTTATATCTAAAACTCCTTTTTGGGCTTCTTCAATCAAATCCTGAACTTCATTCAACTCTTTCATAACAACTTCTCTCCTTTTGATAATCTCTTTTTCTTGATCGGCAAACAACTGTTGCATCTTCATCGACATGTCTTGTTTTCTTTCTGACTCATTTTGATCAGTAATCATTTTGTTAAGAAGCTCCCTTGCTTTATCATCTTCGATTCTTAGCTTTTCTTCCTTTTCTGCCATAATGACTCCAAGGCGCTTAACTTTAAGGAATGCTTCTTTTAAGTGTGTTAAGCCCTTATTAACGTGGGAGTTCATCTCTTGCAAAGTGCTTTCTTTTTGAGTATATATGGAAGAGAATGTCTTCAAAAAGTTTAAAAAATGTGAGGGAGTGATATGGCCACTTAATTCTCCAACATGAGTGTGAATTAAAACTAGAAGACTTGTGACTACCTTTCTCAAACCAGTAAACGTTCCCTTTGTTTCCTCAATCTTATACTCAGAATTGTCAAGTGGAATACCTTTGGTTACTTCTCTAGAAACGGTTTCCAAAGAAGTTTTAGACCAATTGCCCATCCAATTTAAAACACAACGGTTATAGAGTGCAGGTGATGAAATAAATGGATTTGTTTCATCATTATCATTCATTGTGAAGATTACATGAAAGTTGCTAGCAATACGCTGAACGAACCATTGGTATACTTCCTCCGACGAATCTAGTACTAAACCTTCATTTCTAGAAGCAGATAAACATGAACTAATCAAATTTTCATACTCTTCCCCATCAAAAAGCCCAGGAACCTCCGCATTGGCTAACAATGTATTCATCTTTTCTAAGAACGAGTCGTCTAGAATTGTGGATTCGTCTATAATAAAACATATTTTTTCACCTCTAACAGCTGCTCGAAATAATAGCCCTTTCAAAATTTCATCAAAATCCCTTAAACTAAAATGCTTGGAAACGTTTAGCTGGACAGGGTGGATCCCATTCATCCAGGACACAAATTTTGTAAGCGTGGTTTTACCACTGCCACTTGGGCCGACTAGAATCATATGGCCTTGGACGTGTTTCAAAACTCGGTCAATTCTTAAAATATGATCTAATAAATCCTCATATAAAACAATATCAACCCATGATTCCTCTTCATTGAACACATTGAATCTTCCCCTAAGAAACGTCTCGAGTTGTTTCTTATCAACTGACTGGTAATCATAGCTGAGCCAGTCGGAAAAAAGAATGGGCTGTGATAAAGCTTTTGAAAGATTGGTATGCGGAAAATGAGTTTTTGCGATATCGACCATTGTATCAAAAAACCAACTTTTTTCATTTATCAAAACCAGTCTATCTGAGAATAATCTTAGAGCTTCATACGCCCAAAGCCGAATCAAATTCTCTAAACTGCATGAAATCAGCGGTTTCAAAGCAATATAAACACCTTTTACCCACCGAGTAAGTTCACGAGGGGAGCATAAATAATGAGGTCTTAATGAATCTTTAAAGTGCGTTTGATATCTCACATAAGTCTCAATTAATGATTTGGAAAAAGAATCCGAATATTTGGTGAGATCAGGAATTGTTTTCAAAATAGATTTTGAGTAAACACCGTAAATTCTTCCCAAAGACTCAAGAGAGGGATAATCCACCATAATAGTTGTACAAAAATTGGTGAATCGATCAGTCATGGAGTTTCTGCCAGAAGTTGAAATCGGATTACAAGCCCCAACAAACTGTATATTTTCAATAGTCACCCAAACCCGAGTTTTTGGGTGCCAAAATCCATTTTCTGTCACCAATTGCCTCAAAAACTGGATCACTTGTTGAGTTCCGTACACATCTGATTTCGGCAAGTTCAATTCATCACAAAATAGTATTATCCACTTGCCCGGGATTTTTGGACCCAGAGTTATATTGTTGACATTTTTTTTATACTCACATGATTGTTCTAAGGCTTTCAGTACTGAATCGACTGTAGTTTCTTTAGAGAAGTTCATTCCAACAAGCTCAAATCCAACGGACCTTCTTATGCACGAAAGCAAAAGCATGGTTTTACCAGATCCAGGAGGGCCACACAATATCAAAGACTTGTGCTGATCTAAAGTCGAAAATATCAATTTTTCATAAATACACGTGTCGACAGTTGAAATTACATTCCCAGGCCCAAGTATTCTATCAGGTTGAATATCAACTTCTTGCAGCTCACTGTTATAATTTTCAAGATCGCCCCCCGGAAGACACACATGAGCGTGAAGTAGATCTTTCGCATCGGAAACAGGCACAACATGATGGAAGTTGGGTATTTCCAAAAGCTCTTTAGCAAAAGCTTCTCTATCATCATACGTTAGCTCACTAGCAAATGACCATATAAGAATCTGAACGGTTTCTTTTTTGAAAAAAGCGTCAAAATTGTTACGTGCAATATGTGGATGTATTTCAATAAAGTCCAAAAGCCTTTTTAATGTTTGCTTCATGAAATTGACAAGACTGGAAATTATCTTGAAGTCACTAACATGCATAACGTATGTAAATGCTTTGGATAGTTTCGAAAGATGTTCAAGGGAAGAACTATCCACCAGATCAAACATTATATTAACGAAACTTTCTCTAAAATCATGGGTCGTGAGGTTGTGAGATATCAAAGTCTTGTCATAAGCATCATCATCATTTCTGACTTTATTTTTCTTGAAGTTAACTAGCGCCTCTCTGAATATATCACAGATTGCGAAGTGAGGTTTGTTGAATAAGACTATTCCACATCTGCTTACAGTTGCTGGAGTGGCATGTTTTAAGCTATCAGTTTCAAAAACAATTCGCATATTTTCAGGTAAAGTAATTCGTTCTCCATTTGGGAGGGTGAGTAAGCGGTTATCATCCAAGACGCTATTCAAATTCTCCACCCAGTTTGGATCAATATTACAGTCGAATATTATCCAGATCCTTTTATTGATTTTATTATTATTGCTTGCTTGCCTTAAAATGGCAGTAACAATTCCGTCCTTCCATTCTCTAGTGGCGTAGTCTAACTCCCCAAAGATGGAATGTTTATTCAGAACATTGGCATCTATTCTATAACATTCGTTTTGCACCGTACTGTATCTTGATAATGCTTCCAAAAAACAAGAAAAGGACACTGTTTTTCCCATGCACGAGGAGCCAACAAGTATGAGCCCATGATTTATCTTCTGAATTTCATAAATTTGCATACATTTGAGCAGCCAACTTTTAGTTGCAGTATAGCCTTTCAGTTTTGCCGTTTCTGACAAAATAGTCTTAAAGTCTTCATAGTCATTTGATGGTTTGTAGGGTAAATTAAACTTTGAAATTTCAGCTGAAAATATCTGTTCATCATCGGGCAATAATCTAGGAAGAATAACATCATAGCAGCTTCTTTGTAAAACCTGTAGTTCGGAGTTGTATTCATTGTTAGAAGGCATACTGCGATTCATTTTGCCGGCATGGACGATTACGGATTTCAAACTTCGTAATCCAAAATCATAATGTCTTTGCACTGAACAAGAATTTTTCATGTTGTCAAAGAGTTGGACAAGAGTAACAGCCAAAGAACTTGCGTTTGTAAATCCTTTGGTTGCTAGAATAACTTTTGCAATGGTTTCAGAATCAGGCACCATTAAGCTAAAAGAAAGGAACTTACTTGTGATATTATCAGGTAAAGTGGATCTTCCTTCATAATTTGGATTATTTGTGATAAACAGGCCGGTGTTTTTGTTAATCACAAAAGACTTTGCAAGTAATTCCACTTTGCGACTGGAAGTGGATAAAGCATTTTGAATTTTCTCTATCTTTGTTGAAATACCAGAAAGTATATTTTCTTCAAGTCTGTTGAATTCATCAAAACAACCCCAACCACCCACTTGGCTTATGCCCATAATAATACGGCTCACTGATTCTACATCGAAAGTTTCATCACAGCAAAAAACAAAAACTGGGCGTCCAAGACTATGACCTAAAGCTTTGACTGACTCCGTTTTTCCAGTTCCAGCAGGCCCTAAAAGTAACCCACCAAGATTTTGGTCTAAGGCTTCGCTTAACAAGGCAAAAGTGGAAGTTAGCAAAGGAGTGTAAGCAAGTTTCCTGATGGCACCTAAATACTCATAACTATAAGTTGCAACATAGTTTCCGTGTATAATTTGAACATTTCTTGTTTTATTGGTAAAATCTTCTCCTAAATAAAATCTCTGTTCGCAGAACAAAACAAAACTATCTGAAGAAGAGTTTTCTTCCTTCAAACTATTAATAATGTCTTGCTTGTGCATCAGTTCAATTATCAAATTCTCAATTTTAACTCTTGACAAGGATGAAACATCACTAGTAATCACATTGGTAAGACCTTTAATGAGCCGCTCCAACTCATCAATCGGGGAGGAGAATTCACCAAAGGATGATGCTTTTTCAATAATTTTTGTCCAGTAAATTTGAAAAGCCAATATAAATATTTGACTTGGATACAAACTTAAAAGTTCAAGTACTTTTGCCAGTTCTAAATTGTAAGCCAACCTATTCAGTTCTTCAACTAGTACGATCAATAATCCCGACAAAGTTGATTTTATACTTAGATCTAGGCTTGTCAACCAATCAATCAGCCCTGCACTATTAAACGAAACTGGATTTTTGAGTATGACCTCTTCACCTTCCGCAGATATAACGGATTTGATTAGCATCAAGGTTTTGTCGTAGTTCAGCAGCGAGATTCCTGGAAATAGTTTTTTTATATGTTTTGAGATCACCAAGGAGTCTGTAGAATTTCCAAGCAGCTCTAACAAATCATCATTTCCCATGAAATAGAACCGTGGAAACATTTCTCTTTGCTTCTCTAAATATCCAACGAGTGAGATTCGAATCTTTGATAATGAATCGGATAATCTTTGTATATTTTTTAAAATGTCAGGGATATCTGTGATGTCAAGCGCTACAGAGGCCGATAAAACACTGGATGTTAAATGATTGAATTCGAATGAGATGTTCTCAAATTTTGATAAATCTCTAGGAATCAACTTTCCTATTTGTTCTTTGTTTTCAAAAATTCCCAGAAGATATACCCACTGCTTCTGTGCCTCATGCCAGATATTAATAATTTGTGACAATAAAGCTAGCCTACTTTCAAAATTTTTAACACGATGAGCAAAAGTAGAATAGTAAGGAGACACTTTTACTGACTCTAGAATATTGATGTCATCTTCTATGTTGGAGAGCAAACCACTCCAGCCTGATATCAATTTTATATGAGGCCTCATTTGATATACCTCAAATTTGTAGGTAGCCCATGATTGCTCTATCCCATTGATAGTGACTTCCAACACTGCTTCGGATTCAGCTTTGGTTATTATAGATTTGATATACTTTTCGTTCTTGGAAAGATCCAAATCTAAAACATCGCCTAAACAGAAAACTTCTGGCACTTTTTTTAATTTGATATGCTCAAAGATTTCAATCCAGTGTGATGCTTTGATAACATCATTCTGTAGTGATCTGATGATTGGAATACATTTGAGCGCTTCTTTTATTTTCATTTGAGCGCTTTCAAACGCCGGATAAGAGCGAATATTAACAGGTAGTGTTCTGGATAATGATAATGAATCCTCCAACGTAGATTTAACTTCATTAATACTGCATGAAAACCACTCCACCGTTTTGATACTATCCAAAGCGTTGTAAAGTTTCATAATGTAGCTCCATATATACTGTAAGTGCTTGATTTCTTCAAATTCTCTACTCAAATCAATGTCTATAGATAACCCAACCATAATACATGCTTTATGCAACTTCTGGTATGACATTTCTATCACATTGAAAGAATTCTCAAAGTTTTGTAGTATCATTATAGCATTTTGAACCGAAGATTTTTGATCCGGCTTTTGTTTCTGCCATTTGGTTTTTGTGGCTAATGTGATTTTTATTATATTTTGTATCTCTTCTTTCAACACTGCTTGAACTATATCACTATGTGAGTTTAAATATTCTAGGTTTCTCAGGTCTAATGCTTTCAGTCCTTCAATATCATCACTTATCTGGCTGAAAAAAATCCAATCTGAAGTAAACTTATATCTGTATTTTCTGAGTATACTCTGCCCCTTTTCCAAACTGTTAAAAACAGCAAGCTTCGAATTCAAATAATGTTTATTAGTGACCAAAGATGATAGAACTGAAATAGTTGAAATTGGATTACTCAAATCAAATATCTGACTTTCGGACTCCACTTTGACTTTTCGTAATTCTTGTGCCTCTATCTGCAATTGCGATTTCAAGACCAATCCGTAAGACTCAAGAAGTGATCTCTGGCACGAATCGAACTTAGAATATATCCTGTTTTGCGCTTGTTGGTAGTCAACCTTAATAAGACCAAATGCTTTTGAGCTTTCTGGGGTGTCAAAAACCTCTCTCATTTCTCTGAATTTTGTTAAAATCTGTAGCCACAACTCTAAGTCTTGACTAGCTGTGAATTTGAGCTTCAAATCTTCATTATCCCATAAAAACTGCAATGATTTCCATTTTGCAAAAAAGCTCTCACATTCACCGATCTTGCTCTGAACTATCTCAAAACATCTTTTATAGGAGGCTTGAAGCTCGTAGCCATCAAATTTGAATTTTCTGTCAATTGTTTCTTTATCATAAGTAGGTGCAAACAAAGGTTTTTGCGTTTTCACCGACAAAATCAAAGAGTTCAAGTACTCCAGAAAATATTGCTTGGATGCTTGAATTTCAGGACTAAGACTTATGGATAAATCATGAACAACAATTTTATGGGTCCTAACATCATGAAAAATTTGCGCTTCTTCAAGTGTCCACTGACTATGAAATCTCTCCATTTCAAGTTTGCATTTTTTGGCGAGTATCTGTTCTAACTTGCCGTTAACAAAATCAATAAAACCAACTTTGTTGGGTGATTTTTGATCAACAAGTTTTTCAATTAACTTCTGAAAGTTTGCAATATTCTCCGAAAGAATACGTGAATCAAATACACAATGTTCTATCTTTTGTAGATGTGAATAGTATTCCTCTTTCATTTCCAATATCTTGTATAAGTCATCAGATAAGCTGGAAACATTTGTCTGGAACTGATTGATAGATCCAACCAGACGACTATTTTCACATGTGTGTGCGTCTATCGGTTCTTCGGATTTTGAAACATCGAGCCAAGTTTGAGAGCTCAAATACTGAATATTGGAAATTATATCTCTTATTGTAGGACTTACTAGAATAGCTAAGTCCTTTAAAAGGGACACCTTTTGATGTAAATCATAAAATTGTCTTAATAATTCGTCAAAAAGCGAAGCGTATTTATAGATAGAGCTTATTTTTCCCGAGTATGTCATTATAGAGGCCGGGATTTTCATTCCAAGAAGCTTCAAGCATTTCAGCTCCTGACCAATTTCAAGGTCAGCATAATCCATGCTAATCAGGTATTGTGGATCTCCATTTTTGAGAGTAGTTTCCTGAAATACGCGTGACTTCAATATTGAGTTATTCATACGTTTATTAGTTTCAGTACTCCAGGCATCTAGAAGGCCATCAATATCAATCTCAGACAGTAACAGTGATATTCTCGCTGAAAATCTTTTTCCCTCAGGATAATTGGACCATTGTTTCGTTAATATAAGTTCAAGATGACTAAATATTTTTGCAATTGAGTTTAGAGCTTGCTTAATCCATACCATTTTTGTAGAAAAAGTTGGAAGATGTCTTAGCGATAAAATATCTTTAATTTGTGACTGGTATATAAATTGGGTTTCTAAGTAGTCAAGTTCTTTCTCTGTTGAGTTAAGCAAAATTGTATAATACTGCTGAAGCATTAATCTGATCTGAGGTTTGCTGAGCAAGAAATTAAATTTTCGAAAAATTACAAATAGTGCACTTGGTTCATTGCTTACAACTGCAAGCAAGCTTTTTATAACATTGACGAGCTTTCTTTCAACAAAAGAGATCTGCTGATAATATGTTGTTTTATGAGAATTAAAATACGTCCCCTCTTTCTCAAAAATCTTGTTCAAAGGCAAAGTTGAAAGCGAGCTGTATGCAACTTGGGATTCATTATATAACTGTTGACAAATGGGAAGCTGACGATCAGGAGCGGACTCAAACTCATCAACCAAGGACATTATCGAAATGTTAAAGCTTTCATGGTCATTTCTGATGGCTTTGATTTCGTGCATGCTTTCTTTTATAAAATTAGGCGTTTCAATTTTGATAGGTATAAAAATATTTTCCTGTTTCCGTAACATGCCCCTTAGTAGATTAATCACAGCCCTTACATTATTGTCGAAGAAGTCTAGTTGTGTTTCAATTTGTTGCAAGATGCTCTCAAATTCGTTAGCATCTACTTGGAATAAATTATATTTGGATAAAATATCAATTAATCTTGACTCAAAGTCTTTTGTGATTAGCCTCAATAAAACAACAGCCTTTTCTATAGGGTATCTAATAATTTTTATTTTTTTGAAATTTTCAAACACATCTCCAATTGCCAATTGCAAGTTTGAAATCGTTTCTGCAGAATAGACATTATTTATAGTCAAATTTTTGAGAAAGTTGTTGTTTACGGTAGCTACCTTCAGCGAATCTTTAACAGACAAACTTGATATTAAAGCCACTGCAGTATGCGACCTCTTACTGATCTTCAGCAGATCCAATATAAGAGATACGTTTGGTGAGGCGAGCTGTGTTTTGATTGTGTTAAGAGCGCTTTCTTTTGCATTCCAAAATGTGATTTCGTCACGAACTGTTCCATCTAGTGGGTTATGGTCAAGCTGAATAATGCTTTGAATATTTTTCACCCAAGTATGAACCAATGATTGAACCAAGTTAAGAAAATGAACGTCTTCGATTAGATCAGCACTTTCTTCTAATGCTTGTGATAGTTCTTTTCCTTCTTTGCTTTGTAACCACTTTTGAATTGGGTCAGGAATGTCTAAAAGTAGGTCTGGCGGCTGTATCGTTTGCTGTAAGCCTTGTATATCTAATAGCATATTTTTGATTTTAAGTTTTGTGTTTCCTATAGCATGAAGAGAAAAACCTTCAAGTTGGTGCTTTTGGTCAAGTATATTAAAATATGAGCCCACGCCATATTTCACCAAAGACTTCAAGTTTTCAATGTAAAACTCACTATCACTCGAAGTGTTTGAGGTTGGAAAGCTCAGAAGAATCAACTGATTTCTTATGCTTGTTGATGTGTCCAACGTTGCTTGTCTTTTAATCACCGCAACTGTTGAGGATAGTGAGTGCAACATTCGATCATCATTTTCATTCAATATGGCAACAACTGAAGAGAGAAAATTATTATGTTAGTAATCAGGAAAGCTTTGTAAGCTGTAAACATTTACCTGGGGGGACGTACCTTCATTTTCAGTCTCTGTTAGATATATCACACGACACTCTTGTAGACCAACATAATTTATAACATCATCCGGTTGATACGATAAAGTTTTATGGTATATGGAAGAGGAAATTTCTTCCAAAATTTTCACAACTTCATCCATCTATTTAAGTATTTGAGTCTTCAAGCGGTGTCTATGCTTGACTGATAGATATTTACAATCAATCGGAGTTCCATCAAAAGTAAGTAAACAGTTTTACGCTTCAGGTCCTGTAAAAATACAAAATATAAACAAGAGCAAATCAGCAAAACACGCGTGCGTGTGCACGTGACTACATGTATCTATTGATCTGAGCATACCCAATTATCATCCTTGCCTTCTACTGGAATGCGATCAAAGAATACACCACTCAAAACGCATCTCCTGAGGGTTGGAATCATTAGACCAATAGCATCAACATATTCTCGTAAGAAGTGAGCAACGCATATAGCAATGGGGGGAGAAGCTGACTTATCAATCGAACATTCCCCTGAATGAGTGATGAGGTAAGGAGCGGAGTGAAAATCCCAGTATCTACATACTGGAGGGAAGCTGTCTAGAAACATATCACATCCTGTAGGAAGTCTACTTGATAAGACCCTTGCGACATTACCAAATAGTATAGGGGAGATCATGTCGGTCATGCGACTCTTCTCTTCATCATAATACTGATGCTTTAAAATGTACTTGTCGAAGATGGGCAAATAATCGTTACAATGTTCACACTCGCATCCATTCCAAAGAAGATTGGATATTATTTGCTCATAACCAGCAACAGATTGCAGGAATGTTGGACAAATGAGAGTCTCTAGATTGGTTAACAAAGGCAAAACATCTTCGTACAATGCTTTCCTGTGTAAGTAATTACCTTCAAATCCATCACCAACATTGAAATCACTGGGTGGTGCATGTCTTATAGACAAAAACTTCAAACTTTCTCTGGATGCGTATTGTTTTAAAAACTGTGTTATGTGAAAATCGAACTTCTCTGAATAATTATGTTCCCTGTGTGCAGTTTTTTGAACAAAGGACAAGTTTTGAAGCTTCAGATCTTGCTTTGTCAGAAAATGAAAAAAATTCTGCAAACAATCACATGTCATATCATCGCATCCTACGGCAACCTCCAATCTCTTAAGGACCTTGAAGTCTATGCGTTTAAGAAAACTAGAGAGCTTCTCGCCATAGTTTTCGAAGCAATGGTAAAAAACTACTTTCAAATTCTGCAAATGGAAAAGTGGCTCTTTGTCATTCGACACATTTTGTGACAAGCTATTCAATTTATCCAACAATATTGACTGCGAGATATCTTCATTGAACTCTAGGGTCTGTAGCTGACCAAAAAACACAAGTAATAAGTTGTCATCCAATCCATTAAAGTCGGTTAGATTATCTTGTGATCTAATTGACAAATGTTTTATTGGACTGTTTATTATTGATCCCAGGTCCTTCAAAGAATCCAACTGGACGGTTTGCTGTTTAGTAAAATTCTTGTTGTAATTAGACAAATCAAAAGCTGAAGTATTCTTGAGGTTGGGACAGTTTTTCATCACATACTCAAACAAATCCAAAGATATTACGTCGTGAAATGATTCAACCTTTGCATCATTACTATAACTCCCTGCAAAAACAATATTTTCGACGTATTTACAGAGCTCACTATTGATCGTCAGCGATTCAAGTAGAACACTTTGCCTTGTTTTGGATATTTTATTATTCAGTGAGGCAGTTGCAAGTGGTGTTTTTAAACCTCCAATGACAGTGTACAGCGATTCGTCATAAGTGTGCCTACAAGACAACGCTGCGGATTTTGTGAACAGAAGATTTCGATATAGTAAAGGTTGAACGAGAACATAAAAGTGGTAATTCGTGTACAAAAGGTTGACTTTGTCATTTTGAGGAAGGAAACTGATAATACGAGAGACAATAGGGTCAGACAGTTGCTCCAATGAATTGATCCCCATGCTTGTTTCTTTGATGTGATAGCTTAGTTCATATCTTTCGTAAGATGTATATATTTTGACACATCAGAACCGGCAGTTTCAAAGTCATTCGATCATGAAGTTTACTTTATCGCTCCGAGAAAAAATAGTGTTCGGCTTCGAGGAATTTAAGCCAACATTCTAAGTTAAGCCCAACATGTTCCTCACGCACAATACATCCCGAAATAAATCGGTCAATGTTTATAAAGACCGTAATTACCCTAACACAACCTTAATACTTATCCCTGTTATATTTTCTTTCACCTCAAAAAGAGAGAACGTCTCTTTTTACCTACTGTTGAAGTTCTCCCGATAAGCACCCAAGAGTATCAGATTTGATAATGCTGCGCTTAATATTCCGAATGAGGAATGAAAAAATATGAATCATAGGGGTTTCCAAATCCGATATTTACAATCTCAAAATCTATCGATGTATGTTTTCATTCAAAATGCTAAAGTCAGTTGAACAAATTGAGCTAGCTGTATCTTTTCTTGCTACATATACAGTGAACAGCTTGAGCCTTTTAAGCTCACCGGAATGACTTCTCAGGATATTATCGTAAGGTCAACATCAGTGCTAAGCATCCAGTCGCACGTTGTTCATGGCTACGTTGGAAACAAAGCATCAACATTTCCACTGCAAATGCTAAACTGGGATGTTGATGTTCTCAATACCGTCAATTTCAGCAATCATACTGGCTACGGCTCTTTAAAGGGAGATTGTGCTAGTGGAGAGCAGCTTCTAGAGATTTACAATGGCTTGAAACAGATAAATGTCCAATATAATGCAATATTAACAGGATATGTTCACGGGTTTGATACCTTGGATGCAGTTGGGAAAATTTGTACTGATGTAAAGGATAGGGCCGAGTCTGCCAACAAAGAGGTGCTTTGGCTTTTGGATCCGGTGATGGGAGACGAAGGAGTACTATACGTCGAAAAAGACGTGATTCCGGTATACAGAACAATATTAGATACCCAGAAAGTTGATATAGTTACTCCTAACCAATATGAACTGGAGCTTTTGGTTGATCAGAAAATAACGTGTTTGCAAAGCTTGAAGAAGGCTTTAAAGATTTTCCACGAGAAATACAGTGTGAAACATATCGTTTTATCTTCTTTGTTTGCAGAGTCGTTTGAAGATTTGGAGGGAGGCCAAGAAACAATATATTGTTGTGTTTCAAGCATTCATTTACCTGAAAAGCTGGTTTTATTCAAAATAGAAAAAATTTCAGGCTATTTCACTGGAGTCGGTGATATGTTTTCGGCTCTACTCCTCGATCGGGTTACTAAAACTGGTGACATAATTGTATCGGTGAGCGAGGTTCTTACAATAATGAAAAACGTTCTCACAACGACCAAAAATTTGGGTGGAGTGTCGGGTAAGATAGGGAACAAAAATATGAAAGATTGCGAGCTAAGAGTCATTGAATGTAGGCAATTTTACGACGATCATCACAGTTCTTACAGTCCAATTTTTATAGACAATCAAAATGGAGTGCTTGTATAGTTTACATATTAGTTACAGCCCCCCCATAGTCCTCTTCTGTATTGCTACTAACAGCGGATAATGTTCTTGATACTTGGTGGTCACTGGCATCGTCAGCTCCCCTCTCAGCGCTTTCAACCTCCTCTAGATCTTCGAGAATCGTACCTTTTATTTTGCTATCGAAATTCAGCTTATTCAGACGGTCCAAGTCAAAATCGAGACTGTAATCAAAACGATGGGTATCTTCATCTACAGAAACTTCAGTGTCTGAGTCTGCTTCTGGTTTCACATCTTTCTCAAAAATAGAGTTGAACAATTCACTACCCATTTGAATATTCTTGTTTAGGTTTGTTTCAAAAAAAGATCTACTTTTGAGTAGGAAGCTGTTGCTTGAAATGTTCGTTGTCAGCTGCGTGAAGGTTTCTGCTACTTGCTTTTGTGTTTTGAAGATTTGCTCTTGGGCATTAATTTTTGGTGGATTAATATTAATGATAGATGCAGACTTCCTCAATGACGAAGCTACCTTTGTAGGGGATGAAATCATTTTCGACGACAACACATCAGTTTGCTCAGGCTTTGCAACTTTGGGTTTTTTTGAGTTCATGTCCCCCATAACTGAACCCTTATATTGCTGTTCAAGCTGCGCTAAATTTTCTTTTGCCTGCTTCAGCTGTTCCGAAAGATCTAACACCTTTCTTTGCTGTGAAGCTAATTTGAACAGTAGCTGACTCTCATCGTCTTTCTTGCCTATCTCATCTTTATTGATAGGAATGTAGATAGGTATTTTAGTAAAAGTTGGCTCAGGGTTATTTTCTTTTTCAACAAGTGTATCAACGGAGCTTGTATTATCTTCCATTATTGGGGGTTTGCCAAACGCGGTTGGTCCTCTTGTCTTTACTAGCCCATTGGCTTTGTTTGCCGTTTCATCTGTTGGTGTTGTCTTCAATGAAAATTTAATCAAACCAGTTGACTCGCTTATTATCCTTTCTTTGACAGGTTTTGAGAAATCAGTGTGCTGATTGTTTATTTGGTTCAAGGTAGAGCCGGACAAAATACTAAGAGACTGTTTTTTGGCTATTCTTTTTGGGGATCCAGGAGCAGACATTGTAACTTTGTTCCCTGATGTAGCTTTTTGAATGAATGATTGTGATAAAGGGAATAACTTATCACAAAGTTACATCAGCTACATTGAATTTGGTCAAAGTAGCTGGCAATGCTGAATGATGCACCCTATTTCAGAAAGCTTCGATGTGCTAGGCTTTCCAGATTATACAATCAATTTCATTTCCGAATCAAGCAATACATTTTATTTCCTCTTTCGGACATCTGTAAACAGTACCATACGGGTCGATCGTCGGAAAAATGAAACCCCGAGTCACGTGCCAAAAGAATCAACCGCTAACAAAAATATCACGTGTATAAAAGCACCAAGGGCCTAATGTGGAAAGTGTGGCTCGAAGACAACTTTTTCCTTGACATATGCAAGGCTGTGTAACGCCACAGTATTCTCTCCGATGCTGAAAAATTGGTAATCATCTATTTTCTACCCGACAATATGCAATGGGATCTACGAGAAATGAAAAATAGAATAGAATTGATCGTAATGAAAAGTTTCAGTCAATGCACGATAAAATCATATAAAGACTTGATTTTCAATTTCCTCAGGTTGGGTTGTTCTATTTTTCGTGGCAGCAGTAGTTTTGAACACTCAAGATTCTGATTTTGAAGTTAGATTCTTTTATCGTATCGGCATAAAGTCACCTTTTCAAAAGAAACTCGTATTTCACAAGAACACAATAATGTTGACTCCTCACGGTGGTATTTTGCAAGATTTGATTGCCAGAGATGCTTCAAGAAAGAATGAACTTTTAACCGAAGCAGCTTCCTTGAAGTCTTTGAACTTGACTGATAGACAACTTTGCGATTTGGAGTTGATCTTAAACGGTGGTTTTTCACCATTGACTGGTTTCAACAACAAGAAGGATTACGAGTCTATTCGTGATGATATGAGATTGGCTTCTGGCGAGATCTGGTCCATACCGATTCCACTTGATGTCTCCGAAGAAACTGCCAAGCAATTTGCTGAAGGTGACAGAGTCGTTTTGAGAGACCCTAGAGATGATGCTGCCTTAGCTATCATTACCATTGCTGACATTTACAAGCCAGATAAGCATGAAGAAGCCAAGAAGGTTTTCAGAGGTGATCCAGAGCATCCCGCCATCAGATATTTGTTTGATGTTGCTGGCGACTATAACATCGGTGGTGACTTGGAGGCTATCAGCTTGCCAAAACACTATGACTATACCGAATTCAGAAAAACCCCAGCTCAATTGAGATCGGAGTTCCAATCCAGACACTGGAACAAGGTTGTTGCTTTCCAAACTAGAAACCCAATGCACAGAGCTCACAGAGAATTGACTGTCAGAGCAGCCAAGGATAAGCTTGCCAACTTGTTGATCCACCCAGTTGTTGGTTTGACCAAGCCAGGTGACATTGACCACCACACCAGAGTCAAGGTTTACCAAGAAATCATCAAGAAGTATCCAAACGGTATGGCCAAGCTCTCTTTGCTTCCTCTAGCCATGAGAATGGCTGGTGACAGAGAAGCTGTGTGGCACGCTATCATCAGAAAGAACTACGGTGCTACCCATTTTATTGTGGGTAGGGATCACGCCGGCCCAGGTTCCAACTCTAAGGGTGTTGACTTTTACGGCCCTTACGATGCTCAAACTCTTGTTGAGAAATTCGCTACTGAGTTAGAAATCGAGGTCGTTCCATTCAGAATGGTTACTTACCTTCCAGACGAGGACAGATACTCTCCAATCGATTTGGTTCCTTCCGGCACCAAGACCTGCTCTATTTCTGGTACCGAGCTTAGAAAGAGATTAAGAGACGGCACCGAAATCCCAGCGTGGTTCTCCTACCCTGAAGTCGTCAAAATTTTGAGAACCTCTCACCCACCAAGACCATCCCAAGGTTTTGCACTATACCTATCCGGCTTACCTTTCTCTGGTATCCAAGCCTTGAGTTATGCCTTGCAAGCAACCTTCAACCAATTCCAAGGTGGTAGACACATAACTTTGATTGACGAAGACACCGTAAACATCGAGGCTCTTCCATTCATTGTCAGCGAACTTGTGAGAGCCGGTGCTGGTGTGATCATTGCCAATGCAAAACAAGTTTCTCACTTCAACCAGTACGCATCGTTGAAGAAGACCGTTTCCAAGGCAGGTAGTTTCATCACAGTCGCTATCGAAACTCCATTGGATGTGTGTAAGGCAAACGACAGATCCGGTTTCTACTCCACCGAAGCTGGTCAAGCAGCCATCGCCACCTTTAAGCCCATCGAAGACGCTGAAATCGCCTCTGACTTGAGCATTGAAGACTCTTTGAACGTTGCTATTCAAAAAATCGTCTTGTACTTGGAAGAACAGGGTTTCTTCAAGTTTTAAGGATTTTTTGCTTGCTCCCCCTTTTTACGATCTTTTCAATGTTACATTACTCGCTTCTCCTTTGTATAGATTCCGTTATATCCATATCTTTAATTATTCATTCATTCTTGTACTTTATCATCGGCCTCCCGACCATCTAAACTCCAGAAATAGGTGTTATTATCATGAAAATGGGCTCCACGTGACTTTATTATGGGGATTGGTGTACGGGTGAGGCGATCGTCTTACGACCCATTTACTAGGCGAAACGTTGTTTTTTTCTAAAAAAATTTGCCCTCCAGTTCGTTGAAGAAAGAGAAGAAAGAAAAGGATAAACAACCCTGTTTCTTCCTAGTCGCCAGTAGCACGACAGTCCTTGCACAGCTGTAGCACGCATAGCTGCTTCAACAAACAGATCAGGACCACCTCGATCGTTGCACTTACTGATTTTGCACTTATTTCTCACTGTGTATTCGATCCTCACACACTCCACTCAACTTTTCCAAATCGCGGCACTCAGTTTATTATAAACAACAACAACGTTAGCAAGATATTGGACACTTTTCACCAATAGGGACGATGAATAACACAAATATATTTTATTATGTCAATGGCAAGATCTCCACATGCCGTCGGTGTAAACGTAAGAGAACGCTGGATGAAGATCCAGACCATCTACAGTTTAAAACATGCTTTCGTTGCCGTATGATCGAGAGGGATCAGAAAAAATTCAACCAAGCCAAGAGGAAACTTAATGCTGACGCAACAGCAGGCAACAGGCCGAACCCAACCAGGGAGGAGATTGAACAATTAGCTGAGCACTTGAAAAGTACATCCAAGGCTTATCAAGCTGCTAGTAAGCAGTTCAACCCCACTGCTACTTCGGCTCCAACCACCGTTTCAGTACCCCCATTGAATACTAGCTCCGTATTTGCCAAAGATGTTAAGATTACAAACTCAATGCCTGCAACATTTCAGTTTAAAAATAGTACGGTACCACCAAAGGCTAATTTTGTTTCTGAAACTTTGAATTTCCCTCCTCAAACTCTTGATCAAACCCTAGCTTTACTCGAAAACACTGAACTCCAACTGGAAGATGAGGCAGTTGATGTTGACCTGGCGTATAACGAGCAACTGTTCTCCTTCAATATACTATCAATTGACCCTAAACTAAATCCTTTGACATTGACTGCCGAGCAACAGTCACTCCTTCAATTGTCATTCTTAGCAAAATACCATCACGACCAATCATCAAACTACAAAGTTGCACCACATGCTCTTTCTCCAACTCAACCCAACTTGTGCTTGTCTTGTAAGGCATCTCTACCTAAGCAACGGTCTGGAAAACAGATATGCCAGGAATGCGAGACCAAACAATCCATATTGAAAGATTTCAACCATTATCTGACGATACTCAAACTCAATAAAACCCAGGATTTGTATCGGATTATATTCATGACTAATATCCCCTTAGATCAGCTTCTAAAATCATCACTTTCAGACAACAAATCCTCGCAAAACGTTCTGAAGCTTCTATATGATAAATATGTTGTTCCAATCAACGAAATAACTAATGCTGAATTTTTACTACCAAATAGTCAGAGTGATGAACCTTCCAACGACACGGTGCTGAAAAAAGTTTTGAAATGCGCTTCAGATCATTCCACCGTTTCATTCACAGATTCTGCGATTGACCCAGAGGCCTTAAATCTGTCTACTAACGAATCAGTGAACCATGGATCTTCAGTGCCCGTTGAGTGCAAGTTCTCTCAACTATGCTTAAATTATGACATGAATACTGGTGATTTGGTTATTTCTTTCAGCCACTCTTGCCATTTATAATCTCAAGAATTCCAGCAACCTTTCGATGGTTCAGAGTTATGAACGCTTTGATTTTAAAATTTGTATACTTATAGTTTTTACCAGTACCATTGAAATACTTACTTTACTTACGTGTTTCCCATCCCCCAAAATGTATAGAATATTTGTTAAAAATATAAAGTTATTATACAATAACTTTTATGATAAATAACTAAATGTGATTAGAAGTATTGTACATTTGCTATTGTGTTGTTAATCTTCGATACAGCAGCTGAATTTGCAATTACTCCGTTATTCGCTATCGCGTTAGGACTTCCAGGACGCAACCTTAAGCTAGTTGCTGGTATCGAATTCAGATTTGCCAAGTTTCTCATCTCATTGAAAACCTGGCCATGTGCAATCCCTTGTTCAATTAGAATAGCTGCTAACCCAGCTGCTATGGGACTCGCCATAGAGGTGCCACTCAAAATCTGAATATCACTGCCGTGTCTATTGCTGTTCAAACTCTTGACCTCAACACCAGAGGCAAAAATATCAACACAGTTACCCCAGTTTGAGAAATGGGCGATTTCATCGGTTTTATCATCAATTGCCCCAACAGTGAACGCATAAGAAGATCCCGCGGGAGAAGTTCTACAAGCATTCATGTTGTTGTTACCAGCTGCAACAATCACCAATAATCCTGAATCATACACTGCTTGGACAGCTGCATCTAACACGCTGCTTTTTGCTGCTCCCAAAGATAAGTTTGCAACTGCATGCAGACCATTCTCTTTCTGATGGTTTACTGAGTACTCCAAACCCGCAATAACAGATGATAAAGAGCCTTGGCCAAATCTATCTAAGACTTTGACTGAATGAATGTTGACCTCTTTCGCAACCCCATAAGTTTTTGAGCCCAAGACTCCGGCAACATGGGTTCCATGCCCAACATAATCAATATTTCTCAGATCGGTGGAGAAGTTTGGACCTAACTTTGCTCGTCCCTCAAATTCAGGGTGTTCAACGTATACACCGGTATCAATAACATATACGGTGATGTCTTTTCCTTGAAAGTCTTCGGAATAGTAGTAATTCATTTCTTCATCTTCGTCAACCGGCTCGTCTTGAGATAACCTAACCAAATGAGACGGAGCATCTTCTTGTACCGCAATTTCATCCAATGCTTGAATGCTGAAGTCTTGAGTTATTTTCTCTACTAAAGGATTTTGGGATATTCTATCAATAACATCTTTAGAGAATTCACCTACAAATCCTTCAAACTTTCCGAATGAGAAAACCTTCTTGATCTCACGCCGCAAATGAGAAAAAGACTTGACAGCATCGTCCTGAGCACACAAGACTTCAACAGAATCCGGTTTTCTGAGTTGTATTATGTACCTTTCCTTTTTGTTGAAATTGAAAAGTGGGAAAGAATGAACATAAGAAAGCAAACAAACAAACAAAACTAGTGACAATCCAAATCTCATTTTGACTAATGCTTATTACAGACTCGAAAAAGGACTCTGTTGGTAGGTTGGTATTCTGTGGATCCTATACGCAATTGTGCGGTTCTAATGTTAGTGTATAGTGTGTATATGTGTGTATAGTGTGTGTGTAATTGTGTGTGTATGTGTGCAAATTGCCTATTTCACTTCCTATCGAAGCGATTTAACTAAGCAAAGAGAATAACTTAATACTTCTTTGTAGTTATGGTGTGTTGAAGCAAATGAGGCTGGTTGGATAAGAAACTCGGCGACCATATCATTATAGCAGAGAAACTTGAAGGATAAAAGATGCTGTGAGGGTTCAATGAGTTTCCCTCTCAAGATGTAAATGATAGGGCAACTTCCAGAGAAAATATAAATAAATCACTTCAAGAATTACCGCTTTAGGAAATTTTTATTTCCAAACTACATTGCGGCTTTTTCTGTAAAACTAAAAACTAGATATTGATATTGAATATATATACACATGGTAAAAATGGATATTTACATATAATGAAAACATTAGGATACTCACTGATTAAAATTAGAGCAACGCATTAAGTGAAAGTAACAACTTAAGACAAACAAACAAACAAAGCAGAACTTCCAAGTATTAGTGCTCTAATCCATCACAGTGTCATAATTATTTAAGAAGTTTGAGAATCTGTTCCTTTTCATCGGCTGGCAAAACAGACATTATTTCAGCTAATCCCTGGCGGGTATTCTTGATGTCACTCTTGAATAACTTAGCCAATGTCTGTTTGACCGAATCACCCTTCAACTTTTTCAATTGAGAGTCCAAAGTCTTGTGGTTTTCTTCAATCCATAAAGCAACATCTTTATCGTTTTGAATGTCCAAACTTGCTGGGTAAAAGGAGTTCAATCTAGCAGACTTTTCAAGTCTCGTAGAAGTTGGAATTTGGTCGGCAATTCTTTTAATTAAGTATTCTTCGTTCATTCTTCTTCTAACTCTCCAGAAAAAGAATCTTCTAGCTTCAGACCATTCTAATTCTTTTCTTATGACACCCTTGGCTAACATACGCCCAGATCTATCATGTAAGTCTGCAAATTGCACAGAGATTTGTTGGTAAACTGGTAAGAGCTTTGCGTGTCTGGTACTCAATTCCTTAGACAATTCTGTCTTTTCTTCTTCGGATGTTGCTGCATCAGCCTTGGCCTTCAACTCGTGACAAGTGGCATCCAATCTATTCATGGTCTCAACCAGCTTGTTTTCTCTGTATTTGATACCAACCATACCAGCTGGTTCTAGGACACCTGCTCTAGATTCAATATCAGCATACATTTCCATCATATCTTTATTGATAGTTGGATCAACAACGACCCAAGACCCACCTCTTAGTTCACCAGTTGGAGGAATGTAAGTGAAGATTGGTTGCTTGAAGTCAACCAAAGCATCGACAATAAAGGAACCATACTTCAGGACTTCGTTGTACATATCACGCTGACCACCAGAGAAACCTCTCCAGTTGGCTAGAATCATAAGTGGCAACTGCTCACCATGATTGAAGTCGTTGATTGCTTGAGCAGTCTTGAAAGCAGAGTTAGGATACCAAACTTGACCTGCTTCTTGTACCAAAAATTCGATAGAGTCTGGGTTAGCTGGATCTGCTGGGTACATGTTTTCAACAGTACGAGTTTCGACACCAATGACACCCATTGGAATACCACCTAATCTAGCTCTACCAATAGTAACACCTCTGGCCCATCCTGATAAAGTTTCTTGGAAAGAGTCCTTGTCAAACAGACCGTATTCAAAACCTGATTCAGTCTCTCTACCTTCAATCATCCATCTAACATCATACTGCTCATTCTTGGTTGGCTTGAAGTCTACTGGTCTATCCCAGGTGTCCTCACTTTCTAAGATTGGAACAGGAGCTCCTCTCTTTGCAGGGATGTAAGATAACCATTTCATGATTTTCTCTACACCATCTAAATCATCAGCTGCAGTCAAATGAGAAACACCATTTTTGTACATGATTTGAGTACCACCCAATTGCAAGTTGGAAGAGTAAACTTCTCTACCAAGTAACTTGTTTATAGCAGGTGCACCAGTCAAAATGATTGGCTGGCCTTCAACTTGAATGGCTCTTTCACCCAATCTAACCAAATATGCACCAATTCCAACTGATCTACAAGTGACCAATGTGATTGTGAAGATATCTTTATATGCTCTGGAAGTAGCACCGGCAATCAAACCAGAACCCTTCAAACATTCAACACCTAAACCATCTTCCATACCGACAATAGTGTCAATAACGTATCTGGTTTCACCATTCTCAACAATCTTGGATGTAACAACAGAAGAGCCTTTACCAGTCTTTTCCAGTTCGGCCATGTCTTCTGAGCTCAAGTATAGATAGGAGAAGCCCTTAGCTGGATCATTAGGATCATTCCAGTTGACCTTATAGTAAGGCAGCAATTCTTCAGCAATCCCAATTCTGGCACCAGAATTAGCAGACAAGTAAATTCTTGGAATTCCATGTTCTCTTGCATATTCGGTAACCTTATTGAAGAAGGCATCTTCGGTTGGACCAAATGAACCAATCTTGAAAGTGATGTCATTGGCAACAATAACAAATTGTCTACCCTTTGGATATTCAGGAGTCTTTGCGCTAACCAAGAAAGCAACCATACCAATATTGTTAGCACCAGGTTCTCTGCTGACTGGTGTAACATCATCAGAATCATCAGTGATCAATTCTTCATATGAGAAAAATGAGTCAGTTATCTTGGCATCAGCATCAAATTCCTTCCAGGAAGAAAGCAAAGCTTGCTTGAATAATTCAGGGAAGTCATAAACGTATGTAGTACCTAATTGATGAGCTCTTTGTCTCTTAGGTTGTAACCACTCTTTGGTTGGATATGGTGTAGAGATTGGTCTCAAGTGCATAGAACCTGGTGTTCCAATAGACTTGAAAATCCATTCACCTTGGGCATTTTTCTCTTCAATGTATAGTTCAGACTTGACAACATAACCACTGACGTTGTTAATAACTGCTCTCAACGGGAATGGAATACCAGTCGTTGAATCAGTACACATTATTCTGATTTCTGCACCAGTAACTCTCAATCTCCATAACCTTCTACCAAATCTTTCTAAGAAACTTGCAAATGCATTTTCAACATCTTCAGGGGTGATATTGAAAACAGCAGAGAAGTTGATGAAAATGTGGTTCAGGTCGGTGTTAGAGGTATCAAGAATCTCAAGCTGATCTAAAATATCAGACACTAATCTGTGGGCTTCGGAGGTTAAATATTCAGATGCAGTGATTTCACTTTTGATTGAGCCCGTTCTGATAATACCTCTAGTAAAGTATCTTCTATCAATACCAGCCGAGTTCTTAGCAGATGCTTCATAGACGTGAATATTTCTATTATCGGTTGGAATCGACTTGATGTTGAAGTTGGACAGTCTTCCCAACTCTAATTGATAGGCTAAGGCTGGTTCAACATGTCTGATCATTTGGTCTTCCGTGTAAATATCACCAATATTGGATGTCTTGAAAGTGAAGTACTTTGGATATGAGCCATCACTGTCACCAACAACAAAGGTAACTCTTCTAAGGCCAACATTGTTCAATTCAGTCTTGTAATCATTTACAACTTGTTGCATCTTGGATACTATAGACGATTGTTCGGTATAACCGTCAGTAGAGCCGATAACAATGTTACAGACATTGACAAGAGCAGATGTATCCTTCAAATCTTTTGCTAATGAATCTAATCCAGCGGACAAAGCACTTTCTGCTTCATCCAAATGTTGTGCAGAAACCAAAACACCAGATCTGACTGGTTGAGAGTCATTTTTGTTTATCAGGAAGGTCAAGTCAGAGACAGATACAGCCCTGTTCATGGAGTTGTCGCTTCTCAAAGAGTCTGGAACAGCGTTGAAGCTAGAGGTGGACAAGCTTGGCAATTGGAAGCTCCACTTCAAGATCGTTGTGTCCTTTGTAGACTCTGGAATCTCGTGCTTGACACCTTGAACTGAGTATGCTCTGTAAGCTCTTCTAACGTAGACTTCAGCAGCAGCTGCAGCAACCCATTGGTCTGAAGAACACAAGAAAGGGGTTAAAACATCAAACAGAGTGTACTTGGAGTCAATGATATCTTGAATAACAGGCATAGAAGGTAAAGTATGTTGTGGAACACCAATCTCACCGAATTTGGAAGAGATCACCGACGTCTTCAAAATGTGTTGCAACTGTTCAGTTCTTTCAGCAATAGAAGGCATTGAGCACTGGATGAGAATTTCTCTAGCCTTCAAAGTGGCTTTTGCAGTAGCTCTAGTGTCCAATTCAACAATCTTCTTCAAAGGTTTCCTAAAGACCTCAACAGCTGTTGGGGAATTCTTCAAGATAGATTGGTAGTTTTCGAGAATAGCAATAATCAAATTGTTTTTAGATGCAATTCTGGAATGTGATAGAACAGTTTGAACTACGACAGCTAGGTCATCTTTATTTTCATCTCTTAGTTTCAAAATAACATCTTCTTCTCTTACATTATCACCAGCAAACAAGGATTCGACTCTAAAGTATTCTTCCAGTAATCCCGCAAAAACGTTGTATTCATGAACAGATAAACCTTCTTCATAACGTTTTGCAATAGAGGTTAATGGCTCAACAACTTGATCAAATAATGCATCGATGTCTTCCTCTTTCTTGGTTTTTTCAAAAAGGGCTAAGATTTGTTTGGATGGGAATTCCGCATTTCTTTTTTCAGTTCTTTTAACTAAATCAGTTAATTGAGCATCTAACTTGGCTGGCAATCTTGAATGAAGAGCAGAAATTTGGTTGCCCCATTCAGAGTATGGCAATTCTGGATCTCTGAGAACACTAATCAATTTGGTCAAAGTAGACTTCATGACAACTTGATTATCGAAACCTTTCAAAATAGATGTTAAAATTCTGTATAGTCTTTCAAATCTATGAGCTGGTTTGGCACCACCAATCATAGGGATACCTAAATCTGGTAAAGTTTTCTCAAATGGTAGTGCATGTTTAACCTTGGATGGATCATCCAGTGAAAGGATTGCCAAGATATCACCAGCATTGACTGTGGAACCAGGTTGCTTCAAGAGTTGAACTGTACCATTTTCGGTGGCAATCAAAGGCATACACATCTTCATCACTTCGACCTCAGCAAATGGTTGGCCAGCGTCAATGTGTTCACCGTCTTCAACCAGATACTTAATCAATTTACCTGGAGAAGGAGTTCTTAATTGGGTAGGATCATTTTCAATTTCCAATAGACATGTCTTACCATTAACTGATAATCTAGTGGCCGCAACTTCTTCCTTCCAATAGATGGAATGAGATTTGCCTCCCAAGGCAATCAATAAGCCTCCATCAGATAAGGATTTGACATTTGCCATGACTCTAGAACCGTTGATGAATAAGGTGAAATCTTCTTCACTGGCCTTTGCGACAGTAAATTTGTATTTGTAGCCTTCGTAAATGAATTCAACAGTGAAGATGGTTTTCAATAATTCCTTTGAAGGAACTTGTCCTTTTTCCAAAGAGCATATGTATTCCTTTTTGCATTCATCTGCTTGAAGATAAGCTTTAGTGACTGCACCACAGATGACAGCTAAGTTTGAATCTGGTCTTTCTGCAGTTAGTTTTTTGGAGATCAATTCATCCAACCAACCAGTGGTGATTGTATTTTCGGAGAAATCAGGAGTTTCCAAAAGTTTGATCAAATATTCTACAGTGGTTCTGAAGTCACCTCTAATACTCAATTCTTTCAAAGCAACAACCATATGTTTTCTGGACGCTTGTCTGTTTTCACCGAACGCAAAGATATGACCGAATTGAGAGTCGGCAAAAGAATGAATGGAGGATTGGTTCGCGACAGAAAAGTAACCCCAGACGTTTGAAGAAGATCTGAAATTCAATTCATGAATGGTACCACCGGAAGGCTTGAAACCTTCACTAGGGTCTTCAGAGGTGATACGACAAGCAGTACAGTGACCCTTTGGAGTTGGTTTTCTTTGGGTTTGTAAGCTTTCAGGGTTCTTGAAGGTGAAGTCAATTTCAGTTGAAGTGTGAGGATCAACACCGTACAATAATCTAATGTCGCTGATTCTGTGCATTGGAATACCCATGGCAATCTGCAATTGAGCAGCAGGGAGGTTGACACCGGAAACCATTTCAGTGGTTGGATGCTCAACCTGTAATCTTGGGTTCAATTCCAAAAAGTAGAACTTGTCATCTGCAAAGGAGTACAAGTATTCGACAGTACCAGCAGAGACGTAACCGACCAACTCTCCCAATCTAACTGCTGCGGCTTCCATTTCTCTGAAAGTTTCTGGCTTTGCGATTGTGACAGGGGCTTCTTCAATAATCTTCTGATGTCTTCTTTGAACGGAACAATCTCTACCAAAAAGGGAAATGTTTGTACCGTATTGATCGGCCAACAATTGTACCTCTAAATGTCTTGCTGCACCAGCCAACTTCATGATGAAGATTGGAGAACCTGGGATTTCATTTGCAGCCTGTTCGTATAATCTGGCAAAGTCTTTTTCGTCATCGACTTTTCTGATACCTTTACCACCACCACCTTCAGAGGCTTTAATCATAACTGGGAAACCTATTTCTTTTGCCTTGATTAAACCATCTTCTGCAGAGATGCAGCAACCTTTAGCGTAGGTTTCGTCATCAACGGAAACCAAGTTCGAGGTCTTATCGACCACAACCTTGTCGACACCAGTACCGGACCAAGGGATACAAGGGACCTTGGCGTGTTGTGCGACAATGGTGGAGGAAATCTTGTCACCCAAGGATCTCATTGCTGAACCTGGAGGACCGATAAAGATGATTTTTCTAGGAGAGGCTGCCAATTTTTCCGGCAAATCTGGGTTTTCGGAGGCATGACCCCAACCAGCCCAGACTGCGTCGACCTTGGTTCTTTCTGCGATTTCGACAATCAAGTCAACGTTGGCATAGTTGTTGTTGTTGGTTCCGCCGGGAACTTCGACATATTGGTCTGCCATTCTGATGTATTCGGCGTTTGCCTCCAAATCTTCTGGGGTTGCCATGGCGACGAATTGGATTGTTTTCTCATCGCCAAAGGTTTCGTAGGCCCATTTTCTGACGGATCTGATTTCTTTCACTGCGGCAATACCGTTGTTCGAGATCAAGACTTTCTTGATGACGGTGTGACCTTCGTGTTTGACGACAAAGTCCTTCAAGGCAGATGGCTCTGCCTTGTCGATGGTGTTGTAGCCGAGGAAACTTTTGGTTAGTGCCTGGTGTTTTTGTGCTAATTCTGTGTTAGTCATAGTGTATAGTCGTGACGTGGAGGAGTATCTAAAAGTGTTTATAGGATTGTAAATCTGTCTTATGAATAAATTAGGCGTGTAGGAACGACGGAGGGAAATTTGTTTAGAAAATAGATTTCTGTACAAGAGAGGAGAGGGCAGGGGTGTTAGTTTCATTCAGGAGAAGGCGCTGACGACCAATTGCTTCTGCTGCTACTACTATGTTGGGTGCCGCCCAATTCGGTTCATGTTATTCTTTGCGCCGGCGAGCTACGGTCCCGGGTTCCGCTGGCTGTAGTGTCGTGCTGTGTGGCTTTTTCTGGCGTTCTTTGAGGACAATTTCAGTTGTGCATCATTTATTCGTGTCTGGGTCTGTCTTTTTGCAGTTGTGGACAGGCGGAATGCGTTGAGGCCGGCATGCTGTGTGCATGTTTTTCTCCGCTGGAAATGTGTTGAATTCGCGGTCTGCGGAACCGAAAATGTTGGCATTGTTGATTTTTTCATGGAAAAATGTTTGATTTTTCAGCGGACTGGGGAGACAGGGGTAGAAGCAGAGAGCAAATGGACAAAGGGGCAATTGGGGAGGGCGAAGCAGAGAGAAGAGGCAGAAAAAAAAGGAGCAAAGCATAGTAAAAAGTAACGTACCTTAGAGACAATATTAGAGATATAGTGTGTATATCCTGGTGGCTGTCTTTGATGAGAAATGTAGGGCTGCAGCGGGCGGATCAGAGGCAGGAGTGCTCAGCTGACGCTGTTGCGGATGTAGAGTGGACGGAGCCGGGCCTGGAGAGGTGTTTTTCGGAGGCCAGATGCGCAGATGCGGGCGGCGTCTGATGCTGTCTGTCTGGCGTGAGCGTGTGCGGACAGTACGGGGCAAGTGGTGCTACTGGCGGGATGCAGAGAACCAGCTACACAAACAATTCAATGGCTGAGTAATGGCGTTCTGGACGATGCGTGCAACGGGTCTGTGGATGTAGGATGGATCTGTCGTCAGCTGTGTTGCGAGTCGGCGGGAACAGAACGGAGTGCGTGGGGGTGTTTGTTTGTTGTTTGTTTGTTTGTGGTCGGTTTGTCCTTGCAAACGTGCTAGCCTAGTCCACTGAGCCTCGCAAGAGCGGGGCAACACCACCTACCGGCACCTAGCCAGAAGGGGAGTCTGCTGCCAATATATACAAGTGCTGAGCACTCCCGTATCTCCTGCAGCTGAGCGCTGAGCGCTCGGCGCTCAGCGCGTTGTTGCCGGCCCTGCGCTGCACCGCTTCTGTTTCCACCTCCGAGGCGCGAGACCAACAACAGCGGCTCCAAACGTTGGGCCCGCTGGCGCCGCCCCGCGCAAGCAGAACACGTTGCGTGTGTGTCGCTGCAGCGGAGCAGGCGCCGACGCGTCGGCGCCGGGCCGCGCGCCGGGCCGCGCCCTGTCTTGACGGCTGCCGTTACGCGATGGGCTGCGGGGGTTTTCCCGAGCCGAGCCCCCGTTTCAGAGGGCCAAGAGGGATTCTGGCTGGTGTTGCCGTTGCCATTGCTGGCATGCGTGTGTGTGGTGTGTCTTGCCCCGTGTGTGCGTGCGTACCAGGTGCCCCCGTGCCCCGTGTGCTGGTGCGCCCTTCTTCGCCCCTGCTCGGCGTCCTCTCGCCCTCTCGCCCCGTTGCATGCCCCCGGTGTGACGTCAAGGCCGGACCAACATTTTTTTCCCCACCAAAAGCCGTGGCAGCACGGCCCGCAGGGGTGGTGCAGGGCCGGGGACCGACGCGTCGATGCGATTCTGGGACGATCGTCCGCAACATCTGGCGAACAGCGCCCTAGGGGGACGTTTGCACGAGCCGTGGCTTCACACGCAAAGGGTGTTCTGGAGAAGCCGTTTCTGCTGGAAACAGGGCAGCAGGAGGCAGCAGAAGACAGCAGCACAGGCCTACAGACAGGCAGAGCCAGTGGACAGTGCAGCAGGCGATGATTACAGGCGGCGACACGGACGAGGCGGTGAGACAGACGGACTTCGATGCGCTCTCGTCGAGGTTGTCGTGCTTCTTGAAGGGATACACGCCCGAGGACAGGCTCCTTGGGGCGCTGGTGCCGCTGCTGGTGCACTACCAGGTGGCGGGGTGTGGGTCGGAGTTCAAGCGGTTTGCGCTTGCCCGCAGACTGCGGTCGCAGTTCTTCAACGTGCTTCCGGCCAACATCGGGGACGTGGCTGCGGTGGCGCAGCTGGACAGGGCCGTGGTGGCGGCGAAGACGGGGCGGTTCACGCCGCTGAAGCCGCCGCTGATCAACAGGGGCACGTACTTGCGCACGACGGCGATCTCCCGCACGGTGGAGCAGTTTGTCGCCCGGCACAGGCACGCCGGGAAGGTGCAGGTGGTGTCGCTCGGCGCCGGCAGCGACACGCGGGCGTTCGGGGTGGTGGCGCAGAACGCCAACGTGCACTACTACGAGCTCGACTTCGAGCAGACGGCGAGGTTGAAGAAGTTGGCGATCCTCTCTTCGGAGCAGCTCTCGGCGTGCGTGGGGGCCCCGGCGCTGCCGCCGGCGGAGCTGCCCCGGACGGCGGCGCAGATCGCCGCCGTGGACCCGACGTTGCACACCGACCGATACCACCTGGTTCCGTGCGACCTCCGGGGGTTGACGCCCGAGCGGGCGCTGCACACGGTGCCCGGGCTGGAGCGTCTCGACGGCGCCGTGCCGACGCTCGTGGTGAGCGAGTGCTGCCTCTGCTACCTCTCGCAGGACGACTCCGACAACGTGGTCCGTTTCTGGCGCCGCAGCCTCGACGACGGTGAGTTCGTCGTGTACGAGCCGTTGGGCGGGTCCGACCAGCCGCAGACAGCGGGCGACGCGGGCCGCCAGCCGAACCGGTTCGGAGAGGTGATGGTGAAGAACCTCATCTGCCGCGGCATCGAGATGCCGACGCTGCTGGTGTACGGCACGGTGGCGGCGCAGATCGAGCGGTTCCGGCGGCTGCTCGACACGGACACGCAGCACCGCTGCGACGTGTGGTGCAAGGACATGAAGTGGGTGTACGACCACGAGGTGGACGACGCGGAGCTCGAGCGCATCAGCCGCTTGGAGATGCTCGACGAGCTGGAGGAGTTGAACTTGATCAACTCGCACTACTGCCTTGTTGTTGCGCGCTGGCAGCCGCAGCCTTTGGCGCTGGCACAATGTACATGACACTATTCACTTTTAAATACATTATATGACAGGATCCCCTGTAGAGGGAGGGCGCCGGCACGCAGCACTAGTTGAGCATTCTCTTGAACCCACACCACGCGGCCGCAGCCGCAGTCATGAGCCCCGTGCTGTACGCCATGGCCTTCGGCCCGGACGTGCTCTTGAAGATGGCGCCCGCCAACGCACCGGACGCCAGCGAGTTCAGGTCGTCGTGTCTGCCGCGGTACGCGTCCAGACTCGAGTCGATGATGTTGTACAGGAGCCCGAGCACCCCCGCCGAGTTCCCCACGTGCGGCCCGTGCTTGGTCACCTGGTTCAACACCGTGTTCAACTTCAACTTGAACGGCGCAGCCTTCACCGCCCCCGTCACCGGGTCCACCGACCCCTGCGGAAGATGCTTCAGCCCCTCGTTCAGACCCACCAGCCCCCCGAGCCCCAACCCGCTCACGTACAACGTCCCCGTGCCGTAGCACAAGTCGTCCGTCCACCCACGCGATGGCAGGATCCCGTTGCCCGTGCCCTCCACCGTGTTCAACTTCTCCTCGTCGAGGTCGAGGTACTCCAGGTCCTTGTCGAGCCCGGCAAGCGGGTGCAGCTTCGACGCATCGAACACCGGGAGCGCCGACATGCTGAGCTGTGTGTCCTCCTGCTCCGCTGCAACCCTTGCTGGAGCCGTTTCTGCACTCTCCTCCTTCTTGCTTGTTCCGCCAAATAGCCACATTGCTTCTCTGCTATCCTGTGTCCTTCTGTATCCCTCTCCGGCCCCCTCCGTCCCGTCTCCTGCTGTCCTCTTGTTGCCACCTTCTCTTCCATCTGTCTCTTGTCTGCTCTCGTCCGTCCTTCCTCCCTCCGTCTCCCCCCTCTCGCTCTGCCGCCGGCGCCGCTGAAAATTTTCAGCCAAAAGCGTAAAAGGACGATCGACCCAAAATCGCCGCTGTGGCGGTTATCTGCGGCGCACGCGATAGCGGAACGAGAGCGAGGGGCGGGGGGCAGAGACAGCAGATAAGTGGCTGTCTGGAAGTGTTGATGTCAGGTTTCAAGAGAAGAAGAAGAGAGTTAAATGGGTCAGGAAGAAGCTGGTGGCCCATACAAGACCCGCCAGAAGATGACGCCGTCCAACAAGTCGCCGCGATCGAGAGAGTGGTCTCTGGGTCTCTTTTTCCTATGCTGTGTGGTGGTGTTGTGGGTGCTTTCGTCGTTCTTGCTGAACGACCTGTTTGAAAAGCAGGTGTACTCGAAGCCGTTTCTGATCACATGGTTCAACACAGCGTCGTTCTCGCTGTACTTGGTGCCGTACTACGTGGGTCGGTGGCGGCGGGAGAGGTGGGGGGTGGGCGGAGAGGGCTGGGGGGCCGGGAGCGAGATCCTGCTTGCGGAGGAGGCGTCGTTGGTGCCTCGGGAGACGGCGGGGGACGAGGAGCAGGGCTCGGGCAGCGCAGACAGCAAGCTGCACGCGTTGACGTTCCGGGAGACGCTGCGGTTGTCGCTGTCGTTCTGCATCCTCTGGTTCTCGTCGAACTTCTTCAACAACGCGTCGTTGCTGTTCACGTCGGTGTCGTCGCAGACGATTCTCTCGTCGACGTCGTCGTTCTTCACGATGCTCGTCGGGTACCTGGTGAGCCAGGAGACGTTCAACACAGAGAAGATCCTGTCGTTGGCGGGCTTGTTCGTGGGCGTGCTGTGCGTGACGCTGAACGACGAGCCGCAGACGTCTGGCTCGACGCCCTTCCGTGTCGTGCTGCTGGGCGACATGTTGGCTCTCCTGAGCGCCCTCTGCTACGGCGTGTACTCGATCTTGCTCAAGCTCAAGGTCAAGGACGACTCCCGCATCGACATGCGCTTGTTTTTCGGCTTTGTGGGCGTCTTCAACATCGTCTTCCTCTGGCCCTCTCTCCTCCTCGTGCACTACCTCAAGCTGGAGACGTTCGAGCTCCCGCCCTCGGGCGACGTGTGGTTCGTCATTCTCTTCAACTGCATGATCTCCTTCTTGGCCGACTTCCTCTGGGCACGCGCCATGCTCCTCACGTCCCCCTTGACCGTCACCGTAGGCTTGTGTCTCACCATCCCGCTCGCCCTGATCTGCGACGTGCTCTTCAAGTTCAAGCTCAACTCGCCCATCTACTTCTTCGGAGCCTTTTTGGTGTGCTTCTCCTTCTACTGGATCAACAAGAGCGAGCAGGACGGCTCCATGCTCTCCGCCAGCCACGACCACGACCACGGCAGCGACGACTGATGCGCTGACACAGACTTCCCCCATTTGTATACTGATCGTAGTGTTACGCTAATAGATTTACACTCGCAGCTCACAGCAGCTTTACATAGTTTAATGGATACCCTGGACTTTTGATAGCGTAGATGTTTGCCCCCAACATGAGCACATACGCCAGCAGCATCGAGGCGGCAACGAGTGCCATGCTCTTGTATGCCCCCTGCACCAGCCGGGTTCCGTCAATGAGAAAGACAACCACGCACATGAAGGCCACATGCAGAAGCACACCGATGATGATCTCCGACCCAAACTGCGTCGTGCTAGTTGGCGCAATCCAGAGAACCTTCCCGTCCTTCTGCGACACAAACGGCGATCCTCTTTGCATGGTGAAGTTGAACCCAGAAACACAGATGAAGATCAGCACGATCGAGAGGTACGCATAGAGCCTGCGGTCGGCCCAGAACCGCACCCCCTCCGCAGAGTTCTGTCTTATCCTCTGCAACACCTTGACCCCAACAAGGAAGTAGACAAACCATTGCGCCGTGACAAACCAGTCGATCTTCGACTTCTTCACACCCTCGACGAGAGCAGCGTTCACGTCGACATGCAAAGTGTTGCCCAGAAACTCGGCAAACTTGCCAATGACAGCCTCCCAATTGTCTCCCTTCGTGAGCTCAAACACAAAGTGCTCCATTCCGGCCTGTTTCAAGTCGTACCACTCCGGCTCAATGAATACCCCGTTGTTGGCCAACGCCTGCTTCTGCTCCTCGAGCAGCGACTTCACCTTGTTGAACTTCTCCTCTCCCAAAACACCCATGCTGTTTGGAAAGCCCCAAACCCGTGGAACCGACGTTACTCCAAGTTCTTTCAAATACTCGAGGTGGTCGGCTGCTTCCACCCTCAGAAAGAAAGCCTCATCCTTGAGAGCAGGGTACTTCTGGTACACCGCCCGGATGATCTGGGCATACACCGGTTCGAATTGCCCACACAAATCGCAGCCAAACCTCGGGTTGGCAGTTGTCACAAGCAATACCATGCCGTATGGTTTCAACCCTGTGACGACATCCTTTAATTGCCCCTGGGGGACATTGTAGATGGGATTGGAGTCCGAAACGCTCTTCTTCAACTTGTCCACTGACAGCGCCGCATCCACCGCATGTGGACACAACGCAAGCAATAGCAACGATGTGATCTGTAGCACTAGATTGGCTATCTTCATTGTGTTCTGCTGCCACCACCTTGCATCCAGTGAAGCCGAACCTCCGAGCCATCTCTCAACATGAGCTGGCCTTTCCAGTAGACACATGAAAAGTAGGTTAAACCATTCGACGCGTATCTTCCAAAAGCGAAATAGGATCACGTGCCATATTGGAGGACGTCTTTACTGTTCAACTGGACTTTCTCCAGCAGAAACGGGGGTGGCATAGACTACAATTAAGAAGCTGCAAGGTCACAGACCTATGTTACGTCTGTATTTTTCTAGCACCCCGATTCTCCCCCTCCTTAAATGGTTCTCAACAGTTCCATTAAAATTCTATAAGGTTACACGTTTTATAATATACAGAGGGAAGGATAGTAGTTAGTAAAAAGACAAGAATGAATGTGATCAGAGCACATCGCAGAGAATAAACAGCACCGGTCTGGGGCAAACGGTGTACGGTAAAGGTAGGCGAACAACAACTTTTCAATCTGCCTCATGGCAAAAAAGAGATGTTTGACAGAACGTAAGTGTCACCGCCGCCGGTGCCTCCATCCCTATCACCGCCGTTCCCAAAATACGCTTCCCGTACCGAGGGGCTCAAATAGCCCTGCTTGCTCAGGAACATCTGGCTGTTTTTCAGCACCAACATGGTGTTTTTGATCTCACCTAGCGACTTCTCGTACTCGTCGGTCTTGACCTCCAGTTCTGCCTCCAGCTCCTCGATCTTCTGCTTCTGCATGTCAACAATGCCTCGATACTGGCTGCACTTTTCCTCTCCATCGCTGGTCGGAGTGGCGGGCCTCAGGATCACCTGCGGCTTGGCAGGGGCGCTCTGCAGCTGCATATTCAGCTGCTGCACTTCTTTCCGATGTTGTACTTTCATGTCCGCAAGAGCAGCATCCTTTTCGCCGAGTATGCTCCTACACTGCTGTAATTCCTCCTTCATCCTCTCCAGATCGGCTCGCAAAGCCTCCTTCTCATGCACCAGCCTCGAAAGCGTCTCCGAGTCCTGGCCCCGTTCCTCGGTCTTCTTCCGACTCTCCTGTTCCTGAAACAAATTCAGCTCCTGCCGGACTCGGACAGCATCCTCCAACTGCTGTGTGAAGCTCTCAATAAGCTGTTTCTGCTGCAACACCTGGTCCTCCAGCATGTTGTTTCGCAACGTCAGGTCTTCAACCTGGTCGTATGCCTTCGACGCCGTCAAACTCACCTCCTTCAACTGCGCCTCAAGTATACCCGTTCTTTTCTGCTCTCCACGCAAGGAGGCATCTGTGAGTGTCGGGGTGACTGGCGGCTTGAGGGAGAAGTCGCCAATCCTCATTTTCGGCGTGGCAGGCACCAGTTTCGAGGAAAGCGATGCCGGCGAGGAGGGGGTGTCTCTCTTCTGGAAGATCTTGAACTGCATGCCTGCTTTTGCTATCTTTCTCGGGGTGCTGGTTTCGTTTACAACTCTGTCCTATCTGCCCCGTCATCTGCATCTCGTCTACTCTAGGCTTCCTATAACGTCACCGGGATCACAAACACGCTGACTTTCATACAATGCACAAAACGTCCTCGCTAGCAAAAACACGAGAGTGCGGATCGGGCTTCGCTGCCAGGGCAGTTAGGTACACGCCGAAAGCGGAAGCCGGGGAAGACGAAGGACAATGCGTTTCAACGGTTACATGGGCCTTACACACAGGTACACAGGTACATAGGAGGCTGCAAGAGAGCTCAACCTGTCTTCTCTTCAAGACGCTTCTCGTACAACACTCCCCTGTTGAAGTAGTCGTTCGGGTGAGTGATCGGGGCCTCCATGACGCTGAGACCCTTGCCGATATTTTCCTGGATGGTGGCCGAGTTGAGGACCTCGAAGACCTTCGTGCAGGCAGCCTGGTACTCTCTCGAGTCGCTCAACTCGAGAACCTTCTGCAGGTTGCCGTCGTCCTTCATGCCCATCTTCCGTAACAGCGTGGTGAGGCTCTCACTGTGCAGGTCTCTGTACGGACACCCGTGTGACTCCTGCTTGTTGGGCTTCGGCTTCGACAGGATCTGGGTACAACTCCACGGCTTGTAGTTAATCCGGGCACCCTCAAGACCATAGCTGTGTCTGAAGTTGTACTTGTACTCCTTGTTGAACTTCTCCACTGTCATGGCGCCGGGCCCGCTGGTGAACATCCGTTGCCAGAACTTCAAGGATTCGTTCGGGCCCATCCCAATACCCTTTAAAAACAATGTGAACTGCTGTCTGCCGGTATACCGTAAATGGTGGTGCTCATCCAACCCATCCGCTAGACGTCTGGCACAAGCTGGGAAGTATTTTTCAAATTGCTTGACGTTACCCGCATTGACCTCCGAGTCCGCTTGCTCTCCTCCGTCCTGGAAACCCTGGAACTCACTGCTAATGTACCCCTTGGACAAGTTGTCTAAAACAGGGACCAATCGCTCGTCTTCATCGAGCCCTGGAAGCAATCTCATGGTGATTAGTAGCTGTTCTTCAAGGTATTTCCCGAATTCATTAGCCAAAAGGTTCATTTGCAAAAACTCAGGTACGTAAGCGTCCCCCTTCCTCACCACAACCTTCCGACTGGCAACAAGGTCAGGAACATTTTCCCATGGTAGTTTGCTCACCTTCTCGTCTTTGATACACTCCCAGACATCCTTCTCGTCAACCACTTTGCGCTGTATGTAGTTCGAAGAACCACCTAGTATTCCCTGCTTGAAACCAATGGAAACATCATTAAAATGCGTAGCAATCAGTTCTGCCTTCAACTCGTCCTTTTCACTGTCAGTGACCTCTTCCCATGGAACGTCCAAGCTATTTATAAATTGCTGTTTCTCACTCTTGGTGAGCTGTGAGTACCTCAACTTAAACAGGAATGTCTCAGTACTAATAAACTTCTTTCTTAGTTCCTCACTCCTGCAAAAAGCGAGACGGAGTATAAAGTGTGAGTAGTGGTCTTTTCGTCTTTCCTCAAGTAATAGATCTGGCTCAAGTGTGTTTAGAGAATGTAATGGCATCAGCATCTTGATTCTTTCTGTCATTAGCTTGATAAGATCACTATAGTTTGTCCCCTGACTTTGCAAATTACTTATTTCTATTAAGATCTTAAGTCTGTCTATTGCGTAGGTCTCAAACTGATCTAAAGTCACCTCGGTCATAGGTGGAAGTTTATAGAACGATATCCTATCCGGGTATTCTTTCAGAATAGTTTCATCGGCAGGCCCAGAAAGATATGTGACCGGGCCGTCAAAGTTGCGGCGTCCTTGTGTTCTTCTTTTAATCTTCTTAAACATGTTCCGTGGTTATCGTATGACAAAGGGTTAGTACTGCGCTGAAGTTGTTTCCTCTGGTATACATCTTGGTATCCTATAGCAAGAACACGACAACTTTCCGATATGTACGCGTCAAACCTGTGAAGAAAACAAGAACGCGTTTGAATACCCCACATACACCGAATATATTTTTTTTTTCTTAATTTTTTTGCGAACTTGTTAGTCTGTTATAAAACTATTATTACCCAAAAATGCCATTTATAAACTCGTAAAAGTAGTGTGCCAATACCCAAGTCTGGAACAAGACATAAAAGTGTCAGTGTCTTTGAACTGAAATGCTTACCTCGTCTAAATCACCCCATCGGTTCTAACCGGAAGCCTATGGTGAAACATTACAGAACCATCGTCGTCGTCACCGTCATCGGACCACTTGTAGCATGAACCATACCACGTTCTCTTCAAGCATTTGCGCTTTTTCGTTCCTGAAGTACTGGACAATGTAGAACTGGTTGGCGATGGATGCGAGATCGACTTCGTCACACGTTTCCGGTTATGCGAATGGTCAACAAAGGTCCAGTCGTAGCAGTCTAAGCACGGTGGTGGCTTCACGCACGGTGCAGTTTCATTCGACATCATCAAGAGCTTGTCGATGACAGTTTTCAAACGATGATTCAATATGTTCACGTGCCAGCCCAAGGTGGTGACAGTGTCGTAGACACATTTCAACCCAGAGTGGCAAACAGACTCCATGGCGTAACCGGCGATTCCACAGCTGGAAGAGGCGCCGTTGCAAACTCCCATAAAAATCGGGTCCGCATTATTGCCAAAGTGCCATATATGCTCCATCTCGGCAGGAAGTCCCGGGGGCATTGGCAAATGCAATCTTTTTGTTGCCAACATCTCTCCCGGAGCCTCAAACGTCACCGCAGGAAGCCCATACGTTCTCCCAAGCAGGGAGCTCAACGCTCCTCCCAGCGAATGGCCTGTCACCCATACTTCGTTCTCCGGATACTGTTCCCTAACATTGCGATAGATATCCAACACGGCTTTGTAGTACCGGTCTGGGTTTCTCAACGACCTTTCGAGACAGTTTTGGTTGCAGGTGTAGGCCTTCTCATAGCAGTCGCAGACAGTAGTCCATAGCGAGGAGACTCTGGCACAGCAACATGAAAATAGCAAGTTGTCGTTGAACTTGTCCATCTCTACCGTGCGGCCGTCGTCGCCGGTACTTCCTTCGCCGTCATCACCACCACCACCATTCCCACCACCCAAACCTGCGGCACTGGTGCCCTTTATCGCAATAATGATCAAAGGAGACCTTTCAAACTTACCCTCGTCTATACTTTCCACAAAAACATGACCTCGTAGTCCACTTTCTGTCCACCCAAAACCGTCACTGTCGTTGAAAGCCTTCCCAAAGTTCGAATCGGGGTCGCTGACGTCCCTCCAGCTTGGGTCAGCCGGTAGCCTGGCGTACGCATTGGACGCTAGTTTTGCTAGTTGCAAGATGGTTTCAGAATCAGAGATATTGGGAATCACAATATCATCAATTGACCACTCTAGGGAATCGTCCGTATTTATTTCGGGATGCTGTAAAGAATGAAATATGTACGATTCCATCGAGTCTGGGCTTCGGTCCTTTATTCGTTGAATCTGGGAATATTGACCTTTGATCTCACACGAGGTGATAACACCGCTTTCGTCTAGCTTTGTCGCCATCCCAACATCTCTCTCGCCCGCAACCTCAAGACGCAAATGCCGGCCTCCAGGGACCTTGTCGTGTATCTGTTTGAGCTCAAACTGGAACCTTGTGTCCTCTATGCTGGTGTCGTGCACGCTGGTTATCTGAGCATCTCCGATGGCGTTCTGCGTGAGGCAAGTCCACAGCAACAGGAACGAGCTCACCACCATCATCGACGACGCCACATGCAGCCACATGCTTGTTGTTGATTGACTAATTCTTTTGTGTGGTTATTTTTCGAGATACAGAAGCTCACCCTTTTCCATCTGGTCTTCTGGGCTCATCTAATCACCAACTTTTAAGATGTGCCACCCCCGATAGATTAGCCCTTCATGGGGCAGAGCGAGGAAGAGAAGAAAAGCCGGGGCTGCGCCACAAATGCAAAAATACGCCGATCGGCGTTTGTGGCGCAGTGAGAGACATTCCAGGTTCCACAGAGTCGGGATACGTAACCTAACAATACAGTAGCTATACAGAAGATATGGACGATATGCTCAGACAGCATTGCTGTAGGCAGCATCGACAGGTTTGTCCATGATGGCGGCGTGGAAGAGGACCAACACAGCCGTGATGAGAGACAACCAGAAGACGGTGGACAAAGGACTGCAGAAAAAGAAAACCGGGATGTTGATGGTGAGAAGGATCGAGTACCAGACGTTTCTGTGTAAGCGGAAGAATCTCAAGCTGAGCTCGTCGCTGTTGCCGTATGCTTTCTGGACGAAGTAGACGATGACCAGCTCCACGAAGACGAAGAGGAAGAATGGTATGTTGGTGAAGATACAGTAGAGGAAGAAAAGGAAGGCGAGGGCCGTGTAGTTGGAGGCAAAGTAGGAATGATTGTATGTGACTCTTTGCTGGAAGTCGAAGATGCTCTTGGGTATAGACATTCTCGAGAAGTCGAAAAAGTCGTCCACCTTTTTCATGGATTTTATGTTGCTCATGAAGGTGGAAGAAGTGCCCGTCTTTGGTAAATAGAAGATGCATTGGGAGCGAGGTTAAGATGTTAGTACTTGCTTCTATTGGTTCAGCCGTGATAGCTGCTGTGGAGCGGAAAAGAGAGCTGTTGCAACTTGTCCCGGTAACCAATCACTTACCTTGAGCTTATCGAAGTCGAAATTGTCGGTGAAAGACGTGAACTGGGTAGGCACAAAGTTCGACATCGTGGTCTGTTTGTACGTGTATGTGTTTATATGTGCGGGAGGCTGGAGTGCAAACGTCGTTCTCTCCAGACGGATGATACCAACACTAACAACAACGGGTGCCTGCTGTTCTCTCAGATCAACCACCGGCCGCAATAATGCGTGCACCACCCTGAATATTTTTGGCGCCATGATAATCGGGGCGCGTGGCACACGAAAACGGCTCGCAGTGTGAAGGCTACATTTGCACAGGATACTCTCATCAGCTATTGACCTATAACGTTTAGAAAAAGTGTAAGAAAGGTAAGCGCAGTGGCTACCCAATGTTGCCCATCTTGTTACCACTCCCCTTCTTGTTGGAGTCGGTGAAGTCGTCCCACTCTCTTAAGCGGCGCGTTTCCTTGTTCTGCCACTCGTAATCGTCCTCGTCGATCTCGGGCTCCTCCTCCTTTGGTTTCACCATACCACCGTTCTGTAGCTCCTGCTCAACCAACTCCTCAACAGTCATTGACGGCAACACTTGACCGGTCCCAAAGACCTTATTTTGTAACTCCTTTCTCTGTTTGTCTGAGCTGACGATTGTGAAAGGACGCAAAACCTTGCCCTCTTTGCTGAGAAGCTTTTTGTCGTTATCCGAGAACTCGAGCTTGTCTGTGTACCCCTTATCGAAGATCGAGCCTTTGTTTTGGCTTTTCCTGGAATCCTTGTCTTCCGTTTCAGGGCTGATAAGCTTCATGCCCTCGATATTGAGCTGTTCCAGATCATCGCCCGATCCCTGTACATTTGTCAACATTTCTCTCTCCATGGCGTTACTCTCGAGCAAACTGACAGATTCAACCACCGCAAGCAGTAGCTGGTCTATCCGAACCTTTCTGACAACCTCATCGTCAAATTTTCCTACCATGTCATCGGTATCCCCGATAAGTTTCACCTTTTGCCCCAATGCCTTTTCAAGATTCCATTTGTCTATCTTCATGTCTCTACGGGCCATAGGACCTGCACCTTTAAAATTGATCAGCTCCAATTCGTTCAGCTTTACAAATCCTTTCGTTCCGTGGCTGGAAATTTCACGCTGTCTGATATCTGAATACGCTGTGATCCATTTGTATATTCCCTTGAACTTCTCATCTTCCTCCCCGAGAGAATCTCCAATCTTTAAATCTAGCACAACCAATGAGACAAACTTCCATATCATCGACTCCACTATCTGAAGGGTGACTAGCCTCAGCCGGTTACGCTTTGCAGGCTCTGCATCAACTCCCAACTGGGAGCTTACGGCATTTGAATCAATAAATTTTCCATGCTTGTACGAGACAAGTAAGTATGCCAATGAAGAAGTGGACACTTCATCAAGCGTCTCATTTTCAGAAAACAGGTCAGCTTTTTCTATAAGATTAGATAGTTCAATGAACTCGTTATGAATTTTTCTAAATTGCTCAAACGTCAATCTCCCTTGCACATTCTTCAAGTCAGCATTCAACGTTTTATACTTGGACGCTATTGAATTCTGTTCCATGATATCAAAAGTCCGCTTTCTTTTACAACGTCTGCTCCAGTTCCTCGTCTGTGTCAAGTTCAAACATCAAGTGGACACAATTACTGAGTTTTCGCCTTTCGGTTAATATATTTTGTTCAGATGGTCCACATCTGACATCGATAAATTCTTCGATACCACATCACGTAATCGCGTACTATATAATTTTTCTAATTTTCGTTCATAACATATTTTAAATGGAATTTATCATAAAGCTGTGATGGATAACCTAAAGAAAAAAGGAAAACAAAAGGGAGAAACCACAAAACTATAAATAAAAGAAAAAAGTTGGAATAGATATAAGTAATAAGACACAAATGGTTTTTTGGGGGAAAAATATATATACACATATAATCAATTTTCTACCTTGATTCTTTTTTCAATGTGACCTGCATTGACGGCTTCATCGTTACTTGCCTGACGCTTTTCGCCACTGAATTCGGAATTCATCTTTAAGTTAACCTGTTGTTGGTTTTGAAGACCCAATGAATACTCGAGGTCACGAATCTGTTTTCTATACTCTGATTCCGCCTTCTGAAACTTTGCATCGACTTCTTCAAGTTCATTGATTCGTGTCTTGTACAAATCATTCACTAGTTCCAATTCACTGATCCGTGTACGTAGTCTTTCATTTTCATCGTGAAGATTGGAGTTATTCATATTGTTGATGTTCAACAAGCTGACATCAGCACTGGCACTGGCACTACCGGGCGGGCCATGAACTTTCGAGTTTGTTTCATCGTTATTGTACATTACGCTGGAAATTCCGGGAACATTTTTAAGAGGTGGGAGTTTGTTCAGCTGTTGCTGCGACTGTGATTGTTCTAGTAGTTGATGCTGTTGAGATTGTTGAGCTTGTTGTTGTTGATGCTGTTGAGCTTGTTGAGTTTGTTGTTGCTGCTGTTGTTGTTGTTGTTGATGATGCTGATGCTGCTGAGGAAGTGGGGGTTGTTGCGTGATCGCTGTCAGTGGAGGAAGTGTGGTATGAATCTGCTCGGCAGCTTGATAATGTCGCTGCTGTTGCAAAAGATTTATACCCGCTACAGGAGAAGGCGATTTTATATCGGTGTTTGGCGGTGACAAGATATTATGCAAATGAGTTGGTTCATTGGATGAAGATTTGCCGTCGTGCTCATTGAATGAAGTTTGGGATCTAGATAACAGACCGATTGGGGGCAACTTTTCCACCATTGCAGTTGGGTTTGAAAGAGGAGTTGAGTGTGGAGAGTTCAATCTCATTCCAGGAATATAATCTGTAGAGGTTGCTTGCTGGCTCAGGATTTCTAAAGCGCCAGCTGCATTCAGCACCGCATCTCTATTCAAGTTGTTTGGAACAGAGTTCATTGAAGAAGATCTTTCGGAGGATTGAGACTGAGAAGGGGTTGGGTTTAATTTCGGAGGTGTCGTCGTGGATAACAGCAACGGTGAGGTGATTCTATTCAAATTCGAAACATACTGTGTTGGGGTGGAGGAAGGGTAATGAAGAGATTGGATATTTGTACCTTGAGACTTATTCATCCAAGCAGTTGTAGAAGCGTAGGTGTAAGGAGTTCCAGGAGGCAAGTTCTGAGTGGCCTGGCCTCTTGGCAAAAGTGGTAGTAGGTTTGGAGAAGTGATATTACCATTAACACCATCACTGTGATTCAGCTGTTTTGATTTGTTGGTTTTAGCAGCTTTACTAGGTTGGTCTTTGGAATCACTCTTGGTCGATCTCTTCGATTTGGAATTCTTCGTATTCGGTTTGTACTGTTTTGGCAAAAACTTCGACGAGATCTTGTTATTGCTCGAATTGTTGATGCTCTGCATCCCGTTTTGGTTTGGAAGGTTACTTCCGTTGGAAGGCAAAGCTGGTGAAGAGTGGTTGCCGCTGGTGGAGTTGTTATTGTTGTTGTTGTTATTGTTGTTGATGTTGGTGTTATTGTGGGTGCCATTCAGCACATTTGAGCCATTGACATCCTTTGCCTTCAACTCAGGTGTGTTTGGTGACGACTTGTTGTTGTGCTTGACTCTATTTCTTGACTTGATGACATCACTCTTCAAGGAAATCGGTCTTGGACGTCCGTGCAGTTTCAAAAACAAACCGCAAGCGTTACACAAAACCTGGCCTGTTTCATCTCTTCTCCACAACGGAGTCGTCTGGGTCTTACAGTTCTTACATGTCGGGGTGGACATGTTCTGTTTTGTTGTTGTGGAACCGTTCGACTGTGTTGTCGTGGTGGTTTTGGCATTGGGGACAATGTGGTCCAAGTCTTTCTTGGAGCCGTCTTCGCTGGAGGAGTTGTTGTCCTGATTCGAGCCCGATGGCGACAGGTGTTGGGAGTGCGTCTCAGGAAATTGCGGTTCATCTCTGAACTCGTCCTTCACCGAGACTTCAGACTTGATTGTAGGCTGTGAATGCTGGTGGCTGTTGGCATGGTTCGACCGTGGCGACTGCTGCGACGCAGCAGGTGCAGCTGGCGCAGCGCCAGAGGATCCAGATGGCACTGAGAACGGTGGCAGGTGGATCGCAGTGCCTGGAGCCTGAGCAGGGGCAGTAGCCTGGGGGCCCGAGGGGGCCATAACGACAGGGGGTAAGGCGGGGTTCTGGCCCGGATTGCCAGAGTCGATACTAGTAGAAGCCAGATGTTCCATGTTTGACGACGAGGCCTTCAGCATGCTCGACGGGTCGGCGTGTCTCAGACTTGGAGTTCTTCTTTTTTTTCGGTCTCCCCTTTTGAGTGAGTCCTTCTGAGAGACAGCAAAGACAAATCAAAAGCGAAAAGCGCCGGTTGGGAAGGGCAGAGCTATGCACGGCACGTGTGGCGGTGCTTCAGCGGTTCGCTGGATACGTGGACGTGTGTAGGTGGGTGGGAAAGAGCAGGACACACACAGAAGCAGTCCAGATAACGCTGTGTGGTGTGCTGAAAAATGACGTAGATAAGAATGAGGGCGTGGGTGCAGCTGAGAACGGTGTCCGGGCGGCAGCTAGGTAGCGTGTGTATGTAGAGGCACAGATAAGCAGCCCAAAGGTGGTGGCGATACAGCAATGCAGGGTGTACACGAAGCAACAACGCAGCAAAGCAGTTCAGAAGCAACCGCAACAGCACTGGCAGACGCAGATGAGAGTGGACAGCACTCCAGATAAAAAAGATATGAAAAAAAAAACTGGAAAACCGTCAATATCAAATCGCCAACCAGGGTGATAGCGCTGGAAAAAAAAAGGGTCGCTCGGTTGATTGGGGGAGGCACAGCGTGGTCATATGCTGTTGTGAGAGAGCACCGCAGCATGCGACTGCGACACTGAAAAAATTTTATCTCGGCATTTCGCATTACGACTTTTTTCTTTCCGGCATTTCTCATTTCTGGAGATTTTCATTTTCGCATTTGGACGGATTTTCCGGCTCTTTGCAGGGATGGACTACACAGGGCAAGGGCCGATGATGGGGGAGGAGGGGTGAGGAGGGGTGAGGAGGGGGGAAGGCATTGAGGGGTCGTGTAAAGCTGTCAGATACTGATGGCAGGATAAAAAGCGGCAGAGGCGGAAAGAACGGGCAGATAAGCGGGCGGGGGCGGAGAGCGTATGTGGAAAGCGTGCCAGCTGCGTCGGCGACGCAGCGGGCAGAAGGAGGGTTATCTGCACGATAAGGCGCATGTCTGATTTTCCACAGCACAGAAAGGTGCATATCGGCACATGAGGAGAGAAAGAAGGCGTTACGTGGCCGTTCCCGGAGGGAATTAGTAATAGTGGGACGTTGCGGGCAGACGGAGGGGGCAGGAGGGGGCAGGAGGCTCCGGCGGGTGGGGCGCTATGGCACGGTGGGCCGGTGGGCACACGCAGCTGTAGAGGGCAGAAGGGGAGACCCGGAGTCGGGAGAGCAGAGCAGAGCAGAGCACAGCAGATGATAGCAGCAAGCTGCGCCGGACGGAAACACGTCCGCATCCGGAGGGCGGGTGTGTATCTGGTGACAACGCCCCACACATGTGCCGGCAGGGATCTGCCACACCCGTTATTGGCTGGCACGCCAGCCTGGCCAACCCTTAAACCCCCCATGCCCCATCATCGCTCACCCAGTGCTTATCCCTGCTGCTGCTGCCCCGCTCGCTCCGGCACGCGGACGATAAGGATGAAAACTCGCCGAAACGGTTAGCCCGGAAGGACGGGGAGAGCACGCTGCGCAAATAGGCGGAAACGGAAAGGTAGAACGAAAGACGTGACGAGACGGCTGGCCGGTGCACGGGTGTGCGCGGGGGAGAGGGCGCCGGGAGGCAACATGAATGTGGCGGCAGGGCAGGTGCACCTGCCGAATGCGGCAATTTGAAAATCCTCGTTCCCGGGGATGCCCTCGGGCACACGTTTCGGCACCCTGGGGCAGCCAGTGCCCCTTTCTTCCCCCCTCACACGGTGGCAGGTCCTCCTTTGACGAGGAATACAAATACGTTTGTTCCTCTTCTTCTCCGTCCTCTTCTTCCCTCCCCCGTTTCTGCTTCGGGTCTGTCTGGTCTTGGGGCTGTTTTCTCTTCTCAGGTCACTCACTCTCGATACTGTTTGAGTAATCGCTGTTCTTTAGTAAAAAAACATCTTTGCTATCCTGCTTTCAATATTCTAAAAGATCCAAAAAGACAAAATGGTTGCTATTAAGAATCTTGTCTCTACCTCGCTATTAACTTCTGTTGCCCTCGCCGGAGAGGCTCCTTACAACTCGGACTCCAAGAAGAAGGCTGTGGCAAGAGCACATCTCGACAAGGGTCTAGTGAAGGGTATCATCGAGTTCACGGCCAAGAGCGGCGTTGTTGACGTCCACTTGGACGTCACCGGGTTGCCTCCAAACGCAGGTCCTTTCCAATACCACATTCTTGACTCGCAGGTGAGCGAAAAGGGCAACTGTGAGGACGGTGGAAGCACCTTGAACCCTTACGACGCGCACTACAAAACTTGCGACGACCTCGACAATGATGCCCTCTGTTCCGTGGGTGACTTGTCCGGTAAGCACGGTTACATCAACACCACCTGTTTTGAAACCAGATACACCGACCCATACCTCTCCTTGAACCCAAACAACAAGGCTTTTGTTGGTAGTAAATCGTTGGTCATCACTGACCAGAACAACAAGAAGATATCCTGTGGTAACATCAAGTTGAAGAGACACAGTAAAATGACTAGAGATGAGTCTTCCGACTATGTCCTGCACGACGAGTTGATCCATGAGCCATACAACAACTCCACCAACTCTTCCAACTACAACTACGAAGAAGAGACTTCAACCTATGACTCCGGATCAAACTCTTTATACGTTTCTGGTTTGATTGGTGTCTTGGCAGGTGGTTTGTCAGCCCTTATTTAGAGTAGAAACATTATATCTTTTTTCTTCCATCAATACAACACAACTGAAAAACGGTAATAACTCCGATGGCAAGACGCACTGGCTAGCAGTCCCCTACTCTTTCTGTACAGACTCCATTCCGAAAGGTGGATCGTGTTTAGATTTGTAAAAAACGAATGCAACTCTATGTGTATGTCCGAAAAAAACGTGTGGCCGGATGACGTAAGAGACAAATCGATACATCCCCGTCATGGTCCTTTCGGGCTGTTCCAGAAAAAGAAGAAGCGAGAAACCTATCCACACATCTGGCTTGGCTTGCGCATGCAGGACATGTTGCGATTCATGTCCTACCCGTCCTTAAAATGTGTTGAACTCTCTTTTTTTGCGGTCAATTGCTTTCTCCTCATCCTGTTAGATTTGTACACATTTGCTTGTCTACAATAGCAGCCATATCTGCTTGTTGCCACTACCTCCAGCATGACTATCTTTGTTGCATCATTGTAAGTATTTCAATGCCGTCATCGATTCGTTAACGGAGTAGAGAGATACCTGTTTTCCTGAGTTCTCCCCTAAAGGGGGGACGAATGAACGTCGTTGTGCACTACGCACTTACAAAACCATGCAAATCTCCTCCAGAGGTTGTCATTGATCCGAAACACCGCTCCTTGCAAGTACTAACATCATCTTTCTCATCAAGATTTTTACCGTACACCGTTCATTTCGAACTCAAGCCCGAGGATGCTGCGGATATGGGTGGTAACGAGTTTTTGGGGGATATATTTGAACCAATTCGGAAAGAGGTGCCAAAACCGGACATCAACCCTTCTTTGAGAAGATCGTCCAACCTCAGCACGAACGATGATGACGAGTCGAACCTCTCCATCATCCAGGCCCTATCCCACAACGTATCTTCGTCCAACCTCTCCATTGACTCCAACCAAGACACCTACTTGGACAGCAGCAACTTCAACGGAAACATCGATGATGACACAGACTCGATATCCTCAACCAGTAGCATTGTTGTTCCAAGACCAAAGCCAGTTGGGGCTCTTACCGAGCAGGTTCCACCGGCCTCTCCCAGCCCATTATTGGGTCATCATCTCCCTCAACATCCGCACGGCCTTCACACCTCGAGTAACGTTTCCCATCTCAGCAACAACTCGAACCAAAATGTGTCCGTCCAAGACTTCTTCTTCAACAACCCGCATAAGACCAAAATGACCTTGAGCTCCACTTCCCTCGACGACGTGAACTCCTTGGGAAACATACACAGCTCACCTTACGCAGAGAAACTGGTACCTACTAGCTTGGGTCCAACACCAAGCCAGCCCCAAGCAGGCCGTAGTCCCTATGGACAATTACAGGGGACTCCGACTCTTGTTAAACCAAAGGCCATGTTGAGAAACGTGACCCCACAACCTCTAGTCAACGAGGTTCTTCCAAAGAAACCCTTTCTCGAACCAAAACTCTCGAGTATGAGAATCAATCGGACACATCATTCGAGCTTGAGAAACCTGAAAACAGCTTCCATTCTTTCGTTGGATAAGAAGATCGGTGTTGGTGCCTCAAGTGCTGAACTAGAGGGGCAACCAAGCAATGATGGATCCGATCCACTCCAGCAAAAGAACATCATGGACACTTACAATTACGATTCTGTTTCTGGTAACTACACCGATTTGCTACAGAAAGAAGAGGATGAAGTGATGAAGATCACCAAAGATTGCAATAGAATCGTACCATTTGGTGGGTTTTCAAGGCGCCATAAATTTGCAGAGGATATGGACGATCTTTTCAATACTTCACCTTGGAAAGTCGTAGAATTTGACAAAGGAAATGGAAGTTTGATCAACTCTATCGAGTCTGCCAGAGACAGCAATTTAGGAGATTTTACGTGGATTGGGACGATATCGATCCCGTCAAACATTGTTCCGGAAAATATAAAAGCAGATATTACCGATGAATTAGAAGACAATTATAACTCTAACGTTATTTTTCTTGATGATGAAGTTTTTCAAGGCCACTATAAGTCGTTCTGTAAACAAATTCTTTGGCCTATTTTCCATTATCAAATTCCTGACAATCCTAAATCCAACGCTTTTGAAAACCATTCCTGGAAGTACTACGAACAACTCAACCAAATGTATGCTAACAAAATTGCTGAAAAATACAAGAAGGGTGATATCATTTGGGTTCATGATTACCATTTGATGCTATTACCCCTCATGCTAAGAAAGCTAATTCCTGATGCTAGAATTGCCTTCTTCTTGCATATCAGTTTTCCTTCCAGTGAAGTATTTCGTTGCTTAGCACAGAGGAAAAGGATTTTAGAAGGTATGCTAGGCGCAGATTGTATCACTTTCCAGAACGAAGAATATATGGCTCATTTCTTGCAAAGTTCTAATAGGTTGTTGCTAGCAGATTTCAATTCAACTGGAGTGTACTATAATGACAGGTTAACAACAGTCTCTTACAATGCTATCGGATTGAACTTCAAACATCTGGATACCCAATTGAAGTCAAGCGTTGTGAAAAATTGGAAGAATTTAATTGAAGAAAGATGGCCAAACAAAAAGTTGATTGTTAGTAGGGATAAAATAGATCAAATTAGAGGATTGAAGGAAAAGTTACTAGCTTATGAGAGGTTTTTAGACGACCATCCAGAATATATAAGTGAAACAATTTTGATTCTGATTTGTGTTCAAAGTGGATCAACTGATGAGGACTATAAGAACGAGCTTTTGGCCATCACTGAAAGAATAAATTCCAAAACTAAAAACATTTCAATTGATCAACCTGTTATTCTTTTGAATCAGGATATTGAGTTTGAGCAATACCTTGCATTGCTGAGCGAAGCAAATGTTTTTATTGTGTCAACCTTAAGAGAAGGAATGAATTTAACATGCCATGAATTTATTTGTGCGTCAGAAAAATTACATTCACCATTAATTTTGAGTGAATTTGTTGGGTCTGCTTCTGTTTTGACCAAGGGTCCGCTGCTTTCAAATCCTTATAATATTCGTCAAGTATCAGGCCAAATCTATCAATGCTTAAACATGTTGGATGATGAAAAGATTGAAAGATGGAATAGCTCATTCCAACAGATTTTGAATAATGATTCTGAGACCTGGGTAAGGAAATGCCTCCTTGATATTGAAAATGCGTATGCCAATTCAAAATCTCTTCAGTCATATAATACCCTTGAACCATTGACAAAGAAAGCCTATGAGAGCGCCTTGAGTTCTATTTCTGATACCGATGGTAAAAGGTTATATGTTTTGAATCTTGATGATTTGACCGCAAACTTAGAAATTCATGGACAGACAATTCATTCTTATCAACAACAATTGATACATAAGACTTTAACCAACCTATCAGCTGACCCTAATAATTACGTTTACATTTTCAGTATTTTCCAAAGATCAGAATTGCTGAGATTGTACAGACGGGTACCAGATATAGGGTTGATTGCAGAAAACGGAGGAATAATAAAGCCTCCAAAATCTGGTGATTGGTTTACGGTTGTTGATGAATCAGAAAAAGCGTGGATTCCAACTGTGGTTGATATAATCAAAGCTTTTTGTGAACGTCTCCCAGGTTCTTATTATGAAGCCGAAGAATGCACTGTGATGTTCCATACAGAAACCACTATCGATATCGATATAGATTACAAGAATGGTTTGATTGGAGATTTAATCACACATATCAATGAGTTGTTTGAGAAGGATTTCAATGTGCATGCGAGTTTGAAAAGTGGAATACTAATCGTAAAGGAGATGAACTTGATAACTCGGGCCTTGGAATTTATTATGGAGCAGAATAAAGGGAACGAGAATTTACAAAAACTACCTTCAACAGCATCGGCATTTACTTCCCCTGTGTTTCAGGCCAGAGGCTCTTCAATCGCACATTCCCCTGGCCCAATTTCACCTATCGAATTAACTAAGACTAGTAGCTCAGGTTTGACTTCAAATTCTTCGTCAGAGAAGTGTTATGATTTTATCTTTGCCTGTGGTGCAACAACCCAAATTGACGAAGAAATATTCAGTTATTTCAATAGCATCAAAGAATACTCAGACTCTGTCGAAGTTGGGGAGATTGTCACTGTGTGTGTTGGACAAACTGGTAAAAGTAGAACATGTGCCAAATATTCGCTTAAAGGTATCAACAATTTGATAAACTTCCTCAATTAAATAGAGAGTTTGTCCTGCAAATACAAAGACTACAGTTAGTCATAAATGTTTCTTTTACATAGATTTTGTATTTATTTTAATTTGACTTTTACACATCAACTATCTTTTCCTTTCGTACCCATAACCTCCTCTCTTGGAATTACTCTGTCTTCCATTTTTGTAGTACCACTCGGAATCGTAATCATAGTAACCATCGTACAGTCTGCTATCCATATATTCGTTTGAATTTGAGTTTGGAATATATGTATTCTTCGAGCTCATATTAGGATGTGTACGTGGTCTTTTTGTTTTGTGGTTTGAGTAAAAGAGATCTTGAGAATCATAAGCAGTTTTTCCACGACTTTTAGCTTTGGTCGAAGACGATCTGTTTGAGGGTTTTTGTTTGGTAGGAGGTGGATGACTCTTGTTGGCAGCTTTTGTGATACCTGCTTCCCTAAAAGTGCATAATTCGTACAAATTTTCCATTTCATCAATGATTGGTTTATCTCCAACTTCATCGTATGGCTGTAGTGTGTCGTATATGTATTCGAACTCCGCCAATTTTATAGTCCCAGATGGACGTTCCACTTCCCAAAGAGTTTCTTTACCTCTCTTCTGCCTTTCCCTGTCGGCTTCTATTCTTTGCAAAATTAGGCTTTGGGTGAGTGATAATATATTGGAGTTCGATGGTGTTTGAGAAGACACGTTTCCCGGGGTCTTGGCGGGGGTCTTACCTGGAGTTTTAGCAGGAGTCTTGGCAGTGGCTCCATCTTCCGTATTCTTTACGCTCGTGTTGAAAATCGTAGGGCTAGAAGTGTTGTTGATGTTTGCCCCGGAGTTAGGAATTTTACTAGTTGATTCCATTGGCTTGATATGAAAGGGATCATCCAAGTAGTCTATCAACAAGAACTCGTATTCACTTTGCTTTCTTTTTTTTATTATAAAGTCCCATGCTGCTATGAGTCCCTGGTTGATTTTCTCAGGTATGTAATTGTCTTCTAACTGTTGTTGATGAGAATCATCAGTTGCTTTTGGGCTAGAGTTAACATAGTCATCCACATGACTTGATTTTGTTGGTTCCACATTCTCCATGTACATGCTCTTCTCGTCAAAGTAAAGACCCCTTTTAACATTGTCAATATCTGTTTCAGTGAGTAAGTTGCTGTTGTATTTTTTTTGGAATTGTGCAAGAACTTGAAGATTGAAGAGTTTGGAAATGTGCACCAACATGCTGTAGCAAAAAGGCAAGTTCGCCAAAGTCCTGATGTCCGACCTTTTTGGCACACCAGCTTCAGCACCAGCAATACTCGAGTCTGTCACATTCGATGGCGTTTCCGGTAGCACATACTGCAAGATCTTGTGCAAGTCCGATATTATGAGAAATGCGTAGTTGAAAATTATGTCATTGTCCTTGTATTTTGGCTCTGTAGTAACCAGGGTAAGGAAGTCGTCAATGAACTGAAAAAAGTTGAGTCTTTTATTGATGTCTAGTTTCGGAAGCACGTCTAGTAGTGCCGGGTATAGGTCTTCTTGTGTAACATAGTTTCGTATCAAAAAATTGCATATTTCGAAAGACGCCTGTTTGGACGAGTTTAGCCCCATCAAAAGCCCCGTAAGTTGCATCTGCAACTCAAATGAGTCCATGGTGTTCCTTCTTTTTTGACTGCAGACTTCCAACTTCTTCTGCGTGCGTCTACTGACTCTTCTGCAACCTCTTTTTTTCTTGCTCTATTTCCTTTCCTCCTTCTGTTTGAATCATCATCTTTTCCAGTGGTGACAATTTCATGGCGCTCAGTGGCTAAGTCAATCGCATGGTGCACGGATTTTCCATCTGGTGTGGTTTTCTTCTTTTTTTTCTTGTCTTCTCAGCCAGAGTGAAAAATTCAGCATCTAGAGGAAGAAGGGAAGGTTTGCCCCATTTCTTTGCCTTTGAAGTGATCCTACTGGCTCTGGTGCTGAATCTGATACAGCAAACACACAACAGCACAGCTTCCTTTCAACATGGCCAACAAAGGTAAAGGAAAGGGTGGTAAGAACAGAAGAAGAGGAAAGAATGAGAACACCACCAAGAGGGAGCTTATCCTCAGGGATGAAGACCAAGAATACGCTCAAATTACAAAGATGCTAGGTAACGGTAGAGTCCAGGCTACATGTTTCGATGGAAATGTCAGAATAGCACATATCAGAGGTAAGTTGAGAAAGAAGGTCTGGATGTCTCAGGGTGATATAATTTTGGTTGCCTTGAGAGACTTCCAGCAAGAACAGTGTGATGTTGTCCACAAATACAATGCCGACGAAGCCAGACAGTTAGTTTCCTTGGGAGAATTGCCAGAATCCGCAAAGATCAACCAAACTGATACTTTCGGTGGTGATGAAGACGAGGACATGAACTTCGAGTTCGGTGCTGAGTCCGATGATGATGGAGAAGCTAGTGACTTGGATATCGATGATATCTGATCTGACTAATCATTTATGCCATATATCAATAACCACAGTTACATTCCGATACAGCTTTATTGGATTCGACCACTGGCTGAGCTTATCACACAGTCGAGCTAGATAATTCGTTTTACAGTAATAATTTTACTATGTAGGCAGAAACTATATTGTATTCTAAGAAAGGCTTATCAGATACTTTATAAACAAAGCCTGCTTTCTACGTTTTCAAAACCCATACTATCCATATATTTTTTTGTACCACTCATATGAGCATGAATGTGCCTATATATAGTGAGTAGCTAAGCTAACAAAGTCCTGCTTTTGCTTCAGATCTCAAAACTGTCCGACCTTCTGCTGCGTACTACATTGTCGTTGTTTTCCAAGTCAACGTAGTCGGGTCTGCCATTCTCCATAGACTTTCTGAACTGATATGCTGAAAAGTCACTGTTGAGTGGAATGTCGTTCAACCCTTCACTGTTACTCGAAAACAATTGCTGGTTTTCGGTATCAGGGTTGTGTCTGGAGATGTCTAGAAGATACACACCACTAAAGATGATCAAAAATCCAGACAACAAGGAAATGACATCAACTATCGATGCGGTGTTAAACCCACCGAAGAGAATGAAAGAAGCACATAACGTGGCAGTGGTGAATGTGACGTAGTAAAGTGGATTCACAATAGAGGTATCAAATTGAGCAAGAGCCTTGTTGAAATAGTTCATCTGTGTCAAAATACAAACAACGACCGTGATGATGAAAATGTAAGTCGATGGATGGGAAAACTGGTTGTTGCCACTGAGAGTGAGTTTCAATGCAATACCAAAAGCTTTGATTGCACAGACAGAAATCGAGCCAACTGCAGAACAAATCGAAATGTAAATCATAGGGTGTTTGGAACCAAACTTAGGTGCAATCTTGACGATCATAAAAATGGAAAATGTACTAACCACGAACAAGTACGCCAAAAATAACGGTCTTTCAGCGTACGCCAAGATCTCATCAACAGTGGTAATTTCTTTGTCTGGTGGAGCATGGAGGACAATGATGATGGACCCCAAAAGACAAATACCGCAGCCCAACTTGCCTAAAACACCTAGCTTTTCTCTTAAGAATACCGAAGCCAAAACCGCACCGATAATGACGGAAAGGGCACCGAGAGGTGTCACTAGAATAGGTGGTGCAAATGTGTATGCGGCAAAGTTGGCAATTTCTCCTATTGCCATCATAGTAGTACCCACTATCCAGATGGGGTTTCTGAGATACGTGAGAGATTCTCCTCTAGATCCATCTTTTAATAGTCCAATTTTCGTCAAGACAAAAGACGACCCAATTGCAAAGGACGAGCTGATCGCCAAAAACAAACCGACGTATTTGTCCTCCATCGTGTTTGGTCAATTGTAGTTTTTCTTACTGGTCTGTGTTCCCTAGAAAGTTCTACCCAGCTACCAAGAACAAACTGTCCTGTTCAAGACACATCATCGGTTGCGTGCTGGACATGCCTAATCAAGCCTCGACGCGTTGAAAGCTAAGGTCCCCAGCACAGCCAGGAAACAAACAATTTTTTTATTTTTCCATCAAATCCATATTGAGTTTTTCATGTCGAACTTTTCCATGAATTACCCCGAACATTTGAGAGTTATATCTTTTGACTTGATCTTGCCGACAAAGATTAGCAGGGAGCTGAAAAATGGAATCCAAAGATATGGAGAACGCCCTTTTGGAACTGAAATCTGATGTGTTGAAAAGCAAGGCACAAGACAGTGAAAGCCAACTTAATACTCTTTTAAAATCTTTCGATCCAATTTTCACAGCAGTGACAGCAGGCAAAGTACCAACAGCCTACAGAATAAGTGCATGTGATACTCTTTCGGTGTGGTTTTCCAGGTCCATACAATTTTTCAACAAGAACAAAACATTCAAAAAGCAGTTTGAGAGATTGCTTACAGAGGAGAGAGCAACTTTCATTTTCCACTATGTCATTGATTATTGGAACGATTCTGGAGCTGCACTTGGTAATGCTTTGAAGGAAGTTTTTGTCAAGATGTTAGCGTACTTAACGGCAACCTTGTCACCGGAATTTCGTAACGAGCTTTTGGCAAAATGGCTTAAAACTTCTTTGGACCTTCCTTACACTATGAGAGCGTTCTATTTCATGATTGAACATTTACACAAGCAAGTTCAGCCTGTCGATTTCATACTCAAAGAGAAACCGGATTTTGTTGAAAGTTGTTTAGCAAATATATGGTCAAGAGCACTGGGAAGTGTAGTGGGAAAGTCAATTTTCTTAGTATTAAGATCGAATTACTCCGAAGACACAGAAGATCGATGGCTATACCTCTGGCAAGAGCAAGTTATTCATGCATTAGCTGATGTAAACCTTAGAAAAGGGATAGAAAGTTATCTTCTGCCTAGTTTGTTTCTAGTTTCCAAATCTGCAACAATCAAATTCCTAAGGTTAGTAATTTGTCAGAAAAATATACCCATACTATTATCTACCTTGAAAATTGCACAGGATGCAGCCATATTGATCGAACCGTTTTTAGAGACTGATCCAGATACAAATAAACCACTGATCAGTATCGATGAACTATCTTTGTTATTGAAAATGAAAACCGCATCATTTAGAATAGGAGCATTTCAGCTACTTGTCTCCTCCCCGAAACTTTCCAAAATTGTCCCTTCGGTTGTTTACAAGAAAGTTACGGAATCTCTGGATATGATTTTCATGGATGGAGATCTTGAAACAAGAAATGAAATGTTTTCATCTTTCAAGAAGTTTATTACCAGAATCAAGGATTCAACTTATGGACTACACAGAGATGCACACAGTCTTACTAAGAAAAACTTCAGTAAATTTGAACTTGAAATTCAAGGTAAGCTTGAAGCAGTTGAAGAGAGCAAACATTTTCTTATTGATTTACTGAATTATATCAAAGCATCCCTCAGACCAGGATCCTCATATCTCAAAAAGGAAATGTCTTACAAATTGCTAATTGTTTTGATAAGATCAGGATTAGACTCTAGAATAGCAGAAAAATATATTGAAAAAACAAAAGCAGTTAGTTTTGTTTTTTCAATGGACATCTATAATGCTGCATTGATGAGGCTAGTGATTGACAACATCATGGACAATTTTGAAGATATCAGAAGTTACTCTACAGAAGTCGTATCTATGGCTCCTTTGTCTTTAGATGACTATATTCATATGACACTTTTGCAGTCCAGAGCATTACTGATGCTTGGTGACATTAAGGGTAAGGAAGTTGACTCCGGTGCAAGGTTTTTCAAATTTTCCTTCAGTTATTATCAGAGTGAAAATGATTTGAACAAATGTGAAGGGATTATCTTATTGCTACTGGATAAAATTGATATATCTTTGCTAGAAGCAAAAAGGGATATTGCAACAGCATGCATTTCATACAGTATTCAAGGATATTTTGCTGCTTTCAAATTCATATTTGAAATAATGGACTATAAAAAATGTTCCGAGTTTCTGGTCAGTAGTAAAGTTGTGGACAGGTTAATGGAACAATCGAGAGACATTTGGAACTTAGTCAAGATGGTTTTGCAGCACGACTCTCCAGAGGGTTATTTGCTTGATGAATTTGAATCTAAATATACTGCAGAGCAAGAAGCAATGTACGGAAAGGGAACACAGGTTATTTCGAGTTATGCTTGGAGAAGTGTCAAGGAATCTACCTCTATGATAGATTCAATGCTGAGAGCCAAAAACTCGCCAATTACAGATCATAACATTATGCAAGTTGGTCCTCTTTTACTTGAGCAATTGGCTACTATCAGACATAGGGGTGCGTTCTCCGCAGTCTATCCCACATTCATTTCATGCTGTACATTTTGCAAATCAAAGGAAGCCCTCAAATCAATTCCAGAAAAATGGTTATTTGAGAATTTGAATTTAATACAAACCCGATCCAAATATATTACTAGAAGATCTGCAGGTATCCCATACTTGCTTACTGCAATCTTGAGTAGTGATATGAAACTTGTTAAACCAACATTTTACCAATTGATGGAGGTGGCACAATCCCCTGTTGATGCTCTAGATGCTGATATGAACAACGTGAACCTACCACAAGTCAACGCATTCAATTGTATTAAGAAAATTTTCATAGATGTTGCTCTCTCTGAAGAGTCTATTTTTTATGTTGATGATGCATTTGCTCTAGCATTGAACTCGTTTTCTTCTCCATATTGGGCGATTCGGAATTGTGCAGTGATGTTGTTCACTGCTTTACAGAACAGATTGTTTAGCAGTAAAAAGGTTAGAGCTAACTATCTTCCAAGTTACCCAGCTAGACTATTTTTTGAGAAATTTGGATCTATTCGGGGATTATTTTATGAAGCTCTCAATGAAGCAATTGCAACCGGATTTGAAAATCAAGCTGAAATAGAAAAGATATTTCCAATTTTAACAGTAATGAGTCGTTTAGAACCAACACCAGGTTACACTGGACTGGAAGCTTTTGTACCCTTGATAGTTCACATATTGGAGAATAAGAACTGGAAGGTGAGAGAGATGGCCGCTAGAAGTTTACCTTCAATAATTGACAGCTCTCAAGGTGTCTCTGTGATTATATCCAAGCTGCTGGACAATGTAACCAGCTCAGAAACTAATTTTAACCGAATGCATGGTTCTCTTTTGGCAATTAGAGAATTGATTTTGAAGTATTTGACACTATCACCTGAAGACTCTGACAAGTATGTAGAGGAGATATTTGCGAACAATGGTAATTTAAAAGGAAAATTCGAATCTAAATTAGCTGTTGTTTTATCAGACATTAATTGTTTCCCTATAAAACTAACCTATTTCCAGATTTTACACAAGCTCAAGCTCAATACGACCAAAGAAGATTCGAGATTTGAAAAGGTCCTGTTTGCATGGCTGAAAACTAATAACAAGCTAACGTCGTCGCTAGATGGCTCGAAACAGTTGGCATTGAAGCAGGCCTCTGAAATTTTATTTGATAATATGGAAGATAATAAAGCATTGGTTAGCGAGTGCATTTTCTCTCCTCTTTACGAACTTCAATTGAGTTGCATTCAGTATTATGATGACAAGATAAAGCAATCAGAATTTACTGACAGTATAACTGATTTACTGGTTGACAGTATATGGAAAATCCTTGAGGCCCAGACTACTTGGAACTATGTTAAATCCAGAGGATTGCAATTATTGAAGGTTTTGGTCGTAAAGTCCAGCAAGTCCGAAGATGCAGAAACTTTGAAACTACATGCTCAAAAATTAATATCTTTGATAGAATATGAGTCGAATGAAGATATAAAGTTGAGTGCAATGGAAACATTAGGTTCGTATATCTCTGGACTAATGGTTAAAGATTCAGCTCTTCATGTGGACCTGTTCAACTACTTCATTGGAAACATTCAAGGTATGACTGCAGAAAACCTAGAGTTTGTCATCCGTATTTCTGCATTGAAATCCTTGGTTGCATTTAATGAAGTGTACTGCCAAAGAGGACAGGATGAGAAGATTAAACTTCTGGTAGCAGGCTTCATTTTTGAGTTTTTAACTGATGACGATGACTCAGCATGTCTTCTTGCGTCCAAGCATTTGACTGAGTACGTTCTTTGTCAAAAAAATACTGTTCTAGTTCCTGTTGAGGTTGAGCGTCTAATGATGGAGTGGTTCTGCTCAATCAGTGATAAGAACGCTTTGAAGCTTTTTGTTAACTCAAAAGGTTTTAGCTTCTATGACACCAACACCCTATTCAGTGATATTGTTACGGGAGATTTGTTATTATTTTCGGCCGAAAAATCTAACCTAGAAAGAAATCCTACTGATAAAGTTTTAGAGTTGATCAAACTCATTGAAAATACGCCACTACAAGATGATGTCGAAGCACTACAAAATGTGATAATGCCGTTAAAAAGAAATCTCAAAGACATTACCCACTTTTTAGCAAACAACAATAAAACAGATGGTTGTTTTGGTTTACTCAGTAGTGAGCGAGTTTTTGACTTCATATTCTGTCAGCTCTTGTTGTACAAATCTCTTGAGAAACTAGGAATCGTTAGTTTCTCCATTTCAAACCTTGTTGAGATTTTGCAAGGCAGCAAGATGTTCTGTCACCCGTTAGTTTTGGAAATTTTGAATTAACATTATATTGTAACATATCTACATTATTATAGAAATTAATAGACATAAAAGCGTTTTTTTCAAGTGAGCTAGAGGGAAACGAATAAAAGCTATAAAACAAAAATCTGTGAGCCGAGGATAGAAAAGGTAAAGTGAGGTGTTAATTAAAGATTATTAAATTGTACGAATGTAAATTAAGAAAGGGTAATACTGCATGCGCAAGTTGTTGCTGAGCTAGCATGGTCAGTTGGAGGTGAATGAATGTTGGTGATATGTCATCATGATCAGGTCTTTTTTCCGTTTTTCATTACCGCCTTATTGTTGAACTATTCCCGAAGTTTTGGGAAGAAGATTTTGCCACTTATACGATGGAGTCTTCTTCAACTTTGTCTTGGTTTCTTCTGATCTTGAAGAATCTGATGCCGGCGCTTTCATGTGCTGGAGCTTGGGTATATTCTTCAGGCTGTGCAGGGAGGCCAGAAGGAGGCAGAGAGACTTGGATTGGCTCTTGTGAAGCCTGTAAGTGTTGAGCCTTTCTTTCGTGGTCCTGGTGCTTTTTGTATAGCTTGTGAGTGGTCGAGACACATGTGAGCATAAACAAAATCAACAAGCACGCTGTGGATGCCCAAACCATACCTAGAAGGTCGGCGCCGATCTTGGAAGACATACCTGCGTGGTTGAATTGGTTTCTGGTCATGACCGAGACGGCGGTGATACATGCTGAGCCGGTCATGCAGAACAAACAAGCAATGAAGACGAAGAAGGTGACGACTTCTTTCATTGCGAGCCAGCATGGGGCCATGACGGAACCGACAAAGGAGACACCGGAGAAAACCAAGGAAACCAACAACAACGGGAAGGAAAATCTGGAAAGGTAGTAGTAGGAGTTTCTGCTGTCGACAAAGTCCTGTGGCAAGGCAGTGGAGTTACCGAAGTTGTCGAAGGGAGAAATAGGGATGTCAGGGCCCAAGCCTGGACAGTTGTTGGACTCGGTGGAGCTCAACTCGTCTGGGTAGCAAATACCCCAGAAAGTCCATCTGGAGAACTGGCCATGGTCGGTGGAAATCAGCGAGGTGTCTGCTTCGACCCAGTAGAAGCGATTGAACGGGTACTCCTTGATGGCTCCAGAGAAGACAATGAAAAGCAACATCAATGTGGTACCTGCTAAAAGCAAGACGGTGACAAGTTTGTTCAAGATAGACAGGAAAGACATGGTGGTGAGTTCTGTTTCTGAATTAAGTGGTATTGGAGTCTAAGAGGTCGACAGTGTCCTAGTGAAAGATAGTAAACAGTTCAAAAAAGCAAAGAAGGATCCTAGTGTGCTTTACAAGAGTCCTGACGTTGTGTCGGTTGTTTACCGATGTTTCCGCTTAACTTCAGGTGGAGCAATATTTCTTGTCTGACTCGAAATCAGGTGCAAAAGGAAACACAGCAACTACGCAAGAGAAACAAAGTGCAAAGTGCAAAGTACAAAAAGCAAAAAGCAAAAAGTAAACCAACAGCAACCCAATAGCCACACTCAAGCTACATGGGCTAGCAGCAAACCGCCAACCACACAGAAAACAGGGCGGGTCTGTCACAGAGGATCCAAACAGAGGAACCCCAGCGGGTCAAGCCCCGGCCTGACTTGACAGCCCTGCTCTCCACTCCAGAGCAACAAGTAGAAAAAAAATTCACATCTTCTGCTTCCCCTTTAGGCAGTCTACATTATTTTGATCTCAACACTATTTACCTTTCACCTGTTGCGGCCACAACACACAAACGGATTTTTTCGCTGCGCCGGGCCTGCCAGGGCGGGGCAATGCAGCAGTTGATGACGACAACAACAAATAACAACAACACAACAACAGCAGCGCCAAAAATAGTGAGGTGGCTCCAAAAAAACAAAATGGGGCCGATCGACGTAAAAGTCACGTGAGCACGTCTAGGGGTGAGTTTTTGCCCCTTCTGCTCGGTTCAATTCTAGATCTGAGACAGGTTGAAAGATCAACACCAGATGAAGGAGGGTTTCAATGGTTCTGGGGAGGCGTGAGGCAGGCAGCAGGGTGCATGAGAATGTCCCAGGACCTGGTGGTGTTGGACTCGAATGACAGGCGAAACACGGTGGGGATTGGCGAGTCGCAGACGTCCTTTGCTCTGATATCCGACGTGGACACGGACGGGGACACGGACATGGACGTCGTGTGCAGCAGCTCGAAGCAAAACAGAGGGAGCAGGGAAGGCGGCACGCAGCGAAGCAAGAGCGGCGGTAGCCAGGGGCTAGACGATGAGGAGTTTCTGGAGATCTTTGGATTGCCCAGGACAAGTATCAGAAGCAGCGGCAGTGACACGCAACAGACGCGTAAAGATAGCGGCTCGTCGTCGTGGTCGTCGTCGTCGTTTGGGGGCAGTTTGCAGTCGCAGAGAGAAAAGGGTGAGGTGATAGAGATAATCGACGACCCGGCAGATGTGCCGGCTCAGGATTCGGTGCCTGGAAGACTGAATTTCCTGGACTCCGAACTCATATGCATAGAGGACGACGATGAGGACGAGGCGCAAGTGGTCGAGGAGGCAGCACGGGTGTACCCGACATCCTCGCCAAACACACAGCTTAACCGTTCGATTGACCTCATCGATATCGATGATCATGAGGAGCCCGAGGAGGTTGTCCAGGAAAACCATGTGCATATCCACAGCGGCAGCAACACCAACACGTCTACGGTAATCGACGACTCGTTGTCGGTGATCATGAACGCAGGAAGCGTTCCGCTGCCGTTCCCCTACGAGACACCCAAGCGAAATAGAGTATCTTCAAGCAGACAGAGAGCAAATATAGGCTCAATGTCGAGCCCCATCTTTGAAACTGCTGGAAGGAGGAATGCCGCTGAGCGAAACCTGCCGAAGAGCAAGATAAGTAAACCGGCTGCCCTATCTCAAAAGCAGAAACCTTCTGGCGTCATGCAGAATGTGCGGCACTCTATTCTGAATGTCAAGGATAGGGATGATCGTACGACGACTGCTTCGACCAAAAGCCCGAGAAGCAGCGTCAACGTCTTCAACACCGGAAGGCCGGACCGAACTTTATCGTCCGAGGTTTCGGAGTTCAGCAGCAGCCTGAACGAAATAGAATATTGCAACGAACGGCTATTGACTGACGAAGAGCTCAAGGAGAAGAGAAGAACTATGAAGTCCATCAAAAAGAGGGAATCCAATAGGGTCAAGTCCTTGATATCAGATCTAGCGGGTGTCAGAAACAAACGTGTGGATAGCTCAAGCAAATACTCCAAATCGGTGAGCAGCGTTTTGAATTTTGTGAAAAGTGCTGCCAACGCCCAATCAAGTGAAACGAGTGAGATCTCCAACAGCTCCACTCTCATAAAAGAAACAGACAACAACTTTATGGATAATGTCACCGATGAGATAAATCTGTACACTGATGAGCGCTTGGAGTTGATGTTGGAGCGGGCCAAGCAGCTTGAACCGGAAAAGTTGAAAAAGGTGAACCAGGCCAAGTATACGAAAGCAGAGTTAACTGAAAAAATCACCTGCTGTTTTACAAATGTTTTGAATGAAAAATTGGAGCTTTTGAATAAGGATTACACTCAGCATGTACAGCCTGCACATTTTGAAATGATTGAAGAGGCGTTGCCCATCATTCGCTTCAAACGATATGTCGATTCAGCATTATTCAAGAAGAAGAACACATATGTTCCAATTAGACCCCGTCACTTGTTCGAAAACTTTACAATCCTTCTCTATGATAGTAAAGATTTGATTGAGCTCTTCAAAAAGGGAATCATGAAAAGGCATCTTAATTCCGTCAAAGCAAAATATAAAGAAACCAAGATTGCCGTATGGGTGACTGGATATGACCAGTACCTGCAATCTTTAAAAACAAAGGCGAATAGGGCTTACAAGGAGAAAGTTCAAGAACGATTAGGTTCAACTGCCGATGACTCCTCGAGGAAGAAAAAAGTCACACAAAGCTATGAGGAAATGATACAGCCCTCCCACATCAAACAAAAGCTACTCAGATATGAAGTAGAGCATGGTTTTGCATTCCAGTCTTTCAAAGGACTCGGTGATATGCTAGAATGGTTGAAATATATTGCTTACACATTGTCATCTAAATATAATGACTCTCTGCAGCGAAACGGTGAAGTAACCAACATCGGCAAGGTTAAATCTGGAGAAACTCCAAAGGACTGTATAGTCATGATGCTTAGCCAAATCAAGGGTATGACAGAAAGTCGGGCTAAAAAATTTGTGGATGAGAGCTCATACAAATCAGTTGCTGCACTTTTTGATGATATAATGTCCGGAAAAAATATTACGCAAAGTAAGACATTGAGAACAGATCATGAACGTCTTATAAAGAAGATCTTTCTCTCTCGGAATGAAAACGATTTGTTATGAACGAAGGTTCGAAATGTATAGTAGGGTTGTAAATTAATTAAAGGCATTCGTTATTTAGCAAATAGAGAGTTTATAAAAAGGCTAATAGAGTTATAGAAATTTTTGGAGAGTAGCTAAATCATCCTTATCCACAGTGATTTTTGCCGAAGACAATTTGTTCAATCCTTCTTTCATGGCAGAAATCTCCTCTGGTGAAAAAGTGTATTTATTCAAAGCAGCGTAGCTCAAAGTGTTCACGATTCTCTCGTTCACTTCAACATGTGAGTCAGGAGATAATTTCTTAATTATTGTCATAAAAGCACCACAGCTCTTTGCCTCGGAAAACCTGTCTTCCTTCGATGTTTTCACTGCCTCATTTTCCTGAGTAATCTCGTCATAAAGTAGGCATTTTAGCAAACTGAGACTTCTTAGCAGGACTTTATTATCCTTTTTGTCGTTGCAGAAATCCTCGGACAAGATTCCCTCCAATCGCTTCCATCCGTTGGTTTTCACAAAAATACCATATAACAATCCGTTGTGTGCAACCAAACTACTTATAGCATACAAAGCCCGTGCTCTGACATTGAAACCATTCTCTTTGCTCGTCAAATCGAGAAGCCTTTGCATCCCCTCCATGCCAACTGATTTCAGGAAGTCTCTTTGAGCCTTATCGTTGTTCTGCACAGCGGTTCCTGTAATAAGTGCTCCTAGCCCTCTGAACTCATCCTGCTCCTCACCTTCGTAAGTGTATAGCTTGGCGATTTCAGGCCATATTCCTAGAGGAGATATGTTGTTCGCATTGTCCAAGTTCTGGACTAATATTTCAAAGTCTTCCAACGCAGTAAGCTTATCGTCAACACTGATTTGTGGGTCATTACACACTAAAACACTGATATCCTCCTTCATTAGCGTAGTATCATCTTTTCCAGTATCTGCGCCCAAAACCTGTGCCAAGAGTTTAGGATCTGGAGCTGGTGCTTTTGCACGCAGTTCAGGGTCTTGAGATTGTTGCGCAGTTGACCACTGTAATAGCTTTTCCATAACGTTCTTCTGTATCTGTTGTTTCTATCTTTTGATAAAGCTGTGTAAAAGAAATAATCTCCTCAGTAGCAGTACGAGGAATAATGGTGAATCTGTAGAACCTAGAAACAGCATTCTTTATAGTAGTGGAGAATGTCCAAATATGGGAAAAATAGGAAATTTTCCAGAAAATTCTTAAGATCTCCAAAACATTATATCACGTGACCACTCCGCCAGCATGAATTGATCGAATCTACATGGGAGTAGTTGAAGATAATGAATTTTCACTACAGGTGTAGATAAGATTCAGTAGAGAGTTAGAGAGTGGATCAAGCCAGGGGAAACAAATAGCTTCAGCATGGATGCTATCTCTGACAGGGCTTTCACAGAAACCGCAGCGACAACAGCGCAGAATATACACAAGGTTATCGATGAGACGCCCTCACTTTTGACTGTCATATTGGATGTGCATCCTTTGGAATGGAAGAAGTACATGGAGCAGAATGAGAACGTTGAGTTTCGACATGTGACGTCTGCGATGCTTGTGATGTTGAACTCGCATTTAGCATTAAATAGTGGCAACGAAGTGTCCGTTTACGTGGCGAATAGCTTTTATCACGGGGCCAAGCGAATGTTTCCCTTGAATGAGGAAGTTGTGGCAGAGGAGAGTATTGCAGTGAAAAAGGAAAAAGATTCAGCCGGCATTTCGAATGCTGGTGACAACGATGCTAGCGACGGTGTTAATGGTGAAGGTGATGAAGAGGATGAAGAGGATGAGGATGATAAAATCAAAAAAGTGAGGCCCAAAATCAAAACAGATGGCCCGAAGAAGAAAACCCCCTTATTGAAAAGTAGAGGTATATATGGGCAGTTCAAAGCGATTGACGCTAAGATCTTGGACGCACTAGATGAAATGTACAAGGTTGAGCCAGAGCGATTGCGCCAGATCGTTTCAAAGGACAAGAACTTTGTCAAGGGAACGATGACGGGGGCTATTTCGACCGCGTTGACAGCCATAAACAAGTTACAAAAAACAGAGGACAAGTTGAACATGAAGGCACGAGTGATGATCATCAGTGTCAGCGGTGACAATACGCTTCCCTACGTCTCGATGATGAATACGATTTTTGCGGCACAGAAAATGAAGGTCTCGCTGGATGTGTGTAAGTTGGGTGAAAAGTCCATTTTCTTGCAGCAAACCTCCGATGCGACAAATGGGGTTTACATTGACATCAAGCACCCATCTGGGCTGATACAGTACATGAGCAGTGCATTGTTCATTGAGCCGTTGCTACGGCCGATTGTCGTGTTGCCCACAAACACAAGCGTGGACTTTCGTGCGTCCTGTTTTGTATCCAACAAGGTGGTTGACGTCGGTTATGTCTGCTCTGTGTGTCTCTGCATTTTGAGCATGGTGCCGAGTGACGAGCGGTGTCCCACGTGCTTCTCGAAATTCGAACACAAGCTGATCACAAGAATGAAGCGGAAACCCAAGGTTCTTCCCTTGGAAGTGAAGAAGAAGAAGAAGACACCGGAGTGAAGCGGCAAACTGTGAGTGGGGTCATTGATAAAACCGTTTATATTATCGGGCTATAAGCACGTGGTGGTTCAAAAGTGCCATCGTACGAATAGATTTTCTAGATAGATAGTATACAGCTGAGATTTACGTTGCATGTAACTTCAGATGGGCCAAAACAGCTCAAGCAGAAGCGGTCGCCGCAGCGGAAACAGCAGCCTCGGTTGCCGCCTCCGTGGCGGTTGCTGCAGCGTTGGGTCCCATGAAGCCTCCCATGGTGGGGAACACCAAGTCGAGGTAAGACGTGCCGAGAGCAACGAACGCAAAAAGAATCTTGAAGATCCCGCTCGAGGAATCATCCGATGGGTCCTTGATGTATGGTTCGTTGAGGTACGTCTGCACTGCTATGAACAAACAGGCCCATGAGAGCGCCTTGTTCTTGAGGAACATCGCTGCCATTGGAAGGTTCTGTGACACAAAGTTGGAAGCACTGTTCTTTGGCTTTACTGGTACGTGCACGTATCTCTTCACGTTTTCCTTTCTAATCACGTCTCTAACCATTCTTGTCTAATCTATTAGCCTTTCTCCTTGCCGATATGTCCCTATCCCTATCTGTATCCTCTAATTTATTCACATATCTTTTCATTTGCCTCTTCCTTCATTTATCAATCCATCTGTTGGCCTCCCACAATTGCCAATCGCCGAAGATAGCAGATCTTGTCCTTCTCCGTGGTGCACGGGTGTCTTCAAACACAGAGTGGGGCTTTCGTATAGCCACTGGCTTTGGCGCGTTATGTGGAGCGTGCTGACTATACGAAGGTCTCCCGCAGAGCTGGAAATGGGAAAAAAAAAGTTGGCGATGGAAAAAAAAAGAGCACGGGAAACACGTCCGAGTCGAGCTGAGCTGAACTGAGCTGAGCATTTGGAATCATAGTGTTGTGTTTCTTTGAGCGATTTGGAGTATCCAGGTAAGACTTCTGCATATCAGAGGAAAGAACAGTGAGCAGTTGCATCCACTACTTCAAAGAAAGGATTGCCGCGGAGTGTCAGAGGCTAATTCGCATATAACCCGTATAGGAAAATTTCAGATAGGAATATCAATCTGTTATCATCTACATCTCCTCCAAAGAAGAGCTTGCAGGAAAGTTTGAGCCCCGTTTGCAACAGAAGTGTGCTGAGATAAAAGAAATAGTCATGGCGTACATATTTTCCGACATACCTGCGATTCTGGCAAGGTTTTGCGCCAACAGACCGATACATTTCATTGTATCAACGGTGTTGCTAGCCTGTGTGGCCTATTTGGCCATATTCGACCAATACATCGAAAACGAATACTCCAGAAGCTCACAATTGGTCAACTTCTATCGAAATTCGTCTTCGAGCAGCTGGGGGCTGGTTTCTTCGGACGCAGAGCTCGAGCAATACTCAAGCGCAAACCATATCTACGTGACACCTTTGAAGTTCAAGGGGAAAGCCGATGTGTTTCCGGAATACCCTGGTTTGCTGAAAACCGACGAAAATGACCATGATGGGTACATACTCACAGAGTCTGAGTCCGATGCTTCGGACCTACCTTCTGTTCTGGAAAGCTCCGACGGAGACATTTTCAAATTGCGATCATCCAACAACAAGATCGGCAAGTACTTCGGCTACTTCAAGTCCTTGTCGCAGCGCCTGAAGAGCCTGATCATCGGTGCTGAGCCTTTTGATATCATCCTAGTCACTCTTGCCTATGTTGCAATGTGGTTCACTTTCTTCCAATTGTTTTACGAAATGAAGAAGATTGGCTCCAATTTCTGGTTGGCGTTCGGCTCCCTCCTGTCCTCCTGTTTTGCTTTCCTTTTTGCATTAGCCGCAACCACAGAAGTACTTCATATCAAAGTTCCGCTAGTCTCATTGAGTGAAGGTTTGCCTTTCCTAGTGGCCACTATTGGCTTCAAGCATAAGTTGGCCTTTACCGCTCCTGTCCTTGAAGCTTTGAACACCGATTCTAAGAAAGATATCTCGGATATCATTGCCGACGTTGTCAGATCCAAGACTGCTGTTCCTTTGATCAGAGATCAATTGATCATCTCCGTTTCATTTTTAGTGTGCTCCTTTGCAATCCAAAACCTTCCAGGACTGAGAAACTTCTGTGTCTTGTCCTCCATCATCTTAGCTGTCGATTTATTGTTCACTTTCACCTTTTATGCCTCCATCTTGTCTCTCAAGGCCCAAATTTTCAAAGTTCACCGTGAAATAGAACTAAGAGAAGTCTTAGAGGAGGACGGTATCAGCTATAACGTTGCTAAAGATGTTGCAAAAATTTCAATCAATTCCAAAGGTATCTTCAAGCATAACCGTAGCATTGTGGGCTTCAAAATTGCCATGTTGGTGGGCTTTTTAGGTCTTCATTTATTTGCCTTAGGTACTTCCTGGCTATATGATGACTCTGCCGACTTCCAAAGCGTGGGTTTCACAGACTATCCTACAGTTTCCAATGTTGTTGCTGATTCCATCAAGTCAATCCCATCCAACGGCGTTTTGTTAACTTTACTACCTGTCAAGATCTATAGACAAGCAACTGCACTTGCTGAAATTGAGCATTACCTAGTTTTGTTTTTCTCCAAACTGTCCACTGCAATCTGTGACCCACTGATTTCAAAGTTTTTGTTCATGATTGCAGGTATCTCTGTTGCTATCAACATATACCTATTAAATGTTGCAAGATTCCACATGCATTCGTTAAGACCAAGTATCCATGTGTCAAACTCAAACTCATCATTGTTGTCATCTGCAGAGGAAAAAACTGTCAGTGAAAAGAAGTCCAAGAGATCAAAGAAAAGATCAAAGAAGAAGAGTGACAAAAATGTTGAAGAGACTACCGTTATTGACTCGACCGATTCAATTTCAATTTCCAATGGTGATAACATTAAAGTGGGGCAGATTATTGAAGAAAATAGTACTGCCGACGATTCTTCCAGTGAATGTACAGAGTTGACCACATCTGAAGATTCATCGGTTCGTCCACTCGAAGAACTTGTCGAGATTTTGAAGGCGGGCAACGTTAAAGAGTGTAATAATGCCGAAGTTTTAAGATTGGTCACCGAAGGTAAATTACCTCTATACGCATTAGAAAAACAATTGGATGACAAGCTCCGTGCCGTTGTTGTTAGAAGACAATCCATTGCCAAATTTGCTGATGCTCCAGTCCTATTGACAGAAAAGCTACCATATAAACATTACGACTATGACAGGGTTTTCGGAGCTTGCTGTGAAAATGTTATTGGTTACATACCAATTCCATTAGGTGTAGCTGGTCCAATTGTTATTGATGGTAAACCATATCACATTCCAGTCGCTACAACCGAAGGTTGTTTAGTGGCATCCACTATGAGAGGTTGTAAGGCTTTAAACGCTGGTGGTGGTGTTCAAACTGTCTTGACTGCTGATGGTATGACCAGAGGTCCATGTGTTCAGTTCCCTGATTTATTGAGAGCTGGTAAGGCCAAAGCGTGGTTAGACTCCGAAGAAGGACAAAAGAAAATGAAAGCCGCTTTCAACTCAACTTCAAGATTTGCCAGATTGCAACATGTCAAGACTGCGATTGCCGGCGATTTGTTATACATCAGGTTTAAAACAACTACCGGTGATGCAATGGGCATGAATATGATTTCAAAGGGTGTTGAGCACGCGCTGAAATGTATGATTGAAGATTACGGATATGACGACATGCATGTTGTCTCACTTTCAGGTAACTACTGTATTGACAAAAAGGCAGCAGCAATCAACTGGATTGAGGGACGTGGTAAAAGTATTGTCGCCTCGGCTGACATTCCAGCTGAAACCGTTCAGAAAGTTCTCAAGTCTGACGTTGATGCATTGGTCGACTTGAACATCTCCAAAAACTTGATTGGTTCGGCTTTGGCAGGCGCAATCGGTGGTTTCAACGCACATGCTGCCAACCTATTGACAGCTGTATTTATTGCAACAGGTCAAGATCCAGCGCAGAATGTCGAAAGTTCAAACTGTATGACTTTGATGAAGAAGCTGCCTAACGGAGATTTGAGAATTTCCGTCACTATGCCATCCATCGAAGTTGGTACCATCGGCGGTGGTACCGTTTTAGACCCACAAGGCGCAATGCTTGAACTTCTTGGTATTAGAGGCCCACACCCTACAGTCCCTGGGTCAAATGCCAGACAGTTGGCCAAAGTTGTTGCTTCTGCTGTTCTAGCATCTGAGTTATCTTTATGTTCTGCATTAGCCGCAGGTCACTTGGTCCAGTCTCACATGGAACACAACAGAAAAGCACCTGCACCTGCTGCTTCTGCTTCTGGCAATGGTAGTACCACTGCCATCCCCTCAGCCCCTACTGCGAAAGAAGTTTCTGCAAAAGCTGCAGATGTTGAAAGGTTAAAGGAAGGCTCGAAGATCTGCATTCGTTCTTAGAACTGGTTACTACCAGTTTTTGAATTATTATTCTCTATAGAAGCCTCTTACAAGCTTCTCCTACCACTTGGGCTAATCTCTTACAATTCCTTGATGTATTACTTGCTATTAACAATTTGCTATATCACTGGCACATGTGCGAATTGCTACCTGTTACTCTTTACTTTTTGCTTTCTACTCCCTGCTTTCATTTCTAATGCAGAGTCCCGTCAGTATTGTCCGCATCCCTCTGTGTATCTTCTATTCCCCCCTACTAAATATATCTACAAAGCATCTGTACCTCTGCCAACCCCTCGAACTCCGCTGTTCTTTTCCCGGCCCGCTCATCACTCTCGCGGGCCGTGTCGTCATCTTAGGGCGGGCCTGATTATGTGCAGTCTCTGGTAGGTTCCAACTGTGCCAGCCCAGCGTTTCTTTTTTCGTACTGCTTTACCTTCTTATAGATATTTTTCAAGCTGTGAGTACAGACATTAAGCGTCATATTTCAACTTGATAGAAGGACTACCGAAATTGGATATATTAGTCAATTGAGTTAAAACCTGCCAATAACGACAAATTTATGCAAACGCCAGTGAGCTTATATTTTATTCAATAAGTTACAGAGGTTACCGATTTTATACCAACGATTTTGTGAATGAAGTATGACTAAACCTACAGAAGGCATCAAAAAATGGGCAAGTCCAAAAGATTTTCCCTCAGATCTTAAATTAAGTGGGCGTATCATAAACTGTATGACACAACTGCCTAATGAGATAACCAAAACTGCCGACGGGGACTGGAAAATCTCACATCTACGTGGCTCTTCTGCCTTGTATGCATCGAACAAGTTTTTAGTGGATGAAACAGAGTGGGAAACACACCTTGTTGCATGGACCGGAGAAATATACACCCAAGATGTGAAAATTGCTACAAAGGTGAAGGACATGCATTCTGCATGCAAAGAAACGCCTGAGGCGGATCCCTTGTATCTCACGGAAAATGATAAGACAACAGTAACTAAGATGATTCGTGAAAAGAACGAAAACGACAATATCCATCCTGTTTGGCTACTCAGAAGGGATCAGGACAGATGGAGAAAATATGCGGAAAACATCTTATGGCCCGTCTTTCACTATATGATGAATGAGCCCAACGATGGAAGGGAAGAGATTGACTGGTGGCATGACTATGTCAAATTTAACGAGGCTTATGCCGTTAAAATCAAAGAGATAGCAAAACCGGGAGACGTTATTTGGATTCATGATTACTATTTGTTATTATTACCCCAGATTTTAAGAATGGAGTTGCCTGATGTTTACATCTGCCATTTTCTACATGTTCCATTCCCTTCATCGGAGTATTTCAGGTGTTTGCCAAAGAGAAAGATTTTACTCGATGGTATGTTAGGTGCAAACCAACTTGGCTTTCAAAGTTATTCTTTTGCCAGGCATTTCATCAGTTGCTGTACAAGAGTAAATGGCTATGAAACTACTCCTAATCAAGTGACCGTTCATTCGTTCACCTCAAACGTTGTCACACTTCCATTAGGTATTGACGTGGAGAGCCTGCAGCATGATGCCTTTACTCCTAAAATAGAAGGTAAGATTAAAACTTTGAAAGAACTCAACCAAAACAGGAAGATTATCATCGGTAGAGATAGGTTAGATTCTGTTAGGGGTGTGGTTGAGAAATTACAAGCTTTTGAATTGTTTCTTGACATTTATCCTGAATGGATTGGGAAAGTAGTTTTGATTCAAGTCTCGTTCAAGCCCTATTACCACAGTTCCAAGCTTGAGAAGAAGGTGAACGAGTTGATTTCCAACATCAATAGAAAATATTCATCTTTAGATTATTCGCCTGTCTTGCATTACAACATGAGAATTAACAAGGATGAATATTTAGCACTTTTGCGAGTAGCAGACTTGTGTCTCATCACATCAATTAGAGATGGTATGAATACTACTGCCCTCGAGTATATTGTTTGCCAGAAGTTGAAATGTTCTCCTCTTATTTTATCCGAGTTCAGCGGGACTACGACAGTCTTGCAAAAGTCTATTCAAGTCAATCCTTGGGACTCGGTCGGTGTCGCAAATGCCATTAATGAGAGTTTACTGTTATCGGATGGCAAAAAATTATCAATAGAGCACAACCTATATGAAGCGGTGTGCAACAACACAAACCAAGATTGGTCTAGCAAAGTTATTTCAACTTTACTCAATTTTGTGTCAACACAAACTGCAACACATGGAACACCATATTTGAATAGGCCTCTTTTACTGAAAAATTACCAGGAAGCAAAACGTAGAATGTTTCTCTTTGATTACGATGGCACATTGACCCCCATCGTGGGGGATCCCAATGCTGCAATCCCTTCGGCTCGCCTCAAAAGTTTTCTTGAAGGACTCACCCAAGATCCAAAGAATGAAATTTGGATTATTAGCGGTCGTGACCAGGCATTTTTGGAAAAATGGATTGGATCCCACTATCCTCGGATAGGGTTGAGTGCTGAGCACGGATGTTTCATGAAACAAGCAGGAGTTGAAAAATGGGTGAATTTAACGGAAAGCCTGGATATGTCATGGCAGACGGTGGTTGGGGAAGTGTTCAGTAAGTACACTGAAAAAACTCCTGGTACTTTCATTGAAAGAAAAAAGGTGGCTCTCACTTGGCATTATCGTAAGGCAGATCCAATTCTAGGTTTGTACCAAGCCGAAAAATGCAGGGAAGAGCTTGTTAGACGACTAGAAGGAAAGTACGATGTTGAGGTCATGTCAGGTAAGGCCAACCTGGAGGTGAGACCAAAGTTTGTTAACAAGGGTGAGATTGTCCGGCGTTTAGTATTGTGCACCAATCCGATTGACCAAACACTTAAATCTGTTGAAGAGTTACCGGATTTTGTCCTGTGTCTGGGAGATGATACTACCGACGAAGACATGTTCAAAGCGTTAAATACTATTGAACGCCAATGGGCAACCGATAAGATCCCCGTGAACGATTTTGGTACGCACGGCATCTATCCTGTTACTGTTGGTCCTGCCAATAAATCTACTGTCGCAAAGGCGTACTTGGCAGATCCTAATCAAGTGCTAGATACCATTGGTTTACTTTTGGGAAAAGTGTCGCTTTTTGAAACTGGAGGCACAGTCGAGTTGGATGACCGTGGTCATCTGAAGAATAGTGAAAGTGCCATAAACTCACAGGCTAATCGTGCTGCCTACGAAAAGGCTTCCAAGTGATATGATATAGAAAGTTTATAGTCTCGAAGATAGTTTACAAAGCAAAAACCTCGTGAAGATAATGAACGCGCATGAATTTCCGAATTAGGGAAAAGCATAACAGCGCCCAAAACTTCACTGCGCTGTAATGTTTTCATGTTGTCATGTACTTCATGTATTCTTTAAACACATCTTTCTGATAAGTAAACCTCCGAAACTAGGTGTATCCACAAGCTTTTTGCTATTTAAACGAAGGCTAAAGGCTTTCTGACTCTGAACGCTGTTCAGTGTTTGCTGCTAGCAGGATTCTCCAAAGACAGGAGAAACACGGACAAAACAATGAGCTCCCATGCGGCAGCTAGTATTTCCTTTTTAATCAGGAAATCTTTTGATTTAGCAAAGTTCAATGACTTGATTGACATTGAAAAGCAAAATGCGTTTATTGCCGAAGAAAATCTAAGCGAAATTTCTTTGCTAAGTCTACAAGAAACATCAGGTAAGATAGTGTCGTCCCTCGACGAACTCCGACATACACTTCACAATATAGATCAGGTGGGAGAGCGAATAGGATACCAAATCAACTGGATTTTTGAAGGAAGGATAGAACTATCAAGCATATTTACTTCAATAGATACATTGGAAATTAGTGTGAATTTATTGCTTTCTAAATCTCAGGACATATCCAATTTCAAAACTGAATCCTTGCTTGATACTATCGGCAAGATCTGTAGCTCGAGTTTAGAGGTTAAACGACTAATAAGTCCGTACAAAAAACGGCTTGCAATAGCCAATCATCATAACGAAATTGAGAAAGAAGTATTAGGCTCTGTGAAAAATGAGATATTATACTGTGCAAGTAAGTTGGACGACCTCGAGAAAAAGAAACAAATGGTTGATATACGAAGCCAAATTCAGAACTGGACACTTGATGACTTTATTGCAAAGAAAAAAGAGCTGGCATCTGATTTGGCAACGAACTATAATGGGTTAATAGTATTTGCAGGCCTCGATGCCCAGATATTCGACTCATATACCAGCCTACATGATACCATACTGCCTATCTCACAGTCATTAAAGCTTATACCAAAGGCATTGGATGACTTCTATCACAATGCTAGAATTTACTATCAGAATTTGATTCTAGATAACATTGACAACTATGAACAGATCACAGCATTATATGAAAAATACAGGCAAGATTTGAGAACGTTCAAGAAATACTACATTACCCATCGAATCAATTTAATATGCGAGAAAATATTTGAGAAAGTCAACACAGATCACGAACAATCGAATAGCGTGCTTGAAGGTGTCTTGGATGTATTAAAACCTATTGATAACTACTATGGATTGAGTGAGGACTACTCTTCAAAGCTAAAGTTAATCGAAGATAAGTTCTACAACATACCTCTTGAAGAGAATGTGCAAACGCCACCTCCTAAAAGTATGCAGTGTAGATCAAAACGAGTATTTAGTAATCCATTGGTTGACTCCCTTAACATGAAACCTATTTTGAGTGGAAATAGAATTAAGAAAAGACCAGAAGTTAAGATTTTTCAAACTCCGAGAAATATCGACGATGACTTTCATATGAAAGCTAACACTGAAATTTTAGAGAGAATTAAAGCTGAAATTGGTGACAATTCTACTGCTAGCATGCAGAGAATACCAGACACTCCTCTAACCCTTTACTCTCCTCAAAGTAGTGACAGTTCTCCTGATACTATGCAAACAAGAAATATATTTGATTCCCCCGATCCATTCATAACGCCAAACAGTCGAAGTTTTCAGAAATCCCGACTTCCTATCTCTACACCACTGACTACTCCCAGGATAACGCCAACAAAAAATTACATGTCAGTTGATGAAGAGTTAAAACGCAAACATGATCTGGTAGTCAAAGGGAATGCGCACACTCCTCTACTTAGATTCGAATTATCTACAATCATCAAGGTTGATCCGAAAACAAAGGAACCCCATTTTCCCATCTCGGAGGCTACGGCAGATATGTCAAAGTTGTCACTCAGTCAAAGCCAGATTCCTTTTTCATGTGATTCGAGGGCTTGCAATGAATCTCAAGCAATAGAAACCTCAAAGATACCTCTTCCTAAAAGACCCGAGTCGAGGCTTAATATGTTAAGGTCTGTGAGTAGACTACAAACTGATCGGAGTAAAAATGGAAGAAGCTCGAGCCTCGGATTTGGCAGATCTGATTCAAGGCTTGAAAATATTGCATCTAGCATTTCAATGAAACTAGGTACAGACTCTCCCGTTTTGATATCAGAAGCCAAAACTAGGCCCTCTACTGTGATGGCACAAAGAGAGATGAAGCAATACGGTAGGCCACCTCAGCTCAGACAATCAACAGGAAGTTATTCTGGGCAACTGCGTAACATGAAAACAAGAGGGGCCACATCATTGGGTGCTCGGACATTGGCATCACAATCTAGGGTTAGCTCTATCTGAATTCGGACTGCGCTGCATTCTGGCAACAGCACATGTAGCGTTACTAATTTTTCTGTGTAATGACAAGAAATAAACCCGTAGTAATTGTCTAAGTACAAATATATAAACACGTAAATATGCGAATCAATCTTGATAAAAGAAGAAAATCTATTTTTCTCCAAAGAGTTTGGTCAACCATGAATCTTTGAAATTTCTGACCTTCTCCTCTTCCTCCCATTCTTTAATGGACCCGTCTATTGGGTTGAATTCACCCTGTTGGATACGTCTTTCTCCTCCAGCGTACAAACGACGGTAAAGCTCTACTGAGGGAATTATAAGAAAGACTGCACCTGCAACCATCATCTGATAACCTTTGATCTTACGCAACTGCTCTGGAGATATATTAGCTGATCTGGATTTGTATGATGATTTACTTTCAGAGTTGCGCTCCTTTGTCTTCGTTGAGGTGGCACCGTTAGGTGAGTGACTCTGAGTTCTTGTATTCTGCGTTGTCATTTGAGCTTCGTGTTTGATAGAGAGAACTAAATATTCGAAGTCTGCGACATGGCATTGCAGAGACTTCCTAAACATATAGTTAACACAACAGATATCAATTTCTTCAAACTACAACACATTTGCACTGCCCGAAATTTCATTTTTTTTTCTTCCTTCGAATTTTTTTGTTTCTGATCTTTCCGATTAGAGGTACAACTTTGTCATCCATCTTCATTCTATCAAGGTAGATTCCGTTTAGCATACTATTGTCGACGATGCCAAAAGCAGATAAGAAGACGTTTCATAAAAACAAGCCAGATCCTACCGGAAGTGCGCAAATCAACAAAGTTTTCAAATTTAACACTGAACTTGGTCAGCATATCTTGAAAAATCCACTCATTGCTCAAGGAATTGTGGATAAAGCACAGATCAAGCCATCAGATGTCGTTCTCGAAATTGGTCCCGGTACTGGTAACTTGACTGTTCGTATATTAGAGCAGGCAAGGAAGGTTTATGCTATCGAAGTCGATCCAAAAATGGCGGCAGAACTAACCAAGCGTGTACAGGGTACCCCATTAGAAAAAAAGCTAGAGATTATCATGGGTGACTTCATGAAATTAAAAGACCTTCCTTACTTCGACGTTTGTATTTCGAATACCCCATATCAAATCTCGTCGGGTATAGTTTTCAGACTTTTGGAAATGCCAAGGCCTCCCAGAATAGCAGTCTTAATGTTCCAGCGAGAGTTTGCACTGAATTTAACCGCCAGACCAGGCGATTCATTGTACAATAGATTGAGTGCAAATGCACAGATGTGGTCCAACGTCAAGCATGTGATGAAAGTGGGCAAGAATAACTTTAGACCTCCACCAAAGGTTGAATCCAGTGTGGTTAAGATAGAGCCAAAATTCCCAAAGCCAAATATTGATTACAATGAATGGGACGGCTTATTAAGATTTTGTTTCAATCGGAAAAACAAGACCTTAAATTCTATTTTCAAGAACAACAAAATTTTAGACATCTTAGAGAAAAACTATAAGACGTATTTACAGCTTCTAAGTGAGCAGAAAGGAGACATGATATATGATGATAGCGCAGATTATGGTGAAATAGTGAAACAGAATGTCAGTAAAGTCATGGAGGAAACCGGATTTGGAGATAAAAGATCTTCCAAACTCGATCAGACTGATTTCTTAAAGCTATTGTACGCATTCCACCAAGTTGGAATTCATTTTGCATAGGCTGTCATTTCAAACTAATAGTGGTTTCTATTTGTGTATTCTATAACTTATATATAACGTTTGAAAATATTGATAGTTGAGTAGTACATTCAAGGCTTGGAAAAAGGCTCATTTATCTTCTCTTGGTTGATTTTGTAAAGTCTTTCTCAATGACATTCTCAATACCGCTTTCTTCCATCTCGTCCTCTTCGAGTTGGACGGCTTCTCTTCTCTCCCACCAACGTGTTTCAGCCAAGTCGAAGGCCTTAGTTTTCAAGTCCTTACCCCTTGAATCTCTGTTCTGGTCAATGACCCATTTCAAAAATTCAGCACCAGTTCTCACATAGAAGTTACGTAGGGATTCAAAGGCCTTAGGATGTGGAAGCCATGGTCTTTCATCAGGAATTGCAACTTCAATTTCTTCCACTTCTTCTTCGACTCCGTCGTCTTCATCATCTTCTGCAACCAACTTGCGGTCTGTGTTTTCATCATCATCATCTTCCCCTTCATCGTCTTCGTCTTCGTACTCATCATCCTCTTCATCAGAGTCAGCAGTAGCATTGTAGATTTCAGAGAGATCTTCCCAGTAAACAGTGACACCATCCAACTTAGAGATGTCAATGGCGTAGAAAGAATCCAAATTACACTCGACTTCCCCGTTTTCCCAGATTCCTCCGTAGATGTAGAATGTATCGTCCATAACACAGGTCAAGGCATTGAACCTCTCGTGTGGGAATTGGGTCCTCACGGGATACTCTTTTCTGGTTTCTTGCTCCTCCTGTTCCTCCTGTTCCTTTTCCTTTTCCTTTTTCATCTTCGCAGCAAGGAGATCTGCTTCTGCATCTTCGATTTCGTCATTAGTCTCGCCATCGTTCAAGTTTGCATTCTTCAAGATATCGTTCAATATGTCTTCTAATTCTTTATCTCTATCGACCTTTTCCTTTCTAACAACTTCCTTCTTCCTCCTTGCCTTGAGCTTCAAGTTGAACCATCTATTTGTTTCGCAGTTGTAAGTGAGCAAAGTATTGTAAAACTCGGAGCTCAACGTCTCTTCTGTTTCGTCCAAATCGTAGACACCTCCAAAGAGGAAGCCTCTACCTTTGTGCGATTGCATGCTGCATCCAACTCTTGGGGTCGGCTGCCAGCCCTGCTTCCTTTTTCTCTCCCATCTGAGTTGCTTGATGTCACTCTTCAGCTTCATCGTCCAAGTGTCAGTGAGCACCTTACCCTTCTGTAGCCCTTTTCCGGCCTTGACCTTGGTGTAACCACCGTAGAGGAATAGTTCGTCATTATAGCAAATAAGAGAGTGGCCACTTCTTGGATCGGGCATGCTCATGGTTTGAGGGAACTCGACCTCTTTCCACTTATAGCTCATGACGTCGAATAGCCAGACGTCGTTGAGGTACGTGGTATGCGTGCCGAGATCTCTGAAGCCTCCGGATAGGATGATGTAGTTCTTCCAGACAGCCATACGAGCACCACTACGTCCCGAGGGACCTCGTTTTTCTTCCGCCTTCGCCCATTCCTTGGACTCGACGTCCAGGATCCAAGTATCCGAATAGTGATGGAAAGTGCTCTGCTTTGGAGAAGAGAACTCACCACCGTGTAGAACCATTACTCCCGATGGATGGAAACACATTGCATGGGAAGATCTTGCCAGCGGCGCATTTTTACTCAAGTATCGACGCCACGTGTCACTGTCTGGAGAGTAAACATTCAGATCGTTGTAGAAATGGACGATACCCTGGCTGTTGGCAGTTTCACCACCAAAGAGGAACAACTCCCGGCGCTGGGCCATCGGAGCAGCCACCAATGTGGCATTTGTACGTTTGATTGGCTTCTCTATAACCGACACATGGACCTGCTCAAACTGTGCCTGTTCTTCGGCTAGCTGGGCAAGCAATGTGTCGATGTCCACTTCATCTTCGATGTCATCACCTGCCTTCTTGGACTGCTTTTTTATTTTGGTCTCTCCCTTAGCTGCCTTTTTCTCTGCCTTCGCTGCCTTCAACGCCTTTTTGTTCTCTTTGCTCTTCTTGTCTTTCTTTGCCATTCTACTGTTTGATTGCCTCAGAGAATTCCAGAACGATCCGCTTTACCAGATGCCCGTTGATTATCCATTTTGAAGCAAATCATGTCTTCGAAACTAGCTGAAAAAAAAATTGATGGAAAAATAGGGAAATAAGTCACGTGAATGGAGTGATGATTATTTTTATTAGTTATTATATTCATTATAAGAAGCGGAGGAGTCGGATATGGATATGGGATTAGCACCCAGACTACAAGAGGAGCCAAAAGGAGAAGAGGGAGAAGTGTGTCCAAAATGGGGGAGAAAAATAATGGCACAGAGGTGGTGGGAAAGAAAAAAGATCTATTAAAACGCAGAAGCAACCAATTGGAATCAAGAAAAAAAAATGATAATGCATTTGGGACAGAAAAGGAGCAGTGGTGAAGGAAGTAGAAGGAGCAGGGGTGAGGTGCAAGACAGTGACTACTTGCCGCCCTCTTCTTCCTCTTCGTAATCCTCGCTCATTTCGGCCTCAGATTCTTCGTAGGACATCTGGTCTTCTTCCTCCTCCTCTTCTTCTTCGCCCTCACTTTCGTCTTCAAAGTACCAGTCGTCTTCCTCATCCTGGGCAGTAGTTCCGACAACTACTTTATCGGAAGGGATGTCGAAGTCCTCCGGGATGTATATGTGTGTTCGTTCGGCAAACTTCTTGACGCTGTCGTTGTAAACGTCCTTGTTGTCTCGCCACAAGTTACTGGCGTCGATGTTGGCGGGCGACATGATGTTGGGGTCGTCAAGAATGGACACGATGCTCATGATGATGCTCTCGACACACTGGGCAGGCGACCAGTTCTCGTTCGAGGGCTCGTCCTGGTAGACGTTGCCCGCCTCGTGGAGGATGGATATGCAAACCCGCCCGTCGGAGTAGACGTTTGGGTGGAAGATCGAAGGGCTGAACTTGAAGGAGGGAGGCGAGAAGGGGTAGTTGAGCGGAAAGTGCATCTTTGCCTGCAAGTACGCATGGTGCCAGGGCGACTCGGGGTTGACGATGTAAAGGCCCAGGGTCCAGTCGAAGATGCTGTCGTTGTCGAGCGAGATGTGGTAGGTGGGGTTTCTGGAGAGCTCCTTGAGCTCTTTGGCGAGAAGCACGGCTGCGGACATGTCTGTGGTATGGGGTTGTAAGTCTGTCTGTGTGTGTCCGTTAGCAGGTGGGTTCAAAGTCTTTTTTTTTCCTTCCTACTTCTTGCCTTTTTGACGTCTGTGGAAGCTTCTATGCAGTGGCCGGGTGCTTCGTGCAAGCGGGGCTGGTCGTTTCGTGTGTGCGGCGTTCAGACAGGGCCGGCGTGCAACGCAGAGGGTAGGACCACGGTGTTTCGTATGGGTGGAGCAGGGGAAGAGAAATGGCGTTCTCTGGGGAGGCAACAACAACAACGGGACGCAGGGGAAGTGGTGCCAGCGGCAGACGGTCTTGCGTGTCTTGCGTGTCCTGTGGGAGCCGGGTATTAGATGCTTTGGAGAGCAGGAGAGAAGAGCAAAAGAGAAGGCAGAGAAGAGCCCCACACAAGAGCCTGAGCCAGAACCGCCCTGGCCGACGGCGGCTGCTGTGTTTGTTATCGCCTGCTATGGCCACCACCCATCGTGCTCGCTCCCTCTCCTCACCTCCTCCTCGCCTCCTCACCTCCTCTTTTTCGCCCTCTGCCGGCCCGAGTCCGAGACAGACAGAACAGGCCGGTCTGGGGACAGACAGAAATCGGAGGGAAGGGATGGGTGGGGTCAGCGTGGGGTATGGGGCTTAGAAAGACCGTTGGTGCTATAGACAGACTATAGACATGGAGTAAAGGTATCTATACAAGTAGGGGGCGGGACGACGGCCGTCAGATTACACCGTAGCTCTGGACTGCTCTGCCTTGGGTTTGTCGTGGGGAGGACTCTGTTGTTGCTGGCCCTGGCTTTGGTCTTGGCTTTGGTCCTGGCCCTGGTGCTTGCGACGGTACTCCTCATCGTTGTCGTTGTCGTCGGACCGGCGCTTGTGGTTTGGCGTAGTGTTGAGGAGCTTCCACAAGCGGCTGTTCTGGTCGGCCCAGAGATCCCGGAACTTGCCCTGCTCGACAATGGTGCCGTCGTATCCCAACACGAGAATGTCGTCGCAGCGCTCGATGGTGCTCAGCCGGTGGGCAATGCTGATGGTGGTCATGTTGCCGACCCGCATCAAGCGCTCGAGCGTCTCGTTGATGGCAGCCTCACTCTTGCCGTCCAAGGCGCTCGTGGCCTCGTCCAGAATCAAGATCGGCGGCTCCTTGATCAAGCAGCGGGCCAACGCCACCTTCTGTCGCTGGCCGCCGGACAACAAGGAGCCCCGGGGCCCGATGTTAGTGTTGAAGCCCTCGGGAAGCGTGTAGACAAAGTCGCAGTTGGCCTTCTGCGCCGCCCACTCGACATCGGCTCTTGTCGTGCGGCGGGCGATGTTGTTGGGCAACCCGTAGCGGATGTTCTCGTCGATGGTGCCCTCTATCAACACCGGCTCCTGCTGCACAAAGCCAAACGTCTGGCGCACCGAGTGGACGGAGAAGTCCTCGACGTCGTGGCCGTCAATGAGGATCTTCCCCGACGTCGGCTTGTAGAAGCGGAGCAACAACGAAGCTATCGTGGACTTGCCTCTACCCGAGGGCCCGACAATGCACACGTTCGACCCGGTCGGTATGTCAAAAGACAAGTTCTTGAAGATCGGGTTGTCCGGCCTCGTTGGGTACGTGAAGCCCACGTTTTCGAATCGGATGTGACCCTTGCAGATCACCTCCTTGCCCTCGACAGGGTGCTTCGAGCAGTTCGCCTTGCTCACCAAGCGGTGGCCGTGAATCGGGTCAATGCTTGGTCTGATGTCCAACATCTCAAACAAACGGCTAGCGGCACCGGCACCTTTGAACAACTCCGTGTAGAAGTTGGAGATCCCAAACGTGGCACTACCGCAGTACTCAGTGTAAATCAAGTATGCGGTCAAGTCGCCAACGGACATCGACCCGTTGAGCACAAACCTGGTACCAAGACCAAGGGTTAGTAGAAACGTCACGTTGCCCAAGATGCCCGTGGATCCGAAAAACGTGGCGTTGGTGACTGCGTCCTTGTAGGAGATTCTCCACACGTCTCTAATTCTAGAGTTGTAGCGGTGGAGCTCTTTGACTTCTGCAGTGAAGGACTGTATCGTTCTGATCGAATTCAACTGCTGCTCGCTCACCTTCGTCAACGCGCCCGTGGCCTGCTGCAACTGTCTCGAGAGCGACCTGATCTTCAAGCCGTACAAGTAGGAGAAGAACAACAGCGGTGGGGCAAACGCCAACATGACCAACGAGAGATTCGGAGAAAGCACAAACATCATCGTTAGTGAGGATGCCAAGATGAGGGAGTGCTTGATACCGTCGGAGGCGTTCTGTGTGATGGACTTGGAAACCACATATGCATCCGAGCTTAGACGTGAGATCAAGTCTCCGACTTTGTTGTTGTCGTAAAAGGCCATATCCTGTAGATAGATTTTCTTCATGAAGGTCGACCGTAGACGGGATACCAAGTTCTCACCGATGATTCTCATCAGAATGATTCTAGAGAACGTCGCTGCGGTGGAGAGCAGGAGGAGACCACCCATGATGTAGAGGAAGTCGTCCAACGAGAAGCCGTAGATATCGATGTCTTCCAAGGTGGTGAAGTTCTTCGTTGCATCCAAAATCAAGCCGGTGACTTTAGGAAGGGCCATGATGATGGCTGCCGACAGGGTGAGCAACACCATTGCCAGGGTGAAGAGCGGCAAGTCCTTCCGTGCCAACTTGAGCAACCGCCACACCTCCGTGAACGTTGCCGTGTTCGAGTCGTCTGCAGAAATGTCTAGCCATCGCTCCTTCCACGACTTTCTCTTCGGGATCGCCACCGATCGTCCGTCTTCGTCGTCTCTGTACTCACGGGTCAGCTCTGACTCGTCCGCCTGCTGCTGCTGCTCCTGGTTTACTTTTTTCGACTCCTTTCCATTTGGAGCCTGGGTGCTGGAATGTGGTGGTTGTTCTATAAAGCTCTGGGGCGTTGTGGAAAAGCAACGGTGGAGCGGCCGGCGCAGGAAATCGTGGTCGGTGGGAACGTAGTTGGGTCTGCATGCGGCAGCGGGAAGAGTGTGTGAGCCAAACCTCAGCAGGCCTGCTGGTCTTGCCACTCTCGCCGCCGCCGCTGTTGCCGTTGCTGTTGCAGACGCCAACGACGACAGCCACGATGCTCCCGCTGCCGACCCCGACTTCGGGATGCTCGTAGGGGGAGCGTTTCTGAGGCTGCACGGGGCAAACACGCTGCTCCGCGTCAGCAAACGTGCGAGGCCAGAAACATGCATTGCTGGTGTTGCGCTGTGATCTCTCTTGGAGGGTGTGCACTACTGCAGCCCGCTGTGGCCCGGACAGAGCTCCAGAAGAAGCCGGCTCTTGTCTTCCCGTGCTCCTCTCTTGCTCTCCCTGGGCTCCATTGAGCATCTCCATGCGTCATTTCCTCGCCTGGCAGCGCGATTCATGATGCGGCCAGGCGAGCAGAGGAACCGGCTCCGGAGTGGAGCATCACCACGAGGCACGAGCCTGGTGTGACTGGCATGGCCTGGCACGGCCTGGCACGACGGAAGCCTGAGTCTGGGTTTTGTCGGATACATTACATCATATCGTATAAATAATAAATAAGAGATAATAAATAGGAGTCTCGGCTAGGGGACGGAGCGGGCGCCGCCACACCTACAAGGTGAGGTCCTTGCCCGAGGTCAAGTCGGTGACCTTGACGGTCTCACCGTTCTTGATCTGTTGGACCTTGACTTCGGTGATGTATCTTCTGGCAGCCTTGGTCTCCAGCTCTGGCTTCAAAGCCTTGGTGACGGTCTTTGCAGAGATCGCAAAGTACTTGTTGATTCTGCACAAGGGCGGGCGGGGGTGTGGGCGCCGGGTGGCTGCAGCACGCTGCTTCGGCGTCCAGGCCAGCACACCTGCCGAGGACGGCCTCCCTCCAGGGGAACCACACCTTCAGCTGGCGCACGCCCTGTAGCCGGCGGCTCGTCGAGCAGCACTGCTCCACCAGTCGCACGCACCACCACCCCCGCAGAACGGACGACACGTAGGACGTGTGGTCGTGTACACCGTGTTAGTATTCATTCAGCCTCCGTGTGGCGACGCCTCCGTGTGTCGACGCCTTCTTCTTCCCACCGCATGCACGTGTATAGCACGCGTACTTTCGACGTACGAGATACCAGCCTTCTTCCAAGCAGACATGTTTTTCGTGTAGTTGATGTGTGGTCGTTCCAGCTCCTCCACCTCCTCCATTACCAGCCCATACGACCACAACATCCTCCTGCTCTTCGCCTTCTTCCTTCTCTTCACCACCACACGCCGTCTCGCCTTCCTCCCTCACCCTCCCTCCTCTCTCGCTCTCCTTCCCTGTGCTGTCCCATTTTCTCACAACGCTCATTGGCCCTGTAGCCGGCCCGGGCTGCGTAACCAGGGCCGATCGTCCCGGCCGCCTTTTTTTTGTCTTTTTCGCATTTTCGCGTCTTTTTTTCAGAATTCCAGGGCTGTGCAGCCAACATGAATTTTTTTTTTATTTTTTTATTTTTTTATTTTTTTATTTTTTTATTTTTTTTCGATTTTTCGATTTTTCGATTTTGTCAATTTTCTTCCTACTGGGCCCTTTCCAACGTCTTTGTTCGGTGTTGTCCACAGACAGTTTGGCACGTTCTGGCACGGGGAACAGCCATATAGACACAGCGAGGAGGTAGCATGGGTGTGAGCAAGGACCACTACTACCGACTAGCGTCAAACCTGGCAAAAGAGCGGATCCAGGCAGCCACAGCGCTTATCAAAGAGCTCTCGGCAGCAGATTCCGAGCAGGAGTACAGGTATGCACTCAAGAGACTGATCTCGGGGTTGGCGTCGGGCCACGACTCGGCCCGGATCGGGTTCTCCATGTGCTTGACAGAGCTGCTATCGCTGCTTTTCGACGCAGACAACGGCACGAAGGCGAAGATCGCGTACACGTCGGAGCAGTATCTGGCCGACTTGGAGTCGCATCTGACCAAACAGGTCAAGGACAAGCAGAAGGGCAAGAACCTGCGGGCGTATCTGTTCGGCAAGATCTTCGGCATCCAGTCGTTGATCAACTCGGCCGTCCTGCACAAGGAGCTGGCGGCGGGGAACTCGCATCTGATCACGCACATCGTCGACGAGCTCTTTGCCATCGCGTTGTCCAAGTCGTGGATCCGGGAGATCGCCCTGGTGACGATGGTCAAGCTCATCACACAGCTGCGGCTCGCCACGGACGAGACAATCATGCCGCACATCCTGAAGTCGTTGTCGGACAACGACTTGCTGGTGTCCATGGACGGGCTTCTGATATACCTCACGATCCCGCAGACCCACAGAGACTCCCTCTCGGCGCTCGCAGAGCTGAAGCCGTCCCAGTCGTGGAAGAACAACGACCCGATTACAAGAGGGAACTTGCCGCTCCTCAATGCTGCGTTCCACGACCGGAATGTCTCCCCGGACAGCGAGGAGGACGAGAGCAGCAAAGATGAGAATGATGAAGGCAGGGCCAAGAAAAAGGGCGGCAAGGGTGGTCCCGCCAGCGGCCAAAACCAGAAGGGCTCGTGGAATCCGCAGCTACACAACGTGTGGGTCCCATTGTTGAGCGAGCTGATAGAGAACGAGTTGCAACTGCAAGACCCCCTTTCCGGTGAGCCCTCTCCCAAGAAGAGGAAGTCCAACAAGCACAAATCGAAATCATCCGAATCGAACAAGATCTCGCTTTCGACCTTCTGGCCTACTTTTGACGACACCTTTTTCGCCCAATCTGCCTCTCCGGAGCGGAAACATACGGGGCTCCAGATATTGGATCTTTGTTTCAATTTGCCGACGTTTAGGCCAAGTTTCTTCCTCATCGTGTTTGGCGAAAACATAACACGGTGTATCATAAACCACATCTCCAAGAAGGATAGAGTGCTACACAACCTCTGTGCGAAGATCCTGGCCAACGCCGTTAAGTGCTGCAAGAAACATCCTGAGGTAGACAGCAGACTCTACTTGCTCAGAGCATTGGAAAGGGAATGCGTTCTCTTTGACAGAATCACCAAGACGAAAACCGTGAGAGACTGCATCTCGGGCATTTCTTCAAATGACAACGATCTCGAAAAGGATGTTACGAACTGGATTGACATCGCCAACTGGCTCATAACAGAGGCCGAAACGGAACTATACGAATCCTCCAACAAGGCGAAAAATGAAAAGTTCAGAAACGAACACGATATCAAGACCTTCCTACTGGATGCATTATTGACTCTTGTGCGTGGGAACAAGAAATTGTTTAGATCGGTTGTCGATGGTGAAAGCAAGGAGTTGACGTTGGAGGTCGTCTCTTCGTGCAAAATGGTACTTGAATATCTCTCCCAAATGACCTATGTGAACAGTTCCGCCAAAGAGGTGGACGAAACTATAATCAAGACTGCCAAGGACAGACTACAATCGATATTAGCCGAGCTAATGGAGTGCTTCAAAGGTCAAGTTGATTGGTCGGGCTTGATTGTGCACGTTCTACGTGATGCTGAAAGAGACAACATTTTACGTGCCCAGATTGGCGAGAGTGACGAACTCATTCAAACGAAGAAAAATGCCGTTGAAATCTGGGAAAACTTGGGTAAGCTGGTAAAGAAACAGGTTACCAAGAAAAGCAGCTCATCTGCTGAGCGCCAATTGAGGGTCAACAAATGTCTTGTCATGCTCTTCAGCACAGCATTACTGGAATTGTATGGGGGAGACTCAGAATCGTTTGGAATATTGAGCGATTTGATCAACGTTTACGAAGACCTTAACAATCAGCAGGAGAGTGAGGACAACAACATCATAGATACCTTAGTTGATTTGATGTTGAGTTACTTGACACAGCAGTCGGGCTTGAAAAAGAGGGTTGGAACCTACATCTGGGAAAGCGTCTTGCACGATGTTGGAGAACAGCAATTGGAAAGGTTGTTTGACGTGTTGATGACAAGGGAAAACAAACTTGGCATGGAGCAGCTTTTCAACCAAGCGGTCGAGGACTTTGAAGAGGAAGGTGATGACGATGACGAGGAAGTTGAAGAGGAAGAGGAAGAGGAAGAGGAAGAGGACGAACACGATGACGATGACGATAATGATGATGAGGAAAGTGACGAAAACAGTGAAATAGATGAGGACGACAAGAGTAAAATCGAGGAAGTCGAGAGATCAACCACATCTGCTCTTGCCAAGGCTCTTAATGTCAAGGAGGATGCTGACTCTGACCAGGCGGGAAGTGGAAAGTCTACGGAGGACGCGGAAGGGAAAGACAATGAAAACGGCGACGAAGACGACGATGGCGACGATAATGATGATGACAGCGAATCAGATGAGTCGATGTCTGACGAACAAATGATGGCGATCGACTCTCAATTGTCTGCCATTTTTCAGCAGCGTAAAAGTGTTCTTGATTCCCTGCGTTCGTCTTCGAAGAACGGAAACGAGCGTAAGCTAGAGGCCCAAGAGGCCAGACAGTTGATGGCTCTCTGCAAATTGCGTGTGTTGGACTTGCTTGAGATATATGTTGGTGCCTATCCGACGAAGAAGGAGGTTGTCTCCATAGCTACAACTGGGTTGGATGTCATGAAGCTGACGGTCGACTTGGCGGTGGGCGAAAAGACACACAAGCTCATCAAGAAGATTTGCAAAAATGTCTTTACGATCGGAAACTCCAAGGAGAAAGAGGCCGTTCTGGAAACCCTGCGGAAGGTGTTAGAGCGGGCATCAGAGGCCAAATTCAATGCGTTGAGCCAGGGATGCAGCCAGGTCGCAGTTTATCTCGTCAGATCCGTCTGCGCATCAGACGAGGACAGTTACGAGAGCAACCTAGCCACAATCACTGGAATCTACCAGAAACATATGGTCAAGTGGGCCGTTGACTCGAGTGACCGCTCGACCGCCAGTATTTTCACAGACTTGGTGAACTGGTTGAGCTCCAAAAAATCCGCCAAAAAGCAGTGATCCGGTATGTCCGGTTGTACTCTACAGAATTTAGATGACATTATCATAAAAGTATACATACCTAGAAAATAAAAGTAATTAATTAATGTACAGATGGAGGAGTGGGGGCAGGGGGGAGAGATTTCAGGTATCTTTCGAAACCTTCGACTTGGCCTTGCTGTACAGACTGTCTCTGCGGGAATCAACTCTGCTGAGGAAGTCTTGTTTCTCCAAGAACCCGGCCTTGTTCGTGTACTTCAACTCGTCGCTGATCTTGTTCTTATCCACATACGTAGCCCAGTCCAGACGAGACTTCTCCAACGTGGTGAGCTTGGTGTTGGAGGAGTTTGTGATGACGGCGTCCAACAAACTGGCTCTCTTCCTCTTGCGTCTCAGGTTCTTCTGCGGCACCGCTGCGGAGGCCGCCACAGGCTCCGGAGCGATCTGGGCGGCGGCGCTCTTTGCCGCAGGTATGGCAGTCGAGTTCAGATGAGCCTTTGCTTCTTCCGAGTCGGCGTCCACCCATTTTTCCTCCGAGATCGTCTTTCCTGCAAACTCGTACGTCCGTGTGATCTTCACCTTTTCATCCACCGAGTGCCCTGCAGCGCCCAGCGTCGTGCCGGGCGACGAGGATACCACGTGCGTCGCAGCCGTCGTTGGTCCGGCCTTGCTGGTACTGTTGAGCTCAGCCCAGATGGAGTTGATGTCCACCTTGGCAGACGGAGACTCCTTGCCCACGCCGCTGCCATGAACATGCACCGTCTTCCTCGCTTTCTTCTCCTTCGCGTCCTCCTCGAGCCTCTGCCGCCTGGTCTTGATCAACCCTCCTTCGCTCGACTCGATGGAGGAGTACTTGGCAATCTCCTTCCTGTCGTCCTCGTCTATGAACTCCTCATCGTCGTCCTCGTCGCCCTCCACGTCGCCGTTTGCACCGTCATTAGCACCCCCTGTCTTCTCCTTGCTGCCGCCGTCCGCGACGTAGTCCTCGTCCTCGTCCTCGTCGTAGCCGTCCTCCTCGTCATCGCCACTGCCGTTGTCCGACCCTTTATCTTGATTTACGACGCCACTCTCCTTATTTGCGACATCTTCCACTTCACCTGCGCTTTTTTCCGTGTTTTCTGTGTTTTCTGTGTTTTCCGCCGTCCGTTCGCCGCTTTCTGCACCCGCAGACACGCTATGCTCGTTGCTAACGTCCACCATCGATCTTGCTATTGCCGCCATCTGTCCTGTCTTGCTTGTCCTGACTGGTCTGCTTCTCGCGAGCGGAGGAAAAAGAACAAGGTGGAACCTGTGAGAAAACGGGATAGTAGCGGGACCGCCGCTTTACGGTGGCGCGGGGCTCGAAACGGGGCGGCCGCGGCGACAACGAGAGCCGAGGCGGCTCAGACGGCTCAGATGGCCGAAAAAGGCAATTTTCCGTCGATCGACGCGTTTTTGCGTCGATCGACTTAAAACGGGTGTCCGCGATTTTCGTGCTCAGCGGTCTGGGGAGGGGTGGTGGTAGACAAAACGGTGTCTGGCTCAGGTTCAGACAGAAACATGCAGCTGTTGTGCTGCTTGAAGGGCCAGTGGAGGGCGAAACAGCAGAGACAGGGCGACACAGAGACATACAATGCTCAAGAGAAAGAACGAAGAGTCGGAGGAGTCGAAAGAGTCGACACACTACGTGAAAAGGGTGGCGTTGGACGCCGAAGCGGTCGAACGCAAGGACATACAGGACGACAAGCAGAAGACGTCTGTGTCGTTGTCAGGAAACAGCGAGGAGGGAGGAGCCGGTGAGGAGGACGAGAAGGTGGTTGGCGAGGACGACGGCGAAGAGCGCACGGGGTCGGCGGACAACAACGACGACATGCAGGGTATCCGGGAGAACAGTGGCAACGAGGACGCATTCGATCTCGGCGGCAACGGCGCCGACAGCGAGGCCGGGGTGGGTAATGGGCACGAGAATGAGGTTGGCGGGGACGAGAGCGGCGAGTCGTCGAAGCTGGTGCAGACCCCGAGCTCTGTTCCTTCGAAGGGCGACTTTGCGGCGCCGAAGGCCGACAGCGACGGCGACAACCCCCAGCAGCAGCACGGCGGGCCGATCTCCTCCCACCGGGTGCAGAACGACGACCCGACGTACGTCCATTTCCGGATGTTGGCGAACATCTCGGACACGGCCAGCATTGTTGGCAAGGGCGGCGAGGCCATCTCGAAAATCAAGGAGCAGTCGAACGCCAGAGTGAACGTGAGTGAGAACTTGAAAGGCGTGCCCGAGCGGATCATCAGCGTGCGGGGCTCTGCCGAGTACGTGGCGAAGGCGTTTGGCTTGATTGTCAGAACAATCAACAACGAGCGGTTCGACGAGTCCTCCAACATCGACTCGAAGTCGTACAACCTCCGCTTGTTGTTCCCGCACACCGTGATGGGCTACATCATCGGGAAGAAGGGCTCGCGGTTTAGAGAGATCGAGGAGAACTCCGCAGCGGCCTTGAGAGCCAACGACCAGATCTTGCCGGCCTCCACGGACAGAATCTTGAACATCAACGGTGTGGCGGATGCAATCCACATTGCCACCTACTACGTCGCCCAGACCGTCATCGAACATAAACAGCAGATCTCCAAGGCGGTTTACTACAACCCTGCCAACTTCAACCAGCCGGTTCTGCCTGCCTTGTCGATGAACCAGAACCACCAGCACAACAACAACAACGGCAACAACAGACAGTTTGCCCAAAATGGCTACAATCACCAACAGAATATGATGGGTATGGGTAACCCCAATCAGATGATGTCCAGCATGTACAACCAAAACCCTATGAAAATGTTGAATTCTCCAACTGGTTTTGCAGGAATGATGCATAATGGGATGTCGAATAACATGGGCATGATGGGCGCCCCACAAAATAGCGCCACTGGAACAGCCAACACCACTCCCGGTGACACGATCACAGGGCCGGATGGGAAAATCAACCAGGAGTTGTTTGTCCCGCAGAAACACATTGGCTTGGTCATTGGCCGTGGCGGTAAAAACTTGAAGGATATAAGACAAAGTACTGGATGCTACGTAAAGGTCAATGACGAAGTTCCAGGAGCACCAGATAGAAAGTTGACGCTTATTGGAAACGTTTACGGGATTCAAAACGCAATTGTTTTGATTAACAACAAGATTGAAAACGAAAAGCTCAGACAGCAACGAGAAGGTCACCAGTAATAAGCAAGCATTGGTTGAAGAAATAATGAATGAAAAACTTGATTGTCAAGGGATCATTGAATGGATATTCTGGCATCTTTTGTCTTTTTTTCTTGGCGATGTTGGAATGTATTTTACTCTGTTGTTTCATATTCTAGTTTTTAGACTTTTCTAGCGTTTTTATTTCATCTTGTATTTTATTTTTCATGATTTATTTTGAAATCTTCCTCTGTCCTTTTTTTGCTCAAAACTCTATCATAACCCTCCATCCTCTACATTTTCCTGTATCCTCCTACCTTGTACCATCTTTTCTATTTTCTCCTCTGTCTCACCATTTCACTTCTGCTTCTTTCCATCTATATTGGTCAGACGCCCTCTTTTTTCTTTGCTAATCAGTAGTCGAGTGACTGTATAATACCCCTTTTTCTATTTATTTGTTCACTTACTAAGTCACTCTCTTTAATCTTTATTTATTCTCTGTTTACTAACTTACTTTTTCTCTGTGTGTGTCGTTCTTAGCGTTCATTCGTGAATAGTGTATTCGTGAGTATACAAGCTTTATAGACGGTATCATAATTCCTTGTTCTAAATTTTCCATGCCTATGGCCTGTTTTATCTTCTTCCTATTTCCTCCAATGTCCTTGTTTATCCCATACTACAAATGAGGAACCCCAAAGCTGGTTAGCATCATATTGACAACGCTAAACAGTCCTTCACCGAGAACTAGCCCACTACTGAAAATAATCAAACTCACCTTGCCATCTTCGAAAACTGTTGGATTTGCTATGGCATAGGTGCTGCCCCGTAACCTCTTCAACCAATACCAACTTATCAAGCCACCCAAAAACCGTGCAAATGTAAAAGATGGAGTGTTGTAAATACCAATTCCAACAGCAACACCACTTGGCACCCAACGGCTGAATTTGTAATACTTATTATCCTTGTCAATTGTACCACGAATAAATGACAAAATCAAAAAAAGGACACCAAACGCTATAACAAATGAACCAACTTTTTCAGGTAGTTCATGTCCATTGACTAACCTTGCACAATCAATCCAGATGAAGGCCGTTGGAATCTTGAATAAAGGTCCTGGGATCTGGTAAATTCTATCGTACCACCGATACATTGGAGCAGCAACTAAAACCCCCCATATGCTGCCAAAGATCTGTGCTATAAACTGAGCTTGTGGGGACCCGTGCAAAAGATATCCAGTTTTCAAGTCTTGCATCAAATCACCGGCTTGTTGAGCAGTGGCCTCGGAAACTGCCCCAACGACCAAATTGATAAGAACTGCCCCTGGTCTAGATGAGGGAACAACCAGAGCGGTGAGTAGCTGAGAAAGTTTCCCTATTCCAGAGACAGGGTTCAAATCAGTTTCACCCAACGATTTGACCCCGACAAGCGAGAGAATCAATGATACAGGAATAGTAAGTAGAAGTAGCCACGAAGGTATGATACCTTTGAAAACAATCTTCATGGAGAAAACCAACAACGGACAGCAGAGAAGTAGTCCGATTGTAGGTGTAAGTGGATGAATTGATTCTTCATTGTTTGTTTCCAAACTCACCTCTTTGTTGAAAAACGCCAGTCCATTTCTGATTATATTTGAAGGTTGTGTCGAATTAGAGGCGCTTTCAACACTTGAGTAGGATTCTGAGTCCAACCGGTGGCCACCATTTTCGTTCGAATATTCTTCATCGTTCTCACTGTGTAGGGTCTGCTGGAGTGAGGAGGAACTATTCAAAAGATGCGAAGATTCTCCTGGATTGGAGAGTAATTTAGAGTGAAGAAACGAATTCCTGCGTGAGGTGAAGAAGGATTTGGTGGATTTGTAAGCCATCAACCCCAATGAAACCAAGGAGTCTGCAATCATGATTGCCAAACTGACCCACATGATCCAGCCCTCGGCACCGTCTTTCCAACTTCCTGTCTCCCCTGGAGCCCAGCCCATGTACTTGACAAAGGGTGAAAGGATGCACCATCCTAGTACCATTCCGACCATCATGCCGCATGTTGTATCAAAACCCATAATTATGCCTTGTCCGACATAGGCTGGCGACGGCGTGAAGTTGATGAGGTACTCTTCCGAAAGGTATGTTCCAAAGATCGGGATCGTCCTAATCTGCGGGACGAAGTAGCTGGTCAAGGTATATGCCGAGGAGAAGAGTGCGGTGAAGAGAAGAAGAGTAATATCCCTCGAGTACGACTCCCTGATGGGAGACTCCAAATACAGCTGGCTGTTTTCCACTGGCGAGTTCTGCAATGTTTCGACGTTGTTAGAATCGAATTCGTCGACTATTTCTCTTTCTAGCTGTCTGTCCTCTCTCGTCAACTTATCAAGGGTTTCAACGACGGCATTGCCGTTCTCGGTGTTGTTGCTGTTGCTGCTACTGCTAATAGACCTGTCATTTATGTTCTTGTTTCTCTCTATTCCAGGTATTATTCTTAGAGGGAAGCGGTGGAAGACGCTGATCAGCGTGGCGGTGGCGCTGCCACTGGGGAACTTGAGCTGTTGTCTAATGATGAACTCTTCCCGCAAGGGGATTGCAAAGAAAACACCAAAGAAGGCGAGGCCAGAACTCCAGATCAGTAGTTTCCACCACGGCTTGAACACGTCGAAGGTCTCCGAGAGCTGCAGCTGCATGTCCTGCACGAGCCCAGACTCCTCGGGCGTGAGTAGCTTCTCAATAGCTGGCACAATTCCAATGAACCCGTACGCCAACGGGCCTGTGGCCACGGCCACGGCGACACTCTGCACGTAAACGTTCTCCTGTGGGGAGAACGGGTAGGACAGCCGGAAGAACGACGACTCGGTGACCTTGAAGATGGAGAACGCCAGCAATGCGGCAGGGAGAGACATCATGGAGACCCAGCCGGTCTGGAGGCCGAACTGGAAGTTTGAGAGGAGAATCAACGTCCCAATGCCAAGGCCGACAATGGTGCCTCTCAGCGTCACCTGCGGTGGCTGATCTCGGTCTCTGTGGCCTGTGATGGCGACAGACGGGTTACTGGCTGTGTTCATCGTGTCCTGGGTGTATCTGTCTCGGTCTCTGAGGACTCTTTCGGTCGGCGATTTAAGAGGGCGTTCACGCTTCGTGCTGTGCTTCTTCACCGGTTGCACTGGTATCGAGTATGGCTCTGCACTGGTCTTATTTGCCTCTATCTCCGAAGACGACAACGTCCCAGTCAGTCATCCCCCGCTGGAAAATCCATTACTAATTGGCACGCCATTCATGCCGTCCCCGTCCCCGGCGGCCGCTTATCGCTGCCCGATTAGGCAAGCGGGCGAGAGAGAGAGGGCTGTTAGCGGAGGGGGTATTCCCAGTACATGTTTTGCTATCGATGCTATAGAAAGGAAGGAGGGGAGATCATCCGCTGAAGAGGATGTACTTTAGGATGTCACCCAAGGTCATGACGCCAAGAAGCTTGCCATCGTTGTCGAGGACGAACAAACGGTGCAACCTGCTCTTGCGGATGGTCTCGAGGACGACAAAGAGGGAGTCGTCCAAGGTACACGTGTAGACGCCCTCGAAGTCGTCACTGCGACGCAACAAGGCCTCACCGACAGTCAAAGAAAGGTCTGCGTAGACACCGCCCTTTACGAGAAGGAGAAGGTCGACGGCCTCGTAGACGTTGATCAATTTGTCATCGTCGTCCAAAATGGGCACGGAGCTGATGTGGTGTGTGATGAGCAGGTTAATGACGTCCTCGATGGGGGTGCTGAGACGCACGTGGCAGAGGTTGGACGTGGGCCCGATGCTCAAGTTGCGCAAGGGCTCAAGGAGAAAGCGTGTTTCCCTGCAATTCATGCTGACGAACTTTAATATCCGGTACTGCGTGAGCACAGACACGACGATCTCCCGCATCGTCTCCTCATCGCGGTCGATCAACGGTATCCTGCGGGCGGAGGAGTTAATCATCTCCACGCAGGCGTCGTATAGCGAGCGGGACGGGTGGATAGAGCAGGTGTCGAGCGCCGAGGAGCCGGACATCGAGCCGATGTCGGCCAAGCCGTCGAGCGTCAAGGTGTCGGACAAGTTTGTGGACTGGTCCGGTCTGGTGCTTGCGTAGTGCACGATGTTCAGGAAGTCCGACGCCGTGAGAAGCCCGGAGAACTTCGAAGTCTTTGAGTTCCAGAGCGGCGCCGACACTATCGAGTTCTGCAGAAGCACGTTCAACGCACGCTTCACCAAGAGCGACGTGTCAAACACAATGAGCCGGTACGACACCGGGAGCACGTCGAAGGACGTCTTCGACTTGAGAAACTCCCGGATCACGTCCAATGCTGCCCGCTGGTCCGCCACGACCGACGACGCCGACGACGACAGCGCCGGCGTCAGCTCTGCGTCTGTGTCTGTGTTCATGTGGCTGTTGCTGTTGCTGTGTAGGGCGCTTCCTGGGCCCTGGTCTGCAGACATTGTGTGTGTAGCGGTGTGTGGGGGTGTGTGTGTGTCAAGCTCGGTGTTTCCAGGCGTAGCGGTGGATGTCACTGGCCTCCGTTGTCCACTCCGAGCCTGGCTTCCTCTACTGCCCGTCGTCTGCCACCCTTCTTCTTGGCCCTTCCATATCGGACGGCCTCGTCATCTCCCTCCCCACGACGAGGAGAAAAACAGTGCGAAAAGGAAGGGCCGTGCCAGCCTGCCGTGCTGACGTCAGCATCCCGCTGACCTAAGCGTGCTGACCTAATCAGTCTTACGTCAGCACGCTTAGGTCAGCAGCTGAAATTTTTCTTTTTCTCCTCCCGATTTTCTCTTTTTCCGCCTTTTTTCTCGCTTTCCTAAAATTTTTTAGAGATCTGTCCCTTTTTGCAGCTTTGCAGACCAGGAGATATCCCAAAGATAGGTTACCGACTTCTCTTTTGCTGCTGGCTGGCTACAGAATCATCCATCAATTTGCAGTGCAGCTGAATTTGGTGGCATCCACACAGAGAGCGTCTCCATAGCAGCACGGCTTTTCCACCGCACCCGATCGATCGATCAACCGCTGAAAAAACCGTAGCAGAGCTCAGCTGAACTGAACTTGCACCATTCCGGACTGGGCAAATTCAGCGAGACACAGACACTCACACACACAAGCACACAGACCAAATATGATGACTATTCTGCCGTCTACCAACACACAGTCTGTCGCCGAGAAGCGGAGTTACGACTCCCTCTCTGCGGCGCAGCAGGAGCCACAGTCCGCCACCTCCAAGAGGCTCAAGTCTCCTTCGGTGGCAACTAGTCGAAGTCGCAGCAGCGGAAACACGGACACTAGCACAGGCACTAGCACCACGTTCAGCTCGAAGATGATTGTTCAGCTGGCGAGGTCCGCTGTTGCTTCGCTAGACAGCTCGGCGGATGGTGCCGTGGCTAGAAACACATACGACGACACGCCGATTCAGTCCTTGGCACACACGATATCGTTGCCGCCAAGCCACCCGAAGTCCATCAGCTCGGAGAACCTGTCGCTGTTGATTTCGCAGCTGACGTCGGAAATCGCCAGGTTGGACTCCTCCAGCGCCCTCCCGCTACTCCACTCGATCTTGCGGGTCAACTGGATCCACCACTCGACAATCCACGACGGCTTCTCCAGACACTACGCCACCTTTCTCACCGTCCTAGTGTCGACAATACCTTCCTGGTGGAACGAGGTGGCGTCGAAAATCATCTTGGATTTCCCAAGATCAGACGAAACCGTTCTCTCCGCCCACCACGAGACCTTGAAAAAACTCATCTCCTTGGCGCCAACCTCCTCCACATCCTTGCCCCACTTGTTGAAGTCAAGCTTCCCTAATAAAAACGCCCCAAAGGAAGAGATTCTCAACTACGTGAAAAATATATTGCATTTATCTGAGTACTACCATGTCCTGGTGAGCTATGTGTGGTCCCTAATTTTTGAAAACTTCATCAAAATCGACGTCGAGTTGCAAAACCAGATCGACGAAGTAGACGACGATGACTTGACTGAAGCTCTCGGATTGGATGACTCCGATAACGACGAAGATGCGTCAGGATCCGATGATGACGATGACGACGACGATGACGACGACGATGACGATGATGACGACGATGACGACGACGATGTGGATGACGACGATGACGACGAAGGTGCTGATAACGAAGTCGATGAGACCAACCGTGCAGTAACAGACAAGAACAACAAGGATAGTAGTACAACCAACCTACAAAAACTAAAGACAGTTGAAGACGAAATAGTTGAGTCTGATAATGAAGCCGACGACGCCAATGGGAATGGCTCCACCAAAGCAATTAAAAAGGTCACATTCACCGAGGAGGATGACAAAGACGACGATGAGTTTGATGACGAAATGCTCGACTCAGAGGCAGAATATACAATTGAGCTTGAGTCTCTATCAGAGTTGTCAGCCAAACTCGATACTCTACTTTCATATTTACTTTCATACCTAAAGCCAAACCTTTCTATTGACTCGCTTGAATCTGGCTTAGGTATTCCCACTTTCAGTGCATTAACTTCGGCATTCCGTTCCATAATCTTACCAACCCATGGCACTAAGGCAACACAATATATTATTTTCTACGCAGCCCAACAACAGCCAGAATTGATTGACGCATTTTTGGTCTCGTTGTTTGAAATTGTCTTCAGTGCAGATAAAAGGTCCAATTTCACCGGTTCGGGTATTTCAGCGCTTTCTGGTTCCACCTCTACGGGAAACATTAGTAACCAGAACGCAAGGATAACAGGTATCCAATACATCGCAAGTTTTGTAGCTCGTGCAAACAAGCTCTCAGACACCCAGATTGTCTCTGTTGTCACATTTTTAGTCGACTATTGCACAGCTTATATGGAAGAACATGAGGCGGATGATGAGGATGACACTAGCAACAATAAAAATGGAACAGGACGCAATAAGACTAGCCTCAAGAAAAGTGCTGACTCATCATCTCGTTTCAGTAACCTCAATGACACAAAGAAAGAGTTCAACCCAATGAAACATACCCTTTTTTACAGTTTGGTGCAAGCATTGATGTATATTGTTTGTTTCAGAAAGAACTCTCTACGTGAACCAGAATACCCTAATAGTAATCTAAACGTACCAGCCGAAAGCAACAAAGGTACAGGATGGGCTGCTGCATTGGACAAGTTCTTCACGAGGGTGATTGTGTCTAAATATGATCCACTACGTTGGTGCAATGAGACAGTGGTATTGATCTTTTCAAGAGTCGCCCAGTCAGAAGGCATCTGTTACACATGGAGTGTTGTTGAAAGGATAAGAAGAGAAAGGGTAGGAAGGGTGAATACGGACAAAAGCCATGAGCAAAAGGAGGAAAAAGAGTTTCAGGACTCAGCAGCCATTACGAGTACCAGTATTACCATCGGTACTCAGTCGTCCATGCGTGCAACCCAACAGTTTCTCGATCTTGTTGCATTTTTCCCATTTGATCCCTTGCTTCTAAAAAAATCACGGAAAATCGTTCAGGATACGTACGTCGAATGGGATAATGGTGACGATGACGATAACGAAGAAAGCGATTAAATTTTATAAAAATGGTGTACAAGCATGTATACTCTATACAGTCATTCAATCAAAAGCAGTTCATCCACTTTATATGATTACCCGTCGCAAGCCTTTGATAATCCATTCATTTCGGGTCTCGCCCCATGAACAACCTAACAACCTTCTCCCCGTCACCGGACATCTTCCTCCGGTTTCCTTTGGCTGGTCCCTCAAATATTCGTAGATGCATTTGTAGCAAAACACATATCCCGTTTCTATGATAGCAGGGTTGTGTATCTCTTCATGACATATTCTGCATGCGGCGTCCGTAGTAGTGATTGCTGCTTTGACTTCCTTCGAGTTCAAGGCATCCGGCGGCACTATTGGAGGGACGGGTGCATCGATAAACTTGTTGTTATCGCTATTTTTGTCCTCATGGGCACTTCGATTGGCATTGTACCACTCTAGAAATTTCAACAGAAAAATGGAGACTGGCAAGATTGTGTCAGTTGTTGCCCATGCAATCTTTTGCAGAGGGAGGGCTAATGCTTGGATATTGGAGAAGAGGACCGATGACAGCGTCGGAGGAATATTAAGGACTTGATCCCGGCTCTGCTCCTTGGGAGTGAACCGTGACTCCACTCTCAGGTGGTCAGCTCTGGTTATCCGAGCATATGACACTTTTGACAACAACTGAATGATGGATACCGATGAAGTCTTGTCCGATAAATAAAGGATATGAAGCAGAATCGTGAACAATTTCAAGGATAATTTCACTGAGGGGTATAACTTGAAAAATGCTTCTTTCAGTAGCTTTTTCAGCTTGCACAACAATGCCACAATTCTCAGTACAGGGGTCTGTTTTTCACTCTGAACTCCAGATTTCTCCTCCTCGGGCACGTCCAAGTGGACAGTGTCCAAAAGATGTTGAGGAATAAGCTGTTCATGATACAGCTGTAATTTTGTTGAGAGATAGGGGATTCCAACAGTATCGATCAAGGAGAGAAGAATCTGCAATGAGCTGAGTTTGGTAATTTCGTGGTACTTTGCAGGGTTGGCGGCCACTACCTCGGGCGACTTGGGTAGCAATGGTCTGGACGATATGCGTTTGATACCATAGAACTTCTCGATGAACGTGGCATTCCACGTCTCCAAATACTTGTACTGGATAAAACCCCAAAGCAAGGAGTTGAGCTCGTCAAAGTTGTTGAGCACTCGGATCAACAGCCGTGGATACCTGTGTGTGTAGTGGGCCAAGAGAAACCTCAAGGACGGCGAGAGAAGCGAGTCCAATTGGGCACAAGAGACCACCTCAAAGAGAGTCGGTTTCTGTGTATTGAGCTGGCTGGAGTTGAGTGACGAGTAGAAGTCCATTGTCGATGTTGATGTATATGAGAGTGTCTCCGATGAGGCCCTCTCTGTGCACTCCTTTCCTTCTTATTTAACTGAATCTCTGTTATCTTCACCGATTGTCATTTTCATTGCCATTTCGCTCGATTTAGTGTGTGGCCACGACAGCATCTGTGTTGTGCTCTGAGTCCGAAGGGCGGTTCTGGTACGACGACGAAGGGGTGGAAAGACGGCAAAGTCTGCATTCCAGCAGTCTAAGGTGGCTATAGTGGCAATTTCCTACAGATACGGGCCTGTTTCACACGATCAAAGAGCAAGCTCAGCAGTTAGTAGAAGTCGTGGTTTTAGCAATTTCTTAACACTACATAAATTCAACCCAATTGTAAAAATATCTCAATTCCTAAAAATCACATAACCGCCAATTCATCGGAAATAAACCATAAGTAGACTAGAACTACATTATGCATCACAAACACCCTAACAGTGTGGAAACGGCCTTTGTGCAAGATCCTTCCAGTGCAAATACAAGTCCTATCAGCACATATATGTCACGTGACCCAGATATCATGCTACCAAGTTTCTCTGGACACGCCCAACAGAAGCAACTGCTGGTTGCACGATACGTTTCCTCACTAAACACCACCACTGCAATAGTCACTGAGAATTGGACCTGCCCCATTCACGTCCAGACTCGTGGTCCTTCCGTTTCTTCCTCCCTCATATGTAACGTTTCAATTGCTATATGCGCTGACGTAAGCCAAGTTGAGAATTCCCTTTCGCTCGGTTAACAATGGTGAGGAAACGTCGACATATTGTTTCCAGAAGATACTTTTCAAAACGGCAACCTGATGGCAATTTAAGCAGTGGGTACTTCTTCCTCTGCGGGTTTCGGGCAGTTGTTGTGGTTCCTGCTGCTGTTTTGACCCGTGAGATACAAGAAACACACAACATGGCATCCAAGCAAGACGCTGCCTCCCTCATTGTGGACTTTTTGAACTCGTCGCTGAAAAATGGCGATATCCCAGAAGATAACAAGGACTCGGTGGAATTTGCCGTTGAGAGCATCACCGATGTTTTCGGGGTTGACGCAGCCAAGGTTGGCGATGTGAAGGCAAAGTATGGCAGCAAGTCTTTAGTGCAGCTGTTAGATGCTGCTGCTGCTGCTGCACCAGAGAAGAAGGCATCTGCGCCTGTGCCTGCAGCTGCATCTGCGGCTTCGAGCGATGCTGTCCCTGTGCACATCGACGAATCAGACGAACAGACCAAGGAGAAGGCAGAAGCGCTGAAGTTGGAAGGTAACAGAGCGATGGCGTCGAAGGACTATGAGACTGCCGTTGCCAAATACACTGCTGCAATTGAGTTGATCCCAACCAACGCCGTGTACTTGTCCAACAGAGCAGCCGCTTTCTCGTCCAAGCGTGACCACGACTCGGCCCTCAAGGACGCAGAAAAGGCCACCGAGATTGAGCCAACCTACGCAAAGGGATGGTCGAGACTCGGTCTTGCCAAATACGCCCTTGGTGATGCCGAGGGTTCTTTGAAGGCTTACGAAAAGGGCTTGCAGGTCGAAGGAGACGCTCCATCCGATGCCATGAAGAGAGGCTACGAGACCGCCAAGAAGAAGGTTGGCGACAACTTAATGAACTCCCTGAACAAGGCAATGAGTGGTGAGTCCGACGGTTCCGACCTTCCAACCCCTGTCGCTGCAACCGCAGGTGTAGGATCTGACGGTTCCGCAGGTTCAGCAGGCTCGGGTCTGCCTGACTTCTCATCCTTTGCAAGCATGCTTGGAGGAGGAGCCGGCGGTGACAGCGGTATGGGTGGCTTGGCAGGTCTGATGAACAACCCGCAGATCATGCAAGCAGCCTCTCAAATGATGCAAGATCCTAACGCATTGAACAACCTCATGTCTAACCCTCAAGTCAGACAGATGGCTAACTCCATGGGCATCAACTCTGACAACCTGGAAGGTATTGCCAACAACCCAATGTTGCAGAACATGGCCAGAAATTTTATGGGCGGTAACGGTGGAAACAACGGCAACCCAACAGGTAACTAAAAACGACTCATTTTCCCCCTCTTCACTTTTGTATAGTTAATTGGATAAACTAATAATTTTTACTTTTCGTTGTTACAACTTAGTGTATGCGGCCACTGCATTTGCTGCATGCATAAGTTAATCTAGTCAACTTTTTTGCTATAAATATGCTATGTTTTTATCTATTTTCTTGCTTTATTTTTATATTCCCATAAACCCAATTCCCAGGACTTGACTTCTCTCTTAAGCTCTCCAATTTTACCCTTGGCATAGTTTCCGTACGCATTCTTGAAAATTGAGATCCGGAACTGATAGAACTTACTCACCAACATCGCCAAGCTCTCATAATGTTTTCTCAAATCTAGGTCTAATTCAACAAGTTCAATCCTGAATTTAAGAAAGGTTTCAAGCAACCTGCCAACATATGAAACCCGACGTTTCTCAACAAACCAAGATCCAATCCCAGTGTCTTTCAAGTCAATGAGTTCTTCCAAAGTTTTATCAATGCCTTCCTTGGTAGAGAAATCCATTTCATCAGTGTTCTCAACTGCGCTATAGCTTTTGCCTCTAAACATCGACTTGATAATGTCTTTTCTGAATTCCTCAACAATAGTCTCATCGTCCGACACTCCAGTCAAAATGTCGATCTGTTTGAAAACTTTGGCCAAGATATTTTGGCGGTTGTTCTTCACTGTTCCAGCCGAAACAGCCGGCTCGGCTAATGAAACTGGCGACGAAGATCCATCAACTCCACTACCAGCGATCCTATCAAGTTCGCTCCGTATACTTTTCAGATCACTAACCAGCTTTCTCCACCTTCTCAATTTGCTCGAGCGCATTTCACCAGCAACCTTAACTAGCTCATCTACACTAGCATATAAGAGTCTTATCTTGTCCAAAAAAATATCACTTGCATCTTCGATTCTGCATTCTCTAAACCTTAAACTTTCATCAACTATCCATGGCATATCTGTACGTAGTTTGTCCAAATCTTTGGCCTCTTCATTGCTTAGCGCAAACGAACGATAAAACCTATAATATACTTTGGAAAACCTCTCAAGCTCTGAAACACTATATTCCAAAAACGCATCATAAGCAATTATATCTTCTCCTTTTATGATCATTCTTTTGAACTTCAATTGATCTAGCAGTATGCTTTTCCTATGGGAGAAATTTTTGGAATAGATTGCCTTGATTGCATTTCTTTCAACCAGTGTTTGAACTTCTATCTTACAAGGCTCTTGAGGGGCCAATAAATAATTTTGAAGTGTAGCTGTGTGTTCTAAAGTTCCATTCATATTCAATGCTTGAATCATTAAGTTGATATTGTTTATTAATGCGTTAATTTTAATCTTATTTGACGAGCTAATATTGCCCTTCATGCTGACGTATAAATGCTTTGGAAACCAAATGTCCGGCGAGTTGAAGTTGAATGGTATGCACGGAGTCTCCTTCTTCATTAACTTGAAAGCTTTAACAACAGATGAAAACGGTACTAATATTAGGTCACTTTTCCCTAGGTTGTTAACAACTCTGAAATAGCAACAGAGACCATTCTCCGGTTCAAAGCGTGCTCTAACACAAGCAATATCTAAATTTTCACCATATTCCGTCCATATAAATTGAATCTCTAACATTTTGGCAATATTTCTATTGATATCCTCCTCCCAACGTTCCAGCTTCACGTAGTCTAGTGGGCTCATATACATCACGGGATCCACAACGCTCAAACAAAATCTGGGGTCCTTTATCATAATTTCCACATTATCAATACGATTGTACCTGACAGCCAGCGATACAGCACTTTGATTTGCATCATTCAAATAGTTCAACTCTAACTCATCAAACGATTTCAAAAACAATTCGAGTGTTGTAGAATCCTTGATAGTGTGCATCAATGTATTTCCCTTGTTGTCCAAATGGTCTTTATAACTCAACACTCTTCCTCTCTTGTGATACCATTGTTTCACAATCGAGAGAGTCATAGTCATCATATCATCATAATTAGGATGGTCATAACATCGAGCATAAACCATCAATGGGGTATTTCCAAAACAGTCCCTTTTCGTCCAGTCGACATACATGCCAAAATCATAAAGTAAAGAGTACGAATTGTACAGCAAATGCCCAATAGTTCTGTTATTGCTGTCCTGGGCGTTGACGTACTTCTCTATCTCGTCAGGAGTTGCCTGCTTTATAATTTGTGCAAGTGTGGAAGTGAATGGGTGTTCAACAGTTAGTGCAGTGGCCAAAAGATTCGACCCATTTATGTTCTGATCCTCAAGTATATCATCCAATGTGAATATATATTCAAACTGAAGTAAAACATTCATCAGCTCTTTATTATTTTGCTTCAATGCAAACATCAGACATGAATCACCCTCTAAGGAACGGCTTTTCACAAAGCTATCCAACGGAATATCTAAATCAGGTTTATTTAGCGGTTTCAACAATCCCTCAATTTCTTGGAATGTCTTTTCATCGTCTTGCTTGTTACTGTTGACAGAAAAATCGCTTGAAACTGCACCTATCAATCTCCAAAGTACTTCATTGTGTAGCGATTTGGAGATAAGCTCCTGTAATTGATTACCAGAATGGAAATATTTCACTGCTATCTCCAGTGAAGAAAGTGCATATCCTAAAATGCCCTTTTCTGTGTTTGTTTCTGAATACGTATACTTTCGAATATACTTCAAATGGTTGTTCAAATGCGAAACCTTAGATAAACAAATAACAAAAATAAGTAAGAGCATTAATGTATCTGCATCAATTGTGCTATTTGCAGATAGGATCTCAACTGTTTTCATTATTATCGAGCATTTCAATGAAGATGTGTTGGCAAAACTGAGCCTTTTAAACTCGGTAATAGCTGCAATAATTCGCTTGATATACAGCGGAAGAACAACGGGATCTCCCACCACTTTATCTGGTAATCCTATTTCAGTTATGCTTAGCCATTTAAGTTTTTCGTAAGCAATATCCATCTGTTTGTCATCATTATCCACTGAAAGTTTATTGAACTTAACCCAGAACCTGTCATAAATATTCATTTCTAGATAATTGTAGAGGGATTCCCTCAGTTCATCTGCCGTGTAACGTTCTAGTAAAGACTTGAATGTATCTGGGTCAAGAGCATTGAACATTGCAGATCCCCGTTTGATTAATATAATAAACGATTTTTCCAGATCATCAAGGGTCTTGCATTTTTTGAATGTAAACTCGAGAAATAGCTTCTTGTAGTTTTTTGATAGTTCCATCAACCCAGGGTACTCTGCTATTAATACCTCAAAAGGCTGTACTTCAACTGGCTCCAAGCTATTCGCAGAGACAAGTTCCCCGTTTCTTTCCATCGGTTCAGCTATGTTCATGGTGGTTAGCATATTAGTGGAAATTCCCATAAACTTGAAATTCCCAACTAAACAATCTGAAATGTAAATTACGTGAAAACATGTTCCCATCGGTATATAGTCTGCAAACCCATGCATCAGCTCCTGCTTCAAAATGGTTACTGTTACAGGGTGTTTGAAGTTTTTGAGAGAGGTAATCATGTCCGCTTTAATGACAATGGTTTTGTTGTTAAGGGTTGTGAACTCCTTGTGCGTTCGTATTCTTGGCTCCTTAGTGACATCAATCCTAACTATATGGGTGAGAATAAAGTCTAAATCTTTGCACAGCTCTGAATATCGCTTTCCGGTATCCGAATTCACATGCAAAGCAAAAAACATTGTTGATGGTATCAAAATTGCAAAGTCGGCTGGATTCTGGCAGAGCTTCGTCATCACCTCTTTGAGAGGACCCGATCCTTTAAAATTAGGATTGTTGAAAAGGTGATTAATAAACGGATTGGATAATGATGCAGACGATTTGCTTGTCCTAAAAACACTACTGCCACCATTTCGATCCTGGCTAGCACTTTGATTTGGCTTCTCAGCCTCCGCCATTGTACGTGCTAGTTGTTCGGCAATTCCTCTAGTCACCAGAGTTAAGGCTCAAATGCAAAACTAGGTATGCAGAATTTTCCTTTGATGAGTTGAGTGTTGGTGATGAATACCCTCCATGCTGTAGACTGAAGCGCCAACGCATCCCGTCCCATGGAGATAACCGAACGAGAACGGTTAAAATTGTTCCATGTATCAAGGAATTTTTTGTGGAGCTGCGTACGTACGTACCTTGAAGAAACATTTTTTTTTATTTCATCCGGGCTTCCATGTTTCCATAATATTAGCACTATCAGATAGCCATCATCACTGAGCGTATATACAAGACTAGCTTGCAAAGAAAAAGGAATGGGTAAGGGGAAAAATAAGGAGAAGGAGGAGCCTAGACGTGGTAACAAAACTTCAAATGGTCACCACAAACGTTTGCATCATGCAAAAGGAAGACAGGAAACCAAGTATTCTGCAGTCACAAGACAGGCAAATTTTCCTACCAAGCTTGCAATGTGGGACTTTGATCACTGTGATCCCAAGAGATGCAGTGGTAAAAAGCTAGAAAGGTTAGGGCTTATCAAAAGTTTACGAATCGGGCAAAAATTTCAAGGAATCATTGTTACTCCTAACGGTAAGGGAGTTGTATGCCCTGATGATAGAGAAATAGTTGAGCAGTTTGGGATAGCAGTTGTCGAGTGTTCATGGGCTAGATTGGAGGAAGTACCTTTTGGTAAAATAGGTGGAAAATATGAACGTTTGTTGCCGTATTTTGTGGCTGCAAACCCTGTCAATTACGGACGTCCGATGAAACTTAATTGTGTTGAAGCAATTGCTGCATGTTTGGCTATAGTGGGCCGCCAGGATTGGGCATTGGAGCTATTACAGAACTTCGAGTGGGGTCCAAACTTTTTGAAAATTAATAAAGAACTACTTGAAATGTATACCGAATGCACAGATTCAGAAAGTGTTTTGAATGCAGAGAAGGAGTTTTTGGAGATGATTGAAAAAGAGAAAGAAGAAAGAAAGAAGCTGAAAAGTGAAGTAGATATTTGGGAGATGGGCAACCCCAACATCAAACATCAAGAGGAAGAAGGAGATAGTGAAGAAGAGGAGAGCGAAGAAGATGACGATAGATACCAATCTGAGGAGGAAAACATTCTGGTTATCGATGTACCTGGTCCTGACGAAATGGCCCGGAATAGTGAACTTTCTGAAGAGGAAGACGAAGAAGATGTAGAAGACGAAGAGAAAGAAGGGGAAGAAGAGGAAGCTGAAAGCAGGCTTCATGAAATAACCGTGTAACCTTCTAAACAGATAAACTTTTCTGATACAATTATAGATAAAAATATATACATTCAAGTAATCACCAGGTCTCTTGTATAAACCGCTTTTCTTTCTCCATCTTCAGCAGTTCAGCTTTTACTGTCTCAACATCCCAATTGTTAGACTCTTTAAGTATTTCTTCCACTGTGATTCTTACCTGTGTTGGCATTTTCCCTGAACTTCCACACAAATACAACCCGCCGCCATTATTGAGTATCTTAGCAACATCATCCTTGTTTTTCCAGATGGTATCCTGAACATAACCGCCAGCTTGACGAGAAAAACTATCGATGACCCTCAAACCCTTCATATGTGGCCATTCATGACCAAACAAATAATCTTTTTCTCTATATCTATGACCTGTGAATAATAAGTAATTATGCCCGTCTTTACCGTCTCTAATCCTCTTGTCATTGAGCTGGACAATGGCCCGAACAGGTGCAATGCCTGTACCAGGCCCGACCAAGACCATATCAGCATCAGGGATTTTGAGATTGTTTTGGTTGATGGATACAACGATCTTGTCGTTCACGTTCAGGCGTTTCAGCCAACTGGTACACAACCCTTTCCTGACGCGGCGGATAATAGTTCTATACTCGACAATGGCAACTGCAAGCTCTAGTGTTCCTTGTTTTGGTAGGTTGCATATGCTAAAAAGGCGGGGCTTGATGAGAGGTATTACTTCCAATAGCTGTTCGATTGGAATTTTCAACGAAAAAAATTCCTGAATTACCTCTAGTATCGACCGATGAGGCCTATTGACGTAGTTATAGAGCTGTTCCGACTCCTCCACCTTACCGAGCTCCTTCAACTTTTCCATTTCCCGCTCATCCGAAGCAAAGTGCCAAGCCATCTGGAAAAACGATCTTGGAGGAACCGATGCAATATCCAAATGGTATTGGAGCAACGATCTCAATGTGAGGTCTTTGACCCACCCGCCTTCTGGAACCATGTGACCCGGACAGTTAATGGCTAGCGGGTAATCAGATATATCGGTCCAGCCTTGAAGATTGATAAAAGACTGGACGTCTTTCGGATCATTCTCGGGATACAGAGACACCGTGTCACCAACGAAATATTGTAAAGACTGTGTGGCATCCGAAAGTACGACATGGAGAACTTCTTGGAAATGTTCAGGATCAGTTATTCGATCTAAGGAATCTATTTTCAGCGTGGTCAATTTTTTTTCTGAGTCCTGACGTTCTAAGGCAGTTAGCCTCGTGGAAAACTTCTTGGATCCATCTTGTTTAATGGTTATTTGATGCAGAGGAGCGAGAACGACGTTATCAGGGATCTCATTCACTTTACCCGAGTACTTTTTCTTCAAAGCGTCGAAGACCAAACGCTCCCAGGAATCGTAGAAGGCTTCTTGCCCCTCAGGCGATTGCTCGTCGCATTCGGCTCTCTCAACAAACTCTTGGGCTCCTAATTGCTTCAGCCTAGCGTGAAACTTCCGGATTGCAAGGTTATACATCACGTACGAAGAATCTCCCAAGCCACACGTTGAAAACTTTAAATGCTCTAGGAGATTTGGCGGCAAATTTCGACGCATCAAGAATCTGAAGAACTTCCGGCAGTTTCTTGGTAGCTCTCCTTGACCTGTTGTTGAGCAGATCAGCAGCAATGTGGAAACCTCGAAAAGTTGCTTCAGGTCAAGCGAATCCATGTTGCAGACCAACGGTTTCAAACTTAGATAACGACATCGGTGTGCCAAGGAATGTGCAAAATCCTGGGCCGTTCCGGTTTCCGAACCATATAGGATAATGATATCACAGGCAGACATGCTCTGTGAGTATAATATTAGCTTTCGAGATCTTGACTGTCTCCCGTATTCCGGTCCCATAGCTACAACCAACAGGGCCATTCCGAATACAAAGCACCGGATTCTGACAAATTGAAAGAATTTCCTCCACCGCACACCCCTCGGACTAATTTCCTCGTTTGGAATGGGCAAAGGGCCAGATGCCGGGGAAGAAGCGTAATCTATTTCATCTATGTCAGTCATAGAAAGTATATAAATAGGTGTACACATGCATTCATGTGTACCAGTGTATGTACAGGATTTATCTAGGGTGGGAACATCGCAACGCTCAACGTAGTTGAACGCCGTACTTTTGGACAAGCTCCTTACGAGTTTCTTCGTTCATGAGGTTGACTTCATCGTTGGTGATGTTACGATCCATGGACTGGTAGTTGACACGGTAGGTCTGGGAGTGTTTGCCAGTCTTGGGGTGCGTGAACTCGTCCACCAGTTTGACGCTTTCCACAAGGTCGCCGGCGTTTTCACGCACAATCTCCATCAAGTCATTTTCATGGAGCTTCAAGTACTGACCTTCGTCGTCCTTGGGAAGCCAGAAGGAGATGTCTCTGACTGAACCCGGGTACTTTGAGTACGGCTTGAAGATGCTGATTTGGTTCTGCTTGAACTGGTTGATGAACCTCTTGTCAAGAGACCAGAAGAGTCTGATGTCGGGAATGCCAAACAATAGCATTGCGATACGGTCGAGACCGATACCGAACGCCCAGGCAATGGAATTGTCGAGTTTCGAGTTGTCCAGCACCAACTTGCGCACATCTCCACAGCCACAACATTCCAACCACTCGCCCTTCCACCAGACCTCAATTTCCCAGGAAGGGGCTGTCCAGGGGAAGTAGGCTTCGACCCATCTGACCTTCAAAGGCTCGTTCAAGTACTCCTCGGTTGAACCGGCAAGCTTGGCGGCCGACTTTGCCTCGTTGAAAACGGCATCGACCAAAACCTCGATGGTACGCTTCAAGTGCTGCGACACCAGATCGGTCTCTCTGTCAGTCATGAAGTCCTGCTTAGGGTTCTCGACCGGGTCGTACCCAACATCCTCGACGATTAAATCCGTCTTGGGGATGGCATCTATGTCTGCTTGGATCTTCGCCAAAAGCTCCTCCTCGCTTTTGAAGTCGTCTCTTTTCCACACCCTGGCTCCCTCCATCTGGTGGAACACAGGGTAGTGCGTGCGGTCAATCTCGTCTCTTCTGTACACATCTCCACAGATGAAGTAACCTGGGGTTTGGCATGTGAGAAAGCACTCGTGTTCGTGTGCAGAGGTATGCGTTCTCAAGAGATGGTCTTTGTTGAGGTAGTACGTGTCGCTTTTGGAACGGCCTACATGGTCCTCTGGGAAGCCCAAAACGTCGAAGTTCTCATGCACCGAGACGTTGGGCTTCATATCTCCGTACATTGTGTAGCCGAGACCGTCAAACCTGTTCTCAATCAACGAGCGGAGAATCCCGATCGGGTGGTTCTTGTTCTTGTGCAAATCTCTGCCCACAAGCGATAGGATCCGTGGTGTGGCGTTTGTCCACTCATCGGACTTGTACTCTGTGCCAAGCACATTTAAAGATGATTGTGCCTGAGCCAGTGCTCTGTGCGAGGAACGACTGAACGCACGGGCCGGAGTGAAAACAGCCCTTTCGCAGTGTGCACGAGCTGCTGCTGCCAAAGTTGCCATGCTGGATGCGTGTGTCTCTCTCTGAGGGGCGGTGTAACCCTTCCGCGTAGCCGGAGACTTCTTTCCCGTGCTCAAAACGCTGTCTCTGCCGATTCATGTTCAAAGACGTCCTCGAGGAGGTGACCTGACGTCCCCCGCGCGCCCGTGCACCGGTAGGTTCCCGAGGAAAGTTGAGCGAGCTCGTCCTTTACTGGTCCCAGGAGAAGATGAAGAAGGACCATACAGGAACGAAAGTGAGGTTTTGGAAAGCCTAGTAGAGGTGATCAGATACACAACAGGAATCACAGAGCAGCTTCCACAGCATCAGCATCAGGGCGAAATGTTTGCGTCAGTTTCCAGACTTTTTACGCCGTTCACGAGGGTGGCACAACCCTCGGCAAAGAGATACGGCCATGAACTTGCACCAAGATACAAGCAGGTGATGAAGAAACAGAAGGGGAGAGTCTCTGTGCGGACCGGTGGGTCCATCAAGGGGACGACGTTGGAGTTTGGGACGTATGGCATGCGTCTTAAGAGTGAGGGTTTGAGGCTCACGGCGGCACAGCTCCAGGCTGCGGATAACGTCTTGACGAGGTTCGTGAAGAAGGGTAACGGTACCATGTGGAAGCGGTTGTGCACCAACGTCGCCGTGTGCATCAAGGGTAACGCAACCCGTATGGGTAAGGGTAAGGGTCCATTTGACCACTGGGCGGCAAGAGTACCTACGGGAAAGGTTGTTTTTGAGGTTGACGGCATGCACCGTCACGCAGCGAAGGACTCTTTGAGAAGAGCCTGCGAGAAGCTCCCTGGTATTTGGGAGTTCATCGACAAGGACACTCCAGCAAGATCCGGGTTTGCCTACGTCGAGGAACAGGCCAAGGTGAACTACCTCGAAGAGGCCAAGGAGAACCCCACTAGAGAGTTTTCTAACTTCCTGAAGTCCAAGTCTCCGGAATTCACCAAGTTTACTGGTCGTAAGTAGATCGAATCCACTTTTTTCTGTACATATACATACATATATACTCACATAGCACGTGAGAATAAAGCCCTCTGAAGAGCTATTGTCCGGTGGAGTCGGACTCGAGTAACACCATCACCCTGGTGATGAAACCCTCGAGGTGGAATATGTCTTTACTGCCTAGCGTCAGTCTCTCGTCGAACAACGCGGCAGCGTCCACGATGTCCGTCTTCAACTTGTTTAAGTGATGAAGCCCACTGTAGTCGTCTACCAGCCTGATGAAACAAAACATCAACTTTTCTAGTAGCAACTTCCCCGGAATTGCATGCGATAGCAACTCGTAGAGTATCGTCCGGCAAGTGGTCAACCGGGCCACAGATCTGTCCTTCAGCACCCCCTTGGCCAGACTCTCAATGACGAGCTGCCAGTCCGGCTTGATGACCGGCGTCTGGACGTTGATGGAGTCGTGGTTCATGTACATGGCCTCGAGCATCATGATGCCTAACCTCAGGTTGCCGTCACACTCCTGGATGATGTGGTCAAAGACAATAGCACGTTCATCCCAGTCTTCTGGGAAACTCCTCTTGGCATCCGCCTCGTTGCTCAAGATGCTCTCAAAAACCTGTCTCATGGCATCCTTGCCAGGAAGTCCTATCCTGACCCCAAGTGTACGCGATTTGATAGGGTCAATGATGTTCGAGGTCGTGTCACATATGAGAATCAGTCTGATCGATGCGCTGAACTTCTCCATGGTTCTTCTCAAAGCAGCCTGTGCATCCCTGCTCAACTTCTCGCTCTCGTTGATGATCACAACCTTGAATTTACGCTGAGGAGAAGACGACTTCTCGTTCTCTTCTCCGCCATTCTCCTTCGACTCATTCTCCTTCTTCGCTATGTGGAAAAGTCCGGAGAAATCAAGAGCCTCGGTTTGACCAACCTCCTTGAGAAGATCTTGGATGACAACACGATCGTTATTTCCCATGTCGCTTGGCGTGATCTCCATATGGCACGGACTCGATATGACATTGAATTCTAGCTTCCTGTTCGAGGATGTCACAAAGGTCTTCACGTCAACTTTCAAGTTGTCGACAGACCCTGTACCGTATAATCGACGCAGCATCGCCATAATACGCGTCTTCTTACCGCCACCAGACGGCCCGTATACGAGCAAATGAGGGAAGTTGGCACCCGAATCTGCAAGTTTCGACAACTGTTCGGTGATATCATCGTGATAGGAAAGTTTGGCCAACGCCTTCGGCCTGTATTTGTCTGCCCAGAGAGCCATTATTCCAATGTTTCGTGTTTACTGTCCAATGCCTGCTGCCAAGCAATACTTCTCTGTACTACTTTCCTCCTCTCTTGTCCTCTACATCACTACTTCTTGCTCGGATTCTCTTCCATCTTCAACGCCTAACGCGTCAACTAAAGAGGTGTGAAAAATATACTGCCGCTTACGTCAGCGGCTGGGCTCAACATGATTTTGCAGATTTTTCCCTTCTTCTCATACTCCATGGCCACTTTATAAACAAAAGTGACGGTTGTAGCAAGAACTCATTTCAAAACTGTCTGAATTTTCACCCAGTAATGAATAAAATAAACGCACAATGCGAGGTTTGCCGGGAACACGAATCAAAATACACTTGTCCGAGGTGCAGCGAGCATACATGCTCTTTGGACTGTTTTAAGAAGCACAAGATTGAAAAGTCGTGTTCAGGGTTAAGTGACGCTTCCCTAGGGACGAGAGACTCTTATGTTAACAAGAAAGAGATGAAGATGGAGGACGTGCAGCGTGACTATAATTTTCTGCTAAAGGTTAATCGGTCTTTGGAGTTGACGAAGCGGAAAAAACAAGATCTAAAATCTATGGTGCAGAAACGTGGGAAACCTCAACCTCGTCGAAATTTCAGCCAAACGCAAGGGGAGAACGCCAGGCCGTGGATACTACAGCGTGGTGTAAGAGTGATGAAAGCACCGTTTGGCATGGAGAGAGGGAGGAGCAACAAGAGCTCCGGAAAGGGAAATAACTGGTCGTGGACGGTGGAGTGGCTATTGGTGGACTCACAGATGCAAATGCTGCAGAAATACGTCAGATACAGGTCGAATGAAACGGCAACTTTAAAAAGTCTTATACCCGAAGGGTGGATCACCACTAATGAGGATGGGGTGACCGAGAGCTACACGATATTGCTCAAAGACCTAGATCAGAGAAACATCTTTGTTGAGTTATCCCCCGACTTGAAGCTCTCAGAAGCATTTCACAACCGCTTGGTGCTAGAGTATCCTACAGTGTACATTAGCAAGGAGAAGCTTGCTGACAATTCATCGCTGAAAATAATACGTGAGGGGTCCGAAGATGCTGGGCCATCTGACGAGTCCAATGAGGACACCACTTCAGAATCAGACTCAAGCAAGGACTCATCGTCTTCGTCTTCCTCAGATGATGATTCCAGCTCCGAGTCAGACACAGATGCCGGTTCTCAGTCAGACGGGGCTCCAGAGGAGTCAAGCTCGAAAGTGCCCGTGCAAGAACAAGAAAAATAAACTCTATGATTGTATATTAGTATAAAAGTTTTTAAGCCAAAACTATAGAAAAAAGTTATGCCTTGCATTTTAGTCGAGTATTTCGTCGTATCTGCTCTTGACTTCGTTCACTACCTTGACCAATTTCTCCGACAAAAGCACAGTCTTTGGGTCTTCAACTTTGGTGAAATCTGTAAGTCCATTTTTAACAGAGTTATAAAAGCCTTCAATGAACACCTTGATTCGATCGTTCATGTCCTCGCATAACATCGTGTCGTCTAGATCATTACTTTCATCTTCGCTGTCATTTTGATTTGCTGTCCCTGTAGACACCGTCTGTGCAGCGTTTGGTGCGTTATTATTCGATACCACACTAACATTGCCGAAAAGTTTTAAATTTCGGTACAACATTCCCATGTTAGGTTTTATCATATAAGTATGCAGCAGGCCATGCTGCTGCACAGCAGAAAGCGTCGAATCTTCAGAGGCTGAAGTTACAGCCTCTTCAAAGCATCCCGCCTCAAGGAATCTGTTTATAAAGCCCAGCTGTTCCAGTCTCATTCCATCGTAGTCCTTGAAATCGTTGGAATCGACATAAGATTTGTTTTCCTTCTTCCAGTTCATCAATATTAGAATGTTTTTCCATAATCGAACCCAGTGGTTCGCCACAGTAAGCTTTTTCAATCTTTCGCCACCGTCGAGAATGGCACCTAAGGTGTATACGGAGTCTTGTCGAATCGTTGGCTTGAGATGCGTCATGGCGCTAAATATGAAAAGCATAAGCGAGTCATGGTTCAAGACAATCAAGTTGTTATGGTGCTTAATAAGCTCAACCAGTATTTCTCTCGCATCCGTACGTATCTTCTTCGACTGGTCTAGGAACAACGTTCTCAAAATCTTGATTAAATCATCCAACGGCACCTGGTGAGTCTCTTGATACGGGTCTTTTTTCAAAGTTTCTAAGATTTCAGCTAAAATTTCCTTTCTCGAGTTCAAGTTGCTTGTCGTTTTCCTCACAACTGAAAACTTTTTCAAATATTCGGCGGAAGAGTTCGAGTAGCCAGAGACCAGGTGTTTCGAAGACGATGAGATGTTGATTCTCTTCGCTTTGAAATCGGTGGATGTGTAATTATTAGCCTTGGCAGCGGTCTTCCCTACCTTTAACTTCGGTTTGACAAAATCCTTCTTTTTCTCCTTCTTCCGTTTTGATGACCCCATTTTCTTATCACTGCTTTTGTGAAGGTAACCCAAGTTCGAACAAATATTAGTGTAAAGAAGAAGACCGGTGGTGCTTAAATAAAAAAGTACAAGATAAAAAAATTGAAAAATAGAAAATAGAAAGTAGCGAAATAAGGGAAAAAAAAATAAAAATTCAGATCATGAATACAATGTGTACGGTGGTAATGTTTCCCCGGATGGCAAGACAACAGGTGGAACTGAACAGAAGGTCCTTGGAGCAAAAATCGCAATGGAGGAGGATTTCATGGACGACGAGGTGCTGTACGAGTTGACACACAAGCTGAACCTGCGAACGAGCGAGGATAATACCGGACACCCGATACCGTATCCAGCGACGATGTCGGTTTCTGTTTCGGACGAGGATATAAGCATGAAGGACTATACCGAGGAGGAGATAGACGGGTTGGCTGCGGTAGGTGCTGCTGCCCAACATCACACAAGCAACACTCTCAGAGAGCGATGGAGAAAGAGCACGGAGGAGGGGACCGATGCCGTCCGAGACGAGAACGAGGATGTGGACGAGGAACCTGGATCTGAAACAGCAAATGGCAACTCCATTTCACTCATACGAACGATCTTGGCACCGGAGACCCAAGGATACATGCTTGGTGCCGCCCGGTCCGGCAACCAGAGGCGTGATGCCAGCGAGGATGAACCAGGGGAAGGCGTGGTTGCGGACTCCTCGCCTCAGACGCACACCACGATTGGGAAACTGAACGACAAAAACGTGATTATTCACAACCATTTCTACAACATCATTGCTGGCCCGGGGCCCGGATACGGGCTCGACGACCCGCAAGCACTGTGGGCCCATGAGAATCTCGAGGACAGCGATCGACGTCTGCGGCTGTTCGAGTATGTGAAGAAGACGCTGAATTATTCGCTGCTGCTGGGGTTTGCGTACCTTGCTGTCAGACAGGTCACGCGGGACATTGGCGTGGAGTACCAGCGGCTCATGATCAGAGAAAACCTTCAGAAGGAACAATGCGTGGAGGAGTACTACGTGAACCGGTGCGATGAGTACGGACAGCTTCCTGCGTTGAAGGACGAGTGTTTGGAGTGGAGGATCTGCATGAGCGAAGGAAACACAAACCACATCCGCACCGTCTTCTACAGCGAGCTCGCCATGCAGGTTGTTGGCCGCCTCATCAACGAGACGCTCGACAGTATCGGCGGCATGAACCGGCTGTTTCTCCTCGTGGCGCTCTCCGTGTGGTATCTCGTCAACTTTGCGTGTGGCTACATGCGAGGCAACCACGATCACGACCACCCTCACAATCACGATCACCGTGACGACATCCGCAGTGCCTCCTTCGGTGATTCCCGTGCTTTGCAGCTGCTGCGACACCCACCAAACCCCATTGACGACCACTACGAACACGCTTGATCCCACCCCTCCTCCCCGGCCGTGCATATGTACGACGCGTATAGAGACATAAACCCTACAGGCATTTCCGTGCTAGTTGCCCGGCCACTTGCTACTTAACGCGCTAGTGCTGCACGTCCGTTAGACTTTCTGAGCTAATACCGCTAGCGCGGCGCGTCTGGCGATCGTTCTGCTAGCGCGTCGGGTCTTCCGCGGCTGGTAGCCCTCCTTGCGGGGGGCTGCCGGGGACAACCGCACCAGCGCGGGCACGGCGGCATGCAGCACATTTGTGGGAGCAATATGGGCGTCGTATCTGCCCGCAAGTGTGCTGCGTGGCTGGACCGGAACACGGAAGCGAGGGACGTTAAGCTGCCCGATCGGGAAGGCACTGGTTTTTGGCAGGCGGCTTGGCCGGAGATACAGCGTGGGGAGGCATTGTCTTTAGGGGCCGGCAGCGTGCTGGGGGAGCCAGCTGGGTGCCGCATTGGGAACGCGTGGTGCAGAAGGTGAAGGTTGCTGTTGAGGGCCGGGCTATTTTTCGTGTTTGGTTCTGGCTCCCAGGACTCCAGCAGGGCCGGCCGGGAGTGGAGGAGACTCGCCGAACCACCCACGCCAAGCCCCACTAGCTCGCAAGTATACTGCATTGGGACGGGGTGTTGGAGTGCTGGTTTCTTGTAGCTTGGGGCGGGCCAGAGTTTAAATTTGGAACGGTTCCCTAGTCCCGTTATTCCTCTGACAGCAGAGCCTAGAGAGAAGCGCTAGTTTTCATGTGATAGCTCCTGCGGCCCGACTCCGACCAACCATCTCGACCGACCCTAGCTGATCGAACAGAGACATTCACTCATTCACCTTCCCCCAACTACTTACACCCATTTCAGTAGAGAGACTTCATTCTTTTCATTCTTTTCATTCCTTACAAACCCTCGTTTTAGTTCAAACCGAACAAACCACCAGAATGAAGCTTTCAACGTCTGTGATATCCTGCATAGTCTGCGCCTTGGCGTCCGCGGACGCAGCGCCTGCCGCCTTCCAACCCGTTTGCTCCGGCGTTGCTACCGTCACCGAGTACTCGTCCACATTCCTTCCCTTTCCAAACGCAGTTCCGTCCTCGGACTCCCCGTCCGGCACGAACGTCCCAGCAACTAGCTCTTCGTCGTCAAGCTCGAGCGAGTCGTCTTCTGCCTCGTCGAACTCGCTGCAGGTCACCATTCCACAAACTTTCTCTGCAACTGCCAGCTCGTCCAGCTCGTTAGCTCTAAGCTCATCTTCATCGAGTCTAGAGGTTACTAGCTCGTCAAGCTCCAGTCTGGCCGAGTCATCCAGTTCAAGCTCGAGCACGGTCAGCCCAACCAGCGAGTCTTCAACTTCAGCCTCAACTACCTCGAGCTCCTCTAGCGTATCAGCAGACTCGACCACAAGCTCCAGCTCCAGCAGCTCCACACCAACTACCAGCTCCAGCAGCTCTACCAGCACCACCCCAACTACCAGCACCACCAGCACCACCCCAACTACCAGCTCCACCAGCACCACCACCCCAACTACCAGCACCACCAGCACCACCCCAACTACCAGCTCCACCAGCACCACCAGCACCACCAGCTCTACCAGCACCACCCCAACCACCAGCTCTACCAGCACCACCCCAACTACCAGCTCTACCAGCACCACCCCAACTACCAGCTCTACCAGCACCACCAGCTCTACCAGCACCAGCAGCACTACGAGCACCACAAGCTCCGAGTCACAGACCTCCACATCTACTAGGCCTCTTTTGAACCATAATAATCCTACCTCAGTCCCAACATCTCCACCTTCTTTCAACTTTGCCGACGCATACTTGGCAAAGCACAACTACTTCAGAGGATTGATGCAAGACACAGCGCCTTTGTCCTGGAACGACAACATCGCTCAAGTTGCACAAAACTACGCCGATCAGTACCAGTGTGGTGCCGATCTCGAACACTCGGGCAACCCCTACGGAGAGAACTTGGCCCGGGGCTACGACTTCAAAAGCGCCGGTGCCGTTGCTGCATGGTTCAACGAAATCAAAAACTACAACTGGGATGACCCAGGTTTCGGAGAAAACACAGGGCATTTCACGCAATTGGTATGGACCGAAACGACCCAACTCGGATGCGGATACAAGGATTGTGGAAGCTACTGGGGAACCTACATCGTCTGCAACTACAACCCAGCAGGGAACATTGCGCTGGCCGGTGGCGACGATGCCGAATACTTTTACAGGCGGGACGTCCACAAACCAATCGATGCTTCGACGTATCAAGGTAACTTTCCTTTCTGATTGACGTCCCCCTGACATTCCTGCATTATCCTCGTCCTCCTCGTCTCCTTTTTTGCCATCGTCGTCTTCTGCGTCACTACTTGGAACATAGTGCCGCACCGGAAGACAGACTATGCCAGAAATGGAGTCCCGTCGGTCGAAAGTGCAGTGGATCCCCCATGTATATCCCAAAACTTGTTCATTTCGGCTTTCACTTCTCTCTTTATCATTCTCGGCTTCCCCCTTCCCTCTTTGCTGCAGCGCTCCTGCCCTATTTTTTCTCTTCTCCATATACTTTATACTTTATCTACTAATAAACGCGCTAATTGCCAAATAGCCCCACTAGTGCCAAATCTTGCAGCGTGCTTGCCGTTGTGCAGCGACTAGCCGCGATCGTCATCTATTACCGTTGGTGGTGTGGGAGTGTCATTGGTGTGAGCTAAATAGAACGATAGACGGGGTAAATAGAACGATAGACGGGGTAAATGGAAAAGAGAAGGAAATGGAAACGGAGGGGAAACGGAAAGGTAACGGAAATGGAAACGGAAAAGGAAACGGAAAAGAAGGGGTATAGAGAGGATTTTTGTCTATAAAAGGTAGTGGATCAGTTTCTGAAGGCCACTGCGTCAGCAAGGTCGTCGGCGTTCAAGAAGTCTGAATTCACCTGGATTATCTGGTTCCAGACGGCGTACTTCTTGCTGACGGGCCACCAGGGAGTGTCCCAAACTCTGGTCTTGATGCCAAGTTTGTGCGCCCTAGCAACCTGCTGGCGGGCTGTGTCGAGTTGGCTTGCGGAGAGGCCGTTGGAACTGCTGACGGAGCCAACAAGGGCCTTGAGGGACGCCGAGGCGATGGGGCTGACACCTAACGTGTAGATCTGGTCGTCTGCGTCGGTGAGCTTGTCCAAGGGTCCGTCGAAGAATATGTCTCTGCGTTCGCCCATGCCAAGGACCCTGTCGAGAGGGGTGTTTCCCGTGCCGATGACGGTGATGGGCCCCCAGTGGAACTCGCTGCTGGAGGTGTTGTACCAGCTGAGCCAGTTCTCGGTCCTGAAGCGGTCGAGCTTCTTCGAGAGGACGTCGAAGAGCACGTTACCGTCCGTCTTGAAGTCGATGAAGAAGTAGAGCGTTTGGCCGGAGTCGGTGTCCCACACTCCTGCCGGCGCTGTCGCCGTTTCTGCGCCCGAGACGACGGCGTCCGTCGAGTTCCTGTTGTTTGCGCCGGCGAGGATGGCGTGGAGCTGGTCGAGGTAGAGCGAGTCGAGCAGGTGGTCCTGGCGCAAGGCCTTTTTGGAGTGGCCGACAAAAACGTCGTTGTCGTTGTTATCCGGGAAGTACCAGATGTCTGCCTCGACCGAGTGCACGCCGAGAGAGAGCGCGTCGAGAAGCGGGCGGCGTCTCCAGTAGTCGTTGTGGGAGTGGACACCCTTGACAAAGACGTCGTGCGTGATGCCCGAGGCAGAGTAGAAGTCGTGCTCAAGGTGGTCGAGCAGGTCGGCGTGCGAGCGGAACTCGTCCGGACCGAGGTTCTGGTGACTCAGCCGGGCAATCTCCCTCGACAGGTAGCGCATGTAGTGGTTGCCCAGCGGCAGGGCCAGCACTGTCTGGGCGAACATAAGCGTCACCAGCGTGGAGAGAACAGCAACAAGCACCATCACGGTTATTGAGTAGAGCGAAGACGAGTGCGGTGGCAGACGCCGTGCGGCAGCAGAGGAGCAAGATGAAGCCTGTTTCGAGCCCGTCTCTGTGTCCCTGTCTGTGAAGGGAGAAAAGGAGGCTGCACAGGGCACGGAGCTGTAGTGGGGGGTGGACGTGGACGTGGACACGGAGAAGGAGGCCCGGCGGACGTTCGACATCGCAGTGCTGGGCAGGCAACGGGGCAGTTCTGCTTCTGGCTCTCCCACGGGGCCACCAGCGGGCTATATACGGCCCACCACTTGCTGCAGCTGCTGCTCCTGCAATCTCTTCAAACTGTGGAGCAACCTCCGGCTGCCGCCCCGACCTGTCGAGGCAGTTAAGCTAATCTCGCGGCAGCCGGCGGCTGGCCCGAGGCCATTGCTGCGCCTGGGTGGGGGGCCGGGGCGCCCCGTTTTTTCTCCCGCAGGCCGTTTCGGGCCGGGTGCCGATAGCAGGTAGGTTGTGAATAGACAGTTTAAGATAGATAGGTAGGATAGGTAGGGTAGGTAAAGAAGGCTCAACGCAAGAAGTAGTTGTACTTGCCGGTGGTGCGGCGAGAGTCGTCCGGGCCGCTGGCAGGGAAGTTGAACTCAAGCTCGATGTCCAAGTCTCTGTTGTTGAACTCGTTCGGACGGGACGCGAGGGAGCCGGAGATCTCCTCGCCCTTCTTGACGTCGAGGACGCGGTCGAGGTAGAAGACGGTCTGCTTCCAGTGGGTGTAGGTGGCGTGGGCGCCGGTGGAGAAGGAGACGACGTTTTCCGGGGTGTCGGAGGGGAAGTCGATGTCGAACCAGGCAAGCAGGGCGTGGACGCGGTCGTCCCGGGTGGCCTTGAGCCTGAAGGTGCGGTGGAAGGCAAGCTGCTCGATGGTGACGGTGTTCAGGTCGAAGTCGATGAGCTTGTAGTGGCTGGTGACGACGGCGCCGTTGTCGACGGTGTCGACGAGCGGCTCGACCATGGCGATCTTGACGAAGGGCGAGTAGTCGAAGCCGTAGAGCTGCATCGGGTCTTCCCAGAAGTGGATCTTGTCGTTCTTGTACTCCTCGTCCTCGATCATCGCCACGTGGATGCTGGCCTTGTCCGGGAAGAGCAGGCCGCCCTCCTTGAGGTACATGTCCCGCGCAACCAACACCGTGTCCAACATGGACTCGTAGAGCAAGAAGTAGCCCATCCACTCGCTGATGATGATGTCCACCTTGTCGTACGGAAGCTTCACGTCCTCCAGCTTCCCGCGGAAGAGCGTGATCCGCTCCGAGAACCCGTTCACGTCGATCACCTTCTGCGCCATCTCGATGATGTTCGACATGTCCACCGCTAACACGTGCTTGGCCCCCGCCTGCGCCGCAAACATCGACAACACCCCTGTTCCGCACCCGACGTCTAGCACAATCTTGTCCTTGAACAGGTGCTTGTTCTTCATGATCGCGTTCCGATACGACAGCGTTCTCACCCGGTCCTTCAACATCTCCTCGTGGATCCCGAAGTGGTCATATGACGAAAAATAGTGCTGCTCCGAAAATGGCAGCGTCTTTTTGTCTGTGGCATACGTCTCTGGCTGCTCCGATCCCATGCTGCTGCTGCTGTTGATCTGTCAATGGCTCACAACACTTCTCCTTTTCTTCTTTTCTCCTTTTTTCCTTTTCTCCTTCTCTTCTTATCTTCTTCGCCGTCTCCTGGACAGCTGGAAAACTTTTTTCTTGAAAAGGAAAGACGAAAAAAAAAATTTCCTCGTCTGGCGCGCCCGTGCACCGCTCCGCGCCCCGAAAAACGTCAACACGGGCCGTCCTTCCTGGCTGCGCCAGGCTCAGACGCCGTCGTATTGTCTGGCTCGTCCCCTAAAAGCTGAGCTTCGGAGTACCTCTGGGACGCCATCAGGCCGTTCGGTGGGTCGCCACAGCGCCAGAGGACCGTGTTTGCCAGCCAGCCGCCAGCATGACCATGTCCCACTACACTGATGCCGCCGCCCCCGGCGGCGGCAATGCTGCGCAGTCGCCAGGCAGCCAGGCCGCCATGGCGGCTGCAGCCATGTCGTTTTCGATGGACCAGAGGAAGAACGACAGCTCCGCTGGGGCCAGCACGGCCGCAACTCCGGTGTACAGACGGCGAAAACAGCAGCAAGCGCAGTCGCAGTCGCAAGCGCAGTCGCAAGTGCAACCGCAAGGGCAAAGAAAGCAACCGTATACGCCCCGACTCGCCACAGATCAGCCGTCTTTCCCTCAGAGCGAGATGCAGGTGGACGCCTCGAGCCGGTCACCCACCAACCGCCACTACAGACAGCCCCCGGAGCGGAAGATAGCGTCGCCGCAGACTCCGCTGCCGGCATCGTCGGCGTCGTCCGTGGTGGCTTCGTCGGCGTCCACCCTCTCGCCGTCCTCGCAGAACAACAAGAGCCTGTGGAACGACCTCAACCACTCATCGTCCACAACAGCCCTCGCGGCAGCCGCCTCCATCGCCAAGATGAACCCCTCCTCATTGATTTCCAACACAACCTCGCCGAAGCTGGTCCGCAAGCCCATTCCCACGGCAACCCACTCGATGATCCACTCCACTCTGAGAAAGTCCCCTCAGCAGACAAGCACCGCATCCATACCACGGTACCACTCGTCCGCCTCGACGACCTCCGTGAACACGAGGGAAGATACCCGGCCACAGTCAAATAACGGCAGGAACCTGCCTAGAAAACCCCCGCCTCCGTCTCGGGATCCCACCAACGAGAACCTCAACTCCAGCACCGACATAGCGTCAACTCACCCATCGAGCACTACGACCACTACCCCGGCAGCTGCGGCAGCGGCAAACAAGTCGTTTGACATGGATAAAATGGCCTCGACCTCCAGTCCTTTCCAATTCCCATTGCAACACAACAACTCCTATGCAGTGCAGTCAAACGTCTCCATCCCATACCCACATTCGAAAAACTCCAGTCCGAACTCAACTCCGCAACCCGCCCAGAATGGTTTCCATTCTTCGTCCGAGCTGTATCCTGCTCCAGAATTGCACAGACGCTCGTTGTCCAAATCCCAGAAACTGACAAACTTCCTGACCCCAAAGACATTGAAGGATGAAATTAAGTCTCAGAGGTTGTACAACCATCAGCTATCCAACTCCACGACCACTTTACCCTCTCAGATACAGCAGTTGAGCGTGAATGAACCCAACTCTTTAACCAGCGACCTACTCAGCCAGCCAATGACTGCTCCTACCATGTATGCCTCGCCTAATGGATCGACAGACTACTTTTCACATCAGCAACTACAGCCAGAAGATTTCTATTCCAATCCAAACATGTCAGCAAGTAAGGTGATGAATAACAACAACAATAGCAGTAGCAACATATACCAGCAAGCTACAGCAGTCCCGCCCCAACAGTTGGTCTTCAGAACCACGCTGCGGAATGGCGATAAGAAGGGTGGCTTTGGTAGAAGCAAGAAGAGCAAAACTGAATTCAACGAAGATAAACCGTGGAAAAATCACGAGCGTGGTAACTTGAACACGGTCACCGCAGATGAGAAAAAGAGATATGAAGGTGTTTTTGCTGCCAACAAAGGCCTGTATATTAATCTGGACCTCCGTTTAACTGACCAGTTCAAACTGAAAACAGTCAAGGTTGGCGACTCGGTCACCTCTGAGCCGGAAAGAACACTCGCAGATTTTGTCAACACTTATTCGACGCCTTCTGAAAGAATTCATGGCTTAGTGGTTAGAGATATTTGGCAGCGTTCCAGGCTTGATCAAGAAACTTTGAAGAAGATGTGGAGCTTGGTATTGGACGACCGTAAGCGTCGTTGGATCAAGAGCATATCCAATGGAGATACAGAATGGTTACTTGTGGAAGATGCCGATGTTGATGCCGACGTTGACGTCGATGTTGATGACGTAGCTACAGTAAACAACGACGTATCACAAATCAAAGAACACGATACGGCAAGAGATGCAGATGGGAATCCGATATTCAAAGAGGGCTTCACCCTGGACCAAGCAGTAGATACCAAAAATGATACCCCAATAGAACAACCTCCGGTCCAGGGCGTTATCCCTCGTATATCAATCACCGTTAACCCCGAGGACGACCATGAAGAAAACACCGAGTATAACGGTTCCGATGTGAGTATCAAAACAAAAGAAACACAGGAAAATGAAATTGATGATATTTTAGAGTCCCCAGAACAAGAAGATGATCAGAATTCGGACATGAAGTCTGACAGACAAGTAGAAGTACAGACAATCGCACCACAGGACCAGCATCGAAAGAGAAGTGACGGCCTTTGTGATCTATTGGATACTGATAGGAACCTCTTTGATGATGGTACACTGACGTGTGATGAGTTTATCGTTGGAATGTGGTTGGTGGACCAGTGCTTATACGGGCGTAAAATTCCTAAAATTGTGCCAATTACAGTTTGGGAGACCATTGGCGTTGATTGGACAGTGTCCAGCTATGGTGCATACGGGAATTACCCATACCACTTTTACCATCCACATGTTCCTGGAATTAACGGGGTTTCTGATATTGTCGGCATGGGTATCAAAAAGGGGAAAAAGGGTGGCAAGAACAGAAGGCACGTATTTAAAAAGGTTATTGGTATCTAACCGATCAGATAAACTCAACTTAAATATTCAGGTATATATATATAATAATGGTAATAGTAGTAATGGTCAATAAATCAATCTAGTAAATTAGCCGAATTAATAGCAGCTACAAAGTCAACACACAAAACCAAAAATCGGACTTAGCGCACAATCCATTCATCATAACAATAATAATAGTAATAATATATTCATCATCATCATCATCATCATCATCATCACCATCATCATGCCAAAGCTCCCATAGGATCATAGTATGGTAAGACGTTGTATTTCTTGGATAGCCAGATACTAGTCAATTTTGGACCTGCAAAAGTGGCGTTGGTGACAATCTGGAAAACGTATTCGTCGAACCATTCGTCGGTCATGACAAAATATCCCTTGTGCTCTCCGTATTCACCCCAAGAATTTTCCACCTTCCATCTGACAGGCTTGCCGTCGATAAGATGGACACCGGTGAGTACCATCGCGTGAGTCATCTGGGAAGAGCCTGTCAATAACCGTTGCTTTTTGGTCAATTCCATCTGGACCCCAAAGCCAAGATCGTAGTCCCAAGAGCCCACATCAAGAAGACCCTTCTGGACGTCTTCGAACTTGCCGACATCGGAGCCAAAGAAAACAGGTGTGTTGGCCTTGATCATGTCTATTGCAGCCTTCTTCAAATAGTCGATTGAGGTGTTGACATATTCAACAGGCTTCCCTCCCTCAATGTTTCCTAATTTGTCTACTGTGTATAGACCTTCGGTATTTCTAGGGTCATTGATCAAGGAGAAGTGCTCATCCGCTTTAAAGCCCAGGATCTCATTGTAGAAACCCAAAGGAGTGGACTCAATTCTGTGGTAGTTGCCAAACTTATCCTTATACTCCCAAACAATAGGATCATTTGGTCCAGGTGGAATTCCTAAGGTGAGACTTAAGATGGTGTGGATCGATTTCATCATCTTCTTCTTGATTGCTACAATGTCGACCTTGAACGAGTCGCCCTTTTCGGACTGGGCCAACTGTTCTCTCTTCAAGTTTCTCAAAATCATTGCATACTCACGCAACTTGTTGTTCACAAAGTAATTCAGGCGAGAAGAGTTGATTGACGAGGCAGAGTCGGGGAACACTGCCTTTGGAACCAAACCGTACGTTTTGACCAAGTTGACAATCATATCCCACTGGCCTCCGTCGTTCTCTGGCAATTGCAGCAAAAACTGGACATATCTCGAGTCAATGTCTTCATCGTATGACTCCAAAATTCTGTTGAGAAACCAGTTAGACTTCTCGAGCTTGTCGTAGAAGAAAAGATGATTCTGCGAAAATTCGAAATCTTCCAAGTTATATTTCGATTTCATGAACTCCTTGAAGACGTTGGTAGATGCAAACAACCAGCACCGACCAGATGACTTCTGGTTGGTGATCGGATGCCCCTCAAATTTGACCGTGTTGTTGAAAAGATCGACATTATGAACGTTGATCTTCTGCGTGTTGGCGATGATCTTGTCGATATCGTTTCCTGTCATACAGTTCAAGGCTAGCTTCTTGACAGGGTCCGAGTAGATTTCATCTTTCCACCCCTTCAAATCAGACACATCCATAGGGTTCTTCAAATCCTGTGGAAGTCCATCATCATCATCAGCATCCTTGTCTTCCGCCTCCTCGTCGGACCCTTCAGTGGTTAAGAGCGACTGCAACTTGTAGATAAGCTCATCGTCTGCGTCGTTCGAAGGTGTAGCGGCAACATACGTTGCCTTTGAGAGTTTGGAGCTGTTTTGACCCATAATGTCCAATACTCTGATTTGGTTATTCTAATTTTAATACTGGCAAAACACTGAGACCCTAAGGAAGAAGAAGAACATACCGAGGGCAAACAAGAAACAGGGGCAGCAGAATAGCTGGAGATATAGAATAGGCCCGAGATAACAAGCCACCACAGTAGAAAAAGGCGATTCTCACAAGACCGATAAGTGGGGTGCCGGTGCACAGGCGGAACCCTAGACGGATTGCCGTTTTGGGAAGGAGGTGGTTTTGCAAGAGAAAAAAAATTTTAATTTTCCACTTTATCATGGAAAAGGATACAGAAGAGAGGTCAGGCTAACGTACTGGATCGTGCTGAACAGAATCAAGAAGCACATTGAAAATCAAGATAAAATGTTTGGAGGATTGTTTGCGAAGCCTAGTGTGATTGACAACGAGAAACTTGTGTCTGAGAAAAAAAGAACGATTGTTCAGTTGAGAAAGAAGGAGAGAAAGGAGAGAAAGAGAGAGGAGAAGCGGGAGCAGAGGACGAATGAGGAGTCCGAAGAGGAGTCCGAATTGGAGGCAGAGGACGAGGATGTTGAGGAAAAAACTCAGGCAGCTGAGAAAGACAACGGCGACGTCAGAATGGACGTTGACGAGCAGGACGAGGAGGACCCTGGTTTAGAGGACAAGTACATGCAGAAGCTCCTACAGGATGACGAAGACGAGGAAGAAGACGAGGAGGATGACGACGAAGATGATAAGGAAAATAGTGCCGATGAAGATGCTGAGAAAAAACAGGAGGAAAAAGCAGCAGGGGAGGGAGATTCGCCAGCCGAGGGTGAAGCTTCGGAAAGGGCAGCCAGCGCAGCCAAGGTGCTGGATTTGAAGGAAAAGGAGTTTGAGAAGGCTGAACGTACGATATTCATTGGAAATGTTCCGTCGTTGATCATGTCCAGCAAGAGAGACACGAAAGACTTCAAACAGTTCATAAATAAGTTCCTCGAGACGCCGGAAAACACGAGCAGCATCGAGTCCATCCGGTTCAGATCGATCCATTCTACTTCGAACGCGCCACGTAAGGTCGCCTTTATTGCAAAGGACGTCGACTTAGAGAATGTTATGAACAGTTATGTCGTGTTTAAGAAGAAGGACGACTCGCTGAAGGCGCTGAAGCTCAATGGTGTGCTGTACAAGGACCACCATCTCAGAGTAGACCACTTGACGCACCCTACGAAGAAAGACAACAAGCTTTCTGTGTTTGTGGGGAACTTGGATTTCCAGGAGAAAGAGGAGTCACTGTGGAAGTACTTCAACGACAAGCTCATTGCCAAGGAGGACAAGAAGGACACCACCAACGTTATCGACAACGTCCGTATTGTGAGAGACCCAAAGACTTCGTTCGGCAAGGGCTTTGCCATTGTCCAGTTCAGCGATACCAACTATGTCACTAAGGCGCTCCTTCTCGACGGCAAGAAGATGGGCAAGCGGTCTTTGAGAATAACCAGATGCAAGAAGCCTATGCGTAACAACGAGAAGATGAGAAGTAAGTTTTCCAAGTTGAACGACCAGCAGAAGACGGTCGTCGGACGGGCGAAACAGCTAGGTAAGATTGACCGTAGAACTTTGGGCCAGGTTGTCATCGAGGGAGACCGTGCCACGAAGGGACAGACCGTGGGCGGCATGGGCAAGAAAAGACATGGAGGACGCAAGGAGAAGCGGGCCAAGAAGGCCAGAATCACAAAGAGAAGCTCGGCTTTCAAGGAGAAGAGCGCCGACTAGGTGCTGGCGACTGTATGTAGACTTGTAAACAGTATATAACGCTGCCTGCGTACTAGGCCGTTATGTCTAAACGCATCATAACATAGGAAGAAAGAGAGGAAGGGAAAAGATCAACACCCGCACAGCCTTGAAATGGGACGGTGCGAGATCTATTCTGTATCGCCTATGGGGCCTCCGTATTGTCTTTCTGCGTCTATCCTGCGGATGTCACATTTCGGGCTCCATGACTGGAGTACGGGTACTTACTGCCACGGGTATCCAGTCTTCCGTTGAGCATCTGCTACTGCTATTATTCTTGCGTGAGGTCTCACTTCTGTTTCCAGGTCCGTACGCATGCTGAGAATGGCCCCAGACAGAGACACGAAGGAGATACCCTCAAGTGACGCCGAAACTGACAGGATGGAAGGAGTCGACGAGAGAGAAAGCCAGCTGGAGCAGCTGGCCAGCACAAAGACCGCCTCTACTGCAGAACTTTTGTCTGCTCCGACAGCGACGTCCAGCACGGAGCCGTCTAGTACCTCGTCGAATAATTCCGTCTTCAGTAATACAGCAAACAACAACGATAAGAAGAGGAGTCTAGAGGCCACCGATGAAGTACGAAACAGGGAGGGGTCAGACGATACTCACAAAAGAGTCAAGATGGAGGAAAACGGCAACATAGAGCATGACGAAGATTCAGCAGCGCAAGAGGCAGTCGCTGATGAAGTGGAGGGAAAGGAGAATGAGGAGAAAAAAGACGAAGAAGAGGACGAAGAAGAGGGAGGGCATGAAGCGGAGGACGAAGAAGAACAAGAAGAAAGTGCTCATGTCCGAGAAACTGCAAACAACAAGATAGGGGAAGAAGAGGAAGAGGATGTTGATGCCAATGAAGAGGAGGAAGAAGAAGACGAGGTGGAGGTGGAGGAGGAGGAGGAGGAGGAGGAGGAGGAGGAAGAAGAAGAAGAAGAAGAAGAAGAAGAAGAAGAAGAAGAAGATGAGGAACAAAAATTGAAGAAAGCACAAGCTGAGAAAGAGGAAGAAGAAGAGGAGGCACAGAAAGAAAACAGCCGTGTTGCAGCAATGAATCGGTTGAAAGATATTGAGATTCTTTTTGCACAGCTGAAGGATAAGCTCTACGAGACACAGTTGAACAAGCTTGAATTTGAATTGAAGCTTTGCCAGAGCAACAAGCACCCCGAACTCTTGGACTACATGAAGATGGTGGACGACGACTTCCAAAAGAAGGCCGAGAGGTTGATGAATTTACAGAAGTACCAGTTGAAGTGCCTCGACAACCAGACGCGGGCACACCGGGTTGCGCTACACCAACAGTTCATGAAAAGCCGCCAGGACTTGAAGAGCAAGGAGGTGGTCAAGATTACCACCGACTGGTACGACATCAACAAGGAACGGAGGACAATGGATATGCAGACGCTCGAGCTGCCTGAGTACTACCAGTACAACGAGACTGTGAACAGCGCCAACATCGAGGAGTACCTCCCAGCATTGGTGCACCAGAGAAACTCGGTGTACAAGGAGCTCAGTGTGCTACAGGGGCTGATCGACTACAAGCAGATGATTCCTAGTTCGTTGAACAACTTGCGGGGGTGTTCGGAAGAGGAGATCAACACAGATCTACAGGAGATGGGGTTGATCTGAAGGATTATGTATTGCTGTTTTTTGCTCTATGTATGTGTATACTATTATAATTACTACTATTATCGACATGATTGCGTGGGTTGACTAAATTTTTAGATTAAATTTGGGGTTTTATATTGGGTGTGTGAAGACATGAGTAAAAAGAAAAGATTTATACAAAACTAAACCACACTTAGTACAACTTCAACTTGGAACCACTAGCAGCCTTACCGTGTTGGACTGGGTTGTAAGTGATGGAGAATTCACCTAAGTAGTGACCGACCATTTCTGCCTTGATTTCAACAGTGTTGAAGACCTTACCGTTGTAGATACCGACGACGGAACCGATCATTTCTGGGACAACAATCATGTTTCTCAAGTGGGTCTTGACGACAGCTGGCTTTTCGTTAGCTGGGGCGCTGATCTTGGCAGCTCTCAACTTCTTAATCAAGTGCATTGGCTTGGCACCCAAACCTCTGGAGAATCTTCTTCTGACTCTGGCGTCACACAACTTGGCAAAGTCTTCGGTGGACAATTCAAGTAATTGTTCGAGTTCAACACCCTTGAAAGAGAATTGCTTGAAGGATCTCTTCTTTCTTTGTTCAGCTATGCGAAAAAAAGTTACGTTGCGGGAAACGGTAATGTTAGTACTTGTTCCATGTGGTGAGTAGATGGGAGAGTGAGTGCTTGGGGCGTCGATTTAGGACAGGATCACAGGGTTTCGCTTTCTGCTGGTGGCGGTCTGTTTCTTCAGCGCCTGTCACACGTGTCTTTCATTGGTTTGCAGAGCTTTCTCTATTCTATTGCATTCCAGTTCAGGTGCTGGCTCTTATGCCCTGCTGTGGCAGTGTCCTGTGTGCTGGAGCCCTACCTACAGAGCCCAAACACGGCGTTTTGGGCTCTTTCTTCTTACTGGTACACACTGCTGTGCAACACGACTGTTTGTTCGACACATTGGTCAACGTTTTCCTCTCCAAACAGTTTTTTCAGCTGGCTTTTTCATATGGCTTTTCCACTGTCCAATCCTGCCTTCCTGTGGCCCATATCCTCTCCCTCAGCACGTTAGCGGGCACATACTAGTAGACATGATTGACGGTTGATCTAATATACTTTGCTGGCTCAAGATGTTGTTACCTGTGTCCCCGACTCTTGTTGTTGTTGGACACTCTTTTGCACACTGACTCCGTCTTCACCAGCTCCACCGCTGTGCCAATGCACTCTCCCTCACCCTCTGCCGGCCTCTCGTCCGCACAGCCTGGGAAAAAGCTCTTTCTCTCTTTTCCCCCGCGCCGGCCAGCTCGCAAGTGCGGCAACCCCGCGCACCTCATACTGTGGACCGGCAACACAGTCACAGCAGAGCCACCCCGCACACCGCACGTTCAAGCCTGTGCCCGCTCGGGGACCCTCGCCGGGGCCCAGCTCGACGACGGGGACGGCGAGGAAGGGCCTGATGCTGTGTGTAAGAAGAGAGATGGGTGAAAAGTCGTGATTGTTAGAGCAGGGTATGCGGCACGGAGTCGACTTTTTAGAACCCTTCTGCAGTATCACACACACAAAAGTCAACAAGTATGTATCATAGTGCAGGGCAGAGACTCCCGTTTGCCGCCGAGAGAGATGGAGCTGGCGCAATGGACGGACGAGGAGACAGATGAGAGGTCGTCAGAAGGACCAGACGTGCACGGACGGTCTGCACCACCGCTGGGAAGGTTGCACAGCGTCCTCTAGCTGTCTCTATGTTTGTTCCGTCAAGACAGGGCTGTTGTCCGTCTTTCGACCGATTGCGACACAAGTACTAACACACAGATCCCGACCGCACGGTCCCCCCGCCACATGTAACTTTCTACAGTGAAGTATCTCGCTGCTTACTTACTTTTGGTCAACTCCGGTAAGACCGCTCCAACTGCTGACGATGTCACCTCCGTCTTGTCCTCTGTCGGCATCGAAGTTGAGTCCGAGAAGTTGGACAAGCTGATTGCCGAATTAGAGGGTAAATCCGTCGAGGAATTGATTGCCGAAGGTAACGAGAAGATGGCTGCTGCTCCAGTCGGTGGTGCCGGTGCTGCTTCTGCAGGTGCCGCTGCCGGCGGTGCTTCCGAAGAGGCTGCTGAAGAGGCTGCTGAAGAAGAAGCTGAGGAATCCGATGATGACATGGGTTTCGGTTTGTTCGATTAGGTCCGTTGTTAGGTTAGATCCGGTTTATATTATACATAAATATCCCCTTTTCCTTTTCAATGTGTCACTTCTAATAAATTAATCATTTTCTGTACTCAGTTCTGCGGAGCCGGGGGAGGAGAGCCCTGGCTACATTTCATGACGGTGCGAGGGCCCCGTTTTCTCTTTTTCTCCGTCCAGACTGTTGAGGCTCATCGTTATCATCACCATCTTCAACTCCCCCTCCGTGTTCTTCATGCTCCCCTGCAACACCCCCTCTGACCAGCTCTCCTCCGGCACCGTAAACAATGTCCAGTAGACCGCTATACGTTGATTGGCAACAAGCTGTGCAGGCAAGAGCGTTCTTGGAGGTGGCCCGCCCCTTCAACGTGGTGTACCAGCTGGTGACAGCCCAAGGCTACCTGTACCCTTTCAGAGGGTTTGTTTTTTTCTGGCAAAACTACCAGCCCTTGCTTCCACTCTTCCTCTCCGTGGTGATCCCATACGGCATCTTGCACCTCTACGTGTACACGGTGTTGTTGTGGGCGATCTTGCCGTTGAACCTCGTCATCCACACGCTCACGCTCGGCCCCGTCGGAGTTCAAGTCGCAATCCTCGCATCTTTCCAGCAGTGCAGCTGTGTGAACAACTACCTATTCAAGAACTACTTGATTGCCGGGAAGCTCAACAAGGTGTTCGACACCACCCTTTGCCTCGTTGGCCTAGACAGGGTGGTCATCCCGGGAAAGTTGAAGAGACTCGTGCCCCAGACCCTCGGTGCGCAGATCATGGAGATCAATCCCATCAACATTGCTCTATCCACCATGAGCCTTCTCTACTCCATCGTTGTATCACTCATTCCGATCATCGGAACTGTAATATTTGAGTACAACAACGCCATCAAGACAGCCGAGTTCAGCCAACAAAGAATGTGGAGACTCACGAGATTGAGACCACGCCAGATGAAGTATCAGGTCAAGGAGAACGAAGGTGTCTATTTGACCTTCGGCTTTGTCTGCCAGCTGCTCGAGAGCATCCCCGTCCTCGGACTTCTTTTCTGCTTCACCAACCAAGTCGGCGCCGCCCTAATGGCTGCAGACATCTACAAAAACAGACCTCAAGGTTAGCTCAAGGGGTCTCACTGCTAATGAGAACACTTTGCTCCGATTTTATATACAACGTTATAACTAAACTCTTTTCGCCAACTGCAACCGGTACATGATTTTGTGCCGCCATACTGATTCAGAAGAGCAATCCGTCTCCGCTTGCATCCACCTACTTTCCACACCGTAAAAACGCATCCTCCCGTTTTATGTTAAACCGGAGTGTGTCTGCCTGCAAATGGTGCCGTCTTCTGACCCTTCCTCTTTGTCCTATCTGGTTCCTCTTGTCTTGTTTAATCCTTATTGTGTGCTCTCTGCTTGCCGCGGCAGGCCCGCGGCAGCCTCATTGGCCTGAAATTCTTATATTGTTTCCGCAATATACGTGAGAAGGCCCCGGAAAGGCCTCTTGCACAGAAATGAAATCCCCTGTTGAATCGCTGACCATGCAATTGCGGGTGGAGGAGACAAATCCAGTGGATGTGAACGTCTGGTAGAGCCAAGGCCCCATTTAGTCCCCGCTTGACTGAAGATACCGGGCCCCAGATAGCCAGCAATCCGGCACCGGTGGCCGTTTCCGCCGTTTTATCTCGATAAAGAATTTTTTTCCTCCCGGGATCGTTTCTTTTTCTTTCCGTGGCTTTTTGGAGATGCCTTTTTTTCTCTTCCTTGCAGTTTTTTTCTTCCTCTTCTCTTTACAGACACCTTGCTTTTATGGCTTTCTTCTGTTTACAACGGAGAGACACAATACAACACAAGCTATGACCACCATCTACCCAATCTCGGAACAGAAGCGCAAGTTCTTGCACGAATTGCCAAAATGTGAGCACCACGTCCACTTGGAAGGGACATTGTCTCCCGACCTTCTATTCACGCTTGCGAAGAGAAACAACATCGAATTGCCAGCACACTTCCCATCGTCGATTGAGCTCTGCAACGATAGGTACGAGAAGTTCACCGACCTACAGGACTTCCTCGACCACTACTACATCGGGATGTCGGTGCTAATGACAGAATCCGACTTCGAGGACCTTGCCTGGGACTACTTTGTCAAGGCCAAGCACGACGGTCTGCACCATGCAGAGACATTTTTCGATCCACAGGGCCACGTGGAGAGGGGCATCCCGATCGAAACCGTGGTCAATGGCTTCCACAGGGCCAGCCAGAGAGCGCAAGCGGAGCTGGGCATCTCGACAAAGCTGATCATGTGCCTGTTGAGGCACTTGCCAAGTCAGGACGGCCTCAAGACAATCAACGATGCTAAGCAGTTTTACCAGGACGGGATCATCCACGGGCTAGGCCTCGACTCGAGCGAAAAGCCATTCCCTCCGGAGCTGTTTGAAGAGTGCTACGCCCTTGCCAAGAAGAACTGTCCCGAGATCGGCCTCACGGCGCACGCCGGCGAAGAGGCCGACCCCTCCTTCATCAGCAACTCGCTTGACTTGTTGAAGGTGACCAGAATCGACCACGGCGTCCAGAGTTACAGAGACGACGAGTTGCTCAAGAGACTCGCCAAGGACAAGGTCATGCTCAGCTTGTGCCCCTTGAGTAACGTCAAGCTCCAGGTCGTCAGCGACGTCGGCGAGCTCCCACTCCGCAAGTGGCTCGACTACGGCGTCCCCTTCAGCATCAACTCAGACGACCCGGCCTACTTTGGCGGGTACCTCTTGGACAACTACCTTGCCGTCGAGAGCCGCTTCAACCTGAAGCCAGAGGAGTGGGTGCAGATCACCAAGAACAGTGTCGACGGCAGCTGGATCGACGCCGCCAGAAAGAAACAGCTCCACGACGAGATCGACCGCGTGCATGCCAAGTACAGAGACGTGCTTGTCTAGACCTTTGTGTAGAGAGGAACAGTATAGATAGAAACAGTAGAGTAATGGAAAAAATGACAGAAATGAGAAAACAGAGGAAAAAAACGCGAATGTTTTTGTTTCCAGTCAAGACGATCCGAAACAGACACAAGTCATGTTTGGGTGTCTGTTCTGGCCTGACGGTGGGCTATTTTGGGGCATAGCAGTTCATAACAGACATCCAACGACATAAATATCACACAAGTAGACATGTCGCTTGCATTGGAGCTATTGGACCGCAGAAATAAAGCGTTTGGGGCGCAGAGCCAAATGTGCGAGTCGAGCAACGCCGCTGAGCTTTGCGCGTTTCTACAGCAAGAGTACGAGGACTACGACGATGCCCGGTATGACGAGTCCGGTTGCGACAACGAGTTTGTGGACTGCTACGTGAGACGTTTGAACGACGTGGTGAAAGTGGGCCGGATCGGGTACAGCGGACGCACGCAGGGCCGGGACGAGAGCCCTGCAGACGCCGTCGAGTTGAACATCCTCATCGAGAAGAGCCTGCTCGAGTATGAGCTCAGGTTAGCGGAGAAAGTGCCCAGGGGCGACAGTGGCAAGAGCACCGAGGGTAACCGGAAGAAACTGGTGTTTGACGTCGAGCGGTTGGGAGAGGTGTTGAGCGGAGCCGGAGACGATGGCAGTGACAGCGATCTGGCGTTACTCAGACACTACGTCGAGTTGCTGAAGCTCGGGTACGCCCCGGAGCTCGCTGCAAACAGGAACGGCGGCGGCCAGAACGCTTCAGAGAATACACTCATGGACGAGCTGGTGTCGACGCTGCTCTCGCTCGCCGTGCAGCGGAACGTGTCGCTGCCGCCGCTGGACACGAAGGCGGCGGAGAGCATGGATGGCCGCATCGGCTGGTTCAAGGAATGCATATACAAGGTTGCCGGAGCGGCAGAAGGCCCGCGAGATCGAAACCAGGACTCCGGCGCCGCCAGCGCAAGCAGAAGCGCCGCCGGAGACGACGACGAGAACTACAGAGCACTCAGAGACCTCCAGTTTGCCCACACGTATCTTACAAAGAAGTACGAGGAAGAGGTTTCGCAGCACGGCCAGGCGATGAACAGCATGGTTGCCAAGTACCAGCAGTGCGAGGACCTGCTCAAACAGAGCAACTTCGAGCTCTCGAAGGTGTCGAACCAGCTGCTCCGTCTCGAGCTCCAGAACGCCGAGCTCACCAAGAAGCTCGACGCCCGCACAAAGGACGCCCACGAGCTGCAATTGAAGAACAACCTGCTCCGGGTCGACTACCTCGGCCTTGCGCCGGCCACGACCCCGCCGGCGTCTGCCGACTCCGCCGAGGCTCCCGCAGACTCGCTGTCGCTGTCGCTGCCGTCGCCGGCGTCGTCTGCCTCCTCGGCAACCATGCCATCGTCCTCCGTCAGCGTCCGCATCCTCCGCATGGAGTTCAAGAAGCTCGTCGAGCAGATGAACGCCCGCTTCGCCCGGGAGCTGGAGACGGAGCAGACCGAGAAACGGCGTCTCGAGGAGCTCGTCGAATTGCACCGCCAGCGAGGCGCCGAGCGGTGAAATTTTTCTCGCGGGGCGGTCCGTGCTGGACACTTGTGTAGACGATGTGTAGACAAGACAGGACGGGAGAAGAGAGCTGACTACAAGCCTGGATCGGAGCAGACCAGCACGAGCCAGCAAGCAAGCCAACACATAGCATGACGGAGGCGTTTGATGCGCAGTTTGACGATATCGACAGAGCGGTCTGTCGCTATCACGAGTATCGGGCCCTGCGCTCCCAACAGAACGGCTTGCGGGGAAGGGGCTACAACAACTACACCAGCAACAGCAACATCATCATCGGCACCGGCACGAGGACGAACATGAATTCAGCAGGCAGACAGAACGGTGGCGGCAGAGGCGGTCGCAAGGGGACCGCTGCCGCCGGCGGCGCCGGCGGCGCCAACGTCGCCAACGTCGGTGTCCCATCAGCCACCAGCGGGCACCACCAATTCAAGGCACAACCGTTTGTCGAGCAGTACCAGCAGATCCAGGCCGCCACAGCGATTCTCAACAAGCTTCTGGAGGCACAGCAGCAGCAACCGCAGCAGCAACAACTGTGCTACCCCCACGGCAAAAACATGACACCCTCTCCCGTGGCGTACACACCGCCGCTGCCAGCGGCCCTGCAGATGCAGCTGACGGCCTCCACGTCGGCCTCGTCGCCCACTCTTTCCGCTGCCGGCTCGGTCTCGGCACCCGTCTCCGGCCCTGTGAGCCTGGCCTCGTCCTTCTTCGACCTCCAGCAGCAGCAAGAGGCGCAAACCCCGGCCTCGCCAGCGTCCACCGGCTTTCTTCATGGCTTCTCCTCGTTCAACTCTAATACCAATACCAACAGCGGCAACGGCACCCCCGGCACCCCCGGCACTGGCACCGGCGCCGGCAACAACGCTTCTACTTCTACTAATGGGTCTTTTTCTGTCTCTGCCTTGGGCAGCTCTACTTCACACTCCGGTCTCTTTAATAAAACCACTTCTTGGGGCAACGACATGTCTGTCTGGGGCTAGCAGCTACTCTGCACCAGACTACTGTCTGGCATGTTTTCACTGTTTTTACTTCGTTCTTTCTTTCTCGTTCTTTGTATTTTCCCTCCATGTTTACACTCCCCTCCTTCCGAGGCCTCTAGTCTTTTCCTTCTCTTTTTCTTTCCTTTTCGGCGTCTAAAAGTATCTCTTTACCCACCTCTCCGTCCCCGGAGATGGTTGTTTTTATCCGACCTCGGGCACCGCCAGACTCGCGGTCGTGCGGCGGCACAACCGGCCGGTGAAAAACGCTTCTCCTCTTTCCGTCTGGGGTTGGTGATGTCTCTCTGTTTTCGTTTGCAGAGAAGTCTCGGGAGACGGGGAGTAGGCCAGGAGGGGCTCTGCGTTAGGTGCTGACCTCCGGCCGCCTGTAGAAAACACACAGACCCTCCCCTCTTCTTGGTACGACTTCCCCGCAGTTTAGAGAGCAACCAATACCCAGTTGTCTGTGCAAACCCTCCCTTGGTCCCGCCATGTTTTACGAGTTCTCGATCCAGTACGACGATCCGGTGATACTGGTGCTGGACAAGACGCCGTTGTCAGACATACTCTATTTCAAAGTCAACCACGCCTACCCGAACTGGATCCCACCTCACTACCTTAGGATGGTGGACGACAGCAAGAGTGGTGGCAACAGCAATACGGAGAGCAACAGCCTTGACAGTGACTGTGACAGCGACAAGAGACGAAAACCGACGAAGCTAGAGACATCGCTACCGGCGCAGCAGACACCAGAAAGCTTCTTCACATTCCCCTTTTTTGGAAGCAGGGGCCCTGATCACGACGGAGGAAAAGACCCTGCAGCAAACTTGTCCCTTGAATTTCGCCGATATGTACACCTGGCCCACACTTTTCTCGACTCGTACCTGCCATCCGACGTGATCAACTCCCCGCAGGACTCGGTGGCGGCGTCCGCAATCAGGGTGTTGTCCCCGCTTGTTCCGCAGGGGAACTGGACGACAGGGGCAAACCCACCAGCACCTAACGAGTTCTTCTACCGACATTTTCCCAAAGTGTCGCCGGACTTTGACAACGACTATCACACGAGAAATCCAGGAGTTTTCTGGGGCTGGTTCTATCTCACCCGTTGGCTTCCAGAGCTTATCCAGAAGGTGATGTTTCCCTTGAACGACGTCGTCTACGACAGCAAGATCGAGCAGATGGCTAAGGGCGATGCCAATGCTGAAGCAAGCGACTCCCTGCACGAAAAAGCCTCCCAGTACATACCCAAGGCCCGGAAGCTAACGGGAAGACAGACACCCACTCTTCTTGAGTGCCAGTTGTGCAGCAAGTTCCAGGGATTCATGCTCTGGAACCGACAGCATGATTGGTTCTGCGTATACAAGGACAAACTCCCTAGTTTGATTGGCAACGATGCTACGAAAATCACGAAAGCTCAACTTGACGACGAAAACTTCAGACGTAACCATGTTCCACAAGATAACGATGGTAAGCGATACTTTACCTCTTTCAACGACTTTATAGAGTGGAACACGGAATACACAAAAAAGCTGATTGAGTTGGAGAGAAAGGCATATGGCGCAAAGGATATGGATGAAATGACCGCAGTAGAAGCAGAGATATATGAGCTGAAGACCCTCAGAAAAAGGCGTGACAAGATCACCGCTGATCACATAGTTAGCGTGAAGGGCTAATAGGTTCAACGATTTCTGTGTGTTTTTCATACATATACGTAAAAATCTACATACAAATGTATAATTTTCGTCAATCTATATACAACAGGTGCATGCATTCACGAAATCAATGAGAAGGTTGTTCCTTCAATGAAGACTTACCAGCCTTCAACAACTCGTCACAGAGTAGCAGGTTGGACGCAATACCGGTAGCACTTGAAATGGCGTTCCTCAAAACACGGAAAGAGTCCCAGATTCCGTCGATGGTAGGGTCCAATGGCTCACCCGAGTTGAGGTCAATTCCAACAACCTGTCCTTCGTCGATCTCATCCTGGGCCTCAGCAATCGCATCCAACGTGTCTAGTCCGGAGTTCTTGCACAATGTCTTAGGGATAACTAACAAGGCATCGCTGAACGCCTTGATACCAGGTTTGTTCTTGCCCTTGTTTATACTTTTGTTCTCAACCAAATGCTTGGCGCACGAGAGGTAGAACGCACCAGCACCAGGCACTAAGCAGCCATCCTTGATTGCGTTGCTGACAGCCCTCAAGCCATCTCTCACAGCATCCTTCGTCTGCTGGATAACATAACCATGCGCTCCCTTGATCAATATCGTACACGATTTTGGATTGTTGTTCTCTGTGACATATGTGAATTTCTCCTCTCCAATGGATTGCTCAAAGACCATACCTGAGAACCCTAGAACTTCAGGCGTTAGGTCGTCAACGGAGTTCTGTGCCTCACCGCCGCAAACTAACTGTAGCCTTTCCATGTTTCTTCTCTTTGCCCTTCTCAAAGCCAAGATACCGTTCTTGGCCAACACATCCAATGACATAGGATCAATACCCTTTTGATTTATTATAACAAATCCGGAGTTAGGATCGTTTCCAACGACAGTGTTCTTCAAATCGACAATTTTCTTCAACTTCTCATCGATGAATTTTCTTTCACTTTGGATTAATTTTTCTCTCTGTTCGGCATTGGAGTAGTAGAAACCAGAGTTGACTTCAGTCTTCTCATATTCCAACGAAACATTCAAGATAAGAATGTGTGCATTTTTAACTCTCTTTGGCATATCTGGATGTCTAGCACCGTGATCCAAAACCAAACCTTTAATGAATTCTGTGTCTGATGCTGTCTCGTGCATCATCGACATGATTTCAATCATGTGTAAGTCAATCTGTGCTGGGTTGGATTCGTCCAAGACATTCAAGACACAATCGGTAACTATTGGTGTCAAGACTTCTGCTACTTCGGGAGTGACCTTAGTGCTCAAACTTGATCTGGCAACTTGTAACAACAATTCCCTGTCTAGTATGTTATCCTTCTTGTCGATTATGAAGTTGTTCAAAAATTCCAACGAAGCTTCTCTACCCTTTTCGAAACCATCTGCCAAGACTCTTGGATGTATGCCTTCGTTGAGAAAAATCTGCGCTTGTCTCAAAAGCTCACCAACCAACAAACACACGGTGGTGGTACCATCACCAGTTATCTCATCTTGCGCCGTGGCTGCTCTTGCAATCATGATGGCTGTTGGCGATTGGATTTGCATTTCAGTTAGCAAGACCTTACCATCCTTGGTAATCTTGATTCCTCCTGCACCGTCCACCAACATCTTCAAGGTACCCTTAGGTCCCAAGTTGGAGCTCAAAACATCTTGTAGTCCAATTGCAGCACTGATGTTGACTTGAAGAGCCTGTGCTCTTCTGATCGATTCTGCCTTTGGGTTCAATAACTGGATAGCAGAAGACATGTCTGGTACTCTTGGTTCTGTGATTATGCTAGTCTAGTCTGAACTGCCAAAATGAAACGGTGAAGACGTTCTTGCCAGCCTTTCTCAGCAGTGGCAAAATCAAAATGCTCTGTCGCAAAAAATCTAAAAGTAGGAAAACATATCTCGTCGACATGAAAATTTCACGCTTTGGCTCGTCTTTGATTGCGATCGTGATATGTATTTTTTCTGGTGTTTTTCGTTTATCTGGATAGAGTAAAAAGACTAAGGAAACAGTACATAGATACATGATGGGTTGGAATCTGGTAAAAAAACATAGTACGATATACAACAATAGAGAAACATCTCAAGACCAATAGTCTTATAAGAAATAGCCAAAATATTTCCCCCAAAAAAAAAAGAAAAAAGAAAAAAAAAACATTTCTTCGTAAAACCTAGCAAGCCTTCTGTAATGTCTGCGAAGCTGCTTCTCGAAGAGTCTCACTTGATGACCCATGTGAAGATTTTGAATGATCCTCTTCAACGGTGTTATCCCCATGTGAAAGGACAAGAGTTTCTTTGGAAGGATCTCGCAGTGTGTTGCCGAAAAGATGCTGCGAGGCTTCATGTCCTTCGAAGGCCAATTTCTTTGCTTGCATTTTGTTCATGAACAAGATCCCGGCAACATTGTACTCCTTCACGACGTCTGTGTGAGAATCAATGTCGTTGAAGACGTTAGCGTCAGCAATCGAGACTTTGATTTCAGTGAACTTGTACTTTTTATTGTTGTACGCAGGCAAGAAAGGCTTACAGGTTTCTACCTCAATCTCTTGGTTCAACAACTCAGATTCAATATTGGAGGATTCTCCTTGAAACGAGTTAGAAGGCGAGGACTGGAAGAGCTTCCTCTCTAGGTTTATCACTCCATCGACGCAACCAGTTTCGATGTCTATAGTCAGTATCTCATTATTTTGACCAAGAGCGACTATGAAGTCTTTTGTGAGCAACGATCTCACCACCTTGAAACTCTTCAACTTCAAATGGGAAAGGCACCACGAACTGCTGCCCACACTCTTTCCAGAATTCGAAATCCCATTAGACGCAGAACCAGACAGGCTTTTATTCCTGCGTTTGGTTTTTCTTACTTTGAGATCTTCATAGTTTCTCAACGACTCATTCACAAAATAGTGCAAAGACCCATTTTGCCGGCTCAAGCATAGAATTGAGGAATTTCCTGTCCCCCACTCCAGCTGCTCTATGATCGCTGAGGTTTTGCCTCTGTTATACTTGTCCATTAGGACGATTGAGTCGTAGGCCTTAGTGTAGTCCCAAAGGAAGATCTCGTCCCCCCTATTGTTAGCGGTAAGAAACTGCAAATCGAAGGGAGAAATCGACAACTTTGAGCATCCCGCGGGGATAGAGAGCTGAAACATCTGCTTTTTCGTCTCCAAATCCACTGCACAGACATACGCCGAAGTTTTGCTGATGGTATTGTAGATCTCGGTGAAAATGTCCCGGTAGTTGTCTTTAAGCTTCTCGTTATCCTGCGAGGAGCCCTTTGCAGATTTTCCGTCAGTCAAGCTGTCGGTATCGGTGTTGTCTGCACTCTCCCCCTTTTTATGTGCCTCCAAAATATTCTTGATCTTCTGCTGCGTGACCTCGGAGAAAAGAAACATCGAGTCCAGTGCGGTGTTTGAAAACGTGATGATGAGCTTGTTCAACAAGTTCTTCTTCGATGATAGGTCGACGGGGGTGAGGTTTTTCTTCTCGATGTTTTTGTCGGCCCTCGGCACGTACATCAAGACAGAGCCTCTGAGGTCAAAAACCGGATTCGAGTTGCACACCTCCACGCTGTACTTTCCGACGGAGAGCAACGTTTCCGAGTCGAACACATGCAACTCCGAGTTGGTTTTGTCAAAGAGCACAAAATATTCCTCCGAGTCAACACTGCACCACGTGTAATCGTTTTCGTTGGAAAGCATGAACGCCATCTTCTTTATGCTGTATTTGTCCGGCCAAACATTGCGAAGGAAACACAACTGGTGGGTTTTCTCACTCGTCGGAATGGTGTAAAGGAGAGATGTGCTCTCGGGGTACCGGCTATGGTGTAGCGGGAACGCGAAATCCGGCTTGTAGGGCACTGAACTCATTGGCAGATGGTAATTAGGAACGGAAATGCTTTTGCAGCAATATAGCGGCCGCTCCTCCATCGAGGGCGAGTCCTTGGACGTCCCTCTGTGGGACCTCCAGTCCAACACGTCAACACGGGCGCCGTTATCGGCTATCTGGTACACCTCGCCCGCACACCCGAGCCTGACAGACAACGTCCCGCTTTCCGGATGGTCCGGCTTCGGACACACCACCACGTCCACGGGCTCCTCCGCTGCGTTCGTCTTGAACTTCGAGTACAAGTACTTTGCTGACGACTTCAACTGTTTGTATGACTGCAGCGTCGCAGACTTGTCGTAATCTGCAGCCCATTGCCTGTACCGCCGTGGCACGTCTTCTCTTGGATACCATTCTGCTGTCATTGCGTGCTCTGCCGGCCTGTCTCGTCTTTCGTTGATGCCCTGGCAGCCCTTCGCCACCGTGGTCTGATGGATCGTGTCGTGTTTCCTTGTTTTGTCCGGGCAAAGATAAGCAGCCCGGAGGAGGTGGAGACTTTCCCCAGCTAGTCCGAGACAGCGGGCGGAGCGCGCATCGGCGCGTCGAGGCCAAGGCCGGGTCTGTCATGTTTGCGACACGAAGGTGAAGAAGTTGTTGATGTTGTTGACGAAGACGGGGAGACTGGCAGGAGCAGCGGTATGGAAGGGCTGGGCAATTGGACATCGACACACGATGCACGATGAGGATCTTGGGCGAGCGCCGGTGCAGCTGATTCGGGGGCGGGGGGCGCCGCTGCCGTACCAGAGTAACGGGAAACACACGGAGAGCGTTGAGGCCGGGGCTGAAAAGGTGGAGGCCGGGTGGGAGAGACAGCCAAGCGAACTGAAGACGATGCGGAAGACACTGTCGGTGATTGGCGACCCGCTACCGTTGGACTATTTGCGGAACGGCGGGGACCAGGTGGCGGAGAGGGGGGAAAAGCCGGTAGAGAGGGAGGTCGAGAACGAAGAGGAGGCCGTGCAGAGACCAGCGGCGCAGGGACGCAAGCCGCGTGCGTTGCGTCTTGCCGACCTTGGCCAGCCGTTGCCGCTCAAGTACAACCCTGCGTTTAACGAGAGCTGGCGGGCGGAGCAGAGGCTGCTCACGCAGGCGCAGGCGCCGGCCCCGACGCAGCAGCACAGCACCAGACGTGCGAAACAGACGTCTGCAGCCGGCGTGTACGACTTTGGCACACCGTTGCCGCTTCCGTACGCCGACGACGACGCGATCGAGACGGAGCAGTACCTGCGGTGGAAGAGCTCTGCGGCGCCGGGGGCCTTCGACGAGTGGAAGACGCAGCAGGACGGCCGCAGTCGAGACACGAGCCGGATACCGAGCGGCGCTGCGGACGAGGGTGACCTGTCGCAACCGCCGCGGAGTGCAAATGTGACCAGTAGCATCGAGGACGCCGAAGCGCAGCCGGAGGAACGAATACGAGACGCCGCTATTCCAGAGCCGATGCTGGGCGCAGAACACGAGCAGCGGCGGCAGCAGCAGCAGGAACAAGAGCAAGCGCCAGAGCAAGCGCCAGAGCCAGAGCCAGAGCCAGCACCAGCACCAGAGATGGCAGTCGACCACGAGATACAGCGATACATCCTGCACGACGACTACCGGGGCCTCGAGGAGAAGCTCGGCGACGCCGAGTTTCGTCTCCGTCTACTCAGATACACCCGCAATTTGAAGAGACAGTACGACGCCCTCTGCAGGGTCCTCCATGCGCCAGCAGTTGACGACGACGTCGACAATGGCCCCTATAGCGACACCGCCGGCCCTGGCTTCCTCTCTGCGCCACGCAGAGCCGTGGTCCTGCAGTCTGCCGCCCTCTCCACGGGCGCCTTTGTCCTCTTATGTACCATATCCTACTTTCTAGCAGACTAGATGTATAATAGCCACAGTAACACGACCCAGCAAGCATGCACCGCAAGCAGACACACCTCCTCCGGACCGCGTTGCTTATCAGGGCTGTCAGCAGCTGCTCCCGTCCGCGAGAAAACAAAAGGAGACGGCCCGGACTGTTTTGCCACCCTTTGCTTTGTTTGGCCCTCTTATCGGGGCCTGTCTGCCTGTCTGGGTGTGTGGCCACCCCTTCTTCTGCTTGTGCACCGTCTCTGTTGCAGTCCCCCAAACACATCCACACAACCACAGCCCCCCAGCAAGCCCATTGCACACAAGATGAAGTCTGAATTCAAAGAGGTTCACTCGTTCGGTAAGTAGTAGGCTCCGTGCCGTGTTTATCTCCCCCCCTGGCGACACCCACCTGGTCGCCGCCAGCCACAGCTGTCCTGTACAGGAATACTAACAATTCATGCTTGTGCATCTGATACAGAAAAGAGAAAGGAAGAGTCGATCAGAATCCTATCGAAGTTCCACGACAGAATCCCTGTCATCTGCGAACGGGTTGAGGATAGCGACATACCAAACATCGACAAGAGAAAGTACCTCGTTCCGTCCGACCTCACAGTCGGGCAGTTTGTCTACGTGATCCGGAGAAGAATACACTTGCCGTCCGAGAAGGCAATCTTCATCTTCGTGAAGGACATTCTCCCTCCGACCGCGGCCTTGATGAGCACCATCTACGAACAATACAAAGACGAGGATGGGTTCCTCTACGTTGTGTACAGCGGAGAGAACACGTTTGGCGACCGTTTTGAGGAAGTGTGATTGCAGACATACAAGAATGCGTTCTTTTTGATTCTCCCGCTGTCGGTCCTTTCCTTCTTTAGTGTACGCCGATTTATACTGCGATTATTATAACCAACTATAAGTGTCTATTTGTTTGTTTGTTTGTCTGTTTGTTTGGTTCATTTTGGTTTGTCTGCCCAGTGAGAGGTGTCCAGCGAGAGACTGTGTCCATCACGCATCGGGAGTGGGCGAAGGCAAACCGGTTTATTTCATGGGTATCTGGACTACTTTATTTTTCTTTTTCTTTTGTATTTCTTTCTTTTTCTCTTCTTCCTTTCCTTATATACATACATATGACAAATAAACTAATTACAAGAAGACAAACGGGAGAAAGGGGGATGGATCAGTGTTCGTTGAGTCCAAGCACTTGCTTGATCTTCTCTTCAAAAACCTGAGGCTGCACATTTCCTCCTGTTTGACGCATGCACAGCCCGATGAGGAAGTTGACCTTCTTCACCTTGCCCTTGTTCTGGATCTCGTCGACAACCTTCGTGTTGGCAGCAATGATCTCGTTGACCACGTTTTCCACATCCGAGGACACTTGGGCATCGGCGGTCTTCGAGGCAAGCATGCCAAACTCTTTGGCGATCTCAAGAACCTTCTTCTGCTGGTCCTCCCGGTTGTTCACCAAGTGCAGGAGCAGGAGCTTGCCGTTGGGCTTGGTAACGCCACCGGACTCGACAGACACAATCAAGTCTGTGAAACAGTCGGAGCTGATGAGGCTGGGCGAAAACTCGACCTCGCTCTTTGTGAGCGTTCCAAGCAACTCGTGGACAAGCCAATTGATCAACTTCAGCCTGACCTTGTCATCGGAGATGTTGTTCCAACATTCGGTGTAAAACTGTAATAGGGCATCGTTGTTGACCAAAATCCGTGCATCTCTCAAAGTGAGCGAGTGGCCGCCATCTTTTGGACTTGACATGAGGATATCCAGTCTCTCGGAGATCGGCTGCGGTAGCAGGGCCTGGATTTGCGGGACCAACGAGTCGACATCTAGCTTGACCTTGGGTAGCTCCATATCGGGGACGTATCTGTAGTCCACGGCGGACTCCTTGTTACGCAAATGGTATGTTCTGCGGCCATCCCAACCTCGAGTCTCTATTCCAGCGGCCACGGCGGTTGCGCCGGCATCAAGAACAGCCTTTGTCTGTCTCTTTGCCTCGTACCTGATTGCGTTGACGATGGCGGAGATGGTGGGCAAGTTTTTGATTTCTACTCTCTCATGTCCCGTGACATTGATGTTCACGTCGACTCTGAGAGCCCCTGTTTCCAGATCCCCGGTGCACACCTGCAGGTCTTGCACGAGCTTGATGTATGTCTGGAGAAAGGCTCTCACCTCCTCGACGTCCTGGAAGTCGGGCAGCGTGACCATCTCCACCAAGGGGATGTTTGCCCTGTTGAAGTCGATGTTGGAGATGTCGGAGTCCACGGCGTGGTAGATGGACCTGCCTGTGTCCTGTTCGAGCTGCAGCTGCTGGATGCGCACGGTGAGGTCTCTTTTGATCTTCAGATGGTGTTTCTGCAGAAGCGTTATGGACCCGTTGCGGGCGATGGGCTGGTAGTGCTGTGTTATCTGGTAGCCGAGGGGCTGGTCGCCGTAGAAGTAGTGTTTCCGGTCGAAGGACGAGACGGGCGGGATGTTACAGTTGAGTGAGCATGCGAGTTTGAGGGAGTTGAGCACACACTCGGGGTTGAGGCGGGGCTGCGTTCCGGGCAGCGAGACGTCGAAGAAGGCTGTGGTTGTGTTTGCAGGGAGGTTGAGGTTGGAGGTTGGGTTTGGCGAGCTGGCGAAGAGCTTGGAAAGCGTCTGAAGCTGCGTGTGGATCTCGAGTCCGACCTTGAGCTGCGGTTTCATGGCTCACGTGGCTTTGGAGGGGGCTGGTGGGGTGTCCGGGGCATGTTTGGACAGGTCGGCGTGGGTATAATAGAACTAGGTGAGCGGGGGGTGTAGATGGTCTCGGGGCTACATGAATCTGAGTGGGTGTGCGGGACGCGGGGAGCGAGAAAAAGAAGAGCGCAGAGCGAGGCGAGGGTGAGGAGGAGGGTGAGGGTGAAGAAGACGACGGCCAGAGAAGTCGTGCCTGCCGGACGGGGCTGCTGGCCCGCAGCGGGCCCAGCACAGCGGCCACACAGGCTGCGATGGACGGATCGACGCTGTACTTCGACGACGCTGTTCCGCCACACTGCAGTGTTGGCGTGGACCTCTTTTTCTTCTGCAGCGAGCCCGGCCGCGAGCTCCGCGGCGTCCGCAACCTGCCTGCCGGCGTGCACGTTGTGCATCTCACCAGCGGCCTGCACAACACACGCACGGCGCAGCTGCTGGAGCTGGATGGCCGCTCGGGCTACGCTGTGCGCTTCTGCCACCGCACTGGCGACGACGCCCCATACACGGAGATCCACACCGTCCGCCTTGATCGGCACAGCGTGGTCCCGGACACCCTGGGACGGCGCGTGGTGGACTACGGCGCGCTGGCGGTGGCCGGGGCTGATTGGCGCGCGTTGCGCTTCGACCGGTCGGTGCTGGGCTTTGTGCGGAGCCCCGACGGCGTGCTGCGCACGCACGACAGCACGGGCCCGGAGCTGCGGCGGCGGCGGCGCCGCCGCCTGGCCCCAGCACGAGCACGAGCCCGAGCTGCTGCTGAGCGGGCTCGACTTCACCACCAGCGACAAGCGGCAGCTGGTGCGTCTGGACCGGACGGGGGCGGCCCGCACCGCGGACTTCCTTGACAAGACGTGGTTGGTGCGGGCGGTGTGGGGCGGGGCGCGCGGGGACGGCGACGCGGCTGGCCGGGCGGTGGCGGAGTGCAAGTTCGCCTTTCTCGGGGCAGCGGTGGTGAACAACACGGGGTGTTTTGGCCACTTTGTCCGCGTCGTGCACCTGCTGCTGCACAGCGACGGGCTGCTGCAGACGGCGGCGGCGGCGGCGGCAGTGTGCGAGTTGTTCCGCTTCCTGTACGTGGCGCTGGCCACGCTGCAGAGCCTGGACCTGGACGAGGACGAGGACGAGGACGAGCAGCAGGAGGGGCAGGCCGGGCTCGGCGCGTGGCGGCGCACGCTGCTGCCCGATATCCGCAGCTTCGGGGCCCGTGTGGATAGCCTGCACGGCCTGCCGCTGCGTGCGCAGTTCCAGTGGGGCCAATTGCAGACGCTGCTCGGGCTTGCGGCGTGTGCCGTGTCGCATCACACCCCGCGTTCACCCCACCCCGCTCTCACCCCGCTCTCGCCCCGCCGCAGCAGCAGGGGGTGAGAGCAGCGGGGCCGGCGGGCGGGGCGCGCAGTCGGGGCCCGAGCAAGGAACACGGGGGAAGTCCGCGGCGGCAGTGCATAGCAGGCCAGGCGGTGTGCAGAGGGTCGGATTCCTGTGATTTGCGCTTCCGAGAAGTGGGGTGGAGGCCGGAGAGGAGGAGCAGAGGAGGAGCAGAGGAGCAGAGGGGGAGCAGAGGGGTGGCAGAGGGGTGGCAGAAGAGGGGTGGCATTGCTGGCGTTGCTGGCATTGGTGGAAATGGGTGACGGCATCGCACAGACGGTAAGGCGGGTGCGCAGATTCCAGAGCGTATAAATAGCACCCCATGTCTCCTGCTGGACCGGACCGTCTGTTGTGGTTGCGTGGAGGGTCGGAGGGGTGTGGAGGGTGTGTAGGCTCTTTTTTCTGGTGTGTATCTCCCCCAACACAACAACAACAACAACAACAACAACACTCCCCTGATGCTTTCGCAAACTCTCTCCGCCGCCAGACACTCGGCATTCAAGTCGCAGCCTTTGCGTCTCTCGTTGCGGTCCTTGGCCACCCAGGCGCCAACCATCCCAAAGACACAGAAGGGTGTCATTTTCTACGAAAACGGAGGGCCCTTGGAGTACAAGGAGATCCCCGTGCCAACGCCAAAGCCAAACGAGATCCTCATCAACGTCAAGTACTCCGGTGTATGCCACACAGACTTGCACGCGTGGAAGGGCGACTGGCCGCTCGCCACCAAGCTCCCGCTCGTGGGTGGACACGAGGGTGCCGGCGTGGTGGTGGCCAAGGGCGCCAACGTGACAAACTTCGAGATCGGCGACCTCGCCGGTATCAAGTGGCTTAACGGGTCGTGCATGGGCTGCGAGTTCTGCCAGCAGGGCGCCGAGCCAAACTGCCCGCAGGCAGACTTGTCCGGCTACACGCACGACGGCTCGTTCCAGGAGTACGCCACCGCCGACGCCATCCAGGCAGCGCACATCCCGCAGGGCAGCGACTTGGCCAACGTGGCCCCTATCTTGTGTGCCGGTATCACCGTGTACAAGGCCTTGAAGACGGCCGAGTTGAGACCAGGCCAGTGGGTGGCCATCTCCGGTGCCGGCGGAGGATTGGGCTCGCTCGCCGTCCAGTACGCCAAGGCCATGGGTCTCAGGGTGCTCGGCATCGACGGGGGCGCCGAGAAGGGCGACTTTGTCAAGTCCTTGGGCGGTGAGGTGTACATCGACTTCACCAAGTCCAAGGACGTGGTGAAGGACATCCAGGACGCCACCAACGGCGGGCCCCACGGTGTCATCAACGTGTCTGTCTCCCCCGCCGCCATCTCCCAGTCCTGCCAGTACGTCAGAACCTTGGGCAAGGTTGTCCTTGTGGGCTTGCCTGCCAACGCCGTGTGCGAGTCGCCTGTCTTTGAGCACGTGGTCAAGTCCATCCAGATCAGAGGCTCCTACGTCGGCAACAGAGAGGACACCGCCGAGGCCTTGGACTTCTTCAGCAGAGGCCTCGTCAAGTCGCCAATCAAGGTGGTTGGCTTGTCCGAGTTGCCAAACATCTACAAGTTGATGGAGCAGGGCAAGATCTTGGGCAGATACGTCGTCGACACCTCCTACTAGCGGCCCCCGCCCCGGCCCTCTCTTCCGGTAATGTATCTAACGACCCGATAACGACTGCGTTTTTATTTCCTTATTTATTTCCCTATATCGAAGAATGAGACATATTTTACATATTTTATACTCAAATTTCACCCGCGCCCCTCCGCCGCCTCTGTGATGTCCGATAGAATCCCGTTGAGCTTCACGTACAGCTCGTAGTTGTTGTCCGCAAGCACGTCCCTCGACTTGCGGTGAACCTGTCCGAGAATCCACTTCTCCTTCAGGCTCTTGGTCAGGTGCAACAGCTCCTCCACCAATCGCACCACGATCTGCGTGTCCGACTGGATCTGGATCGCCTCCACCGCCTGCGTCTCCAGGTCCTTGCCGTCCAGCCTCAGCAGCTCCAGCACCTCGTTGAACTTTGTCAGAATCAGCTGGATGTTGTTGTCGAACTTCGACATCACGCTGACCTGCGACCCGCCCGACATCCTTGCCCTTCACCGCCTCCCTCTTCTCCGCTGGCCCTGTTCTTCCGTATCCGTGTCTCCCGCCCCGTCGCCCTCTCTTCTAGTCTCCTCCCTTTCCCTCTCCCCCCCCCCCCTCAACCTTCCCGCGCGGCTCTGGACCGATCGTCCCAGTCCGCCCGAAAAACAGCTGTTGCTCGTTTTCCCGCCCCTATGACGTGCCGGCCTCGGCCCGTGACCCCTCCCGTCACCGCCCCGGGCTTTCTCGATCCGCTCCCGGGGCGGTGGCGTGGCGCCCGCGGACCGACGCAGGCCCAGGGCAAGAGCGGGAGGATGTCTGCTGCAGCTGAAAAAGAGCCGGAAGGCTGCCTCTGATGATAGAATCAATGCTCATGCTTTTAATGTTGTTCTTCTTTCTAGGACTTGGTACAGGTGTTTGTTCCCTGCTAAGCTGCCAATTGACCTCCTTCGCACAGAAGACACGCAATTGCACACACGCACACACGCACACACAGCAGAACATACCATGCCTTTAGATTTCCTCTCAAGAAAAGCCGGTGTCATCACGGGCGAAGACGTCAGAAAGTTGTTTGAGTACGCACACAAGCAGGGCTTCGCCATCCCAGCCATCAACGTGACGTCGTCGTCAACCGCAGTGGCAGCACTCGAGGCGGCAAGGGACGCCAAGTCGCCAATCATCCTCCAGACGTCGAACGGCGGGGCTGCGTACTTCGCCGGCAAGGGCATCTCGAACGAGGGCCAGAAGGCGTCGATCGCAGGCGCCATTGCGGCAGCACACTACATCCGGTCGATCGCTCCTACGTACGGGATCCCGGTGATCATGCACTCGGACCACTGTGCCAAGAAGTTGTTGCCGTGGTTCGACGGGATGTTGGACGCGGACGAGGCGTACTACAAGATCCACAAGGAGCCTTTGTACTCGTCGCACATGTTGGACTTGTCCGAGGAGACGGACGACGCCAACATCGCCACCTGCGTGAAGTACTTCGAGAGAATGTCCAAGATGGACCAGTGGTTGGAGATGGAGATCGGCATCACCGGCGGTGAGGAGGACGGCGTCAACAACGAGCACGTGCACAAGGACATGCTCTACACCACCTCCGAGACCGTCTTCAACGTCTACAAGGCCTTGGCTCCGATCTCGCCAAACTTCTCCATCGCCGCCGCCTTCGGTAACGTCCACGGGGTCTACAAGCCGGGTAACGTCGTCTTGAAGCCCGAGCTCTTGGGCAAGCACCAGCTCTACGCCAGGGAGCAGTTGAAGACCGACAACCCTCACCCATTGTTCCTGGTCTTCCACGGTGGCTCCGGCTCCTCCCAGGCCGACTTCGACACCGGCATCAAGAACGGTGTTGTCAAGGTCAACATCGACACCGACACCCAGTACGCCTACTTGGTCGGTATCAGGGACTACGTCTTGAACAAGAAGGACTACATCATGTCCATGGTGGGCAACCCGGACGGCCCAGACAAGCCAAACAAGAAGTACTTTGATCCTAGAGTCTGGGTCAGAGAGGGCGAGAAGACCATGTCCAAGAGAGTTACTGAGGCCCTCGAGATCTTCCACACCAAGAACCAATTGCCATAATTCTCAAATATTCTTTAGTCTGTAGCCTTTTCTTCTTTTTGTAACTGTTTGAAAATAAAAAGGACACATGAAATCCACCTCCGGGGTCTTTCTCCCGGGGACTTTTCCCCGGGGACAACTGCCGGACCCGGCAATTGTCCTCCGCCGGGACGATCGTCTTTTTTTCCGTTTTTTCCGTTTTTCCGCTTTTCCGTCTTTTTTCGCCACCCGTGCACCCACCATTTTTTTTCCAGCAAATTCCAAGTCGATCGACCCTGCCGCGCCCGGTTTGCGTCGATAGGCGTAGAATGCTTTTTTGCGCGCCCCTTTGTTTTTCTCGACGTCGACGTCGTTCATCGAGAATAGCCCAGCTGGCCGTGAACCCCGCTGCGGCAGCAGAGCACACAGGGCGGGCGGGTGAAACGCTCTGCGCTGGCTCGCTGGCTGGCTGGCTGGCGAGCGAGCACGAGAGCAGAGTGACCATCGTCCCCTATTTGGAGATTGCCGTCTCTTGAGTGGCACTAGAGACAGCTGGTGGAGCCGTGACAGTAGTGTTTGAAGCGCTGGTTCGGTCCGTCAACAATTATACCACACTCCGACACACTAAAAGAGCATCTTGTCCCTTTTTGTACTCTCCCCCCGACACACACACCCAGCGGAAGAGAAAAAAAAATATCGTGCTCAACTCTACTCAACTCAGTTCGATTCATCTAGATTTATCGGCATATATATCTGTCTGCATATATATCACATAAATATACTTGGGTTTCTTTTCAGAGATACAGTGATCAATTGATTTCCCTTGAAAATACAAAAGAAAGCACCAGCAAAAACAAGAAGCACCCCCCACACACACATACACACATATTTACACACCAAGCAAGGATGTCAGATCAAATAGAGCATCATACTTCGAAGAAAAACTCGTCTTCGAAGTTCAGAAACAATTCGAAAAAGTTCTCGAACTCGTCGTCGTCCAGTTCCAGTAATAGCAGCTCAAACGCCGCCTCAGACTTGAAGCAGAAGATCACGACCCTCACCGACATTTTCCCAGACTGGACCTACCAGGACTTCATCGCCATCAAGGATGAGATCGCCAGCGTGGAAATACAGGAAATTCTAGAGGGGATCTTCTCTGGGAAGATCCAGAAGTGGGACCAGGTCAGTAATAAAAAGGAGGAGAAGAAGAAGGTCCAGGACGGGGACGAGGCGTCCTCCGTGGCTTCTTCGTCGGCCCCAGCCCAGCCTTTCTCCACCCGTCACGCCGCCTCCTCTGCCCACTGGGATGACAGCACACCCACGAGCAGCAGCTTCCAACATACCCCTTCGTCCTCGTATAACCAGCAGAATAAAAGGTACCAGAACAATGCCTCGGCAAACAGCAAATTCAGAGCAAAACAGAAAGGCCAGCAGCCATCACAGCAGCAACCACATAGCAAAAAGCCAACATCGTCCTCCTCCTCTTCGACAGGAACCGGAACAAGCGTACCTCCTCAGGGCTCTTCTTGGGCAAGTGCCTTGAAAACCGAGCAAAAGGAACAAGACACCACCGGCTCTGAGCAGCAGAGTGACAGCCTGAAAAAAGATGACGGAACGCCAACTGAACAGATACATACCGACAAAGACGTTGAGGCCGAGTCGGCCAAGACCACCACCACCACGGATACGACCGAACAGACCAACACTGAAGATTCCAAGTCTGGACCTGCGCTCTCTGCTTCTGCTGCTTCCCCTGCCCCAGCTCCAAAGCTGTCTTGGGCAGCTGCTTTGAAACCAAAGAAACCTGTAAAGAAAGCCGCTCCAAAACCAGAAGTCAAGGAGGTTCAAAAGGAACAAGAAAAGACTGCTGATGAGTCTTCTGAACAAGTTGCAGAGGAACTTGCCGAAGAAGTCATTGAAGAAATAATCGAAGAAGTCGAAGAAGCCATCGAGGGTGCTGAAGAAGTTGCTGAGGCAGTTGAGGAAGCTGTTGAGGAAGCCATCGAAGAAGCCATCGCAGAAGAAAACGTTGCTGCCGAGGAATCGAAGGAAGCGCTCGAGAATGGTGTTAACGAGACCCAAAAGGAATTAAACTCCCTAAGCTTAAAAGATAACAACGAGAACAAGCAGGTTAATGAGCCATCTGCTGATGTCTCTTTGAAGCAACAAAACCAAAACCAAAACCAACGTCACCACAACAACTATAGAAACAACCACAAGAACAACAACAACAACAACAACAACAACAACAACAACAAACTTTACGACAACAACAACAACAACAACAACAACAACACTAACAATGTCAACAATGGTAACTACGGTCTTGACTTGAATAACTATTTGAGAAACACTCAAGCACAGTACGACCCATCTCAACTACAACAATCTCAAAACCCATACATGTACAACCAACAATATATTGACCAAATGAATGCCCAAAGCCACTTTGCGTCCTCAAACGTTAATCCTGTCTCTGCAGCATCAACTGACATTAACGTCGCTGCTTCTCCAGCTGCCACTTCTATTTTGCCAAACATGGCCAACCCTGCCGGTGCAATGGGCAATGTTTCTCCAATGATTGGCGTTCCTCAGTTTTTCCCTCCTTACTACTACTACATGGTTCAACAACCACAAACTGGTTTTATGGGCTACCCATCCAACCAACCTCAACAACAACAACAACAACAACAACAACAGCAACAACAACAGCAACAACAACAATCATTTGGCGCTAACTCTTTCCAAAACAATAAGATCTACAGTCAATATGGACAAAACAACTTCCAACAATCTCAACCTAACCAAGATCCACAACCAGCCAACCCAGCTGCTGCTTCTACTGCTGTCACTGGTACTGCAAACCCTGAGAAGGATGCATCCCAACAAGGCGCTCAACAATCTCAGCAAGTCCAAGGTCAACCAGGTGCAGCACAGACACAAGCCCAAGCCCAAGTCCAAGCTTCCAACCCATATGCTCAATACAACCAGTATGCTCAGTATGGCCAATACGGTCAATACGGCCAATACGGTGGTCAATACGGTGGTGGCCAATTCAACGGCTTCGGTAACACCAACTCCTCCACTGGTTTCGGCGGCTTCACTGGCGGCTCCAACGTTAACGGTATGGGTGGCATGAATGCTGCTGCTGGTGCTTCTGCTGCTGCTGGTGCTCCAACAGGTATGTCTGGCGTCAACGGTATCCCAGGTATGTCTGGTATGAACACCAACATGGCTGGAATGAATGGTATGGCTGCAGGTAACATGCAAAACTTCAACTACAATCAATATCAGAGTGGTTCAAGCGGTAATGAAGGTGACAGCAAATGGTACTAAACTTAGAGGATAAAAAAAAATAGTACTTTACTTGTATTAATAGCTAGCTACTGCTGTTGATTTACCGCTTTTTCTTCTATTTTGTTTTGTTCCCTACTTTCATACTTTTCTTTTCTCCTCTAATTATTTTTATTATCATTTTTTTTCTCTCTACTTCTGGGTCGCCCTTATTAGTGTTTTCTTGAATACAGAGGATGTACTAAAGAAACCACTAATAGGTTTTTCTTAGTTTATATAACTACAACCAATTTATGTATAGATCAGTAATGAATCTTTTTCAGATCTCATTTTTCTAGCAAGTTACGTAAGCAGGATAAAAAATCTATGAAGTCTATTTTTTTTGCTCCCAATTTGGATTCGATCCTTTTTTTTTATCTCAAAATTTTTCACTGCGGCTGGCTGGCCAATAGATGAAAACTGAAATAAAATAGCTTTTCAAAATAAAGATTTGATCTTTTTTTTTTCAATTTGAATTAGCAGTTGAAAACAGCCGAAAACAGAAAACACAAGCTGAGTCTGAAATTGCACTAGGTACAAAGTTTCAGATCCGGGTTTTTTACGATTCTGTGATCAAAGTCAAACCAAGACTATATATGAACATATTAAGGACAAGCATTGGTTCGATTCACGTACGGAAAAACATACTTTCTGCTGTATTGAAACACAGCACAAATTCAAAGAGAGCAATAATGTCGGCGGTTAGGGATGAAACGTTGAGCAGCATTCCAATTCAGGAGGAGGTGAGGTTGGACGTAGAACAACAAGCAGTTGAGCCAAACAAGAAAATCATGAATCCAAGAAGCAATGCTGCAAAACGAAAGAGACCATCACACAGGAAGCCACCGAAGTCTAATTTTGATTCAACTAGCCCATTGGGAGTCATGACTGAATTCGAGATTCCAAATATGTTGAAGAAACACCACGACAAAGTGTGTCAGATTCTAGGGGTCGAGGACCCACAATCAATGGAACCTTTGACCATCAAAGACGTGATGAATCCTGTTCGAGACCTCATCAATGATGCTGGTGTGTTAGATGCTTTCAATTGGAGGGAGCTGAAGAATGTGCAAGTGTTATGCATGAGTGCGAAGGGTGACGGGTTAGCGATCATCAAGGCGCCAACTATGGAAACTATTCTCCAATGTCAACAGGCGGCACATGAGAGAGAGAAAAAAGAGATTGAAAAGTACAAGGCTGAGCAGCAAGAACTGGCTGCAAAGGCTGCTGAGGAAGATCCAGAAGATAAGGCTGAGCAGACGGAGACGGTCAGTGACAGTCAAGAGAATTCTAAAAAGAGACCACGTAGAGCACCTAGTGAGGAGCCATACCGGAGAACTGTGCATGCTGAGAATCTCCCAAAAGTGCAAATTGCAATAGTGCCTTTTGCCTTTCCTGGAGACTTTGTGAACATCAGAGTCTACCATACAAACGCACATTATGTCGATGCCGAGGTGGTTGGATTCACACATCTTTCTCCGCTTAGAGACGAGAACCAAAGGAACTGTTCAGAGCAGCCGAATGTTGATGCTGCAAAGACGACGATCATTGACAGCACTGCATTGGTGAAGCCAAAGGAGTCTCCATGTGCATATTTCGGTATATGCAGCGGGTGCCAATACCAATCGCTTTCGTACGAGAACCAACTTATTATCAAAAAAGAAGTAGTTGAGAATGCTTACAAGCATTTTTGCAAAGACGAAGTGGACTGGTCTGGGAAGGTCATGGACACAGTTGCGAGTCCACTTAAATACGGGTACCGTACAAAGCTCACGCCGCACTACGACATTCCCCGGAGCGGGACGAATGGTTTGGACGTGCCTCGACTAGGGTTTGGCTGGCGTGGCAAGGGTGCCTGGTTGAACATCAAGAAAGATGGGCCTTACGGAGAGGGGAAGAATGAGGGAGTTGTGTATGACAACAGCTCGCTAGTGTTGGAGCATCCGGACTCAGAGAAGGGCAACATGCGCCAGCGGTCGATCAGACCGTATTTTGGCGACGTGTTGGACATCGAAGACTGTATCATTGGGACAGACATTGTGCGGCTCGGAATGGTGAACGAGCGGTCCCGACTTAAGCGGGACTGGAATGCCGGGGTGAAGAGCAAGAAGGGGGTCACCGTGTTGCTTCGGGAAAACAGCGTGATTAACCACGACGAGGACAGTTCCGAGCGGTTGTTTGGCTCGAGAGAGGTTTCTGCTGACGGGATAGAGGGTCCAGTCACAAAGCTCGAGGTGGAGGTGCCCGGCGTCGAGGACGGGGTGACCAAGACGTGTGTTACGGAGAACCAGAAGGTTGTGAGCGATCTTGTGGACACGGGTCTAGGGCGGGTACTTCGGTTCGACTTCATTGCGAACGAGTTCTTCCAGAACAACAACTCGATCTTGCCCCTTGTGATCAAGTACGTAAGAGACAACTTGGGTGACGAGATGCGGTATCTTGTGGACGCGTACTGCGGCTCGGGGTTGTTCAGTGTGGCGATAGCGTCTGCGGCGGAGAACAATGTGGACAAGGTACTCGGGGTGGAGATCAGCGAGCGGGCGGTTGAGTTTGCCAAGAAGAATGCGGCGTTGAACGAGATCAGCACGGAGCGGTGTGACTTCATCCAAGGGAAGGCGGAGAAGCTGTTCGAGCACATTGCGTTCCCAAAGGAGCAGACGGGGGTCATCCTCGACCCGCCCCGCAAGGGCTGCGACGGGGTGTTTCTCAACCAGTTGAGCGAGTTCGAGCCGTTGCGGATCGTGTACGTGTCGTGCAACGTGCACTCGCAGGCCCGGGACGTGAAGTTCTTCCTCAACGAGACGGCGAACGGGGCCAAGTACGAGCTCGAGAGCATCCGGGGGTTCGACTTCTTCCCACAGACACACCACGTGGAGAGCGTGGCGGTGTTGGTGAAGAGGCCGGAGCCGGCGAAGAAGCCGGAGCCGGCGCCAGCGCTGTAGAATAGAAGAGGCAAGAAGATATATTCCGTTATAGAAAAAGAACAAAGACTACCAATAATCATGCTATTGTACAGCCTAGATATTGACCTGGCACGCGGCGCGGATACTTCACAATAAGGGATAAGAGAGGTGGAAAATAAATAGGAAATAATACACAAAGATAATAATGATGATGATAAAAGATCAAAACAAAGATTCCAGGGGTCACAAAGACGACGATTAGTCAAAAAGGGGAGGCAGGGAGAAAAAAAAAGACACAGAAAAGATCAAAATTAAGCAAAATGGTAGAACGCCTTCACCCTTAGGCTTCGTGTTTTTCCAAGTATTCGTTTTCCTTTCTCTTCAAGTAGTCGGCCTTCTCGAGCTCGTATCTCTTCTTGTCGGCCTCCGCCTTGTTTTCGTATGGCTCTCTCTTCTCTGCGTCCATGGACTTCCACTTCTCGCCGAGGAGCTTACCGATCTGCCCGAACGCAATGCCCGGGTTCTCTGCTCTCACGATGTCACGTTGCGCGTTGGCAAAGAACATGTATGCGGACAACGCACGCTTTGGGGCGTTAGGGTCCTTCTTCTTTCTGGATCTTTCCTTCTTTGGAGGCATTGTAGTCTGTACTAGTGGAGGTGGTGCCGAGGCAATGTTAGTAGCGGAGCTGGAAAAGAACGTAAAACGATAGTGGCCAGAGGAGCAGACGATCCAGCTATATAAAAGGCTGGCCCAGAGCGTGTTGCTGCTGCTGTGCGTGTGCGTGTGTCCGCTGCACCGTGCAGCGCTGCAGCGCACCACCACAACAACAACAACAACAGACGCGTTTTTCGTCTCGCGCCGCAATCCCGCAGCGGAAAAACGCACTCTGGGTCCGCCGCTGGAGGGGGCAAACAACGTCTGCCCCCATTTTCGCTGGCCGGGCCAGCTCAGCAGACCGGGCAGACGCCTTCACGGGACGCCAGAACAGCCAGAGCCGCCGCCCCGACGCAACGCAACGCAGCATTGACGTGTGGCCGTCGCCAAGCCGCCAGAACGGCCCGCCGCAGACGCACAACCGCCCTCAACAACGTTTCCGCAACAGCAGCACCTGCTGTCCGGTCCCGTGGCCATTGCCCGTTGCCTTTGCCACCGGTGGCAACACCGGTGGCGCCGCCAAAGTCTGCTGTAGTGTCAGCCCCCGACCCCCCGTCCCCCTGGCCCCCACTGCGTTATCTGTGTCCGACTCTGCACGAGCCGCCGCCGCCGCCCTTACTGCGGGGCGCCGGGGCCAGCAGCAGCAGCAGCAGCAGCAGCGTGGTGGCTAGCCATGGTGCAGCCAGCACAGAGAGAGACAGAGACAACGGCGGCAGTGACGTGCCCCAATGCACAGTGTGTGCGGTGTACTTACCAGTGGGTGTGTGTGTGTGGCAACTGAAGTGGCTTTGGGTAGGAGCGCAGCCGGGCACACTGAGTGGCTGTCCGCAGTGTGCCGACGTGCGGTATAGTAAAGAGGACACAGTGCACAGTAGCGTGTGCAAACCATAGTGGGCGCCCTCGCCACCGGCCCACTGCGCACGGTGAAGGTGTTGCACTCTGTGTGGTGAGCTTTTGGGCGGGCGCGGGGAGGCGCGGGAGCGACGCGACGGCGACGCGTCGGCGACGCGTCGGCGGCCGGCGCAACGGCCCCGGATGCCGTGTTGACATGTCAACAAGGACCCCGTCCACCGCTACCGCTACCGCTACCCCCCTGCATCGAGGGGCCTCCATTTGAGACAGACTGCTGCTTCTTCTGCGGAAGAAAGACGTGTGTGCGGGTGCTGTTGGGGCCGGCTGGTCGCCCCACAGCCGCCACAATGCCCCAGCCCTACTACGTGTCTGCAATTGCCCAAGGCCCCGACTACGAGGTGCTCGACACCGACGACCATGCACACCCGTCCCTGCAGTCGAAGGTCGTCATTGTGGGCGACTCCGGGTGCGGTAAGACGTCGCTCTTCTCGTCGTACATCCGCGGGTCGTTCCCGCTGGCGTACGAACCAACGATCTTCGAGAACCACCGCACGTTTGTGAAACAGGTGCAGTCGAAAACGGTGCTCTCGGCAGACTTGTGGGACACGGCCGGACAGGAGGAGTACGAGCGGTTGCGCCGGTTGAGCTACCAGGACGCGGATGTGGTGGTGGTGGCCTACTCCGTGGATGCGCCCGAGTCGTTGCCGAACATCCACGAGGTGTGGGCGCCCGAGGTGATGACCTATGCGCCCCACGCCTCGATTGTCCTCGTCGGCCTCAAGGACGACATGGTGCACGCCGTCAGCCCGGCCCACGCGTACCAGGTTGCCGAGAGCATCGGCGCCGTGGCACACCTCGCCTGCTCCAGCATCCGCATGCACAACGTCAACGAGCTCTTCAACTGCGTCTTCAACACCGCCTACAACAAGGCCCGCATGAAGAAGCACCACAGCACCGTCGCCGGCAGCACCGGCGCCGGCGGCAGCACCAGCACCACCGACCCGGACAGCGCCTCCCCACCCTCCTCCAGAAGCAAGCGCAGCAGCTTTGCCCCAAAGAAGTTCAAGAAGAAGAGCAAATGTACAATCCTGTGATCACCGCCGGCCTCCCTCCACATCCACCGAACGCATCTTTTCTATGCATCTACCACTACGACTTCCACCGTTCTTACACACCTTCTTTAATTCACAACCGGAGACCCCCCTCAGTCTTGGCTTTTCTCTTCCTCTTCTCTTCTCTTCCTCTTCTTTTCTCCTCCCTTCTTTTCTTTTCCCTCTTTCTTTTTTCTGCTCACCCACTCCCTCTTCCATATACTCCTCTGTACGTGCATGTATATTACCTAGTTAGACCATATGGTGTATATCCCCCAACATATAACAGTCTCTGTAAAGTCTGCAATTCGAATTTCCCGATGCGGAAACTAAAAAACATGCTGAAATGCGAAAATGCTGAAAACAAAAACGTCCCCCGTTCTAAAAAAAGCCTACCGGAGAAAAAGAAAAGAAAGACTACTCTCTGTGCAAGGAGATCTTGAAAATCGTGAAAATCAAACAGGCATTTTTCCTCTGGCTAGACCCCAATGATGTCAGTGTCGCCCTCTATGAGGTATCTGCCATCCACCCTCCCTCGGAGCCTTCACCGACATATGGCCATCCGATGACAAAGCACTCGACTGTTCTCCTCCATGCTGCCAAGAAACTCAAATTTGTCCTGCTAGCTACGGCAACCCTTATCTGTTTCCTGTGTCTTCGTTCCGGAGAAAACCGCAAGCCAACGGTGGCCGAAACGATCCACAATCAAGCCTCTGTCGACTTCTTTTCCCCCGAACTGGCCTACAGACCCATTTACAAGGTCATTGAGGACTCTTATTCCGTGGAAGACTTCGCCAAGAAGCCGCTGGCTGAGAAATGCTACTTCTACTTCGAACGTTTGCACGCATACAACCCTAACTGGTGGACAAGTCCCAAACTCGGGACTGAGTATACCCACGAGAATTTGCAGAAGAGTGAGGACCTCGTCCACATGAACATCTACAACCACTGCTTCATGGGCAATGCCACCGGTTCCGACCCCACGGCCTATGAGAAGTTACATGTTCTATTCAACAACATAGACACTCGTGTGTATCCTTACCTCAGCGGAAAATTACCACTCTTCCAGCATTGGACCGGCAGCATCCATGTTGGGCCTCCACTGCTGGAGGCTTACCCGCAAAACGTTGCCGAGTCTGTCATTGATGAATCGACGTTCGCTTACGACCCTTCCCAGTTAAAAACCTGGGAATCTTCTTCCATCTATCCGAAGGATAAACCGTTTTGGAACCACTACAAAGATAAACTGAACAATGTTGGCATTGTTCTTTCAGTCAACGACGCACTAGTAGAAGAGACGATGGCGCTACTCAGTCTTCTTCGAACGCTCAACAACGAACTTCCCATCGAGTTTCTCCATAGAGGTGACCTTTCTTCTCTAAATAAATACAGGCTTTTTCAAGTGGCACGGGCAATAAAAGCCCCAACAACTCTATCGACTTTCCCAAAACAAGACATTTGGTTTGTGGATGTCTCATTCTGTTTGAGCGACAATTATCAGAATGAGTTCCCTAAATTCTTCAACAAGATGCTAGCTTATGGATTCAACAGCTTCAAGACTATGATCATGTTGGATACAGATGTGGTCTTGTTCCAGACTCCAGCCAGTCTGCTAGACACATCACAGTTTAAACAGAGTGGAACTTTATTTTTCAAAGATAGAAACGTCGACATGCATATGAGTGCTGCTTACATCGACTTTCTGAAAAACACATCACCAAATTACATCGACAGCTTCATCTTTGGATTAATCCCCGTCAGGAAAGAAACTTGGGAAGGTGAGTATTTTAAGGAAAGGTACTTCCATTATATGGAGTCTGGTGTCGTTGTTGTGAACAGAGATAAATACTGGAATGCAGTTATCCTCTCCCTCCATTTATCGTTCATACAGTCGACGATGATTGGAAGTTGGGGCGATAAGGAGCACTTCTGGGTGAGTATGCTTTTGTCCGGGCTGGATGATTACAAGTTTGACGATTACTGGACTGCGTCTGTGGGTAGCCCCATAAGAAATGAAGATGGAGTCAAATACCACAAAATATGCTCGGCACATCCTTCCCATGTACTTTCCGACAACAACGAACTCTCGTGGATCAATTCGGGCATCATCAATTGTCCGAAAGTTTCTCATCAGTTGGCCTCCAAAGATTTTGATCTTTTGAAGGAAATATCAAATCCACATGGCCGCAGCTTTGCAAATGTACAAGAGTTGGAGAAATTTTATACCACGCCTATTGCCTTTGACGCATTTATTATCCCGCCTCTTGCAAAGAATAATATTGGCAACTCCAACCTGGAAGACGGTAAGTATTCGAACTTGGGCTTGCAGCAGCTTTCTACCTGTAAAGGATACACGTGGTGCTCGTATGATACCATCGGCGAAGGGCAAACGCCAGAATGGAAGGGAATTTACAAGCACTTTACTGGGAAGCAAATACAGTGGTACAACTATATTGCTGAAAGCTACGTGAAAGCTTCATGATAAGCTTAAAAAAATGAAGGACCTTTTTTGATCTATTTCCGCTACTTAATTAAAAAAAAAAACATCATGGTATATCCGTCACAATTCGTGATAAGTTGTTTGTTTAATTCCCGCTTTTTAAAGATTCTTGCTCTCAGTTAGCTAGAATATGTTTCCGCTGCGTAACTTGGTAGTTTGGCCAGAGAGTTCATCATCCTCTCGTGCTCCTGAACCTTGTGAAGCATGGCGGTTTCATAATCGGGTAGACTATGCTGGTATTCATTGTCAACGGTAAGAAGGGTTACTGGCTCTGCCACCCTTCCCGCGAGTGCAGTCATTTGTGTTGGCTCTAAAGTGTTCACCGTTTCTGTAGAAGATGTAGAAGGGGAAGAGGATTGTGTACTGCTCAGTGCCGATGTTGTTGAGGCAGATCTCGAAGTAGGTTGTTCGAAAGGTGCTGGCTCTAAATAGTTAACGGTGGTGATATTACGGATGCCAACTTCGTCAGCTAATCTGTATAGCATATCTTGTGGCAACGTCAACGAGGAATCGGTTCCAGCATTTGGTTTTAAAAGACTCAAGTTCTTCTCAATCACTTTTTTCACGTTCTTCGAATTGGCCAGATAAGACTTAAGCTGCACCTGGCCCAATCCGGCTTTATTTGCCCACTTCCATATCATAAGGAAATCTAGCTCCGACATATTCTTCTTCTCTCCGTGCTTGACGCTCTGTCTGACGGTAGTTTTCATGCTATGAGTATTCAAAGAACTGTAAGAAGACGATGAGTGGGGAGATATTAGCTTTGCTAAGGTCTTCACGTCGTAGTGGTGGATGTTTGGGGTGACGTCGCAATCGAAAGAAAGTCCTATGTATTTTTCTATGGATCCGATAAAGATCTCGTTTGCTGCGTCGTACTTTCGCAACTGGGAAGCAACGTTCTTGTACGCCATTTTCGCCATCTCTAACCATTCGACATTTTTTCGTTTGAGGTTTTTCGTGATGAGTATATTGAGCATGCTGAAGCTGATAAACTCCTGTTTGAACCTCCTCAAAATCTGGATAAACTCCTCCGGTATCACCAAGTCTTTGTCTAGCGGAACGGTGACGCTCAAAAAGACGTTGTACTTGCCGTGTTTCTGGATGTGGTTGGTCAGGGCGACGACTCGCTGGAGAATCTCCCTTTTGAACTTGAACTGCGTGAAGTCCAGATCGATCCTCTGGATCTTGCAGTTCTCCCACAAGATGTTCAAATGCTGTTTCAGGAGGCAGGACGTGCGGTAGCTGGAGAACGAGCTATTAGAGACGCTGAATGAAAGCACCGAGTTGGCGTGGATGCGGTTCGGGAGCAAGGTCAAGTCGTTAATGTACTGCTGGATGTGGTAGAGGGTGAAGTACGACGTCGGCTGGATCTGGTACTGGATCGTGGGCGCTATTTTCGTCGGGTTATGGAACCGTGCGTCGTGCAGGTCTGCTGGACACACCACGGTCGTGAAAACTGTCATGCTTGTAGCTTAACCTTTGGCTCGGAGTGAAATATAGGCTAGACTGACGAACGTGGGGGTCTTCTGTGGTATATCTGAACAGACACAGCAAGGCAGAGTGAGGGTGAACGCGTGCACGGACCAGAAACCAAGCAAAAGAACGGAGACAGATGGAGATCTATATATGAAAAAAACGCACACTGCGTGACAATAAGTCAAGGGCAAAGTGCAAGGAGGGAAAAAAGGTGTTACACGCAAGGCACACAATGGGTAGAGAGGTCGGAGCATAAGGCTGAACTCTCCCCCCTCCCCCTCTCGGCCCCCAGCGACTCTCCTCTTCTCCTTCAAACTACCCATCACCGTCCTCTTCATCCTCCCTCTCCATCTCTCTTGTACTTGCTATCATATCCTTGTCATCCCCGATCTAGCCCTTTTGCCCTCCTTAGCGTCTCCGACACCTCCGATTTCTCGCAATCCGAGGTCGTTAAGCCAGAATGAGTCAGTTCCGGCCGGAAAAGCCCCCGGCGCGGTAATACGTCTCCCGAATTACCGCATTCGCACTTCCGAAAAAAACCGTTCGATGCGCCTCCAGCAAAGGCCTCGGCCGACGGTACCGCATTCGGTAAGCGAGCCGAGTGCTTACGTGTTCCGGTTACGTAAGCCCTGTTTTCCACGAATTTGCCCTTTTTTACGCGGCCACAACGCGTTTGGAGCAGGCAGGCCAGTTTCTCCGGCCCCGCTACCCCACATTTTTTCCTCCGCCAGGGCCCTCCTTTTTACTCCGAGCAATTTCGGGGCATTTCCCCATGCCTGGTCATGTTAGGGGAGGGGGAGGCGATTTTCTGTCACTCTTGACGGTGACGTGTGGTGGTGGTTTCGGGCAAACAGACTATGTGTGTGGTGTATAAATGCTGTGCAGTCTGTCCACTCGTTGATTCTGGCGCTTGGGTTTGCATCTACAGGACAGCTTGCAGAAGAAGAGCTTGAGTTAGATAAGCAATATAGTGTATATATATGTATATATATACATATACCAATAAGCAAACAAAAACGATAATTGAGCAACCATGTCAGAACAAGTATCTTTGAAGGGAAAGGTGGTAATCATCACCGGTGCTGGAGGGGGGCTAGGAAAGGTGTATGCGCACCAGTTTGCCTCTAGAGGGGCGAAGGTGGTGGTGAACGACCTCGGAGGCTCTTTGACGGGCTCGGGGAACTCCAACAGGGCAGCCGACGTTGTTGTGGAAGAGATCAAGAAAAGTGGCGGAACGGCAGCAGCAAATTACGACAACTTGGTGACCAACCCAGAGGGAATCCTACAGACTGCACTTGACAACTTCGGCACCGTGGACATTCTCATCAACAACGCGGGGATTTTAAAGGACTCCAGCTTCAAGAACATGACCGAGAAACAGTTCACCGACGTGTTGGACGTGCATCTCAACGGCGCGTTCAAGCTCACCAAGCTTTGCTGGGAGGTCTTCAAGGCGAAGAAGTACGGCCGGATCATCATGACTGCGTCGCCGGCAGGCTTATACGGCAACTTCGGCCAGGCCAACTACTCTTGCGCCAAGCTGGCGTTGGTGGGCTTCGGCGAGACCTTGGCAAAGGAGGGCTACAACAGCAATATCAAGGTCAATATCATTTCGCTATTGGCCAAGTCCCGGATGACCGAGACAGTCCTGCCTCCCGACGTGTTGAAAAAGTTGTCCCCCGAGAAGATTGCTCCGTTGGTGCTTTATTTGACCTCTGAGGAGTGTCCATCAACGGGGTCGATTTACGAGGTTGCCGCCGGCTTGTTTGCCCAGATAAAGTGGCAACGGAGCAGCGGCTTGTACCTTAACCCCTCCAGTGACACACTGACCCCAGAGGCAATTCTCCACAAGTTTAGCAAAATCTCGGACTTCAAGGACTCTGATTACCCAATCATGTTGAAAGACTACAACAACGTGTGGGATGTCACAAGCAAATTGGGTAAAAACGATCAGGGAAAAATTAAGATAGAGTCGTTAAGGGACAAGGTTGTGGTGATTACTGGTTCAGGTAACGGGTTGGGCAAGTCGCATGCCCTCTGGTTTGCCAAATATGGCGCCAAGGTTGTGGTGAATGATTTCAAGGACCCCTATTCCGTAGTCGATGAAATCAACAAGAGCGGGGGAACTGCAGTGGCTTCGAAACATGATGTCTACTCCGAGGCAGATAAAATCATCAAGACCGCTTTGGACAATTTTGGAACTGTTGACATTTTGGTCAACAATGCAGGGATTCTACGGGACCGCTCGTTTGCCAAAATGAGCCAGCAGGAGTGGGACCAGGTTATCCAGATCCACGTGTTGGCAACATACAGGTTGTGTAAGTTGGTCTGGCCAATATTCTTGGAGAAAAAGTCGGGCTACATCGTCAACACCACTTCAACCTCTGGGATCTATGGCAATTTTGGTCAAGCCAACTACGCATCTGCTAAGGCCGGAGTGTTGGCACTAACCAGAACGCTAGCTATTGAAGGAAGAAAGGCAAATATCAAGTGTAACGCCATTGCCCCACATGCTGAGACCGCCATGACCAAAACCATTTTCAAGCAGACCGAACTCAACAAGTTCTCTACTTCGCAAGTTTCACCAATGGTTGTTCTATTATGCAGTGAGGAGGTGGGTGGTATTACCGGCGAACTATATGAGGTTGGCGCAGGATGGATCGGCAACACCAGATGGCAAAGAGCCAAAGGTGCGGTCTCCCACGATGAACACATCACGCCAGAGTTTGTTCAAACAAGCTGGAAAGATATTACAGATTTTAGCGATGGCATAACTTTGAAATCTGCCGAAGAATCGTCAATTGCCATTCTAGAGTCTGTTGGAAGCGAAGACGAAGATGAGGACGACGAAGATAACGAAGATGACAATGAAAGTAAAGATGACACTGGCTCGTCTGATGAAGCCTACACGTACGACCACCATCAAGTCATCTTGTACAATATCTCGGTCGGTGCTACCAGCAAGGAGTTGAAGTATGTTTATGAGTCTGATCCAGACTTCCAAGTGTTGCCAACATTCGGCGTGATTCCATTCATGAACCAGGAGGATGGAGGTTTGAACTTTGATGACCTACTCGACAACTATAACCCTATGAAGTTACTACACGGAGAGCATTACCTGAAGGTGAACAAGCTCCCCATTCCAACAAATGGGAAGCTCACGACCAAGTCCTTCCCAATGGAGATCATCAACAAGGCTAAGGGAAGCAAGCAAAATGTGTTAATGAGATCCGGGTACAAGACTTTTGACGAAAACGGTGAGTTGCTATTCACTAACGTTGGCTCGTACTTTATCAGAGACTGCAAGACCCACAGTGGGAAAGACGAGGCTCCTGGGGGTGGTAAGGAGGGGATCAGCAATTTTTACAAGAAGGACTTTGCTGCCTCGGGCACGCCTGACTACGAGGGCCAGTTCAAGACCGACAAGGATCTAGCTGCTCTATATCGCCTCAACGGAGATTTCAACCCTCTTCATGTGGATCCTGTTTTTGCCAAAGGCGGCAACTTCTCGAAGCCTATTCTCCACGGCCTCTGTTTCTACGGGATCTCTGCCAAGCTTTTGGTCGACAAATTTGGACTTTTTGACGAGATTAAGGCCCGGTTTACGAGCTTTGTCTACCCTGGAGAGACCTTGAAGGTATTGGCGTGGAAGTCCGGACCAGTGGTGAAGTTCCAGACATGGGTAGTGGAGAGAAATGTCAAGGTCATTGACTATGCTGCCATCCATCTAGTGGAGGGTGGCCTTTCCTCTAAGTTATAGTCTGTATGTAGTTTTATGAGTGCAAGTGTTTAATTTATTTATCTGCTTCTAGAAATCTAACTGTGTTTGATACCGCTGTCCCAAACTTCGTTGAAATGCTCGCCCAGGAAGGACTGACTAAAGGTAAAAAGCCATGCATCGTCCTCTGCGGACGCCCCACTTTTAACAATCTGGTACTGGTTCCATGCAGCCATCAACTCCGGGATGCTGGAGACACCGAGCACGGTTTTACCCTTCTTCGGAAGCCATGCTCCGATGGCATACCGTGTAGCGAGATCCGCTAGGTCGACGTTGTGTTTCTCCTTCAACACCATGGCCAACTCGTTGCACCTGTCTTTGAGCGCCTGGCTCCCTGGGTGGAACGACCTTGTCTCTTGGTATCTGAGTAAAGACATGGAGAGGATGGAGGCGTTGTTGACGAGCTTCACGCCCGTATCGGCGAGGAACCGCCCGTAGTACGTGTCGAGCGTAGTGTTCTGCAGACACATGTTGCAGTAGCTCATGACAAGGTCAAGCTTGCCGATTTCCGGGTCGTCTTTCACCGTCTTGGCGACCGTGTAGAGGTAGTCGACTGGGTAACCCGAAACCCCGACCCATCTGATGAGGCCCTCAGCCTTCAGCTTCATGAGCGTCGCCAAGGCGCCGAGAGTCTCCTCGAGAGTCGTAAACTCGACGTCGTGCAAGAACACCACGTCAAGGTAGTCTGTCTGGAACCGCTGCAGCGAGCGGCGGACAGACTTCTCCACCCATTCGGGCGAGTAGTCGAACTCGTCCAACCGGATCCGGCCCACCTTCGTGCACAGGTAGTAGTTCTCCCGCACGATTTTCCCGTCAGCAGTCAACCTGGCCAGCGCATCACCCAGAAGCTCTTCAGAAGGTCCGTAGTATGGTGAAGTGTCAATGGCGTTGATGCCCAGCTTGAAGCTTGTCTCTAGCAAGTCGCAGATCGGCATCTTTGCTGGGTCGTCATTGTACTGAACGTTGAACACTGCCCCGCCCAAAATCAGCGGGGAGATCTCGTTCATGTCGTTCAACTTCTTTTGCAGACTGAGTGACATGCCTCCGGATCTTCTATGTTGTCTACCTGTCCATCAAGACGGCTCAGGACGTCTTTAGTCCACCCAGTGTTCTTCTGAACGCCTCCGCCTCCGATTCATGTTTCCGTCCAGGCGGCGCGGCTGGTTTTGCTAGGGCCGGTCCTTCTGGCGACGGGCCACAAAAGGCTGTCTGGATGGGAGAACAAGAAGAAGGGCAGCTTGGGGCTGGCGGAAAGAGAAGAGAGTAGAAGCCATTGAGAGTCCAAGAAGCAAAGCGATGCCACCTAAGAGATACTTCAAGAAAAAGGCACCGGAGACGGCCACTAGCGGCAGTGCGCCTGCCGAACAGCCGCAGATCCAGTTTGACGTGAGTAGGACGAAACAAATGTCGACGTGACGTGATGGGATACTAACATGCAGACAGCAGCCCCTCCTCTGTGGAGAGACACACTTCCTCTGTGCGTGCAACAGTTGGGCGTAGAGAAAAAAAAGGTAACGGTCCGGAAGTTCAAGAACATGAAGTTGATCGACATCCGGGAGTACTACCAAAAGGACGGCAAGTGGCTCCCGGGCAGCAAGGGGCTCTCGTTGACGGAGGACCAGTGGAACGTGCTGGTGTCAAAGATGGTCGACATTGGCGAGGCGTTGGTCAAGATCGACGACAAGGAGCAGTTCAACGTCATGAAGGCCGCTTTGGACCGCAAGCAGCAGCAACAGAAGGAGGACGAGGAGGCCGAGGAGTACGAGGCCGACAGCAAGGACGATGCCTCTGCGGCCGCAGTTGCTGCCGCAGCTGCCGACGAGGATGAGGACGACGAGGACGAAGACATTGGCGACGTCGAGTTCGAGGACGTCAGCGAGGCCCCTGCCCAGAAGAGGGTCAAGACTGAGTGAAGGGCCCCCGCCGGCCTTTCGCCACACCACCCCCCACTGTATAGCAACTATACAGACAGGCAGACAAGCTCTTGGCTCTCTGCACCGCCCCTCCACCCCGACATGTGTAACACAATGCCATCCATTCGCCGTAGCAAACAGGGCGGTGTTTCTCCGATTCATGTTCTCACCCCCGACAGGAGGAGCGTTTCCGTCTTTCTCGGGCTCTACCAGAAGAGAACAAGAGGGACAGACGGCGGTCAATAGGGGGCTCCTTTAGTCCTCTCGGGCCGGTCTGTGAAGGAAGGTAGTCTGAGAGGCACACACAAGAATCCATCTGATGAGCTCGAACATGCTGCACCGCAACAGTGGCTCCAGGAGCCCCTCGGGCTGGAGGTCTGGTGACAGGGAGAGCCGCAAATCCATTGATTCGTCCATCTCCAGCGACCGACACCACCACCACACATCCGGGACGCATCCGGACGAAGTGCTGGACGCCATGGGTCTGATCCACGACGACTCCGGCAGCTCGTACATTGACAGCTACATCCATGGCGCAGATTCCTCGGCATACAACGACCATAGACGGTATTCGGACATCAAGCCGGACCAGAAGATGATGAGGCCTGTGAGAACGCAGGAGCCAGCCTCGGCGACTTCAGTATCCTCCGCAGGTACCAGCAAGAACCACCACCAGCCGCAACAGCAGCAACAGCAGCAGCTGAACGATGCCTTCACACAGCAGTCGAAGTTGCTCTCGCATGAAAACGACCGTCGAGGCATGCAGCCGTCTGACCACCATGACTACGGCAGCACCATGCCCTCCTACCAGAACAAACACTCGACCCCATTTCCTGTCCCAAACAGCATGCAGAACAATCCGTTTTTGAAGAAGACGCCCTTCCCCCAGAGAAATCTTCTATCGCAATCGGCGCCTCTCTCCATGGCCTCGGACACCTACACGGATTCGAAGAGGGAGGAAAACTCGATATACGCCTCGTCAAACCCTTCATCGAGAAGAAACTCTGAGGCGTCTTCATTGAACGACGTGTGCTTCCCTGTGGACTCTCTGGACGAAGTGGACCGCTCGAAACGGTGGCCTAATCTATCAATCTTGGAGGAGTTTGCTCGTGAAGAGCTTGAAGATATGAAGAGACCACGGTCGACGTCGACCAGCCAGAGGTCTTTCTCTCCTCTAGACGAAAGCAACGTGAACTTCCAGTATCCGATAATATCAAATGTGGATTACGGAGACACGGAGCCCCTAATTGTGTCCACCAATGAGGAAATAGATCCGATCAACGGACGTCTAAGACCGAAGAAGAGAACACCATGGAGGAAGCCAGCTTTCATCACGAAGCATGACAAGATGACAAAATTCAGATTTACATATTTTAGGGAAGATATTTCAGACACTATTCACTCGCCAACTATATCCGGACTGCTTCACAACGGCAGGAAATTTGAAGACCTCTTCTCTCCTTCCCACTATGGAGCAGTCGATACTATACCGGAAGAAAGGGAGGTTGCGAACAAAATGCACAATATTTCGAACCTTCCCATTGTTGCATCCACACTGACTAACTTAACACAGGAAACTACAACATCGGCTAACACAGCTTTGAACTCCTCCCAGTCGACCAAAAGCTATGTCCAGCCGTTCTGGTTAGATGTCTTGAATCCAACTGAAGACGAAATGAAAGCTATCTCTAAAACTTTTGGTATTCACCCGTTAACTTCAGAGGATATATTTTTAGGTGAAGCCAGAGAAAAAGTCGAGCTTTTTAAAGACTACTACTTTGTTTGTTTTACGTCCTTTGACGTTGAAGAGGAACACCAAAGACGCAAGCAGGCTATAGAAAAGGCATTTGCGGATGCGATGGAAGAAGAGGAGCAGAAAGCACAGAATGAGCGGCCATTTTTCTTGAGAATGATGCAGAAAATGAAACATAGCTCCTCAACTTCAGGGAGCTCCGGTAATTCCATCCATTCTAACAATTCCAAAAAATCAAAGAGATCCAAATCTGCTACTTCATTGACCTCGAAAAAGATGAAAAAGAAGAAATACAACAAAGATGAACTCATCCCACTAACCATGTATATAGTGGTCTTCAGAGACGGAGTAATCACTTTTCATTTCAAGCCAACTCCGCATACCGGTAATGTCCGTCGTCGTGCAAGACTATTGAGAGATTATTTGACTGTGACTTCGGACTGGGTGGGCTATGCGTTGATTGATGACATCACAGATGCATTTGCACCGTTGATAGAGTCGATAGAAACAGAAGTCAATTCAATTGAAGATGAAATCATAACGATGCAATCGGGCGATAAATCCGACGAAAGTGAATCGGAAGACGAAGTTGAAGATATAGTAAGTGAAGATCCGTATTGGATCAAAGTCAAACGGAGAAATTCAAACATTGCCGGAGATGGGGCTTCCTCCTACTCCAAATCAATATCTACTTCGAGCTCCAGTTCTGTGGATACCAAGGTAATAAGCTGGAAGAAAAAAGGTGACATGTTGAGGAGAATCGGTAATTGCAGACGAAGAGTTATGTCATTACTCAGACTTCTAGGTTCCAAGGCAGATGTTATCAAGGGTTTTTCAAAAAGATACAACGAGCAATGGGAAGTTGCACCAAGATCAGAAATTGGTTTATATTTGGGGGATATCCAGGATCATATTGTAACCATGGTACAAAACTTAAATCATTACGAGAAATTGTTGGCACGTTCACATTCGAACTATCTAGCTCAGATTAACATTGACATGACCAGGGTCAACAACGATATGAACGATATTTTAGGAAAAATCACGATTTTGGGTACGATTGTTTTGCCACTGAACATTGTCACCGGCTTGTGGGGCATGAATTGTCTTGTTCCTGGACAGGATCGGGATGATTTGCAATGGTTTTGGATGATATTAAGTGGGATGTTTGCTTTCTCTATCACATGTTACTATTATGTCAAAAAAATACTGAACGTGGTGTAATAAGGTTACAGAAAATAGCGAATCATATAGGCTGAACATTTACGGTATTTAAATTAACCTTTTTGTTCATCAATTACATATATCAGATATATAGGTCTAAAAGTTATGATTGAATAGCCTCCGATTTTGGAGATTTTATCTAATCTGTGAAGAAAAAAATTGTGATCATAGAATGTGCTTGTTGCGCCCTTATTATACTATATTTCCACTAAATAGTTACTTGGAACCAATCCTGAATCGCTTGAATTGAGATTCTCCGCAAACCACCAACCGTCGGATTGTTTGTGTAGCACTAAAAGAATATCTCTCTTCTTGAATGAAAGTTCCTCCTCTATTGCTGCGGTGTAGTTGTATTGTGCCTTGGTGTAACTTATCACAGGGTATCCTTCAGATGAATGGGATGGTAGCTCACTCAGGCTTATGTGTCTATTTTTCAGATTCATTTGCGACTTCGATTTCCTCATGCTACTAGATATCTGTCTTTGAGATGGCCTCAGTAGCGAGTTCTTCTGGTTCTTGATCATCAACGAGTTGTGGCTGATAATTCTCATTGCGTCAGTCTGGTTATTATCATTAGTACTGGTTTCAGTGTCAAGATGCCTCTGCCCCGTTGCAGTGTTTGGAAGAAGTTGTCTAAACTCAAACTTTTTACTGTTCTTACTGGCCATATCCATACCTGGAGACTCGTTGAAAGCATTTTTCATAATATTGGCAAAGGAATTATGCTTGTCCTTTTTCGTGCTATTCTGCTTTGCAGGAGACATGGATTCACGTAGATACTTTTCCTTTTTCGTGGCGTCTTCCTTTAATGGAGACATCGATTCCCGCATTTTGTCCTCATTTCTCAAATTAATCAACGCATTTCTTATTGGGTTATTATCATCTTTCAGACCACCAAGCTCATAATTGTCATCCTTGTCCTTATTACTGTCACTGTTAATCTTCTTGTAATGCAGAATCTGGTCATTCAAACTATCCGTGAAGCTATGAGATGATATACTGGTTCGGGTAGTAGGATTCGAGTAGTCTGACATTGTCTGGTACGTACTTGGTTCGGATATCGATTTGGCATCATTTGGGTCGGGCTTATTTATTTTCATCTGCGACACTTCCTTCTGGGCTTCCTCCTGCAGTTTGTTGAACGTTTCCTTTGATTTTCCTATGAAAGAAAACGCCGTTTCCCCTTGTTCGGTGGATTTTGGAGGTGGGTTTCTTCTCTTTTGTCGTATTTCTTTCTCTTCCGTCACCTTCTCACGTATACTTGGTATCTCTAGAATATCAAATTTTTTGGAAATCTGCTCATGGACAGGTCTTGTTTCGTTTTTGGCAAAGTCCACGAATTTCAATGGAGCCAATAATTCATGCCCAGTAGAATTTTCATCCACAAAATAGTTGATGTCTTTCCGTGCACTACAGTCCTGTAAGGAGACTCTTATATTTTCAGCGAACTGGTCCTCTTCGACACAAAACAAGCTGAGAATGTTTGCAAACTCCCACAGGTTGGATTTGAGGAACCTTATTCGTTTTTCCTCTGCAGCTTGCCATTCGTTACAGGTATCCCACCATAGCGTGAGCCAGGCGTCCAGTTTTTCGTTGTATTTGTTCACCAATTCCCAGTTTTCCTCTCTTATTATCAACATTTTTGTTTTCATTGCTGAGAGCTTTTGCTCGAGTTTCTCCGCCTCGATGTTATCTAGCGTCATTCTTGTCCTTTTCAACGAGCTCATCGACGACCACAGGTCTTCGTATTTGTCACTTTTCGATCCACACTTGTTTCTCAGCTCTGTCAACTCGTTCCACGACTGTCTGATTTTCGTCTCCACCACCTTTTCTCTTGCTTTCCTATCGCTGACCAGCTCCAGCAGCGGTTGTTGAAGCGCATCCTGTATCCTTCTGGCCTGCAAAGAGTGTGATTCTGAAACTCTCAGACACTGGTCCTGGAAAACATTGATGCTTGTTTTGAGTGTCCCTGCGTTTTCGTGTTTGGGGAGCTCGAGACGGTTGAGCAAGGTGTTGAATCTTCGTGAGTAGTCGTTCTCTAGGTGCATGAACTCTTTGTAGAAGGAGGACAGGGAGTTCAGAGTTTTTGTGGCCTTTTCATTCTGGAGCATCAACACCTCCTGGGGAGAGGAGTCCACGGACCAGAAAGACCTAGCATAGAGTTGCTCCGCTGGAATCGCTGTCGCCATTGGTTTGTTTTACCTGCAGAAACGTTCGAAACTTCTCCTTCGACCAGGACAATACTGCAAACCCGACAGGAAGCTGGAGAAAGAGAACAATCAGCAAAATAGACCGATCAACGACATAAGCGAAAAGTCCCTAGTACCAATGCACGTAATATATATTTACGGGGAACACTATTTTGCATTCCTTTATCTCATGTGGCCCATAACGAAATCCTGGAACTCGATGTTTCGGTACGTCTCGTGTGTTTACAATTGTCCGAAAACAGCAATTCGGTGTTCGTTTTTTCTTCTCCGGTGTCTCACCCGGGTCCGAGCGTCCTCCTCCCTTTCCAGCGCTCTTTATTTTGCACTTCTTGGCGCCCTACTGCCGTATATTCTTTACTGGGGTCTGCTGAACACCAGTCTAATGGTCGTCTGCATTCGTCCAAGTCTTACTCACATCGGTCTGGGATGTGTTTCAGGCCTCGGAAAGCCAGACTGGCCCCGGAAGCAGGCGCCACTTTGAAAAACTCTATGGCGCGGCCCAATTAGGCCGATCAGCGCGATTTTCGGCTGGAAAGGCCCTGACGGCGGCTGAAGACAGAGACAAGACATGGGGTCGGGACACGGAGAGGAGGCTCTGCAGTGGGGGTTGGAAGGCATTGCGGAGACTGCAGAGACTGCAGAGACCAGCAAACAGTGACAAAACGAACAGGATGAGTGAAGAAGACCTGACTAAGGAGCAGAAGCTAGAGGCGGCTAGAAAGAAGTTCGAGGAGTTGAAGAAGAAGAACAAAAAGGGGAAGAAGAAGGGAAAGAAGAGTGGCAGTGGTAAGAAGGAGGACTCTGATGTGCTGGACGACGACGCCACGAGGGACGAGGGTGAGGAGAACGAGGAGAATGGGGAGAAGGCAGAGAGCGGGGAGGCTGCAGCAACTGAGGGAGAAGCAGCAAAGGCCACGAGCGAGGAAGAAGGAAACGACGACGTGGACGTGGACGTGGACGTGGACGCTGCAGAGAAGCCCGCCGAGGCTGCGGAGCGTATAGAAGAGTCATCGGCCGAAAACACAGCGGAGGCTGGGGCTCCAGCGGCGGAGAAGACGGAGGTGGCGGAGGTGGCGGCTGCCGAAAGTGGTGTAGACGGAGAAGCAGCCGCCGAGCCGTCGCAAGACGCTCCTGCGGAGGAGGCACCGCTTGAGTCCATCCTCTCGAGCAGCGGAAATGGTGAGTCCACCTTTTTGACCAGCAGTCTGCAGTCGACGGTGGCGGAGCTGCAGGCGGAGGCGGCCAAGCTACGGGAGGAGGTCAGAACACTCAAGGCGGAAAACGTGGACCTGAAGCTCATGAACTCGGACCTCGAGATAGAGCTAGCGGCCTCGCAGAACGCACTAGAGACCCAGAAGGCGCAGATGGAGCGCCTCACACAGCAGATGCGTACGGCCCGGGTCGACCCAGCGCAGCACGCCAAGTCCGGCGACGAGGAGGACGGCGTCTCGGTGCTGAGCGGAACAGAGTACTTGACCCACGCCACGTCCAGCTTCCAGAACCTAACCAGCTTCAACATCAACAACAACTCGCAGGACTACATGGACATAGTCGACCTGAAGGAGCGGTTGGCCCAGTGGAAAGGGTGGAACATGGACATGCACGGCTGGAGGTCGATAGGGATGGGGCCCATCGTGGATATATAGAAAACATACCTTTATATACTCTTCCTGTGCAGTCTGGCGGTAATGAAGACATCCAGCCTGACATCCCGACGTAGCCGGTGTCCAGGGGAAGTGTCTAGCCCTCTCGAGGACACTGGGTATCTGCATATCCCAGCTTCGGCACCCGGTGTACGTAATCGCGCAGAGTGATACCGCAGTCAAAACGGTTCGCATGTCTTCGATGCCTCCGTGAACAAGACCGGTAAAGTGGTAAAAAAAGGAGAAGTAGGTAGGCGAAGAGTGTATCTAGGTTAGTTATCGGTATAATTACATCTTGACAAGACCACCAAGCCATGCTGTCTGTATCAAGAAGAGTTTTGACGAGAAACTCAGTGAGATCGGCCCTTTTGCGCCCTTGCGCAAATGCGAGATTGAACTCAACGGCAAATTCGCCGGCTAAAGTGATTGGTATTGACTTGGGGACGACGAACTCGGCGGTGGCGATTGTCGACCAGCTTACTAAGGAGCCGAAAATATTGGAGAACAGCCAAGGGGCACGCACGACTCCTTCGATCGTTGCGTTCAGCCCATCCGGGGAGGTGCTTGTTGGAGAACCGGCGAAAAGACAATGGGTGATCAACCCTACAAACACGTTCTATGCCACGAAGCGGTTGATCGGAAGGAAGTTTGCCGACGAAGAGGTGCAGACAGATGCTAACCTGATGCCGTATACAATTGTTGCCGGAAGCAACGGAGATGCGTGGCTAAGCACTACGGTCGGCGAGAATCTTCAGTATTCGCCTGAACAGATTGCCGGACTCATCCTCAAGGAGATGAAGAACACGTCGGAGAAGGCGTTGGGCCTGAAGGAGGGGGAGATGAAGAATGCGGTGGTTACGGTGCCGGCGTACTTCAACGACTCGCAGCGGCAGGCTACGAAAACGGCAGGCGAGTTGATCGGTCTCAACGTTGTCCGTGTGCTCAACGAGCCGACCGCAGCCGCCCTAGCGTACGGTTTGGGCAATAACAATGATGGTGTATGTGCCGTGTACGATTTAGGTGGAGGCACGTTTGACATCTCCATCTTGGACATCGACGATGGGGTGTTTGAGGTGAGAAGCACTAACGGAGACACACACTTGGGCGGCGAGGACTTCGACAACCTGTTGGTCCAGCGTATATTGGACGCCTTCAAGGAGGACACGGGTGTCGATCTCAACGGCGACATAAACGCAATCCAGCGGGTGCGTGAGGCTGCAGAGAAGGCCAAGATCGACTTGAGCCATGTGAAGAAAACCACGATCGACTTGCCCTTCATTACCAAGACACAGAGTATCAGTCTGGAGTTGACGGAGGATGAACTCGACGAGCTGAGTCTGCCCTTGATCCAGAAGACGTTGGGGCCGATCAAGAAGGCTTTGAGCGATGCCGAGATCGAGAAGGACGAGATCGACGAGGTCATCTTGGTGGGCGGGATGACGAGGATGCCGAAGATCAGGAAGGTCGTTGGCGACTACTTTGGCAAACAAACCAACACACAGGTCAACCCGGACGAGGCGGTTGCCCTTGGTGCCGCGATCCAGGGTGCGGTGCTCTCCGGCAGCGTCAAAGACGTGTTGCTTCTCGACGTGACCCCGTTGACCTTGGGCATCGAAACCTACGGCGGCCTCTTTTCTCCCTTGATCCCTCGAAATACTACCGTGCCCTGCAAGGTCAGCCAGACATACTCAACAGCCGTCGACGGCCAGAACTCCATCGACGTGAACGTCTACCAGGGCGAGCGGCCGCTCGTCTCGGACAACAAGCTGATCGGCAAGTTCAAGCTCACGGACATCCCTGCGCTGCCGAAGGGCGTGCCCAAGATCGACGTGCTTTTCGACATCGACGCCGACGGCATCATCAAGGTGAGCGCCAAGGACCAGGACACGGGCAAGGTGTCGTCGATCACCGTCTTCGGGAAGAGCGGCATGAGCAAGACCCAGATCGACGAGCTAGTCAAGAAGAGCAAGGAGACGACGAAGGAGGACCAACAGAGAATCAGCTACTTGAAGCACGTGAACAATCTCGAGTTGATCTGCTTTGACACCGAGCAGGCCCTCAAGGACTGGGGTGCCCACCTCGCCCGCCCGGACGTCGACAGTCTCCAGAGACACATCGACATCGTCAAACGCATGATTGCCGACTCCCGCAGCGGCGACCTTTTCAACGTCGACCTGATCCAGGCCGCCCAGGAGGAGATGAAGCACGAAACCCTCGACGTCATCACCCGTGCGGCTGAGCACAGCCGGCACCAGAAGAAGGCCTGAACAATCTGCATTTTCCTTTGTTCCCTCTGTACATATCTGTAAACCCGACACAACATCATCTTCAACACCTATCTGCGACTCGCATTCTGTCGTGCCGCGACGCTTCCGCTTGTCGCGGTTTCCGACACGCGCCGCTGTTTGCGCTTTTCCCTTTGCAGCGATTCCCGGCCTGGCGTCAACAGATCGAGTGCTGGACGGTGTCCCGTTTGCTGGCGAAACAGGACATGGAAGTAAGAGACGGATGGGTGTACAGACGGAGAGACAGATTAGCGTGGCTGTGGAACGTTGGAGCCAATCACTCGCTGCTGAAATTGCTGGTCTTGCATCGATATCTTGGACGGCACACACAGACACGTCTGCCTGCTGCGTTCTCTACAGAATACGCCCCCAACACGCAAACAAACACTCACACAGCCCAGACAACAGGACCCTCTCGTCACTTGGGTCGTTTTTTTCTGCCTGTTTTTCCAGTCACACGAAGCAACAAAGCCGCCGGCAAGTTCACAGCCCTGAGATAGTGCCACGTACTAGCTTCACAGAGGCCTCTGCAAGAATACACAAGTACGCAGGAACACAGACAAGCACATACAGCATACAAAAGCATCCAAGCATCCGAAAAGTCTCTGCTATCAAGGAAAAAGAAAAAGCATCATCATGTATAGACACTCCAATCAATCTGCCGGCTCTGCTGGGTCCGTGGGTAGAAGAATCTCCACCAACAACCCGTTCCGTTCGGCGTTGCTGCAGGAGGGAAAGGCCAGAGACAGAACTCTCTCCGGCTCGGGCTCCACAAGCGTCGAGGACGCTCAGTACGCAAACTGGTTGGACCGGCGTATAGAAGAAGAGCATCGTGACGAGCATAGAAGAGACAGCTACTTGTCCAACGACGATGACTACAACGACGACGCCAGCTCTTTCATAGAGGGGGACGAAATAAACTTTATCAACCCGCAGACCAGCAGGTCTCGTTCCTCGTCTAAGCCTCTGAACCTTAGAACCTCCAGCGACAACTCCATCCAGAGACCGTCGGGCAACCCGTTTGCGCAACCTTCCAGATCAGAGCGTAGCAACTCAGGAACAAATACCCAAGCCCCAATGAGGTCCTATCAACGGGGTCAGCCAGAAAAGACGAAAAAGGATGCCTATGGTGCTCCGCCCCCTCCTCCATACGACGAAGTGGTAGGGAAAAAATACGCCAAAAACAACTACCCTAGAGATGAGAAAACACCATATGCGGTTGATGCCAACCCGTTCCCTGTTGAAGACAGCCACGAGGGTGCTCCTCGTCGGGCCAAAACCATAAGCTCACGTCGTGCAGCCCCTCCTCCTCCTCCGGCCCACACCAAGCCTAGATTGAATCCAGATACCATGACTAACACGACAACTACTAGAATTATGTCAGATGGAAGGGTGAGATCCAAAAGTACCGGCGAGCCTTCACCGCGGGCGTACGATGAATCACGTCGTAGCAGACATCGTCAATCTCCAAGAACAGATGACCATATGGAACCTCGTGGCCAGCGTAGTTTGGGTCATCATCATCACCACCATCACCATCATCATCAAGACTATGAGAGAAGCCGGGATAGATACTACGACAGAGACTATGACAGAGACTATGACAGAGATTACGAGAGAGATCACGATAGACCGCGGAGATCAGGTACTCGGAAGAAGTTTATTCAAGAACGGTCCAAAAATTTGGACACAATAGACAGGTTGGATGTCACAGGTTTCTTTGGAGGTGGTAAGTTCCACCATGATGGACCTTTCGACGCATGTACTCCACAGCGTAATAAAGATGCCAAGGTCGCTCCTGTTGACGCCTTCCCGATCGATGGTCCCAACAACTCCATCAAAGGTATGGCGCCGGGCAACTCTAAGGATGAACAATACGATATGGTGTTTGGTATCGATAAAACGACACAAGATGATACAACCTACCCTGTGGAAAGTGGCAAAGCCAGGAGTAACTCCGGCTCAGATTTACTGAAAAGAGGTTACACTAATGGTACAGTTGTCAAACGAGCAGATACGGAAGATTTAGAGAGCTTGGTCCCTGGCGCAAAAGAGCCAGGATTAACCCAAGTCGATGCAGCAGCCACTGATAAGTTGCACGGAGATACCACTCTAGGCTTAGGTAGCAGTACATTTATGGATGGTGCCCCTGCTTATGGTGCAAGATCTTCAAGTGGCGGAGATTTGCAAAGAAAGAAAACATTTTTAGGCAGGATGAAAACCATTGTCAGAAAATAAACTTCAATTGATATACCTTTTTGTTTTTATTTCAAGCTTTACTATGATTCCTCCTCTCAAATATTTTGTATAGTCTGTTTTCCTTTTCTCAGTTCCTTTTCCTAAAATACATGATTTTTCTCTTGGTTTTTTATATCTCCTTTTTTCTCTAGAAGGGTATTACATTTCATGTATTACCTATCTTTAAATATACTATTTACATCGATCTTTTTAAGTGTACAAATCTAAGTCGTAATAATCACATAAAGTATGAAATCTATTCCTCATCTTCTTCGGTCTCATCTTCATCTTCATCTTCATCTTCATCATCCTCGTCACTATCTTCTATCTCATGATTGAATTTGATCAGCATTTCTTTATACTTATCTTTTTTCTCCGTCGCCTCTGTCCATAACATTAATGCTTCGTCAAGTTTGGAGTGGGGAACCATTTCCTTTATTTGTTCTTCCATTCTTTTTAATTTTTCAACAAGCTCAGTGTTGCGCTTCTGACAATCCTCGTATTTTTCGGTTTTATCATTTAGTAAGTCATTGAGCTGTTTCGTTTGTGAGATATTATCTTCAGAGAGCTTTTTCTTCCCATCTTCAAGTTCCTCAATCTTCCTAGTCAACTTTGAGACATTCAATTCTAGGTCAATAGAAACAGATTTCTTTTGGGCAAGATCTTTTTCACTAGACTCAGCTTGTTGTTTTAGATCATCTACAAGCTTTGCCTTATCTGCCAAAGTTTCCTCCAGCTTCTTCTTTTGTGCATTAAGCCTAGTAATCTCTTGTTGAGTCATTTTTTCCAATGTGCCTGTCTTCGTCTCAAGTTGGGATATTTTCCTTTTGGAAATCTCCTCGTCTTTTTCTGAAGCACCTTTGAGATCGGAATAATCTTTTCTGAGTTTTGTCAATTCTCCATTTTTTTCATCGATCAATGTTTTAGTTTCACCCAGTGAATTTTCTAGCTGTAACCTATCCTCAGATGCCTGCTTTACTAAGTTTTCGAGTTTTTTATTTTCTTCCACTAAACTTTCATGCTTAGTAGATGTAGCAGAAACTTCTTTTGCATTAGTCTCTAATTTTGAGGTCAGCGCAGTGACTTCTGAAGCTAATTGATTTTTGGCACTTAAAAGTGCTTCTTTCTCTTCTATAAGAAGATTTTGCTCTTCTTTTAGTTTGGAGAGAGCATTTTCTTTCGCAGTTAAGGAGTTAGATGACTTGAGGTTATTGCACTTGCTTTCAGCCTCAAGCTTCGCTATAATGAAAGTTAAGCTCTCAACTTTTTCCGAAAGTGAAGACAAGCTCTGAGCTTTATCAGCTAGCAACTTCTGAAGTTCAGCTATCTTTGCTTCACTTTCATTCTTCAAAGAAAGAAACCCGGATTGTTCAGCTTTGTAGTTCTCCTCCGCAAGCTGTATAAGTTTTTGTTGGCCTTCGATTTTCTGTTGCAATTCAGAAATTTCTGAGCGTGACTCATCTCGCAAGACTGATAATTGCTTTGATATTTTGTCTTTATCATGTGACAACTTTTGTTGACTCTTTTTGGCTTCAGATAACTCCTCTGTCAACTTAGTAACCTCGGATCCTTTCTCTGCAGTAGCTTTAGACAGTTTCTTTTCAAAAGTAGACTTTTGAATAGCCAAGTTTTCGAGTTTCTCCTTCAACTCTTTAACTGCTGCGTTTAAAACAGAAATTTCCGATGATTTTTCAGTTTTAAGCACTTCATACTCATTCTCAAGTTGGGATTTTTGTGTTGCAGCAGTTTCTAATTGGGTATCCCTTTCCTTCAATTCATTCTTCAAGGATTTTATCTGATCTGAGGTATTACTATTGAGTATAGATTTTTCAGATAACAACTTTTCAAGGGAAATACCGGCCTCGGCTAGATCGGACTCCAATGTCTTGATCTTTAAGTCTAAACTTGATTTCTGCTCCTCCAAGGTATTATGAGAGTTTTTCAATTCGGAGATTTCTTTTTCATATCTGAGTTTTTCATCATCATACTGAGATTGAAGAGTAGCAAGTTCCTCTTTGTGAACATCAGCTGTTTTTTCAGAGAGTTTCTTAAAGTTTTGCTGCTCTTCGTTGGATAATTTTTGCTGTGACTGAAGTTCACCCAATTCAACTTCGAGTGCAGCTATCTGCTGCTTTGCGTCTTTAGAAGTTTCGTTTTTTTCTTTTTCCAAAGATTTTATTTTTAGAGTTAGTTCTTCCTTCTCTTTGGTCAGCTTTTCCCCGTTGCATTCAGAAATTTCGATTTGCTTCTTCAAATGCTCAATCTGCTCAGAAGTATTTTGTTTCAGAGACAGAAAAGTCGATTCTAAGTCAGCGTTTGAAGATTTCGTATTTGCTATTATGCTATTCAAATCCTGAACCTGTGCACTTAACGTTTTTATCTCGGAATTCTTTGACTCTTTGAGGTTTTCCAGTTCTGATTCTAAATTCGAAATCAGTTTTTCTCTGCTGCTAACTAGGTCCGTTAATTCCTTTTTTTCTGATTCCAACTGTTGAATTTTAGAGAGATTTACTTTCTTGTTGCTTTCCAGTTCAGAGATAGAGCTTGATGTTACACTTTTCAAATTATCTAATGACTTTTTTGTTTTCTGCAACTCAGTATCTAAATCAAGAATACGAGTCTTGTCTTTCTCATTGGCTTTCGCAAGTGAATCAAATTCAGAAGTCTTTTCACTGAGGCTTTTTGTGACATTATCCAGAGAAGATTTTAGTTTGCGGACATCTTCTGTTTTTGAGCTTTCAGATTCCTCCAGTTTTTTTGCTGTGAGCTCATTTGCTACGTTCAACTTCTCTAGCTCGCTATTCAAGCTTTCAAGCTGAGAATTGAGCTCACTTATTTTATTCTCCTTCTCTTCTCTCAACTGAGCAAATTCACTTAAAACGGCACTTTTTTGATTTTCAGCACTAGCACTAGAATCTTTTATTTCTCTCAACTGGGATTCTAGATCAGCAATCTGACACTGACAGCCTTCTTTGACAGTCACCAATTCTTTCTCCATTGCTAACTTCTCATCCTCAAGTTGCTGCACGTAGTGCTCCTTTGATGATAGCTCTTCGGTTAGTTCAGAAATCTTCTTCTCCTTCTCCAACTTCAAGTCACTCAGAAATTTATCGTTATCCAAAGTCTTCAATTTATTATCTTCCAATTCTTTTTGAATAACTGTTAAAGATTGATTGAGTTCTTTCAACTCTACATTTCTTTCTTCCTTGTATTTTTCGAAACTTTCACTCAGACCTGAATGCTCAGATATTTTTTTATCTAAAAGGTCCTGAATAGATTTGATATTAGATTGAAGCAGTTTTATTTCTTTCTCTTTGGAAGATTTTAGGTTTTGTAACTCTTTGGACACTTGTGTACTATTTTTATCTGCTTCTCCCTTCAATTTCTTAATGGATTCCAGATCTTTCTCAAGTTGAGAAACGATTTCGTTTTTACTTTTACTGAATTCATCATACTTCACCTTCAAGGCTTTGTGCTCAGATTTTGTTGAGTTCAAATCAGTAGTCGTAGTAGCAACTGCTTCTTCTAATTTTTTTATTGTTTTCTCTTTGGTCGTACTTTCTTTCTCATGTGTTAAAGATAATGTCTTATTTTCATCCTCCAAATTATTGAACAACATTGTCAAAGCATCAATCTCTTTCTTTGATTTCAAGAGGCTTTCCTCCGAGAATTTTTTCAGCTCTAGTAGCTCTTTTTCGAATGAATGTTTTCTTTCATTTACAGTCTTCAATTCGTTCTGTAATTTTTCAATAGAGCTCCCCAACTTTGAGATTTCTGACTTTTTATCGGATTCTAGTGATGTGAACCTTTGGGTTAAAGCTTGAATCTCAGTGGTTTTAGATTCAATTGTTTTATCTTTTGACTCCAGTTGAGCCTTCAGATCATCAAGGCTTTTTTCGTTCAAGAGATTGACCGAAGACAAAGATTTTTCTAGACTATCTTTTGCAGATTGTAGCTTTAGGAACTTGCTGTTCAGCTCGTCTCTTTCTTCTTTTGTAGTTTTCAGAGAATCATTTTTGGCGTCAATTTCTTTTGAAAGGTTTTCTGAGTTCGATTTGAACTCCTTCAGCTCTTCTTCCAGCTTTTCCTTACTCGTTCTTTCACTTTCAAGTTCTCCTTTCAAAGAATTAATGCTTTCAGTGAATCCTTTTTTAATATCTTTTATATCTTCTTGGTACTGATGCACTACCAGCAAATGGTTGTTTTCAAGACTTTCGACCTGTTGTTTCAGTGTTTTATTTTCATCGATCAAACTCTTGTTTTTCTCCTCACTGGCTTCAATATCTTTCGACAAAACGGTAATGTTTCCATTCAACTCATCAATTTCTTTCGAAGTTTCATCTTGCAATAGCGTGAAGTCCTCAAAAGTGGTAGTCAGCTCTTCTTGTAAAGATTCCAACTTTTCATTCAGTTTCTTGTTTTCCATGATCAGATTCTCCTTTACTTCTTCGGTAGTAGCTAAGGATGACTTCAAAGTGGTTACTTCGTGAATCATTTTTTCCTTATAATCGTTTAGTTCAACATTAGTAGAGTCTTTTTGATTTTTCAATTTTTCAATTATTTCTGTAGCAGTCTTTAATTTGTTCATTAACTCTGCTGAATTTCTCTCGGATTTTTCAAGCTTTTCGTTATTTGCTAAAACAGTTTCATTTACTTTCTTGTATTCCTCTCTAACTTTACTGAGGTTGGCATTAGCAAGTTTGAGCCGATTTTCAAGATCAATGACGATTTTCTCTTTTTGTGTGTTTATAGCTGCAAGCTTGGCTTCCTCCTTCTCAAATTTTTGCTTCAATGAACTTAACTCTTTTTCTAAAGATTTCGCTTGCTTTTCGCTTGTAGCTTTTTCCTTAGTCAAATTCATTAACTCTCTACTCATTTTATTGATACCATTTTCGGCATTGACCTTTGACTTCTCAATAACTTCAAGTTTTTCTTTCAGCTGCTTGTTTTCCAACTCTATATTTTTGACCTTGACTGATGATTCTTGTAAGTTTCTTGAAAGATCACTGATCTGAGACTCCAGAGTTTTCTGTAATCCATTCAACTTTGTAACTTCAGCAACAGATGCAGTAAGATCAGTTAGCATCTGATCTTTTTCGATTTCCAGTGATTCCATATCACTTAGAAGTTCTTCATACTTGGTTGTGAGTTCACTATAATCCTTTGAGGTCTTTTCAATTTCTTTCAATTGGTTATTTGACTTATCTGTGGAATCTAATTTAAATTGAATGTACTCTCTTGTAAGTGATTCCAGCTTTTGCTGAATCTCTTCGTAGGCAAAAAAATCAAGCTTCCTCGCTGGCTCAACAATGGGGTCTTTTCCTATAGCCCGTGTCATTCTTTGAGAATTTTCACTTACTTGATCAATAAAGATGCCATCGAAATAAACTTCCGGTAGTCCCGATTCGTCACGAGTAGGATTTAGCCAGTCTAACTCTTTGAAATTTGAAACATGTTTGTCTTTCACGAATTGTTGGATTTTTAGACTGAATGAATGCACACCTATTCTTTTGGATAAATACTGGTGCAACTGTGACCTGGAAATGGGTGATGTTTTTCTAGAAAACTCATAAATTATTGACAAAAAGTATGAAATTAGCCCTTGGACTAGATCACTTTCATTTGCAGAGTCAACAATAAAAGCCAATAGCTGATCCAATATAGAAAGATCTTTTAATACTTCATCAACAGCTTCGTAATTGTCCCAGCACCAATTACAAAGCAGCATAAGGTAGGCAATTGGAACACGAATATCGGACTGTTTCAAAGAAGTGCATAATGCTTGTGCAATAGCGGATATAATAGAAATGACATCTTCATCGTCATTCTCATTACCTAAAGTTATTGCCATGACTTTGAGCTTGGCCTCTGGATAGTCTTCAAATACGTAAAGCAAAATAATCGAAGCAAACCATATTTTATATGGGTTCAACTTGTAATTTTCCATTTGGATTAAAGTTTGGAAGATGTTACTCTTTGAGTCTAAGGAATTGGGATCTATTGACACTTCTAGACTCTCGTTATCATTCTTTACAGAAGCTTCGTCGAGCTGAGAAGCATCACCATTGGCAAGCGAAGACAATATCTTTTCCTCTTTCATCTTCTTCGCTGTATCAGTACCATTAGCATCATTGAGTTCAAATGACTCATTGTTGTTTTCGATACCGTTTAATGAATTAAATGTGTAAACCTGATCATCGATGAAAGCAATTTTCGCTTCTGTGTTATCTCTGAAAAAAGCGTGGAGAGTATCTAGGGCAGCAGCTCTTATATCAAACAAATGGACGGAATTCACATGCAAACACCAGTTAAGTAGAGCGACGGTTATGGGTACAATCGCCTCAAATTTTTGAGCAGTTGATGGTAAACTTGGGTCCAGATACGGAACATCGACTTGAGAAAACTTGAACTGAACGTCGTTGTTGCTTCTGATTACATCAGACACAGTAAGCAAAGATGTGACTCTGACTTGGTTTGGAATGTTGAGCGAGAAAACTAGTTTCAAACACGATAGCATGATACCACTATCAACTATGGCAACCTGAGCACTTGCGATATCCTGGGTATCTTTAACGACAAATAATCTGCACGTCTCCAGTGTGGTGATCAAATTATCTAACCTCTGAGTGTTCCATGTCAATGAGTTGCCCGACAACGATTGGTTGAGCAATTTCACAAGCTGGAAAAAACAATTAGTTTCAATGAAATATTTCTGGTTGGATGAGTTATATTCTAAAAGGTTGGTGATGAGAGAAAGACAATCCTGAACAACAATAGTGCCTTGAATTCCACCTTCATCGTCGATAATTCTGTACAATCTATCGAAAGCATTCTCAAAAACAACCAATTTCTGTAAATTGAAATTGCCCCTTACAATTCCCATCAAAAGTAGAATGGCTTCATTTCGTATTGGCTCGAAGGGGTCATCTAAAACCTGACACAACTTGGATATTGCTGTAGGTGATTTCAGAAATAGCTCTTGTGTTCTTTTTGGTCTAGTAGATGTCAAGGCTTGCAGCAACTGTAGCGAGTATATCTTGGTATGCACATCATCAAACTCTAGTATTTCTATAAGTAATTCTAGGTTCGAGAGGTCTTGGGTTAGTTCATCTGCTATCCATAATGAGAATTGATCTGGCTTAAGATTCTGGATTAAGATCGAGGGAGACGGGTATTTACCATTCTTGACTCGGGATTGAGAATTGATCCAGCTTCTTGTCAAATCGCTATCTCCTTCGCCACGAATGAACAAGATTAGCAAGGTTTCCATTATTGCTTTCACCATATCCAAATCAAAACTGTCTTGGTGGAGTGTGGAGAACAATTGTTTTAGGCCTTTCGCAATGACAATTTCTCTGTACTGCCTGCTGTAGCTTTTCAATGCCAACACGGCGCCACGTCTGTCGGATACAAGAGTCGCATGCGCCAATCGATCCACAACGGTTGTTATATTGTCACTAACTTCTTGCTCAGTTGCACTTTGTGGTGCACTTATGAGATTTTGTATCAGCTCCATCTCGGGAATGAGAGACGTAATTGATAAACAAGAAGCTACAGTCACTCTAGACCCTCAGAATTGTGTGATTGTAAAAGGGCTCTGAAGGATTGGGTCACTAGCTAGTTCGGGGTAGCGTTCCCAGATCGACGTGTTCTACGCATTGAATATGAAAACACGTTTTCATTCATGCTCGAATGGACACACCAAACCGGACTTCAAATTTTAAGTCGATCGACTAAAATTACACGTGACCTCATTTTTTTTTACGTAATGGGCTGAAACCTGACTCTTCGGAGTTCAGCCCGAAGATCGAGCCAGCAAGGAACACGAGGAGGGGCAGAGGGGGCTGGACGACTCAACAAAGAGTGACAGCACCCGTTTAGCCGGGGCTGGGGGGCTTGGACAACTGTGCTCAGCTGGGAGTCGCCAAAAATAGAATAGTGTGTTGTGGTAAATATGAAGCGAATTTGAGCGTGTAGTGACTTCTGAACTGTACACCGGGGACCTGGACTACAAGAATGCGATTATGGTTGTCACCTTAATTGAAGAGCGGGGGATGCTCTCATTGTATAATTGCTCTAACCAGGTGAAGGTCACAGCAATATTTGTTCACGGAAACCAGCTAAATGGCCAGTATTATTGTGGTGTGACACAAATGCCACCGTGCTTAAAGTCGTGTGCCAGCGGGGGAGGGCGGCGAAAAGTAACGTTATCTTGGCGAGGTTGACGTAATAGTAATAGTAATATTTTCGAAACAACCGGAGGGGTTTGACCAGAGGTCACTGAAGGTATGGAAGTTGCAGACGTGTCTCTGAGTCTATCACTCCACAGCGATGACAAAGAGGGGCAATGTTCACATTGTGTAATCACTCCACCCTGTGAATATGAGATCCACGTAGTGTCGCACAAACTGCTTAGAACCCACCTAGAATATTATAAAAAGCAAGAGGACGTAGTATAGGCCCCTCACGATGTTAAAAATCATCAACAGTTTGTCTCATCTAAATGTATCGATCTCGACAAACAATATACAATATCAACTTCCACGACAGTACAATCCAACTAGCCAGGTTTTATCACTGAAACGAAAACCTTCTTTAATCTAAACCATAAAGTAACTGCAAGATGGCAAGAAAGAACCTCAAGCCCGTTCATATGGAACCAGTCCATATCGACCATTTAGAAAAAGCCCCCGCAGTCAGAAACTCCAAAGAAATGGATTTCGACAGCTTGGAGGATTTTGAGAAGTATATCATGGACGAGTCTTGGGACAATGAGTTTGACAATTTGAACATCCACGTTAAGTACCTGCCACCTTTCATTGTCAACCAAACCAAAGGCAATGAAGACAAAATCAAGCCTCAGATGAACTCCTTGAACAAGAAGTTTAGAAGACATTTGCAGCACCACGTCAAAAGACACCTTTTACCAGACATCAACCGGATGGCCGGTATTGATTATGATTTTAGTAAGGACGGAGAAGAGAAGGTGGCCAACCAGTATGGCACCTCTTCTTTTTACAAGTGGCATTTCACCGACGAGACTAATCACGGGTTTGATGAGTCCGAGTACAATTCCAGAAACCACTGGAAGGTTGAAGTTGCCATCGAGTCCAACTCAAACAATCCATGGATTGATGTCACGTACAAATCCGTTGCAGCAAATGATGGTGAGATTTCACCTGCAGACATTGCCTGAACAGTGTTATATTTACTAAATAAGAAAATTTTATGTCCTCACGAATATTTTAACAAAAACTTAACGAACTTTATGACCAGCTGCTGATTTTAATATGTATTTAGTTTTGAGAGTATGTAACTTACAATGCATCGGCAATGACTAGATATATGTTGTCAACCAATTGAGTGGAAAAAACTTTTCACTATCGTTTGTAGATGTAGCAGTAGTTGGTGGGGAAGATGCTTCCAGCGTAACGTGTCCGTAAAAAAATGCTTATGTAAGCAACACCTTTAGAGCCTCCCGGCAGCCAGAGAGACAATCATGTTTGCACATGAAGAGTCGTTAGAGACAGGTTATAGCGGGGTACGTGTACTCTTGATCGTGGTCACAAGAGCCATTCAAATAACAAGGCACCCGAAGCTGCAATGACGTCTGCGGTTCCTTACGACCCAGATGACTTTGATAACAACCCTTTTGCCGAAAGCAGCATCATTTCGCCGGCCTCTTATCGAAATCAAACGCAAGGTCAACTCAACACAGATGAAGTAACAGAAGGAGATGCAGGCGAAAATGCTCCAAGTTCCAAAGCGCATGAAGACAACGAGAATGAACGGGCCAATATCCTGACACAACAAGGATCCCAGCAGCATCAACCTCAGGCGTCTGATGACACAAGTCATTCATCGAACCCTTCAAGCAGCAAAGGAACAACGCCTCAATTTAATGAGTTCCCAACAGAAAGTGATTTGAAGAAGTACTTGCCGGAAAGGCTTCATAAAGACAGTTTTCAGCTAGTTATAAAGATTCAAGAAATTGAAGGCAATGGCAACAACACGCAAAAGAATCCAATTTTCAAATTCAACGCAAAAGTTACTAAGCTATCAGGGTTCCGTAAAGAAACATACAAAAACGTGAGAAGGACCTACAAGGAAATTGAGTCACTTTACAAGTATCTGATTTATAACAACATTGAAGTATTCGTCCCAGCGTTACCTGCTGTCACGTCTTTCTATACTCCTCTATCTCCTGAATTTGTTGCATCTGTAACCAACTCATTTCAGGATTGGTTTAATAGAATTTGCGCAAATCCAATTCTCATCAAAAATAAGGAATTTGCCTTGTTTTTCGAGCAGAATGATTTTGGCTATGTTCCTTCCAAAACTAGACCATCAACAAATTCAGTAATAGCCACAGGTTTAAGGAGAAAAACATTGAAGCAGTTTAACCCACCATATGATGGTTGTGAATATTTAGCTCGATATAGGCCAATGATCAAGGAAGTTCACTTGAGTTCCCAAAAACTTATTGAAAAGCTTGATAAATATCTGAGATATCAAAGACAATCTGCGTATTATAATAACGAGTTTATAAGCCTTTTGAGCGGTCTTGGCAATTTAGAGACGTCTACGGAGATGTCGAAATTATGGAAAAAGTTCAACAAGTTTGCAGGTTTGTTCAATGAAGCTGACTTGATTAAGAATGTTAGCTTCATATCAGAGCTACTCAAGTACTTTAGACAGGTTTGTGATGATACTTACAACATAAAGGAGTCTCTAACTAATAGGCATTTGTTGATGAGAGAGCTAACTACGGCAGAAGAAACAACAAAGAAAAGGCACATGACTATCACAAAGCTAAAAATGAAATCAACAATCGATCCAATCAAAGTTGATGAGGCCATTAGAGCTCTAGAACTATCTAACAACTACGAAAAGGAGTTGAGATATCAAGTCAAAAGAACTACATACGAGATGTTGATCGAGGCCCAAGAGTTTATCAGTTACTTGGTGCAAAGCTGTAAAAGGCTTCTCAAAATTTTAGCCAAGCAGCAGATTTTACAAGAACGCAAAAAGTTAAACTTGTTAATGAACAACAGGCTCATCAGCCAGCAAGATTCACTTGGTCGTTTAGGACGAGAAGACTTGCCTGAAGATGTCATTGGCCATGCCAAGAGTAACTCCATTAACGATTCATGGAACTCAAGGACGAAAAAGAACTATACTGACCCGATTAGTAGAAGTTCTACCCCATCCAAAGATGATACAGCTGAAGAAATTTCCAATGTCGACGCAAAGAGTGCAGCATCTTTGTTGGCAGGCTCTAACTTCTGACCCTATTGAGCTATTGTTATATACTAGCCTTTTTTTGTAATGTGTATGAAATATACTTTTCCTCCATATATGCTGCTGGCTTGTTGGAGATGATAGCATTAAACGGAACTAAACTAAAGTTTTGGCGCGGAATGGATTTTCTCATTTGAAAGGATTTCCCTTATGTTACGACTTGTCTTACTTTAGCCGAAAGCCCGATTATTATACAATATGTTGATGTATTAGTGCCAAGCCAAACCAACATGTTCAAAAAGCCCTCTACCCCTGACCTGAATTTGAATATTAGTCCGCCATGGAGAAAGCGTGCAGAATCAAGGGCAAGTTTGAGTGCAAGTACAACTACAAATAATATCTCAAATGTAATGTATTCCGACGATGCCAGTGCTTCCTTAGATTCGCCCACTGATAGCACTATTAGTGGCTCACGATTATCCATTAAGAACCCGCTGAAATCCATCAAAAAACTAGCTAAAAAAAGTGATGAAGTTGATACCAGGGATTACTACCCGGCAAGTCCAAACTTGAATTTTGGTAACTCTCCAGATAATCAAGCCTTTAATTCTCCAAAAGGTGGCTTGGGTTCGCTGAAAAGTCCTAACCTTTCTTTTCCGAAATTCCGTGCAGGAGAAAACTTGTCGGCAGGTTTGGAAGACATGCCATACGGTATCTACGAATTACAGAAATATGGAATAATCGGAAACGTTCAAACCCTGGCATTCGACCCAATTCAGTCGTTAATGGCTGTAATCACCCACTTCAATCATATTTACATTTTTGGCCAAGCACGTGTGAATGTCTCTTTCACTTTAAACTCTGTGAGCCCCATAAGAGCACTGCGATTTATTAAAGGTATATACCTTATTGCAGTTGATTCGGCTAATAGCATATTTGTCATTTCTCTACTACAGAAAAAAGTGATCCACACCTGTATTGCAAAAATACCAATTACTGCCTTCGCCTGCGATTATTCGTTGGAATTTGTCTTCGTTGGTTTGAAGAATGGCTCTGTCAGAGCATTCAATATAGAGACAGGGCTTGATACTGTTTTGAATTTAAGAGAGCAACAAACGCCAGTGTTCAGATTAGAAGGGGCCTATGAAGTAAGCGCATTAGCTATTCATCCTAGGGATATTGGAACGCTCCTGATATCATATCCTAAGGTAACTGTCATTTACAATCTAGTTGGGAATTCAATTTTGCATAATTTGGTATATAAACTACCAAGAACAGCTCCAGGTGGTGAAAACTCTCTTTATGAATATGGGGCAGACGGTTTTTATTATCCAAAGGTTGTGCATAATCTCTGGCATCCCAATGGATTGCACTGTATTACTGTACATACCGATAACTCCATCGTATTTTGGGATGCTAAAACCGGTGAGAAAATTTTAGCCAGAACATTGTTTGACGTTGATGTAGACGAGCCAACAGGAAAAGCTCAGAAAATAAGCAAACACAGAATGACGAAGATTAAAAACATCAAATGGTTATGCGAAGAGAATCCCGAGAAAACCTCACTTTTAATATTGGGTGGTGACGGTTACTCATCAGATGGATACCATCAATTGGTTAGGATGGATTTCGGTAAGATGATCTCGTATTCTCTTACATCTTACGCTCAGATGGCAAAGTACTATGCTCAACCAAGAGAACAGAGAATTTTCGCCATTCACTCAAAAGCATCAATAGTAGATTTTGTTCCTCTTGGCGAAGCCTCTCCTTACTTCGATGGTTGCCATGATGTCAAATTAATCTCAGTTATTATGAGTGACGGTGCAATCAAGTTTTTACACTATCCAGAAGGCAAGATGACAATGAATGCAAAATATTTCCCATCGACAGTATCATGGTTGAATCCCAAAATCACATGCTCTTCATCATCCTACTTGGATCGTCGTATAATCAACAGCCTGGTTACCATCAGAAGGATAGATCAGCTTCCGGACTCTATATTAAAAGGTGGTATTCCGTGCCATCCCAAATATAAAGCAGATGCTGGATCACTCATTATAACTGGACATGAAAACGGTTTTGTTAGATTATGGGATTCCTCTGAAGGTGAATTGGATAGCACCCGTATTTTTGAGATAGATATTTCAGCTATCATACAAAAGGACGATGAAAGTGTCTCTGTTGTTCATGTTTCATTTGCACCTGAAACATTAGAGGTTGCATGTAGCTTGGCAACTGGTGATGTATTATTGTTTGCCTATCAGGTCAACAAGAATTATCAAGATAAAAAAAATGATCCACATTTGGTTTCTGGCATGGGGAGTCTTTCGTTAGAAAAAAGTGGCAGGGCACTAATAAATATTCAAGACCGTTCTCCTACTCATATTAAGAAAGGATTTATGCCAAAGCTAATGATCAGACCGCTAGATAATGGTCTAGTTACTGCAGTTACTACAAGTAATTTAGGCTTTGTTGCTATCGGATATGAATCTGGAAGGCTATTACTTATTGATCGTCGCAGTGGTGTTGTAATCCATAATGAGTTACTAAGGGATAAGGGTTTATCTATTTCTAGTGAGGCTACTGCAATTGAATTTGGTTACGGTTTACACTCCTCAAGCAAAGATAGGGGAACAATTTTAATGTACGTTGGTACCAAAATCGGAAGACTATTGACGTTTGAGATCACTGGATTACCGGGGAGCTTCAGAGTGAATTTCGTTGAGCAGATCGACTGCAACGATGAGGCGATAGTGTCAATCATAGCGGTAAATTCAGAAAGTGGTAGACCTGCAACTCCAACATTGGAGCATTTGAAACGAGATCTCACGGCTGATAGGTTCTTCCCGTACGTTGTTACTGCCTCCAGGTCTGACATAAGAGTGATCAAAAATAACTCAAAAATTGCGCATAAGACATATAGCAAAGGTGACGTTTCAAAGGTTGGAATAACTGGAGCTAAGACTACATACACTAAAAAGGTGGCTTTTGGTTTGGTTGTCATTTTAGGAGGAAGCAAGCAGCTACTGACGCTGACGATTCCATCTTTGATCGAAATGTCAAGTCTTAGAATTCCATACAGAATAGAGCCAAGATTTGCGACAGAAAGTTCTATATTACCATTAGGTGATGTTTTCCTCCGAATCACCGAGACAGAAGCTGCTTTGATCAACATTATGAAAATCAGAACGCCCATCATGTCACTTGAAACTAGCAGATCTACAGACACATTGTTCCTCAAGAATATTGTTGTCCCTTGGAGACCAGGTTCCAACCCAATGTTAAAAAACACTCCGAGTGTCTCGTATGATCAGCTGTACATTCTCCTAACCGGCCGTGAAAGACGTCCGGACAGCAAATCTGAGGAGGCCAATTTGGCTTGGGAAGTCTCGTGCTATAATCCAGCCAACTACACTTATATTAGTTCAAACAGCCCAATTTATTTCAACCCTAACGCGATCCATCAAAACACACAGTTGATGGAAACCCCTAGGAGAGAAGTAGCTAAGAAGCGTGCGTCTAAGGGTAGCGGCTGGTTGGGAGGTGTTTCACAGTATGCTCAAAATACGCTGGAATCTGCACAAAACAACATGGATACTTATTTGGGCGATTTGAATGATGATTTCGACAAGATGATATCGGATGCCAAAAGCGACGCCATCAAAGGTGTCTTTAATGGTAATTTTTCATGAAATGGCCAATAACTTACCTAGATACTATGGTATAGTACTATATAATGAGATGACGTCTTTTTTTGTTCAGCTTCACGTAAAAGGATGATGGGACGTTCCAAGTCTATTAAGGGGCGCGTCGCTCTACTCGCCTTAAGCGAAATGTCCAGGCTCCGTAGGCCTGGATCTATCTATTCACGCTGTTGCAGATGTGCATGTTCCACCTAAATCCCCTAGCCCTTTGGCGACCAACATTGAAAAGCAAAAGATACACGTTATACAGATTGAAACAAACATGCTAGGGACGCTTGTTTATGGTAAGTAATGTGCCCTTTCAAATCTGGACGACCATCCTCAATCAAAAATAACCCATATGCTGTTCATCATCAAAAGGCAACATACTAACACGTTTCCTCAACTTCGTTGACCTTCATTACAGCTGTGTTGTTTTTCATCAATGGTATCGCAGTTTTGAGTGAAGATAGGTTTTTGGCGAGAGTCGGATGGTCCGCAAAGTCGTCGTCGTCGAACATAAATGGGATGCCGCAACAGCAGTACGGATACGGAGATTTCAACAGTATGTCCTCTGGCTTACCCTCGAGTGGTGGTGAAGGCATCAAGTCCAGACTTATTAACTTGATAAGTGCAACCCGTACGTTATTGCGCATTCCTTTGATTATTGTGAATATCTTGGTCATTGTGTACGAGTTGTTGTTAGGTTAAATACTAGTGAGAAATCATTAGGATCGTTTCATTATGTAAGTACTAATTTTTATGTATAAATAATAAATCATTAAGTGTTGAAGAGAAAACATGAGTTATAACTCGGTCTCCAATAAATTTGTGACCTAAGAATTACTAATCTAAAACCTTCCTTTTCTTTTGTTTTTTATAACATAGTTAAATCCATGGTATGTATGTATCCTTTACCTATATGTTTCTATAAATCTTTTTATGATTCCTGGATCTTTTCTTTCCCAATCAACTAAGCCTTCACCCGTCAATACGTCACCAACTACAAACTTGGGTGCTTTTTCATGCATCTTTACAAACTTAATTATTGAATCATAAATAAGCATGTATTGCCTCAAAGTTTGAACCATGAAAACTCTTTGAGATCTAAACTGTGATGTAATTTCGTAAATCAAATCTTTTGTTTCTTGCTTATGTTCTTTTTCTTCCTTGAACAAAACATCTATGCAGGTGTCAATTACACAAAAACTTCCAGTTCTTCCGCAACCTGCACTGCAATGAACCAAAATAGGAACTGATTCAATATTCAACTGTTTGCAAATAAATCTTTTCATACCTACCAAACTTAGGATATCCTCCTCACAGATCACAATACTGTAATCCGGCCAGCTCACCATATGCAGTTGTAAAACCTCTTTAGGGGGTTTTTCGCCAACAGTGACAAGGATTCTACGAGCAATGCATTTGGCCTCTGTCTTGTACGATAGTTGTAAATCTTCAACCTCTTCAATTAAGTCTACTTTGATCTTGACTCCATTTGAGAAATAAACGCCAGAGTTCCAGAAAGGTGCACATTTCTCGACATGATTTTCAGATTGTGGTGTCAATGAGAAAATAATTGGAACATCGTTGAAGTAAACCACATTCCAGAAATCTCCTATTGTTTCATTCAATGGACCTTGAGTTGCAATGTAATTCAGCTTGGAGTTTGGATAATGAATATAAGAAGCATTGATATAGGAAGCAACGCTATCCAATTCCTTTGATGCTGGATCATATTTCTTCAACTTGACTCTTGCATGTTCATATAAAAATATATCCTTGTATCTATTTTTTCTCCCCAACTCTACCCCAGCAGAAATAACTGGTCGTTCACCTGTGGATTGAGCATTCGCAATATCAGTCTTGGTCAACGCATGATTTAAACGAGCACGCTCTTGAATTTGAAGATTGTTGAACTTTTCGGTCAATACCGAAGAACCCAAGTCATTCCCAATCACCCCTCCCAACCAGTCTGGTAGTGAGTTAACTTCATTCGGGGTTAACATCGTTGATAAATGAATGGAATTATCATTCTTGATCGATAAAACCTCATCATAATTTCTAGTTTTAAAAACAGGGAGATGGGAACAATCGGGTAGCGTAAATCTTGAAAGACCAACAGGTGATTTCATTCTAGACGATGTGATGGAAGTGGATGTGAGCTGGTGCGTAGGGTAGTTCGGAGAAACTAAAGATTGCGGAGAAAGTAACGTGCTGGATGGTGAAAATGTATCTGAATTGATTGAGCTCGAACTCAAGTCATTATCCAACGAAATCAAAGGTTTTTGAAAAGTTGAATTCGTGATTTTATCAGGAAGAAGAGAACGTCTTTCGTTGAAGTTAGTGAAGCCTCCTTCTAAAATATAGAGAGGGGAGTTCCATAAAGGGTGCTGGATGAATTTTCCTGCTAAGTAGAATATGGATGAGGAAATGTCATTCTCGGATGCACTATAATCATCATAGAAAAGGATTGTAGGTAAATTAGCAGGATCCCTTGTGAAATACTTGTTGAAAAGTATCTTCTCTTTGCTGGTTAAGGTCTGGATGCATTTTTCAAGGGTGAAGGTCGATCTCTTCAGCAAGGTTGAGGGTAAACAGATGTTGATTGCACCATTCATGTGAGATTTACAGTAGTCATGGAAAGGTCTGGCATCAATTATCAAAAGGTTTGGCAAGTAGTCTTCACCAAAAAGTTTCCCCCAATCATGGATTGAGTCATCCGCGTTGTCGGGGCTCAACAGTTTGACCATTGATGGCAGTTTCAACTTATTGCTCTTCAACTTATTTGTTTGTCGGAGTGGTAGGAAATCTGCACTTGAATTTTTCAAGCTTGAGCTCAACAAGGGGTGGATCTTTCTAACACTAGAGAAAGATAAGGAAGGGTTTGGGTTTGGGGTTGCCGATTGGGGTATAGATATAGAAGGAGTCAGCACCGAGAAATTGTGTTTAGAATCGACGGGAGCAGAAGGTAACGGCTCGAAATAGGAAGTGTTGTAATTATCAAAGTCATGAAGATGGCTGCCGGTAGGGGGGTTGTTGTTATCAATTGCGCCTAACCCACTGTTGATGTTGATTTTATTGTGTGTGCTGTGTGTAAGAAGACTGCTATTGCTGCTGTTACTATTACTGTTACTGTTATCGCTATTATTGACGCTGTGTTGGGGAAGAGAGGAGTTGGCAGTGTTTTGGTTGGCAATGGTGGTAGCGGTTTTGATAATGCTGTTTTTGCTGTTATTACTACCAGTGTCGAACTTTGACTTTTCTTCCACGATGTCGTCTGGTTTTGTGGAAGATACTGCGTCTACTGATGATGATTTCTCCTCGTTCAAGTCGTTCAACTGGTTGATGGACTTCTTGTCCTGCCTTTTGGACAGCTTGAGGGTGAAATTCTCACTTTTCGTTGTGCGGTGGCCCAAGCCATGGAATTTTGATCTGTTCAATAAGCCACGGTTGGAGAATATCGAGGAGGCCACGGAGTCAAAAGAGGTGTTTTCGCAGTTGTCCGGGTAGCTGTTAAAAGTGGAGGGAGTCGTGTGATCGTCTGCGGTTCGCTCTGCCAAAGTGGATTCGTGTGTGTAGGCTCTGTCACCTTTTCTATAATCCTCTTCGCCTTCCTCTTCCTCCTCATTTATTTTCAAAGACGCCAAAGTCTGAGTTTCGGAGCTTGTGTGCAGGGAAGAGGCTAGGGAGTTTTCTGAGTTGTTGGAAGGGACGCTTGAGGGAACGCTGAAGTTTTCCACTAGGGTTGAATCTGAGTTGAATAGGGAATTGTCTGTTCCTCTCTTGTGTTTGTTTGTGGATGCAAAATTGGATGTTGTGGCTGAGATGGGCGTCGGGGTGGTTGTGGAGAGCGAGGAGTTTGAGTATCTTCTGGGGAGGTAGAGGTTGTCGTCCTTTTTCGATGGGTCGAGGGCGTTCATGTTGAGGTCGAGGTTGAGGCCGAGCTTGTTTTTGGAGTCTGCGTCGGTTGAGGGGATGCATTTGGCGGGTGCGCCGGCGCTGGCGGGTGCGTTGGCGTTGGCGTTGGCGTTTGAGTTCGAGGCGGAGCTCAAGGTGACGTTTGAGGAGCTCGAGCCCGAGTCTGAGCGCTTGACGGTGAAGTAGTCCACTCCGGGCGACATGTGGGATGGCGTGGAAGTGGACGGGGTATTTGACGACAGCGACGCTGCGGGGAACGTGTAGTCCTTGTTGGTGGGGTTCATCATGGTGGATCCTGTGCGTTGGCTTTTTCTTCTTCTTATTTGGTCCTTTCTCCTGTCTGTGTGTCTACTGGGTATAGGTTGAAGTATCTGTCAGAGGAGTGGAAACCTGCAGGGCGGTGCTCTGGGACATATATATCCGTATATATAGTTGGCGTGCTGGCGGCTCTAGCTGGGTGGGTGTGTAGTCGTGCTAAACTGCGAGCCAGAAGGCGTGTGTAGCCAGGAGGAGGTGCTGGCGGACGGAGGTGCTGGCGGACGGAGGAATGCGTTTCCTTGTGGTGCTGCTGCTCGCTGGTGCTGGAGAGAAGAGGGGGGCTCTGAAACAGGTGGCTGGACGACGCACACAGATCCAAGAGAACCTCTAGGTGCAAAAGAGACTTCACCAGAGCTGAGCAGACAAGAATAGGCCTAGCTGCGGGAACACCTCCGATGGACCCCAGTCTAGAATGTCCACGGGCGGCGCTGGCGACGGCGTGCTAGAGAAACAGGGGTGTCTGGGGGCCCGGGACCACAGCAGCACAGACGCACCGGCACTTCGCTTGTCGCCGCCGGCCTCCTGCCGGGGATCAAGATCTCTGAAACACGCCCCGCCTACGGAAACAGAGAAGGAACCGGCAGCAAACGCGGCGCCGCGGCGCCCGGGGCTAATTTTAGAACGGCGCGCGGCCGGTGAAGTAGCGCTGACGTAGTGGCCGGCGGCCGCCGGTGGGAACAGAACCAGACGGGCCGGGCGGCCTGCTGGACCGCCTGCTGGACAGCCAACGTCAGCTGCTTCGCTCCCACAAAAGCACACCCGTGGATAGGATGTCCCCTCCTCCCCCCCGGTCTGCCACTCGCCCCCCTTCCTCCCCCTGCGTACCAGTAATATTTTTAGAAACCCCCCGCCGCCGTCCTCGTCGATAACGGTCGGCGGACGCCCTCGGCGCCGCCTCCGAAGGAATGCGCCTTGCGGCCAGGCGCGGCGGGCCCGCTCTCGAGGATTGGTCCCCCCGGGGAAAAGCGCCCCCACATGCGGCAGAACCGGGCGCGACAGGAGACGGAGCAGCCACAAAGGCGTCGTCGGCTAAGCGCGTCAATGGCAGCACAGCGATCGACAGCTGCAGCAGCAGCGGTCGCTAGCTACAGCAACAGTGCTGTCTACGCAGGAGGCGAGCCGATCGGCGCAAAACGGGCTAAACGGGCTAAACGGGCTAAACAGGCTAAACAGGCTAAACAGACGATGTGCTACTCCGAAGGTGTGTGGGTGTGTGAAGGCCGCTGTGTGCTCGTCGGAGGGACTGGCACAGAACAGGCAGATCCAAGTAGCTGTAGGGTTGCTGAGTCATGAACAGCAGATAGACGTGCTGAGCAAGATGGTAGCCGGAGTTCTGCTGTGGCGTCTACGTCATAGTTTTCGGGGAAGTCGCACAGCGTTTGGCTTTTTCATGAAACTGCATGTTCAGACACAATAGTATCAGAAATGAACAAAGCTGGCACTGCAGTCCGGACTTGAAACCCATCGCACGGTAGTCTGGCCGGAGCAGAGATGTGTGCTGTGAGGAGGAGGGGAGACTGCCAGTGGCGGGGTGCAGCGGGATCTGCAGCGGGATCTGCAGTGCAAAACAGGCATACAACACCGAAACGTGTCGTGCCACGACAATGCCCGCAGACACGGCTCGTGCTTCCCTGTATCTTTTTCCATTTTCGTTACGTATGCTACAAACAACATATCTATAGAACAAACTTGCCGAGCACTCGTTCACTGTTCACGGCAGACACACTGCTGCTGCGGGAGCCGTTTTTCATGCTGCCCATAGCCAGCTTGCCCGAGCCGCTGGTCTCCTTCTCCTGCTCTGCAGCGTCCTGCTCTCCGGGGCCTTGTGCGTCGTCGTCCCCCCCGGCGTCCTCATCGTCACCCTTGTCTTCGTCCTTGTCTTCGTCTTCGTCCTCGTCCTCGTCCTCGTCCTCGCTCGTCTCGTAGATGTAATCGGAGTCGCTGTCGTCGTCGTCGTCCCCCTCGTCGTCGTCGTCGGCTAACAACGAGATGCTGTCTTGGTCCCCGTCACGCACGTCAGCAGCGGTATCGTCGTCTCCGCCTTGTCTGCCGCCTCCGCCAACCGCGTCACCAACACCCGCCTTACTCGGCCTCTCGTCGTCCTCCCTCGCATCAACAGCCCTGTTCTTGTCTGGGGAACTCATTGGAGATCTCATGAAAAAGCTGAACCGGCTTCCAATGCTCTTCGCATCGTCCTTTTCTTCTTCGGATGACCCCTTCGACGAAATAGAACCTCTGCTCTTGACATCTGACCTACTGTCCGCGTCGTTACCTTTGTCCTCGTTTCCCTCCCTCACAATACCACCGTTCTCCGGTTTGCCCGCAGTCTCAACAATTATACTCTGTCCGCTTCTGTTACCATCAACAGCATTCTTCTTCGTCTTCGCGTAAAGCCTGGAGCTAACATCACCCACATCGTCTTCCTCTGCCTCATCACTGTCGTCACTGATCAAAGACAAGTCAATGTCAGGACTTCTCCAGTAGTTGAAATCCGTGTATTTGTTCTTTGCATTACTCATCGACATTTCCATGCTTCCGTCAGTAGCTTTCTTGTCCTTCCCCTGGCCAATATCAACAGGAGGGAAAAATTGATCAACTAACTCGACAATTGAAACATAACTACTTTTGAATCCAGCCAACTCTAATAGTTCCATTTTAACATCTCCCTCGGGATTGATTGTGAAGATCCTTGAGGATGGGACACCAACGCTTCTATAACTGATTGCGTCGGTAATTCTGTTCCCAAACCCAGCATAGAAAGGAGTGTTGCTCTCATCAACAATCGCTGCAAGATGGTCATCATCGAATTCAGGAATTTTTCCGTCTCCTGTTTTCGCTGTAGGGTCTGTATTCGTATTGATGTCAGTAAAATCATCACTATCAAGATCGTTGAATTCCCTTTCGTATAAGCTCTTGCTTTCGGCATCATTCGCCGATTGCAAAACAGAGTCTTCCAAAACATCAGTAATATCTCCTTCTTCCTTTACATCGCCATTATCTGGCTCACCAAATCCAGCCCGTAAACTTCCTGCAATTTCCCCTTCCATTCCTGCCGAATTATCATCAACATTTTCTTCAACCATTTTATCAGGTTTGGGAACTTTATCTAATTTGTCAGTGCCCAACCTATCGTTCAACTCGTTTCTATACTCGTATAGAATATGCTTTTTTTCTTCGTCCAGTATACCTTTTGATTCTGGATAGTATAATGCTCTGATATCATTCAAACAAGCCATTTTGAAAACTTCAGGTTTCTTCAACACAATCTCTCTCCTCAACGCAGCAATTGTTCGATCAGGAGATAGTATGACAGGACCCATAGGTAGTTTATATCCATCTTGTTGAACACCTTGTAAATAGGATCTGGTTGTATCTGCCAAGCCCACAGATCTTGCAGTTAGATACATAATATTGTATCCATTAAATTCAATATCATCGAATAACTTTGCAACACCTTCATGGGTCCAATCACGACCTAGCATAGTCAATACATGGCCCAACGCATCTGATTTGGTGATGGTTCCATCTATATCTGAAATAACAATAGGAGTGGCTCGTTTCCAGAGAAACAGTTTACATGTTACAATGGATTTGCCACTATTGACACTGTATGTTATATCATTCTCACCATCATTCAATAATAAACACTTTAATTGTTCTGAGGTCAACCTCAAACTTTTGAAATGAACATCGTTGGATCTAGTTGTCGATGCAGTTGAAATCGCTCCATCAGTAGATCCGAATGAAGGAATCGAACTTGTACCAGGAGATGATTTAGAAGATAGTGGACGTGATGTTTGCGAGTTCATTACATCGTCGGTAGAAGACTTAGCTGTTGGTAGTGGTGGAAGTAAGATTTCAGATTGTGAATCGGATTCACCAGCATCAGCTTGAAGACTGCTATTATCTGATAAGTTTGCAGATGGAGTCGAAACTATAGAAGCAGAAGATGTTCCTGGTACTGAAGAATCAATGGTACTATTAAGAATTCGGATATTTCCCTTCAAATCTTTGTTCATCATCGATTGGACATCGACATCATCACCAAACTCATCTTCTAAAATTTGCCTTACAAGGGCGTCTGTTCCGTGAACATCTTTATTGTCACTTTTGTAACCATCCATATCTAAAAAGATATCACCGTTGGCTTCAACTTTCGAAGGAATATTCAGCTTCATTGAAATGTGTTTTGCACGCTCTATTGGGGATTTGCATAATCTATCTTTTCTTAGCTTTGCAAGTTCAGAGTCTGATTTAATTGTATTAGTCGACAGTAAGTTGGAATCAGAGGCTCCCTCGCCAATATCTAAATACTCTAAAACGTCGCCACTGCTGTTGGATGGTGACATTCTCGGAGAATCGCTTGGTGAACTCAGAGCGCTAACAACGGGCGACGTTTGTAAGTGTTTGGGAACATATCCGTCTGTTTTAAAAACAAAGAATGCCTCTCCCTCATCGTTTAGTTTCATCGGAATATCTGTTGTTTCTCCGTTAACCACAAACGTAACTTTTTTCTGCGATGGTCGTAGTAATTGAAATTTACCAAACCTAACGTGGAAAGGTGAGCAATGTCTCTCTCCCGCTTCATCTTCAACAACTATAACGTCAATTGCACCAGAAAGTGTAGCAGGATTGATCGAATTCCACGTTTTGGATACAGAGCCGATTGCCCTTCCAAAATATTGCATTTTATTTATTCAGCCTTCGTAATGCGGTAAATTGGAGTGGGATGATCGGGCGTAGGGTACCTGTTTGGATGATATATTCCCAGACAAAGACGCTGGCAAAATTGGTCTAACTGGAGGGCTGAGTGACAATATTCCTGACCAGGTGATTCCAATCAGAGAAGGTTTAACTTGCTTGATCATTCAAGACAGTAGTCCTTTATCGGCTGAACATGTGCCAAGAGAAACTAGAGCAGATCTTCCAGCGCGAGAGACATGTTTGTATCCTCTCACCCCGTTATACGAAGCAAAAGTGGGGGACGGGCTTCCGCTATATTGTGATTTTTCTTAAGGTACCGAGTCGGACACCAGCTCGAAGTACAGGGGAGAATTGCTAAGAATATTGCCAGTGATATAAAACGTGTAATGATCGATGTAAAGAAATAGCAATGGCTGAAAAACCTGTTGCGTTGGTACAAACAACTACTTACGGCGTGTTCGGTGTATCTGTATACGAATAAACCGGCTGACACAGAATAGTAAATTAATGATAATCTTCCCAGAAGACATGTGAAAAAGTACCACCCCAACTCACTCAATCAGTTCAAAATGCGTAAAATCAAAAGAATATAAGGAACACATTACTGCTTACCTATTCATGTTATAAGTCTATATATAAGTATTGGAAAGAGAAGACCACCGATGTTTATAAGCTTTCTCCCATGTGTGACTTTGTTAGATCTTGCAACTGTATCTCAAGCTCTTCTGTTTCAAAGCTTCCCTCACGAGGGTGTTGCAAAGCTGAATCGAATGGTTCATGGTCGGTATCTAGTTCTAAATCCTCCATTTCAAAACTTTTCATGCGCCTACCATTTTCAAGATCTCCACCAATGACTAGTTTCTGATTATCAGTTTGATTTGAATCCAACTTGGAAGGCAAAGAAAGAGAGCCGTCTTCGTCTAATTCTTCAAGATCTACCCAGTGTACCCTCTTCTTCTTGCTGTTCTTCCCTTTACCTTTCCCACCAGTACCACTTACCCATTCGTATGCATACCGACCATAGGTCGATGGCTTATGCGCTCCCGCGAGTGCTGAGTATCTTGATGGTTTCCTGGTCGAGACCCTAAAGAAGTAAAGAGCAAGTACAGCTAGCACGATAATCAGAAGGAATAGTGCTAGCAGACGTTTTGATGATTTAGTGGTTGTAGTAGAATGGTCACTGTTATTTGAATCTGGGTTTGATTCCGCTTGCTGCTTTGCTTCTTCCTCCTTCTGCTGTTCAGCTAGCTCTAGCTGACGTTTCTTTTCAGGACTCGAGTACGTCTTCACTTCGCTTTGTTGTCCCTCGGAAGAATCACGTAGTGAAAGATTTACAATTCCAATGCTGGGACCACTTACGTCATAGGCAACCATATGGCTGGCATTATCCACCTTAATGTAAGTCAAATTTCCACGTTGCCAAAAAGATCCAACCTCCGCTTCGTCATGAAGCCACTTGGAATCCATTTTAAATTTATCAACTTCTCTTTTCATCAGCCGATGTGGCTCGGACAAAGACTTCAATAGGATTTGGTAGCCATGTTCTTGCAAATATGGACTGAGATATTCACGCATGACCATTTCGGAACCCAAATAATTGCAAATCAGATCACTTGTCCCACTAAATAAATTCACCTTGACACCATCCATGAGAAGTCCGTTCAATAGACTTGCACCCTTGACACTATCGGATGGATTGTAGTGAGAACTAACATCATTATCACATTCTCTCCACACACTTGAATCGTGATCTCCACTGAACACATGCAATGCATTTTGTACACCTTGTAGGTTCAGAAAGCTCGTCACGTCAGGTAGAATTTCAGGCCAATTATTACCGCATGCAGGATATGAGTCGGTCTTTCTGATATCGTAAACATTGATACACTTGTTTTTGTTTTTCTTGTATAGTCTTAACAAATTCATGATAATCGACTCACACTTTTCATCTTCGAATTTCTCTTTGCCGACTAAAGTATTTCGAACGTTCTGACATGACTCCTGATTCTCTAGCATTACCGTAATTTTCCTCGAATCTTCTTGCAACGTCGGGTCAACTATGCCATTATCTATTGCAAATGGTAAGTAGGACAATGCTTGTAAGTTTGGATCCAACCAGGCGTTACCAAGCAGAAGGGCCTCCAATTTGTCGGTGAATTTCGGAGAGTCTTTCATCAGTCTTGCTAGGTGAGGAATGTATTGGCCGGCATATGATTCTCCAGCTAGAATTATGGAATCGTATTTGTCATAGTCTGATGCAAAAATTTCAAAGTACTTTTCGACAAAGGTGAATAAATGACTTGAGGACTCTTGTAGGTTTGTGTCATAATTGTCGCCTGAATTTCGACTTGAGAAACCCGTACCTAATGGCTGGTCTATGAAAACCAAGTCCCCCACATTGAGCCATCCCTCATTCCAAATCACCGAAGTTTTATTGTGTACACGTAAAGGTCCGACTTCCATCAAGGCGCCATCCATAGATGAGCAGCCTGGTCCACCGTTGAGCCATATAATCAATGGCCTGGTCCGGCCAGTGCTGTAAGTCTCATTCACTGATTGGAAACTCCAGAAGTAAAGCGACGATTGATCCTCGGTGACAGGTATGTGTCCTGCATGCATTGTAAGTATGTCATTCCAAGACTCCTGGAATCCAGGTATCAGACTTGAGTCAATCATAAACTCGTTATTTTCATTGGAGGTTGCACGGACGTGCAGGTTGGGTATATATGCAGCTGAAGTGAGAGACGAGAACAGTATCCAAAAACAGATCCAAGTTTTGCAGATCTGAAGCATGTGTGCAAATGTGTACTATGTGTACTACGTAGTTGAACAAAAAATGTGTAGTGTTTATGGCTGTATGCCCAAAGTGTAAACGTTGAACAGAAGGAGGTTCAAAAAGGCCGAAGAGTGGAAAAGCTGGCAATGGGTGTTAACAGCCAACGTGTTCATATGAATGTTAATGGATATGCCACTTTATGAACAGCACTGTCTGGTGTGTTTGTATGTGGCTCTATATATTAGACTGTCTATACAAAGAGAATGCGGTGCGCAGGGCAAACGAACAGGAAGCCTGTGGTAAGCCATCCTGGAGAACGTGCAGAATAATTCTTCTCTGCTAGGAGACAAACAAGGCTACGTTGCGCACCGTGAGAGATTTGACCATTTCTGTCGCAGCCTCTTCAACACTAGCCACAGAGACCTTCTCTTCCGGCCCGGTCACGTGCTTGTTGAAGGTTATCAACACGTCCGTGGAGGCAGGGGCCCGGAGACGGAGGAGGGCTATAGTGATGATGACGCTTTCGGTGTCCTGCTGCTTGCCGAACTTGGGAACCTGCTGTTCGAAGACCCTCACTCCACAGAGTGCCGCCAGCGGGTCGCCCGAACGGACCTCGTGCTGGCTCAGCACCTTGGTCTGGCCGACTACGGCGCTGTTTAGACGGGTGATCTCCTGCATGTGCTCGTCCAGGGCTTCTGTTACAGTGTTTCCGGGGACACACTCAAGGAGGTCGACGATGACAGAGTAGTCCGGGTTTTCCCTTCCGACATAGACTTCCTGTGTGTCCGGCACCTGTCGGAATTCTGACGCATCGACCATGTCTGCCGGGACGCTCATCGTGATGGCGCCACCATAAAGCTGTTTGGTTGTGAACTCAGCTGCCATTGTGTGTCTGCTAGTCGAGCGGTTGCTGCTGGAAAGATCGTACTGCTCCGGAAGCTTGTCTGAACCCACCTCCCGATGTGCTATAAAAGGCGAAAAAATGCAGACCTCAAAAGTTAATGAGCCTTATTATCCAACAACCTCAAAAAATGACGTATCACGACACAACGTTTAGTCGTATGGCGTTTTGACGCGAAACGGCGTGGAGAGCGTAGGAGACGCGTTCCACATAAAACCCACCTTTCTCCAGTTACTTAGTTGTGGATTGTTTCTCCGTTGTTTGACTCTGTTGGTGTGAAAATAACTAGGAAGCAAAGTTCTGCAACTAACTTATTTGAAAAAATGACTCAGGAACAACACCAAGAAAAAAAAGTCCAAGTGGCTTCTACTCAAGAACCTTTGAGGGTCCATCTTCTTTCCGCAGACGGAAAACCACCTTCTAGAGGCTCTCCAGATGCCGCTGGATACGACATTTATGCATCTGAGGCTACTGTGATCCCAGCTAACGGTAGAGCAATGGTATCGACTGCTCTGGCCATTATCTGTCCCTTGGGGACCTATGGAAGAGTGGCTCCACGTTCAGGTTTGGCTGTCAAACACGGCATCTCAACGGGAGCTGGTGTCATTGATGCAGACTACAGAGGTGAAGTGAAGGTGCTTCTGTTTAACCACAACAGCCAGGACTTCCAGGTTGAAAAAGGAGACAGAATAGCACAATTGATTTTGGAAAGAATCTACACTCCCGAAATACAAGTCCTCGACACTTCCACTTGGGAAGTTGAAAAGGTCACTCAAAGGGGTGCCGGTGGCTTTGGGTCCACTGGCAAGAACTGAGATACATCACTCTAAAACACCAATAAGTTTATGCTCTTGCAAACGAAATGATCAGTAGTTAGATCGGAAAAATGTAGATCATTCTATATAAATAAATAAGAGAAAAAAAATACGAAAATTATATTAATACCCACTTGACCACTCCTATGGTGGTCTTCACACCCCACTTACACCATAGCCAGAATTCGACAATAATCCAGATAAGCCATAGTAAGCATACAATAGAGGCTTCAGCAACCTTGTACAAATACTGAACAAGCACTTTGTTTTCTGACTGTACAGACATGCCATCTGCTCTTTCATTCAGATTCCGGATCTTAAGAGCTATACTTGTGTTGATTTCACCATTGGTACGATCACAATAACCAAGGAGTTCCTCAATCTTGTTGGCACGGATTCCTGTAAAAGACCGGTGTTTTTCGACTTCTCCTTCCACAGCTTCCACCATTTCTAATAGCTTGGAATACTTCACTATGCTCTCATTTTCCAAGCTCTCAATCTCTTCAACCTTCTTGCTCAGCTTATCCTTGTTTTTGGTCAGTTTCTCATGGACTGTAAATTCCTTTATGAGCAATTCGTACTTGTTACTTTCGATATAGCCACTGATACTTCTGGTCAGGCGTAAAAATTCGAGAACTTCATCCATGGCATCGTAAAATCCAACATCGCTAGCCAAACTAGAGCATGCATCGGTTTTATAAGAAACAGAATTGCTGTTCGACCCATGTCCGCTTCCAACTCCAACATTATCGTCCAAACTGGAGTGTCCAGCAGATTTTTCAACCCGAATGACCGGCATACCCAACTCATTAACTTTGTTTGGACTCGATGTGATGGTGCTACTCTTTTTCTTGTAGTGTTTGAATCTGGCTACAGATGCAAGGTTTTCATTCTTTCTTCTCAATGATCCAGTTCGATCCTTTTCTTTCTCTTTATCTTTCTCTTTGTCATAATCTTTATCCAAATCTTTGATCTTTTCTCTCTCCCTATCTGAATCCCTGTCTTTATCTCTTGATTCAATCTTGATTTTCTCTTTAGAGGTGTCTTTTGTTTGTCTAGTTTTTTTATCGCTCTTTGAAGATCCAGACCCAGATCCCGATCCCGATCCCGATCCTGAACTGGAGTGATCATCATCTTCTTTTTTATATTGCTTCTTCTTTCCATGCTTCACTACTTCGCGTCCTTCTCCAGTGGCACCATCATCTACAAACAACAAGTCATGAATTTTGCGAATCTTATGCTCACTATCATCGCTACCATCCTTGCTATCTTCACTTCTTGAGTTGTTCATATGATTTGAATTTGCTCCACTATTTAGCTTATGATTACTGGCTTCATTGGAGTGCTTTGGAAACCATCTTCTTCCAGAAGGATCTCTTAATTCATTCCATTTCCCTTCCCTCCAAGCAAGATCCCCAATTATTTCATGCAGGCCTATTTGCCAAATCAATCTCTGCTTGGAATGCCTACTAAACACTCGACTCGCCACCTTCACCTTTCTCCAATCATGATGGAAAAAATTGCTTGCTTCAGCAGACAAAATTCCCAAACCTGCATTCTCTGTAGCACTATGCCAAGAGGTCACCACTCCCAGTGGAAGTGGCAGTGACGTAGTAGTTACGCAAGTCAAGTTCGTAAGTGAGTCATTCAAACTGTATAATCCACTCACTCCAACTTTTTGGCCGTGCATTGTAAGCTTTTTTAGCTTCTCACCAGTACGCATTCTAACCCTTCGATTTCTCATGATCTGTAGCGGGTTCCAAACTCCTTCAACACTTGGATACATTGTATCAGCACTATTTTCCCTTGGATGGTGTATTTTTTGATATTCTTGTATATACGCATAATAGGTAGTCAAATAAGCCCCAACGTGCTTTGCCCTATTCATAATCTTAGAATAGTGTTTCATGCTCATTGTAGGATGTTTTTCAAAAAGCACTTGATTCATTTCGAGAGGCTTATTGGAAGAGGAAAGCGTATTTCTCTTGTTCCTGTTCAAGCTCAAACTGTTGTTTTTCCCATTCGGCATGTTCGTCAAAACACTGTAATCTGATTGGGAAGGAACCATTAACTGAGGTTGCGGAGTAATATCGGGTGACATAGATCTCCCATTAACGCTATTTTCTGACGGGTCAACACTATCACTTTCAGCAGGAATAAATGTGGAAACGGGATCTGCAGCAGTTGGACTCATATGTAAGTCATCCATTAGTTTAATTCTATGGTTGAGTAAACTGTTTGCTTCTGAAATGAAAAAATCTGGTGATTTATGAGGATGGGTGTTGCTATTATTATTTTCATAGTCGTAACCATAATCTGTCTGCTTTTGTTCTTGAACATCTGTGAAAACTTCTGGAGATTGTCCTATGCTGAGCTTATTGATGTCTTTATCTTTATTTATTGCTTCTGTATTATGCTTGTAGATGAACTGCGGATCTTGATCTGCTAACGTTTCTGAACCTTGTGATAGTTGTTTTATTCTCACAACGTTTTCATTGATCTCACCATCCCCGACCCGACTTTCATTATGTTTTTCTGCCTCAAACTCCCCTTCAACGTTTTCTGTGATATTTGGGATGTTGCTTTCGTTGATCCCACTTTTAGAAGGATTATCACTGAAATGCTCGGTAGCGATCTTAGAGGTTTTCTCTTCGGAATCAGAGCCACTACTGGAGTAACTTTCAGAGCCACCGCTGCTAGTCTGACTACTACTTCGGCTGCTGTCACTGTCGCTTCGCCGGTCATTTTCATCTCCAAACAAGGTGTTGATACGAGACAGGTTTTTTTGTAACTTTGGACTATAAACACCTGCACTTGGGCGGATGGTTGGTAGATCTACTGTGACAGAAAAGCCTGAGGACTTGGAACTTATTCGGGACTTCGGGGAGCGAAGTAACCCAATATTTGTTCCACTTGAAGAGCCAATTGTATTTCCAATAACTGAGCCGGATCCTGATCCTAGTTCCATGCTTGCGCTCGACAGTTTACCTCCAAGCCCCGAACCGTTGGTGGAATGTCGAAGTTTTTCGGATAAACGTAAATACGACTTCTCACCACTATCTCTATTGGCAGAAGAAACTGTCCTTGAAATGGATTGGCTTGGAACATTTTTGTTGACGCTGGTACTGCTTTTGCCGTGGTTATTATTGCCAGTGTTATCGTCGTCGTTGGTATTTGCAGCACCATTATTGTTTGTGGCTTTGTGTTTTGCTCCGATTCGATGAATGGATGGAAAAGAGGGCAAATGCACCCTGGTATCCATCTTTTTGCTGGTATTACCTGCACCGGTGCTGTGAGGGCTCTTTAAATCTGGTAAGAAGAAGGTTATTTTTGAACAACTGATGGGTGATTTGGCTTCTTCTTTGCAAGGATCACAAGATCTCCTGTGAACAGATTAAGCCCCAAACCGGTACCAATTCCCGCTCACCGTTTTTTCCCGCTGACGTAAGGAGGCGGAGATGCAACACATGTTTGTTTCAAGGTTGCAACTGAAGGGCCTGCTCTATATGATCATGGCTGAAACAGCAAGGTCACCCCTAAAATAGCAACACCCGTATTGTCAAGAGACAAAGAATCCATTACTCATACATGTCGTACTACTTTGTTATCCTTGGAAGTACGAATGAACCGTTGTACGAGCTGGACATTGGAACATACAGACAGAACGGTGATGGATCAATCAACTTTCCTGCTGAAATCAACGAGTTGAAACAGTTCATAGCCAATGCGTCATTGGATATTCTTGAGAATGTGCAATTCAAGTCCAATCAAATTTTTTTTAAAAATATAGATTCATTCTATGGATACTCGATAGACATCTACTTGACGCAAGGCAATACTAAGTTTGTTATCTTGACAAATTGCAAAAATTATGATGAAAGCATCCGACAATTCTGCATCGAAATAAACGAGATTTATGTCAAGAAAATTCTTTCCCCCTTCTATGACAGCAATACACCAATACGGTCTAAGGTGTTTGATGCCAAAGTGAGACAGCTTGTCAAAAAATATTTATAGTCAATCTGATTTATGTATATATACGAAACTTATTAGCCCGGCTTATGTGGATAGGAAAAAATAATGGTACTATTTGGTTTGATTTCTAATTAACGTTATCACAGCTAATATACATTTACAGGAATAGTACAAAATTAATAACAACAATATAATAATACAGTATTTCTACAGTTATGCCTTGCGCAACAAGTCCAGTGCATCAATTCGGCTCTGCTTCTTGATCTGCTGTGCGACCAGCTCATTCTTTTGATTCATTATCCGCTGAATCAGTTCGTTGCTAACCTGCAAGCGGTGGACGAGACGTTCGAGCTTATTCACACGCCCACCGGAAATCTCAACGAGATCTTGCAGTTTCTTGTTCTCTTCAGGTTTAAACCTTTCATCCGTCACAACGCTAGGTTGAGCTGACTGTATTTCCTTCAGAATTAGATCGTGCTCGGTACTCATATTCTTCACTTTCAGCTCCTGCCAAATCTTCTCCTCTCTCTCTAATTTCTTGGCCTCGTTTTCGTAAAAAGCCAATTTGTCTTCATTTTCCACATTCTCTTTATTTTTGTGGACAATAATAGGCTCATTTGCAACTCTGACAGTTTTAGTGCTTCCCCACCAATCAACATCAACTCGTCCCTGAATTAGATCGTTTACAAATTCTTCTAAAATTATTTGACAAATCATTTTTGCTTTTATCTTCACGTCATCGTCTTGCTCGTTCTCGAACTCATCACCCCAGCCTTGCTTTATTAATCTTTTACCCAACCACACGAGTAGCTGTTTGAGCTTATGGGAGTCTGGCAAGGACATATCTATATGTTTATGCAACTCATTATTTGGAATATCATCGTGCGGAGTTGCAACAAACCCATTACCAACCGATGATAGCCTTCTACCACGAGCTGTAAGGGAAGATCTGCGCAGCTTTATGTTACTGTTTGAAGTATCTTCGACGGTGTCTTTCAAAGGAATAATGATAGTCTCCACCTTTTTACTCATGATTGAAGAGGTTGACTCTTTGATTTTTTCCAACATTTCTAACTTCTTAGCCTTCTTTTGCTTTTCTGCCTGCTTCTTACGTTTGGTTTCTCTGAGCTTCTGCCTTTCCTCTTCTGCTTCGAGTTTTTCCTGTTCTACTCTTGCTTCACGTTCTTGCCGCAGACGTTCCTTTTCTTCTTTTTCGTGCTTGGCTATCTCTGCGAGAATTTCTCGTCGTTCTTGCTCTTTCAAACGCTCCACCTCCTGTTCAGCTATTTTCTTCTTTTCTTCAGAATCTCTTTCGCTAATATCCAGCGTGAATATGGGTTCTTTGCTCTCACTAGACTTCAAATTTTTCCGTTTTCTGCCTCTTTTGACAGGAGATTCAAGGACAAACACATCATCACTGTTTTTGGCAGCATCGTAACCACTATAAGAGCCATTGATTTCTTGCTCTTCCTCGCTCGTCCTTTGGTTATCATCAAAATCCAACACTTCAAATAAGGAAAAGGAGGAAGAAGTATCTTTTTTCGGCTTTTTGGCTTTCTTTGTGGGTTTTAAGACTTCCATTTTGTTGCCCTTTGAACGAGGCTTTTTAGGCGCAGCCGGCTTCTCATCACTCTGTTCATCTTCTGCTTGCACTTTCCTCTTCCTGGTCGTCACCTTTAAAGGCTCTTTCTTTTGCTTGCTTGGTTCTTTCTTTTTTGGCACGTCCTTCTTGATCACATCAGCCTGCGATTTAGGTTGGTTTTTTCTCGGACGTCCTCTTTTCTTCACGGGAGCTGGTGGAGGAGAAGCAGGCGACGGAGAGGGAAGTGTGGGCACTGCTGGTGACAGTTCCTTAGCCGGGGACGAGGAGGGATATAATTGTGGGTTGGGATCTTCAATCTTGGTTGCTTTATCACGTAAGAGGTTATCCCTCTCGAGAGCTTTTGCCTTTTCCTTTTGCTTGTGTATTTCCCGCTGACGCTCTTTCTTTTTCTTTAGCTGTTCTTCTATATTCAAATCAGGGAAAAGCTCATCTTGGCCATTGTCATCAAACAAGCTCTCTGTCTTCCAATTGTTGTTCGAGTTTGAGTTCCCATTGAAGCTCGAGTTTGTCGAATACCCGCTGTAGTTTGACGGATTCTTCATTTTCCCCAGGATTTTCGAGATATCCAAGGATTTTACAAGTGGAGACTTCTCTGGAAGTTTTGAGATTTCGTCTTCCACATCCACTTCATCGTTGCGGCCTTTCTTGGTCTTCCCGCCAGTTGTGCTTGAGTCAGAGACTTTGGAGGATGCGTTTTTTTTTCGGGTGAGTTTGATGATCCGTCGAGAAACGACTGGAGTCTCCGGGAGGTCCTCGTAGTCAGAAGCCATGGCCAAGAGTGAAATTTGTCACTGCGGGCCTGTTGCTCTTTTCCACTCAAGTTAAAACGGCAAAAACACGGGTGAAACAAACCATGTTGTAGGAGATCTACAAGAAACGTAAACAGGGAAAAAGAAAAATGCGATTCTGATGTTGTGGCGGTGCAGCTGAATGAAGACGTGGCGCGTGCAGGTCCCGGATGGAGGAGCATGATGTTGAATAATGGAGGATAAAGTTTTGGGGAAAGACAAGGAAAGATAGGAGGAGGGAGAAGGCGGAGAAAAGGGAGAAGGAGCCGAAAGTGCATACACAGTATTAACAGAAAAGATGTCATCACCTACTATGCTCATGCTCAAGCAGACTGCAATCTGGGGAGGAGGAATAGTTGGACTAGGAGTGTTTTTGTTCAAGTTCACCGTGCCTACCGAAGAGGAGCTCTTGCAAAAGATGTCGCCTGAGATAAGGGCCCAGGTGGAGCGGAACCGAGAGTTGAGACAGCAGGAGCAGGCGATGTTGATGGAGATAGTGAAGAAGACCGCTGACAGTGACCAGCCGATCTGGAAGACTGGCGAGTTGTACAACCCCTGGGAGGGGACCGGAAGCAAGCTTCTCCTGGACAAGGTGAACTTCGAGAAGGAGCAGGCTGCAAACAAGCTCAAGAGCGAGCTCGAGGCGTTGAAAGAACAGCAGAAGAAGCTCAAGTGATATCACGCAGTGGCTTTCCCCCGTTTCTTGTATATAGACAGACAATGAGGCGTCAAGCAGGCTTTACGCAGGCTTTACGACTATACACGTTCTGCTGGGCTTATGCGAGCGCCTGCTTGGTTTTGATTCCACCTTTTATTATTCTCTTTCGACCCTTCTTCTTTATATTTTGTATAGTATACACTCGGACGGCTACATTTCTCGAGAGAGACAGCTCACGCTGCTGCTGCTGCTGCCGCGTCTTCAAGTGATCGGCCACCTGCTGAAGAAGGAGGACCGCACCCGGGGACTCGGCGTCGACGAGGACGACGTGGCTGCCAAGGAGCCAGCGATGCCTAAGGAGTCCTCGTTGTTCATCGCGTCAATTGCCGTGATGATCTTGGTGATGTTGGTGTCGATCACCATTCCGCCCTGGATCATCTCCTCAAGCGCTATCTGCAGCACCTGCCAATGAAAGACTAAGTCGAGCTCGCACACGTCTTTGAAGCACCGGTTCAACACCTGAACAAAGACTTGGATGAGGTCCAAGATACCCAACTCGCTCTCGTTCTGGTCGACGATGAAGACAAAGTAGAGCGTGGCGTAGTGTCTGTAGATGATGCGAATGTCCTTCGAGTCGGTCGAGTAGGTCTGCTGGAGAAGCGGCGGGATTGTGAGGAACGAAGACTGCTGCTCTGTCCGCTGTCTTACTAGCTGATGCACCTGTGTGAGTAACAGCTGCTGGTGGTGCACCGGGAGCGGCGAGTAGAACCGCACGAGCCGGGGTTGCCCGTCGTTGTTGAAGATCAGAATCGAGTGAATCATATTTGCCTCTGTCTCTGTCTTTCTAGCCTCTTCGCCTTCAGTTGCCGCCCGCTTGTCTTTCGTCCCCTCTTGGCTGCCCGTCTTTCTCTCCGTCAACTCGACAGGACCATAAATAGAAGCCACGATCTCCGGCTCGCCTGCTCGATCGGGCAATTTCACTGCCCGCTTCTTTTTCCCCTGGCCCTCAGCCTCCTCTAGTAAAATTCGAGCCCAAACATGCCAACCAGGGTATAGGCGGCGGCTCTGTTCAGAAAGCCAGGGTCTGGGGGTTGTGCTCTATTTTGGGTAGTAGTTTCAGACACAAGACTCCGGTGGACAATTGAAGGCAGCAAGGTTTAATACTCATCTGCATAGCGACAATGGGGTTTTTGAAACTTTTCAAGAAAAAGGAGAAGAAAGATTCTGTTGAACCGGCACAACAGAAGACCGGCTCCAAGATTGAGAAGGGCGATCCATCCAGCAGGGCTGTACAGAAGGCTAGCGGAAGCAATTCTCAGAAAACAGGTGCTGAAGCACTGCGCAACGGCGGTGGAAGCGAGGTTGCTGGTAGCAGAACCATTGGACCGGACTTGTCCGTTGGAGGTTTCGACACTTTTGCTTCCGGAGCCAACACGTCCAGCTCGAACAGCGGCAGCATCTCTAAGACCGACTTTGTACCGCCTGCGAGCTCGGCGACAACTCAATCATCCCGCAAGAGTTCTGTTTCCGCTTCGTTGAAGAAGGACAACACTGACAAAAGAAAAAGCTCGTTCGGGATTTTGCGCAAACCGTCGTTCAACCACAGCGCTCCAATCACCGAAAACAACACCCCAATCAATGCACACAAGGTCTCGGACTTGCCAGACGAGCTTCTACCTGTTGTCACCTTGATCAATCACCAGCAGTCGAGATCCTACTTCAAGGGGAACTCCTTCTTTTATGACTCGACACAGGCTCAGCCGATCTTGAATCCTGTCGAATTGGTCTCGAACGCCACGACTCCCGTTTCTCTGTTGACAGCTTCGTTCAACTGGGCGCCAGCCTACGTGGAGCTGAACGGTAACGATATCACGGTTGAACTAGAGAACTCTCCGACAACCATCATCAATATCTGCGACTGCGAGTTGACATACAATGGCGATGACATCATACTGACAGTGTTGATTACCAACCATTCACTCATGTATTTTCAATTTAACACGTTAGATGAACTAAACAGCTTTTATTCTGCAGTATTATTGTGCAAGTTTGAGTACCAACAGTTGCAGGAGGCATACACCGGTGCGTTGCTATCCTCTCAAGCCATTCACTTCTCGGACATTAGAACCCTTCTTTCTCCGCATAACAAAAACGTCAAGGAGGAATGGTGTGTCGTTAGATTCCCTTTCTTGAATGATAAATGGATCCGATGCTACTTGGTTGTGCAGCCGCACAACAAGATTGAGATCTACACCCACTCATCTAAGGCGAGGAAGTACTTGCTCTCGACAATCACTAATGGGTTGTCTTGTTATACAATCTACCCAAACGATCCTTCGCAAGTGCAGAACAATTCGTTGCTGAGATTGTATGCAAACTGTTATATCAATTCAGATCTGTTGGAGGTCATCTTGAACGACGACACCATCAGCTCTACTGACGAAAATATATCTTTGATGAATAAAAAGAGTGTGAAAACCAGATCATCTAGGTCTAGATCAAACTCGAGATCTAGAAACAACTCGTTCAATAGAAGACTTTCTCAGGTATCTTTGAGATCCTCTCGTTCCCACGACTCCAACTTGTCTTCTTCAAACGAAAGCTCCAACCTCAGCTCCTCCCACCAACATCACCAAAGAATCAGCTCAGTTGATACCACTATTTCGGATTCCTCGTTTACAAACGCTAAAACCCCGAAGAAGTTGAGCAAAAAGTCGATCGCTAAAACCCATCTGATTTACATCATTCCCGAATCCCACGCCAGTGTTAAGCCCTGCGAGATTTCCTTGAGATTGCTCATTCCAATTCTCAACTCGTACAAGTTGTATGGTCGTCCAGCTAAATTTATCTCCTCCAGAACAGATAAAAACTCCCTTCTTTTTGGACTGCCCCAACTACCCAACACCTACTATCTCAATGAGAAGTCATCTTTGGATTTGATCAATCTTAACATTGGCAATTCCCTCAGGGAAAAGTGGAGCGCCCACGACTGGTACATGATCTACAAAGAGCTTATGAGTGCTCTTTTGAGTAAAGGCTGGAAAGGTGGTTCTTACCAGGGCGACCTGGTCAACATGAACTTTAGCCTGGATATGGACAGATCTCCAAGTCAGTTTGACTTCGAAGACGATACTTACGATCCTATGGAAGACTTTGTGGCTGCTGCTTCCAGTAGTGCCAACCGATCAGTCTCCGTCCCTGTTTCTCTGGTCAATGAGTGATCAGCCTATTGTACATGAATACTTTACCATTTCTTTACTGTTTTATTTTTCTTCCTACGATCGATCTTGCATTCTAGTTTTTTTTCTTATTTCCAGTTTCAATCCGTCCTTATTTACTGTTATACTTTGTTTGCATTCAAAGCTCTCACGTTTATTTTTGATGAAGCACCACAAGGCTTTTCCCCTCTATCGCTTTCTACATGTTGTATCCCGGGTGTATTGTAATGGCTTCTGATAGTTCACTTTTACCGGCTTCCCCATTAGGCAAATTAGCGCTGCGCCCCTCAAACAGTAGCCGAGCAGTGAAACATCGCATTATTATTGTGGCTATTGTGAAGTCACCACAGTTTAGACGGAGTTTTGCTGCAAGGTTGTTGTCAACCACCAACCGCCAGCTGACTGATGCCGGAGCAAACTGTACAACAATGGATAGTAAATTATACACTCGTTTGAAAGTCTATGAGTTTCAGGAAGAGATCCGCTCGTACAATGATTCAGGAACCACCAGGCCACCACTATCCATTTTGAAGAAAATTATAGCCAACTTGACTGTTGGAAATACACAATTGATTGCATACAACGATATCTTTGCGTTTGTATGTAGAATCACACTACAGTTTGGCGATCAGAATGAGGGAGTAAAGAAGCTGGGGATGCTGATTTTGGAAATGTTCATGTCCACTGCCTACAAAAGCGCTAGAAGCGGAAAAAGCGGTACCGGAGCCAAAGACGTGGATTTAGACTCGGTGTTGAGCCAGCTATTACCCTATTTAGTTAGGGATGCAGGAGATGCAAACGGGGATGTAAACGCATTACGCATTCTTGGGGCTGTCGACTCAGGATTTATGAGTACGAAGATGTTTTCAAACTACACTAACCAGCTCTGGGTTTTGGCCAATGAGAAATTGAGTTCCGACAATGAGGAAGAAGTCCGTATCGAATTTATCCATGTAACGATTCGTTTGATACAGAAGATTGCGAAAAGCGAGGCCGATAAGGAGATGGCGGAAGATAAGATAAAAGTGATATTCAGCAAATTAGTCAACATTTTGAACAAATTTGACAACATTCAGATTCTTAGTAGTGTTGCCGAGACCATGCTTGATTTGACGCTCACAAACAAATATCCGTATCTAAGGATCCAGCTGACCATGCACCAGGTGTCCAAACTAATATCAGTGATTACCCAGTTGAGGTCGAAACCTGTTTTCAATAAGGCGGAGTTTGGCCGGGTTGCTCCTATATTAGCGCTACTCACGAAGTACAAGATTGATGATGCCAACAAGACTATCAGCAAGGATGTCATCACTTGTGTGAGGCCGTTCATGAGTGGTACCAACTTGTCTGTCGTCATGAACTCCATCAAATGCGTTATATATTACCTTGGGGACACCCATGACGAGAATTTCAACGGTAAGGTCATTGTCGAAATTGTCAAGGTTTTTTGCAGACTGTTTGAGTTCGAGGACGGGAAAATGGTACGGGAAAACAGGACAGTTTTCTTCAACTGCTTGAGAAACCTAATCTTAGTTGTGATCAAGTACGGCGACGAGATCCACAGGAAGAACGGAGACATTTTCAAGAACCTGATCCAGAACTACGTCTGTGTCCACGAGGAAGTCGACACCGAGACATACATCATCGATTCGAAGCTCGAGCTCTTGTACTTGCTGTCCATCAAGGGGATAGAAGACGAGATGGTCATTCGGATACTACTTCCGCTAGTGAGGTCGGCCAACCCGGACGTCTCGTACAAGGCAATCCGCACGATAGGCAATCTTGCCGTGAGAGAGCCAAAGTATATGGATGTGATGGCCGAGCTTATAGAGAAGGTGTCTGTGGAGAAAAACCTTCTTGCGATTTCGATATACATCAAAGACCTCACGGTTCTTCACGGGCCCTCTGAGGAGAAGGTTGTTTCCACGTACCTTCGGAGGGTTTCCAGCTCCAAGGACCGCGTCCACGGCATGATTGCGGCCGCAGACTTCAAGGACGAGGACGTCATCTCGTACATCTGGGTCCTCGGGGAGTTTGGCGGAGTGGGCGACTTGCTCGAGTTGCGGGGGGCCGTGTGGAGCCGTTTCGAGCTGAGGAGCCGCCTCGTCGACTACGACGACGACTTCAGGCACAAGGAGATGCAGCACTTCATCATGGACATGTATCTCACGTCGCTGGTGAAGGCGTGGGTGAGGACGGGCCAGCGGGGCGCCGAAGTGTTGGCGCTGATGCGGGACACCGAGAAGCTGTCTCGCCAGCTGTCCCGGCGGGTGACGTTCTACCTGCAGGTGATCCACGCCTGTGGCGGCGACCAGGCGAAGCTACGCACGGTTCTGCTGCTGCCCAAGATGCCCAGCACCAGTCCAGACGAGGCTGCCGCTGCCGACGAGGACAGTTGCGGCTTGACCGACGAGACAGTCTCGGAGTTGTGTACAGTCTTCGGCAGTCTTGCCTGTGTGTATCTCCGGGGCGTGCACAGCGTGTTCCGCAACGGCTAGCACGGCAAACAGCCATGTAGAATTGTACAGATAGGTAGATATAGAAGGGTATGTTTCCGATGCAGACAGAGTCCGAAGTTGACGGCGACGCGTCGATGCTTCCAGACGCGACTGCTGTTTTTTGCGGTTGTTTTTTCTCGCTCCTGTTGTTGACAACTCACCAGGGCGCACGAGCGGGTTGTTTGTTTGGGCTCTTTTCGTGTATGTGAAGAGTTGAAAGAAGCTGAGCCGGGGGGTGGTGTGGTCGGTTGCAGAGATGGAGGTGTTCGGTACAGGCTTCTTCACCTACACACACACACACACACAAACACCACGAGGATGATTGGCGCACTACTGTTTGGATGGGCTGCGATGTGCTGCTGGCTGGGGCTTGCCCAGGCCACGGCCTTGACGTTCACGCTGGCTCCCAACGAGAAGCAGTGCTTCTACCAGTTCAATAACAAGCCGGACTCCAACATCGGCTACTACTTCGCTGTGCAGGCGGGCGGGTCGTTTGACATCAACTACACCATCAAGGGCCCGGACCAGGTGCTGATTGTGGTGGAGGAGAAGCAGAGACAGGGCGACTACGCCTTCGTGGCGGCCAAGACGGGCGAGTACGAGTTCTGCTTCGACAACGAGATGTCCACCTTTGCCGAGAAGGTGGTTGACTTCGAGATCAAGGTGGAGGACGAGGACGAGGCCAGCCAGATGAAGGCCAACTTGCCCAACGCGCCCACCGAGAACACCGCAGTGGCCGGCATGCAGCTCTCCGTCAACAAGATCGAGAGAACCTTGAACCTGCTCGAGCACTCCCTCAACTACTACAAGACCAGAAACAACCGGAACCAGAGCACCGTCAAGTCCACCGAAAACAGAATCTTCTGGTTCTCCATCTTCGACCTCGGCTTGATGATGGTCATGGGCGCCTTCCAGGTCGCCGTGGTCAAGTTCTTTTTCCAGGGCTCCAGAAAGCAGTTGGTCTGAGCCCCTCCGACCCGGCCTGCTGCTGCGCTTCTTATATATATACGTGGCTGCCGACCGCACCCGACTCAATAAACGCATACATAGTTTAGAAAAGAGCTCTCCACCATCTGTCTGCCACCCGGCGACCGTCGTAGTCTTCCACGGAGCAGCTTGTCCTGACCCCGAGACCATCTCTAAGCTAACCATGTCTCTGCCAACCCTGTCTCTCGTGGTCTCTTGTGGCCCCGTCTATTGTGGCCCCGTCCGTCATGTTTCGGGAAAATCGCGACGATAGTCTGACCACACTAAATTGCAGAGGTTCTGCCAGTGCTGAAAATTTTCCAGTTTGCAGTTTTCCAGATTGAGTAGATGGGATGTATGAGAAAGAAGAAAGGGAGCAGAGGGAAGAGAAGCAGGTGAAGAACAGAACGGTCCTAAGATACCACAAGAGCCACCAAGTACCACAGCAGCAAAAATGAGTGTGTCACATTGCAGGTTCTATGAGAACAAGTACCCGGAAGTCGAAGAAGTGGTGATGGTGAACGTCCAGCAGATTGCTGAGATGGGTGCCTACGTGAAATTGCTCGAGTACGACGACATCGAGGGTATGGTCCTCTTGTCGGAGCTCTCGAGAAGACGGATCAGATCGATCCAGAAGCTCATCCGGGTGGGCAGAAACGAGGTGGCGGTTGTACTCAGAGTGGACAAGGAGAAGGGGTACATCGACTTGTCGAAGCGTCGTGTCTCTGCAGAAGACATTGTCCAGTGTGAGGAGCGTTACAACAAGTCCAAGGCCGTGCACTCCATCTTGAGAAGATGCGCCGAAAAATTCAATATCCCGCTGGAAGACCTCTACAAGACCATAGTCTGGCCGCTGGCCAAGGAGTACGGCCACGCGTTCGATGCGTTCCGGATCTCCATCACGAACCCCTCCATCTTTGACTCTCCCAACGTCCACGCGCCTTCGAAAGACATCCTGGACGACTTGAAAGCCAACATTGCGAGAAGGTTGTCTCCGCAGGCGATAAAGTGCAGAGCCGACATCGACGTCTCCTGCTTCTCCTATGAGGGCATCGACGCCATCAAGAAGGCCTTGGCTGCCGCAGAGTCGCTCTCCGACGACAACAACCAGATCAAGGTCAAGTTGGTTGCTGCCCCTAGGTACGTCATAACCACACAGAGTCTAGAAAAAAACATGGGTATCGAGTCCTTGAACAAGGCCATCGAGAAGGTGTCCGAGGTGATCTTGAGCTTTGGAGGCGTCTGCGATGTCGCTATGGCTCCTAAGGCCGTCACGGCCACTGAAGACGCAGAGTTGCAGGCCTTGCTCGAAAGAAAGGAAATGGAAAACAACATGGATTCCGAGGACGAGGACGACAACGAAGACGAAAGCTCCGACGAAGAGTAGGTTTTAGCTATGTAATTCTGTGTAACTTAATGCATAAAAAAATTCAGAAACAACCAGCTACATGATTCAGACCCATCATGGTAGTTGGACACACCGTGTGCTTACGTAATTCTCAACCACTATCACCACGTACAAGATAAAAAGTCTTTCTTTCGGTTCCTATCTTTGACAGATTAATGCCCAATCTTAGTCTTTGAGGGTAAGAGGAACACCCCACAAGACACTAAGGGGATGTCAGACAATAGATTACTTCAGGATAAGAAGAGACGCAAAGCTAATGAGAGTTCTAACATCAGTGTAGAAGACCTCATCAAATCGTCGCCCGAGTTGACATTTCTGGAAACCCTCCATTTCAAGCTCGTGTCATACTTCACTTTTCTCTCAACTCGGAAACACATCATAACGTCCTTCGATCTTTTTAAGGAGCACCTTTCCAAGTCTTTGGAGAAAGAGCTTACAGTCGAGGATGTCGCCAAGATCAAGTCCATCATCCCGCATAACATGATTTTCGAGTACGTTGATAAGAACCAGTTCATTTTGGAAGAGAAGCATTTCACCTGGAAAGATGGGTTTAAACAAAAAGAGGCCGATATATTTGATATAGACAAAAACGATACAGAGAGCCTGAATGAGCAGATCTTAGTCATCGAGTTTATCGACTCCGGCAACAAATCCAGGCACCAGAATAACTTTTACAAGCCCATGACACCGGAGGAGGTCAAAAAGCTGATTATCAAGCGTGATAATAGATTCAGGAAAACCTTTAGAAACATTGTCAAAACACAGATGCTTGGATCTGCAGACTACATAAACAACCTTTCACTCAAATATATACCCGAGAAAGTGAAATTCATTAACCCGATGGAACAAATGAACCAGACTAATATCGAATCTAATCATGAACCTATACCGAAGTTGATTGAGAGATTTAAAAAAAGCTCATTCTATAAAAACCAAATTTCTTTGACTTCTACCCATCGAATCCCCTCCAAACAGGCCATTTACGATCCCAACTTCTACGACGAAATCAACATCCATCCAGATCTTCAAGCTTTACTTCAATCAAAAGGTATGGAAAATGTCTACATTCATCAGTCGATTGGAATAAAAGCCGTGTTAAGCCAGCAAAAACACGTCATTTCAACAACCTCCACCTCTTCTGGTAAATCTTTAATTTACCAACTACCCATTTTACAATCTCTGCTCACAGATAAGAACTCAACCTCACTACTGTTGTTCCCAACAAAGGCCTTATCACAGGATCAACATAGAGCTTTGCTCTCATTCATTGGCGACCTACCTTCCATAAATCGAGATTTGATCAAAACATTTGACGGTGATACTAATAAAACAGACCGCCAATCGATAAGAAACAGTGCCAACGTAATACTTACAAACCCCGATATGCTACATTTGACTATGCTTCCAAACCATAAAACATGGTCCAGGTTTCTTAAAAACTTGAAATATGTGGTAATCGATGAATTGCATACCTACAAAGGATCTTTTGGTGCCAATGTTGCTTACATATTGCGCCGATTGCGCCGTGCCTGTTCTTTATTTGGTAACGATTCCATCCAGTTCATTTCGAGTTCAGCAACCTTGAACGAAGCCTCTTTGCATTTATCTAAAATGATTGGTTTAGAGAACTCAGTCGATGACATTGTATGGATCGATGAGAGTTTGAATGGATCACCATGTGGTGCAAGAAATATTATTGGGTGGAATCCGGATCTCGATCATGGAGGAAGTATGATCTCGGATACAGCAAAATTGATCGTGGAGCTTTTGAAATTGAATATCAGGACGATTGTGTTCTGTACCATTCGTAAGACTGTGGAGCTTGTTATGAAGGAAGTTCGATTTTTATTGAAAGACGAACCTGTTCTGTTGGGACAGATAATGAGTTATAGAGGTGGCTACAGTATATCAGATAGAAGAAAAATTGAGCATCAAATGTTCAACGGTGGATTGACATGTATCGTTGCAACAAATGCCCTTGAAGTCGGTATTGATATTGGTGGACTTGATGTCGTTCTCATGTGTGGGTTCCCAATAAGTTTGAGTGGTTTTGAACAGGAAATGGGTAGAGCGGGGAGAAGAGGGCTAGATAGTATGTGTCTTCTTGTTGCCGGAGGCGATCCGGTTAGTCAGTTTTATGTCAACAGGATCGATGAATTGGTCGAAAAGAAAGAATGGGAAGATTTATGTGTTGACCTAAAGAATTTGATGATTGCCGAAGGTCAGTTGCAATGTGCGTTCAAAGAAAAAAATGTGCCAAATGACGAGCTATCGAATGAATGGGTAAATTGGTGGAACTGCCTACCGTGGGAAATTTATGAGAACTTGATCAGAGATAAATTAAAGTGGGAAGGCGATATTTCTAGGTGGACATGTGATGATTCCTACTTGCCATACCCACCATTAATGGTGTCTATACGGGCCATTGATGAAGACAGCTTTGCCGTCGTGGACACGACAGGTGGGAATGGAAATCAAGAGGTCATTGAAACCATTGAAGCTAGCAGGACTACATTCACTCTATACGAAGGTGGAATATTCATTCATCAAGGTCTACCATATATAATCAAGGATTTCAACGTTGATGAGAAATATGCGCTCGTTGAACGAGTCAATGTGGATTGGACCACAAGTCAAAGGGACTTTACCGATGTGGATCCTGTTCTCATTGAGCGTCTGCGGTCACTCAACGAGACCGAAATCCCTATCTATTTTGGGAACATTGTGAAAACCAGTATAGTTTTCGGGTTTTTTAAGGTCGATAAACGGGGAAAGATTCTAGACTCCGTCGAGGTTAATAACCCGCCAATAAAGTATAAATCCAAAGGTGTTTGGATTGATTTCCCGCAGGAACTCAATGAGCTGATCAAGAACCACAAGCTGAATCTAGCTGGAGCCATCCATGCTGCACAGCATGGAATCATGAACGTGCTGCCAAGGTTTGTTACGATCGGAAGTTATGACGAAGTCGCATGTGAGTGCAAGGCACCGGAGAAAGAATTTGCTTCTCGAGAGACAAAAAGAAAAAGACCCGCTAGATTAATCTTGTTTGATAACAAGGGGGGCAAGGCTGGTAATGGTCTCAGTTCCCGCGTATTTGAGTGTGCCGAGATGGTTCTGCAGGAAACATTGAAGATCATTGAGGACTGTACATGTGCATTCGGATGTCCATTATGCTGTGCAGGGATGCAGTGTACAGAAAACTCGTTGGTGTTGTCAAAAGACGGATGCAAGATCATCCTACGATACTTGTTGAAGGATAAAGACCCCCTTCGGGGGATTCCCTTTGGTCCGGAGGGAAACATGCCGGAGATCACCATCGAGACGGTTGTTCCCGTCCACCAGTTGAAAGAGGAAGGAATTAAGATAAGTGCCAATGTTGAGGTCACGTGAACCGTGGTGCATTTTTTTGCCCGAGCGCCAGGATAATGAAAAACGTGTTTTTGTAGATTTAACTGAGTGGCAAAGATGGCATCGAAGGATGGAGTTCATATGAAACGTTTCGCCTCCGGTTTGCCTCTGTAGTTTCTCTATCGCAGTTTTTACTTTACTAATACATTAAAACAAAAAGAACTGACCTTACTTAGAAAAAAAAATGTCCAACAGCATACCCATCAAGATCAAACATGCTGGTAAAGTGTACCCTATCGATGTTGACTTAAATGAATCAGGGCTAACATTGAAGATGCAGGTGTCATCCCTGACCAATGTTCCACCGGAGAGACAAAAGATCCTTGTTCGTGGCGGTCCACTAAAAGATGATGCTGAGCTGAGCAAAGTTGGTTTGAAACCCAATCAGGCGGTCATGGTTTTAGGTACACCACTGGAGGAGGTGCTCAAGAAGGAGGATGTGAGCAATGTTCAATTTATCGAAGACAGAGCTAAGGAGAGTGGTGCTCTTGTCAATGCTGATCTACTCAATGCGCCGTCAGGATTGAGCAACCTGGGCAACACGTGCTATCTAAACTCGAGTATCCAGTTGTTGCATACCATTACCGAACTGAGAGACCAGTTGAGCAATACTGAGTTTGGTACGGTTGTTCAAGACTCCGAGCTTTTATTGGTCGCTAACGTCAAGGCGCTTTTCAAGAGAATGGATTCCGGCAATGAGAAAAAAGTTGTCCCGTTGAATATGCTTGCGTCTGCTAGAAATGCATTTCCTCAATTTCAAGAGACAACCCCCGAGGGATTTCACAAGCAGCAGGATGCTGAAGAAGCATACTCTCAAATTTTGAGTGCTGTGTTGAACAAATTCCCTAATCTAAAGAAATACCTCGATATCGAGTTGAAGACTGAGACTAGATGTTTGGAGGATGCCAGCGAAGAAGTTCAGTACGGTTTTGAGGAGTCTTTGAAGCTGAATTGCCACATTAACAGTCATGTTAACTTTCTAATGGATGGGCTCAAAAACGGTTTGAAGGAAACCATTGAAAAGCACAGTGACAATTTGAACAGGAATGCCAAGTATGAGATTACCAGGAAAATCGTTAGGCTTCCAAAGTACTTGACTGTTCATTTTGTTAGATTCTACTGGAAAAGGGAGACCAACAAGAAGGCCAAGATCATGCGGAAGGTCCAATTCCCATTCCAGTTGGATGTGACGGATTTAGTCGACTCAAATGAAAGAGAAAACCTGATCAAGGCCAGAGACGCCATATCTCAGGTTGAGAAAGAAAACGAGGAGGAATATAGACAGTTAAAGAGGTTCAAGCCTAGCCAAGAATTGACTACGAGGGAACAGTATGAAAAGCAAAACGAAGAGATGAAGAAGATGAGGACAAAATGCCACGACAAGTTTAATGAGATGCTAAAGAACCTTAACGGCGGGTATAAGGAGGGAGAAAATCCTTCTAGCTTGTATGAGCTTGGCGGAATAATCGCTCATCAAGGTGCTAGTGCTGACTCCGGACACTATCAAGCTTTCATCAGGGACGAAGAGGATTTGACTGGCGAAAGATGGTACAAGTTCAACGACGACATTGTGACAGTGGTCAGCAAGGAGAAAATCGCAGCATTAGCCGGAGGCAGTGAAGGAGACTCTGCCCTAGTTTTGATCTACAAGGGCGTGGGGGTCTGAGTGGGGGTCTGAGTGGTGGTCGAGAAAGGCAGCTAATCTATTAGAAATATTCTATATATTACTGGAAAGCAGATAGTATATCGGTTTGTTTGTGTGTATGTGTGTATGACTCGAGGAGGGAAAAACAGGAAAGTATAACAAATAAATAAATAAGTTTCTGCAACTCAAGACAACTGCATTGATGATTTGTTCGAGCGGCAGTCACCATCAGCCAAACATGGTCTAAGGGTTGCCGGCAAGCTTCTTGAAGCTCTGCACTTCGTCCCAGCAATTGAGCGGAGTGCCCTTGTTCTTCAAGAGACATTGGGAGACAGCCTTTTCGGCTGCCAACACGGAGGGAGACTTGGCAACCTTGGCTTCTGCCGATTGTTTGAGGGTATTGTAGATTGAGTCCAGTTTGGCGTTGAGCTCAGGTGAACCCTGGAGCTTCTGCTTGTCTGACTCTGGGGCCAACAGCTTGGACTCGATCGTCTTGTCCAACTTTTCTGCCTTTTCGCTCAACAACTCGTCAAGCTGCTTGCCGACCTGTGCGGAGATGGCTTGAGACTGGCGTTGTTGTCTTGTTACTGTTGAGTCCGTCGATTTATCCAACGAGTCGAGCAAGTTTGGGGAGAATTGCACTGGTGTGAGAGTTGGGAACGCCTTTGATTCAGACATTGTGTGTGTGTAGAGGATTTGCAGTGTGGGAAGGGACGGTTCGTGCGGAAAAGCCTTTTTGAATGCAACAATCCAGATGAGCCATGTCTGACTACAGGCAGGTGAACCAATCGAGATATAATCGCTTTTCCCAGACATGTCGGGATTTTACAGTATGGCGAGGGAAAGGGGAGGCGAGGACGGGGTAAGAGGCAGAGAGACCAGGCGGTGTACAGGTTTATCGTGTTGGGGGTAAGCACCACTATGCATGTATCTATGTATGTATGTGTACATGTGAGATGACTAACTGTATATAGAAGAGAAGAGGAAGAAGGGAAGGGTTCAGAGAGAAAGGGGGAGCAAAGAGAGCGCCTAGATGGCGGACTTGACCTCGAAAAATCTCTTCAAGTAGAAGACCTGGAAGAGAGAGTTGAAAATGATGACGACCAATTGGATGATGGACCAGTACTTGACTCTCGAGTTGGTGGACTCTGCAGTGTTTCTGTGAGTTCTCTCTCTGACGACGATGTAGTTCTGCTCGTTTTTCACGTCGTAGACTAGCTCTAGCAATTTTCTGATGCTGGACTCCAAGTTGTCGCCCGAGTTGTCGTTGACATCGACGTACACAACGCCGTGGACGTTGAAGGACACGTCCTTGGTCTGCATGTTCGAGTCCTCATTCGAGAAGCAGTACACGTGTTTACCGTTTTCCTCCGCCTTGATCTGGACCGAGCCGTGCGAGGCGTCCGTCAACGTCTTCAGGACCTTGCCGGAGGGCGACTGGATCCAGAAGTCGCAGTGGAGCTGTTCCGTGGCGTCTCTGTCTCGGTCACCGACTTGGAACGTCACCGCCAATTCGTCCTGGCTCTTCAACGTCTCGTAGAAGCACTCCTTTCCGCGAGGAGGAAGAAGGGCGATGTGTGCAAACGCCTGTGTTATGAACACCAGGGAGAACAAGAATGTCGAGATTCCGAACTTCATTGTGTGCGGGACTGCTGTGCTGTGTCGTTCCTGTGTGTCTTTTGCTGCAGAAACACGGCCAGAACGGAGGTTCGCTTATTTCTTCTCTCCTGTCTTGTCCAACAATAACAACAGACGACGTGTATGGTCTCTCTGTACGTGTTGTGTTTTTCTTGACCCTCGATCGCTGAGCATTTTCCAGAGAAAACACGCCGAAAATGCGAAAAACACAAAAAAACAATTTTTGGGTCGATCGACCCGTTTTCACGTGATTTGGCCGACCGTGTGTCGTTTTTATTCCCTCTTCTCGTGAAGATACGCGGCGAGGGCGGCAGTGCACATAGCAGGTTGTGTGCAAAACGGGCTTTTGTGCGACGTTTACTGTGCGCGGGGGTGGTGCTGGAACTTGCCCGGGCTGCGGGCGTCGGGCAGAGCAGTGTTGGCGAGAGAAAAAACATGTTATGGGGCACGTTTTGGCGCGCGGACGGTGCACGGGTGGACAGGGCAACCCCCCACATGGGCCATGTGCCTGGTGGAGTTGCCGTTTTGGGGTAATCAATTTGACAGAGTTACCCTTTTCGGCGGGTCGGAGTAGCTGTTGCAAAGCAGAATAGGTGTCTAGAGGCCGGAGACGAAAAGAAGCTGCGGATAGCGGAGGAGTGGCAACGGTGGCGGTGTGAAGGGGCACAGCGCACAGAGGCAAAGATGGCTCTGGTTCGTTTTGGCGTCGTTGGACCGTAGCACGTTTTCCAGAACCCTGCTCCCATCTGTTGTGTGGAAGCCGCAACATCTGGACTTGTCTGGCGGTTCGTAGCAGTGTCTGCATGGATTGCACACCCGCATACCGCAGTCGAAACACCTCCATGGACGCAAATGTCGATGCTAGCCACAACACAAGCAAGAGCCGCTGCGGCGGCGGCAGGCCCTCTCGGGTCAGACACAGACAAGGCGAAGCAGAGCTTCGGTAACGAGGAGACCACCCACGACAGCGGGAAAGAGGCGGAAACCATGAACAGAAGCAGCAGCAACGGCCACGCCAGTGAGTTCAGCGGCAGCAGCTATTACAACGGGCTCATCTGCGACAACCCCGACAAAGAGTCTTCCTCTCCGGGCGGTCATGGCGAAAGCAGCAGACCGCAGTACTTCGACTACCCGACGTATCCTACGGTGCTGAACTCTCTGCATTACATGAACTACGACGCGGCAAACACAGAAACCGTTGCCATGATGCCTTCCTCGATGCCCTTCTCCGGTCCGCAGACTTACAACACCTCGCTGTTGGCCCCGGTGAGCGCTGCATGGTACCCTGGCCAATTGGCTAGCAGCAACAACGTGTCTTTGAACCACAGCTACAGCCAAGAGTTCACGATGGACTTTGAAAAGTTGGATCAGATGTTCAGAATCAACGATCGCCAGCTAACAACCTCAGCAGCCCCTCATATCGACGATCTCAAACCTTCGTCATCCGCTATTGCAACTTGCAGTTCCTCATCTCAGAATAGCATCTCTCGCAAAACCATGCCTTTGCTGGAAAACTTCAAAACGGGAACCCTGGTAACGAATCCAAACTCTCCCGAATACCTCTTTAGTTCTCCTCAGTTTGACCTACATAAGGAGGTCCCCACACTCGTCAAGCTTGCACACAGAAATAAAGACATCAAGCTCTCTGACACACAGGACATAACAAAAAGAGCAGAGTTCCAGCAGAAATTGTTCAAAAAAATAAAACGGAAAAGACAGTCTTTGCACGCTACTAAGCATGTGTCAGGGAAGTACAAGGAATCCAAAAGCAACCCCCCGTTTCCTCCAATGATGAACACGAAGGGAAACTCTAAAAGAACAATAGGAAGACCCTTGACCCCGAAAACAAAAGTGAGACTCACGCTAGTTCCAAACCTACCTACTCTCTACAGCATGTTGGTGACAGAAAACATCGACCTTTCTGAACTCAAATCACACTTGTCAACTTCACCGTCCTCTATATCTTCTCCCTCGCCATTATCACCTCCATCCTCTCATCCTTTGAAAATACCTGCTTTCAATAAAAATATACGAGAAAAATTCAAGGTTCTGAAAAGAGGAATTCTGGACGATAACAAGGCGTATGAAGAGTTGCTGTTCAATGAGTCCGTTGATTGGCGTTTCAAAACATCTTCCGTAAGTTATGCGAACTTTCAAGAGTCACAACAGACCGGCACCCCTGACAACGGGATGAATTGTGGAGGGGGCTTTCCCGGTAAGACACAGGCTGTCACCTTTTTGGATACAAACGAAAAAGATGACGAAAATGATAGCACAACTAGGAATCCTGTTTTTCCAAGGCACACTTCCTTTCCCAATGCCATTGGGATTGAGGAAGATCACAGTCTAGTGTACAAATCAGTTGACACTGCCGTCCGTGAGATATTCGGGCTTGAAGAATATACCTTTCTACGGATAACTCGTGCAGCGGCTTTTGAGAAAACGGGATCTGTTGTACTGAAAATGGAAACCATCAAACCTGGATATAGGTGGCTGGATGACGATGAGTTTGACCTCAAAATAATGTTCCGGATGTTTGGAGGAGAAAACCTGGATGAATTGGACCAAAATTCGGATGATAGCTCTAACCAGTTTGGAAGAGACGGAGATCCTGTTACTACTACATTTCTCAAAAAGAAAATCGCTAGACCCAGATACAAATCAAATATGAGAATATATCTTATTCCCCGAGTCACAGATGCTGTCTTGTATACTCGTGAAAGCATGCTTAAGAGGGACATCATCAATGGAACCCTTGATCTTTCAGATGACACCGACCCACGTATGATTATCACGGCTTTCGAGTTTGAGAACGTACTGCGAGAACTCAAAATGATATAAATAGCAGTTAATATGTACGAATATACACTGTATACAGCTAATCAGCATAGAACAATATAGACACTCTCATTTTATATACCCCTATCCAATATCCAAGCCTTATAGCTGTAGCAATATTCTTATGAATCCGGTGACATTATTTTTCCCATTTGTGCTGGACTTCTCCGATATTCTTTTCCGTTCTCTTTTCTCAAGTCTCCTTATCACAAGTTTTCCGTAAAGGTTCAGCTCATGGGTCTGCCGTTGACGGTATATATCAGAGATGATGTTGCGGAAAAGTCTGCGAGGGTGCTATATTTGTTCACCATTGGTTTCAGTGTTGTATCTACTTGAACACTGAATCCTAGTGTGAGGTCGAGTTAAAGCAAACAGTTCATGCAAAAAGCTTCTTTTATTACTAGCTCGCACTGTATTTTATATATTCTGTGTAACCGTGTACTATCCATTTCTTTCTAGCCTTTTTTATAAAGTTTATATAAACATAACCAAACGATTGTTGTGAAAGTCTACTCTGTTGAATATGCCAACAGTGATTGTGGACCCGGAATTGTGGAGCCGGTTTATCTCATTGTCTTCTAGTTGGTACAAGACTCTGCTACTAGGTCTCCAGCCATTCTTGTACCGGCGAAATTGCATGGTGAGATACCTTTGTTCTTGCAAACTGTAGTACTCCGGGGAGTTCAGGTCGGGGAGTGTGTTAATGTTTGCTTCCGCATGCATATTATTCTCCTCGCCGTGGTTGAAATGCGTGTATGTGTAGGGCTGGAACGAAACACCGATAAAATTCGGGTGCTGAGTGACCAGCAATTGCTCTTCGATAATGCTTGTGTTGGTCAGAGGGTCAAACACCACCTCTTCCGAAAGTAGAATCTCCACAAAGTCCTCGTCGAAGATGGTTGGAAACTCCATCTGGTAGGCTCGGATTTCGTCTCGCTGCTGCTGTTGCCGGCCTGCTTCTTCCTCGGCAATCTCAGCTATTCTCCTCTGGTCGTTACTTTCCTCGGCATTCCCCACGTCCATTCCCTCCAGAATCGTCCCTAGATCTAGCCTGTCCGACGTTGTGTTGTGCACCGGTCGACCTTTTGCTCGTATCGACACTCTCAAAAGAGGGAAGCCATTACTATACAACATGTCGTCGTCGTCCCCTTCGTTTGGCCCCTCGTCATCGGTCAAGTCTTCGATATCGCTAGCACTGTAAACCGGAGTCGCATTTGTGCCAAGGGTAGAAGCACATGTTAAAGCTGAGTCTGTATCGTACGCCTTCCCGCCAATGGAACACGAGAAGGAGGGAAGCGATGTTGGGGCTGGATCTCGATATATCTCGAACAGAGGGTATCCTGAGCCAGTGTATATGCAGACCCCGCTTCTCTCGTCAGCCTCCTGCTCTTGCCTCCTTCTTGGGGAATACGCGGTTTCAATGGAGTGAACAGAGATGTCTGCAGACATGTAGATTCTATCGGGATGGACCGTTTTGTTCACGGCACGGACAAGTTTCCTTACCATAGCATATAAATGTGGCATCTTTTTCGCATGTAAATGAGGTTGCTGTAAGAAGGGGGTCACTGGTAAGCCAATCTTCCAGTAAAAAGGCCAACATCTGTCTACTTTGCCGACTGGCGTAGCTTCACCAGCAGAGATTGTTCTTGTGTGTCCTCTGCAATGTTCTGTGGAATCTCCGGTGGCATATGTTGAACAGAATATCTCCAGACTTACCAGAAGCAGAAATATCTCGGCCAACGGAAAATTGGGACGATCGGCCCAATTTTCCTGAAAAAAAAATGCTCAGCCGTACTGTTGTCGAGTTCTTCTCCTACACTTACACGTATTGGTCTGGGTGGAGAGATAGACGGAAGAATGGAACCGCAAGGCAGCCAGGGAAAACAGAGAGTTTTTCGTAAGGCGACTGTATACAAGAAAGGTTTTGCAATGGATGTCGCCAACGAGGTCCCGTTTGACAGAGACGACGCTGTTGTTTGGCGTGTGCCGCTACTGCATCTGTCTGTCGGCTTATCAACAATCAAGTACATAACTTTCATGCTATCTGGTATAGCATCGCTCTGGCCTTGGAACTGCTTTCTTTCGGCCTCGGACTACTTCCATGACAGGTTTGGGTCGCATCCAGCGCTTGCGGACAACTATTCGTCGACGATGATGACGGTGTCCACCATCACGTCGACGGTATTCAACTACTATCTCTCCCGCAGCCAGCACGGCGTTAACTACGCTGGACGGTTGAAGACGGGAAACTATCTACAGATGGCCATATTCTTGGTTATGACGTTGTCGGTGATGGTGCCGGAAAGGTTCACGGTGCTGTACTTCGTCTTTGTCATGTTCAACGTGTTGCTGACGTCAATCGGCTCGTGTCTAACGCAGGTGGGCATGATGGCGCTAGTCAACATACAGGGGCCGTTCTATGCCAACGCAACCGTTGTCGGCAACGCCATCGCAGGGGTGTTGCCCTCGATCGCCATGATCATTGCGGTGGTGTCCAACCCGCTGATCGACCTAAATGCGCAGCACGAAGTTGGAAAGAGCGAGATCTCAGTTGATAGGTCAGCTGAGGCAGTCAAGTACTTCCTGACCAGTGTTTTCATGGCGGTGTTGGCACAGGTGTCTTTTTGGCTCATGGAGCACAGCGAAAGAAGTGTCTACACGCCCATCTCCACCTCGGCCGCCGCACCCGTGGCCGGTGGCGACACTACGGGCGCCTCGGACGCGTTGGCCGGAGAAACGCTAGAGCAGGCGGCCGGAGAAGCGTTCAAGCCCGATACCGAGTTTGTCGGGTTCGCCCAGCTTTGGGCGAAACTCAAGTATGTCGAGTCGACCATCATTCTCACGTTTTCGTTGACGCTCATTTTCCCCGTCTTTGCGTCCAGCGTGGAGTCGCAAACAATATCCAAAAAGCTTTTCATCCCTCTAGCGTTCCTGGTGTGGAACATCGGCGACTTGTTTGGGAGAATTCTCTGCGCAAGCCCCTACTTTCTCATCAAGCAAGAGAAGAAGCTGATTGCCTATTCGGTGGCGAGAGTCGTCTTCATCCCGCTGTTTCTCATGTGCAACATCAAGAACAGGGGGTCCAGCGTCGGCGACACCGGGTACCTCCTCATCCAGCTCTTGTTCGGCCTCACAAACGGACAGTTGTTCAGCAGCAGCTACATGTGTGTGGGCGGACTGTTGGACACCGAGGGCGAGCAGCAGGCTGCAGCGGCGTTCACGGCGTTGTTGATCAACGTGTCGTTGCTGGTGGGCAGTTTGGCCAGCTTCGGTGTGGTCTACCTATGTCTGTGATGGTGGTCGTCGCCCTGATCGTGACCATTCCCTCTCTTCTCCCATTCTGTATACTTAGTAACTACCTGTCATGACTCCTTCTCCGAGGAAGTTTCGCTTCCGCGCCTGTCGCTGCTTAATAATGCGTTTTCTCGGAGGCCAAGAGAACGGGATTCCTTTGATACAGGCGTTCTGATCCGGGGTTTCACTCTGACAGAAGGTCTTGTGGAACAGTCCCAGCACAGTGCAGCATAATATAGCCTAGAACACAACAATGATGATGTTCAGAAACAGCGCTTTAAGAGGCGTGGCGCTTCGGGCGGTACGTCTGCAGTCCACGGCTGCTGCAGCAGCAAGCGCCAAATCGCCCAAGACGGCGGCAACGCAGGCGACGGCAGGTTCGCCAACGAAATTCACAAAGTCGACGCTGTCGCCAGTATCGGATTTCACAGCAACAAAGATAAATAACCAGCAGTTCTCGGACTACAACAACCTGCCGTTGCAGCTGGCCCTCACGGACTCGGCTGCGAAGAAGCTAACCTCGTTGTCCGAGGAAGACAATAACCCGAAGCTCGCATTACGCTTGGTCGTCTCCTCCGGCGGGTGCCACGGTTTCCAGTACGACTTGAAAATTACAAGCACCGCTGACTACAAGCCGGACGAGGGAGACAGCTTGTTTGAAAGAAACGGCGGAAAGTTGCTTGTCGACAAAGATGCGCTGGAGATCATGAGAGACTCTAAGATCGACTACGTGAAGGAGTTGATTGGGGAAGGATTCAAGGTGATCGAGAGTCCTTTGACGAAGAGCAGTTGTGGGTGTGGCAGCAGTTTCGACGTGGACTTCGAGAAGCTCGAGGGCATGGGCAAAGACAAGGGCGACGCCGAAGAGAGTGTAAAGAACTGAGCAATACCCACACAGCTCGGCTAATCTAATCAAAATCTAATGATATATAAACACCTATTCCTTTTTCATGTGCATAATGATGATTTTTTTTCTATAGTTTACACGTTTCTTATACAGCTAATTCACAAAGCATAGGCGGCGGATGATCCACCAGATGCTCAACCGGTTGTCGCCCTTGGCCTTCTTGGCCCTTTGTCCGAGGTGACTCATGGAGCTAGAGAACTTCACCTTGCCGTCCACCGAAAGCGTGAACAGCTGGCATTTGAGCTTCACGAGTGTGAGCTTGTCGAAGGAGATGCTTGTCTTCGACGCGAGGTACTCGTTCAGTACCGCTGACAGCTCCTCCCCATCAGTGCCGTCCTCCATCTGGAACGCGTCCCTGAACTCGAGCATGTCCTTCTCTTCGATGTGCACAACAATCGTTCCAAGCTTCCCTTTCGTCTGCAATCTGCCGAACCACAACTCTATGTTTCCTATCGAGCTCAGCGTGTCGTGCACCACACACCAGTCAAGGCACGACTGTAACGTCGCGTTGTCGGGAACAAGGTCCGTGATCGTGCAGTCAAAGCCCTCTTGTATGTGGCTCGTGAATATCGGAAGAAACTTGATGTTTCCGTGGAAGAACAGTAACATCTTCCCGGGCCTGTCACCGCCATCTGCCGAACGTCTCGATGGGCTTCTTACCAAAATCACCAACTGCGGCGGTATTATGCCGGGGAGATGGAATCTGAAATGTCCTGCAAGCAACTTTTCGGCAGTTTCTGCCTCAACCCCAGCTTCATCCATGTCCTCGACATCATCGATCTTCAACTTCACCTCGAGAAGTTTTCGAACAGTCTCTATTTCGGGCTGTCCACTTGTATTCGACCCATGAGAATACAGCTTTGAGTTCAAAGGAATCAACCCTCCTAACGACGAGCTCCTCGACATTTCCGCAGATGTAAACAGCCCATTCGACACAACCACACTTGCAATTTGGTTCAACAGCCTCGCTGTCGAAACACTCTCCACATCAGCACACATGGACTCTATTATCATCCGAGGTAGATCCTTTCTGGAAGCAGAAGCCTTCCCGCTCGGCTCCTCCAAACTCGGGAGAGTTGTTATACTCAGGCACTTGAAACCATGGTTTATGAATATCTTCGACATTGCCTGTCGCTTCCTCCAGAGTCCCCTAGTGCTTCTCAGCCCAACACCTGCCGAGAATATGCACAGATAAACAACAGAAGCCCAGAACCGAACTACATTTGGTGATAGGAAGGTGTTGCAGATCTCCCGCGGTTGACAGTGGAAAGAAATCCTGCTGGGGGTGATTTGCTAACTAACCTCGATAGAGCATTGTTCTGTGGGGGGTGCTAGAAGCCATCCGGACACGGCCCCAAAGAGAAGCTGCCACCTCAGTAAGAGAACTGGTTTGCACTTGGTAGGTCTACGGCTTGCAGGGCAACAGTGAATCGCACAGGCAATGTCTTTTTGGGAAAATAACAAAGGGTCAATCAAGTCTGGTGGCTTGGCTGTCCTGAAAGGTGCTGGAAAAGCGACCTCGGCCGTGGGTAAGGCAGGCTACTCAGCGTACAAGAACCACAACAACAAGAAACCAGGCAGTAAACCAGAAGGCGAAGAAGAAGAAGAAGCAGCTGTTGAATCAAACAGCTACGGATCCATGACCTACAGAGATCCGAAATCATTTCCACCTCCTCCTCACCATGTTGGGGCCGGTGGGCAACCTGGGTACACCGCAGCAGGGGGCCCAGCTGCCGGTTACCAGCCCCAGTATCCGGGGTACGGTCAGGCACAACAACAGCAACAACAACAACAGAACCCCGCCTACGGCCAACAGCCTCAGCCCTATGGGCAGTATGGTCAGCCCGAGTACGGGCAGCAGACTCCAGCTGCCCCATACGGACAATCACATCAACAGCAGCCCCCTCAGCCTGCTGCGGTACCATACGGACAACCACCGGCGAGCCAATACGGTCAACCACAGCCAGCGCCAGCAAACCAATACGCACAACAGCCTCCAGCAAGTTCTTACGGACAGCAACCACCTGGAGGCCAATATCCGCCATCTAACCCGTATGTGCAACAGCAGCCACTTGCTGCTCCTTATGGACAATCATCAGCAAATCCGTACGGGCAATCTTCTGCGACTCCGTATGGTCAAGCGCCGCCTATTGCAAACCATTATGGACAGCAACCTTCTGCAAGTCAATACGGTCAACAGCCAGAGCAAACGCAACCGCTGCCTCAGCCCCCGACTCCTCCTTATGGCCAGCAACCAGCATCATCCCCATATGGCCAACCGGTAGCACCTGTGTATGGCCAACCGGAAGCATCTTTATTTGGACAACAGCCAGCAGCACCTGCGTATGAACAACCAACTGCATCTCCATATGGGCAGCCAGTGGCAACGCCTTATGGACAACAACAGTCACCCCTACCCACTCCAGCGTCTCAGCAGCAACTTCCAACTCATCAGCAACCTCCAGTAGCTCAGCAAGGTAGTCTTCCAACTCCGCCTGATGTTTTGAGCTATACAAACCCATATCACTCTCTGCCTCTAGCACAACCGGAATCATCAATGCCTGGCTATATTTCTCAGCAGTCAAGCAACAGCGTGAATGTAGCACCCGGAGCCCCAGCGGCACAGCAAGCAGGAGCAAATCCATACCCGGCTCCTCCCGCTCGGACACTTCCGCCTGTTGTATCGAATCCATATCAACAGCAGATAGGCCAGAGTGGAGCAAATGGAATTATCCCACCTGCTGCATACGGGCAACAACAGTCTTCTCCTCCACCACCTCCTGTTAGGGATGATCAGTCATTATCCTCGGCTTCCAGTTACGGTCAATATAATCAACCGCCAACCGCTGATGTTTCATCTCGTAGTTCATACTACCCTGCACCACCAAGCAGGACAGCTACATCTGAGCCGCTTCCACCCGCACGAACTAATACAACCAGTGGTGCTGGCGGGAGAGATCAAGCCGGAGGAAAGCCAGGCGAAGAAGTCATTGTCGAACCCCAATTCAAAACCAACTTAATGGATTTTGATTTGAAAAAATTTGGTGCCCCACCACCTAGGGCTCGTTTGACGAAAGAGGAAGAGATAAAGTATGAAAGAAGAAAGGGGGATGCAAATAGATTAAAACAGATTAAAGAGCAGTCGTTACAGAAAGCAAGAGGAACGGCAGAGAAAAGTATATCGCCTTATAATTCAACCTTCCCTACTGCTGCCCCATCCAAAAGCGGATCAGTGGAACAGCTGAATAGCGTGGAAGCTGAGACCTCTTATGAAGTTGAAGCAGGGTCTCAAAGCTCTTTTACTCAACCTGCTGCTCTTGCAAGACCAGAAGGGCAAACTGAAGATTCACAACCCGTTCCATTTCACCTTCCAGATATATCACAATTCCAACCTCCACCTTTGGCTCATCGTGTACCATCTGTCTCTGATGCGTACTCTTCAAATTCTGGTCATACTGCGGTGTTGTCCACTCCCCAACCGGTTATAGAGAAACATAAACCTCCAAAACCTCCAAAGAAATTCCCCCAAGAGGCAATCTCAAAAGCTGATTTTCCGAAACCTGTGGCATCAACTCCATACACTAGACCTGCCCTGTCACTTCCAGCGGGTACTTCTTTTGAAAAACCAGCCAAAAAGACGCCTCCTCCGAAACCTGCAAAAATTAGTGATACACACTCAAACTCAAAGAAAATGCCCCCACCAAAGCCTGCAAAGCTCGGCAAACCTGCAAAACCAACCAAACCAGCTGATCTGTCAACACGCTCTACGACAGGGGAGCACAATGGCGAAGTTGAAAGCTCGGCTAAGGGTAACCATATTCGTGAACTACAAGCGAGATTGGGAAACCTCGGCTTTTAGCATGCTTATCTGCAGACAATTTGAGACTAACTATTTCCACAATTTTTTATACATTTATCTAGTACGCTAACATTGATTCTGACAAAAGCTAGAACCTGAGAGTAGCTGGTTTTGCTCCATCAATCAAGTGAAGTCTGTATAGCGTCTAGCTATACTTTTGCTTTGAAAACCCAGCAACTCGCCTGACTAGTATATTCATATTCCTAATTTGTAAATTGTGACTAGTCACAAGTAATGGAATGTTGGCAGTTTGGCTTATTACTGGCGAAAGTCACTTTCATGAATCCAGCCACCCAAGCAACATATAGGAACATCATCGACTATATAAATCAGACAATCCTTGACCCGTCAGAGTACATACGAGGGAACAAGACAATGTAAAAACTGTAGTGAATTATCACAGAAGATAAGAAACCATTTAACAACAAACCAACCAATTACTTAACATGCCACAACAAGTCACTACCATCAAGATTGATCGCTCTGATAGAACCCAAGTCGAAAAGCATATCAGAAACGTATTCAAATCGTTACAAAAGAAGAAAACCGAAAAGCTTTTGGCTGTGTTTTATCAGTGGTACCACATGAGACCAGAGTTTGCTTCCAAAGATCTTATCGAGTTTGATGCTATTCCAAGGAAAAACAAAGCGGATCTAGAAAAACTTAGTTCCAAGAAAACAGTGGATGCAGTGTACGGTGATAAGTATGCCACTGTTCTAACGCGATTTGTTAGAGCCAATAACTTGCACGAAAAAGAATTGATCCGCTTAGCCGAAGAGTTAAAGGATTTATCAAAATTTGAAGGTAAAAACAAGCTGGGATTCAGCAAAACATTGAGTTCTTTCGAAATTAATCTACTTAAAGATGTTTTCAAACTGTTAAGATCGGAATCTGGAGTTGCGACTGTCAATGTTATCCCTAAACGCAAGAGTAAATCTGCTGAAAAAGCTTTAATTGATGCTGCTCTGAAAGCACAATCAGCAAACTCAATCAAAAAGGATACATATCATGATGCCGCCAGTTTCAAGGATTCAATGAAGACAAATTTCAATTTTGCAGCTGCCCCTACCTTTGAAGAATTTCATAATCCAGAAGAAGTCATTGAGCCTAAAAATATGAAAATGAAAAGTTTTGAAGCACATCGTTCTTCAACGGCAGTTCATATCCCTAAACAGCTGATTGTAGATTTGACTGCTAATATCGAAAGTCTTTCAATCTCAGCAGAAATTATCAGAGGATATTACTAATAACTTTGTGCTTCACGGTTAACTTTTTTGACTTTAGTCATTTCTTTTGTTTTGTTTTTCATTTGAGTCTAACTTTTTTCCCCAAGAAACACGAATTTATTTGTGTAATTTTACTTTTACTATTTGTGTAAGTGTATTTGAATTATTTACAATGAGCTATTTTTGTGAATAAAGGACTCTGCCCATCTTTGAAGAAGCAATTCTTCAATTGGGTCATAGTCCACATTTCCAACCTCTTTCTCCTTTTTTTTCAAATCCTTTAGTTGATTGACTTCCGCAAGGTAATATTTTGGTAAAACAATCTTTTGTAAATCCTCGTTTCCGCTTTTCATAATCCTTTTCAAAAATAGTTTATGAAATTTGCTGAACATATCACGATACTGTGAATCTTGGTTGAGAAAAAAGGAGTCAATCAATAGTGTTTCGTATTTAACTAGTTGGTCGTATTGAGAAGTGCTGAGATTATACTTTTGCGATACTTTGGAAAAAGTTTGATTTAGTATAGCAATCATTCCTTTCCTCATACCATCCTCCTTTTGCTGTTGTTCAGAGTTGGTAGTTTGATTGTAGTAGTCGTGCAAAGGACTCTGTGGGACAATGTCTATATTCTTCACTGACTCTGTAATGTGCTTTACAGTGTCATTTTTGAACGTCAAATTCCATGCTATGGTGCCGGACTGATCATCACTTTTGGAACCAAGACTTGATTCATTTTTTTCTGTAGGGGTATAGTATGGTTTTGAGATGTTCCCGGATTCCAGGTCCCACTTCCATTTCCTTTCCAGCAAGACTCGAATCTCTTTACTATTTGTTTTCTCTCCCACTTTTATAAAGGGATGTTTTAATAAATCTTTGACACTCAAACGTTTTGCGGGGTCTTTAATCAAGCATTTGTCTGTAAAGTCTTTGAAAGATTCTGAAAAACTAGAATCTAAAGATGGAGGTGGTCCCTCTGTTATTCTGAATAACACTCGCATCGGATCAAATTCGGTCAAAGGAGGTTTTCCATATGCCATCTCAATAGCAGTTATTCCTAGACTCCATACATCAGCCTTAAAGCTGTATTCCTCCTGCTTGATAATCTCAGGTGCCATCCAATATGGTGTTCCAACAAAAGTTAAACGTTTGCTGAGATTATTTGATAGTTGGGTTGCAACTCCAAAATCGGCAAGCTTCACTTCCCCATTCAAGCCTATTAGTATATTTGCTGCTTTTATATCCCTGTGTATTTTCCCATTGTCGTGCAAATAAAGTAAAGCGTTTAGAACTCTTCCAACTATGTAGCTTATTACCTGTTCACTGAAAGGACCTGCTGTTAGTAAATCTGAACAAGAACCAGCACCCAGATATTCCATGATAATCCAAAGCTTGTAGCCTTTCATAAAACACCCATAATATTGTGTGATATTTTTATGATGACATGTCGAAAGCATCAAAATCTCCTGTTGTATCTCTGACAAATCTTGTGTAGACTCAAGGTCGATTTGCTTGACAGCAACTTGTCTGTGTGTGACACGGTCTTGAGCTAAGTACACGACACCAAATGCCCCCCTGCCAAGCTCAGTCGACAAAGAGAACTGGTCAGCACTGAATTTTCGGCTCATAATGCAAGCTACTGGTTGTGTGAAAAGTAATTGCAAAAAACTCTGCTGCTCATATCATGTTTGACTCATTTAGTGAACCCAAACAACTAGAAATTGATAATTGAAACAAAATTATTCCTAATTCGGTATCTAGGGCGATTTGCGGGAGTTGTAAATTTGCAACATGATTTTGCAATATTTTGCTTCACACTGGACCTGTATCCTGTCGGAGTCTATTCTTTCTTGAAGGACCACAGGGTAGATCTCAAGCAAGTTGAAAATGATCATGATAAAAAGGCGACTTTGTGGATTTTCATTTTCTTTGCTCCACAAATACGGATCCCGTCCGGGGTCTCTCGATGTACGAGATTTCAGACGCCAATTGAGTTTTTCCAATTCTTCTTCAAACTCGGAATCGAGGTCAAACTCAGGAAGGATCAACCAGAATTCGAACTACAAGCAAAACAACAATTTTCCTTCAGACATCCTTGCTTCTGTGGATTTGGTTTTGGCCCATACAGCCTCGTCGGGGTCGTCGTTTCAATACCCTTCAGGTCACTCGTCCCTAACACCATCACTACTACGATGTATTCTTTTCGATAAGACCGGACGACATAGGGTAATGTCCATGGATGCCCAGAAAACGCAATCGCTACTGAAACATGATTTACTACCAAGAGACTTGAGGAAAATAGATAAAGGTTACGATGATATTGTTCCTTTGGTGGTTATACGAGAGAAAAGTATTCTTTTAAGTATACTACATATCAAAGCGTTGATAAAGTCTGACTCTGTTGTTCTGTTCAACTACGATAATACATACGCCGATAACAAATTGGTCAATACCATGAGTGAAAAACTCAAGAATGTACAGGGCGATAATCTAGATTATGAAATAAGGGCGCTTGAGACTATTTTTGCAGATGTGATTGACAATTTGATGATTGAGATGCAGATACACGTGACGGTTGTGAACGGTATTTTACATGAGCTAGAGAATGATATAGATTTGGCGAAGTTGAAGTACTTGTTGATTGTTTCCAAAAAACTCAGCCAATTTCTTCAAAAGGCTACCTTGATTCGTGATTTGATCGATGAGATGTTGGATCATGATGATGAATTATCAGAGCTCTATTTGACAGAGAAACTGAATGGAACGCAAAGATCGAAGGATGACCATCAAGAAGTGGAGTTGATCCTCGAAAGTTATTCCCTACACTGTGATGCAATTGTACAGACAATCGAAAGCCGAGTAAATGATGTCCGTACGACTGAGGAGATTATCAACATCATATTAGACTCCAACAGAAACGATTTGATGTTGCTCAATTTGAGGTTAAGCATAACGCTCATGTGTCTGGCGAGCCTGTTATTCTTGGCTGCTAGTTATGGTATGAATTTGGAGAACTTCATCGAAGAGAAGAATGCGTGGTTTTGGATAGTCACTGGAGGTTCAACAGTATTCAGCATTGTATTGTTCAGAATGGCAAGTAGGAAACTAACGCAATTACAAAAGATCCAGCTTACAAATAGGTAGTGTGTACGGAATACATGTTTTTTTTTTCATCTTCTTTTTCTGAGGAATGAGTTTCAGATCTATAGAAATAAATTATGTTACAAAATAGAAAAGGCTGGTTGTCGAAATCAATCGTTTTCTTTTTCCTTGGTATCTGTCGGACCTGATGCTTTGGAATCGGTTGGTCCCTTTGAGCTTTTGGCGGCTGTGACTTGTTTTTGCTTCATTAACACCTTTGTTAATGCACTTAATCCTGTTGTATCTCCTGTACTGCCAGTGCCGTACAAGTCTTTCCCGCTCGCCAAGGAGCTGAAAACGTCTTCTTTTGATTCATTTGGATACGGGTGTGATTTCTCTACAGCCTCGGATGGGTACCTCGGCTTGAACTTCTTTCTGCGGTCGTAGTAATAATCCTCTTCATACATATAGTCGTTCTGATATCGATAACCGTTGTTGTATCCCGAAGGTCCATAATTGTACGACCTCTTAGAACCACGATAGTTATCCGAGTAGTGAGATTGATGGCGTTTCGGTAATCTGTGTCCATACTGATGATAGCCGGGGTCTTCCATGTGACTGTAACTGTCGTTCGGCAAATGAGATGAGTAGTTTCTAGCTGTATTACTGTTACTCTCGGAATAAAAGTTGGTTGCCAAGTTCGAGGCAGAATCGTCCCTGTTCATATATGTTGGAGCGTCGGCTCCGTACTTGCTGTGGTTCAACGAGTTGTTCACTCTGTTTGTTGGCGGCTGTGCCGGGACCTTGGCTGCAAATGATTTTGCTGCAGATACTGCTGGTGCTGCAGCAGATGCAACAGTAGCTGATGCTGGAAGAGTTTTTACCTCCTCTTTGAAACGCTTGACGTCAGACTCGTGAGATTCCTCAAGGTTTGAAAGCTCTGCAGGATCACTTGGTAAAGGCTCGTTTGTGAAAAATGGCGACTCTAGACATTTCAGCGCATTGTACCTCTTCATTGGGTCGAGAGTCAACATTCCAGCAAGGAGTTTCAAGGCATCTGGGGGCATGAATGTGTTGAAGGATGATTCTAGAGTCCGTGGATAGTTATTTTTCAAGTCGATGCCGTGCCTGTTGATCAGATGGCAGTTGGGGAAGTTTTCCGGGGTCGGGGAGCCAAGCAACATGAAGATGATTTCTGCCTGGTGCACGTCGGACCGGCCTTCCAAAATCGGTTTTTTGTTGAAGAGTTCGCCGAAAACACATCCTATCCCCCACATGTCCACTGCGGTGGTGTATTTCCGGTCTCCGAGAAGCAACTCCGGTGGTCTGTACCAACGCGTGACCACCAAGCCGGTATACTCAAACTTTCCTCCACCCGGTGGCGAGTCTGCGGTGGCCGGGGGCTCGCCGTGGAACAGACGGGCCAAGCCGAAGTCTGCAATCTTGACTATGCCGAAGTGGTCCAACAAGATGTTGGCGGTTTTGATGTCACGGTGGAGGTAGCCCGACTGGTGCACGTAGTTGATGCCTTGCAGGATCTGCTGCATGAGGGACTTAATCTGCGGGAGGGAGAGGTCTATTCTCGGGTTGTTCAGTAGCCCGTTCAAGTCGGACGAGATGTAGGGCGAGACCGTGTAGAAGAAAGAGCCGTCCTTCTCGTGGATCATGTCCACAATCTGCAACACGTTGATATTTTTCAGCTTCTTCATGATCGTGATCTCGCGGAACGCGGTGATCGGGAAACCCTCTTTCTTGTCCTTCACGATGAACTTCTTGATGGCCACAAGCTTGCCTGACGACTTCTGACGGGCCTTCGTCACCACCCCAAACGTTCCCTGGCCCAATTGGTTGTACAGGTCGTAGTCCGTCAGCGTGGACATGCCCACAATCAACGGGCTTGTTGACACGGGCCCCCTGCTTGCTCCAGGGCCCCTGGCCCTGCCCTGTTCTCCTCCTGACCTGCTGCTCCTCACGCTGTGGCTGGACCCTGAACCAGAACTTTTCTTCTCCTCCTGTTTGGACAACGCATGGCTGCTCCCTACTGCCGTATCAAAGAGTTCCATTCCATCTAAGCTCTGGAGGGGGGTGCTTTCTTGAAAGTAGCGGAAGACGGTGGCAAACCCATCTCTTCTGAAGTGCCTCTATCCTTCTTGTTCAAATCCACCTTCCTCATGACCGTCTCCCTCTCTTTCTTGCTGAGCTTGCTGAGCTTTTTCAGAAAATACCCGCACGTGACCAAAAAACGTCGATCGTCCAAAACGGATTTTGCGCCGATCGTCCCCGGTCTTGTCACGTGCGGTGTACGGGTTTCATTTTGTCGTTTTTTTTTCTTGGCCGTTTTTCTCCGTGCAAAACACGGACTTACACGGCCCTTCGTCTAATCGACGCGACGCCCACCCTGTCAAGGCATCTTCGCCGAAGCCCGCGGTGCGGAAGCGCCAGATGCGCCTCTTCAGGCCCGCTGCAGCACGGAGTGCCGTTTCGCCAGACGGCACCCCCCGCGGAGAAAAAACATTTTCCACTCGCCCAGTTTTTCCTTTTTTTTTTCTCAGTGCCGATGAGGGACATCCGGCAGAGGACAATGGTGAAGATAGCTGGGATGGTAGCACTAGAAATGGCAACGTCAATCGGAATTGGGTTTGGTGGGTTCCAGATGCCCCCGTCGGGTAGACGGGGCAGTTGTGCTGTGTTGTGGTGCTCTGCTGTGGTGCTCTGTTGGGGGTCTGCTCTCTGTATCGTCGTGTAGTGCTGTTTCTCCCCACCCTTCCCGGTGTGTGTGCCGTTTCATGTGCACCCAGTGCTTACCCTGTCCGATCTTCGTCGTCTGCGCTGTTGTTGCGATTTCTCTTCGGATCTCTGTATCATCGTTCAACCCCCTCCTTGCCGCCTGTTTCTTTGTTCGCTTTGTTCTGCCTGTTGCACGTCCGCCGTTCTCCGCTCTCAGATCACCATCCCCCACCACACACCGCACTTCGGAATAGCCGCCGCATCGTGTCGCAACACCATATAGAATCATAAACGTTCACCACACACCCCACTTTGGATTGTTCCATGCTTGATTCCACCATTTAGCTACTTATCTTGCACATCTTTTTAGAGAAACTCGATTGTTAGGTTGTTTGTTCGTCTGTCTGTTGGTCAAATAAATCTTCATCGAAAAAGCTAGAAAGACCTATCTACAATGTTTTCGTCCTTCTTGCAACTCCTGTTTGGAGAATTCAGCTCCTTGTTCTCTTATCTTTCTCCGCTCTACGACCTCGTGAAATACGTTTCAGCTCCTTCGCTGCTCTCCGGCCCGAAAAAGGGTCAAGGTCAAGGTCGGGATGCCGCCGGAGAGGTCGGAGTCGCATCTGCCGGTTCAACCTCGTCCACTGGCGCCACCACTGTCGATGATAACGACGACGATTTTGGGTCGGACCTATTTTCAAAACCTTCCACCTACAAAAACTTTTCTTCAAGCTCAAAAACCCTGCACCAATGTGCCGTTTCTGAGTTTGACTACGACTTCACCTCGCCTAATCCCTTCAGCTGGGATTTCCAACATCTAGTCTTGGCTAACCAATTGAATTCAAATAACCCATCCCTAAACCCTAACGGTGGTACAAACAATAAACAACACATCACCAAGGGTGACATCGTAGACGAAAACCTCTCTGCTAACAATCTTGGCAACCCAAATGTAGTTGGCGCTACGAGTGTGAACAGTATCAGCAGCAATAACAACATCAAGAACAATGATGCTACAGCCTTGAATAACATCAATACTGGCAATAGTGATGAGGTCCCAGTTTCAACAAATTTACTCTTCAATAATAACAACAATGGACTTCAGAGCAACTATAATAACAACCAGAACTTGGATGGTCGGGAAGCAAGTGAAATTCTAAGCCAATTCAGTGCAAGCTTCCAGAACCAGCTAAAAAGAAATGAACTTTACCAGATTTACCAAAAGCAAAACCAAAGTCACCATAGCCACGAAGGCCCTAGTGATCAACTGCGCCAAGGTGAGCAAAGAATTGACTTGACTGACATCGGTATCCAGAAGAGTATCTGTGCAGAAGAAGCCAAAGATGCTCACATCAGTGAAGATGAAGCCGAATTTTCCGATGACGATTATGACGATTATTTGCAAAGCTCTTATCAACCTCAGATTTCTTCTTCCTCTACCCACCCTCCTTTGTCACACTCTTTTGTCCAGCTCAATCACAACCCTGTCAGTTACCATTTCGATAGTGAAAATGAGGACGATGATGAAGATAGAGACACTGTCCCATTGGATGAAGAACTGATGTTATCTTTTTTGAGACGCTCGAATGACAATACCCTTTCTGTATATTACATGAATTCGGACCTCTCGGAAGGTAACACTGTTTCTCCTCATACTGCCACCAGTGACAGTGTCTCCGGATCTTCGCCTACAGAGCATGCTAATATCCTCAAGCGTGAAATCGAACCCGACGCCGCCTTTGGAAAACATAGTAAAGATCGCAGTATGAAAGTGGAAAATGAATTGATTAATAATGAGCAAAGTATTTCCAGCTTTGCAGATTTGAAACCTAATCAGCAACTAATAATCAATAATGACAACAATAATATTGAACCCCAAAAGAAATATAGAAAATTAGCCTTTTCTTCAAAACCTTCCATGTCTCTAAATATGAAGGATACTTCGTCTACTGTCACATTCAACAATTCTTCATCGGATGGGAACAACACTTTACCTCCCACCGCAGATTTCAAGATGAACCAGAGTTTAGACGACTTGCAAAGATCAGACAAACTCTATATTTGTCCAATTTGCCAAACGACCTTCAAAGTTAAAGGATACTTAACGAGACATCGGAAGAAGCATTTCGCGTCAAAGCCATTCCAATGTCCATATTTTGACCCCACTGTGGATTACGAAGAAGGAACTGACAATGACATGATCATTCATCAGCATGGATCAGACTGTGAAGACGAAGAAGTTTCTCCTAATGGTATCTCTGATTGCAGTAAATCAAAGGTTCCAAGATGTCATCCCACTGGTGGCTTCTCAAGACGTGATACTTTCAAAACTCACTTGAAAGCTTTACACTTTGTTTACCCTACAGGTACCAAAAGTGGTGATAGAAGTGATAAGAAGGGCAGGTGTGCTGCCTGCTTCAAAGAGTTTAAAACTAATAAAGAATGGTTGGAAACTCATGTCATGACCAATCAATGTGAGGGAATGATCACCAAATATAAATGATGCTTTTCTTCTCCACCAATTTAATCATATATTCATCCATTCACTTCATTGATTAACTCATCCTATCACTCGCTCAAAGATGTTTTGATTACGTATAATAGTTTCCCCGTCTCTCAATTTATTTCTTTCCTTTCCATCGTTTCCTTCATTTTTCTCTTCTTCCTCTACTTCTTTTACTTCTTTTACTTCTTCTCCTTCTTCTCCTTCTTCTGCTTCTTCCAGGTCTTACTCTTCTTCTGCTTCTTTACTGTTCTCAAAATTCTCGCCACCTCTCATTTCTCGATCTTTTTATTACTTTCTGTTTCACATTGCCTCTCCTTTCTCGATTTCGTCGTTCCAAAATAGCTGTCTTCTAAATGTTCTGGGTTCTTATAATTTTACTCTCCTTTTCTCTTTATAGATTTTACAATATATACACTAGTGTCAGTATTTTTCGTAATTAAGTAAACAATTATCGTTTTTACAGTACCTAAACCATTTTAGTCTGCATCGTTGGCTAACTTGATAATATAGTTTAGTACTTTGTCACAATAGACTCCAGCAACCTTGCAATCACCGTTGTATCTTTCCATAATCCCCAGATACTTCCTGACAAGCTTCATCTTCTCAAGTATCATATTCATTATCTCATCTTTCTTGTCGCTTTTAGCACGAGCCTTGCTTTTTAGAATTAAATTCAAAATAACCGGTGCACTTTCGAACGTGATTCCAGAAACAACAGTTTTTCCAGTGGCTTTTTCTACAATTGTGACAGTTTTTCCTCTAAACTCATCGAAGTTCTCGATTTTGGAGGCGCTACCCACATTACAGTTGTCACGCTTCACCTTTTTCTTAAAATCGGCCTCACTGTCAATTCTACCTGCATCGCCAGTAACTTGTATACGCTCTTCATCTTCATTTTCACTCAAATTTAGACCATATCGATCTTCATTTGTGGCATCTGTGGCATCTGTGACATCATTTGAGTCCACTGGTTCAGGGGACTCCTCACAAACAAAATCAAGAACTTTGAGGGAGAGAGCCAAGGAAGATAGGAAAGACCAAGCTTGAACAACGGCCCAAACAGTTACAAATGGCATTTGGATCCACCCTTGGTTTTCAACTGGAACATTCGAAACGTTCATTGTCCACGTATTAAATTTGCACCACTCCTCGACAACAGAGCTTCCTGCGCAGCATGGACCAATGACTGTCTCAAACACTTCGTTCAAAGATGTATCACCTAGTGTTGCAGAGCAGACACCATCTCCCAATTCCAAAAGCAGTAGCATATCGTAAGAAACGTCTATAGCTTTGAAGAACCAAACCCAATTTTGCAGCTTTTCTTCCGGATCGGCTATTTCCTCTGATTTCTTGACTATTAAATCAGGTTCAACTTCAACCAAAGATAAATCATTGAAAGGGTTTATTTGAGATCTAAATGGCTTGATAGATTTGGCAGGGTATACCAAAAGCTTTTCACATAATGCAATGGAAAGTACCAAGCACGTTGTTCTGTTTACCAGAGTGCTAGTAAAATTGCTCGAATTGATGATGATATGAGGTTCTTTTTTCGGATGTGTTTCAAGTTGGTAAGGCTGTAAATGTTTGAATTTATCGTGAATCTGAAAGTTCTTATTCAACCTATGAGAAAAACGCATAATGGTGTAAGAGAACAAGGTCTGGTTGGAAATACTATCAAGAACTTCTTCTAGAAGTAGTAAAGAAACAATCACACATGCTGAATCAAATAACTTGGATCCATCTGGATATGTCGTACTAATTGAGGAAAGCGATAGCTTTTTGTAATACATCTTCTTGAAATCGTATAGCGTTTCTGACTCTTTATAGTACTTCACATCTGAGAGAGGCAGCTCAATGTTTTTGTTAAGCTTCAGAGCTGCATCTCCTTCTCCTTTTGAATAAGGATAGCCAAAACTCAATCTCCGAAATAGTTGGTTCCGATACGCACACCAGTAAGCTCTGATCATGATCTCTCTTTCGAGCAATGCTACTGAGCTGATTGAGTTATTGGCCTTCAATTGTTCCAACTCATTCCACGGCATACCAGATAGAGTGAGATCCAAATTAGCAAATGAGGCACGCTCAATACAACTATTGACGCAATCGTCTTCACCTCGTGTGCATTGGATCAGTGTACAAAGAATCGCACAGTTGGTCGTTATCTTATCTTCTCGGTCAGAGTAGACCTTTTCCCAATGTGATTCATCTAGCCAGACATTGTCAACCTCGTTATGAGAGATATATTTAGCTGACATCTTGAAAATTGAGGCCAACAACGCAACGGAGTCGTCACATAGATACAGATTATCGAGAAAATACGACATATTCGGCAAAATCAAAGTGTGCATGTTTAAGTACTTGTAGTAGACGCCAACCAATTTGTAGAGCGTCTGGTAGTCAGGTAGACCCGAAGCTTCCAATAGTGATGGATTGAGATACTTTGGGCACTTTACGTCTAACTTCAAAGGTTGATACTTTTTCTGGCGTTTCTTCAATTCTCTCATTTCATGCTCATTGGCCAATGCTGTCCTTTTCATTTCGTTTGACTGTTCGTCGATCCAACGTTTTGTAGTTGAAACGTCAGTAACTGAGTAGTCAGATAAGCCTTTATTCTGGTGTGAGTCGAACGAGTCGGATTGAGAGTTCGGGTTTGAGCTCTTCGAAGTATACTTATGATTGTTGCTAACAGTGATATCGCCTTTACGGGTAACATCTCCATTACTAGCACTATCATTACTTTTGCTGAAATCTGCATAATGATCCTTCCCACTAAGTCTTTTACCATTTTTGTCAACAGAAAGATCCGACTCATTTATGGCCTTGAATTTATTTTCATACTTCATTTCTGCTTGTCTTCTACGCTTACTCTCTATCATGGATACCGAATCATTGTAACTCAATGGTACAGACCAAGTATCGCTATCCTTGGTACTGTCGTTCACATAATGAGGGCCGCCGCGAGCCTCAACTTGAAAAACTTCTGTGATCTTCCCAGTACCGTGTTCTTCATTAGGTACTGAAACGGCAGATCCTGTTGAAGAGGAAATCATGGAACCAGAACCCTTGTCAATTTTCTTTTTCAAGTAATGGATTGAGTTTTTGTCCTCAAAATCAATGTATTTTACCCGCCTTTCGTTACCAGGAGCATGTTGGACCTTCCCGTTGCTCTGACTGTTTTGGTAGGATGTGTGCGGATAGTTAGGATAGAGTTGAGGCTGGGGCATGATGTAAGTATGAGATGGGAAATAGGGTTGATGCTGGTATTGGTATTGGTATTGATAGGGTGACTGTAATGGCAGCTGCACCTGTCCTAGCGAATGGAGTGGGTGTTGTGAGAGAGGAGCGGGCAACGGCGGAACTGAGCTCGAGGAGGACTGTTGGTGTGGAAGAGGTGGTGGGCCAGGCATGGAGGAATGCTGCTGTGAATCCTGCATGTAGTAAGGATATTGGTATTGGTACATATAAGGACTGGTCATCGGGTTGTTCCTGACGCCATTCATGTGAGGCTGGCCGTTTGAGCTGCGGGAGTTCATCTGAGGTTTGAGCTGCGAGTCTGTGTCGGATTTGAGGCCCGAGGCATAGGGCATACTGCCGACGGTGGGCGGGTGGCCCAGTACCTTGCTTCCATCTGCAGTGACAGTGGTGATGTGGTCCCGCTTGGCAGCGGAGGCTGCGTCCAGTGCTTGTTGCGGGTGGTACGGAGTCGGGTAGGAGCCGTTCATCTCGGAGTAGATTGGCACGCCATACGGAAGCCACGGAGGCGGCGGCGGGATCTGTTGCTGTTGCTGATGCTGCTGCTGCTGATGCTGCTGCTGCTGCTGTTGCTGCTGTTGCTGATGCTGCTGCTGGGAGGCCTGGGCATGCTGCGCGTGCTGCGGTTGCTGCGCCTGTCTCTGGGGAACTTTATCCGGTGGCTGCTGGAGGTAGGCCTGCTGGGGCCCGTAGTTCGAGTAGTAGGGCTGGGGCGGCACCAGCTGCACCATGTAGGGGTCTGCGGGCCTGCCGCCTGCGCCGTTGCGGTAGTCCTTCTCCACCGGGCACGCAGCAGCGTTGGCGGTGTTGTTGCTATTTTTGTGTCGCATTGCGGTGCTGCCGCTGCCGTCTTCGTCGTCGTCGTCGTCGTCGTCTTCGTCGTCGTCGTCGTTGTTCACGTGCGACGCCGAGAACGACACCATGGACGAGTTCTCCGAGCGCATGCCCGACATAGACAGCGACTCCGTCTTGCGCTTTCTGCGCCCGCCTCTCTTGCTGGGCACGAAGACACACTCGAGGCCCGTGGCCTTGCAGTTGGAGCACGTCTTGTACGACGTTGTTTTCGAGTTGGGGTTGTTTGGGTACGAGATCAGCAACTCGCCGTCGCACTTGATCTTCTTCTCTCTGCAAGAGAGACACGCCTTCTTGGCGACCGAGCGCTTCTCGGTCCCGCAGGACGACGCCGACGACTTCAGCAACGACGTGTTGCCGCTGGTCTCGGACATGATTGCCGAGGACGAGGGGGGCATGCGGGCTGTGAGGAGAGACGACGTGGTGGGGTGTTCCTGACTGCTGCTGCTGCTGCTGCTGCTGCTGCTCTGCACTTGTATGCGCTGCACCACTCTACACGGGGGAGCCGGAATGTGCAGCAGAAGAAGGAGTAAGGAGACGCCGGACAGAAGCAGGGCTTGCTGTCGGAGGTAATGGTATGCGAGGGTGTTTTTTTTTCCCTACTGCGATGGTGAACTACGTATACATTGTTGTAGACGGCGGTGGCAGGGGGGCGGCTCTGACGTCTACAAACAGCGCATTTTGTCGTGATGCGGCAGCAGCGGCAGTAACAGCTTCGCTCACAGCGTGTGCCGGGGCACACACCGCATTCAGCTGCCCGCTTAAACGCACGAGCCGCCGATCACTGCACTAATCGGGAAGCCGTCAGAAAACCGGTCTCTTTGTGACAGAGCCGCCGCAACGAGGACATGCCGAAAACGGAATGCGACCGGGCCCCGGGCGCTGCGTTTGCGCTGAGCATGCGTTTTTCGCTGAGCATTTGCCCTCGGAGAGCGACGCGTCGGCGCTGATGGCCCAGAACAGGCGGCGCGGGGCGTGGGCGGAGGGCGCGGGCGGAGAGCGCGGGCGTGGGAGTGGAAAAGAAGTGATCGTGCACGGGTCTCGGTTGGGAGTGGGCCATAAAGAGGAGACGTCTCGGGAGACAGCGCTATCAGTCAGATGGTGGCCTATGCGCCGGTTTGGTTGCGGTGTGGGCCGTCATCAGTTGTTCCTTGCAGGCCCCGTGCACGTTTAAATACAGGCAATTGCAGTTTTTCAGGAGTGTGTGTTTGTTGCAGACAGCTGTGTATAGTTGCAAGTGCCGACTTTCTAGTAACCAGCACCAGCCATCGATTTGCATCAGATCGATAAAGCACGCCTTTGCAGCAGCCAAACCAAGCTAACCCACGCAACCAGTACACAATGTCTAGCGGCTCTAAGCTCTCGTGGCTCGTCAACTTGGACGTGACCAAGACGCCAGAGAGAAACTTCAGACGGTCGTCGATCATCGGGACGATCGGGCCTAAGACCAACACGGTCGAGATGCTTGTGGCCTTGAGAAAGGCTGGGCTGAACATCGTGAGAATGAACTTCTCCCACGGCTCGTACGAGTACCACCAGTCGGTGATCGACAACTCGAGAAAGTCGGAGGAGGTGTATCCGGGCAGACCGTTGGCGCTAGCCTTGGACACCAAGGGCCCGGAGATCAGAACAGGCACCACCAGAGACGGCAAGGACTACTCCATCCCAGCCGACCACGAGATGCTTTTCTCCACGGACGACAAGTACAAGGAGACTTCCGACGACAAGATCATGTACATCGACTACAAGAACATCGTCAAGGTCATCCAGCCGGGCAAGATCATCTACGTCGACGACGGTGTCCTGTCGTTCCGTGTCTTGGAGATCGTCGACTCCCAGCACATCAAGGTCATCTCTGTGAATGCAGGTAGAATCTCCTCGCACAAGGGAGTCAACTTGCCAAACACAGACGTCGACCTTCCTGCACTATCCGAGAAGGACAAGCAGGACCTGGCCTTCGGTGTCAGAAACAAGGTCCACATGGTCTTTGCGTCCTTCATCAGAACCGCCAACGACGTGCGTGAGATCAGACAGGTGTTGGGCGAAGAGGGCAAGGACATCAAGATCATCGTCAAGATCGAGAATCAGCAGGGTGTCAACAACTTCGACGAGATCCTCCAGGAGACAGACGGTGTCATGGTGGCCCGTGGTGACTTGGGTATCGAGATCCCTGCTCCTCAGGTGTTCATTGTCCAGAAGCAATTGATCGCCAAGTGTAACTTGGCCGGTAAGCCGGTCATCTGCGCAACCCAGATGTTGGAGTCCATGACCTACAACCCGCGTCCAACCCGTGCAGAGGTCTCCGACGTTGGTAACGCCATTGTCGACGGTGCCGACTGTGTCATGCTTTCCGGTGAAACCGCCAAGGGTGACTACCCTGTCGAGGCCGTTTCCATGATGCACCACACCGCCTTGATTGCAGAAATGACCTTGCCTTACTACACCCAGTTTGCGGAGTTGAGAGAAGCCACCAAGAAGCCTTGTGACATCCAAGAAACCATCGCCATGTCCGCTGTCACCGCCACTTTCGAGCAAAACGCCAAGGCCATCATCGTTCTATCCACTTCCGGAACAACCGCAAGACTCTGCTCCAAATACAGACCTAACTGTCCAATCTTGATGGTTACCAGAAACGACAGATCCACCAGATTCTGCCATCTTTATAGAGGTGTTTACCCATTCCCTTACACGGGTGCACATGAAGAAAACTGGATCACCGACGTTGAGAACAGAGTTGCGTACGCAATCGATGAGGCTCTCAACTTGAACATCATCAATAAGGGCGATACCGTCGTCGTTATCCAAGGTCACCAAAGAGGTATTGGTCACTCCAACACCATGAGATTGGTTAAAACTTAAAGCTCGACAGGACCTTAGTCATATATACATTTTCTTCTTTGAAAATTACCTTTTCCGAAACGTTTATATTTACCAATGTTAGTTTGTATGCTACAACCTCCGTACTCGCCTCAGCTCTCCGTATGCTCCTCCAGAGGACTCTGGAAGGCAATGCACGCGGGCAGGTTCGTCCCTATCCCTACGGAAAAAATGTAGATCGAGAAAAGTGTTGAGCGAAGCCGCCTTTTTGAGGATCTCATTTTCACGGGCCACCGAGTTTTCACGGAAACCTTAACCAAGGTTCTCCCAACCTCCGCCCCTAGATGCCTCTCTCTTCCCCCCTCAAGCTTCGAGCCAACAACATTGGGTTATTCCAATTTTTTATACCCCATTCTGACCATAGACTCATATGACTGCTCCAGAGGAAAGAGAAAAGAATGACAGTCTTAACCAAACAAGTGCCACTATTGCTGATGGCGCAACGGAGCAGTCAAACCATCGAGAACGCTCTTTCAAAGATATAGCACTCGAGTCGGACTTTGGTACCGACAAAGAATCCAGCCGAATTTCCATATCTTCAATGCAAGCTCTGAAAGATGGATCGGAAATTCTTGAGCCGGATGAAGCTATTGTCATCGCAGAGTCTTCTCAGAATAATTTTGAAACTACGAAAGACGATGATCCCGAAGACAACAGGAACTCGATTATAGAACAAGTAGTGGCTGCAGCACAATACGGAGATATAAAGGTTTTGAAGTTCTACTTAACAAAATCTACGGAAAACTCAAACCCCTTGTCACCCAACCTAACTGACTCAGAGGGGATAACCTTGGTCCATTGGGCAGCCCTGAACAACAAATTGGCGGCCATGAAATTTCTAGTATCTATCGGGGCTGATCCAGACGTGCCGGCGGGTGACATGCATGCCACACCCTTGCTATGGGCCGTACGGTACGGTCTTGTTTACATTGCGGATTGGTTGATTAGAGAGGCCAAAGTGGATGTCAGTATAGTTGATAAGAATGGAATCGGCATTTTGCTGGCCTCTGTGTTTTCAAGTAACGTGATGATGGTTTTGTACATAATATGGACTTTGAATGATAATGGAGACTCGGAGAGCACCGCCATCGTCGGTTTGGCCGGAATCGACACAGTAGATCAGAAGGGAAGAACAGCGTTGCATTGGGCAGCCTACCAAGGCGATTTTTTGACTGTTGATGTCTTACTTGCAGCAGGTTCTAATGCCGATCTTGTTGATGCTGATGGTTTTACTGCATTGCATTGGGGATTGGTAAGTAATAGCAGATCAGTTGTTTCCTCTTTGGTGAATTACAAATGTAATATCAACGCTAAAACAAAGGAAGGGAAAAGTGCATGGAATGTTGCTTCCGACATGAAATGCTCCAGTATGTGGTACTCAATTTTGAAAGATGATGGTAGGAATCCAGTTACTGGAGAGAAAGCGAAAAGATTGTTATCCAAAATATCGGCAAAATGCATTGCATTTTTCTTACCATACTTCACCCTACCGTCTGCAATTGCCATACTTGTTTCCCCAATTATGATAGCAATCAAAATTTTTTTGCTCTTCTTTCTGTTGATAGCACAGCAGGTTATATTAACCAAAATAGTTTTGCCATCTTACAGGAAAGGTAAAATTAGTCTTCTGAAGTCTTCTTTTTTTGCCGGGGTATTTTCTGCCTCTGTTTTCATATGCATATTAATTTGGGTATTTCTATTGATGCCATATACATTGGGAGATGAAAACATCTCACACTTGATCTTATTGTTTGCGGTAACCGGCTTGGTATACTTTTTCTTTAAAGCAATGTTGATGGACCCAGGTTTTATCCCGAAGGAAATTGACTACAAGATAATTTCCAGCACAATATACGAACTTCTTGGAATGAGACAGTTTGACTCAAATCATTTCTGCATTCATTCACTAATCAGAAAACCCTTACGCTCAAAGTTTTCGAAAGAAAAGAAACTTAACATAGCTCGGTTTGATCATTACTGTCCTTGGGTGAACAACAATGTTGGAGTAAGAAATCATAAAGTTTTTGTTGCTTTTGCAGCTTTCCTTGAAATTGCAGTTATATGTTGGGCGAACTTGACACTCGAATATTTTGATGAGCTTCCAGATAAGGCTGCAAAGCACTGTGGAATTTTAACAGAAAATTTATGCTCGGGTTATTACGGCTCCACGTTTGTATTTTACTTTTTTTGGTGGATTATGTTACAGCTTGTTTGGTTATCGATTTTATTGATTGTTCAATTTGTTCAGATCTCAAAGGGATCGACAACTTATGAGTTTTCACACATGCATAAACTGGCTTCAAACGAGACTACATTTTCTTCCGTTCCCTCTGATGATCCTGTTGCGTTTGAAGTCCGTAATGAGGAAGTTGCAGACGGTGTCAATTACAATGAAGATGACAGCGACGCTGAAAATATTGAAGCAAACATATCGCAAACGTTGATTTCGGGCACACCTAGTGCTGACCCTGCAAAAAAACGGATATTCACTTTGCCATTGATATTCATATCAAAATTAGCATCTTCTTGGTTATGCCGGATGGTGGGACTTGATCAAATGGTGATACTTACCAACGATTTAATTCAAGAAAAAAAGCTTGACCGGCCCAAGTTATTGTATAACTATGGATTCAAACAAAACTGGTCTGATTTTTTGTTTTTAAGGAGAATTGGTGATGTATATTCTTTCAGGACCTTATTTGCGTTACCAATAAAAGGTGAGAGTAACCTCAATGGGGAACTAGTCGATTACTATAAACTTTATTCCGTCGGTGAGCCAGTATAACAGTTCAATGTTAGAATTTATACTTCAAATTGATGGCAAAATCGAAACATGTGGCTAAAGAGAGAATCTGCTTACTCGTTGAGATGAGAAACTAGACAGGGTGTTTAGCGAATTTAAATCAACAGCTTCATCAGCTTCATCAGCTTCATCCGAAGATGGCATACGTGCCTTTGAAGCGAAATCACACAGTTCATAATGTTTGCGAACTAATATATGGCAGATCCAAAATGTCAAATTATACCTCTCTAATTGTCTTTTTCGATTGTGTCAACTGCTTTGTTCAATTGTTTTTGTAATGAACTCAAGCGTTCTTTTAAAAGTACAATTTCACGTTGTTTTTCGACACCAATCCTTTTTGACCGAAAAGTATCATCAGTACCAAAGGGCTCGTTTTTGATCTCATTAAGTACACACCTAAAATCTGAATCCAGTTTTGTTAATAAATGTGGAACACTTAAATCATTTTTAAACTCGACTGTTTTATCTCTGTTTACCAAAAACGTTCGGTCTATAGGGCAACCTCCATCACTTGCCTTCAATTTCTCAAGACATTTATATAGGTTCTGAATAAAGCCAAATATCATGCAAAGATCGTTTTGGGCTCGTTCGTTTTCGTTTAATAAAGCTGACTTTACTTTATTGCTTAGCGATGAATCTCTTTCTATTTTTTGTCTTTTGACACTTGCTGTACCATTTTCATTAGGGTGATATCTTAATTTGAGTTTTTTCACAGATTCTTTAATATTTATTTCCGCTCTAAGCTTTTCTTTGGTGACCTGACATTTATAGGTCTCCCACCCATTTTTAATTTCTCTTACTCTTTGCTCCACTCCTTTTTTCCTTTCTTTCAAATCATCAACTGTAAATTTTAATTTCAATGCTTCAACTTCAAGATCTCGTATACGTCTTTCGTTCTTCAGTCTAATAATTTCTGCCTGTCCAGCCAGCTTTTTCCAATGAGCCTTTTCTTTAGCTTTTTCATTCATTAGCTTTTCTTGAGATATTCCAAGCTTTTTTGACATTTCAAGCTCGGTTAACAAAGAGCTAATGATGTTTATCACTTGTTTATCATGATTGTAAACCTCTTGGATTTTCTTTGGGGGCTCTAAAGTGAAAAATTTCAGTTTATTGTTTCCTCTAGATTGAAGTTTTGTATTGACTATTTTGGAAGCATTCATAATTGTTTGCCTATCGGTGAAACTGGGTTCAGTATCAATCTTGATGTAATTTTCACTATCATAATTTCTTTTCTTCCTCGAGCTTTCCATGATATCAGTTCAAGCTTTTACAGATGGCAGAGAAGAATTTATTTTTAGACTTCTGGTCTTGTTTATAGAGGCAGTGGCTAGGTTTGTCTGAAGGACATACCACATTTTTTACACCGATGTGATTGACTGCCAAGAATTTAGGGCTCAAATAAAAGGGAAACAAAGAGAATAAAATATTATTAAAAGAGTTGGAAATCGAACGCGACACTACCAACAAAATCGACCACCAGGCCATATGGAACAAAAAGCCAAAAAATTTTAATTTAGTACATATATATTGCCAGATAACGTAATCGCTATTCTACATTATGTGAACGACGGAAGGGGTTTTCTTTTAGTTTTGAAAGCAACATTGAATGTAGTAACGTTAGAAAACTAATACTTGAAAACATAACTACAAGGGACTGTTGAGATAAGATGCCGAAGCCAATCATGATCGAGGGATAAGAGATAAGAATCTTATCATGATAAGGTATCTTAGTGTTGAGATAAGATGCCGAGGCCAATAAGGATCGAGTGATGAGAGATAAGAGTCATATCATGATAAGGCATCTTGAGTAATCTAAAACTGGAAAGTTAGCCGCCATGATAAATGAATAATGGCAAGTTTAACCGAAGGTATAAGTATTAGTGTGTGAGTAAATTATGTTCTATTTTAATAAGCAACAAATATAGATAATACATACTGTTGAGATAAGATGCCGAAGCCAATCATGATCGAGGGATAAGAGGTAAGAATCTTATCATGATAAGATATCTTAGGGTTGAGATAAGATGCCGAGGCCAATAAGGATCGAGTGATAAGATATAAGAGTCATATCATGATAAGGCATCTTGAGTAATCTAAAACTGGAAAGTTAGCCGCCATGATAAATGAATAATGGCAAGTTTAACCGAAGGTATAAGTGTATAAATACAAGAGGTTTGTCTCTGTATTTATGACTGAGAGTAATAGTCTGTAGGTTAGTTATATTAGTTACATATAAACAAGCAACAAGTATAATATAAAGTGAACAATATACAATGGATATTCATAGCAGAATAGCTAGATGACAACACTTATCATGATAAGATTCTTATCTCTTATCTCTCAATCCTTATTGGCTTCGGCATCTCATCTCAACATAAATAAATACAAGAGGTTTATTTCTTATTCTTATGTTTGAAAGTATTAGTGTGTGAGTAAATTATGTTCTATTTTAATAAGCAACAAATATAGATAATACATACTGTTGAGATAAGATGCCGAAGCCAATCATGATCGAGGGATAAGAGGTAAGAATCTTATCATGATAAGATATCTTAGGGTTGAGATAAGATGCCGAGGCCAATAAGGATCGAGTGATAAGATATAAGAGTCATATCATGATAAGGCATCTTGAGTAATCTAAAACTGGAAAGTTAGCCGCCATGATAAATGAATAATGGCAAGTTTAACCGAAGGTATAAGTGTATAAATACAAGAGGTTTGTCTCTGTATTTATGACTGAGAGTAATAGTCTGTAGGTTAGTTATATTAGTTACATATAAACAAGCAACAAGTATAATATAAAGTGAACAATATACAATGGATATTCATAGCAGAATAGCTAGATGACAACACTTATCATGATAAGATTCTTATCTCTTATCTCTCAATCCTTATTGGCTTCGGCATCTCATCTCAACATAAATAAATACAAGAGGTTTATTTCTTATTCTTATGTTTGAAAGTATTAGTGTGTGAGTAAATTATGTTCTATTTTAATAAGCAACAAATATAGATAATACATACTGTTGAGATAAGATGCCGAAGCCAATCATGATCGAGGGATAAGAGGTAAGAATCTTATCATGATAAGATATCTTAGGGTTGAGATAAGATGCCGAGGCCAATAAGGATCGAGTGATAAGATATAAGAGTCATATCATGATAAGGCATCTTGAGTAATCTAAAACTGGAAAGTTAGCCGCCATGATAAATGAATAATGGCAAGTTTAACCGAAGGTATAAGTGTATAAATACAAGAGGTTTGTCTCTGTATTTATGACTGAGAGTAATAGTCTGTAGGTTAGTTATATTAGTTACATATAAACAAGCAACAAGTATAATATAAAGTGAACAATATACTATGGATATTCATAATAGAATAGCTAGATTACAACACATACAACAAAGAAAAGATTCCATCATTAGATAAACTTCAACAGTATGAGATGTTAAATTAAAAAATATGCATATTGTTATCAAATAAGTAACAAACTTAATAAAGAAAGAATATACATCATGGATATATTAGAAAGGATGATAGATAGGCCAAAACATTTAGTTTGTTTATAGTGCCTAATGCAGCGAAAGTTTGATTAAACGTAGCAAAAAGCTGAAGAAAGGCGTTTGAGAAAAGTCTTGTCTGCTCGCATAAACACATCAAATCCAGCTGAAGTATGATCGTGATACCTCATCATAGTTTTAGTCGAAACAAAACTTAAGAAGGCAGTGAAACGCATTTTTCAAGTGAATCCAAAATTGCCTCATCATGTGGTATAGCTTTGAATAGCATCATGTTTCCTGTAGCAAAAAACACATATAGGCCAGCATCTTGCAAAGCAGCAAGAATAGATGTATGAAGATTTAGTTAGGATGGTTGAGCGACAATTGCAACTTTAAATTCCTGTCTCGAGGGGGGATAAAGCAAACTGGCTCATGACTTGTTTTGATCTATCTATTGTTGCTATAAATCCGGGACGTATATTCTCTATTTGGCAAGTTTATATATATATTTTAACTTACTAGCAAACTCAATATCTCAAATATAATTAAAATACAAGGAGGAAAACGTCTCGTATTTATAAGCTTCTTGCGTCGATTATTGTTTCCAGTTTTCAATTACTCTAATGCCATATTCACAAGGATCTGATCTTTATGCTGCAAGCTTTTTTCTCATCTTTTATCCCTGCGCTGTTTATGACTAAATTCTCGTCATTCTGTTGAGATAAGATGTCGAAGCCAATAAGTTTCAACAAATTAGAGAAAGAGGTTTATGATGCCAAGGCATCTAAATGATCTAACACTGGACAGATTAGCCAACGTCATGAGCGTATAAATACAAGAGGTTTGTCTCTTGCATTTATGTTTGGAAGTTCTAGTTTGTAAGTAAGTTGTATTAGATATATATAAAAAACAAACAGCGAGAATAAGATGTAATGGATTGGATATTCATAGTAGAATAGCTAGACTTTAACGCAATCATGGCGTTTTATCTCAATAACATGGACTGAGAGAGAGAAAACAAGTCTATATTAACTATGGTTACATTTCTCAGGACAGGCATTCAGCAGTACTATGTTATACAAGAAAAATCAATAGAAATCTTGTACTGTGGATAAATTGTCTAATATAAGTAAACTTTGACAGAACAAGAAAAGCTTCATCTTATGGTTGTTTAGTCATTCTTTGGTATATCCATTTCAAAATTTATCTGATTTTGGAGTACATGAGTACTTTTTGCAATCTTAATCCATTTTAAATCTTTACTGTTCTTTTATCTCTGTTATGGTCATGACACAACCTTTTTCCATCGCATTTAATTTCAATAAGTTGGCCGATAACGTTTTTAGATTAGGGGGAGAAAGAAAAACCAGAGAAAATTTGGTGAAGGCACGTAGCGGTTTCGACCGGCAAATCGAACGTCAGATTTGGGTATAGGGGCGAAAGATTAATTGAACCATTCAGTTGGCTCCTGTCAAATTTTCTCTCAGGCTAGCAGAAGCTTTTAAATATTTTGTGAGGGAAAGCCATGGATTTTATGAGGTGAAGGGATTAGATCTTGGGGTCGAAATGACCTCAGCGTATTCTTAAATTTCAAGCATGTGAGAAGTCTCTATTGCTTCATTGAACGCGGACATTTAAATGCAAAGCTTTTAGCAGGTCACTTTCGAGCACAACGGGCAATGCGGCATGAACCGAACGCGAGTCAAAAGTGGCGTAACAAATTGTGTTAGTTTATTCAGACAACCGGACGGTGCTCATGGACGTCAGAATACACATCTACAAAAGATGCCAAAGCTGGTAACTTTACTATCTAAAGTAATAAATGCATGCTCGTCACTTATTTCTTCTATATATTTTTTGTTTCATTAATTAACAGACTCGATGAGGTTGAATGCCGTGGTTGATAAAGTTATAGCTTCATATTATCTTTATTATTTTCAGCCATATCTTCATCAACCAAAGAATTCCATCTCAACAGCTAATGTCGCCATTAACTATAGTACTCTATTTATTTAACCAACAAACTACATAAATACAAAAAAGGGAAGAGCCTTTTAGACCCCTCATACTGGTTTCTTTTTGAAAGTTATCAAGTATTTAGAGTCGGTGCAAATTCTCGAGTAAAAGAAAACTGCGTTTTTTTCCGGTATCCATCTACTTTTTTTACCTATTTTATAGCTATCTTACGTTTAGTATATACTAAATGAGATGTACAGGTACAACAGCGGTTGAACTAAATTTATCGAATTCAGTATAAAGAAAGCTAAAGCGGATTTAAGCATGATAATAGTCCCAGCTAAATTATCAGCTTGTAAGCGCAATTGGCACTATACATAACGTTCTGAAAGGTCAAATTAGCAGAAATGTTTTTCTTCCATCAACTGTTTATATTATGTACAGTAACCAGCTTTACTTTAGTGAGATATCTTTTAATATCCCCAAGAAAATCATACAGTGGCAGATAGTTCAGGCTATTGAGCAAGCATTTAAATTTACTTGTCAAAGAGGTTGAATTTTTCCGTTTCGGTTATTCGACATGCATTGCGTAGCAGCAAAATTCAAGCACATTTGAATGAGGACCAACAAACATAATTCTGAAAAGGGCTAAAGAGGTTAAATATTTGGCTTATCAAATAAAAGAGTAAGTAGTTTTAGGGAAGACCGTTCTCTTAAATTGAAAGCTTGAAATACAACTCTGGCCATCACCCGGCAAAAAGAAGCTTTACTCGACATAATTTGGTGACATCTTCACTTGCTGAACTCAAAAGTTGAATTGAGGAATTAGATATATGAACTACCAAGCCACTACTTGTAAATGTATTATTTGTAGAAATAGGTAAAGTGATCTAGCAAAATTTACATTAAATGTGTGAGAATTATTTAATTTCAAGAAACGGTATAGTGCGCAAGTAGAAAGAGCTGAAAACAATTAGCTTCAATTAGAAGCTTCTAGCAGTTAGAAAATTAGATGAAGTGTAACCCAAGAACGGTGTTTAAGTTAGCTCCTGAAGTAAATCTGTTTTCTTCAAGCACTACTGGCTGGGCTTGGGACAAGTAATTGAATTGTTAGTACCGATGTTCACTAGTAATGTCAAAAAAATTCTTGATCTTGATCACAGTTCGTTGAAGAGATGATCATCTCTGAAAATGTAGCAGCTATCCTTTGCAATCATTAAAAATAAATAGTGTGACTAGAAAGACTAAATTGTATCGAGTTTTAGCAGAAAGGCTCTTTCTGCAGCTCAGCAAAAGCTATTTTTATTGCTTCTGAATGCTATTATGGTATTGCTAGGCTATTTCACTATTTAAGTATCCCGAAATATCTTTAAACTGCTAGTAAAGTTTTTTTAGGCCTGGAGCGACTCGTTGCCATCGTGAAGTATTATCGAAACTATCTCAAAACATATCTGCTGCATGCCGAAACTCCGAGTACTTGCAACTAACCAAGTAAGTTTGAAGTGACAAAACCTTCAACGGCAAAAGTTGAAGAGAATACGAGTGTCATAGACAAGTGTCAAATATTGTCAGAATTTTTTGCTGCCAAAACTAGGAGGAAAAGTCTGTTTTAGTGCCTAGCTAGGATAAATGTTGAGATAAGATGCCAAAGTCAATGAGTATCAATAAATTAGAGAAAGAGGCTTATAAAAGACAAGGCATTAGAGAAGAACCTTGTAATGACAAGGCATCAGATAAGAGGCTTAAAATGTCAAGGCATCAAGTAATCTAACACTGGAAAGATTAGCCGACGTCATGAGTGTATAAATAGGAGAGGTTTTGTCTCCTATCTGTGTTTAGAATTATTAGTTATTAGAAGTTGTATAAGTTGTTTTACCTAAGTAGAAAACCTAAGAAAAGGTGAACAATATACGATAGATATTCATAATGGAATAGCTAGATTTTAACACAAACAGAATAACTCATATACAAATACGAGCAGAGATACCTCCTGTATTTAAGCTTCTGTTATCGGTTAGTCTTATATCACTTCAATGTGTTCCAATCTTAAGGTGCTAAACTTTACGTTGCAATCTCATAAGGCATCTTAGTGTTGAGATAAAATGTATTGAAGACTAGCTATTCTGTTATGAATATCCATTGTATATTGTTCACTTTTTCTTATACTTGTTGCTTATTTAAAAACAACTTATACAACTTCTAATAACTAATAATTCTAAACACAGATAGGAGACAGAAACTCTCTTATTTATATACCCATGACTTCGGCTAATCTTTCCAGTGTTAGATTACTTAGATGCCTTGTCATTATAAGCTTCTTTTCTAATGTCTTGTCATTATAAGACTTTTCTCTACTCCTTTCTCTTTATAAGCCTCTTTCTCTAATTTGTTGATACTTATCGACTTTGACATCTTATCTTAACAGTTCGTTAGTAAGCTAGAAAAATTAACTATGTAAGAAAAAAAGACCATATACTATCGATATTACTTGATTTATTATTCACGTTTTAAACTAATAAATTACATGAAAAAACCATTTATTACACTTATATTAGACATTTATCAACAGCTGTTATTATTAAAGTTCAACTAAGATAAAAGGATTTTCGATGTACGATTTTGATATTGGATTCATGTAGTAGTTGCCAAGTTCTCAAAAACTACGCATAATCACAGTTTCAATTATCTGTTACTAAAAAAAAAGAATTTTCAGACCATTATACTAAAAAAAAAGTGATAAGTTATAGTTTTACTGTATAATTATGGTACTTCACTATTTCTGTAGGTGTATCAAACAAATGAAAAGCGTGAAAATGCAGGTTCAAAGTCCTGCATAGTAGTTTTTCCGGAGTTTCCTCTTGAGTTACTCTAGTCCTAGATCCCCTGATGTTGTGATTGAGACTTCTGACTAAATTAAAGAAAACAAAGGAGAAGAAGCAACCTTAAAGAAAGCCTCTGTTGTAATCTGTTTATTCTTGATGTAATATCCATTAGTAGTAGTGTTTCTTTCATTATGTTGTATAAAACTAATATAACTAACCTACAAACTAATACCCCCAAACATAAATAGAAGGGACAAACCCCTTCAGCTAGACCTTCCATTATACATGTATCACGGACTTTCTAGTTTTGGATTACTGAAATGCCTTGTCATAATAAGACTCTTATATCTTATCTCTCGATCCTTACTGGCTTCGGCATCTTATCTCAACAGCCCCTAAGATGGTTGCATGAATTGTTAGCAAAACGCTCAAAAAATATAATAGGTCGCCCAGAGCTTTTGGGTATTTGTCAGTCTTATTCTTTTGAGCTATATACCATTGCTTCACTGAGTTTTGAGCAGCTAATATTTTTTGTTACGCATTTTATAACTTTATATTAGAACTTGACGAACAGAGTAGTGTGAAAAAAAAGCCTTTGAGCCTATCTACCTACTTACTGATAATTTTGAAAAGCAAAGAGTCGGTTTGAAGCTGTCAGAACTTTTTCAAAAATGTTTTTAGAAAATCTTATTTGTGAAGGCTCAAAATATTCATTGCTACTCCCTAAGGGTGACTTCAAGAAGCATGGAGAAGTTGAAGAGGTCTATTCGGATGAAAGCATCTTACCTCTGTATTTTTTCTCAAAAGGTTGTGTTGAATATAAATGCACTCAAAGCCGTGGTAAGCAATTCAACAGAAAACTCAAACGAATATGAAAAATCAGCAAACAAAAAGACCGTCTCAGGCACTGCTTTTTATCTTAGCGTAGAAATGTTTTACCAAACGTTTAAAATCTAACGTTGAAAGAAAAGTAGAAGCGTTTTTGCAAAACTTGGATTTGTTTTGCAGAATTTTGATCTTTTGGCAGCAAAAGGTATCACAAGCCACGAATGTGCCAATATCACAATGTTATTTGAACAAACCCTTCAACGATGAAATTTGTGCAAAAACTAATAGCGAAACTCTTACTAAACATATTCACTCAACCATTCAAAGTACATATTAAGCAAGACCTCTGGAACGCTATAAAAGTCATTGTTGAAGTCTAGTTATTCTATTATGAATATCCATTATACCTTATTCTCGTTGCTGGTTTTATATATATCTAATATAACTTACTTACAAACTAATACTTTAAAGCATAAATACAAAAGGCAAACCTCTTGTATTTATACACTCATGACGTCGGCTAATCTTTCCAATGTTAGATTACTTAGATGCCTTGTTACCATGAGCCTCTTTCTCTAATTTGTTGATACTTTTTGATTTCGGCATTTTATCTTAATAGTCCTTTCCACTGATTTTATAAAGGGGCTACTATCACTTAAAGTTGTATATATTGGTCCTTTTTGCTTTTGCTAACGCTACAATTTATCTTTTTTAACATAACCCAACAGGCTTGTAAAATATTCATTTCAAAAAATGAAATTGGTCCAAATACTTCATTTATCTTGGTTTTGTTTTAGGTTTGAAAACTGAAAAGGCTACTCCAGAGAGTGAAATAGAATATCAAAATTAATTTCGGCGATCACCTTTTTGGGTGGAATATCTTCTAAAGTGTTAAATATTGATAAGCGGCCCAATCTCACTGCGGTACGGGTAATAGCATTAAGTCTTGTCTACAAACTTTGTATCGCATTAAATAAAATGCTCTTCCAAAAATAATGGTTAGTTGGCTTTCCATCAAACGGCTATCCAGATTCCTTTGCGCTTTTACAAAAGCGTTGATGGCAAACACTTTGAGGGGAAACTGAATAAAAGGGGAGCAAGAAATTGGAATAATACTCACTAACTTCTTTGTCTTAATGAATTGATGTTTGAGGACTTGAGCAACAGCATTGAGACTAAATCTTTTGGATACTAATATTTCCACGTGAACAATTTTTTATAGTGACAATAAATTGACCACTTGTTATTTTCTACTGAAAGTATTAGTAACCTCACAATCGAAAACACATTTAGTTGGGCAATTCTACTAAAACCGAGGTTTAAAGTCTGTAGACTTAGCCAACTGTTAAGATAAGATGCCGAAGTCAATAAGTATCAACAAATTGAAGAAAGAGGCTCAAAATGACAAGGCATCTAAGTAATCTAACACTGGAAAGATTAGCCGAAGTCATGGGTGTATAAATAGGAGAGGTTTTCTCTCTTATCTGTGTTTAGAATTATTAGTTATTAGAAGTTGTATAAGTTGTTTTAAATAAGCAACAAGTATAAGAAAAAGTGAACAATATACAATGGATGTTCATAACAGAATAGCTGGATTACAACACCAACTAAAAGCGATATTTTTTTGAAAACAATTGGTTTCAATATATAATAGAATTTATTAAACAAAAAATCTGATTTACTGTTCACAATATTGGAGTTACAGGCCGTAAAAAGCATACGATGTAGGTGTGTAAAATTGTTGCTGTGATAATGAGTAAAGTTTCGCATAGAGGATGAGAGTTTCATTGCAGCTTTTTAATGAGGCTTTAAGACCATATAATCTATCATTTATCTTTGACGAGCGCTCTGATTTTGCAAACATATTATGGTACGAATATTGCATCACATACTCAAAAGAGTGTATAAATTCAGTTGATTCTCTCCGGACGTGATCACCCTTTCCCTCTTGTCATTCTTTTCAAAAAGCATACAAACAGCTGTTCCCTTTAAAGTTTAAGCTCTTCTTCAATTGGCATATTTGTCTTTGATGAGGGCTCTTCACACCTTTGGTGATATTTAACTTTTATTTAATTGTGAAACAAAGCCCAAAACATTTTTACTAACGGTCAACTTGGATGCTAGTAAGAAGAAGTGCCAAGAAAAATTCTCCAATGCTTCTGCTTATCGTGAAGCCATATCATTTAGCTAAAAACTATGTTCAAGATTTATTACCAAAATATAATATCTCTTCGGATCTCAGATAAAATTGAATACTGAGAGGAACTTAGTCATAAGTAACTCAGTAAAAGACGTGAGATAGGATAGATGTGGTAAACCTGTGAGATCGCAACATCAAGAAGAGATCCTCAGGTTCATAAGCATTGAGGTAACACCGATGCAAGAAGTGCACGATAATTTTGATTGTAATTTTGTTTGAGATGTTTAGATTGTAAATAAGTTTTGTACAATTTATATCCATCTCACGTAGATTTATTTTTTATACTCGTATATTCTCTCTACAACGAAATAATTTTTTTTTCTAAGAGTCATAACTTTCTGAGCTTGTGATTTGAGTTCGATGTTGAGTTGAATTGAATTACCACCAATATGCTTATAATATGTGTTGTTTTATATTAGTCTGCTAACTTCTACCAACATTTCTAACATAAGATAGGATTACTTTTAAAGCTTTAGCTAACATCCTAGTTTTGATTCTGAGTAGCAGTTTTTAAAGCTTATCTTGCCCTTGTCTGATATAAAGACTCGTTACATCAGTTGCATCACAAAACTCCATTTATTGATGATAGAAGCAACTAACAAATGTTTAAGCTTTAAATATTTGAGTATGGAACTACTGAACAAGCAAATATTGTTTCTTCTATTGGAAGCATCCTTTAATGATTTGACTTAGTTAAATTATTGCCATATCCCTCCAGATTTGTAAAATAAGCCTTTCTTCTTTTTAGTTATAAACCAAACACCAGAAATCAAATTTAAAGAAACATTATTCAACGAGTTCTTTATCATCTTGTACCCACGTGCGCTACCGCCCGCGGATTGTCCGACTGGACGGGCTACCTTGTCTTCACCGTCATGAACGCCAGCGGTATCTTGCGCAAGCTCACCCCAACCTTCACGTACGATTTCATCAATCTTTTCACCTCAACTTCATGCTTATGATCGTCTGCATGATGATTATCTCGGTCTTTCTTGCTCTTAACCATGTGGCTCCCCTACAACAACATCGTCGGTTACTACATGCTTGCTGGCGTCTACGGGTTTACTTTCGGCGCTAAGTAGACTTTGGCTCCCGATATCCCGCCACCTAATCAACCCAAATTCAAGCTTATGATCTCTCCGTCACTTCAGCAGCTATAGTTCTCATATTGAATATTTTATCTAATGTCTTTAAATGTCCACATAAATATATTCAGCACCTAGTGATGAAGAAAAACTTTAATACACAATTGCATATTATTCTAATTGTTCGTCTAAATATATATAAAGGCTTGTAAGCATTATACTGATGGTAGCAATAATTCCAAACTCTGCTGTTGATGATCTTAAAGTTTATAAAATTGAGAGCACCAATTGTTAGTTATCTGTTTCCTTTGGAAACGGGGTTATATTGGGTCCTAAAATAAAACAATAAATTTTTTTGATATCCCGTATACCTAGTTCTATTTCCTTATCGCACTGATGAGCTTTAAAAAGCTAATTCCAATTCTTTGCAAGATAAATGAAAAAGCTTATCAAAAAAGCTCCCACCACCAGCTGAAAAATAACGCGGCTTCGCTAAAGATATAGTACACTTCACATGTTATTATGCTTTAGCTGGCTAAAGGTTTTAGGTAGCTACATAAAGTTGGCTAGCTAATCCTAAACTACCAGAGCTCAACTTTTGTTTTAACCAGCAATTTCTTAAATTTCTCATAAACTTAGTCGGGTACAATAAAACTAGGTGTAACATCGACAGACACGTGAATAATTGTTTTATGGCTACCAGAATAATCTTTCTTGGACCTTAGCTCAACTTAAAGGTTTTGATAAAATGAAATGTCTCCCTAGAGTATCAGAGATTATTGTGTGTCCCAGCGCTAAGCACAAAAGAGCTTAAGCACACTCATGCCGGGCCATCCAAACCATTGAATCGATGTCTTCAAACCCTGCAAGGCCGTGACCAAGCCACCAGACGACATGTTGTAGCTGTATGTGTTGCTGCCCTCTGTATCCTGGCCGTCGGTTTTATCATCTTTGGTGATTGTAACAAATATCCTGTTAGACACAACGGAAGTTTTAAAATCATTGATAAGAAAAAAGTGTTTATTTTTTCTCGCAGTGAAACGCTTTGGAATTTGTAACAAAACAAATTTGTTATATTACACCTTGGCTATTCTTTTCTCAACCTATTTGAGTTATATCCATTGCTGACACTAAGAATCGTTCAATGTTTTAACGTTTAGCAAATTAAATATTGAGCTCTTATGTCTTTCTCCCCAAAGTGAAATTATTTTGATGATTTATTGCTTTTGGAAATTGTATTTCGTAACTAATGTTTTCAGCATAGTATTTGGGAGGTTTGCTACTTAACTCAAATGTCAAACAATTTAAACGCATAACAATGTACACTTTCCTGGAAGCTTTGAAACCATTTTTGCGTGTAATAAGTTTTGAAAAAAATGTCACTGCTAAGAACGATAACAGCGCCGCTAGTGAAGTGGTTTTTGTTGAACAAAAATGCCAAAGCCAATAAAGATTTAGAGATAAAAGATAAGAGCTTTATAAAGACAAGGCGTCAAAGTAATTTAAAACTAGAAAGATTAGCCGAAATAATGAACTTATAAATAGAGGTTTGTCTCTTGTATTTATGTTTGGAGTATTAGTTTATATGTAATTTATGTTAATTCTGTACATAACAACAACAAACAACAATAATGTAGATTACTAAGAAAAGATTTTGAATCAAGAAAGAACATTACAGCAGTTTCTAGCTTTATAAATACCGACTAATAAAAAGTATTTGTTGCTTCATACTTCCACGCCAGCAGTTTGAGAACTCTGCTTACTTTTTGCCAGGCCTTTCGAATTTTTGCGTCACTTTTTTAAGGGCGGCTCTTTTCTAAAGACTTACAAGAGCATCTGGATAAAATTTTTTGTTCTAGTAAGGCAGAGCAACTAAATGGTTGTCACCTGCAATATATGTCCAAAAGCAATCAGCTATTTTTATTTTCAAATACGAAAAACGCTATTTACAATGTTGTAAAATGACCTATTAGACATCTGAGGGGTAAATGGTTGTAACATACAATCTTAGAGTTGGTTTCCGGTGCAGAGCCAGCTTTTTGTTGGTTAGCTCCTGAAAGTTGTATGAAACATGTTGGATCACAACATTACTGATGTAATGCAAAAAGTTTATCATGTAACTTTTGAGACAAATTTGATCACGACATCAATGACTCCTAGTTTCGTTTCTCATTTTTTGAAAGTAGCTGACTCAAATGGTGCATCCCTAAAATTACTGAAAGAAATCTGCTGTTTGCAGATACACCTCAAAATCAATCGAAGGCAGTTTCAGATTAAACAAATTTTTCTTTAGCTAATTTGAATTTGTTTTTCTCTGTTACCATCATGCTTTACCAGTCAATATTTTGTAGCCTTCCAGAACCTATATTGGCTTTGCAGAGTAATCTACCATAATCATTTAACAAGTACATGTCCTTTACCACAGATTTCCGTGAGCAAATTTTTTTGTTCATTTTTCTGCCCAATTGAAGTATTCTCGAATGCAAGCATAATCTAAAATCTGAGAATTAATTTAGCAGCTATTTATCATTCCTTTTGGATCATTTATAGTTAATTCCACCAGAGTAAGCTGGTAAACAAGGTTCCTTAGATGGCACTTTGGCCCTAGGAACACACACCAACGCTAGAGCTACAACTGGAGTTGAATTTCTTGACAGCATTGTTGCTCGAAACAGATAACATACAGGTTGCCATTGATGACTGTAGCTCAGTAAGTTAAATTCTCATTCCCTTATTTTTTGCTTCCAAAAGTAACGTTTTTTTGGCTCATCAATTTGTTAACTTTATCTGCCATGTTGCTGAAGTTTATCCATTTTTAATGTAAAGCTTTCCAATTGATTCTTTCATGTTTGATTATTTTCTTTCTCAAAAATCATACTCAAAATTCTAGCCAGTATCTGCAAGTTAATTTACAATAGAGTCCAGTCCCACAATGGAGCAATAATATTTCATCATGAAAACAAAATAATCATGATTTCGGTGACTTCAATATTCAGCATATCATCAAGTTGAAACACTTTCAGATAACAGCTGTCCGATTTGTTGCTAAAACACCCTACTAGAAATTTCTTAATAGTCTGATGAACAAAAGCATGAAGTTTGAAACTTAAGTCTAATTTTTTTAGGGACGTATATTTCTAGCTATATTTTTTAGAGTTCACAACCCATGTTACTTTATCTACCTTGTGCTCATTGAGAAGCCAAATTTCGAAATGTTGCAAAATCGTGGAAAGGGAAAGTAGCAAAACAAAGAAAGAAAGCCTTCTTATAGGAGTTATGTCAAAACATATGCACTTTCCAAAAGCAAATGGATTCAAAAGTAAGCTGAAAGGACATTTTTTTGAATGACAGCTTCATCTATAATTGTATGTGGAACTCTCAAATCAGAAACATTTTTCTATTTGCTCCAAACTGGTAGAGCTAGTAGGTTGGGACTCAAAATTCTATACTGTGAGAAAATATTTGGTGAAGTATATCAACAAGGAGATAAAGGTGTGGAGAAAAAGGATCAGCTTTAAATCCAAATTTTCAAGCATTAACACACCAAGCTCACCAATGCTTCAGCTTCCAATCATCTAAAAAAGGATTTCATTTCTAAGTTGATAATGTCTACGATACGACCCATGAGGGCAAATTTCAAGGATGAAAACTTGATGACACTGCTTAAGCTAGAATTAACATTCGCTGAATGACATGACACACTATGGTAAAAACTTGCAACAGTGCATCATCTGAGCACACAAACACCAACGGAACTCGACCTCATTGACGATATGTTCAGAGTTTCAAAGAGTGATTATGCTGCTTCAAAACTGCCTTCATCCTTTTTCTCTTATTTGAAAGGCCTTCCAAGAATAACAAGCCAAACGAAAACGGTGAGAGATATTACACGAATACATGCTACCAAGTTCAATACCACATATTTGTAGATAATAAAGTTGTGCTGCCAACCAAAGATAGTAACTTCTTGTAATCTCACCACTTGTTGTACCACTCAATATTCCACAAAAAAGCCAAAGATTGTAATGAGGAAAATTTCAGAGCCATCCTGATTAAGGCTCACAAACATCCTAATCATTATTTGAGCAACGATTATTCTCCATAATTCTCAAATCAATTAGGAAAATCAACGCAGCTTAAATAACATAGCCAAAAAAATTAAACACAGTTGAGTTCAGCTAGGATATGTTGTTTATCCTTTTGTTGTTGAACTAGAAGCATCCATTCAGATGTTATGAATAGTAATGCTAACTCAACGGTTTGTTCAAATTGTTTCAACTAGCCCTAGAATATCGGCCTGACCATATTTACAAAATCGCTACAACCTAAATTCTAAGTAGCTTGTTTGAAAAATTTTTGAACGCTTCCCTCAAAGCTACTTTAGTAAAAACCTTCTCACGCAATATAAACAAAATCCTTAACAAGCAGCATAATTGACTTTTTTATGAAAGAGTTTCCACTTAATTTGTTTAGGTGGCATTGTTGAAGTCTAGCTATTCTGTTATGAATATCCATTGTATATTGTTCACTTTCTATTATACTTGTTGCTTATTTAAAAACAACTTATACAACTTCTAATAATTAATAATTCTAAACACAGTTAGGAGACAAAACCTCTCCTGTTTGTACACGAATGACGTCGGCTTATCTTTCCAGTGTAAGATTACTTGATGCCTTGCCATTCTAAGTCTCTTATCGGATGCCTTATCACTACAAGGCTCTTCTCTAATGCCTTGTTTTTTATAAGCCTCTTTCTTTAATTTATTGATACTTATTGACTTCGGCATCTTATTTCAACAGGCATGCAAAGGCAGCAATTTACAACTAAACATAAGTTTAACCGTCTCGCTTCTTGGAATTAGTGCTCTCCGAGTAGAAAAACCAGCAAACTGCTACGTACAAATCTCATTGGTATCAGGTTACAATTTTGTGCTGTGAAGCTTCATGGTAGTTCTCCTGATTTCTTTTTAAACTGAGAAATCGAAATCAAGACTTTCCTTACAAAGGGCGCACAGAACTTTAAACTACTAAAGCCTAATTGCCTGCCACACACCAGGCAGACATCAACCAGATATACAATATAAATCTGATTTCTAATTACATTTTACAGCTATGATAAAATAGTGTCATTGCTAGCTGCAATCAGCAAACTTGAATCATGTGAGGAAATGCCATATAACTGCTGCAGTTATATTCCATAATGCTTTCTCAAAATTAAACAAAAATATTTGCATCCTCATGTTAGCATTGGCAAGAATCTTGTTTTTAGGATTTTTAGTCTAGTCATATTTCACGTTTGGGAATGCTTGGCTCTTAAAATAATGCAAAGTTTTTGTTCTCCGCAGTAGGCTTTAAAAATAAGTGTCCAAACTTGATGGCCCTGACCAAAATTTAGCCAAGCTCAAGCATTTCCGATAAGCAAATACTTGTCTTGTGACTGCTTGACGGGATTTAACTAGTCGAACCAGAAAATTTTACAGAGTGTAAGTAAATTTGAGATTTATAAAAACTTCAAAATAGCTACTTCGTATCAAATCTTTTTTAGTAAAATAACTTGCAATAATTCCTACTAAAGATTGAATTCTGCAAGGATTTTAAATTGCCATTTGATATGATATTGTACTTACTAAGAAACCAATCTCAGATTGTGCAATTCTTGAAAAACCACTTGTTAGTAGAATTAATAATGATGTTCGAGGGTATTTTCTGTTTGATATTTACCGAGCGCCATAAAATCGATCTCGGGAAGCAACAATATGAAAAGATCAAAACGACAAGCTATTGTTCAAGTATATCATAAAAAAGAGTAATGGAATGCTTCCGGCTCAGCGTTCGGATTATACTTGTTCTGGCTAACAAATTAAAGGCAGATTGGAGTGAGCAGAGGTTATTTGTTGATACTCAAATTGCATTTCATAGTTTTTGACTATTATCCAACTCTATTCAACTACAGAACCACTGTCTGCTTTCTCTTTGCATTATTTGCTGAAGGATGATATGGTTTCAAGCACTTTATATTTAGCTCCTATTTCTTGCTTCTTCATACAACATTCAACAAAACTACCTACAGACGACATCATCAACCATTGATACAAAGGATAAACGTCTTATAGACTCATAAGTCGAAAAGTTTTCGAATTTTCGTATATAAAGCTCAAATGATTTCATGAGCTGTAGACTTGATCATTTTTTTCAATGACAGGGATCTATATATACGAGGGTCAAGGAGTAATTTTTATAGTTGGTTGCCCCATCCGATAATGATTCAAATTTAAGCGTTACTAAATGTGTTGTTATCAGAGCCTTCAAGATGAGAGAAAAGAGTTAGAAAGCATTAGATAATCTTGAACTTGGGAGACTAAATGAGGCAAGAAGTTTATAAACACAAGAAAATTTCCTGTAATTTTATGACAGACACACACACACAATTAATTTGCTAGTAGATAAAACGGATTGTATATATGTTGAAATAAGATACCGAAGCCAATAAGAGTATCAACAAATTAGAGAGAGAGGCTTATAATGACAAGGCGTCTAAGTAATCTAACACAGGAAAGATTAAGTGCATAAATACAAAAGGTTTGTCTCTTGTATTTACGCTTTAAAGTATTAGTTTGTAAGTAAGTTATATTAGATATATAAAACAAGCAACGAGAGTAAGATATAATGGATATTCATAATAGAATAGTTAGACTTCAACAATATACATTAAGTAACAAAATAAGAAATAGAAACCAAAAACTATAGATATATTAGCCTGCGTAGATAGCGCTCATCAGTTGAGATACAATGTCAAGGCTAATAAGGATTTAGATATGAGCAATAGCAAGATCAAAGTAATTCATGAGATTGAAACATAAAAAGATGCTTAATAACTGGGTGCACAAAGCGGATAGTCCCAGTACCTTTAACAACCAGAGGATTGGACGAGATCCCCGTAATGCAGCCAGACGCCGTAGTAAACTCAGTAAAGTGAGACCGTTCATTTGAGATGTTAAGTGTAGCACCAGAATCCAAAATGTAGCTCCGACTTGGCATAACTGAGTCTTCTCTTGAGTTGAAGACTGCCCAAGAGATACCAGAGATAGATTTGGATGAGGAGTTCACAAGAGCTGCTGTAGTACCACTAGAACTGCTAGCAGCAATCGGGGCAGCAGCTGGACAATCCTTAGCAACGTGGCCTCGTTTCTGGCATCGGTAACACTTCTGCTTATTAACATAAGGTTTCTTGGAAGTAGCCGCAAATACTGAACCCTGCGTAGTAGGAACAAGATCCCGCAGAGTGTTCTCAACCGCTGACAACGTAATGTTCGGAGTTGACACATCTAAAACTCGAGCATTCGCTTGGTCGGACTTAAACATCCTTAAGTAAAACAAACCCATCACTTGGGTAATTTCCGAGGAGTGGTTAAAGTGAGCACATATATCTCTGAACAAGGACAGAGCACTTTCATCACCGGCAGACTTACTGACCGAAGCATCACAAGCTTTATTAACCATAGCATACAATTGACGTGATGTAACCTGGGAGTAATCACGTCTAATCAACATAAGTAAATCAAGTCCGAACGCATTATCAGACTGATACTTTAACAACACTTTTGACGACACAGTATTCAACAGTACAACTTGAATCGCATTGTTCAATGCAACTTGGAGCTGCATAACTAGAGTGTCGTCTATCGGTTCAGCTGGAGGTAACATCATATCTCCAGTTGTAAAATAAACATCAAGGCCAGCACCTTGAGTGGCAACAAGCATACCAGTGTAACTGTTCCATTTAGGATAATTCATAGACGAAGAAAGCTTCAAGCTCTCATCTCTAGGGCAAGTGAGAGCGAATTGGCTCATAACCTGTTGTAATCTAGCTATTCTATTATGAATATCCATAGTATATTGTTCACTTTATATTATAGTTGTTGCTTATTAATATATAACTAATATAACTAGCCTACAAACTAATATTCTCAAACATAAATACAAGGGACAAACCTCTTGTATTTATACACTTACACCTTCGGTTAAACTTGCCATTATTCATTTATCATGGCGGCTAACTTTCCAGTTTTAGATTACTTAAGATGCCTTATCATGATAAGACTCTTATCTCTTATCACTCAATCCTTATTGGCCTCGGCATCTTATCTCAACCCTAAGATACCTTATCATGATAAGATTCTTATCTCTTATCCCTCGATCATGATTGGCTTCGGCATCTTATCTCAACACTAACTTTCCAGTTTTAGATTACTAAGATGCCTTATCATGACAAGATTTTTATCTCTTATCCCTCGATCATGATTGGCTTCAGCATGTTATCTCAACAAGCTAGTCTTCAACAAGTCGATCCTTACTTCTTCTCAACACTATTCAAACCCTATAACTTTTGAACTGATACGTGGCATGGTGTTGCTCTAGTCTTTTAACAGTATAAAAGCTCTAGCACTTTTTTTTGAGGTAAAATCCTTGTTAGCTCAGTTGGTAGAGCGTTCGGCTTTTAAAATTCGTAAGAAGTCGACCGAAATGTCCAGGGTTCGAGCCCCTGATAAGGAGTTGAACTTTGTTTTTTTTTCTCGCGGTTAATTTTTTTTGCGGAAGAAAAAGCTTTCTTTTATTTTGCCCCAAAAGATAAGGATCCCATGGACGGTCAACGCATGTCAATGGATTTTACTCTTTTGATCAAGCTTTAGGCTAAGAGCAGACCAGTGTATTTTTTTAGTTACAATTCCAACCTAGAAAGCAGCAAATGTCGGATGGAGATCCTTTAACTCCTCAGAAAAATACCCAACGAAGACGGCCCACTGGGTTGTTTTCGAAAACCATAGGACAGTTACCTAGGTCTTTACTTACTTCTAATAATGTTGCCATTAATTCTAAACGGAGAAAGATTCCATTGACATTTTTGCCACCAAGCACTAAATCTCCTCTTTTCGTCTATAGTAACGATTATGACCAACGATCATTTTTGAGTCTGTGCTCAGGATCCCATATAGATGAAGCCGACTCTTTTCATGATAATTTGAGAGGTGACAATGAATCCGTCTCAACCTTCAGGTCTTTACCGTCGACACTCGAAGGGAACAATGATGAAATAGAGAGTATCCATCAATGGCTTGATGAGGAGAGAGAGAGAAGAAGTCTTGTGAGTGGTGAAGATTTAGGAGAAACTTATGGTGCCATCAATGAGGGCAGCGATGATATAATGGCCCGTGCCGACAGATATTTCCCAAGTAACACCAGAAGATCTTCATTTCTGAGTCTTGAAGGCATAGTCAAGGATGAAGAAGAAGAGGATTTTGAGTTCGAAAAAGTCACAACAAGAAAGGAAATTGATAAGCTTTTCCGTTACTCAATTCCTCTAATAATAACATTTTTTCTAGAGCAAATATTCTCCCTGGTTTGTGTCGTGTTTGTTGGCCATCTTGGGAAAGAGGAATTAGCAGCAGTTTCTATGGCATCTATGACTTCCACCATCGTTTTGGCAATCTTTGAAGGAATTGCTACATCTTTGGATACATTATGCCCGCAAGCATATGGCGCAGGTCAATACAAATATGTAGGGATTCACACACAGAGATGTTCATTATTTTCATTGGTAATGTTTGTCCCAGCAGCATTGTTCTGGTACTTCAGCGGATATTTTCTTTCCTTTATCATAGATGATAGGAAGGTTATCAAACTCACACAACAATTTTTGAGAATCCTCATTCTGGCAGGGCCTCCTTATATCTTGTTTGAGAACGGTAAAAGGTTTTTACAAGCCCAAGGTATTTTTGATGCTGGGACATACATATTGTTTATCACTGCGCCAATGAACATTTTCCTCAACTGGCTTTTGGTTTACTCCGAAACATTTGGCTTAGGATATGTAGGAGCACCAATAGCGTCCGTTATAAACTTCTGGGCAATGCTTATTTTCATGATACTCTACATCGTGCTCGTTGATGGCTCCGAGTGTTGGGATGGGTTTACACTAGACGCATTCAATCATTGGTATGATCTATCCAAACTTGCTTTTCCCGGAATAGTGATGCTCCTAGCAGAATCTATGGCATACGAGGTTCTTACACTGTTCGCCTCTAAATTTGGTACTTCGGCATTAGCTACACAATCTGCGCTTTCTTCGGTGGTCTCATTACTATATATGATTCCGTTCGCCATAGCAGTGGCATCGTCAACTCGAATTGCCAATTTTGTGGGGGCTGCAAATATCCAAGGTGGTCGCATAGCTATAAACGTAGGGTTTATCTCCTCCGTTTTGATAGCACTCATCAACTCCGCAGTAATATTTTTCGGTGCACGACATATAGCACTATTGTTTACCGATGACGAAGAGGTGATTACAATGTTTGTCAATCTATGCCCACTAATTTCAGTTTTTGTTATCTTCGACAGCCTTGCGTGCGTTGCAAGTGGAATATTGAGGGCTCTAGCGATGCAAATGATTGGAGGCACCATAAGTTTAGTTGGTTACTATATCATAGCGGTTCCCTTGGCGCTTTATTTGAGTTTCCATTCAAACCTACAGCTATTAGGACTTTGGCTGGGTAATGGGGCGGGCTTGCTTACAATAGGAATAACTGAGATCTGGATAATATACAATGTCGAGTGGAAAGAGGTCATAGAGCATGCCAAGTCACTAGCGTTGCATGGTGACTCATAGAACCTGTCTCAACAATATAATTGTATGTTTGTATCATTGATGTAGGAAACCAGCCACTTGGCTGTATAGACACAGAATTTTCCTTCACCTTGACTGACATGAAATTTGTGCGCCTGCGCGGAGTTTCCGATTTAGGAAACCAGCCACCTTGGTTTAACGTCCGAAATTCTACACACGGCCCTGCGAGTATTTGGATGGCTGAGTGCTGGTGTTTATCTTTCCTTTGGTGTTTGGAATGCTTGTGTTGCGAAACAACACTTTTCCACACTTCTCCACATTTCTGTTTACATTTCCAGCGTATGTAACTAGCACCGGGGTTTTGTTTATGATTTGGCTGGATCAAAACCAGAGCTTTTGTTTACGTTTCTGCTGGGCTTGTCATGTCGAGGCCTAAAGAGCGTGCAACCGTGTTTCAGCATTCTTCATTTATAAATAATTAAAGTTTCCTTCATTCTTTTAGCAAGTCTGATTCATACGTATTCCTTTTCGTTTTTATCTTCTCCAATAACTTTCCTAAATAACTAATCTGAGTTCATCTCGCAGATCTAAAATAATCACAACTACAAATGAAATTCAACACCTTACTTCACTTGGCTTCAGCTATTGCTTTAGCAAAGGCAGATGGCTATGTGCCCGGTGAAAACTACTCCACTTTCACACCAACAGATGGTTATTTGGATGGTGCCACCACGCAATTCCCACAACGGTTCGGGATTGCCATAAATCCTATCACTTCTTCGATTGCCCTAACGTCGGTCACAACTTCTGTTGATGGTACTGTTGTTGTAACACAAATTGGAGACGGACAAATTCAGGCTACAACCGCCACCCCATCACCAGTAGTGGTGACTCAAATAAGTGACGGTCAGATACAGGCGTCTACTTATACTCCAACGACATATGAATATCCGGTGGTCACACAAATCGGGGATGGCCAAATTCAGGCGACCACTCTTACTACCGTGACACTCAGCTCAGCATCTACCTCCAGTGCCGAAGCTGATACCCAATACCGCCCTCTTATCTCAACATCCTCAACATCATCAACATTCTCAACATTCTCAACATCCTCAACATCCTCAACATCCTCAACATCCTCAGCATCCTCAGCGTCCTCAACATCATCAACATCATCAACATCATCAACATCATCAACATCATCAACATCATCAACATCATCAACATCCTCTTCAACGTCTACATTCTCGTCATCCTCATCATCACCATTAGCACCTTCATCTACATCCGATGATATAACTACCACTTCCACGGTCACCCCGACATCTACTGTATATTCAACTGTAACTTCTGCAACCCTTCCAACTCTAGACCCAACTACAGTAGTGGTTCAAAAACGTTTTGCAGAAGAGACTGCCGCTGTGTCAATTGATAAGCGTGATTTACCATCGACTTGCTCAACTACATCTTCCCTTTCAATGACATTGGTGGACTCTATTCTATATGATTCTAACGGAAGGATCGGAGCTATTGTTTCAAACCAGCAATTTCAGTTTGATGGACCACCACCTCAAGCTGGCTCCATCTACGCTGCTGGCTGGAGCATAGTTAACGGAAAATTGGCGTTAGGTAAAAGCACTACATTTTATCAATGCCTGTCAGGAAACTTTTACAATCTTTACTACAACAGTATCGGTGAACAGTGTACTGCTGTAGAGTTAGATGTGGTAGTGTTTAACGAATGCTAGTCGAATGAAATTAACCACCCAAAACACAGTCTACCTTCAATTCATTCCTTGCATAAAATACTACCATTCAATTTACAATTATTTCAATATCTGTACATTAGTCCTTTCATTTCCTTTCAATCTTTATGTAATTATATATTTACTACTTATTTTTTTCTTTCACCATGATGGTTTTTTCTTTATAATAATCGCTTTGAAAAATATACATTATGATTTTACTTTCAGTCTTTAATACAAATTTTAGAAAAGTTATAGTCTATATTTGCGGAAAATGGATGGCTGTTCAACTAACTTCTCTTCTTACCTCCTTTTTTGCCTTTACTATTCTTTTTCGAAGTAGCTTTATTGATTCTTTTTGTGTCGTTTTCCATTCTATCCTTACCGGTCTTTTTGTAAATTTTAGATGATTTTCCAAAATCTGCCATTGCTTCTTCTCTCTTTCTTTTCTTACTATTCATAACTTTCTTTGTGGAACTTAATGCATGATGAACTTTGTTCTTATCTTCTTTCTTCTCTTTCTCTGACATGAACCAAGTCCGTTTTGGTCTACTTTCAATCTCCTCCTTGTATCTTAACATGTTTTCACCTTTCTTTAACTCCATCTCTGCAGCCAAAACTTCCTTTTCGTGTTTTTCTTCATCAATAATTTCCTCAATCAGGTCTTTCTTTGATTCTAGCACTTTGTTGACACGGTCAACCTCATCCCAATCGGCATTACGTCCAAAAACTTTTCCTTTTTTACTCTCTTCAACATTTTTAACAACTTCTCTGACAATAGCACGCTCCCTCTTAGCTTCACCAACAAAACTGATAGATTCACCATCTCTTCCAGCTCTTGCGGTTCTTCCCACTCTATGTAAATATATTTCATGTGTCTTAGGCATATCATAGTTGATGACAACCTCAATTTTTGGAATATCCAAACCTCTAGCTGCTAAATCTGTACAAAGTAAAACTGGCACGGTGGAGTTTTTGAAGAGTGTAACACTTTTCAATCTTTGCTCTTGTGATAAACCACCATGCAATTCACCAACTCTAAGACCCAATAAACCGAGCCTAATTCTTAATTTATGGCACATGTCCTTTGTACTTATAAAGATAATAACTCTTTGCTTTGGATCAAGTTTTGCTAATATGGAGTAAAGCAAGGCAGGTTTCATTTCATCCCTTTTTCTGATACGGACAAATTCCTGAATTAAACCACTTGCTGAAGTTTTTGGTGGATCTATCATGATACGAACAGGCTTCTGTAAAGACCAGGTTATCAATTGTTTGATGGAGGAGTTCATCGTAGCAGAGAAAAGCATGGTTTGTCTTTTCGTTGGAAGTAGTTCAACAATCTCTTGCATTTCTTTTTCAAATCCCTCTTCAAGCATACGATCTGCTTCATCCATGATAACAATCTCGACTCCATCAACCGAAAAGGAAGGAGAGTTTCTGATATGATCAATTAATCTACCTGGGGTTGCAATAACAATATCAGGACGCTTCTTCAACTCTTGTTCTTGCTGTCTCAAATTCAAACCACCGACGGCTAGACCAAATGTTAAGTTCTGTACAAACTGACCCAATTTCCTACCAACATCAGCCACTTGAATTGCCAATTCTCTTGTTGGGGTCAATACAATAACACGGGTTTTCGAGATTTTTGCAGGTTTGTAAAGAAGTCTTTCTATAATTGGGATCATATAGGCAGCAGTTTTACCTGAACCTGTAACTGCACCCGCAACAATATCTCTACCTAATAAAGCAATAGGAATAGAAGCCGATTGAATTGGGGTTGGCAGTGAGTAATTTAAAGCACTCAAAGCTTTTAGTACTGGACGTGATAATTGAAGAGATTGAAATGATTTATGTGCTTGTTCTTTTGCTGAAGTGCCTTCATCTTCGTCGTAATATTTAGCCATCGCTTCTGCCGAGTCTTCCTCCTTGGCAAGATCATCCTCATCATATTTTCCATCAGGAGCAAGCTCAGTTAGTTGGCTTTCATCATTATCGGAAACAGTCTCAGCATCGACGGCTTCCTCTTCATTTTTATCACCGGTTTCTGCACCCATTCCAAAACCATCCAGAGCTAATTCATCGTCATCAAGCTCAACATCTTCACCATCATCAGCATCCTCAAAGGCATCATCTTCTTCATTGCTGCTATTTCCTTCATCGCCAACTTCAAGGACATCTTTCTCATCCCTACCGCTCACATCTATCTTTCCACTCAATCCACCTTTTCTTCTTATGATATCATCCAAATCCACATCTAGTTTTGCAGCATTGCTTTTGCTTGCGCTTTTGCTGGCATCCAATCCAAAATCCCACCCATCAAAAGTAGTGGTTGATCCTAAATCCTCGACAGAGAACACAAAATCAGGATTAAGGTCTTTGGAAAGTTTAGTATCGTTTTTACTTTCTTCATCATCATCAATGTTTTCATCATCTTCGGCTTTTAATTCTGACTTTGACTTTGACTTTGACTTTGCTTTTGCTTTTGCTTTGGCCTTAGATTTCTTTGATTCTTTGGCTTTAGTGCTACCGATTGTCTCGGCACCTTTTACTGTCGAATCTTGGTCCAGATTTTTCTCGTCTTCGGAATCTAAATCAGGCACATCAGATTCTGAATCTGAAATTGTCGGAATAAAATCCAAATTAAATTTTGCTTGCGTAGATTTAGCCTGCTTCACCATTTAGTGCTACGGTTAACTCAAACTAGTGTCTTTAGACCTTGAATGATTCAGAAAATAGCCTGTCATCCTAAAATCTAAAGACCAGATTAGAGAGAATGAAAAAAAATTTGTCTGAAAAAAAAATATTCTGAAAAAAGAAGAGAGGAAAACACAGATGCCTTTACGTAATCATCTGTTATTCATATTGGATCAGTTACTAAGGCGATAAGCACTGTGATACACTCGTGCAAAAAAAATAGTCTATTATTTGATATTACAGTATACTCTAAGATTTCTAATCGTAATGAAAATTAGTACTAATTGTATTCCACTCCAAGATGTCAGGCTGTCTCTTGTTCAAAGGCTTTGCGTTGTCATCAAGATCTAGCATCTGGGTACGAACACGGATTTCTTCCAACGTTCTGACCTGTTTTTTAACTTCTTCACTGACTCCACTACTCATAAAGAACTCTTCAGAAATCGAGAGTTTCATTGGAGAGCTGTCAGATTCTTTAGCGTGATCTTTCGCTTTAGGATCCGATCTACTATCAGTGACTAAAATTCGTAAACCATCTACCCAAATGTCTTTCAACTGCTTCGTGTCGACGTAAAACTGGAAAATTTTTGTCTTGGTAATTACCTCAACACGATTGACATCCATACGTTCACTCTGAATGCTGATCAAGCCTGTGTCGCTTATATTCGGATTTAAATTTTCAGATTCGATCGCAAGGATGTCACGGAATTCAATATAAATACCGTCCTTATCCAAGTTTGGAGCTTGCGCATTTCTGGAAGGCCTTTTAGTGAACTCTTTGTAAACAATACTTTGTGAATTCGAGTTCAAGGTTAAAAATAGGTGATGATGTTCACCAGCTTCTAAAGGATTTGTGGCATACACCCAAGAACCTTTACTCAACTGCAAAAATCTCTGAGCACGAACTAGAGCAACAACCTGGCGATGAACAAGGTTTTCAAAAGGTTTCATGTTGTTTGTCCATTTCTTGAAGTGCTTCGAGCGAACATCTTCTAACTGTAGCAACTTAATTTTATCGTAATCAAAACTGTCAACTTTTTCAAGCAAAGAAACCACATCACAGTCATTGGCACTGCTGGCAGTGATCTCAATGTCGTCTTTTGCGATTTTGGTGACATTTTCGCTATCAGAGTTGCCATGGCTGCTACTGTCAGCAATAGACTCCAACTTCCTCGATAACCATGTGATGACCACTTCAACCAGATTGGCAACTTTATCTATATCACCAGCTTCAACTCTGGCTCCACTGAACAACCAGCAGCGTGTACCCACATTCAACAAGCTGTACAAAAGTTCAGTGTTCCACAGCCCAAAAATCCGATCTAGTACTTTATTTTTGGAGATGGTGCCAGCGATTGTTGAAACAAAGCGTATGATAGGAAGAGTCGAGGTCATATTACACTCAACCAGTATTTTCTTCAAAGACCTCTTAGGTTGCTCCAACGCTCCGACTAAACCTAGAATGGATAAGATACCCACGTTGTTACCATCCGCTCTGTCGGTATCAGAAACATTGTTGATTGCTGCCAAATCTTCATCACCCAAAACCACACCAATTTCATTAGCCAAGAAACAGCATTCCCTCCAGATGAAACTCGAAGAGTCAAGTTTCTTGTTTTCTAACCACTTTGAGGTGAGCTCCATGCTGCCTCTGAGACCCGTCATACCTTCAATCTCGCCAATCCCTTTAATACAGGAAAGCACGCCGAAAAAGTTGTTAACGAATAATGAACGCAGAACCCCAAACAACCACTGTTCTTCAACAATAAGTGGACTTGATTCACTCGAAAGCAGACTGATGGTCTCCATCAGTCTGTAGAAAACCTTGGCGACAAAGTCGACAATATTCAAATTCATCCTGGCATCAGCGAAGGTGATTCTGGCAGTTAAATTGGCAAAGAGTAAGTCGCATTTCAGCGGAACATGACTGTAGCTACTAGCCCCACCAGTGGTACTTGTAGTGACTTCACCTTCAATTGGATTCTCGATTGGCTCGCACAAAACGCCCAACAAAACTCTGAACATTCCCTGCTTTCTAGTTTTAGGTAGCACACCAGCCAGATACGTCAAGCATATTCTCAACACACCACGCAGAACCTCAACGGGTATCTCAGGCAGACAGGCCAAGTCAAACAAAGATCTGAACAATTGCGCATCAAACAAGGAGAACAACTTGTCGGATTTTGGAACATAGTCCAACGTTTTCGTGAAAATCAGGATCTCATTAAGTGTCTTCGAATTGATCTGGACTGGACTATTTGAAGCCGTGGTTAAGGCAACGAGGTCTTGACGCAAAGTGGACACATACTTAATAGCGGTCTGCTCGTCCAGTTGCGAAGCTAAACCTGAGGCTGAAGTCTGGGCAAACTTGAGCTGTTTTAGATGCTTGTGTATGGTGTTGTAGTCCACCACACCCTGCGATATGTCCATTGGTAAGCGAGTGAAAGGGTTATCTCGGTAGTAACTGCCGCGGTGTTCAGATGGTCAGCTTGATGGTGATACGCTCGTCAATAACCCCTGTAGTTATTTGTGTCCGTACGTTGCAATCGGCTGCTATCGCCAAACTTTCCAGGCCAGCGACCAGATCCAACAAGAGAAATTTGTTGTTCGCTGTCGCTTGGCAAAATGCGTGTGGGGTCAATTTAAATGTGGTGCGGCCAAAAAGGGCTGCTGCAGCACTGTTGGTTCGCCTCACTGTAAGATGGCTTGGCATCGAAGATTATACATATAAGGGGTTGGCATTCTCAGTGGACTGCAGCCCGGCGGACGGAGTCAACACTCTTACCTACACAGTAGCAACGTAGCGTGGGTCTGGCTGGTTATCCATCCTGTCAGGGGTTTGCGTTCCACAGCCAGTTCAGGAAACAATATTATGCGAAAACTTTGGACGTAGCAGAAAAGGAAAGTCTACTCGGATAGGAGAGCTATTCGGGCACCTTTTCTTGCCATTTGCAATCCCAAGAGCTTGCCTGATTTGGTTTCGCCTTTTCAAGATTCCTCAGTTTGCTCTGTAACATCACCCGCAGCGTCGTCTGTCGGTAACGTCGTCCTTGGCAACGTCTGTAACAACACCTGTAGCGTCAGTACTGACATCAACTTCAGCATCATTCTTGGAGTCAGCTTCGGCATCAGCCGCGGTATTAGTCTTTGAAATATCGTCGGCATCGTTCTCTGGATCACCCTTCAAACTGCTCTTTGGATCGCTCTTCAAGGTAGCATCAGAGTCATTCTTTTGAATGTCATAGTTCGGATTCTCTTTGGCACCATCAACGACAATGTTTCCGGTGCCATTGGTGGCCTGACTGCTAGCCGCCGCAGCTTCAGGTCCAACGCTCGGGTTTTGAGATCTGATCTCATCCTTGTGGTCAGTTTCAACAGTTTGTGTCTCAACCTTGCTGATGTCATCAGATAAAACCTTTGTCTCATCTACAAGCTTTTTCTCGGCTTTTGGGTCAGGCGTAGCATGAGGTGAAATGCTTGGTACCTTATCAGTCACGTTATGGGGTGCAACTTCTAATCTGACGTCTGTTTCAACTTTTGGGTTCATAGGTAAGGTTATATTATCAGAATCTAGCTTGGCTTCTTGGAGGGTCTCCGTTTGCGGACTTTGATCACCGAAGCCAGTGAAGTCTAACAACTTTCTGACCGTATCTCCTGCATTTTCATCGTCCAACTTTTCCCCAAAGAACTTGATATCTCTCCAAATCTGTTTCTTAACTTTCAAAGTAGTCTCCTTGTCAGAGGCACATTCCTCTAGGATCTCGTTGTACTTCCCACAGAGAATTTTCTCATATTCGCCGAAAATTCTGGTTAGCACACCATCATACTCCTCTGCAGGCAAATACCTTTGAACACTTCGGGCAATCGTCAGAGTCTTTTTCACAATAGACTCCATGTAACTGTTCACCGAGTCTCCACCAGCTTGAGGGTTCACAAAGCTTGTAGCCTTTAGACCCTGGACAAGAGCCAATGTGGTATCTCTCATTATCGCCACTAACTTGTCGTAAACATCAACGACTTGTTCGCCAAAAAGCCCCCTCACTTCCTCAAACTCTTTCATTATTGCTTTCCTTACTTTATTTATCTGCTCACCGTCTTTACTACCAACACCACCACCGTTGTTGATTTCAGACAAGCAGGCACGCTCAATATCTGCAACAACAACACTCCAGAATCTGCACACTTCTCCGGCTAGTGCCAAGTGTTTAGTTGTAATATGCTTCAATCCAGCTGTCTTTGTAGCCTGCGCACCCAAAACAGATTGATGGATTTTGAGGTTGATGGTTTTTAGCAACTCCGGTAAATAACTTTGAGATATCACATTGTTGATGTTATTTTTGAAGTAATGAACTAGCATAAGGTAAGCTCTTAAGTTGCTCAAGACGGCACCAACAGAAGAGGGTAGGATGTAGTTCTGGGAGTGTAAATTGAGTGTTTTTCTTATTTCTATCTGATCATCGACGGTACTCGCCTCGGAGTTTGCGCCATCTTTAGTTTTTTCATCAAATTTCTTTTCCTCATTATAATCTGCAAAATCAAGACCTAACCCTTCAGTCCACTCCCGATCTTCAACGTTACCTTCTGCAGATCTAGCAATCAAATCTAGCGTCAACTGTGATTCAATTGGCATACCATCATCTTTCCATATTTCAGTTTCCACAATTCGTATACATCTCTTCATACTTTCTTTGTGGAATTGCTGAATGAAAATCATCAATTGTCTATTAACAACATCTTTCAAGACGGGGTCATTAACCATTCCTTTAGACACAATTTCACATTCTGTCAAAAAGCTCATATTCAACTTGTAAAATCTTGGGAAATAATTCAGTGGGATGGAAGAATTTTGCTGTTCTCTGATCCGAATTAACTTAGCCATTCTCCTTTGAATAGAGTTGATAGAATAACTTATCGAGTTGGTGATATCTAGCTCCATTATCATGTCAGGCTGAACTCTCAATATCTGCGGATCAAAACTATTTAGTGAATCAATGGATGTTGTCAAAAGTAAATTTTTATGGATTGTAAGTCTCCTGAAAGTTTCAGAAAATTTGGTATAATCATCAACTAGCATATTTTCAAACTCTTTTGGTGTCATGTTTTTTACTAGATCACTCAAGATCAATGCGTTGTTTATGTTGCTGGTTATATTCGTGGATCTTGAATCATCACTCTTGTTGGATTCAATTGGATTGGAACTTCCATCTGTTGGCAAGTTAGATTTGAAAATTGATTTAAGTTCGTTTGATAATCTTTCCTCGTATAATTTGAAGGCAGAAGAAAGTTCACCGCAACGAGTTAAACCCTTCAAATAAACTACGATTTTCATCCGGAAATCTTCAGATATAACGGAATAACTTTCATTTGCGGAAACATGTTTTTCATTACCCAAGAGCCTTTGCAATACCTTGAAAGTTGAGATGCTTTCATAATTTGCTCGTAAATCATCGATGAGGAAGTTAGAGAATAACTTAGCGTATGACTTACCTGTATCGGTTATCAGATTGGACAACAGACGCTTGAGGGGAATTAGAGCAGGTAATCTATTCAAATCGCTGAGTGGGAACTTCCAGTTGACTATCAATTCATCGACTAAGGGATGAGGAGGAACATTGCCCCTAATCATAGCAAAGACTGAATCTATCAGTTGTAAAGAATGGTCATAACTGCCTTTGTAATATGCTGTCTCAGCCAAGTCTGCTTGCTGCAGAATTGTCTTTATTTGGACTAGAATCTGGTCGAACTTCTGAATGTTTTGGTATTTCTGGACCAGTTGCAACAAGTTTTTGGCATTTTGTATTTTTTGCGACCGAATGTCAGACAATTGCGAATCCACATTCTGTAATTGATCGGTCAAAAACTTTGAAGAGTTGGTTATCTTCTTCAAGTCGTCTAATGCAGAGAAGAAATTGTCACTTGATTTGGAGATCTCATGAATCAAATGCACCTCGACGATGTCCAAATACGACGACAGCTTGTCCTGGAGAGCTTCGTGGTCTACCATTATCTTGTTCGAAACCACTGCAGAGTCCGAATTGTCGTCAATCAGGGTCAAGAAGCGTGCGTTTTCAACAACCTTGCTGAAGATACGAGGGTTGTCCAACTTGAAGTCCTCGTTGAAGTATATGTCCGGGACGTTGGTTAGGTTGTTTGATTCCAACATCGCTTCCTGTTCCTCGTTGAGCGGATTGAGGCTTCCGTGGGTGCTGCTGCCGACGCGGGCATCATCTGGGTTTGTGTTGTTACACTTCTCCAACTTGCTCAATGACGATGTTGTCAACAACTTCGAGCTGCTGAACTCGTCGAAGTTCTCATCCAACTCGTCCAAGTACTTTTCGAATTCTGAATCCGACACGTGTTCAACCGACGTCAATTTTGTCGGAGGAATATCCTTGGAGGTGGGACCATTCAAAGATATCACTGTGGAGGTCGAATTGATTGAAAGCAAGCTCGTGGTTGTCGATTTCTTCTTATAGTTGACATTTTTCACCAACTCGTAGATCGAGTTCGGGATGTTGTTGATCAACGATTCTGTCGAGTCCAACAGAATCGACGTGTTGTTGTGGATCGACGACGTTTTCATTGTTCCGTTCAAATCGTTCAAATCGGTTGTCTCGTTCATATCGTTGTTAGCTGTCGTACTGTTCATAAACGAAGAGGACGTAATCGAGATGTTCGAATACGTCCTCTGATGCAGCGAATTGACGTCGGCATGTGACATCTTGCTGGCTCCGACGGGTACGGTAACAAAAACAACACCTCTTTGCTGTAATGCTGCTGCTATCTCCGCATGTGCAGCTGCTTCCCGAACCAGCTGATCCCGTTTCTACCGACACCTACCTACCCCAATACGCTTTCTAACTGCATTACCTATTTGCTTGTCTGGGACCCGACAGAGAAGCTTGGTCGCTCATCTTTCCCTTTTGGGAAGCTGTCCATACCACTCGGCCACGCCACCAGGAACGCGTTCGATTCCCGATTAGTAAAAATGCGCCCTTTTTCCCCGTTTCCCATTTTGCTTTTTTTCCAGAAGCTTCCACTAAAAACTCGCAGGCAAATTTGACACGTTTAACGTATAGCGTGAAATCGGGGCCTTTCTAAAATATTGACGTGTTCAAAACTCGTCAACCGTTTATGGGTGTTACCGGGACAAAATCCAGATTTATTTATTTATCCTACGCTGCTTGCCCTCTTCTTCTTTCTCGTTCAAGATCGTACCTTCGGTGTTACTTCTCCTTTTGATCCCTTTTTTCAGATCAAGCAAGTTAGCTGAATACCCAAACAATATATCGATCTCAAGATGGTATTTAAAAAATCACCATTATCGATAACTGCATTTTTCATATATGCAGTTTTCCTATTCCTACTGCCATTTGCCTCGCAAAATTTGGCGCATGCAGACACAGAGAACTACGGCACCGTTATCGGTATTGATTTAGGTACAACCTACTCATGTGTCGGTGTGATGAAGAATGGGCGTGTTGAAATCTTGGCCAATGACCAAGGTAACAGAATCACGCCATCGTACGTTGCCTTCACAGATAACAACGAAAGACTTGTTGGTGATGCAGCCAAGAACCAGGCAGCCTCCAACCCTTACAACACCGTGTTTGACATCAAGAGATTGATTGGTCAAAGATTTGGTGATAAGGTGATCCAAAAGGAGATCAAGCACTTGCCATACAAGATCGTCAACAAGGAAGACAGACCTGTTGTGGAAGTCGAATATAACGGTGAAACCAAAGATTTTACTGCTGAAGAGATCTCTGCCATGATTCTCGGTAAGATGAAGTCCATTGCTGAAGATTACCTGGGCAAGAAGGTCACCCACGCCGTCGTCACTGTCCCAGCCTACTTCAACGATGCTCAAAGACAAGCAACTAAGGATGCTGGTACCATTGCAGGCCTGACGGTTTTGAGAATTGTGAACGAACCAACTGCCGCAGCAATTGCCTACGGTTTGGACAAGGGTGACGAGGAAAAGCAAATCATAGTTTACGACTTGGGTGGTGGTACTTTCGATGTCTCCTTATTGTCTATTGCAGGTGGTGCCTTTGAAGTTTTAGCAACCTCCGGTGACACTCATTTGGGTGGTGAAGATTTCGATTACAGAGTGGTTAGACATTTCATCAAGATTTTCAAGAAGAAGCATCAAATTGACATAAGTGAAAACCCAAGAGCTTTGGCCAAGTTAAAGAGAGAAGTTGAAAAGGCAAAGAGAACCTTGTCCTCCCAGATGTCCACTAGAATCGAAATTGACTCTTTCGCTGATGGTGTCGACTTCTCAGAGCCATTGACCAGAGCCAAGTTCGAAGAATTAAACATGGAATTGTTCAAGAAGACGTTGAAGCCTGTTCAACAAGTTTTGGATGATGCCAAGGTCAAGCCAAGCGAAATCGACGACATTGTCTTGGTTGGTGGTTCCACAAGAATTCCAAAGGTCCAAGAATTATTAGAAAAGTTCTTCAACGGTAAGAAGATCTCAAAGGGTATCAACCCAGATGAGGCTGTTGCATATGGTGCGGCTGTTCAAGCAGGTGTGTTGTCTGGTGAAGAAGGTGTCGAGGATATCGTGTTGATCGATGTTAATCCTTTAACTCTGGGTATCGAGACCACTGGTGGTGTCATGACCACTTTGATCAAGAGAAACACTCCTATTCCAACCAAGAAGTCTCAAATCTTCTCTACCGCTGTTGACAACCAGAATGCTGTTTTGATTCAAATCTATGAAGGTGAAAGAGCAATGGTCAAGGACAACAACTTATTAGGACAATTCGAATTGACCGGTATCCCACCAGCCCCTAGGGGTGTTCCACAGATTGAGGTCACCTTCACCTTGGACTCCAATGGTATCTTGAAGGTTTCTGCAGCTGACAAGGGTACAGGTAAATCCAACTCCATCACAATTTCGAACGACAAATCCAGATTGACACAAGAACAAATCGACAAGATGGTCGAGGAGGGTGAGAAATACGCGGAACAAGATGAGGAGTTGAAGAAGTTAATTGTCGCAAGAAACGAACTAGAAAACCAAGCACATAACTTGAAGAACCAAATCAACGACGACGAAGGCTGGGGTGCTAAGTTGGACGCTGAAGACAAGGAAACTGTGTTGGAAGCCGTCGAAGAAGCCATCAGCTTCGTCGAAGAAAACGGTGAGACAGCCTCTGTCGAAGAATTCGAAGCAGAGAAGGAGAAGTTGACCAAGGTCGTGAGTCCGATAGTCTCCAAATTGTATGCTGCAGACGGTGCCGCATCCGAAGACAACGACGACGACGACGACGACGAAGATTGGGACCACGACGAATTGTAAACAGCTTAGAATAATTCCAAAATCACTGAATATAGAAGACAGTCCGCTCGATATTTAGTTTGTTATATAGTCTCTAGTGAGTAACAGTTTATAAAAATCAATTATGTTGAAATATGCTTACGTACAAAACCAGAATGGAATTGAATGAAAAAGCCAGGTTTTTTTCTCCACGGCTTGAGTAGTAGCGGGTCCTATATAGTGGATAGTGCATAAGGGCCGCATCTGTGAAGAGGGTAACCGTGACATGGCCATCAGTTTCCAGCTAGAATGGTAAACTGGTAGTGAAGGAGAACACAGTCGACTGCAGAAGGAAGCACTTACTACACACACTACTATTGAGGAATTCTGCTTTGAATTGCCACCTGAGGATTGATCATATTGAGCAAGTTACGCTTTACATCGGATAATGACGTCTAGGGAAGAGCACCTCAGATCGACAGGCAACACGGTGGATATCGGAGAGGGCATGGAGTTGCGGCTCAAGCCACAAAACCCTACCTTTAGTTTCCCCGACCAAGGAAATAAAAAGGAAGGTGATGATGTGCATCCAGAAAAGCCATTGAGCGAAGATGACGTTCAAAAGAAGCATTTGCGTGAAGAACCGGATGACAAGCAAGAGCAAGCACATGACTCAGAAGAGGCCGAGGAGGATAGAAAACAAGAGGTACCCGGCGGTAGTGACGAAATGAGGCGAAGTTCCAACTCAAATGCGAAAAAGCCCAAACCTGATCCCGTGTCAAGTCTAGATGCCAGAAGTCTACTTAAAAACATACACCATATGAAGTCACTTTCGGAGATAGATGGCACGATGTCCCTGTCAATATTGTCATTGCTAGTGGATGAACTCATCTGGTTGACCGAGATGCTGGATAAGGGCGTGATCAATGATAAGGACATAACAGAGAACATTTTTGGCGACAGAGTGTTTGACTGTGTCTTGGACCATTTCGGGGAAGGTTCCGTTCAGGGTAACCAAGAAAAGGGAGATGGCGAAGTGAGCGGAGATGCACATGATTCAGAGAACAGTGAGGGGACACAGAGTCAAGAGAAAGAAAAGACAGGACGGTTTATAGAAAGTGTATTGAATGAGATCCTGGGAGAAAAGTTGAACCACATAGACAAGAAACGATTAGAACTAATTTCCAAATCCCAGGAAGAGCTCGGAATATCGTTCAGAAAAAGCTCTAAAATACTAACCAACTTTGAGATGAGCAGTAAACCATCGCTTTCAGCTACAGACCTCAGAGTTTATGTTGGAAAGAACATCGGCGAGTACGAAAAGTGTTCGACAGATAGCGATACCTTGGCCTGGATATCCAACAAGTTCTACTTGAAATCGGCACCGAAGATGGAACTGAGCTCTTACATCGATCGAATCAACTCCCATTTGGAAATTAGCGGGGCGGTTGGTTTATGTGCAGGATGGTATCTATTCAAATTTCTGTTCAACATAAAATGTGTCGAGAAATTGAGCGACGGTATCACTTGTGCTCAGAACTCCATTGCCATTGATGCTGATACCGAATGGGAGAGCAGATGTTTACCTCTAGTTCTGGGAGATTCTTTTAGTTCCGTTTTTGGTGGAGAAGGAAGCCACTCGCTCAGTGACGATATGAAGGTTGATGGCGAACCCAACACGGGGTCGGGCAATGAAATAAGCGCACTCCCCATGGACAACTCGTTCAGTTCGTGCAGCTCAGTGGTAAATGAGGACGACTCACTATTAACTCCCAACGGAGAACTAAGGGATGGTAACTCGGAGGTCCACATGTCCAAGATAAGCAAGCTGAATGCGTTTCGTTTGATCCTCACCTGTGTGAGAATATCAAGTAAGTTAATAGAGGACAAGAATTTTAAACAGCATTATTACTGCAAGGTTACGGGGCTGCAGAAACTGGAGGACTTGTTTCGCTTGGAGCTGGCGTTGGGTTATGGGCTAGACTGGGAGCTTTTCATTAACGAGTATACTCTCTGGAGATACCTTTTCCATATGAAGGCGCTTGTAATGGGATGCGAGAGACTCAGAAAGAAGATAGCCGTAGATCAGTCTTAGTGTCATCATTACTTGGGGGGGGGGGCTTGAACCAAATGGTATTTGTAATTATTATCCAGCTCTATATTTTTTTGCGGAAGGTTAATGTAATGGGGATTATTTTGCAAGAAACCCTGAAAAATTCAACCAGTTTCTCATAGCGAAAAACGGTCAAACGAGAGGGAAAACTATAAAAAGGAGGCCGTCGCTGTTTTTTCTTACCTCTGATCAGCTTCCCGCCCTTCTACGCACCTACTTTTGTAATTGAGTTCTTTTGCAACTGACGGACAATCAAGTGACATGGTAATGTCTACCGTGTACTTGATCTCTTGATCATACATGGGAATCGATAGTGATGAATTTTTATGTTTATTATATGTTTTTTCTGGCATCTCTAATGTTAGAGCAACATTCTGTTGTTCAATGAATACAACTTTTGACTCTATCTGATACGATTCTTCATGTTATGACTAGTTACTTTAAGTGATACGCGTCAAGTGACCGCCTTTTTTCTGTTATACAAGCTATGACTGTTTTACTGTAGTATGACAATTAGGACCGCCGTAGGTGCTAAGCTTGTGTCTTTCTTCCGATAAGCTAATCGTAATTAACGATTTACGCTGACATGAACATACCGTCCCAATGTGTTCGGAGTCTCTGAACGGAGAGAACATATCCTAATTCTTTGCTCGCCCGTGTCTGTGTTAATCTCCAAGCATTTTTCTGTAAGAAAAGATGATATCAAAGTATAGCTGAACGTATCGTTGGTTTGTTTCTTATGGCGTCCAAAGTTCGCCTTGTCCCCTTTCAGCATACGTATCTGCTGAGACGACATGTTTCTTTGCAGGGCCAGTGTTGGCACTAACATCGAGTTTCGGAGTTTTCTGTGTCTTCTTAGCTTTTCTGGCTTTGGTCTTCGTGATTGTAATCCCGTTTGCGTTGGCTGTACTTTCGTTTTCTTCTGATTTGACTAGATTTAATCCCTCTTTGCTTTTGACTCGTTGAGCTTTGGCTCCCCCAGCTTTCTTGTTTACGGTTTTGCGGTTAAATTTCGCAGAGGTCGTCTCAACCAACTTCCCGGAACTCGGATCAAACAAAACCTTGGCACCTAAGCCACCAGAAAACTTGTCAAAATCGTCTTGGACATCGTTCAACGTTTTCACAGTCAAACCAAAGTTTTTCAACCAGATCGTAGTCGTAGCATCCTCGCATATAACGTTCCATATGATCCTTTCTTCTTCCTTTAAGGACTTGCTTTCGATATATTGCTTTTGGATACACGATCTGATTAGAAATTTAAGTCTTAATGGAACAACAGCCTTCTCGCCATCTCCATTAGAGCTTGGGTTGGTAGCATTGACAGCATGACTGTTGTTACTTTTGGCCGAAACGTTAAAACTTCCTGGAATGTTGTTACCAAAAACTCCAACCGCAAAGTTTCTGTTATCATCGTTTACCAGTTGACCCCTAGATGAAAACCCGTTTATGGGTTTAGGTAAATCAGACAGTAACGGTGTTGACCGTCTGTATCCCGAGGCAATTTTCCAATCAGGTCCCACACTTCTCTCTGGTTCGAGTATGAACGTGACTGGTCTGACCGGATCCTTTTTGGTAGACTTAGCTTCATTCCTAACCAGTTTCATCTTGTTGTAACTCTCAAAATCGGTATAATCATTGCTCTCAGATCGTTTAGTCTTATCTACTTTTCCTCTGCTCTTTTGCGAATCCTCAACGGAACCATGCTCAGAAGAATTCACGTGAGGACTACTAACCTCAACCTCATCTTGCTCAAACTCGCCTTCGGACACATCCCCAAAATCTGAATCGTTGTCCGACAAGCTGAGCCTGTCAATATCAATATCGTAATCATTTTCATCACCGTCGAACTGAACGCCTGAAATTTGACTATCGATGAATTTTATACTTTCACGTGCATTGGCAGAGATCAATGGATTGAACACTTTCCTCAAAAAATCTAATTCTTTGAGTGTGTAGGAAGGCACATAGAAAACAATTCGAAAAGTCTTGTTCCCCTTTCTGTGATTCTCAACCGTGGAGTTTACCCACTCCTTTATTTTGCCGATTCCTCCATATACCAGGGCGCTCGGATCGAGAATATAATAATGCCCTACTGGCTGTGAGTCCATATCCGCTGACACCTTGTTCCAGCAGCCTTGCTAGTGTCTTGTTACAGATAGTTTCCTGCAAGACGGTGATTTGGTCCTTCTTTACTTTCAAACAGAATATTTTCATAATAGTCAGTCCAACTGTGTAATTGGAAAAAAAAGTCGATCTATAGATCACGTGATTATACTACTTGTAGTACTTTGAAAGTCTATAGTTTAGTTATATGTATATACAGTCGTCTAAGACGGTTACTCGTTATCGAAAAAGGAGTCCTGGTTCCCGTAGGTTTCAAGACTGGTGTTTGGCTTGAAAGGCCAGTAGAAGTAAATTTCAGAAAGATCCACAAATTCCTGATTGGTGATCATACTAATCTTCTTGTGCAACACCTCTTGTGGAACATTGCTTCTCAGATACTCTTCTGCACCAGGGCCAAGAACATGCAACTTTTCATCTAGAAGGGCACCTGGTGTGCAGAACAGTTTGTGAATTATGAGATGTAGCTCGTCGTGAAATTTGATGTCATATTTGTTGTGGTTAGACTGCAGTTCGAGAAGACAAACTTCCCCGTCCAGTTCATTGAAGGGTAGCTTGACGGTGTCCATCTCACCGACAAGCCTCATGGCTTTTGGGTTACTCAGCTTTTCTGAGCATGCAATAATGCGGATATCGGAATATAAGTTTGCCATCATGGCATTCGTGCGTCTGTGGATGGAACCAAGCGGACCGACATATTTGAGAACCTCGTTTGGTGTAGTCCATGCTAGAAACTTGACTCCTCCGTACCTGAACATCGAAGTCCTCACTTCGTTGTAATATATACACGTCCTAAGAGCTCCAGCGTGCGTGCTTGACATGAAATCTCCGATAAAGAGAATGGTATCGTTTACGGGCTCTATGTGCTCCTCTTTGAGTTTCTGCTCTTCTTCGTCGCTAAGGGTTGGCAAAAAGCTTGGGTTAATGAGTTTCTCTTGTAAGGGCTTGGTTAAAAGATTGGCTTTCACCGTACTCGCAACGCTTGTTTGAAGCACGTGGATATTTTTCATTTCAAGTTCTTCGATTTCCATATTTTTCCAGAACTTGAAAGCAGCTTGTCCATCGGGGTATATCAAATGATGTTCCGGCTCAAACACCGTATTCAAATGATATGTCATAGGTGATAATCGAGTATTATAGTCAATTATATTAAGTCTTCCAGTCGGATTACCGTTGCGGTCCATGTATGTCCTTTTCATATTCACTTTTTCAAATATTTCAGCATAGACACTTTTGTCATAATTGAAACGTATTCCCTTGATCTTCTTATCGGCGAGTGCTTCAAGGGCACCTTTCACAGATTTCTGAGATGAGTAAAACTTTTGCATTCTGTACTCGTTCTTGGCCAGGAATGTTCTCAAAAGTTTGCTTGAAAATATTACCAACTGAGATGATTTTGATCTGAAGCTGAAAAGTCTGAATTTCAAAAGAGGAAAAAATAACTTCTTTCGCTTCATTGGGAGCTACTAGAAAAACGCCGTCAAATAGTTAACCGTATACATTATGCATCAACTTACTTTTGCAGCATATCCTCGCAGGAAACAGACATCGATCTTGAAGCGTGGAATTCCCACTCATGGCAAAGATAACATTACGCTTGGCGTCGAAGAAATCGAAAAAGGATGATGATCTTCCTGTTAAGCAGGAAGTTACATCCCCTACGCTTAAGATAAAGCCATCAAAATCATCAACTTCATTGCCCAAAATCAAACTGAAAACGTCTTTAGAAACAACAGAGTCATCAGCAATTTCCACAGTCAAGTTTAAACAACTTGATCCGAACCCCTTGTCAACGAATACTCAAGAAAACACAGTTGCTACAAGCTCCACGAAACCGAAGCGAACGCCGACTATCAAAGTGAAACCAGCCAAACTACCAGGTAATGGGTACGATTCCGAGGATCCTGACAAGGAGGATGATCCATTGATTGAGGAAGCAATTGTACTACGTTTTTTACCTGACGAAACTCTTGATACTGTGCGAGCTGCAGTTGAAAGTGCTGAACGTGGTGATAAATACAGTTCGGCAGATGCAAATGGCAGGAGAAGTACCGATTTATCTAGCATCTCAGTGACATGGAGTGACAAAAGGCGAGCGATTGTGAGAATCAACGATATAATGTATGCTGCAAAATTGATCAATCTGCCAACAATTTCTGAAGTTCATAAAACTATCGACAGAAAGAATATTTTTAAAACCGTCGATGTATCTCAAATGCTACTTGTTGTCAAAAGAATCTACAGCGAAAGAGAGATATTGGATCTGAAGATTGATAAGGAGTATGGCGAAACTTATCCGGACGGGCTAACACCTCCCATGGAATTTGTTAAACAAAGATTCGACAAAAAGTATGAGGCTAATGTTATACAGAATGTTGAAGATGAGGTTGCTAGATTACTCAAATTAGATTCTGAAGCAGATAGTTCTGTTTTTGAATTCATTGACGCAGAAGAAGGGGAAATTGTACCTATGAGTGTCATTGAAGGCAAGATCAAAAACAAACGTGCTAAAAAGGAGAAGAAGAGACTAAAGAAAGAACGTGATAATTTGCAAAGAGAAAAGGAGGCGATGGTTTCAGTTGAAGAAGAGGCAAATGTTGATAATCAATTTGAAGATATTGATAATGAATTAGATAGGCTAATGAAAGAAGATTTGGATGACGACGATGATGATGATGACGACGATGACGAAGAAGACGATGACGATGACGATGAAGAAGAAGAAGAGGAAGGAGAGGTAGAAGCAGACGGAGCGGATGGTAATAACACAACACTTGAAACTGCAACTAAAGGTGATTCTGAAAGCGAAGAGGAGGACGATGATGACGACGACGACGACGATGATGACGATGATGACGACGATATTCCTGTTGGCGGAACTGTCAGAACTGGAGACAATGAAGTCGATGAATTTACACAACACAATGCACTTTTAGCTGAGGAGATAATCGAATTAGAGTCCACAATTGATCAGAAGCAAAAAGATCTTAAAAAGGCAATAAACCCTATTATGAAGAACAGGATTCTTGACGTTATTAGTAGGCTACAACAGGAACTCACGATTAAGAAGTCTCAAGCTGCTGCAGAAGAAGAGAAGAGTAAAATGTATTCAGCAGAGGGTGCTGGTGCAGAAGAAGGTGATCGTGTTGAAGATGTGGAGGATGAAGAAGACGAAGAAGACGAAGAAGAAGCAGATGAAGAAGACGAGGTGGAAGCGGGCGATGAGAAGGGTGAACAAGACGCCGGAGGAAACTATGAAACCAATGAACAGAATGAAGAGGAACAAGATGAAGAGGACGAGAATGACTATGATGATTTGTTTTAATAAATTTTTGTAATATTATAGCTTCACGCCCGACTGGACGTGAAGAACAGAACTAAAAAAAAGACGCCTACAAACAAAAATAAAGTTCCACTAGAAATACAAAATATGAACTGTACTATACCATTAACACCCCTCAATGTTTGTTGGTTTCATTTTTTCTTATCAGTATGATTGCAACCAAGTATTGCTCAAAATCTAGAGCTTCTGAATCCTGGAAGATTTCAGCCAATAGTCTATCAGAGCATACAATACGATTTGAGTGTAATGCTAACTGGAACTCATCAAAATCTAAGACATGATCATTACCTCTTTTGTCGTGATAATTGAATGATACGTAACAGCCTTTCACAAATTTACACATCTTCACGAACGTGCGGAAATCCATTTCGTCATGATTTGTTTTGGATGCAAACGTATTCATCAAAACGTTCAACGTTTTGAATGAAAGCCTAGAGCTGGAATCATAAGGGTCATACAAAATACTTCCCAATTGCTCTATACTCATCGAGGAGCTGGATAGACAACAGTCGTCGAAGAAGTGAAAGATCTCCTCACTATGCACATTTATTTCATCATCTTTCAGTTTCATCAACTCTTTTATCAAATTGTTATCATTATTTAGACTCAGATTAGAAATCTGATGATCTAACGAATCTTCATCGTGGCACGCTGCTGCAACATTGGGTATTCGGGCAACAACATGGTCCCTTTCTTCACGCGGAACTTTATTTCTTGAACTGTCACTAATCGAAGCGGAGGAGTATATGCTTTCCCTTTGGTATAAATTGTCGATCAAAGATTCTTTTTTCACAGGTGAAGACCGACTAGATGAATGGCCTTTTCCGCTCCTTTTAACGAATGAATCATATGCGTTATGAGTGCCGAAGTTACCTTCGGAGGCGAGTGAGCCTGCAGAACTTATTCTGGATGGTGACTTGCGGTAAGTAGAGTACTTTTGTTGAGCGTGATCGGTGGAGGCTGTAGAATGGTTGGAAATTTCACGGTGTGGACTCCGTCTCCCATCAGATCTTTGTCTATACTCTCGAACGTCATCGTAAGGTTCATTCGGCGACTTTGCAGGAGGGTAGTTTTGCGGAGATAGTGCTCTTGGCAACTGCTGGTACTGGAGCGGGTCATGTTGGTGGTTGTGATGATGTTGAAGATGGTGATGTGATTGCGGTTGAGACTGTGGTTGAGGCTGTGAGGGCAAATGTTGCTGCTGCTGCTGTTGAGGTGATTGCGATAGTAATTGATCAGTGAGAGGAGAGTGATGAGGTTCTGCATAGGTCTGCATCAAGGGCATGTTCGGAGGGGGAGGAGGAGCCTGGACATAGTAGTAGTTGTTGATGATTGTAGGCGGTTTCGGGGCCTTGTTGGCCTTTAGCACAGCCGGTGGTATCGGCCTCTTGGTCTCGTTGTATGTGTTAGCAAGCTGTTGGATCGGGTGTAGTTGTGGTGGCGACTGAGCTGGAGGCAAATTGTTAACCGTCACCTCCTCTGATTTCTGGCCTGTCGCCGGTTGTGGACGCAAGGTGTTCGGATTGGGCGCCTATAGTAGTGAAACATCGGAGCTGAGTTAGTAATCTGGAATGAGAGTCAAACAAATAACATGAGTTGTGAACGTAAACATCGCTTCAAACGTACTGGAGCATAGTTACTGTCATTGACAGAGAGAACTAAAGGCCTGTTTTTTCTCCTTGAAAACATGGCCCTTCAGGTAACTCTTGTCTCTACAGGTCTTTCCATGTGGCAGATAGACTATAGCTGGCGTTTGTGTGTTCCTTTGGAGCCAATAATCAGACACGGCGAAGGAATGCGACAATCGTCTCCTCTGCGTGGGTTCCGGAACGGGAACCAAGCGAGCAAGGAAACGAAGGATCATCGATGGAGTTTCTTCGAAAAGATCAAGCAGCCTCCACGAGTCGCCATCGTCGTCGTCGAGTGATGGATTATATTTGTGTGTATTTATTGTATGAAGAACTATAGTACTAACTAAACAAAAGATGATTTTTATTTATTTAACAACGATGAAAAGAGTATATATTAAAAAGATCGCATCTAATCTCTGTTTCTCTTTCTGTAACCGTTGTCACCGTCAAATCTTCTACCACCTTCTCTTCTGAAGTTTTGTTGTCTTTGAGGAATTGGCTGTTCCATTAAAGTTTGTGGAACGATACCTTCTGGGACACCCAAGAACTCTCTCAAGAAGTCAAGACCTTCGTCAGTCAAGGTGTAGTAGTAGTATTGCCATGAGAATTGGGTCTTGACAAAGCCCTTGGAGGTCAAGGATTGCATGGCCTTGATGACGTACAAGTTCTTGGTGGCAAGCTCATCGTGTTGGATCTCGAAGTCCTTCTTTGCAACTAAGACACCGTCTGTGGAAAGTGAGGGAAAATGAATAGGGGAAGGGGGGGGCAAGAAATGTTAGTATACGGAACACGATGGTTGTAGAGATGAGCATTTTGGTGCTGGCAAATATCGCTGTGCAGAGGAAAAACGAGAGCTGTGTGTTTACGGAGTGTGTTTTTCTCCACCTCTTCTTTGACTGCTGCCAAAAGCACTGCGCCACAGAGACAATCGGATCAGCTGTTTCTGCGACACTCGTCCGCCGACGGCACGGATGGAACAACAAACAATTATGTTGCAGCACGATGTCTATGGATCTTTCTTTCTGTCTTTCTTTATTTGCTGCTTGCAATAGTCTTGATTCTTTACGGTCGTCCAGGCTCCTCTCGCGTGGCATTTCGCTTGCGTCCTCCTGTGATATCTTCTCCTGCAGTCTGCCCTGTGTTTCTTTCTCTGCTGAGGAACGTGGCCAATCACAGTCCTGGTGTCCGATTTCACCACTTCTGAACGGCCCATCTTGTCCCCAGTCAGAGACTCCTCCACACTAGCGCACTGCTACTATCACTGTGTCTCTCTGGCAATACTGCTCTGCTCCCGCATGTCGATATTTCAGCACTTTGATATTTCACTTCTGGCTCATGAAAAAACCCAATGGAAACATACCCTTGAACAATGTCATGTAGATTTGTCTTCTGTCAGCCTTTGGAATAATCATTGTGGATGGTCTACTACCTCTTGTCTGGTCTGATAAAAAAAGACGCCAGAACCGGAACTACAACGCTCCCAGACATACTCCCTAAACACCTTTCTAGCCAAACATCCTATGAAAAACTTCACCACCTCTCTCCCGTCCTCCCTCTCTCCCTCTCCCTCCTCTCTCCCGGGGCCTCACCGCTCTCCTCCACTGTGGCCAGCAGCGGATGGAGGAAAAAGTCGATGGCACCGCGCTCAAGCAGTCTACCCCGCGCACCGCACACAGTGCTGTCCAAAACACAGTCACAAGGCGCTTGGCCACTCGCGCCAGCAAGATTGCCTGGTCACGTGCCTACATGATTTCGGTGAAGGGGGCTCAGTCGGATGATCTGCACTGTGTCTGCTGGCCCTGGGACTGGACCACAATTGGCCCCTGGCCTGCTAGATCATGATATTCAACTCTTTCAAAGCCTACAGAAAAAAATATATAGCGCTTCGTGTTTGTTGTTCTAACTAAGTCGTTGTTTAGCAATATTCCAGACTCCTGGCTCACTTGAGGAAGTCTAAGGACTTGACGTTTTCCTGTAACGCAATCATCCGGTGGTGGACCTGCTCGATGTCTTTGTTGAACTTGTCCTGCTTCTCGAAAAGCGTCCTCTTCCAGTCCTTAAACTTCTGGTTCTGTAGCTGGACTATGCCGGTGAACTTCTTCTTGACCTGCTTCTCCATTTCCAAGTAGGCCGGATTCAACTCAACCAACTCCTTCTCGGTCTCGCCCAAGGAGATTCTATTCAAGAGCTCCAAAATCTCGATCGAACTTTTTGTGTCGATCATCTGGTCCAAACTTGGATGAGAAGGACTGGTGTCCTTGCTGATGCTCTTCCAGCTGCCCCTGCTGCTTGGCACAATGACCTCCCTGTCGTATTCCTTGATGCCCAACTTCTCCATCTCTTCCTCATTGATAGTGAGGTTGATGGCCTTTCCTAGCCTATATTTCATGAAATCTCTACGATAGTTCTCATAGTAGTTTTCAGTCGATGATATCAAATCACCCATGTAACTTTCAATCAAAAAGTCTCTCAACTTAAGGAAGTCACAATGCTTTGGATTCTCAACCTCACTCAATCCCCATTTGTACTTTCTACCACGAACATTATCCCCATTGTCGTTTGCATAAACATCAACAGAGTTGATTGTCGAGAATGGCATCTCGTTTATCAAGGATTTTATCCTGCTCTTCTCGTCGATTAATTCACAGATCGAAATATTCTCTTCCTTCAAGGTGTTTCTGATTCTTTGCTTGAAGGCCGACAATTCTTCATTTGTGAAGCCATCTGCTTTGGTGATGATAGGAATCAAGTTTACTCTTGTAGACAAGTTTCTCATCGCATCAATATCCAACGCGGTCAAGCCAATGGCAGATGGGGCAATAAAGTAAAGACATGCATGGACCTCGCTGTGGATCAAATTGCTACGATTTGGCTGATTTTCTTGGTACACCAACCTTCTATATTGTTCATCAATATATCTGGCAATCGGATACCAACAGTATTTGTTATCAATATAGTCACCAAATCCTGGTGTATCGATGATGTTTAACCTCATCTTGAAGCCATCTTCAATCAAGTCCATCTTGTGGTGAGTGATCACTGTTGTTTTGTGTGGGTGTTGGCTAAAATCCTCATTGTATGAGGACTTTTTTTCAATTAATAATGAGTCAAACAAAGTATTGATAAAGGAAGTCTTGCCGACACCTGACTCGCCAACACATAGAAGGGTGAAGTTCGAGCCATTTTTGTAAACCTGTAATCTTTTTTGAATTGGAAAGCACATCAATCCAACATCATCAGATGACAGGTTGTCAATTGCCGAGGCATAATTGTAGTGGTATTTGTTTAACTTGAGCTCCTCCATGCTTTCATTCAAGGTCACCACATCGGCAGCGTTGTAATCATATTCGTGATCCATAACGTGTTGATGGTTTTGATTATCAATACCATCAGAGCTATAGTCATGATCGTAATGGTTTTCAATAGTCCCTTCGTAATCTTCCTGGCTTACATCCATGGAGTCTCTGGAAACTAATCCCGATTCGCCTACATTTTTATTAATGACAGTATCTACGTTAATTTTATCCTCACCGGCCATTGCGCTTTGAGGAGTAACAACATTAATAGAGTCAACGACAGTCATATCTGATCTCGATTCCTTGGTTAATTTACAACAATATATAGGTTTTCAATAGAAGGTAAACCTCAACTTGCACACAGCACAAATACAGGGGTTAGGAAAAAGGGATTCGTTTTTCCTCAGGGATCAAACCATATTTAAAAGCAAAGGATTCGAGGCTTCTTACCATTGACGGGGCAACTCTTTTTATCGGGCGGAAACATTTTGCTCCTCGGAGACATTAAGAAGAGATGCCCTCGTAGTTCAAGTGGGCTTGAATATTGTTCTAAATGGAGTTGTCATTTGGCGGGTTTAGCACTTCATCGGACACGTTACAACGGCCCCTTTTACATACTTTATGGTAGGAGGCAATACAAACGTGTATTTCCTATTATTGAACAGGGCTTACTGCTTTCATTTAAACATCTTACTACTTCGAGCTTTAAAGGCTGAGCTTGGCACAATACCGGGGGGAGTTCAAAACAAACATCTCTTTTGGTGTGAAAATGAAGTCTGGAATCTATTTAGGTTTGTATAGAAATTTCTTTAAAGTGTTTCTACACTCCAAAGCTACAACTGCTTTGATGCGGCTGCATTGCGGTATGATAGGAAGCAATTCCATACCACTCCAACGCTGGAGCTAAACGGAACTTGAAACTTTTTGGGCATCACAGAGAAATTGATGAATTGGACTGGAAACCACACAGAAAAACTGACTGCTAGTGTAGTAACATATAGCTTGTACATTTTGTCTTTATAAGCTTCGCTGTCGCCCTTTTCAATGACAATTGTAGTGAATGCAAAAAATGACGCTAACGAGATTGGAGAGAAAAGCAGCTGATCTGTCAAATCCCGTTCGAGAACCGAAACTATTGTAGGCATGTCTGTAAACATTGCATTCAAAAACATATACCAAGCCACCTGAACAAATGCCATCACAAAGCCCCATGTTATGAATCCAAAAAACCGTCTGAAATTAAAGCCCGAATGCTCTTGTGGATCTAGGTGTGAATTAATGATATTGCTACCACTCTCAAAATCAATGGTATAAGCATGTGCACCTATACCGTCACTGCTGTCACCATAATCGACAAAAAAGTCCAATGTAGAATCGTCAGCGTTGTCCCCTTCAAGCGTGAATTGGACTGCAGAATCGTTGTTGCCACTCCAATTAGAGTCTATCATCCATCCCACTCTTCCTGGAGCTTGTTCCCGTTCAAGAAGCTGAGTCACACTTTGCGCTAGAGTGTCAGATATCCCGTAGAGAACAACATTGGTGGCTATCGTCGCCAAAATTGAGGATCTGGTGTACAACTTATGATATCGGAAGGTAAGTTTGACCAATAAATACCCAAACATCGTTAGAATCCCGTAGTTTACGATTGTGATATTGAACAATCGATATGAGTTGCTGAGGTGACCTAAATACGACGATAACTTCCTCCACTTTCTAATGATGGCGTTATCGGAAACGTTGAGGGCGTGTTCTGCAGATTCGCAGGCCTCGTCTGTAACTAGTTCATGGCCCACCTTGTTGATGTTAATCAGCGTTTTGGACAGCAAGCTATCTGGTCCTAGTAATTGAACACCCATTGCATGATGAAGACGGCTTGAGCTCCCCAAACCTACAATGCACAGCAGTAGTGAATTCATGGCAACGATAGATAACACTGATTTGCCATCCCGAAACCCTCCAATACGGGAAAGCCGCCAATTTACCGAAAAGGGAAGGCAACGACGCAACGTTTTTGTTTGTTGATGTTGTTGCGTTTATCTACTACAAGACTCGGTGGTTGTTTGTATCTTTTATTTAGTGTACTCTAAAGCAGCAGTGGTCAAGACTGCCAGTTACATAGCTACATATATAACGATTGACTGCTTTGCTTGGAGCTGAGGTTTTGTGTGCATGTCGTAAGCGTGTCGTGTTTGTGTGTCTGTATATATGTGTCTGATGTCAGACTGTTCACAACTCTACATAGAAGCTTAATGAGTATGTGAAATTTCGTACTTATGCCACTTTGGTAGTATCTTCCTCGGCATTCTTGTTATCCGCCTTATCGTCATTCTCTTCCTCTTGGGTTTCTTCGGCAATTGAGACTTTTTCTTCTGCAGTAGGTTCACTGAGGAGAAATTGAAAAAAGCGGTTAGCAGAAAATGCTTCATATCCGTCTGTCAGAATCTTTCGAATAGTCTCCAAAGTTGCAATAATAATGACAATTCTACCCTCTCCTCTGTGCTCCTGTGATTCCTGATACACTGCAGCCACATACTTTCTTGCCTCGGACGGGGTCTCGGTTAACTGCTGAAAACGTTCTTGGAGCACAGGTCTCGCTCTTAGAACGGCCAAGTTGATGAGTCTCAATGTGTAAGAAAGTTCGTTTGACTGGTTATCAAAGGTCACATAGTTAATGGGTATTTCTTCGCTGTTTGAAGATGCGGGGAAATACGTATTAATGTCTTCAATCAGCCTTTGATTCACTTGTCGGAAAATAGGATTCAATTGGGACCTTAGTAAGGGCTGATTCCCTGTGAATGGTAGATGTTCCCCACGTAAATCACGGAGCTGATGGATTCCTTCCCTGGATGGCTTTATTACAGCCCGCTGGGTCAAATCAGAGATATCTCTTAAAGAGTTAGCTGTCCTGAATGCAACATACCTGATTGGGTCATCCAAAATCACGTTTCTAATGTCTCTCATTCTCAAAGTCTTAACAAAGGGTGCAGCCTGATCCAATGCATTTAATTGTGAATCCAAATAAGCATCCACGGACGTTGTGTAAGAATTCAACCGAGAAGAGTAGGCAATACCCATTAATGATGGGCGAATTACCCTGGGAAGAGGAAACCAGTGAAAAATCTTAATCCAAGAATGTACAATTGGATAGGTCTTCAAATGTTTGTAGACTTCTGTTTCCTTTGGAACCTTTGTTTCTTCCGTTACAGTAAGTCCTTTTTCCTCTAAGAGCTCCTCCTCTTTATCTTTGAGGTCTACGTTCTCTTTGTCTTCGGTGTATAACTCTTCAACAGGGAGGACATCTTCTTTATGTTTTGTCAAATCAGCCTCCTCTACGTTTTCATCAACTTCTACAATTTCATCGATCTTCTGCGGTTTACTATCGATATTTGTGAAAAGCATCGGGGTTGGAATGTTTTCAAACATTTTAGCGATGGCTCTTACAGAGCCGCTTTCAGCAAAGTACGACATACAGTCAGGTTTTTTTTTTTGGTTGGAATAAAAAGCAACTTTTTGTCCTACTCCACTTCAGAATAAAACTCTAGACTTTAAACTCAAGGCCAACAACGAAAAGGGAACACACGGTTTTAGCTTTGCCTTGCCTTTCTCAAAACTCACAATCATGATTGCGGAAAGTCCCCGATTACCGCATTCGGCTTGTCCGAGTGTTCCCTAATCCGGCATAACGTAAACACCATGTCAAGACGCTAGTTCTTGTGACGGAGAAAACTTTAACTTCAACCATAGCCAAGTCTGATCTGAAGTGATCGAAGACTGGATCACTCTTTGGGGCGTTGTTTTGTTTAAGTTCATTGGCTATTCAGAGTATAACACTATACATAGTCGTAAGGGTCTTTTGTTGAGACAATCTGCGATAATCAAAGCAGAATTACGGAAGACAAGGGACAGACAGCATTACTATGCCATCTTCGCAACAAAACAAAAACAACGAAAGCAGTGACCCGAATAACTTTCGCAGTGAAAACTACAGCCAAAGCCAAAGTCATAATCAGAGTCACAGTATCCTTCAGTCACCTTTCATTGTAAACAAACAGTCACCAAAGCACATTTTTTCATCTTCGACCCCTCTTCTTATGCCTCACAAAGGCGAACACGCATCACCGGTGAAGAGGATCAAACACAAGTCAATAAGTAGTTCAATTGACATGGAAAGTATCTACTCCCGAAATCGTAAGCCCCTAAGTTTTGGTTCGAGCTCTAGCAAAGGATTCAATCTTTTAGATGATTTTCAAAACGGTGATACCAACGAAACCATAGACTTGTTCCCTGCCCCAAATTTGATTCCACCTCAAAACTTTAATAATGATATCATGAACAACATCAGTTTTTCAGCTAAGGAAGATAAAAAACCGAAAGGGAGGGAATTTTTTGAACTAGGAAGTTCTGCCTCTTCTGATGGAAACTTCTCAATCTTCTCAATGATGCCTGCTACAGGAAGTTCTGCACCTGCTTTCGATTTCAATTCTTATCTTCTTTCTGTGACTTCCAACTTACAAATGATTCCCAAAATTGCAAGCAAGGGAGTACAAAGTACAAACTTGTTGGATTTGTCGAAACCGTTGAAGCTTGATGTACTTCAAGAAAAGGACCGGTCAGTGATATCGGAAAAAAGCATTATGGATGACTTAGAACTTGATTGTGTTGTTCGCTCAAGCATCTGGGATTCCGATACTGAAACTGAGGATGAGCTAGAGCTTCACTTAAATTTGGACAATGAGAGAGAAAATGATGAAGGTAAAAATGAGGCTAGTAATAATGCAATCGACAGCTCGTTGGGAAACGACTACGACATCGCCAATGATGACTATCTGAAATATTTCAATCAGTCCATGACCTCTAAAACATTTGAATCACCATCCTCATACAGTCAGCCTCTAAGACCAATGGAACAAAACAAGAGTTTTGTCTCTCCCAAGATTTCTATCTCAAACGACATTTCTTCCATGGCAAAGCCAGTCGAAATATTCTCGGATCCTCAACCGAAACTAAAAAGTCCTATATCTTCACAAGGGTCAGACGAAACTCTACATGATGAGGAAGAGCAGCTAACTTCTTCAAAGTATGGTAACAATAGCAGCAATCATCAAAAAAGAACAATCACTTTCAGCCAACAAAGTGACCTCCAGCTTGACCTTGGTATAGATTGCAATAAGCAAGTTGCTGATTCAAAAAAGTGTTCACCTCATCATCATATATTTGCTGAAAACTTAAGATCAGCATTAAAACCAATACCAAAAGCATTATTGAACCTGATTGTCGAATCGAGTGATGGATCTCTGGAAGACGCAACCAAATATGCAACTGAAATAAATGCACAGAACAGTGAAGGAATTCCGATACCTGAAAAAACTACAGAGTTAGTTAACATTCCTACCACCGCTCCTTGCGTTAACGGGGTTCGTAAAAGTGCAATAGTTAGAGGAATACGAGCTAGAAGTGGAAGTAAAAAGAAAGCTAAAAAGACCCAAGAGGAAAAGCCAGAAACGCCCATAGCTGATGTTAAAAAATGGAATAAGAATGACCAGCTAAAGGAGGATAAATTGACAGAGAGACAAGAATCTATCATACAAGCAAATGAAAATAGACAGAATATCATTTCAAACATAAATAATAGCTTTAGGGGATTTTATTCACTGCGAGAGAAACAACAGTTTAGTAAGAGAAATATTGTTGTGGGAGTTCATGAAAACCAGTATAATGAAGATAAGGAAAATATTGATGCTGGAGCTTACGAAAAGGGCTTAAATCCAAAATTAACTGGTAATTTTTCTGCCGGTTTCAAGCGTGCCAAAGTTGTGAAGAATGACTATAGAACAATGAATACCAATGGGAAGAAAAGGGTTAACTGGGCAGAAAGTTTAGAGTGGTGATTAATTTTTACTCACCATATTACCTTTTTACGTCTGTATTTATGTATAGTATATGTTTTTTTTTTACTTAATGTCTGAGTTTTGGATGTGTAAATGTGTGTTTGTATTTCTCTACTTTTTTTTGTGCTCATTTTCCACAAAATACGTACAAATTTTTATAAAGCTTAATAAGGAAGAAAGATTTCATTTATGATAGAGTAAGGCGCAAAAAGCACGAGGACATCAGAAATACAGACTGAATAAGAAGTACAAAAAATTCCAATATTTTAAAAGTTGCAGTAACGACTCAAAAATAATGACTTCTTTCTTATTTCAGACAGTCACCAGTAGTACAGTTTGCACTTGCATCAACCAAACAATGGATTTCAGAAGAAGAGCGGTTCAAGTTTTTCTGAGGATTTGGAATTTCGTCTTGAGTAGCATCTCTGCTTGGAGTCTTTGCAGTGTTGTTAGCTCTGATGGCAGTTGGAGCGTGAGAATCGTGGGAGGTTGTTGCAGTTCCAGCAAGGGCATTTGAAGAGATGTTGAAGGTTGAGTTCAGGCTTGTTGAACTGCCACTATTCAGAATTGCATGGCTTAGGTTTTGTGTAGATGAAAAGCTGTGTGGAAGCATGTGTTGTTGGCTATAGTAGGCGGAGAATTCAGGCTGAATGGTGGCGCTGTGGATACCGTAGTCGTGTAGACAAGACTTTATTTCGGTGGCGATTTTGAGGAAACTTTCAGGAGAGCTGTTCAATTCCACATGTAACGAAGCAATCAGTAGTTTTTCGGTCAAGTTCCAGATGTGGAAGTCGTGAACGCCTAAAACAGATGGGATCTGGAGGATGTCTTGGATAACGTCAGAAGTTTCGACAGTTAAAGGTGTACCCTGTAATAAGATTCTTGATGAACGCTTACAAAGGGGAAGAGCAGAGGAGAAGATGATGCAGGTGATGACTAGCGAAATAAAAGGATCGGTGTAGTACTTCCAGCTGTAGTCTGTTTTCCAGATGAAAAGGGCAGTGAGCATGACCCCGACATTTCCCAAGGCGTCTCCCAAGACGTGAAGGAAAACACCTTGCATATTCAGAGACTTTTGGTGAGCAGCCTTTTTACGGGATCCTGAGGCGTTGAGCTTGGTGGAGGAGGACGCATTTTCGTCCAACTGGCCAACGACGTAGGAAGGTAAGACTTGACGCAAGTCTTGATCTTCTGCAGCTGGGTCCGAGCTCAGTAGTGGAGAACGTTCGCCGCTGAGGCTCTTGTGGTGCTTGTGGGAATGAGAATGGGTTGTTTCGTCGTCTTCGATGTGAGAGTGGCCAAAGGTGTTGTCATGGGAGTGGCCGTGCTGGTGGTCGGCCTGGGCCTCCTCGTCGTCAGCGGCAAAGCCGCCGTGGGAGTGGGAGTGGCCGCCTTCGAGTTCGTCCATGCCACCATGGGAGTGGCCGTGTTCGTGGAACAAGAAGAGGCCGACGATGTTGGACAACAAGCCGCAGGTGCCGACAGTCAAGATCAACTGGGCGTTGGTGATGACCGGAGGACTGAGCATTCTTTGGAGTGCCTCGATGAGGATGGTGAAGCACAAGGCAATGAGGAAGACCGCATTGATGAGGGCGCCCAAGATTTCTGCACGCAGCCAGCCGTAGGTGTATTCGGCGTCTGCAGAACGGTTCTTGGCGACGTTGACGGCCCATAGGGCGACAATCAACGAAATGATGTCGTTCAACATGTGGAACGAGTCCGCAATAAGAGCCAACGAGTTGACCGTGTACCCGATGATGATTTCCAAGAGGAAAAACACAGTGTCGATCACCAAGAGAGTGGTGATCTTAATCTCCTTTTTAGATAACGCCATTGCAGGGGTGGTAGGAGGCGGGGAAGACGCTGTTATCAGGGTCCTGGTGCTTAAGCAAAGGATAGTGTGGCTGTACCAGAGAAAAGCAGCACTAGCAGCAAAGAACAAAGAGACTAGCGGTAGTGGAGATGTACAGATAGAGCGATGCTATGTGTCTATACCTATCTGTGGGTGTGTGTGTGTCTAGTATATATGTACCTAGACTGTGGATGTCCTTGCCCGATTCTTTTTTTCAGCCTCGAGAGAAGATGCACTGTGACGCTTGCAGAGTCCTGGCTTCTAAATCACTTGCTGCTGTGGATGTCGCTGTCGCAGTCGTCGCCGTCGCAGTCCTGTGTGACACAGTAAACACCAGCAAGACAACCAGTACGGTGCTTTTTAGCAGCCTTTTCTCTAGGGCGGGACTCAAATAATCTACATCGACATAATGTGTTGTTTGTTTTTCTCCCGCTCCGCTGGGAGTCGTCCCTATTGTGTCGCCGACGGAAACGGCACACGCCGCAGCGAAAGCGGCATGGATACTATGGTTATGCAGGCGACTGACAGGGTTTGGACTGGGTGGTAAAGCGGGCTCCAGGACGTGGTTGGCCGCTGTTGCCGTGTGTCAAAGGCTGCCCTGCTCCGTGACCGGGCCGGTGGCCGTCCTGGTGATGGCGATATCGCCAGTTGGCAGCGTCTGCAGTGGTAGGGGAGGAGGAAGAAAATGAGGCGCGATTACGTAAACACTGGAAAAGGCTTGTTCCTCCTGTAGGAGGGCAAATTGAGAGATGGAGTTGAAGAACAAGAGCAAGAGCAAGAGAAAGAGAAAGAGTATGTAGGGGTGTATTAGTTGTGCAGAGATTAACGAGGAGACGTTAGAGACTGGAGATATGAGATGTGGCGTGTGGTGTAGCAGAGTTGCTTATAGGGTGGCTGACAATGGTGCTGGAACCGGTGCTGGAACCGGTGCTAGAAATGTTGCTGGAAAATGAACGCTTTTATCAGAAAGTATATACAAAGAAACGCAGAGAAACGCAGATATAAAGCAGAAACAGGGGCTAGAAATACAATAGTAATTTTGGGGGTATCGTTGTTTTGTGATGGGCTTTTTTCCCATTGTTGCATCACGGAGCTGGGACGCTTCCGGAGGCTCAGACGTCAAAGACCTCGACGCTGACACCAGAGTTGCCTGTGGCAGTGACGACACACCAAGCGGCACCGTCGGAGTTGGACTGCTGCTGGTTGCTCATTTTGTTCAAGCCGTACTTGCTTGGGTTGATTTCGCATGTGTCACCGTTACACTTGCTTGGGTCGTCACACTTCAATCTAATACCATAGCTTGGCTTTGTGTTGGAGAAAGGACTGGAGCCCTCAAAGTAGACAGGGTTCCAGCCGATCTTGGCGAAGGTGTTTCCGCTGTCGTCCATGTTGAAGCCGGCAACGTATGGGGCCCAGTTACCTTGTGCTTTGTCGGTGGACCCCCATACACACCCGTCCTGGGCAGAGACACCCGGTGGGTTGACATAGAAGTGGGAGGCGGTGCTGGCCCAGTAGTCTGTGCCTGGAACAGCCAAGTCGTTGTCGCTGCCGCCGGCCACCTCGGTTGGAATCAACATGGCCTCGTTACCTGGGAGCACCGTCTGGCAGAAGGCAACCTTGTCGCCAGCCTTGTTGACAGCCTTGGCGGTACCCTTGCCCTTGACACAGTAGTCGCTGTTGGAGATAGGCTTGCTCAACTGACCGTTGGAGTCACAGTGCAAGCCACCGTCTTGCGAACCTGGGTAGGAGTAGGAGGTGACATCAGGGTTCCACTGTCCCATCAAGTAGCCGGGTTGGCAGGCGTATTGACAGTATGAGTTGGCCTTGCATGGGCCGTCCTGTGCCCAACCCTCGGAGTTGGCAACCTTGGTGTTGAACACTGCAACCATGCCGTCAGAGTTAGGGAAGGAGCAGGTGTTGCCGCCATCACGTTTTTCGTGAAGACTGGTTGGTGCTGAGACGGATTCAGACACCAAAGTGGATAAGATAATTAAGCTGAGAGATTTGATAGAGAGCATTTTGGTTATTGTTTTAAGGAATGAATATGCTTGCGAACTCTTTAAGTAAAGGAATGACTTGATTAAGATAGTTCGGTTAAGGTGAAAAAAAAAGTAAGGAATGTACTTGTTAGAGTTGGACTGACTTGTTTGTTTGATTTGAAGTGGTAAATATAGATCAATAAGAACAGCTACATGTCTGGGAGGGAACAGATCGAAACTAGTGGAGATTGTGTTGCCTTTTTATACTTGGTCAACTCTTGGAGAAAAAGAAAGAGAAAATGAAAAAGAAAAGCAAGAAGGCATAATGGGGACTCACCTGCTGCAACTCTAACTGCAAATGCAGGTGCAAAGGCAGGTGCAAAGGCCAAAAGGCGGAGGGCACCGAGAGGCAAATGCACGAAATTAGAAATGAAAGTGGTAGACTTGCCCTTTCCAGTGTGGATAGTGAATGCGTGTCCTTGCATGGATACGGTTTTCTGTCTCCCTGATGCAGGAAACGTCTATCGCCATGGGGATGCGCAGGAGTCTTTCCGGCCCCTTTCTTTTTCTCCCGCAAGTAGCTGTATCGCTGCCCCGGGATTATAGCCATCGTGCAGATCCAATGCCCGGGCTGGCACTGTACCGGCAACCTATAGGCGAATCTAGACCTATATACGTATGCTTCTAGACCTGTTGCTTTAGGGCTGTCCGTATCTTGGCCCGTCGGCTGCGCCGTCCCGAGGCAGGCTTTATCCTGTTTAGGAAACCATATGGTGCATAACGTTTTTCCTTCGGAAACGAATCCCCCTGGCGCTCTGGCGTCGGTGCACCGGTCGGCGACTGATCTCTGATCTGAAGCATAGTCTAGCTCTACATTAGAGTTGCTACTATCAAAAGGGATTTTCGCAGCACAGTCGCTTGTCGAGTAGTTTTACTAGCGAGACCAGAAGCGGGTGACGGATCTCGTCTTCGTTGATCTGTCCCGACGGATCGGTCATGGCCTGTCTCTTAACCAGCTGTCGCCTTGGCAGGACCAACGTAGACATAAAAGAGGCGTAGAGGCGGAGACGAGGGCGAGGAGCGTCAGAGGAGTGACCGTTGGCATGTACAGAGGCGAGGTTCATCACGCGGCGTGCAGCACGGACGTCAGAGTTTTCTGGCCCTTGTCTGCTGGAGACAGAGGGTGTCTAGACCGTAGCAGGAAGGCAACTGGGAATCTAGACCGACAGGTGGAAAAGAGAGAGTGGAAAAAAAACGAGGCTGCGCGGGGCCTGTCTTGCGAGTCTGGAAAATCTTTTTTTCTCCACCTTTATTGCTTTTTCTACACAGGACGTGCACCAGTGTCGGTTTATCCGAGCAGGACTTGTGGTGCTCTTTGGTGGCCATGGTGCTGGAGTAATCATCCGTGCATCTGCTATTGTGATTACCGGGAGTCAGCCATGGCGATAGATGCGAAGATTCTAAAGTACGGCGACGAGTCGGCTCGCCAGGTGGTGAAGAAGTACCACATCACCAGTTCTAGAGCGCCGTCCTGTGGCAGGAGGGCAAACTTGGTCATGATCCACGGTGGCGCATGGCGGGACCCGAACAATACGTGTGCGGACTTCGACCAGTTTGCAGAGTACTTTGACGAGTTCTGCAACAATGCGGGCGGCGAGGTTGTGGTGTACAGCGTCGACTACGAGCTGTCGAGCGAACAAAGAGGGCGGTTCCCGGACGTCATTGTCGAGGTGCTTAGGGCGCTGGACACGGTGCGCAGAGACGCTGGTGATGCGGCCGACTTCTGCGTGTGCGGGCACTCTGTCGGGTGCACGTTCATCACCCAGCTCTTCGAGCATGCCCGGATCCTGGAGGCGGCAGACGCCCCGCCGGCGCTGCGGGCGGCTGCTGCCGAGCTGCAGCTGCCCAGGATCACGCGGGCGGTGTTCCTCGACGGGATCTACGACATCGCGGCGCTGCTCCAGGAGTACCCGAGCTACGCGTTCTTTGTGCGGGACGAGTTTGGCACCGAGCAGCGGGCGGTGGAGCTGTGCAACTCCGTGGGTCGGCCCGGGTGTCCGCCTGTGTACGCCACGCTCGAGCGGGTGCTCGTGGTCCACAGCCGGGGCGACGAACTGCTCTCGCTGAGACAGCCCGACACGTTTGTGCGCTGGCTAGACGCCGCCGGCGTGGCCAGCGGCCGCGTCGAGAAGGTGTACGCGGACTTCGGTCTGCACAACCACGTCTACGTCAACAAGACCGTTGCCGAGCTCGTCTACAAGACTGTGTAACTACAAGACGGGCCGCTGGAGCCAGTCCCCGCAGGATGCATCACGTGACCCCTTCTCCAGCCCTCGCCTTTTTCTTTTTCCTTTTTCCCGCCCCCCTCCGTATCTGAAAAATTTCCTTCGCCATGCTCCCCGGCTGTCCCAAAGAGGAAGTCTGTGTGGGGTAGCGCGCCTCCGGCCCGCACATCTGCTCCGAGAAGTGCCAACGGCTCGGAGTTCGCGGCCGCCGCGCCGCCAAGCAGCGGGCCCGATCGTCGCCGCTTAGGTAAGCGCGCCGTGTCAGCCTACGTCCCCCCCCCTGTTCCGAGCAGTGTCGCGGGAATGTGAGGCGTCCCGGAGCAGAGAACCACAGGGCCAGGTGGCGACAGAAGAACAGGCGACAGTCTAGAGAGCAGACGGGGCCACAGACAGCATAGAGGGCGCAGCAGCAGCCCCTCAGGCAACACTGGACAGCACGTAGCCACCTCCGGGGGGAAAGCGCCCCGCAGTAGCCGGCGGAGCGCAGAAAGACCCCCTGCTGTCTGGGTCTGTGTGCCGGAACGGCGCACGCACGGTGCAGCGGCCGGAGGACGTCTCGAGAAACGCTCTGCCCCAACACCGAGGCATGCGACACGTCGCATGCTGTGTGGACGCCGGCCGATGGCGACAGCCACCGTCTGGCACCGTCTGGAGGAGGCCTGCGCCACCGTGGTCGCCGCCCCTGCGCCGCCAGCGTCGCCCCGCTGCGCAGCTGCCGAACCGATCGACCGCAACAGCCTTTTTCCGTCTCCGCCGTCGTGCCGCAGAGGCCTCGCAGGGCCTGCACCTCCACGTAGGCCCCGTCTGCTGCGCTCACCACCTCTGGGCCGGCGGCGGCGGCGGCGGCGCTGCGTCTGCGTCTGCGTCTGCGTCTGCGCCCACTACACCCTCTCTGTGATAAACATTCTCGGTCGGTGTTCCATGTCATAATTTTTTTTCCCTCCTCCCTGCCGGTTCTGGGAAGCACCCCCCGATTCTGCCACCCTCCTCTCTGCCTCTCTCCGCTGCCTCCCCTGTCTGGCTGGCCTCTCTGCCGCTGGCGTCTGCCCTCCCCTTTCCTCCCCTGCTCCTGCCCCTGCCTCTGCTGCTGCTTCTGAATTGCCCTTGCGTAGACGTACCCCCGGCAGCTCAGCTCCACCCGCCTCCATGCCCCCTGCTCTATACATCCACCCACGTACACACCCGCAAAAGCACAAGTCTGAGAACTTTCGCCGCAACCTCTCTGATCCGCCAAAAAAGGTCTCTTGTCTTTTTTTGCTTTCTACTCCTTCTGCTGCTGTTGAACCCAAGGCCTCTTGATTTCAGCACAACACCCCGATCTGCCTCCAAGGTTAGAATGTACGTGACCCACAATTAGCCCGCCGTCCCCGCAGGCGCCGGGCCGCCTGTCCTGTCCTCCGCATCTCAGAATACTAACCGCATTACTACTGGTCAATTCCGGAGAGAAAAGACCCCCTGGCAAACGCAAGCTCATGTCCAGGCCTCACACCTGGCCAGCAGTCGCAGAACCGCCTTTCCATCTGATCTACATCCTCTTCCCTCCGATTTACAGGCTTCCAACCCCTCCTCCTCCCTTTTTCTCCCACTCCAGCCACGGCACCTGCTCTGGCTCCACCTGCTCTCCACAGCCGGCCTGTATGTGTCCCAAGACCCTCCATTCCGTCCCCACCAGCTCCCTTCTGGTCCGTCCACACATGCCAGGTGATCCACATTCCGGCTCGGACGGGCCGATCGGCGCAAAATCCCGGATTCTGGCTCTTGGACACACTCTATTCACGTTTGATTTTTTTTTTCCACTCACCCTCACGCACCCAACAGTGACCATCATCGGCTCCTTCGAAAAATCAGAGGCCTCTGATTTATTGTTAGCCGGAGACGTCTGGAGCTGGAATGTGTGTGCTTTGATGGGCTTTTGTGGCTGTTTCTGGCTGGAATCCTGTTATTTCATCAAGTGCATTGTCAATATAGGAAGATCACATTGGTTTCTGGCTTGCTGGCTGCTTTTTTTTGTGCTTGCCTTTGTCAAATCGTGGGATCATCTTTTTTCCCCTCTTTTGTCCACCTCACACTCGTCCTACTCTAGATTTAGAAAAAAGGAATTTCTGAAGAGATACCCAAGCAACCCATACGTCCTAGAATAGTTTTCATTGGGGATCACTTTCACGCTAGATTCGATCCAAGTCATTTTTGCCCCACGTGATCTGCATTCTGTACATTATCCTCATTTTCCACTTTTCCACCGGTGATCTTGTGATCTGTGGCTTCCATCGACTCTCTCAATAAGCATATACGTCCCACTGCTCAGTTTGTGGGTTTCTCCTTCATTTCTTGTTCATTCACCATTCGTACATTGTTCTGCTCCTCGTCATATCAATCGTTCTGTTTTATACACTAGTATTATAGTCGCCACTTGTATCTTTATTTTGTTATTGCCGAAATTTACTTGCTCATAAATCATTTTCTTGATCATCCATTTAAAATTCCAATCGTGTTATCATTACTAATCCCATCCTCAGATCAACTTTACTATCATCGTTTTCTTGCCTGTACCATATATTATTCACATAGTCTCATAATAGAAAAGTAAAAGGATCCAAATACAAAAAAACATCCCTAAAAAAACGTACAGAAACTCAATAATGTCAGATCAAACAACCTTATCATCTTTCGATGATTCGATTTCCCAAATCAATATAAACGCTACCACCACAACGACTCCTCCAATGGGTGAATTTTCAAAACAACCCAACCAGAGTCAAATGTCAGACACCATCCTGAACACTAACTCTGCCTCGATTTTGTCCAATGCAGCCAATATCAATGACCAACTCTCTGGTCGTGACTTCAACTCATTGCCAGGGGTCTTGAGTTCTTTGAACTTGGATGACAATCCAGTTTTTTCACCGAAAGTTAAAAACGCAGGTAATCACCCTTCAACCCCCCCAAGTGATTGGAAAGTTGCCAATGCATGGTCCAATGCAAATACTTCCAACTTCGGTGGCTTTTCAACCATCCCCGAGTTTTCGTCGTTATCTGCCGGTAATCTGAACACAGCCGTCAATAACAATAGTCACCAACACTCTTCTTCCGGTTCCACCGCTTCTTATACACGCGATGATACTACTAAGGAAGGGGTCATGCATATCAACAATCAAAGTTCTCCTTTCAACCCTTCTCAAATCGGTGCTGCTTCTAAAAATACTGGAACTGCTGCCACTTCTGCAACAACCAATACTACTAATGCTGAAATCCATAACAACAACAACAACGACAACAACGGTACTAGTAGTACCAACGCTGCCAATATTAACAACAATACCAACAATCATCCCATAACTTCCCGGAACAGCTCTTTCATTATGCCCGACAACCAGCTGGATTCCTACTTATTTGAGCACTCGATTACAAACACACCGTCTTCGTCTTCGATCTTATCACCAAATAAACACAGAAACCAAACTTTCTCAACCCCTATTCTGGGCGAAACTTCGAGAAGATTGAACTATAATTTGAGTTCTCCTAATAATCAACCGTCCCAGTTGAATGATTTCAATGATAACAATGATACTTCTATTGGTGATCTTTCACAGACTCAGGTATCATCTGCTTTGCATCCTGCTTTGACAAATGATATCTTATCCGGAACTGTTGCAGGCGAATCCCTGGGTATGGGTATAACCCCCACCATGTCTGGCCCTGAACAAGGTCAAATCAACCCATCATTCTTTGGCAACTATATTCCAAATCAATTTGGTTTCTTACAATCTTCTGGTCCATCGGCAAAGGTCCCCTCAATGAATGGTTTACAAAATAATATGATGAACCCAGGCTCTCCAGCTCTGAATTTACTACCTAATCAAATCAACATCAATACCAATCCTCAAATTCGTCCCGTTTTCTTAAACTCTCCTTCGATGAATGGGAATGGCCAGCAAAACTTTTTGGCTCAGAATTATCCCTATGTTGACAAGCTGAACTCTAGACCTTTCCAAGATATGAACAAAAATGTCATGAACAAAGACCTCACCAACAATAACCCAAATCCAAAAGATCCTGGTTTTGGTGTAAACAATAACGGTACTCTCAAGACAAACAATATCAGCAATAACTCAGCTAATCACCGTAACAACTTGGGTTTGAATTCGACTGCCAATATTCACAGAAAGCACACATCAAATAATAAGCGTGGAGAAGATGCTTCAAGATTTGTTAATGCCACATTGAGTGACTTCGCTAACGAAATATTCTACCTCTGTAAAGATCAACATGGTTGTAGGTTTTTGCAGAGACAATTGGAACTCAATGGCGATGTTGCAGCAACTAAAATATTCAATGAAATCCAATTGAATGTGATTGAATTGATGATTGATCCATTCGGTAATTATTTGATCCAAAAGCTGCTAGAAAGAGTCGATGAAACTCAAAGAACCACTTTGGTTAGAAATGCTTCCACTCAGTTTGTCAGAATTGCCTTAGATCCTCATGGTACTAGAGCTTTACAAAAATTAGTTGAATGTATTTCAACGGAAGCTGAATTTCAAATCATTATCAACTCATTGTCCTCTTATGTTGTGTTGTTGAGTAGGGACTTGAATGGTAATCATGTGATTCAAAAATGTTTGCAAAAACTACCGCCAAGCTATTGTAACTTTATTTTTGATGCTGCATGTGAAAACTGTGTTAAGATTGCCAAACATAGACATGGTTGTTGTGTTCTACAAAGATGTTTTGATCATGGTACACCAGTTCAGTGTGAACAATTGGCACTGAAAGTGGGAGAAAATGCTGTTGAATTGAGTATTGACCCATATGGTAATTATGTTGTCCAATATGTTTTAAGCATGGAAGAGAATAGACTAAGAATTCAAAATGATCCACAATCTATCAACAAGATTCCTGATACTTCGAAATCAATTGATTTCATAATTGCAGCATTGGCTTCCAATTTGACCAAATTATCTACGCATAAATTTGGCTCAAATGTTATTGAAAAATCATTGAGAATTCCTACTTTAGCTCCGTTGTTGATCCAAGAACTTCTACAAAATCCTGAGAGTCTGAAACTCTTACTACACGATGCTTATGGTAACTACGTTTTGCAGACATCATTGGATGTTGCCGATGATTCAAGTTTCAAAGAATTGAGTGAGTTATTGAAGCCATACTTGAATGACGTTCGTAATACTCCTCATGGTAGAAGAATTTTATCGAAACTAATCAGCAGAGGTGGTAATGCTGCAGTCTTTAATTCTGGTTTGTTGAATGGTGAGCCATTTGACAATTTCGATGCATCTCAATCAAACAACAACAGTATGAATCTATCCAACAACAATAACAACAGCAATAACAACAACAACAACCATGGTCGTCGTCTGAGTCATATGCATAATCATGGTCATGGTCACGGCCACAACCATAGTAGTCAGCATAACAACAATTCCAACAATAATCATGTTTTTAACTCTGGATACAACATGAATAATAGAGTTATGGCTATGGATCCACCAATCATTGCTGAAAATAATGATACTAATCATAGTCATAACAGTAACAGCAACAGGCCTATCAATCAAATTAGCAGATTTGGCTATTAAGCAAGAGTAGAATAGAGCAGGATAAAATAAACTATAATTTTTATACTGCAAGTGTATCTTAATTTTCATGTTGATTTAGTTTTGTTTTTGTTTTTGTTTTTTTATTTGAATTTATGTTTCTTTTATCTTATTCTTCTTCCCCCATTTTATGATAATATCGATCTACCACCATATACATATTTATATTCTATATTTATATCAGTACTAATTATATATGAATCATCTTTATAAAGTTAGGCAAAAAAGCTTTGTTGGTTCTGTGCTCCCAAAACTAAGGATGAACATTCAGGTTAAATGGCTAGCGATAATGAAACCTTCACAAAATTCAAGATGCCATGGGCTCGAAAATGAAGCATCGAAGCCAGAGAATGATGTCATACTACGGTAACTATCATGCTTACGTAATTTTAGAAGAGGCTTATGGCAAAGCTAGACTGCTGCTGCTACCTCCTTCAATTATCTGTAGAATAGAGTCAAGGGCTTTCATCTTCCGATAATTTCGAACGGTGAAGTTTTGTAGTTGTATCTCCTGTGCTTCTTGCCCTTCAGATAGTTAAAGAACAAAAAACAGCTTTCGAAAAAGGCCATACATAGTTTTCATATGCGTTTGTTTAAAGAACTAGTTTCACTGGCTTTTCTGGCTGAACTTACATCCGCTCTTCGCTTGAATCCTGAGAGTCACATTGAAATCCAAACCTTTACGAGAAGTGTGACTTCATATACGGCAATTTTTAACACTACAGAATTCCGTCTATGTTTGGGTAATATAAGCTCACACGATACCAAGATTTTTGGTGTCTCTGCGAGCGATGTTCCGGCTATTCAGGTTGCCAAGCCTCTAGGATTATCTGAGGAAGAGAACCGATGTGTCTTCTCATGTTTAAAGCAGCAGGAAATAGATTATTTGGGTTTTTTCAGCGGAGAGGTTGATCTTCTTAGAATTGAAGAAGATTTTCACGAACTTAATGATGAGTTGATCACTTGGCGGGGATCTTTTAGTTAAATGCTCTTATCACGTGGAGAAACTTAAGACAAAACATACTAGCCTTTCCTGAGCGGGAATTGCTCGTCTTTTCGAGGGGAAAGACGCATTGTTGGGAGACAAGTATGAGAATAAATTATGAACAACTATCAATCTAATGCCTTGTCTTTATGGGGATCTTTCTTTAGCTTGAAATGCCTTATTTTCTGTCTAGATAACTGTTGAGATAAGATGCCGAAGTCAATATCAATAAATTAGAGAAAGAGGCTTATTAAAGACAAGGCATTAGAAAAGAGCCTTGTAATGACAAGGCATCAAGTAATCTAAAACTGGAAAGATTAGCCGACGTCATGAGTGTATAAATAGGAGAGGTTTTGTCTCCTATCTGTGTTTAGAATCATTAGTTATTAAGAGTTGTATAAGTTGTTTTTAACTAAGTAACAAACATAAGAAAACGTGTACATATACAATGGATATTCATAATAGAATAGCTAGATTACAACAATAACTTATTGCAACATACTCGGCATTGCTTTGAATTAAAGCCTCATTAGTTTGGCACTTTATATAAACGGTAAATCATGACCGCCTCAATCGAGTCAATTGTTATTAACGCTCGCCCAGAATAAAATGGCATGTTTAATGTTTATACGACGGATAAACAAGAGGACAGCGCTTAATTTACAACAAATTCCGATATAGTGTAACGGCTATCACGGTCCGCTTTCACCGGGCAGACCCGGGTTCGACTCCCGGTATCGGAACATCTTTAAGCCTGGTTAGCTCAATCGGTAGAGCGTTTGACTCTTAATTTGATAGCAATCAAAAGGCTGCGGGTTCGAGCCCCGCATCGGGCTTAAATTTTTTGAGTTTTTTACTGTTTGTTTGTGGAATAATTAAGACTTGAATGAACAACATCATTCTCAAGTTCTTATATAGTAATGTTTATTTATCTTTTACTATTTAAGAATTGTAAAGCTTTTTTCAGGTGTAAGAATAAAGGTCAACTTTTGTTTCTGGATCATTGTATAATCTCTTCCACGTAATAATTTCTTTACTATTTGTATCTATTTCAAAGACCCTTATTCTTCGAATGTAGCCACCATAGCCACCGTAGCCACCGAGACCGGTACCACCCCCATAACATAGAGTGACCCCATCATTGTTAAAGCAGAAATCATTGCAATGATCATGCCCCACCGATATCAACCTGACGTTCAAGCTTTTCAAAGTGTCAAACATCCCAGTATTTGGGCTTGATGGAACGACTCCCTCAAGAAAATTTCCCTGGCGGTTCGCTGCATCGACATTAACGACGTTGGTGTACTCGGGCAAGGGAATGTGGAAAAAGGCGAGTTTGATTGGGTCCTTGTGATCTTCATGATACGAGGAGAGCCTTTCGACAAAATGCTTTTGTTCATCTGTGAACGCCTTGTAGCCCCCCTTTTCGCCTGGTTGACTTGAGTCGAGCATGTATAGGACGATTGGAGGGTTGCTTCCGACACCGTCAATTACGACCTCGTAGTTTCCGAGACCGACTCTACCTGGTACACTACTGGAGACTGAGTACGGTAGGTTTTCTATCATGTGCATCATCATCCCCGGTCGAAGAGTTCCACCTTCGGTATCATGATTACCGAAAACAAGGGCGTAAGGAATTTTCCGCTGGATTAGTATGCCTAGAAGTTTCAAGAGTGCAGTCTCCGAGTCGAACGTTTCGGGTCCAAAGAGCTGGTCACCGGTAAGAACAACAAGGTCTGGGTTCTCCAAGTCGAGTACTTTGTGGACGAAGTCGAGGGTGAATTCATCAGCAAGACAATTTTTGAGCGGATAGTCAAGTTTTGGATAAGGGTCGAGACACTTTCCAAACCCTGTGGTGAGGTGGAGGTCTGCTAACTGGACAATTTTGAACTTGCCATCTTTGTGGGTCTTTAAGCTTACCTGCGGAATGTAGACAGGTTTCTTCTCCTTCACATAAACATACACTTCGTTGTCGAACTTATGGTAGTTGAACGTGCGGAAGTCGGAGATGTTTCTGTCTGCTCCAAGAGAGTATGCGTCGTTTTTGGAGATGGTGAGGGGTCTTTTAGAGACGGCGGACCAGCCTGGCAGGGTGTCGCCGAGGTGTGCGTTGAACAAGAAGTTCACCTGATGGTAGAGGGTGCTGTGGGAGGGGGAAGTTCTGTACCAGAGGCCGTAACCGGCGTCGTAGTAGCCCATAGAGTTCAACAGCTTGATGTTTGTTGTGTTCTTTGTGGCCTCGAGGATGGGGGTGGGGATGCGGGTGTTTTTCAAGAGGGTGTCGTCGAGGGCATTGTGGACGAAGAAGCTGTCGATGGCTGGGATGCTGTATTTGGAGACGAGGTCGTAGGGGACCCTGACCTCGTACGGGTGGATGGTGGTGAAAGTGGAGCGGCCCGAGCGGAGGTCCTTTCGGAACTTGTGGACATGGGTGGTCTGGATGACCGAGTAGTCGTCTGTCACGGACGAGAGACGCTTGTAGACCTTGCCGATGTCGTCGCTGCAGCTCTCAAAGAAGGCGAACGCGGTGCACGTTACGAAGCCGACGGCGACAAGCACGAGCGGGTCCTCTATCTCCTGGACGGAGTCTGTGCCGGGCAGGTTCAGTATGTCGGAGAAGAGGCCCTTGCTGGTCTTCCCGGCCCTGCCGGAGGTGTGTGCGGGAGAGCTGGACGTGCCGGGTCTGCTGAGCACCGACAGCGTGGCTGCTGCCAGCAGCAGGGTCAGCAGGGCGTAGAGCGCTGTGCGCAGGAGCCGTTTGTTGAGTCTCATGGCGGGCGGCAGACGGGCTTGTGGGTGGCAGCTGCCGCAGAGGTCCTTCTGCCTTTCGCCCTCCTGCCTGCTGCTGCAGACCTCCATTGCCTGTGTCTTCAGGACCGTCAACCTCGTGCTGCTGTGCGGTCCGCGAAAAGGGCCAGGGCAGCTGTTTCGCTGCTGCGGGCGTGCGTACACGATGAGCCTTCGCGTTAGCGTGTACACCGGGTGCTATACAGTGTCTACAGGGTCACTTGTCCTTGCTGTCCTTGTCCTTGCTGTCCTTGCCCTTGCTGTCCTTGCCCTTCTCCGTGTCCTCCGTGCTCTTCTCGCCCGCTGCTCCGCTCAGGGCGCCGAAGCCATGCCCCGAGCCCGGGCCCGTCCCAGCGACGCCGACGGCCCCGGGCCGGTGCCCCCCCGTCTGGAGCAGGCCACCGCACCTGATGTAGTCGCCGGACTCATTCGCACACGGGACAACCCTGCTGTGTGGACGGCACACCTGCGGGTCCTGTGGGTCCCTGGTTGTGTTGCCGAACTTGAGCTTTGCCCCCTGCAAGTTTGGCGCAAGCTCGTCGCCGTGCTCGGCCCACTTCCTGGTGTGGTCTTCGTTGCTGCTGTCCATGTGTGCTGTGCTGTGCTGTGTTTCTTCTGAGCCGCCTCTGCTGTCCCAAACCGGGCGTTGCCCCGTGTGCCCCGTGTGCCCCCGTTGCCCCGTTGCCCCCCCTCCTCTTCTCTTCTCTTGACTACTCCTGCTGGAGGAAGGGCAGCGCCAGCAGCTCCGCCGCCCGCGGCCGCGTGACGTAATCCGGCGCAAGCACCTGGCCAAGAAACTCCACGGCGCGCGGGTCGGCGAGGGCGCGGGCCGGGATGCCGGGCTGAGCCCTGCCGGTTCCGATCTGGAAGATGGCCTGCATCTGGCTGAGCCCCGGGTACGGGTGGCGGCCCGTGTACATCTCCACAACAAGACAGCCAACAGACCACACGTCGGCCTTGTCAGTGTAGGCAACCTGTTTGACAACCTCGGGAGCCATCCAGAAGACGGAGCCCTGGAGCGAGGAGCGCTTGTTGGGCTTGGGGGAGGCGGCGGCAGCGGCAGCGGCAGCAGCAGGGTCGGGGTCGTCCACAGCAGTCTTCTTGGAGATGCCGAAGTCGCCGATCTTGACGCTGCCGTTGTTGTCGACGAGGATGTTGCCGCCCTTGATGTCGCGGTGGATGATGCCGCGGCTGTGGAGGTAGACCAAGCCGACAATGACCTGGCGCGTAAAGTTGCGCACAAGACGGTCCTCGAAGGGCCCGTACATCTTGAGCATGCTGCTGACGGAGCCGCCGGGAACGTACTCGAGGAAGATGTACATGCGCGTGTGGTCGGTGTTGGAGCCCAGGTAGCGCACAATGTTGTCGTGGCTCAGCTCCTTCAAGAGCGAGATCTCCTGCTTCAACGCGCCCACCATCGTCTTCTTCGAGCGCTCGGTCTCGTTCTGCGGCATGTCCACCTGCTTGATCGCCATCAACTCGCCTGTCAGCCCGTTCAAGCCGAGGTACACGTTCCCGAACGAGCCCTGCCCGATCTTCGGGCCCTTGTGCCACACGCTGGGCCCGTTCGCCACCTCCCGGCTGATCACCCCGAGCTCCTCCTCGCTCTCCTCGTCGCCGTCGCCGTCGCCGTCGCCGTCGCCGTCGCTCTCGTCGAGCAACTCGATGATGCTGTTCGGGTGCTCGTCCTCGATGATCGTGTCCGCCTCTGCCCCCGCCTCCGCCTCCTGCCTGTGGTGGTCCATCCGCAGCGGCATCCCGACCCCGTAGCTCGCGTCGCTGTACACAGACAGCCGGCTCGACATCAGCGACAGGCTGCTGAGCCGCCCGTACAACGTCTCCCGCTTCGTCTTCGCCTCCGGCGACGCCGGCAGCGCCCTGCTCAACCGGTCCATCATCTTGCTGCTGTACATCGACAACCGCATCGACTTCCGCCGGATGTCCTCAATCTCCCCGTGGCCCAACTCGGGGAAGTACTCCCGGAGATTCGTGCTGATCATCTGGCTCGGAGGCCGGCCACCCATGAACTGGTTGATCTCCCGGTCCCGTCTCGTGGCAGCAGCAGCAGCAGCAGCAGCAGCAGCCCCGCCCGCTGCAGGCGTCTTCCTCCGCCGGTGGATCCGGTTCGACGTGTTCACCGCCTCCGTGCTCACGCTCTCCTGCGCCCGACACAGCACAAGCCGGTCCTTCTCGGGCAGACCCTCCGCAACAAGACGGTCGAGCTCCCCGCCGCTCACCTCATGCACAGTGCCGCCCTCCGCGTAGTCCACGTAGTACACACTCCACTCGTGTGTCTTGGACGTCCCGAGCACAGAAAGCACAATCTTCTTCTTCGTGTCCGTCTCCGAGCCGCTTCGCCGTTTGCCCACGTCCACCGGGTGTACCTCACCATCCTGAGTAATCACACTGATCGATACAACACCTGTGTTGCCACCTGTTGCATCATTGTGACCCTGCGCAGCCCTCACCTGCTCTTCCAGCTGCATCATCGAGTTCACCGCCACGTTGATACTCTTGCTCAACAGCTCCACAGGCACGTCCTTCTTGATCCGCTCAATGTTCGTCAGCTTTATCAAAACCTGCATCCGCAACCGGTCGCCCACCTTGCTCACTCCCATCTCCTTGATCGCGTGTTTGTCCAACGACGGCAGTAGGTCGGGCGTGATGTCATTCTCCTCAAACAGCGGAAGATATTCGATGCAGTCGACGCTGTCAAGCAGCGACGCCATATATTCTCTCTCTGACTCTAGCATGGTTTTGCGATGCAATCTTGCTGGCAAATACCAGAAAACCCGTCCAATTGCTTTCGTAGAGAAGAAACTTTTGTTCCTGTACACAAGGTTACACATTTAATACACGCTTCACGCTCCACCTCCTTTTTCTCCCCGCACACGTTGAGAAAAACACGTTTTCCATCTTTCTCCGTCTCATGCAAAGAACCGCTTCAAGAGCCGGCCTTTGGCACAGGCATGTCCAAGCTCCTGGTTGTACACAGCTAGTTGGGCCTCCTGCCGCTGTACGCTCTCCTGCTGCTGCAGTCGGCTCCGTTGGAACCCAGATACAATGCTCTCTACCGGGACAACGGACATTCCGCTATGGGCGAACGACTCTTTTTTGATCCGCAAATACCGCCTCACAAACACAACAAACTTAGCAAAAACAAGGTACATGCTCTCCTCAAAGAGGACTTTCAACTGGTGCACCCGAAACACTTTTTCCACTGAGCAATTCCCGTTTCCCTGGTTGCCCTGGCCGTTAAGCTTCTTGATAGCAGCCAACACGTTAACCATGATCTGGTCGGCGCTCTTCAAGCTCTCACTGTTGATAAATTTGCCAAACTCTTCTACAATGCAGTATATCCTCTTGTTCTCCACATCAACTTTCCCCAGATGCTTCTGGTACTTTGTCCCCACGTTTCTCGCTGTGTGCGGCAAATCACTCTGCAAACGAACGAACCCTTTGGAAATGTGATTGTTCAGCACAGAAATCTTGGAGATCTGCTCCACCTGGCACCTCATAAGCTTCATGATCTTGCAGTACCGCTGATACTGACTCTTGATTTGCCAGCGCAAATAGTGCACCAGCTGTCGGTCAATCGTCATTCCGGATATCTCCTTCCAGTTCATTTTGTGGCTTGCCTTCCACTCCTGCGGGATCTCCAAATATAGAGGCTCGTTTGCGTCTACGTCAAGGTGTTTCTGCTGCAAGTTTTCATAGTGTCCAAGAAACTTGGATATTAACACACCTATACGCGGACTGGATTTGCCGATATAGTCGTCCAGATATCGAAGAAACCTTTCGAAATCAACAGAGGGCGATACCAACAGATTATGAAACTTTTTCTCTTTTGAGCAGTGGCTGTCGTTATCGGTGGAGGAGAAAAAATAGTCGCCGGACTGTAAGGCCTCACTACTTTTCACAAACGGGTTGAATTTCGGGGTATCCAAAATACGCCTCACAAATTCCACTCTGATAATATTGTAACAGAGGTACGAAGGGTACACATGGTACAGTCTTTGCAAATGGTCATACAGCAGCTCTTCGAGGTCTATCTTACCATCCCTGTTAAGAATTGTGTCGAGAAACTTATGGTGGATTATCAGCAACGTTTTGATGTTGCTAAAAAGGAAAAGCTTGATTTTCGAGTTGATGAGGACGTTGTTTTCGTCCACAAACTTGTCAAACTTGTTTGATATCTCTAAAAGCAGCTTGAGTTTTTTAACGATGATTGACTGGATCGAAATGAGCTCATAGGGTGGCGGATTATTTAACGGCTCTAATATCTGCTCTTCGCTGCTTGTCGCAGTAAACCGCTGCTCACGATGACTTCTACTTTGGCTACGAATGCTGCCCATCGAGTAATTTCCAGATACTCTTCCTGTTCCAAGCTGTAAATTTTCTGAACTTTTCTCCATGAGGGACGGCATCAGTTTTTCTGTCGTCACCTTCTTGTATTTCTCGATCTCGCTGCCGTCATTCCCCCGGAATGAGTACCATAGAGATTGTGCATACGGATTTACAGCTGTGACCTTGTTACTGTTGTATTGGGTTGATTTCTCGAACGGCGATGGTGGCGTTACATACGGTCTGTACACATCGTCACTGAAGTCCTCACTTGAACTCGACCAGTTGCTCCCAACAGGACTCAGCGGCGACGGCGTCTTGTAAAGGTTATTGTAAAATTGCGTCCTCCTATCATCCGGATAGATCGAAGACGATGTATCATAGTATCTCGATTGCATGTTCACTTTGCTGTTGTGCTGTTCTTTCTTCCTTCTCTTCTTGGGTACATCTTAGAAAACTACAAACAGAAGAAAGCGCCTTTCCTTGCCAAGACGGAAACAAAAGATACAAGCTTTTGGAAGATCGTCCTCCGACACTCTGTCTAACGCCATCCGGTCTTCTTCTCCGTGTGACCCTCTTTTTCCCTGAGCCTTTCTACTAGGTTTCTTTTCTTGTTTCCACAACGTTCGCCAGAATTGTGTCATACATGTTTCAGATCAAACTCCTTTTCTTACCAGTGGCTTACGTAAGCACACCAGTTTTGGCTGCCATTTTTGGCTGTGCAGGCAGGACGTGAAGAAGAACAGGCCCGGCATGAGCAACAGTGGATGGAGACAGCAAGCAGGCAAGGAGAGCCGTTCCAGTTCCAGAAAAAAAACAGGACGAAGGTCACAAAGATAAACACCTTGCTGCCGCAATAAAAAATGTCGTTGGCTTCGTGGAGACAGTTCCCGTTCTTCGAGGGGACGCCTATCAAGGACCCGTATTACGGCTCTCCGGATAATGCGTTGTATTCTGATCCAACGATAAGTGCCACCTGCTCTACGGGGAGACATATTGCTATAGCGGTGGAGCAGACGAGGGTCAAACTCATTAACTCACAGTTTGAAAAGGAGTACGAGTTTCAGTGTTATGACATAGGCTGGGCAATAACAAAATTAGCTTTCTTCCACGGCAACCCTGGCAAAAGCTCCAACAGAGGATCCACTGCTGTTGCTAGTAACGGCTTTCTGGTGACAATTGCCGAAAGGCAAGGACTCCCTCTGTCACTAAAACTATGGAGCTTGGATAAGTTATTGAACCCACATTACAACATGAAAAAATTTGACTACAACTCAAGCTATCACACTATTTGCACGATAACCAACGGATCGAACAACTACCCTATGACCTGTTTTACCTATTCTCTTGATTACACTGCACTCACTTTTGGGTTCTCCAATGGTACTGTGATATTGGTAAGAGGTGACCTTTTACATGACAGAGGATCGAGACAAAGAGTCATTTACGAGAATAAAGAACCTATCACGTCAATCAGTTTTAGAGATGAAATGACACTATACATTTGTACCGTCTCTAAAATCTTCACACTTTCTACAACAGGGAAGAACAATGGACACTGGGATAAAATCTTGGATGATAAAGAAGGAGCAGATATCGATTGCAGCAGCACTTACACTGAAAGTAATAACAGTAAAGGAAGAGCATTGCTGGTTGCGAGAGATAATTGCTTCCAGTTTTACCACCTGAAGGGTAAATCACATTCCATTCAAATGAACATACCGAAAAGAAGGTTATACGTTTACAAGAACAGATATGCGCTTTTTCTTTCCTTTGTAAACTCAAATTTGACTGAATCATCAATAATATCCAGTAACAAACTCATAGTTTTGGACATGAAAAATAATTACATAGTCTACAACCAATCAATTTCAAGCTCCATTTTTGAAGTTTTCGAATGTTGGAATGATCTTTATATGCTACTTTCGGATGGATCATTGCTGAGGTTGCATGAAAAGCCGATAAAAGAAAACGTTAATATTCTCGTGAAAAGTGATTTGTTTCAGATAGCTATCAAGTTGACAAATGAGAGTTCAGAAGAATTTTCACAAGAGGAAATAATGAAATTGAAAAAGCGCTACGGGCTATTTCTTTACGATAAGGGTGAATTTGCTGACTCCATAGACCAGTTTATTGAGTGTATCCCATTAGGTAAAACTAGTGAGGTGATTTCAAAATTCAAAGAGAGCTCAAAAATTCATCATTTGATAAAATACCTCCAAAAAATGGTAGATTTGGAAATATCAACTCCAAATCACATAAACCTTTTGTTGACTTCGTTTTGCAAACTCAAAAAGAATGATGAGTTTGTAAATTTCATAAACGGTATCAAAATAGATGACGATTTTGATATAGTAGAAAAATATAAAGCTTTTGATCTTAACCTGATAATTCAGTTATGCAAAGAAAATGAGTACTACGACTTGGCGTTGTTGATAGCCGAAAAATTCAATCTGTCCCAAGTTGTAGTATCAATCCAATTGAACGATCTGCATGACACTGTGTCCACAATCACATATATCACGTCCCTAAGCATAGACGACTTATTAAGAGTTGTGATTGATAACGTGAACGTATTACTCAATAACCTACCTAATGAAACTACACAGTTATTGATTGATGTTTTTACAGGAAACTACACACCTAAATCAAGGGATTTAGTAGTGAAAAATGAAATCAATGAAAGTAAAAGTATGACGACGTATCCTTTGATAACGTCGTACAAACAGTTTGTTTCCTTTATGAGACTAAAAGAAGGTACAGAGGCGAATAAAACTGAAATGCCCAATGGAGAGGATAATGAACACAACGTGGTTGAATGTGACGTAGTTTCTCCAATTAAACCGACCTATCAACCACCAAAGCCACGGATAATTTTCTCAAGTTTTGTGAACCACAACTACGAATTTGTCATTTTTCTAGAGGCTTGCATAGAAAGCTATGATGCCTTTGGTGGTAATGTACAAGACAAAAAGGATCTCATGAATACTCTTTACGAAATGTATTTGACTCTAGCAAATGAAGATGTAGATAACAAGATTGATTGGGAATTAAAAGCAAAGGCATTACTTGACGGGAGAACTGAATGGTCCGAAGAAGACAAAGTCTCATTATTGCTCATCTCTAACATGTATGATTATAATGAGGGTGAAATGATTATTAGAGAATCAACAGATAACGTTGGCTCCATTGAAGGCTTTGAACTTGACATTTTTCGGTCTGCTGTGTTTTCAGGGAATTTGGAAAAATCATTGGAAATTGTCAACAAATATGGTGCGAAGGAACATGAGTTATTCAGACTTGCACTTACTACATATACCTCGAATAAACAACTCATGGATACCATTGGTGAGGAAAATTTGAAGAAACTACTTACTACAATTGACAATCTGAAACTTTTCACTCCGCTTGAGGTATTAGATTGTTTAACAAGAGGAAATGCTAACGTAAAACTAGGATTGGTTAAAGATTATTTACTAAAAAATATAGAGAGACAAAAATCGGGAATAGAAAAAAATGAAGCCCTGGTTGACGCATATGAACTCAAATTAAATGACCTTACTAGTCAGATAAAAGATTTACTTCATAACCCAAAGCTCATTAATACAACACGATGCTCAGTGTGCTCGGGTCAGCTTGATTTCCCTATCATTTATTTCAAGTGTGGACATCAGATTCATGAAAGCTGCCTTATTGAGAATACCCAAATATCTTCGATAATCAATGAGAACTCTAATGATGATGAAAATGTTTCGTGCCCCATTTGTTCTGCTGACCAGGATGCTTTGTTAATGTTGAAAAAACAACAGGAAGATATGAGTTTGCGCCAAGATTTATTCGAAGCATCATTGCAGGGTAGCAGTGACAGATTTAAATCTATGTTTGGCTTTTTAGGGAGAGGTGGAATGGAAACTTCCCAAATTGTCACCGACGGAAAAGCAACGTAAATCTCAAAATTATGTAGTAAAATTTTACTGAGTAAAAGACTCTAGCTTATAAATTCAATTTATGAAGTATACCGAATTAATCTATTATTCGTGAATATCTAAAATTGTCACTGCATAGAGCGCAGCAAATCATGGATTCTTGTTCAGAATTTAGCTAGTAAACCAGGATTTGACTCAACTACACTTTTCAGCTTTGCCATAATATCCTTGGTGAACATCAAGTTTTTATCTTTATCGCCATCCTTGTCCCTGTCGTTATCATTGTCTCTATTTCTTTCCTTATCTCTATCTCTGTCTTTATCCATGGTTGTACGTTTATCAAAACCAGCAAGTTTGTAGAGACGTAATAGGTCTTCAGGTACGACACTTAGCTCGTCATTCATCTCAATCATTTCGTTTACTACTTCTATTGCAAGAAATTGATTTTCTCCACCAGCAGAATTGATCAGTTTCGATGGATCAATCCCTTCCCCATCGGAACTACTCTTTCCTTTGGTATGAGTAGCCGTATCAATTTTCGTGTATAAGATATTTGGAGTAATGACAGTGGCCAAGTTATGTGTATCCATTTTGGAGCCTCCCATATTATCACTGTTATCATCAATATTGGCAAAGGTTGAAACCCAAGATAAGAATGCAAACAAAACTTCAGCTAGATCTCGATGTGCTTTTGGTAACATTGCATATGCCAACTTCAAAACTCTTTCCCTCTTACGTGCCAATTTTGTATCATCTTCACTAACGCTAGGACCACTGCCCAATTTTTGTGATAGTATAAACAAATCGTAAAGCTTGAAAGTTAATAGTGGAACTGGTAGGTCTCTTAGAAATTTTTTAAGGACAGCTGCTAGTTGGATGGGAGTTTCATTTTCGAGTTTGGGCACATGCTCAGGACGGGATTCGATGGCCTCAACCAACTGTCGAAGTCTTCGTATATTACCATTCAATCTGAAAACACCCTCAATACTAACATCTTGGGTTCTCATCACATTAATAAGCTCATCAATCAAAAGCGGAATCCGTACTTTGTGTGAGCCGACACCGAGATCACTATCCATACCATATTTGTTAACCAAGGTAGTGAGTGGAACACCAAAAACACCTTTTCCAGATCCAGAAATAGTCGCAGATCCAGATTTGAAGTCATTATTGCTGCCAGTGCCATTATTACCACTAGCAGAGACACGAGATTCGGACTCGTTACTGTGGCCATTGCCAAAAATTTTCTCCCAGAAAGAAAGCGATTTTTTCACATCTATTAGATTGGTGCATTCTTCAAGTGTCATTTTGTTAGAAAACATATCATAAAGTGCAAATGCGGCTATGTGTCTAATATATTCGTGAGCACTGTTGCTGAATTCAGAGTATCTTTTGCCATTGATAGCGTTGTAAGAGGTTACCACACTCTTTTTGCCGTATGTATTGTTTGAAGCACTGTTATTTAAACTTGGAAGACTACCAACATTACGGGGAATATTTGTACTGTTTTTAGACTTTGGTTGACTTGGCGTAGGTAGTGGTATCTTGTCATTATTGGAATCTTTGGTTTTGACAACTTTTGGTTTAGGAAGGTTAGAGATTGCAGATGAATAATCTCTGCGTTGGAAGCGAAAGGCATTTGGCCTATGCTCACGTGCTTGCTCCGAGCTGACAATTCTGGGGATATCATCAAGTGTGAGTGAACTTTCGTTTTGCAACAATTTTGACGTTAGTGCTGCATTGAAAGGACCTCGTTGTTTATAATTTGAACTTTTCACTGAGTCAAAGCTCTTTTCGTTTTCGTCATCCTTCTGTGCTTGTGAGTCATGATTACTGTAACCTTTTCTTGCATTTTTATTATCTGCTGAAAGATCTTGAACTCTCAACTTGAGGGAACCTTTGAAACCTGTGCGGAATGAGTTAGGTGAAATGGTAGAGTCTTTAGAAGATTTGCTGTGAACAGAATTCTGATGGTTCAATGTCATATTGTGGGCTGTATTTGCAGTTGTATTAACGGGTAGTTTCTTGCCATCAACAACTTCTTCTGTACTTGCACTAGAAGCGACTGGCGCTTCAAGTATTACTGATTTACGTATTTCACGATTTGCACTATTCAACTTTCTTGCTTCACGTTGAGAACGCCTACGCGTTATCTCTGTTACCTTGTTCTCATAAGAGTCATTATCTGGCGGCCTATGAACCGAGTTCGATTGCTTGTTATCCACCAGTGGCAAATTCACACGAGTCTCTTCAAAGTCTTGCGGAGCAGTAATAAAAGGATTGTTAGGATGATAAGACTTCTTAGGCTTTTGCTTGTCCTTTTTGGTATCTACAATTTCTGCGCTACCTCTCCTTAGAGTTGCAGAATTGGATTCTATTGATGTAGAGAAGCTAACGTCACTCAATTGCTTCATGTGGCCTTTCTTTTCACGTTTTTCTATTACGATTTTTGAGCGAACAATGGCAATTTCTAGCAGATAAGCCAATTGCATGTATCTTGACACCAAATGGAATCCAACTTGAGCGTTAACATCCCCAGAAGCACAAGACGGACATAGAACTTCGTTAGTTTTACCATTAAACGAAGACTCCAAAAGCTCCGATACTGGAATCTGTTGATTATTTGGACATTTCGAACATCGGAAACAATCCGTATGCCATCTTTTCTCGATTGAGTCTCCAATTTTATACATAATACACTCATCCTCAATGCTTTTATTACAACTGGTACAGGAGTCACTTGATTTGACTGATATAGAATTCAACGATAGTAATTCTTGAGGGTAATCTTCATGCTTCGAGATTTTGCTTAGAAGTATGTCTGTTGGTTTCAAAGAGACAGAGAGTCTATTAAATTCCAGCGCATGCATCAAAGCATTTCTAGAAATTAGCTTGATAAAATGAGCGATTGTGGATATCAATGATAGCAATTCATGTGAGTACTTGTTAACGGTTAATTTCTCAGAGTCGATATCTCGTAGGAATGTTAAGTAAGACATAATTTTGGATGTTAATGAGCGTGGTTCTTTTTTCAATTGGGAGAAATTCTGATATTTTGGTAAAGAATAATTCAGGAGTATGTGTTTCGAAGTTGAGTAGTTGAATAATGACTCTATACTTTTGAAAAGACACCGTATTTTGAAAACCAACTTAGATGTAACTAGTAAGCCTTTTGACTTATTGTTTGTTGTTGCGGTGTGTAACATTTCGGATATCAACGACGCACATGACTCTTCGAATTCGGAAAGTGTTAGCCAGATTGATATAGTTAGCTTCTCCAGGTTTGTTTCAACCTTGTACAGCTTCTCTGGGTTTGATGAAACATCGTCTATTGAATGAATGTTTAAGCCTAGGGCGTTAACAGTTATATCAACATTCCAAAATTTATGGACCATAAAACATTCTGGATGCCATTGTTGTTGTTTACCGCCCCTGAAAATCTCAACGTATTGTTTGAGAATGGCACATTTACAACTTTCACAGTGAAATGCGTATAATTTAGAGTAGTGGAAGTGGCAATATATCTTGCCCTCATTTGCATAGTAATTATCGGACTCAAAAACTTTATGGCATACTTCACAGAAGAAATGCTCAGAATGATATTTATGCCTCAGTGCTGTTATATATGCGCCTCTGATTGCGTTGTTACATGTGTGACATATCAAATCTATCCTTTTGAAATAATCGTATTCACATAACGGCACATTTATAGTTTGATTTGTCTGCTCTTTATTTTCTTCGCAATTGACTATACTCTTTCCATTTTGATCCACTTCTATATCTGCTGCAAAAAACTTATCTGAACAAGGCTTATGACAGTCAAAACAGGTGAAACAATCAACATGATATATATTTCCCATTGCACGGACTAATGTTCCTATGATTGGCTTCGAGCAAACTTTACATACTTTTGTCTTCTTTAGCTTATTGTGCCTCACTGGGCTAGAAAAAATATCGGTGCTTGTATCTCTTTTGCCCATGTCGGTGCTTATACTATGGTTATTTGTGATGATACCATTACTGTTTAGGTCACCTTCGTTAGAATGGTTGTTGAAGTGTGCGCTTGTAGGACTACTTTTGGTATCGTTTGCTAGGTTCCTTGCATTGTTGTTTTCGTTTAAAGGCTTCAGGTGGTCATTGCTGGGATCTTTTTGTAAAGGAGGTATGAACATCTTCATTTCTTTTTTGGAAGGGGAAGAATAGAGGTTATGATATAAATGTTTGGAATGACTTGGTGAACTTTGCATGTTGAAAGAGGTGTTATTGTTGATCGGGGAGCTGATACTCATGTTGGCGTTATTGTAGTGCCTGTTAGTATTGTTGTTGGTGACGGTCGTGTTGTTGTTGATGGGGCTGTCAAGATTGCCGCTACCGCTATCATTATTCATGTTTGTGTTCTGGTTACCGGTGGTGTTAAAACTTCCGTAACTGACATTGCTGCTCGTCTTGACAAGACTCGCCATGTTTTGACTTTGCTGCAGTACTGGTGTCAAGTGCATTCCGTCAGCATCGGTTTTGTTTGGGTGCTGCATGGCGTTCTAGCCAAATTCGTTTGTTGCGATTTTTTTGTTTTGCAGCTAGAGACAGTGACCCTGTTTGTTTGTTTTGCAAAACGATCGAATCGATTTGAATTGCCTGCTGGAAAACAACTTGGTAGACATTCAAGAGGGCACACGAGCTTAGGTTATGTATGCGGATGTGTATACGAATAGTTCTGTCTGTCGGTCCACCTGTCTGAAGAACTTGGTGTTGTTATTGCTTTGGGGCAGGTGAAGCTTCGTGATAGGTCGTATCGGAGAGTGGGGAAAAGGGGGCGACGAGATAGACTTTTCCAAACGGGTACCGATACGTGCTATAATAACGTGGAGAGTAGTGTGGAGGTAGATGTTGATCGAAGGATCTCCCCCTTTCCTGCTGCCCGACGTGTCGAATGCGGTATGTTGGTCCAACATCCTACAAACAAAATTCCAGCTGGACAATGCCCTCCCGTTTCCCAAACGTCTTTGTGTCCGGTCATTTGTTACCAAATTGGCGGTGCTTCCAACTGCTACTTATTTTTATACTGCTTCAGGCGCCAAACGTAAACAAAAGGCGAGAAAAACCAGAGAAAAAGGAGAAATTCGCGACAAAAATCCATGCCGTAGCTGATTACGTAACAATCCGATAAGTCATGTTACGTAAGCGTGTGCTGGTCTGCTCTGTGGAATTAGTTGCCGCATTCGGTAGTGCTGACAATCAGGGCCATCAATCACGGCAACCATTAGGTTCATGATAAAGGTACTGTACCGGCTTTGGAGCTCCAACAGCTTGAACTTTCACCTTAACAGTGAACTCCGGCTTACTGGTTTTGTTGTAACTGGTTTCCCGCAGTCCAGAGTTGCGTCACGTTTCCTTGGACAGGCTATCAAATTATTCGTTGTCATGATAACCATAATTTGATCCATTTTTCACTGCACCTCACATATATACGAAATAATAGCTTCCAAAGGTCTTCTTGCCGATCAGAAAAGCATCCTTTTTGATCTCTGCATCTGTTCTGGCTGCTCATTCTGATGTCGACAGAGGTGAAGAAGCGCAGCTACTCACGAAATGGCTGTATCCAGTGCAAGAAGAGGAAATTCAAATGCGACGAACACAAGCCGACCTGTTATAACTGCATCAATGCAAACAAAGAGTGTTCGTACCGCCAGATCCTCAAGTTCAAAGACTCACGCTCGTTCACCATTGAAGGCTCCATGCTTTCAAGGGTAGGGAAGCTGAAAAAGGACACAAAACTGACCAAAATCATTCCATCGGTTGGCCTCTGTGGGCCGCTGACTTCGGCGATAGACGCAAGTCCGACAATGACAGCAGCAACAGCAGCAACGAAGAAAACCACAATTCCTGTTTCCAAACCCTCTGTAGATCGGTTTTTGGATATACTTCCGCAAGTGGTTCAAAATCCCTTGGCGGGAAATGCTCTTGCTGCTAAACAACCGAAACTCCCTGTTCTTGAGGAGAACACAAACCTGTTATCTAATACTTTCCGGCAAGCTCCTCAGAAGACGAACCCTGCCTCAGAAAACCTAAGCACGAATGTTCAGTCTCCGCTTTTGTCACTGCCTCAATCTAGCAATACTCCGGGCATACTATCTCAAATTGATCTCGAAAATTCCCTCTTCAGTGGTGCAACTAATTTGATCACGGATTTGAATGGCTTGATCAACTCTTTAGAAATAGACTTCAACACTCTAGATTTTCAAACTGGACATCTTCTTCCCAAATCTAGTGGTGATGACAAAGCTTCTGTTCAGCCACCACCTGTTGATATCAAAGCCACATCAGCTACAAACTCCGCCTCAAACTATCAAGAAACTTCACAAGCCTTCAAGCCTTCTTTGTCAAGCATCCGATTTGAAGGGATATCTCCGACTAGCTACTCCATCGCTTCATCTGATAGTCAAATAGCAAATGCACAGCTTTCACCCACTGTTGATCATCAGAGTTCACAGTATCAGGATTTGCAATTTCAAGACTCCTACTTTTTTCTTAAAAACAACAGTGTAGATAACAAAAGAGTGGGCACTTCTCAACTGGGGGTTTCATTATTGCCTGGTGCTACGCATGGAACGTCCAAGAAGAGAAAATTTGAGGAAGAAGTCGATTCAGAGAATTCCACAGAAATTAGCAGCATTTACAATAATGAGCATGATGGGAACAGAGAGAAAAAGGAGGAAGATGATGGCGATGATGTTGATGAAAATGATGAAGAAGATGAGGAGGATCAAATTGAAACGTACAATAGTAATTATATTCAGACTCTAACAAAATCTTTGGTAGACTATGGAAGCCCTAAAATATTGACAGACATCAAATCACCAGCAGGTGATTTATCCATTCTGTCAAATTATGGAACCTCCAGGTCGTTTTTCAAGCAATATTCTCACGAAAATTCAAAGGCTTTTCCTCATCCAAATTTACAATCCCTTGTGCCATTCGATTACATTACGATGCTCAACAAAACACTGAACACTAAAGACTTAGAGCTATTGGCATCATTCTTCAACTGGGGATTGAACTCGTCACATGTAAAATATTTGAAAATTTTTGTCACACACATTCATCTTAATATTATTCCCTTCTCAACAAATTATGCACACAACGCATATCTTAGAATTTTCTTGCAACAAGCTAAACATTCTCCTCACTTACTATTTGCTATACTAGCTATATCAGCAAGATTTGAAGTCTATCAAATTGAGCAACGCTCAGATTTACCAAATTATGAAGAAAAACTGAACTATCACCGAACATTTCGAACATATTACCTATCCTCTTGTTTGCGTTCGCTTGAATCTGTTCTACATTCAAAACAGACAACTTTGAACAATATTGAGTCCTTACTTTTGACCATCCAAGTTCTAGCTTCTGACTTTTCTGGTCATAAAGGTTCGCAATGGAGAACTCATTTGCACGGTGCAAAAGATCTATTGGTTAAATACTGCAGATACCGTCCACTTTCCTTAGAGTTAACTATTGTTTGGTTATGGTTTTATTCGATGGAAGTGTTGGCAGCATTAACTGCCCCCCATGGAGGTACAATACATAATTTTGACGAAATGGATGAGTTCCTTCCAGTCCTCTGCCCTCAAACACCTCAGTATCTTCGATATCTTAGACAAAATACAAGCTTGTATAATAATCATGACGATGATTTGATTGAGCCTGGGAAGTTAACAAATGCACTAGTCCATTTCGGTATAGTAGTTGATGGAAAATTGGAGTCCGATATTCCCTCCAGGTTCAACATGTATTTGGGATACGATGAGACCATACTGGAAGTTTTCAATGCACTAGTGTACACAATTGAATGCATAAGAGGTAAAGATAATGTACCCAAATGTCAAAAATTTGAGATTTACGAGAGAAAAATATTAGATAGCCAAGGGAAAAGCTTGAATTCCAACTTTCTGCTTTCATTATTTGCGCTCATAAAAAAAGCTCGGACTTTTACGTACATGAATAATGAGCCACCCTACATTGTTCCTTTAGGTAAAGGCCTTCACCCATCTGAAATCATAAAAAAAGCGTTTACGGAAAAAGACAATGTTCACAACCCACCACTAGAGAAAGTTTTCATATCTGCATTCATTCATCCTACCCAAATTTCAGGAAACAACAAAAATTTAAACAATTTTGTCCGAGAGAGTAACTCGCCATCAGCATCTTCAGGAGAAAGTCCCTCGGCTTCAAACTCAAAATCACCAACTGTAGTTTCAAATATTGAAGCAGAAGAACATCCAAAGTCATCTCAGTTATCGCTGCAAGAGAGTACCGCTGAGTCGAATTTCTCAAATGCCGCAGATGTAAAAGAAGAAAACAAAAATTCTGATGATCATGAGAAAGAAATATATTTTTCATGGGTAGATTTGTCCCAACAACTCAATGCCGATGCAGCGTTCTTGAGATTACTTACATTACATGGCGGAGTTTCTGCATATGGCCTTGGAATCAAGTCTTCGTTGGTACAAGACGTTGTAAGCAGAATGATAGTTGGACTGTATGGCCTGGTTCGATTTAGAGAAGAAGCTGCAGAAGAGATTGATAAAAATTATACCGGTGATATGGTAAGCCTCGACAATCGTTATAAAGTTATGGACGTAGATGCTGATAAGGGACTCGGCAAAGAAACTGGACTGGATTCGGTAAAGGAATTATCTAAATGGCCCGCATTCCCCTTTGACAAGTATTTAGACTATCAATTCGATAATAGGTTGGTGATGGTACAATGGCCATTATACGTTTGCGGCTTGTGTTGTATCGAGCCACGACATAAAGCAGTAATTGAGTGTTGCTTTTCTGGACTCATTGATTTGGGTGTTGGCAGTGGTGAATTGAGTCTGAAGAAGTTGCGCAAGATCTGGACGCTGCAAAAACTTGGACGGTTTGACTTTGAAAAGTTCAACCTTTTCGGACAGGGATTCGACGATGATGAAGAAGATGATTACGTTCCTTTCATGTAAATGTGAATATCCTGAAAAAATGATAACAAGTGTATTTGATAATATACAGATAATTTACAACTACATACAGGTAGCAAGGGAAAGACGCACTAATCCAGCAGCTCACCACGTCTACTTTCATCTTTCTTGTTCACGTAGTACCTCTCTGCATCCTTGTATTTATCGATCTCACTCTCACGTTTTATTCTGTCTACTAATTGAGCTTCTTTATCATCGGTTATATTTTGTAGATCGGGAGGTATTTCTTGCATCTGAACTGACGGTGCTTGATTCAAATATCGGAGGTTTTCCAAGAGCTGAACTCTCAGGTTGTCCAAGTACTTTTTTGTGTTTTTGTTCTCAAACCGATCACCCAAATTAGGATGTAGCGAGTAATCAGGTTGAAACCACGATCTAAACGGTAAAGAGTCTGGTAGCTTCGAATTCAATTCCACATTTGCCAAAACACTTGTCTCGTAACACCAAAGTCTGCTCACATTTCTAGGCGTATATCCACCACCACCTAGACAGAGCATGGGTACACCGAAACTTTTAACATATTTGACACATTCACCGTGAGCTTTGATATTCAAATTAAAGCAGCCCAAACGGTCACAACCAAGGGAGTCTGCACCACATTGCTGTATGATTGCAGTTGGTCTGAACTTCGCTATCACAGGTTCAATGACAGATTTGAATAGTCTCACGTAGGACTCATCATCAATACCGTCTTGTAATGGAACATTGAGAGCAAAATGCTTACCTTTGCCGACACCAACCTCATCATAATTACCTGTTCCCGGGAAAAACTCTCCGTTGTATTTGTGGAAGGAAACTGTCATCACTCTATCCGTCAGATAGAATGCCTCTTGGACACCGTCACCATGGTGCAAATCTATATCTATGTACAAGATTCTTGAATGAACTCGTAGAAGGTTGAGAATTGCCATCACTATATCGTTGACATAACAAAATCCACTAGGCTCGTACTTTTTAGCATGGTGCAACCCACCAGACCAGTTGATTGCAATGTCACTCATCCCGGATATCAACTTTCTGGATGCATCCAAAGAGGCACCTGCATAATACTGACAATAATCGTACATACCGTCAAACACAGGACAGTCGTCACCAATGTTGAATTTTTTCAAGTCATCTGCAAACTTGGTAGAGTTCTCTGGAGTGATACGTTGTAAAAACTCTATATAATCTGCTGAATGGAAGTTTAGCAGCTCCTCCTCAGTAGCTCGTCTCGTTTCATAGAGGTCCATTTGCTCATGCAGCTTGTATCCTATTACCAAATGGTCTGTGAGCATCAACCTAAACGGTTTCATCGGATGTCGTACACCATAGTGGTATGCCGAAACATTGGGATTATAGTGATAGGAGACATTTGGCCTGTATCCACCGTCATTGAAAGAATTTACCACAGGTTCAAAAAATGGTGTATGCTTCGCAGTTCTTGCGTCTGGAGCAAACGAGCTGCTCTCATCCATCCATGAGGCCAGTGTCATTCTGCTCTCGTCTTGTCCGATTCCCTGTTTTGCTGGGTGCCATCTGCTGCTTCCTCTCTTCTCCTTCTTACGTGCTAGAATAGAAGGAGAAAGAATGAGCTTTAATTTTCAATAGTAGCAGTAGCAGTGGCAGTACTAGCAGTGCAGTAGCTGTAGTAGGAAAAAGCTCACAGCGCGGAAAGGGCGAAGGAAACACTTTTTGAGACAGAGAGGGTGGCAAATCGAAGGAGCACATAGAACTCTAGCGGGTTGGGGGGAAGAAGGAGGAGGAAGAGAAAGGGATTGAGTGCAAGGAGTCGAAGCCCCAAGAATAAAGCAAGACATATCAGTAGAAAATGTCAGGAACAGCAGGATTTGATAGACACATCACTGTATTCTCCCCAGAGGGACGACTATATCAGGTTGAGTACGCATTCAAGGCCATCAACTCCACCAACTTAACATCCCTTGGACTTGTTGGTGAGGACAGTGTGTGTTTCATCAATCAGAAGAAGGTAGGTGACAAGTTGTTGGACCCAACCACAGTGACGTACATTTTTGACATTTCGCCAAATGTCGGAATGCTTGCGACCGGTTCAATTGCGGATGCACGGTCCTTGGCGACGAGAGCCAGGAGTGAGAGTGCCGAATACAAATACAAGTATGGTTACGAAATGCCAGTGGACGTTCTCACCAAGAGAATGGCAAACTTGTCGCAAATATATACACAGCGGGCGTACATGAGACCAATGGGTGTTGCGTTAACCTTTATCAGTTACGACGAGGAGCTGGGCCCAAGTTTGCTCAAGACTGATCCTGCTGGATACTATTTTTCGGCAAAGGCGATTGCCACGGGATCCAAGCAGTCTGAGGTTTCAGCTGTTGTAGAGAGAGATTTCAAGAAGATTGTAAAGAAGGAGCCAGACTCCAAGGTGATAGTGAAGGGTGACTGGAAGAAGTTGGTTGAATACGGCATCATCACGTTGAGCAATGCATTAAGCACCGAGTTCAGAAAGAACGATTTGGAGATAGGTGTTTCCACCAAAGCCGGATTTAGAGCTCTCTCTGCGGATGAAATAGATGAAAGACTCGTTTCCATTGCTGAGCAAGATTAGAAATCTCCTTTCTACCGTCAACTAAGCTGTAATTGTTCTATACTATATAATGAATAAATAGGAGTTCCTAACTAGTAGACGTACGGAATGAACAACCAAGGACATTCCTTTTCGTATTCAACCCAGTCCTGGCCGTATTTCTTTCTGCACTTAGCCAAATCTCTCTGGGTTCTATGGATGAGAACGACAAAGTAGAAGACAGGGAAGAACCAGGGGAAGAAAGAGTTGAAGCCACAGATGAGGCCCCACGTGCACGATTGGATCCAGTCGGCAGTGTAGTGGATCTTTCTGGCGTATCTGTACCAACCGTCAGTCAAGAGCGTAGAGCCGTTCTTGCACTTGATGTATTTTGGGTTCTTCAAGACTTGGTATGGCAAAAATGGGAACGTCTTTCTGATGGCCTTGTCACCTGCCATGATTTTCCTGAACGAGTTCTTCTGGCCATTTGCCGTGTCGAAGAAGTAGTAGGAGGCAAAGAGCAGTGTGTAGCAGAGCGCCAAGTATGCTGTCGACCAGTCGTACTCTCTTGGCTCGTGGTAGTAGAGATAGAGGGCGCCCTGGCAGTAGCTGAAAGGCACGCCAGAGATGTTCCAGAAGATCAACATGAAGCCGAACTTCTCGTAGGCCATGTCCCACGTTGGGACAATCAACTCCTCCCCCTTGGAGCACGCGTTGGCGTAGAGGTAGTAGGCGAAGGCCAAGAAGGCAGCCTCTGGGGAGACGCGTCCGTAGACCTCGTACTGCTTGAGCACGACGGAAAGCCCCAGCAAGAGCAAAATATACCACGGCAAGCGGACCTCGAAGAACATCTTCAAGTCGATGATGCCGATTCTGGGGTTCAATGGAGCACCCATGAACAAGTCGTAGATGTGGTTGCCCGACATGCGGTGGTAGTCCTTGGAAACAAGCAGCGTGTACATGTAAAGACCAATGGCGAAGGAGAACCCATAGAAAATGGAGCACGTCATGATCTCCGGGAAGTGGTCGAGGATGTAGTAGAGCTTGAAGATGCCCGACCAGTGCATGGTGAACACGAGGGTCAACGTCGTGTAGAGCGACGCATACGCGTTACAGAAGTATGGCAACTGCTTGTCGTGGAGGTGCTTTAATGGCTGACCCTTGGTCCACACGCCGGGCAACGTCACGTAAAACGTGCCCTGCAGCACGATGAACGCTGTGAAGATGAAGAACGTGAAGTACGATGGGATCGCGTAGTCCACAAAGTAGGACTGCAGTTGGTGCAAGAAGCTGGACCACGACTCGCCGCCAGCGGGCCATGCTGGTGACCCGCCGTAGAACCGCTGGCTGATCCACATATAGTACATCAACAGCGGGAACCCGATCATCATGCCCAGGGCCCCCACGGGGCCGCCGAACTCGTATTCGGTCGTTGGCTCGTACCCGGCGTCTGTTTTTCCACCTTGTTTCGATCTCGGAGCTGACATTTTGCGCCGTTCTTCGTCGTATTCTTCTGTAACTAAAACTTCTGGGGTGTGGACAATGCTGTGGCCAAGAAGACTGCTGACGGGGAACAGCTACTCTTTATAGTCCCCGCCAAAATGCAAGGGATGGGCCTCAGAAGCCAGAAAATAGACACCGCAGTCCTCCTTTGTGCGTGTGTACGAGGTCTCCAATGACGACAGGCTGGCGTTTCCGAGGACAATAACCGCCGGGGCTTCACCGCATATCTGGCCTCGTATAGCTCGTACAGCCCGTATAGCCCTTGCAGGGCGGGGAAATACAAAAAAAAAGGAAAAACGGGTCGATCGACTGGTATGCTTATGTAAGCGTGGATGGAACCAGTAGGGAAGAGTAGGTGTATGACAAAAGTTTTGGATTCAAACTGTCAGATGTTTGTTTTCCCTGATTTTTCATAGACAAGCTAGACATGCTACATGATACGGGTCCAAGCCTTCAATATGAAGTACAGCTAGTGCATGTTTTGGAGAGACATTCTATATTTGGCACAGCTACGTTTTGCCATAGTGCAGAAGCATAGAACCCAATCACAAATCAGTCGTTTGGTCTAGTGGTTACGACGTCCCCTTCACACGGGGAAGGTCGCGAGTTCAAACCTCGCATCGACTAATTTGACGTTTCTTTTTTGCGTCTTGTTTTTGTTGATTCTTTCTGCACTTTCTAGTTTCCACAGCTTCTTTTTGACACATCATGGACCCACGTCTACCCAGTAACGTACGTAATAAAAAAATCCTGCTGCCACCAGCCCCGTCCGTCGAATCCCTCCCGTCCTCACCGCGGCACCCCGGGCACGAACACCTCGAGAGCGAGAATGGTCGGCTGGCGAGCTGCGATAAGATTTTCTGAAACAGAAGACCTTGCTCTGGCAGAAGCAGCCCAACTGCTGGCACCTGTTCGGGTCAGTAAATACGGCATACATCCGTTCACCCAACGTATATGACAAATCCTGACAACGATATGTGCATGAGGCCTACCCACGTATCGCAACCAGCAGTTTCCCAGTTTGTGGCTGCGCACGAGTCCCACGATAACGACGAGTTGCCAGCCTACGAGGAGATAATTAGAAATGCCGACGAAGAGACCAAGCACTTGATCGAAACAGCGTACTACGCCGACGAGAAGAACGCCTTTGGTGACAATTGTGAGCTACCAGCTTATGAGAAAGTCGAAAAGTTCAACCAGGCCGCTAAGACTGGAAGACGAATCCTTGTCTGTACAGGTGTTGTGGTGTATGTTTTGACCTTCATGGGAGTAGTATCGGTTTTAAACAATCACAGCGGCTGCATGTGAGGCTACTCGAATGACAGGCTGAATAGAGAAAAAAATCTAGAAGTGTAACCATACTCGTATAGTTTTTTTAAATGAGTTATAAAGGATAATTAATTATGTTTTCGGTTGTGGAGGCGTGTACGCCTTCAACGAACGGCAGCTAAGTGGATGAAGAGGAAGAAAAAGAAAGCAAAATAGAACTGAATAGAAAAAGATAGATGTCCTCAGTTGATGAAGTGGTCTTTGCTAACGTTCGGCCCCTGGAACCACTTTCTAGCGTCGATTGCATACCACAGCAATGCAATTGCCATTGGACCGTAGTACACCAACGAAGTCCAGTTCATCACCTGTGCGCTCAAGTCGACACCTCTCACTTGCGGAAAAGACAAGATAGGAACCATCAATAGAACAAAGCTACAGGCGTAGATCCCGACTGGGGCACTGAACTTGCCCAAGTTCCAGGGCCCTGGCTTGAATTTGTTCTGCGCAAATAACTTCAAGAGCGTAGGAATAGTGAAGGCAATGTATGCAGCAGTGCCACCGAGGGAAAAGATAGCAGAGATCGCTTCCGAGTTGAACGTGAGCAAGAGAATCAAAGCACCGATTGATACGTTACCCCAAACACATCTAACCGGAGTTCTTGTGGTTTTGTTAACCTGGCTCCAATACTTGGAGAAGGGAAAGCAGCCATCTCTGGCATACGCATAGGCCACTCTACTGGCAGTGACCACACAGGCTTGGCCCGTAAAGAATAAACAGATGGCAATTAAGGCAAGCAGTGCAGTTGCCGCATCGGTACCCATCAACTGATCACAATAAGTGGCAAAGGGCTGTCCAATGTCAGAGCTGATTACCGCCTCGACGTCGACAATGGTGTACGCAATGATTAACATCAACACCCATCCGAAAACACTCGCCAACACAGTGGTCAGGACAATTGAAATTGGAGCAGCAGTGGAAGCGTTTGAACACTCCTCGGCCAAGTGGAATGGACCGTCAAAACCTGCAATACACCAAATAGCTGCAAGGAAAGACATGAGGAGGGCAATTCCATCTGGCCACTCGGTATTGTTCTTGAACTCTCTCCAGACTTGGTAGTTGGAGTTCCACTTCGGTTCTTCTCTTTTGTTCCCGACCAAAAGCATCACAATACCGATGATGATGACTGCAGCATTCAAACAGGAGCCAATGCTATTGATACGTGCCACATATTTTGTTGGAACGGAGCCCAAGATCCCGTGAATGAAGAGTAGCAAAAGAGCAAGCAAGAACACCTGATATTTTTGAGGTTCATAATCTGGATTTTTGATCTGGGCTAATGCCAAAATCAAATTTGCCAAAGTGTACTTCACTGAGGGTGCCCAGGTAATCTGTGCCAACCAGTTACTCCAGCCAATGGTCCAGGACGTCAATGCCTTCCAACCCGTTGGTGCCAACACTGCACCGGCATAGTAGAGACCGCCCGAAGTGGGCATACTCGAACATAACTCCGCCATGGCCAATGAGACGCAAATGATACCACTGCATGCAATGGGCCAGTCCCAAGAGATGCCCGGGATTCCAATATAGCCCACACCATAGAAGAGAGTGGCAGCGACAGAAGGCAACAACCCTATCACAGAGAAGGAGACGGAGAAAATTGACCACAACCCAAGCTCTCTCTTGAACTCGGGCGTGTACCCGAGCCTTATGAGTGTTTTCTCATCATTGGTCAGTCCATCCTCCGAAGAAGCTTCTAGCTCAATCTCTTGTGTGTATTCGTCCTTTGAAGACATTGATGTACTTTTGAAAGCAAAACTGTTTTTTCTTGTCTGTAAAAAAACACTATTCAAATGCTAAAAAAAAGCTACAAAGAAGAACGCCCGGTTCATCGCTAAGCGGCGGAAGGTCGAAAACCTGTCAGTTGTAGAAGGTTTTATGTCACTTTTATACCTGTCAACTTCCCTGCTTCCTCCGCTTGCTAGTGCCACTCTCAACGGTTATGCTTTTGCTCCCGTGGATCTAAATTAGAGTAACTGTGGAGCGACCTGGGGAAGAAAACCGTTTTCGCTGCAAAGCCACACTATCTATTTTTCCCGTTTCCGTCGGCTCAGAGATAAGGAGCTGCACGCCAGAACCACTGTCAGCGGTACAGTAGTAATTGTATTCAAACCACAGTTACTTCTGGCGAACATAAGACACAAACAGCCGGTCGGTTTTTAAAATTGCTTGTTTAACTCTTACGCTAGTACTTCCCTCTTTCTCGCATCTTTTGTGCTCTCGTCCCAGCACTGCAATGTCGAGAGAGTACGCGGAAGGACCAGGATCCATTATCAAAACACAAGTTGCCAACGTGGCACCGGAGGGCACCAAAGTTTTCATACTGAAACTTGGGAACTTAGAGGCTGACGCCAGTTTTTTCTTCGAAGGAGGTAATGTCCAACTGAAGTCTGACAAGGGGATTCCGAAGGTGCACGAGAGGAGAAATGTGCAGATGTACACTGTTCTCATAGACCATCCAATCAGCGGATTGATTCTATACGAAGTTGGACCGGGAAAACCAGGATGGGAAGAAAAGTGGGGTTCTGAGGTGCTTGATGCCTACTGCAGGGTGAACAAGGACGACGAAACGCAGGCGTTAGACGTGGCCATCCGAAACGCGGGATACGATATCAAGGACGTCAGACACATCATTGTGGGACACCTACACATCGATCATGCGGGCGGATTGGAGTACTTTAAGGGCCGCCAGGACGTCATTGTGTGGGTTCACGAAATCGAGCTCAAGCATGCAGTGTGGGGGATAGCCACCAAGTCCGAGATCGGGTCCTACTTGAAATACTACATTGACTTGGACCTCCAATGGAACACGTTTAACGAGGAGAAAGTTGATCTTTTTTCTGGTCTGACCACCCATTTGATGCCTGGCCATACTCCGGGCTTGATCATTTTACAGGTCAACCTTCCTCACACCGGGACAATGATATTCACTTCAGACCACACCATATTCAGAGAACACTATGAGAACGGAGGCAGGAAACAGGGCTTTTTGATGAGAGACCACTACCAGTGGTACAACTCTACCCAAAAACTTCGAAGGCTACAGAGGGACACAAACGCCCAGGTTGTTTTCGGCCACGATCCTTCAATTGTTGAGGAATTGTTAGCCACCGAGCCCTTCTTTAGTTAGTGCACCTAACGTTTCTGGCCTTTGCTTACTATGAAAGTGTGTAGAAGTAATTAACTTAGCTAGAGTTTGTAACCACTTTCTAATTTCTCAATTTCCTTTATTTCCCCCCCCCCCACGGACTTGCCGCAGGAAGTGCTAAATTCGCTACTGTGGCGTCCATTAACGTCAACCCCTGACAGTAGATTAATTTTCCTCGATCCTATGAATTTCCTATTAGGAAGTGATAAGAGTGTGGACCCTTTGACTCACTTTTACATTTGCTTTTGATATTTCTGGGGGTAATGCTCTCTTTTTCTTTTCCTGCTTTTACTGTGTTCTCTTCTATATACGGTTCCGGGGCATATAGCGAAACATCAAGTTTCCCAACTACCAGTGGAAAGTGCTATGTCCCGTCAACAAGATTCCCAGACTCTACAAGGGTTTTTGGCCCAAAAGGGTCCTGCCATGGATGCATGGTTCAAACGTGCCCTTGAGGACGAGTCTGTTGCCGTGAAAAAACCCAGGGCCTTGACTACAGTGGAGGGCAGAAGTGGCGTGCGTAGGATCTCCATCAGAAACCATCAGATTTTGGCGGACAGCCCTCCAGAGTGGGTTGGCTTCAACCTCGGCCCGTCGGCCCCTGAAATTCTTCTCGGCGCTCTCGGTGCATGCTTGACCCACATGTATTTGGTGGTGGCAGGTATCAAGAAGTTACCGATCAACAAGTTGGAAATCGAGACCTCGGGAGAAGTTGATTTGAGAAAAGGCGCTGAAGGTCACGAGGATGAAATTCCAGGCATTGACAACATCCATTACGTCGTCTACATTGATTCGGAGCTCACTGATGGACAGTTGGACCACTTGAGAACAGACGTCGAAAAGGTGTGTCCCTTGTATAATTTGGTCAAGAACCCTGCCACAATTACCTCCTCTTATGTGAGAACCACGTAGTTATTACAGAGTGAATGATCCATCTCTTGTATACATACATATACTTCAATAATTTCGATACTAGCAACACAACCATGTGTCAAACTGCACAATTTCACGTGCTTCATGGAAATATTGCTATTCGAGGCAGTTATCTTATAAGTTATCTGTCTTCTCCGCCCCGACTTTTCTGTCACTGTCTTCCAATCGCGAAAACACCGTCTTTTCGCTAATGATCAATTTTAGAGTGCGGCTGGGTTATTCACCCGCTTCCATTGGAGACGTGGCGGGTCAGTATGAGTGCCTGTTGTGATGCCGGAAGCCGAACATATGTTCTAAATTTTACATGTGGACTAAACGCCAGGATTTCCGGGTCCGGGGAAACTATAAGTTGTTTGCTTGGCATCTAAGTGTTTAATCCAATATTGGATTACATAAGCAGATCATTATATATCACGTGATTTTAAAGAGTTTAGCTCCATAGCAATTTGAAGCCCCTTTTTGTGGAGCAATGCCCGTGTAGCGTAATGGTTAACGCGTTTGACTTCTAATCAAAAGATTCTGGGTTCGACTCCCAGCATGGGTGCTGGCATTAGCTTGAATTTTTTTGCATTTATACAAGCAAACTTACCCGGCTCTGTCTTGGTCCTTTCTCACCCTCTCACCTGAAAAATCGAAGATCTCCATCTTTCTACTATTCAAGCGGGTAGATGAATCGGGGGATGAAGATAGAAGTCGTGTACCGGTGCAAGAAAGGTGTTTTAGGCTTAAAAGTTACCGCCGATTACCCAACCACTACAATGATGATGATGAGATCATGGAGCAGACCGGTACTGACCAGCAGAGTGGCCTTTGTACGTGGTTATGCTAGCACCGCCGAACCGGTAGCTACCGCTGCAACCGAGGTCAGAAATACGCAGAAAGCGGCAGACTCCAGAAAGACATACTTGATTGACATGTACACACACATGTGGCGTGAAAACTCCATTGTTTTATTGGCACACCACAATAACTTACTTTCCACAGAAAATGAAAACATCCGCAAACAGCTGAAAAAGATAGATGAAAAGAACAAGACGAATAAGGTTGAGTTCAGGAAGCTCAAGGGATCGCTTTTCAAGTACTTTCTTCGTGCATCCTCTCACTCCGATCCTGCAAGTAAGGCTGCCGGCAGAATGATTAGAAGAAACAAGGTCAGACACCCACTAGAAAATTTGCTAAAGGGCCCAACTGCAGCCATTTTGATCAAGGACCTAGACCCAAAGACCGTCAAAGATGTCTCCAAGGTTCTAGCCACACAAAAAGAAAGATTGTTTGTGATGGGTGGTAAGGTGGGTGACGAATACATGACTCTTGAAGATATCGAAACATTCAAGAACTTGCAATCTTTACCTGAGTTGAGAGCCGAACTGGTTGGTCTCTTGACTATGGCTTCCGGTGCCGGCATTGTAAGAACTTTGGAAAGTACAACCAACAGTTTAGCATTGACTCTTGAAAGCCGTAAGAACGAGCTAGACAAGGCAGAGAACCCAGAACAGAAGGATTAGATAGACTAGATTCTATATAGCACCTGTACATACACCAAACAATACATATAATACTGAAGTAAATAATGAAAAAGCTAAATTTTCGAGATTTTTTTTTTTTCTTTTTGTTCAATTTTCAACATATTTTGCACTTCTTTTGTACTATGAAAAGAACTAATTCCTTGATAAACCCAAAAAAGTAGCAGCTGCCAGACGCCAGAACTTGAAAAAATGTCGACAGAAGCCACACCTGTTCCAGTAAAGGAGGGGTCTCCCTCCGAAAGTTCTCCGGATCCAACCGTTCCATCCAAGAGGAAGCAATATAGACAAGCAAAACAGGAAGAAAGACAAACGAAGCAGGTGAAGATAGCAGAACCAACGTCAGATATGAAAGAGACAAAGCCGCTACCAAAAAAGAGGTACTATAGACAACGTGCACATTCGAATCCTTTCTCAGATCACAAGCTTGATTATCCTATTTCGCCAGAGGAAATGGATTGGTCGAAATTATACCCAACGGATGAGAACGAAGACAAACAAGTGACGATTGCAGATATAGGATGTGGGTATGGTGGATTACTCGTAGCATTGGCCGAACATTTTCCTGAACGCAGAATACTAGGAATGGAAATCAGAGTGCAAGTGACAGAGTATGTAGAAGAAAGAATAAGGGCATTACGTGAATCTCACAAGGATGATGCCAAGTTCAACAATTGTGCTGTCATCAGAGCCAACTCGATGAAATTTCTTCCGAATTTCTTCAGACGTGGTCAATTGGATAAGATGTTTTTTTGTTTCCCTGATCCACATTTCAAACAAAGAAAGCACAAGGCCAGAATTATTACCAATACATTGTTATCTGAATATGCATATGTCCTTAAAGAAGGTGGAATCTTATACACCATTACGGATGTTTTCGATCTACACGAATGGATGAAAAAACATTTGGACGAACATCCAATGTTTGAAAGACTCTCTCCCGAGCAAGAACAATCTGATGTATGCGTCGATATCATGACGAATGCCACCGAAGAAGGTAAAAAGGTCAGTCGTAATAACGGAAGTAAATACATTGCTTGTTACACGAGGTTACCAAACCCAGAAGTATAATGTATATTGTCACGTATGTACATTTACATAAAATAATAGTAATCAAAAATCTATAGCACCCAGTACTTCGTACGTCCTAATTAACCCATCCAACTCTTGAAACTCCGTATACTTTTGCTATCATCAGTTTTGAACTTGTGTATCGATTTTAGACTTGGAATCTCCACATCAATGGAGTCATCCATGGTAGGCAACAGTGGCGTACTGTTGGTACTAACATTAGCAGAAATACCGCCCACCCTCTGCTCTAAATCAAACACTGGCGTAGACGTAGTGCTGCTAGCAAAACTAGGATGCCTTGAAGAAGTTGAATCATTAAAAATAGAGTCCATTTCCTCTAATGATAATCCCTTGGTTTCAGGATATACCCAATAGACAACAGTGAAAGAAGTGAAACATGAAACTGCATGAATCAAATACAACCTCCAGGAGATTTTCTCTAATAAAATTGGGGCTGACTGTCCAACGATGAAGTTACAGATCCAATTTGTTGCGGTCGCCAGTGAAGATCCACTTGATCTAGCCTTGTTGGGAAGTACTTCGGGGCCAATTAACCAACCAATCGGTCCCCATGATATTCCAAACAAAGAATTGTAAACCGAGACAAATATCACAACCATGACAGAATTTTTCATGTATGCGTTTATCGAGATCAACACTAGGGAAATTCCCATCCCCAGACCACCAAGCATAAGCAACGGCCGCCTTCCCCAAGATTCTGACAATTTCCATGGGATTAATGTGGACAGCAAATATATTAAGGAGTTAAGCCCTGTCATCTTGAGTGCGTCACGACCAACCCAGCCGGCATGTTCAAAAACTAAAGGAGCATAGTACGAGATGACGTTAATACCGTTGAGCTGGGCAAACATCTGAGCCGAGCATGCAATGAATATCCGTCGAGGATATCTCCGTATGGTTTGCAAAAAGTTCAACTTCCCTTCTAATCTTCCAACCAATACGTTTTCTTTGATATTTTTAAATTCGGTGAGTGCTTCTTCGTTGTGCACTTGTCCGTTGGCAAATAGATCTGCAATGACAACCAAGCCTTCCTCATCGTGATCGTGCTCTAAAAGCCATCTTGGACTTTCAACTAGGACAAACGAACCGAAAAAGAGGACAAATCCGAAAAAGGCCTGCGAAGCTAGCGGAATCCTGAAAGACATGTTACTTTCAATGTAGCTGCAAAAGTAGTCCAACCAAATCGAGGACGAGTAACCGAGAATGTTACCTGTGAACTGGACACAGCCCAAAAAACCACGCAACTCCGGGGACGAAATCTCAATCATGTAGGTTGGAGCCGTTCCGCTCAAAAAGCCCACTCCCATACCAGAAATAAATCTTCCAACACCCAGGACGGTGAGGTTTGTTGATCCCGTTTGTATTATACCACCTATGGAGAAAAGAAGGGACCCTAGTCTAGTTGTCTTGCGTCGGCCTAATTTTTCTGCCACCAGCGTCAACGAGAGAGAGGTGATCAAGGCACCGATCTCGAGAATTGCCACGACCGTTCCGATTTGCACGGAGCTCGGGTTGTCGAACTCTTCTTTGAAGTAGGGGTTGACAATGATCGAACTGAAATAACCTTGGTCATATCCGAACAAGAACACACATATTGAGACAAAGCATGACGTGAAGATAAGCAATGGTCTCCCAATGAGCACCGACCTTGGTATATCGTGGGGTAAAATTTCCGCCTCATCGGCTGCACTGGTCCCGTTGCCATTACTACTGATGTCACCCGTTGAGGAGGCAATAGCAGTGACAGCGTTGTTGACGTTCATGATATGGCTTGTGCAGAGGCCCACAGTTTGAAGAGTAGGGGGTTGACAGCCTTACCCGTTTCTGAAAGCACACGGCAGCCTGTTTCTGCATTGTTACGGTATCTATCGGTGGTAAACCAGAAAGCCAGCCAGACCTGTCCTGTCCCCCCGCATTTCTCTCGCTATCTCTCAAGCGGATCTGGTCTCCACAGTATAAACGACGCTTCTCGCGTCGCCGTTTCTGCCTTCCTCTTCGGGCTGAACAGAAACACTGGCAATGCCAGAGCCCACGCCTAGGCACTGGAGGACGCCCTGGATGACGCCGCAGTTGAACTCAAGGTAGGCACTGGCACGTAGCAAGGTTGGGTCGGTGATTGTGTCCTGACCCTGCTCCTGGTCGGTTTCAGAGACCCCCGGGAGCGAATTGAACGAGCTGATGGTCATATTGCGGGGCGTGCTGAGGGTAGAGGTGGAGCCGGAATTGTCTATGACGGCGGCAGAACCTTCGTAGAAGTGGCACGACGCATACGGCACAGGCTTGTTGTCGATGAGCACAAAGGTGCCGATGTGGTTGGTCCGCAAGTTGTCCATTTGCTTCCCAAAGAGGTTTTTCCACACATCTCTGCAGATGAACTTCATTGCCTCGAGCGGGTTGTCGACCAAGGCCGTTGTGGACACATTGCCGAGAGAGGTGGCGTCTGTGTTCTCCATGAGTAGTATGTTTGCCGTTTTGAAGCCCACGTTGTAGCCGATCCTGTTCATGTAGGAGAGCGTGGACGGAGCAACCACGTCTGTTGCGTCCTTCAAGAAGTCCACACGGCCAAGGACGTCCGCAAACACCCTGCCGCCGCTGAGGCCGTCTTCCGACCTCGACTTAATGGTCGACCTCACCGCATGGGCTACTGTCTCGTTGAGAAGATACGACAGAGCCTTCATACTGACCTGTTTCGATGTCGGTGCGGACGACGCCGGGCTCGCCGTGGCCGGCTGCGAGGCCGACGATTGCTGTGCTAGACTCGGTGCCGTTTCTGCCATCGCTTTAGATGATGCTGGTATCAATGCAGTGTGGTACTTTGCCCAACCGGGCACCCGAGTGCAGCAGCAGGAAGCGTTAAGCTGAGCTGAGCTGAGCAAAGCAGATCCAACACCTGAAAAACGGCCGTCGATTAGCTGAGCGAAACGAGAACGCGGGCGTCTTTGCTGGCTGCTACTACATGAGGAAAGAGGCCTGGGAGTGTTGTCTCGAGCAGGGCCAGGAGGACATTAAAGAAGCAGAAGAGGTTGTGGCAATATTAGAAGCAGCAACAGCAACAATACCGGTGTGTGCTAGAAGCGGTCTGGAAGCAAGCGAGAGAGAGAGACAGCAAAGAAAAAGGCACTTATGAGCACGCAGGACAGCCCCAAGAGCGTCACCAGCGGAGTTAGCCTGACAAGCCCAAAGAGCCCAACCCGTTCAGAGAGGAAGGGGAAGAGGATGGCGCCGCCGCCGCCGCCGCCACATCTTTCCGAGTTCTTGTCGTACGTGAACGGGGGCAACAGCGGCAGCAACGCGAGCGGAGAGATGGAGATAGACGAGGGGAAGCTTGAGATAAACAAGGTGAAGCACCGGTCCGGGCGGAAGAAGCGGACGGACAATGCGTCGTGGTCGATCCATTCGAACATGTCGAACCCTTCTCTGACGTCGATGACGTCGACGACGCCGACGACGATGGCGTTGGACGTGTTGGTGACGAAGAAAGACGTCTCGGAGAGCGTTGAGCAGATGCAGGAGCTGAGCAGGTGCTGCGAGGCGTTGAGCCAGAAGCTAAAGGAGGCGTCCGATGCGTTTGGCGACTTTGGCGCCGTGATCGAGAAGATCTCCCGCTCCAAGGGGAGCGGGGAGCACTGCAATGCGCTCAGCACGTTCAGCAACTACCAGTATCTGATATCGAACCAGCACCGGTACTTGGGGGAGCTTCTGCAGCGAGAGTTTGGAGACAAGATCGGAGACATCAAGAACGAGTACGAGGGCCGGAACCGGGTCCGACGGGACGAGTTCCAGAGCGAGTATAAGACGCTTGTGAAGGAGTTGAAGAGCAGCGAGGTTGCGAACAGCAAGCTGCGGAAGGGGAAGATACGGAACTTGGTGTCGTACAAGACAAACCTTGCGAGCTTGACGAGCAAGCTCGACAACATCGACCGCGTCTACCACGACTACTACGTGGACTCGTACGGCCTGATCGAGGAGGCCAGCGGGCGGATAGTCGAACGCGCTCGGAGCGTGGTGCGTCAGGAGTCGGTGGTGTTCGGCAAGCTAGCGGAGAAGACACGCCCCGGGAACGGACTGGACGTGCTTTTCACGGAGGACGTGGACGCGGACGTAGACGTGGACGCGGATGCGGAAGCCATTGCTGTCGACGAGGACGAGGACGTTGAGGACGGCGACACGACGATACGGGAGGAGCGGGACGAGGACGAGGCGGCGGTGCGGGCAGCAGACGACGTCGAAGACGACGATGACGACGACATGAGCAGACGTGACGAAAGGTACATGCAGCAGGCGGTGGAGCTCTTGCGCCAGGAGCAGCCGGAGCCGGCTGGCGACGGCTCCGTCGACCGGGCCAGCGAGGCCGCCAAGGCCAGCGAGGCCGACGCCGACCAGCCGATGCCCCCTGCATAGTGCCGCCGACAAGCACGCCTGCTGCCGGCGGGCAGCGCCCGCTCGGTCCTTCTCTTACTCCGATGTAGCTATAGAAGATGTACAGTTTACACCAGCCATGTGCCACGCTAGGCAAAGTCCTTGTCGAGCAGCTCCGCCTGCACCGCCCGCTCCCACCGGGCCGCCTCGTCGTCCCCAGCGCCAGAGCCGCCTCCCCGGCCCTTGTAGTACGCGTGGTTCACCCGCAGCCGGTGCTGCGGCGTCACGTTCCAGCTGTCGAAGTTGTCCACCGCCAGCACCGTGCTCTCCCACGCCTCGTACGTGAGGAACGCAAACCGCTTGCTGCGGCCTGTCTGCGGGTCCCGCGCCAGCCTCACCGCCGTCGGCACCCCGTACTGCGAGAACAGGATCAGAAGATCGTGCTCGTTCAGCTCTGCCGGTAGGTTTCCGACGTACACCGTGTTCGTGTCCGCGTAGTCCCGGTGCCACGACGCACTTGCCGCCGTCCCCTGCTGCAGCTCCACCGCGTTCAGCTTCTGTACAGACATCCTGTTACCTCTATCGCCCTGGCTCTGGCTCTGTTTCCTTCTTTCCCCGTCTCCGTCGTCTTCTTCCTTTGCCTTCTGTCTCTTCGTCTCTTCAACAAAAACCGGGCAAAAACATGTTTGGGCCGATCGGCCCGCCAGCCTTTTTTCCGCACGCGCCGGCGGCGTCTCGCAGGACGCTTCCCCTCTCTGGGACGGTAGTGTTAAGTGGTAACATGGTAGGAGCAGCAGAAGGAGACGGAGAGACGGGGAAGGCAGGGAGGGAAGATAGAAGGTGCTAGAGCCCAGAAACAAGACAGCAGCTAGACAGAAATGGTCGCCATCTCCCCAGCCGTGAAGGAAATCAGATTCCTGCTTCCACAGGCAGCATCAACGTTCAAGAACTTTGTTCTGAAGGCATACCCGGAAATCAAGAAACAACACCCATACCTGCCTGTGCTCATCAGAGAATGCCAGGGCGTCCAGCCGACCGTTGTGGTGAGACTGGACAAGGGCGTGGAGGTGAAGAAGCACGTGGGGAACTTCTCTGAGGCGGAGCTCAAGAACTTGCTGCAGAACCCGTAGGAGGGCCGGGGCATGGCGTGTGGCCAGCTCTTGGTTTATTTATTTATTCGTTCATTGCCGGATGTTGTTCTTTATAAGCAGTATAGACCCGTCTTAAAACAAGTTATCTTTTTTATACAAACGGCCATGCACAGCAGTCTATTTACAGGAGAAGAGGCGCCGGGGCGGAGGGGGCGGGCCGCCGGGCTCAGTTGCTGTCGGCAGCCTTCTTGGCCTTGCGGTGCTTGCTCTTGACGATGACCCTGTTGGACGTGGCCTGCTTGCGGGCCAGCTCGACGCCCTTCATGGCCTCCTCCTCTCTCTCGGCACGGACCTTGTTGTTCTGCTGCATCTCCTTCCACGTGTCGTTGAAGTTGTCGAACATGCCCTTCTGCGGGTTCTGGGCCAGCTGCGCCTGCGTAGGAAGCGGGAACATGCCCACCGTTCTTCTGAAGGCCGCATTTCTGAGCAGCTGCGACTGGATGATCGAGCACAAGCCGTTCGCCCCGAAGTACACCATCACTGCGGCACTCATGTTCCACGTGAACGCAATGGACGCAAACGGCAACACCATGAACACCTTCTTCATGGCGCCGCCGAACTGCGCATTGCCCGTGTCGCCACCGTACTTGAACGCCACGGAGTACAAGGCCGCCGAAATCAACTGCAAGCCGATGTACGGATCTGGCGCAGCTAAGTTCTCGAACCATAGGGTACCCTGGGTGCTCAACCCTTCCACAGGGAGACTGCCCATCTCCCTGATACCGAAGAAAGAACCGACCGAGTAGACCATCTGCGTGGCGGGGGACAAAAACATCCTCGAGTACTTGACACCGTGTTTCTTGTTCAACATGCTCAACTCCATCTGCTTTCTTTGCTGTAGCGCACGGTCGCCCGTGGTCATCGCGTTCGTCATCTCCTTTCTCAACCGCTTGGTCTCAGGCATGATGCTCTGCGACCGCGCCATCGTGTCGGACGACTTCATGAAGAGAGGGAACAACAAGACTCTGAACGCAACAGTGGTCACGGCAATCGTGCTCCACCATGGCAGACCGGAAAACACGTGCACGTACTCGAGAACCTGCTGAATGATGTCGGACGGCCACCACCCGTCAACCAACCCGACCGACTTGAGGTACCCTAACTGGTCGGAGGTCAACGTCGTGTTGTGCAACAGCTCCTGCTTGGCTGCAAGGTCTTCGTCAAAACCCAAGCTCGTCTCGATCTCCCGCTCCTCGGAGTCGATGATCTTCTCGATGTTGTGGAGTACTTGCGACGTCTTCGATTCGCCGCTGCCGTCCCCAGTCGAGTTGAATCTCACCGAATTCATCGTCATACCTGAAATAGCGATTCTCGCATCCTTGACACCGGCTCTGGCGCCGGCTCTGGCGCCATTCTGCGCCCCTAAAAGGCCTGCCTTAAGCACGCTTCTTCTAAGTGCAAACATTCTAGGTCTCCTAGTCCTTACACAACCTCGAACAAGGCTCCTTTCCACTATTGGGTCTCCTTTTCGTCCAGTTTCATCTTCTTATGCCTTGCTTTCTTCCACACGAGACTCGCTCGTCATCCGAAAACGGCTGGAAATGGAGGTGAAAAAAAATCGGAGGCTGCGACAACGGTTTTGTCATCGACTGTTGAGCTTCCCCCACAGGCTGGGACAGCATGATAAAGTCGGTCAGGAAACCTAGGCGTCTCGACGAGTTGTCAGGTGTCCGAACAGTAAGGGGTCGCCGTGGAACAATCTTTTGACAGCTACATTTGCAATGCTTGCTCGTGTTGGGAGGTCTGTCCGCTGGGCGTCGTATATCTCCAACTCATCACCCACACCACCGCCATCATCATCATCATCATCACAGCTTTCGCCGGCACTGCTGTCGACAATCAGATCAGCAACTGCCACCCTTCTTGCTAAAAATAAGCAGGATAGTGGTTCCCTACGCCCGTCGTTTGATTTATTGCTCAAGTCCCTGCAACACCAGCAAAATGTCTCCTCATGTCTTCCCCAAAACTTGATCCAGGACATCAGCTCTGCTTTTCGATCCTCTCTTGCGTCGTCGGCAGACGAAGACCAGCAGTATTTCCTGAAACAGCTTTCCTCTTCACCAAGTCCGTGGATCAGGCTGCACTTCCTAATATACGAGAAACAATGGCTTGCGTCAATTAGCGATATCAACCGATCTTGGGGAAACACACCCGCTCAAGTTGTGCCACAGGAGACGTTGGTTCTTCTAACGGATGAACTCCTAGCCCATAATGAGATAGATTTGTTTTTGTCACTTTACGAATGGACCATTAGCTCGCTCTATCCGGTAAGAATCCCCCCCCTCCAGCTTCAAAAGTTTACAGAAAAATGCATCCACATTCAATCAAAGCACTCGCAGAACTTGCTGGCTAAATTCTTTGAAAAGTTTATACTATACACTGGACCTACCGAGAATATCAAGGAAGAAGCATTTTACATGGAGGACCAACTCGTCGAGTCAATGATCGATCTCTTTCGTCGGACGGGCAACATCAAGGAGTACTCCAAGTCTGTCGCCTACTATATGAACAGATTGAAGACGCAAAGGGGAAACGTGCGCAAGATGAACAAATGGAGATTTCAAAGTAGAATGGCTAAGTTTGACATGTATGTAGAAAAGCTTGGTCCCTACGCTGTCTTAAAGAATGGGATGTTCTCCAACTTCAAATTGGCCTATAACAAGAATGTCAGGCTAGACGATCACCTGCTGGGGTTTACAGAATCTCTTACGGAATATCTAGCGCAATCTGAGGTCTCCATTACACAGTGCATACTTATGATTGAAATGATGCACGGTTTGCATATCCGACAGTACAAGGAGGCTTATAGCAAGGCTTTAAGTCCTGATATCCAGATGGCACGAGTATATAGATGTGTCATCAAAAATACAGCCGATCCAGACCCTCTCATAATTCAGAACTATAACAACATCATAGAAATGTCTAATGACAAGAAACACACACATATGAAGGATGGTATACCACAACGAAAAACTGCCAATCAGCAAATGAAGGAATCCATAAATTTTGACGAACCTTTCCAGGCCCTACCTCTACAAATAATACTACGAGTACTCTACAACCTCACAAAATCCCGCTCGGCAGACACAAAGCATTTTGTGACTGTTGGTGTCATGCTATTCCAGGCTATGGTCATTGAGCGCAAATTACGCCCGAGTCAAGGGTGCTTTGAGGAACTTCTCTGTTTAGCAATGGCACACCCCCCTACTGCAGAGCAGGCTCCATCTATCATGACAATCTACTACAAAAATCACTCCATTGTGGGTCCCCACATGTCTGCTACTCTTGATTCATTGGGGTTAGACCATAATGGACTTCGGAAGTAACTCTTCCCTCCTTCCTTCGATTCCGCATTTATCATAGGTAAGCAATTTCTTTTGACATAGAACTCTACTTTCTGTAATATTAAATCTAATGTCAACTCTTGACAATATATCTTCCTTACAAATTGCGTTGACTGCAAAAAATTTGGCTTTGCATTGCCTTTGCTATATTGGAATACCTACTCATTTCTTCTCCTTCTCATGTTTAGATCTTCGCTCTTGAAACGGAATTTTGCAAAAAATAAATTTTGTTCGTCCCGTTTAAGGTCTTCGAAAAGATACCCATCAACATCTTGTTTGTGATCTGATGATAAGAGAAGACGTTTTTGACCCTTTCATTACTATCTGCTTTATCTAAACTGTACGGATATCCCTACCTGATATTTGTGTTTTCCCATAATGGTAGCCATTCTTGTCCTGAATCCGAATTCCACGGACGCGATGACTAGATCGTTGCAATCCGAGGTAGAATCCTTGAATCTACCGTCTTCCTATCAGATAGACTACTATACTGGTCCTGTCGCAAAGTCTCCACCGTCGATCAACAATCAGGAAGATGCTGACTGTTCAACTAAAGCATGCATCGAAGATTTTGATAATAGATGCCCACACATCTACAAAGTGTATGACGGATACCTCATCGCTTGTTACAGTGATCATCCTCTTGTGAATGAACTACAAACAAAGATAACCCGATCAGGCGTTGTGGTAATGGGAATATTTCAAGCTTCGATGCTATATGCAATGAACTTTGCATCACAAAACAATAAAGCTGCGATACTAACCTCAGGACATGATTGGGAACCTCTACTTGATCGTGCAATTACCAAATTCTGTGCTAACGATCGGGGTTCTTTTCCAGCTACAAAATTCATCCCAACTTTAGCAGCTGGAATACCCGTACTTGATCTCCACAAGCCCGAGAATTATCCACACCTAAAAGACTGCATTCAACAGCTGGTAGAAAATGATGTCGGAATCATTTTACTAGGCTGCGCAGGTCTCAGCTCTTTAAGTAAGAGAATGAAATCAGAGTATCCCCATTTAAAATTTGTTGATTCAGTAAAAGTAGGTGCTAGACTACTCATATCTTACATAGAGGTGGGAGATATCTGATTGTAAATATATTCACATGTATCATTAATAGGTTAATTAGAAACGAGAATGAATGTACAGTTTTACAGTATACAAGAATCTTTGTATCTGAACATAATAAAAAGTCCGCATGATCTCGAAACATTTTCTTTTTATCTAATCTTTTTATGCAACTGACAGGCTGATTTCTTTTTTAATCAACACTTGTCTTTAGCTTTTCTTTAGCTTCAGTAGTAAAGCAACTAGTTCAGTCTCCCAAACTTCTTTGTCTGATCCCTCAATTTTTAGATGCGTCTTATTCAACTTTTTCAATAATTTCCAAAACTGATCCATATCAGTCTTGACATCCTCATCAACATCATCAGCAACATTAACATCTGGGTTGCCTCCTTTTTCAAAATCGCCACTTTCTTGTGGCCGTGGCTCTTGTATCAAAGGAGTCTCGTCTACAGAGGCTTCATCCAACTCAGCACTAAGACTTCTACTTCTTCTTCGTTTTTCCCGTTTTTCCTTCTTTTCTTTCCTCTTTTCCTTTCGGTTTTTTTTATCTTTTTTTTGTCTCTTTGACGAAGACAGAAATTCTACCCCTTCATATTCAACGTCATTTGTATGGGATCTCGTTCTCCTTGCAGGAGAGGCACTTTGGTCAACATTGACCCTTTTTGGACTTGAAGGCACCCTCACACTATTCTCATCAACAGAACCATCAATTTCAATACTATCAATAATGAAAGACTTCAGGTCACCGGTAATTTTAGCACTGCTATCTTCTTGAAATACATTTTTATAGTCTTCCTCGTCTGTTTCTACAAAGCTAACATCGCATTCATCAATAGGACTGCTGATAATTTGCGTGCTGTCCAGCTTGTTAGGCTCACTAGTTTCTTCTTCAATAGTCTCCTCCTCCTCAGCTGTCATATTTATTAACTCTTTTTCGTTTTCTCTTTTGTAGTCACCGCTTAAACTATCTTCATCTTGTTTATCTTTGAATTCTCTTTTTATGACTATTGATGATTCTTCTCCGCCTTCTGCCTTTGACAAAGATATGATATCAATTTTTCTTCTCAGAGCCATTTTCTTTAGTTTGTTAACAATTTTCAAAGGTAATCTATGCAACATACCTGAAACAAAAGAGATGATGGCAGTATTATCCGTAACAGCAGGATGAAGAAGATAACCCAGTTTTGGACCTATCTCAATAATCCACGAGTCAGGCAATTCATCAATGTTTCCAAGAGCTGATAAAAGCTTTATAAACTTGATGGCAATTTCTGGTTTCTCGTGATCAGGCTTTTCTGGTTCGTCAAAAATCTCTAAAGAATATCGAAAAAACTCAGATGGTGTATATTCATAAAATATCTTCAGATCCTCAGAAACAACAATGCAGTTCTCTAAAAGGCATTCAAACATCTCAAATTTCAAATTTGAGCTTAAAATTTCTAGAAGTCTTGATACTTTTAAGAAATTCACTAATATTTTGCAAGCATCAATTCCATGATGAGAGAAAAGTATATGGGATGCTTTTCTCATGTTGGAGACAATCTTTTCTTTCTCCTGTTCGGATAACTTGAACTCATTTTCGGCTTCTAATCGGGTGATATCAATACTGTAGTGCAAAGCCTGTGGAAACTGCTTGTCTTTCCTCAGTAGTTGGTCATTTTCATATATATCAGAAGACAAGCAAACAGCAAACAATTTCAACGGACTGAAGTGTGCATGACATAAAGAAATAAATTCAGTGATGAAATCTTGATTGTCACATACTTTGAGCTTATTTACAAGAGTTCTCAACAGTGGTATGCTATCTGGTGTGAACATAAAGTCATCGTCTGCCTTCTCAATAAACTTGAATAATGTATGAGCATCATCTTTATTCCCTTTTTTGATTAGTAGATCATTCTTATCAAATATTTCGGAAACCAAGCCTGCTCCCATTTCAGCAATTTTGCAGTAATCTCTAAACGGTAACGCAAGTTTTGAGTCTTCGAGTGGTATGTAAATACAGATGCTTATGAAGTTGGCAGTAATTTCAATAGGTCGATCCGCCATTTTCCATGCCATCTTCAAAATCACGTCAAATGCTTCTTTATTCTTGTAGATCGTTTTAGGTAATGGCAAAATCCTACTTTTCCATTTTTCGTAGTCTGATAGCCAAAAACAAGAGTCAACTGTCTCAGTATAGATATATCTATCTGAAGTAAATATCATTTTCAAAATGTAGGAGTATACTGAATCCCATTGCTTTAAATACATCAACGGCTTCAAGGCTGAATCCAAAAGTATACACATTTGTGATTCAGTCGCAATTTCCATTTTTAGCCTTATAGCATAGTAGATCCGGCAATAAAGTACAAGATATCCTTCATACTCGGACCATTGATTCAAAATGGTTCCGTCACCTAATCTCAACTGTGCATGTTTGAAAGGGAACAAAAGAGTGTTAAGTTTAATTTCCAATTGCTCGTCAGTCCAACCTTTGATTGACACATTCTGAAAATTGTACACCACAGATTTCCACGCTTCTAAGCAAAGCGCCAAGGCTTGAGGCTGTGAGTAAAGCTCGTTGTAAACTGACTGGAAATGATTGTAAAGTTCCCATTTCTCCAAAACAAATGATGTTCTTCCATGACAGCTCATATAAAGTAGATACGCCCAAATCTTGGCTGCCTGTGAATAAAACTGAAGATGTATCAAATATTTTAAGGTCTCACATGTGGCTTCACAAATGGTCATCCATGGTTCCAGCTGGTATTCACAAGTGGATTTTATACTGGAACAAGAATCTTCTAATTCTTCAGCTAGTAGCTTGGTGATTATAAAATTTGATTCGTTACTCTTCGCAAATGTGGTGAAAACGGATATGGCTGAAAAAAGCACACGAGAGTATCCCGGTACCTCAGTGTTCAGTATCGAATACAACAAGTGACTGAAAATTTGATAGCTAGATTTTTTGACCACTGCCGGCTGTAACAAAACAAAACGTTTTATAATGTTCAACTTTTCGCAAGTTATAGTTACGCTTAAAAAGTATTTCATTTGCATTAAGCTAGATATAATAGCTTCTGTTTTATCAAAGAAAGTTTCAGGCAGTATCTTGAGTAACTGAAAAATAGATGATGTTAGGCTTTTTGAAATATTTTCATTTCTTAATAACTTTATAACGCCATCATAAATAGTAGACATTTCTTTGAATGTGTTAGTTATGGGATTCAGTAGTGAAATCAGCTTTATACTCTGTGATGAAGTTCTTAGCTTGAATGGATTAGACCCATTTTTGAGGTCGAGTGCAAGATTAGTGATATTGTTTCTAACTGACAGAATAATAATCCTTATGATGTCCTTGCTGAAAACTTGCTGGTTGTATATTAGTTTAGGATTTCTTTTAATTAGTTCATTCAATGTAGCATACACTTCGTACTGCTTCTTAAACTGTTTATCAGATAAGCCAGAGACACAGCACTGGATGACTTTATGTTTCTTTGGATAACTTTCTGGAATTTGCAAAACAAATCCCGGTGGCCATGATTCGTTTTGGCTTAAATCTCTGTTCAACAAGTCGTCCAGTGTAACTCCAGGACATTTGAGGTCAGAGCTTGTGAACTTTAAAATTGACCTTGGCTCTGATTGACCTTTAATCGGAGATGATGTGAATGGTAAACTCTCAATATCACTTGAAAAAGCAACCTTCTTTTTCTTTCTAGGACTTGATTCTCTTTTTATTGGAGATGACGAAAAGAGGTGCTCGTTGTACGTCAAAAAAGGGGTCAAACTTTTTTGTGGGCTTTGTATCTGGTGTGAACTCAATTTTTGGTCCTGCTCGGGGCCGTCTTTACTGTTTTGAGATTCTTTTGAATCAGGTACCTCAACAGAGGTATCATTTTCTACCACATTACTTGAAGGTATCAAGTCAAACATATTGACTGAGCCAGCTTTTGATGAGCGCAATGCTGAAGCATTAGAGATTGTATCTTGTTCCAATTCAGGAGATAATGTAGAAGTAGAGATGGAGGCAATTATTTGAGTTTCTGGTAGCATTAAGTTTGCGTTAGATAAGAATTGCATCTCACTTAAGGGTTTTTGAGAAGTGTTGCTATTGGGGTATGAGGAGCTATGTACGTCATATTTGGGACTTTGACAAGCATTCTGAGAAATATTCTGACTGTATTTTTTGTCAGTTCCGAATCTCGTGTCCGGTGGCTCGGAAGTTGAAAGGTCTGCATCATCATCTAGAAGGATCACGGTTTTGGTTCGAGGGTGCCGGGGTGAAATATGATCTATTCCTGAGAATACGTTGTCTTCATGTTGTTTCGGAGATCCATATGCGATACCATTTCTGCCTTTCCTCTTCATTTTTGCCACCTGTTTATCTAGTCTTTTCACTCGGTCACTCGTGTTGAAATCATTACTTTCGATATCCACGGGTTCAGCGTATGTTATTGGCGATGAGTGTTTTCTTAGCAATCGGCTAAACGTCAAATCATCGGGCCTTCTCATGAAAAGTTGACGTTTTTCTTCGTTGCTGGTCATACCTCGTCTTATTCAAAGCGATTGAGTCTTGTTCCAAGTATTAGAGATAAAGACGCCACTTCGTGCTTGATTAAACCCAAATGTCAAGAATTCTCCGATAATTTTTGGCGGCTTTACGCGTTATGTTTTTCAAGGCTTAAGATTACACTAAAATATACACGATTAACTGAATGCTACACACACGTCAAACTTTGGTTGTAACAATACCAAAATCTTGCTCATACGTTGGGAGTACCACCAAGGGAATACGAATGTAGAACTCATTTGCATTGCTTAGGTGCTCCTTGGCTCTGAAAAGCATTGACCCGGTGGTGTCTATGAAAATGTTCCTCAAATCGCAATTGATCTTCTTGCCTTCTGCGTCTGCCGCTTCTTCGTCTACCGTCCCATTTCCTGCGGCGTGATTAGCAGCTTCAGCATTTCTTGCTTTCCCCATGCTGTCTATGATAATGAATCGTACCTGTAAATAATACTTTGAAATGAAGAAGTTTGTTTTGAACTGAGGCTCTGCCTCTACAGGAATTAGTATGTCCATATTGATAGAGGTCGCATCGAAGGCAGACATCACCTTTTCATAAAGAATTGTCTCTAAAATGTTTTTGTCTAGTCTAGAAGAAACCTCGTCATAATTCCCTTTCTTAAGGTATTCATCACGATGGAAAATTTGGTGCTTTAAAAGCTGAACCTCAATTCCTTTTGTTTTGTACTTGCATTCTGCAAATGATATGTTTAGGCTGACTAGATCACCTAATTTGAAAATTCCTTTATTTAAAAATAAAGTAGAAATTATACCATGATTTTGCTTGATAATGTACTTGGTTTGTTGTTCTTTTGGTAAAAGATAATCATATTCTAGATGGTCGTCAAAGTCTTTCTTACTTAACTTTTGCCTCTGCACATACTTATAATCTGCCATGATTTGCATTAGGTTTTCTCTTACGTTGAATCTGAAGGATTTTGTTTCGTTCATCTTTTTCTCAAATTGTTCCTGAATTTGAATGATATTGTTAACGTCAGCCTGGTCAAGAGAATCCAGTATATCCAAAAACTCACTGACTTTTTCATCCAATTTCTCAACACTGGAAATAGATGTGACTGAAGATAGTCTTCTTTTTTCTAGACCGCTACCAACGGTTGAGATACTTGAACTGCGGGATTTGCTCTTCTTCAATTTTCTCTTCAAGTTCCAGAAGCTAATTCTTCTTGATGGTTGGTGTTGAGTAACCTGTCCATTAGGTAATATGTTTCCACTTTGAAAGAAAGAATCACTTTTGACAGAAGATAGGTGGCTAGAAACATCATCTGCAGTCAAGTCCTCCATGTAGGTATTCAATCTAGCCTTATTCAAGTGATAGACGGGTTGCCTACCGCAGTTGTCGATGAACGGCTGAATTTTCAGAGGGACAAAAACAGTCTTGCTAACTATGTTATTTCCTTCCATCATCTGGTATCCCAAGATGAAGTTGTAGTTGATTTGCACGGCTTCTGTGCAATAGGTTGGTGGCAGGTCTTTCGGCAGTTGACAGTTGATGTAAAAGGATTTGACACTTTCTGTGTGCTGTGAAGTGGCTGTCCAAGTCTCTGGGTCGAAAACCAGCTCGCTGAATATTATGTTCTGATTCGTGCTATAGAACGGTATAAACTTCATCTTTTCTACCATTTTTGAATCGACAGATGAGTTCATCTCTGTATTGTACGTGGCACTTAAGCCAGATAACAGCCCACCACTGTTATCTGATTCCTGAGAAACTGCATCTAGTCCTTGGATCCCAGCATATTTTCCCTCTATTATAGTGCTCTTTTCTAAATCTTTGAAAATAGAGTAATCGATTATTGTATCGTTGATCAAGTAGTGTCCAAGTATTTGCGCATAACCTAAAAATAAGGTCAATCTTTTCTCTTCTTGAGCCTTCTTAGCGATTGTCAACCCGTTTGACTCTTCATCTTCTTCGCTCAAGCTGTTCAAGTTCTGTAGAAATAAAGATCTAGTAGCGTTCGAAAGCTGAGACGAAAGACGAGACCCGAACCATCCACTAGAGGAGTCATTGTCCTTTGGTGGTTCTGCATTTTGTTCCTCGGCAGACGTGGATGTGTGGACCTGCACCCGACCAGAGTTATCTTCCCTCAAAGAGTTTGCACCAGTGAATGGGTCATGCAACGGGACTCCAAGATTGATGTTTGAGATGTCTCCAGTGTACTTGAATCGTACTAGAAGCGACAACTCATCCGTTCCAGCAAACACTGGTGAGTTCTCGTAGATGAATTGCACCTGGAGGCGATCACTGATCTGCTTCTGGTGAACTCTATACGTGACCATTGTTGCCCTATCTTCCCACGACCCTTTGCCTAGATCTTCCCTTTTCCAAAAAGCTCATCTCATAGCTGCTGTTTTTATGTTGCTCAAAACATGACACTCTCTCCATGTCTATGCTTACGGTGTTCAAAGGAGCACGTGACATATTTATTTGCGGGGCGACATGAGCGGTTTCCGAAAAAGGCAATATTTTGACGACCTTCCCTTTCTGCCTTTTGCGTAACTGTTATGCTTTTTTGTTCTCCTGAGACACGGAGTAGAAGTTGTTTCAAGCAACCTTTGGTTTTCTTGAACTTTTGGAAATTTTGCTTGTTTTTTTTCTTTTTAGAAAACAGTCTTTGCTGAAGTCAATCATAAATAACACAGTTGCTCTCTAACGGAAAAAACGTGTCTATCTGTGTCGATATACGTCTCAAAAAGATTCAAAAGATATAAACACTCCAAAATGAAGTTCCCAGAGTACTTGTTGCAAAAGAAGTTTCCTTCTTACGCTTGGTGTGTTTTTCTGCTTTCAACATTCTCTTTCTATTGTTACAGAAATATCTTTTTACAATCTGAAATAGGTTTCAAGTTGCCTACCATAAATTTAGTCTCGGCGTTGAATCATTTTGATGTTTTTGTAGTCTTGCCATCTACAGAAAGATTCGACCTATATGTGAATTTGGCGAAAACCTTTGAAGCATATAAAGAGGACTATCTAGAGCACTATAAAGACTACATACTTTTGCTTAATAGTTACTTGATACTAGGAGAATCTCAAATAGCATTGAAATACTACGCCTACAAGTACTACTTGAATGATGAGTACAAAGAGACGGATTCTTTTGTCCTAGGGTCGCCCATCGTCGAGTTCAATCAAAATTTCAACAATCCAGTAGAGCTAAGTACAAATAGAGAGCACAATTTGATCAACAAACACTATCATAACTTTGGTATAAAGAATAATAAGGAAAGTTGCGAGATGTTTTTCAATGATTACATATTCCCGTTATATAAGTCGCAAAGCAGTTGGAAAGAAGTCGAGGTTGCGAAGGCAATGTCAACAATTTTAAACCAATGGACATTGGCTAAGCGTTTACAAATTGTTTGTTTCATTGGATCATTGATTCTAATAGCGCTATCTCTACTTTGTTTCACCCTCAGCAAAACAAAACCAAATATTCTTATGAAATCCGTCTGGGGATACGTTTTGGTAATATCTTACTTTTTAGTTTTTGCAGTTATGCTGGTCTTGACATTTGTTTGCCTATCAATTACCATAGTTACCTATCGTTCTAACTTGAACTTCAAGGGACTTCACAACACAAGTTTCAACGTCTTGCAACTTGCTTGGCTCTGTTTCATAGAATACATTTCTTTGAGCTGGGTAGTTAACTTCAAGATTAAGAACGATGCGCTAGACAGAGAAAAGGAGCTTGATAATGAAAACGACAGTCTAAAGGGCCAACTTCTTGCTCTACTGAAAACTTCACTGAGCTCTCAAGACTCAACCTCTGTGCTTGATACAAGCAAAAAGGATGCACAGACAGGTGGTGTTAAAGATCTTCTAAACTCTGGGTTTAATGCTGTGAGACCAATCTTGACAACTGTAAAGCGATTAATGACACCAGGAAAAGAACTTCTAGACGATGATAAGACTGGGAACCCATCTGGCAGCAACAGTATAACAGTCGAAAGCTACAATGGCCCGACTATGGAAGATATTGAGAGAATTATCCAGTACACAAACAATCAAAGTAACCTAAATACTGCTGCTGCAGATTTAAACGAAGTTCCTGCTGCAACAAAAGAGATTCCAATCGACCAACCAATAACAACTGAAACAAAAAAAAACCTTTCTAAAGAGCCGTTCACAAATTTCAAGGCTTTGAATGTTGTGTCTGCTATTTCCACTAGTCATCCGGATTGCTCACCCTTCACTAAAAGCAGTGCTACCGGGTCTCCTGATTATAAATTTGATGTAAGATCCTCAAAAGAATCAATAAGTAAGAGTCTGGAAGAAAAACGAGCCGGGTTTTATCAGCATGCAGGATATTTGTTAAGTACCAAATCTGATGGCGAAAGTTTCATTTCTGAGAAGCCTCCTCGCTCAGAGTTATCAAGCAAGCTCTACTACAAGAAAAGCTCAAGGTCTCCGTTGACTCGATCTTCAATAAATAGCGGTAATATACATTATGAGCTCAACACTAAGAGTGAAGATGTTAATATCAATTCGGGCACGACAGCTACACCAGACACAAATATTGAATGGGAAAAAAAGTTTGGATTGTCAAGTGCAAAATCTAACGCAGAAACTGTACAGGTTACACCTTCAGGTGAGACTCGGAGTCACCACAGTGCAATGAGCTCAAAATATAGTGGAAGAGAAAAAGTTCAAAGCCCAAAACAGTTAGCCAGTGGTGGCACTATAAAGAGTAGCCCAAAAAGGAAAATTGTAAGGGATGTTGCACCAAAGGAGAGGAGTAAAAGTAAATACGAATTTTTTTTGCCAAGTACAGGAGCAACGTCGGAATACACAGACACTTCGGTTGCAGGTGAAGAAGGTATGAAAGTATCTTCAAGTGCGGAAGAGATAGACCCAAGCACTGCCTCCGTGAGAGATGGAGATCAGCAGGAAAGTGTCTTTTCTATTGATCGTATTGTCCGTGAACAAAGCTTGAAGCAAAAATAGAAATAAAAATAAGAATAGGAGGTTGGCCTATTTGTATAGATTGACAAATATAATAGTAATATATAGATTGTACAACAAGCATTGACACTCTAGAGATGTTACGTAAGCGGACGGACTCCTGGCGGTCGAGTCCGGTAAATTTAACAGACAATGAAGATAGATCGAAACATGACGATTTATCTTGGTTGTAAACAGGAAAATAAAATGGTTGAGCTTTATAGAATCTACGCCACTATGTCGGCCTCTCAAGAGATGATGAGATTTCCAAGTGATGTTCTATTCGATCAGAAGTTGTGTCGATTGCAGATCAACAATCTACGAAAGACCAAACCTTTAGTCGAAAGTGAGTGCAAGTTCCATGTTGGCCACATACACCAGGATATCCAGTATCAGTTCCATCAAATTGGGCTTCGTTTAGTGGAACCTGAGCAAGATGCTGCATATGACGAGTTGATACAGAAATTGTTCAAGCAGACTGGGGTAATAGTCGGAGTTCCTGGGTTGATAAATTCACTTGTACTTGAATGTATTAAACATAACTGTTCTGCACCGTTCTTACGAGACGTGATAGACCAATATGACAGCAATGGAGAGATCAGTGGTATGAGATTACTGATTTCGTTGAACCGATTAAGAAAGGGGATATGGGAATATAACATTTTGGAACGGGTGGAATGCATTGAGGAAAATTTTCTGAGATGGTCATTTCGCAAATGTGTGTTTGAAATGACGTGCTTGAATGAAGTTAAGCCTTCACTTTACAATCAGACCACGATAGTAACGAGACTGTTGCACAAGGCGAACTATCACCCTAAGTTGGATCAATTTGCATCGAATTCCATGCTTATTTTTGACTTGTTACACGATGAATTCTTGGACAACATGACGTCACCGAATGATGGAGTCGGGTTTTCTTTCGAGTTGGTAGGACCGTCTGCAATGCTCGACTGCATCAAAAGCCTTGGACTGGACATTGAATCAGGGAACCACTCATATCTAGAGGAGGATATTTTGAAAAAAAGAAAACTACAATGACCCCCAAATTTTTCTAAGACTTTGAAAATCTTCATTTCATCATTAAAATTGTTAATTATTAATATACATAATCTATTTAAGCATAAGAACTCTATACATCAGATTCGTCTTTCTCTTCGACATCGTCGAAATCTTCGTTCTGTTCGTTCACTTCTTTCACTTCTTTCACTTCTTCACCATCTTCGTTCTCTTCTTTCACTTCTTCACTATCTTCATCATCATTTGGCTCATAACTTCCGTTTGAATCCAAACCTAGTCCGGTGACATCGACGATCACAGCCTCCTGTTTCTCTTTATCCCATCTTACTATCGGATCGGCAATGAGGTCTCCGTTAGGCTTTAACAACCCAAAAGTTTTATCAAACTCTTTGAAATCTAGTTCCTTGTGAACATAACCAATAAACATCTTGTAGGCCTGAGCTTCTAAAATCATAGAATCAGAATAAAGGACAGATGTGTCCAAATTGTAGATTCTAGCATTTTTAAAAATCAGATGGATATCATACATGTACTCTTCTAATGAATTATAAGTCCAATTATTGATTCTTCTTCTGACCATATCAAATGCAATTGGATGTTTGATTATAACATAATAATCTGGATAAAGTCTTCTTTGAGGTTTGACATTAAAAATCTTGCACAACTTTCTGCCTGCAGGGTTGTTGTATTCTTGTAGATGATTCAAAATATCGACCATCCTGGCCTGTAAGGTCACACGATCTTGCCCCATCGGTTCATCAGACGGCCAAATATCTCTTGATATTGGTAAAGTTCCGAAGTTTTTTCTTCTGCGGACAGGTGGACCTGCAAATGATGATGTTTCAGTCAAATCTGCGGGTGTATTTGGTTCAGTTGGATCTGGAGTCGCACTTAGTGCTTTACTGGTTGTCTTTTTTCCAGCCTTTCCTTTTCCGGTCTTCATACGTTTGGAATCGTGACCTTCTTCTTGGTCTTTCTCCTCGACCTTCACCTCGTCAATCTCTTTCTGCAAGTCACTGGTGTTATCACCAGTGATGATTTCGTCTTCTTTAACTTTCTTCTTTTTGAATCTTTTACCTTTAGACTTTTTATCTGAATTAGATTCTCCATCGTCACCATCATCACTAACAAAGCCGTCTATCTGCCTTAGCCATTGCTCCTCACTGATATTTTCATCATACTTTGCTACTTTACGTTCCCTTGTTCCACGACCATAGTATTGAGCTTCGTCGGGTATCTCCTCTTCGGGTTCAAGTTCTTGATGATACATTGACGGCAACTCTTCTTCTGAAAATAATCTTGGTAAATTTGAATTCCACTCTTTCTCCCTTTCTTCATCTATAGTACCAAAAATTTTGATTTCATTTTCATTTCTAGCTAAAATTTCGTTGAGATCATCATCATTCAGTTCATCCTCATTTTCTTTCGCATGCTCTTCACTTTCAATCAACTTTCTTAGCAAAGCCTCTTGTTCCTCAGCTGTGGATTTTTGATCAAACTTACCGGCTTGGATAACTTTACCGTCGATATCCAGTTTTTGATTAGCCTTTTCTAAAATATACTCCTCGATGGAATCACTTGTGATTAATCTCAAAATTCTAACTTCATTCTTCTGACCAATACGATGTGCTCTATCTTGTGCTTGTAAATCTTGATGAGGATTCCAATCAGTATCGAAGATAATGACCGTGTCTGCTGTTTGTAAATTCAATCCTAAACCGCCAGCCCTAGTAGACAAAAGGAAAACAAAATAAGGAGAATCTTCAGCATTGAAATCTTTCAACAATAAAGTTCTATCATCAGCCTTGGTATCACCATCTAATCGCATGTATTTCATACCTCTGAATCTTAGAAAATCTTCCATGATATCCATGATTTGAGTCATCTGGAAGAACATTAAAACTCTGTGACCAGTGGCTCTGAATTTCGGTAATATCCTATCCAAAAGTTCGAACTTACCGCATACCCTCCAAATCAGATCATTGTTTTGATGCGATGGATTGATCATGTCTTCGATAGCAGGGAAAACAAACGGATGATTACAGATTTTTCTCAACTGCATTAATTTATTGTTCATACCTTTGATACCAACTGCTTTATTTTCTTTATCGCCAACAAACAACTTGTTATACTTGAGCATCTGATGATACATTTTAGCTTGCAAACCGGATTTCCTACATTTGATAACTTTTTCAATTTTGTTAGGCAAGGATTTCTCGACATCTTTTTTCAATCTTCTCAAAAGAAATGGTCGTAAAACTTTATGCAATCTTCTAATAACCAACAATGTTTCTTCTTCTGATAATTCAATCTTATCCTGACTACCTGTATTGGCAAAAGGAGTATTGAACCATTCATCAAAAGATTTCACAGAATTGAAAATTTTTGGCAAAACAAAATTCAATAACGCCCAAAGCTCTGGGAGGTTGTTTTGTAGTGGTGTACCCGTCAAAATCAACCTATAGTCAGAATGATAGAACTCATTTAAAGTGTATGACAATTTGGATTTGGCATTCTTCATTCTATGACCTTCATCAATGATCATGTGGACCCATTTGATTTTGGATAAAAGATATTTGTCTTTAATAATATACTCGTAAGTAGTCAATAGAACGTTAAAATCTCTGGCCTTAATACGCTGAGCTAAATCTTTCCTGAAAGCCGGCGAGCCTTTGTAACTAATTTTTTTTAAGCTTGGGGCCCACTTATCAAACTCATTGTTCCAATTTGGCAGCGTACTTAATGGTACAATGACCAAAAATGGGCCCGCCAACTTCTTGACCTCAGTGATGTAAGTCAACAATGAAATAGTTTGGATTGTTTTACCAAGTCCCATCTCATCGGCGAGAATACCATTCAAATGATTGTTATACAAGGAAACCATCCATTCTAGACCACGTACCTGATATTCTTTCAAAGTACCTCCAACAAGAATAGATGGTTGTCCTGTAACTTTTTCTTGAATCTTGTGAGCAACGTGATAGTAATCAAGACTAAGTTTCTCATCTTCATCTACTTCAGTATCGTCGGTGATATCTTTCTCCATATCATTGGTATGCCCAACTTTAATCATCTTTTCATGTGTTTCTTTCTGTTGATCTCTAACAGCTTCGGTTAAGCTACTCAAGAACGAATTAGTCTGCTTCAAAAGGTGAGTAATTCTGGTATCTTTAGTTTGATCCAACAATCTGACATAAGCTTCTTCATCGTTCGCCTTCAAAGCTTGCAATCTTTGTTTGGCATTTTTCTCTATACGACGTTGTTCTTCTTTTTCGGTTTGTTGATGAAAAGTTGTCAGATTCTTCGCTAAACGTTGGTAAGTTAGCTTTTTATCAAGTAAAACCCTTTTTTGAACGTTGGATGCACTTAGTAGTGACGCTTGCCTTTCAATGACCTCAGTTTTCTGCTTTTCAATTGCCACATTCTTTTGTTCTAAGTACAATGCATTTACAATAGCAGCATCTTCAATACTTACTCCTCTTATCTTGGCAGAAAAGTTTGGCAAGTGGTTAATCAAAAGCATGTTTTGGTGGAAAATACCGGATAAAACATAGCCCCTTAATGCTTTTTGATATGGCAGGAGCTTGAAAGACTCATGTTCATATTTAAAAGAAGCATCTAATTTTGCTAGTTGCTCAAGCTGTTGAAGTTCATCTTCAATCAATAAATTTTCATGCAACTTCTTCAATTCATTAGCGCCTTCTATATCCAAAGGCTTTGGATATACCGAAGGAGTGAAAACTTTAGACTTCGGCATGTTAAAAAATTCATAAGGGATACTCGCTTTCAATTGCGGTACAACGAAAGTATCTACCTTTGCTAGCGGGTTCTGAATGTTATCCTTTCTCGTATTAGGGTATTTTGCATCCAATTTTTCCAGCACCACAGGAGGATGGGGAGGTAAAGTTCTTAGTTTAACTTGAGCAATTGGAGGTTTATCATTATTCTTCAAATTTGAAAGATCACCAGTCGATAATGCTGTATTAATAGCGGCAGTAGCAGCAGCGGCGACAGCTGCTTCTTTCTTTGTTTTTCTGGGTGCTCTCTTTCTTTCTTTCTTGATAGAAGTTGGCTTTTCAACTTTGGCCTTTTTGCTGGCCTGCTGTTTTTGTTTTGCTTGAGCCAATTCTGCCGCATGTGCTAGTGTGTTTTCTTGGGCTTGAGTCTGAACGTGAGCCTGGACCTGCATGGCTTGTGCGTGAGCACGAGCTTGAGCTTGTTGCTGGAGCTGTAATTGCAACTGAGTTTGCTTTTGCTGTTCTTGCTTTTGAGCCTGCGCCTGCTTGTATAGGCTTTGTAGGTCTGCACCTATCATCTGAGGAATTTGTTGAGGCAGTTGAGAAACTGCAGCTTGAGACTGCTGATTTTGTTGATAAGGTAGTTGTCCGTTTGACCGCTGCGCCTGTTGTTGTGGTTGTTGTGGTTGTTGCGGTTGTTGCGATTGTTGCTGAATCGGCTGACTTTTTTGCCGCTGGAACTGGGTATAGCTTGCCGTAATGAGATTGTTGAGCTCTGGTGTAATTGGCTGGTTCTGAATGAACCTTTTGAAAGTTGCAATTTGAAATTTCAAAATGTGCGCTTGGATAGGATGGAAGATTGTTGCTGGCTGGTTTGCAGTCTGGCCAGGAGAACCCATAACAGGAGACGCTGCAGAGCTCACATTTGTAGCTGGCATGTTTTGCAAACTCTGTGCTGGGTGCTGGTGTTGTTGCTGTTGCTGTTGCTGTTGCTGTTGCTGTTGTTGTTGTTGTTGTTGTTGTTGTTGTTGTTGTTGTTGTTGTTGTTGTTGTTGTTGTTGTTGTTGTTGTTGTTGTTGTTGTTGTTGTTGTTGTTGTTGTTGTTGTTGTTGTTGTTGTTGTTGGTGATGTTGTTGTTGTTGGTGTTGTTGCTGCTGTTGCTGCAACTGCTGTTGTTGCTGGTCTTTTTGACGCTGTAATAACATCTGCCTCTGCTGCAACAACAATTCCTGGTTACCGATTGCTGATGATTGTTGCTGTTGTTGTGGCTGAACGTTTGCTGTAGGTGTACCCATTGCACTGGACTTGTTTAGTTGGTTCAATTGATTTGACTGATTCAGATTGCCCAGCTGGTTCATTGGATTCATCTGGTTCAATTGGTTCATTTGCCCAAGCTGGTTCATCTGATTTATTTGGTTCAGTTGATTTATTTGGTTTTGACTTAACTGATTCATCTGGCTCATCTGGCTCATCTGAGTCATCTGACCCATTTGATTCATCTGGTTCATCTGACCCATCTGGTTGTGGTTGTGACTCTGGTTCTGATTTTGACCCATCTGTCCCATCTGAGGTTGGTCCTGAATCTGGTTCATCTGCCCCATTTGGTTTTGGTTCATCTGGCTCATTTGAGATCTCTGCTGTAGATGAGATTGTATTTTCTGGAAATTTCGATCATTGGACAACAAATTGTAGAGCTTGATATACTGAGGCATGCGAACGGCGGCAGAGCCGTGCTGGAACTTCAACTGCTGCAAGCGCTTGTAGATCTCCTGTATCTGAGAAACGGACAATCCATCCTGGGTGAACTGTTGATTGATGTTGTTTGAGTTTGTCCCAACACCGTTGGCAGTGCTGGTGTTGGAATTGTTAGCATTACTGTTGTTGTTGCTGTTAATGGACGTGGGTATATTGTTTGCAGCGGGGCTGGTATTTGTGTTGCTATTGCTGTTGCCGCTGCCAACATTGGCATTGGCGATTACGTTATTAGCTGCCAAGTTGGTGCCATTGTTCACGTTGGAAGAGTTTGGCGTCAATGGTATGGAGGGGGGATTGTTGAACCCGGAATCCATAAAGTTGAACGGAGCGTTGAATTCCATGGCTGAAGGTAGGCAGTGGAAAGGAAAACAGAAACGAACGCTGGGCGGGGGAATGGGATGGTGCTATCGGTAGCTCAATATGTGTATGCAAACGGTGGTGCACAGTAAACAAACAAAGTGCCAGCAAATTTCGTGTCTGAATGTGTGTGTATGTGAGTGTGAGTGTGAGTGTGTTGGCGTGTGGCCAGCCAGCCTAAATTCAGTGGTGGAAGCACCGAGGTGGAAAAAAAAATAGAGAAAATGAGAAAAGGACGAAAAACCCGGAAAATGAGAAAATCGGGTGGTCGGTCGGTCTATAGAGTGCACACTATAAGACTAGACTGCTGGAGTATCGGAATGGCACAGACAATGCAGTAGAGCAATGGGGGTATACAATACAAAACCTGGACGCTGCCGGATGGGGCTGTGTGCAAGTTCCTGTCGGGGGGTGCTATGCTATAGAGGGGAGCAACGGTGTGGTGTGTGTGGCAGGGTCGAAGTGGCGGTGTCCACAGAAATTTCGTCTGAGCCAAGCCAATCTGAGAAACGGAAGCTGTCGATACACGGTCCTATCGAACAATAACAATGGCAACACGAGGATGTGTCAAATCCGGTAACGTGTGGAATGTATGCAACGTGGGTGTTCCGTGTCAGGGCCCGGGACTGTAGGAGATAAGGGTACAGCTGTGCCGATAAAGGCAAATAAAGAGATAAATCGGACAGTGCAGTAGGTGGGAAACTGCAGTACCCCCACCCACACCGTCGCCCGCCAGCCAGGGCGAGAGGAGAGCGCTGGCCTAAAAGAAAAAAAAAAAAAAAAAAAAAAAATAAAAGTTCGCATTGCGTGCGGTGCAAGGAAAATTGTCACCCTTCCAGGGAGGGAAACAGCCCTGCAGCGGAAGGCGCCGGGAAACGCCCTGCGCCCTGCCGACGCCCTGTTCTGCCAGCGCTGCGACGGGTCTGCAGCGGGTCGATCGGCTTCTCAGGCTTGTTTGGCAGCCCCCAAGGCTGCGGGGCTAGGTGGACAAGGTGTAGAGTGGGCAGGGGCACCATTTAGCATGGGAGCAGCTGTGGAAAGACAGAGGGAGGACGGCCTCTGGTGCTGCACCGTCAGACCAACAAAGAAAAAGAAATGTGGCAGCAGCGACAGCGTGCCAGGGTGACCGAACGATCGGTCGGATGGTCGGTGGAACCGAATTTATGTCTCAGACACAAATTTTTTTCTCTCCCGAAAAGGAGAGCTGGGCCGATAACAGGACAATGTTCGTTTGTTTACAACTCTCTGTGCCGGCATGCCCTATTGTGTGTGTCTGTCTGTAGCACATGCCGGCGCCGGCCGGCTCTGTATCCGCCGTCTGACTTGTGGGCAGGGCGCTCGGCGGAATGATGCACGTAGGCGGCGCCAGCTGTGTATGTGAGACGCACACACATCCTGCCGGCTCGGCGACGGCGGGGCCTCGTGGCTCCTTCCCTGCTCGCCGCTTTAGCGCTCTACATTACAATACGCTTCCTTACCGCTATCTGCCTGCTGCAGTCTCTCCTGTGTCTGGACCAGAGGTCGGGCAAACGCCAGCAGCGGCAGCAGTACGGCCCGGGGGCAGAGTCACTAGCACGTAGACAGGCAGCGCACCTGTCCAGATGCACACGCGGTCTGTAGCTACATAGCGTGCGTGATCTGCAGGAGGGACCACGCACAGCACCCCCGATGGGACCGGCAGCCGATCTTGCAGCAAGCATCAACCAAGCACAAGGACAGCCCCCGGCTCCCCAGGCTGGCGGCAGCCAGCTGCTGCTTCGCCACCATTGCCTCTTGCCACCGCCTCCACTGCTGGCTGCCCGGCCTGTCGACAGCCAGTCGGGATCTCTGCTCCCAGCCAGCCTCAACAAAGGCTGTCAACCGCACCGATTTGCTTGAAAATGCGGAAATGCGAAAAGCCAAAACCCGGCAGGGGCGGAAAACGGAAAAAAGACCGAAAGCAAGTAGTATGCGTGTGCACGTGACCCGGCCCCAACCTCGTTTCGTTCTGTTGATCCTCCGAATCGCCGTGGCCACGACTTGGCCCCCTGTCAGCAGGACGACCACGCAGCAGCGGGGCAGCAGTGCAGCAGCGGGCACTGCGCAAATCCTCTACTGCACTGGCGTGGGCATTGCAAAGGTGTGTGTGGTGTTCCGCTCCCCACATGACCGTGGCCATGCAAGTGCCATGGCTATTCCCAATGCCAGTGCCATCAGCACCAGTTGCCACTGCCCGCACCACCGGCTGTTGGCCGTTTCTGCCGCTCGTCTCCTCACGGCTAAAACTACCGCAATCAGCGTTTTCCGTTTCGCGGTTTTCTCTCCTCCCGGAGGATGCCTCGGACCTTGAGCATTGAGCATCATCTACCTGTCGTAACCCAGAAAACAGTCTCCAGACAAAGCGCTACTCCGCAAGTATACCCACAGGCTCCCAGAGCCCTGTTGCAGTAATGTCCTTGTGCGTTGTACCCGAGCTTCACAAATTATCGTAACTTGTAGCCTGTAAAATAGAGATATTCGGAACTTCTACAGAAGCACGCTACACACTATAGTCTTTCAATACCCATTGCTTTGGAACCAGGCCAGTAAATCGCCACGCGCCCTTTCCCTCCAACGAACATCGTTACGCATGCTGTCTAAACTTTGTCTTAGACCCTTTTCGTAACCGCTGTTATCCTTGTTCTCGAAGAATAACTCGACATCTTGGACAAGATCTTTAGAAACAAGCTTTGGCAAAAACCCCTTCACAACACGGTCCAACGTCCACATCGAAACGTCATTTCTGAATTTGGGGTAATTATCTTTGAAATAGTTCCAAAAAAAGACCTTCGTTTTGAAGTTGGAAGCTAATGGAATGGTCAAGAATTGGTAGTCCATTTCAGGAACACTTCCGTCGAAGAATAGTGACAAAATGCTTGGCAAGTATTCGTCCACTTTATTAATCGAGCCCAATGACCTAAGGGCAACTTCACGTCCATCGATGGTGCTTGGCTCTCTGACTTCTGCCAAAACAGAGTTGAACACATCATCGTTACATGTATCAGCATTTGCTAACAAAATCCTGTAAACAGCTTGCTTGAAATGTGGCTTTATGTCCTTGGACTGATAAATACTCAGTGCCTTAGTAACAGCAACGTTGAACTGAGAAATACCAGCCTGTTCAAATAGTGCAGATGCTAAACGTTGTCCATTGAAATCAAGATTGGCAGATTTGATCAACTCTTCAAATTTGTTCTTGTATAAATCTCTCGAGAATAAAATCAGCTTTTCAGAAATCTCTTCATCAGAGAAAAATGCATTCTTTAAAATGTTGAGTCTTTCAATGATTTCATTCCAAACGGAGACGTGTGTCTCACTCTTCATTTGACTAACAAGCTTGAGAAACTGTGATGTTTTGATTATTCCAGCCCTTGCTCCAGCACTTGTGTCTGCAATCAATCCAATTTTATCATTGTCTGAAAGCTTGCCCAAGTTTTGGACAATGTTTTCAAATAGCTCATCATCATAGAAGACTCTATAAAAACCAGCAGTGTCCTTATTCAATTTCAAGAAGTTTTGAGCATCAATGACCTTTTCCTTCGTCAGCATATTGTCAATATTCGGAATCCACCATGTGATCGAATCGTCCACTTTGGTTGCACCTTCTACCAAGAATCTTTGTTGCGTGATGTTAATAGTTTTACCGTCTTTGTTTTTCACGACTTTCAAAGCCGGATAGCCAATCGCTTTAATCCATGGTTCAACCAATTCAGTAATATTTTTGCCTGACACCTCACTGACGGAGTCCCATAAATCATCAGATTTTGCATTTCCAAAAGAGTATTTTTTCAAGTAATTGGAAACACCCTTCAAAAATAGTTCAACACCGATAGATTCAGCCACCATCCTGACAACGGAGCCACCTTTTAAGTATGAAATGGCGTCGAAAATTTCATCGATTTCGTTAGAGTGGTAGACCTGAACTTCAATAGGATGAGAATTTTTCAAGCTGTCTAAATCGAGTGCTGTTTGCATAGAACCTGAAATGAAATCGGTAAAGACATCCCACTCCGGATGCATGTTATCGACACATAACCATCCAACGTAGGTTGCAAAAGATTCGTTCAACCACAAATCAGACCACCAGTTCATGGTGCAATAGTTACCGAACCATGAATGGGCGATTTCATGAGAGACAACATATGAAACTTTTTGCTTGTATAAAGCACTTGATTTTTCTGGGTGATACAAGAGTGCAGTTGAACGGAACATGACGAGACCCCAATTTTCCATAGCATTGGCACCGAACTGAGGAACAGCAAGTAAATCCAACTTAGGAAGAGGATAGTCGATCTCAAAGATGGAAGAGAGATAATCTACTGCACTCTGTGCAGTCTCAAGGGCATACTTACCCGTATGCGATTGCCCCGGAATAGTGTAAACTCTGATTGGAAGTTTTGACCCGTTGTAGTCACGAGTTGTGGTACATTCAACATACTCAAATTGTCCGATAGCCCAAGCGACCAAATAAGTTGACATCTTTGGGGTTTGACAAAAGGTGAAAAGCTTGTTTTCTTTGTCGCTGTCTGCGACAACCTCTTTGTCCAATGGCATGTTAGATAAAACTTGTAAATCTTTTGGGACTTCAATGGAGATGGTGAAAGAGGCCTTGCAGTTAGGTTCATCAAAACATGGGAAAGCAGAACGAGCATCGGTGGACTCGAACTGGGTTGTCAAGATGTACTTGGTTTCTCCCTTCTCGTTTTTGTAGTTGGAGGTGTAAAATCCTGCCATGTCTGTACGAATGATACCGCTGTAATCGACAACCACTTGTACGGACTTCAATGCAGCATCAATCTCGGAGCTGAGCTTGAATTCGACAGTTTCGTTGGCATCATCTTTGATAACTTCTTCGACTTCTTCTTCTCCCTTGGAGGTCTTCAACACTACCTTGTTGAAAGAGAGAAACTTTTGGTTTAAAATTATGGACTTAGTTTTGCTGAAGACCTCAAAGTCGATTGTTGCAGTTCCATCAAACAGATTTTTTTCATAGTCAATATTGTGGCAGAAGATGTTATAGTGGACAGGCTTAACGTCTCTTGGAAGTTGCTCGTGCAAAGATGTATCCTCAAACCGTCTGTTACTGACTGCGCTACACATTTGTCTTGTGGATCTTGTGTTTCTGGAGAGTCTTGAGGTCAATGATTTGATCTGTGCCAAAAAGGACATAGAGATCAGAAACGGTAGTAGGGAGAGGGAGAACAAAAACAAATTAGAAGAGCTAAATTTTTCTTCCACAATAAATACAAGATGTTAGAATAACGGAAAAGCTTACTTCACTGCATTGAGCTGATTTTAACGCTACAGCGATTTTCCACGTCCAAGCATGAGGCACGGATGATCTGAGAACAATGTCTGTCAAAGAACGGGCGGCATACATAGTGGAGAAACCGATAGTGCTGGGTGAGGCCGGGCACAAAGTCCATCGCGCCGTTCGTGCCACACAGCTGAAGGGCCACGGATAATTATTATAGAGGAGCATTGGAGAAATATTATATTTCACTACAAAGAGCTCTGTTAGGATGCAAACCATTGTTGAGTATTAGGAGAGACCTTTACTCAACAGTAACAGACTTAGCTAAGTTTCTAGGACGGTCTGGGTTGTGACCGGCGGCAATGGATAGGTAGTAACTCATCAACTGTAGTGGTATGATGTTAACCAAACCTTGCAAACAGTCGACGGTTTTTGGAACCTCGATACAGGCAGAAGTCTTGCTTCTATCGATCAAGTTGTCTCCCTCGGTCATGACAACAATTGGACGGCCATCTCTGGCTGTTATCTGCTGAATGGCAGAGTTGACTTTTGGCGAGAATGAATCTTGTGTAGCAAACGCAACAACGGGCATGTTTGAATCAACCAATGCCAAGACACCGTGCTTCAACTCACCCGCCTGGACACCTTCAGCGTGGATGTATGAAATCTCTTTGATCTTCAACGCACCTTCTAGAGAAGAAGCGTACTGATATCCTCTACCAACGACCAACATCGAATCTTTGCCATGCAAATATTTGAGGGAAATCTCCTTGATCTCTTCTTTCTTTTCAAGAACTTGAGAAATGAGCCTTGGAATTTCTTCTAAACCATTTATGATTTCCTCATGGCGCTGTTTGTTATCTATGACATTATTGGAGATCTGTAAGGCCAACATTACAAGTGCAATGAATTGGGAGGAGTATGCCTTAGTTGAGGCCACACTGATTTCAGGTCCAGCATTGATGTGAACACCACAGTCAGTTTCACGTGAGATACTGGAACCGACAGAGTTGACAACACCAACGTTCAAACAACCGGCTGCCCTACAATACTTCAACACTTGCATACTATCAGCCGTTTCTCCAGACTGAGAGACAAAGATACACGTATCGTCTCTGAATATTGGTGGAGATCGATCCAAAAAATCCGAGGCCAAATCCACGGAAACAGGGACTCCAGTCAATTCTTCAAACAACGACCTCACTGCCAAGCAGGAATGATATGACGTACCACAGGCAATCATTTGGAATCTTCTAGACCTTCTGATACTCGTTAAGTACTGTTTTATACCACCAAGGATGATGTTTTTGTTCTTGAAATCCAATCTACCTCTCATGGTATTAAAGGTGGAGTCTGGTTGTTCACTGATTTCCTTCATCATGAAATGGTCGTATCCCCCTCTCATTATTTCAGCCAATTGTAGTTCCAAGGTTTGAACAGGTCTAGTTGTTGACATGCCTTCACTCTGTCTAGCCCTGTGAATGTGCAATTCCCCATGGTTGATGTGTGCAATATCGTCATCTTCCAAAAATAAAACCTTCTTGGTGTGTTCAATAACAGAAGAGGCATCAGAAGAAACAAAGAATTCAATAGGCATATTATGATCAGGTAGAATGGCTCTCGATTCTGACTTCCTCAGGGAGCTGTTAGTGTACTCTTTCGAGGGTAAATAACTACCATTTGCTTCGGTCGATTGCTCGGAGTCGTTGATGAACTCGACGTCGACAAAATCAACCTTCAATTTTTGCTCAGTCTTGACACCAATCAATAATGGAGAACCCTTTCTTGTGGCAATGATCTCATTTGGATAATGGACCGATTTCACCATCAAACCGTAGGAGCCCTGTAGTTGATATAAAACGTCTTTGGTCAATTGGTAAAATTCTAAATCAGGATCCTTCTTGTAGTAGTAGTTGAAGAGCTTAGCGATAATTTCAGTGTCCGTGTCTGACTTGAAGGACTCACCCTCGGCCTTGAGGAACATCTTCAACTCTCTATAGTTGGTGATGATACCATTGTGGACCACGACAAACTGGTTGGTATCGTCAGAAGATTGTGGATGACAGTTGACCTGGGTAACCCCACCGTGGGTGGCCCATCTTGTGTGTGCAATACCGACATGACTGTAAAACGTTTCGGACACGTCCGGGTGGTGGGAAATAATCTCTTCCTTCAAGTTCGAAACCTTGCCCACCTGCTTGTACAATTGAATTGCTCTTACTGGAGAGTCCTCACTCCAGTCGTTCTCACCATCAATACCAATACCAGCGGAATCGTATCCTCTGTACTCCAACTTGGTCAAGCCGTCGACCAGGGTGTTGATGATCTGGCCTCTACTGCGACCAACGTTGTAATTTGCATAACCGAAGATACCACTAGAAGAAGATATAAACTATGTTAGTACATCTGTAATACCAACTGAGAAGATGAAGCCGCCCTCCCACCCCCCGTCCTTCTCGTGCCCCTGGCGGCTCATGTTGCCTTGGACAAAAGAGGATCAGGGATTTTGGATATAAACATCGGGCTTTTTCTTCTCTGGAACCCAATTAGCGCCCCTCTCCATCTCTCACGACTCCAAAATATCTTTTCCATGTTTACATACCACATGTTCTGTTCTTTGTGTCGGCGACCAACACCACAAGCAGCCCGTTTAACCGCTCAGAAACACGAAGAAAGAGACAACAACAGGCACGAAATTAAGGTTCTCCCTTTTGACTCAGCCATCAAACATGTCTCTAGCTCTCATCTTTTCGCAGCGCTCGCACGTTCGTTTTCCTTCCGGCCCGAATAGGAAATAATATGGACTTTTCGTGTTCTATAAATAAATAAAAAGGGAAAAAGCCCGAAACACGACCGGAGAGGCCTTTGGAAAGCCCACAGACTTGTCTTGTCTGTTATTTCCTAAAATGTTTCTTGTTACACAACTCTGTAAACATTTTCGACTACCCGACTAAGTCACTCATTTCTTCTTGTGGCTGCGGATGCCGCCCTCAAAACCAGCCCGCTTGGCGCCGCCCGGCATCTTTTTGTTGGCCCGGCTCCGCTTGTAGCTCGGAAGTTGCTTCACCTGGTCCTTGCGGCCCTTGCCCTTGTTGGCCTTCCGAATACGCAGGTTTTCGTCTCTTCTATCCGCCTTCATCTTCTTCTCGTCGGTGACTGTCTGTATACGGTCCTTCCATTCCCGCTCGCTCTTCCGCTTCTTGGACTCCTTCCGCCTCAAGGCCTTTTTCAAAAGCTTCTCGTCGTCCTTCACCTTGAGACCCTGTACGCTGGCAAGGGCTTTCTGCCACTTGTTTTTGTCCTCGAGCTTCTTCTTGGCGTCGCTGTCCAACTCCCCGAGCCTGCTTTTCTCTCTCTCTATCTTCTTCAAATGGCCCTTAATGTCTTTGTTTGAAGGACCCTTCTTCTTGCCGACTCTTCTGCTCGAGGTCAAGTCACTCGACACTCTCTCGCCGTCCAAGAATTCGATGTTTCCAAACATCACGCTGGAATTGTCTTGTGTTTCTTCTCCTTCAACGTTTTCAGCATCGTCGTCGTCGTCATCGTCGTCATCGCTACTTTCGGCCTCTTTACGCTTCATCTCCTTCTTCAACTCCGCCTTTTTACGTCTCTCCTCTAGGATCTGTTGCCTTGAGGTGGCAGCACCCGGAGCCTTCGTTCCCGGAGCTTTTCTCTTTTCTCTCATGCTTTGAATCTTCGCCTGGAGTTTGGCCTTAAGCTCTTTGTGTTTTCTTTCTCTTTGTTCCTGTTCTTCCTTACTCAAGGTTTTCTTTCCAGCCTTGACATTCTGTTGCTGCTGCTTTTGTTGCTGCTGTAGTTCTTCCTTTTTGTAGCTCCCCACAAGCTCTTCACCGTTGTCGTCGAAAACTATTGTCACGTTTTCTTGCAAGAGCTCTTCATCTTTGTCTTCCTCTTGCTTTGGTGAATTATTTTGACTATGTGCTTGCTTTTTGGTCTCTTCGTCGCTTTCCATTTCTTCGTCAACGTCTTCGTCATCATCTTCGTCATCATCTACTTCATCATCTTCTTCTTCCTCATCGACATTGCCATTTTCCTGCACTTTCTTAGCAAGGGCTTGCTGATGCATCTTGAATTTTTCACCAGGCAGTATCACCGGTGTGGCTGTCTTTTCTGCCTCTTTCAAGACATCCTTGGCACTCAAATTTTTACTGCTTTCGGGATCAAGCTTTCTTCTCTTAAGTGCCTGATGCTCTTGCTTTGATTTCCGCTTCTGTTGCCACTGATTGGAAGTTTCTGCATCGTAGTAGTATTTGGCAGGTATTAGGGACATTAATCCATCGAATGAATTCGAATGTTGCTGCAGACGTTCCTCTAGCGAGTTACCCATCTTTGCTCTTTACTTTTTGCTTCTCTTTAAATTACGCTTATTGCCAGCCTGATAACAACTGGGGCCTGTGACTCCCCTAACTCTATCATATTGAGGTCCAATTTTTTAATGTGAAAATTTATTACCTCTCATGAAAAGAAAAAAAAAATTGATTTTTTGGAAAAAAAATAATATTTAATGAAAAAAGACGTTTCTTACAGCTAGCGAGGACTGGATGGAGATTGAAGAGGACTCCGATACTTGCATTGACTAAGTTGAAAACAATCTTCTTCCTTCGTAGATTACACAATCGGCGTTTACTAGAATGAGCTATATAACCCGACACACTATTTATGCCACAAACAATTACCCTTTCTTTCTCCCAGGTTGCTAACCAGCTTACAACTCATTTCAATAATTTTCAGGAAGATCGGTTTTATAAAGACGCAGCAAACTATGACAACTACACTCATATTGTACCGAAATCTATAGCAAATTCAAAGACGATATCAAATTTGTATCCTAGATCGGTTTTGTTTGATTATGCTAATGGATCTGGGGCACTAGATCCTAAAGCAGGCTTTCAGCCAGACCCAGCGCCAAGTTTGGCCCTCTATGAGTATGAGAAAATTCAAACTGCCCCTCAAATAACACCCAATGCGTACCAGAAAGCTTTGACCATGGGCGAGACGCCAGATGTTGATGAGAAGGTTCAAGTTGATGAAGAAAGGACAGATTATTGGTCTGACTTTTCACGTTTGACTTACAATCCATCACTTTTATTGACGCATCCAGACTTCAATTATGACGTGGAGACTGGAGAAGGTATTGGTAAGAATATATTGACAAACAAGTTTCAGAGCCACCAATTGGGCATAGACTCATTCCACAGTGTTGAGAAGTTCAAAGACTGTGTAGATGACAGCATAAGAAAGCTGTTTGAGGAGGCTAACAACGTGAGTCAGGTAAACGCCGTTGTCGAATTAGACTCTGCTTGGTCTGGTGTGTGTTCTGAAACGTTACGCTACGTGATAGAGGACCAGCTGGATGGGAAGGGGTCTAAAGTGATGATCTGGTCTTTACAAAGGGATGGACAATACGTTTCTTCATGCAACAATAGCAATAAACTAGATAGAATAAGGAAATTGTTGAGTCTTGTAATGAGTGAAGCTGGAGGAATAGTTTCATTGAATTTGGATTCCGATATTCCACTACTACAAAATAAAAATAGCGTATGGGAGAAAACAGCTTTCCTTTCCTTACCTTTTGATTTTTTCAATTCGATAAAGGATAATGACATTGGTGGGATTCTGCACCAATTGACAGATGGTGGTCTACGGAGATTCATCAATGAAGTCAAACTAGATTGGAGTCCTGAGACTGTGCTAGACTTGGGCTGTAAGGATATATTTAGCCCATCAAAGGCTGACAAAAGAGATCCTCATGTGTTTTCTCGCAGTGTTGTAGCAAGTATGGATAGTGATGGATGTCGAGTGGGAAAATTTTCCAATTTTGAGCAACTTGTCGAAACGGGTACACCAAGAATATACTTGCAAACTTCTAAGAGCAGGTACTCATATGAGTTTGTTGACACTCTACCGGCTGCAATGAAAGAGGCGAAAATCGATGCCGTTTCTCTAGGAGTAACAAGTTCGCTGAAAAACAACTTCACTGATATGCATGACTTTGTCTCAAGATTTTGTCGTACCGATGAGAGGGAAGAGCTAAAAGACAACTTGGATAACTTAAGGGAGGCGTACACCTTTGGATACGAGTTAAGTGATGAGGAGGAAGATGATAATTATTAACGATAGTGATAGTTTTTATAGATACTTGTACATTATTAATTACTTACTCAAACGTTCAAATTCATCGGAGGCTACCGAAGCTTCCCATCCGGTTCGGCTCTCTGCCATCGACTTAAGAAGCCCCACCTCATTTTTACTCCCGGCTTCAGCAACCGCCTCTTTCCACATACCACAAAAAATGTAGGATCGTATTTTTTGTTTGATAGTCATCTTTTTGCAAAAGGGCAGATAGAGACCAGCTTGTCTTCGTTCTCCGAGCTTTGCCAATTCGTAAAAGAATGTTTCAAATCCGATAATTTTCCCACCTCCATTGATTGTTGCATAATCGTAAAGTTCAGTGTGCTTATCGCTTTTTGCAGCTAAAACTTTCAACACTAGTCCAGTAAGCTGCTTTGGTGGAATATTGAATTTCCGTGCCACTGTAATTGCCTGCTTCAAATCAACAATGATGATTTTCTGCAAGGTGTCGAGCAAAGGTTCGCCGGGTAAAATGCTGTGTAAATTAGCTTGCAGTTCAACCTGTAATTTCAATAGCTTTATGTCTGACTTAATGTAGGGGACAGCGGATTGTGTTTGTTTCGACCTGCCTGCAAGCGATTGAAGCTTAGTCAAATCTGTAGACTCAATAGGCTTATTGGATTTCACTGCTGACACAATATCAATTATCAATCTACCTATGATGTCGTCATCTTGGAACATGAAATTCTTCAACATCCCACCCTTTTCATCAATTTGACAAAAAACGCTTTTCAAGACTCCGATTGCGCTTGGCTTCTGGTCAATAGCCCTGAAAAATTCGGCACTTGATAAGGACCCGTACAATTCAAGTAAAATTAAAACTAGCGAGTCGACATCACCATCTTCGTCGGCCTTTGTCAATGCATATTCAATTTCGTCTCCGGTAGCACTTGAGTTGATGTCGAGTAAAAATTGGACCTTTTTACTTGTGTTTGGTTCATAACTGAGCAGGTTTCTCGCCAATTTTTGTTGACCTTCTGTATATGCGACATAGGCTATGTGAGTCCAATCAATTTTGGAAGACTTGAGTTTTTCATAGATTGAAGCTAGAAGCTTATCATTGTCAACGTCTAAACCGGAAGAATGCTTAAGTTTACAACAAGCCCAGTCTGTTAGAATTTTATAATTAGGCAAGTTCAAAAACGCTGATATTTTAAGGCATAGAAAATGCATTTTCCGTAGTAGTAACAAGTCAATGATTTTTTCAATACCGATACTATGGAGTTGGGCATGGGTCATAAACATGCCAATCTCCTGGCTCCTCACGATGTTGAGCACACGGAGATAATCACAGGTCTGGACGAACTCGGTGGGGTCGTATAAATCCAGGTTAACTTTACCAAAGGCGGCTGCCCTAAGCAAATTCTTTTGCCAATAAAGGTCGAACTCTTCACTTGCCGCTCTGATGCAGCCATCGACAGCCATAACCATGTGGTCGTCTATGATTTCTAAATGGTCGTTGGCCTTGGGAGAGTGCCGGTCGAGGTAGTCGATGGCATCTAGAAGGATTGCCGACGGGGAGGTAGAGCCTATCCGGAACGTATCCTCGGTGACCTGCAAGACACGCGAGAGAAAGCAAAGTTCTGTGTTTGTGAGGTAGTACAAGCCGTCCAGCTCTCCTTTGAGAAGCGGAGTGCCATTGGTGTAGAATTCCAAGGTGTCGGAAGAGGGTCCGACGACGGAAATGGAGTCCAGGTATGCCATGACGACGACGTCATTTGAGCACCAAGATATCTGCAGGGGAGGCTTTTCCAATTTGTGCTCGGCAAGCAGATCGTTGAAATCTCCGTCGAGGATGTACAGTGTCGAGGAGGAGGAAGAGTATAGTGCTGCGAAGGAGTTGTTTGGGGCTATATCGACGTGAGCGACGGATGTTAGGAGCGGTTTGTTGGTGAAAGAGGGCACAGGTGTGGACGGGGTGAGCACACATAGTCCTGCGGAGGTGAACACATAAAACTTGGCCTTGGCGAGGGAGTTCCGGGAGTCTTCAGGTGGCGAGGTGAGTGTCCAGGTGGTGACATGGTATGGTTCTATGGGTTCGGTGGTGGCCAATTGGGAGCACAGGACTGCTGTACGCGCGGAGGGTTTCCTGTGGTTCTGGATGTATGCGAAGTGGTTGTTGGAGGACTGGACGGCGAAGCCTGTGTTGGTGAAGAGGGCGTTGAGGACCGTGACGGAGTCTGTGTCGTCGAGCTGCAGTAGGTCTGTGAGAATGTCGAACTCGTCGAAGTCGCCCTGGTAGTTGTAGTAGACCCTGTACTTGCCTGCGGCGGTGACAACGAGGAGCTCTCCCGAGGGGGCCCAGCCGAGCCTTGCGATGGGGTTGAGAACGAAGTTCCACGGGACGGAGAAGAGGAGCTGGCCTGCGCCGGAGCAAACGAGGATTTCCGAGGCGGCCTGGGGGCGGGAGAGGGACTTCGGGTAGAGGGCGACGAGGGAGGCGAAGGGTCCGACAGCGACGTTGAAGGCTGCGAGGTCGACGTTGTGGAGGGCGGGGCCCGAGGAGGACGCCGAGGCGGGCCAGTCGAGGGAGTCGTAGCACGTTCTGGAGCGGTAGTAGACGGTGTCGAGCAGCTCCCAGTTGAGGGAGGGGTTTGAGACCGGCATGTGCGGGTGGGGGTGGGGGCGTAAGGGAGCCGGAGGGGGGTTGCTGGGGTGGCGAGAACGGGGTAGGGCGGGGGGCCGTGTTAAGCGTGCAGAAGGCTCCGCAGGAGGCTTTGGAGAAGGCCCAACGGGTTGGGGGCAAGCTCAACAGGTGGGATTCATGCTGGCGCGTGTTGCTGGAAGCGGAAGCGAGGGGGGCGGGAGGCAGCGGGGACAAGAAAAGTGCGCTGGAGGCGGCGTGGTGGCCCGTTTGCCGGGGGGCAAAAGCTCTGCGGGGCCTGCTGCGGCTGCACACGCCATGACGGACGACAGCAGCCACGACCACGACCACGGCACGGCCACGACGGACGCAAGTCCCTACGTCACGCTTGTTTCGAGCGACGGGTTCACCTACACGGTGAGCAAGGACGCGGCGAGCATCAGCGGCACGCTGCGCAACATGATCTCCGACACCTTTGAGGAGGGCACCACCAACACGATCCGGCTGCACGACATCGACGCGCCTGTTCTCGACAAGGTGGTGGAGTACCTCTACTACAACGAGAAGTACAAGGACTGCGTGGACGTGCCCGACTTCCACGTGCCGACCGAGATGGCCCTCGAGCTGCTAGTGGCTGCCGACTTTCTCCACGTCTGAGCCCGGCGAGCGCTCTATAAGCTATGTAGCCACTGTGTGTAGAGCCATGTGTAAGAAGCCATGTGTAAGAAGCCATGTGCCAATGCGGACTTCCCCAGGACGGCCCGCGCAACAACACCACGAGAGACGATGAGCCGCAACCGCAGCAGTAGACCGTCCCGTCGCCGCTGCCGGAGAACCCCGGCCCCCCGGCCGGGCTGCTGCTGGCACGTCCATCCGGCGCGACGGTCCCCACCCCCGGCGGACGCCTCGGCGGCGCCCTGTCACGCGAGCAGCCTGCTCGGCCAGCTGCGCGGGGCCCGGGGCGCGAGCCGGGCACTTATCGCCGCTGGGGCCCGCTGCGGCGCGGGGCAATTTCCGGCCTGCAGACGCGGGACAGCGTTTCCGCCGTCTTTCTCGGGGGATTCCTTGCTGCTGCAGCAGCACCAGGCCGTTTGGAACGGGTCCGGGGCAGCAGACGGTGGCGGCCGTGACGGGGGTCACAATGCTGACCACAGATGGATGGCACGCAGATCCCGTAGACGCGGGACAGGAGTACGCAGCCCCGAGCCGGACTGCCCCTGCAAGACACAGACACACACGCAGCAGGCGCAGCCCGTGCTTATCAGCACGGGCGGCTCCCATTCGCCGGCTGGATGCGGCCCCGCGCAGTGACAGGCCAGCATGGGGAACGGGGAACGAGGCGAACGGGCAGCAGCAGAGGCAACGGGAAGAAAAATTTTCAGCGGCCGGCGCAGATAAGGCACGCCGCGCCGAGCAGATGTTGGCAGGGAGAGCAGAAGGAGAGGCCCGAGATGTTGAAGGGCTGCAGCAGCGGGTGGTGCTGCTCTGATATGCCAGATTCGGATTTCGCCTTTTTCCTTCTCCCATTCTTCTCTGGAGGGCTGCTGCTGCTGCACAGGAGGAAAAGTCGCCGAAAGATAACAGCGTCTGCCTCGTATTTAAAGTTACCCGTGCGCCCCCCCAGCCGCCGTTTTAGCATCCGTCCCCAGTGCATTGTGTGTGATCTGGCCTTAGCTCCTCTACCACACATCCACAACACCTCCATCCACACCCAGCATCAGCCATGGGGTTCAAGATACCTAAGCTCTCGCTCCAGAAGGAGAAAACCAGCGACGCCGACGAGTACACGACAGCCAAGGCACCGTCCAACGCCAGCGTCGAGCTCGCAGACAACTCCAGCAACACCAACATGTCGCTCGACGGCGAAAAGGTGCGTTTCGACGCCAAGGCGTACGCCAAGAAGCTGGTGCGCAAGTGGACGACCAAGGAGGGCCTCTTCGGCGACTACGACTACGCGTACTTGTTCACGCCAACGCTTCCGTTCCTCACAAAGAAGAAGAAGCAGCCGTTCTTCGGCCTCAACGACGACATCCCCGTCCTGCTCGGCCTCATCCTCGGCTTGCAGCACGCCCTCTCCATGTTGGCCGGCCTCTGCACCCCGGCGCTCTTGATCTCCAGTTACGCCCACTTGGACACCCTCCACACCCAGTACTTGGTCTCCGTCTCCCTCATGGTGTCCGGCTTCCTCTCCTGCATCCAGATCACCCGGTTCAAGATCCCCTTCACCCCGTACTACATCGGCACGGGCTTGCTTTCCGTCGTGGGAACCTCCTTCGCCACCATCACCATCGTCACCAAGGGCTTCCCGATGATGTACAAGACCGGCTTCTGTCCAACCGCCGCCGACGGCTCCGAGCTTGCCTGTCCCGACGGTTACGGTGCCGTGATCGCCACCTCCTGCGTCTGTGGTCTCTTGGAAATCGCCCTCTCCTTCATGCCTGCCAAGATCTTGCAACGCTTCTTCCCTCCTGTCGTCACCGGCCCCGTCGTCCTCTTGATCGGAATCTCCTTGGTTGAGTCTGGTTTCCAGGACTTTGTCGGTGGTTCCGGCTGTATCGGCTCCTCCTGCGCTAAAGGTTACGCTTGGGGGTCCGCCCAGTTCATCGGTCTCGGTTTCCTCGTCTACTTCACCATCATTGTCTGTGAAAAGTGGGGGTCTCCAATCATGAAGTCCTGTGCCGTCATTGTCGGCTTGTTGGTCGGCTGTATCGTTGCTGCTGCATGCGGCTACTTCGACAGATCCGGTATCGACCAGGCTCCAGCCGCCACCTTTGTCTGGGTCCACACTTTCAGACTCAAGGTCTACGGCCCAATGGTGTTGCCCTTCCTCGCGTGTTATATCGTCTTGATGATGGAGGCCATTGGTGATATCACAGCCACCTCCGACGTGACAAGATTGGAAATTGAAGGCCCTCTCTACGACTCCAGAGTCCAGGGTGGTGTCCTCGCCGACGGTCTTAACGGTGTCCTCGCCGGTCTATGCACCCTCCCACCAATGTCCACCTTCGCCCAGAACAACGGTGTCATTGCCATCACCAAGTGTGGTTCCCGTACTGTCGGCTACTGGTGCTGTTTCTACTTGGTTGTCATGGGTATCTTCTCCAAGTTTGCCGCCGCCTTGGTGGCCATTCCAAGCTCCGTCTTGGGAGGCATGACCTCTTTCTTGTTCACATCCGTTGCAGTTTCCGGTTTGAAGATTATCTCCACCACCGCCTTCACCCGTCGTGACCGTTTCGTCTTCACATGCACCCTCCTCTTTGGTCTCGGTGCCACCTTGGTTCCAAACTGGTTTGAGTTCTTCTTCACCTACGCCGGCGACAACAACGCCCTACAGGGATTCTTAAATGCCATCATCTTGGTTATGGAGACCGGTTTCGCAGTCACAGGCTTTTTGGGTGTCATCCTCAACTTGCTTGTTCCCCAAGAGGTTGATGACGAGGACGACATCGAGGTTGTTGACGAGGAAATGCAAGTGTTCCACGAAGAACACCCTCACCCAGTCCTCGAAGCCATCCACTCTTTGAGTCCTTTTACATCCAAGCTGTCCAAGGCCGACGGCGTCGACGAGGGTGTCGTCGTCTCTGACGAAATCGTCAACGAGGGAAGCTCTGCAGAGAAAAAGCCCGAGTACAAATACTGATCTAACCTACTTTAGTTTACTCTGGTCTACTGTAGTTTCATGATGTTTTTTCGTCTTCTATTTCTACTACATTTTGTTTCCGTTTGCTTGCATTTTTCTTTCTTCCCTTTCTTACATTCTCTCTCCCCAATCCTTTCTCTAATTTACTATATATTCCAATATCTATATCTATCTGGTCCGTCATTAATTAGTTCATTACCCGAACTCGAACTCCTTCATTAAACTTATGCACCTCCTCTCCGATCCGCTATCGGCTGCCGTTGCCCGATCCGGACTATCGCACCCGGCACCCGATAAGCGGTTTCGGGCAGTGCAATGCCTCACGGGATTCGCCGAAATCTGCCCGGAGGGATCCCGAGGGGATAAGACCCGAGCTTCGGGTTTACCACCTCCAATAAGAAACGCTGCATCCCTCTGGCTCGACAAAACCTAGACTACACTGCTCCCCGCAGACTAGCCCTCTCGTAGCAGCAACCCACTCTAAGAAACATGATGCATGCATGTCGTAGTACGGAGCAGAATGTGACAACTAGCAGTTAGAGTCACACAGCTGGTTTTGTGATGGCCGATTAGCACCACCTTTGAACTCCCCGCTAGGGATTTGTCGACAAAAGACAGACCCCTGTAGGATAGGCTTTATTAGTAACATCATTTTATTTATAGTGGGTAGTAGGTAGCAAATAGAAAAGTTGATACAGAGTCCAAGATCGCTGACAAATGCCCATTAGTCATGGGAGCTAAATTATGCATAAGAAAAAGAATCGCAGACAGGGAGAGGCAACAAGGAGCGGACAACCTCTATAGGGTAGCCAGCACATAGCAATTCCCTACTTGGTCACACGTCCTGTTGGATTCTTCTTCAACCACTCCTCATGCTCTCTCTTCCGCTTCCCCCTGTTGAGATTGAACTTGTGCTTTTTCGACTTGAGATGAATTGCCCACTGCTCATCCACGTAGACCAAGGGTTTCCCCGTTTCTCTGTCGGTACATACCTCACACTCATGGTGAACCCAATTCTCCGTCTTGCCAGATGATGCTCTTTTCTGATCATCAATCAGCTTTTCTCCTTGCAAAGTTTCCGGGGTTTGCCGTTTTGCCCCACCGCAGGACTCTTCATTCACGTATCCTTTGTCAAGAAATTCTTCTGTGATCAACTTAGCCCTATTACCAACGGTTTTTTGCCACACAGAAAGATCAGTGGCATCCAAGACAAATATTTTCCCATATTTGACAAACCCAAGTTGCTCCTCCTCAGAGAGCTCGGGTGCCAATAAATTCTTGATCCATTTGACCTGCTTGCGTGCATACTTGCGTGTTTTCTTCTTCATCTGGTCACAACAACTGGCAAACTCGACATCTTTATGAATGAGGTTGTTGATCTCAGCTACCCTTCTATCCTTATCTGCAATAGTATCAATCTGCTTCAACCTCGTGACACCGTTGTTTGCAAGAACAGGTAAAAATTCTTTGAACCCAATTACTTGCCATACTCCTGTGTCCATCTTTTGAACATCTTCATTACCCCTCTCCAACTCTTGCTGGTAGAACGTATAAAGATCGGCCAATTCGGCCAACCCTCCATTTTGCATCATCTTATCAACCCTTTGATCCAATCGTACATCCAGTCCTGGCAATTTGGAATATATCCAAAAAAACAACGTATCGTATTTCAGACATGTACCCTTCTCTGCCAATGTCTCTCTCTGCTTCTGATACACAGTACTTGCTTTCTCTCCTCTAACATAGTATACCTCTAAAGCGCGTTTCACTCGTCGTATATCGTTCGGATGAAATTTAGATGCAATTATAGGGTCCACTTCTTTCAAAGTTTTGAAAACAAGAGCTGAATCGTCACTGTTGAGAACCGCCTTTTGTTCATCAGTGAATTCAGTCATCACCACATCCTTAATTTCATTGTCTTGTTGTGAACTCAAGTAAGCTTCTTCGTTTGACCCAATCGTTTTATTATCAAACAAAACGCTTTGTAAGTAGTAGTGGGTTCCACCAACCAAGATGGGAATTTTGCCTCGTTCCCAACAGTCATTCATGGCCTCTTCACATTCTTTTTTAAACCGATGAATGTAGTACTGCTCTTTCCAAGGAATATGATTCATCACGTGATGCGCTATGCCTCCTCTTTCTTCTACCGGATGCTTATTGGTAATGACGTCGAGTCCGACATACATTTGCATGGAGTCTGCGTTGATAATCTCTCCATTGAATGCTTTCGCCAATTCAATACTCAACTGTGATTTTCCAACACCCGTTGTACCGATGATGGAAATCACTTTTCGACTCGGGTCTCTCTTCATGTTCAGCATTTTCTTTATACGGTGAGTCAGGACGCGTAACCTTCTTTGGACAAGATGTATAACCATCTAACCTTCTACTGTTGTGCCCCGTAGTGTGTAAAGTCCGAGCTTACTCTAAAAAAAACGGTTGAGATTATTTATCGGTTTGGTTGTCTCAACTTTTCACTCCAAAATGGAAACGCAGCTCCATCAGAAAAAGAACAAAAAATAAAAAAATAAAAATTTAAATCATAATCTTTTTCATGGCAGTGCAAAAGATGATGTAAGTGTTTTCGTGAAATTGGCCCCTCGATAAAGGGGAAGATTCTATATACTACAACTTTACAGGAACTTCTTCTTCCACATCTCGAAGTTTTCCTCCCATACTTTGTCCGAGTACGGCTGTTCTGAAGTAGACCCATCGGGAGGAACAAACCAGTAGTTGACGGCAACATGAACGTTATTTTTGTCTTCATCTCCAAATGAAGTAACCTCATGAAACCAGCCTGCGGGAAGATACAATAAATCGCCCTCTTCCAAAGTCACCTTGACAGAAGAGTTCCTAACAGGATAAAATAGGGGAAAGTTGTCTTTTGTGTACTTTTCCAACTTCTTCCTCGTTTCTTCATCGACTTGATCTAAGTGTAGTAGTGCAGGAGGTATCCTGGAAAATGAAGGGGGGTCCACCTTTTCTTCTGTTTCAGTGCTCTGAACGGTATTACTATAGGACTCAATACATCCACCATCAGCACGTATGCTGCTCCAATTCTTCGCCTTTTCATTCCGGAAGTAGTCTATCACTCCTGTGTCATAAATATACCTGACGTCTCCTACTGTGTAAAGATCAGGAGCATAGTCAGGTGAATAGAGAGTGAACCTTTTCTTTCCCTGCGCCAAAACATATATGTTATCAGCATGATCATGATGCAAGCCAGTGCTCGTAGAATTTGGAGTCGGTAAGCCTCTATTGATTGAGGCTATGTTAGATCCTTGTTCAGATTCAATGATATCTAACAGTGTAGACTCCTCTGGTGTGCGCCCAAACCACATGTTGATCTGCTGTGGGACAAGAGATTCTGTTAATTCAAAAGGGTGTGGAGGTAACTTCTCTAGCTTCCCATTTAATAAGTTCGAGAGGGGAGGCTGATAGATCGGGTCAACTGGTTCGCCAATATCATCATCAGGGTGGTCATCATCATCAGAGACGTCATCAAAGACGTCATCAAAATCATCGTGCAAATCCACAATTTCATCATCATCACTCAAATTCCCATTTAGAGCAGGAAATGCGCCTCCAATGTCCTCACCCTCCTCATCCTCATCCTCATCCTCATCCTCTTCTTCATCGTCAGGACCCTCTGCCTCATCTCCGGGTCCATCAGTAATAGGACTCGCCGTTTCAGATAAGGGATCGGCATGGTTCTCAGAATACTGAGTCGTCAAATAAAGCGATTCGCCCTTATTTATTCGATCTAGAAACTGATCGAGCTTTAACTTCAATCGTTTCTGACCTGTTCCAAAACCGCCTTGATTCAGTTCCTCTACCTGCAAGTAGTGCAGCTGCTCCGACTCTTCTTCATTTTGTTCACCTTGTAATGTTTCCAAAATTCTACCGGGCCTAAAATTGTCAATATCTATGCGAACTTTATCCGTGTTCAAAGTTTTGATAAGTACTGGTTTCCTTGGCCGTATGTATGTTTCGAAAAACCATTCTTTTGTAACTTTCGGGTCCTTTAGCTGTATCATGTCAATGAAGTTATTGGACGACCTGGGGAGTTTGTAATTTCTATATTCATTCTTTTTTGGTCTTTTCTTATCTTGCATCATGCTTAGTTACAGCTGTCTAATGGAAGTCACTGAAAGAAATAAGTCCTCAACGATTCCTCAACGATCCACAATAAAACACTCCGTGATTTGAAAGATATGAAAAATTTCGGTGCACGGCAGCGATAGTTAGGCCAGAAAAAAAATCTTTCAGACGAAGTAATCGAATGATCGACTAATCAACTAATCGACTGATCAATCATTGCTAGTCAACCCTTCTGGGTCTTCAGATAGTTGCGTTCCTCGCACATAGATTATTAGCCTAAAAGTAAATATAAAATTACAACTGAAAAGTTATTTCCACAAGTCCAGAGTAAATCAATCGATATTCAAGAACTCGCTCACTGGCTTACCGATATGGTCCATAGCTAGCAAAAATGTGTCATGGCCGTAGAAACTGTCAGTTTCACTCAATTCTACATGTTTGATGTTACTCCCATCGCCACCTTTCAATTTGCTGCCCTTTGATAGCATGTTGGCAACTTCTCTCTGTTGCCAAGCAGGGAAGAGAATATCGCTCTCTACTCCGATCACCAAGACATCTTTGTGTGCAAATTTGGCCAAACCCCTGAGCAAATCTTCTTCTGCCTCTTCTGCGGTAAATCTTCTAGATCTTTTGGTTTTGATTGGTTCGACAAAACCACATGAGGCGTTGGACTTGTACTCTAAGTCTGTCTCGGATACCACCTCTCCGAAATAGATGTTTTCAGATTGGTATCTTGATTTTGAGGCCTTCGTTCTATTTCTCTCACCCAGATCAAACAGATCCATTCCCTTAGAGATGTAAAGAAAACTGTTTGGATCGAACTCCAGACACCATTTTTCTCCTGCATGATCGAGGTAAGTTTCAATTAAGAAGTCGGGGCAGAGAGCTGGCTTTTGCGATGGATCAGCACGTTCAACTCCAAATCTCTGTTCCCACTCAGGACCACTCCTGTAAGTAATTGTAGCGATTTCACGGGCTAGTTTCATTCCCGTGTGTGGTGGCAGTTGGCCGTAATAATGCCCTTTATTCCAGTTGGGGTCTGTCATCAATACCTGTCGCTGACAATGCCTCATTGCGATTGAGTATGGGTGGGATCTAGCGCATCCCGATATGCTAATGATCTTGTTGACTTCGTCTGTAAATTCGTGGGCGTAGGCCAAACATTGCATTCCTCCCATTGAGGAGCCCATCGATGCGTGTAACTTCCTGATGCCAAATTGGTTGACTATCAATTCATGCTGCGCACGCACCATATCGTTGACGGATAGGATCGGGAACCGGGTAGCGTAAGGTTCCCCCCGTATAGGATCAATCGATTGTGGGCCGGTGGAACCAAAACACCCTCCAAGAACATTGGTACACACAACGAAGTACTTGTCTGTGTCCAAGTACTTGCCCGGACCGATAAACCCTTCCCACCATCCTTTTTTCGGATTTTTCTCTGTCGAATGAGCGTGTGAAGATGCCGACAAACCAGTGTGTAGTAGGATTGCATTCGATTTGTCGCTGTTCAATGTACCCCATGTCTCGTACGCCACCTCGTATTGCGGAAGGTAGCCACCGTAATCGAGGAAGAGCGGTTCGTGAGACTTGTAGATTTCCACGTTCTCACGTGTAATCTTGGAGTACGCCGGTTCAGGACCGTTTTCCAAGTTTTCCTCGAGGTTCTTCGTGCGTTGTTCTAGTTTCTCGAGACACGGAAACGACATCTGCGACAACGAAGGGCTCTTTGGCTTGATATGCTCGTTGATGGCTGCCGCCCTGGAGATGTTTGTTGGTCTTGGCTTGAGTGCACTGCTCGAGCTACTGATGCATCGGACATAGCGACTGTAAATGTTTGACGCCTGCCTGCCGGATATCCTCGCAAGTGTTTTCGAGTTCAGTTTCTGCATCGTTAGCCGTTAAAAGGAATTGGCTGTAATTGCCTGCTTTGTCTACCAGCCGAGGCTTGCTCCGAAGGCTTTACCGATGTTTCTGCCGACAAGGACTAGCAGAGTGAAGGACCGGACCGGCTACAAACACTGAGAAGAAGGAAAAGGTTACAGAGTTTACTATCGGCAACAAGAATTGAACCCTCCTCTGCTCAGCCAGACCATCCTATTGTACCCTCAGGCCCTGTATCTGATCCGTTTCTCTTACAGCCTGCAAAACAGAGTACAGATGACCCCGAAATCCGGGTATTCATTATTAATAGGTGTATGGCTCCTATCCCCCGGGGGCGCTTGAAAAATTTTCTGTAAAAAGTTGCCTGATACGGAAATTGAAATTGCAAGTGAGCACGTGATATTGCGCCACTTATTTTACACGTGACTTGATGAATTGCGAATAAAAGAGAAAAGCGGCGAGGGCTCAGCAGTTTCTTAGCCGGGGGGAATGTTGTTGCCCTTCTTCACGGAGTAGTTGATGATCAACTACCATCAGGAGCCTGTTTGTTTTCTTCTGTGAAATCCTGTTAATGCATGCACAAGTAGTAGCGGAACTTGTATATGAGTACCGGTGTAGTAGAGTTGTCTGCGGCAATGACGCCGAGACATAGGGCGTACATTGCCAGGATGCAAGGACATCCGGAGCAGGCGATGTTCAGGTCAGAGGATTACAGGGAATGTACGCCGGGGGCGGCAAGAAAGACGTCAGAGGCGTTAAAGAGTGAAGTGTTTTATGTTGACCAGAATTTACACAATGCTGTTGTGTTTGCGGACATTTCTCAGGAATACAGAGAGAGCAATGGCGGGTGCATGGTGCAGGAGATGGAGAACAGCAGCGACCTGACGTTGGTCAACTCGACCTTCATATCGAGCGAACCGGCGCTGGAGGAGAGCGACTTTCAGCGAGCCACCGTGGAAGAAAGCTGTGGGCTTCACCCTGGGCTCAAGAGAATGCTTGAGCCCGTGGAAGAAGAGCAGCCGCCCGGGAAGAGATGCAGGGTCGGCAACGAGCGGCAGCTGCGGCAGCTTCATCACAGCCGCTACATCTCGTCGGACTTTATCTCCTCCGAGGGAATAGAGATCTCCACCATTGACACGCACAGCTACTCTCCGTTTGAGGTTTCTCAGCCATTTTCACAGTTCTCACAAGCCAAGTCGTCTCAGTACACTCCTTTCCCACTATACACAGCACAGGACATCAGCCATGCGGTGTTGAGCAGCTTCGACCCGATATTTGGCTCGGAGGATTGAGCAGCCTTTGGCACAGCAGTGCTTCCCCAGTTATGTTGTACATTTGCTCTATAGAATTATTATACAAGACGTTATACATAGAAGTATCATGTTTTCTTTCTAAACCTGCCGTTTTTCACTACCCCACCGAGGGTCCCGGACTCTCCGGTAAGCCAATCGGGAGTTTCGTACGGGTTAACGTATTCGTTCACCGCAAGCTCGTGCAACCCTCCAAACACATCAGAGCCGAAAAAACTCATCTTGAAGCGAAAGGGTGGCTCTCTTGCCGCTGGATCACGTTTGGGCTTCCTCTGCGTAGTGCCCTTTCTCTTCCGCTGGCTGAAAAATTGTGACAGAGTATCTTCTATTTCAAAGTTACACTCGTGGATCGGAACGATTGAAGCATAAATGTCATTAACCGCTTCTCGTGCCCCATCATCAACCTGGTCATTATTTGGTATATCATACTCCCCCTGGGTATCATGCTCGTAGTTTTCCTTATTCTTGGCATTAGATAACTCCTTTGATTTGGTTTTCCGCATGCATCCTTTGAATTTCAAGGCTGCAACTTTCTCTCTCTCTGCGTGTTCAGGATCGGATTCTGCACCAGGACTCAAATCAACAAACTGTTCTGGTTGCAAAATCTGGTGTCTCAACTCATTCCCTAACACACCCATGTCTACTAAGTCATCCGCGTACGGTATCCACGGGCCCATCGACGATCCGAACCTGGAGATTCCTTTCAACGTAAAGATAGCGTCTAGATTCCGTATCGGAGTGGGCACATCGGAGTCTGGGAAAATCTTGATTTTGGTTTTTGTCAGAATTGATGAGTTCAACCCTATATTGCCTTTCTGTGCTTCTCTTTGCACATTTGTATAAGATAATGTCGTTTCTAGGGTCTGTAGAATCAATTTAGTACCAACTGAATCTCCCACTGGTGGTGTGTGGATGACATGAGGGGACGAAATAGGGAGTAGAATATAAAATGGTTTATGAGGTGTAATTTGTGGCTTGTTTTGGATTTGAATTTGCCTCTGGACCCCATTGGTGGCTGCCTTTCCCCGCTTTGAGTCCGTTTTGTTGCTCACAATCCTTTGAAAGTCCTGTTCAAACTTAAGCTTAGCCGTTCGATCCAAAGAGCTGTTGGTCAAATCTGAGATTATGGTGCTTGATGTGGAGTCATCCGGACGACGGTAAGAGTAGTTGTACATCTGTACTCTTATCAGTATCAAAGGATAGTGCGGGTGGCGCGATATGTAAACGTGAGTGAGAAACAAGTTTGACAAATTGAGCACAAAGTTGTCCAAAAATAGTTGTGAATCCAATGAAATGGTGTAATTAGAAAGCTGATTTAACTTTTTTTCTCGCATCTTATCGCCCTCCTCCGGTATATCTGAAGTTGAACTGACAATTTTCGCCGTGGATGAAACCCATGAATTCACACTTGGCTTATCAACAAGAAGCTGGACGTCGATCTGCGCTAGTTGTAAAGTGTTCAACCCTCTTGGATAAAATTCCACCAAAATAGTGTTCACCAACTTCTTTTTCATATTTATTTTCACTTTGATGTTTTTGAGCAACTCAAGTTTCTTCAGCAGCTCTCTCGATAAAGAGTCTTTAGTGTACCCTTGTTTCTTTTGGTTTGCATCTGGTAAAGGTTTTGTTGCTGGAATAGAAAGCCAAACATGTGTCAAACTGTACAACGAATCTGGGGGAAGTTTCTGTAATTCTCTTTCAATCTGTGCTGCACTTAATGGAGGAATGTAAGAGTTCGAGAGGATACCAGAGTTGCTAAGCTTTCTTTTGCGGGGCAGCATGTCTGTTCCAGGGAGCTATTAAATGGTATTTCTGTTGCATATCGAAAACCGTTTGTAGATGTAAGAGGTAAACAAAACATGCAGTTCCAGCCACGAAAAATAGTTCTTCCGAGAACATTAAGCGTTAGATAGTCGGACGCGCTGACATAAGCCTGATAGTAACGAGAAATTTTTGAGATTTTTTTTTTGAAGAATTGATAATTTTTTTTGTCAAGAATCCTTCTGATGAAATTTTTCAATACTAAGTTTCCACCAGTTCAATCCTTAATACTGTTGACATTCTCCTTGAGGCAGACCGTTAAAAAAACTTGTACTTCATTGACAATGTCAGACACTAAAACGCCAACGAAAGACGATTCCTTGGATAGAAGAACATTGTTTGTCCGTTCAATTCCATTTGACGTGACAAATGATGAGTTATCAGACTTTTTCTCGCAGTTTGCACCTGTTAGGCATGCTGTTATAGTGAATGACGCCGAGAAGAAATCAAGAGGATTTGGTTTTGTTTCGTTCACAAACGACGACGATACATTAGTTGCTTTACAAAAAGCCAAGACTGCCAAAATCAAAGATAGATTATTAAGGGTTGATGTTGCTAAAAGAAGAGACAGGAAAAATCCTGGTGGAGAAAGCAGCAGCAAAAAGGAAGAAGTTGCTCCAGAACAGGTTGCAATGCAGAGGACAGCAAGGCTTATCGTTAGAAATTTACCTTGGAGTATAAGAAATCCGGACGAACTAGCCAAGTGCTTCAGAATGTACGGTACCGTTAAAGAATCAAAGATCCCTAAAAAGAAGGACGGAAAAATGTGTGGTTTTGGCTTTGTGACGATGGCCAGACACGCAAATGCTGAGAAGGCTGTGAAAGAAAGTTTAGGAATGAAAATCAATGGAAGAGAAGTGGCTGTTGATTTTGCTGTGAATAAGACACATTGGGACAATGTGAAGGTTGATCTGGAGAAAAAAGTAACAGAGCTTGACACTTCCGAGACTGCTGGAGAAGATAGTACATCTGATGTGGATATGGCAGAAGGAATTAAGGATGATACTGCAGCATCATCCGAGAATGCAGAATCTGAGGATGATGACAAAGAGCTCAATGACGAAGAGGATGACGAAGAGGATGACGAACGTGTCAATGAAGAAGATGCAAAGCTTCTTTCTTTGGAAGAGCCTGAAGAGAGCAAAGAGAATAGACCAAAAAGGAACAGACAGGAACGTTACTGTGTTTTTGTTCGTAATATCCCGTACGATGTTACGGAGGATGCACTTAAAGCACATTTTGAGAAGCTTGGGCCCGTCAAGTATGCTCTTCCTGTGGTCGACAAGGAAACTGGACTACCAAAGGGTACGGCTTTTGTTGCCTTTGAATCCAATGCTGCTTACGAAGAATGTTTGTTAAATGCACCAGCAGTTTCCTCGAGCTCTGTTTTGCTACCTGATGATGTTTCCCCATTTTACGTGTATGAAGGACGGATCTTGCAAATTGCTCCTGCCTTGGACAGAGATTCAGCTGCAAGAATGGAGGAAAAAAGTGCTAGTAACAGAAAAGAATTGCTTGGAAGAATACCGAAAGAAAATGACAAGAGAAACCTTTACCTTTTAAATGAAGGTAGAATTGGTCCAAACTCCAAATTAGCAGCATTATTGAGCCAAAGTGATCTGGATGTCAGAGAAAGATCATTCAACCTGCGTGTTGATCAATTGAAAAAGAACCCAGGTTTGCATCTTTCGATGACTAGATTGGCAATCAGAAATTTGCCAAGAGCAATGAATGATAAATCTTTCAAACAATTGGGTAGAAAGGCAATCGTTGAGTTCGCAACCGAAGTCAAACAAAACATGAGACAACCTTTGTCAAGAGAAGAAATCGATAGATCTACTAAACAGAAGCATTTTGTTTTGGAAAAATTGGGAATCACAGACGATGAAGAAAAGAAAAGAGTGTCGAAGCACGGTGTCGTTACTCAAGCCAAAGTCATTAACGAAGTTAAAGGATCCGGTGAACATGGAAGATCAAGAGGTTATGGTTTCTTGGAGTTTAGAGATCATAAGCATGCATTAATGGCATTAAGATGGTTGAATGCACACGAGGTTACTAAAGCTGAAATTGTGTGTGGACTAACTGAAGAACAGACAAAGAGAGCTGAGAAGGATAAAACCATAAATAGAAGAAGATTAGTCGCTGAGTTTGCAATTGAGAATGCCAATGTCGTTAAGAGAAGATATGAACAGATTATGAGAAGCAGAGCCGAGGGATCTACTGGAGGTTTCAAGAGAAAGAGAGACGACAATGACTCTGATAAAAGAAGTGACGATAGGAGCTCTAATAAAAGGTTTGATAATGGCAAAGATAATAAAAGACAAAAGGCAGGGAATTTCAAGGGCAAGCGTGGAAACATGAATAAGGGACCAAATGTTGGAGCAAGCAGGTCCTCTGTAGAATCGTCGAAGCAAGACAATGCATCAGTACCAGAAGACGTGAAAAGAATCATTGGCAAAAAGCGGAGACAAAGAAAGCAAGGTAAGAAATAAACAAAGCATTTTTTCTTAAAAGAAAATTCTGTATCTTTATATCATTCTGTTCTAATCTATTATTTAGAAATACATACAAGGTTTATTTATTCAATCTTAATGATCTCTAGGTCTTTTCTTCATCAAGGCCATGGTATTTTCAACCCATTTGTGCGCACCACCTTCCATTGCTATCATTTCATAGATGGATTTACTACCAAATTCGTTGTTTTGATAGCATATAACAGCCGAGTTTCTTGTTGATGGTATTCTTAACATCTCTCTCTCAACTTTCCAGCCGCAAAGCAATGCAAGGTATTCAACATGATCTACAAGCCCTTGATATGTGGAATTCCCTTCATGTGAGCCTCTACCATTCAAGCCCTTGATAACTGGATATCGTGTCTTGTCACCATTCAAATTGTGCGAACAGCAAGGTATCACCATGAAAGGATAACCTAGCAGTGGGATCCAGCAAGTTAATTCATCAGAGTGGTTCCCTATGATAAATGTGTTCGATGGGAATTCAGCAACATTAACTTTTGGCTCATTCAACAATTCACTACTCGTGTAGCATTCAACCAATTGAATACTCTTCCCACTGTTTTTAATACTTCCTTGATGTTGTACTTTATCGTAAATTGGAACTTTCCATGTTTGCCCATTATCTGTCAGCATTGAATTCTGAGCGTATGCCATTGGATGTGGTCGCAAAAGAACTGAAGGAATCAACACTTGCTCTTTCAAACATGCCTTGACATTATCTGGGAACGAATCCCATGATTTCCGAGCTCGAGCGTCTATTCCTTCACCTCTATAACCTTCCATTGTTAAAATGTATACTAATATACCATTGCCGCAACCTAAATCACGAAACTCAAAGGATTGTTTTGAGGAGTAAATTGAGTTCCAAAATTCTATCAGAAACGCAGCAATTGCAATATCTTCAAATACATGTTTTCTTGGGTCTGTGGACTCACTCCAGTTATCAACTAACACTTTTGCATATTTCTGCTTCAATGCTATATAACGGTCTTGGAAGAGCTGTTTAGGGACAACTTGGTCATGATTTACACGCTTAGTGTAGCCATTCATTACACCGTTTGAATGTTTTTTAGCGGTCCCCATAAGACGATACGCTATTCTAATCGGACGTTCAGAGGGAGCCATTGTTTTAAAAATATCTGGTTTTTGGGACTCAAATGGGAGATAAGAAATGGAAAGTGTAGATTTTTCAGAGTTGAATAAAATACCGATTGAGCGAGCCGGTGGTAAATAGAAAGGAATGTCTTCTGGGGTTGAAATGTGAGGGGTATACAGGACTAATGTTGAGTTTGTTTTACTGTTATTCAATATCAAACATGTCTGGTTTATAATGTAATCTTTAGAGGGATTCCTTGGAATCATTCTCCGAACTATTTCAACAGAAGGTTTGAAATTTTCATCTAAAGGAACCTGCCTTATTTCAGTGTCATCCAAATTTTTGGTTAAAACTGTCTCACAGGGTTCGGCCAATAGGGGTTCTGAATCTATCAAAGGGTTGACAAAATTTTCAACTTCGAAGTCGTCAGATTCAGAAACATAGGTGTATTTCTTTTCTCGCAAAATATCTGCACGAAGTATAACTGTAGAGTTGATATTTGGACTATTTATCAAGTTAGACATTGCAGTCATAAAATGCTGGATCTTGAAATCTACCTTGGTTTCAAATATTCCACACCATTCTTTGCCCAAGACGGATGGGTGGTCTCTAATGTTAGGTAGCTCCTCTGGCTTTAAAGTCAAGTCTGTATTTTGATGTGGCCCTTCTCTCCAGGCATCATGTTTTGTTAATTGTGACTTTACTGGTTCTTTGTCCAGCGTTTTCATTTCTTGCATTTTCTCCATCATTCGAAAAGCTGAGCTGTAGCTGCTTGGGCTTAAAAGATATTTCCGATCATGGCGACTATGACCCGAAAAGTCTCTTTTCCAAGCTACGAAGTATCCCATCTCAAATATTTTTTTTACTTTTTCTCCATGAAAATTCGCAGACCGTTGACTATTCTACATTGTTGTAGTCGAGCACGTTAATAAAGATTATCTTATATGCTGTGCTTGTATGTAAAGTACGTTAGTGATGGTACAAAGTGGGTGGCTAGATATACTTGAGTTACAAAGGCTCAACCAAAAGACTAAGATTTCCAATTCTGGCCAAACTGTGCATACATGTTTGGGTTGTAAACAGATGGCGTGCTGTAAGGTTGACTGTTGTCTGAACCTGTAGTACTTGGTTTTGAAGGAAGAGGAGGAGCATTGGACACAGCTGACGAAACAGAGTCAGTTCTATTGTTGATGCCCATAGGATTAGGGTATAATGAGTTAGAATAACTTGGTGGTGGTTGAGATTGGTAATGTTGTTGTTGTTGCTGCTGCTGTTGTTGTTGTTGCTGCTGGTAGTAATTATTGATAGTATGACCGCCAAAGCCGCCACTCAAGGTACTGCTGATACTACTCCTTGGCTCAATATTCATAGCCTCCCTTTGGCTGATGATATCGTAAATTCTGCCCACGCTGCTAGCAGTTCTGTCACTCAATCTGCAATAGAATCCGTAGGCTTCATCGGCGCCCTTGGAGCAAAGTTTCCATGTATCGTACGAGCTCAGCAAGCTTGCAAGCTTGGCTTTGATGGTTCCCCGCTCTTTCTTCTTTTCTTCCACTTTTTTCCTTACAATTTTCAAGTCTAATAGTCTGCCTAAAGAATCTTTCAACTCTACTATTCTGTCGTCTTGTGCAGAGGTGAGAGCATCCAAACGTGATGTAAAACTGTCGTACTTGGATAGCTGCTCATCAAAGACCTTGTTCAACTCACTCTCAGATGCACCACTATACTGAATAAGAATTGAAGATATGTCTTCAGAATGCATTGATGTCTTGAGATCGTTCAAAGTTGAATTTCTTTCATCCATTAATAACTCCAAGGATCTCTTCATGGTGTAGATGTTTTCAATCAAACGCTTCGCTATAGTTAAATCATATTCGTCATTCTTATCGCCTGTGTCATCTAAATCTAATAAGGAAACTTGCTTCGCTAAATTCTCGGCATTCTTGTTCTCTGATTCACTCAACCATTTCTGAACGCCAGATGTTCCTTTTTGCAAAACTCGAATTTCACTCTTGTATTTGCTCCAAAGATCGTTCAATTTTGTGTCACTGATTTCAGCTTCAGCCAGAGTGTTACGAGTCATGGTAATTTCATCTTTCAGTTTTGAAAGTTCTGGATTTGGTGGTAATCCCTTGATGACAGTATTTCGTTCGTCTTTCAATAGCCAACTCTCTGCTTCCTCTAGCTGTTTCAGAATGCCTGCCCTTTTGTTCTGGACATTGGTCATCACCTGTTCAAATTTGACATCTGGAGATGACTCAAGTTCGTGCGCCATTGCTAGAACTCTTGGATAATTGTCCTCTTTCTCCCTCTCCTCTTCTTCGATTGAAGAGTTTGATGTACGCAACAAGCTCTGTACCTCCACAACACTAGTAGGAAGCCTAGAGAATTCGAAAAAGCTTTTAATTTCTTCATTAGCTACTTCGATCTTTTCATTCCACTCACGCGTAACTTGGGCCTGCTTTTCAGAATATATAGACATCCCCTTGTGTGCTTCCATAGGAACGATCTTTTCGAATAAATCTTTGAAGTTAGATTTTTTCAATTGGGATTCGAATGGAACCGATTTTGCCCCATCCATAGACTTGATTGCTGGAACGTTATTTTTTTCAGGTTTAGCTTGATGATAAATTAAGTCATTATCTTTCTCCCATTCAGTCAGCTTGTCTTCGATTTCCTGCACGATTGTTTCGTTCATTTTTACAATACCTGGTTCAAGTTTCCCTCTATATGACCTGATCAGACGTTTACTTTCGGCATAGCTGTCTTTTGCCATCTGATTAGCTGCAATTGCATATCCAATTTTCATGGTTTCCATATAGCTCTGAGCATAATGAAACAGAGCAAAAGTATGGAAGTACAATCCTTTGATATGTATCTCCTCATCGCAATCCAATTTCGACTTACAGCTGCTGATGAGTTCCTTAGCTGAAAGATATGTCAAGCTTGTACCTTCTGCCAGTCTCGATACTAGAGAATGTTTAATATTTCCGGTAGTGGATTGCATGTAGTTCCACAAAAAGCATTCTTGAGCTTGTGCAAGCATTAATTTGGCCAAACCCTTGGATGTTTCGACCTTCAAGTCATTTGTAGGCGCATGCAAGAAGTTAATTGAAATGAAGTCTAGAATCCCTGCGGCATTGGTGAAGTTGAGTATGGCATTTTTCCAATCGAGGGATGACGAGGCGGTAGCCGCAAGGTAGGAATACACAGAGGCTAGGCTAAATAAAATTGACGCTTTTTCGAATGACAAAGAGTGTTGAACAGTGGGGTCTGCGTTGCTGTCGAAAGCATCGGTCCAACTGAATTCGAGCTCGCCACCGGTGATGACTGCACTCATTGGCAATCTCAGTTCCAAAGAATTGAGCTGTGTGATGTAATTGAGGTAGATAGGAATCAGCGATTCACCATCCGAGGTGTGGGAATGCTGGATGTCAACACGGAGCTTGTTCAAACGCTGAATTGAACTTGAGATCTCATTTGTAAAAGACTTGCCAAATGTCAGGTTGAGGAATTTGTTCAGAGAAGCTTCCCAATCGGCCTTTGAGGTCGATTTCTCCGGAAGGTGGATGAAGGTGGTCATGGCTAGCTGTTATTTTGCTCTGTCCGTTTTCTAGAAGCCGCCAGAGAAGAGTAACCCAGTTGTGGAGGATACCGCTCTCCTTATCGTGCAAGCGTATCTCGACCTCCCCTTCAAGGAAGGCTTTGCAGCTCGAACAATCAAGGTTACACAATCAATCGGGCTGCCGCGGGCGATCGACCAAAAATTTAAACTGACAAGATGAGTAGTATATTTAATATGCAACGTATATATAAATGCAGGAAATAAGTAGGAAAAAGAAGAGATGATGTAGCAAAAAGACTTTGATAAAATAAACGTGAGCACAGGAGTGGTTGATGGGAGGAAAAAGAAAACAACAAAATACAAGGTAGAAAAAGGCAAAGACTAAAAGAAAAAAGAAAATGGGACAAAATATAACAAGTTCTGGTGAATGATTGTGTTGACTGTGAAATATAGCTGGAAATGTCAGGAATATACTTTTCTAATCTTATTTATTCATTTCAAGATTCATGCGTCATGATTAGGTTACTAAATAATGTAGTGTTTTTTTTAGTGTTCGGGAGATGGGAGTTGTAAAGGAAAAAGAACTTCAGACGAGGGCGGCGATCAAAAGTAACAAACTTCCGGTAAAGCTGTAAACTGCATTGAGCATCGAGTTATTTCCATTGGCGGCGTTCTTCGAGTTACCGGAGGAGATGGAACTAACTGTGGAGGAGGATGTTGATGTGACGGCGGCTCCTGTTGTCATGTTGCTGTCTCTCTTGGTAGTTGCAGTTGTGGTTGACTTCTTCGATTGGAATTGGTAGGAAGATTGCGACGCAGGGATAGAAGACATTTGGACGCCACTTTGGACAAACAGGGAGGTGCTTTGGGCGCCCCAGGTTAGGGAGCTGGCCGGGGTCATGGCACTAGGAATTCCTGTTGACAAGACCTCGATGTCTTCGCTGTCGCTGTTGTCGTGGTTTGCAGTGGCAAGGCCAATCTCCATGTTGTCTAAATCTGCAACCATGTAGACGTTTCTCAAAAACGAGTCACCCAAGGTGAAGGAGGAGGCGCCCGAAGACTGTAAACCAACCATGCAGTAGTCGGAGGAGGAGCCCCGCGAGGTGACCAAGCTGACGAGGAAGGAAGACATTTCGATATTGATTTCCTGGCCCTGGAAGTTAAAGACCAAATAAAGGTTGTCAGCATCGGCACACTTGATGACGTACTGGCCGACCGATGAGGAGTACTGTGCGTTGAGAAGGCCAATGACGGCAGAGAGAACGTTCTGCGGAACGTAGGTGAGGGTGGTTCCTGTGTCCAGAAGAGCGGAGGCTGCACCCGTGCCGATGACAGCTTGCTGCGAGGAAGACCTGTCGACTAGGATGAGCGAGTTCAAGGTGATGTCGAGCTGAAGGGCGTCATTGTAGCCCTTTGACTTCATTGTGTTAATGATCGGGAGGGCGATCATATCGCCCGTGTAGCGGTTGTGGTCGACGGCACCGAACAAGATGTTGGCGGAGTCAGCGGACGAGTCGTTCAAGTAGACGGAGTATGCGACCTGCTTGATGAGGCCTTGGGACTTGAGTCTGAGCGGCAAGTTTTCGTACTGGTAGGGATCCGAGGAGGAGCTAGAGGCGGAGACAGAACCGGAGAAGGTTGTTTCTAAGCCGCTCAAGCCGATCCCGAGGATGCCCATGGCGTTGTCGGCGTTGTCGCAGACGGCTAGCGAGAGGTCCGTCACATTGGCACCGTTGATCACCACGTCGTCGTAGCCCCACACGCCCTTGGCAAAGGTGCTGTCGGCGTATGTGATGGAGAAGGCCGTGCCGTTGGAGTGGAACGTCTCTGAGTCGGCCGGGTCAAACGTGCCGTACGTGGAGCAGTTGATGGCTGTGCCCGAGGAGGACGCCTTCTGCTGGGTCTGTACCTCGGAGGCCTTGAAGTTGCCGTTGCCGTCGCCGTCGCCGTCGCCGTCGGCAAGCGGCGTGACGTTGTTGAAGTCGTAGATGTCATCGGCAGACCGGGCCTTGCTACCCAACGGTCCGCCCGTATTCGACTGGCAATATGAGTTGTTCGTGGCAACGACCCACAAGTCTGACGAGCCCGTGTCCACCAAGACCCCGATCTTCTGGGCCGGGTTCCCGACCTCGATCTCCGTGAGGTAGAAGGTGTTTTCGTTCTGCAACTCGATGGAAACGTACCCGCTGTCGCCGTCGTCTCTCTTCTCGAGGAAGAACGGCTCTGCGCCGACCTCGGCGTTTCCAAACGTCGACCCTCGAAGCTTTTGTGCCGTCATTCTGAGGTACTGCGGGCTGCTGTCGCCAGCCGCCTCGTTCGGGCTGTCGCCCACGGGGTACGCCACGGCGGACGCCGCCAGGAGCATCGCAGCGGAGAGTGCAAGCATCGTGTGTGTGTGAGTGGTAGAATCTATCTGAGGATCGATTGACTAACTATGTAAGTTCAGGCCGAAAATGAACCGTTGCTGTGCTTATAGTGCTTATAGTGCTTCTAGTACTTCTACTACTTCTAGTGCTTATAGTGTCGGATCAAAATAGACTGGACACCGGGTAAACAAATGGGAGGGGTTCAACGATATCTAACGCAACGAAGCCAAACTGTCTTATACCTACAAGCTATTACAACCAGCAACAGAGCTGAAAACCAGCCGTTGCCCAACTGCGCCGTCCAGCCCAGGAGAAGGAGGCGTCATGGAAAGCAGCAGGAGGCGCCAAGGACGGGCACCAGCTCCTGCGACAGAACACGCCTCGTCTCGGCCCAACCACGGACAGAAAACGGTCCCACAGCACTGCCCGTCACCGCAAACGGAAATCGGCGCGACGGCGCAGCGTGTTGTGTTTGGGCGGCACGGCTGCGCCGAGGAAACACACCCACACCCCTCGGGGCCTCTTGTTACACCTCCCGGAAGACGTCCTTGGTGGCCCGGAGCAGCTCTGCAATAAGCGTAACGCTCTCAGCACGGAAGTCGCCGGCGCCCGTCCGCAGGGCGTCGATGTCGTCGCCGTACTGCGAGAGCATCAGCTGGAGCCAGGCGTCGGAGCTGACGGTGCCGGCGGCGCCGTCAGCGTCGCCAGCGGAGTCGCCGTCGGCAACAAGCAGGTCCTGCATCTGGCGCAGCTTCAACCTCGTCTGCACCAGGTCGGCAGCAGTCTTCTCGTCAGCGGGCGCCGGGGCCCTGGTCCGGACACGCAAATGGTCGATCTCCGCCCCGGCGTCCTGTTCTGCGTGCAGCCCCGCGGAGACGTGCTGCTGGTCGGCGGCAGAGTCGTGTCCCGCGTCGTCGCCGTCTTGGGCGTCGTCGTCACTGCTGCTGCTGTCTGCGGCGTCACTGCTGTCCTCCTCGCTCGAGGAGATCTCCGTTCTCCGCTTCTTTCTCGCTCTTCTGTTCTTCGAGCTCGTCGCCACGGCCTGCGTCTTCTTGTCTGTCATGCCAGCAGCCATCTTGTGTGTGCGGGTCGGGGTACGGGCGTATGCGTGGTGGGTCTAGCGTCTCGGTCTAGACATAGAACCAGCTAGATGGAAAAAAAAATTCGTCTTCAGCTACATGAAAATTTCACAAGACCCCCGTTCCGGAAGAGAAGGCGAGGAAAGCGGCGCTTACGTAACGCCAGGGCTATACTGATATCTACTGCACATTCCGCTGTCCGGGCACTATATGGCAATGAACTTGACCTCACAGGCACCTCTCCACGAGCCCCGGCGAGGACAGTACGGACACTTTATCTCGTCGCTCAACCCCTTGGCAAGCTTCGACAACGCCTGCTTGCTGATGAAGTGCCGGCAGGGTAGCACGTGCGGCCGGTTGCTGCTCGTCGTCTCCTCCTTCAGGATCGGACAGATGAAGATTGTGTGGTAGCCCATCCACGCAGGCAACTCGATCTCCATCGGTAGCTCGCCGACGTTGTTGTCGGAGGGGTCCACGTCGCACGCCGACGAGAACGCCGCGTCTGCGGCGACTGCTGCTGCTGTGGCGGGTGCGCTGCCGTCGTCCATGGGCCCGCCCTCGTCGGTGTTGTAGTGGGTGTGCATCTCCCGGATCCTGCTGATCAACGGATGCATGTCGGTGGCGGTGGCGGTGGAGCGTCGCCTCGAGAAGTGGTCGAGCACCGTCGACCCGGGGGCGGACCCAGACCCAGACAGCGGTCCAGAGGCGGCACCGGAGCCCAGTGCGGAGCCCGAGCCGGCTGTCCCGAGGCTCGACGAGCTCTTCCGCCGGGACAAGGTGTTGTACTTCACCAGCACGCCCAAGGCAAAGTGCCCCGCCAAAAGACATCGGTGCAGCGGCGACTCCTGCTGGAGGTGGTTGACCTCGCACGAGAGCCGGTTGTACACGCGGATCAGCTCCGCCACAGCGGCGTCCTTCGCCTGCTCCTTCTCGCTGTCAAACTCCCCGAGCGTCGGCAAGTCCCAGCAGTACAGGCCCTGCGCCTCCGCGTACTTCTGCTGGTTGTCGTAGTCAAGGATCCGGAGCATGATCCGGCTGTCCTCCTGCTCCCGCACGTCGAGAAGCACGTTCCCGTGCGCCGGCACGGGCACCGTCCGGTCCGCAATAATTACCCGTGCCTGGTGGTAGATCAACCGCAGCAGCTGCGACTTCAACTCGCTTACCTTCGCTATCTCCCTCTCGTTCGCCAGCACCCACTCGAGCACCAAGGAGTAGTCCTCGTCGTACAACGCCTTCATCATCGCCCGCAGGCTCCGAAAATGCGCCACCAGCTTCTCAAAGTCTGCGTCCCGCTTCAGCCTTGGTCCAAGCACCGTCTCCGACTCCTCAAACCGCCCCTGGTAGAGAAGATCCATCACAATCGCCCGTATCATGAGGTCGAACTCGTCGTTGATATTCTGGTACTGGTACATGAGGTCGAGCTCCCACTCAATGCCCTTATCGACCTTTGCCGACAGTAGCTTGATCGACCGGTTCAACGACTTCTCGTGCCGCAATAGCTCGCCCTGGTATCGTCCAACCTCTTTCTCCAGCGCATCGCTTAACGGCAGCATGTCGTCGTCTGTCCCGGCAGCCAACGCAGTCCTGTAAGCCTCTAAAGAGTCCACAAACGCATCCGTGCAAGCGGAGATGCTTGCCACCGACTCGTTGCTCTCCAGATCTCGCACGCCCTGCGAAATCGACACGTAGTTTCTTGTCCCCGCTTTCGCCATTGCCTTTGGTTTGTCTTTCTTGTCCTTCTTGTCCCAATGTTAGGGCCGCCATCTTCTCCATGTCTCCGCCCTCTGTCTAGCTGTCGTCTCCTATCAGCCTGCCAGGCTTTCTCGCTCCCGGCTGTCGCAAGCGCAGCGCCCGCCCATTTCTGCCAAGCCGCCGCCGACGCGTCGCTGCTCGGAGTTGAGAGTTGCAAGTTGCCGTTTCCGGTGGGCTAAGGCGATGTCCGATTCATGTCGACTGTTTCAGGTGTCATCGGACTGGGACAGAAGTGTAACGGGTAGCAGGGGTGCAGCTGGATCTGATCTGGAGGTGCTTATACCTCTAAGAGTGTCCCTTGAAAGAGGGACAGGAAAGAATACAAACAGCAATAAGCATAGGGGGTAAGAAGAGGGATAGAAACCGGAACTGCAATAGTGCCTTCATCAACATCTATGCAACTGATCTCCGTCTCTACTGTACTCCCACTTTTACTCTTCGGGGTTTGTCGAACAGATACTGCAGCAGTGCACGGCAAACTGCTCCCTCGGCACGACACCGTCGAAGACGGGTATCTCGAGCTCGACTTGCACTACACGGATGGCAAGTTCCTTGCAACCCTGCAACTTGGCTCGAACGACGACGTGCTGCATGTTCTGGTAGACACCGTATCGTCCGACTTGTGGGTGCCTGGCTCGGAAAACAGCAACTGTGCACACGGAACAAACGCTACTCTCAAAAACAACGCTTTCTCGGTGGGTCCGAGTCAGGGCGGGCCGGTGCCGTTCAACTGCTCCGTCTTCGGAACGTTCGACTACAGGACCTCTACAAGCTATGCCGCCAACGGGAGCGACTTCGAGATCGTTTACGGCGGCGGTGCCATGGCTATGGGAGAGTGGGGCCATGACAGTGTCTCTGTGGGAGGTTCCTCTCTCGGGGAAATCAACTTTGCAGTGGCAGCCAACTCGTCGAAACCGTTTGGCGTCCTCGGGATCGGGTTCCCCGGGCTGGAGTCAACCCAAGTTGTCTATGGGAACAGCAAGGGGAACGGGAGCGCAGCGCCGCACACATACGAGAACTTCCCCCAGAGGCTGAAGACAAACAGAATCATCGCCAGAGAGTGTTTCTCCCTGCTTCTCGACCAAGACGCCACGGGCCAGCTCCTCTTTGGCGCCATCGACCACAGCAAGTACCGCGGCTCGCTGTACCGGTTCCCCATGGTGAACGCCTATCTGACGGCAGACAGCGCAGATGCCGACACGATCTCCGCAACGCTGAACAGCTTTGCCGTTGTCAAAGACGAGACATCCACCACTCTCGTCGACGGCTTCCTGCCCGCCGTGTTTGACTCCGGAACCGCCTTCGCCACGCTACCATACACCCTGATCGAGCTCCTCAGGACGCAGCTCGACCTCACCACAGACACCGCCACGGGCATCACCCACACCAACTGCTCCCAGCTGGCCTCGACGATGTTCCGCTTCGACTTCCAGGGCGTGCCCTTCGACGTTCCGGCACTAAACTTCTTCCTCCGCCTAGAAGGAGGCACTCTCTGCGGCCTTGCCGCCGCCGCCTCGTACGTGCAGGGCTACGTTGTCCTCGGTCAGGCGTTCCTCGACAGCATCTATCTGAGCGCCGACCTCCAGGACCGGACCGTGGCGCTTGCCTACGCCAACCTCCCCGCCGCCCGCCAGACAGACGCCGACATCGAGCTCCTCCCGGCCGGGCTTGCCCACGCCGTCGATCCGCCGTCGACCCAGACCTACGACATCTCCCACATGCTCTACTCCGCCATCCCGCTCTCCACCGTGACGCTGGCTTCCAGCATCAACTACGCCGCCGTGTATACGAAGAGTCTCAACGTCGCCGAAACATCGGCTTCGGCCTCTTACTCCTCCTCCGCAACCTCGAGCTCCGCCAACGCCCCCCGCAGAACGCCTTCTGCTGCCGCCAGCACCAACGCCGCCCATAGTTTGTTTCCAAACTTGTTCTTCAGCCTGTTTCTGCTGGTTCTTTGTGTATCTTTCTTCTCTGTATAATCTTTGTAACATGGCCGTGCCCGGCCGTAACCGTTCTCCGACAAAACCGGCAAGACTGCCCAATGCGGCAAAGAGGAAGCGTGGGACTGCTATTAGCGAACCGGAAGGGGAAACAGGCCCTCCTGGGCCTCGGTGTTGACAGACAGGGGCGCTCCTCGAGGGAGGATGGGAGATGAGCCTGCTGACACGGGGGTCGTCAACGACAGCAGGAGAAGGCTTTTTGAAGGCTAGGAAGCATTGTTGCTGGTTGTAGGAGCGTCACCAGGTAGTTTAGAAGCCCCCACTGGACCAGCAGCAGTCAGAAAGCTTGAAGTACACTTTGGAGACGCAAAGGAGAAGTTGAAACTGGACGCAGCCGACACCCTAAATATAGAAATAGCTTGAGAAATAGAAGAGAACATGCTAGGTTTGTACGTGCTGCTGACACTGTTCGTCTCGGTCGGGTGGGCGCTACCGCTTGCGGAGAAAGACACCGCCGAGAAGGTGAAGTATTGGGCCTTGCCGGCGAAAAGGGTCGTCAGAGACACGGAAGTGAAACGGTTTGTGAAGAGAGACGAGAATGGAGACTATCTCGACCTGGCGTTGACGTACGAAAGTACGTTCTACATTGCGGAAGTATTGATGGGGTCGAACTCGCAGAAGTTGGACGTGTTGCTCGACACAGGGTCGTCGGATTTCTGGGTCGTGGCGTCGAAGAACAGCTACTGCGAGGCCGGTACCGCTGGCTCTTTGCAGAAGGGTAGGAAGATCTCTTCCATCTTCGGTCCGGTCGACAACACCACGGACACGGGAATGAACAAGGGCGCAGTGTCGAAAAGCGCCTCGGACGCCATCGACTGCTCGCAGTACGGCACGTTTGACCAGTCGGCCTCGACCAGCTTCCACTCAAATGGCACCTCGTTTGCCATCGCGTATGACGACCAGACCTTTGCAAAGGGGACGTGGGGCCAAGACACGATTCGCTTGGGCTCTGTGAGGATCGACCACATGAACGTCGCCGTCTGCGACAATACAGACAACGCGCAGGGCGTCCTCGGCATCGGCTTGCCCGGCTTGGAAGTCACGTCTTCCAACACGGATACCAACAAGTACGAGTACGAAAACTTGCCCATCAAGCTCGTCCGTGACGGGATCATCAGCAAGGCAGCGTACTCGGTCTACCTAGACGCCTCCTCGAACTCAGAGATTTTATTTGGCGCAGTCGACTCCTCCAAGTACGAAGGTGAGCTTGTCGCCTTGCCCATTGTCAATGCATTGGCCTCCCAGGGAATTACCTCCAAAATCCAGCTCACCGTCACAGTCAACTCCCTGGCTGTGCTTAGTGCGGGGGGGAACAAGGCTGCAGCCATCGGCGCCGGTGCAATTCCAGCTCTTCTCGACACAGGGACAACCTTGACCTACGCCCCTCAGAACATCATCGATTCCTTTGTTTCTTTGCTTGGCCTCGAATATTCTGACTCGATCGGCTACTATGTCGGCCCTTGTACTCTGGGCGACACTAATTCTGTGAGGTTTGATTTTCAGGGCTTGCAGCTCGACATCCCGCTCTCCAACTTCTTCATCTCCCTGACCACTGCATCTCTTCAGCCTTCCACCCAATGTGCCTTCGGTATCCTCTCTTCAAACGACGAGACATACCTCACCTTGGGCCAGTCTTTTCTTCAGAGCGTATACATGGTTGCAGATTTGGAAGACATGAAGATCGCTTTGGCAATGAGCTCCTCTAAGAAAAGTCCTCAGGATATCTCTCCAATTGACAGCGTGATTCCTCAAGCAAAGAACCCTCAGCACACAAGCACTTATGGCCCTGGCTTCAATGCATTTGAGGTGACGGCTTTGCCTTCCGCACGTGCTGTCGACCTTTCTTCCGTTGAATTCCTTCATTTGCCATCTTCACATCTGCCTTTTGTCGCATCGTCTGTATTGAAGAGCACATTCTCGGCATCAACTTCCACATTTGCATCTTCATCGGCTACAGTGTCATCATCATCCTCTCACTTTTCTTCGTCAAATGCTGTTTCCTCATCCGCTGCCTCACCCGCTGCTTCTTCCACTGCTGCTTCCACTGGCAGCTCGGCAAGCTCATTGTTCTCAGTAAGCAAAGGGCCAAGCCAGTCCATACAGTCCACTGCAAGATCTGCCTCATCGGTATCATCTTCAAAGGTTTCACCATCCGCTTCCAAAAAGACTCTTTCTAGGGCCTCTGCCTCTACATCTCCCCTTGTTTCTTCTTCCTCAGCTACCTTTGCATCCAGAAAACCATTAAGCTCGCTGAGGTCATCATCGATCTCTGCTGCTGCTGCTTCACCTGTATCTTCTATTTCCCAAGACAAAAAGAATGCAGGTACAAGATTGTCAGCAGGTGCCAGTGGAATCGCACTGATGTTTATTGCATTATTATAGGTTGGCTTGATCTTTGTCAAAACCTTTAATGAAAATGGGAACATTTTTGTCAAGTTTAGCTCCTCATGTACTCTGATTTCTTTCGTTTATTGCCCAAAAATTGGTTATTCCTTTGGATATGGAATAACCTAATGATATCCCCATTCCATAGTAACTTTGTTTCCAGTATACCCACATCTAGAATGTGCATTTTTGTTATTATCTAAAACTATTATATATTGTATACAATCTGGTAACGTTTAGTTTATTTTCTTATCAAATTTTTGAAAATATTTCTGTTTCTCCTTTATTTTTCAAAAAGTTCAGGGAAGTATGCACGAACCTTGTACGATTTCCCAATTTTTGTCAAAGTATCGAACTCCTCATCGGTGAGCTCGAAATCAAACATCTGGAATGCCTGTTTCATTCTCTCAGCATTAGATGAGGTCGTGATCGGTATCACTCCCGATTGGTAAATCCATCTGAGAGATATCACGCTTGGCTCAACATTATACTTCTCACACAACTTCTTAAACTCCGGCTTTAACGGATGGTTGGCGTCATTGATTCTTGACTCAAGAGCCGGAGTCAAAGGACAGTACGCCTCAATCTGTATGTTGTTCTCCCGACAATAATCGGAAATCCCATCCGTTTGGTTTTGTAGATAGAGATGATATTCGATTTGATTCACTTGAGGCTTATGCGTGGCAACTTTCATGAGTTTGTCTAGATTTTCAACATCAAAGTTAGATACACCAATATTTTTTACCAATCCTTCCTCATAACATTGTTCCAGTTGTTTCCAAGCTTCCGCCAGCGTAACGTTGACCAAATTTTCATCGAAAAATGGCGAATGAATCAGAAATAGATCGTAGTATTCCACCCCCAGTGCCTTCAAACCTTTCAGGATACTTTCCCTAGGACCTGAAGGGGAAGTACTTGCACGCTTGAAGTTTGCCCATCCCTGGTCATACTTATCAGTTATCCATAGGTGTTTCCTGGCGACACCGGATTCTTTGATAGCAAGACCCATTTCGGCTCTTGTTGTGTATGTCTCTGCACCATCGAGATGGTTAAACCCCGCATTTATCGCATCTGCAATGACGGTAACAATTCCAGGATCTATCGAATCGTCATTCATCTCTGGGTTTCCCCATTTCTTGAGTCTGTGCTTCGAGCCGGATCCAAAACCGACGGCAGGGACCTGATCACCAGTACCTGGGAGCGTAAATGTTGGGATTGTAAGAGCAGGCATCGGTATGTGTTTATTTGTTTTTGGTTGTAAGCTAATGCAAAAACTTTTTTCTTTAAGGCCATTCGGTTGGAGTTGTCAGGCTGCAACTCAAGAGGAGTTGGTGAGCATTTTATAAAGACTGATGAAAGAGCCAAAACTAGGGGTGAATGAATACTCCGAATGGCGCGGAGATGTATCGCCGCTGGTGAGAAAACGGTTCCCGATTTGCTTTTTTTTTTGTAACGTTCTTTCAACCGCAATCAGTCAGAGATAAGGCACTGCGGAGGTTGCTTGCTGCCCCGAGGAGATCAGTGTCGGGTGAAATTATGAAGGATCTCGGCTCTGGGGAAAAACGCCGGGTGACACGGGGTTGTGAGGGACCGAGCCTGCGGATAGCGCCGGGAAATGTTGTAAAAAACTCTAATACTAATCAAAGAATATTACTGCTTGCTCTAGGGTCTATAGTTATTAGGGAATGTGGAGAGTTACGTTAGTCAAAGTACTGATTGAAATGCGTACGGACCGTGTAGGTTTGGCCGATGCTTTTCAGAGTGTTGAAATCTTTTTCGGATAGCTCGAAGTCGAAGATCTGGAAGGTCTGTTTCATCCTCTCGAAATTAGACGAGGTTGTAATAGGTATCACGCCCGATTGGTAGACCCATCTCAGGGCAAGGATGTTAGGACTGACATTGTACTTGTCGGCCATCTCCCGGATGACAGGCTTCAAGGGGTGGTTTTCGTCGTTGATCCGGGCGTCCAAGATCGGGGTGAGCGGGCAGTACGCTTCCAGCTGGATCTCGTGCTTCCGGCAGTAGTCGGCGATTCCCTCGGTCTGGTTCTGCAGGTAGAGGTTGTACTCGATCTGGTTTACCTGGGGCTTGTACTTCGCAGCGTCGACGATCTGCTGGAGATGCTGGACGTCAAAGTTCGAAACGCCAATATTCTTCACCAGGCCCTCCTCGTAGCACTGCTCGAGCTGCTGCCACGCCTCCACGATTGAAAGACCTACAAGGTCTTCCCGGAAGAACTGGGCGTGGATGAGAAACAGATCGTAGTACTCCATCTGAAAGGTCTCGAGACCCTTCAGAACGCTCTCCCGGGGGCCGGAGGGAGAAGGACTCTTGCGGTCGTAGTGGGGCCACCCCTGGTCGAACTTGTCTGTGATCCAGAGCTGCTCTCTTGGTACCCCAGAGTTGCGGACCGCCAACGCCAGCTCGCCCCTCGTGGTGTATGTCTCTGCCCCGTCCAGGTGGGTGAAGCCCGCCTTGATAGCGTTCGACAGCACGTCGACGATGTCTGCATCGAGCGGAGCCTCTCCGGTCTTCTCTGCGTTCTCCCACTTCTTGATTCTGTGCTTGGAGCCCGATCCAAAGCCCAGCGCAGGGATGGCGGCCCCCGTACGGGCCAGTGTGAACGTCGGGATTTTTGCCAACGTCATGGTTTCTACCTTCGATGTCTAGATCAGTGTTATTTTTCAACTGCTACAAGACCTCTCTTTAGTCTCTCTACCGCACCGTCTACGCTACGGGGAAACCGCAGTATAGCTAGAGTCGTTCCTTTTCTCCAGCGTTTCTCTTTCTGCCCCCGTTGGCCCACACCGCCCCAGCCAACGACGCTGACTCTGACGCTGACTGTGCCAGTGACGGTATCTCCTCGGCCTCGGGAGCGTGGCCGGGGGACGGGGCTCTCCACAATATTACGTAAGCAATGGTGAAGCGGGACGGCTGCTGAGAGCGGGACAGGGAGAGGAGGAGACGGGGAGGAGACAGGGAATCGCCACATGGACCGGGTATAAGAGGGACATGGGGGCCGCCCGTAACGTGTTGGAAGGTCCCGGAGTCGGCCTCGGTCCGTGAAGTTGAAAACTTACCGCAGCACCGCAGCACAGCATCACAACAGCAAAACACACACGTCGGAAATGGGTAAATGTCTCACCATAGTCAAACTAGTCGGTATCGGCTCACTAGGGATCTCCAGTGGTGCCTTCTTGGTATCATCATTGAGCTACGTTCCTAAGGCAGCCAACAGCTTGCAGCTCGGAGAGCTCAAGGTCAAGGTGTCAAAGTTGATCACGGGGCTCCGTTTAGGCTTCTGGGGGCTCGGTTCGTTGGCCTCATACCTGTTGTACGAGGCGTACGCCCGCTCCCCAGTCTACGGCAAGCATCCCTACTTGATCTACGCAGCGCTCTCGTTCCCGGTTGCGTTGGCGTACAACTACTACTACGCGTTCTCGGACGAGCAGAAGTTGGTGAAGGACTCCGAGGAGAAAATCATCTACAGAACGGAGAAGAAGAAGGTGGAGAAGGTTGTTTCGCCAGAGGAGGACAAGTCGCCATTGGACAACTCCGTCTACAACGATCTGGGAAACCGCGATCCTAAGGTCGAGGAAACCGAGGTTGATGTGGAGGTGCCTACCGTGTCCCAGGTCGAGCTCTCCGAGCCCACGTTCAAGGAGCTCTTGTCCACCGTGAGCGAGAGCCACTTGTACACGGGGGCCATCCTCGGTGTCGGCTTCTTGCTTGGCTCCATCGGATACATTGGCGACAACCTCAAATAGCTTCAGTTCTAGTCCCCAATTTGTCTTCTATTTCGAATCGTCATTTTTGTTTATACGACCCTGTGGTTTTTTCTGCGTCTTATATATCCGTTTATACACGCCGCCGATAGACCTAGGAATGCTTAATATTATATTATATTTTATGGATTAGTGGAAAGATGGGTTATGTGCTCGGGCTAAACAGAGGGGTAATGGGATTAAAAAGAGAGATTAAATAGTATGTGAAATGAAAAGGAAAGAGATAATAATAAATCAGAAAGTTTTTTTTCTTCTCTTTTCAGAGGAAGAGGTTGTAGTTAAAAGAGGGAGGGAGTAGAAGGGGAGAATGTATAGCGTTTAGTATATGATTTTCTTTTTACAGTCTTCAGGGGTTTTAGCCAAAACTTCTTCAATGGACCATCTAGGTCTGATACCCTTCTTCCAGTCTCCTGGATTCTTCTCACCGCCGGCAATACCCGAGCTGAACTTCAAGTTGAGCGTGTCTCCGATGTCTGCAGAGATTGCCAAGATCTTGTCAATGTCTTCCTTCGTCAAGGCCGCAGACATACAGAACCGGATTCTCGAAGAGATGATGTCCGTGGCAGGGTACCCGACAATGACCACGGCAACACCGTGCTGTAACATCTTTCTGCAGAAGCCCGGCATCTTACATGGGTTGTAAAGCAACAAGGGGATGACTGGGGAGTCGTCGGCACCGTAGATGATGAAGCCCAATCTCTTCAATCCCAATCTGAGGTACCTGGAGTTGAAGGCAATTCTCTGAAGTCTCTCCTTACCTTCGTTCCCGTTCAATTCACCGGCGATGATTCTCATCGACGTGGCGATCTGCTGCAACACTGCTGGAGGCATGCTTTCACCATACGTGTTGGAAGTGATGTCGAGTCTGAGTCTCTCGATCACCTTTCTGTCACCAGAGACATACCCACCAGCGGCACCAAACGACTTTGTGAGCGTACCCATCAAGATATCGACTCTGTTCGGATCGATGTTGTAGTACTCACAGATACCACGACCGTTGGCACCCAAAGCACCAATGGAGTGAGCCTCGTCGACAAACAAGTAGTACTTGTATTTTTCTCTCAAAGCGACCAAGGCTGGCAAGTTACAGTAGGTACCTTCCATGGAGTACAAGCCTTCGACACAGACAAAGATCTTCTTGTAAGGTCTGTGACTCTTGGCTTGGCCCTGGGAAATGGCTTCTCTCAAGATCTTCTCCAACGCGTCCATGTCGTTGTGTGGGAAGACCTTGACGGCAGCGCCGGAGAGTCTGATACCGAATCTGATGGAAGAGTGGTTCAAGGAATCCGAGATGACCAAGCACTTCGAGTTTACCATGGAGGTGAACAAGTGGGCGTTGGTCCCCCAGCCCATGCTGAACACACAGGAGTCCTCCTTGCCCAAGAACCTGGACAAGATCTTCTCCGTGTAGACGTGCAAGTCGGTGTTGCCAATGACGTTCCTAGGTCCGCACGAGGAGAGGCCGTACTTTTGGACGGAGCTGACGGCGTCGTCGGTGCAGATCCCGACACTCTGGGCAAAGCCCAAGTAGTTGTAGGAGGACAAGTTCAAGGAGGGTCTGGACGTGCCGTCGTAGTAGAAGGTCTCGTTGTAGTCCGGCGTGGCTCTGTTGTAGCAGTTGATGTATCTGCCGGGGACGCCGTGGATCGGAATGGCGAAGCAGTCGTCCAAGCGCCTCTTCAACCGTCTTGGGTAGAAGGACTCGAACGCGGAGTACCACGGCGGGTAGCCGTTTTTGGTCACCATTGCCGAGTAGTGCTGCGGCATGAAGGTCATGCCAAAGAAGTCCTTGATGTGGCCGATCAAGATGAAGATGAGGTAGTCCAAGTACGTCGTGAGCACGATGAAGTAGGGCGGGTCGTCCAACACGCTCGGCTTGATGTCGTCGTTCGGGTCGTGCTGGGCGTACGAGAGCCACTTGTCGCTCGTCAACGGGCCAAACTCCATCTCCGCCTTCTGCTCCACCGTCATGTGGCTCACCGGTGGATCGGGCACGTGTGGAGAGAGCTCGCTGATGTCATATATGTCTTTCATGCTGCTGGCCTGGTCTATTAATGTATCCTAATGTGTAACTGAAAAGAAAGAAAAAAGAAAAACGCCTTGCCTGTGCGTTTTGTGTGTTTGTGTGCGTCTATATGCGTCTGTTCTGCTGCTCCAATTGCCGTTGCTGGGCCTGCGTCCTCTATATCTGTGTGGCGACGGCTGCGTGTGACTGGCTCTTTCTGAGACAAAGGCGGCGCAAGATTATCTACGCACTCGGGCTTTTCAAATCCGCTGATTTCCAGACGCTGTTTGTTCCCAGTGTTCTCCGTCCTGACAGCACCCAGATCACTCTCCAGAACGCCCCAATGCGTTCGCAAACAGCCTCCTTCCAACAACACTAGCCCCAACAGTGCACGAAAAAAGACCACCCTACACAAACCGCTCACCCCCACGGCACACCCAAACAGACAACACACCCTCTCGGGGGGAAACCATGAGAAGAACGCCAGCCGGGCCGAGCTTCCGCGGGATGGCGGCGGAATGCCCTGGTGCACGGGTGTTTTGGGCAAATCGCTCTTGGTGCACCAGATACGGCTGTAGCCGGGAGGGAGGAGGAGACGGGCAGAGGGATCGAGGAGGTTCTGGGCCAAAAGAGCACGGAGAAGATGGGAAGAGCAGCAGCAGCAGGACGAGGAGGGGCGTCCGGAGGAGGCTGCAGAGGTGCAGGAGGTAGTTACTATGAGTGCGGCGTTGGTACGCATCGTAGACGCGTGGTTCACGCGGGCGGGAGGACTGGTGACGGCGGGAAAGAGCCCGAGACCGGTGTTTTCGGAGGCGGTGAGCTTCACGTTGCATGCGAAGACACGGCTGGCCGTGGTCGGGGGCTCGGCGAAGACGGACCTGCTTGGGGTGCTTGCGAACCAGTTTGTCGGCCACCCGGTGGCGGCAAGGACGTTTCCGGCGTCGCTAAGGGATGCAGGGTTCCGGACGGAGCTGTTGCGGTTTGTGAACAACGGGTCGTGGGGCCACGGGGCGCACGACACGTCGGGCGGGTTCACGCACTTGTCGTCGAGGTACGAGTTCTTCAAGGACCTGGAGGTGGACGAGGTGGTGGAGGAGTTCATTGCGGACCAGTCGTACAACTCGAACACGGGGTTCGACCGGGACCGCGTGCACCGGCTTGTGCAGATGTTGCACCTTGCGGGGCTGCAGGGCCGCTTCATCACGACGCTGAGCAACGGGCAGTTTCGGCGGGCCCGCATCGCGAAGGAGCTCTACAAGGAGCCGTCGGTGTTGTGCATCGACGACCCGTTCCTGGGCTTGGACCCGGTTGCGACGGCCACGGTGGACGACGTGCTCCGGACGACGGCGTCGGACCCACGCCTCAAGACGACGCTGGTCCTCGGCCTGCGGGTGCAGGACGACATTCCGGAGTGGATTGACGACGTCGTGCTGGTGGACGAGCACGGCATCCAGGCACAGGGCAAGAAGGCGGACCTGCTGGAGGACCTTGCCCGGGTGAAACACGAGTTCCACGCGAGACACGTGCGGTTGCAGAAGCAGGTCCAGGAGAAGCTGGCGGCGGCCGGCGCCACGCTGCGGAGCCGGACCCACGGCGGCAGCAGTCCCGGCAGCACCATCGTCGAGATGAACAACGTGAATATCCGCTACAAGGGCGTCTCCACGATCAAGGACTTGAACTGGACCGTCAGGGAGGGCGAGAAGTGGCACATTCGGGGCCGAAACGGGTCCGGCAAGACCACGCTGCTCTCCCTCATCACCTTGGACCACCCGCAGTCGTGGAACAGGTCCATCAAGGTCTTTGGCGTCGAAAGGGCCCCCGGCAAGGTGAACTACTTCGACACAAACAAGTACATCGGTTTCACCTCGCCGGAGCTCCACGCACTCTACCCGAAGAATCATACCGTGTTTGAGACTATCTCAACGGGGTACGTTGTCGGGTCGTATATCCCTCCACGGGAGAACATGACCGCACAACAGGCCGAGAAGATCGACAGCTTCTTGGAGATGCTCGACCTGGCGTACCTCCGAGACGTGAAGTTCTCCGCCATCCCCGTGAGCAAACAGAAGCTGGTGCTCCTCTTAAGAGCGATCATCAACGATCCGAAGATCTTGATCTTGGATGAGGCGCTGAGCGCAATGACGGACGAAGACGTCATCAAGGGCAAGGCCCTGGTCGACCAGCTGAACACGACGTGTCTAGTGATCGGCCACGTCGACGAGGAGGTCCCCAAGTGCGACAAGTACATCGTCGTCAACGGCGCCAGACACGGGGTCTACGAGATCGGCGACGTCTGAGCAGCGTGCAAGTGAACAGAATTCATGTGCTATTTGATAGATACTTACACTATTCGTTGTATATATACATGTAACGTATGAGAAGAAACGAAAAGAACGGCTCACTCTCCGTCGACCTCATGCGGCCGGCTCCGCAGAAGCCTCCGCAGCGGCCTTCTCCAAGGTCTTTGCGTGCAGCGCTCTTCTCAGGGCCTGCTTCTCCATTCTTCTCTTCTTCTTCATCTCCTCGTTCTCCCGCTTGTTGATCTTCACCAACTGTCTGCCCGGCCAGATCTCAAACTCGTCCATGTACTTTCTGTCCATGTTGAACTCCATGTGGACGTTCTCGTCCGTGAGCCCGAGCTTCTCGATCGTCCAGAAGTATCTCTGCGGATCGTCTCTCTTCAGGTATCGCAAGAGCTTCTGTCTCTTCTGGGTCAGCATTCTCACCTTCCGGATGTGGAGCAAGTCCTGTGGGTTCTTCTGGATGTGGTCCATCAAGTTGTAGATCTCGATCGTCATCACCGCCGCCTGCACCTCGGACGAGCCCGTGTCGCCCTCAAACCGCTGGAACTCCAGCATCGCCAGCGTCGTCAACTTCTTCTGCTTCTCGTTGTTGTCCGCGTTTCTCAACGTCATGATTCTGAGCAACACGTCTCTCTTCTCCCTCTCCTCCTTCTCCGTCAGCTCCAGCGTCACGTTTGACGGGTCCTGCTCCTTGATCTTCTGCAGTCTGATTTCCTTCGCACCAAACAGCAGCTTGTCTACGTCTGCCAGGTTGTAGCCCTTGATCAAGATGTTGGGCTCGCTGATCTCCAGCTTCAATCTCTGGATGAAGGCGTTGTCCGGCTTTCCGAGAACCGGGTCCACCTTCTCCTTTTTGCTCTCCACCGCGTTCTTGAACGCAATGTTCTTCTTCTTCTTCTCAATGCTCTTTAGCTTCTTCTCCGCCTTGGATATGCTCGTTATGCCTGTGGCGTGGAACCCTCTCGTTGGCAGTTGCGCAAGCGGTACCACCATCGACGACGACGACGACATCGCCACCGTCTTCCTGATACTGTTCACAAACATCGTGTCCGGCTGATGCTCTCTGTCTTCACACTGTCTCCCTCTGGTCCTCCCATGTCCTGCTTCACCCTCCTCTTCGTCATTTCCACCATATCAATCATCCTCAAGTCCCTCCAGATCCGTACAATCCTCGCCCCAGGGCCGTTACCCGGCCGCTATATCCCTCCCGCGCCATTGCGTGCGGTGCGAGGGGTATTTGGGTCGATCGGCCCCCTGCGCTTTTTTCCAGCCAATAAGACGGCTCAAAGTGACGCAAACGAAAAATTTCAGCGTCTTTTTTTTTTCACTTTCGCCAGAGAGAGGTGCGGAGACAGTTTAAATGGCCAGAGGTCGGCACCTTTTCTTCCTCCCTGGTTGACTGTGGTTGCCCATGTGTGAGAAGGTTTTCAAGCTCTTGTTTCTCTTCCTTTAGGTAAAGCATTAGATAAACAATGAAGTACGTTCAATCTGTCGAATCCATCAGCATCCCAGACGATGTCACGGTCAACATCAAGGCCAGAATCGTCAAGGTCACCGGTCCAAGAGGTGAGTTGACCAAGGCTTTGAAGCACATCGACGTTGCGTTCGAAAAGGTCAACAACAAGTTGATCAAGATTTACGTCCACAACGGTGACAGAAAGCACGTTGCTTCTTTGAGAACCGTGAAGTCCCTGATCACCAACTTGATCAAGGGTGTCACTGTTGGTTACAAGTACAAGATGAGATTTGTGTACGCGCATTTCCCAATCAACGTCAACATTGTTGAAGAAAAAGGCGCCAAGGTGATTGAAATCAGAAACTTCTTGGGTGACAAGAAGGTCAGAATGATCCCAATCCCAGAGGGCGTCACTGCCGAGGTCTCCAAGGTCCAAAAGGACGAGTTGGTTGTCACCGGTAACTCTGTCGAAGACGTCTCCCAATGTTGTGCTGACGTCCAACAGATCTGCAGAGTCAGAAACAAGGATATCAGAAAGTTCTTGGACGGTATCTACGTCTCTGAAAGAGGTCACGTTGTCGAGGAGATGTAAGGACTGTGCCAGTACCGCGTTTCCCCCACACAAACCCCCCTTTTTAGCTTTTCTTTCTTTTCTCTCTCCTGCTCTTTACTACTAGTTGTTTGATTCCGGATCATCCCATCACTATCATTTCCAGGTTGTTGGTCAAGAAGAAGAAGAAAGAGTTGATTTACCAATAGCCAGCGAATCATTACCAGCTCCGAGGCAATATAGCGAGCTACCTATGATTACGCAACCCCACTGTACTCTCTGCTCTCTGAACGTCCTCGCACTTCGAGACAGATCCCGTAGCCCTGTAGTAACCAACCCTAACCTCTATAGCCCTCTCCTCTGTCGGTGTCCGCCCATGTGCCCAAGTCTTTTGTCTCAGTCTTGGCCCTGTGATACCCACCGGCTCTTCTAGGAGCAGAGCTGCCTTTTCCCGGCTGTCACGGCACATCTCCTGTCTCGTTGATGCCTTTCTGCTCATTCCGTGGCCCATTCCATGCGCTTCCGTGCGTCTGCCCAGACGTTTTCGAAGAAATAGCACGTCATTTTAGCACCTTTCTGCACGCTTAGTGCGCCAGCACGCTTCTTTGGGCCTCGCCTATCCGCCCACGCTTGCATTATTAATTTCTTGCAGCAGGGCAGCGTTTCTAGACCGCCGCGGCGGCAGAGCCAGCCAGACCGAGGGTGGTTTCTGACAAAACCGTGCTCTGTCAGTGGCTGCTGTCGGGTGTATAAAGGTGCAGGGGGTTCTACTCTGCTGTCTTTGGACCGTAAAGGGTTTTGCAAAACACAATTGGTTGATTGTCCATCACACCACAGACACAGACCCTCGGAAGATTTGCAATTGAACATGTCGAGCGCCTCCGCATACGCCAACCGCTCCTTATCGGCTGCCAGACAGTCGGCCAGATACAGATTCAGACTCAGCTCGCCGCTGCTTGTTTCGCTTGCCGTGGCGGGATCGGCTGCTTACGCCTACAACAGCAACAACAACAATGGCAACGGCAATGGTTCTTTCGTGAGCAAGGCCTTGTTCGGCTTCGGAGCCAGCAGCAAGGTGGCAACGAACGTCCGTGAGGCCTCCGCCAAGCACGACCAGGCCTACTACCAGAAGGTGTACAACGCCATTGCACAGAAGCTGGTGGACGTCGACGACTACGATTACGGCTCCTACGCGCCATTGCTTGTGCGTCTCGCATGGCACAACTGTGGGTCATACGACCAGGACGACAACTCGCCTACAAAGGGCGGTTCGTACGCCGGAACAATGCGTTTCAAGAAGGAACAGGGCGACCCAGAAAACAGCGGCCTCGTCCTCGGAATGAGATATCTCGACTCGATCAAGGACCAGTTCCCCGACATCTCCCACGGTGACCTCTACACCTTGGGCGGTGTCGTGGGTGTCCAGGAGATGGGCGGTCCAAAGATCGCGTGGAGACCCGGACGTGTTGACTTGCCTATCGACGTGACCCCTCCATACCACAGATTGCCCGACGCATCACAGACCACGGGCTCCTACGTGAGAAGCGTCTTCACCGACAGACTGGGCTTCACCGACCAGGAGTTAGTTGTCTTGATTGGTGTCGGCCATGCCATTGGCAGATGCCACACCAAGAACTCCGGTTTCGACGGTCCTTGGACCTTCTCCCCAACCACCATCAGTAACGAATTCTTCAAGCTCTTGCTCAGCGAGGACTGGCAGTTCAAGAAGTGGGACGGCAAGAAGCAGTACGAGGACCAGGGCTCCCACAGCTTGATGATGTTGCCAACCGACATGGTCCTCAAGCAGGACTCTAAGATGAGGGAGTACGTCGAGTTGTATGCCAAGGATGAGGACAGATGCATGAAGGACTTTGCCGACGCCTTCAGCAAGCTACTCGAGAGAGGTATCAAATTCGACTCTAAGAAGATGTACTTCAAGACTCTGGATGAGCAAGGACTGGACTAACTCCGCCCCCCTGTTGGGCATATTTTTATAATCATACATTCATGGGATTCTGGATACAATCCGACTCCTTTTATGGACACTTTCTATTATCTTTCCACCACTTAAGTCTACCGACTCCTGACCAAAGTAATAATAATTTAACAATCAGTAAATTAGTAGAGTGATTGATAGCACTTCATCGCGCCATGGAGAGCGAGGAAAATTTTATTCCCCGGAATTTTGCCAGAATTCTTAGGCACAGGCTCTCAGCCTAACCTGTCCTCGTGTACCCTTTTCTGTTGTTGGGCTGCTTCGTGATACGGATTGTTTCGGAAGAGGGAAGAAATGCTGTTGTTCGCTTCAGTTGTCCTCAGCAAACTTATTGAAGTTTAGCAGAGAAAATAAAAACAAGCAAAATGGTCAAACCAATCATCGCCCCTTCCCTGCTTGCAGGTGATTTCGCCAAGCTCGGATGTGATTGCCACCGTATGTTCGACAGCGGATCCGATTGGGTGCATCTCGACGTCATGGACGGCCATTTTGTGCCTAACATCACCATGGGACCACCGATTATCTCTGCCTTGAGAAACGCGGTGCCAAGAAAGGAGGAGGCGCCAGGTAAGTACTTCTTTGACTGCCACATGATGGTTTCCAACCCTGAGCAATGGGTTCCGGAAATCGCCAAGGCCGGAGGTGACCAGTACACGTTCCACTACGAGGCTACTGAGAAGCCATTGGAGCTCACGAAGTTGATCAAGGCGAACGGGATGAAGGCAGCATGCGCCATCAAGCCCGGCACGAGCGTCGACGTCTTGTTTGACCTCGCTCCACATTTGGACATGGCTTTGGTGATGACTGTAGAACCTGGATTTGGCGGTCAGAAGTTCATGGCCGACATGATGCCAAAGGTTGAGGAGCTGAGAAGACGGTTCCCAAACATGAACATCCAGGTTGACGGCGGTTTGGGCAAGGGCACCGTCGAAGTTGCCGCTGAGGCCGGCGCCAACGTCATTGTGGCCGGCACCTCTGTGTTCAAGGCTGCGGATCCTAAGGAGATGATTGCCTATTTGAGGGGAGAGGTCCAGCAAAACTTGGTAAAGAGGGGCATTAGTGAATAGAGTTTGAGGTTTATAGTGATTTACGAAAAAGAAAAAGAAGAATAGTATACAATTACATGGTTGGAGCTGATGTGTTCCTTGTATAAAGTAAAGAAAGCAATGTAGGTCGAGACTTTTTTGGATAAAGTGGAGTTTGGATTTTTTGCGTTAGCTTTCGGATTTTCAAAACTTTTTAACAGAACACTTTCACTAGTTTCGCCAAACAACAATATCCCACGCTGCAAACATCTTCAGACGTGGCGTCTAGTAAGTGGTTGAGGTTTCAAGTCTCAATTTCGCCGACAGGGCTCTCTACAGTTGTTAATGTCGAGCAATCAAAGGCCCTTTATCCACAACATAACCCGTGTCGCGGTCTTTCGTTTGGATGCAACATAGTCCGTTGCTCTACGGGACAGAGGGAAGTGCTGCCAGAACACACGCTTCGGGTTCACTAGCCGGTGCCTCTAGACGGCCGTCGGAGATTGGCAGTGAGATCCGCCACAAGGCACATGAGGCACCAAACACAACGGTGAAGACCACCCACTCACCATGACAGGCACAGCGATATGGACAAGCGGAGAAGCTGTATTTAGCGATATTGGGAAAAAAAAAATTTCAGCATGAATTTTGATAAAATTTTTTCTCTTGCACACTACTCCTTCGTTCTTTGCACAAGGACCCTTCCGATTGGCACGACAGCATACTCGCCAACTGCACCTACAACACACGCACACGCACACACAACCACGCAGCATGCCATCGAAGAACTCAATCAACAAGCCTAAGGACAACATGATCCGCCAGCGGAAGTCGCTCGGAGCGTCCAAGAGACGCCAGCGCCGCTCGCAGCAGTCTGTGACGATGATCCAGACGTCCAACGGCAGCACTGCGGTCGTGCCGGTGGTCACCGTCGGCGGTGTGATCACAAACAGGGTCATATCGAACAAGAAGGCCCGGAAAGTGGAGAGAAACCTCAAGTATGCGCAGCTCAGACGCGACGGCGCTGTGCATGCCAAGCGCAGCAGCGGCGGCGACGTCGAGATGGCCGACGAAGGTGCTGCTGCCCGCAGCGGCAAGACCAGCGGTGCCAAAGAGAGCGCTGTCCGCAAGGCGCTCTGGACCGTTGTCGAGGACGCCAAGGTTTCTGGCGTGCCCGTCGCGGTCGCTGCTGGCGAGGGCACCACGCTCGGCGGGCCTTCTTTCTAGCCTCCCGGCCTTCCAGCCTTCTAGCCGCCTCCACTGCAACTCTATAGCTACTCTATAGCTGCTACCCGTGTGTAGCCCCGTCTGTGTTTGACGTGTGTCGCCACGGCTCGGATCGAACACTATTTTCCTAACCTCTCCTAAACAAACAATGCTGTTGTGCGGTTTCCGTACTAGCTGTAGCAGCTGCAGCAGATCTGTGTTTACCCTAAGCTCCTGCCCACGTCTTATCTCGCTTCTTTAGGTAACGGCCAGCGGTGCCATGATGATTCAAAGGGGGCGACGGCGACGGCGCTACGTCATCTCGGAATTTTTAATCACTCACACGCTTCCACGCTCGGTCGCAGCTTTTCCGCTGTGGGCAACGGCCGGGCCTACGATCTGACATGCCGAACCGCATGGCTGGACGCCGTGTTCTGCCTGCCGGCATGGCCGTGCTCTGTGTTTGTTCACCACAACTGAACAGAACAGAGCGCAGACGGAGCAGCACCGACCGGGTCGACGCCCGCCGGAGGGCTCTCGCCTCGCAACAGCCGGAAATGACGACAGTTGTCGCCACCCTGAGCCGCCCCGATAACTTCTGAGACCGTTCTGAGACACTACCTGCCGCCTCGCCTTGGGTTATGTAATGGCCTGCATGACGCACTGCTGCGGCCACTACGTATGGACGACGTCATTGCCACGCGCTTACGTAACGTTTTATAGTCTAAAATGAAAAGACAGGGCATGCGCGCCTGCCGAAAGCGGCAACTGAGCAGGCGCTGGCTGCTCCCGCAGCGCCCGCAGGGCGTGCAGCGGGGCAGGCGACGACGTCATTGCGGCAGAAAGCGCAGTCTTTATCGCTCCCCCGGCAGCTGCCGGCGTGCAGCAGTGCAGGACGTGCCCTGTTCTGGCTGTTATCTCGGGTGCAGACGCCCCTACAAGACGCTTCTCCGCCTCTACGTCATGGGCGCAGGCGGCAGCTGCGGCCGGCTGCAGGATGTGTTGGGCCGGCGAAAAAGAAAAAAGGCGAGGCCGGCCTAACAGTATGTGTGCGTGCACTGCTTTTTGCTCCTTTTTTTTCCACCACCTTTTTTTTTCTCGCGGGCGCCTTCAACAGTGCATCAGTGTCGGCATTGCCTTCTCGAACGTTGCTTTTGCTCGTTCCCTGCGTGTCACGGATTCGGGTATATAATAAACAGCGCCCGCCCCCTCTGTTGCCTCTTTGCTGTCAATTCGGTTCTGCCCTTTCCCATCCTCCACTCTTCTCTTTTTCTTTTCCTTTTGATGTTTGTTATCAACAAGAGCATTTCTACTTTTAACAAGGCATTCCAGAAACTACCATCCCTGAATTCTTTTAAAAGTTACACCACTAGCACGAACACAAGCACAGATAAAAAAAACATTATACAACAATACAATATGGTTTCTCCAGCTGAAAGATTATCGAGCATTGCCTCCACCATGATCCCCCACCGCAAGGACTCCACCACATTGGCTCCAGAGGACTACCCTGAGACGCCCTTCAAGGTGACGGTTGTCGGTTCCGGTAACTGGGGTTCCACCATCGCCAAGGTGGTGGCAGAAAACACTGTCGAAAGACCGCTACAATTCCAAAGAAACGTGAACATGTGGGTCTACGAAGAACTCATCGAGGGCGAGAAGTTGACTGAAATCATCAACACCAAGCATGAGAACGTGAAGTATCTCCCAGGCATCAAGCTTCCCGCCAACGTTGTTGCCGTGCCCGACCTAGTCGAAGCATGCGCCGATGCCGACTTGATCATCTTCAACATCCCTCACCAATTTTTGCCACGGATCTTGAGCCAATTGAAGGGCAAGGTGAATCCAAAGTCCAGAGCCATCTCCTGTTTGAAGGGTTTGGAAGTCACTCCAGACGGATGCAAGCTTCTATCCACATACATTACCGAGGAATTGGGAATATATTGTGGTGCACTTTCCGGTGCCAACTTGGCCCCAGAAGTCGCCCAATGTAAGTGGTCCGAAACCACCGTCGCCTACACCATCCCACACGACTTCAGAGGCAAGGGTAAGGACATCGACCACCAAATCTTGAGAGCCCTATTCCACAGACCTTACTTCCACGTCAGAGTCATCAGCGATGTCGCTGGTGTCTCCATTGCCGGTGCCTTGAAGAACATTGTCGCCATGGCTGCAGGTTTCGTTGAAGGTCTGGGTTGGGGTGACAACGCCAAGGCTGCTGTCATGAGAATCGGGTTAACCGAAACTATCCAGTTTGCCCAGATGTTCTTCCAGAACTGTCAACCTTCCACTTTCACCAACGAGTCTGCAGGTGTTGCCGACTTGATTACAACCTGTTCCGGTGGTCGTAACGTCAGAGTCGGTAAGTACATGGCCCAACATCAGGTTTCTGCTCAAGAGGCTGAAGCAAAGTTGTTGAACGGTCAATCCTGTCAAGGTATGCACACCTGTAAGGAGGTGTTTGACTTCTTGAGCAACATGGGCAAGATTGACGACTATCCTCTCTTTGACGTGACGTATCGTATCATCTACGAAAACTTCCCAATGGAGAAGTTGCCTGAACACTTAGAACGTGTCGAAGATTAGGCGCCCTCGCATTATCCGGCTGCATGCACGCCCTCACATACACATACATCAAACATCAAGCATTCTATTAGCATTCTTTACCTCTGGCGGGATTGGGGTAGATGATTCTTTTCTATATTCTCCATTTATCATTTTATAATCAATGTATCTAGTTTTAGACAAAAAAAACACCGTTTTATTCGAAAGCTTATTATGCCGAGAAGGGCAAAAAACAGATGAAAGGGAAAAAAAAAATAAAAAAAATAAAAAAAGAAAACTGGTTACGTAATGCTTAAACCCATTTGGTGCACGGGTGGAACCTCTATTCTGGCGCAAAAGTGAGAGCATGGATGGGCCCAGTGCTTTTCCGTACAGGTGACGTCCGTGCAATTGGAGTTGAACCTCTTTCTGGACATCGAGAGTCGGTTAAGACCAACACAAGCCAGCGAATTCCAACACGATGCTTGCCATGAGAAACATCGGTATCAGGGTGATGAAGCCTTCGTTTCTGCTTCAGAGACAATCGGTCTTGAGACCGTTCCAAAAACGTCTCAACTCCACAGCCAAGAAGCTGTATGAACCATCGCCGCAGGAGGCACAGCTGGCCAGCAAGATGTCCTGGGAGGAGTTCCTTGCCCTCAGAAAGCAGCAAAGGCGCATAGGTGCCCTGGGCTCCGTTGCTGCTGCGCTCTTGACCATGGGTGCCGCCTACTCCTATCTGTCACAGGTCGAGATTGACCCGACCGAAACGCTTTTCGGCTTGGATGTCTTCACGGTGTACATTGGCGCCATCATGTGCACGGGGTTTGTTGGGTTCATGTTTGGCCCCGCCCTCGTGGGCGACCCGCTCTTCGCCTTGATCAACAGAAAGATCATGGCCACCTACCGCACCAAGCAGACCCTCTTCCTCAAGCACATCGCCAAAATGAGAGTCGATGCATCCAGACAGAGTATGAACAACCCCGTTCCAGACTACTACGGCGAGAAGATCGGCTCTTTGGCAGGCTATAGACAGTGGCTAAGAGACTGCAACGAGTACAGAAGAAAGGCTAGAGAATTTTTGTAAGTCTTCTACACCAGGTCGCCTTCGCCCACACACCCAGTTCCCCCATCCACCTCTTGTGCATATATCTGTATGATACATAGCTATGTATATTTACCCCCCGCCACCCTCTTTACAATAATAACCCCGTCTTTACTCCTGCCTTCTGCTTCCGTATGGCTGGCTGCCACACAAGGATCTCTTCCCGCTCCTCGCTGGCAGAGCACCTTTTTTCGACAACATGAATTTGCTTGATACAACGGCATATTGCGTTATCACCCGCCAGCAAAGACTTACCCTGGCACCGGCACAAAGAAGACTAAGCACATACATACACACATCATGTCACAAGAAGACATATACCTCCAGTCCTACCCGTTCACCACTGCGGCTGCCATCATCGGGTTTGTGGACCGCAAGGTGAACGCAGTTTTGATCGATGGCCGTGCCGTCATGGGCGTGCTAAGGACCTTCGACCAGTTCGGTAACTTGGTTATCCACGACGGAATCGAGAGAATATACTGTCCGGAAACAAAACAGTATGCAGAAAGCACACATCCACAGATATACGTCATTCGTGGAGAAAACCTTCTGATGCTGGGCGACCTAGACATCGACACCGAGGACACAGCTATCAAGGGTTGGGAGAGACTAGACTATGTCGACACCTACAACAAGAGAAGAAAGCTGATTGAGGAGGCAAAGGCAAAGTGCACGCAAGAAACAAAAAAACTTGGAGAGGTGGGTGCCGTTGTCGGAGGTGGGTTTGTCTACAATCTTCACGGTTTATGAAGCTCTTCAAGCAGATTCTGCTCTCCGCTATCCCTCTTCTAGTGTATTATTAATATGCGGTGTATTCTTTGTATTTCTCTATCTATAAAGTATTATATAGCTCTAATTAGCAAAGCATTCAAAAGTACAATTGTTTTATAGTGCAGCAAAGGGGAATTGGAGTGGCATCTTCATCGGGCCCGATCTTCCATTTCGTAGAGTACAGTATCTTTCTCAGAAAACAGTGTGTACTCAGGGTCCATACCCACCGGGAACCGCTTGGCTGTCCCACACGTGCACGTGAGTTCCAAAACATCGCAGTGGGGAAGCCGTTTCTTCGATTTATTCACCACTCGAGTGCTGCATGTGACACCTTCCACCAGCAGTCTCGAGCACTGCTTGCACAGAGTTCTTTTCATGTCTGGATGTAGCTTGAGAACGGCCTTCTTGCTGACCAGATCCATGTGGTTAAAGTATTTTCGGGAAAGTGTGTCAACCGATTTGCTCGCAGTTTCTGAGCCATACTTCTCAAGTTGTTTTGATAGCATAAGTGATCCAACCTTGTATAGGTAAGTCACCCTCTGACAATGGTCTTTCTTAGGAACCGTCCGTGGAACCTTCAATGGCTTATTTTTGTTCACCCTCTCTTTCATCTTCTTACTCTGCTGACCTTTGTTTTGGATTTTTCTGGTCTTATCATCAGTTGAAACCTGTTTTTTTTCCGTGACCTCTTTTGTATCAGAATAACATTCTGCAGACATTACCTGGCATATGCCCTTCGTTTCTCGTACAGCAGGCCTGCTCGATGCCACGATGACAGCCAGAAAGTAAAGAAGATGGAAAAGGTGAATTTTCTAAATTTCTACCGCACCTATGGTCCTGGCCGTCCATCTATCGTTTCCAGGGCGAGCTTCGCATTGCTTCTCGTGAAGGCAAATCAAGCACTTCAGCTGCAGGGTCCGGAGTCGTGAGAGTAACACGCTGGAATCCTCTAAGTGATTATCAAGAACAACAGGAATTTATACATAATAAGCAATGAGTGGCTACGATAGTGCATTGTCCATTTTCAGGTATGTCCGGGGTTTCTCAACAGTCCATTACTTTCGATGAAGCGTTGAACAGTTCAGCAGTACTAACACAACAACAACCTTGTTTGAGGTGAATAATTGTATTTCAAATAGTCCTGATGGTCATGTTTTTCAAGTGGAATACGCCCTTGAGGCCGTGAAAAGAGGAACCTGTGCAGTGGGTGTGAAAGGCGCTGACACCGTAGTACTTGCGTGTGAAAGAAGAACGACATTGAAGCTTCAAGATCCTAGAATCAATCCAACGAAAATCAACAAGATCGATTACCACATTCAACTTGCCTTTGCAGGGTTGAATGCTGATGCCAGAGTTTTAATAGACAAGGCCAGAGTGGAGGCACAATCGCACAAATTGACCTTGGAGGACTCTGTTAGTGTCGAATACCTCACCAAATACGTGGCAGGAGTCCAGCAAAGATACACCCAGAGTGGTGGTACCAGACCGTTCGGTATCTCGACACTGATTGCTGGATTCGATGAAAACGACCAAGTTCCAAAGTTATACCAAACAGAGCCTTCGGGAATATTTTCAGCCTGGAAGGCACAGTCGATCGGAAGAAGCAGCAAGACAGTGAGAGAGTTCCTGGAGAAAAACTACCCAGCCGACGAACCACTAGATGAAGCAGGCACCGTAAAATTGGCCATCCAAGGTTTGTTGGAAGTTGTCCAAACTGGAGCCAAGAACATCGAGTTGTCCGTCATGAAGCCCGGAGCTGCGCCAAGGGAACTGTCCAACGAAGAGATCGAGGAGATAGTGAAGGAAATTGAAGAAGAAAAGGCTGCAGAGGCCGAAAAGAAAAAACCTAGATCCACTGAGTAATCAAGTCGATATTATTATATATGATATTGTATAATTTTAAAAATAAATCTTGAAACTGATAATACCTTTTACTATGTACATGTCGAAAGGGCTGCAATCATAAAACGGTAGTTTTACCCTTGACGTTGATGAAGCCATCGTCGAAACCGTCATCACTGTCATCATGGTCCTTTGTACTAGCTGAAGGAGTTTTCAGCACAAATTCGCTGGCAAACATCCGAGCAGGAACGATTTCAATTGATGCCAAACCTCTAGTAATGTTTGCGCTAGGGTCAATATCCTCGAATGCAGGAGGATCGAGACATTTCAAAGTTAGAATTACCTGTGCCAATTCTTTGTTTTCAACCGTGTCATATAAAGATCTCTGCTGGGTGACCATCATTTGGAAGTCGTCGGCAAAAACAACACTATCTGAATTGTAAGAGTATTCGACAGCCTCTAATGTCCCAAGGGCTAGGCGGTCAACGTCTTTGATTTGAAAGTATTTGCTGATCCCTTGCTCGTTGTTCCAAAAGGCATCAACAATCCTGTTGATTTCGAAGTTAGCCAAATCGGCGTTAATTTGCTCCGGTGGCGCAACAATGGAAGCACTTCTCAAGTGTGATGGGTTGTAAAGTAAGGTGGAGTCCGTGATTGCCTCCCATCTTTTTCTCATCCGTCTCTTACTGAGAAATCTCCCTAGACCAACAAACATCGCACCTCCAAGCACCAACGGCGGAACAACAATCACAAACACTGGGACGGCAACAAAGATGAAGAGGTACGCCGAAAGACCAACTGCTGTAATCAGTTTGACGCTATCAGGTATGCGGGACCACAAACGGCCCAATACCCCCCCTCCAATGATTGTACTTTTAGGGCGGCGGTAGAAATCAAGAGAAGCAGAGGAAGTGCTGAAAGCTCTAAGTATGGTGCTTTTCAATTGTGCGGTGTAGGAGAGTTGTGGTAGGAGTCCTGGGTTGGATTGCAAGATGTGAGAGGCAAATCTAGGCTTCATCGGGTGGGTCGAAGTGTAAGAAGAAAGACATCGTAGATTGCTAGTTCTACCCAATAGGTCTCTTTTTGCTGGCTTTAGTAATACTCCCACGGGGAACATGATCGAGTGTATGTGTTAGTTAGAGAAAGTCTGTTGAAGAGGTGGAGTTGGAGATAATAGTTGCTCTTACCGGTATCCACGTCCACCGAAGACATAAGAAGGAGGCGGTAACAGATGGTATAATAAAGGAAAGAGGCCAGTCACGTGACACAATTTTTCTCTGGAGCCGGCATTCCAGCTTTAGTGCTGGATGAGTATGTTATCTACACAGAATATACACAGAAGACGTCAATACATTATGCCTTCCCATCGGCGAAAGGCATCTTGGTGGCGAACACGAGGTAGGAAGTGTGTGTTTTCACCTCGGCCTCGAGCCTGGTGACATTGAACCACTCGAACTCTTCGTCTCCCTCGATGATACGCTTACCCTTGCCGAACGGGTTGAAGCCGTAGTCTCTCTCCTTTGAGAGGGGTTCGTCGTCGTCCTTGCGCTGGCGTTTCCCCGTCTTGATCAGGGCAAGGCCCTCCCGCTGCTTCTCCTTGACAAACTTAAGACGCTTCACGGCGTCGTCCACCTCTCTCTTCATGGCCTTGTGCGACTCGTACAGCCGTCCCTGTGTCTCTGTCAGTTCGACGTCGGACCACCCTTCCTTCTGAAGCGACTCGACGGTTTTCACAACCTGCTCGAAGCAGGGGGAGAAGCAGCAGATTCCCACACGCCTGTCGTTTGCGATGACGGACTTCAAGTGGGGAATGGCCTCCCATGGGGAGGGCAAGTCTAGAAATATGGCGTCGGCATCGAGGGTGACGTTCTCGATGTCGAACCCGTTGGTGCACACGTCTCGGTGGGTGATGGTTGTGTTTCCGAGTCCATGCATGAGGAACTCGTCTCTCGCCTGCTCGTACCTGGACTCGTGGAACTCGAAGGAAAAAAGCCTTCCCTCGGAGTTCACCGTTCTCGCAAAAGCGTGTGTGAACGAGCCCGAGCCTGTGCCGGCCTCAATCACCTTGGAGCCCACCCGCACATCCAGACGCTGCAGGATGTAGCTCGAGTCTGGCGTGTAGACAATCTGTGTTCTGTGCGGCAACGACATCGTCCAGAGCTCGGGAGTCGGCTGCAAGAGGTACACAAACCCACGGTCCTTCGGAGTGGTAATCTGCGAGCCGAATTCGAGCCCGATCATCGTCTCATGCGGGAAAGAGCCGAACCTCGTGTTGAAGTTTTCTCCCTTCTTCACGTATATCGGCTTTATGATCGTTCGCGAGACGTACACAAGCACCAAGTCTCCCTCCGCAATATACTTCTTTCTGTCTATGAATGGCATGGTGAAGATCGGACCTCAGAAGCCGTTTGTTTCGGTAATCTCTTTCTGCCCGATCTCCTTCATCATTTGGTGAAATGAAAAATTATCTTTCATCTCCAATTTTTTTTTCCCCTTCCTTTTTTTCTATCAAAATCCGCTTACGTAACCCTGTTCCGTCCCAGCGCAGCATGAAAGCACCAGCCAATAGTTGCTTCTTTGGGCACGTATGTGTTCCAGCCCTAACTGCGTGTGCACTGCCCCGACACAAAGCCCATGACACGCACAGGGAGGCATTGACACCGGCACCGACACCGACGCAGCAAACCAACACTCCGATGTCCCGCCACCGGCCTCCTTCACCGCTCGACAGCATGCCCGGCGTGCCCAAAACCCAGACCCTGCCACATTCTGCCGCAGGCGCCAGCACGCCCCGCTGCCGAGAGACGGTGGCAGTGTTGCCCGTCGCGGTGCGGTGCGGTGCGTGGCAGAGAAATAAAGAGGGCAAGAGCAAGGGCGGAAGGGCGGCGCGCTCTCGCTGGGAGTGCCTCGCGACGGGGGCCGGCGAGGAGGAACTGCCCGAAGCGGGAAAAGATCAACATGGGCACAGGCGTCAGACGGCCTCGGACATTGTTCTAAGTGATGTTGTTGTTATTGTTTGTGCGGTTGTTAGGGCAGACGGTGTGTTTGCACAAAGGTCCCGTTGCGTTTCCTTCTGGAGAACCACTATCCAACGTAGCTATATTTTTATCAGCTGGAGGTATCCACCGATCGCAGAACACGTAAAATTTTGTGAGGGAAACTCGCAAACTCATCTCCACAGAGAAGCTTTCTACATTTCGGCAGACAGAGATCGTATTGTTGACACTAGTTGGCTTGCTTGCTTGTGCTGCTTTCTACTCTCTTCCCTGCCTCACACACCTCTTTTGCTTTCCGTCTTCCTCGCAAGCATCACAGGCCTCTCTTCCTCAGGCATATCCATTCCAGTAGCCAGCCAACCTCCCACAGAAAAAGAAACGTATACCTGCATCAGTGTTTTGTTTGTTTACAAATCTCAGTTACAGATCACATTTCTAGGTTTCCTGCTACAGTCATTCGTTACACATCATCGTATCCCCTACTCCGTCCTGCTCTGATTGAAAAGAACTACACGACAGTTTTTCCTTGATCCATCCATTTCACCTGAAATTCACTCCTGGATTTCCTCGTGCCGACTCCCAAATAAATCGTCCATTTGCTTATTTGTCTTTTGTTCCTTGAATTTTTATCCCCTTTCCCCGTTCATACCCTTTCTTAATTTTTCATTCATCCGTGTTTTATTTGAAACAATCTGCCATACAATTGAAGAAATATCCCATTTCTCAGAGTAACTAATAAAGAATAACCAAGAAAAGCAAATCAGCATCATATAAAATGTTGAGAAGGTCCTCAGTAAAGCCTCAGGTGGCGAATGATGAGAATAATAGCCAAATATCCAAATCCAAATCAAAGCCACCTTCAGATGCTAACGCTGCTCAAAAGCAGAGCTTGAATCAACCGTCAGCCACATATCCATCTGCAGGAACTACACGGTCACGTACTGTTCTAGGTGTTGTGCCGGATAACGCGTTGAACTCCCAGCAAAATCATAACCACCAATTTCCCGCTTCTCAGAACGACCAGCAATCCTCTCAACAGCTCAAATCTAAAATACCCGTCCTAGTTGACAATCAATCAATTTCTAAATCATCTCCAGAATCTGATGATATAATGGAAACTTCAAACCTCCTTGAGGGAACTTACGAATCTCACAATGATCAAGAAAACTTTGGCTTGGAAAGTAATGTTGAAGATGAAGACGAAGATGTTGAAGATGACTTGATTTATAATGAACCTCTATCCCCAGTCTTAAATGATTCCATAAAAAAGGAAATTGACAGAGTTTATTCTAAGTTTTCCCGTGATACCCTAGATCCAAATGACGAAGATACATATGACGTGACCATGGTGGCCGAATACGGCAACCGCATCTTCAATTATTTGCACTCTTTAGAAATCAGATATAAACCAAATCCAAGATACATAGAAGAAGTCCAAGATGACCTTTTATGGGAACATAGAGCAACATTGATGGACTGGCTGGTACAACTTCATTCAAGGTTTAACTTGTTACCTGAAACATTATATCTTGCAGTGAACATTATAGATAGGTTTCTCAGTAAGAAAACCATATCTTTATCGAGATTCCAGCTATGTGGCGCAGTTGCATTATTCATAGCCGCTAAATATGAAGAAATTAATGTTCCTACAGTTTCTCAAATGGTTTATATGGTAGGAAACCAGTATCCAAGAGAATCCTTTTTAAGAGCTGAAAGGTTTATGGTTGAAGTCCTTGGCTTCGAATTCGGCTGGCCTGGTCCAATGTCATTCCTCAGACGTGGATCAAAGGCTGACGATTACGACAATGAAATTAGAACGCTGGCCAAATACTTTTTGGAAATCACCATAATGGATGCCAGATTTGTATCATCTCCTCCAAGTTGGTTAGCAGCTGGGGCTCAGTTTCTATCAAGAAGAATGTTAGGACGTGGAGATTGGACAGAAGCTCACATTTATTACACAGGTTATACTGCCGAGCAATTGGTACCGCTTGCAGAAATTCTAGAAGAATGCTGCATTTCCACCGAAACTCATCACAGGACAATTTTCCAAAAATATAGTGAAAGAAGGTTCAAAAGATCAGCATGCTATGTTCAAGAATACTTACATGAGCTATACGGCGTCAACTAATCGTAGCACTCAATGATTTAAGAGTTACGTTTTGTGTGGATTTGATTTGCTCATTTTGTTAAAATAATTCAAAAGGACTTAAGTGTTATTACTGTTGCATGATTTTTTCTTCTCTTTTATATTTATCTTTGGTGTTATTTTTCTTTTCGTACTTTCCGCATTTTTGTTGGCATCATTATAATCAACATCGCCAACATCATCACAAGGCTTTGAAATGCAACTTACAAAAACAATGGGCTTTTAATTTCATGAGCCGAGCAAGAGAATCATGAAAACAATAATGGATGCCTTTTTCTTCTTTTTCTTTACTGCTTCTTCACCTCTTTAAAGAAGAGGCCAAACTTATGTATACAAATATATATTCAGTGGATGCAAAAAAAGTTTGAGTCAGGTAACTATATCAGAGCGTATTCAATTTGGTCCGCTGACATGGCCAATTGCATGACGTCGATAATGGGCGGAATGTTCTTAATGTAGCGTGGGGAAAATTGCTTTTCGAAACCGAAGGCGCATGCAAGGCGAGAAAATTCTCTTTGTCCATATTATGGCAGCTGTTCGATGGACGTCGTGATCATGAGCCAGTGGTAGGGAGCAGTTTCATTTATGTTCCAAGCTGCAATTTTAGTACACTAAAACATCACCGGCTAACTCCTGGCAAATTTTACTCTACTGGCATTCAAAAAGAGTTTTGCTAGCCAATGAACCACGTAATAATGGTAAATTGATAGCAATAAAGCAAGAGAAAATAGAAGCTCCTTTGGATCCAAAAGTAGGGAGCAGGAGAAGCCACCAGAAAACTATTCACAAAAGAAAAAACACTCGGTATATGTTGCCAAACCCTATGCGTGTTATTGGTTGGGTTGCCACCGTATCTTATCCTCGAATAATCAACGGCCGAACGTTTAGCGGTAGACGCCGATCTTCGCGATGTGCCGATTGTTATTGCTAAAGCCGGCGTTTGCTATGTAGGAGATGAGTATTGACAGCAAGAGAATACCTTTTGGAACGTGGCTCTAACTAGAAACAGCTAACCCTGACGCATCCGCCAAGATTCAAACTTGAATGGTGTGGTTTACATGCACACTGCCTCATATTGGTGCGAAAAAATAGAAGCCCTCCTTAAATATATCTATATGCGAGGACGGGGATGCTGAATGTTCTACTCCTCGGTCCAAACTGCCGAAAGAAAAAAACTCTGCGGCACAATTACTAAAAAAAAAAACTAAAGTCGTTTTTGGCGAGATATCGTCGACTTTTCATCGTATTTTAGCGACACTCACGCTATTGGGTGAGGTACAAATAGCCACAAGAAAACACATATTCGCTGCTCTGATGGAAACAGCAAGATCCTATCAAGTTCTTACAACTTTGAAACTAAAACTGCCTCCCTAGTAGCTGCTTTATGGCAGTGCCATGGCATGAACTATTATAAAGGTACCTTCGATGTCCTATATAAACCCAGACATTTGCTCAAAATATTTTTGTCTTCGTCAATTTCATTCTTCTGAGCAAATTGCTCTCAAATGAAATTGTAGTTAGGCAGGGGAATTGATAGGGGCTTCTAGAGAACGCTCCTTAGGGAATTGAGTTCTTCATTATAAGGCTTGTTGTGTTAGTCATCTTTGAAACCGAAGGTGTATTCGGAATATAATTATTTTGCACTAATATTTGTGACCGTTTGAACATGGCATTCATATGTGGTTGCTGTTGAAGTTCATATTTGGAGTTGAGTTATGAAGATCTACAGTGTCCATTGTCAGCACTTGAGATTTAGAGCAAAATCTGCATGCTTCACATTTAACTTTTTTTGACTCCAGTATTGATTCTATCTTCACAGCTGTTAATTGGATTATCTTTGGTTATTGTTATGTTGTTATGTTGTTATGTTGTTATTTTTATGAAATCAATGTTTGTAAAGAATTTCTAGTTTTAATTGTATCGACCTGTAAAGCGAATTATTAACGCTTTACAGGAAAATTGACGTATAATTCATGAGTGAATAGAACTGCCTCCCATTTGCGAAAAGTGTATATTAGCCGAATAGATATTTGACGGCAGATACTACTAGACACTCTGTGTCACATTTGAAACGAAAATGTTTTCTGACTAGTAAATTACCCCAAACAAGAAATGCCCTAATATCTCACTCGTAGATAATAAGCGATATGTCAAATTGGCGAAAGATGAAAGAAAGGAGAAAAAAAAATAGAAACAAAGAGTCAGGATAATCCCCTGAAACAGGACAAAGCGATGTCGTAATTTGGCTCTTTTTTTTTCAACACTACTTCGGATCTTTGTTTGCATGCACCACAGGGGTAAAAACTTCTAGAAGGCTCAATTTTGCCGAAGATATTGGGCACAGAGATCTCAGATTCTTCCCAAATTGGTCGAAAGCTAAATTACTTGGAATCTGCAGTAAAAGTAAAAGTCTGGTCCAATGACCCGACTATTGTTCAGCATGCCTTACAGATCACTGTTCTGAGCCCCCATCCTCCAGTCACATAGAGCTTAGAAGTCCTAGGAGGTTCTCTTTTTGTATTGAAAGATTTGGGAAGATATGGTTCGTTAATAGCTGAAGCTTTTGATGTTATTATGAATATCTTCCTACTTCTCAAAAAAGGCCCTGGCACTGGATTTCTCCACAGCTAAACCAGTTCCAATGTTTTTTTTCAGTCAACAATGGCATTCAGCTGGGTAACCCACTGGCAATTATTACTTCTCTGATAAGCCCCAATATTATCTAGGTGTAGAACTCTTTAAAAAAATCTGAAGCCATTCTTAACATTGTGCGTAAATCGCTCGTCTGAAGATTACAGCCCGCCGTTGTTTATGCCGGGTCTAATCTTTGAAGGGATGGTTGATCGCACAGAAAGTAATAGTCCTATTTTGATCTGTTTTACCATGTCAGGATACCACAGATTCACTGTTACCAGGCCGTTTAGGCCCTGTGACACAGCTAATAGTGATCATCCTTTTGGACCTGAACAATAATGACTCTGAACAATATTGTAACTTGTCATATTAGACAAAACCACCTTATTAAACTCCACAGTGTTAACTTCAAACCAAATGGAGAATGTTGAAAGATGTTTTTTGCGTCTGTGGTAGAGGTGGCCCTATGAGGCGGACATAATGTTTTCCGTCTGTTCAGAAAACGATAACAAGTACTCCGAAAAAATAGGGCTTTGTATCACGTGCGTATACAGAGGGCTAAGAAATGTTTTTGTGGCCGCGTCTTTTGCGTCTTTTCATCCAGTATGGGCCAAAAAATAATGTGACTGCGGGTGCAGCAGGAGAGGGGCGAAGAGGTGAGGGAGGATCTTCCTACCCCGTAGCGAGCGAGACAGAGGGAGAGAGGGAGAGGGGTGGTGAAAAAAATCTACATAGAGAAAACTACTATTAACAGTAACGTAGCTTTCAACGCATCATCGACATTAGATTAAAATTACCGTACAACAAATACATATACATATAGCAAAATGTCTGGTTCCGGTGCTCAAGGTACTAAGTTTAGAATGTCAGTACGTATCATCTTTTTTATTGACGAAAATAGAATGAAATAGTGAGGCAAGAGAAAGATGGCGCCAATGCATCAAAGAAAGGCCAATACTTGTCACTCCAGGTCAACACACTGGAACAAAAGGACTCTCATTACCATTTCTTTTAAAGCGTTAGTTGGATAACTTTCTTGCCATAAGGAGGGGAATGGATTTGGTCAGAGCGATATGAAAAGAATGAACGATTTGCGAAGTATATCGAGTGTAAGGATGATGAGGCCTAACGACAAGTCGGAGCAGTATTATTCAAGGCTGCGCAACAAGGAATGAAAGCTGTCAAATGAATTCAGGTGTTACTATTCATTCGGTGAATCACGCTAGATGTCCCTAAAGTATCACCCACAAGAGTTCTGCAATTACTATGCTGTTTGATGCCGCGTATGACCACGTTGCCCTGCCGTCTATTAAATTCGCTCTATATCCAACTCTCGAAGACACAATTCTCTGTCACACGATCTTCAATCAAAAACAACAGGACTGCATACTAACATTAATCATTGATTCTTGAAATCATCAAACTTTTCATCTTTTTTTTAGCTTGCATTACCAACTGGTGCAGTTATGAACTGTGCTGATAACTCTGGTGCAAGAAACTTATATGTTATGGCTGTTAAGGGTAACGGTGCTAGATTGAACAGATTACCAGCTGCCTCTGCAGGTGATATGGTTATGGCCACCGTTAAGAAGGGTAAGCCAGAATTAAGAAAGAAGGTCATGCCAGCTATCGTTATCAGACAATCTAAGCCATGGAGAAGAAGAGACGGTACTTACCTTTACTTCGAAGATAACGCCGGTGTCATTGTCAACCCTAAGGGTGAAATGAAAGGTTCTGCCATCACTGGTCCAGTTGCAAAGGAATGTGCTGACTTATGGCCAAGAATTGCTTCTAACTCTGGTGTTGTTGTTTAAGTCCTATATTTGATTTAACCATATAATATCACAGGTGCAAGGAATGCATATAAATCTTTGTATAACATAATAAACCGTTAATTCGTTATTCAAGTAAAATTGCATCGATCCAGCTTTTGTCAATGCCATGTAAGTGCAATTCTATCTAACACCTGAAAAAGGAAAGTTTTTTGAGTTATCGCTAGATCCGTCGCTTGTTCCTTTTTGCTCATCACTAAGATCCACTACTAGCAGCATCTGCGTTTATGCTCAATACATGTAAAAGAGCCTACCTTCACTGGTTTCATGCGTGAATTACCAGTAGCAGAGGTACTCTTCAATTCCATCTACTGATCAAAACCCTCTTCTGCCCATGCTGAGGGGCTCAATTGACTCTATATGTCGTATGTCCTTTTTGAAGTAATTTGCAGTTAACGCGTTTGAATATTGAATGATCACACAAAACGCTACATCGACTACAAGAAATGATACTAACTTTTCCAATTCTGATACATTAAAAAAGATTCATTATCATCAAGTAAAATCCGTGAAAGAAATGAAGCACTTGAAAAGCTTCAAGATATTAACTTCAACTCAACTTCAACTAAAAATGCATTTGATCGTGATTTGTTACTAAAGTTAGTTGAATCTTTATTTTTTTATATTGACACCGAAAGGACGATATTTGAGAAATCTAATAGTAATTCAATTGTTGAAGTAAGGTTGAACAAAGTCTCATCAATTCTGAGATCAGTGATAGTTCATCTTTGGGCCACAAAAAAGTTCATCAGTTTATATAAACCTAGACAAAGTGAGAAAATTATCGAGCTTTTGCTGAAAAATGTCATGTATACCCCAGTAGACTCTGAGATTCAAATTTTTGACCCTACAGCTTTGAATTGCGTGAAAGCAATGAACCATTTAATCCGTATTCAATGTTTCAGAGATCACCTGTATTTGACGAGCTCAGAATCAATTTTGAGTGTATCAATACGATCTTTAAATCTACTCGTAACAGATACAATAAACTCTTCTAAAAATGAAAATTTGCTGGTTGAGCTTTTTACTCTGGTTCATGAATTTCTTAACCCTTCATACTCTTCCAACACAATCTTATTTCAAACCACACAATCTACGACTAAGGGAAGCTATTATTCAAAATTCTATCATATTTTACTGAACTACTTTAAAAATATCTTTGAGGATAGTAAACGAGAACGTGAATCCCTGATTTTTGTGTTCAAAATCGTGAACAAATGCATTATAGATATGTCGTCTGCTAATATCAACTTATGCCATTCATTCTACAAATTAGGAGTTAAGTTTATACTTGAGGTCAAAACTATTGTATCAAAAAAATTAGTTTTTGAATTAGCAATATTTTTCAATCTGATTGGGCCGTATATTTTGCCCATGGAAGTTCTAAAAGACAATGGTAGCAATCACAATATCAACACCACTAATGTGCACATAACCCCAAGCCCAGAACTAAGTTTACTCCCTGCTTCTAAATCAGAGAAACTAGAATTAACCGAAACAGCATCGAACATCATCAATCCGTCATCGGAAGCAGACGAAAGTCTTCCCTTCTCAGATTTGGAGGGCAGCATTTCTCGGGATTTATCCACTTCGGCTCCAATGAAGAAAAGAAAACGTATGAATAGTGCTGATTCCGAAAAAAGCTCACTTCTGCAAGAAATCAGCGACCTAAGCAAGATAATTGAAATTGGGTTTAACTTATTTAGTGATATTTCGTTGCATAAACAACTTGAACTGGAGAGTAACTCTGTCAAAATCCATATTTTCCCTGATACTACACGATCTGCCTCTAACTTGTTTTCTTTGAGGTACATGTATTTGAGTAAGGGTAGCCATTCAACACCATGGCTTCTTCGTCTTGGAATAGTTCATTTACTAATATGTTTTTACGAGCTGAAAGCTAAGTTATCTACTTTAGACACAGAGACAGAATTTATTACTGCTTCAAAACGTTTAAGAATTTCTGGGATGGGTTTGGGGCTCACCTTTCAGATCTCAGATTACATTCGATCTTTTGATAATCCTTTGGACTGCTTGTTATCTTTATTGATTGATGATCCTTTCAAAAATAATGTTTTAACAGTTACTATCTCCCAGTTATTGGCGTTCTGCTTTGAATATTTATCATCAAACAGGAAACTAATTACGGTTGAAAAGCTTTCATGTTCCGTACTACTGAACAAGGAGGAAATATTGGAAGAGTTGATGATTGTATTTGAAAAGCCAGATAACCAGTTGAAATTCTGGGTTTTATTTGCAATTAACATTTTCTATTCGGTTATGGCTACTTTTAGAGATGAAGAATCAAACACCCACGTGCATAACTTGAGCAAAGCAGGTACTTCTTCCTTCAACAAACTTATCAAATACTGTTTAGAATTGCTAAAGGACCCTTATATCTGCAGATTAGCGTGCATTTTTTTGACCCATTTTTCCATGTACAACTTCTTAACGAAATCCAATTTTTCACATCTTGAAAAGACTATCATCCAGCAATACGAGAATGTTATAGATCTTTCAGAAATAAACGGACCAGCTATCCTGTGTTATGAGTCCATTTTATTTTGGACAACAGCTGTTAATATTTGCAAGAATTTCAAGTTTAAAAATATAAAACTTCGCAATTCGTTGAACGCTTATGATTCTCAACTATTCGGCCACAAGGTATCACATTGGTTCACCGGGAAAATTGACCAGCTTTCTACACTGAACAATGCCTACGATATTTTTTCGATAACAATGTTTGTCGGTTGGTTATCAGGATTTGGGAGCATGAAGTTCGCTAAACGTGACTGGCAAAACATGGAACGAGTTTATGATGGTCATTCTTATAGACTAAGCCAAGAAATTTCAGAGAAAGCTAAACTTACTCAGTATATTTTGAAAAGCAGATCTATAAACTCACGCATGCATGTTAACAATATGGATTTGTATATTAGCGAAGGAACTCTTTCAAACAATGATGTCACCAAAAGTAGAGTACGATTAATGTTTATCAACTTTATTGAGACTTCAATGGATCATCATGCCATTGAGTGGTGCTTAGCCATGAAACTTTTTTTGGATGTGCCTTGTACGGACTATAGTAATCTTGTTGAAAAAACTATTGATAGCTTGAGAGAGCACTTTCATAGCATGAAAAACGATAAATCTTTACAGCTTTTCCTACACAAATTACTTGATGCTTTCAGCTCTATTTCATCTGAATCAAAAGACTGGATTTCTAAAACATCACACATAATTGCATTACCAATGGTATTAGAGGCATCACTTCGTGAGATTAATGCGGTTGACAAAAGCTATAAAGATCTTGAGTTTGAATTATTTGATTCGTTCATGCCATCAGCTAGTGAAGAGGTTCTGGATGAATCGTTTCCAGTTTACTCTGTGTATAACTTTGCAAGTTTAAGTCATTGCCTCACCTTGGAGCAAAAGGCAACTGATTATTGTCTGAAATTTTCCTCAGTTAATGACAATGTCGAGCAAGCATTAGAGACTGCTTTAAAGTTTACTTCAAAAATCAAGTCCAAATTTCAGTATATTGCATCACAAATTGAGATACTAAAGTTTATTGAAACCAATAATGTGGATACCATATCTGAACAAGTTATAGATGAGATGTTTAGTAGTTTAACATCCCTATTAGAGGACCATCTGACAAAAACAAATGAAAGCTCACTCATATTGATAGCTAGGGCTTTCAAAGCTTTTTGCAAGCGTTGGATGAACCCACAATTACCGGGTATCGATTCAGATGGGAAAGCTGTTTATGAGTATCTTACTAACTTATATCAAAAGAATATGATATACACAGAATCAGTTTTAATTGCATATTTAGATTTGTCTATGCAAATATTAACTTGTTTCAACAATAGTTCAATTGAATTCAACAATAAGGAAATCTGGAGTACCTCTATTGAAATATTTGCTATGCTATCGAATTTCAATAAATGCCAGGTAGGGGAATACATAAAAACCTTTATTCAAGATGCAAATGGAAACAAGCTTGAAATTTATAGCTCGTTTGTCAAATCATTTAAAGATCCTCATTTTAGTATTGAATCATCGGCAACATTTTGTTTCTTTATGACGAGAATTTCTGCAGCTTCTGAATCATTAACAGTGGCAACCGTTTGCAACCTTCTAGAGCTTTCAAACCATTCACAAATTCTGATGTATTTACCATATGCAATACGCTCAATAATTACTACCAATAATATTCCTGATGTTCATACATTATTTTGGAATTTCAAGGAAATTTTTTTCAAGTGTTGGTGGAGCTTTGAGTTTTCGATTGAAGAATTCCCCTTCAAGTTATTTGAATTTTCAACTTTAGACGACTTTTTTCTTGCAACTTACAAGGAAATGACAGCATTATCCTTGGCCTATAATCACAAATCTGAGATATCGAGAATTTCAAAAATCACCCGCATGCAAGAATCTTCAGTGGTGAATGATTCAATGGCTCTTTCGATAACATTATCCTGGACCAGAGGAGGCATAAGAAATAAAATATTTAAATCTTTTGAAAAATACTTTACGTCTTCAAAAACCTTAAAAGCAAACATAAAAGAGCAGTTCTTATTAATTGTATTTCAATTGTTTCGATTTTGTGACTGTTCCTCAGAGAATGAACTCAAAAATACATTTGCATTTGAAACAAATGAAAAGCATAAAGAAGATCTTTTTTCAAAGAATTCACAAAAAATATCATTTCTGGATGAATACGAACTCTATATCAAACCCAAAAGCTGTGTCGATATGATTAATTATTTTTCAGATACTTGCGGGATTGATGAAACCTGGACCGTGCCAACGGTTTACCATTTAACATCCAAAATACTGCTTTTGGTTGATTCTTCAATACTAGAGCTTGAAAAAAAGATTCATTTACGGAGATTGAAATTGCTATACATGCTAGCCTCAAAAGGATTTGCAAACTCCAATGTATGTGAAATCATTACAAGAAGTTTAGTACCTTATCTCAAAGATGACAATTTAATGGATGATGCTGCAAGTATGTTGAATTGCGTGTTATGTGAAAATAGTAAGTCTTTATCAAATATTTCAATAGAGGTCTGGGTATTACTTTTATGTAGCTTATTTGATGGCCATCGTTCTTCTCAATTAGATAATCTTCGTATAACTTTGTCCAGATTCCAGTCCGACATCAATATGGGGAAATTCTCCGAAATTCTTGATTTCGGTCTCAATACGATCCATAAGAAGAACACAACTCCCGTTCCTAACCTAATAGAATTTATCAATGTTTCATGTGAAGATGCTAAAAATACTCATATCTTGATCAAATTTCTTTCACTTTTATTTGAACGAAGTGTTCAATTGCACACACTAAATTACGAAAAGTTACATACTTCTTTGAATGAACAGTTTGTCCAAAACATCTACAAAATAAAGATTGATTACGCTAGTGAACTTTCCACTCCGATGCTCATATGGGTTGGCAAATGTTTGGGTATATATTATCAATTTTACGGAAATATTCCAGAATCAAGAATTCTTGAGTACGACAGTTACATGATGCAGCAAAACAATAGGCTTGAGTTTAACAAACTTGTAAAATCTCTAGATATGATCTTTGAATTGATGATCAAAGATCTTCCAACATCCAATCCGAGGACACGATACTGTTTCGAAACAATTGTTGGTGTGATTTTATACAAAAAGAATGTCCTACATGAAGATATCACCTCATATATATCATATGATAGTTTGTTTGAGCCTTTTGAAGACTTCATATATCCCATGGGCAACTATGTGTGCTCTCTTTTGATTGAGCAAGTGGAGAATAATAATCTAACATATTATAGGCACGGTCTTGAACAGGCGTTAAATGGATTCTCCACTAACATAAAAGCATTTAAATTAGAGAAGTGGCTCACTCAGATCTTATTTTCGATCATTAATGAACTTACTTCTCATACTTCCATCATTATTTTGTTGGCAAATTACATTTGCCATATTGCATCATTTTCCGTTAAGTGCTTCTGTCCTTTAATATTATACTTCATTGAAAATCAACCCATCAAACGTGGAAATCTCATTGGTAAAATGATTCATGATTTTTTTGCGGAAGACATCAATCAGCTACCCAAAGAAGCAATTCAGCTGTTTGTTGAATTGGTTCTGCTCATCAGAATTGGGACTAAAAATGGCAACGATAAATTTGTAAGCATTTTTCGCCATTTTGATATCCCTCCAATATACGAAGCGGCTTTGTACATTAAAAAATACAAGGCCGCTTTGATGCTTTTCGAAGACTATTATTGCAATGTTGACCTTATTACGCAAGAAGAGGTTTTGAATGATCCATCTTACAATATGTCATTGAAAGAAGCATACGAAGGCATTGAAGATAAAGATTTAGTATTTGGGTTGCCTATAGTTCCTAAACTTGATTATGGTATAGATATACTAAAAAACAATAATTTGAAATGGGGAGAGATGATGTTTAGCAATGCAAAATTTGAGTCTAGCCTTTTGTGGGGAAATTTTGACAAGGGAAACTATTTGAATAGCATTACTTCTGGTATGATGGAGTTGGGCTGGTCCGGTGTTTCAAATATTATGAGTGAATACTCATACGAAACCCCAAATAATGAAAAGGACTCCTACTCGGACATGTTTTATGAGCAATTATGGAAACTTAATCAGTGGGATATATCTGCTTCGACCGAATTTGTGAGCGAAAACAAATGCATTTACTCGATATTGAAGCAGATCAAAGAATTTCCTTTTGACGCCAAAAGCATTTGTGAAAAATCCATTGAAAAGCTAGTCAAGACAGAAGTCAAACTATTCACTAAACCAGGCGCAACTTCTGTTGAATCTTTAGAATCATGGGTAAGGACTCTTTCTTTATGCAGCATTTTTGAAAAAATGACATCAACAAACGAGGGGAAGTTTGAGGATTCATTGATTAGTTTTCACGAATCTACTTCCTGGTTTAAAAATGCAACGGTCACAGAATTCGAAAATATTTTGCTCGGTAGACGTTCTTTATTCGAACTAATGAGTCAATTTGGAACTGCTCGAATTAAACATGTTACTGCTGAACAGTGCTGGCTTGGAGCTGTGAACGAACTTCATGTTTATAATGATTTGATGACTCAAAAAAACTATACCCAAAAAGCTGTTAACGCCTCTGTTTACTTGGATCAGATTGCTACTCAAAAGTTCAAAGGAAGTAATTTGCTAGTTTCGAGGATATCTAAGTTTAATCTTGCGAAAGCATTTTGGACACAACAATCTGACACAAGATTTCCAGTTGAGACTCTGAAGGATATTATCAAAACAGATAAGGCCTCGAAGTCAATAAATGATGAACATGCCAGAGGACCTTTGGGGATAAGTTCTCTATATATAATGGCCACTGTGGCAAAATGGTGTGACGAATGCAAACAAGAAACTTCGGCCACAATTATGAATACTTATATTGAGCCGATAGTCCAAGATCTCAACACCTATTCAGGAAAAGAATTCGATGATTTAGGTTTAACCTATCATATAATGGCAAAATTTTGTGATGATCAAATTAGGAAAGAGCATGATGACACTTTCATGGAGAAGCTTTGCCGTTCAATTGTCAGTTTAGAACACGACATCAAATCGCTTACCAAGTTTCTTCAAGAAGAGACCCGAAAAGAGAAAAAGAGATACGCATTACAGGATTTGAATAGGCTGAAAATACGCTATAAAGCAAAAAGCAAAGAACTGGCAGCAGTTAAAAAAGAACGTAATGTTTACATTGAAAAGGCAATTAGCTTTTACTTTAGATCCATTGCTCTCGATGTTAAGGATCAACTTGAAAGTGACGTTGATCGATTTTGCTCATTATGGATCGAACATAACGATATTAATATCGATGAAGACGAACTTCTTCGGCTCCCCACTTCTTGCTTTGTGCCCTGGAGCAACCAGCTTACTTCAAGGCTTCTGGATGAAAATACAGCCTTTCAAAATATTTTGAAAAAATTAATCATTAACATTTCACTATCCCATCCTTTTCATATTCTCTATTTGATCAAGTCTTTAATTATAACCAAAGGGGAATCTGACGATGCTGCTGTTGCTTCTAGAGGAAATGTTGCTGAAAGTATTTGGGAAATACTATATCGGTCAATTGATGAGTTTAATGTTGAAGGTGTTACGAATATCCTTGAATCAGTTGAAGGTTTTTCTGATAAAGCTGTCACAGTTGCCAACTCAAAACTAAAAAATACAAAGAAAGCTTCGATTTTGAAATTTCCAGACGGTAAATGGTGGGTGGATACTTTACCCACTTTATCTCTACCTTCTCCCGTAAAAAATATTCCTGTACAAAAGCATTTCCCCTACAGAAAAGAAGAACTTCCAATCATTTTACGAATAGATGAAAACATTGTTATTGCTGCTTCAGGAGTCAGCCATCCAAAAATAATGAAAATGATTTTATCCACTGGTGAGAGTCAAAGAATGCTCTTGAAAGCCCCTGATGACCTTCGCCAGGATTCTATCATGAAGCAAGTTTTTGAAAAAGTTAACAAGTTGTTATGGAGAAATATTGAAACCCGGAAACGCAATTTGAGGATTAGAACTTACAATGTGTCACCTTTAGGACCAACTTCTGGTGTGTTAGAATTTGTGCCAAATTCAATGCCTTTGATTGACATCTTGAAATCGTTGCATCAAGGCGATGAGATGGATATTACTGAAGCACGCCTCAAAATGAAAGAATTTCAAAACCAATCAAAGAATGTCAGAATTCAAGTATACAAGGAAATCTGTCACAAAGTAACACCGAATCTAAGGACTTTTTTTTTCAACAACTTCACCTCTTCGGATTCGTGGTTTGAGTCTAGGACTTTGTATTGCCACGGAATTGCCACGACATCTATAACGGGGTATATTTTAGGAATCGGTGACAGGCATTGCAATAACATTTTACTAGACAAATCTTCAGGAGAACCGATCCACATTGATTTTGGAGTTGCATTTGACCAGGGCCAGGCATTGCCTATTCCTGAAACGGTTCCTTTTAGATTAACTCGTGATATAGTGGATGGTATGGGCGTAACTGGTGTGAATGGTATGTTCAGTAAAAACTGCGAACATGTTCTTAATGTGCTGAGAAGCAACACACAGTACATAAGTGGTATATTGGATGTTTTGAAGTACGATCCACTATACACATGGACTATGTCTCCCTTGAGGAAAAAGAAATTAAAGCAAATTTACTTTAACAATGACGAAAGTGATAAAGGCTTTGATGAATTCATCAAAACAGATACAGGTTCTGAGGCAAACGCGGCCATTGAAACAGTGAAAAGAAAGCTTGGAGCACAAGGACTCAGTAATGAAGCTGTAGTCAGAGAATTAATTCATGAAGCCGTTGATCCTAGGAACTTGGCACTTATTTTTATGGGATGGAGCCCGTTTTTATGATCACTTCTTTCTATCCGCATATCCCGCTCAAAATTTGTTTCGTGTACAGTATTCAAATATACCCAAGATATATTATAAGGGTTGTATTATACATAATATAACTATTTATATAAGAAGAAAAAGTAGAGTTGGAGGACTAGTTTTTGGTGTCAATTCCTTCTCTACTATTATTTCCCCATCTATTATTGCCATTGTTATTCTGATTGTAATTTCCATTACCTCGTCTTTGATTATTGAACTTATTTTGTCTATGGTTGTTGTATTGTCTGTTGTTATTACGGTAGTTCGAGTGGTTATCCTTCTCTCTCTGTTGTTGTTCTTTGAATTTCTCAATGAACTCATTACCCATCTTGAAAAACTTGATTGTGGTACCTCTGATATATATACGATCTATCTTGTGAAAAGGCTCGTCCATGGATAAAGAAGCATACGCCGAGGTAAGTGTGACATTCATGTAAGAGTCACAGTTTTCTAGGGTACCGTTGATGATACCCGCATTCTTGAGTTCGACGACCACAGTCTCGCCTTTCACTGCATTTAGAAGATATAATGGGAGCATGACTTGTTGTTAGGGTGTGTTGAAACGCAATAGTTCCAAGATCCTGCGTGTATGTACAGAACGACAAATGATCGTAGAAATGGCCTCCTCCTCGGAAGTTTGCTCCATCTCAGAATAATTTCCTTCTCGATCAAAATACTTCACCAGAACATCGGCCCTCCAAAATGTCAGTCCGCGCGGAAGGCAGCGCTGTTTGGTTTGAAAGAAGTCTTTCAGCAGGCCATACAAAGCGCTAAACGCTAATGAATGGAAGGTATTAGGTGAATCATAGACCTTTGCAATTTCCCCCAAGCTAGGATAAAGACAGCCATATTGAGATAATCTAAATATGAGTGCTCTTGACCTTTCAGCTACGAAGTGCCATCCATTGGAAATGCCCAATTGTGATAGCAAAGACGCAAGATTACGATTGGACTGTAGGACTGGTGCTTCGGTGAGCATATTCAATTCTAGAGTATTTGTCTTTGGTGGTGCCACATTAGAGCTCGAAATTCCCCAAGATTTTACATTAGAGACGATTCGTTCAGTATTCAAAACAACACTGGAACTCAGCGCTAACGAAAATAGACACACTGAATATAACCAGTATCTATCAGCGGAGTGTTTCAGACTTAGTTTGATAAGCAGAAAATGGAATCATTACAAGACAAATTCATCGAGCACGTTGGAGACTCCACCGGCTCGGTTCTTCCATGCAATGTGTGTTTATGATAACTATATTTATATCAGTGGTGGTATCAATTTTAGTAATGACAATAAGCCTGAAGTGTTGAACGATTTGTGGAGATTTGACAGTATTGACAGACAATGGAAATGCATCTACGAGAATGGAAATAGTGAACTGTTGAAAAGATACGACCATATAATGTTGATGCTGCCCAACCTTGAGATGTTTGATAAGTCCTTGATTCAGCCAGGAATTTGTATGGTAGGTGGTGTTGGGGAGGATGGACAGTACCACCAGGCCCTAGATCTTTTTGACATGAGTACTCTTAAAGTATATGAAAAAGAGCATCCAAATTTATCAGAATTTAGACATTCAAGGCAAGGGAATTCTGAAGAGGAACATCTCAAGATACGACATTCATTGAATGCTTTTTATCCTGAGCTTTGTTCTAACACAAATGATTTGAGACTTTACGGTTTTTGCAAAACACCAGATCCGGTTGAGTTCGAACCCCTTCTGGTATTCACTAACAGTTGCAAAGGAGTTAGATACTCTCACAATAGTAATTTTGATATCAGTGATATTTCAAGTTTGCAGTTCCCCACAATTGGAGTGTTTGGCGAAAACATTCTGGTGATAGGTTTCATAGCCAATGAAAGAAAACTTTCCTCTTACGTTTTCAATATTAGAACCGATACGTGGACAAAACTTCAAATATCATGTTTGCACAAGGTGTACACCCACAAACCATCCAAGGGTTTTGTATGGGAATCACATCATAAAATTGCATTTTTGGGGTCGATGAGCATGAAGGATGCATCTGGCTCTGTTGACTATTTTGATAACCTGGTTGTCATGTCACTGCCTTTCACTAACTTTTTTGGGAAAAAGCCATATACTGTTGCCCAAAGACTGAGATTCTCTAACTCTCCAAGCGCTAGCAGCTTACATACCCTGGAGAATAATTCGGTGAAGAGGACAAATTCAATCACATCAGCTAATTCCAACTTGAGTCATGTCCGTGCTAACCCTGTTCACGGAATGGAGCACACTGGAGATTTTGCAGGATATGCTTATCACGTTGCTCAGCAGATGCAGGTGAATTCCATTAAATCAGTCTTGCCCTCATATGCAATTGCAATTGGAAAGAATGCATTCGATAGAAACACTGCTTTATCTGATATCGATCTCGTATGCTCGGATGGAAATGTCGTTCCCATACCTCTTACGCTCTGTCGGAGAAGATGGGGGTATGGATTTGATGAGCTTTTTGCTGATGCGTGTGCGAAGTTGCATCTTGAGCAAAGAGCACTTAACCTGGTTGAGTCTTCGAGAAATAGCTTCAGTGACTCTTGTGATAATGACAGTGACGATTATGCATCAATTGGTTCGAAAAATAGTCTCTCTGGACCAAATTTCAGATATCCATTTCAAGAAAAGGGAAATAAGAATGAACCATTTTCAATACGAGGCGGACGAGTGCGGTCTCCCTCCCTGAATGAGTCCAGAAATAATTCTATGACAGGGAGCTTGTTCAACCCAACTGCGCTCAACAGGGCATCCATTTCTCTGTCCCAATCAAGGAGAAACTCGTCTAATATTGGACTGTCAAGAAACAATTCAGTTTCATATCTATCCCCTTCACGCAGAAGTTCTTTGAGCAACTCTGCTAACTCAAGAAGACATTCTTTGGGAGGAGGTTTACAGATTGCACAATCCTCCAGTCGTCGTGGATCTACTCTGTCTAGAAGCTCAATGCTTTCAACTTCGTCAAACTCCTACAATTCATCATCTTCTAATCCTTTATTACGTCAGCATGTGAATCATAACTCTCAAAGCAATGTTACTATAGGATCATCTCCGGGCTGTTCAACATCTGCTCCAATTTCATTTTCCCCTGCGCTGGGAGCGCAAAGATCATCAGTTACCAGCAATAATGATATCAATAATAACAATGAAGGTACAGATACTCTTCATTTACCTCCATCGATTAAACTGGAAAATATTCCACTTCAGTTGCCCATGCCAGAAGTATTACCGGATGGAACACCGATGCACAACTTGGATCCTGAATCTCTTTCTCGTACATTGTCGCATATTTCAGCTGCCGAAAATACTTTTTCAAAGAAAAATAGCTTGAACAGTATGCCTCGCTCCTCAAGAGAAGAGATAGCTGATATGGCTGAGCAAATCGAGAATTCTCTTGACATGAATACAAAGTTTGATCCGGTCTTGCTACCAAGATCTCTATATTTACCATATCCACGAAACACTGTTCATGCAATTGTTGAATACCTCTACAGTGGCCAGATAGGAGCGAACTGGAAGCTATTCCCCACTGGAATTGAGCTTTTACAAGCGACAAAGCAATTAGGAATTCCATTATTGTACGATCTAATTCTGGAGTTGTTTTTCGTTTCGTTAGGCATAATGGAAGCCACACTAAAAGCAAAATTGATACTGATTTTGGAAAAAGAGAACAATGGACAATCTAACGGTTCTGATGAACATATTTATAGTTTGTTAGATATGAAAGGGAACGATGATTTTGACTTGGATTGGAAGTTGTTGTTGGAGGCAGCTACGGGGAGCAGAAGAGATTCTGGGTCAACAATTAGCAGTGATATGAAGATAGATGATCATGAGCAAAGCATCACGAGCAGTCATGGTGATCAGATGTTAGATTTGGCTGATCTAGGACCGACCGATAAAATTGAGGCTGAGGCATGTGACCTGAGTCCAACTAACACCAAATTTGAAGCTGCTTCTTTGGCAGCTACGGAGAAGGTAGAACCTAAGGAGGTTCCAGACGATACTGATGGCCATCGTTTCAGAATCACCATTGGTACTTTAGACGAGATCGGATATGAGACCACCAGTGATAGCGAGGACGGAGAAGAGGATGAAAGTAACGAAGGATTTTTGATGAAATCTTTCAAGAAGTTTACGTTGGACGGAAGCGCAGCAAAAGCGGATGCTGCTGACAGTCGTAAAAAGCTGAAGAGATGGCCGACCTTCAAAGAGCTGGTCAATGATGAGAACACGAGTTTTGTCTCCGAAACGATAATCCAGTTGTTTCTGGAAACGGGTGTGCTGATCAATGACTCGAAGTTGATGCTACAAGCAATCCACGTGCAGCAGTTGTACAGATGTCTCCGAGAGCTGCGCAGCAGGGACAAAAAGGCGCAGGAGGAGTCGGCGCAGGAGGAGCAGCCTCTTCGCCAGCAGCCCGCAGAACGTGCGAGAGATGGCAAGCTGGAAGAGAGGACCCCTGCGGGTCCTGCGGGTCCTGCGGGCCCGAAGGACCCAAAAGGCCCTGATGCCGGCTCTACAACTAAGCCGAGCGAGAAGCCCAGGAACCTGACTGTGCGCTCTGCGTTTTACGAGGGAGAGGGCGGCAACGGCGGTGCCGGCAGAGAGAGCGGGATGAGTTCGCCCAAGAACCTGGAGGTGTCGTTGCCGACCTTCGACGCGTTCCCGGCGGACAGCAGCCTGAGGAAAAGCAAGTCCAGCGTGAGTGTTCTGTCTGCTCCTACCTCGCTGTTGCGTGCCACGGAGAGCCACGGCAGCGCCCTTGGCGCCCTGGGTGCCGTTGGCGGCATTGACGAGGCCTTGTCGGTGCGGCACCCTTCTCCGCGCAGGGATCACCTCCATCTGCCGGTCAACAACGACAGCAACCTGAGCGTGGACTTTCCCACCCTGAATGCCACCGGTAGCGGCCGCAGTACAGGCGTTCACAGCGACGACCACAGTCTCTACAGCGTCGAGACTCGGGGCAGCGACAAGGGTGACGCCAAGAAGAAGAAGAAGCGTTTCTTTGGCCGTTTCAGACGCTAGTGTCTGCGCCAACCGCATACTGTATGTATATATATATTCCTTGTGTACCTTTTTTTACCGTATCCGGAAAGCGGCAAGAGGGCCTTTTCATGTCGGCAGACCCACCTGCTCCCGGCTAAAGCCGGAAACAGCCAACTCCATTTTTTGCGACGATCGTCGCAAAACGTCGATCGTCGCAAAAACTTTTGCTGTCGGAGTCCTGCTAATCCGTCCGTGCGCTTACCGCACGGGCTGGCGGCGGAAAGTGCATCCCGCCGCCGGCGGCCGAAAGCGGCGGGCACGCGAATGCAGGCAGACGCAGCCTGGCGCCCTGCCGGGCGGAGAAGTCTGCGGGGGGCGGGCAGGGCCCCGGTGATTCCACGGCAGAAGGGAGCCGGAGTTGGCAGTATGAGGTGACAGGTGCTGAGCATTTGGGGCAGCTTCCAGAGGCGGGGAAAAGGTATATAGGTGGCCTAGAGGGGCAATGGTAGTGCTGATGAGGCTCAGAATGCTTTGAAAAAGACATGTAGGGAAGTTTGCTGGTTCTTCGTTGTGCTGGTTTGTTGCTTTGCTGCACGGGACAACTAAGAGATGGCGAAAAGAGAGAAATTCAACATTCTTCAGATCGCCAAGGACACGTTTGTGCCGGTGGCTCCACGAAGTGAGACAGACGAGTACTGTTTGAACGCGCAGGCGGAGAGCTTTCCTTCGCCAAGAAGAGGAGAAGAAAGGGAGGAAGGAGAGAGCGGTGGCTACAGAGAGGGGGGCGTGGTAGACTACGACGACTGCTTCGACAACGGTGAGTTCACAAATGAGGACCTCGAGGTGGCGTACAAGCGAGACATCGACCGGATGTCGAGCACGAACAAGGGCGGTTTGGGGGGTGGGTCGCTGGAGAAAACCGAGCCGTACTCAGACACGTCGTCGTCGACCGGATCCGAGTACTGGAAGTACGAGGAGGGCCGCACGCACCGGAAGTTGAAGCGGCGGCAGATCGAGCTTATTGCCATCGGGGGCACGATCGGGGTGTCTTTGTTTGTGAACATCGGCACGTCGTTGAAGACGGGCGGGTGTCTCTCGCTCCTCCTGGGGTTCATGATCTGGTGCATCCCGATTCTTGAGATCACCTGCTGCTGCGCAGAAATGGTGTGCTACCTCCCGATCAAGGGGGCTCCGTTCTGCGTCTTTGCCGAGCGCTTTGTCGACGAGGCGTTTGGCGTGATGGCCAGCTGGAACTTCTGGGTTTTGGAGTGCGCCTTGATCCCGTTCGAGTTGACCTTGTTCAACACGTTGATCCACTTCTGGACAGACGGCTACTCGCCGGCAATCCCGCTTGCGATCGAGCTGGCCATCTACTTCTTGATCAACGTCGCCGCCGTGAAGTGGTACGGCGAGGCCGAGTTCTGGCTCTGCATCGGCAAGGTGCTCCTCGCCGTGGGGCTCATGTTCTTCACCTTCATCACCATGGTAGGCGGGAACCCGGACCACCACGCCTTTGGCTTCACGAACTGGAAACACACCCCCGTCATGCTCGAGTACTACCACCTCGGAAGCCTGGGCCGGTTCCAGGGTTTTCTCGCGTGCTTGATCAGCGCCTCGTACATGGTGGCCGGTCCGGAGTACTTGAGCATGGCCGCCGGAGAGACCATTAACCCCCGCAAAATCCTTCCGGGGGCATTCAGGGGCGTCTTCTTCAGGCTCAGCACGTTCTTCATTGGCGGCGCTCTCTGTGTGGGCATCTTGTGCAACGCTAAGGACCCGCTTCTCCTCAACGCAATTGCCGCCGGGCTTCCCGGCGCAGGCTCGTCCCCATACACCATCGCCATGCACAATATGCGCATCAAAGTCTTGCCCCATATTCTAAACGTGATGTTGCTCACTTCCTGTTTCAGTGCTGGCAACTCCTACACGTTCTGCTCCTCCAGAACCCTTTACGGGCTAGCGATTGCTGGCAGAGCCCCTAAGATCTTTGGCTACTGTAACAAGCAGGGCGTCCCAATTTTTGCCGTTTTGGTGTCTTTAGCCTGGGGCGCATTGGGCTTTCTCCAATTGAACAAGAACGCAAACACCGTTCTAAACTGGATTATCAATTTGATCACTGCTTCCCAGTTGATCAACTACTGTGTCATCCTCTTCACGTACTTGCACTTCCGCAGAGCAGTTCTTGCCCAGAGGATCGACAGGTCTGCCTTCACCTTCAAAGCGTGGTTCCAACCCTATGCATGCACCATAACCTTGGTCGTTGTCTTCATCATGGTTTGGTTACAGGGCTACACCGTGTTTCTACCGGGGAACTGGTCGCTTGACACATTTTTGTTCTCCTATTTGATGTGCTTTGTGGACATCTTCATCTTCGTGGTGTGGAAGATATACAAACGCACCAAGTATCGGTCCAGTCCGAAGGACGTCGACCTTACCACCGGGCTTGCCGAAGTCGAGTTTCACGAACATACGCTCGAAAGAAAGAGACTGGTTTACACCAAAGTGGCGAGATGGGAGAGATGGTTAGGTCAGATCACTCAGTTCCTCTTCGGTAAAGACTAGGCAGTCATATGTTTGCATTTTCCATATTCTTTTCATTGCCTTTCCTTCACTTCTTCAACATGTGTTTTCCTTTCTTTTTGTTAATGCCGCGTATATTTTTATATGGTTGTGATCGGCTGTTGAACAATTAATTAGATCGTATTTAGACTGAAAAATCCTCCTTGCGACAGCAGCGTCCTGCTTTCTCACTACAATCTGGGGGGGGAGCATGTACCAATCCAAGAAGCTTTTCCCCCTGGATGGTCTTTGAGCAAAATCCATCTTCTCCTTCCTTGTGCTTATTGACCCTCCGTCTTCTGCCCAGCTTTCTTCCCTTTTCCCTTCCCCGTTTAAGAAGGGGGCAGCTCGGCCCGAGATGTCAGGTGACGATCGACCGTGGGAAAGTGTACTCCGAGGGGTTACGTAATCCGGGTCATTTCGAGAGTGGCTTGACGGGGTCGTGAGCGGTTGTCCATCTATCATGTATTGCACTGTCTCTCTGAAACGTTCAGACGGTCTATTAGGAGTGGGAGTACAGGTATTTCTTCTCCACAACTGCATAAAAAGTTGCTACAGCTGGCAATCAAAGAATCAAAACCACAATATACGAAAATGAGTGCTCATGTTGAAGCAGTTAGCCTGGACGGAAAGTCAGATTTAGCATCTCATGTCCTTTACACTTCGTTTGCAGTCATTTCGACTTCCGATTACGCTGCATTAATCCAGTTCTACAAGAAACTCGGATTTAGAATTGTGAAAACTTATTCTAAAGACCACTACGTTTCCAGCAGTAAAACCATCTCCGGTATCTCGACAGATTCAAGAAAAGAATGCTGGTTGGAGTCCTTTCCTTGCAGCAGAACAGACACCAAGGGAAATCTAATTCCTTTCCAAGAAACAATTGAGTATTCACATCCGGAGCTTTCTTCCTCTCAAGCTTGTATGAACAGAGGCGTTGTCTTAAAAGTGAGATTGGTTTCTCATGATGTTCACAAAAACATTGAACTACCAGGAAGAATCGTCCTTTTGACTTATTCATTAGATTCTGTCAAGAAAATTGCAGCCAAAGAAAATCTCGAAATCATTCAACCTTCAGACGCAGAAAAATCCGTGGTCAGCTTTTTCCTAAAAGATCCAGTGGGAAACTTGATTGGATTTACAAATAAGCCTTTGCCAGACTCTGGGTCAACCATCACTTCAAAGGATGAGTATTTCACGAGTAAGGCGGTCATAGACTCTTTGAAAGAAAAAGAGGCCGAGGTTGACACCCGAACCAAAAATTCAAAAAAGAGAATCGCTGTTCTTACCTCTGGTGGTGACTCACAAGGTATGTGTGCTGTTGTGAGAGCAGTTGTTAGAGCTGGGATTTACTTGAACTGTGAAGTCTTTGGTTGTTACGAAGGTTACTCGGGTTTGGTTCAGGGTGGTAAACTGTTAAAGAAGCTGGAGTGGGGAGATGTTAGAGGTTGGCTATCACTGGGCGGTACCCTTATTGGTACGGCGAGATGTATGGAATTCAGGGAACGTGAAGGTAGATTATCGGCTGCCAAAAACATGATTCTGAGAGGTATTGATGCGTTGGTGGTCTGTGGTGGTGATGGGTCATTGACCGGTGCCGATCTATTCAGATCTGAGTGGCCTGATTTGGTTAAAGAACTTGTCACAAACGGTACTTTTACCGATAAGCAGGTAGAGCCTTACAGAAACTTGACGATCGTTGGCCTTGTCGGTTCAATTGATAACGATATGGCTATGACCGATCATACAATTGGCGCCTTTTCATCTCTCGAAAGAATTTGTGAGATGGTCGATTTCATTGACTCGACGGCAGCATCCCACTCAAGAGCTTTCGTTGTCGAAGTTATGGGGAGAAACTGTGGTTGGTTGGCATTAATGGCAGGTATTTGTTGTGGAGCCGATTATATCTTTATTCCTGAAAGACCTGCTAAGGCCGAATCCTGGAAACAAAGCTTGAAAGAAATTTGTTTGAGACACAGAGCAAAGGGCAGAAGAAAGACTACTGTCATCGTTGCTGAAGGTGCCATCGATGACAATCTGCAAAAAATTACATCGGAGAATGTTGAAGAGTGTTTAGTTGAAATGGGATTGGACACCAGAATTACGCAACTAGGACACGTTCAAAGAGGTGGTACGGCTGTGGCTTTTGATAGATTTTTAGCCACTGTTCAAGGTGTGGAAGCAGTGAAGGCAGTTTTGGAAAACACACCATCTACTCCATCTCCAATGATTGGTATCTTGAACAACAGAGTGGTGCGTAGACCTTTGATGGAAGCTGTCAAATTGACAAAGTCGGTAGCAACGGCTATTTCCGAGAAAAGATTTGACGATGCTATGGGTCTGAGAGACTCTACTTTCAAGGAATACTACTCTAACTTTTTGAGTATCTCACAAGGCGATGACAATCAAAATCTACTACCTGAAAGCAAGAGATTGAAGGTGGCGATTATTCACGTCGGCGCTCCAACAGCAGCCTTAAATGCTGCAACCAGAGCTGCTGTTCTTTATCTCTTATCCAAGGGACACGAAGCATATGGTATTCAGAACGGGTTCACCGGCCTAATCAGACATGGGGCTATCAGGCCTTTAAGCTGGATTGATGTTGAGGAGTGGCACAATTTAGGTGGTTCCGAATTGGGCACCAACAGAAGCTTACCATCTCTGGACATGGGTGCAGTTGCATACCATATGCAGGCGAACCACATCCAAGGCTTGATTGTCATTGGAGGTTTTGAAGGCTACCAAGCAGTCAAAGAGCTAAGAGATGCAAGAGAACAATATCCTATTTTGAGCATGCCTATTGTTTGCTTGCCAAGTACCGTTTCAAACAACGTTCCAGGCACGGAGTACTCAATTGGCTCGGACACGTGTTTAAATGTGTTGGTCAACTATTGTGATGCTGTCAAACAGAGCGCATCTTCCTCTCGTCGCCGTGTTTTTGTCATTGAGGTACAAGGTGGGAACTGCGGGTACATTGCAGCATTCTGTGGCTTGGTCACAGGAGCATTGGCGGTCTACACGCCGGAGGTGAAGGTCAACCTCAAGTCTATCCAGGAAGACATGGATCTTTTGGAGAAGTCGTATGCCAATGATCACGGAGACGAGAGATCGGGTAAGATTTTTATCAGAAACGAGAAAGCCTCCAAAGTATACACGACGGAGTTGGTTGCCAACATTATCAAGGAGGCTGCCCACGGCAGATTTGAAAGCCGTACAGCGATCCCAGGTCATGTGCAGCAAGGTAAGATTCCTTCAAGTATGGACCGGATTTCAGCCGTTAGGTTTGCAATCAAGGCGTGCCAGTTTATCGAGGAAGATAACGAGGAGACCGCAGCGAAAATTACCAAGTACAACACAAAGAACAAGATTTTCAAGGAGGCGGAAGGCGAAGACATCAACAGTCCCGAATTTGATGGCGGGGAGAGTGCAGACTTCTTCAAGGCGGAAAAAGACCTCAGATATACGTACAAGCACGGCAAGAAACTTGAGATTGCGAAGGGGCAGAATGCTGTTCTGTGTTCGATCCAGGGGACGTCTGTCTGCTTTAAGGACATTGAAAAGGTGTGGAACGAGCATACAGATGTTGTGGGGCGAAAAGGGTTGGACATGCACTGGGAGCTACTCCCTGTGATCAACGACATGTTGAGCGGAAGGTTAATGATCCGTGAAAACAAGCCTGGCTTGTCCTAGGGTAGTAATTACCGCACCACGATCCGCTGAGTTTATGCATACATACATACGCACATACATACATACATACTCACCTATATACATGCATTGCCACACATGTGCATACATCAGGATATGCAAAAAATGTGATTTTAGTGACGTGAAATGGGAGAATGTGAAAATGTAGTTGGGGAAAGTCTAACCGATTGGGACGCACTAAACCCGCCCTCTTCACTTCTTCTTCTGGAGGGTCCTCTCTCGAGGGAGCGCTGCACTACCAAGACAGGCAGAGGGAAAGATCGAGAACCCGCACAGGCGCAGCTCCTCCAGTGAGAGGGAACGAAATGAAGTGAAGCGAAAAGTACGCATGCGTGCCTGTGGCCTGTTTCGTATGTAATGGTAATTCTAACGCCTCCCCTCTTGGGTGCAGGGACCAAACTCAACCAAATCGGGGAAGGGGGGGGGGGGGCAAAAGGGGCCCAACGAGAGCAAAAAGCGGGAGAAAAAAAAAACATTACCGCCCTCCTTTTTTCCCTGGCTTTTCAAAAGAAACCAGTCGGTTCAGTATCCACATGCACTGCGTTTCCGAGCAGCATGTGGCGTTACCCCTAATTCGCGAGATCAACCCGCAAGGACCAGGGGCGAACTAGTGCACGGGTACCGCGGGGAGGGCGGGCCGGAGACGGCAGGAAGCAGGAAGCAGGCAGACAAGTCAGGCCAGGTTTCTGCCTTTCGGGACTAAAAGACTCAGCGAGATCTCAACCTGCCTTCAGCCTAGTCGGCGAGGTGCAGGAGTCTGGAGCAGGACTCGCAGGTTGCCGCATGTGCCGCGGGAAGGAGAAGGGGGGGGCGATCCCACATACGCACAAGGGGCGGAGGCGACAGAGGCGAGCAGGCACAGTAGAGCAACGATTAACGTTGCCGCGCTGCGATGGGCAACCACGTCGGAAGCGGGAGAAGTCAAGCCAGACTATAGAACTATAGATGAGATGCCCGTCGGCGTGTGTCTTACCGCTCTGCATCAAGTAGGCTTCTCTCCGTGTCACAAGCACAGTCGGTGCCCCGCTCCTCCGGTTGCGTAAGAGCCGTGATGCTGTAGTTGCCGCCGTTTGTCTAGAAGCAACGAAAACTCGCCTCGAGCGATCCTGCGCCAGGACGGCGTACGCCGAGGTTTGTCTCCAGTGGAGTGGAGCAGATCAGTGTTCCGGAAATAGCTTGTGACTGGGACAGGTTCCAATCTGCAAAACACAATGATCTGCCCCAGTCATCAGAAAGAGTATTACTCAGCGATGAAGCCTTGTGACAGGCCTCCGCTCATAGTTCGGTAAGGGTAAGTGGTCCGCATGCAGCGAGGCGGTCCTCAGGGGATGGCGATAGCAGACCAGCCGTTCCGAATGACGTGATCTAGGCGAGACGTCTCTTTTACTCGTTTTTGCCTTTTTCGGCTGGCCGCGGCGAGCGTCGGGAGACCGGGGGCGAATGGCCCTGCGGTCGCCTTGGGTCGCCTTGGGTCGACTTGGGTCGATTTGGGTCGACTTGGGTTTTGCAGAGGATCGCCCTGAAGCTTAAGCTGGCTGGAATGGATTCTCTGCAGATCGCGTGCTACAGATTGCGCCGCCCATAATTGCACGCAGGCTCACTGAGGGGCGCTTTTGCAGTGCTGGCGTGGTGTTGTTGACATTCAGGATGCGTCTGGCTTGCTGCAAGAGCGATCTAACGAGTTACAGTAGGGTTAGCGGGGCATGGCGGGGAGCGGTGGGAGCTGGGGAAAGGGGGAGAGGATTTGTTGGCCCCTGCTTTTTGTAGGTGACACAGAGGGAAATTCTTCGAGAAAGAGGTCACGAATAGGTCGTCACGGAGAGAAGCCTAATGTGGGTACTAAACATTCTCGGAGACCCTGAGGCGACGAGAAAGCATGTTGCCAGCGGCTGTCTTTCCTATCTGATATTTTTTATGCATCCGTCTGCGTGATATGGGGTGCTGAGGGCACAGTCGTTTTCGATGACGGGTTGCCAGGGAGTAGACTGTAGCTGTTTCAGGGAAGAGACGACCTGCAGCGGTGGCAGGCGCACGAGGCTGTCGTCTCTGCACACCGGTTTTTTCCCTTCTTCGGGCGGTCTGGCTCGGCCCTGGAGTGGTAACCTCCAGGCGAATGTGTGACTCTGGTGGAGCTTGGAGCAGAAAGCGGCGGGGGCCAGGTGGACCAGACAAAAAGGTGCATTCTGGCTGCAGTTCTGGCCATTTTGAACACCGAGACACTAGCAGGGCAATCTAATTCGCCTCCCTTCCAAACAGAGCTAGCTGGCGCACCACGGTGCTCTCCTGCGTTCCCTCGCATTCGCCGGCCCGTGCCACTCTCCCTCTCTGCCCTTTTCCCTTCGTCCTCTCCCCTGCTGCCTATGCTTGCCCTCTCGCCTCGCAAACAGAACATATTTTTTCTCCACATACATTCATCTAGCCCAGCGATGGCACAATAATAGGCCCCAACACTGGCGCAATAATAGGCCCCAACACTGGCGCATACTCCATGCGCGGTGTGCCCGGGAGAAGAGGCCAGCACTCCCAGCGGAGATAATCACGTCCCATTTGTCCAAAACGCGACCGCCGTTAAAACAGCCTCAATCTCATTCCAGAGCATGCTGGGGGACACATTGATGTACGGCAGCCCCCGCCCCTCCCCTCGATAAAGAAGGCACCAGCCAAGCATTGTATCGAGTTTGCTGACCCCGCGCACATGCGTCCGGCTCTGGTTTGCAGCCGTTTACAGCCCAACTCTATTTTATTCCTGCGGGACAGAACCTGCACGCAGCAGTATACGAGAGCCGCTCAACAGGTTCGTTCCTCTGGCACCGCAGTTTCCTGACGCACGTCGGCGAAACCGGGTCCGTGACCCGCGGCCGGCCTCTTGCACTAGTCACTTTGTTCGCCGTGCGTGGGCGGCGTCAATATATTCCGACTCAATTTGCGCTACACTGTCTGTTGGGAGAAAATCTCACTAAAAAATTAGTAGATAAAAATTTTGTTGCTTTTTTTGCTTTCTTTTTCTGTGTTCCCATCCTTCCCATTTTTTCCCTCGTGTTCCCTTCCTCTGCCTTTTTTTCTCATTTTCCACTTATTCTGCGCACCCTCACATTTGCCATTTCGAGCCAGCCCTTTTGTTGTTATTGCTCTGCTTCGCTCTTCCGTAATCGCATTGTCTGTAGTGTGTGCAAATTATCCGTTCCATAATCCTGTGCTTTCATCGTTCCATTCCTTCACTAGGTTTTGTTCTTTAATCCTCTGCCTCCTTCCGCCCACCCATCGTATCTTTCTTCGTGTCGTCTTCTCTCTTCCTCCTTTTCCTCCTCCCGGACCCCTATACTCGCCTGTTTCAAACGCCGGAATTACTTACGCCCCGACACTGGAATCCGTACTCCTCCTCAAATATACACACAGTTTGTCTAACACCCCTCAGCTATCGTGTTAACACTCTGTATCTATAATCGAGCATATACGTAACTTTTCACTTTTGAAAACCAACACCACAATTTTTGGCTCTAATCTCAAACATCATCTAGGAAAATCAAGTAATCAACTCTCGTCGATTTCCTCAAAGGTACATTGCATCAGCTTATCTTTTTCTTTTCGACATCTACTGCCCACATTTTTCGTTTAGCACCAGAACTGAACAGTGTTTCTGCTTAATTTCTCTTCCTTACTTCTGTCACAGAGCATAGCTTCCAACCAAGATATTAGTACAAACAAAGGCCAACGCCTGCCAATCAGCCACAAATCATTCTCCAGCGTTTTCTTACCCATCAACCGATCGAAGAATACCCGATGAAAATTTGCTAGAAAAAACACAAGCATAGAAACCCATTTAATTAATCAATTAAAAATTAAACTGAACGAACAGACAACACTTCTCAGTCATCAAGCTTATACATTGTACATCAAGTACAACTGCATATAATAATAGATATATCGTGTGGACAATAATGGAAAATAACAATACCCCATATAACAATTTTATTCCTGATATTAAACAAAATAATGATATCCACGCTAACACGATATTACTCCCTACAATGCCTGGCCCCCACCAGCAGATGATTACACAGCACTTAGCTCACCCAAACATGTACTTGATGAATGTTCCACAAGCCCATATGGACCAATACCAACAGCAGCAGCAGCATCTTCTTCAGTCACAGCATCCCCAACAGGGTCCCCCTCAACAAGGCCACCTGCAGCAGGGCCACCTGCAACAAGGTCACCCCCAACAAGGTCACCCCCAACAAGGCCATCCACAACAAGGCCACCCACAACAGCAACAGCAGCCTCTGCCTCCTATGATGCAACCTCAAATGATTCTTCCTCATCCTTATTTCCAACAACATGTACATATGATCCCACAGCAGCAATCTCAACAATCTCAACATGTTCAAGCCATCTATCCACAACAACACCTCCACCCCCAACCATTACCTCTTTCGAATTATCAAGCTTTAGAACAGCAAAGGAGTCTATCTTCAGAGCTATTGAGTAATCCACAGCCTGCGCCGCAAATACGATCAGCATCAGAACAACGACAGCTTTCACAGACTCAAAATCAAGTCCAAGTGGGACAGCAGAATCAACAGCATCCAAGTTCTCCCCACCACCAACCTGTTGAGCCATTAGATCCATCTCAGTTCAAAACTGAGAAAAACTCAAAAAGAATCTCTTCGGCCAGCTCAAAAATCAAACATCAGAAGAAAGTGTCAGCATTTGTTACTAAATTGTACTCGATGCTGCACGACCCTTCCTTATCACATCTAATTTGGTGGAGCAGGTTATATCAAAACGACACAACCACTTTTGCCCTTCTGCCTGGTACAGAGTTTGCGTCATGTTTGACAACTTATTTCAAACATGGCAATGTTGCTTCCTTTGTGAGGCAACTTCACATGTACGGATTCCACAAAGTTTGTGAAGGCAATCAGCAACATTTGCTCCAAAGTTCTTATGATCAGAATCATACCATCTGGGAATTTAGGCATGCATCAGGAAAATTTAAAAGAGGTGATCAAAACCATTTGCATCTTATTAAACGACGGGCAAACTCAAGAAGGACATCAGCAAACCCAGATGTCAATTCTGTGAATCCAGAGCCGGTTAATACCTCCGCAGTTGATATTCATGGCGAGCCTTTACAGCCTCAAAGTAGTTCATCTAAAGAGATGGATTCTGCCGAGGATAATAACAGTAACTATAATCAAACAAGGGTGGCCTATAAACCTGTTTATTTCACTGCTGTTGAAAACCATGAAAACCATGAAACATCTGAAAATTCTGCAAATAAGAAGGATAATAGGAAACAAACTTTTAGGGCTCCTGCTCCTAAACTACTCAAGGATCCATTTGATAAATCCATAGCTGATCCTTTGAATCGCGTTGTGTCTCCAACATCGAGTAGTCAAGAGTACCCTCCCGCGGCTTCATTCCAGCCGGGTTCAGCCCAACAACCGCATCACGTTCCATATCTTCCAAGAGCATATTCTCCAACAGGAAGATTGTCCCCTGTTTCTTACAGACAAAATGTTTTTTTTCAAGAATCAAGACAACGTTATCCTTCTGTTTTCATAGACCCGTGTGCACCAGCCCCTTCATCTGCAGTACCTGATAGAGCAAGATCTCCACCTTTGCCATTACCAGTAATATCATCTCAACCCCAACAAATGTCACAGGGATTCATGATCTCACCTAGAAACATGAGACCTGGAACGGAAAGCAATACCAGTTTACCACCAATCTCTTCCATTTCCAGTCAAGCATCGGTTCCTCCATCCCCTGGTCATAGTATATCTTCCGCAAAGTCCAGCCGATTTCTTTTCTCACGAAACTCATCTTCAACTTCGACTAGTGCCAGTCAGTTACGTCCATCAATCTTTGATATACATCATGCCTCATCCACCACAAATTCATCGATTTCAGCACACAATTCTATTTTTAGTGGTTCTTCTATCTCCTCTAATGGTAGTATTGGATCGAGATTTGGATCTTCGATTTCCAGCATGTTAAATGAAGAACGTCGCATTCCATCTTTTACCAATAATTCAATTTCAAGTATATCCGTACCGATCACAAGTTCTTCACTCAAGACTGTTACATCGGTCATTAATGACACGAGCTCGAGTGGGCGCTCTGAAACTCCTGAGAATTCAGCGCATACTACATCGGTTATTGTCAAAGGAGAAAGCAAGAACCACGAGAGAAACAAAGCCTCACTTGAACCTTCGAAATCGACCCCGAAGATATCTGAGCTTTTGAACAGAAACGATGCAAAGGATAATTCTGAAATCTCAGAGAAAAAAGATGTTGCTGAGGATTTGGATGGAAAAAAAAGTAAAAAAACTGACGATAATAATGATCTAAATCATGACGAAAACGTGCGTGGGAAAAGGGATGAAAAGGTCGAAGTTAAGTCGAAGTAAGTTTCTTCAATCTCAGTTCATTATCGATGTATATATGTGTATAGCCCATGTGGGAAAAGCTTAGTGCTTGTGTATTTTTATGTTGGTTTTTTAGTTGGTCTCATTTCCAGGGAACTGGATGAGCGGTCTTATAAAGAACAAAAGGATATGTTATGTAATGTTAATCTGCTAATAATAGTATAATATTTTCTAGTAAAGATTTCTAGATTGTTTTATAAATAAGATACACAGTGGATATAAATGGTGGAAAAACCTTTTCATACCTGCATTTTCAAAACGGCCTTTTATTCTTAGTTGCCTTGGCTAACATTCCTGAGCTCTTACTTTTCCTGTGTAATATCTCATCATCAATCTCTGAGTCAGATTCCGATCCTGAGCGATTCGTGTTTAATTTAGTGGTGACTTTGGCACTATGCTTCTTCAAATCATATTTATTATTCGGTCCTTCTTTTCGTATATTAGTTCTCAACTTCTCCCTTCGGTCGTCCCTTAATTTATTACTTAGTGCACGTAAAGAGTTCGAGTTATTTGTTCTTCTTTTGACATCGCCTATCTTATTTACCTTCTCACTCATTCCACCCTTGCCATTTGTTTCCCTTCTGCTGCTAGATGAATTCCTCTTCGCTGAAACAACGTCCAAAAAATCATTTATCGTTACCATAGAGGAGTTGTTATTGTTTTTAGGCTCCAAATCAGAAAAATTGATGCCCTTGCCTGAAGGGATAACTATCTGGTTAATGAACTGCTGTGTGGCATCTGATTGAGGTTTGAAATCATCAGTCTTATCTGCTGAAGTCAATTTAGTGAGTGGCGGAGTTTCCGGCTTTGATTCTCCAGCAGGTTTGGTTAACCATGATAATACAGTTTGATCAAGTTTGTTGAACTGGGCTTGTAGCTGGACTTGGAGCTGCTCTTTCTGTCGAATTTCGTTTCTCTTGGACATTTGTAGAATTAGGTTGAGTGAGTTGCAGATTTTTCTTCTGCGGTTGATTTCATTGGCGTTATTTATCATCATCTCTTGAAACAAAACGATTTTTTTTTTCAATTTTTTCTCGGCTTTCCTTGCTCATGACGATAAGGGTCAAACTGCCGCCGCATTACATGGTATTTCGAGTATATTACAACGTACATATCAGTACATAGGAGTACATAATTTTACGACTATTTTTCATTGTAGGTTGGAAATAAAAGAATTCAACTCACAAAACAGTTCAGTTTTATCTAAGTCTAAGCGATACCTCCAAACAATATCGCATAATTTACTGTTTACTTTTTCTAATTTTGTCAACCTGAAATTTGAGGTTTTTAGTAAAAGAAGGTTTTGTAAACGCTTGAGCTCTTCTGAATTAAAAACCAATGTTTGTTTCTCAGGGACAAACTCCTCCTCTTCAGGTGGAGCTTCGGTTTCTTCATTTTCAATCAGTTCCCTTGTCTCGTCTTCAATCGTTAGCTTCTCGGTGTTTTCAGTAAGCTTAACAGGCTCAACGTCCATTTCTAATTTGTCTGCTACATCACCATTCTTATCTAGAAGCTGATTTGGCTGCAGCTGCGCTTGCGCTTGAGTTTGTACTTCGGTATTACCTTTACTTGTTTGCTCTGGAGCAGAGCCGTCATCGACAGCCGTCTCAGAATCTTCAGCTCGAATTGTGTCCGGTAAAATATTCTCAGCATCTTTCAATACTTCGTTTTCCTCTTCCTGGGCTACGTCTTCAATTCCCTTCATAACACTAGTATTGTTGGAAATATTATCAAAAATTTTCATGGAATCAGTGTTCATGTCAATATTGTAGGATGGGTTGACTCCAGCGTTGGTCTCAGGTTCATTTACAGCTTCTGTTTCGAGTGACTTAAGCTCTCCATTGAGCTCATTCAAAGAAGGCCTTATTAAGTTCTGTGTGTTTGTCTCTTTCGTCCACTCCAGCTCTCTCTCCTTTTGCAATTTCATGTACTCGAGGTTTCTCTGCTTTTCACGACGACTTACTTCTTTCCACTGGATAACCAATTGTGGAAATTGGACTTCGATTTCCTCAACTCCAACAACAGCATGCGCATACATTTCATTTGCCTTCAGCATACGGTCCCTGTCGCCTGTTGCATTAGCATCTTTCAGAATTAACTCTAAGTCGTGTAAAAATTGCCTTGGCTCAGAATAATAACCATTCCATAATCTTTCTTCGATGACTTCTAGATCAATGTTGTTGTATAGCTTACCTGTTGAGATTTCTAGAATCATGTCATTTTTAAGTTGATAGTTACTCGTTCGGTCAGGTTCATCATCAAACAGGTGAGTCAAATGAGCATCGTCAACAACAGGTTTCTTAAATCTTTTATAACGAGCTTTAAAGATATCCAACAATCCTGCAAGCTTAACTTTCAAGGAGTTTTTGAGTCTCATATCCGTTTTGGCTTGTTCTTTTTTTAATTTTGCTAATGCTTTCTCGTCTGATTTGTTCGTATCATCGGTATTGGAGACTGCAATAATCTCCAAATTCTTCTTTTTCTTCTTCGGTCTTATACTAATATCATTATATTCATTTGGTGTGAGTTCAATGGATTTCCAGAATGATTGAAAAAAAATCGATTTCTCTGCTTCTTTAGGATCCCTGACATGAATAACTTCATCTTCGGAAATGTCAAACAGTTCTTCTATATCATCCATGACTTCAGAGCTAAGGTTTCCTTCAATTTCACAAAGGAACAATATCTTATCATTGTTATTAATACCTCTAGCCAAGTATTTGAGAGTGGATCTTAATGTTTCAGACATTGCATGAAGAAGTCCAATTGTATCAGGAATGAACAAGATACTCGGTTTATGTCTTTTCAATTCTGAGAACAGCTGAATGCATAAGTTTTCAACGCTAATGCTGGAGTCACTGTATAGTTTACTCAAATCAAGGATTTGGATTGTGAAACCTTCTAACTTATTTAATACTGCATTGCTCAAATATTTTAGCCCTTGCGATTTCAGCCCGCTAATACCAAGTCTTGGTCTGAATGTCCTCATAGAGTCAAATGTTTTGACGACCTGTTGTGTCTTGAAATCATTGTTCAAACTTTCATATTCGGCTTCTTCCAGAAGACTTATTTCCTTTTCCATTGGTAACAAATTATTCAACTGTTGCATGATAAACTCAAATTGCTCGCTTAATAAAGGTTTGATGAAATTAGGGAGAGGTTCAGAGACGCTACTTGTTGACCTTGAGCTGTTAGGAACCACTTTTTTCAAAGCTCTTGTGAAATCGCTTGCGTTTGTCTCAATTCTAGATATATCTATATTCAACTTGTCATTCACTTTATAGATTTCCGGATATGATCTTTGTATGCTGTTAAGAGCAGACTCGGTACAGAGTGCTCTAAGGTCTGCACCACCATATCCTTTTGTCAATACTGCGAGCTCTTTAACAAATCTATCGTCTAGTTGATGATCCCATTTCCTCATATGAATTTTTAAAATTTCTTCACGTGCCTTCAAATCTGGTAATGGGAAATAGAATTCTCTATCAAAACGACCAGGACGACGTAATGCTGGATCTATAGAATCGGGTCTGTTGGTAGCACCGATGATGATGACCTGGCCTCTGTTATCCATACCGTCCATCAAAGCCAATAGAGTAGAGACTATGGAAGCGTGAATTTGTTCTTGTTTCGAAGATCTGACAGGTGCCAAACCATCTATTTCATCGAAAAAGATGATGGATGGTTGTTGCTGCTTGGCTTCTTCAAACAAAAGCCTCAAATGACGTTCAGCTTCACCGACCCATTTGGATAAACAGTCTGCACCTTTACGCATAAAGAAAGTTATTTTCTTATTTTGGGAGGAGCATGATGCGGCAAGTGCCCTAGCCATTAACGTTTTACCTGTACCAGGTGGGCCATGAAATAACACACCTCTTGGTGGCGTGATGTGAAATTTAGAATAGACCTCAGGATATAGAAGAGGTAAGGTTATCATCTCCTTCAATTGGTTTATATAGTTATCTAGGCCCCCAACAACTGAAAAATCAATGTTGGTGTCTATTCCTAGAGGGTCTGTATCCGCCAATGTGTTTTTCTTTTTTGTAGGAATGAGAGAGGCAGGGTTGTTCAGCGTTGCAATTATATTGTTGCTTGTATCGTTCGGATCTGTTGGTTTGATCAAGTCGTTTTCATCATCTGAATCACTCGATTCAGCGTTTGCCAACGCTGCCAAATTGCTTGGAAAAGCGTTATTCCGGAAAAGTGATTGGACCTCACTACCTCCAAATGGCCCTACAGTTGGGTGTAACCTCCTAACGGTGGAAACAGAAGTAGATGCCCCTCCGTATCTTCCTATGCCACGGCTTTTCCTTGGGCTGTAGTTTGAAGGTTCGTTTTGGGTAGCGTTTTCCAGTTCCTCCAGCTGAGCCTCAGTCAAGTAGGGAGAGGGTAAGGTATAGTTGACGTCTTTCCTGTGCCTCAAGTTGCGCTTTGGGGAGTTTAATGGCGAGTCGTTCTGCAAATCTTTCAACTCGTCCTCCAGCGTGACAGGGTCCTTGAGGTTGTCTTCTAGTGTCAGGTCACCATTGGCCGGCTTGTCGAGCAGCTGTTTCCACCTGTTACGGCGGGTGCTCACACGGGAGGGCCTGCTTCTCGACGTGCGCCTCTTCGATAGGCCATATGCGTCGTCCTCATCTGCATACACATCATACCCGTCGTCTTTCACAATAAAGTTCGGCTGTCTCTTTCTTCTCCTGGACAGGTGTTCGTCGTCGTCGTCTTCTTCGTAGGAGGCTATGAAGTCGTCGTCGTTGTTGGCCGGAGCTGCCTCGTCTATGTTGAAGTCGTCGTCATCATCATCACCGTGGGCGTGTCTCCTGCGCGTTCGTCTCCGCTTATTCAACGTATCGAAATCGGGGTCTTCGTCGTCGGATTTCTTATGTTTGCCCGATGATGCGTCAATGTTGTCTCCTCCAGCTGTCTCATCGTCCTCCTCGAGCTCGCCAAGGTACAGATCCTCGTTGTAATTGACCTGCTTCCGAGAACGCGTTCGGTGGGGCCGGAAAACACCGTCCCCGTCCTCGTCAGAGTTTCCATGAGCAGCGTCGTCACTGGTACCGGTGTGGCCATTGCCATTGCCATTGCCATTGGAGACACGCTTGCTCTCTGCCTTCGCCTTTGCCTTTACCTCTGCATCTCTCAAATCCTCCTCGAATTCCTCGGAGGGCTCATCGTCCTCGAGATCGTCCGATTTAGAGTTGTCGATATTGAAGTCATCATCCTCTTCTGAATCATCGAGACGCCTTGTTCTAGCCATAGGTCTTCTGCTTGTTCTTCCTCCGCTCCTTCTACCACGGGGCATGCTGGCGGATACTGTATGCTTTGCGGATCAGATTGACCAAAAGCTGCGAAACACGGGCACAAGGGGGCAGATCCACTCGGTTCAAAAAAATCAAAATACACAGACCTATCATCGTGTCTTGAAAATAGACGTCTCAGGACGTTGTTACACAAGAGAGGAGAATGGTGCTTCACGCACCCGCGAAAAGGAAAAGGGCACGGACAGCTGGGGCGGCTACAGAAGCAGCGCCGCGTCGTCGTCGTCGTCGTCGGAGAAGTCGTCATCGGAAAAGGCAGGGGTATTGGAAGTGACGAGGGTCTGTGTCTGTGTCTGTGGTTGCTGGGAAGACTCGGGGCGGGCCAGGTACTGGCTGAACTGCCCTGGGACCGGGACGCTGTCTGCGTTGGGCTCATCGTTGTCGTCTTCGTCGTCGCTAAGAAGGCCCTCGAGCCCGGTCTCGGCGGCCGTCAACGCGTCGAAAGCGTCCATCTCGCCGGCAGTCATGCCTGCTTCTCCATTCCTGGCTGCTGCGTCGAGCATGGCGAGCTCGCTGTGGTCCTCGTCTTCCTCGTCTGAAGGAATTGGCTGGGAGGACGTGCGGAGGAAGGTGGAGAACATCGGGGTCTGTTTGATCTGCGAGATGGCGGCGTCGTCTTCCAGCCTGCTGTAGCTGTCGGGGCCATTCTGTGAAGGAGAAGGTTCCTTTGCCTGGCCTCCGAAAAGCTCCGGCCACTGCTCCTCGTCCTCGTGTTCTGCGGGCACTTCTTCCTGGTGTGGCAGCAGGTCGGCTCTGCTGGTGCTGGTGTCGGCAGCTGCGTCGATTGCCGTCCGCTTCTCCATCTTGGCCCGCATCTCCTCTCTCACCTGGTCCCGCACCCACGCCTTGGTGTATGTGTCGTCGACGCCTCGGGCGAGGTTTCCAATAAACCGGTCGAACTTCAAGTGCGGGCTGAGTGTGTGACCGAAAGCTTGGTAGATTGCTAGTATTCGCTGGAGGTTCTTGTAGTGATGGTCGTCGCCGTAGCGGGCGGAGCCCGAGTGGAGCAGGGTGCTCCTGCTGCTGTGGATGGAGGAGAGCACGTCGGATTTCGGTCTCTTGGCGAACTTGAACCGACGGAACGTGTCGAGCAGCTTGGGTATTCCCTTCCCAGAAAGGAGGATGTCAGAGGTAAGTTTGTCGCCCCTTTTCTTTGGCCGGGATGCCTGTGCTGCCGCAGAGGGCTGCACGATGCCAGACGTGGTTGGGTCGAGGCCCAAATCGGCGTCTAGGTCGAGGCCTAGAATCGCATCGTTCGAGAGCCGGTCGGTGGCAGACATGGCAGGCAGTCCGCAGTATCGAGGAAATTTGTAAGCTGGGTGGTGGTTCCGGGGTACTCGTCGTTGAAAGCTGGGAAGAAACACGAAACAAAACGAATGTAGTCAAAAGTAGGTTCCCGCCTATTCATGTCCGAATCGAGACACGAGTGTTTCGCGTCGGCTGCCAAATGCAGAACAGGGGCCGACGGGGGTGCTGCTACATGTTACAGCTGGCCTTTTCCGCCTCCGTCACTGCTCTCCCGGCCGCTTCTCTTTCTCCGGATCTAGCAGCCCATCCTGAAGCCAGTACGACCAGAGAAATGAAGTTTGGTGCTATATTCGCAGGATTGCTCGCCACGGCCATGCTCGCCACGGCCGCCGGGAAGGACGCCGGGAAGGACCAGCTGCAGATCATTGTCAAGAAGGAAGTCAGCTGCATGTACCGTTCGCAGCCAGGCGACACGGTGTCCGTTCACTACACGGGCAAGTTGGAGGACGGCACGGTGTTTGATTCGTCGCTCACAAGACATAAGCCGATCCAGTTCAAGTTGGGTGTCGGTCAGGTCATCAAGGGCTGGGACGAGGGGTTGATGGAGATGTGTGTCGGGGAGAAGAGAAAGCTCGTGATACCCTCCGAGATGGCGTACGGGAAGCGGGGCGCCGGTGGTGTCATTCCGCCAGACGCCACGTTGATATTCGACACCGAGCTCATGGACATTGCCAAGGACGAGTTGTAGGCTGTGACCTTGTGGGGCCACATGTCACGTGACCGTACCAGAGCCTGAGCCAGCCGGATTATTCCTTTTTCTGCCGGGGCGACCAGCCTGCAGCTACGGTTACTAGAGGTACTCGTTTTATCATGATTATTATGATTATTATTATAATTATTAAAGAACAAAAGTAGCATAAATACAAAGCCGAGTGTGTAGATGTGGATGTATATGACAATTATGCTTAACTTGGACACTATTAAAACACACTGGGAAGCTTGAGTAAGGGAAACAAAGTTGGTTTTTCAATAACAGGGGATAAAAGTAGCAATAAAAGAAACAGGAATATAATGAAAAATCACATAGATGGAAACTATAGTATAGTATAGTAAGATAATAAGCGGGCGAGGTGAGAGCCGAGCAATCAGTCGTGGAAGCAACACATTAAGTGTTTTTTCTTTATTCCGTGATTCTCAGTCTCAGTCAGCGAGGCGACTGGACTTAGAATAGGGCGACAGCGGCAGCTGCAACAGCGCCAAGAGCGGCAGAGCCGTAGGCGTTACCGTTAGCACCGGCGGTGGAGACCGAGGTAGACTCGGTGGAGCTGTTGGAAGCGGCCTGGACAGCGGAAACTGCAGCCAAGGTGAAGAAGACTCTGGAGAATTGCATTTTTGGAATGTGGTGTGTAGAAGATGTGTATGTAACGAAGGTACTTATCTAGTGAGCGGAGGGAAGCAAAGAAAACTAAAATAAGGTTAAACCAAGGCACGAGAGAAGAAGAAGAAGGATGAAGAAGGGGGAAAGAAGAAGAGAGGAAGGGAAGCGTAGGTAGGGTAGGGCAGGATAGGATAGGATCGAGTAGGACAGGCAGGGCAGGGCAGTGAAGGATTTTCAGGCAGAGGCAGAGAAAGGCCGGCCAAGGGCAAACCCGGCCGACAGAAAAGCGTCCCCGTGCCTGGTAGCTGTGCAGCTTTTCGTGTTGCATGCGCCACTGGTGACCATGGCGGCGAGGCCCGGCAGAGAAGCGGGCGTGAGCGGTTTGCCCGCAGCGGTGCTGCGATAAGGCCTGGGGCTCGCACCGTCCGTGCGTGGGCTCTTCTTCTGCGCCTGCGTCGCCCGCTGTCTTGGTTGCTGTCTTGGTCTGTCTTGGCCGCCGTCCTGGCCCTTCGTCTACATGGCCCGAATGCTGTCTGGCCCAACCAGGAAAGGTAATGGCGGGCATCTTGTGACTGCTGCTGCTGCTGCTCCGGCGCGATAAGCGGAACAATACATTTGCTAGACGAGCTAGGCGAGCGGGCACCCACAGCGCAACGGGGACGCGGGCCATGTGGCGCGGGCTATCTGCTCATGGAAAGCCCGCAGCCGACGTGCAGGGCCAGGGTCTCGGCCCTGCCGGCATGGCCGGATACGGAAGGCGGATTCCCCGTCTGAGCCGTGGGCGCGGCTCAGAATGCGCGAGCCGACGATCACGCGCTGTGGCGCAGCAGCGTGTTTTTGCGGCCGTGACCACGGCAGGCGCCGTGGCGTTGGAGTCTAGGCATAAAATCCGGGGCGGCAGCAGAGAGATGCTTACGTAACGGGTTTGCCTCCTCCCCATGGGGGAGCGACGCGTCGCTGGAACGACGACGGATGACTCAATCCTCCCGAGGGGTCGACCTATCATGAATTTTTCAGATCAGCATCACCAACTGGCTCCATCTGCACGTTCACGTTCTGTTCAAGCTAGCACTGCTGGCCCTGCAGACACCGCCAGCTACCCCGCCGCCTACCTTCCACCCACCCACCTACCACCATGGCTGAGGAAATCGCAAGAAACGCTCATTTGGCGTCCACCGTACTGAAGACGCTCTCGGACAAACAGCGGTCCGACGCCCTACACAGCATCAGAGATGCTCTGCTGCACTCCAAGGACAGCATCCTCGCCGCCAACAGAAAAGACATGCAGAACGCCGTAGACAACAACCTCTCTTCGTCTCTCATCAAGCGGCTCGACCTCTCCACCAACGGCAAGTTCGACGCCATGTGCGACGGCATCATCGATGTGGCCAAGTTGGAAGACCCTTTAAACAAGGTGACCCTTGCCACACAGCTCGACGACGGCCTAGACCTCTACAGGCTCACTTGCCCTGTTGGCGTCCTGCTCATCATATTTGAGAGTCGGCCTGAGGTCATCGCCAATATCTCCGCCTTGGCCATCAAGTCCGGCAACGCTGCAATTCTCAAGGGAGGCAAGGAGTCCCTCAACACCTTCCAGGCAATGTCCAGCGTCATCAACGACGTCCTGCAGAACAAAACAGACGTTCCGGACAACAGCATCCAGCTCATCAGCACCAGAGGAGAGGTCGCAGACCTTCTCAAACAGGACTCCTACATCGACTTGGTCATCCCAAGAGGTTCCAATGCCCTCGTGAAAAACATCAAGGAAAACACAAAGATCCCAGTTTTGGGCCATGCCGACGGCATCTGCTCCATCTACCTCGACAAAGACTTGGACGTGTCAAAGGCATGCAAGATCGTCGTCGATTCCAAAACAAATTACCCTGCAGGCTGTAACGCCGTCGAAACCTTGCTTATCGATAAACATCTCGACAAATCCTTGGAAACACAGATCTTGAAAAGCCTGCTTGACGCGAAGGTCACCCTCCATATTTCCCCAGATCTCCTTTCACAGATTGATGAGTCCTTGCTAAAGGAATACGTTGATCAGATTACCCCGGCTTCTGAAGATGACTTCCGCAAGGAGTTCCTCTCGTTCGACATAGCAGTCAAAGCCGTCGAAAACGTACAAGACGCTGTCCTCCATATCAATGCTCACTCTTCCAAACACACGGACGCCATCATAACAGAAAACGACAAGACTGCAGACGTTTTTTTGAAGGGAATAGATTCCTCTGGCGTCTACTGGAACTGCTCCACAAGGTTTGCAGACGGTTTCAGATACGGTTTCGGTACAGAGGTCGGCATCTCCACAAACAAAATACACAGCCGTGGTCCCGTCGGTCTCGAAGGCTTGGTCTGCTACTACTACCAGATGAGGGGTTCCGGACAGGTCGTCGGTGACTACCTCGGAGGAGGTGGCACCCGTGTCTTCAAGCACAAGTCCTTGGATCCTAGTAGTGTAATACTTTAATCTTCCAACATATCTTTCCCTCTTTGCCAGGGACAGACACCTTAATAATACTTTTTGTAATAATTTGGCGCGAGCTCAGCAATAATTAATAATAATACCAGATTTTGGGGCAGGAAGTAAGTTGCACGCTCCCACACTGGCCTGACACACAACAATAAATCAGTGGAAGCTGATATCATTATTATTCAAGGTAACGGATACGATTGAGCAAGTAGATTCTCCCAGTCTCTAGCACAAGAAGCATTAGATACTACCTGCTGCTTCAATCACCCTGAAGAACAGACCAGGTCTCAATCAAACACACACGCAAATACACATCTACGTACGCCAACCATGGACGAAGAGTACGATGTCATTGTTCTAGGAACAGGTCTAACAGAATGTATCCTCTCAGGAATACTTTCGATTGAGGGAAAAAAGGTTTTGCACATTGACCGTCAAGACTATTACGGCGGTGAAAGTGCGTCATTAAACTTGACACAATTGTACAAGAAATTCAAGCCAAAGAAGGAATATGAAGACCAGTTCGGCAAAGACAGAGACTGGTGTGTGGACTTGATTCCTAAATTTTTGATGTCGAATGGAGAGTTGACAAACATATTGGTCCATACCGACGTTACAAGATATATGGAGTTCAAGCAGATCTCAGGCTCCTTTGTCTACAGAAGTGGCAAAATCGCAAAAGTTCCCTCCACTCAAATGGAGGCAATCTCCTCTCCGTTAATGGGGTTCTTCGAGAAGAGAAGAATGAAAAACTTTTTGGAATTTATCGCCAACTACAAAGAAGATGAGCCTTCCACTCATCATGGTTTTAACTTGGATAAAAACACGATGGACGAAATCTACTACAAATACGGCTTGGAGAGAGGTACTAAAGATTTTATTGGTCACGCAATGGCCCTACATCCCAACGATGACTACTTGTCTCAGCCAGCAAGAGACACATATGACAGAATTATGTTATACGTTACCTCAGTGGCAAGATACGGGAAGTCGCCATATATCTATCCATTATACGGTCTTGGTGAATTGCCCCAAGGTTTTGCTAGACTCTCCGCTATTTATGGTGGTACCTTCATGTTGGATACTCCCATAGACGAAGTCATAACCGACGATGACGGAAAATTCAAAGGAGTTAAGACCAAAGAGGGTACAGCCAAAGCCCCAATTGTCATCTCCGACCCAACCTATTTCCCCGAAAAGGTCAGATCCACTGGTCAAAAAATTATAAGAGCAATGTGCATCTTGGACCATCCAATCCCAAATACAAACGATGCCGACTCTGCCCAGATCATCATTCCTCAGAACCAAGTCAACCGGAAGAACGATATATACATAGCTGTCTTGTCTAGTGCCCATAATGTCTGTTCTAAAGGTCATTACTTAGCAATTATCTCTACAATCATTGAAACCGATAAGCCACACTTGGAATTAGAAGCTGCTTTCAAAATTATTGGCCAAACAAAAGATGTTTTGATGGGTATTGCAGAAGTCTATGAGCCATTGGAAGACGGTAAGAAAGATAATTTTTTCATTTCGAAATCATATGATCCATCATCTCATTTTGAGACCACAACAGATGATGTCAAGGATATTTATAAACGGATCACAGGACATGATTTGGTTTTGAAACAAAGAAAGACTGCTGATGAGGAAGCAGAACTTGCTGGTCTAGATTGAAGAGCTGAGCCCGACACTCCCCTTTTTTTTTTCAAGCTATTTATTTTGGATTTTCTATTCCACATATCTATATATATCTGGTCCAGCTCGAGTAATTAACTATTTTTATATTAGGCCTACGTGTAATGCTGCAATTTATGAAATATTCGAATATTTCATAAAATGATGTGCATTCAAAAATTTCAATTACGTATTGTTACAATATCCTTGAATAGTTTTCAAACCAGCTTTCATTGTGGCCATGCTTAAGTGCTGTAGTTCGAATTAACTAACTATGTGAACTTATATGTTGAAATTGGGAGTTTTGTCTCTGTTGAAAGTCATGAATCATATTGCTGCATAACAACGTTCTATCTTGTCGTGAAGAAGCATGTACGCAAGCAATCACACTTGTTGCGTACGTAAGCGAGTTTTGATTCACCCGCAGCATGTTGTATGATAACTTTAAATCAACTCATTGACTACTACTACAGTTACTGGCCAAACAAATCTCTGACCTTGATCAGACCACAACGGCAAACCTCACTACACAATGTCCCAGTCTATCTGTAAAATACCATCTACCACCAAACAGCAATTGCGTAAGTTTCGTCTAACCCCTATAAAACAATCGACAACTACCATTCCGACACAACTATACAAGATCGACAAAGAGCAGGAACTACAGCTAGATGAAAGCTTAGATCTCGAAAATTTTGATGATTTAGCCGAAGAGCTTCCTGATAACTCACCTTGCTACATTCTAATGAATTACGGTTACACCAAACCAGATGGTCGTTTCGTTAGTCCTTTAGTGGGGATATATTGGAGACCAGATACGGCCAGAGGTGAGGCCAAGATGTTATATGCTGGTGCTGTTGAACTATTTAAAAAAGAGGTTGGATGCAACATGTGGTTGGAATGTTCAGACGAAGATGAGATTCCCGATTTAAAGGCAGAGATTGAAAAATAGGTCTGAATTTCATCAACCTCTTTGGAGTGTCTGTTCAAGAAGAAAACTAATTTTGGTTTGCAGCTTTGCAAGCCTTTTAAATTATATTCATTAAAACACGATAATTGGAACTGTATACAAATTATTGATAAAGTAAAGCAAGAACCTAGAAAAAAGTAAAGAAGGAAAATTGCACAAATAGTGGATGATAGGAAAGCAAGTAAAAGCGAAAAGTAGAAGAAAAAATAAAGTAGGTGATCGTAGAAGATGGCCAATGGATTGAAAAGAGAAAGAAAAAAGAAAAAGCTCATGCATCGTTAACGTGTAGACGTGCACGACGATTTTTGTCATATATCGTGAGGACGTTGTAGTAATATAGTTGCAGTTGTGAAACTCCAATGACATAAAAATAAAATCTCTTAATGCCCCGGGTCATCTTTTTCGTTTGTTTCCAAGCGTCATAATCTAAATTAGCTAAATCAGTAGGATAAAAAGGACGAGGGTGGTGCTCAACGATACGTTTTATTTGAGGATTCAATTCATTGAGATCAGGAATCGGTGGTGTTTTGAAAGAGTCCGTATCATTTTTTTGGAAAAATCTCGAGGTGATCTGATCAGAATATAGAATTGCATTGAGTTGCGAGTTGGGATGGATATCTAGCTCTATATTGTTATCGAGAGATTCATTCTCTTCATCATAGTTTGCATCCTCCAAAGAGTAATTGTTATTTCTAACGTAAAGTAACGCAGTAAGTAATATTTGAGCCTTTAGCCTTGTTAGAATCAGGATAAGGAAAAATGAATAACAATTATCGGGGTCAATGTTAAAAAGTTCGTCTATTCCTGCTTCGCCTGGTTCTCCTGTCGGAAGGTTTATGATATCATTCAAATTGAAGGTAAATCTATTCTGGCGAACACTACTAACTTCATTGGCATTATCATCAACGGTTTCAACATTGGCGTCTTCAGCAGACGCTTCAGAAGAATTCTGAATCTCAATGTACAAGTCTCGCTTGCAAGTTGGGCAGCATGCTCTTCTAGTAGTTAACCAAGGGTCAATGCAAATCTGATGGAAGACGTGACCACACATTAATCCTCTGACACTATCATCGTCTTCCAAGGAGTCAAGACAGATAGCACAAATTCCAGAGGTAAAATGCTTTTCAGCGCTTTCAGCAGGCTCTTGGTCTTGTTGGCTAGGGATAGTCGCAGCAGCAATTGTGTAATCCAGTTTATCTGGTAGCATATCAGTTATATCTTGCTCTTCCATTACCATGTTCACTGTGCTCATTTCAATTCTCGCTTTGGTAGCAGAAGGCTCGCTAGTAAGTTCTGAAGTCATCTCAACATTATTTTTATTGGCATTCCTAGAAACATCTTCAACCGATTCAAAGTGCTCTCTGTATCCTAATTTGCCAATATTGTTATTTTGAGCCTCTTCCTTGCCACCGTTCAGCCATGCAGTATAAGATTTTAGAGGAAAAAATTCTGCAAGTTGGGAATTAGTCAAAGTTTCAATTTTTTGTGCCCGTGTAGTTCGCATGTGTATCATTTGGTTACCAAATATGTAGTAACTAGTTCCCTGGTAAAAGACATAGGGCTGGAAGAGCCTTGCTGACATATCCGTTTCAAGCATGTAAGTGTGTCGGGTGGTAGTTCTGAAAATAGGGTCGTAAACTCCAAACATTGATCTGAATGAGTGCTTGTAGCTGAAAAATGCCAGGCCTATCAGAATGAGAATAGCAACCGATATGATGACCGAGAAGATTGCAGTCGTGGCGGTATTCCCGAATGCCGACATCTCACTCATGGTGCCGGTTTTCTTAGGTCACTTTTTTTAAGTTATACGAGACCAGCTTTTGCGTAAAAGTAAGAATAGTAGCTGTAGTTGGCTTAAATATACCGTATTTGATTCAAAAATGATTCCGAGCGAAGGTAAACTAAGCCATTAAACAACAAGTGGAATGTCAGCCTAACCCAAGATAAGCTTTTTCTTCTCTACGGCAAGATTAGTACAGGAGTTTTTGACTCCTGATAGTTCTCTTTGCCGCGCTACATGGTCCACTTTAGGCAAGTGACCCGAGACGAGGGATTGGTGCATGTTTCTGAAAATTGTGAAGAACAAAGTATTACCAGAATATAGACAAAAAAGAGGTGAAGCCTGTGAATTACTGCTGTGCTTGTAAACCAAATCTTCACATGAAAACATGCCACCGAAAAAGAACAACGCAGACTTATTACTGTTGAAACTAAAGAGACAGGCATCAACTTACCTTGTGGAGTGCAATGTCAATGACACACTTGGAGAACTGAAACAAAAGTTGACCAAGATGATAAATTCCACCAATGGAATCAAAGTAAATGATGAGCCTATCAGCCTTGATGTGCGAGACTCAATAATTATGCAAGCAGACACGAAGCGTGTTCCTATGCCCAAGATTGGACTAAATGATAGTGACTCAGATGCAGACGCCAAAGGAGACGAGGATATTGATATTGATGATGGCAAATCGACTGCCACAGAAAAGAATGATGCTTCTAATGTTCGGGTATCAGTTGACGCTATCAAGATCGGAAATTTTGAGAATAGTAACGATATATACGCTTCTAAAATAACGGAGCAAAGCGAACCGGATGAGACGAAGCTTAAAGGACTGGGCTTGCAAGATTTTGTAGCTTTAGCTTTCAAGTTGGAAGGGGAAGAGTTCCGCATTTACAAACCACAGTATGATTAAACGACTTATAGGATGTTTTTATATTTTTAACGTTTAGCAGATTTTTGAAGAAAAAGATTAGAAAAAGTATCAAGCAGTAGAGAAAAAAATTGGTTTATTAGCTATTTAAAAAAGTTGATATAAATGACATAAAAAACCAGGTTTAGTTAACTAAAGCAGAGGCAGTAGCAGATTCGTATTTCCAGGTTGGTGGTAAAACAGAAACGGTTCTGTAGTATCTAGCCAATCTGTGGATTCTTGATTCGATTAAAATTAATCTGAACTTAGAGTCCTTATCCTTTCTGTTTCTTTCCAAGTGCTTTCTAACAGCGACAGCCTTCTTGATCAAGAAGTACAAATCTTCTGGGAGTTCTGGGGCCAAACCGTTGGACTTCAAGATTCTCATGATCTTGTTACCGGTAACAATCTTAGCTTGGTTGACACCGTGAGCATCTCTTAAGAGAACACCAATTTGAGATGGGGTCATACCCTTTCTGGCGTACTTGATGATTTGGTCAACAACTTCGTCAGAGGATGCCTTGAACCAAGATGGAAGGGCTCTGGAGTATGGAAGGGATGAAGAGGACATACCCTTACCCTATAACAAAAAAAAAAGAAAAAAAAAAGTTAAATTAGAGTTAGTATATGGAAAAAATTTCAACATACAGTTACCATTAACTTAATACTAACAAACTGGTTCCGTTCAGCGTAGTGAATTCATACGACTATTCAAGATCTCTCAGCTGGCTGTGCGTCGGTGCTCAAAAAAAGGATGGCTAAATCCAATTCGATCACCACTTCAAATCTAATTTTCGACCAACATCACTTGTGTCAAACAAAGAAGATCTAAAATCGCAGCAGAGCCCAACCTCTAGACAGTGTAGAACCTACCAAATCGGACCATGCCTCTTCCGTATTAAACTATTCGTGCCCATTTTGAATCTTTATCAAAACACACATACGCTGCTGTGCATTCTACCCATTGTGTATTGATATTAGTGAAGTATATATGTCTTTAGCCTAGGCCTGGTTTTTGAAGAAGCTTCAAAGAAGCAGAAGGAGAATGAGAAGAGTAGTGCAAACAACCATTCAACTTCACCAAAAAAATTTCACTACTCAAAGAGTGGGTTAACGGAATGTGGAATTCAGCGACAGAAGAAGGAGGAAAATTCGCGAGTGTACTTTTTAAATCACGTGCGTGCAGAGAGGGCTTTGAACCCTCGCATAGTTCTCATCTATCAGGGTTTGTCAGAGTAACATGAAAGTGAACATATATCATAAGTTAAAGAACTGGAGGCGACATAACAGCTGATAACCAAAGAATTTATGTGATTCTGTAAAAGAAAGTAACCCTGTAAGGAGGTTGCACAAAAGTTCAATATTTTTTTGGCTGAATTCTTAAGGGTAAATCGGCTGTACACCGCTTTAGATCTTATTTGTTGGAATATATTAATGAAGATTACAGAAGTTTTCAGATATTGCTATATTTATATATTACTTTCCTTTGCTTAAGTCATTAAGCTTTAATGTTTAAATATGCTTATAAATCATGAAGATTTAAACTAGCTTTTTCTCAAGGGTAGCTTGCTAAAGTACCAAAAAATGATCAAAGAGATCTAGGAACGAGATTTAATTGGCACGGGAAATTAATTTGAATTCGTGTTCAGCTTTTTTCTTTTCTTGCTAAAAATTATCTTCACTGGTTGTAACTTGATCTGTTCTGTGTGTATCGAGTAGCTATGGTACTTTTTGCACATTCACATGTGAGTTGAGATTCAACTTTTTGGGTTTGATTTTTCAAAAAATTTGTAATTTGTAGCAAAAATGACACATGAAATAGATAAACCTTGAATAAACTTGTAGAAAAGCAAACATTAAATAAATATATGAACAAATAACCGATCCCAACAAAATAATAAAAAAATACATGTGGTAAAGAAGCTCTAAAAATGAATATAAACATGAAAACAGTAGTTGGTAACAAAAAGAAATGGAACTGAAAGTAAAAAGTGAAATTGAAAGTGAAAGTGAATGTTGAAGTTAAAGTTAAAATTGAATTGATGAATATGGAAGATGGAAGAAAACCAAAATGAAATCAAAGTAAAGTAAAATAACTTAATTATTTCTTTGGGACGGTCCAGCCACTTTCATCATTTAGTGATAACTCAGCTGTACTTTTGGCAATTTCATCGGTTTGGTCTTTCGAGCCTGAGTTCGTGTCCTTCTCCTTTTCTTCTTTGTCTTCGTTCTCGTCTACGTTGTCTTCATCTTCGTCTTGTAAAACACTGAACATAGATTTCTTAGGGCCATCAATAGTGCTCTCCTTCTTTTCCGTCTTTGGTTGGGGCTTGGCTTGAGCCTTTTCCTTGTTAAGCATAGAGCCCTTGGCTTCCCAGTCCAGGTTGTCTGGCTTAGGCTTTTGGTATGTTCTTCTAGGTTCTGTGTTGAGCAATGATCCTCTAGCTGCACCCCAGTTGAAAGAGTCATCCTTTGGTTCTGCATGTCTTTCTCTTGGTGCGCTTCTGAAGTGTCTTTCTTGAACTTCAGGTTGAGTTTGGGAGCCCCTGGCAGCACCCCAGTTGAAGTTGTCTTCTCTTGGTGGGCCAGTTCTCTCTCTTGGAGGACCTCTGAAAGATCTTTCTTGGACCTCTGGCTGGGTCTGGGAGCCTCTAGCGGAGCCCCAGTTGAAGTCTTCGTCTCTTGGCAAAGGTCTTCTTTCTCTTGGAGGACCTCTGAAAGATCTGTCGTCGTCCCTGACAGGTGGCTCTCTGCCACCTCTTGCGCCATCCCAGTTGATTTCAACTTCTTCTCTTCTTGGTTCTCTTTGGAATGAGTCTCTTTGGTATGGTTCTCTTTGGGACCTGCCGCCTCTGGCACCAGACCAGTCGATATCGGCCTCATCTTCGAAATGGCCAGGTCTGGAGCCTCTTGCTGAACCCCATTCTTGGTTGGATCTTCTTTCTCTCTTGGATGGCTTGGCAACAGACACGTAAACCGCTCTGTTGTGAATCGGCTGGTCGTTCAATGCCAAGGCGGCAACCAGCAATTCTCTGGTCACAAAAGTGATGAAGGCAAATGGCTTCAAGCTTCCGTCCAAGTCCTTTGGACAATAGAAGTCCTCGATGGCCTTTTCAGGCTCAGCCAATTTCAAGCCTTCAACAAAGAAGTTTCTCAAGTCGTCCTCGGTGGTTCCGTCTGGGAAAGACGCAATTCTCGCAGTGTATGGTGGCTGTTCTGGAATTACAGGCTCGCTCGATGGCAGCTCAAAACCAATGTCGATAGTGGACGATGGGTTCTGTATCATGGAAGGATCGAACTCATCCGCCCAGGAGTCTGTTGCTGAGCCAAATGTGTCGTCAGCCAAAAAGGATGACAAATCCATCTTCACGTTCTTCTTTGGAGGCATTTTGATGACTGTTGCAATACGGATGTCTCTGGATACACGGCAGTTGTACTTTCCGGTGTAGTTTTCGTTGGATCAAAACGGATATCTCCTGCAAAACTATACCTTTCCAGCGGGAAACTACGTTGTCCTAGAAAAATTTTCGCCTGCTTGTGTAGGTGCTCTCTTTTTTCCAGGCCTCTCTTTCTCCCGGCGTGGAAAAAGTTGGGAAAAAATAACGTGGAACCGGAACAGGCGAAAAAAAAACACCGACAGCTAAAGCCCTGAAAAGTCACGTGCGTGGTGGGCTGTACAAAAAGATAAGCCATGGCCCGGTTTCCATGGAGGAAGATCTGCAAGAGAAGAAGATAATCGTCGAAGCAAATACCGGACAGCACATATACGATAGAGCAGCACATCTATCTTTTTCCCAAAGGCCAAACGCAAGTGGTGGTGTGGATAAGGGAAGACAATGGTATATTCTTTCAACTGGTACGGCGTGGTGGTGGTGTGCTACATAGCTCACAGGGCCTTGCAGTACCTCATCTACGTCTGCTTTGGCCTCGAGTATAGCTACATCAATCCGTTCGCTCTCACGATTCACGGGCTGAAATACAAGTCGAATGCTGCTGAGAAGGTTGGAATCGAGGTGGGGCGAGTCAAGTTGCATTTCTCGGTGTTCCGCAAACGCAACTCACACGTGAACCTCTCCATTAGTGACGTTGTCTGCGACTTGACAGGGATACCGGAGGTGAATGCCTCTTCGGAGCACAGCGCCTCTGCACATTCTGCGTCTGGCAGCAAGGATTCAACGCCGATCTACGATAAAAAGTTTATAGAAAAACTCGGGCACGACCGTCCTTATGACCCAAAGGCACCTGTTGTCATATTCCCCGAGGACAAGAAGTTGAAACGACTCACCAATTTCCTTATCAAGTCGCTGCCACACTTATCCTTTGTTTTCCTGAACTCGAAAATCTTGCTTACCCCAGATTTGTCGGTGGTGTGTGAGAAAATAACAGGTAAGACCGACATCAACAGCCCTGTTGCCAACCCCTCGTTTTTGAAAAGATCGAGAAACTTGCATCACACATGGGCGTCATCCCTACAGCTGGAGAACTGCTATCTATTCAGCAAATCGGCGGATCAGATTCTATCGAAATTCATTGGTCGATGTGAAACTTCAATCAATTTCAAACTAGACTTGAATACCGGAGTGGCCTCCTCGCTCAAAATCATACTGAGGCTCGTGGAGATAGAAGTCTCGGTCCTTTATCTCCTCAAGTTGATAAAAGCTGTGAACCCAAAGTTTACGGTGGTAGATGCCGATGATGCCGACGAGGTAGGAAAAAGTGACAATCCAAAGAGCGTACACAAATATAGGCTTTACTTTTACGGTTTTGTCTTTAGGCTATTAAAACATGCCAGTGTTTCCATACAAACGTTGTCTCTCACAGAAATTCCTGCCACTACTACGAAAAAGATTAACAAGTTTCTTGAGAAACAAGATGATGCTTCGCTCGATGATGTGATCTTTGTTGCAGTAGAAGTAGCCTCTTCCTCTTTAGAAGTAGGCCCCGTGAGTCCAAATCAGGTAGGATATAGTTTGAAATTTGTTGAAGGATCGTTGCCATTACAATGGATTGTCACCTTAGGGAATATCAAGCTCTCATTGAACTACTCAAAAATACAGAACTACACTGGAACAGAAAAAGAGTTCGATATAATGTTCATTCCTAATTTGTTATTCACTCTGGAATCTACCATGCTGATCAACCTCTTACGTGTCGTCTTTGATAAGGAGATCAAGCATAATTTTACGAAGAAGCAAACAATAAGTGTTTTACAATTGACCGTTGCGAACCCTTCAATGGATGTCAGTACCGAGCAACTAAGTATACTATTAAAAGCTTTCAAGGAAAGGAAGGTCGAAATTGCCAAAAGAGGTATGGATACTTCATCCGACCCAGCTACGCCAACCAGTGCAGGCACATCCTCATCCGATGCGTCAAAAAAGGATGAGAAACATAGGAAGGATGAGCTCAAGAAAATTATCTTGAACACTTCACCTAAGTTTCAAATAAAACTACTTTTGGAAAAACCTCTACTGATGATCAAATCCGAGAATGGAGTTATTGAAAACAGAAATATTCATCTGTCCACCTTTCAACCTTCCATGTTGAGCCTTCAGTTTGAAGTTACTGCCATTGATAAAGGTATGGACTTTTCTTTTCGTTGCGATATTCCAGATACATCATTAATTTACCAGCGTGACAACCTCAACCGAAGTGCTGTCACGATAAAGGATTCTCAAATTAAAGTGAATGCTCACCTTTTTGATCTTTATGATGTCTCTCTATCTCTCGAGCTAGGACAAGTAATGCTTGACTTGAATAGTTTAGAGGTTTTGAATGGTTTGAGTATTTTGTACAATTCTTTGCTGACACATCTGCTTAATAACAAACCAGTCATCCCACGAAAAAAGAATCATAAAGTGGATGCAGCTAAAAACGCTCATGAATCTCTATTCAACCCTATACCAGACTGGTTCTCTCATGTTGGAATAAGTCTGAACAATATCATATTGAAAATTGGCTCCAAATCCCTTTTTATACCACCAGATGAACTGTTAAGCGAATCTAATACTCAAAACAACATCGTTAATCATAAAATTTTCACACCATCAAGTGTAACCTATAGTATCAATAAAGTAGATATTCAGTTGAAGAATCAAATTCAAGAAGGAGAAAGTGATGACAACCCTTCGACGCACTACTCGGAATATTCAAAATCACCGGAAGATTACTACTGGACTATTTCTGGAAAAGTAGTCAACTCACAAATACTAACCAGAATGTTACACCCAAGCTTAGAAGTTGATATTAAGGAGAGAATTTTACAGATACCCGAAATTGATTTGAGTTTTTATTGCTTAAAAAATGGGGTTTTCGAACTTTCTAATTTTGTTACGAAATTGAACATTTCTCATAGTGTATCTTCTCATTTCACTATTTTTTCATCCTTTTATTTACTCAAAAATGCTTTGTCACATCATAAATCCAGTAAACAAACAGAGAATACTAGACATGAACATGCTTCCAAGGTAAATTCCGAATCTCAAACCGAAGAGCTATCGTTACTTAATGTGCTAAACATAAAATGGTTTTTAAAAGAAGCTCAGATCAAAGTTATGATGCCGCAAGAGTTTAGCTTCAGGTTAGACTTATTTGACCTTAAGGGATTTGCAAACACTAAGACGGTTGTGATGGAGCAAAAGCTTCTCAGGCTAGCAGTTAAAAAATATCCAAAAGCCGAATTTTACAATTGCCTTTTAACACTTGATAATATGAGATTGGTATGTCTACTCCCTGATGATTCCAATGAATTAATGAAAGTTTCTATTCACGATAGTAATATTAAAATTTCTATACCTTCAAACTTCATAGTTCATTCTCTTTTTGACGCAATTATTCTTACAGCTAAATTAACCAAGAAGTTTATTGCCTCTGTCAAAGAAGGGCCCTCGAGAACTCTCGATAAGACCTCTCCAACAGGCGTGGTTAAGTTACCAAATATTAAACTTAAGTCCGAATCCTTGGCCTTTATGATTGATGATGACCCATTTGAAGCAGAGTTAAATATGATATTTCAACTCGGACTTTTAGAGCAAAGAGCTAGGCTTGAAAAGTACAAGTGTTTCAACCAATACTTAGACACAGTGAAAGAAAAGGCTGGTAATAGATACAGCGATGATAAAAGGTTATCTTTTTTGAACAAAAATTTGAGCAGTTTGTTTTCAAACCCATCTTTGCTGGAGCAAAACATTGAAGATGAAGAATTGGCATTTATTCTGACGGACTGTGGCAAGAAGCTACACAAACTTAGAGTCAATATTTCCAAATCGTGGATCATGTTGATTAAAGAATTTAAATTGAAAAGACATACAGTTGTACAATCCAATATGGAATTCTTGAGCGCAAATCTGGGTTCATTTTTACCAGTCTCATCATCTTTTAATTCCAAACTTGTCGATTTCAATGAAAATCCATCTTTGATGGGACTGTATTTTCATAACTTCACTGCCCGGGTTAGACCCCCCAAGTTTGAAAATGATTCAGGCGATGCTCTTGAGTTTATGTACCGTGTCGGGAAAGGTGTTCCTAAGGACACGGAGTGGGATAAGGTTATTCCTATGAGACTCATTCTTAGTGCAAGTGAGGTACGGGTTCATTTAAGAGACTTTCCTTTGCCACTGGCTTATATTCCAAACTACAAATCTGCAGAAAGATGGTCAGATAGTTTTGTTCTCAAAGCTACGTTGGTTTTTTCGGAGCCGATGCCAAAAACAGACAAAGAATACATGTATTTGCCTGTTCCTATGTATTTCAATGTCGTCGATGAATGTGGAATTTATTCTTGGCAAGCCCCCAAAACAACAACTTCTGTAAAGTGTTATTACGAATGTGAGTGCATAATAAGCTCCGATAATCCAACTATGGTCACTTGGTCAACAGCATACCAAGCCGTGATGAGGCAGTTGAATATTTGCTTTGATACATTCAGTAAGCCAACAAGCGATCCAAGTCCGAAATTGGGGATTTGGGATAAGATGCGTAACATCTTACATGGATATGTTAAAATCAATTGGAAAAATGATGAGTCCGAAGTACGGCTGAATATCTTGAATTCTTATGATCCCTACAAAATACTAGGTTATAATGCAGGATTCACATTAGTTTTCAAAAAAGGAGTTGAGTGGATGATTAATGATCCTCACAGGAAACTCGAAAGAGACTACTTCATATTCAGATCAAAGAGCATTTTGTTTGGTATTCCAAATCATTTGTCACAACCACTGCCATGCTGGTGTTCCAAAAACTTGATATTTTTGCCATCTAGTGACGAAAATCTTGTTCTTTCTTCCATGTACGGGTATTACCTTGATCAGAATCTTTACGTTTCTGATGATTCCCACTTGAAAGATATTATCGATTTAATCAGAGATCTGGAATTTGAGACGCACAATATATGTTTGAATGGAGATATAGAACTCACTCTATCAATGATTTTTGAGAGGAAAAATGAAGATGGGACAAAATCAATAAAATTCAAACCACACTATGAAAATATTCTGACTAGCTCAGATAAAGTGAAGGATAAAGATAATTTTGATTCTTACAAAGGTTTTAGGTCCGATTATATCCATATGGCATTAAAATTGTCCGCAAAAGCTTCAACTTACAATGTGCTAAGATTAACTCCAAGATCTATCTTCCATTTTATAGGATGGTTTAAACAGTTTAGTGGAGATATTGGTTTGCCAATACGGAATGGTACACTCTGGGCAGCTAATGAAGAATCCGTGAAGTTGGGAGGGCATTTAATGACCTTCAAGTTTATGTTTGATGTTGCACCTTTGTACATTTTTCATGGTTATCGGATAGATCTCACAAAGCCTGACAATCATACTGTAATCGGCCTAAAGGCAAAAATTGCAAACTTTAGGTGTGACTTGCACCAGAGAAAGGAGAAGAAGGTAAAACACGTCGACTTTTTGGATCAAAGTTTTGAAATAATGAAAATGAGCTTTTACATTGGGAAAGTAGACTTGGATGACGTGGATTTAAGAATAGTGGGATTGAAATTTGAAGAACCCGGGGATAAAACTATGCCCATACATAAATTTGAAATTTTTGATGATGACCAAGACTGGGTTGACTTGAATGATTATGAAGAAGTTGGCCTTCCAGCTATAGCTAATTGTGATATTACCGGGCAGATACATCCTTTATCATATGCTTCGCATTTTTGTTATTGGATGAATATGAAGTTAGATGACAACCAATTCGGAAATGAAGATTCTCATGATTGCTGTATAGATGCTGAAAACTTTCCAAAATCAAAATTTCAGCATATCTTTGATACGGATAAACTCAAATTCAAATGGCACTCTTTCATCAGAAACTTAGTATTTGAATATCTGGCTGGTATTGAATTCAGAGCTGCTTATGTTTATAGTACCTCGTACACGGCAAGAAAGGCAGTTGTTGAAAAGCTTGAAGAAGCCGGTAAATCACAACCTGATTCGGCAGGAACAAAAAAAATGCCTGACTTTAGTGTCAATAATGCTGAAGAGTTTGATTATGTTATGCGAAGTTTAAATGATTTTGCGAAAAATACGGTTGCTGTAGATCACATGCTACTTAGATTTAGAGATGTTCAGCTTCAGATGATGGTTAGCCCATCAGATGACCATTTGGTTTTATTCCGAACTCAACATAATGAGATAGAGATTGTTTCATTGATGGATGAAGGTTGGGTGAAATACTTGAAGTCGGCCGATATTGCCAAGCGTTTTGGTACTATTTTCAAGAATGCAGATTTATTGATGATGTCAAGGAAAGAATACGCAAGCATAGGCAAAAAAAACAAGCATTATGGTAGCACTTCCTCCTGGCCTGCATTCTTGGATGGTGATGAACCTGAAAATTATATTAAAAGCAAGACTTTGCTATCGGATGTTTTGATATATTTTGTCATGGAAAAAGCATCTAATTCTTACGCAGGAGGAAAGCGTAGAAATAAATTGTACTTGAACATCCCAACATTTGAGACAAGAATTGATTCAGATTCTTATCTAACTTTTTTCAAAGTAGCACAGAAGCTAATGATGTACGTCAGTCCACAGCAGAAACACTTTGCAGAAATGGTAGAGTCTCTTGCCCTTGCTACGGAGGATACGAACAAGCGTTTTCTTCTCCAGAATTTAGAAGCATTATCACATGAGATAAGAACATTGTTGTTTATTCACAAAACAACAACCCCATTAAGATGTGTTTCAAATGGTGAAACATATTTTGACCCCTTGTTGCGTCAAAAATGCTCAAAATTATTTTCTAAAGCATTGATTCTATCAAAACTTGCGCTGCAATCTTCAGATTCAGTTGGTGATGAGAAAGATGACGAATGTTTTATGGAATGGGTAATCACAGCTTCTAACATTAATATTGACTTCGTTGACAACAAGCACACGTTTATGAATTTTGCCATGAAAGAAAGTTCTTTTTCAAGACTCGAAATGCTTGATAAATCTACCATAAATGAGATTTCAATCAAGAAGATTCAAATTGGAAATAAAGATTACAACATTTTATACCCCGAACTGTTAACCCAATTTGTTCCAAACGGGCATGATATTAAAGGCACGAATTTAGATTCTATGGTTAAAATTATGTGGGAATTTGGTGAGAAGGTTGGGGGAATGCATAATATAAAGAATGTCGAAATTGAGTGCCATCCGATGAAAATATCAATGGAAGACAAAACCGGCTTGAAACTTATGCATTTTTTATTCCCCGATGAAATAAAATACCAGGACAGTAAACGTGTTGGTGATAGCAGCAGCGATGAAGATGATGAGTACTCTTCAAGTAGTACCGAAGCAACTGTTATTGATTCAGATAATGAGATGACAGAATCTGGTATTGATAAAGATAACAATGCGCACAATGGTACTTTAGCAAAAGAGGAGTTAGAGAAGACAGAAGACATATCAAAGAAAAAGTCATCAGCCGAAATCCTAAGTGAGTTTCTCAGTACGAGTGACGAGTCCAGAGAAGAATTATACAGTAACATTAGTAAAAAAAGCTCGATAAGTTTTGTGGGTTCACAATCCACAAAAAATGTGAAGGCTGAGAATAATATTATCTCAACATACTCACAGAAATTAAACAAAAGTCTTGTCAGTGGTAAGATTGTCAACACAGTCCCTGCACTGGACAATCTGTTGAAGGCCAATATCAAGAGCAAGAACCCAGAGCTTTCAGATAAGTCTCTGAGTATTTCAGAAATGTCGGAAAGAGCCAAGACTTTTTTTTCGATTAGAAAGTTCTTGTTTGCTGACTTTGTGCTCAATGTAACGTTTTCAGGAAAGGGAAAACTTAGATTGATTAACGTTAATAACCTAACATTAATGGTTCCCGCCTTTCAGGTTTCAAGGAAATTATGGACTAGTATTGATATGATTAACGCTGTGAAAAAGCATGTTGTGAAAACTTTACTCAAACAAACCGGCCGCTTGTTGAGGAATAAGATGTTTGTTTACAAAAGCAAAAAGAGAGTCAATCGTTTGAATAAAGCAGTAAGTAAGCGATAGATAGAATTGTTCCAATATAAAAGTTATAGTTGCAAAGTTTTTATTTATAGTACAAGAAGCGCACAAGTGTCAACTGTAATACGGGTTCAGTCGAACTTGACCTGCACGTGCCTCCTTTTAACCTCTTGCTGCTCCGGAGAAAGTGAAGCGCCTGGCTTACGCTTCTTTTCTTTCTTGAGATCGGAGAAATCCATGTTCGAAAGCGCCAATTTCGAAGGATCAAAACCAGGGATCCCATTGGCTCCAGTTTTCTCTAGATTGAGTATTTTGTCGAGGTACTCCAAACTGAAGGGTTCTATCTGAGGCTTGGCAAAATCCGGGTTTTCCGGCATCAACGCTATTTGAGTAAAGCTCTTGTCCTCTGTGGGTATGTTGTGTTTTCCTGGTAAGTCCAAAATATGAGACTTGTACGATTTCCTAAGCTTCATCCCCTTAGAGCCATCAGGATTGGTCCTGGTCAACGCTTGTGCAAGATCCTGAATATTGTACATCCTTATCACGTCTGCCCGCAGAGTGGGTTGCGCTGGCTGGCAAGTCTCATTGGAGTCAATAAAATAATAGTTACCCGTGGATGAAGATTTGGAAGACATTGGATCTATTGTGGTGGTTCTGGCTCAGAGTGGAGAAATCAATATCTATCCCTAGGAACAGCAGGTAATTTGAATATACCTGTTCTGCAGACAATCTAGTCAACAATTTACCAAAAGACCTAAAAGCATGAAGTCACGTGCTTAGCGGCTAGTCGCGAGGGCTGTTTGAATTTTTCTTCACGTGCTTGAAATAAGGGTTTTTTGCGTTTCTGGTGCGAGGTGTGACTGGGAAATGGCAAAAATTTCTTATGGAGAGGAAGAGAGAAGGTTGGGGAGAGCGTGAGCGAGGGAGGAGAGGAGGAGGAGGCGGGAGAGCGTGTAGTAGGCAGGATACTGTGATGATTTTTCAAATTGAAAGATAGGTATACAGCTGCTTATGTGAGTTTGAGTATTCTGAGATCGGATATCTTTTGAGATACTCAAGAATCAACAGACATCAAAAGTAAGTTAGAGACAGACATAAGGGAGGAAGCTAGAAGTGAAATGAAGAGATATTACGTTGCCAACAAACTGCCATGAAGCAGGATCGGGAAACTTGCATCAACGAGATAGCTTAAGCAAAGTGAAATGCAATATAGTCACCGAGTCGATAGATAGACTGGTAAATATTTTGGTTTCCTACGTTTACTCGGGAGTGAAAAATCTGCTGACCGACTCGTGGGATAACGTATAGTCACCACAACGACAAGCGTAGAAGCTCGCCTATGAAGAGACATCAGAAAACAGCAGTACATTACAAACAGTAGGAGGCTGATCAAAGGAATGAAATAGAATAGTGCTACAAATAATCCTCGAAAAAAGGTTTCAAGCTTTCGAGGTTGGTCCTTCGCATTAGCACGCAACGTCAATCTCCAAAAAAATTTTACTCCTTCTTTTTTTCACCCATTTGCTACCAAAAAACAGTAATACTAACTTTTCACCGTTTATTTGTTTAAACATCTTCAAATTCATTCACAGATGGCTCCACAATTGAACCCAAAGATTGTCAAGAAGCACACCAAGAAGTTCAAGAGACATCACTCTGACAGATACCACAGAGTTGGTGAGAGCTGGAGACTTCAAAAGGGTATTGACTCTTGTGTCAGAAGAAGATTCAGAGGTACCATCTCCGCCCCAAAGATCGGTTACGGTTCTAACAAGAAGACTAAGTTCTTAAGACCAGATGGTAAGAAAGCTTTCGTTGTTTCCAACTTGAAGGACTTGGAAGTTTTATTATTACACACCCAAACTTATGCTGCTGAAATCGCTCACAATGTTTCTGCCAAGAACAGAGTTGAAATCCTTGCAAGAGCTAAGGCCATTGGTGTCAAAGTCACCAATCCAAAGGGTAGAGTTACTCTTCAAGCTTAAATGTAATGTTCTTTTAGTATATATAGTGGATTCTAATTTCAAGCCTATTTTCTATTGATCATTTTACCGTTTAACCTCTATCGAGCTTTTAATAAAAATACAGTTTCTTAATAGATTAACCCCCTTCTTGTGTATTCAGCACCAAATCCCTCAGAAGCCGCCCACTTGCTTTGGCTAAATTTCAAACACAGAAGCAGCGCAACGTGCATTTATTTATTTACGTGGATCATGATAGCCAACGCACACACAAAAATCTAAAAACACCCTTCAATGGGTCTGAGGAATCCGCCCAGCATTCGTAGAATCGGAATTAGTAGGCTCCAACAGACATACTGTGACCAACATGAGCTATAGCAACCAGTTCGTTATTGGTGACGACGACAATGACGACTCGGTGGATCTTTTGCAAGATGATGCACCATATGCTAACAATGTGAACACAACAAACTCGAACATAAATTCGAACAGACGAAAACCTCTAAATAGCAAGGCAACCAATGATGGAGTATCAGCATTTGATCCGTTTTCAGATCAGAATAAGGTTGATGATTTTGACGACGTTTTTGGTTCTGTCAACGGCAATTACAGATCGTTGACACCGGAAAACCCCTTTGACAATTCAAACCGAATTCCAAGTGACAACGTGAGTGATCTGTTCTCGGATGTTGATGACACAATTGTCAATGACAGAGACGCCGCAGGCGGTCTGCAGTTTAATGCAAGCTTAAATGACTTAGCAATTTCTCAGAACAGGTCTGGATTAAGAGATATATATAATCAATTAAAGGACAAATTTGGGCTGACAAACTACAACAACGTCAATCTTGAATCAAGAGGCGCAGATGATCCTTATGACGAAACGATGCATGATCATAGACCCCCACCAGAAGTCGTAAATACAGAAAAGAATATTTTTGATATAAGGAGATGCTGGAGCAAAAGAAAGAATGAAGATGATAAAGGCCCTAGAGTAATTTACTTGAATGACCCACATAAAAACAGCAAATCGGGGTTCTCCTTGAATCATATTAGTACAACGAAGTACAATGCTTTCACGTTTCTTCCAAAATTTCTTTTCGAACAATTTTCAAAGTATGCCAACTTATTTTTCCTCTTCACTTCTTGTATTCAGCAAGTTCCCACAGTCACCCCAACTAATAGATACACGACAATTGGTACCCTATTGATAGTTTTGTTGGTTTCTGCCGTCAAAGAAATGTCAGAAGATATAAAAAGAAGTTCTTCCGATAATGAGTTGAATAAATCAAAAGTGTTAATTTTGGACAGCACAACCGGGGAGTATCATGAGAAAAAATGGATTAACGTCAATGTTGGAGATATAGTTAAAATTCGGAACGGAGATTCTTTGCCAGCAGACCTAATTTTATTAAGTTCATCAGAACCTGACGGGTTGTGCTACATTGAAACAGCGAATTTGGACGGTGAGACAAACTTGAAGATCAAACAACCTAGAAAGGAAACAGTGCATTTGATAGATCCACATAAATTAGTCGAAGTCAAAGGCAAAATATTAAGTGAAAGGCCCAACAGTAGTTTATATACCTACGAAGGTACAATGGAATTGAACAATACCCAGTTTGCATTGAGCCCGGATCAATTAATCTTAAGAGGTGCAAGTCTTAGAAATACTATGTGGATACAAGGTGTTGTTATTTTCACCGGGCATCAAACAAAGTTGATGAGAAACGCAACTGCTACTCCGATCAAAAGAACGGATGTTGAGAGGATTATTAATTTACAGATTATTGCATTATTTGGTATTTTGATATTTTTAGCCATTGTCTCTTCCTTGGGAAATGTTCTCACATTGCAAATAAATAGAAAACATCTTTCTTACCTTTACATGGAGGGTACTAGCAAAGTTGGTTTGTTCTTTCTTGACATCTTGACATACTGGATTTTGTATTCAAACTTGGTGCCCATTTCTCTTTTCGTCACGGTAGAGATTATCAAATATTATCAAGCGTACCTAATTGCGTCAGACCTTGACATGTATTGTGAGGAAAATGATACTCCGACTGTTGTGAGGACCTCGTCATTGGTGGAGGAGTTGGGACAGATTAAATATGTGTTCAGTGATAAAACCGGAACGTTGACTAGAAATATAATGGAGTTCAAGACATGTTCCATTGGCGGACGTTGTTATATCGAAAATATTCCTGAAGACAAAGAAGCAGTGATGCAAGATGGTGTTGAAATGGGCTACTTCACATTTGACCAGCTCAAAAAAGATCTCACTTCAGGGTCAAATAGCAAGGTTATTGATAGTTTTTTGACCTTACTATCCACCTGTCATACTGTCATTCCGGAAGTAGGAGAAGACGGTACAATCAAATATCAAGCGGCATCACCAGATGAAGGTGCATTGGTTGACGGTGCTGCCATGTTAGGTTATAAATTTCATACAAGAAAACCATCTTCAATAGTTGTATCTGCCAATGGGCAGGATCTAACATTTGAATTATTGAACATCTGTGAATTCAATTCTACCAGAAAAAGAATGAGTACCCTATTTCGTTGCCCTGATGGTAAAATAAGACTATATGTCAAAGGTGCAGATACAGTCATATTTGAGCGTCTAGCTTCAGATAATGAGTACGTTGAAGCAACCACAAAGCACTTAGAGGAATTTGCAGTTGAAGGGTTAAGAACCTTATGTATTGCCGCAAGGGTTATAACCGAAGAAGAGTATGTCTCTTGGTCAAAGGTCTATCAACAAGCGTCTGTTAGCTTGGAAAATAGGGCGGAGGAATTGGACAAAGCTGCAGAGCTCATCGAAAAAGACCTTTTTCTTCTTGGTGCCACTGCAATCGAAGACAAATTGCAAGATGGTGTTCCTGAAACTATCTCAGTTTTGCAGGAAGCGGGTATTAACGTGTGGGTGCTTACTGGTGATAGACAAGAGACTGCTATAAATGTTGGTATGAGTTGTAAATTGTTGAGTGAGGATATGAATCTTTTGGTAATCAATGAAGAGAATAAAAATGATACTTGTGAGAATATGATTGAGAAATTGACAGTATTGCATGGAGAAGAGATTTCCAAGGAGGATAGAGACAGTTTAGCATTAATTATCGACGGAAAATCATTAGGTTATGCACTTGAACCTGATTTGGAAGACATGTTTTTGGAAATTGGCACTATGTGTAAAGCCGTCATTTGTTGCAGAGTGTCACCTTTACAGAAAGCGTTGGTTGTCAAATTGGTGAAGAGAAAGAAGAAAGCATTACTACTTGCAATTGGTGATGGTGCAAATGATGTTTCAATGATTCAAGCAGCTCATGTTGGTGTTGGTATCAGTGGTATGGAAGGTGCACAAGCTTCTAGAAGTGCAGATTTTGCTATCGGTCAATTCAAATATTTGAGAAAGCTCTTACTTGTTCATGGTGCTTGGTCTTATCAAAGAATATCTCTCGCAATATTGTATTCATTTTACAAAAATATCACATTATATATGTGCCAATTTTGGTATGTTTTCAGTAACGGGTTCAGTGGCCAATCAATTGTTGAATCATGGTCATTGACCTTGTACAATGTTTTGTTCGTTGCATTGCCACCGTTTGTCATTGGTATTTTTGATCAATATCTTACCATCAACATGCTATACCAATATCCACAGCTATATAAAATTGGGCAACAAGGACATTTTTTCAATGTCGAAATTTTCTGGTCCTGGGCTGTCAACGGATTTTATCATAGTGCAATCATTTATGTTTGCGTCATCAACATTTACAAATATGGTAATCAATTTCTAGATGGCCAAATTGGCGGTTTATGGGTTGTCGGTGTTGCAATCTATAGTGTCTGTCTTTTGACATCTTTGGGAAAAGCTGCTTTAGTTTCATCACAGTGGACAAAATTTACCTTGATCGCTATACCAGGCTCTTTTGCACTGTGGTTTATTGCTTTCCCGTTGTACGCAGTCATTGCACCAAAAGCAAATGTTTCAAAGGAGTACAGAGGTATCGTTCCATTTGTTTATGGTTCTGGTGTATTTTGGTTGACAATCATCGTCGTTCCGATATTGTGTTTGATGAGAGACTTCCTCTACAAATTTTACAAAAGACAATGGAATCCTGAGTTCTACCATATTGTTCAGAAAGTTCAAAAGAGTCAAATCCAAACACACAGACCTAAATTCTCATCTTTCCAAAAAACTATTCGAAAGGTGAGACAAGTTCATCGGATGAGAAAGCAAAGAGGTTTCGCATTCTCTCAAGTCGAAGGCCAAGAAAACATTGTTAGAAAATATGATACAACTAAGCGTAGAGGTGTTTACGGAGAGTTAGAGTAGTTTTTTACCTATGTATCTTTTATTCTTTCCGAAACCTAAAAATAACTGTATAATAATAAGAAAAGCCTTCTTTTCTATTCGTTCAAACTCTGGGCATGTTGTAGGCCTTCAGTAAAAGATGATAGAATTTTGCAATCTTGTAGTAGCAACTTGTGATCTGCATTTTGAGCAGTACTTCGTGTCTTATATCTATATTCGGAAAGCTGAAAATTGTGCACCAGAAGCCCTTTATTAATTTCACTGATCAAGGTGTTAATCATAGTTTGTTGTTCAAATATGAATTCTTTGTTAAACTTCCCAGCGATTTGACCTAGTTTGTTATCAATAAGTTGGTGAGAAAGTTTGTCGAGAGATGCAAAATTGAATAGCTGACTTAATAGTTTTTGCTCGTTGTGATGTAAGTGGTGAATATAAAGCAAATAATTGAACACAAATGATTCGAGGTCGTATGCTTGGTAGCTCTGGTACACTTTGAGTAATCTAGGAAAAAGTTTTGTTTTATATTTGTAGATCGTCACATCTGTAGTTTTCGCCCCTTTATTCAACATCAAAGAGAGGAAAATGTATTCTGATAGCACTAGCTGAAATTCGGGTATATTGACAAAAAGATACAAGTCCATCGTAACATGAATAATCTGATAAGCTCGTTCGTATGATTTTGAAACAGTTGCGGAGTGTGACAACTGATGGTAGTATGAAAAAAGCCCGTTTTCAATCAATTCTCTGTCTAACATACCATCAAAATCATCTATATTATATTTAGCTAGTATATAGTTGATCTTGTCATAAGAACCGTGATAAAAAAGTTGTTTCACTACATGCACTTGAAAAAATTGGAGATTGTTATCGAGAAATTGTTGCTTAAATTTCAAAAAAGCTTCAAAAAGCCTTGCAGTTTTGAGCTCATTGCATACCCTCAAATAACTTAATAGCATCTCATTGAAAAGAGCTTGAAGAATTTTATTTCGGTAAATCTTGGTAAAGTTTAGATCGTGGAGCAGAGTTAGGCACAAGGTTGTGAAAAATCCTCTGATCTCGGCAGCAACTAATTGGGTATCATTTTGTTCAGAATATCCCTGCAAAACAAAAAGTAAAAGAATGGCTTTCTCTTCTGGGTTGACATTTTGCGGAATAAGCCGATCTATTAAGTTCTTTATGTAATTGATATCGGTAGTTGCTTTGTCTTCATCGGCTGTCAAAGCAGCATTGATTGTGTCCTTTATCGAACTGCTATGCAGTTCGATATTATCAATCCAGTCATCATCAATATGTAATCTATTACTCATGGCTGAGTTAAAAGCAGGGCATGGAAATGTTAGCGTACAGGAGGTAAGACAGAAGAACTGACGTACTTTATCAGTCAATTGCTCTTTATCAGGAAACAATTCCTACATTTTTCTAAAAAGGTCGGTGGTAGTGCACGCGAATTATCAGTTTTAGCACAATCAATGAAAGAATAAGAAAAGAGTTCCAGTAAATGACAAAATTTGTTATTGAATTACATATCGACTCGATATATATAATGTCTCTATAAAGATACAAGTTTCGACAGATTAAAATCACAATTCATCCTTTTCCAGAGCAACGTCTTGTTCCACAGGTTCTGCTACTAGAGGCTGCTGATCTTGTGGAGGAAAACCTTCTACTTGAGGTTTGAGAGCAGAATTAAAGTCAATACCGCCCTGATCAGCATTGGCAGGTCTATTGTTTCCTGCATTTTCGTAAGGGAAGTTGTTGCAATCGTAATCCCAAGAAGAGAACCACTTACTAGCTTCACACTTTTCAAGGGTCCAATCAGAACCATCGGTTAATGGCAATCTCTGGTAATAACACCATAATGAAGCACTGAAAATTAAACCGTAAAGCACATAAGTTTTTCTGTTCTTAAAAGTTGAAGAGAATAATTGGAACAGATGGCCCAGTGCTAGCACAGCAAAATATAACGCTGGAAAATAATGGTGCAAGAAAAGTTGACGTTCCATGAGGAAAAATGGATATAAGTGTATAAACCAACCTAGGAGGAATATGAAGGTGTTATAGTTGAAATTGAAAGAGTTCTCGCTAATGCTTATGTTGTATCCTAGCTGATACTTGAAAATCAAAACAACAATGTAGATACCGTAGCCAAGGAATAAGAAAGATGCCGGCCACCAAATAATTGGGTTACCTAAAAGATAGATCTGATGTGGTGCCAAAGCCCAATAAGAAATACCTCTATTGAGAAGTAACCAGTCAGAAGGTCTTGATTCAAATACATGAGATGCAGTTAAACCATTGTTGATATGCCACATCTTCTTGTGTAATTCTGCAACCTTTTGAAAGAATGACAGTTGCTTGTAGCCAGTCTTTTCGGCATCTAGAGGCAAGTAAATGTTAACATTGTCTTCAATGTACCACAAGCTTAAAGGCTCAATACCTTGGGTAGCACATGTGACCTCTTGTTGCTCATAACCCCATTTTGGAAGCTTGGTTTCGTGAGACCATAAATAGCAGTTAGTCATGGCGTGTCTTAATCTGAAAACGGTATCAATGGCTTTGAGTTTTTCTTGTGCTTCACCAATCACAGATTTGTCCTTGACGATTTCTACAACGAAATCATCATTTGGATCACCGTCAAAACCTTCATAACCGTAACATGAAGCTTCATTTTGCCACTCAATTTCTGAAACTGAGGGTCTCACATCATGAGAATGTAATCTTCTGCTGGTGATCATATGCTTTAATCTAATCTTGGTACCATCAGTGATTGGAACGAACTCAAAAGGTTCCGAGGTAACATTGTACAATTCAATAATCCATCTGTTATTTTCATCCAAATGAGGATATAAGGTAATTTGCTGTTGCCCAGAACCACCTTCGTATAAGTGATCATGAGAATGTAAGTAACCGCCATGGGTGCCGAGATGTCTAAGTGTCACAATGGAACTCACACCAACATCTGCGCTTGTAGATTTTGGCACTGTGGTGTCGTCGAAGTCTATTCTGAAAGCAGAGCTCATGAATGCGGCACCGTCACCTTCGTGCGTCAAAATCATCAAGTGCAGGTAAAAACTGAAGAGGTAGATGACTGCTGGGATTATAAGAAGAACGGCACCTCTAAAAGCAGCGTGTCTGAAGATACTAGGCACACTAACAGATAAATCACCGACAAAAAACCATAGACGAATCAGGTTCACTAAACCTAACCACGCAAAAGTGAAGAGGCCGACCCATTTGGAAGATACAGCAAAACCAAGGAATGTTCCACAAAGGGCAAGATACCTGAACCAGTCAAAGGAGAAAGGTTTGGAAATTTCGGTTCTGGTGTAGAAATAAGCAGTACCAGCGATGAAGAAAATAAGTGGGGAATCCAATAAAATGTATCTTGAGATTGTGACCAAACCATTTTCGATGACTAGTAATGCAGCAGTAAAAAAGGCAACAGATTGCTTGCAGCCGGTAGCTCTTAAAGTGAAGTACAAAAACAGAACAGTACCGACACCCATGAACGCACTCAGTTGTCTCATCAATATGTATGGAACATTTGGCGGGAAAACGTCACCAATGGTTTCAAATGCAAAGTCACCCTTAAATCCACCCAATGCTCCGACTGCAGCAAACAAGAGCTTGGCTAGGGGTGGATGCACATCCATGAAAAATGCACCTTTAATGTATTTCTTTGCAAATCCTCCAAAATGAACTTCGTCAAAAACAACACTATTAGGATTGGACAAGTTCGAAGCTCTGATCACCAATGCGAAGATGATCAAAGAACCGACTAGCAATCTTTCTTTCGACGTGTGCACGAGTCTATTAGCCGACACTTCATCCGACAACTCAGTTTTTGGGTATTGTCTCATGTAGCCAGGTTCCAATATGAGCTCAGAAGTTTTCTCCTCTGAAGTCTCAATGGCCTGACTCTTAGAGGGTTTGCTGGCTGATCTTTTTGGTGCCATTGTGGACGAAGCTGAACACCTTTCAAGCTATGAGAGAGGAAGATGTGAGGTCAAGCAGCAAAGGGAAACAGACAAAGAGCATCTAGACAAAACAAAGAGATGTGAAATAAAAGGAAAAAACAAATGGGGAAAAAATAACACAAAAAGACTTAATAGTTCTCGTTCTATTATGTCTCTCCTCTGGTAGACGTGTTTCCCTCGACGCGATGCTGCTACCCAGAGGGAAAGTGTACACATTCAAGTTGACACGTATTCTCTTCGCACCGGCACTAAAAAGATAAGCGACGCGTCGATTTCTGTCATTCGTGGATGGTGTGTATTGTGCACGTGACTTCATGAATCACAGTTCAACTATTTAGTTCTATACATTCTATTTTCTGTACTTCTTCAACACGTCGACCTTCTTCTTACCTCCACTACGTCTTTTTCCCTGCTGCTGGCGCTTCTTATGCTTGGTGAAAGGAACAAATCCCAGTTTTTTAACGTCCTGTCTTGCTCCCGGGGGCAATAAGTAGTCCGGCACCCTTTTTAAGTTCACGTCGGATCTCACCTTGGAAAGGGCTTTATCGTGTCTCAAAGTCTCAAAATCTTGCGGGTTCTCCTCGAAATGTCTCTTCAACTTCTCACTTGTCATCAACTCCATCTTGATCTCCTTCAATCTTGCCTCACGCACAGCAGTTTGAGTAACAGACCTGAATGAGTCGTCCATTCTATACCTAAAATTATCCAACTGCTTGTTATCAAATTGGTAAGGCTCGATCTCGTAACCCAACTTCTTCTGTGTTCTTTCAATCTTGGCAAGTACCTTCTCGTCCTTTCTTGCACTTGGCAATGATGAGGCCTTATGCTTCCCCCATTCGTTTTTGAATACAACAAAGGATAATGCCATCCCGCTTTTACCACCTCTTGCGGTTCTCCCTACTCTGTGAATGTACGCCTTGGATGATGATGAAAGATCAAAGTTTAGAACGCAAGCCACGTTTTTGAAGTCCACACCTCTCGAAGTGCTGTAATCTTTTGCATCATTAGATTTCTTGCCTAATTTCTTGGCGGACTTATTGTCTTCAACATCTTTACCATGATCGAGCATGCTAGCATCAGTTGTGCTCTCACCCACTTCTGCTTCTGTGTCATCGTCGTATTCGTTAGATTCATCAGTAGCAATCAACAAATTGTAAACGTTTTTGTTAAACTCTTCAAGAATATGTAATCTTGAATTTATTGGCAATTCAGAATTAAGTATGCAAGATCTAATACCAAAATTTTGTAAAAAAAGCTTGAGTTTGTAACCTCTATCTAGGTTATTCACAAAGACTAGTATCTTTCCCTTGATTAAGTTCAACTTCAAGATGACATATATTAACAAAAATTTATCGTACTCACTTGTTTTAACATAGTATTGGAGTAATCTTTTATTCTGATTATCTAAATCCTGCAACTTTAATATTGCAGCCTTATTGCAAAACTTTTGCTTCAAAGTATTGATGTCTTCGTTCAAGGTAGCACTCATCATAAAAACTTGCATATGTTGCTTCAAATTCAAGAAGTTGCTTAATTTTTCCAAATCTTCATCATATCCATAACTCAGCATTAAATCCACTTCATCAATAACAAAGTATTTCAATTCCATCAAACTCACATCTGAGTGTTCTTCAAGAACGTTGAGTAATTTCGATGGTGTTGAAACAAGAATCTCAGGTCTATCGTTCAACACTGCTGTTAATAGCTGATTGTTTTCAATATCATTCAAGTTGACAACTTTAACATGTTTACCACAATATATTGTCAATTCCTTCAAAAAGTTGCTTACTTGTTTAGCGAGTTCCTTTGTTGGCACTAAAATGACACTTTGAATTTCATTTTTGCTATCTGCAGTTTTGGACTCATTCTGTACTAAAATGCTCTGTATAATAGGTATACAATATGCTGCGGTTTTTCCTGAACCGGTGGAGGCTTTAGCTATAATGTCCTTCTTTTGCTGTAACGAAAGTTTAATAGACTGTGACTGAATCAACGTTGGATGTTCAAAACCAAGCTTGTTAATAGCTTGAATTAATCTAGGATCTAGATTGAAACTATCAAAAGTGATAGTATCATCAACATAATCTTTCGACACTGCAACCTTGCTATCAGACATTGGCTTTTAGTTATAGATGCTGTTTTTAGAGGACTGTAATGAAAGGTGTGTCGATAGTAAGATATCCTTTATATTTCAATGGCTATCTGAAATACTTTTAGAGAAAAACTATGCAGAAAAAAAATTCAAAAAAAAAATCGTGAAAATTGAGAAATTGGAAAATTGAAAAAATTAAAAAAAAAATTAAATATTTATAGAAAACTGGTGAAATATATAAACTTACACAATCAATCTTTGTCAGAATCTTCCTTCAAAGTGACAATTCTATTCAGAATTAGCTTGTCCTCTGTGCTGTCAGAATCCAAACAGAAGTAACCAACTCTCAAAGCTTGGAATCTAACCGTCTCAAAACCTGCTTTCTCCTTGATTGAAAACTTCTCATCAGTGAATGGCATGTTCAATGGAGATTTAGCTTTCACATCTAATAAGGCAGGTTCAATCATTGCACCCTTTATGACTTCCTCCGATTCTTTGTTGATATCTGCCAAAAATCCATCAGGATGAGATGATGGGTTTTCGGAGTTGAAAAGCTGGTTGTAAATACGAACTTCAGATACATTGACTGGTGATTTGTATTTAGCCGATTCCGGTACCCATTGGATGTAAGCCTTTGGCTTCTTGTGTTCTGAAAGGTCATTCATATACACAGCATGAATAAGCACAGGTTTACCGTTAGAGTCGTGTTCAACAGATTTCACCTTTATGTTGAAGGGAACACGCATTAAGCCAACAGGTTGGTCCGGTGCCAATCTAAAATATCCCTTCGAGGTCTCATCTCTGTAATCTGATGAATCGATATATACCACCTTGGTCAATGGGATCTTTCTAGAGCCAAACTCATCATTTCCTGGTTTGTAAGGAATTTCAATCAGCTCCTCGTAATCATCTGGTAAATTATCTAAAACAACCTTCAATGGGTTCTCAATCATCATCAAACGTGGAGTCGTGTGATCCAAATACTGTCTAACGGCACTATCAAATCTAGTAGCTTGGATGTTGGTAGTTGAAGTTGTAACACCCAAGGTATTAATGAAACTCAAAATGGCACCTGGCGGGATACCTCTTCTTCTCAATGATTCCAACGTGTACAATCTAGGGTCATTCCATCCTCTCACGTAACCCTCTTTAACTAACTTTGCAATTTTTCTCTTAGACATGATAGTACCAGTGATGTTCAATCTACCGTATTCACGCTGGGCCGGTCTATAAACGTGCAGCACGTCACATAACCATTCATAACTCTCTCTACTCAAATAAAACTCCGTGGTACAAAGAGAATGGGTAATGTTTTCAAAGGAATCGACGAGACAGTGAGTAAAGTCATAAGTTGGATAAATTTTCCATTTATCACCAGTTCTTGCGTGGGAGGCATTCAAAACTCTGTATGCAACCAAATCCCACATTTGGGGTGATGGAGAATCGATGTCTTGCTTCATTCTCAAGGTTGCTTCACCGGGTTTGTAGTGCCCATCTCTCATTTTCCTGAATTCGATAAGATTTTCTTCAACTGATCTGCTTCTCCAAGGGGATGGGAATCTCTCCCCTCCTGGTGTTCCGTCTGGTTTAACACCACGTTGTGCTTTAACCTCTTCAGCAGTTGAATGGTCAACATAAGCATATCCACTATTGATCAATTTTTCTGCCAAAGAGTACAATTGATCAAAATAGTCTGAAGAGTAGGTGATTTTCCAAGGTTCAAAGCCTAACCATTTGACACAACGTAAAATGGAGTCAAAGTAAACTTGTTCTTCTGCTTCAGGATTAGTATCGTCGTATCTAAGGTAACATTTACCATCATGGAATTTGGCAAAACCGAAGTTGACCATGATTGCCTTCGAATGTCCAATATGCAAAAATCCATTTGGTTCAGGTGGAAACCTGGTGTAGACTTTACCTTTTATGAAATCACGATGAGCCTTAATCACATCATCCCATCTTTGAGGTTCTTCTCCAGGCTTGTGTAAATCACCTAAGAAACCTTCGGTGAACATGTTTCTGGCATGCACATTGGTCAATGAAGATGGCTTATCATCCTTTGTGGTTTCCTTTGTTTCTTTCTTTTTCTTCTCTTTTTTGATTACATCCCTTTCATCCTTTGGACCAAGCAACTCAAGCAATTGAGTATCGATAGTTGGTTTGAACAATGCCGGAGACGCCCACTTCAAAGCTGGCAATTGTCTGACGTTGGCCAAAAGTGCAGGAACCATACGATATCTGTTTGTTTCAATTTCTTCCTTATGTTCTGATATGTAATCACAGATAATTTTGAAAACTTCAGTTTCAGTGATTTCGATGCCCACACCAGATGCAATTTCAAAGTCAGATTCAACGAAGTTATCTGGATGAGTCTCAACGTATTTGAGAGCTTCAGCAACTTGTAAATTTGACTTCAATTTTTTATCGATGATACTTCGAGAAATATGATCAATACCATCAACGTTTTTACCTTTTAAAAGTGATGCCAAATAGTGCAATAATGCATTTTCTGATTTATCTAGTGGTAAAGCTGCAGAATTTTCTAATATATCTGAAGATTCAATAACATCTGCCAATGATTGGGAGACTTTTTTGTTCTTAACAATCTCTTTAATTTTCTTGTCCTCAAAACCAACTTGAGAAAACAATTTGCTGAGTTCCTCTTCTGAGGTAGCTTCAGTTGCTGATGTCTTAGACATAATTTATATTGCTACCGATGCAAATTATGCTCTGTGGCAAAATGATAAAAGGATTTTATAAGTTTATTTTGTAGCATTCATTAATGACTTTATACATTTTACTCACGCTCAATTTGAATCGCCCATTTTTTTGGCTTTTTTCAGTGGCCAAAAAAAAGTGGGACTATGAGGCGCATAGACATTTTGCGTATCTTTGATTTGTAACTATATACAACTATATAAACCTATAGAATAATTTAGGTGTCTATTAGGTATAGGTGATTGTAAAAGTGGAAATTGTAAAAAGTATTTCAGACTTCGTAGTAGTAGTTGCCACTGGAACCGTTTCTAGCCATTTACAAATGGTCGGGAACATAGAAAACAACAAAAGATCAGGTTTATGATTAATTGAAAACAAAAAACAAAAGTGCAAATAAAATACAAACACCCCGAATGTAACAGTAAAAAGCACTGAACTAAATGAATGCAGATGGGAGATAGGGATAATAATGACCAATTGGACTGAACTGACAAGTAGCAAAGGTCACAGGATTAACAATGAGTGGTAATATAACATTAAGTTTGTTGAAGTGATGACTAAAGTGTAATTGATTTTGAGAAGCTAAATGCTTTAATGAAATGAAATGAGATGGAGATGAGTAAAAAAGAGGTTATAGATTAATTAAAGACAGAACTGAAAAAAACAACAAAAGTAGGAAATGAATTTGATTTAGATGAAATGAAATGAAATGAAATGAAATGAAATGAAATGAAATGCAAGAAAGTTGAAGAAAAACAGTAGAGAAGTGCTTGTTATAAATCCACAGGCAGTGAAGCTTGAGACTTTGAATGGTTGAATCCATCAAGATAATTTTGCTCGTTAATGCTGTTTGTAGCACAAAGTCCAGTCCCAACTCCACCTCCACTTTTCTTTTGATCTGAGGTCGAAAAAAAGCAAAATTGTTTAACGATATGGTCATAATCATTGAATTCTTTAGGGCTCGGATAGAATGCTGGAGAGTTTAAGGCTGGAGAAGCATTTGCAGATTTTGAAAACTGAACTTTTGTTTGTTTAATCGCAACAGGTGCAGGGTCTTCCGATTTGGAATTTGACAAAGAAGAGGTTGACTTATTATTAAATTCTGATAATATGTTTGATTTCATAGAAGGAATCGAGGATTCTGATCTTATTTTCTTCAAGCCAAATGAGTTTGAAATCCTCAAGGAGCTCATGTCTGTAGTCAACGGTTTACAAGATGAAGAATTCATGAAATTGTTGTTGTCCTTCAATTTTATATTTGAGTCTTCGATATCCAGTAGATTAGAGAAATTTTTTCTCCCAATCATTTTCTTGTTTTTGATACTATTGTCGACGCCAATATTGTCGCCGCTTTGAATACTATTAGCCTTTCGCAAAACAATCTTATAATTTGATCCGTTATTATTGTCCCAAAATGAAATACTGTTAGCTAAGTATTGGACGCAAAATATAAGAGTGAGATTGTTCCCAAAGGTGTTCAAGTTATCAAGTTTGATTATAAACGAAAATTTATCGTAGTTATTGGCAATTGAATCTGAGTATTTGAAAATGTGATTAGATGAAATGTAGTTTGCATTTTCGATTTCAATGAACGAATTCCAATTATCGTAGGTTAATTTGACAACGATTTTCTTCGTGAAAGCAATATTTTTAACATAAACAAATCCGATCAACGAGTTCCCCGAAGAGTTCAGCTTTACACTTTCGAGAATAACGTTATTATTGGATCCTAATTTAGCAAAATTCAAAGAAACGGGATTATATGGACAATCATTTGAAGTTATGATCCATCTAGAAGCAGAATCAATTTCATCGTCGCTCAAAAAATCTTCATAGCTTTCATTCAACTTGAAACCATTTTCAGCATCGTCTTCACCGTCATCATCATGACGAAAGCCACTGTCGTCGTTGTCCGAAGAGGAATTTGAATCGAATTCCCAGTGGGTTCTTGGAGGGGCTGCAAATCTACTGGAAACTGCCGTTGGTCTTTCAGACTTCTTAAAGAACTTCACGTTTTCCAACCTGGAAGCAAATCTAACAGATTTGGCATTTGGCATTGAGTTTGATCGTTGTAGAGAGTTTAACTTTAGTGAAGATTTTACCAACTCACCCGACTTTTTCCTCAACAAAGGAAATCTAGATGGGTTGGAGATACTCTCGACATCGAAAAGGGCGTTGCTGTTGTGAATATTATTGTTGTAGTCATTGACCGAATCTGTTGAGGTAGAAACTGAGACCAAATCATAAGTCTTCATAGGACAGGAGGGTATAATCAGCTGAGACTCGTTCGCATTTGGACTATTATTGCTGACTGTGTTATTCGTACTTGTGAGAATTACAGTTTTGTTATCCTCTTCGTTCAAATCGATGAGAGTTCGATGGGAATGGGATTCGCCTAATGAGTGTATAGAAGTTTCTGATGATTTGGGAGTATTTGTCGTTGATATTGTAGAAAAGGCCGACAAAGAGTTTGAAGAGGAGTCGGTTGAGGCATGTGTTTTGTCATTGATGGTCTCGCTTTCTTCTTTGTTGGCTTCACTTTCTAAAAGAGAAGGGCTGGTTGGTTGTGTGCCGGTTGGTGGCTTATTTTGAGACTCGTCGTCCATCGTCTTGTTGGAATCCGTGATAAAGTTGTTGTCTTTACGACTATCGTGAAGACTGGCATTATTTTTGGAGGGATGTAATTCCGAGGAAGACAGATCGTTCAAAAACGCTAGGTTGGAGGAGGTTAGAGGGGCAGTGCTGAACGATTTAGGACCTAGATAAGACATCGTTGGTTGCAGTTGATCTGGTTGCCGCTGTTCTCTACTTTTCTTAGCTTGCTAGTGCAGAAGGAGGTGAAGAACAGGATGCTCAGCAGGTGGAATGGAATAGCAAGATGGTGCAAGATGTTCCTCTGTCGAAAGGATGGCGATCGTACCGGGTGGCTTATATATCGTGCCAACTGACACCGGCAATGCTCAGGCCCTGGGGCGTTGAAAGCAAGAGGGGTTCGTAGGGTAAATAAATATTCAAGACCCAAAAAAATAGATCCTTTTTTTGGGCTCTCTGGACTGATTGGATGTGCCTGTGTATTCGTGGTAAACAAACAGCTCTGTCGATCGTTCGGACTTAGCTAGACTGTTTGGATGTCTCTGTCTCTGTCTCTGTCTCTGCAGCTGAGCTTGGCGGAACGGGGCGTCTTCTGCACTGGTCACCTGGCTGTCTGGGGGCTCTCTTCTCGGCAAAGGAGGATCGGCAGCAGCAGCAGGGAAGTAGGATGAGCCTGTTGAGTAGACAGCACAAGGGAGGAGAAGGAGTAGGGATCCGACAAGGGCGGAGGAGAGGAGGCAAACGGAGGAGAAGAGGAGAGGAGAGTGTGCCGGAAAGGAAAAGGAGCTAGCCACCCACTAGTGTCTTTCTCCAGTGGAGATATCGTGGAGCCAGGAGAGGAGTCGGGAGATAAAGGGCAGGCGGTGTGCACTACAGCGCATTACTAACCCCGTAAAAAAACACTGCAGGCCAAAGGGGAGGGAGGGAAAAAAAGGAAGCGATCCCGTGGTTATTAGTATGCGGGGAGAGTGGGAGGGGGCGGAAGCGGGGAGGAAGCAAACAGCGATGTCGGGGGCCGGGCCGAGTGGGCTGCCGCAGTCGGTCGGTCTGTCTGCTGTTGATGCTTCTGCAGAACGGCGTCTAATGGCGGCTAGACAGACGTGTTGCGTGTGTAGAGCTGTTTACGGGCAGACAGCACGGAAGAAAGACACAGAGGGTTATCTGTGCGGTGGTGGGCCGTGGCGGGCGTGGCGGGCGTGGCGGCAGAGCCCCCCAGCTTTTTACATTTTGCCGCCGTCGCGTGTGCGGGAGCGGAGGAGGGCTTCTGATTCTGCGGGCGGAGAGAAAGCTGAGCGGGAGAAAAAAAGGAAAAGAAAAGAAAAGAAAAAGGCCCAACAAGGAGCGAAACGGAGTTCTCAGCCAGTGTAGAGAATGACGATGATACGACTTCTCCCCTTTTGGCGCTGTTTTTTATTGGCGTGGGGAGCGCGGCGGGAACCGCGGCGGAGAGAGAGGGCCGGTGGGCGGAGAAGAGGGCTGGGGTACACGAGCAGTTGGCGGGGTGTAGCGTGGTGTAGTGTGGTGCAGCCGACGTTAGGGCTAGGCCCGCCGAGGGCATGGTATGTCGACAGAAAGAGGGTGGGAAACGGTCGGCGGCGCAGCGCTATTGGCGGGCGCACGGAGACCGGAGCGGGTGGCTCGCACTTCCGAGCCGAGTGGTGGGCGTGTGTCCTCGGCCTGACTGTCGTATCCCACCCCTGGTATTTTTCGTGGTATCTTCGGAGCTTGCGGATGCCTTGTTCTTGAAGCAGAACGGTCGGATCCCACGTGTCGTGTCGTATCATGTCGGCTTGGTTGGTGGACGGTGTAGTCTGCTGATAGTTCCAACTCGGTTTGAGAGTTGTGCGGAGTGGTGCTGCACTAGCGAATATCGAGCTATTGTATGCGGCGCCATGCCATGCCATGCAAGGCTGCCGTGGGGAAGTGGAAAAAAAACACTCTCCGAGACGGGGAATTGAACCCCGGTCCCCCGCGTGACAAGCGGAAATTCTAGCCACTAAACTATCTCGGATTTTTCTGTCGAAAAGAAGACAAGATTTACCATCACGGCAAAAGACGCTAGGCCTGGTGAACTTGATACTGGATAAACTTGTCTACTCTGTCTCTGACTCGTCAGCTGCTGCTACCAGTATAAACCTATTACGTAATTCCCATACCTACAAATTTAGTGAACTCTTAGAGAAAATTGGAGCGAGGAAAGGAGGTGAAAAAGCAATTTACCATATTCCACATTACGTAAGCACGGTTTTTATGGTCCGCACACCCGACGATCCCTCTACCCCGCCTAGAGTACATAGCTTATCGCTCCCCCCAAACCCGTTATCGCACTCAACCGCCTTCTTCAAAGCGCGCTACCTCTCATTTCTCAGTCTCTCTCCCCATATATTTGTAAGATAAGTCACGCACACGCTCAAGCCATTCACTTCTGCACCTCTCTTCAGGCCCCGGACAACTGAGATCGCTCTACAAATGGAACACAGCAGAGTGGCCAAGCAGAAGCGCAAGCAAAGTCAGCCCGGCGAAAAACGGTCGAGGAGCGGCTGCTTAACTTGCCGGAAAAGAAGAGTCAAATGTGATGAAATACATCCTAAATGCGGCCATTGCATGCGGCTAAACCTGGAGTGTTCCTACCATAAAAAGTTCTCCTGGGACGCAGAAGCATTAGGTAACGGCGTAACATTTGGCAGGTCCAACCAGTACAAAAAGTCATCTCTACAAGAAAAGTTTCTCGATTTCCTGTCCTCGAAAAACAGCCCGATCGGTAACCAAGACACTTACGATCTGTTCTTGAAATCAAAAACATCAACCTTATCTCAGGAAATTCTAAAAGAAGATGTCTCTTGGTGCCACATACATCACAAAAAGCTGCATTTCATCAACATGACACGTGAAGATTTTCACCTACGGCAAGTCACAGATGTTCAACATTTTCCTCTCGAGACTGTCAACACAACAGCTCCAACTTCAATGCAGTTTATATTCTCCCTCTTGGCCCACCACGAAGACCGCTACTTTACTAGTGAACCAGCTTTGGTTATCAACCAGAAGAACTCAGTTGGGTTACTGGAAGACTCGAGCTATAGTCAAGATCACATTGTCGATATGGTGTCACCGGATATCCAACAATCTTTATTACTGTTTTCGCCTTCTGGCCCTCTAGAACTCCCCACAAATTTAAGTTTCACAGATGTTGATCAGCTCTTTTGGGGTTTTGAACCGAAAACACCGGTGTTCTCACCCAGAAGTTTCACCATACCATCTAGTCTCTTCGGCAGCGGATACGACTCCCTTTCTTCCCAAGAAAAAAGTTTACTGCAGTACTTTATTGATGCTATAGGTCCAACGTGTATTTGCTTTCCTACTCCTCCGAGCACGAACTTATCGATCAACACCAGCACATTAACTTCTAGTCATTCCAAAGCCAACCCCTATTTACATCTAATTGTTCCGCTGGCTTTCCAATCGCAAGTCGTTATGGACGCTTTAATTGCCGCAAGTGCTCATCAATTGTTCATATTGGGCAATAGCAAGTATGAGCAACTTTCAGATAGGTACTCCGAAAGAACAATAGAACAGCTTTCCAATACACTCAGACAAAAACAACGGTCACAGTGCACTGACTGGGACGATTTTCTAGCGGCAGTATTAATGCTATGTTTCAAAGAAATTTCTTCAAATCGTGACTATAGATCATGGGTATCATACTTAAATTGTGCAAAATTTTTTCTCAAAAAGTTCAACTCCCAGAGAACATTTAGTCCCCTATATAAGTTTTTTGCCAGATACTTTATTATACATGAGGTGATTGGAGGAACCGCATGGCTTCAAAAAAAAGTAGACGGAGACGAATTTGATCACTTCGGTAACGATTCTGCATTGGGATTTCCGTCTGAAACTGTCATAATTGATCTCAACTTTTCATTAGGCAAAGGAAATTTGATAAATGGTAGGAATGATATAACCAAATACTTACCGAACGCCTCTCTTTTGAATGATACAATCAGCAGCTCAAAAGCTCACGATACTGTAATCGACCTGGTATTTGGCTGCTGTCCCTATTTGATCACTCTAATTGATAAAATTTCAAATTTGGGGCGTTGCTACGAAGATTTGGAGTTAGAACCGATAAATACTAGAAAGGAGTTCGAACATTATATTCTCATACAAAGAAATGAACTCCAGTCAGAAATTGAGGGCCTCGATCAGAGGATCCAACTTTTCCCAGAGATTAATAGCCTGTCTGAAAATTGCATCAAAACTATTGCTGAAATCAAACGACTGTCAACGTTACTTTATTTGTTTGCAAGGGTAGATCTCGAGACATTGTATTACAATAATGGCCGAGCCACAAACTATTTCATAGAGAAAGAGCGGTGTATGAATAAAGTCAAATCCAGGCTTGTAAGTTTATTCAAAAATCTCCCTGAATGTCCGATGTCATTATTATGGCCTTTATTCGTTTTGGGTCTCGTTGCTACAACAGATGATGACGAGAGATGGTTTGTTCTAGATAAACTTGTTTATTTGCAAAAGGCTAGAGAATTAGGAAATGTTAAAACAGCTAAAGATGTGGTTTTAAAAATTTGGAAAGAACGTGATTTGGGACTAATTTCTTTCAGATGGAAAGAGATGATCAAGGGCAAAACAGAGTCGCTAAGCTTAGCTTGAGCCTGATTTCAGTATAACATAGTCGCCAAGCTTAGCTTGAGCCTGATTTCAGTATAACATAGTCGCTAAGCTTAGCTTGAGTCTGAATTCAATATATCATATACTGTGTATTAGACATTATTATACTGAAATAAGAGTTGATAAAGATAAGATAACCGATCTATAGACTGCTTACTTGGCAGATGTCCAACTGTCTACATCCTTCAAGTCCCTTATGAGATTCAATCCGCCATACCTACCTTGAGTGGCAAGATTGTCTCTTTGTTGGCCTTGTTCTTGGCGCCACTTCCAAGCTTTCGCCTTTGAATTATCCAAAGTTGAACTGCCCTCCATGACAATTTGAGAAATATACTTACCAACGACAGGCATGAATTTGAACCCTTGACCCGAGTCGCCTGTACCTAATACCAAATTGTTATATTTAGGATGTTCGGTGAATAGGAAATGGCGATCTGGGGTGTCAGTGCACCAACATATCTTGGCAACACTGAATGGCCTTTCTGCAATAATTGGGTATACTTGTTTCAAAAAGTTTCTCATCTGTTTCTCTGCCTCAACTGGAATCTGGTTTCGAAAAACTGGAATTGATGTACCTTTTTCTTCAACCATATTGATATAGCCTGGAAATTCGTTGCAAAATTTTAAATCATTATTCATGTCAGGCTCAAATATGAACCCTTGATCCAAATTGAGCACTACAGGAGAGCCCCTAAGTGTACTTGCTTCTTCATCAGTCAATCTGATATGACCCACTGTCCAGCATTTAGCGAGTAGTTGACCTCCAAAATCAAGAAGCTTGCAGGATTGAGCACCAGCACAGATAACAGTTATATCAGCATCAATTATCTCGCCAATTGAGGTCCTAACACCAGTGCATTTATCACCCTCAAAGAGTAGCTCTTCTGCCAAACCTATGCGAAATTCAGCACCTAATTTCTCACATTCCCTGGCAGCATTATCCAAGGCCAATGCTGCGAAGGTCCAACCACACATCTCTTGTTGAAAATATCCTCTCCAATTTTCGAACCTATCGTTCAAACTCAAATTTGATATACTATTATCAAGTTTGACGGAAGGAGTTTTTACAAAATTTGCAAACTCTTCTGGGGAGCTTAACTCAAGAAACTTGACGTTTTTCTCTTTTAAAAAGGAAACCCGTCTATTGATCTCTGTTATAGCATTATCGCCACATGCACCATAGACAATACCTACTTCGTGAAATGCTGGCTTGTAAACTGGATCGGATCTCCACATTTCCAAAGCTTCCCGAGCAAGATCTGAATAGAAAGCATTTTCAACGGTGGACTGAAATATTTTGTTGACATCATTTCCAGCTGATAATGGCGAAGGAACTTTGTATGGATCCAGGAGGGTCACATTCTGATGCCCCTTTCTCAATAATTCAAGCGCCGTAGATAGGCCAAAAGTACCAGCTCCAATTATTAGCACAGAAGTATCAGAATTAATCATTTTGTATCCAAATGCACCTTTAACCTTCGAGTCGAATCCGCTTCGTGCTTATCTGTGCTCTGGTCAAAGGTTTGGCTTTGAACTAGAAAGTAGTGTTTTAAAAATTCATGTATCAGGCCCAACCATTGGTTATATTTAAAGGCCCAAATCCAACTACTCAAGATTCAGCATCGCTCGCTTCGACTTTAATGTTGATCATAATCGTTCCACCGGCAATGGGCAGACCTAAGTAAGTCCATCATCAGGAAACTGTCCAGTTAAAATCCCGTTATTGTTCTTTTTTGAGCGCCTCGAGAAATTCTTATCGGGAGTAGCTCGATCCGAGCAATCTCCCAAGCATATTTTTCAGGAAGCACGAAACGACCAGACTAATGACTCGTTGTACCTGATTTATTGTACTAGCCAATGAAACCCGTTTTTTTTGACTTCTGTAAATGGATCCCATTTTTTGAAATAAAGGTAAAGATTTAATGACGTTGCTTCTACTCCTCGAATAAAAAGTTGAAGTATCGCCCACTCTCCTTTCCACCATACTTTTCTTTTTCTTTTTTTTTAAAATGAAACACTTCCGAGTCATCATTAACTGCAATGTCTACATCTAATTACATCACCCTAAATAACGGTATTTCAATTCCCCAGATTGGTTTTGGATGCTGGAAAGTTAACAAGGAAACCTGTGCGCAACAGGTTTACGATGCTATAAAATGCGGATATAGACTGTTTGACGGTGCAATGGATTACGGAAATGAAAAAGAGGTTGGAGAAGGTATAAATAGAGCATTGAAAGAAAAAATTGTGAAAAGAGAGGAATTGGTTGTTGTCTCTAAACTTTGGAACTCTTATCACCATCCAGAAAATGTTCCTAAAGCATTGAATAGGGTTTTGACCGATTTGAATTTGGATTACTTAGATATTTTCTATATCCATTTCCCGATTGCCCAGAAATTTATTCCTTTCGAAAAGAAATATCCGACTGGCTTCTATTGTGGAGAGAATGGCTGGGAATTTGAAAATGTTCCCTTAGCATCTACATGGGCAGCAATGGAAGAGCTAGTAGGAAAAGGTTTAATCAAATCATTGGGCATATCTAACTTTACAGGCCCATTGATTGATGATTTATTGAGAGGATGCAAAATTAGGCCACAGTTGTTACAAATTGAACATCACCCGTATTTGGTACAACCTCGGTTAGTAGAATGGGTTCAGTCACAAGGCATTCAGATTACAGGCTACTCAACTTTTGGCCCACAGTCTTTTGTTGAACTAGACCATCCTTCTGTCTCTTTGTGTGTTCCTTTATTTGAAAACCCAGTCATTATGAAAATTGCTGAAAGACATGCGGTTAGCCCTGGAAAAGTTTTGTTAAGATGGGCAACTCAAAGAAACATCCTTGTAATTCCAAAGTCTAACAAGAAAGAAAGGCTGGTTAGTAACCTTAGTGTCAACGACTTCAATTTGACTGATGGAGAATTATCTGAAATTAGCGGCTTGAATATGAACTTAAGATTCAACGATCCTTGGGATTGGTGTAAGATTCCTTTATATACCTAAAAAAGTTTATAAATGTTAATTTGAAAAATAGCAGAAGCTCAATACTAGAACCAGCAAGTTGCACTTGCTAAAGAAAATCACCTGAACAGATTTTAAAAAGGCAAAAAAAGAATGTGTAATTCAAAGTGGCAACACCTTTAACTGTTTGCAAACGATGATTACTGAATAAAATTTCAGCAAGTGGCAGATTGCTTTCTGAAGTATCAGAATATTCTTTAATGATAACTACTTTGCAAAATACTATAAAATTCGACTACTGAGAAGTATTGGCAGCTTCCTGCATTGCACCAATCGAACCAGAAGAGATTGGAATGTGGATAAACTTCTTCATAGTAGTGGCAACACCCCAATACTCATCACTATCGGTTTCCTTACCAAAACCACCACCACCAGGGGTAGCAACCCACAAAATATCACCTTTTCTCATTGAGATTTCTGCTAATGAGGGAAGCTGAATCCATTGGATGATACCATTACCCCTATTTCTTCCCAACTTGTTGATACCTCTTTTACCATCTTCACCACCATAAACTCCCCATGGAGAAAAAACTCTTCTTTGGGTTACTAGAGATACATGGACAGGAGAAGTGAAACAAATTTCTCTTACCAAACCATCGCCACCTCTCCATTTGCCTTTACCTCCGCTGTTTTTTCTAATTGCGTACTGTATCAACATCACAGGATAACGTTGCTCAAAAATTTCAGGGTCAGTTATTTTAGTGTTTGTCATGTTAGTTTGTGTACCAGAAAATCCGTTAAATCCTATTTTAGCACCATCTTTGACAATTATACCAGCACAATTCCCTTGGCCTATAGTTTCGGTATAACCATAACCTTTTACCATATTCCCGTTTTCGTCTAAACCGCCAGTACCAAAGTTTAAACCATTCATACATCCACCAGTAGCTGAAGTTAGGCCAAAAGCTTTGAATAGACAGTCAGTGATTCTCTGAGAAGTCATACCGTTACCAGCACAAACCGCAGCAAACTTACTTGGGTTGATCAAACTGTTGTCAGGAATAATAACCGTGCAAGGATCCAAACATCCTTGGTTCAACGGGATATCCATATTGACCAAGCACCTCAAAACATAGATGACAGTTGAGTATGTAATGGATTTTGGTGCGTTCAAATTACTGTAGGATTCCAATGAAGTACCAGTAAAATCGAAAACTGCAGAACCACTTTTTTCATCAATGTCAATTTTAACTTGAATTCTCGAGCCATCATCCATATAATCAACGGCAGTCAAAGGAAATCTCCCTTTATTTTCAGCAGCATATGTTTTCAGAAACTCTCTAACTGCAGATTCAGCTGTTTTCTTGATATTCCTCATATAAAAAAGGACAGTTTCACTTCCATATTCAGAAAACAATTCTTTGAGTAGATTGATACCTCTCTGATTGGAAGCAATTTGAGCTTTCAAGTCTGACAAATTATCATCAATGTTTCTGGTACCTGATACACCATGAGAACGAGGAACCTCAACAAAATGCTCTTTTAGCCCATCATAATCAAACTTGCCCTTTGAAACAATTTTCCATGACTCAATATTGACACCTTCTTCATAAATTTCTCTTGCATAAGATGAAGAAGAGCCAGGTGCAGTGCCTCCTATCTCTGAATGATGTGCTCTAGCAGCAACAACAAACTGGATTTTTCCTTCAAAAAATACAGGAGAGATGATGGTGATATCAGGTAAATGTGTGCCACCAACTATTGGAGAATTGGTACAAAGAATATCACCATCTTGAAGATCATCTTTCCATCGTTCCAACTGATATCTAATTGCTGCAGACATTGAGCCCAAGTGAACCGGAACATTGGGAGCGTTTGCTGTCAAGTTTCCCTCATTATCAAATAAAGCACACGAATAATCCATTCGTTCTTTGATATTGGCACTGACTGAAATCTTTTGTAACGTTCTAGACATCTCTTCCGCAATGGACATGAATCTATTGGCAAAAATTGCCAATTGAATTGGATCAACGTAGTTTGTAGTCACCGCAATACTACTACCAACATCAACATCCATAACCACATGTCTGGGGAGAATAGTAGCAACAGAACCAGGAGTGACTAGTAAGGTTTGATTATTATCCAAAATCAAGGCAGGACCTGGGATCATGGTACCGACTTTAAGCTTATCAAGGAAGTAAAATTTGGAAGGTAATAAGCCCTCGTCAAAATAAATTTCTGTTACTTTTTCTTCCATACCACTTTGCACAAAAGCTTTTTCAGTTGTTTCATAATCTTTATATGCCGAACGCTCCGACCAAGTTTCTGAGGTATTGCCGGTGGCACGAACTCGAATATCGGAAACTAAAATATCTTTATCCTTATCATTGAAGGCAAACTCCCTTTCATGAATCTCGTAAAATGCTTTTAGGAAATCTCCATCTTTCGGCTCTAAAATCATTATTCTTGTATCAGAGCCTTTATAACCCATATTTAGGTAAATTTTGTAATTAATTGAGGATACAGTAACACCTTGACTTACCAGATTTTTCAAACATTTCTCTTTCAATCGAACACAATCCATGATTAGAGTATCCCTAGATTTTTGAGAATATACTGCTGCACAAGGTTCTTGCAAATCAGTAACGATATCAGCCAATGAAATACCATAAGCAGAGAGAATGGAGGAATGCTTATGTATTACTACTCTTTTAATTTTCAAAATCTTAGCAATAGATAAAGCGTGTTGCCCACCAGCACCACCGAAGGATGCCAAGGTATGACTAGATACGTCAAATCCCTTTGCATCAGTTAGTTCTCTGATTGGCTTAGACATTTGAAAATTTGCAACATCTAGGAAACCCAAAGCAATTTCTTGGGGGCTTTTTTTCATAGAAGGATTTTCTTTGTTTATCAGTTCAGCCAGCTCTTCAAACTTTTTTTTGGTGACCTCATAATCTAAGGGCTGGTCTTCGTTGGGACCAAAGATTTTAGGGAAAAACTCAGGTAAAATCCTGCCAGTAAATAAATTAGCATCAGTAATTGTCAAAGGACCGCCTTTTCTATAGCACGCTGGACCTGGATGAGCAGAAGCTGATTCAGGACCCACAATAAATATGCCATTCTTGTATGACAGAATTGATCCACCGCCAGCAGCAACTGTGTTGATATCAAGTTGAGGAGAAGCAATTTTTATACCCGCTGTTGTGGATTCAAAGGAAAACTCAAAGTCACCGGCATATCTCGAGACATCAGTTGAGGTACCACCCATATCAAATCCAATTATAGGAATTTTGCTGTCTGCATCATAGCATGTTTTGGCTTCACCAACAACACCACCTGCAGGCCCAGAAAGTAAGGACTTCAAACCAGTGAATTTTTCCCAAGAGCATAAACCTCCATCGGACTGAATGAATTCAATTCTAGTATGCTTTTCAAAGCCCTTTTCAAACCCATCTAACAATGATTTGATGTAGTCTTTGATTATAGGAGTAAGATATGCATCCACAACGGTTGATTGACCACGAGGAACAGCCTTGATCACAGGGAAAATCTCATGTGACATGGAGATATGTTTGAAACCTAAATCCTTTGCAATTTTTCCAGCTTGTTTCTCATGTTCTTGATAGTTGTAACCATGAATAAAGACAATTGCAACGGAATCGATACCATCTTCCTTCAACTGCTTCAAATCTGTAATTAAAGCCTCTGTATCTAATGGTTTGAGTATCTGAAACACCTCTTTTGTTTCGCCTCTAACATATTCTTTATCATCAACAAGATCTTGGGCATCATAGCCTGTCGGATCTGCAGCAAAAGCAGGCATGGTGACTCTCTCATCAGCCTCAACTACGGATTTGAAAAGAACACCCGATTTCACAATATTCAAAGCAAACAAGTCCGGGCGAGACTGATCGCCAATATGAAGCAAATCCTTAAAACCTTTGGTAGTCACCAAAGCACATGGGGCTCCTTTCCTTTCCAAAAGTGCATTAGTGGCAACAGTAGTACCCAAGCGAATGCTGGAGATGAAAGAAGTATCCAGTCTTTTACCTCTAGGAATAACTTCACCACTCACTTCCTCAAGAACTCTTCTGATACCTTCGATATTAGCATCTGAATAATTTGAGGGGTCCACGGACAACAACTTAAATGCTCTTTCGCTTGTACCGTACTTGTAAAACACATCGGTGAAGGTACCACCTCTATCAATAGCAATCTTTATACTGTTATCAGATATGGTCATGACTCTAGTTAATTTTCAGCTTTTTTATGGTTAGCTCTTTGGTAATAATATTTTCACCTCGGAAGTTTTAGAGTTGACATATGACGGATATGCCCAAATACTTATGGAATTCAACTCCAAAAATAATACAGACACGAGAATCAAAGGGCAGAAATAATCAATAGTAAAACCAACAATGAGGTAGGACTCTCGAGCACATCAAATGAAGGAGACCTATGCAAGATCGAAATTGGCCAGAAGAGCAGTAGTCAATATTGATCAGTGGAAAGCTTATGCCCAGTCAAGCAGATCTACAGTTCGTAACGACGTGCATGATGTTTTTGGGTTACCTCTCCTATAATCCGAGTAGCTTATATTGTTCCCACAAACGACATAACCCCTTGCTACCAACTGGCAGCTCGAAACGACCTCGTAGCCTAGCTCAAAGAGGTAAATTCTTTGAGATAACAAGCATCAGTCGTTTCGAGCTTCCTCGACACGATTTTTCAGCAGCGTGCACGGCCAGCGTATTATTTTTTCAAATGGGAGATAAGGGTCTTGTATAGGTCTTCGATATGTACGTTTGGCTCTTACAGGTTACTATCAGTGTGAAAACCAAGCGTGCCTACTTACTGTCACGGTGCTGGAGTACCTAACATGAGCTCATTAAAGAGGGGTTTAGAAATTTAGTTGGGGGATCGCTGGATTAGTGAATTTCGGTAAACCAAGATAAGAAGAATCAATTTGTTTTACTCACTGTTTCTCCATTTTTACAGAAGGCTGAAAAATCTTACCTGTTGTTATAAAAGGGTCTTGCCACCTAAACTTTCTGGAAAACCATTTATTCCCTGAAATTTTAGCTCTCGATAAAAAGGAAAACATTGGTATTCAAAGAGTCCACCCAAGATGTCTCTCACCAAGTCTCTCACTGATCTTAAAGGCGACAATGAGAAGATTTCTTTAACAACTGATCCTTCGCCAGTAGGAAACTCCAATGGAGGTGATGCGTTTGAGCACATGGATGCGGCAGCAAAGTATTTGGCTGAAAATGAAGGCAAATACGAGCCTATGTCTGAAACCGAAATGAAGAAGATGGTCAGGAAGACCGATCTCTTTTTGATTCCCGTTTTGTTGATCACTGCGACGATGGGTGCGGTGGACAAGGTTGCTTTAGGTACTGCAGCGATTTTCGGTCTTCGTACCGACAACAATCTTGTGGGCCAGCAGTACTCGTGGTTGAGCACGATTCTTTTTATCGGTTCTCTTGTGGGTATGTGGCCGATGTCTTATCTCATCCAGAGATACAAGCTAGGCAAGGTCATTGGGATGTGCTCTTTGACGTGGTCATCACTAACGTTACTCCTTTGCGCCTGCCACAACTTCGGAGGTTTGGCGGCAATCCGGTTCTTAATGGGCTTTGTTGAGTGTGCCATTGTTCCCGGGTGCTCCTTGATGGTGTCGGTATTCTACGTCAAGCACGAGATTCCACATCGTACGGCTATTGTGTTCATTTTCATGTCCTCGGTCATCAACGGCGCTCTTTCTGCCTTGGCGTCGACGTTTGGCAACCACATTCCCACATGGAAGTACATTTTCATCTTGATTGGCTCTGTCTCCGTTGTCTGGTCTGTCTTTGTTCTCTGGTTTCTCCCAGACTCCCCAATGAACGCCAAGTTCCTCACCGACCGGGAGAAGTACTACGCGGTCAAGCGTGTTGCCGAAAACAAGACCGGTGTGAACAACGACGAATGGAAGTGGGCGCAGGTGAGAGAGGGTTTCCTCGACGTGCGCATGTACATTGTGATGCTCTTCAACTTTGGGATCAACATCCCCAATGGGGGCTTGTCTGCCTTCTCCTCCATCATTATCCGGAACCTCGGCTTCTCCTCCGTTAAGTCCTCCTTGATGGGTATCCCCACCGGTGTGATTGCCTCGATTGCCACCGTGTTCTTTAGCTGGTTAGCCGCCCGCTGGAAGAACAGACGTTGTCTGCTTGCCATCATCTCTTTGGTGATCCCGTTGATCGGGTCCATCATCTCCTACACGACCCCTCACTCGAACACCGCCGCCCAGCTTGTCGGCCTCTACTTCCAGTACTTCTACTTTGCCTCCTACGTCGTCATGATCTCCTGCGTCCAGGCCAACACCGCCGGCAGCACCAAGAAGGCCATCACGTACAGCTTCAACTACCTTGGCTACTGCGGTGGTGCAATCACAGGGACCCAGACCTTCCGGGCCAACCAGGCTCCCCGCTACACGGGGGGATTTATCTCCATGCTTGTCGGCTACTGTGCCTGCATGCTGTTGAGCGGCACTTACTGGCTGGTCTGTGTCGTCCTCAACAGACGTAAGAAGGCTGCTCTGCAGACCCTCTCGGGCGACAGCGAGGCCGTTTTCGAGGTCAGCGGCGTCGAGGAGGAAGAGGTCGCCGACCTCACCGACAAGCAGCAGGCTCACTTCTTCTATACCACCTGATTACTTATCTTTACTTTACTTCTATACCTTTTTATACCGCTTTAACGCTGTTTTGTTTGATCAACACCACCCCAGAGTCATCCCGGTACCTCTCCCGGATGAGCCCCGGCCCCCGCGAGGCTCCCTCTCTCCCGTTGCGCCAGCCCGGAGGAGCGCCGCCCCGGAACGTGATGGCGGCTGTGGCTGTGGTGCGGAGTGGCCCGGGGGTCTGCTGAGGGTGGGTAGAGTGGAGGGTGGAGGAGGTGAAGGGAACAAGATGGTTAGTTGTCTGTTTGTTGAAGTCATGTTTCTTTCTTGCTAGATTGGATGTGGGGTTCTGCTGCTGTTTTCTGCTTCTCCCATTGCGCAAAAAGCAAAGCAGAACTCTTAGAATGGTCACCAAGTTAATTTTAGTCAGACACGGTCAATCCGACTGGAACGAAAAGAACCTCTTCACCGGATGGGTGGATGTCAAGCTCTCTCCAAAGGGTGAGCAAGAGGCTGCACGTGCGGGCGAGTTGTTGAAGGAGGCCGGGCTCAAGCCGGACATCTTGTACACCTCGCTGTTATCCAGAGCCATCCAGACCGCCAACATTGCGTTGGAGAAGGCGGACAGACTGTTCATCCCGGTCGTGAGATCGTGGAGATTGAACGAAAGACACTACGGTGCCTTGCAAGGCAAGGACAAGGCCGAAACATTGGAGAAGTACGGCAAGGAGAAGTTCCAGGAATGGAGAAGATCGTTCGACATCCCACCTCCAGAGATCGAGGACGACTCGAAGTTCTCTCAGGTCGGCGACGAGAGATACAAGACCGTCGACCCACACGTCTTGCCTAAGACGGAGTCCCTTGCGTTGGTCATTGACAGATTGCTCCCATATTGGCAGGACGTCATCGCCAGCGACCTTTTGGACGGCAAGACGGTTCTCATCACCGCCCACGGCAACTCCTTGAGAGCCCTCGTCAAGCACTTGGACAACATCTCCGAGAGTGAAATCGCAGGCCTCAACATCCCAACCGGTATCCCCTTGGTCTACGAGTTGGACGACAACTTAAAGCCGGTCAAGCCATCCTACTACTTGGACCCAGAGGCCGCCGCCGCCGGTGCCGCCGCCGTTGCTGCACAGGGTCAAAAGAAATAGGCTTGTCTCCGGCTCCTCTTGAACCCAATTGTGTATACGTTCTATAGTTAATGCTGCTATACCGTTTGACGCTACATGCGCCCATATGGTGAGCAAACATACGAAACATGTATCTGCTCTTTAGCACCTCGCACAGTAAATGCATCCGTGCACCACTGGCTATACCTGAGGGGGAGTAAAGTCTTGACTTTTTCCTGGATATGGAAAGTTCCATTTTCCACTGATTGAAGATGGTAACTGTATAAAATTTGTGTCACAAAATATCTCCAGAAAGCCAAGGAGTCACAGCAAGAACCAGAAACACTCTTCATTATTGGAGTTATTCTGAAGATGTTCTCGAAGGTACGATATCGATACGTACCCAGAAGGGGGAGCCTGATCTTCCAGTTTCGACATTTTTCGTACCTAGACAGCAAAGACGGAAGTGGCAGTTCGCCATCAGGTAAGCCCAGAAACGGCCAGACACAAGACAGAGCAAAACCTGAAGAGTGGAAAAGTCCGATGCCCAACAATGGAAGTAAGTTTTCCGTGGCTGTGAGTTCATTTTTAAACTCATCCTTGAGTAGTCTAGAAGACTACATTGCCAATCAAGCTCCCATCAAATCAAGCCAACAATCAGAGGGCTACAACACAGAGCTGCTGGAAATTGATATGGATAACGATGTTACACCACAGAAATCAATTGGAAATATCCCTTACCAACTAGGTGAAATCAATAAAGGTTTTAAAGAATTCATCGACTTGTCGAATCCAGACCACATAAGGGGATTGTTAGCCATTAATAGGGAAAGGTGGATCAAAACCTCTCCCGAAATATCACAAGCTATAGATAAAACTTGCAACGTCGATATACCACTAATTCTAAATTTTTACTTGAGGTCGTCGGCGGAGATACGGAGACAGCTGCAAGACCCAAGCATGAACACGAAGGTTGGAATGACTTCTCAAAGGCACATAATCTCACTTTTGCTCAATTTACAGTGGTTCCGAAGTGCTTCGTTCATAATATTGGAGATGAAGCTGCCATTCAATGATCTTGTCAACTATCTAAATGAATTGCTTGAAGACGAACTAATTTTCCAAAAATCAGATTGGATGCGTTATCTTTTCATCATAAACTTTTACCAGCTTTACAAAAATGTGAACCCATTGGTGTTGACTAATTTGGACTTCTTGGGAAGGCCACAATACATGGATAGGTTCAAGATACTGAATATGATGTGGAGAACCCACTATACTACAAAGCAGGAGTTGAAAACTGACGTCAGTGAATGGTATGAAATGTGTGGACATGATATACCCGTCAGTTTAATGCACATCTATAAATCAGTTGACATTATCAAATACAATAATCCATTCAACCTTGCCGGTCAAGTCAATGAGCTAAAAACTTTGATTGGAGCTTCTTCCAGCTCTCTAATGCTGCAAAAGAATTTTCTTGCATCTTTTTTGAAGCACTTGGTATCGGCAAGCGATTTTGAGTTACAATACTCACAATCACCACAGTGCAACTTGTCAAAGAAGGAAGTCAGAGATTTTCTGACTAAAAGAAAAAACGCTATTATCAACTTTGTGGTTCTTTCCAAAAAGCTACAAACAAAATCATTTGATTGCCTAACAGTTTTAGAACTAAGACCACCTTCCGCTGTGGGACTACAGCTTTGGGACTATCATATTTCAGGAATGAATAATAGTCTTTCTTCGACCATTTACTATAAATTTCTAGTATCATATTTTGTCAGCCAACTAACCAAAACCAGCAAAATAAATGAGATTGTAAAAGTGGAATTTTCAAACCTGTCATCAGCAAGAAAAACAAATCTTATCACAACAAGCTTAATAAGCTATTTGAAAAGAAGTGATACTTTAACAAGGAACCGCGTGGGTGGTTACATTGCGTTGACTAATCAACAAAGGGAGCATTCACATGTCATGAAAAATGCAATTCAAAAGATTTTTTCCAAACATGAAAATTATAAATTTAACTACTCTGATCTTTTGAAAGTTTTTGAGCTAGTCTCAAGCTTCTCACCCACACTTTCAAATAAGGAGGGTTTATTTGAAATTGGAAATCAAATCATTGAGGCGAACCATGAAAACGCAGATTTCTTCCCATTTAATGCACAGGAAAAGTTTACCAAAACTATAGAATTCATTGATTTACTGAAGTCCATTGATCCTGAATCGAAAATATACGTTACCCGTTTAGTTCCGTCTATTATTAATTTTTATCATGAATTTATTCTTTCGGCGGATGACTGTGCCATAGACTTTACCAAAATGCCCGAAGTTAAACAACTTTGCTATATCTTGAATAAAACGTTTGATGTGGCTTGCAGAAACCCGAGGGAGCTGACACTCTTGAACCCGAAAAACTATGCTTCAAAGATTTATATAACTAATCAAGGCCTATTACAAAAAGTTTCTAGTAAACTTTTTCAACTTCCGAAAAATGTTCTTTTTTTTATACTGCAATCAAGGGCAACTTGGATTTGTGCCGACCAAGAGGATTGGATTTCTAAGTTTCATAAAGCTGTGTTTACATTCGGTATTTTCTTAGAGGTTTTAGTTCGTCGAAGTACTCGTGAATCTTACGAAGGAAACATCAATTTCAGTGAGTTGAATGACGTGCAGTTTGCAAAAGCATTGAAAGATGAGATGGATACAATATCCTCCAACGAAACAGTGTGGGAATGCGTCGAGATGCTTTCAGGTTTTGAATGGAATGAAGAGGTCAGTGATGTGTTTTTCAGGGGAAAATCTATTCATAGTGGCGAAACTGAACCCGAGATCGGATTTGGAATAATCATGGTCTTGACTGAAGTGAGGAAATTGAATGGAACTGTTTATTCGAAACGTTGTGAAGCAATCGAAGGACTAATGCAGAAAGACACAGGAAATAACGAGGTAGAATCATTTGATGATGTTACTGATGCATTGTTTGACTCAAACGGAGATTCTCCACATGAGGATGACCACTTATTAGACACTACAAAACACAGCGACAGCGAAAGGGACAACGAACAGGAAACCAATGTAACTGTATCGAGAGGCTTACTGGATCAAGATCTACTGGAATTCAATGAACTTTACAGGAACATGAAGAACTATGAGCAGTTTGTTCCGCATAGAAATAAAGGCACAGGAAGCGAAGAGCAAAGTGTTACAATTGCGAAATTGAGCAAGTCTGTTCCCAGCAGTAAGGTGAAAAAGAGATACACGGTAAGAGAGAAAGAGAGACTTGTCAGATTCTACTCCCCATTGAGGTTGAAAGGCATGCTAATAGAGTCATTGATTATGAGGAATCCTAAATTAATTGATGCGATTGTACGCAGACTGTACGTTGAGTACGAGACTCGGATACCCGTCTCACTATTACATAGTGCCATGATAGGGATTATAAAGAGTGAGCAGAGAGAGGTGGGGTTTATTGAGAAAATCAACGTGATCAAAGTGCTTGACACGTTAGCATCTCTAATTTACTCGACCGCGTCACATAAAGTGCACTCGTATCTCTTCATGAACTGTGTTAGATTCAGAGAGTTCCGGATTGAATTGGTTGACATGATCATAGAAGAGAGCAAGCGGAGTAATAGTGGGTCGTTGAAGACGTTGAATTGGGCGGTGAATAAGATCACGAATACACCGAATATGATCCAGTACAAAAATGAGTTTGCAAGGTGGACCAATGACTTAAATAACATGAAAGAGATGAAAGTTGGATTCTGGAATCCTGGAAATACAGGGAAATGGATAAAGGACGATATATAGACACAGACAGATAACTAGGTTAGTAATTAGATAGACGCGATCTTTTGCATCGCATTCAATGAAACGAAACGTAATAAATTTGACAGACGGAGAGCAGCACGAAGAGGAGAAAGAAGAGTGTATTGGAGTAAATACAAGTTCGAAGTAAAAAGTAAGAACTGAAGAAGAAGGAAAACTATTCGAAGTTTTTATATAATCTAGTAAAGTTGTCAGAGCCTGCTGGATGTGCAGGTGGGATTTGGAGCCAGTTGTACTCATCGTATTTCGCCGTACCGTCAACTGCATGGAAGGTGTATGCGTTTCTCGAGTGGTCTGACGAATTTTTGCCCGACTTGTGGATGACGGAGCCATCGATGAGCACCAAGGTGCCTGCCGGGATGATAACTTTCCTGAAGAGGGAGTCGTCACTGAATCTTTCTTTGACGTCTGCCGGCTCGACGTAGTCTGCCTTCGGGTCGTCCAGCTCAGCAAACTTGGTGCCGAACCCCTTTTTCATGTCCTTGACAAACCTCTTCTGCAATGGGAGCTTCTGGGAGCCCGGAATGAACTCCAAACAGCCGTTTTCGACCGTGCAGTCCTGCAAGGCAAACCAGAAGCCCACACAGGAGACCGGGTCGGTGTAGAGGAACTCTGCGTCGTTGTGGGGAGGCACCTCTGCTCCGATGTGCGGCTGTTTGATGACGCACATGCTCTGGACAGCCTTGGCGTCCCGCAGCCCCAACTGTCTGCAGATGGAGGCCACGTCGTCCGTGACGGTCACCGCGTTGAACTCGTCGTTGAGGAAGTGCAAGCCGTGGCCGATCTTGTTGACCGCCTTGTCCACGGGGACCTTGAACTCGTGCGTGTCGTCCGAGATGGCCTCCGGCTCGAAGAAGTAGTGGATTTTGTCTGACGAGTCGAGAAAGTACTTGTCCCCGATGTGCCCGTCTTTGTCCTTGCCCGTCGTGAACTTGATCTTCGGGTGGTTGTCGATGTTCGACGCCTCGAGAAGCTTCTCGATCTCCCCGTTGAGTTTCTTGACCGTGAACTTGTCCAAGTAGTTGACAATGGCCACGCAGCCGTCCTCTTCGAACTGGGCGAGTTCCGTGGGTGTGAGTGGCATGTCGGAGTGTGTCTGTTTCTGTTTCTGGCTGTGCGCTGTGTACCTGATAACGCAGATGTCGTTGTTGCTACAGACAAGGCGATATCGCAATCCCCACGAGCCACAAAACAGGGGGTGGCCCTTTTATATACACTCTCCGCCCCTGCCCGTCCGACGGACATAAGCTGACCGACCCTGACCCCGGCACCACAACAGAGCAAGTCTGCCTGGCCGCCAGGACATGATCTGGAGTCATTCCCGCCGAGGCGTTTCTCCGATAAGGCGGGGGGAGGGAAACAGGCGAGGGCGGCTGGGGAAAAGCGCGGCTTACGTAAGAGAAGTGTTGGTGGCGGCTTCGTCTGGTGGACGACATGAAACGGCCAGAGCTGGGGGTAAGAGAAGAAGCAGAAGAAGCAGGCGGGCCAGGAAAGGGAGAGAGAGCCGCATAAAGAGCAGAATAGACAGCAGAAAAGCAAGATGGCAGACATACCACCGTAAGTGAGCGGGAGCAGGAGTGGAAGTGAACGGGAGCAGGAAATGGAAGTGAGGGCGGAAGCAGGAGGTGTAATACGGAGGAGACGAAGATACTAACACGGAGGGTGACGAGCGTCTGCGCCTGGATCGGGACAGACATGTGCTTAAGAAGTTGATATTCTTCACTGCGATGATGATTCTGGCGCCGCTGGTGGCGTTTTTCGGGTGCAACAGCATCTTCAGCAACTCGTTGGTGTCCGGCGGTGTTGCGGCGGTCGTGGCGAACGTGGTGCTCATTGGGTACGTGTACGTGGCGTTCAACGAGGAGATAGACACGGAGGGGGAGAAGAGCAGGAAGGGCGAGTGAGCGGCAGCGGCAGCAGCAGCAGGCTCGGCGACCACGCACGCCAAGGTTTGTTCGTTCGATTTATATAAACACTTTACATATAAACGAGTCAATAAATAAAATAAGGGTCTGCAGAGCGCTCCTAGACGTTGACGCGTTCCAACTCCTCTCTACCGGCCTTGGTGTACAAGTACTCGTTGTAGTCTCTGGCGTCGGTCCAGACAGACCAGACGATGGCGAACGGAATGGCGATGTACAGGACCTGCGACTTGAATCTTCTGAAGGAGTTGAAGATGGCTCTTTCGGTCGAGCCGTGCAAAGGAGCCTGTGCGTATGGAGAAACGGAGTGGATCGTAACACGCTTTTGCTTTGGGGATCCTGCAAGAGAAAGGGGGAAAAAGGGTTGTTGGAGATGTTAGTATTCTGCGCTCTGTCGTGGCTGTCCGGGAGAGTTGTAGCGAGCGGTCCGGAAGGGTTGCAGCGAAACGCCCGGCCACGCCATGCCAGCGGCGCCCGGCCATGCCACGTCGTCTGTGCCACCCAGCTCTCGCTGCAACCCCTCCTCGTGCTCTTCTTTCTGCCAAAACGGCCCCCCCCCCGCCTGGCTCCGACGTGTCCTGCTCCTCTCTTCAGCTGAGCTTCACGCCAACCGTCTCGTCTGACTGCTGCACTTACCCATAGAACCCCACCAGCCCATGTATGCACCTGGATGAGTCATTTTGTCTGTGTGTATGTGTTTACTTTACCTTTCTTCTCCCCTCCCACCGCCCTCCTGCTGTCGCCAGCTCCGTCGTCTCTGCTCTTCTCTTCAACACCTGTCTCTGCAACAACATCCTCCTTCCCGCTCGCTGCCCACCCTCTGCTCCTCCTTCTGCCTGCAATCCTAAGCTCAAAAACGCGGGTTCCCATTGGCCAAGCGACGGCGCGGCAGGCCGGGAAAAAAAGGCGGCGGGCCCGATCGGCGCGTCGGAGGCTTTTCCGGAGTCGTACTGGGTCTGATGGTGTGGTTAAGTGCTATAGGGCTACAGAAGAGGAGGGCTTAACGAAGCCACGGGAGGTGGAAAAGGCAGCAGGGTCGTTCATCCAGCTGGCGAAGGGGAAACCAGGGATGGTGCGGACGGGGTCGTCCTTGGCCACGAGCCCCCGCTGCACCTGGGCGTCCACCATGGCGAGGAGGCCGGGAGAGATGTGGTCCCGGATCAGCTCGTAGTGCTTGTACTTGATGATGCCCTCGGGGCTGTCGTACATCATCTTGTGGACGATGGCAGGCACGCCGGGCTCGTCTGCGAGGGCGTGGGCGATGTTGAGGTAGATCGGGTGGTTGGCGAAGATGATGGCGTTGCTCTTGGGCAACTTGATCAAGGTCTGTCTCTCGACACGCACGGAGAAGGCCTCGAAGGGAACGGCTTGGATGTACTCGGCGTAGGCGGCGTGGCCGAGCTCCCGCTGCTTGGAGTAGAGCTCGCTGCAGGAGAGGTCGTTGTCCCAGACAATGTGGATGGACGCTCTCTCGACAGGGTCGGTGAAGCGCTCAAACCACTTGTTCATGCTTTTCTTCAACTTCGACTCGTAGTAGGGGACCGGCCCGTGGATCGCATCCATGCCCTGACCGACAATGGGCGCTATGGGGAAGCCGCCGCCGCCAAAGGCGACGGAGACGCCGACACAGGTCCGCTCCTGGGTGTGCGGGTCCAGCACCGTCACGTAGTAGTCCTCCATGGACATTCTCGTGACCACGACCAGCGGGGCCACCACGTCGAGGTCGTACGTCTCGTCGAGCAGATGGTTGCACACCAGGTTCCCCCGGCGGGTGAACAGCTTGGGGAACCTGTGTGTGAGGTGGTCGACAACAAAGTCCCGCAACTCGACGAGCGCTGCTGTCGCCTCTGCGGTGTCAAGTGTCTTGTAGAATGGGTGCTCCTTCAGCTTCTCCGGATCGTAGTGGTTGAAAATCCGCTTCTTCTGCGACATGAAATCAAAGTAGTGCCTGTCTACGATCGACCAGAAGTTCACATCGAGCTTGACTAGCGACATCGTCTGGTTGTTCGGGTACCGAAACGGCATGTACGGTCTGTCCTCAAAGCCCTCTCGTATGTTGTCGACTGTGACCTCCAGAGGAACAATCTTCTGGCCCTGCTCCTCGAATGGTGCAGGATGCTTAGTCTTCCGGTAAACATAGACCCCTAGCGGAACGCATATAGCAGCGATCGTTGCTCCCAGTGTGAGATGGTCCGAGTCGTTATAAAACATCGTGTATTCGTCCGTCCTCAGCTACAAAAGAAGGAGACCCATAAGGATAAGGCTTTGTTCTCCGCTTTACATTTGTGTTTCACCGGTTGGGATTCGTGTGCAGATTTATATTCTTATCATATGCTTATCCGTTCCCGGAGCTAAACCCGGGTCGCGTACTAAAGATAAGCACCTCGCTTGGACCCAAATACACACACAGTCTATCTATCGGGCCTGCTCGGTCGTCGGAGTTACTGCCACGAGGCCAGCGGGAAGCCCATGAACTCGGTGAACGTGGAGCTGATCCGTTCCTGGTCAATGTACTTGCCAATGACAACGAGTCTGCTCTCAGAGAGCTTGATCTCAGACATCTCCTGCACGCCCTCAATCACATCGTACGTTTTTCTCACCCCTTGGATAACTCGGTAGGTGTCTCCGATGTACACCAACCCCTTGACCCGATGTATTTCCATTTGCTCCCCCCCGTTAGTGCTATGCTGTGCATCTTCGTCTCCCTCGTCCCACAGCACGTTCTGCAAAAACTTCTCGAATCGAGCAAACTCTTGGATATCCGTTAGCCTACGGAAGTTGAAGGTCTTGGTCCCCATACGGTGATCGTGCACATTGCTTTCTGTGTTTGTGGTCTTGATCAGTTCATTGACATCCCGAGCCTCGTACGCATGTAGGTCCAAAATCTTTTCTAGTGATATATCTCCAAACTTCGTTTCGTAAATCGGCACGTTACTGTTGATGCTTTTCACCCTACCTTCGACACGCTTCACGAGCTCTGGGTCGTTCTCCACCGTGTCGATTTTGTTCAGCAGAATCACATCAGCCAAGGCGATCTGCACATGTGCAACTGTGAGCTGTGCTTCATGTCCGTTGCCTTCGTCTCTATGGTGTTCGTCATGTGCGTGCACGGCGGTGACATGGTCTTCTCCATGGTGCTCATCACCCTTGTCATCCAAACAGTTTTCTATGTTCTTCGCATCCAGCACTGTCACCACGCCGTCAATGTAGACGTTGGACAGTAGGCCGTCGTCCAACCAGAACATCGTCGTGATCGGCCCAGGATCTGCCAATCCAGTGGTTTCCAAAATGATGTGGTCGAACCCTTTCTTTTTCGAAACCAACCGCTCAATCGCAGCAACTCCATTGTCCTTAACCGTGCAGCAGAGACATCCGTTCCCCAAATCCAACCATTCCTCAACCTCACTGTTCTTGTCTTTGACTGTGAGAGATTTTTCAATGTCGATCGAGTCGCCAAACTCGTTCAATATTACAGCAAGCTTCCGGTCCCCACGCTTCGCAATTTGCTCGAGTAAGGTCGATTTTCCCGATCCTAGGTACCCCGTGAGTATTGTCACAGGCACACGCTTATTCTTGTCTTCCTCAATGATGGCACCCGATAGGTCCTGCGCCGGCTTCTTGATCTCATGAAAGGTGATTTCCTCTTCTCCGTCCTCCACAAGGTCTGGAATGAGTTCAACGTCGTCGGTCATTATCTTTGCAATGCAAAACCAGTCTGAATCCTCTTCTTTACCTCTTCTTCCCTCCTCTCCGGTTGTGCTTCTGTGCATTCTCTAACAGATTCTCCGCTGATTTCTCAGCCTGTTCAAATGAAGGCAAGAAAACTTGACAGCGGGTCACGTGCCTCGCATTGTGTCAGTACGGCTGGGCTTTGTGGGGAAAGCAGGGGGGATTTTAGGGATAATCTGACTGCCAATGGGGCCAGCGGAGAGTAGCACACTGTGAAAAGAGATCCCAAAGAATACTACTGTTATTTTCAGATATGCTAGCACCATAACAAGTTCTTAGGCCCCTCTCCGCAGCAGCGGCTTAGCACTGACCCACGTTCTTTAGCGTCCTCGAAAAAACCCGGCAGAAACAAGAGAGATCTACAGATTTTTCCGGCTAGTTGTTGCAAACTGATAACGACTCTTTGTAAAACAGGTTTTCTTTACCTTCTCATCTGTTCTCCGCCGGAGGAATGAATAAAGGTTGCAAAACCCAGAGCCCAAAATCACAAAAATGAAGTACTCAGTGAAGGTACAGGTTGTTTTGGATGTGGTGCTGGTTGTCTCGACCACATTCATGGTTCTACTTGCACCATACACCAAGGTCGAAGAGTCGTTCAATGTTCAGGCTCTCCACGATTTCATCAACGTTGGAGTCGATGAGATCATGTTGTTTGACCATGTCACATTTCCAGGCTCGGTCAAAAGAACGTGCCTGGGGATTCTCTTTCTAAGTCTTCCGTCCATCTTTTTCCGTGACACTATGAAAAAATGGGCGGGCATCCTGGTTTCATTAGCAATCCTGCTCCATCGGACACTACCCACCTCAATTGGGATGTTGAGCTACGGAGGAATTGAGGAGATGTTCACAATGACCAAGCTGCCACAACTAATTGTCACGAGGTTCTTGTTGGCCATCTTTACTTGTGTTTCTCTGATTCATCTCCGAAGATCTGTTTTATACTCGTGCTCTCAAAATTCGAGGCTGATTGGGTTATGGTTTTCCTTGCTCCTTTACCCATTGCCTCATATCATCTTCTACTCGTCGAGGTTTTTGCCAAACTTTTTGTGTTTCCCATTGACAAATCTGGGTATTGCGTTGTTCATTTCAGGTGATATCACCAGATCATTAACCATCCTTGTTTTCACAGGGATAGTCTTCAGATTTGAAGTATTGATATTTACTGGCATTTTGATCGTCCTTTGTATATCTGGATTTTTCAGAGATGGCAACTCTCTAATCTCGATCAGAGAGGCAATTGTCTCCGTTGGTGTTTCGGGAATAATGAGTATTTTTTTATGTTCAAGAGTTGATTCCTATTTCTGGGATGTCAAATTCGTTATCCCGGAGTTCGAGTCTTTTGTCTTTAATGTGATTGGTGGTAACTCGTCAGATTGGGGGGTCGAGTCACCAGTGGCCTACTTCACCAAATACTTGCCGAAGTTATTTGCGGCAGGGTTCGGCGTCGTTTTGATTTTGTCACTGGTGTTTTTCATCCTGTCACTCCTCAATCTGAAGATGTTTTACTGGAAGAAAGAACGTTATAGGTTTGAAGTGGATTACGTCAACTATGGAGTGGGCACAATTACTACTTTAATGTGGGCAGCTCTAATTTACATTTGCGTTCTTTCTGTTAATGGACACAAGGAATGGAGGTTCCTTATTTACACTGTACCCATTCTATGTATTGGCGCTGCAAGCACGGCAGAATGGATGATGTCAAAGTCTAAAATTTTAAAGAGATTAATGATTACCTTAATCATTCTGTGTTACACTTTTAGTTTGGCTTCCTCATTCTTTTTCGGTTATATTTCTAGCTGGAATTATCCAGGTGGTGATGCCTGCCAGAAGCTCAATCTAAGATTGATTGACATGTATGGTTCAAGCCAGGGTACAATGCTGAAACCTTTGATCGTGCACTGGGATGTGGGAACATGCATGAACGGAGGGTCATTGTTCACTCAAATTTCGGACAACAAAGTCTTGGGAGATGGATGGCTAGAAGAGGAAGGAGGACGGGAACCTAAGTTTTGGGTGATATACGATAAAAACGAAGACTCAGAGGTATTGAGTGAGATCGTGGATGATTTTGATTATTGGATTCAGTATGATGATGAGGAAATCATACCATTGAGTGAAGGATATCAATGGCTGTTGGTGGACGTCTCTGAAGGGTTCACAGGCGTTGACTATAAGTTTCTGGTTGACACCCTTAAAAACCCACGCAAGATTGGTTTACAGTTACTTCTTGCAATTAAGACAGGCGACACGAGCTGGTTCAAAAATGTGGCTGATTCTGTGATCAAGAAGAAAGTGCGTGGTAGAATATGGGAACGTTCTGCAGCTGATAAGGTATTCAATGGATTATGAGCATATCCGTTTTCACTCTAATCCCCCCTAATAGTTTCTATTTTGTATGATCAAAAAATATTAGACTATGACTTTATATACAATTTATAATTAATGGATTTACTTCCACGTTCTTTCTAATTCCTTTTTGCAGCGGAAAAGAGTAGAGAACTGAAAAGCAAAAAAGAAGGAGGAAGACTTAAATACGAAAAAGGGAAAACGGAGGAAACGAATGGAAACTGGTAGAAAGGTATAAAATAGGTATAAGTTTGGAAAGGGGTGAAAAGGAGGGGAGAAAAAGAAAACAAGGAATATGTGATGGAAGAAAGCGTAGATTGGTAATGGTCCTCTGTATGTACATTAGTGGTGTGTGTGGTCATGGCCGTGGTGAAAAAGGGGGAAGGGTGGTATAAGTTGCTGAAGAGATTAAACGTTCATGCCGGAAACCCGACGGTATCTTGGGCCTCTAACCATCATGGAGACGTTACGGCGATTTTTGTAAGCCATGAGACCTGCTATGAAGATGAAGACGGTAAAGGGCACAAAAACGTAGTGGTGGTAGGAGCCGCCCATTCCGCTCGGATGGTCTTCGGCGTAGGCCTGGTTGCTGCCCTGCTGCTGTTGCGTCTGGCCGTCCGTGGAAGTGGTGACAGTGACAGCACCACCGGTGCCTCCGGCAGTAGATTCACCTTCAGCAGCAGACTTCGAGAGCAGAGCAGCATCTGTGTAAGGCTCTGTTCGGGCAGCCTGGATGAAGACGTCAAGTAGTGGTTTGTCAGAGAGGTCTCTGTCGACGCCGGAGATCTGCTCGGCGACGTTCATGCCTTGGAGCACCTGGCCGAATACAACATGACTGCCATCCAAGCCCGGCTGTGGTTCCATACAGATGAAAAATTGGCTGCCACCGGTGTTGGGGCCGGCGTTGGCGACACTGACTCTGCCGAGTTTGTTGTGGGAGAGAATGAAGTTCTCGTCCTCGAGGCCACTGTACAGCGGGCCGTACCGGTGGGGGTCCGCGTCCTTTGGCGGCGGAGCGCCTTTTTCGCCGTAGATGCTATGACCGCCCTGGTTGTCTATGTCACCAGCCTGGATGACAAAGCCGGGGATCACCCTATGGAAGAGCGTATGCGTCCTCTCGTAGGTGGCGGCTAGGCCCTTGAAGTTTTCCACTGTTTTCGGAACAATTGTGCCGAAAAGGCCAATCACAACGGTGCCCAGCGGCCGAGACTCGATCGACTCCTTGGAGAGTCTCTGATGGACGTCAAGGTAGAGCAAGTCGGTGACGGCCGGGTCGCTGCTCTTGTCGACGGGGACGACACTGGCGTCCACATTTTCCGCATTCGCCCCGCCGGGAGCCAACAGCTGCATAGCGCAGACTGCCCACAGACACCACCACAGCAACGTGGGTTTCTTCGACCAAGACAGAAACAAAAGTTTCATCACTGTTCTCTACGCTAGTGAGTTTGCGTGTTTTCACTTGCAGCAAGTTTTTCTTCACTGGGGGGAAGAACAGTTGTGCTGAAACAAAAATGGACAGACAACCAAAAGCGTACACAGGGTCACGTACAGCACGGTTCGGTGTGTTTTGCTCCGCCGCTTCTCTGCTGCGTGTTGCCAAGAAGCTCTGCCTGCGTTCCTTCGGGGAGAAAAAACTCCACCTGCTGAGTCCTTGTTGTCTGTTGCTGCCGGACAGATAGATCTGCAGCGGGAGAGAAGGAAGTGCGTGCAAATCCGCACGCCTGCCCGTTGCAGCATCCACGTTGTGCCACTGCCGTTGCAACAGCCCTGTCGCACCCCCCTCCATGGGGCCGCCTGCTGCGCCCCAGGCGGTGGCGCAGCAGTAAAGGCGTTGTGGGCTGTGGCCGGCTCAGCGGCTCAGCGGCTCAGCGGCTCAGCGGCTCAGTGGGGGGGGGGGGGAGGGGGAAAGGGGGCAAATGCTCAGCTGAATTGAAAATGAAAGCTCAGCGGTTTGCACAAGGCTCAGCTTCAGCAAGCGTGTTGGTCAGATAAAGAGATAACAGATAGATAGATGCTTAGATATAAACCACACAGACGCCAACTACAACTCTCTGGTCTTCCAGCTCTCCTTCTCCTGCGGGGTGAAGGTGCTCCACTTGGCGGCCAACTGCTTCATCTGCTCGGAGGCATCCTGGATGGTGGCGCACTTGCTGCGGTCGATGGTGCTCTTGATGTACTTGGTGTAGCCGGACAAGGGTCTCTTGTATTTGGCCTCCCACTCCTCCTTCAGCTTGTTGTAGTCCTTGCTCTTCTCGGCCGCCTTCTGTCTGTACGTCTCCTTGACGGCGTCGGTCTCGGCTCTCCAGGCCTTGCTGGCTTCGGAGATCGCCTGCGTGACGTCTCCCGAGCCGGTGTAGTGCTGCGTGAAGTGCTCCTGGTAGTACAACACAAAGCTGGTCAAGGGTCTCTTGGGCTTCGCGTTCTCCTTCAACTGCGTGCGTGTGAGCTCCTTCACCTTCGGCTTCTTAGGCGCAGCAGCCTTCTTCGTGGCAGCGCCCGTCTTCTTCGCAGCTGCCTTCTTCTTCGGTGCAGCAGCCTTCTTCGTGGCGCCTGCGGACGCAGCCGCAGCCTTAAGGACCGGGCTGCTGGTCGTGAAGAACCGAGGCTGAAGGGCCCCGGTCGGAGCTCTCAACACAGAGACGCGTGGGAAACGGAACAGCGATAATAACATGGTACGGCTTGCTTGCTATCGAAAGAGGTGGAGGGTTCAATGGCAATTCAATGGCTTCCAGCAGCCCAGGAACCGGAACAGCAACAGCTCGTGCCACCGGATAATCAAAACAACCTGACGCAACGACAAGACACCCTGGGCCTGGAGCCAAAAAAAAAACACGCACAACCTCGCATCCCGCACCAGCCACTGTGCTTACGTAATGCCGCCGCGGCTCTCTTATCCGCCACCACAGCCTGTGGCTGCGCCACCCCGTCTGTCCCGGGCGCCCTTCTACTCTTTCTGCATTTTTTACTCCCGCTTTTTCACTTAGTGCGTGAAAAAGATAGGGGATAGATCATATTTTTCCGTCCAGAAGTGAATCATCCGCCTCCTTTTTCCTTCTTTTCCCTCTTGTTTCTTCGGGAAAAGCTTTCAGAAAGCTAGAATTCAGCAGCTAACTCGCTTGAACCAGCAAATAGACAATCATGCTGTTGTACAAGGCGAAGGAGTTCTACGCGCACACGGTGGTGCCCAACATGGGTGTCTTTTTGACACTTATCTCGCAGCTTTTCAACTGCATGATGGTGATGTTCTGCAAGCTCTTGATCGTGGACAAAGACTTCGAGACCCCGATTCACCCGTTGCAGATCCTCTTTGTGCGGATGGTCATTACATACTTGTTTTGCATCTGCTACTTTGTCTTCTACGAGAAAAACTCAGACTTTCCCTTCGGACCCAAAGGCTTCCGCTTCCTGTTGTTTCTCCGTGCCCTCGGGGGCTTTGTCGGAGTCGGCGGCCAGTACTGGTCCCTCCTCTACCTAAACGTCTCCGACACCATTGCCATCACCTTTTTGGCTCCAACCATAACCTCCTTCATGGCGTACGTCTTCCTAGGCGAGAGCTTCACCCGGATCGAAGCCATCGGCGGGTTTGTGGCTTTCGGCGGCGTCATTTTGATCGCCAAGCCTCATTTCCTCCTATCGATCTTCTCCTCCGTGAAACACGATCCTTCGGTCCTCGAGGAGGCTAGTGGCAGCGTGAACCTACGGTTGGTTGGCTCATGCTTTGCCTTCGTCTCGACTTTCGGTACAGGTGTCGCAATGTGTGCCATTCGGAAGATAGGTTTTAACGCCCACCCGTTGTTCATGGTCTCCATTTACGCCCTTTTCACAACCGTTGCGTCTTTCATCGGCATCATCGTCTTACCGGGACTATCGTTCCAGATTCCCCACACCATCAAACAATGGTCATTGCTAACCGCGATCGGAGTCACAGGGTTCTTTATGCAATTCCTGTTGACGGCGGGCATGCAGCGAGAAAAGGCCGCAAGAGCCATAGCAATGACCTACACACAATTGATCTACGCGTCCATCTTTGACTTCGTAGTCAACGGTACCATCCCACAAGGCTGGTCTCTTGTTGGCGAGATTGTCATTGTCATAGCCGTTTTCTCCATCATTTACTTCAAAGAGTCTCCACCGCCACCACTGATTGCCGATACCACTGATGGCACCAGCAACTTCCGCTTAGATTTAGAAAGAGACGTCGAATTGAAACCATTCAGAGACAGTACCTCCACTGCTCCTCAAAACATAGAGATCATTCATAGTGAGGCCGAAAGTGGCGATTTCAAACTGTCTTCAGAATCAGACTCGGATGCCCACGACGAGGGCTCTTTGGATCTCGGTCGTTGACCCATAAGGTGTGCTGGTACCAGTCTTTCACGATTCCCTTCATTTCCTTTCCTACCATTTATCTTCTCTCCCATTTTACTTTCTTAAATTTACATACTTACTTGATTTTTTGAGCATTTTTTTCTTTATTCTCGCAACCTTTCTTTTGTTTACTTCTTTTATACATCTATTTATTCATACCGTATTCATGTAGTTTTGAATTTTTTTCTTTTTGCTTTGGCGACAAAAATATAGAGTTACAAAAAATATTAATATCGTTTCACTGAAAGTTTACTGACGCGTTACGTAAGCTGGTGCGTTTCCGTATACGCTATTGCCTGCATTTCACCGTGTTCTGAGCAGAATCAACACCAGAAGGACTACAGATATACCTACTTAAAGATTAGCAAGTCAATAATTGGTATTCACAGATAAATCGATAGGTGTTCATCGATGCATATAGCTGCTTGAGCTTCCACTGATTATAATTTGCTACTTACTTGCTCAGAAGAAAGATTTCACATACCATATTGCCCATTTTACTCTACAGCCATGAATAATGGGAACTCACAAAGAATGCCGTCTTCTTTCCAATCACAGAGACACCCCGTTATGGATCCAGTGACTAGAATAGCCAGTGTTTTGCATACATATCCCTCCCGTCCAGCGGCCGCGGCGGCGATTCTTTCCGGTGCTCATGTATACTCAAACTCAAGTGGAATACCATTCTCAAGAACCTTGTTATGGAAAACTTCCCTACTTCAGATTGATACACACCGCTCCGGTTCCGATGAAAGCTCAATTCATTTTGATTTACTTCCATTAAGGCAACATAGAGAAACATTTGCCACTTTAACCACCAATATAGGCATTCCTTGGCACCTATTGCCAAAAAACTCAATCTATTACGTGCCGCTACATGTGGATAATAATAATAACGTTGATGTTGAAGAGGATCTCGCAAACTTGACTATAGACATGAACACTAAGGTGAATAAAAAGGTGAAACTCAAGCCTGCAACAGTTTCCAGTTTAAATTACCCATTATCTTCCAATTCCAATAGAAAATCAGAGTCGGATCTAGATGTTCTTTTAATGATAATCGCTGATGTTGAACGTTTATTTCCGGAGCATCCTGAAATGTTCATCGAAAGCAAAGAGGATAAATTACAAATGATAGAAATCTTGTATCGCTATGCAAAGTGGATAAATGATTCAAGAGAGGCAGCAGGAAAAAAGAAACTAGGTTATGTCCAAGGAATGCATGAATTATGTGGTGTCATTTATGCTGTTCTTAAAGTCGAGCTAGTAGATAACAAGAAGAAGGAATACACTACTGAAAACTCAACCAAAAGCAACATCGTTGATGGAGGGGAAGATATCACTGATTTAAGCAGAGCCACCTCCAAGACTAAAACCTCAAGTTCAGAACAAGCAGACTCTTTAGTTTCTGGTAAAATCAACGAAAAGCTAGAAATGCAGATCAAAGAATTTCTTGATAAAAACTTTTTTGCACACGATGTATTTGCCATGTTCAAACAACTCATGTCTCCTATTATCGATAAATATTTCACTGCATCGGGAATCGTCAGGGAGAGTATAGTGTTTGATCTTAAACTTCATCATCTCGATCCAGGAGATGCAAAACATCCAGGTTTGGCAGCATCATTTAAAGAATCTCAGATAGAATCTCAATTATGGCTCACACGATGGTTTAGAATGATTCTTACCAGAGAAGTGGGTCTAGCTTATGCAGTTCGTATTTGGGATGGCTTAATTGCATACGCATGTGCGGGCGCAATGGCAGACACAGCCACTAATGGACATGATGTATCAGCACTTTTGCCTTATGTAATTATCTTATTGATACTCAGGGTAAGATCTGCTTTATTGAAATCTCTGGTTCCATGTTTGAAGAAGGCATTTGACGAGGAGAATGAGATCGATGATGATACCGAAGCTCTTTCTTTACTGTTACATTATCCTTCCCACAACAAAAACTCATCCTTTAGTAGATCGACGTCGGCAGATTCAGACTCAGATTCGGAAAAAGAACGTCAACCGATAATGATGTATCGGAAGACGAGAGATAAGAAAAACAACCTCAATACACACAGAAGCCAGCTCACCAAGGCCCTCCAAATACCAAAACTACCATCTGCTGTGGACCTATTCTCCGATGCAGCGCATATATGTGGCTTGACCGATAGTGAATTAACTCAAATTGGGCCATCTTTGATTGAAAAATATTCCGGTGGTGACATATATGAAGCTTTGGCAGCCTATGACAAAAGCAAGCCTGCTGCACCATTTATTGATGGTGTTCTGAAGCATACTAAAGCTTGGAGAGTTTCCACGGCCACAAATAAAGAAACAAAGCTAAAATTGGAGAAAAAACTCACTCCAACAATATTGGACTCTAACAGGACAAGGTTGGAGCTGAGGTTGCAAGAACGTGTTCAGAATCGGTTGAGGGATCGATCACATGGATCGTTGAATGGCTAGCAATTTTATCCACTCATTCTTTCTTTGATTTGGCCCATACTCCTATATTCCTCTCTTCAATTTCTTTTACCTCATGGACAAGTACCGAACACAGCCTCATAGATACAGAGAGTGCCACTATTAAGGTTTCGGGGTAAGGGTTTTTTTGGTTACCATTACTAATGTAAGTCGAATGCTCTCCATCCGTTTAGAACAGATTTATAGTTGAAAAGGTTATTAATGTAAAAACTAAAGAAAAAAAGTAATTGCGTCGTCATATTATACTCTAGATACAGACAGCTTTTCAAGCTTCTCTTTCAAGTGCTTCTCATTTTCAGAGATCCAGCTGAGCGATTCCATATGGTTATTCAATAGCTTCAATATATCATTCAGAGTCTGTTCTCCTTCACCTGATGATTCAGTGTTCATCAAAGTCTTGTTGAAGTTAACGCTGACGTCATTCACTTCGCTAACAAGTGATGAAAAGTTGGATCCTAATGAATCAAGTCTACTTTCTAGCATTTCTGCTAACTTGTATGCTTTCTCACGTGCCTCGTCATTTGTTTCTTTATTGTTACCAGAGATAGAGCTGGCTAGTGAAGGTGCCGACTTCTCAATGGAAGCTGACAACTTTTCTGCCTGTCTCTCATACCCTGAGAGTAAACGATCAAGTTCATCCTGCTGCTTATCAATGTAAGCAAGAGTTTGATCTATCTTCTCTTGTTTCTGTTCACATAGTATAGTGTCATTGTACAATTTACTCACAGTATCTGATGAATTTACTAAGATTCTGTCCCATTCATTTATCCTCTCGCTGTAGGTTTCAAAGGTTTTACCAGATAGTGAAAGTTGGTTGGTCCATCTGGTGATTAGATCTTCAATACTCTTGTTCATTATCGATAACTGTTGTGGCTTGAAATCCTCGAGTTTCACAGGAACCTTGTCTTTACTTGCTGTCGAAATGTCAAATGAACTCTTCTTTTCTGTGGAATCCTTAGCCGTATCGTTTTTACTGTCAAGAGCAAATCCAACAGATTTTGTGGTTGCTGGTTCCGCTTTCTTTTTCTCTTCTGCATTTGAGGCTGAGCTACCAAATGAAAATGCAGGTTTAGAATCTGCAGTTTTAGGAGTGTCCTGTGCTGCTGCTGTAGAATTAGAACCAAAGGAGAAACCTGGCTTTGAAGCTGGTGTTACTGTTGCAGCTGGTGTAGTGGAAGGAGCAGTAGAGCCAAATGAAAAGCCTGGCTTTGAAGCTGATGCTGCTGATGTAGCCGGAGCAGTGTTAGAAGCAGCAGAGCCAAAAGAAAATGATGTCTTTGAAGCTGGTGCTGCAGATGTAGCTGGCGTCGTACTGGACGTACCGGAGCCAAAAGAAAAAGCAGGTTTAGAAGTAGATGTAGTTGATGGTGTTTGATTTGCATTTTGAGCAGTTGATCCGAAAGAAAACCCAGACGTCGTGTTTTTTTTTTCGGCTGTAGACGGTGTGCCTGTGGTAGGTGCACCTGAAGATGATGATCCGAAGCTAAACGCTGGTTTGGGCTCTTCCTTTTTTGGCTCTGCGGCAGCTGAATTGGAGCCAAACGAGAAGGCAGGTTTCTGTGTTTGTGATGAAGCTGCATTAGAACCACTTGCGCCAAAAGAAAATGTAGAGTTAGATGCGGGTACCGCTGTGGTAGGTGTCGTAGATGAGCCAAAGGAAAATGGTTTAGGTGCAGTGGCAGCTGGGGCTGTTGAGGATGATGGTGTATTGGTTGATGTTGCCGTAGCCGCAGCCGCAGCATTTCCGCCAAATGAAAATGGCGTAGAAGATGTTGTGCTTCCACCGAAAAGGGATGAACCTGGTGTTTTTTGTGGCGCAGCCGTTGATGATGCTCCTGCACCGCCAAATAACGATTTCGATGGAGCAGCTGAACTATTCAGAGAAAAGGAAGGAGCACCAGCTGTATTAGAACTCGAACCAAAAGAAAACGGCTTAGAAGCATTGCTAGCAGTACCGCTTGTTGCTTCTGCCTTTGAACCAAAGCCAAAGTTCGAAGAAGGAGTTGTTGCTGCTGTATTTGGTGTTGGTGTGTTTCCAAAGTTGAACCCTCCGGATGAAGGGTTGGTGGCCGAGTTCGCGTTGGATGCTGAACCAAAGTTAAATGCCGGTTTGCTAGTATTGTCTTTATTTGCATTGCCAAAGAGAGAGTTTGAGTTGGAACCCGATCCAAAGGAAAAAGTATTGTTGCCGGCTGTAGAAAATATTGTTAGTATCTTTATTTATTGCATTATAAGATTCGATAATCCTAATGAAACATACACATTGCTAATTATATCTTTAGTCACAGTACCTCTATCTTTGACTTAACTGCAAGCACCTCGCTACTCTGATGCTTGTGGGGGGCAATAAACAGTTGTATTGAGACCATTTGAAAACAGGAATATTTCTGAGCACTACGCGGACGATCATGATTTTTTTTGTCGCTGAGAATGACAATGTTTTTGATTCAACAATGTTACGGAGTCGATCACGGGGGATTGATGGACAAGTCCACTGCTTTGAGTCTAATTGTTAACTACTTGGCCTGGGACTGAGTTCATTAGGCGGTAGATTGTTTCTACCATATACAATTATTTTACCCGGCTTTTCTCCATTAATGCAAAAAAAGGATCAGGAATATTCTTCAAACCTCAATCGAAGCAACTACAAATTCTTATCCTCCACGAATCTTCTCTATCGAGAAAACTTACCTCCAGAATACCGTTTACCCACACTAGTTAGCGGATATCTGCCAGATCTTCGAGGTATCAACACCATTGACAACGAAGAACAAATTCCAGAAGTTGATTTCAAAAATGCCGTGGCTAAGTTTGAAATACAAACAAGTGATTGCAATCAGAAAGGCACCGATATTGAGTCAACAAGAGATTGCATTCGAAAAACTTATTCGGAGAATGAATTATCTAATTATGATGGTGAGTATGGACGTAGAAAGTCTTTGAGTGAAAGTAAGAAATTAATGTTGGACTGGAAACCCTTATCAAATCAAGAGCTTTCTCCTAGAGAATCTTTGAAAAAGAGTTGTATGCGAGAGGGCATTGTTGACGAATACATACCCAATTTTGCCACTTTCAATTTAGCAAAATTCGGTATCAATGAAAACGTGATCGAAGACTCCGACGATGAGCTAGATGTATACGATCGAAAGCCATTGGATGTAGAGACAAATGAAATTTTATTGAGTACAGAAAGTAAAGCAAAGCCGATTGAAATCGAGACAAAGAACAATTTCAAGAGAGGAAGTGATAGTTTCATGGTTTCTGATGAATCTTTTAAAATTGCAGCATCTCCAGAACGGGAAGGAGATCGTCTAGTTTTGTCGAGCATACCAAGAAATTTCTCCTCATTATCTTTTAGCTATAGAAGGAAGATGTTGGTAGAATTGTTACCGGATAGCTTGAAAAATAACTCTGAATATAAAAGTCACATTACAAAGATCATAAGGAAAAATTCCACTTCGGCCTCATCATTCGGTTCTGCTTCCTCGAATATCCTTGCACCAAGACGCAAGGCAAAACGAGTAGAACCCGATACAAACGAGATAGGTTCTATCTTACTTCAAAGTTGGAGGTTAGGTAGGGTGTTTGACAGTGGGAGTTTTGGTATTATCAGAGAATGCATCAATATAAATGATATGGACGATGTAAAGGCGTTAAAGATTGTTCCTCTCAAACATTCTTTGAAGTGCCTTCAAACGTTCAGGTCGGAGATCATAATGTGGTCGAAGATTCACCACAACTGTTTCGTTCCTTTACTAGATGTTAAGGTTACTGCTGATTATATCTTTGCTTTAATGCCGCTTTATGATGAAGGCTCTTTATTTGACAAAGTCAAGTTTTGGGAAACAAATAGAGTCCAGTTGGCTGACCGTTTTGAGGATATAATTTCTTACCTCAAAGACATTACCGACGCTCTTAAATTTTTACATGAAAATGGTATACACCATGGTGATATCAAGCTAGAAAACTTCTTACTGGAAAAAAATAGAGCAAGGCTTTGTGATTTTGGAATGACCAACTATGATGAGGCGGCCTCTAGAAGATTGCTAGAAAATGTTGATCCGAAAGTTGAAAAAGAGCTTCAAGAGTCTTATTTGTTTCTCTCTAATAATAATTCTTCAAGTGATATAGCCTCAGGAGTACAGTCATTCGATATGATGGGGTCAATGAGTGGAGTTAACGACTCTACTGAGTTTAGTTCGTCGACCACTATTTTGAATCCTACGGATTCTGATCACAAGGAACACCACTTTAATATTGGTTCGTTGCCTTATGCTTCCCCTGAGCTTCTTCAGCCGTGTCCTTTTCCAGTGGACTGTAAGGCTGATATATGGGCTTTTGGAATTCTTGTTTATGCCTTGCTGATGTTGAAGTTACCTTTCTGGCATATATATGAGCCGAGGTTGAAACTTTCTATCATTGAAGGTAACTGGCAAACAACGGAGTGGAAGTCCCAACTGAATGAAAATCCACAGATTCAAATTGCAAACACTCTGGTGACAGGGTGCCTAAGGGAAAGAAATTCTAGATATTCAGTAGCTGAAATCTCTAGACTTCTTAGTGGGAATTCATGACTTTCTTATCACAATGAGGATTGTGAAGATTATGATTCTTGAATCAGTTACACTCTGTCAAGTAATAAATATGTCGATGTTCTATAAATGATTGTACAATAATAAGTCAAATCAACTGATGATGCCAATGTTTAACTAAGGACATCATCAAGAGCACTTTGCCCTGTAACATCACTCTCTGAAAGTAATTTGATGTGGGACAATTTGGCTTCATTTATTCTATGCCCCTCCTCGTACTTTTCCAAAGCATGACTAGTCGCCTCTTCAATCTCTTCAGCAGTCAATGAATTGCTTTTTAATGTTGTGACCAACTGAGAAGGATCTGTGTAGTGGTTCAAACCACTTTTGCCTCTTCTGGAACTGTAAAAGTTTAATAGTGAGCTCAGCACAGATTCTTTCTTGAGTTTAATTTTCTTGTTATCTGAAGTAACCCACTGATCTGAACCATTGAACTCGCCTAATTCAATAACAATACCTTCTAAGACTCTCTTTTTGATCACTCTTTCCCAGATGGCTTCTTCAACGGTGGCAAGAGTCGCCAGCCTATACACAAGACAGGGTTTTGTTTGGCCAATTCTATGCACTCGTGCGATAGCTTGTAAATCTACCATTGGATTAAGATCAGAATCGTATAAAATCACAGTGGTGGCTGCAGTTAAGTTCAAGCCTAGATTGGCGGCCCTTGTTGAAAGAAGAAAGATTTTGTAGTCTGGGTCTGTCTCAAATGTCGAAATTGCATCATCACGTTCTTCTTTTGACGAGGAGCCGGTTAAAATGCATGTTTTCAGCGGAAACACGTTTGTTTTTGAAGAGTACACCTTGTCATTAGAAGGGTGTTCGTCGAAATAGGTTTGTAAAATTTCCAAAGTGGATTTGAACTGGCTGAAAATTAGAATCTTCTCTCTTGGGTATTTATTTATTAGCGCAGGTATTAACGAGTCAAGAGATTGCAATTTGGCAGTGTTCAAAATCAAATCCGAGGTTATTTTGGTGTCATCGTTCCAGGGAAAAAAGTAATGATAGGGAGAATCACATAGTTGACGCAATTGCATCAAAGGGTTGGAGATTCGTTTGGATTTGATCTGCGAGTTGACAAATTCATAGTGCGTGTTCAATGCCTGCACAGTTTTTACAGTCAATCCTTTTTTGGACTTCGCAGAGTCTGTCATTTCTAGATACTGCTCAACATGTTTCTCCAATTCAGGGAAGTTGTACTTCACGTAGAGGGGGAAGAACGTTTTCAAAAGTGTTGAACGGAAGTCATTCTCGGGGTGGAGCATAGTTGAATAAAGAAACGATTGTAGGGGGGAAAGATTCGAGTATACTATGTATTCCCTTTTCGGTGGTAGTGTTAACACCTCATTCTTCAGTCTTCTCAAGATAAACGGTTTGAGAATGGTGTGAAGGTTGTTCACCAAAGCTTTCCTCACCTCCATCGAGACAAGAGAGTTGAACTCGGAGTTATTCTCGTCGTTGTCCTCGACAAGAGATTCAAACTCGGAGAAGTTGAAGTAGCTTTGGAAGGTAGCAAAATCGTGGAAGACGTCTGGTAGAATGAAGTTCAATAGCGACCAGAGCTCTGCCAAGTTGTTTTGGAGCGGGGTGCCCGTGAGGAGGATGCGATTGGACACTTGTAGAGCCTTCAACTTCGTGAAAAGCATGCAGTTTGCGTTTTTCAACCGGTGGCCCTCGTCGACAACCAAATATGACCACGAGATGGTTCTCAAGTAGGGGAAATCGATCAGCGAAATTTCGTACGAGGTCACAACCACGTTGAACTTCCTCAACGACTTCCTTCTGAGCTTTTGCCTGTGCTTCTTATCGCCCACGTACGGAACAAAGGAGAGCGACGGAGCAAAGTTGGAGAGCTCCAGCGTCCAATTCGACACCACGCTTAACGGCGCAACAATCAGAAACGGACCCTCGATGCCCTGCTCCAGCAGGAAGCACAGAAGCGAGATCGTCTGCACTGTTTTGCCCAACCCCATCTCGTCCGCCAAAATCCCGTTTAGGCCGTTCTGATACAGCGAGATCAACCAGTTCATGCCGTGCAGCTGGTGGCTCTTCAACGTCACGTTGACGAGCGACTTCGGCTGCCTGTACGTGTCCAATGAGTGCGCATCCGCAGACGACGTCTTCCGCGTGTCCGGCTTCTGTTTCTTCTTCGCCGGCTCCTCCGCGTGCGTTTGCTTCTGGATCAAGGACGCCGAGATTATCTGCGAAAACGTTTTCGACTGGTCGATCAACAGCTGCAACTTCTTCAGCTTTGACTTGTCAAACCGGTTACCCTCCCGCTGCTCCTTCGTCTGTCCGCTGTACTCTTCCGCCAAGAGCTCTGCCAACGACTTGTGTTCCTCGTCGGCCGCAGTCATGTCTTCCGGTCCGTCGTGTCTGTTTTCCTGTCCTCCCTGACCCTTCCGGCTTTTCTTCGATCCCCGATACTTGTGATGACATATGGCCCTTCTCTTATCTCCTTTTTCCAGCTCCGTCTCTTTGGACGCGTCGCTCAATTCATGATGGAGCCGATCGGTCACTTGCGCGCGAAAAAGCATAGAGGGCGAGAGGAAAAACTGCGAGGAGGAACAAGGAGAAGGAGTGAGAGAGGGTGGTGTTTCAGTTGTTGATGAAGGAGTCGAGTTCGGGCATGAAAAAAGGCTGAACACGGCACAGGTGAGTGTTTTCGGTCGGACCAGTGGTACTTGTTTGGAAAGTGCGACAACGATGGCTGCTGTATCAGATACGAACGTCCCGGAGGCAACGCCTCCTGCTGCTGCGGTGGGTGGCGCATCCACTGCAGACCTGTACACGCAGGCCAACATCTACCTTGCGAAACAGACAAAGCCAGTGATCATCCCCTCCTTTGCGAAATGGTTTGACATCAACGAGATCCACGAGATCGAGAAGAAGTCGCTGCCAGACTTCTTCAGCGCCCAGTCGAACATCAGGTATAAGAACCCTGCGATTTACAAGACGGTGAGAAACTTCATTGTGAACACGTACCGGTTGAACCCCATCGAGTATTTGTCGATCACGGCAATCCGGAGAAACATCGCGATGGACGTAGCGTCATTAATGCGGATCTACGGGTTCTTGGCGAAGTGGGGGTTGATCAACTACCAGATTGACCCGAAGACAAAGAGTTTTTCGATGGGTCCGCAGTTCACGGGCCACTTCCAGATCACGTTGGACAAGCCCACTGGGTTTGCGCTTCAGTCGGCGGAGTCGGCGATCACGGTGAAGGAGGACGACGAGGTGGAGCTGAACGAAAACATGGACTTGGACTCCACAGGGATCAAGGTTGTGTCTCTCAATAACAACACGCACGAACCATCCTTCAAGAGACAGAAGATCTCTAACAGCGTGACTCCTAACGTGAAGTTGAACTTGCAGTTAAGAAAGAATGTGTACGACTCTGTCGACGACGTGTTCATTTTACAGGACAGCAGCAACGGCAACTCGAAACAGGTGAAGAGAATCTACTGCTCCATCACAGGTAACGACATCACCGAAACGAAGTACCACAACTTGAAAAACAAGTCGAACATTTCCCTAGAGTGTTTCGAAAACAGTCAGTTTGAAGACTACTTCAAGAGCTCGGATTTTATCAAGCTTGAAAAGACAAACCTCAACAACGAGTTCAGGCCCTGGACCAACAATGAGGTCTTGCTGCTTTTGGAAGGTATTGAGATGTTTGGTGACGACTGGAATTTAATTGCTGGTCACGTCGGCTCGAGAGCAAAAGACCAATGTATTATTAAGTTTATCCAGCTTCCAATTGAAGACACTTATCTTTTCAAACACATCTCCAAGTCCTCCTACGTTGAGTACTTGAAGAAACTGAAGGACGACAAGACAATCGATCTATCTTCTCTACTCTCCGTTATCACAAACGGGGCTTCTGGTGACAGTACCACAACAACAACCACAACCACAACGACCTCATCGACTACAACGGCGAATTCTGCTAAAAGAATTATCGATAATGTGCACGGCCATGCGAGCTCCGAGCTTAATTCTCAAGACAATGTTATAACATCCATTCTCAAGCTCTCCTTGCGCAAGTTCGAGCTCAAATTGCAGGGCTTCATGAATCTCGAGTCTAGAATCAGTGAACAGCAAAAGTTCGTTGAAACGGAAAAGGAGAACCTCGTGTTGGACAAGATGAAGGTCAAAAGACAATGTTTGAAGGTTCGGTTGCAGCTTATGAAAGCTTCCAGCATTGCCCGTGAGACCAAGGGTAATCCTTCAATAACACCGGAAGCATTAGAAGCTTCGATCACAGAGGCTCTAAACCTAGTGGATCGGGCCATCGGCGAAGCCAACTACGATCCCAACGCGTCTTCCTCCCTTGCCATTTTTGGGCAAGACGGTAAAAGTAGACCAGAAGGCAGTCAGGAGGCGTCGGTGCAGAACGTAAAGGAGAACGAAGTCGATGTAACCAAGCCGATCAGTGTTGTGGAACCAAAGTTGTATAGTATGTGGAGTGCCTAGATTTTTTCTTGGGCCTTCAGTGATAATAGTAGGTCATATTTTCCGTTAATTTAGTGTTGTATGTAAACTGAAATGTGTATTTTATTTTTGTCCGGAACAGGAAGGTAAAACCGCGGAACCGGAGCTCCTGAGCCCAGCGGAGCGGGCGATAAAGATTTGGAGGAGGTGGAGAAATCGTCAGCGGCAGAAGAAAAGTTTGAAGATAGGCAGGCGCCCCTATGACGGAGAAAGGGCGGTATGCTGGAGCTGGAGCTAGACAGATCACACAGGTACACCCAGCAACACAGCACAGCATATTGCAACATGTCACAGCCAAGACCAAAACCTTGGGAAACGGCGTCGACGGCGACGACCTCTGTGTCACCAACTGGCTCAACGCCACTATCAACAACAACAACAACGTCAACATCTACAACAAACCCATCCGCAAATACCGCAGACGCGTCATCCCGACCTGCAGTTCCGCCTATACCTTCCTCTATGGTCGATAAATCGACTCAGAACAGCATTACGAATTCATCAAACATAACGAACGGGCTCTCGGGCTATGGCTCAAGTTCTTATGGCATGAATGGCATGGGGTCATCCATGTATGGAGGCTACGGCAGCTACGGAAGTGGCTACGGCTCTGGGTATGGAGGTTACGGAAGCTATGGTGGTATGGGAGGAATGGGAGGACTAGGAGGAATGAGCAGCTATGGCGGTATGAGTGGATTAGGAGGGTACGGCGGCTATGGTGGGCTCGGTGGTATGGGCGGCAGATACAGACAAATGGGATACGGGGGAGTGGCTGGGGAGGAAAACTCTAGCGGGTCACTGAACGGGGTAGCTGATGCAACTGCCCGAACGTTTCAAGTTCTTGAAAACGTCGTCTATGCAGTGGGTGCTGTTGCAGCCCTACTTGAAAGCACATACTACGCAACACATAATAGCTTTTTCACCATTCTTGGCGTTGCTGACCAATTAGGTCATCTAGGAAGTGTTGGTGGGATGATAAAGGATACCTTTGGTGGGGTGACTGATTCTGTTAAACAAATAGGGAATGGTGCCAGCGGCTCGAATAATGGGCCGCTTGGACTTTATGCTGTTTTAGCATGGCTGAAGAGAATCCTAAAAAAATTATTAGGTTTCTCAACAGCAAGCCCAACAGACTCCTCAGTAAGTGGTTCGCATGCCTTACTACAAGAGTTCAGCAATTGGAAAAATGGACTGATATCGAACAATCCTAGCTTGAAGTCAAAGAACAGCAAGTTGAGTTTAAAACCGCTCTTGGTTTTTCTTCTTGCCTTAGTTGGACTACCGGTTTTGATGTCCAAGTTTGTCAGATATATTGAAAGAGAACAGCAGAGGAGAGTTCAAGGCCCGGACGCTAGCATAAGTGCAGGGTTAAAAGCAGATAACACTACGGCAACTAATGCCGATCAGTCAGGCCACGGTAGGTCGAATAAAATTGATCCACGCTCCCTGGAGTTTGCGAGGGCGGTGTATGATTTCATACCTGAAAGGGAAGAAGAGCAACCAAATGGTTGGAAGGAGCTCAAGCTTGGACGTGGAGACCTAGTGGCCATCCTGTCCAATCTCGATGGGTGGAGCCATTGCCGAGCAAGAGACGGCCGCGTTGGATACGTACCTACTCATTACCTTGAAGTAATCAAGCGTGCGGAAAAGACGGTGGCAATTGCAGATAGTCCTGCAAAGGAAGAATCCTCCAAGCAAACAACAGTTGGGAAATCCATCTAAGAAAAGAGAAAGCGCCTTTTATATTGCGAAGGGTATAGTAGTATGTACAAAATCTTCTCAGGATTATATAGGTTCCAGTTCGAAATCTGCCACAACGTGATAAACATCAGGGGCAAAGGTCTTCACTTTCTCGAGCCAAACGGGAATTACTTTCCGAGTGTTTGACAATTTTTGAAGTTCACTTTTGACGGAGTCCATCTTTGTGTCGAGTTGTGTCACTGCGACATTTTCATGAACGTGAATCCAGGCATTGGAATGTCTGTCGCCGTATAAGTCTATCAGTTCGCATGCGTAAGGCCAGGAATCTGTAGAAAACGGTAGTAGTCCTAAATTGATGTGAGAAATATTTAGGTCCAAATTGTCGCCATCGTGAACTTGGCTTTTTATTTCTTCTAACCTTTCGAGGCAATGGACGTTACTCTCTAGGAATATTACACATCTTGCTTTCATTACCTTTGCCAAACTGATGTGTTGCTCCCGTTTGATTACATACGCTTCTCCGAATCCATTTTCTCTCACTCCTTTGGTCAATCCTTCAACAGAATAAGGATTAATCTCCCAGCAAAACACCCTTCGGGCCCCTCTTCTCAAATAAGAAAGCGTGAAATATCCGATTCCGGCATACATGTCAACAATGTCTGAGTCGCTGGTTATATTCTGGTAGGAGTTTAATATTCGGGCCTTTTCTTTAATGTTCCCTCGAGAAAACATTGTGTAAGCAGGCATCCAGGTCTGGTAGATTCCATTCTGGGTGGTATGGCACCAAAAGTCAGTGAAGTCTCCGTATAGCGTTGTTAGCTGTGATGGCGACCGTATTTCATTGTTTGTTTCAGGAATGGGTTTGTTGATCGCCATATGAGTTAACGTATTGGTAGGCGTAGAAAAATGGCGGAGAATGAAACTGAAAATCTCCGACCTGTAGTTCTGATCCAAGGAACCCAAAAAACAGGACCATTCCTTCGAATCTAGCGATTTCTGCGGCAGAAGTAGCAGCGGAGGATACACAGAGTATCTTTTAGGAAACTTCTTCAAGAGACCATCCACCTGTGAATCATCCAAGCTTGGGTCTAAGGAGCGTAATAGATGTGCCAATTTAGACCCAATGTCGGACGAGCCGGTCTCTGCTGTAGATCTCACCACCGATACTTTCTCACCGGGCAATAGCTTTGCAATGAATGCGGAGGGGTCATCATTCGCAATTTGCGGAATCAGTATCGGAATCAGGAAAGTTCCGTTCGGATCTGAAAAAATTTTTGTGCTTTTGTCCAGACAGCTACGAGATTCTAGCAAAGATTTTATTCGCTTGATTTCCTTCTTATTTTCAACAGCAACTGCATATGAATATATCATTCTTATTTTTCGAAATGCTTCCCTTCTAGTCACTTGCTACGACCAGCTCTGCAAACTACCGACTCTGCCGTCTTCCAGGTTGTCAGAAGATGACGGCGTCAGTTTTGAAAGTGACGGAAAGCACTGATAGTGCTGACGTAAGCGTTTTCTTTGCTCTCTCCGGCAGCAAAAAATGCGAGAAAAAAGAGAGGTTGATTATCTATTTACTTTCTGTAGTTGGAGACCGGAGGAGTGATTGAAGAAATGGGATGGTTGACAGAAGAGAGTAGAGGAGCCTTCGAGGAGGAAGCACTGCACGCACGCACGCACGCACGCACGCCACAGGCAAACGGACACACATACATACACGGTTTGGCAGGATGATGCAGCCGCAGTACAACGACAGACAGCAGCTAGAGACACAGATACAGATGCAACAGATGCAGCAGATGCAGATGCAACAGATGCAGATGCAACAGATGCAACTACAGTTTCAGCAGCAGGCGCAGCAGGCGCAGATGCAAGGGCCTGTGCAGCAACCGCTGCAAACACAGCTTCCGCCACCACCACAAGAGCAGCAAGCACAGGTGCAGGCACAGGCACAAGTGCCGGTGCAGCTAGCAGGCCAACAGTCCCCGCAGCAGCAACAGCATCTTACGAAACGAGCCCGCCGGAGGCTCCAGATCCAGTCGAAGCTGGCCAAGATGGACCAGCAGTTTGTGGCGGACAAGGACGTGCACTACCGGGACTCGTTGATACAGCTACAGTACAAGCTCAGCTCGTTGCATTCGGGCGAGAACGCCGAGAACATGCAGAAGGTTCGAGATCTCGAGGAGTGGCGGGACGCGGAGTTGTTGCGACTCCGGTTGGCGGAGGAGTACCAGGTGCGGTTCATTAACGAGTCGTTCAAGCATGAGTACGAGCAGACGGTGGAAAACACAAAGTCGATTGTGGAGATGGTGAAGACGAAGCTCCAGGAGGGTCTCATCAGCAAGATCAAGCAGTTGAAGGAGGACAAGGCGTTGATCGACATCGTCACGTCGTCCAAGTCTGTCGGGGTGCACACGTCGTCGAGGTCGCGGTCGAGCCTGAACCACGACGCCAACGGCGGATACAGCACCGACGGCACGGGCGCCACCGCCACCGCCACCGCCAACGGCAACACGTCCGGCTTCGACACAAACTCAAGCTTCTTCTTCTCCGGCGAGCGCAGGTCCCGGCGAAAGCGGCACCACGAGAGCAGCGTGCTCCACGACTCCAACCTCACCAACTCCAACGACGATTCCTATGACTCGAGCACCGCCGCCGGCTCGAGCACCCGCAAGAAGAACAAGGGCAACGGCAACGCCTCCTCGGCCACCGAGGACTCCAACAAGATCCTCACCGAGAACCCCGTCTTGAACGAGTTTCTCTATGGCAGCAAGAGCGTCGCCCGCAAGGACAAGGTCAACATGAAACACCCAAGCAAGGGCACCCAGCACTGCCCGCCCTTGAAGCCCGAGGAAATCAACGAGGACTTGTCGTTTCTTCGCAACTTCCGAAAGGGCAGGACCACCTAGTGACGTAGTGGATAGCCGCTGTCTATATAGCTATCATGTATTCAACCTAAAATGGATATAACGGAGTCCTGTTTTATCTCCACCGGTTTAAGCCCTGTCTTTTTCCGAATTGAACGGCTGCATCTTCTCCTTCTTTCCTGCCAGCAGGCCTCACCTACGTAGCCAACACCATAACATGTCCGTCCTCCGTGGAGCAAACGGCCTTTAAACCCGATCCACAATCTCCGGACTTTTTATTGCCGGCTGTTACTCTCCGCTCGCGGGGAGTTCGCGATGGAGGCTTAGGACCGCTCTACTCTGTGTGGACGTCTTCGCCGTGCTTTTCGGGATGGGCACTGGCTTTGTTTTGTTTCTGTTACTGTCTTGGCCACCGTCTTTCTCGAATTCGTCAGCAACCGGCTGCAATACGGGTGGTAAAAAATGTTTTTTCTCTCCGAGCAGCACCCGGAATAATCCTGTTGGTTGTTCAAACTTTTAATCCTCGGTCCTCCGTCCCCCCCCTCCACTCTTCTGTTGACAGTTTTCTGTGCTTTATATAGCAGGCGTTATCCTTTTTCTCGTCAGTGCCTGTGTATACCGATTTGAGCACACAGTTGGCTTTTGTTGACAGCAGGCAAACACACAGCGATGTCGGACAGCAGCAACGTTGCCTCTCCCGCAGAGAAGGAGTCGAACTCCGATAGAAGCAGTCTCGTCTACGAGGTGGACAGCTTCCACCCGGGTGCAAGCCACGAGAAGCAGCAGCACGGTGTGCCGGCGCCGCAAGCAGGGTCGCAGGAGCACCACCAGATCCGGGACGACTTCTCAGATGAGGTGGACTACATCCACCGGGCGCTCACCAGAGGGCAGTCTGAAGAGCACCCAGAGACAGACGTGTTAAGACGGTTGTCGACGTTGTCGCAGACGCTCTCGCACATGAACGCGGAAGACATGAAGACGTTCAAGATCGACCCGAACGACTTCGACTTGCAGGCCATTCTCCAGTTCATGGCGCACAGAAACGAGGAGCAGGGCATCAAGGTGAAGACCGCCGAGATCATCTTCAAAAACATGTCCGTCACGGGTAAAAACACGTCCGCCTCCATCGTCAAGGACGTTGGCGACATCTTCTTCCCCGTGTACTCGTACTTCAGGGACAGAAAGGAGAAGCAGAGCAGCTCTTTCGACTTCGGGAAGCTTCCAAAGACGAGAAAAATCGTCAAAGACGTCACCGGGTTCGCCTCTCCGGGTACCATGACCTTGGTCTTGGGCAGACCCGGCGCAGGTTGCTCCTCCTTCCTTAAGGTGCTCTGTGGCGAAACCAAGACTTACCTCGGCTACGAGGGTGACGTCCACTACGGGGGTATCGAGTCAAAGGACATGTTCAAGGAGCACAAAAACCAGTTGATCTACAACCCGGAGTTGGACGTCCACTTCCCCTACTTGACTGTTGAACAGACAATGCAGTTTGCAATCGGTTGCAAAACTCCTTCCATCAGAATTAACGACGTCTCCAGAAATGAGTACATCAACACCATCAAGGATTTGTACCTCACCTTGTTTGGCTTGAAGCACGTCGAAAAAACTTTGGTCGGTAACGATTTCGTCAGAGGTGTTTCCGGAGGACAGAGAAAGAGAGTCTCGATTGCCGAAGCCATGGTCACAAAGGGTACCGTTTACTGCTTTGACAACGCAACCAGAGGTTTGGACGCATCCACCGCCTTGGAATTCACAGAGGCCTTAAGAACCTCAACAAATATCACCAAAACCACTTCTCTTGTTACCATCTACCAGGCTTCGGAAAATATCTATCAATTGTTCGACTATGTCACCGTCCTTTACTTGGGTCGTCAAATCTACTTCGGTAAGATCCAAAATGCGACGGATTTCTTTTACCGTATGGGTTACCAGAAGCCAACCAGACAAACCACCCCTGAATTCTTGACTGCTATCACCGATCCTTTGGCTAGAACATTAAGACCTGGATTCCACAAGTCCAGCGTTCCTTCAAATGCCGATGAATTCGAAGAATACTGGCGTAACTCTCCAGAGTTTGCTGAGCTCGAAAAAATTATTGACGAAAAGTTGAAGGCCTCAAATCCTGAAAAAACAGAAGAGACCTTCAAAGAGGTTTTGAATGTCGAAAAGCAGAAGTGGACGTCAAAGAAATCGCCATACACGGTCAACTTTTTACAACAGTTGAAACTTTGCTGCAAGAGAAGAGTACACAACTTGATCAACAACAAAAGTTACACCATCACCTTGGTAGCAGCTGCTGTTATTCAATCGTTAATCATTGGTTCCCTTTACTATAACACAACAAGGGAAACTATAGGGTCTTTTTCAAGAGGTGGTATTCTTTTCTTCTCGTGTCTTTACTTCTGTATCATGTGCTTGGCCGAAACTGCAGACTTGTTCATGGATAAGCCAATTTTGAACAAGCAGTATGCTTATACAATGTATCAACCGTCGTCAGAACTTCTTGCCAAACAGTTGGTCGCTTTTCCTGTCCGTTGTACTGCGATCGTTTGTTTCTCCCTTATCATCTACTTCTTATCAAATTTGAAAAGAGAAGCTGGTGCGTTTTTCTCCTACTTTTTGTTCGTCAATTTAGTTGTTCAAGCTGTCAATTCGTTGTTCACATTGTTGGCTTCATTCATGCCAGACTTGTCTGCAGCTAATGGTATTAATGGTATCTGTATGATGGCTATGATTGTTTACTCATCTTATATGATCCAAAGACCTTCAATGTATTGGTGGTTCAAATGGTTTTCATATTGTAATCCAGTTTTATTTGCTTTCGAGTCCATGATTTTGATGGAATTCAGAGGTTCCAAAATGGAATGTTCTCCTATTCAATTGCTTCCTCGTGGGGACTTTTATGCTAATATCGATCCACTGAAAAATCAAGTTTGTGCTTTTACTGGAGGTGCCCTCTCAAAACAAGAGTATGGTGGTCAGAATTATGTCGATGGTATGATTTACTTGAAATTGGCCTTCCAATATACTTGGAATCACATGTGGAGAAACTTCGGTATAATGTTCTGTTTTATAGTTGGTTATTTGGTTGTCAACATGATCCTTGTGGAAGTTTATAACCCAATTGTTGCCTCTTCAGATAAGCTATTGTTTATTCATGGTGCTTCTATTCCCACCTCTCTCTTGGAAGCTATTGGAGCTGGTGAAGAAGATCCTGAGAAGACTGTTGGTGTTGATGCAAAGTCAGAAGGTAAAGTAACTGATGATATTATTGAATCTCAACATTCAGCCGCTACTATTGAAGGCCAAAAGCTAGGCTCTGACGATATTTTCATGTGGCAAAATGTCGACTACGTTGTTCCATACGACGGGGCTGATAGGAAATTGTTGGATAACGTTCAAGGTTATGTTTTGCCTGGTACTTTGACTGCTTTGATGGGTGAATCTGGTGCTGGTAAAACCACGTTGTTGAATGTCTTGTCTAGACGTGTTGATGTCGGAGTTGTTAGTGGTGATATGTTAATCAATGGTAAAGGAATTGATTCTTCCTTTGAGAGAAGAACAGGTTATGTTCAGCAGCAGGATTTACATATTGCAGAATTAACTGTTAGAGAGTCATTGATTTTCAGTGCTAGATTAAGAAGACCTAGTAGTGTTCCCGATGATGAAAAGATTGGATACGTTGATGAAGTTATCAGAATTTTGAACATGGAGGAGTATGTTGATTCCTTAGTTGGTCGTACTGGTTATGGTTTGAACGTTGAACAAAGAAAGAAACTATCTATTGCTACAGAATTGGTTGCTAAGCCATCTTTGCTTTTATTTTTGGATGAGCCTACATCAGGTTTGGATTCTCAATCATCCTGGGCTATTGTCCAAGTGTTGAAGGAATTGGCAAAGGCTGGACAAGCTATTTTATGTACCATTCACCAGCCATCTGCCACTCTCTTTGAAGAATTTGATAAATTATTGCTTTTGAGAAGAGGTGGACAGACAGTCTACTTTGGAGACATTGGTGAAAATTCAAGTACGATGCTAAATTATTTCCAAAGTCAAGGTGGTAGAACCTGTTCAGAAACTGAGAACCCGGCAGAATACATTTTGGAAGTAATTGGTGCCGGTGCCACTGGTGATAACATTGAAGATTGGAACCAAAAATGGCTTGCTTCCAAACAGTGTAGTGAATTGACCAAGGAAGTTGGTGAGCTTATTGAAAGAACTTCCAAACTACCTGCAAGTGACAACAGTGAGTTAACGGCCAGATATGCTGCTTCAACCTATATCCAGTTCAAAGAAGTCTACAAAAGAACGTTTATGCAATTTTACCGTAGTTTGGACTACGTTTTGGCTAAATTCATGTTGTTTGTTTTCGGTGGTTTGTTGGCCGGTTTCTCTTTCTGGAATGTCAAACATACTATTGTTGGTATGCAAAATGTCATGTTTGCTTGCTTTCTTGCCGTCGTTGTTTCTTCTCCCTTAATTAATCAAATTCAAGAAAAAGCAATTGCAGCTCGTGAACTATATGAAGTTAGAGAGTCTAAATCGAACACGTTTCACTGGTCATTATTGATGTTGTCTCAATTCTTGAGTGAAATTCCATATGGTATATTCTTTTCAACCATCTACTTCATCTGCTGGTATTTCCCAATTCAACTTGACAATCAACCTTCGGTTTGTGGTTTATGGTGGTTCACTTATTGTGTGTTCTTCCAATTATACTATATTTCCTTGGGACTTGCGATTGTTTATGTTTCTCCGGACTTACCTTCCGCTAACGTTCTTACCGGTTTGGCGTTGAATTTTATTATTTCTTTCTGTGGTGTGGTTCAAAGTCCAAAGTTGATGCCTGGTTTTTGGAAATTTATGTGGAGGCTTTCCCCATTCACATACTTTATGGACAATTTCCTTTCCATTTTATTGCATCACCGTCCTGTCGTTTGTGCTGAAGCTGAATATAATTATTTGGACCCTCCAAATGGCTCAACTTGTGGCGAATACTTGGAGAATTACTTTGCAGATAACTCAGGCTATGTTCGCAATCCTAACGATACAAGCTCTTGTGCTGTCTGTCAATATTCAGTTGGTGATGAATATTTGAGTACCATTGGTATGTCATTTCACCACAGATGGAGAAACATTGGGTTCTACTGTGTTTATATCGGATTCAACGTCTGGGTGATGTGTTTCATGTACTACGTCCTTCGTGTTAAGAGTTGGAATCCTATGAGTCCATTCTTGAGCTTGCAAAAAAGATTCAAGAAAAAAAATTGATTTAAACAGAATATTTAAGATACCTTAATAATTTACATACACATTTTATATACAATTCGTTTTCAACTTATTCTTAACAACATTTTATCACAACTCACAACTCAAAAAAAAAATTCTCTAGCTTTGAACATTCAATCACTCCCTACCTCGTCATTGAGTTGGACAAGTTGATCAGCCACCGCTGCTCTAGTTGGGTCAGTATCTGCAACATTGGCGCTATCATCATAGATTTTTAAACTTTGACGAAATATTTCCTTCAGTTCAAAGAGAGGTTCTCTTTGATCAAGGACAAAATTATTCAAATAATTGACGTCATACCTAGAATCTTTGAATACGTTGTGTAGCTGTGAATTAAAACGGGTGGAAGAATTGACCAGCTCTAAAATTATTGGCAACGATCTGAAGCTACATTCACTGAGTAATTGCACTGCAAATTTATTTACAAGGGGTATATTTTGCTTTTTCATTAATCCCAATAGACTGAGTCTTTGATCATCACGCTTTAAAGAAACTAAGAGTTTGCCAACAGTTAAAGGGCTTGGTTTGAATTTGTATCTCAACCATGTAAAAGGTTTATCTGGCATTTCGTTATGAAGATCAAAAAATGTTTTGTTTAAAATGTCCACTTTGAAAAGTTCAGTTCTTTGAAACTTTTGGGTTGAAAAAGTCCAGTTTAAGGTTGATACATCTTCAAAAATAGCCAGGGTTTCTGACAAAAGTTGCAAGGCTTCATTTGATTTGTCAAAGTAAATATATTTCTCTAATATGATATCCATCAGCCAAGGATCAACATGAAAATATTTTAACTTCATTAGCTCCAAAGCATTATTGAACTCGTCATATGTTTGAAGATGTCGAAGAAATATTTCCGAAGTTGATCTTGTGATTCCAGTTTCGTTTGCCATCATTTTCATTATTTCTTCTACTTTCTCCGGGAAATGAGTGAGCATAATATTCCACATAGCTGGGCAAAATTTAAGCTTTTTCTTTGAACTGAGTTTTAGATCCAGCACTTTGTGATACTTCTCTTCCTGCGAAAGATTTTGTTCCTTCCATGAATTCAATAAAAGTGAAAAGTATTTAGTTTCCTCGAATGGTGTGAGGTTAATTCCATTTCCGTTTTGTCGAATGTCTTCATAAACTTCCACTACTCGTGGAACTAAAGCCCTGTGGTCGCCAGAAATCTTCAAACGTAATATCAAGCTCATAAGTCTCTCAAACTCTTCACGCTTGAGGTACAATGGTCGGGGTTCGGGTAGGTCAAAATACAAGTCTAGTAATTTGGAAGTGTTTTTTGCGCCCAAATGAACCAAGAACTGTTGATGTAAATAGAATGGGGGAGTCAGTCGTTTGACTTTTAATCTCTTGTACATTATAAATGTATTTGCCGATAGATCGCTTAGCTTTCGTACAGCTACATCAATCTTTATTTGCTGCTCTTGTATGTTGGCCGCAACATTTGGATCATGAAATCTAGCTTGTAATTCTCGCATATGTGATTTGGTAAGGGATAAAAATGTATCGGTATATAGTGCCAGCACTCGTGAGTAACATCGCTGAAAACTTCTATATGGAATGTTACAATCAGATTGTTTGATATCTTCTTCTATTCTATAACTCGAAGGTTTCTGCAGTCGTTCATACCATGACGGCAACGAATTTATATCAATCTGATTCTCACTTGACTCTGAATCATTGTGAGTCGGACTTGAAAGAAAAATTCGGCCCATAGAAGGCACATGTTTCCTTTCAGGATTGATTGTATTTGCAGCATGGGCCGAATGGTATTCTATATCAGATTTATCTTGATCTATCACTGTGAAACTTAATTTTGGAAGTTGAGAATGATGTCGGTAAAAAGCTCCAGTAATTTTTTTTCCTCTGAAAGACCTGATGGACATTATTTTCATCATTGCAAAGACATAGTCTAGGCTCCAGATTCAACGTTTCCTTAAACCAGTCTCTTAGTAGCTAGTTTTGTTAGCTGGTCTCCCAAACATCAACAACTCGAAAGGGAAATGAAAAGACCATGATACCCATTCAGATGACTGCACACATCAAGGAAAGTGCGCCTTCAAATTATGGAGACTCCCTCTTTTCAAATACTTCTCATTGTGAAACGATATTGAATGTTAAGGGGTGGGTCTCGGTTGAGTTAAGGTATGTATTATAGCGATGTAATCTTAGTAGATGTTAGTAAAAGCCACTCCTTCTACGTAATGTATCCGTAATCACTGAGTTTTCATCTGTACGATGCCAGATAAATAATGGGACATGCTTCACCTTTGCGCCCTCGTCGTTCGAAGATTTATTTATACCTTCTCCCTTGCACCTTATAGTGTTTTATTCCTCTAAACACAATTAGGTTTTTAACGGTATAACTCAAGGGGATTTCAACAGCTAAAGAATATCCAAAGCATAGGTTGACAATGGCTAGTGCATCGAGCGTGACAGTGAAGTTAAACACCGGGGCGGAAATCCCACTTTTGGGTTTCGGTACAGTTTCGGAGGACAATGTCGAAAATTTCAAGGAAGCTTTGACGGCAGCTCTAGTAGATGCAAAGTACAAGCACATTGACACTGCATGGTGGTACAACACTGAACCATATATCGGTGAGATTTTGGAAAGCTTGGATAAGTCCGGTAAAATAAAAAAAGAAGACATCTTTATTACTACCAAGGTGTGGCCCTGCTTTTGGAATGACCCTGAGAACTCAATCGAAATATCCTTGAAAAACTTGAAGTTGGACAAGGTTGATTTACTATTACAGCATTGGCCTGTTTGCTTTCAGAAGGTTGAAGACTCTAATGGTAGAGTTGGGTTACCTAAAGATGCTGCAGGCAATATTCTCTATGACAAGAATGGAGACTACTTGGTAACTTACAAAAAGTTGCTCAAGTTGAAAGACGAGGGAAAGGCAAAAGCTGTCGGCGTCTCTAACTTCACAATCGAGATGCTTGAGCGTGTTATCAAGGAGACAAACGTAGTTCCTGCTTGCAACCAAGTTGAGATGCACCCACACTTACCCCAATTGGATCTTTATAATTACTGTACCGAAAAGGGCATTGTTTTGGAAGCATATTCACCATTTGGCTCCTCTGGTGCTCCCAACCTAAAGATTCCACTAGTGAAAGAGCTAGCTTCCAAATATGACGTTACCCCGGCTGACATTATTGTGAACTACTCAATTGCCAAAAAGATCGTTATTCTTCCACGTTCTTCAAATGCTGAAAGAGTTAAAAAGGGTTACAAATTGATCAATTTGGAAAAATCAGAGGTTGATGCGTTGGACCAGTTTGGTGTCACCCATCCTCAAAGATTTGTTAACGATCCTTGGGGTAAGGGCCTTGGTTTTGAACACTGGGGTTAATTTCTGTCTAATTATGTATACAGTCCTTTTTTACAATTTTTTGATTTACATCCAGAAAGGATGTCTGTTTTTGATATGTGTATTCGAATTATTTTTGTGACAAACACACTTTTCGACATTGTTGAAACAATACTGTCACTCAAAAAACATTGCTAAATTGTTTTATGAATGTTGCAGCAAGGAGCGGAAATAAAATGAACAAATCAATCTTTATTTAGTACTTCACTATACATTGTTTCCGAGACGCATGAACTTATCATCAGATCCATTTCAAGTGTTAATGAAAGGAGGTGTCGGTTTTAGTTCAGTTGCATTTCTTCCGGGAGGAGTCCAAATACCATTGATTGGGCTAGGTACCGCTTTCAAGGCTGGAGGTCGCCCAGAAGAATTTAAGCGTGCTTTAAAGGCAGCCTTGTTAGATGCTGATTACAGACACATAGACGCCGCATGGTATTACAAGACGGAAAGCATGATAGGAGAGGTATTAGATGATCTTTTTCTAAAAAAGAAATTAGATCGAAGAAATCTCTTCATTACTTCCAAAGTTTGGCCCTGCTTTTGGAATGATCCTGAGATTTCACTTAATCATTCTTTGCATGACCTTAGGATCGACTATTTGGATTTATACATTCAGCACTGGCCAGCGTGTTTTGCAAAGGTAGACGATGAATTTGGAAGGGTAGCAGTTCCCACGGATTCTCGCAAAAACGCAGTCATCGACCCTAGTGGGGATTATTTAGTGACCTACCGAAAACTGCTTGATATTAAAAATTCAACGGGTAAGATAAAAGCCGTTGGAGTGTCAAACTATTCCATTCCAATGCTCCAAAGATTAATGGATGAAACGGGGACAATACCTGCCGTAAACCAAGTTGAACTACATCCGTATCTCCCTCAATTGGAACTCGCAGAATTTTGTAAGTCCAATGGCATCATAGTGGAAGCATACTCACCCCTAGGTTCGCTAGGTGCACCTATCTTGAAAATACCCTTAATCAAAGAGATGGCTGCGTCTTATAACGTGATGCCAGTCGATATAATCATAAACTATTTATTGAAAAGAGAAATTGTTTGTCTACCAAGGTCGTCGAATGCGGAAAGAATCAAAAAAGGCTTTACTTTTATAGATCTGAAAGATGCAGATGTTGAGAAAATTAACAACCTTGGAGCTAAAAGCCCGAAACGTTACATTGATAAAATATGGGCTTATTGGAATGACTGAAAATATTTTATCTGACATATTTCCTTATTCCTCCTTTCCAAATCTCAAATTGTGCCTTCCTTGTTTCACCAGCTGGAATGAGCGGGCCAAATACACATCTAAGCGATCTAAATGACTCAAAATTATGATTTTTGAGATACTTATTGTTGGCTATTGTTTTAACTATTTGTTTTTGGTCAACCCTTTGAGTTGAAGTTTCAAGTGGAACAGAGCTATTTTGTACTGAGTTAGAAGATTCACTAACAAAAGAGTCTTCAAGGTTGCTGGTGTCAATTCCTAGTTCCACACTGAACTCGTCGATTAGTTTTTCATCAAATATAGGCACATACTCTTTACTCAACACTATTCTCATATCAATGTAGTCCAGTAAAGCCAATCCAAGAGCGGGTCGCGTGCCTATTCCACTGACTTTGACCTTATAATTACTATCAAAAAGTCTCTTTTGTTCAGACTTCAGAATATTTTGAAGATCGTTTTTCATTGTACTCTGGCTTTTGCTGTCGTAGTGAGAATCCGAGCTGTAACTATCACCTTCTCTCTGTGATAAATTAGAATGGCCACAAGTTTGAATATCATTTAAGTAATCTAGCCTTTCAAAACTTTTGCCTGCTTCATCAATCACTCCTTCTCTCCTCATCAACTGCCGATACATAATACCGATATCATCCCAGCCATTCATCCATCCTAGCTGGTACTCTGTATTGAGTTTCCAAAGTACATCATTATCACCCGAGTATAAACCTCTCACTGGCTTATCTGTGACTTGATTAGCCACCATGATTGATATGTTGTAATGTTTTGCCAAACCTTTCAAATAGGTGCAAAGCGATTGTACATAACTTCTCTGTTCGGACCATGTTAACTGAGCTCGCATATGATGAGTTAAGGAATCTATAATAAGTAGCTTTATGGATGGGTCTCTTTCTAGCATTACTGGCAGCTGGTACCTCAGAATATGATCCTGCTCTTCTAAATTAGTCATAACGTTTGATGTTGTGAGAACATTATCCAATTTGGGAAAGAACATTTGGTTTTCGAAAGAAATACCATTAGTTTCCAGTAATTCAGTAAAACTGTCAATAATTTGCTTCAATCTTTGAGTTGCTAGAGGTGACTCAGTAGGAATGTACATTGTTTTGACGCCAACATGGCTCGTGCTTTCCGTTGAAAATATAGAAGGACCTAGTCCACCAAATTCCAAAGGTAATTGGATAGTTACACTCAAAGTTAGTAAGAAATTGGTTTTTCCGCTTGCAGACTTCCCAGATAGTTCAATCAAGTAGCCAGTGGGTATTCCTCCATTCAAAATATTATCTATAGATTCATCTCCAACCGAAAATAGATTCGGTTCAGCCGCAGGAGGTTGGTCATTTTTCTGAGTCAAAAATGGTATTGGTTTATGAAGTGATTTCACTACTCGATCACAAGTTTCGGCTTCAAATTTGTCAATAAATGCAGATATCTCACTTTCGGTTCGGTTGAGCTTCCTCGCAACAGTTGAGATTGAGGATAACAGTAACTCGGGAGTTGTTATCTGATTACTTCGAAAAGTATTCAACAAACTTTCGCAGTACGGTTTGTTAAGTATGAATGAGCTATCTGCACAGTATTTCGTTAGATCCATAGCTGTTTAATAAACAGCCTTTTTTCATCAGTGAAATGGATGGAATTATTTTCAGAATAATTAATAATTTACGTGTTTTGGTGAAACGATTACTGTTTCGAGATTTTCATTTTCTAGTATTTGACTTTTGCACTGAGCAATACACAACGAGAATTTCTAAGCAACAAATTTCAGAGATGATCTCTTATTGCTGAATTAAGTTATATTGTATTATAAATATTAGAATCTATATCCACTGTATCCAGTGAACTGTAAACGTAAACTTCTCGAGAAATTCCCAAACCGAGGAATCATACAAATCTTACAAAATCATACAAATCCTTCGTCATCCTGGTTTTCATTCGCCATGTCATCATCCGACATTGCATAATCGTTTTCATCATCAAAATCAAACTCTTCAGGGCCATTTTTACCTTGCACCAGGACGTTGGCACCGTCCTCGACATTATTTACATCATCCTCTTCAAAAACGTCTTCATATATTGGGCCATAGTCGTTATTGTAGCGCAAGTCGTACTCACTATCGTCTTCACCCAGCTGCATTCCTCCCTCATCAAGAGTTCCCATTTTGCTATTTCTCCGCCTCAGTGTGGTTGTACTATCAGCAGTTTCGTTTAATACTGTTGCAAGAAAATACAGGAACGCAACTCTTTTCTTTTTCTTGTTAAAAATAAAATTCATGTTGCACCAAATAACGCCCAAGTCATCTGTAAAAGATTGTTGGGGATCAAACTGGAAGCAAACGCATTGATCTAAGTCAATGTGTGTATTTATTGTTTGCCATACCCAATCTAAACCCGTAGATTTTCCTGCGGATATTAGGAATGAATTGACCTTAGCCACCAAATCTGAAGTCGAATTAAGTAATGTAAAGTGGTTGGGTTGAACTGTTGAGAAATCGTGATCAGGAAACGTCGCATTCAAAGCTCCAATTAGATATCCAAATAGTTTTCTTGATGAAGATTGATTTAAAGGACCAAATGGAGAGTCCATTACTGAATTAATCATTTCTGGTTCTGGTGATGGGGAATTGAAGGAGTGAGCTCTTTTAAACCTCTTCTCTTCCAATGCAGATACTGGTTTTGTGTAAGAATAAGAAAACGACCTGTTTTTAAGTTGCATGAATTGAGAATTTAAAGAGTCCATAGACTTGTTGGAATTGTTGGAGTGTACTGAAACGTTTGAGTTTTGGCGAGTTTGTTTGAGTGTTGGTCGTTCTTCAATGTTGTTGGAGTTAGATCGAGATTCAAGCCCCGTATCAACGGAGGTGTCTTCTTCTGAATTGTAGAGCTTGCCCAAAACTTTATAGAGTTTTCTATCTGCTCCCACCGGTTTGGTCGTAAACAAATCGCACGTTCCCTGTATGTGCATATCGGTGGTATTAAAAGTCAACGCCTGGTTGACCAAGTCAATGTCAAACTCATCAATATACTTGATTGTAAAATTTATTAGGGGTGTTAGTGTCGACTTTCTCAGAACTACAAATGGGAGCTAATCCAAGTTTTTAGAATAGTGCATACCTTCATTATGGGGTATAAATTGGCTGGTTTTGCTTGTATTTGAGTGTGTGTTAAAGTTAATATATCGTTAGCCGCCTAAGTATATTTTTTTTAGTTTTATATATGGCTTTATGATATTACCATTTTTTTTTTGAATTTGAAAGTAACTGAAACGATTCCGGAGTAGCTTATCCGATGATCCTCAACACGAAATTATCGAGGCATGTGTTAACCCCACTGCAGCCATGTGAACAAAATTAGGAAAATCTTCGTGGGAGGCCGCGATAAAGAAAGGATGGGATGATAGTAGTGCACAGGTGTAGCGCTGGAGCATGGAGGTAGTACAAGCTTTTTAGGTTTCTATCCAATTAACAAGAGAGGGACACATAGTGTTAGTTCCAACGCATTATTGGTTCTTATCTGTTAAATCATAACTACTACCAGTATATTTCCCGAAAAACGAAAATGAAGGAAGAATGAAAATGAAATTAAAAAAATAAAGCCCGTGATCGGGTTTGAACCGATGACCAACAGATTTGCAATCTGCTGCTCTACCACTGAGCTACACGTGCAATATAAAAAATTTAACCACAAACTAAGTTTTTGTATCATAACTAAATAAAATTGGTTTTTGAAAACTGTAAAACTATTTGTTATAAAATACCCAGAAACAACCTTCTTTATTACTTAAAGCAATTTATCAAAGTTTAAAAGTATGTATTGTACTGAAATATGTGAAAACAAATAGAGTGTGCCTTTTGTTAACTTAAGTTTTGCAAGTTAAATTCAAAGTAATGTTGAAATGCCTTTGGTGCATTTCCTCTAACGGGCTGCAAGAAACTTGTGAAGAAAAATGAAAATGAGAGTTTCTTCACTTTGAAAGTCTTCTGTCACATAACAGGGGCATAAGATATAGTTATTGGTGAAGCATCCATGCTGGTAATACGTTGGTGATGAGGAACTGATCGAAATCTACCAAAAAAAAAGGCTCAAGCTGGCGATGACTTCTTAGAAATCATATTGAAGCGGGGAGAGACGAAGCCTGCATGCAGAACCATCAAGTTAATATGAAAAGAAATGGAAAATGTTATTTTGAGTGTAATCGGATCCTAAATACAAAGATATATGTAAAAAAAGTTTATAACTTGCCAAAAAAACTGATCTTGACACCGATTGCAAAGCCTATATGGGCTAGCACCAGCAAAGAGAGAAGAACGTACATTGACTTTTTATCATCTTCCCCGAATATGGTGGTGAAATAGACCTTGATCTTGTAGATGATGGAGAACCCGCTCAACAGAGCGCCAACAACGATACACGACCATTTCAAGACCATGTCGAGGGTGTTGTGGTTTACTAGGAAGCCTCTGAAGATCGATAGGAAGACTGCGGGGGAACAGAGGAGATTTGCGTAGGAGTAAATTGAGATCAAGTTTGTGAACGGAGCGAGAAATAGCACCTTGAGGTAAAATTTCAACACGATGTAGAGGATGGCGGGGATGACAAAGGTGTAGCCGTACAAGAGGTTGATGGAGGCCACAATCATTTTGAAGTAGTTTATCTGCAGGGTCTCGAGGTCCATACCCAAGAACCAGCCGCTGAGGAGGATTGCGAAGGAGTTGCAGAAGAACAAGAGGAAGACCAAGGACGCTGTGATCCACACCGACCCGTAGAGGTCTCCGACGTGGTTGAAGTCGTCTGCCGAGGGCTGCGTGAGCGGGTTCATGCTGGCGAGACAATTGCGGAAGAAGTCGGACGTGTTGAGGTCAAAGTACTGTCTGTAGTAGTTCAGGGAGAAGAGGCCTCCCTCGTAGGTCTTTTTGTACTGCGGCTGCGTCAACGGTGTGGCGGCGGCGGCGCCGCCGCCGCTGGAGCTGGCGCCGATGCTGACGTCCTGTATGGCGCCGCCTGGCTTTTGCGTATCTGGCTGGATGACCACATCCTCGTCGTACCCGTTATCGTGGTCGTCGATGTGGAAGTCGTCGTCGTCATCGTTGACGAGGTCGTCGAACGGGTCTCTGTCGAGTTTCTGGTACTTGGACATGCGCGGTGTGGGGCAATTGACTCGGGTGCTGGCTCCGCTGCGCTGCCGGGGAAGCTGCCTCCGGCTTCTGCTACCCTCCTTTCTACCCTGTGCAGGCCTGCCTCCGTGCATCTATGTAGCGATGGTGGGTGCCAGGGGGCTGGAAGACCCAGGAGCAACGGGCCTCCAAGAAATCCGCGCCGATCGACGCAGCGCGTCGATCGGCGCAAAATCCGTTTCCGCACCCGCAGGTCACGTGCGCACGGGACACCCAACATTCCGGGCTGTGCTCTGCCTGCCGTCCCTGGACCCACCACGGTGCTAGAGCCTACCGCGCAACGGCTGCGCATGCTCCCGCTGTCTCACCGCGTGCCGATCCTTGCTCTCCTCCCGTGCCTCCGCGAGAATCGTACGTGTGTGGGCACCGGCCCAGCGTGCACACAGAGCCGCCGGCGATCTGACAGCGTCCCGCCCCGCAGCTGCTGCAAGGCACGCTTCCGCACCCACCCGCCTTGAACCAGATGGCCGCGTTGCCCAGCGACGGCACAGAGCGACACAAAACCCGAAGCGTGTCTGCAGGCAACCGCGGCACGCACGCAGGCCCACGGTCTCGGCCTCAGCCTCGGCCTCGGCCTCGGCCTCGCCCTCTGATGACGCATGCGGTCGGAGTCGCTGGTCGCGGCCTGCCGGTCCCTGCGGAGTTGCCAGTTCGACGTGTCTCTCCATGAAAAGAAAGGGAAGCACAGACGTTTGAGCAACAACCACTGCTGGTTCTGCGACGTCGCATACCCAGAACCTCGTCCCCGCTTCCACAGCTACGCCAGCTACGCCAGCTACCCCAGCCGTCTCCCTGTCCTCTGTTTCCTCCCCCTCCCCCTTTTTGCGACGTGTCGCACCGTGCCTGCGGCCTTTCTATTTCGCCCAAAGAGGCAACCCGCAGCAGACTCCTGTCTGCAGGGCGCGCCAGACGTCCCGTTTTGTGTGCTGCGACGGGGATCCTTGCTCGGCTGCGGCAGCAGGCGCCCCCCTCCGGGCAGACGCAGCCGTATCTAGCTCCCTCTCTTGTCGTCGCTGCCGCTCGGGCGCTCGTTTCTTGTTGTTGTTTTGTTTGTTTATTTTTGGCAAAATTTGCAGCCGGCAGTGTGTCGGCGAGCGGTACCAGGTGGGAGCGAGCAGGGGCGGAGAGGAGCAGTGCAGGCTGCGGACGTGTGCTCAGCTCCTAAGCTCACAGGCTCTTGTAGTTGTAGCTGGCTCTTTGGTGTTTGTTGCTGGGATGGTTGGGTGTCCGCCAGAACGAAGGTTCCTCCTGCGAAGCCAACCTGTAGCCAGACCACCAACCGTCACACTCGTTCAAACTCCCAGGGAAGTCTCCTAGCTCAGTGCACCGTTCAGAGTCAGCTTGATGGCTCCTAAACTAGGCTTATAACAAACACAATACACCACCACAGTCTACAGCAACCCACTGCTCGGCAAGTCGACACACACGTCTGCAACACTGCCCCTACCCGAGAAAGCTTTGATGCTCCACTAGTAGCACGTCTCTTCTGATCTTGCCACCACAGCGTCAATTACTGTCTCAGCCACAATACGACCCCACCCAGACACGCACACAAACAAACACACACACAGACGTCCTCCCGATCCTATCAGCGCAAGATTGAAGGAAAAAAGTCACTTTCAGCACTATAGTCAAATCCGTGTTCTTCCAGTCTTAATCTAGTCACTCTTTTATTCACACCAGCTAAAGGAAGTTCACAACACATTTTTCGCAAACCAGCCCAGTCCGAAATCCTGCCACTAAAAACAAGAATCACCAACACAACCATGCTCTCGTTAACGAAAATCACGATACCCATTCTTTTGGTCCTCGCAAACGGCGCCTACACCGCACCAGTGGACTCCCAAACAACATCTTCGTCGTCTATGTCGACCTCGACCTCGAGCACAGGAACATCGACAAGCTCGAGTGATCCTGTGAACGACTTCTACTCCAGTCTGACAGCCATGTTTAACCAGGATACCTCCTCGACCGCGGCACAGACAGGAACATATGACACAACTTCAAGCACCCCGACGACAACAACTTCGTCGGAGCAGACCCAGGAGGCCACCTCTACCACAAGCGATGACACCACCACTTCCAGTCCATCGCCTACTACCACATCTTCATCATCCACTGAGAACTTTTGGGCGCAGGACACCTCCTCTTCATCTACTCAAAACACCTGGCCACAGGACACCTCCTCATCTACTCAAAACACCTGGCAACAGGACACCTCCTCATCTTCTACACAGAACGCCTGGGAACAGCCCACTGTTTCTTCATCTACTACCCAAAACTACTGGGAACAGCCCAGCCCATCTCCTTCATCTTCCTCATCCACCGAGTCACCATTCAAAGAGCTTTTTGGTTACTCCCCTACAGATTCTGCTTCGAGCTCGATCCCGCCATCCACAGAATCAGCAACTTCATCATCAAGCGAAGTCACCCCCACTGATTATCATTGGTCGCCTTCTTCAGAATCACCATCACCTACTCCAACAATCTCTTCAGATACAACAACTAACTACGGCACTGATTACAGCTCTTCTGAAACCGACTCTTTCACCCTTTCAGCAAGCAGTGTTGACCCTACGTTCAGCCAATCTACAAATGAAGCGTATTCTCCATCGGAAGCTACTGCTACCTCATCCTCATCCTCGGCTGAATCGTCAATCAACTATGCTCCTAAGAAGATAGATGTAACAGGTTCAACAACTGCTGATTCCACTACCTCGTCCTCTTACCCGGAAAGTAGTGCATCATCAGCTTCTTCTGACTCTGCGCTTTCCTCTAACCTATCTGATAGCGTGACAGAAAGTTCTTCACAAGCTTTACCTTCTTCTTCGTCAACTCAATCACCACCCTCATCATCATCATCTTCCTCTTCTACATCAACCTCTGCATTAGGGTCAGCAGGTGCCATGAACTATGGTCCATCATACTACTCATCTCAAAGTGCTGAATCGCCTGCAACTTCATCAACTTTATCAACTGCCCTAGGCTCTGCTCAGCCCCGTTATGGTCCTGCACCCTTTTCCTCCGGTGCAAAGAGTCAAATTTGGCTGCCAAGTTCCACTTCTTCTACAGATGCGGAAACTTCTACGTTTTCAAGTTCAAGTTATGAAACACCGTCTTCCACTTATGGTCCGGAACTTTCGGTTTCCAGCACCTACTCCTTTGGACCAGCACTACCATCGTCAACTTTTTCGGAGTACTCTTATGGTCCTACTGCCTCAACTGCTTCTTGGGATGAATCTTCTGTGTCTTCTTCTTCAACTTTTGTGCCAGCACCTTTCTCAGCCGCTCCAGTTGGCCCACAACTTCCTTCATCTTCAACTTGGGAACCCCAATCAGAAGCTTCGTCTACCGACTATGCATCTTCCTATTACCCAATTTCTTCTACACCTGCTGAGCCTGTTTGGTCAAGTTCAGTTCCCATTGGTCCAGTGTACAGTGCAACGTCAAGTTTGGATACTTCTTATGGGCCAACTTATATTCCTTCAAGTTCAGTAGAACCTCCTGTGTATTCCTCGTCATCCTCAAGTGAGTCGATTGCTTACTCAAGTCATGTTCCTGAAGCTGCACCATGGTCTACTTCATCAGTAGTTCCAACGGAGCCAACACCACTCAGCTCTGCACCTGTTGCTGCTACATCATCATATGTTCCAAGTAATGTCTCACCGGTACCCACTGAATCATCAACTTCTTCCTTTGCTCCGGTTCCAAGCCCAAGCTCGGACTTACCAATTGCATCTTTAACTTCTTCAGAGCTACCACCCATTTCCAGTGCACCTGTTTCTGTCATTCCTTCCTCTCAAGATGTGGCTCCTTCAGCGCCTTCATTATCACCTTCTTCCACAGTCGAGAGTGCAACACTGTCAAGTGCTACTGCTGTTTTATCTTCTGTTGTCCCACCTCCTTCAGCACCTTCTTCAACGTCTGTCAATGTTGAGCCTTCTACTACAAAAACTGGTGCCAAGTCCTCTTCTGCCACATTACCAGCTCCGTCATCTGTTGTTTCGGAAACAATGACCGCTCAATCATCCCCTACAGCACCATTAAAGCAATCTTCAACGGTATCAGCATCTGCACCACCTGCATTAGAAGCATCATCATCCGCTCAAGCGTCAACGTCTCCACTTTTTTCACAGGCTCCACTGACTTCGTCTTCTGCCGGTCTTCCATCGCCTGCCATAATTACATCGTCGGCTGCCCCATTACCGACTGATCCAGCTACTGCGCCAACAGACCTATCATCATCACCAACGCGTACACGTGTCACCGAGTCTTGGCTCCCAACTCATATCATTGCTGAGGATAGTACAACCACTAATACTAACACTGCTTCTCAAACTCAAGCGGTCACAAGCTCTCTACCAAAGGCAATCATACCGACTCAATCTGTTAGTCAATCTAGCGGTTTTGAACTCATTACTATCGGTTTCAAGCAAGCGCTCAATTATGCATTTATTGTTGAAAATTCTCTATCTTCCGCTCAAATTTTCGAATACTTGCCACAAGTTTTATGCTTTCCATTCCCTGAAATTGATGAAAGTGCAGTCATTGTTAAAAAACTTGTTCCTTATTCATCTACTCAGGTGGGTTATATTATAACGGTTGCCGAAGTTTATTTCAATCAATCATATGTCGATCTTTTGCAGAATGAAATCTTAGATCTAACCTCGAAAATATACAACAATAGCGATGCGACTGAAAAGTCGATGGCACTTTTGATTGACTCTAAAATTCCTGTGACCAACTTGCTGGAATCTCTTGATAATCCTCAGCAACAAAATTCTAATAGTAATAATGGCAATGAACCGAATGGTGGGGGAGACCCAGCTGTTGATTCTTTAGGTTCTATCGATTCTGCTGCTATTACGGCGTCTACTATTCCTAGCGATCGGTCTAGAAATCACAAATATATTGCGGGGGTAGTGGTTGGTTGTGTTGCCGGTGTTGGAATTTACCTTGGTGTCATTATCTTTTTCCTTAAGAGAAGAATCAGAAACGCTGCAGAACAAGACGTTCCTGATACCAGTTTCTCATCAATGAGTGATGAGTCGCTTGATAGTGCCGGTGCTCCGTATACTAGAGAGAAGTTGGAGTATAGCAGTTCAGTGGGTGATATTGGATTGCCCGATGCGGAGAACTCCAACACGCAGAGTTCGTCGTTCCTGCAAATGTTTGGCTTCACGAAACCAAAGGAGGACCAGCCAAGGTTTGTTCCCGAGATTTCTGCGCCTATCAATGTAAAGAGCTCGCTAGGATGGTGATGATATCAAAGTTAATTAAAACAAATCGGCATTAACAATCAGTTCTTTCCCTAAATACGTAACGAGAACAAAATATCTTTGATACCTTCCTATTCTTAATGCGTAGACTTTTATTGCTTTTTTCTCCATATTTACATACTTCTATCATTATATAGTTTATTTCATTTCGCTTACATGTTGTTTTAACAAGTCTCTACTTTACACTATCTTATAGGAGAAGCTTTGACTCCTCGTTAAGAAAAACAAGATATCTCTCAAAGTCTAATATTGAGCCGGCCATCTTGTTCATAAAAGTTTTCTGGTTGGTTTTGAGATTTTTTAGCTCTTCCAGGTATTCAAAGCAGACTTCGTTTTTCATCATCCCGTTGTCTATCCACCACAAGTTCTCGCGGCGACCTTCCTCCACTCCAAGCATGTTCCACGACCTTTCTATCTGACGGAATTCCATGAACTTCTCCATACTGATGAAATTGTCCTGGAGTTTGCCTTTGAGACCCGACGGGAGCGCCTTGGACACTTCGTACTGTAGGATGGAACTCAAGATCTTGAATTCCATTGACACAGGTCGTGCTGTTTCGTTTGCCACGCTGTCCAACGCTGCGTTGTGGACAAAGTTGACGGTATTTACAAGTCTCTCGCATAGACGCCTTTCGGCGTTCTCGGCGTCTTTGCCATCCACATTTGTCCTATCTACGTCCCGGATTTTTCCGCCAGGCAGGAGTATTGCTTTCCGATACTCGTAATCTTGTCTGAGTTTCACCCTCACCAACTCGCAAAACACCTTCTTCATGTACGTGTGGAACTGCAGATACGCTGAGAGCCGGATCAGGTTCCGATATATGGTGAGAATCCGTTCTCTTCTCGTATGGCTATCGGTCAGCAGTTTTTCAACTGTGAGGCCGTCGGGTGGATAAGCCCTTTTTAGCGGAGAATGTGCATAGAGAAGCTTTTTCGAGCTCGTGAGAAAGACACCACGTTGGACTTGTCTCATTATCTATCAGAGCAGCGGCAACAGCCAACAGAGCCTCCAAACCCGCAAGAGATTTGACCCGATGTTATCTGTCTCTTCGACTCTTTTCTCCGTCTGGGGCCCGGGAAGCATTCCACGGCAGTGCTGACGACGCGGTTGCCCCACAACAGGAGAGATGACATGATTTTTCAGAAACGGCTACACTTTGGGCTTTAAGGTTTTAACATCAGACGGATGTAACGAGACGGTCGTGTTGGGTGGTGCTGGACAGGAGCACGGACGATTGGGTGGTGCTGTACACTGTGCAGGTGTGTCGTCGGTATTGATATTTCTCTCTCTATTGCTTTCTTTTGCTGCTCAAGCCTGCACTAGGATCAATTCACATCGTCTGACAAGCAGTCGTGTAATTGATTAAGAACACTGTGACGCCACCTACCCGAATGTCTGAGTCACCTGAATTGGATTGTCCGATGACTGCGGCGGGTAAACTTGTCAGCAAGGCGCTCACATACACCAGTTTCTGGAATCTGGGCCTTTCGACGGTTGCTGTCCCCGTGGATATTCTGCCGGAAGAGATTCTGGTGAAGGTGAAGGCAGTTTCGATCAACCCAATTGACGTTCTTCTACAGCGCCTGAGCCTGTTTTTTGTGGGATCATACAGGAAGGTCTACGGTGGGGATTATGCCGGGGTTGTTGTGAAGGCCGGCAAGAGCACCGGATACCAGACGGGCGACGCTGTCTACGGATATCGTCTAGCCCCGTTCAGCTCCGAGGGGACGTTTTCGCAGTACATTGTCATCAACCCGAAGAAAGTTATTCTTTGCGACAAGATCCCGGAGGGAATGTTGTTTGAGCAGGCGGCCTCGCTGGCGTGCACTGCTGCCACAGGCTACGGCGTTCTGAAAATGGGCGTGACTCAGGCCGGGAAGGTAAAAACACCCGATCTGGCCGACGCCCTGGAGGGGAAGAACGTTCTCGTCATTGGAGCCGGGACGTCTGTCGGGTCATATGCAGTCGAGTTCGCCAAGAAGTACATGCGTGCGGCAAACGTCGTGGCGACGTGCTCGTCGAGATCGCTGGCCAAGATCGAGAACCTAGGCGCCGACGTGACGATCGACTATACTCAGGGGAACTATGCCAATATTAACCAGACGCTCGAGTTTGTCAAGGCGAAGGGGAAATTCGACGTTGTTGTCGACTGCGTGAGGAACGAGATCTTCTTGGACTACCTCGATGTGATCCTTAAAGACTCCACCAGCGACGATGGCGGCAGCAGTGGTTCCTACTGCCAGGTCTACGGCTCCAAGTCGATGAACCTCTGCTCCTGCAGCATCTTCTCCATCATCCTGCCCTCGTACCGGTCCCTCAAGTACTCGCTGCTGTACAGCCTCGGGCTGCTGAAGCACCGCCTCTACTGCTACAAGCTCGGCTACGACGCCACCTTTGCGCCTGTCGTGCACTCGATGTGGAAGGCCCATCTCCTTGACACCCCCATCGACAGCGTCCACCGAGGATGGTCCAACTACGCCGAGGCCATCCACAGAGTCGGCACCTCCAAGGCCTCGGGCAAGGTCGTCTGCATCCTCTAGCAAGCTCCGGACCGTCTTTTTCCGTGCATACTCCGTCCTCCGTGTTTACGCAGGTGTGCATGCACGTATCTGTATCCGTAGCCGTGTACCCTCTTTCTAGAATCTACTACCACCTCCGATCACAATACCAAACGCCAGCGTTAGCGTATGGCCCGGGATTTCTTCGGCTGACAAATTCCCCGACTTTCGCATCGCAAATCGTTTATTTCCGTTCTGTAGCCGGCACAGGCCGCGGAGAGAGCCCGAGCCCAGTTTTTATAAAAAAAGATGCCACTGTCACAAGAGGCAAAAGAGCAAGTTAGCAGTTGCAAAACAGTATTGACACCAATAAATTGTGCTTAAAATAACCGAAAACCTCTTTTAGGGCAGGCAAACGAAGCAAGGAAACAAACATGGCTGCAGTGATCCCAGAACTACCACCAATTGTGAACAATTCGTTCAAAGTGAAGGCTGTCACTTACCACAGTTACAAGACTCCGTTGACGACCAAGGAGGTGGAGATTCCTGTAACCGCAGGATCGATCGTCAAGCCAACAGAGGTTTTGTTACAAATAAAGGCCACGTCCATTAACCCTATTGACTGCATTTTCAAAGGCATGAGTTACGGCTTCTTGGGGCCTAAGGACAAGATTATTGGAGGCGATTTTTCCGGGATCGTAGTCAAGGCGGGGGCAGAAACCAAGTTCAAGCCAGGCGACAAGATCTTTGGTGACGTTTTGAGCGTCACCAGAAGAGGCTCTTCGTCTGAGTACATTATTTTCGAACCAAAAGTGGCGCAGGTCTGCGAGTTGATTCCTGAAGGCATGACTTTCGAGCAGGCGGCTTCTCTGCCTATTGTCTCCGGAACAGCGTATCAGTGTTTGTACTCGCATCGTGGCTCCTTGGAAGGCAGCAACGTGCTGGTGCTTGGCAGTGGTACCTCAGTCGGCACATATGCTGTCCAGTTTGCCAAACACTACTTCAAGGCGGCCAAGGTTGTCGCTACGTGCTCTGCAAGTTCTGCAGAGAAGAGCAAGAAAGCAGGTGCAGACGTCGTTGTCGATTACACAAAGGGGAAGAGTGTCAAGGTCAACCAGATTTTGGAGTTTGTGAAGGAGCACGGCAAGTTTGACATCGTTGTCGACGCCGTCAGAGACGAGGACTTGATTCCATACTTCTCACACGTTTTGAAGCCGGTTTCCGAGAACGGTATCTTCTCTCAAGTCGAAGGGTCTTACACTATCGACTACTCCCACGTCCACCTCTACCAATTCGTCCCAAGTTGGAAAAAATTTGTCTCGGTTGTCAAGTACAAATTGGGTTTATACGATTACTTCATTGATACCGTTTTATTGATGAACACCAAGGGCTATGGAGATGCTGTCAGAACGTTGTGGGCAAACCGTGAGTTGAGCATCCCTATCGACTCTGTCTATGATGCTTACAGCGATGCCCAGGTTGCTCTCGAAAGAGTTGCGTCTGGTAAGGCCAAAGGTAAGGTTGTTCTTAAGTTTTAAGGACCCCCTTCCAGTTCTTTTTCTTTCACTTCGATTTTTGCTTTTAGCCGCTTTTCTTACTCAAATTAATAATACGTGATTTAGTTGTATTTAGTAAAACATTATAAAGAAGCGTGGGGTTAGTTCCACCAGTACGGGAAATGAAAGTAAAGCGAAGGTAGTAATGGCGCAGAAAAAAACATGCAGTTCAGAAAAGGACAAACACCTTTTTGTGAGTTTCCACCAAGCTTGTAACCAATTCTAAGTTATAGTCCGCAGAAACGATCACCAAGCTATCCAGATTCGCACTTTTGACCGAAGGAACAGGCTCCGCAAGGGATTTGTTTGTTTCGAGGGAAAGGTGAACGTTTCTGAAAGTTTCTTCGTCCGAAGACAACCAGGAAGAAATTATATCGTATGTTTCCGACTCGTTTTCAATATTGGTCAAAACAACGTTTGCAATAATAAGATCTTTCCGACGCATGAGAATGTCAAATAGCTTCATTCCGAGTCTATCCTGGTCAGTCAATTCCGGATTACTGATGTATAGTGTAACCGTCGAAATAAGTAAGGACGATGCGTTCAATATGGTATCCTCTGAAAAGTAGCTCTTCGTCTCAATGTTTGAAGATTCTTTCGATTTTTCGTTATCAACATCCTTCTTGATGTTTTTGTGTTCATTATCATTTTCATTCTCGCTTTCAGGCTTGGTGCTTAGCTCTTGCGTGTTGCTGATAAAGATCGCCTTGTGGAAATTATATTCCTTGCTTTCCCGTTTGCTTTCTCGTATCATATCCGAAAGAAACTCGACCGAAAATTGGCGTCGAGATATCGGTAGTATGAGCAAGTCATCAGAAGAAAACGAAGGGTTGTCCAGTAAGGTTTGTATGTAACTTTCAGGTAGGGAGTATAATATTTCTGAGGTGAATGGGATTTTATTGAAATGGCAGAAAATTTTGAATATGCTCAAAATTGAATTCAACGAGTTAAAGCTGTGGTCTGGTGTCATATCGTCCATCATTGATGCATGTAAAAGATCTGCTGTACGTTCGGTCAACGTTTTCAAGTTGATGGCATGAACTGGCACTTTTAAAATCTCCAAAAAGATGTCTAAGAGTAAAAGACCATTGGAAACACTCTCAACATTTTCAACAGAGAGAATGATCTTATCTATCTTGGCGTTCTTGGTGACATTAGCAGTATCGTTTTCAGCATCAGCGGGACCAGCTGTCGTGTCCTTGGAGCCCATTTTTTCTTTTTCCGCCAACCAGGTTTGCACTTTCTCTCTATAACTACTAGGATATGAATATAGGGTCAACGGGGTTGTGAAAAATGTTGTAGCTAACGCCATGAAAATGAACATGGAGTATGTTTTCTTGGAGATTATTTTGGCATTCAATCCGACTTGCAAAACAACAATTTCGACGATACCTTTGCAGGACATCAAGACACCGACTGTTGCACTTTCTCTCCAGTAGAGTCCACGTAACTTGGCAGCTATGGTGCCGCCAAAGATCTTACCAACCATTGCAACCCCAATCAAGCCAATAGCCCACCCCCAATCTAAGCCACGGTTCAGTAGACCCAAATCAACGTCTAATCCGGCCACTGCAAAATAGACAGGGATGAAGATGATGTTGACCAAGTCTTCGATCCTCGACGTTAGTGAGATCATGTAGTTGTTTTCTCTCGGAACGATCGTCCCAACAATGAAAGCACCAAAGATCGGGTGAACACCAATGATGTCTGTAAAGAAAGAGGAAGCAAACATCATCAACAAGAGGATCAACATTGCAGATCTCGAAGGGGAGTTAGGGTTATCAAACTCTTTCATGACATTCTTCAGAACAAAATGAAGAGCAATTCTCACCGGAAAGCAAATGAACAAACACCAGGCAATAGCAACCAAGACAATGTACAAGGTGACAATCGACTGAGAGGCATTTGCCAAGGTGATACTCAAGGCCAATAAGATCCAACCCAATAAGTCATTGGTGATACCTGCAGCAAGGACGACCGTTCCAACTCTGTCCTTCACCAACCGAAGCTCGGTGAGAATACGCACCAACACGGGAAACGCAGTGATGCACATGGCTGTGGCAATGAAGACCATAAAGGTGGTGAACTTGATCTTCGGCAACTCCTCGACATGGACTCGATAATCGTTCCATAGGCCCACTGCACAGGCACATCCCAAACCGAACGGCACCGCCATGTTGAAGATACCGACGGACAACGCCGTGATAATGTGTTTCTTGATGAACTTGACGTCCACTTCGCAGCCAACAATGAACATCAACAAGCAGATCCCGATATTTGCAACGAGGGTCAACCCCGGTCTCGAGCCTTCTGGGAACACGTACTCCGTGAAGTTGGGGATTCGCCCAAGAGCCGTGTGGCTCAACACAATACCGGTCAACACCTCTGCCAATACCCTTGGCTGTTTGATCTTGCTCAAGGGGATGTAGAGCAGCTGCGAGAACGTGAGAATGACGATAAGCTGAAAGAAAAATATTGTATACGGAGAGCTAGAGTTGTACTCTAGCGGGTTCATCCCCGCAATGATTCCACTTGTGCTTCCTGCCATCGCGTCACAACAGAAAACTCTCCTCCTTCGGATACTAGCCCCGGTGTCTTTCCTTGATCTAATGCGACTCTTGTGCACAGTCCGGCCTCAAACTTGACCTGGACGGAAGGGAGAAGGTTCATGGCAATAGACAAAGTTCCGTCACAGGCGAAGCAGAAGGCAGTGCACAATGAGGAAGCCCACGGCTGTAGCCTTGCTGACGCATTCCCTCTTCCGTTTCCTCGTATCAAAGCATTTTTGAGTCGATCGGCCCGCCGCGGCCAAAACGAGCAGATCGAGGAGGCTCAGGTTGTTGAAGATGGAGGTGAAGTTGGAGTGGGAGACGGGAGGCGATGGATGGAAACAATGACGATGACGGTGTCGATGGAAGGGCAAATTGTAGGTAGCTGACTAGATCCATTGGAAGAGCTCTGCGTCTGTAGCCAGAGAGAGAGAGGGAGAGGGAGAGATGGTGGGCGCCCCAAAAGGTGCTTCGAGGCGGCTCGTCTGACGGACAGTTGTACCTGTAGCAATGGAATCTTGCCCCAGCATGGACAGGCGGAGCTGAAGCCGTAAATGAAGCTGTAGTGCAGAGTACAGTAAGCCCGATTACTCTGCTTTGTGCGGGACAACATTTTACTGAGAAGCGTCACGGAATCGTATAACTAGCAGGGTGACGATAAAAGGCATACAAGTAGTCTCGTTTGCCATTGACTTTCATCATTTCCTTCTCTGCCTGTTCCAATGTGCTGTAAGCCAACAACTCAGAAGTGGTGCTTTGCAATCATCACAGGCTACTCCCAAGGCCCCCCCTCACCTTTGGCGGTGCAAGGACTATTATCGCCTTTAATTTGCCCTGATATCACGCTGCCGGAACAAAACACTGAAAAGTCCATCCGATTTATCGGATTAAACCCGTCTACTTCCACTACTCAAACCTAGCAACGCCACCATGACCCGCTCCTAGGAACAAACTGTATCCAGTGTTTTCGGTGTGAGCCGCTTTTCACAAAAATCTGCTACGGGACGATTCTACGTTTTTGGTCAGAATGGAGTAGTATTATCTTCCGCAATCGGACAATTACTTCTCTTGCCACACATTCTCTTCCTTTTCTACCCAGGAAAGTCTCTGTACACGCCAAGCGGCAGGACAGGAACTCCGTGTGGAACCGACTCAGACTTATTAAGGCCGAGAAAATATGGCGTGCTTTCTCGCATTAGTCAGTTACTAGCCAACGGCCATTTTTCAACCGAACTTCGTTTAACTCTATTTCTTCACTCATAATTTACCACGAAAACAACCAGAACAACAAGCACAATACAACAGTTTTTCAAGTTCAATTAACAACCAATGTTGGGAGCACCGATTAACATTCAAAAGTGGATTTCAGAAAATGAAGACAAGCTAAAGCCTCCCGTCAATAATTTCTGCCTACAGAAGGGAGGGTTCACCGTTATGATTGTCGGTGGTCCAAACGAAAGAACCGACTATCATATCAACCAGACTCCAGAGTGGTTCTACCAGTTTAAAGGTGACATGCTTTTGAAAGTGGTTGATGACGGAAAGTTCAAGGATATCCCGATCAAAGAGGGTGAGTCCTTCCTTCTCCCTGCTAATGTCCCCCACAGCCCTGTCAGATTTGCCGACACCGTGGGGATCGTACTGGAACAGGACAGACCAGAAATAATGCAGGACAAAATGAGATGGTACTGCAAAAAATGTGGTGCAGTGTGTCATGAAGAGGCTTTCCATTGCCACGATCTAGGCACCCAAGTTAAAGCTGCAATCGATAAGTTCGATGCTGATATCAATGCTAGAACATGTGGTGACTGTGGTACAGTTAACCAATCAAGGCCCTAAGCAGATCATGCCGTCATCTCTATCTCTATAAAAATTTACACTTTTATGTTTATTAACGTTTCTTTTCACTCCCGCTTTTTTGTAACGAACTTAAGAAATTTCATGAACTTCCTTTTACTATCGGCTATATTACTTATTGAAGTCCAAAAAAAAAGCTTCTTTAATGTAAATTTAAGAGAATGAAGTTATATATAGTGTTCGAGAAGCAGCATTCAGGATGCAAAAGCAGTACATATCCAGCTGTACAATTTATCATAAACAATCACATTGGCGTTATCATGATTGATAGAATGATCGGAATCAGGGAAAACGTGAACATCGTAATTCTCTATTCCAATCAAGTCAAACTGGTTCAAAAGTTGCAAAGTATTTTGATAATGAACATTATCATCCCCAGTTCCATGCATAATCAAAAATCTGTAAACATGCTCAAAGTTCTTATAGCTGTTGATTTTGGCATCTTTGTACTCGTTTTGGGAAGGATTGCCCATGTATCTTTCAGTGTAGATGGAATCGTATAGGTGCCAGTTTGTCACAGGCGCAACTGCCATACCGTATTTGAACACCTGCCCCATGTCATACTCAAGAGTTTTGAGGGTAACAAATCCTCCGTAGGACCAACCCCAAATTGCGACTCTCTCAGTATCGACATAAGGTCTATTTTCAATATACTGCTGCGTTGCCTCCACTATATCTCTTGGTTCCCAGTATCCAATATTGTCTCTCGCCCATGATCTATAATCCCAACCAGAGCCTCCCGTGCCTCTAGGATCGATGTATAGTATAATAGCATCTGCTGAGGATGAGACAATTTCTTCAAAACCATAGCTAAAATCACAATTTACTTTTTGAATTCCTGGTCCACCATAAACGCTGACAAGAACAGGATACTGCCTCTCCTCATCAAAATCAGCTGGTTTTACCTCAACAACATTGACAGTCACATTATCGTGCAAATGAATCGGTAGATAATCTTTCGTTGGAATTTGGTATGTTTCTAGCGTGGCCTCGACGTCAAAAGCATTATTCAAATTTAGTAAACTGTCATAATATTCTGGTTCAGCGGGTAGCTTGCTCAACTCGACAAGTTTTTGTGTTGGTAATTGAGGGCCTGCATACTTCATCAAACCCCATTTTCCACCTTTTGAAACCTTTAGTGAGTAAGAATGGATTTGATCCAAAGCAGTAATAGCGGTCAAGCTTGAATCATCCAACGAGACTTTATATATTTGCCTCTGCAAAGAGTTACCCGATGTTCCAATAAAGTATGCACTGTTTTCAGACTTGTCGTAGCCAGCGATGCCGCCAATAACATCCCATTCACCGTAAGAAATAACAGCTCCTTGACTATCTGAGGAGTTTTTGAAATGTGATAGGTGGTCGTGGTTATCTAAGACAACATTATCAATATAACCTTTGTTGTCTGGCAAAACGTAGATATCACCATTGTTTTTGTACCAACCACTGTACTTGTCAGTGTTCACAGTTCTGACGATCGAGGTTTTCCCAGTTACGGTGCTGAAGACGCACACCTGCAGTATCCTACTAGTCCTATCCGTACGCTTGAACAACAACTCTTCCTCGTTGAGCCATACAGTTTGATAGATAATGAAGTCTTTTCCCAAAAAATGGGCATCTTTATCCTGCTCCTCAGGTTGTTTGACCTTGATCAGCTTTGAGTTGGTAGTCTGATAAACATACAGTGAAACTACTGGATTAGGAAAGCCAGTTTTCGGATATTTTAATTCTTCGATCTTTGGATATTCATCGTCTCCAAAAATCTCCAAATTATACACAGGAACATCTGTGTCGTCCCACTTGATAAATGCAAACTTCGAGTCATCTTTGCACCAATAGATAGCTCTATCACTTCCCAAAACTTCCTCCTCGTAAATCCAATCTGGTTTCCCATTCAGAATGTTTTTCATGTCACCATCTTTTGTGACCTGTGAGGTTTTTCCGGAATTCAAATCCTTCAAATAAATGTTCGTTTTGTAGTTATAATAGATAAACTTACCATTAGGTGAAAAAGCAGCGTAGTTCATGTTGGTTAAAGTTATTGAATCATCTTTTTCTTTTATTGCATTGATTGGTTCGACCTGAAGCGTACCGACGTCCACCAACCAATATTTTCCAAACGATGATTGTCTCCACTGCTGTTTACTTTCTGAAACAACAATGATTTTGTCCAGTGATTTTGTCACCGAAACGAGTCTCGACTTGAGTGGGGTACTATTGTGAGTCAAACTTGACAAGTCAATGACTTTCTTGACGTAGTCGGGGTCAGAAGCTTTCTTTAGCAAAAGTATAGTATTGTCTTGGTGAAGATAGTACCCTGCATCAGAATCAGCGGAAGAGCTTTTAGGCTTCGACTGGCCGCTCACTGTGTTCTGATTGACTTCCTTGCCTTTCTTGCCTTTTTCTTTGTTATCTTTATGTTCGTCATCGTCATCGTCATCATCATCGTCACCGTCATCGTCATCATCATCGTCGCTATCATCATCCGTCTTACCTTTATCCTTGTCGTCGTCGTCATCGTCATCGTGATCTTTATGATGATCACGAATTTCGAGGGACGGAGTTTGCTCCTCAGCAACAGGCTGGTAATCGAAGAAGTTCAACTGGTAATCGAACACCCAGAAGTTCCCTCTCCGCATGTCTTCTAGATCCATTTTCGCCAAGCCGACGTATTCTCCCTCGTCATTCTTCTCCCCGCCGGCTATGTCGGGGGTTTCCTCGGGCGTGGCCTCAGGGGCAGATCCCGAACCCGCCTTATTACCATCGTGTATAGCCCCGCCCGGCACTAACGAGTCGCCACCTTTACCGGCAAAAAACATGATACCGAAGAACAACAGCGCAAGACCCAGGCCGGTCATACCGATCACCAACTTCCTGAAGTTCTGGGAAGACAACTTGACCCCGGCTTTTCTGATAAACCTGCGCACTTTTGTTTTGAAGTCGTCTGGTTCTCCCAAAAACGAATGTCTGTTCGACATACCCGGGTAGTAGTCTATTTCCGGGTTCCCGTCCTCAATTCCATCCATGTTAAAATCATCTATATCGATATCGTCTTCATCTTCGAGCGAAAAGCTGCGGTCGTCCACAGCGTGGTGGGCGTCGCTTTTGTTTCTATTTCCTTCATCCTGCGAGAAGCGAACCATTCTTCACTGCGGTTTCTTCTTGACAACCGAGCCCTTCTATCCAATGCTCCAGTGCTGTTGAAAGGACGCCCGGCTCGTCACCCTATCAATGACGGAGCTGTGTGAAAACATGCACCCTGTCCATTGTACTGCCAGAAAAAGTGCGGCGGGCCGATCGCCCCAGCTGAATTTTGACTTGATTTTTCTCTCTGTGTCTCTTTTCATGAAAAGGAAAAATTTTGACCACACGGAGACCTTGGATAAGAGAAGAAGGGAAGCAGAACGGAGCAGGAGAGGCAAAGAAGGACACAGAAGACCGGAACTTGCCTGCATACAACGCCAGTAATGTCTTCCACCCTTTTTGACGATATATTCAACATTGAATCGCTAGATTCGGCGAGATACGACCGTGTGAGTAGAATCATTGCCAACTCCACCTCTTCACAAGATACAAAGATCACGCTTGACATAAATCATGAGCTTTTCCCTGTCAGCGAGAACGACACGCTAACGATTACACTTGCCAAGTCTTTGAGCATAGACGACGACCCTTCATCGATGGAAACGGACGAGTTGTTGGGTGCCAACGGCTCCTGGAGACCTCCGAAGCCGGATCAAAGATCTTTAATGAACGACTACGACTACGTAATGCACGGCACTGTGTATAAGTTCGAGGAGGGGAAGGGCGACACGATCTCCGTGTACTGCTCTTTTGGCGGGTTGTTGATGTGTTTGGAAGGTAACTACAGAAACTTGTCTAGTTTGAAGCAAGAAAACTTGTACATCTTGATGAGAAAATAGAAATTGGTGGGTTACAGCCAAGCAAAAACATCCGTTGTTCTATCTATTAAAACAAATGTCTACATAAATTCATATCTAATTTTATAATTCTACTCTGTTTTAGAACCCTAGGGAGACCGGCACACTGGAAACTTGGATGCCGGTTTCATGAAACATTTCCTCTGTACTTCTACTATCAAATTCAAGAGAACGGCCTCACTCTCAGATGCCCTCTCTCAGGTCCCATTCGCTCATCCCAATGTCTCCTCCTTTCCTTTCGAAGTTTTCCATGACCTTTGCTCGTTTCTCCTCAGCCTTGGCAACAAAGTCGTCCCAGTAGTCGTCATGGACGTATTCGAAGTTGACATTACCCCCGTAATTGAGTGCGAGTTGCTCAGGAGTGATGAACTGGCTGAATGGCTCGTCAAACTTACACTTCTGCTTGGTATAAGGGTCAACAAACGGCCAGCAGATCTTCAAAAAAATGTTGACTAGCGTTGGGATGTTGATAAAGAGAGCCCGCCCCAATCTCTCCGGGTAGTGATATTGCAGGATGTATAGGACGGCTTTGCCGACTCCGACGGCCGGGACTTTTGGCTCATATGTGCAAGCTTCTGGGTATTTCTTAAAGTCCACACAGAGGCACAGTTTATCCTGGCCTTGGGGCATGAAGTCGATACTTCTCTCCAACATATAAATCAAATGCTGGATCTGTCTATCTGACGTTTTAGTGTTCTGTCTCCCGTTGAGCAAGATCAAACATGGTCGTTTTTCGGAATCGAAGCCGAAGACTTGTTGCTTACCGGTCTCGTTTTCAACCTTCACCAACTGCGAGGTGATCTTGTCAAACTCCCCACCAGCAATGCCGAACTCTCGTCTCCACGCAATGGAGCCTGTTATTCTTTTGATAGCGTCCTCCTTTTTCCAGTCGCAGGCCCGAAGATATCTCAGCAAACATTGCTTGGAAAGCCATGCTTTTTCGTAGCTGTTCAAAGGTTTGTAGTCTGACTTCTGGCAGTTTTGTTCACAAACAGGATAAAGCTCTGTTTCCTTGAAGTGGGCTAAAACCTCCTCGTATATCTGTTCGTGTTCCTTCTTCTCAATCTTCTGGTACTCTGGGCTGTGTTCAAGAGTTGTAGGAGGTTCCGCAAACGTTTGCGTGACGATTGGTTTCGAGTCGTCAACTTTCCACTCTTTCACCGGCGTCGTCGTGTTCTTTCTTCCAAATCCCCACATTTGTTTGAGTTCTAAGAAAAAATGGTACTTACAGATATAGAGGGGGAAAGTAAAGTAAAGTAAAGTCAAGAAGCCCGATAGAACTCTACATCGTACGAAGTAAATAAACAGAAACAACTCATCCTGTTGTGATGACGAAAATATGCAACTCTGCTTCCGACGGTGATTTTCCGTTCTCCAACCGTCCGCGATTTATGATTCTATCTCCATTTCCATTTTCACCGCACGGCTAAAGTCCACGCTGTTATGGGAGCTTCTTGCTTTGCTTGACCGAGGGGAAGGTGCTGGCAAATGCCCAGTCCATGAACTCCTCGACGGGCTTGTCGAACAAGTAGGGCAAGAAGGGGACAACACCCAAGCCGAGAGCGACTGGACCAAACGTCTTCAAGTTCTTGTTAGCAGAGTTCTTGAACAAGACCGAGGAGTACCGGACCGTGGAGTGGATGGTGAACGCAGGCAACCCCATCGAGGCAATGCTCTGGAACAAGGCCCGCTTGACGCCGAGTATCTTCCAGTCCAAGTCGTCGTACGAGTCCCGCAAAAGCGTGCTCACCTCTGGCTTTGGATCCCACGGCTTCAAGCCCGGCCTGTAGGTCCCCGCCTGGCGCATCTGGGCCTTCCACGACTCGTACGCCACATCTCCAATCAAGTAGGACCACGAAATTCCGTAACAGAACGTCACGAGCTTCGGGTGGGCCACCGGTCTGAACGACTCCCCCACGTCCGAAGTGTACGCCACGTACCTGTGCGAGGCGGTGAGAATGGTCCGGATCCGGTTGGCGTACGCTGAGTATCTGAGTGCACTCTCCGTTGAATCGGTGTGGTCATCCTTCACCTCCTTGAGTTCGAGAGTCGATACCGAGCCTTTGTCTGTCATGGTGTTGCTATTTCTAGTGTTGCAAGTGAGTTGCTAGTGTGTGTGTTCCGATAACAGAAGGGCGGGAACAACAGACTCAGAAAGATTGTGTCTCCAGGAGTATGGGTCCAAGCAGAAGCAAGATGCAGCCAGCCAGAAAAACGGCTGGAGAACTGACAACCAGCATTGCCATCGGCCGGCAGCCCCCCTCCCCGCATGCTTCTTTGCCTCCCCCGTGCTTGCGATTGTGTGGTCCCGGGCTGCCAACCGGGCTTCACAGCCCGCCCGGCCCTCGGCCCTCGCTGCTTCGGATGAGGAATTCGCCCCGGCGAGGCTACTGGCCCCACAAACGGAGGATACCAAAGCAGAGGTTGACGACGACACCGCTGATGACGGCCATGCGGGTCCGCTTGCCAAAGACGCCGCCCACATCCATGAACAAGAGCAGCAAGGCAAGGCCACCGAGGGCAAAGCCGACGCAAACGCCGATAAACATGCCCTTGTGGATCTGTGTGTCTCGTAGTATCATTTGCTCCCGCACGTTGACAGTCTCTGTGGTGCCTCCTCTGGCAGCACTGGCTCCCGGGGAGCCGGCGCCTTCGGCCGTACTGGCGTCTAGATCCTCGTCCTCGCTGCCGCCGTTGGCCCTGTAGGCGCTGTCTGTGCCGTTGGAAGCCAGGTTGAGCCTGAGGTTTGCGGGGAATTCGTCGATCTCGTGGTTGACGCTGCTGTCTATCCAGCGGTCCTCGAGCTCCCGAATCTGCGTGGCGTTGGCGTTGGCGGGCAACTGCGTACCGTGGAGCCGGAAGAACTGTCTCCGGAGGTCCTCGATGTCGTCGGCGCTGAACCCCTGCGACAGCAACCGGTCGAATCCCTTCGGAGCCTCTGTCGTGCTCTTCACCGGCTGCTGGTCAAGCTTCTCCTCGTCCGCAAGCTCCTGGTCACTCAAGTTGTCGCCGACTATGCAGTGGAAGTATATTTTGACGGGACCGGTGGCCCCGCTTGCGCCCGCTCTGACAGCGTCGTCGTCATCGTAATCGTCCCAGCTTTTCTGAAGATACGCAATCTCCTTCGTGAAGTCCGTGTGCGACATCAGCACCCGCCCGTTGTGGAGCAGCTTCAACCGCTTCCTCACAAGCTCGGGGTGCATCTCCCGTATCTGCTCTCTGATGTACGAGGTGGGCAGGTTTTTCACAATCTCCGAATCCGAATCCGCCTCAATGACCGTGTCCTTCAACGCGTTCACATATCTGACCACCAACTGGACCTTCATGGCTGCTGGCTGTTTGTCTATGGTTGCCGGAGGCCCACCAAATACGCCAAACAATGTCTACATGTGGCTCCAACTCCTGATGTCCATGTCCTTCTTTTATTGTCTTGCTCACAGAGGAAGACGGCGAGACTGCTGACGTAAGCGAACCATGTCCGGCCTCCTATCTTTAACGTTGGAGGGCCGGTTAAAGGCTGACTATCAGTGTTTGCTACAGTGTTCATGCACCGCACAATGCTTACCGCAATGATTTCTCGATGCTTATTTCTACAAAACGCTCTTTCCCTCTTGTGAGAGCTGATAGCCCGGGCGTAGCGTAGTGTAGGTCCCAGCCACCTACAGGCTGCAAAACCCTCTTCAGCGCCGACAGCAGAAAGCTCAGCGCTTACGTTTTTTTTTTCAGAGTATAAAAGAACGATTTTTTTCCTCTTTTTTTTTCTCCTCAGCTTAAGGGTCGGAGGGTTCTGGAACAGCTTTTGATCTCCTTCATTTCGCATTAATCAGTGCGGCAAACCAGTGCTATACGTGTTGCTTTAACCACTTTTACTATGTGGTACGAAGCGTCATGCACGAGGTGAGACTAAAGGGCCGATTACCCAGAACCGTCTTAGTGCCTATTGGTTGCATTACTCTCTGATTTTTCAGAGGATATCACTTGCAATCGAGGGCCGGTGGGTTCAAACATTTTTTTTTTACCGACGTAGGATTGTAGCCAAGTTTTACATTACCTGTTAAAGTTCCCGGATCGTTTTGTTCCATGCCGAAACGAGACTACGTAGAAAGCAAAAAAAAGTAGATTTGAGAATGATTACCTGTTATATTATTTTGTTTTATTTCATATGCTTACAATTCAAGTGGCTTTCTTGGTCTGCACGGTTGCAGCAAGTAACACACCTGGCAATTCTTGCTCACCGCACTGGTACATCAACTTGATGCCGGCGACGATGGAAAGAATCAGCACGATTGTGGTCCACAACAACAAGTTGAACTGCGACGAGTAGTCGGCCTTCTCGCAGGAAGCACCGGTCCAGTAGCTGGTTCTGTCCTTGTCGTCAGTGGTGGCGGAGCACAAGCATTTCCAGCAAGAGCCGACCAAGGTACAGAGACCGTGGGCGGAACACGAATCCGTGGACTCAATGCACGCTAGCTGGTTTGCAAAGCACGCGTTGGATGTTTTGACAAAAACAGACTCGGTGGATCTCCGGTGGAGGCTCGAGACGTGCTGCTGCTGCTTAAGGAAAACCTCAGTGCCTTTCACCGTGACCAGGGATTGGTCGAGTGGTAGAACGACAATGGTGGCGCTGACGTCTCCGTGGTTTTGGAGCTTTTCGATAACGACTTTGGAAATGATATTTTTACAAGTTTCGTAAGTCTGTGTGACGCCCGTTTTCTTGAAGATGGAGATCAAAGAGTCAATGTTTATGATTACCTTGTCGTTCTTGATGTTGTTCTCCAACTCGTCGTTGAGGAAAAACTCTAGCTGCGTCAATTCGCTGATAAAAGATTCGTCGTTTATGTAGTCCATCGATCTCTTGTTGATTTTCAGAACGTTTTCCCCTTTCTGTGCCTTTGGATGCAGCGTGACAGAGTCTTTCAAGAGTTCCCAAAGACCCTCCACCTTGTTGGTTTCCTCCTGGTGGAAATATTTGTTCCAGAGGTTCTTAAGGTAGGACGCCTTTTTGTTTGAATCCGTCAAAATCGTGATCTCGTTGGATAGCTTGTTCAAATAGTACCCCGAGTTCTTGTTCAACGTGTACAGTTTGTTAGGAACGTCCTGGAGAAAGCTTTTCAAGAGAGACGAGTGTCTGTCATCTTTGATTTCGACATCGAACGTTGGCGCTATGTCGTAGGAACCGAAAAAGTCGGATGGGTGCTCGACTCCGTTGATGATCAGAATCAGTTTCTTCTCCTCCTCGCCGTCTTCCGCCTTTCTATTTCCAAGCACAACGTTGTTCAAGTCCTCTACGTCTTCCACATTGTAGAACTGGGAGACGCCAAAGTCGTAGGCCAGGTTTAACGTCGCGTCCGTTTGCCCTATGGTCAAGCCATGGGATTGGCAATCGTTGTTCTTGAGCTTGTATACTGCAGCGTTCTCTATTCCTGCGACACATTTAGCCATCGCCAACCCGCCAATGGCGGTACCAAGTGCGGAAAACCTCATGTTGTTGCTTGCTTAGCTGCCAGTACTTCCAATGAACCGGACTAAACACGTCTTTCTACCGTTCCTCCTCAAAATCAATCCAACTTGCCTTAACCTGAACATGGTTACCGAAGACCGACTGCACAGCATAAGGCAGCAGACCGCTGTAAGGCAGCCAGCCTGGGAGGGAGAAACAAGGAAAAATGCTACGCGGTGCACGGGTGCGGGGCCGATCGACCGAAAATTTATGAAACCAGGATTGTTGCCGTTCTTGATACATGAAAGATAGATAGGTCTTCGGGAGCCTTTTGACGTGAATGTCAGAACAGGTTGCTCAGCAGAGACACCAGAAAACGGGCGGTGATACAGCGATGGTGGTTGGACCAAAGGTGCCTGCAGCAATCACCGAGGAGCGGCAGCGGTTGAGAAACACCGCCACTGGCTCCGAGAAGCCTCGAGAAGCAGGCCAGGAGCAGATGAGAGCAAAACAAATGTTCGATCCTACGAAGTCTGTCAACGAGGAGCTCAAAAAGGAAATGCTGTCCAACATCAGACCGATCAACGACCGGTTCGAGTGACGGTGCTCGGTTTATGTCCAAAAAATCGTAATTTAATATACATTATAGGTGATACATGAAGTTATGATCTCTGTCTTTTCTGTGGCGATCCGTCCGGATCTTCGGAAGCGTCGGCGTGGGAGTCGTGGCAAACCTCATAGTCCTCCTGCGGATCTTTGAAAACGCCGTACTTAGCACCAACAATCACCTCCTCGGGTTTCCCAGTTCTAGCCACACTGCTGTTGCTCCACGCGTTGACGATACGGATCCTTGGAAGCGTTTTTCCGTCTGGAACAAAAGAGTCGGCGTCGCTTCGTGTTTGGCTACCAGCCACGCGGGCGTCGTTGTCGACTGCGCCCATACTATTATTTGGTGGCCTTGGCCTTTGCCTCGTTCTTTAGACGCTCTTGCTTCTCCAACGTTCTTCTGTCTCCCTTCAACAACTCCAAGTGGCCCACTCTGCCACTGATAAGCTTTTCTGTGCTGCTGACTAACTTGGCCTGGTGCTGTTTGGCCAACTTGTTTACCTGCTTCTCCTTGTCGGTGATGTTTTTACTTTTATAGATTCTTGGTGCAGCGGCCTTGGGGTTCTTTTGACGCTTTGTCACACGGTGTGCCTTCTTCTTCGAGAGCTTTAAGTTACCTTGAACCATTCTATGCCTCTTGAAACTGACTCTTGATTCATCGAATCATCACGAGGGATTTCTTAATACTACAAGCTCAGATAAAAAAAGATTTTGATACTTGTGACGGGAAAATTTTTTTACTACTGCACTGCAGTCGCTCTGCACGCCCGCATACCGGACTTTTCACCTAGAGGCTGGTGGAATCAACCGATAGGCACAGGGTAGTCAAGCAACAAACTCTACTTTAAGCAAGAGCCACAGTCCATTTCTTCTGCTTTGCTAATAGTTTCAACGGTTATTACAAATTTTTATCGTTTTCTGTAAATTATAGACCCCGGTTAGTACTGGAGCTTCTCGACTTCAACACCTTCGACAGCCGAGTTGTCCACAAACCAGCAGACACCGCCCTTGACGTCTTCGGCCAAGCCGTTGACAATGGCACTCGGTAACTTGCTTTCCGAGTCTCCAAATATTTCCTTCAAGACGGTCTGCTTGCTTGACCCCGTTGCCACGAAACAGATAGTGCCGGACTTGGCCAAGTACTTTAGCGTCAAAGTTATTCTCCTTGGAGGAGGCTTTGGAGAGTCGTACAAGGCGGCAACGTTGGAGCTCGACTCGGAGAGCAGTTTGTGACCTGGGAAAAGGGAGCAGGTGTGGCCGTCTGGTCCACAGCCCAAAAGGACCAAATCAATGCCGTGCTCTGGCAAGCTGGCCTCGTATTCTTCTGCGATCTGCTGGTCAGTCTTGTGGTCTTCTGAATGCACCAAGGACTCATTGATTGTCACCACGGTCGGGCCGATCAGGTTCTCGTGGGCCAATGGCTCAAGCACCTCCTTCTCAAAGGCTCCGAAGTTGGAGTCCTTGTCATTGAGCGGGACCACTCTTTCATCACTGAAGTAGATGACCCACTTCGACCATTTGATGTCCTTGTTCTTGAGCAAGCCTTTGGCTAAGATGCTAATCAATGAGCCCCCACTGATCGCAATGGTGAACTGCTCCTTCGTGGCCAAGATTGCATCTTGTTGCTGAATGATAAATTTGGCCAACGACTTAGCAATTGCGTCGCTGTCCTCGTATGCGTATACTTTAACCATTGTTGATGTAATTGGCTTTTCTCTGGAGTCAGGAGAACAACAAGACCCGTAACCTTCTTCGAGCAAGGTACCGGAACATCGTGAACCGGGGAAGAATATATACCGTGCCGATGCCGTCGGCCTCTAGATTAGCCAAGCGAGCAGGGCTGGGTAGCGGCGCTTTTCCACCGCCTGACTATTGCCCGGCTTCGGATTTTCTCTCATTACAGGGTAAAAGTCTCATTACTTCCAATATGCACTGTATTATAATATTACGCAACTACAGATACAGCTATACTATCCAGAATAGTCTGCGTCCACATCTGCCGAACTCTCATCGCTGGAATCTAGCACATCGAACAAGGCCTTTTCATCCAACGGTCTGGCGATGCCAATCTCCACGTCGGAGTTCTCGTCCAGTTGGTTGGCGGCCGTATCGTTCAAACCGTCCAATGTAGTCAACTCTTGTACTTCCCAGTCTTCGGCAACAATGTTGTCCAGTGTACGGTCCAGACCTAGTAAGGAACGACCACCACTCTTAAGGCTCATCACATCATCTAGCATTCCTCCCAATTTGGCTCTCAAGTTCTCACTCATACCGGCTTGCTGAGGTTCAGCCATTCCTGTAACTCTTCGGATGACTTCTTGACGCTCTGACTCCGACACCTCCTTTTTCAATCCTCTGAAGTAGCTAGGCTTGTTGTTGGCATGGCCAACACTCATCCCGACTTTCACTAATGTTTCTAGTCTTTTGTTGGAGTTTGAAACCAAGTCACCGTCCCACTGAATAAAGGTCTTGTCCTTCTGCTTTTGGAAAATTAGCACTACGGTACTACCGCCGAACTTAAAATAACCCAACTCTTGGCCCTTCTTCACGTGGCTGTTCAACTCGGCAGTGATTAAAATGCTGCCCACCATCATAGCACCCACCAGGACAATCTCAACCGAACCGTATTCTTCTGTCTCCATTGTGACAACTGTCCGCACGTTTTCCCCAAAAACATCCAATGCAGATCTCACTGCCATTGGATTGACTGTGTAGTAAGAGCCATGTATCTGTGTAATCTTTGCTATCTTCCCATTCAAAGGACAATGGATTCTGTGGTAATCTTGGGGAGCAAGCCTAAAAATAGCTATTGAATGATCGTTTTCCGTGCTACCGGTATGGTTCTTCGCATGTTGTCTCCCAAGCAACTTTTCAACGGTAAATCCATTACCTTTAATCCATAAAGTCTTGGCGGTCGTGACGTTTTCGAAAACGACCAATCTTGAATCAGCAACCGAAACAATAATATCGTTGTTATCCATACCACCTTCTATGGGTCTAGCTCCGGGTTTCAACCGACGACTGAAAAATTCGTTGAATGTCTTATACCCAGAAGGCGAAGAGCACAAGCATTCATTTAAGGTGGATTCCAAGCCATGAAATTTGATAAAACCAGTGATTTTACATCTGGAATCAGGTTTATCATATCTTGCACCCTGTTTGATAGATAATAGCCTCAACATCCTTTTTATCTTCTCGCTAGAGTTATCCGATTTGACCGACTTATACAGCAATCTTATCCCTAGTTTGACAAAAGCAGATATTTTTTCTTCAAGAACCAAACCCGTTTCACGATCCTGCACTAAAATATGTGCATTGTTCCCGCCAACTGTCAATCTACCGTACGCAATATGCGCTAAGACTTTACTGTACCATCTTCGTGATGCATTATTTGAAGTGGTGTAATGTTTATGTAGAAACTGTTTTGGCTTCAAATCTAAGGTACACATCGACAAGTGCTGTAATGCCGAGCTATTTCTCTTATCAATCTTGTGACAATTTGGACATTTTTCCTTCTTTGGATTGAAGTCATGCCGTATCGTAGCCAAAGAAGCAACAGAGACATACTTGAATCTGATGGAAAGTTCAGGCATGAACTCTTGGGATTTCATGATCTTTCTGGATAGCGCTTTCGAAGAAAACTTGAGTGGCAACTTTTTGTAGGTCCAGGAATTGGAATGATTGTATTCCGATTCATCAATGAGATGGCTTATTTCGAGGGTGGTTGAGCAGATATCATCATTGAATGTGAAAAAGTCGAAGTCATAGACGGATAGCTTCAATTGAAAGTTAAAGGAATATTTACTGACTCTGATATTGATTAGCTGGTTTTTCCAAGACGGATTGAGCGCATGCCTACAAACCGCAGTCTTGAATATTTGCTTTGAGAAGGAAACGACAACAAACGGATCCATATCATAGCCCAATTTCGTTGAGTTTCTGAACGGTGGCAATCCTCTGGCAGATTCAATTTGCAAGATCAAAAATCCATCAGTATCGTCGTGGTACAGATCTGGGTTCGAAGATGAAATATCAGACGCTGATCCGGATAGTGAAATAGGGGTGGAGCTGTGGGCTGACCTAGATCCTCCAGACTTCTTAGATGATGCGTCTCTGCGATAAATCAACTTTGGGCTAAGAAATCGTTGATTTGATTTTTTGGAGGAAGAGTTAAGGTTGGAAATCGAAGTCAACGAGGTTGTCGAGTCGTTCAGACTCGAAGCCAACGAGCTCATATCAGAAAAGGAGGAAACGTTATCCGACAACTCACTCAAGTCGGAGAGGTTGGTTGTGGAGTCATGACCTGACTTTTTTGTGTTGTGATAGGAAGTCAACTGTTTCGTGTACTCCGTGATATCGGTAGTGGATTGAACATGAAAATTTATATCCACCAAGCAGTCTGAAACAGATTTGGTGATTTGTTTCATTTTGGCCGAGTTTAAGGTCAACAACTCCTGCAGGCTTATGGTTATGGGTATATTGTTAGCTGATTTCGAGTCTTCAGCCATGTGTATAGTAAAGTGTAAGCTGTCATTGCTCAACCCTAGTCTTTTGATCGATTGTATATCTGCCAAGCTGATGTCAAAGGAAAGGGTTTCTTCTTCAAAATCAGTGGCCTTCGATACACCGAAGACCAAAGAAGAGGACATCTTCTCCGTCAAAAGAGATATGTCTCGTATCTTTGTGGAAACAAATGAGCCTGCGCCTTGATCTTTCTTCTTCTGTTTGAGGCTGAATTCGACCGCAATCGACACACCGCTTGCTTGCAAGCGGTTGTCGAAAAGAAGCCCGGCATCCGAGAGGGCCATTGTGTGGATTCCCCTGTTCAGCCCTGTTGTTGGTAGGCAAATTAGCTGGTAGCTGAACGCAGGAGGTGGAACAGGTAAGAAAAAAATCGAAGAAGGATATATATTTTTAGGCTATCCTTCTGCGGTGAGACTAGTTTCTCTGTTTGCGGTCTGAGAATGGGTCGGCGAAGTTTCAGCTCCACAAGAATTGCCTCAACCGGTGGAGAGACTACACACCCGTAGACATCAGCCCTTCCCGTCCGCCCCGTTAACGGGGTCGAGCTACACAACTCGCAACTGACAAGGTACAGACCGGCTATGCCGTTCGTGTCAGTCACTCGACGTCCACAAGAGCGCCTTTTTGGGCACACGTCGAGCCTTTGTTCTCCCTTCCTGCGCCCCATGTGCAAATGCCCAAAGCAAACCTAGAGCTACAGGTTGCAAGTGCATGCTGTCGAGGAGGTCGTGAGACTTAGTTCAAAGGTCCGGTACGCGTATGTTCAACACAACAAGGGCTGAGGTCTGCAACTATCGGCTTACTATGACAGTCTGACAGAACACCGTTTTTGTACGTAAAAGAGACAGAGAGATCTTTCCCTCTTTTTCCGTAGCTTACGTCATCATGTTTTTGATGGAATATCCTGCCAAAACGGGGAGAAAAATTCCGGGCCTTCGTTCCGGAAAGAGCAAGTGCTTTCTGATCATGAATCTAGAGGCAGTTGCCTGTTCCAGTCATCTATTCCACGCAATGTACCTCTGTGATAGCGTATTATCTGTCTGCTTTATCTGTACATGCTTGAGATTAGATAACAACGGCTGGGGAGGAGAAGTACTTGCCCTGTAAGGAACTACATATGTCAGCTACCGTTGCCCACTGTAACACGCTATAAATAATGGCAATTCCTGCCTAGCCTTGCCTGCTATCCGACCTTGTTTCGATGCAATTGGAGTTTGCAGTGCTAGCAAATCTCTTGTGCCTTACTTCTTCCTGTATCATAACACCACAACCATAGAATTATAGAGAACGGTAAACATGGCTACTGTCGTCGAAAAAGTAACCCCCGCTGCACCACCACCAGACAGTGCAGCAGACAAGCTGCTGCCTGGTAGACACACATTACCAGCGTCATGGTGGACGTCTGAAAAGGTGCTGGACTTTGAGAAGAGAGCGATCTTTGCCAAGTCGTGGCTTTTCTGCACCCACGAGTCGAGATTCAAGAAAGCCGGTGACTACTTTGCTTTTAACTTACTAGGCTGGAACTTCTTCCTCATCAAGAACAAGGAGGGAGACATTAAGGCGTTCCACAACGTCTGCAGACACAGAGCGTACCCCGTTGTCAGAAAGCAACAGGGCTCCTCCATCATCCTGGGCTGCAAGTATCATGGCTGGTCCTACGATACCAACGGACTTTTGAAGAAGGCGCCCCACTTTGACAACATCGAAGGGTTTGACCCTGTGGCTAACTCGTTGTACGAGATCAAGACGCATGTCTCCCGACAGGGATTGGTGTTCATCAATTTTGACAACACCGAGGACGCCGTCCCGTTCGAGGACTTCTTTGCCGGGCTCGAGAGCGAGATGGACGAGTTTGATTTTGGCGACTACGAGTACCACATGTCGTACGAGTTGGACGGCCAGTTCAACTGGAAAACGTTGATGGACGGCTACCAGGAGTGCTACCACTGCCCAACCGCGCATCCGGGGCTCAACCTGGCGTTCCGCATGGAGACGTACAAGGTTGTCCCCAAGGGGAACTACTGCAGACACTACGCGAAGATTGTCGAGGAAGATATTCCAGCTGTGGTTGAAGAGAACGACCCGGACACCGAGTCGTCGTGGTTTGGCTTCGGCAAGAAGAAGGAGGTGAGCAAGGCGCCCAAGAAGCAGAACCCCGGCGGCAGCTTCAACGGTCTCTGGTGCTACTTGTTCCCCACCAACGGCGTGAACTGCTACTCGCCAGCGTGGTACTCGATCCGCGTGCTCCCAATCACCGCCAAGCGCACCATTCTACAGTACGACATCTACACCAAGAAGGGCGCCACCGCGGACGCAAAGAAGGAGTTTGTCGACTTCTTGCAGCAGGTCGAGCTCGAGGACTTCAACCTCTGCGAGGCCACACAGAAAAACTTGAACAACGGCGTCTACTCGACCGGCTACTTGCACCCCACAAAAGAGAAGGGCGTGCTTCATTACCAGGGCTTGGTCAGCGACATGGTGAAAAAGCACTTTGCCCTCGAGAAGGAGACCGGCCGCCTCATCAACCCTGCCGCCTTGACGGCCCGCCAAAGCGAAGAGGCCGAGGAGCTCGAGAAGATCTGCACAGGCATCGAGTGTCTGGGCTCCAACCCGGAGGACCACGACGGCCTTGACTGGTAGCTGTTCTTTGTCTAGCTAGTTTCTGTATTTCTGTTTAGTTCTTTCTTGTCCCATAACCTTATTGCCAGTCATATTGCATCTCATGTTGCCAACTCCGAGCCCTTTCTAATCCGCCTGCGCCACATCCCCGGCGCCCCGGCTTCTTTTCCCGGTCGGCCCAGCGCATGTGGCGCAGCACCGTGACCGGTGCGGGCCCCGCATTTTCGCCCAAAACGGTTCCCTTCACCCTCGTCTCGTCGTAGCGGTGAGATTGCAACAGGGCCAGACGGCTGGGCAGAGAGGCAGAGCGGGCCTCAACATTTTTTCCAGAGGCAGGTAGAGGCCTGGAAAGCCAAAGAAGTGGACGACAGGTGGGGGTAGGAGGGTCGATAGGGTCTCCGAAGTGCCAATAAATAAAAAGAAATTTATACACATATCTGTGTTTGTGTTTGTCGGTCTGCTCCTGCAAGATAGAGGGCTAAAAAGGGAGAACAGATCCGCATCTTGGACATCGAGAGCGCCGAATTGATGACGCCGAGCATCGCAAGCGTACAGAAGACAGATATCCAGGCCAGCTCACGCAACAGCAGCAAGCAGATACCAGGAAAGGAGACGTTGATGCAGCTAGACCCTAAGCTAGCGTCGTCCTCGGGGGCGGCGGGCGCCGTGAGCGAGTCCGAGGCGTCGTCGCTCAGCGATACAGACGTGCCGCCCCTCTCGGGCAGCAACAGCTCCTCGAGACAGAACAGCATCTACCGGCACAACCACTGCAGCAACCAGAAGCCGCTCAACGTGTCAAACTCACACATTGTGAACGAGAGGGAGCAGTACGAGGCACAGGTGGTGCCGGAGACGAAGGACATCTCGTTGCCAAACCACGCCATCGACGACATCAAGGAGCTGTCCATCGACATCGGAGGCTCGTTGGCGAAGCTTGTGTACCTGACGAAGGACCCGCACAACGCTGGCGGTGTGCGCTTGAACTTCTACAAGATCGAGACCGACAAGATCGACCAGTTCATCCGCTTCATACGCTCGATCATGGATACCCAGTTTGACCACTACAAGCAGACCCCAACCATCATTGCCACGGGCGGCGGCGCCCACAAGTACCACGACAAGCTCAGCAGCGAGCTCAACTGCCGGATCCAGCGAGAGGACGAGATGCAGTGTCTGATAATAGGCTTGGACTTCTTTATCCGCGGAATCAAGAACGAGGTCTTCTACTACGACGAGGCCAACAACAAGTACATCGAGATCGACCAGTCCGACGAGCCCGTTGGCGAGGTGTCGCCCTCCGTGTACCCGTACCTCCTTGTGAACATCGGCTCGGGTGTCTCCATGATCAAGGTCACGGGCCCGAACGAAGGCAACTTTGAAAGAGTTGGAGGCTCATCGCTTGGCGGAGGCACCCTCTGGGGGTTGCTTTCAATCTTGACCGACTGCAATAGTTTCGACGAGATGCTCGAGATGGCGTCCACGGGGAACAACGAGAACGTCGATCTCTTGGTAGGCGACATCTACGGCATGTCCTACAACAAGATCGGGTTGAAGTCCAACCACATCGCCTCCTCGATGGGAAAAGTGTTCAAAGAAGTGATAGATACCGAAAAGGGCGATCTCTCGAGGGAGGAGAGACTGAGCCGGTTCAAACAGGAGGACATAGCTCGCTCGTTACTCTACGCCGTGTCCTACAACATAGGGCAGATCGCCTATTTGCAGGCGCAACGCTTCAACTTGAAGAAGATATACTTCGCAGGCTCCTACATCCGAAATCACTACCAGACTATACGAACCTTGAGCTTTGCAATCAATTTTTGGTCTCAGGGAGAGAAGAAGGCTTATTTCCTCAACCACGAAGGATACTTGGGGGCCATGGGGGCCTTTTTAATGCGTCGAAATGATTTGGGCTGATGTTTTTGCCCAACTATCTATTATTTATACTTGATGTATTACTGTCTCTTTAATACATACACGGAACCATACAACCATACAGAGCCATGCGATTATATGCCCATTGTTGCTGCTAATGATGTTTCTTGCCTCAAAGAGACTCCCATATCCCCACTAGTTGGGTGAGGACTCGGTGTTGTTTGATCAGCTCTTGCTCTTGAGGAGTCTTTTTGTGGGTTGACAATACCGACAGCTGCTTCTCCAGCTCCATCTTCTCTCGCTCCAACGTTCCAATCTCCTCATCAAGCTCTTCCTCCTGTTTTGTTATGCTTTGCGATGTCGACTCCAAGTCAAGCAGTGTTTTCTCCAGCTCGTCTAGCTCAGAGGTGATCCTGTTAAGATTTGTCTCGAGCAAATCCACGCCAAAAACATTCTCCTCGATGAATTGCTTTGCCCAGCTGATCGGTTCAGAAGATTTGTTGTCGCCATACTCCATCCCATTCTCCTCGAAAAAAGTTTTGTATTCTAGTGTTTTCTCCACCATGGCGTTGATCTCCTCCTCAAGAATTGGCTTTCCCTCAATACATCTCCGGATTTCCAGCTGGTGAAAACATTTCCCTATCTTCTTGCGCAGGATCCTTCCTATTTTTTTCATCTCCTGCACTTGCTGTTCAAGGTTGTCGATCTTGATACTCAATTGTTCGGAGTCTGCATCAAGAGAAACAAGCTCAGACGACGTAAGCTCAGTTCCTGCGGTGAGCAGACGAAGAAATCGAAGCTTTGCTTCAAGCTCAAGAAATCTGTAGTTCAGTCGTGTCTGTAAATGTGTAACTGCATCCAGATGACTAGCGAAGGCCTGTGGGTTGGGTACAGTAATGCTGGAAAGCGACGTCATAGGAGTCTGAGGCGAGGCAGATATGTTTCCAGTTTGCTGCGGTACTTGGTCATTTCTGTTAATAGTCGAAGCTATGGAGGGGATCTCGTGAATAAACTTTTCATATTCTTCATAAGTGGTCTGAAATGGTAACTTATTGTCACCCACGGAGCTATAGGACATTGACGGAGTCGAGAGTTGCGTGGGTGTATGCGAGTAGGGCACATCTGAAAGAGAGCTTGGGGAGTTTGCCACCGGTGTGGCTGGAGTGGCAGGATGTGACATTTCACAGTAGTAGGAGCGTTGTTTCTAGGTGCTTTTTATACTTTTGTACGAAGTGCTTCTTTTTACTTATTATCCTGTGTTCTCTTTGCTTTGAGGTAAACATCGCGTTTCATGCTGTGGTCGTGAAGGGATTTCCCGATCGAGACAAGAGTGCTTTTTGAATGATTTATTTTCCCGGCACCACCATTTGTGCAGGCAGATAGCAAATTCTGCCAGTCGGACCGCCCTGTTCAGTTTGCCAGCTTCGTCATACCATATCGTTCCTCACTAGACATGAGTAAGGAAATACTAGACAAGGTGCACACACTGCTCCCAGGTTTTGAGATCTCCCTGGTGAGTCAGGGTGCCGAGGCGCTTGTGTTTGTCACAGCCAAGCACCCATACCTACCGAGCAACATTACACCTGCGAAATTGGAGACCACCAAACACTACATCATAAAGTATCGTCCGAAAAAGCCGTACAGACACGAGCAGTTAGATCTACAGATTACAAAGAGCAGGACTGCAAGTGAGGCGAAGTTGCTACACAAGCTGGAGACCCTTGGCGTTCGGGGACCCAAGCTTCTTGGTCTCGACGCACCTAACGGCATCATATGGATGGAATTTTTGGGCTTTCGTTTGGAGAACAACAACTTCAGCAGTTTGAAGAACTGGTTGTGGTGGATTGAGGGGAAAGGCCAAGCCGAGGCGATTGGATCGCAGGCGAAGGATGTCCTGCGAGAGGTCGGCGTCGCCATTGCAAAGCTCCACATGAACGACATAGTGCATGGAGACCTCACCAGCTCCAACATTGTGCTCACCAGAAAGGATAACGACGCTCTTCAGCTTGCACTCATCGACTTCGGTCTCTCCAGCTACTCTGCGCTCGTGGAAGACAAGGCCGTCGACCTGTATGTCATCGAGCGGGCACTTATTTCCACACATCCGCTCTACTCGCAACTGTACAACGAGTGGCTTTTGGAGGGCTACCACTCCGTCTACTCCGACGCCAAGAAAACGTCCCAATGGGTGGACGTCGAAAGGAGGTTGGCTCTTGTTAGAATGAGGGGACGAAAACGCTCAATGCTCGGTTGAAATCTTTTTCTGGCAGCTCATCCTATCTGCTTGTATAAACTGTATACCAAAAGCCACGTCTCTTCCGTAGAACAACCATCATCATCACTACTATCACCAACATCGTCGTCATTAAAGTGGTAACTTTCCGTCTGCTTACGTAAACGCGCCGATCGGCCCAAATCAGTCTTTTGCGCTTTTCTCGGGCTCGAAATCCATCTAGGTACTGCAGGGAAAGCCTCAGAAGGAGGGAGAGAGCATTAAGAGGTAGCCAACGCTCTGAGTAGATACTAGGGGCAAAGGATTCAGTTGCGTGCAATCAGAGCCATTGTGTTGCTGCACAGTCATCAAAAGAACACAAACAACAAATACACCCAGACACAGTCAGATACGATGGAGCCAATTGTCTTAGACCAAGGTACGGGGTTTGTCAAGATCGGTAGGGCCGGTACCAACTTCCCAGACCACACATTCCCATCCATGGTGGGTCGTCCAATTCTACGTGCCGAAGAACGTTCGTTGGGTGATGTAGAGATCAAGGATATAATGTGTGGTGACGAGGCTGCTGCGGTGAGAAGCATGCTTCAAATCTCATATCCAATGGAGAATGGTATCATCAAGAATTGGGAAGATATGGAACATCTATGGGATTATGCTTTTTACGAACGGATGAAGATCGATCCTACGGGCCGCAAGATCTTACTTACCGAGCCTCCAATGAACCCACTCAAGAACAGAGAGACAATGTGTGATGTGATGTTTGAGAAATACCAATTCGGTGGGGTCTATGTTGCGATTCAAGCAGTGTTGGCCCTTTATGCGCAAGGTCTATCTTCCGGTGTTGTTGTCGATTCCGGTGACGGTGTCACACATATAGTCCCAGTCTACGAGTCGGTTGTGTTGAACCATCAGACAAAGAGATTAGATGTTGCGGGTAGAGACGTCACAAGAAACTTGATCAACCTTTTATTGAGAAGGGGGTACGCGTTCAACAGAACAGCAGATTTCGACACCGTTAGACAAATAAAGGAGCAGTTGTGTTATGCATCATACGATTTAGATTTCGACACCAAGCTTGCAAACGATACAACCACATTGGTGCGTAACTTCGAGTTGCCCGACGGCCGTGTTATAAAAATCGGATCTGAGAGATTTGAAGCACCAGAATGTTTGTTCCAACCTTCTCTAGTTGATATTGAGCAGCCAGGTGTCGGTGAATCATTGTTCAACGCCATCCAGTCATGTGATGTCGACGTCCGCTCAACATTGTACAAGTCGATTGTGCTATCTGGTGGATCTTCCATGTACCCAGGTTTACCTTCAAGATTAGAGAAAGAGCTTAAACAGCAATGGTTTGTCAAAGTGCTCAAAGGCGATCCTTCCAGACTTGAAAAATTCAAGGTCAGAATTGAAGATCCTCCAAGGAGAAAACATATGGTTTTCATTGGAGGAGCAGTGTTGGCAAACATCATGGCTGATAAAGATCACATGTGGATTTCTAAGCAAGAATGGGAAGAACAGGGACCAAGAGTTTTGGATAAATTAGGCCCTCGTTGAAAGAAACAAGGTAGATGGAAAGAAGATAGCTACTACTCTCCATTTAGATTAGATGCCTACATTTCTTTCTCTGATGCATTATTTATTTCTTATGTGTTTATACTCTTTATATCGATCTATAGTAAAAATATATTATGTTACAGTAATTACAGTTCTTTTTCGTCGCTTTCGTTTAATGCAGATTCTAATAGTACACAATTCAATTGAATTTCTCTCCACTCACTCTTTTCCAAACTCCGTCGATCAAACGATCCAGTCTTTCTTGTGCCTTTTGATCATCCTTGTTTGATCCATTTACTGTCCCCAATGCAACATTCTTCAGCTCCGGATGTCTACCCCCAAATCCAACACACCCTCGTACAACTTCTTTAATTACCGCTTTATCAACAACCACCGGATTGATGAATACGTTGTTGAGTAGTTCCTTACCGGTTATACGTTTGGTAGGATCTCTTATCAAACATTTCCTTATCATGTCAACTAGATATGGACATACCTTGATATTTTCTTCTTCTTTTCCTTCAGCAACTTCACTATCTTCCTTCTTCCCATTGCTGGATTTTTTCCGCAGGTTAACGGCATTTACAGGATAGCTTATATTAATTGATGAATTCGTGATTGCTAAAATTTTCTTTGTTCCCGTATATGAAGCATAAGGAGTCAATCCATACGTTAGTTGGTATAATATACAGCCAAGAGACCAGATATCAGCTGGTTTACCTACTTTCCAAACACTGGACCCATTGTCTGACTCAGCACAATCGAGTAAAGTCTCAGGCGCCATGTAATTGGGCGTGCCCATCTGATACTCCCTATACACATTGACTGTATGACCTTTGATAGAATTACTTATTCCAAAATCGATCAACTTCAAAACCCCAGAAACAAAAACAAAGTTTGCAGGCTTTAAATCTAAGTGAACAACATCCATTTCATGAATAGCATTTATGCATTTGACCATTTCTTGGGCATGATATCTTATGAATTCAAGATCATAAAATCGTGACATCAGATGACGGTTTGATAACACTGTTGCCAGATCTAAGTCACCACATTCCATAACGAAAAATATAACTTTTGAAGTCAACGAGTAATCCAAAAGTCTTACCACTCGGGGACAATGCCTTAGCTTGTGAAGAATCTTTATTTCTCCTTTTAATTCTGAGACGGTTGACAATTCTTGATCTTCTAAATTGACAATCTTTATGGCAAGGTAGCGGTGCGGGGAATCGATGACTGAAGCTCTAAAAACTTTAGATGAACCCCCTTTCCCTATTTGTTCAAAGAGCTTATACTTATGCTTATTTATTTCTAATTGTTGATTCTCGGTATCAGTCCCTTTCTCTTGCTTTTCTTTTTCGTATTGCTTTTTCTCCTGAAGTTGTTGTTGTTTTAAAAGTTCTCCTCGGTACTGCTTGATTTCCTGCTTTAAGAGATGTATTTCTTTCTTTTTGTCTAGAAGACTTTGAACATGTGAGAAGTCGTTGAATGGCTCTGAGAATCCAGAGCTCAGTTCAGATTTAGGGCGAATAGATACTTGTGGTTTTCTCTTATCGGATAGTCCATCCAAGTCTAAAACTAAGTTATTGTTGTTATTTTTGTCTACGTCAAACAATCTCAGCATATTATTCTGCAGCTTGGCATCTGTTGATGGTTTTATGGTACGCCGTGCAACTTCAGGAGAGTCTATCATGAAGCTTTTGTCTTCTTTCCTGTTACGTACTGGTGTATTGATAACATTATCCATGACAGGTATACTCATACTATTCAATTCTATTGTTGTGCGTTTATGTAAAGGGGAATATTTTTTTGGGGTAAATTGTAGAGAATGTTTGCGCTCTGTATCATCTGTGATCACGTTTTCAATTGGGTTTTCTTTATCATGAACACTTTCATTCTTCTGGCACGGTTTGGAACTTTCAGCACCGATATCATTTCCTTTATCATCAAAACCATCTCTCATTTGGAGTGGTTGACTCGATATTCGGATCTGACTCAAGGAATCAATTGATTTTCTTGTTGTACTTGCTTGGAAATCGCCGTCATTTGTCAGCCTTCGTGGAGCACCCAAGTTTAATTTTTTCATGAACTTTGAATGGCGGGATATAGAGGTATTAGTGGCAGAATTTACATTATTGAAGGTTGTTTGATGCGTTGTAGTTAGTTTAGAGGACCTCGTGGCATCATTGAACGTTAACGAGGTCATTGTATGCTTTGAGGGGTTAATTGGTTTGCCCGACTTTTCGTTTCCCATTTTCGTAGAGGTTGCATTGTGGCTACTGCTGTTACCACTGATGATGTTGTTGCTATTTCGATTTTTATTGCTAGTACGATCTTCCAAAATTGATAATGCATACGGAGAGAGCGCTGGTGGACAGATGACATTGTCAAGGTCGTCTATATCGTATCTGATGGTTTCAGATTTGTTATTGACTTTAGTCAACGAGGTATTATTTGATGCCGAGGACGGGAGATATTTCGACATCAAGGTGGGTGTGTGGTTTGCCCTTCTCCTCCAGCTATATCTGTTATACTCTAAGTGGTGTTGGAGTGTGCTTGATTTGCGGGACACGTTTAGTAGAATGTATCAGGCCTCTGTGCTGTGTGTTTACCTTCAGATGTGAGACGTGAGGAAGAAAAGGAACTTTTGAGGAAAAGGAAAAAAAGATAAATAAATAAAAATGGGGAAACGCGATCAGCAAAAACGCCAGAGAGTAGATGCAATTTTCGAAAGTTTCCGGTGGTTAACGTAGATGTTTAGACAGTATATAGAAATATTATCAATATAGTAAAAAAGTTCGAGATAGTAAAAAGAGAGGAGATGGAAACAAGAACAGAAATAGAAATGTTACAGAGCAAATAAATAGAGCTATGGGCAAAATACTCAGGGCGTTGTTCAAGAGACGATCTCTAGATAGTTACTAGGACACATTCCTATTTCCCCACGTTTGTTTTTACCTTGCCACCAGTTACCGTTTGTATTTTTAACCCTGAAAAGCTCACCCTTCGCAAATGAGAGCTCATTGACGTCATCAGGACTTGCCATGTAGTCGTACAGCCCGCGGACGAGGATTGGATAGTCTTCCATGTATGCAGAGGCGGAGGATATTCCTGTAAAGTTAGTGCCCTCGGGGTTGTCGCTGTCTTCGTTTATGAGGGCGTGAGGGGGCATGATACCGCTTGCTCTGAAGGCGGAATCGTTGAACTCAATGTTGGACATTCTGTTGGTGTCGATCTGGGTGGTGCTTGCTGGGTTCTCAAAGCCGGCTAATTCGTGCGCATCTTCCATATTGCTATAGACGTCTCCGTTATTCTTGTCACTATCGTCATATTGGCTGTTGTACTGATTGTGGTCGAAGTTCAACCTTGTAGTGGACTGCGTACCCGGGTTGTAAGAGTAGGAGTTGCCTCTGTTGTTTATTGAACTGATTCTCTTTCGGGTAGCCATCTGGTTAGGGCCACCGTACCTGTTGATTGAGGCGATAACCGGGGCATTCGGGTCGGACCCCAAGTAGAAAAGCCACATGAGGTTCGATATGCTTAGGAGAATGAACCCTGTGCCTGCAGCGGAGCAGGACGAGTCTGAGTTGTAGATCAAATTGTTTGTGGAATTCGAGGTGTACACAAAGGCGATGCCGATCATCGCAACAAGAAATTGTCTGTAGAGGAATATCAAGTTGAAGAAGTACAGCACGGGGATCGCTATTATGACAAATAACTCGAACACCAATCCCCACCAGGTGAACTTAGGGAAGTACTTTATCGACTGGGATGCCGCGATCGACCCTGCAAAGGCGATGATCCAGGAGATGGCGCTGACTGTGATGGTCGCCACTATGATCACGTTGAACGAGAGAGAGGAAAAGCGCTTCTCTGGAACCGACGCACGGTCTGGTTCACGGCCGACACCGTTGTCGGAGTTTCTGTTGAAGGGTATCCCCGGCGTGGGTATTTGCGGCATGGCCATGGCTTGCTGCGTGATCGTGAGGTCTGTATGGGAACAGCAAGTGTGTACAGGCAGACAGACAGCAGCTGTAGCGGCTCAAGAGGGTGATGCCAGCGAGTTCAGAAGAGGCCGAGCACGAGATCGAGCACAGATGAGGCGTGCAAGTACCTACAGAGAGCAGTGGATCCCTCCACACGCACACCTTCGTCTAAATACACGCACGCTCCTGCTTCATCTTCAAGTACACCAACACGCTGCTGAGGTAAACAATACCAGTGCAGCGTTGTGGCCGAGGCCTTCTGTAAGGCACGCGTGCGGCAGACAAGCGTGCGAGGGGTCGAGGGATCGAGGGGTCGAGGGGTCGATCGGGCCCGTCTCCGGCGGCGCCAGTATGGCAGTCAAAGGCCTGTTCCCTCATAGAAAGACGAGTTTATGAGTAGCAGCCTCTCGACAGGGCAGAGTGTTGAGTTTGTGACATGCCTGTGCTCCAAGCGTTTGTCGCATTCTTTGGCTGCCGCCAAGAAGTTGTAATCTCTCGCCAATATCAGTTGGTCACTGAAAGGTATCTTTGCACGTTCACACGTTTTTTGTAGTGTCATTTATTCGTGGTCCACCAACACTCAGTCTCCTGCTTCATCTCCCGTGTCCTCTCTACTTTCTGACACTCCCAATTTGCGAATTCCCTAACTTCCAAAACTTTCAGAACAGCTTGAGCCACTACTTACGGTTACACACACATGTGTGCAACAACAACAGATTGAGTGCATAGGACGAGATCCCAGTTACAATGTTACTTACCTCGAGAGATTGTTACACTCGTTTGGCTGCATCAGACTTTGACTTGCAGAGGGTATCATATTTTCTGAGCCGTCAAATTTATTAAGCAAGAGCAGTGTGCAGTCCATACGTAAGGATGAGCCGCCTGGCCAAGGAGTAGAAAGGGTACGCTATTCCAAATAGCCCACTATGACGTACAGCGCGAAAAAAAGTCGATCGACCATTAATTAGTCACGTGACAGAACACCAGGCGGCTTATTCTTGGCGGCTGCAGCTGGACTCTTAGCGGCCCCGCTAGACTTGCCCGACGCTCTGCCCGCTGGCGTTGCCGCTGCGTCGTCATTGCCGCTACCAGTTCACCAGGCTCTCTTGTCTACGGGGCCCTAGTTTGTCCTCTTTGTTTGCAGAATGCCCTGCCGCTGTCTTGTTGCCTCGTCGTGGCGGTTGCCTATGTCACATGTCTTCGGAAGGCGTTGGGCAGGCCCCGCCGCGAGGCTGCCCCCCCTCCGTGGCAGGGCTATCACCCAAAGCAGCTGTACCCGACAGCCCCTCTTTTTCCCCGGGGCGCCGGGGCTTTGGCGGGAGCCATGACAGTTTTTCCACCTCCGTCTGTTTTGGAGACGCTGCGCCGTCCGGACGGCAACTGCTTGCGACGTCTGCAGCAGCAGTACGCGAACATGGTCCCTGCCTGCTATCGGTGACCAGGCAGTGGCAGGCAACACTGACCGAGGTCTGGAGAAGCACGCAGAAGGGTGCAACGCCAGCTGCCACAGAGGCTCCCCGGTGAAGCCTCTCCGACAGCTGGTGTTGTAACCGAGGTGCCACGGCACGGCATGTGGCTAGCGAGCTCCATCCATAACCGATAGCCCCAGCTACCACACGGGAAAAGAGACTCCGAGCGGAACGAAAAGATGAGGAAAATGTAAAATTAGGTAAATCAGGCAAGTGGGACAAATTGCCGCCAAGGATGGCGTTCTATTGTCTCCGTACGGGGCACTCTTCCATATCGTCGTCGGTCTTTTCTCGAGTGTTTGTCAAGTCCCGCCAGCTCTAGTGCAATTTGCCACCTCCGGATAGAGACGGTATAGCATATGCCGCTGCCACCACTGCCTCCGCCACCTTTGCTTTTGACATGTTTCAACGTTTTCCCTGTTTCCTGCCTTTTTTTCCCTCAAATATTTTTTTTTTGCTAATTTACTTGACTTGACCAGCTCCCTCCCCCTATTGTTATTATTACCTTTATCGGGGTTTCACAAGCCCATACCCTGTTGCCCCCTTTCTCCCATCTGTTGCAGATACTCCCTCCTCTCTTTCTATAAATATCTTTCTCATTGCCCCCCTCTTGTTGCTCCTCACGTCCCGTCTGTTGACACTCGGAATGCCACCGACACTTGTAGCTGAACTCCTCCTTTCTTTTTGCCTTTGCGGAATTGCTCCTTTTAGTTGCCTGAATACTTTACTGATACTGTTCCTTTCTTCCCTTCACTTCTCTCCCCCTTCTTTTTTAAAAGTTCCGATCCGTAGCATTCCCTCTGTTCTTTGAGTCCCTTGACAGTTCTCAGCCTCTCCCTTCCATCTCGGACTTCAGAGTGATCCAAGGAAAAATAAATCCATTTGTATGAACTAGATATATCTTCATACCGAAGAAAAAGATTATCTTACATACATACACTTCAGCTTGATATCCTATAAAATATCAGACACTATGGCTATCTCAGCAATCCCGAACATCCAAAATCTAACCTTGGACAACAATTTCTCTCAGTCATCCTTTGAAAACATTTCGAAGGAAGACGTTGTTGCCAACGGTTACGTCGCTTCCGTTTTCGAATCCAAACATGATCAGATCAACAAAGTCATGGATCAGTTAGATTCAACCGGTTTGATTCCGGAAAACTTGATTGAGTCAGAAACAAAGTTCTTCTATGAGAACTTGGGTATCGATGATACCTATTTTGCCTCGGAGTCTGTGGAAAACATCGCTTCAAACATTTTGGCAATCTATGCTGCTAAAATTGATGCTGCGATCAACGGTAAAAACACCTCTTCAATTCATTTCAAGAAAATCACCGAAGATAAACATCACGCTGTTTACTTTGAAACCGGTGACTCAAATTCTTTTGAAAAGGAGATTGATGATGAGTTCTTAGACGCCAAGGATTCTTACTATAGAGTCGAATCTTTCAACTCCGTGCTACCATCGGAGGAATTGATTCGCTGCCACTTCGTTTACAAGTCTGATTTTTCAGAATCAGAAACCTTGTCATCATCTTCTTTGATTGAATCAATTTCTGACAAAACCTTTTCCAAGATTGCAACCCCTTACACAAAAACTTTATACTCCGAAGTTTTGACCCAACTTAAGGATACCGAGGGTCCTGTTGTGAAGCACTACACTTTATCCGAGACGGGTGAATTGAGAATTATCATTGGTTTCAAAAAGGGATCTTCCCACCGTTACAACTCTGCCCTTTCTACGTTGGCAAACTATTATGGTGCTACTTTGAAGAGAAAGTACGTGGAAAATTTCTCAAACAATTATACCATTATCTCAATGTATCTTGCAAACAGTCATGAAGTTGAAACTGGCTTGACAACTTTACAGTTGACCAAAGATGCTTCTTTATTGTACTGCATTCCAGATAACAAGTTCTACTCGAAATTTGAATCCGGTATTTGGTCAATTCAAGAATGTATTTATGCTCACTCGGGAGTTATTTTTGCAACACATTTCTTGAATAGATTAGGTCCTGAATTCCAGTCCTTGAAAGAGTTGTTGTTAGATTCCTCAAATGTCTCTCCAAAGAATGTTGAATTGGTTAGTAAAATCAAAGAAAGATTCACTTCAGAAACTTTCTCTGAATCCTATATCATGGAAGCCTTTGAATCCAACTCAAACTTGATTCGTCAATTATACAAGAACTTTGTTGACACTCATTATACTTCGTCTTCTATTGTTAAAACATTATCATACCAAAGAGCCTCCAAAATTGAAGGTATCCAAAATGATGAACAGTTTGAAAGAGCTTTAGCTGAAATACCAAATGACGGTTATTCAACTGTTTTGAGCATTTTGTACGCTTTCAACAAATCTATTTTGAAGACCAATTTCTTCCTCACTTCCAAAGTGGCCCTTTCCTTTAGACTAGATGCTTCATTTTTGCCAAAATCAGAATATCCGAACAAACCTTACGGTATGTTTTTTGTTGTTGGTTCCGAGTTCAGAGGTTTCCACATTAGGTTCAGGGATGTTGCAAGAGGAGGTATTAGAATTGTTTTATCAAGATCGGAAGATGCTTATGTGAAGAACATGAGATCAATGTTCGATGAAAACTACAACTTAGCTTCAACTCAACAAAGAAAGAACAAGGATATTCCAGAAGGTGGTTCTAAGGGTGTCATTTTGGTCAATCCAGGATCTGCACAAGTTAAGCCAAAGGAGTGCTTTATCAAGTATATTGATTCACTCTTAGATTTATTGATTAAAGATCCTTCAAAGGAGAAGATTGTTGACTTATACAACAAACCAGAAATGTTGTACATGGGTCCTGACGAAAATACAGCAGGTTTCGTCGATTGGGCTACTTTACATGCTAAAAAGAGAGGAGCAGCATTTGGTTTCCCATGGAAAGCTTTCTTTACCGGTAAATCTCCAACCATTGGTGGTATCCCCCACGATGAATATGGTATGACCACTTTGAGTGTTAGAGCTTTCACTGAAGGCGTCTATTCAAAGCTTAATATCAATGACTGGTCATTGATCACCAAGTTGCAAATGGGCGGTGGTGATGGTGACTTAGGCTCTAATGAAATTAAATTATCCGGTGATGAAAAATACGTCGGTCTTGTTGATGGCTTTGGTTGTATAGTCGATGAAGATGGTATTGATAAACAAGAACTATTAAGATTGGCAAATAATAGATTTGGCAACAACAAATTTGATAAATCAAAACTGGGTCCAAAGGGTTATGTGATTTTGGTTGATGACAAGGATGTGACTTTACCAAACGGAAAGATCATTCACAGTGGTATACAATTCAGAAACCAATTCCATTTGAAACTTCAAGAAATCTATCCACCAGATTTCATAAAATTATGGACTCCATGTGGTGGTAGACCAAACTCTATTGATGTCACCACTGTTCACTCATTACTTGATCCAAAGACAGGTAAATCAATCATTCCAATTATCATTGAAGGTGCTAACCTTTTCATCACTCAAGCCGCAAAATACATACTCGAAGGTGCAGGTGCAATTGTTTTCAAAGATGCATCAGCTAACAAAGGTGGTGTTACTTCTTCTTCTTTAGAAGTTTTGGCTGCTCTATCATTTGATGATGACGGATTTTCCAAGAACATGTGCATGGACCCCGAAACTAAAGCTTTGCCAGCGTTTTACCAACAATATGTCAAGGAAGTCCAATCAATCATTGTCAAGAATGCTAGAAACGAATTCAACATGCTTTGGAAACTTAAGGATGAAAACAAGAAATCTTTTGCAGATTTATCAGATGAACTTTCTGTTGCAATCAACAAACTAGGTGATGAGCTTTCGTCCTCTAAAGAATTGTGGGAAGATACTGAATTCCGTAACATTGTCTTGAAGGATGCTTTACCAAGCTTGTTATTGAACGAAGTTGGTTTGGACGGTATCCTTAAGAGAGTTCCTGAAGCATATTTAAGAGCTATTTTTGCGACCAAACTTGCTTCAGAGTTTGTTTATACCAGAGGTATTGACGCAAACCCAGCAAAATTCTTGGAATTTGTATCTAGTTTGAAGAAGTGAGGCTATAATTTATTTGTTTGCTTTTCCATATTATTGTGTTTTCCTAATCTAATTCTTCTGTTTGAACCGAACTTTGTTTTTTATTCTTTTTGTATTTCCCATACTCAAAAGTCTTAATTTATTAATCTACCGAATAAAATGGTCAAACAAGCAGATTTTGGAAAGCAAAGCTTTAAAATTTGCGAGGAGTGCTGACCTTTTATACGATACTGGATTTCTAGATTTTTTTGTGGTGGAGAAAACCAATAATACACATTTTTTAAGAAAACGGTTGACCGGAGGAAATACGGTTTCAAATGCCTAATCAGGAAAATTTCTTTTCTGAGTTGCCAACTTAAGCCAAGCGGTCGAGTAAAGTTTTACGGCCGAATGTGTCCAACCCAAATTTGCAAGCAATCAATTTCTAGGATGCTTCCCTTTTATGTATGGTACCGACCGACCTATGAAAAAGAATTTTGTTGTTTTGTTAAAGCTGCGATGTTACCCATTGCTCCTCAGTAAATGTTAAATGTTATTGGAGTGTACTTGTATACACAACCGTACACAATTCGTCGGTATTTCTTGGTCAAGGTACGTACCGAACGCTAATAGGTACTGCGTGTACTGCAACCAGATATACAACTTATAGCCACCATGAGTGAAGTGAATGTATTAATTCTAAAAATCCAAAATAATCTGCACTAGTCGAATGATGTTAATAAGTATATTAGAGGAATTTTTACCCGCGTGTGCATCGAGAATTGAATAATCACATTTCATAAAAGTATGGAGTAAAACTGCAAGTTTATGGCTTCAGAAAAATAGATACAAAGAAAAATTTCTAGTGGAACAAAATATTTCGATGTAAATCATCCTTGAAAGTTCAATTATTTGTCACATAACTTTGTGTATTGAGAAATGCATACCGAATTGCATATCTATACAATAATGGACAAATGAGTGTAATATCTAATCGTGGAACAAAATGCCACTTTTTAAAAAACCAGGACTTTTGCTATGAGAACATGATTGGGGAAACCAAATGCAAGGTAAGAGGCCCCTGATGGGTCGAATATCATTTTTGGTTACTTGAAGCGCTATTTCTTTCTAGCACTTCGAGTTCCCTCATTTTCCGGATTTCCATCTCTACACGACGATTGGCTTCCGCATCTATCATGTTTTGCTCGAAGATACGGTCACTGAGAGAGTCTGCGAGCCAAGCAGCCCCTGCCGTGGTTATCCATATGTATAGTTTTACCTTTAAGGAAAGAGCACGATATTTTGCGTAAAGTGAAGGTTTTGCTGAAAGTTTTGCCGATCCCCCTTGTGGCGGTAGTTCTGCTTGTGGCTGCTTCTGTGTAACTGATTCAGCTTGTGTTTGTGTCTCTGATTGTGGGGAGAAAGAAACTGGTTTTGTGGCTCCTGTTTTTGTATTGCGGGGCTGTGGAGGCTGAGGTCTGGGTATTGGTGAGACCATTATACTGGATGGGTGTCAGGCACTACTTTGCTTGTTTAGCGCTTAAGAAAGAAATTCATAGCTCAGAGAAAAGAATCATATGCGTGCTGTTGGCATGGCATCTTTTCTAAAGTAGTATCGTTTCGGTTCAAAAAACTTTGAGTGAAAATCGAAAATAGCGCTTCTCCGCACATTCCCTACAAAAATGCACTCTATTCGTATTTCTTGAATCTATAGAAATATATGTCTATCATATTAGATGCAAATGCATCTGAATAATGCCATCTACAATTAAGATTGGAGCTGAGTGATCAGTTAAAATAAAGCACAACTGTTTCAATGTTCTTCGTCAGATGTTGAGGTGGTAGAATCTGAAGCCGCGGAAGCTGACACAAGGTTGGAACGTTCTGTGGCATCGATGTGTTGTTTAACACCACCGTATTTCCTCTTAGCGTCCAAGATTCGGCTCTCATCGCTCTCCTTGTGTTTGGCATCTCGAATGATTGTATCAGAAATATCATATCCAGTCAAATGAGAATTACCAAGGTCAAACTCAGAGACCTCGGCTGGGTCTTTCGAGCTGGTAGTATCTTTGCTCAACTTAGTATCAGTAATATTGAGTGAGGTTGCATCTTCATCAAAAACACCGAAATCACTATCACGACGTCTTCCATGACTTTGTCCACTATGTTCATCCCCATCATCACTGCTCTCGGAATCATCAAATTCAAATCTGCTGCTTTCGTCATCATCTGGTCGAATAATATCAAACTCAAAGTCTTCTCTTCGACGGGCACGTCCAGGTTTCCGACGGTTTTTGAATATGTAAAGCAGAAACAAAAATCCTGCCAAAGTTAAGGCAGAGAAATAGCCAATGTAATGCTTTGAGTTGTCTGTATGTGGGTAACTGCCATCTTCTTCTGGAGTTGCAGTTGCAGTTGTAGTTGAGGTAGAAGATATATTTTTCGTGGGAACAATGGAGGTGGAAGGCGCCTTTTCCTCGTCGGAATCTTTGGAAGAGGTTGTTGTAGTGGTACTTTCGCTCGCTATTGCGGTACTACCACTAGTAACTTTTGTTTGAGTTAAAGTTTGGACTTGACTTTCAGTCATGATAGTACTAGTAGTATTACTACTAGCACTCTCGTCATTCTCAAAATTGAGCTTACTGTAATCTTCATTCATGTCAAACCTTTTTGCTAATGCAGGATCAATGCATTCACCAAAGGCACGTAACTGCCAGCCTCTAAAGTTTATGGCATTGGAATCTTCTGTATTGCGGACCTTGATTATCCATGTGCCTTCTCCGGTTTCACCCCAGTGTGCAACACTGGAAAAGGTCCACTTCCTGAAACCAAGCTTATCTTGATCATGACCTCTCCTTACAGCAAGTGGAGAAACAATGCCACCAGGAGAGACAATATCAACTTCTACGGCACCTCTCTTACCAGAGTTGATGTCAACTGTAATCGTGATCTGCTCAATACGTTCAAAGTTGAACTTCTTCAAGATTTCCGCTGTGACCGTAAATGAATCTTGGACCTCTGCAACTTCATTGGAAATCGAAAGATCCGTGATTTGATATGGCATATAATACCATGACTGAGGTTTTAGTAAAGTCCAATTGTTTTGTGCCATTTTGACCATTTTTTCTGCATCGATTTTACCCCAACCGTATTTAGGGGAGTATTTTCTTCCTTCAACTGCAGAGTCTTGCCATGTTCCATCAAATGGATCTATTTCGGCGGCACTTAAGACTGTCAAATATTGTACGTCTCTCCATGTCAGCTCCGGGTTTGCCTGTAGAATAAGGGCATATATGCCTGCAGCCAATGGTGCAGCAGCAGAAGTTCCCCCATGGGTAGTAGAGCATTTTCCATTGATGTCTGTCGTGTGAATGTGCTCGCCAGAGCCGGAGGAATAAGTAGAAACCATTACTGCAGTACACGATTCCGAATAAATTGGATGTAGTCCCTTGTAATCGATTGCACTTACAGTGAGCGAATATATGCTGTTTGTGTAACCGTCAAAGTTACAACTATCGCCACGAGATGCACCATTTCCACTTGCAAAAACATACAAGGCACCTTTGCCTTTTCTGCCCTCCTGAATACCTTTCAGCATCGCCGATCTGACAACCTTATCCGGGACATCCATGGAACGACCGTTATCCGGAGGCCCCCACGAGCAAGAGTATATATCGTTGACATCTAACCCGTAAATCATTGCAACGGCTTCTTCTTCAGAAGAAATTTCTGCACTCAAAATACGGATTCCAGAGACTTTGGAATCGTACGCAACCCCAACTCCACAATAGTCATTTCCTTTCGCAGCAGCAATCTCCCCTGCACATCTTGTTCCGTGGTAGTCGTTCTCGAGCATTGGTTTTGGATTTGGCCTATTGTCGTTATAATCCCACGACCCTTCAGGCGAAAAGTTGTCTTTCAAATCCGGAGACTCATAGTCCAATCCGTCGTCAATTAGCGCTGTTACTATTCCCTTTCCGGTTATGTTCATTCTCCACACTGGAACGACGTTCACGTCGTGTCCTGGAAAGGCCGTATTGACTATATGCCATTGGTCCTTGAATATGGGGTCGTTTATCTGGAATTCGGCGGCAACATTGTTAAGATGTTCGACAGAGGAGTCCTGTTTTCTTTCAAATATTGACACCGCTGAGTCTCTCTCTATTGGAACTGGCGCTCTTTTAACAAGTCGTTTTTTATGCAACGGATGTATGCCACTGACACGATTCTCATGTAGTAACTCAAGAAACTGAGAATGCTCTCTCTTAAGCAGCTGATGATCTTCTGCGTTATGTTCGAAGTCATCGAGCGATCCTAGTTGGGAAAACCACTCAGCATTGGTGTCATTTTTCGGAAGGCTAAAAACATGAAAAGAGTCCAACGACGGAACCTGATACTCGTAACTCCAGTTCGGATGTATCTTGGAAACCGAATCTATGAGGTCTTTGTCTTTCAGTTCTAGTAGGAAGTAGTTTTTGCTCACGAAGTCTTTTGGCGGGATATTGGCGACTTTAGCAGCAAACGCTGGGTCGTTTAGCCATAGAAAGACCGCCAGGTTGTAGAGCCACGACAGCTTCATCTTTTCTGGTGCCTGTTTCTTTGTTTGCTTGCTTCACTTCACCTTTCCTCTTTCCGATTTGCGTGCAAATAACAGGAAAGAAGGGTTTAACGGACTAACGAGCGATGGGGGGGGGGGAAGGGCGGAAAAACAAAAGACCACCTGCCGTTGAGTTTCACAATCAGGACTTTTCTCTTCCCGACGAATGGCTGTTGCCAACTTCTATTGTCTAAAAACTGTGCTGCAGATTAACACTGCTGTTCTTCTTCGAGGCGTTTGTTTTCTCCTTGCACTTACATTCGTGTCTCTTCCCTCTGCCTGTTACTGTTATATTTTCTTCTGCCGCAGAGGGATATAGACTGGCAACAATGGGCAGCGGGGCTTACGTAAAAACGGTGTCGTCATGGTAGAACGAAGATCAAAACGGATGGATAGGCGGTTGTCTTGATGATTACTCTATAAAGGAGGCGTTTACAGATGTGCTAAGGCTCCCATTGGGTCGTATGGTGGCAAGACGATGTAGTCAGTGGAGTCGAGGACCTTGGCATCGACGTCAAGTGCTGCAAGCTCGTTCTTTTCGACGACAACCTGGTAGACATACTCTTCAAAGAACTTCTGAGACATCACGTAGTAGCCGTCCTGGCCAGACTTGCTGCCCCAACTATTTTCCACACGGTAACGAACAGGCTTCCCCGCGTCGTCGACGTGGACTGCGGTGATCAACATAGCGTGGGTCATTAAGGAGTGGCCGTATACGACACGTTCCTTCTTGGACATCGAGTCAACATCGTAACCAAGGAGCTGAAAGTCCCAGAGGTCGACGTCAATTATACCCCGTTTTTTGTCCATAAACTTTGGGGTGTCACAGCCAAAGAAAACGGGCTTGTTGCTCTTGATACGGTGAACAACAGCCTGCGCCAACTTCTCGGCCTCGAGGTTGAGGTAGACAACGGCGTCGCCGTTGGCGACGTTGCCCAAGCGATCAACCTTGACGAGTTTATTGTAGTCGTTTCTCGGATCATTCAACAAGGAAACGTAGTCCGGCGTGTTGAACTCGAGGATATCAGCGGCGTACTTTAATGGCGTCGTCTTGATAGACTGGTACTTGCCGTCTTTGTCGTAGAACTCCCAAGTAAACTCCTCAGTTGGCTTTGGAGGGTTGCCTAGAAACATTGTGAGCAGACGATACACCTCCCGCTGCATCTCCTTGCGCTGGATAGAAACGTCCTTGCCTGCCGCCAACGCCTCGCGGAGAGTCATGGCAAACTCACGCAGCTTGAAGTTCAACATGCGGTTCATGACTCTCGTGTTCGTGGTGTTGTAGCTGTCTGGGTAAATCTGATCAGGCACAATACCGTACTTGTCGACGATCTGGGTCATCATGGTGAACTGGCCACCGTCCTGAGCAGGGTCTAGCAAAAACCACTGGACAAGTCTACTCTCCGCCGGCTCTTTGTACGTGTCGATGATCATCTGCAAAAAGTAGTTGGCTCTTTCAAGCTTGTCGTGGAAGAACAAGAACGAAGGAGACAGCTGGACCTCCTTGAGGTTATACTTCTTCATTGCCCCGACACGTAACATGTTGGTGGACGCAAACAACCAGCAACGGCCGGACGCCTTCTGGTCCATGACTGGCAGACCTTCAATCTCAATCTTGTGGTTGAAGAAGTTCTTGTTGGCGATCTCCTGGTCTCTGTTGATCAGGACGTCATCCGCGTTGGCGTGTTGCAGCACGGATCCACCGAACTGTGTCTTGAGGTCGGTCTTGAACTCCTCTGTCCATTGGGACAAAGATTCGAGATTGATGTCGGAGGTGGAGTTAGCCATTTTACTTGGAATTGTACTAGATTGGATTGTCTTGTAAATGTTATGCACTACTAATCTTTACTTCCAGAGACAAAAGCACTTTGTTGTAGAGAAGAAGAAGAAGAATCCGACCTCGTCCCCGGCTTGCCCAAGATCCTCACCACCTATCGGGAGATCGGCCTTAGCATAGAGACATCTCGGCCCGCGATACAGCCGTTTGAGGATGCGGACATCTCCCACGGACTGTCTCCGGCGGAAAGTCTGCACCGGAAGTGTCCGTTGGAGCAGAGGTGTGCTTCATTCAGGATATACTGTAGACTGTGGGGGGGTTAAAAATAGATATAAAGAGTGACGGAGGGTGTACACAGCGAAAAATGGGGACACATCGGCCCACGGTTCGGTTGTAGGATTGAAATGTTTGACTGTTTGTCTGTTCGTTCACTCGTCAGTGGTGCTGGTATCCTCGTACTTGGTGCCCTCAGAGGCTATACTCGTGGTGGATTGGTTGCGGGTTGACGTAACCTCGGAGAGGTTTTCCCGCTCCCTGGTCTTGTTCAAACGCTCCCGGAGTGTAGTTTCACGTAGTTTTAACTCTCTGGCCTTGCGCTCGAGCTCGGCGGCCCGTCTGGCCAGTTCCTGGGCATTCTGACGCTCCAACTCCTCGAGCTTGGCCTGCTTGCTGCGGAGTGTTTCGTGTCTCAACATGTATGGAACGGTCTCACTGATTTTCCGCAACTTCTTTGGGTCGATCTGGGACTGTGGCACCTGGTAGTGGCCGTTGAAGGACGAGTTGTTGCTGCCTAGAGAGAGCTGTGGAGAGATAGGCACGTTTTTCTCTGTGGCTGGGGCAGCCGGAGGCTTGGCCAGAGTAGACTGCGAGGCTGACTCGGAAAGACCCGAGTCCATGCTCTTGCGCTTGACGGCCTTGGACGTGTCGTCGTTTATCATGTCGTCGTCGTTGATCTCATCGCTGTCGGCGTGCTGGGTGTCGTCGCCTTCTTCCTGGATCGTCGACTTTGAGAGACTGGTGCTCAAGTCGTCGATCTGTCTCTTTGGGAGGTCAAACTTGGCCATCGATCTCGAATTGGCGATCTCAGCCAAGTTTGACATCGAAGGCGGCTCGCTGGAGTTGATCCCCCCGCTGACTGAGTCGCTGAAGTCGTTTTTCAAGTCCGCAACGCCGGACAACCTCTCTGTTCTGTATGCCTCGTACAGGAAGTCGTGGGTGATGTCCTTCAGCTCCTGGAGCTGGGAGCCGAGAAGCACGGACTTGAGGATGGCGAAGTCGGATATGCTTGTGTCGTTGATGTCGATTGTTCCCCAAGGGTACTTCCGGACACGGGTCTTTCTGTCGTCGATGACCGACTCGGTGTCGGAGGTGACGATGGCAAACGGCTGCAGCTGCGACAAGTAGCGGGATTCCTCGATCGCCTCCGGGTCTGTTTCGGACTCATCGGCCTGGAACTGGAACACGGGGATCTTGAACCGCTCGATGCTCTCGTTGATGTTTCTCTTGAAGTTGGTGAGCTCGGCCCGGGTGAACGAGTCCGCCCGCCCGATCACCGGGATGATGTTGACGTACTTGGACATCTTGAGCATCGTCTGCACGTCCAACTCCCGCAAGCCGTGGCCCGTGGGCTCGATGAAGTAGAGACACACGTGCACCCGGGTGTCCTCGAACCTCGGGTTTCTTCTCACCTTGGTCTCCTCCGCAAGCACAAAGTCGAACTGCTGCTCCAAAAAGTTGCAGATCTCGCTGATGCAGATGCTGTTGTCCAGGTTGTCGCCAAAGCCAGGCGTGTCGATCACCGTCAACAGGATCTTCGAGTCGTCCTCGTCGATGATCTCCACAGACGTCTCCGTGATCGCTATCCCGGGCTCCTGCGCTGCCAGCGAAGGGTCGAACGTCTGCTCCAGCTTCGACGCTGTCACCGCCGACAGGTTCGAGAACGTGATTGTCTTCGGAATCGTCTTGTCCGACTTCGTCTCGAACCTGTGCGGCAGGATGTTCTGGTCGAGCAACGAGTTCACAAACGACGTCTTCCCGGTTCCTTGGGGTCCTGTCACGAGCAGCGTGAACCGGATGCCCCTTCTGTTGTCCTTCTTTCTCATGTACGGTGCTACCATTGCTGCTACCGGACCTCTTCTGCACTCTGTGTCCCTCTACAACCCGGTCCGGCCCCCTTCTTGCCCCAACCTGTTCCTGCGTCCAGATCAACCAACCACACATGTAATGTAAACATCGACGACACGTCGCTCCTGCTGGCTCTCATCCTTCTCTCTGTCTCGGCGCGGGCGTTTCAACGCGTGGCCCGGATCACGTGGAAGTCTGGTGTCTTTTCCTGCCCTTTCCGGAGTTTGCCATCTCAGGTGACATTTGCCCTGGAAGTCTCTATTTCAATGCAAGAATGGTCTTCTTCTCTGCTCTGGCAAGTGGGAGAGCCTCAATGGGTGGTTTGCAGGACCTAAAAAGGTGCAGAAAGGTGCAGAAAGGCGTAAAAACACAGAGATGTCGTCCTTCAAAACATTATCTGCGAAATCGGCGGCAGCATTGGATGGGTCGTTGATGTCGACGTTGGGCTACAAGCTTGAACAGTTGATGGAGCTGGCAGGGCTCTCGGTGGCGCAGGCGGTGTACTCGGACTACAAGCCGGCGGAGTACCCGAATGTTGTGGTGTTGTGCGGACCCGGGAACAACGGCGGAGATGGGCTCGTGGCGGCACGCCACTTGTCCTTGTTCGGATACAAGAGCGTCAAGGTGTACTGGCCCGTGGTAGGTAAGAACGCGTTCTACGGGAACTTGAAGACGCAGCTGGAGCTCTTTGACATCGACATTGTGCAGGACGCAAGTGCCGGGGACAGCGGCGCCAGCGCTAGCGCCAGCTTGCCCAACTTGCACAGCGTGCTCCGGGACTCGAGCATCATTGTCGACGCCTTGTTTGGGTTCTCCTTCCATCCGCCGCTTCGCAAGCCGTTCGACTCGATCATCCTGGCCATGGTTGAACAGCAGCAGAAGCACGGCAAGAAGATATTTGCCGTGGACGTTCCGAGCGGGTGGGACGTTGACGAGGGGCCCACTGCCCGGTCCGGCACCGAGGAGTACATGCCGGACGCTCTGATCAGCCTCACGGCGCCCAAGCCGTGCTCGCTGAAGCTCGGCCCGGAGGTGAAGCACTACCTCGGCGGCCGCTTCATTCCTCAGTGTGTCGCAGACAAGTGGGACTTCCAGGTCCCCCACTACCAGGGCGCAGACCAGTACGTGAAGTTGGCCTCTCCTTGAACACCTACGGCCTCCCGTTTTGTGTTCGTCTTATTTCGTTCTGTTTCGTTTCTTATATAGTTGGTTAAAAATATATCACTTTATTTACGTTATAAAAAGATAACATGATAGTAAAAGGGAGAAAAGACAGGGAAGGGAGGAAATATAAAATACAAGGTGAGAGTGTGTTTCACTTTGCCAGTGCCCGCTGTTTGTGTGTAATGATAATATCCAGTCTATCATACTATTAAATGCGAGTCGGTGACCTCATCGATGCCAGTAGGTTTGAATATGAGTTATGAATGAAAATGCAGCAGAAGAAACGGAGCGAAAAAAGAAAAGATCATTGAATGAGAACAAGAACAAGAAAGGAGACAAGGGAAATTAAAAATGTAAAGTAAAGTAAAGTAAAGTAAAAATATAATTCAAAGTAAAAGGGAAAATCGGAAAAAGAGGATTTTCATAAAAGCAGTAAATGCATGAGATAGTTTATATTTGTTGGAAAAACAACGGCTCTATTACTGATATGGGAACTGCTGGCTCATGAAGCTAAATCCACCCATATTACCGACACTATTTATATTATTTGGATTGTTGAAATTCATGCTTGAGATGCTGGAGGCCTTTGTATTGATTCCACCTCCGTTCATAGAAGAGCCTGTCGTTGTTGGCAAAGAGTTATTTCGTTGGAAACTTCCCTGTGGGCCGGCTGGACTGCCTGTGTTGTTATTGTTATTATTGCTATTACTGTTCATCTTGTTCAAACCACCGCCGGTAGAAGTGCTACCGTTGCCAGTAATACCGTTCATGTTAGCTGAATTGGTGTTTGAAGTAGAAATGTTTGTATTATTTCTTCTTTGCTGGCCGGGTCCACGCACACCTAAAGGATTCTTACTGAAACTCAAACGGATGCCTCCCTTGTTATTTGAGGTCCCGTTCACACGAGGCAAGGTTTTACCATATAGTTCAGCTAAAGCTCTAGTTGCGAGAGCAACATCTTCAAACTCGACAAAACACATCGGGCCGTGGTGAGAGGTTATGCCATTGGTTTGCTTGGTCCTGAATGACAGTCTTTTAAAACCGGGCTGTGATTGGAACAAGGTACGTAGCTCTATTTCAGTAGTGTCTAGTGGTAGATTTCCAACATACAACGTATTGCATGGAGGGTTCTGATCTGCTGGATTGGCAGGTGGTGGTACTCTTGCTAATAGTGATAGTTCAGGAATGGCATTTGTATTCGATCCGGAATTTGAGTTCTGGCCGGAATTTTGAGGTTGTTGATAATGTCTCAGAACATCTAAGTTGTTATTATTGCTATTGTTGCCACTACCATTATTACTGTTTGCAATACTCGTGTTGATTGATAGATCATGGGAGTGTTGCCTATGTAGCTGTGTTTGCTTATGCAGATCATCATCAAAAGACCCGTTGGTAATACTATTACTTGTCAAGTTCAGCGAGTCCAAGTGTTGAGAATCCATAGGAGATTCCATCTTCTGCTGAGGAAGGCTTGGAATGGAGAATGTTGCCGAGGAAGGTGTGGTTAAATCTGTCATATTCAGAGACGTCGAATTAAAATAGTTGTTATTGTTGTTATTGGATGTATTCGCAGCCTGAGACCAGTCTGTAACTATTGGCGTTGGTAGGTTTGAGTTGTTATTGTTGTGGTTGCTGCTATTATTAATGATACTTGTGTTTATTTTGGCAGAGCTTGTAAGAGAAGGATCTGGCCTTAAAATTTTAGAGCTATTACTTGGAGTAGCCAAAGGAGTTGATGTTTCATTTGTCCATCCAGTGATATTACCAGTTGAAGTGTTCATTGCAGAGAAATGATTTAAGGAGTGGATCAGAGTGTTGTTCATATCGTTGGTTGGGTCTTGGATCTTGGAAATCTGTAGAGTTGGTGACGAAGGAGAAGACGATTGGTTGTTGTTTGCAGTGAATGGGTTCGAAAAAAGATAAGAGTTGTTAGATGCTGTGTTTGTGTTGTTCGTGGTGGAGGTGTTGTTATTTGTGGGGTTGCTGGTGTTGGTGGCGGTGGAGGAGTTCCCGTTGTTAACGATTTCACACTGAACGTTGGGGAATGCTGCGCCAAAGAGCGGCTTGCCGTTCAATAGCTGGTGGACCTGGCTTGCAATTTTAGGGGAGTAGAACTTAGAGAAGATGACAGGGGTGTTGGTGGCTGGTTCCTGGATGATATCGACAAAGTTCACGTCGTTCAAACAAAGGGAAAAGATTAGGAAAGCTTCTCTCAAGGAGATGTCTCTGGGGATATTTTTTATTTTCAAGATGGTGTAGGACGAAGTGGCAGATGAAGACGACAATGGGAGAGTGTTGCTCAAGGAGATTCTGTTCAGAGAGCTGGAGAGCTCTTCTGAGGATCTGTTTAATGCATATAATGAGGTCGACATGTTTTCAAGAAAAGGGTACGATCGAATGGAATAGAATTAGAGGGAATTAGCTGGATTAATATAGGGGGACAAATATTTCGGGGGGTGTGTTTGCAATGGAACAAGAAAAAAAATTTGTGAAAGGAAAACAAGGAAGGAGCTTCTCTTTTTTTGTCTTTTATTATAACAAAGGGACTAGTATACAAATATTCGGAGGGGACAAACGTTGGTTGTGGGTAACGCGAGATATGATCGATGGACTTCCACTTGTACTGTCTGTCTGACTGTCTTGTATTGTATGTGTTGTGTGTGGACTAGGACCTAGCGGGGGGTGGTGTCGGGGTGGAATGAGAGGTGTGATTAGAGAGCGTGGGCCACGGGCATGCAAGACTTGAGAAACGGGGTGTTCAGGTCGGGAGGGGGTGGCAGAGGGTGTGGAGATAGTGTACACAGGTGGGTTGGTTTTTCCGGGTACGAGCTGGTTCAACTGGCCGCAGGATAGAAAAAAAAAGTACGGGGGGCGTGCTTGTTGGTGAAGCGTGTAGTTGATGGAGGGCTGGGGGCTGCTGCACAACAAGTGTGTAGAGGCTGTGTAGGAGAGTGTGTGTATGTGTGTGTAGTGGTGCCTGGGCAGAGAACTAGGTGTGCGTGCGCTTGCGGCGGCGGGACGACGACCTGTGAGGAAGGAAATGGGGTACGACAGTGGGCCAGACAGGGTTGAGGGGGGAAACGAGCAGTGGCAACAGCGGCCGGGAGGATTAGTACCAGAGCAACACCAACAATAGGGAGACACAACGGCGAAAAAGCAAACCGCAAGACGGCGACGGCGACGCACGCCAGCGCTGGCCAGACCGGCTGCGCAGACCGCCCCGCGCAGCGAGGGGGCTGGCAGGAAATGCGTCTGTCCGAGCCGGATCGGGCACCGACCCCAGTTGGGCTGCTGCGGCGCAACTAGCTCCGTTTCGTCGCGACGGCGGTGCGGCGGCTGCAGGCGACGCGGTGCACGGGTGCATGCTTGGCGGGGCCACGGCGGTTGCAGGGCACTCTGCCCACCCTGGGGCGTCACTGCCGGCGCAGCGCAGCACATGCTGCGCAGAGGTTGGCGCGGGCGGGTCCATGGTGGGGCTGCGGCGAGGGGCTGCGATCTGCGCTTGTGCGGGCACTAGTGCAGTGGTCCTGCTGCGTCTTATCGGAGAGAGAGAAAAAGGGGGCAGTGGCAGGGCGCTGGTGGTGTTGGCAGGGGCAGGGGTGGGCACAACACGGACTTGAGACAGATAACATTTGCGTGGCCACTCCGCACAGGGGGACCGCAGGCATCGCAGGCACTGCGGCCCGTGGCGTCCTGTGGCGGCTGCCGCTGCCGCAGCCGCTGCTGCTGCTGTGCAGCACATACACTAGCCCCGTCAAGGCGGCGCCAGAGGCGGCTTCCCTGTGCGCACGTCTTTGCGCCCTCTGCGGGCAGCACACACGTTAGCGAAGAAACAGAGACCCGCCCACGTAATTTGTGTCGAAAAGGGCAACCCGCACGCCTTTTAGACCCGTTTTTCCTCTACGGGGCTCACGGCCACACAGAGCCGAGCCAGCTAGCAGAGCTAGCTCAGCCCAACTAGATGGCTCAGATCAGATCAGATCAGATCGATCAGCTCCCGTAGCTGTCGGGGCCAGTCCGGACGGGACTAGCCGCAGGCCTGCCCCCGCCTCCGCCGCCTCCTGGCCGCCTCCTGGCCCCCTCTTGGCTGTCTCCGTCCTGCCTGCCTCCCTTATCTCCCCCTTGTGCTCCCTCCCCGTGCTCCGGTTATAAAAAGAGCAGGTTCCATCCCTCTCGTCCTGTCGCTCTGTGGCAGCTGTCCTACGCTGCACTGTTGTTTCCTGCCCCCACACACCCCACCTCTGTCCCCAATCCTTCCCGCCGTTCACGTCAGAGAGGGCCCTTATCACATTCCACCACAGTCTGTCACGTAAGCATGTCAGAAAACAGAAAAACAAAAAGATCCGGCTCCAAGCAGAGACACAAAGACTCGGCCTACTCCAAGTCGGGCTCCAGAGCAAACGCGTCGTCGGCAACGTCCAAGCAGCAGTCGCAGCGGTCGAAGCAGCAACCCCAGTTGTCCAGAAAGACACAGAAGCCATTCTCCCCTTCGTCGTCGTCGTCGTCGTCGTCCGTGTCGTCCCTCTTTGCAAACAATGCAGCGTCCTCGTGCAGGCACGAAGATGCGGCTCCGGAGGAGCCGCTTGCCGTGATCGACGCCTCGTCGTTGATCTCGCTCTGCTCCCCGTTTGTGGTGCCAGAAAGCAGCCACAGACTAGCCCCCAACAGATACGGCAACAGCACAGACATCGACTTGTCCGTCATCTACGGCTCGCTCAGCGAGAAGCCGCTTTGCCCAGCCGCCCCGGACTACCACATGCTCGGCAAACAGAAACTCTTGTCCACCCTCATGGACAACTTGAGCCTCATCGAGAGCGACAGCGCCCTCGTCCGGCTGGAGGGCTTCTCCATTGACAGCGGTAGCTTGTCCGAGTCCTGCGTCTTGAATGACTCCGACTCTGATTACGACTCCAACATAGACTCAGACATAAACTTGATCGACGAGGCAATCCTCTCCTCCAACAACAACCAAACGGTCCTGATCCCTTCTGCATTCGACAAACCAAGCACCACCCTCAGCGAAGTCAGAATCAACAATACCCCGCTTTTTTAACTGACAGATATTTACAGACTATTTCTTATCGTCATCGCCCACCGCCTTCCGCCTTCCGCCTATCGCTCCGTCTTCCTTTTACTTCTGCACGTTCCATGGATATTTTTTTTTCTTTCTTTTTCTGAGTTACAACTATGTATATATATATATATATACATCTAAATATATATCACCTATATATCTACTCCTCTATATCCTCTTATGTATAAGCTTTCTATCCGAACACTTTGCTACCTTTCTCTCCCGCCTTACAACACGCGCAAAACCTTCACAAGCTCAAGATCCTCACTGTTTTTCCCCCGAACACCAGCTGCGCTGCTAGCCTTGTCTTCCTCCTCAATCAACATCCTCGTACCTACCATCCAATCTGACCTGAACACATCACTGACCGTCCATCTTTTGTGTGGATTTGGATTCATCATATTCGTAACGACAATGACAACGTCATCCTTTACACTCTTCAAGCTGCGGCCCATAACGTCCTCGCTCCCAAACACTCTCTTTATATCAAATCCTGTCTTAAGTGAGTCGAGCTTTTTTGCCGTAAACAAATCTCTGTACCTCTTGTAATCGCAATCGTCATCCACTGCACACCGCCATGGCTTGTTCAAGAATTTCATCTGATAGTACAACACGGCTAGAGACCATACATCCGTCGCCTTCAGCATATCTGCATCAAACTTCTCCCTGACCTTCATAATCTCTGGAGCTTTGAACGACGTGGTCCCCCTGTTCAGAAAATAGTGCTCATCAATTGGATAATCCTCGATCCTGTTTAAGTCTACTGCATATCCAAAATCAGCATACTTTAAACATCCTTCTTCATCAATTAAAATATTCTCCGGCTTGATATCCCGATGGACAATCCCTTGCTGGTGAAGATATTTTAAACCTTGCACAAGCTGTGCAAATATGGCATCCTTGAACAAGGAACTCGTGGAAATGTTCTTTTTCCTGATTCCAGTAGTTAATCTCAAAAGGTCAGAGTTGGAATAGTAATCAAGTAACAAGCAAACGTCAATAGGTTCACTATTCAATTCGACAGGATTTTGCTCATCGGAAGATTTAACATTGTCATTAATGTCATTCCCATCCATACTGTAGAAGCTCCCATCATCGTCTTCTCCGTCGTCGTCTTCATCTGCCTCGGCGTCATCATTATGTTCAACCCCATAACGGAACAATCCATGCACGGATGAGACATGCTTTGATTTTAAGCTCGCGAGAATGAGATATTCATTCAATGAGTCAAACGTGTACATTGGTCTTAATATTGGTTTTGCTTCTTCGTTTTCCTCCCCTTCATAATCTTCTCCATCCTTCCCTTGCTCTCTGCCTTTCTTGTTTTCGTCCTCTCCCTGTTTGTTCATTGGTTTGAAAGTCTTGAAAGATGAATTTGATCTCGATCGAGTTGAATCCAAGGACAAGCTTTGCATACTTGAGCTCAGCTTGGACGAGCTCGGGCTTACAAGTCTGCTTGGAGAACGATAGGCAGCAGACAGTATAGGACTGTAGCGCTGGTTTTTGAATGCAGGGGTTTCTGTAGGCTGAGGAGAGCGGATATTGGTTGGTGTCGCTGTTGTTGTAGTAATACTACTCCCCGACCTTTCAAAATTGACGTGAGAGTGTGTTCTTGAAAGTGATGCTGAACCAGAAAGGTTACTTCCATGGAAATCAGTGGTTGAAATGTGGCTAGAAGAGATAGAACTGGACTCTTTACTCTTTCCCATCATTACTTCACTTTTAAGCAACTTCACCACATAACTTTTGCGGTTGGTCCTACTTTTGGCTTTCAAGATCGAACCGCTGGACCCTTCGTCTAGCGACTCGATTGTATCCATTAATATATATTCCGAGAGATAAGGAATATCTAAGTTGTTTAGTTTCCCCGGGTCGTTTGTCTTGCAAACTTTGAGAAGTTCATCTCTGTTCGGCTGTTTGAAGATCAAGTCAGCAGCAGGTTCAGTGTGCTGTGTTTGAGGTGAGGATGAAAAGCTGTAACTTGAGCTGGCCGAACTCACTGTTCGTTGAGATGAAAACGACTGTGTTCGCTTCCGGGAGGATTTCTCGCTGGAATGTAAAAACAAGTGCATGATAGGACTCTCTTGGGACTCCTTCTTTCTTTATGTCGACTAATGTATGGTTGATGCTATATCCATAACATACCTTGGGAGATTCACACACCCAGTTTTTTGGTATAGCTAGGATCTTGAGGCTTCAAGATACTATGACAGATAGAAAAAGGATCGGAAACTTCTGGTGCTTCGACGTTACTCTGCAGCTCAGCTTGGAAAGATTCAGCAAAAAAGAGACTCTACCGAATAAGGTTCAAACGTTTTTGGAAAGAGATTTTGGAAACCGGATAATACTTGCTTTCTGACCGACCCCAGGCAACTTCTTCCTACCCCAGATGTCCCCGGAATTATTCCGACGTCAACAGCGTGCGGAGATGTACACAGAGACAAAAAACTTCTCCTGCCGTTCCTACTCTTACGTAAGCGCTCTTGTGCCCGGGCCGAGCATCAACGGAGGAGGATCGTGAACTTGGCGGAACCATCCATGCGCTTGGCAAGAGCCACACGAGACAAATGTTTTGGTCGTGATGACAGATAGTGGAGGCTCTGAATAGTCGAAAAAAACAAGCCGTGTGCCAGTGAGAAATACAACCGCAGGAGGAAATGGAAAGCTCAAAATGGCAGAACTTATTGCATCAACCTTTTCTAGTCAAAGCAGCACGGGAACCTCTACGAGGGATATGAATTCGCCAACCTTCACCAGCATCGCATCATTGTCTATAACCACACCAGCAGCGACGCTAGCGCCAAAAGCAGGATCAGAGTCCCCGTGGTTGATTCTCAGACTCATCGATTCTTTTTCTCTAGCAGTGCTGCAGCAGTCAAAGGAGTCCGGGATAAATGGGAACATGAACGACGGTACCAGTACGTTCTTATCCTACTGGATGTCTCCGTTCGCCATGATGTGCATGATAACTGCAGTTGTGATGAATCGGGTGGTAATTTTTGCATCTTCGAGGAGGCATAGAAGGTTGCCGTATATATCCAACGTCTTATTGAGGTCTTTTGCCATTTACATTCTCTGTTTGGGAAGCTATGGTCTCTTTGTCAGCTTGAAGTGCTACTGTCACAACCCACTCATACAATACATACTGCAAGCAAATTGCTTCACATTTGATAGAGAAAAGTTTATGAGCAAGACATTCCTCTCCGTGCCGTTTGGAAGCAATGTCTACGAGGGATTCCTCAAGCACACCAACGAAATGGAAATCGGACCAACAACCTCTGTATTAAAAGGCTTTCACTTATCATTGTGCATAAGTCAAATTTTGGACACCTTTATTGCAGTGGCATCCGGTACAAAGCCATCGTTGGAAACGGGTATCACCTTATTCGAGTACTCATTGGCTTTCCAAGAAGCTCAATTTGCTTCCAAACCATCGGTGGAACTATTAACAATTGCTTTGATTGCCCTTACAAACCAACTAAATATTCATTTCCTAGGCTTATTCAATCTGATACAATACAAGCTAATACCGTCTTCTATCCTCGGCCTTTTCACACTATCTTTTTATGCTTACAATATATTCACAGGAAACATTTTGAAAATCCCATTCATTATTATACTTGGATACTTCCCCCATTTCTGTGTTTTACTAGTCATTATGTTGAGTGAATCAATATTTTTGCTTTCCGGCATAATAAGATTTTCTTTCAAAGATCTAACAATGATGAGCCTTCTGGAAAATTGGAATTCGGTCAACATTTCACTTTCTGATGATTTCTACACTGCTTTGATCAACTTTGGAGAATTCGTAATCAACATTTCCATATCACAGTGTTATATACAAGAAACTTCTAACGTGAAGTTACCAATAGACAACTACATAAACATGCAGTTGTCAGAATTAAAAAAGGAAGAAACGAAGGAAATAAACGGTTATGGAAACGAGTTTAAAAATAACCCGGAGTTAATTGATCTTTACAACAGCGACAAGAGAAACGAGATGAAGAAAACTAACAAGCGCAAGAGATCCTGGATTTTTGTCACCAGGTTGAAAATGCTGAATAAGGTAGCCTTCAAATTTCTTGAGCTTATAAAGGTCAAGATCATAAGTGTCATAGGGAAAAAGGCTAAAGACTCCGACGGCACTGCTCTTGATGAAACTGTGACCCGAACCAAATCCATAATAAAATATCGGATTGTTCCAACTGATAAAGGTGGCTTTGTGTATGCAAGTGATGAGTTTGAGTCTGTCGATATTGATAACCTGAGTGTGGCAGACATCGAATCTTCTTATCCAGAGCTATTGATGAATGCAGACCTTCTTGAAAGCGATAACTCGCCCGATTACGATTATGAAGAACTAGATGATGAGAATTATCAAGAGTCAGACAACGAGAGTGACATCGATGATTCATCTGAGACAGGTCACCCGGGAGAAAACTCCAATCTTGAATTCAGATCAACCACTCAATCTGAAAATAATGATACCCCTGAAGTGCTGAATGAATTGATTACGTTGCCAGATTTGAAGAATCTGCTCTTTCCGTCACCAGCAGGCAATCCGATCACCAACCAGATATTGAGTTACCATTTGCAACACCTCAATGAGCCTGTTTCACACTTGACCAGATCGTATTTTGCCAAATATTATGTGGATGATATAAAACTACTTGACCTACTAAAAGAGAAACACAGACATCGCGCGCGTGACGATACGAGCTGTGTGGGTGAAAGGGAGCTCGATGTACATTGCGAAGATCTCGGAATCTGTGTGATATGTCATGAGAATTCAAGACAAATCATTTTGTGGCCTTGCAAATGCTTGGCGATATGCGAGAATTGTCGTATCTCCCTCTTCGTCAGAGAGTTCGCAACTTGCGTGTGTTGCCGGCATCCTGTTGAAGGCTACAGCAAAGTCTACATCCCTTGACATGTGTGATCTTGCTTTCCCCAAGCTTTCATGTATATTCCTTCCTCGATCTTTCTTATTTGATTCAGTTTATAAAGTATAATAGAATGAATGTTCACCTGGTGTCCAAAACGAAAAAAACGTCGATCGGCTGCTGGCTGCTTACGTGAGACTCACGTCGCTTGAAACCGCCAACAAAAAGCGCCTGTTTGTTTACCTTTTTCAAGTGCAGAGCGAATGAAATGGGAAAAAGTCAAACAAAATCACCTTTGGAGTTGAAGCAATAGGTTTTCCACAAGGAGCAGAGGACGAACACCAACACGAACCTGTTTTAAGAGTGCTGACCAAGAACAAGAACTGCCTGGTGACCTCATAGAATAGATTCTGTATACCTTATATTATTCTGTGCTGTTTCCTTTTGAAATTTTGGGCAAAGGATTAATCAAAACATGAGAGAAATTGTATGTGTTGTTCATTCTCAATTGATAACTCATTGCATGCACTAGAAATCATAGACGGCGTTGGGCAAAGTAAGGTAAAAACAGCATTTAGTTCTTCTTGTTAGAAGGACTGGGAGAAGAGCTGTCATTCCCAGCTTGCCACAATACACGCTTTATGTGTACTGTTTGCTGCATTTTGCCTGAATGTTTCCAGCCCAGCAACTTACTGGTATCAGTGCTCATACTATGATAATAGTTCAAATAATTGAAAAAGCAGCTTCCATCAACGTGAAACGAATACTAACAATCTGTTTTTTTCTTATCTTTTTCTTTTCTGCTTCAGATTCACTTATCTACAGGTCAATGTGGTAATCAAGTTGGTGCCGCGTTCTGGGAAACTATATGTAACGAGCACGGACTTGATCCAAATGGTAACTACCATGGAACTTCCCCATTGCAAAAGGCGAGATTGAATGTTTACTTCAACGAAGCTTCCAGCGGGAAGTACGTTCCAAGAGCAGTTTTAGTTGATTTGGAACCTGCCACAATTGAGGCTGTCAAGTCATCGAAGTATGGTAACTTGTTTAGACCTGATAATCTGATCTACGGTCAGACATCGGCTGGTAACAACTGGGCAAAGGGTCATTACACAGAAGGTGCAGAATTGGTAGATTCTGTCATGGAAGTCGTTAGAAGAGAAGCGGAAGGCTGCGATTCTTTACAAGGTTTCCAAATCACGCACTCTCTAGGTGGTGGTACTGGTTCTGGTATGGGTACCCTATTGATCTCTAAGATCAGAGAGGAGTTCCCTGACAGAATGATGGCCACCTTCTCGGTGATGCCATCGCCTAAGGTGTCAGACACCGTTGTTGAGCCTTATAACGCTACCTTGTCGGTTCACCAATTGGTAGAAAATGCAGACGAGACATTCTGTATTGACAATGAAGCATTATACGACATTTGTGTTAGAACTTTGAAGATTCCTCAGCCATCATACGACCATTTGAACAATTTGGTTTCTTCGGTGATGTCTGGTATCACAACTTCTTTACGTTTCCCAGGGCAATTAAACTCAGACTTGAGAAAATTGGCTGTTAATTTGGTTCCATTCCCAAGACTTCATTTCTTCATGGTGAGTTACGCTCCATTGACGGCAGAAGGCTCGCAGTCTTTCAGATCCTTAACTGTTCCTGAATTGACACAACAGATGTTTGATCCTAAAAATATGATGGCAGCTTCCGATCCAAGAAAGGGTAGGTATTTAACCGCTGCAGCATTTTTTAGAGGTAACGTATCAGTCAAAGAGGTTGAAGACGAGATGCATAAGGTTCAAACCAAAAACCAAGACTACTTTGTGGAATGGATTCCAAACAATGTTCAATCTTCGGTTTGTTCTGTTCCACCAATTGGGTTGGATATGTCTGCTACTTTTATTGGAAATTCGACATCTATCCAAGGATTGTTTAGAAGAGTTGGTCGTCAATTTACTGCTATGTTTAAAAAGAAGGCTTTCTTACATTGGTACACATCCGAGGGTATGGACGAAATGGAATTTACAGAAGCTCAGTCCAACATGAATGATTTGGTTAGTGAATATCAACAGTACCAGGATGCATCGGGCCTTGACGATGACCTTGACTACGATGAACAAAATCAAATGGATGAAATCTAAAAAATGCGTCAATCATTGATCTTTTTTCTATTCTTTTCTCTGTCTTCTATTCACCTTGCCTTCATGATCTTTTAATTTCCCCCACTTTCTTACTCCCTTTTTTATTTTACTAAACTACACCTTTTGATTCCACCTTTTTTATTTCTTTTTCTGGCTTTTTGAGATGTGTTCTGGTCTTTTAGAACTATTTGTTTTATATATTTATTCGGATCCAGTTCAAACCCGATATCCCACCCTCTTCTCTTTTTCTGACCGGTTGATATCTCAAACGGTCTATCCTTTCTCTTTTAAATGTATCTCTATAATCTAATAAATTTATATTTTGGCTCTTATGCGCAAATTGAAGAAATAAGAACTAGTGTGAAAGTCAAAGGCGTGTCTCTCATCTCTCTCTCTCTTTTTCTCGGGGAAAAACAACAATTTCGCAATGATGATGATTCTCTGGCTTGAGCTTTACTGCACCGCATTTTTAGCATTCATAACCCAATGAAGCACAACACAGATAAACGCAATTGACTTTGATACTAATTATTGAATTCAACAATTACGTGTAATGTTCTGGCCTACCTCAATAAGCCAGTTTCATAAGTTACCAGAAGTTGAATCGCTAGAGGAATTGGGAAAATCGAATCCAGACCACACCTATAAGCCCAACCCACATGAAGACGATATTGTTAACATTTTGACGAACTATTCAAATGGACTACCTTATGTCGTTATTACTTATAGATCAATTTATTTATTTGATTGGACACATAAAGCCCCTGTGAATGTTCATATAAGGTCAGATTTTTCTGTCGAAAAATTTGGCTCTAATCTTACCGTCAAACTATCGCCAAACCAGCAGACATATGCTGTGTTGACAGATAAAAACGTTATTTTGGTGTACACTATTAAAGCCACTGGAAGTGATAGTGAACTTTTAGGTGTTTACTCCAAAAGTGGGACAATAATACAAAACGGCTACCCATTGACGGAGTATGAAGATGATCCTTATGTATATGGAGGAGTGAACTCGAAATTTAGTTCGAAGGCAGGAGATCAAAAGAACGGTATAGTGAAAAATATCATAAGCACATTTATTGGGATTGATGGAAATGAAGTCCCAATTGTTGATCTGGGTCTTCGTTTGAAACTAATTTTGAATGTTGCAAGTCCGATTGTCCAATACTGTTTTATTGGTAGTATGGAGTTAATGCTGATCAATTCAAACCCTCATGCTTTTCAAATAATACACTTGAACTCCAAGAATTCCATTGACAAATTTACCTCGAGCGATAATAACCAAAGTTCTACTGAATCTAGCAACGAGATCAATTTCATTTTGGCAGATGAGCTAGACTGGTTCCAAGCTCCAGAAATCAACAACAAAAGCGAAATATCAGATATGAACTATAACTATGACTTAGACTGCTTTCTCTGGTATAACAAACAAGGCGATGTACTACTTGTCAAACGAACTGGGAGTACTGGAGACTTTGAGTTATCTGCAAAGTGCGTGTACAAATGTGAAACCAATAATGAAAAAGCCATTGAAGGGATTATCAACCACTTCAAAAACGTTTGCTACATATTATTAGAAAATGGAAAGTTGTTGATATACAAGCTAAACGATGATTTGACATGTAAGCTACTCAAGACAGTTGACAAATGTATTCCATCGAAAACTCCGAAAGCACTATACTTGAGCCCTCAAGGAGACTCAATTATTGTAGTGTATGATAATGGCTGGAACATTTATTCAGCCTTGGGGAACCAAAATTTTTCCACTTTTGAATATGACCACTTTTCACTATCTCACATCAAGAAGCTTCAGTTTTTAAGCGAGAGAGAGTTATTAGTGGTTAATCAAAACAATGAAATTATTTTTATAGACCTCACAGTTTACAATATTGGTCAGGGGTTTAACTCTTTATCAATAAAAAGACCAATCCTTTATGACAAAGACAAAATAATGGTTTTCAAGGCATACGAAAAGAAACTAGTTGACCACCACCATTACAATTACAATGTGAATGATGTTACTAATAGAGATACCGATGTTTGGTTGAGCGAAATGCTACCATTAAGATTCAGGATCAATAATAATATCATTCGATCATGCTCAGTCAGTGATGACGGCAATAATGTTTGTATTATTGGAAATTATGATGTGATTGTATTTAGCAGTTTCTCTCGTAGATGGAAATTCTTAGAGATTCCTCAAGAATCTGCAACGTTTGAGAAAACAGAAATACCCATGAAGAAGTGTTCCTGGTGGAGAGATTATCTTATTGTTGGGTCATCCAGTGGAAAGGAGAAAAAGAAATCTGAAGTCGTTATATTTTCAGACAGAATTTTGTCTGAAGCTGAGAGTTTTTGTTTTGATTTCATTGTGTGGAGCTTCAATTTGGAAGATACATCCTTTGATGAGGTTTTCCTTGATTTTAATGTCGATATTTACAATGACCAATTACTTGTAATGACCAATGCTTTGAATTGCTACACATGGAGGCTTAAGTTGAAAACAAGTGCAACGACTAAAGTTGAAGGAGATCACCAAATCAAAAAAAGCACAATGCATGATTCTTCATTAACCTCTTTGAAGTCATCTATAACGTTGGAGAAATCTACCGTTTACCAATTAAAAACTTGTTTCAAAGAATCGGATGAATCAATAGCCCTCAATTATGGAACTGTATTAAAAATCACAGACACGGACATTCTCTTTCTCACCAATACTGACCTATACTATATTAGAAGGGAGAGAACTCCTGGTAGTATGTCGTTTGCCTATGTGACTTACTTAATAAGTAGTTGCGTTGAGTACGTGCACAAGCTAAATAACAGTTTGATATGTCTATTTGATGGATCACAACTGATACACTACAACTTGAGCGACAACATCAATCTACTGAAGTTAAAGCCTATCAGAATCAGCATAGGCAATGATATCAGCCAAAATGACGGTGGGGGTTACTCTGTTAAATATACCGGAACTTGCCCATATCCAATTACCACAATATCGTTTCAAAATATAATGTTTGGTATTGAGATTGATTGTTTCAACAAATTGAAGCTCAAGCTGGAAACCAGCAGAAGGAATTATCTCACTGATTTGGTCAATCACTACATTTTATCCAACATTTCTGTGAAAAACCTCGAAGATGATTCTAACGCCATGAACATCACTACTGTTTACGGGAAATTTTCAAAGTTTAAAAACTTCAAGTTTGTCCTCGAAAAATTGATGGTGGATTATTTACAGAACTGCTACGAGGATCCGAAATTTGATTCGGACAATGATTATTTTAACCGAATTTACTCGTTGATCAATCTGACAGGGAACTCTTACGAGATTGTTCTCAATTGCTTGAAGAAAACAGAGACTCACTTTTGGCCAATATTCTTCAAGAAATCAAACGAGACGCCGAGGTCTGTGGTCAATAAGCTATACACTGACTGTAATGATCATAAATTGAGTGCTCATTTCTTTATCATCATGTTAAACTACGAGAAATATGACTATAGCAGTGAGGATAACGAGTGTTACCCTGGAGAGAGCAAGCCCCAAACATCCAAAAAAGAATCATGTAACATTAGTGCTGAAGATCAAGACCTCATTTTCAATATTTTGAAAAGATTGATTCTCTCAGGGGATTTCGAGACTTCGTTTGAGTTGGTCCGTTTTTTGAAGATTGTCGATGACAAAATGACACATAAGTGTTTAGTGAAGATGAAAAAATACTTGAAACTTGATCAATAAATAATTTCCTTACTATCTATTTGGAGTGTGTGTACTATTAACAGCCTTGTTCACGATGCGTATGTATATGTGTATGTATGATATTAACGTATATTATAATAGCTTATATAAACCTATATGATAATAATAGAAGCTGGTAGGTAAATAAATAATGGGGAGGCAATAATAAACCGTTATCGATGGAGTGGATGAATAAATAGAACATGACAAAAAGGAAACTTAGTTGGCACCCTTTAAGAATTTTTGCACAAAGCTGTTGCCACTGGTGGTGCTGTAGTGTTCGAAGTCCTCAAAGTATTGCATGACATGACATTGTTGTTTCCAGAAATTGACCAACTCTTGGAACTCCATTTGGCCTTTCATGTAGAGAACGTTCTTGGTGGCAAGATCTTGAACAAATCTGTGTCTTTCAAACTCCTGTCTGATCTTGGTCTTGACTTGGTATGCTGGGATGTCTAAATCATAACTGTTGACAAATTCCCTCGAGTGTCTGAGGTATCTTCTGTAAAGGTTCAACACACGGTATCTGAGATCGGCGCTGGTGGTGGAGAATCTTGTGGTTTCGGCAAATGCAGTAGGGAATGTCATTGCGGCGGCGGTGGCTTGGCGTCAACTGTCGAGTTGCTGACGGATGCTTTTCTTCTGGCTTCTGTCATGATTCTCTCCTAGACCAATCATGATAGAGACGAACCAAGCAACAAACGTGAGGATTCCCCACTTGCGAGAAAAAGCTGAAAACCGTCTGGTGCACGGGCACTACTGCAGCAGTTGACGTTTTCTCCCCCCGCGACTCGTTTTCTGTCGCATCTCCAGGATGATAAACACCGGGGCGGAGCTGCAAGACGTATCGGTTTTGAAGCTATAGACAGGCTGGTGAGAAGGAGACCCGATTCTGCCTCGGAAATGCAGTAGCACACGGGCAGGAGCACCGGGCAACATTCTCTGTTTGCAGCGGTGACAAATATGGAGATTGCAAAGAAGTTTAGTTGCAAAGTGTACCAGCAGCCGGACGTGTTCACATTTTGTTTGGGCTTTCTGTTAGCGATTGGAATATTTGTGTCCTATGTGCCACAACACATCAAGGTCATCAAAAGACGGTCGAGTGAAGGTCTCTCGCCGGCGTTTCTTCTTCTCGGCTCGCTTTCTGCGTTCTCGGCGCTTATGAACATCTTCATTGTAACGATTCCGGCCAGACGGTGCTGTGTGGCACAGTTGAACACTTACCAATGTGCCAATTCACTGGTTGGGTTTGTGCAGATTCTCCTTCAAGCCGTGGGTTACATTCTCATATTTGTGCTATGCGTGTTTGGCACGAAGCACTCGATACGGGAGTCGAAAACCAACCACCATAAACTCACGCTCAATTTCTACATTTTTGTTGCCAGTGCCTTGCTTGACGTCCTCTTTGTTGTCTACCTCTTCCAGATAGATAAGAAAGGTGGCATGGAGTCTTTACTATTTTTTGCCGACATCAGTGGAGTTATTTCCACCGTGCTTGCTATCATCCAGTACATTCCCCAGATTTATACTACTTTCATGGTCAAACACGCCGGTAGTCTTTCTTTACCTATGATGTGTTTGCAGACCCCGGGTGGATACGTCTGGTCTTACAGCCTCTACTCGCAACCGAATTCTCAGTGGAGTTCGTGGCTACCATACTTTGCAGCCGCAAATTTGCAGTTAGTCTTGCTGCTAATGTGCGTGTACTACAAAATGTACTTTCCCACAAAATTGACCGAAGCAAACGCGGAGCTACGAATAGCAGAGGAGAATATGTCCCATTCTATCTCTCATGCGGACGAAAATACATCACTAATATAACAGGTGGGGAAGTTTTATATTCTCTCGTTGAACATTTTTCCAACGTTGAGAACACTCGAAATGTATTCATACACATTACTAAACAGAAATGGTTTTCCAGATATTCAATCCATCAGTACCAGTACTCACCAAAGTACCTGGTATTTGCTTATGCCATCTAACATCCTTGACGTCCTTTTGCCAATGCACAAACAACAACTGTGGTGGAATATCACTCAATTCCTTCATTTCTTGTCTCTGTTGTGCGATCTCTTCATCATCTGCTTCAACAGCCAAATCCCAAAGCGTGACGGTGTTGTCTTCGGATGAGACGGCAATAATGGATTCGTCCAATGGGTTGAAAGCAATCGACGTTATTGGAGATTTGTGGAAGTCGTAGGAAACAACAGGAGAAGGTTGGGTGTTTGGCTGGAAATTCCTGAGATCCCAAACTCCCCAGGTACCATCATCATGGCCGGACGCCAATAGGTAATCGATTCTATCACACCACGAAATAACATTGACATCACTCTTGGAAGCAACAACACTCAACGCAGGCTTGTGCTTTTTTGATCTTGTGTCCCAGATTCTCACATACCCATCAACTCCAGCAGTAGCGAAGACGGTTTTCTCTGATTTCGACCATTGAATATCCTCAATGGATGAATCATTGACTTGGTACGGTGTACGGTCAGTGACCCATTTGCTGTTATTTCTCGTTGTGTAATAGACTCGACCAGTAATATCACCGGAAAGTAATGATCCTTCCTCGGTTGAAGACCAATCCAAACCATAGCCTTCCACGTTACCGTGGTTTTTTACTATATGTACAGGCCTCTTGCTTTGTTTTGGAATGACATAACCAGGAGTGTCAAACGCTTTGAATTGTGATGAAACATCAAAAACATAAACTTCACCGCTTTCAGACATGGTGGCTGTCAAATATTCGTTGGTCTTCGAGGCCCACGGACTGACTCTAAGTCTGTTGGTAGTATGTTTCAATGGTATACTTTCACTCTCAAGAACAGAGCTGTATTGTTCATCATCGTCATCGTCCAAGTCAGAATCATTTTCATCATCTTCAGATTTGGCTTGAGTTTTTGAGAGGGACGACAGTTTCATGATTATCATTTCGTTATCCTTCGCTTTTGATGCTTGAGTAGCTGTGGCTACATACATTTTTGCAGGATAACTTCTTCTCTCGTCTCCATATCTATCAGGTAGTATGTCAAGCGTCAGACATGGCCATGGCATATTTACATTGTGTAGCATTTCATACACAGTTGGATCTGCTTCCAAAACTTCGTCTGGTCCCAACGGTCTGGATCTGTGAGGTAAATACAGGGCATTTTCTTCCTCCTTTGAAGCGTCTCCTTCGTTTGGCCCGCTTTGTTGAACTTTCCCTATCAAGCCATCAACGTCGGCTGCATTTTCTAGCTCTTCATCGGATTGATCTAATTCAATGATTTCTCCTTCACTTTCATAATCATCTCCTGACAAGTTTTCCATTTCACCTTCAATACCTAGCTGTTTCGCCATATCATCATTATCCAGTTCAACATCGATAGGCTTTGCTGCCGTATTTTTTTTGGCAATTGAGCCGCTCTCTTCTATACCTGAAGCACTTCTTTTCGACATGTTAACCTTGCTAAAGGATTTCGGACTCTTTTGGTGATATGTGTATAAATATGGTTTATCTCACAATACGAATAGAAGCTGACCAAAAAAATGGTCTGAAAAAAATTTTATCCTAAAGCCAAAAGTGGAATACTTCTTCTCCTGCAACAAAAACTGTTGTCGCGTATTCTTGACATGTACTATCTATCCGTTTCCCCCTTACTGGAAAATGTTTATAGTAACTAACTAGACAGTACTTAACAAAAAATGAAGGATGCAACGTGATTAAGTTATGGCCTTTTTGAGTAGCAATAACAATGAACAGATTGACATTCCTTGATCAGGAACCTCCTCCGGGATATATTGCCGGTATTGGCAGAGGTGCCACTGGTTTTGTCACTCAGGCTGATCTAGGTTCAAGTAGAAAATTACCAATAGTATCTTTCGAAAAAAAAAGTTCGGAGGATGATGATGGCAACGACAGGCAAGAGCCTGGTGGAATTTTGAGTGAGGCCGGGCAATTTGAAGATGCTAAATTTGATCTAAAGCCTTCGGGTTTAACAGGAGACAAAGAAGATATAGAAGCAGATAGCATCTACGACGAGGTCGAACGATATCTGGAAAGGAAAAGGAAGAAAAAACAGAAGAGTGAAGCTCCAAAAACTGATCTGGATACTGGTGTACTAGCCAAGATTGAAAGTACAGGTAAAAGCATTCAAGGTATCGCAGGTCAATTTGAAGATGTAAAGCAGGGGCTTGCTTCGGTTTCCAAAGAGGAATGGGAAGCACTTCCCGAATCTGGTGACTTTACGAGAAAGAACAAAAGGCTTAGAAATGAGTTGCAGGAGCAACAAAGGTTTTACAGAAATTCGGATATGCTTGCTTTAAGCTTAAAAAATTCAGGAGCAACCAATCTTGTTTTAGATGAGGCCAACGAAGAGGTTGAGAATGACAACGACGAAGCTGAAGCCAACGGTGACAATAAAATCGTCAATGACGACGTCAATTTGCTAGAACTATCTAGGACAAAAGACAGGTTACTTGAGTATCGAATAAAAATGGGAAATCAGGCAGCTTCTACGGAGTTGGATAAGAGTGATTATTTAGAAAAACTTGTTCCTTCCAGCAAATACAACATTGGAGATTATCAAAAAACAAGACGATTATTTGCAAAACTTCGTGAAACAAGTCCACACAGTCCCCAAAACTGGATTGCCAGTGCACGCCTTGAATATGATGCTCGAAAGTTTAATAAAGCCAGATTGTTGATTCAAGAGGGATGCGAAAAGTGCCCTAGATCTGAGGAAATTTGGCTTACTAACTTAGAGTTTAATTCAGACGACATCCCAGCGTCTAAAGTGATTGTTGCAGACGCCATAAAATATAATTTCAAATCAATTCCGCTTTGGTTCAAAGCTGTTGAATTGGAACACGACAATCTCTCTAAAGTGCGTGTTTTGAGAAAGGCATTAGAGTTGCAACCTAAGGTCCCTTTATTGTGGTTGGAGATAATAAAATATGAACAGGATAAAAACATTTCAATCAAAATGATCCAAAAAGCAACAGAGGTCATTCCGGACTCTTTAGAGATTTGGACAGCATTGGCAGATCTTCAGGATATAGATGATTCAATAGCGACTTTAACAAATTCCATCAACTATATATCTGATGAGAAAAAATATAAAGTTTGGATAACTATTGCCAAACTTGAAGAAGAAAGATCTTCGAATGAAGTAAAAATAAATCGACTAATCGCTAAAGGATTTGAGATGCTTGATGGGGCATCAAACTTTGAAGAGTGGTTTAATCAGGCAAGATTATGCGAATGTGAAAAGCGTATTCTAACTTGCCGTTCCATAATCTTGAAACTTCTCACAGAAAATTCTGAAAATAACACCAAAAAGCTTATTGATATTTCTAAGGAAGAGTATGCTCAAAATCATTTAGAAATCTCAGACACTATTCTGTTTTTCATTACCTCGAACTATCCTAAACAACTTAACTCCTGGACAGAGTTTTTTGAACTGAAAAGAAATACTGGAGATTTTAAAGCTCTATTTTTAGCGTATGAGATGGCAATAACGTCTCTTCCGAAATGTATGGAGCTTTATTTAATGTACGCCAAAGATAAGTTGAAATTTGATGAAGATTTTGAAAAGGTACGCTCAATTCTAGCAGATGCTTTGGAGCAGGTACCTACTAGTGAAGTTGTATGGATATTTACTATCGAGTTTGAGATCAAAGCAGGCAGTAACTTGGTGGTCAGAGAACTGTTTGAGGCATGTTTGAATAATTTGCCTGACCCAAGTATAAACATTTGGATCAAAAGAATTAATTTTGAAAAAAGTCTTGGCAATTATTCTTCTGCTCTTGAATTCGGAACTATTGCACTTCACAAACACCCTGATGAATATATTCTTTACCTCCTCAAATCTGAAATAAGTGAGACTATCGATGATTTCAAGAGCGCTAAGACCATCATTGAGACTGGAATAAAAAAATGTAAGAGTAACGAGTTATTGTACATACACTTAGCTCAAATTTATGAAAAAAACTTTACAAATTTGATTAAATCAAGGTCGATTTTGGAGGAAGCGTTGGCGAAACATCCTAAAAGTGATAAAGTACATCATGCTAGGATTTTACTTGAGCTACGATCAGGTAACAAAGTCCATGGTGACCGCTTATTATCCAAGGCACTGACTCTAATCCCATCATCCGCAATACTATGGTGTGAAAATATAAGGCTCGTTTCAAAACAGCAGGCTAAGAACGTTTATGCCATGGCATTGAAGAAGACCTGCGATGACCCGATGGTAATCTTAACAATTGCCCATGATTTATGGAAAAATGGAAAAATTGACAAGGCAAATCAATTTTTCAATGCTTGCATTAAAAAAGATCCTAAGTATGGGGATGCTTATATTTATTATTATGCATTTCTTTTGAAGTTTGGAAGTAAACAGGAGATGAAAAATCTGGAAGAACAACTGTCAAACCATTTTGAGTTTTTTCATGGTCATTACTGGGCAGAACTGATAAAAAAAAATGAGAATAAAGGCGTTGATCACATTCAGCTAGCCAGAGATGCAGCTGTCAATGTTTTCAAGTCTGTATAGTTGAAAATTCTCTGTATTTATTATAGATTGTATAATATAAGTTGACTCTGAGTCGATTAACCCCTCGAATTTTCGTGAGCGCTTACATAATGCATGCTCTGAATAAAAAACATTATCCGTTAATTCATGAGCAGCGTCTTCAACAAGATAGTGATAGATAACGCTTGGAAGTGTTGCCAGTCTCTTCATCTTGACAAGCACGCCACTCCAAAAGGTATTATTGTGTCTTCACAGAACATTATTTTTGGATAATGTTTAGCGTCGTAAGATCGGTTAGATCAAACAAAAAGGTGACCGCACAACTCCAAAGATCGTATGCCAGTGCCAAAACTGCCAATATTGATTGGAATCCTGTGAGATCTAAAAAACAGCTTTCACAAGGTATTGAATTTGGTGGGAAGACTAGCAGCAAAGTTTTTCTTGGATTACTTTGCCTTGCACCTATTATAACTTTTGCCTTGGGTACTTGGCAAGTCAAAAGGCTTAAGTGGAAAAACAAGCTTGTCGCCGAATGTGAGGATCGTCTAACCTACAAGCCAATTCCTATGCCGAGAAACGTTACCAAAGAGGATTTACCAAACTTAGAGTACAGAAAAGTCTTAGTAACTGGTCATTTTGATTATTCTAGAGAAGTTTATGTTGGGCCACGGCTACACGATACTCGCAGAGGTTACACGGTTGTGTGTCCATTTGTCCAAAGTAATGGGGCAGGAGAAGTGTTGATTGACAGGGGTTGGATTGCGGCAGAGAAGGTCATTCCATCTCAGCGGAATTTACAGCATTTGTCCGTGCCAAAGGGAGAAATAACAATTGAATGCGTTATCAGAGTGCCTCCAAAGAAAGGTATTTTTAGCATAGATCACGATAAAGGCTCAAGATTGTACCAATATTTGGATGCTGACGCAATGGCTGAGGAATTGGGAAGTAGACCAGTCTACTTGCAAGCTCTTCAAAATTTTCATGACAAACCAAATCAGCATATATCAGATACCGTTGAGGATGTAAATAAAAAGACTGGAAGTTGGGCTTTTTGGAAATCTGATGGCGCCTCGAAAGCAGATGCAAGTATGGTTACTGGTGCTGATATCATCAATTCTAAGAGCTTGGACTACGATACTGCAGAAGAATTTGATCCGCTTCAATTCATCAACGCTGGTGTTCCACTTGGTAAAATCCCAAAGGTGGATTACAAAAACAATCACTTAAATTACTTAGTTACATGGTACTCCCTCTCGTTTGCATCTACGGTTTTATTAATCTACATGTTCAAGAAAGGGAAATTCATGAACCCGACTGAGGAAAAGCTGAAATATACTAAAAAAATCATGAGCTAGCTGAATTCTTTATACTTAATTAATATCTTGTAAATAAATAGATTACTCATCCATACTTGAAAATCGTACCAGAAAGCAGCAGCAGCACAAGTAATCAACGTATGCTTTATCACTTGGTACATCATTTTCCCAAACAAGCTAGGCCGCTTGAGCCAAAAAGAATGGTTTCCTCCCCTCCTCCCCCCACATTTCCTTCTTCTAAATTAGAACAGCTGATCACTTTTACTTACAAGTTGCTTTCCTCGTGAATAGCCCTAAAAGCATTTGGGTTTCGCTAATCTAAGATCCCAACCCCACCAGTTCCCATACTAAATCGCGCATTTTGCAATATTTGCACCAAACTTGTTTTGAACCGGACAGTAAAATTAGTTTGCTGCTTTAATAAAGATTATTTTTGTTTAACCCATATAACTTACATTACACATACATACAATATTATCGTTAAAAAATCCTTCCTATGGCTCTTCAAATCTGAGACTCTTTCTTTTCTTAGTCTGACCAGCTTCATCGTGTCGCTTTAATCCACCTTTTTTTCCTTTTTGTGGCTTGCCATTGCTATCGTCATGTGAGCCTTCTTCGTTACCATTGGTATCGACAGCGTCTACAGAAATACTGTCTGAAGAAACAAACTTGGTGCTTTTCTCAAGATCACTAACATCATCCGAAATTCTTACTTCCTTGTTAACATTACCACTATTGTTGCCAACCTCTGTCTTCGTGGAACTGCTATTGTTGCTACTTCCAATATAGACCAATTCTGCTGTACGTATCCACCTTCTTCTCCTAGTATATTTGCTGAACCCATCTTCAGTAGTTGGATTTTTCCAAGTGTTATCATAGTAAATCCAGCCATCGTCTGATTTAGGATTAGCTGTAGTTTTAGGTCTCGTGGAGGGCAATTGAATAGACCCATCATTTGTCAAATCTAAACGCCAAGTTTTATCTATCCATCTCCATACCATACCCTTCGTATTCATTACTTCTTCACCATTAGCCGCGGCAGTTTCGCCTTTCCCTTCTGAATCTTGAATTTCGATGGAGAGAGGTAGCTGAGGTAATTCAAATGACTCGATGGGCTCCGATTCATTCAAAAACTCATCAGTCCAAGGTGTTCTTTCGTACGATAGTAAATTTGGTGTCCAGCCAACTCCTAGCCAGCGTCGCTGATTCTCATATATGACATAAGTAAAACGGACAGAGGATTTTGAAATGTTGTTAGAATTAGAAGCATCATTATTTGAGCTCGAATTTGAATGTTTACCAAACCTGTTGGATAATCTCTTGTTGAGATTGAATAAAGTTGATGCTTTTGTTAAACCTGAACTTTCAAAATCTAAACCAGTCAAGTAAAAACATAGTAGTCTGAAGGTACGTGATTTCCATAGCAATGTTCGTGTAACACGGGACCATTTGGAATGATACGTCAAAATTAGTATCGTGAGGATGAGAAACACTTTGTTTGGTGGTAAAATGAAAAAACTTATGACAACGTAAACTGGGGATAAAAAAACTGTTGTAAACAACAATCTTTTCAAGTCTCCAGCCGATAATCCTAGCTCAACAATTGGGGAGATGAGAACATCTGCACGCTTCGAAATCAAAGTCATAGTCTGGATGATATCATCCAATGTGGAATTTTTGGCCTGTTGCGCTTTGACATATATTTTACATTCTGAGTAAACCCACAAAGTGAAAACAGGTAGCAAGTGACCGAAGTAAATAATCAATGGCTCGTAATACAATATTGAAAAAGATGCCAATAATACCAAAAATATGGACAAATAATCATCATCATCATTCCAAGTCAAAACATTTAATGCTTTCAACGTCAGAATCAAGAATGGATAAGACCGGATCAGACTTTTACTGACAGTTGGCGGGGTTGAAGAAAGCAAAGGAGAACTTTTTACAATAGAATTTTTAGCCAAATTGCTATCTTCGGTTTTTTCTTTATCAGGATCTGTGTTGAAAATGCCCAATGCAATACCTATCCCTCCAATGACGCCCGAAGAAGCATTCGGCTTGTCATTTGCTGAACCATCCTTGCCAATTGCGTTGGAATCTGGAGGCAGCACCATTGAAATAGGATCGGTGTTCTTGTTGGATATTCCAGTGAATGATGCTTTCAGTTCGTCAGCAGGAGTAAATTTTATACCCGGCTGTGATTGAATTGAGGCTACCGGGGTAGAATGAAACTTAGGCTCGTTCGAAGCTGGGATCGAGTTATCAGTAGGTTTCTCATTTTGATCATTGAGTGCTTCTGTTACAACTTTGAGAGTAGAAGATTTGTCGTCATTTTTGTTTGGATATGAAGTGGAAGTCGTAACATTCATGTGGGTTAATGAAGTTGTGTCACTGCTCGGAGCCAATGCCCCTACTAAATGCGATATTGTAGACCCTAAAGAAGAAGTGTCATTTTTTGCAGATTGAGGAGACTGACTATTAGAATCATTTTTGGCATGTGGGGGACTTGCAGTTCCAGAATGCTGAATTGATAGGGCTTTGTCACTCCCCGTTTCGTTTGCTTCCGGGGTCGGGAGACTGCCCTGCTGTTTTAAGTCAATACTAGTACTATCACTGGTTCCCATGTTCAATCAAAGGTATCAATGCTCTAACAAATAATGTGTTCTGCTAGGAAGTTTCGTTTCTTGACCCAGTTTATAAGCAAATAATTTGAAAAAGGGCGATGTGAGGCCGATACGAACGTACAGTGTGCATGATCAGATTTCGGTATGGAGAAAGTGCACTTCCTTCTTCATCTAAATTTTCTTAATTTCTCTTTTTCTGACTTTTTTCTAGATTTTTTTGGCCCTCATTAGGATCTTCTTGTTTATTTGAAAGCTCCTCTCGCATCCCGCTTTTCAGACAGTGTTTACGTAACACGGATAGTAATAAAGATACTTAGTGTATAAAACTGGTTAATAATTACAAAAGTATTAGAAAAATGCAGTAAAATGCTACAGTTTGAAGCACAGTGAGAAGAGCTCACAGAGCTGCAATATCTTCCATTTCGACGTCCTCCAGCTCGTCATCATCGTTGTCTTCGTTATCTTTGTTGTTATCCTCGTCTTCTTCGTCTGCAGATCCGTTCTTGACCTTCTTTTCGACGTCGATACTCTTCTTATACTCGTCTTTCAAAGTCCATTTCAATGCGTAAGGGCCTTTACGCTCCATGACTGCAATACTCTCAAGACATTCTTTTAAATAAGCCTCCGGTTGGTTGGTCTTTTCACGTAAACCTTTCATTGTCCAATATTCATACTGGTTGAACAGTTTGAACAATAAGTTCATGAGAACGTCTCTGTCCATTCTGGCAGCGCGGCCATCTTGCTTGGCAGCTTCCTTCTTCTGTGCCAGCTCCTTTGAAAGTGTGATAGTAGAACCTGTTTGGATATTTGGAGTCGTTCTACCATGCATGACACCAACTCTTTCGGATTTGATATAGTTGATGGTTTTGCGCTTAACCATCTGGTTCAATCGCCTCCTTTGCTCCAACATTCTCAGTTTGTTATCAGATAGTAACTTAGTTGGGATAACCTGGCATTCTTGCACAATCTTACCCACCATTTCAGTCTTTTTGGGTATAGTCTTCGCATAAGGTACAAACTTCCTGAATTTATCGTATTTTTCAAACTTGGCGTTCTTACGCCCTCCACGTTTGTTATTTTTGTTGGCATCGCCGCCCTCTGGGTCTTCTATGTAAGTTGTACCCATTCCACTTTCGTTTCGCTTCGACCTGTAGTTCGGATCTCTGGATTTCATCTCTCTATACTGGGCTTCCTTTTTGTAGTTTCTGATTTTCCTGGTCCACTTTGCCTCATGGTTAAGAGCTTCCTTGTTGAGAGTCTTCATACGAGGTTGGTTTGGTAGGTTGACCACCTGGGTTCTGTACATCAACCTTTGTCGGAACTGTTCAAACTGGGACTCGCTGAATGCGTACTCGTTCTCTACAACCTGTTTTATTAGTCTAAGCTCGTACTCTTTATCTAGGTTTTTGTGCTCAGGGAGCTCATCGTTCAATTCCAACAAAATCTTGCCGTCTTTCTTGCCGTTGATGCTGCCGTTGGCGGGTACTGCTGCCGTTGCTGTGGAAAGGGTATTATTCGGGTCATTCGTAGAGTACTTAGGTATCTTGATGTTTCCCAAAAGCTGGCCCTCCAAAAAGTGGTCGCTTTTCCAAATGTCTGCGAGTTGTGGGGTCAGCTTCACTAACCAAATCTTGTTCGAGGCGTTCTGCAAGTTCAAGTCCAAAGACTCGTCCTGGTCTAATTGGTTTTCGTTGACAGACACGATACCCTGGGGAATGGGCAAGTCGTCTTGGTCGTACGCGACCTCTTCAGACAGCTCTCTTCCTTCACTTTCTTCTGCATTCGTCGACTCAGAAAATCCTCCATTTGTCTTGTCCTTAGAGTTTGCAGCAGCTTGAACTGCAGAACCGTTCCTGTTACCACTGAGACTGCCAGTCTTGGCGTCGGAGCTAACAGCGTTGACATCAGGAGATGCAGACATTCTCAGGCGGTGGTTAGGTTCAAGTGGGTTGTTCCGATGACAAGAATCAGCAGCGAACCTACCTGATAATTGCTTCTTCATCTGCCACATCCCATACCCTTCCGGCTCGATTCATGTGATGGCAGGAGGCCCAAAAACGGCTCAAACGCCCGCAGCGAACAGCTGCGCCAGACACAAAGCGGTTTTTGTATCGACGCGCCGATCGGCGCGTCGATGCGTTTGCCCGGAAAAAAACACGGCCAGCCTCACCGCTGGCTCGCAACTAAATAGCGACGCGCTCGGAGCGCCGAGAAGCAAAAATCGAGGGAGGATCCAGAGCGGAGCCAGGAAATAACGGAGAAGCTGCGAAAAGAAAAACGTTCCAGAACTTTTCGGGCCAACCACGTGAGCCTCCGAGGCTTTTCTATTGTTGGTCTTGTCTATTTTTCGCTCGTTGCCCTTTTCGGCGTTTTCCTCTTTTTCGCCCCGCCTGCAGCTCTTTCCTTTTGGTTTCGCCCCCTTTCCTCCCCTGGAATGTGGACGAGAATAATGCGCGTGCCGAAGCAGTATAAATAGGGAGAGGCGCCCAGCTTTTTGGACGAACGAATCCATTGTACGGGCGGCTGCAGGTTTTTGTGCTCTTTGACGCCCCTTCTTTTGCCAGACACACACCTCTCTCACCCCCCGGAAAGAAGTCCACGGTTCCCGAACACAAACAATTCCAGTATCAAACGTTATAAACCATGTCCTCTCCACTATCCGACAATTCTAACTCTTCGTGCAAACTTTCAGCGGAACTCATTGATGTCAATAGCAATGGTAGCCACTTGCCCCCTCGGAAAAGGGCTAGAACCGAAGCTGAGAAAGAGCAGCGGAGAGTAGAAAGAATTATCCGGAACAGAAAAGCAGCACATGCTTCTCGTGAAAAAAAGAGAAAGCATGTGGAGCAGTTGGAATCCTATGTCAAGGTGTTGGAAGCCCACTTGAACCTATCCCTTGAAGCCAACAGAACACTACTTTCAAAATTAGCCGCTAACAACATTCCTTGTGACGGTGTTGATATCAAGAAGCTACAGGTCCCTAGACCCGATGGATTGTTGCTCTCAGACGAGGACGAGACATCTGCTTCTAATAATAGCAACAGCACTCCCGATGATCACGTTGCAGATTCCATAATCGCCCAACGTGAATGTCGGATCGGACAAAGCAGTAAATGCGTCGATGCAGAAGAAGTTGATTTCAATAACGATCTAGAGCTCGAGGCAGAACAAGAAGATGACGAGGCAGACAGTTCCGTCGTTGATGAAATGCCAGTTTTGTCCAAATCTTCTCCTTCTTCTTCAGTCTCTGCAAGCGAATTTTCTAATCCTCCAACCCCTGGAAACGATGAAAATTTGTTCAGTCTTTATCGTGATCCTCGTGATTTCAACTTGTGCATCACAGACTCCAATGATTTCATGGATTTGAACTCTTACCTAGAGCCAGAATTCTCAACAAGTGATTTCAATGAAATCGATCAATCCCTAGATTTCAAGTCAAGTAATGATAATATCGACAGTAATGGTCAAAATACAATGGGTTATCTCAGCTCGTATAACAGTGTGCATTCAGCAGTAATGCATTACTTTTGTTCATCATCTTCATTTGGGTACTTTATCCAAGTGAAATAATAAGGTGGGTCTGGTTGTTGTCTCGTCATAAAAAAAAAAGATGAAGGAATATTTGAGTATTTTTTCTTTTTGAATAAAATAGAATTATGTTTCTCGTTTGTGAAACCTTTGGAGAGGACACACAAATAACGTTTGATACTGGAATTGTTTCTATTCAACCTCACAACCAATACACTTCTATCCACTTATACCCCCTTGATGAAATGGTCCGCAGCACCATTATCGACTGAGATTAATAACGCCCCATTTGACCTTGACGAATTTATCATGACTTGAGATCATTTCGATATTTTGAAATAAAAACATTGATTGTTATATTATTTGAGTTAGTTCCGTTCCGACTCCACCTGGTTTTTTGTTTTGTTGGTTTTTTAGTGCTCTTTTTTTTCCTTGGGTTTCTGTTCATATTGTTCCTTTTGTCACTAGTTTCAACTTGTTCACTGTCACCATTTTCCTGTCTCAGTTGATTCTTTCATTATTCTTTTACTCTTTTCTATTCCATTGGTTTTTTACCCCTCTTTTTTCTTTTATTTCTGTTAAGACAGCAGAGGATACCAAAACTGTCTTGGTGTTGCATATTTTCTGGACCTCTTCTTCCTTACTTCCTGTCCTTTCTTTCTACTGTTATTCTCAGCAGTACTGTTGTTGCAAGACTGCTCTTTGCCGCGCACAACGTGGCGCGCTCCCGTGGGGAGCTGCGACTGGTGTCAGCGGAGGAGTGTTTGAATGTGAACAACCGTTGCCGTTGGTTTTAGAAAGCAGTAGAACTTTCGAGTAGGTGTCGGAAGTTGTGGCTCGGAGCCCACAATCTAGTATCTGTGTAGGTCATATGTGTAGCCCTTTAATAATAACATAGTATTTATTGTATACTATTCTGTAGCATCGTGGAGAATTGCATAGGTTTTTCCAGGCTTCTTCATATGCGCGATATTTCGAGAGTAGAATGCAGTACTCAGGAACAGTTGACATGAATCAAAGAGCAAACCGTTGATTAATCGAGTTGAGCCAGAAAGTTGGGGAGGCAGGCAGTGAAAAGGGCTACAAATTGCAGCACGATCCACATACACAGAAAGCATACCAGGATGCATGTGGTGAAGTTTCCCTGGGTGAAACACGCCGAGGGCCCTCGATCATTTGAAATCTACTCCGTCTCGGTTTCTCCTGACGGTTCCAGGCTTGCTACAGGAGGCTTGGATGGGAAGGTGAAACTATGGTCAATTGACACCCTTCAGAAGTACAAGGAGATGGACAAGATGAAGGATGGGAACAGCTCTAGTAGCAATATCATAGATAAAAGCGAATGTCGGCCCTTATGCTCAATGTCAAGGCACGCAGGTGCCATCACCTGTATAAGATTCTGCCCAAACGGAAGATTTTTAGCGAGTGGTAGCGATGACAAGTTGGTTCTCATTTGGGAAAAGGATGAAGAGAAAACTCGTATCATGGCGATGCATCGGAATGAGATTGCTAACTCAGGCGACTCGAATTTTCTCTTTGCTAACGGTGATGACTCCGGCATCAACGATGCTGATTTGGAACATTGGACTGTGAGAAAAAGATTAGTTGCACACGACAACGATGTTCAAGACATGGCGTGGGCACCAGATGGTTCTATCTTAGTCACCGTTGGTTTGGATAGATCAATCGTAGTGTGGAACGGAATGACTTTTGAAAAAATCAAGAGGTTTGACATCCACCAAAGTCATGTCAAAGGTGTTGTTTTCGATCCTGCTGGAAAGTATTTTGCCACCTGCTCGGATGATAGGACGATGAGAATCTTCCGGTATAGGAAAGGTGTTAGTGTCGAAGGTGCAGATATGGAATTCGTTGTGGAAAACATTATCCGTGATCCGTTCGCAAAGTCCCCTTTGACCACATACTTCCGTAGGTGCTCTTGGAGTCCTGACGGCCTATACATAGCTGCACCCAATGGAACGAACGAAGGTGTCAACGCTAATGTTGTCATCAAGCGAGGAAGCTGGGATAGCGAATTGAGTCTCATTGGACACCGACTACCATGCGAGGTGTGTTCGTTCAGTCCCCGCTTGTACGATGTGGAATTTGGTAACAATAATAGAAATGCCGGTCACAGCCAAAGTTCATCTCGGTCGGAAACAGTCATTATCACAGCAGGCCAAGACAGGACTCTAGCATTATGGAGTTCAAGTTGTGCAACCCCATTGTGTGTGGCAACAGAAATATCCGCCAAATCAATAACAGATGTTGCTTGGAACCCGGACGGGCTAAACGTGTTTTTATGTGGGCTTGACGGTGTTGTTTTATCCTTGTTTTTTGATGAACGTGAGCTCGGCCATGTCGTCCCATGGGAGGAGAACAACCGTGCGTTGATCAGATATGGTAAAGATCGTGATATGTTCTTTCCAGAAAGTGTAGAACAGCTCAAGCTAGAAGAATTTGCTGAAAAGCGTGGTATTATTGGTGATTCCAAGCCTATCAAGCCGGACCGTCTACAATCTCTTATGGGCGGGAGTAGCCTGGGAGGCAACACTGAACTTAACACTTCCAATAATGACGAAAGCAAGAAAGTAATGAACGTATTAATTCCTCGGTCGAAAAAGCACCCTAACAAGAGGATGCCGGTGCCGACAATTACACCGAGATCCACAGTCGCAACCAACAATAGCAATACTAATAATATTGATGTTTCAGCGTCTTCACAAGCAAAAATGAATCTTCTTTCGTCAAAGACTCAAAACATTACCATTACAAAGTCCGGGAAAAAGCGTGTTGCTCCAACTTTAATCTCCGTTTCTTCCACAAATGCAGCTACCTCAGCACCTTCTAAATCTAACGCATTTTTGTCCGGAACAACTGCTACTGCTACTGCAGATGCTAATACAACTACATCCAAAAATTTGATGGTGGAAAAGAGGTCAAAATTAAGCAAGATAATATCACTCCCATACCCTCCTTTACCAAAACACGGATTATCTACTTTGACTAGTTCCTTCCGCCCTAATGTGGCTAATGATGAAACGGAACAAGAGAGTCTGGAAAAGACCATTGACTATATTGCAGAAACAGACAACAACAATTCTAGTTCACTAGACAAACGAGGCAAATTTAGCTCATCCAGCAAGAAATCTTCGTCCAGCAATACACTGAGCAAATACACTAATGGTGGAAGAAAACCTAACCCCAGCGTATATGGAGATTCTTCAGGTGTCTGGAATAAGCGGAGGAAAGTGGCCTACCCTGATTGGATTAAAGACTCTCTTGTGTCTCCTATAACAATATACGGTGATGCGAGCATGAGCTCTTACAACGTTTTAGTTGAAAGAAAACAATTAGCAGAGCCATTAGTAGGAGAACAAGTTGTTGAAGTGAGATACGAAAATGATCATGTCTACAAATATTTAGATCATAATGATGATACGGAGATGGAGAGTAATTGGAACGAATTCGATGCTGTTTCTCATATTTTAGCTAAAACAACCAACTGTGAGTCCGATTCACTCGAAAAGTGGGAACTTTTTTTGAATGAGAGAATCACTTGCATTGGTGAGTCGTCACTAGAAGGACTATCATATTGGTGTTTTGGTACAGAGAATGGTAGGTTGTTGCTGGTATCTACAACTGGGAGACAATTGTGCGGGTCCATCGAACTTGGCTCGAACATTGTTAAGCTTGTGTGCAATGAATCATTTATTATGTGTGTTTGCGCAAACGGTTTGATTTACTCATGGAAATTCTTCAAATGCCACAGTTCTCTGATTTCGGGTAACTCCATAGTCGAGGGTGTGAGTTTAGCACCGGTGCTTAATGCTCACTCGACGACAACAGAAAGCAAGAAGAAAGTAGACATAAGCGCCAAGATCACAAATATTTACATGAGGTCAAACGGATGTCCAATTATTGCTATAAACGATGAAAAGAGAAACTGTATATACTCATTTGACCCGTTATTAGAGTCTTGGGTTGAAGTTTTGGACAGTTTGTATGTTGACTTCCTTCCTGCCTCCATGTTAGATCCAGAAATGAAGCTTCTTGGTGAAATAGACCAGATACTGAAGTTCATGACAAAGCGATTTGTCAAAAATAAGAAATACAATGATTCTAGGGACATCAAAGACGCCAAGGACATCAACATTGCCAATGATAGCAAAACTTTCAAAGACCTTGAAGTCACTAAAAGCACTAAAGACGACACAGATACCAAGGATGTCAAAGAAACTCAAAAGGTCGAAGCCGATAAGATCGCCTCGATGGAAACGTCGAAGGGTCCAGCACTGTTCATTCGTAGCGAGGCCAAGGAAGAGGCCACACTACAATCAATTTATGAAGATTGGAAATCTGTAAATAAATGCGTTGCGGAATGTATTAATAGAAAACTAGAAAAGTGTTAATTTGTATAATTAATAGATAGTTGACAATCGAAAAAGCTGAATCTCCTTTTCAGAACTTCTTTCGCCTTTTAGCAGCAGCTTCCCACTCTTTAACCTCTGGCCCATCAACTTTTTTGAACTCCTCTCTGTAGTGCAAGAATTTGCATGTGTCACCAAATCCACAGTAACCATTTTTGAGGAAATCCTTGCACACATCAGCTTGGTAGTCCATGATGTAGTTCTGTCTGACATGTGTGCTGGAGGGTTTCACTAACTCATCTTTTTTCGATTTGTGTGATATCATTCCAGAGTATAGTTTGTCACCATCTCTATCCCTTTTCTGCGCGTACTTCGACTCTGATAAAAGCTTTTCGTTCTTGCGAAGCTGATGATATTGCTCTTCAACCATAGTATCCGGTCTGAATATAGGACCTTTAGATGACACTCTGCTTCCAGTTTTTGGGTCTGTCTTTGTGTCATCACTGTCTTTGTCGTTATTGTCGCTTGTATCGGCCACTGGTGCCTTGTCTGGTAACTCAGCAGCTTTTTCGCCACCGTCGGACTTCACGTCCGTGCTCAAGTTGGCAGTGGCGTCACTGGTACCCTGCAGCACATCCTGGTCTTCTTTAATCCTTCTAGAGGAGCTCTTCTTCAATACTCTCTTCTTGAACATTTCCCTGTCGTAACCATGTCTTCTTTACTCCTTTGCGTAGCTGGTATGAGTACATAACGCCCTTGAGCTTCTTCAAGTAGCTGACCGATATCTATAACGTGCATATTCATGTAGCCCCTTCTTGCAATACCAATATCAAATGTCACGTGCGTGAGCAGAGGGTTTTTAGCCCTTGCAAGCTCGGCCTCACGCACGCGCTCTTTCTCGCTGGCAGCCCGTTTTCGCTCCGTGTGCTCACACACAGACACTCACACACACAGACTCCTCACGCTTGAATTTTCACAGAGATATTGCAGGATGTATTAACGAAAGAGACAGTTAAAGGTCATACGAAAAGGAAAAAGTAGAAGGGTAACCGAATACACACATATCAAAATGGCTGTAAGTACCATACATTACACACCACGTTCGAATTCAGGGAAACCAGGATACGGGAAATGAGAGACGAGAGTAGATAGGTGCTAGGGTCAAGGGATGAGACAAAAGGAATCTTGATGCATTCTTACCAACTCTTCAAGACATAGGCTACCGCTCAGAGGGTGCAAAAAAGATGCTGATGTTCAGTAGCGATAGGTGATCGAACAGCAGAATCAAGGAAGACATGTTTCAGCTATAAGTTATGACGCTTCAAGACAAGTGGCAATAGGGCTGCAATGGAACAACCTGGCAAAGATCAAATAAAGTCCACAAAGGGCCTTGCAGTACTGGCCTTGGATTACGTCCCTTTTTTTCCTGGATCTTCCTCAAGATAATAGAAAACAAATTACTAACTATATTTTTCATTCCCTTTTCCATTTTTTTTCTGCAGAGAGAAATCACTGACATCAAGCAATTCGTCGAATTAGCAAGAAGATCTGACGTTAAGACCGCTACCATCAAGTCACACACCATCGTCAAGTCTAACGGTAAGAAGGTCAACCAAACCAAGTTCAAGGTCAGAGGTACCAAGAACTTGTACACCTTGATCGTTAACGACGAAGGTAAGGCCAAGAAGCTTGTCCAAGCTTTGCCACCAACCCTTAAGGTCACTCAAATCTAAATAACTTATTTTGTATAGTTAAATTCTTAATATAAAATCTAAAAAGTTAAAAACGGAAGGAAACAAAAAAAGCAACGTGACCCAAAATAATAATATAGGAGGATTCTAATGTGTTATATATAATTATGACAAATATATATTCTAAATGAAACTTATAAACCGAATTCTGACTTTACGGCCTTGGCGAATCTTTCCAAACCAACACCCAAGGTGTCTAATGGTACTGCAGCGTAGGTACCTCTGTAGAAGAAAGTGGTGCCTGATGTGTTCTTTCTGTTTGGAGCAACAAACCAGGACCCTGGGATCATCAAGCAACCGTCCTTCAAACCCTGTTCGTAGACGGCATCCTCGACCTTAAGTGGGTCACTGTCGTACTTGGTAGCAAAATCTGGGTGCTTCGATGCGTCCAGCAAGATGGTGAAGAACATACCGGCAATAGGAGGGGTCCAAGAGACAACCTCCTTTGGCATATACTTTTCCAAGCATTTTATAGTAAAATCTCTCTTGATTGAGTATTCCTTTCTCATTGCGATCAACCAGTCGACGTAACCAGACTGGCCCCATCTGCCCAACAAGGCCTGGACGATCGTTTGAGAAAAACCGGAAGGTGCCTGGATGGAGACTTCGTGTAGACGCACAAATCTCTCCAACAGCGCAGCTTGACCAACGATCCATCCGACTCTTGTTCCTGGGGCCAAGACTTTGGAGAAGGAGTCTAAACGAAGAACTCTTCCCTCTGTGTCCATGGAAATAAAAGACTTGACAAGAGACTTCAAGAACTCTTCGTGGGAAGGAGTTTTGATTTCTTCTTCCTTTCCAGATTGGTATTCCGTCATCTGTAGGAAGTAATATGGCTCATCTTCAATGATAACGAAATCGTACTTACATGCAAGGTCGTAGAGCTCCTTTCTTCTTTCGTAGCCTAGGGAAGAGCCTGTAGGGTTCTGACCTGTGCAGATAGTGTACAAGAGCTTTGGAAGTGGCTTGGATTTGTCCCAGTTTTCAAGTAGTTCTGCAAGCGCCGATGGGATGATACCGAAAGCGTCCATCTTCATAGGAACGAAGTTGACACCCAAGTTTCTGGCCGTTTCAACTGCGGATGGGAAGGTGTATTCCTCAATGAAGATGGAGTCGCCTGGGTTGCAGAAACTTCTGATACAAGCTTCCCAAGACTGGGTGTTACCGATGGTCAAACAAAGGTCCCATTCTTCGTATGGAACATTGTGGATCATCTTTGTGTGTTCCTTAAGGAAATCAATGAGCTCAGGGTTACCTTGGGTGTGGCCGTATTGAAGAGATCTGGCGAGCGGGATGTCAAACTCCTCGACCTTGTGCTTGTGCACCTCGGAAATGGTGGATTTACCCGTGACCGAAGGTTGGGCTCCAATACCGTCCTCGAAAGGAGGTTCTGGAGAGTAAGCCACAATTTTCTCCCATGGGAAGTAATCAGCAAGTGGAAGTCCTCCGCCGAGGAAAACAATGTCTTCCTTACCGTAGTACTTGAATGCTGACTTCAAAGGGGAAGGCTTTCTACCCTTAGATTCCTCCGAAAGGAGGTGCGATAAGTCCTTGACCATGTTTGTTTTTGCTAACTTCTTGTTTGGCTAGCTTTGTCTTGATTATACAGAGACCAACTGTCTTGGGCGGTCCTGGCAACAAGTACAACGTGTCCTGCAAACGGCTTCTTCCCGTCTTATACTTCTCTGTAAATACCCTGGCAGTCGCAGTCACAGTCGCAAACTGCGCTTCTCTCTGACTCACCTGGCTTCCGCGACAGACGGGAAAATAGCTAAGGCGGCGGGGACTTGCCGTTTTGGGACAGCCGGAGACGGATGAGGGGCGGTTAGTATTTCAGGATCCAAGGAGATAGGGGATTGAAGATAAGAGGGTGTCGGCAACCAAGGCCGGTATTACGTACCGGGTGGAAAAGAGGCCAAATAGTGTGCCGTGGGTTCTGCAGAGACCTTCTGGGGCGGCCTGTAGTTTTGCTTCGGAAGGCAGGCTTCGAGGAAAAACACCTGGCGTGTTGGCCGTCGAGCGTAGTACAAGAGACAGATAAGACCCACTGTCACATGCAGAAGCGCCGTTCCCTCAGCCAGCAACGTCGTGAGTAGAAGAAATGTGGAGCCGTTTGACTCATTGCTACCGTTTCGTCATACTCGACCAACGATGGTGCAAAAGCATTGATCCAATCCTGCTCGGCTAGAGCCGGCTACCGCCGGCCCGAACACTGGGATGGTCCTACTTCGGTGCTCCTCAAACACCAGAAAGGTGCTCCGGCTTCTTGATCTTTCTCCTTCTCTGGACGATGACCGGGGAAGTATACTCTCTGCTGGACGGTGCGAAAGCGACATGCTGCGAGAACGTGACCCGCTGGTAGCTCCGTGTGTCCGAAGGCCATTGTGATGAGGTGGAAGATTCCTGCGCAGATCTCACCTTCCTGCAAGCCCAACTCAGAACACGGATCTCGTGTGGCATCCGCTCTGTACTCCGGTGTTGGTTCTGCATCCTCGGACGGCTTGCGGCTCGGATCCAAAGAAAAGACAGTCGGAGACAGTCTTCTGGAAACAGAAGGGGGGTCGTGATGTCTTGCAACTGATGATGTGCGTAATGGCTCGAAAACTCCTTAGTCGAGCTGGGATCACGATGGTAGGGTCTAGTTTCGAGTTGGTCCGAAAAGAGTACACTCCCGTCGGACACGGCACTCCTTCTGTGAGACCCCCTAATGGTCGGCTCTGCAAACAGTGGCAAAACCGACACCACGACCTAGACTAGGAGACGACTGCAATGGCAGTCTGCACACAACAAACTGGATTGCAAGAACAGACATGTGGAGAACAGCAGGAAAAGGGATAATAGAACTAGGTGTGCGGGGTATAATCCGTAAAAGCACTGATACTTTGGCCAGACGCCGTCTGGCTCTCTGGTCGGAAGTCTGGACTGGACCATGGCAGCAATCTGGCGTCTGGCGAACAAGAGTCAGGATGGGTGCATCGGATCAACTGGCAAGCACTTTCCGAGAGGAAACCAACAAGAGTTCAAAACGTCCCACGAAACCGCTCTAGCACGATGCAGAGTTCCCGGTGTGAGCCGGGTATTGTTCCATGTACCTTGGGACGGCCACATCTAGCAGGGTCCCCATCACGTCGGCCTGTCCTCTATGAGTGGCCGCACAAGGCGGCGCTTCAGCGGGGTTGTTCCGCTAGCAACAAGTCGGGGCGCATGGGCTAAGCTGGGCCACACGCTAGTTCGCCGAAGCATGCAACAGGTGAAAACGTATTTGCAGAAGCCCACAAAACACAATTGGCCTATCTAAAAAAGTCTCTCTCTTTGAATACTTTGACTGACACGTAAGGACGGTGTCAACGTAGTGTGTGTAAATAGGGTGAAATGAATTTGAAATACACATTCCCCTTCCTCAGTGAGAGCGCGTGCCCAAGATACAAAGAGAGGATTTTGGATTTTGGGATTCAACAATAAAGCAGGATTAGTAGGCAGACAAGTAGTTCATGTCACAAATTTGCAGCTGGTATCCGATATGACTTGCCAGTAACCAATGCCACGTCTCAGAAGGGTCCAGCATGCTAAGTATAGGGATCTGCGATTAGATTTTGAAGAAGACGATGACCTTCCCATCGACAGTTTTAGACAGGAAGAAATCATCAACACCCTGAAACGGAGGGCAGGTTCGACCCACTCAAAGGAGGCAAAAGTCATCTTCAGGTGTTACCTCGTGCTCTTGCTTGTGATCAATATGGTGCTTGTTACGGTACCGTATTATCGTAAGGGCTCGAACGTGACGTTCAGTGCTTTGGCGTGCATCATGCTCTTTTCCCCCTCTATCATGGCGTACAGCACGATCTACGGGATCGACAGGACGCATCTGCCGATCCTGCTCAACACACGGTTCCTTCTTTCCAACCTTGCCTTTTATTCAATGTCCACAGTTGTGAAATTTGTGTGGTTCAGGGTCAACGCTAGAGCAGACCTGCTCTATGTCCTCCCCATTCTATTCGGCATCTGTATTTTGGACCTGCACACCGACAATAGCCAGATAAGCCAAGCTATAGACGAGCTGGAGAAACTAAGGTACAACTACAAGGAGGCGTGATTGCCGGTTGTGTCGTAAAAGGGGTAGAACCACGTGACGGAAAAGCCGTCTTCTTTGGAAAACTCCCTCTTCAACTTGGAACGGTCCCACAAGTGCACGCTCTCGATCCACGTTGGACAGTGGCACAAAGACTTGATGATGCCGGCCAAGACACTTCTTTGCTCAATCATGTACGTCTCGTTGCTCTTCAAGCACGACGCGACGATTGGCGGAATGACGTTCTTGGTTGCAAGGTACGTCGATCTGGAGATGTAGTTGAAGAGCAACGGCAGATGCGCCTCTAGCTTCAAAAAGCACTGGAAAAAGATGAAGTTCAAATCCTTTATTGAACTGCCCAAGATCCATGCTTCTTTGAAACCGTTCGTGTTGTGCACGTGCACGTCAATGTCAACTGACTTCACCACTTCTGTCTGCAAGCTGTTCAAGCTCACCTGCTCGGAGGACGAAAGAAGCAGGTCGTTGATTGTGGCCACGTCGAACAACTCGTCGTGGAGGTCGATCCCAAACGTGGTGTTGCTGTCTCTGCTGCCGCTGAAGATCATCTTCCTGAAGCACAACCGGTCCCAGATGTTCGAGGCTTCCATCATCTGCTTCAATGTGTTAAAGAGGTTTGGCGTGTTCTCCGGGCATAGCAAGACCCCGTCGAAGGTTATGGCGATACGTATCTGCAGAAGAGGAGGGGGGTGTTAGATTCGGTGTCTAGACGAGGCCGACCACTACGGGAGGTCTGAAGAAAAACGGTGGTTCCATTCGTACAGTCAAAGGCTTGCTGAACGGCGGCAAATATGCTATGCTGGTGGCTGCTGCGTTTCTGCTGCTGCTGCTGCTGTTTGGATCGAGGTCCACGGAGAGCCGTGCCTCCAGCTCGGTCTCATCTCCTCTCCTGGCGTACAGGGAAACCATTGGCGATTTACTGTCGCCTGGACGGCAAGTTGGAAGAGCTGCACAGACGGTGTTGGAGAAGAAAGAGGCCTGAAGGCTCATCGACTTTGTACCGCCCGCCAGCCAGCCAGCCGCTCTTTTTATCTTCCCATCTCCCGTCACTTTTTCTCTGCGAGAAAACAGACGGTTGCTACTGCCACTTACCAAGACGCATGTGATATATTATTGAAGATATAAAAAGGAAGTGTTCCACGGCGGGTGGGCCTACAGCCGCCGAACCCCAGTAACTAAACGTACACATGGACATCTGCCCAGACCCACAAACCCCAACGTATCTGCGTAAGCCGCCAACTCAGACCGACACTGCGCCGTATCCATGAGGCTCCCGCCCCGGCAGCGTCACCCCCCTGTACGAGCTCGACGACTCGTAAGGGTAGCACGAGATGATGTACCAGCAGTGAATTAACGCCGGTAAGAACCCGAGCAAGCACAAGGCGATGTTGATCCAGAAGTCTGCAGAGCATACCCCCCGCTTGAGTGCCACGGGGAGAAATGGGAGAAATACTCCGATGAACGCCAACAACCAGTCTCTAGCATGCATTTTTCTTTTGCTTTTTCTTGCGTATATATACTTAGCCTATCTAGGATATATCCACATCTGCCAAACAACATCAGGACCCAGCAGCACCCACACACCGCCGTCTCCAGAGGCAGCAGACGCCTTTTCTCTCTCTTTTATACCACTCCCACCCTACCGGTCCCTCCTGGCCTGACCGCCTGCCTCCGGCACGCCGTATCGCCATCGCAGCAGTATTGGGGCGGCTGACGTCAGCACGGGGACAATGACCTGTTACAGAGCACTCGCTTCGCCGAGCCTCCGGCAGATCTCGTTGGCGGCGCCCTCGTTGCAGTGCCGGAGATCAACAAGAGCCTGTTGGAGAAGGCCCAGAGATGCCAGAGCCTTCTTGATAAGAGCCTCCCGAGCGCCAGCGGCATCATCGGCAGGCTTGCTGGCCCGACAGAGGTTGTCGCCGGCGGTCTTGATGATCTCGCGGATCCGCTGGCTGCTGATGGCGGCGGCCCGCTCGTCGTAGAAGAAGTCGTCGTCGGACCGGGGGTGGCCGTGGCCGTTGCCACCGACAAGCGGAGATGTATCGGCCGTCTGTCTCACCGGCGGTGGGTTGTTGCCGAAAAAGGAGTTGGCGAACGTGTTCTCCTCCTCCGAGCTGTCCTCGTCGTCGTCCTCTCCGCCGCGGTGGGCGTCCACGTCGACGGAGCCGTTGCTGGCACGCTCGAGAGCCTCCTCGACGTGCTCAAACTCAGACCCAACAACGCTGGCAGCGTCGGGCGGAACAGACTCGATGTTTCTGTTCGGCTGTTTGTAGAAACCAGACGCCTTGTCGGGCGTGTCGGACTGGTTCGCCTTATCCACATTGTCGACGCTCAAGTCCCAGTCGAGCTCGGGGCCGTAGTTGACGCTCTCCAAATTGAGCTCGAACTTGGGTCTCTTCTTTTTGATCTTGCTGCTGTGTCCGGACAAAACGGACAAGTCGTTTGCCTTGAGCTTGTTCTTGTTGATGAACTTGAACTTCAAGAGCTCTGCGGCGCTCGGACGCATCACGGGATCCTTGCACAAGCAGGCCACCCCAAATTCCTTCATGTAGTAGCTGGAGTTCTTTGGAACTCGGGGAGGCTCCATTTTCGGGATCTCAAATAGTGCCTTGAGTGGTTCCTTGTCGTTGTTTGGGACTTTTCCCGTTCCGAGTTCAATCAACGTGATGCCGAGAGACCAGATATCTACTTTCTCGTCGTATTCTACATCGTCCAAATCGTCAACCAACCCGTTTTCATCCTTTAAGTGGTTGTCCTCCTCATGTTTAGTCTGGTTCATAAGCTTGAAACTCTCATTCATGTTGTCTTGCTGAATCTTCTTTCTCCATAGTTTATATAGAGTCCTCTTTCCAAGACCGTTCTCAATCAATCTTCTTTCAAGGTTTTCACGGTCTTTTTTCAACGACTTACAATCGGTTACTATTTCGGGGGCCATCCAGTACGGCGTGCCAACAAAAGTCTTTCTTCCCGTATTGCCATTCAGTTGGCCGCTGACTCCAAAATCAGCCAATTTGATTACATTACCCTTGGCGATCAAGATGTTTGCTGCCTTGATATCCCGATGGATGATGTTCAAGCTATGCAAGTACTTTAAACCTTCAAGAACGTTTTTCATAATGTACGATAGAACACTTTCTTCGAGACTGTTTCTATTGAATTTAAGTAAATCTGAACAACTTCCTTCGCTACAGTACTCCATTACAATAAACATCGTGACATCGATGATAAAAGTCTTGTACCAATTGGTGATATTTGGGTTCCGAAGTGACCTGAGCAAATTGATCTCCTGTAATAACACAGGGATTTCGTCGTCACTGTGCTCAATATTGATTGCCTTGATGGCTACATTTTTTTGCAACCGTAAATCGTACGCTTTGTAAACATCTCCAAAATTCCCCCGCCCAATACAATCTACAAATCTGTAATTGTTAATCTCCTGGTGCTTTGGTGAGCTGGTGTTGTATCTACCATGATCTTCTGGTATTTGGTGGAGTTTTTTTCCAGTGTGTACTGCGAACATGATCCAGTACACTCTAATTAGGCTCTAAAAAAAATGCAAAATATCTAGATAGCAAGATAATTAATCGGTGGATTACTCGTTTATAGATAGCAACAGATCGTTACAGATTAATTCTGAAAGTAAATTAGTCTAGGCTATACACATCAAAGTATACAGAGAAAGAGAGACAAACAATAACCTCACCCTGTGCCTAGAAAAGGGGAGCAGCAGTGAGATATCCTACTCCGAACTTTGATACGCACCGCACAAAACACGATCCCAATCTGGAGACACCATCATTTTCAAGCACTTTTCGTGTGTCCATTGGAGACCATAGATGAGAGGGGAGAACTTCACATACGCCAAAAATGAAAGAATAGAAAAAAAGGCCATAAAAAAGAATGTAAGCTTGGGAGCTTTCTCGTGGCCCCATTGAAATAATTGGGCAACTATTAGGATGCCAACAAACAGTGCTGGTAAATAGTTGAACAAATATAAATCAATCTTGATAAATGACAGAGGAATAAGCAGTAAAAAATACAAGATCACATAATCCAATGTTTTGTGGTCATACTTGTAGTTGGAGCTGTCGAGTGAGGCAGAAGCTTGAAATGGGTTAAATGTTAAAAGTTGGTATGCTTTGAAGAGTCCATAAATCCCAACCGAGCTAACAATCATATAATAAATTATGAAATTACCAAGCAAATAAATCACAGAATGGCTCACGGTATCAACCCAATGAACAAATCCTGTTTTCAGGAGCACTAGATCACCAACGGATGAAACAGTTTCATCGGTATAACCATTACCCAAATATAGCTTGTTTAATATGTAGAGATGAATCTCAATCAACTTCTGCCAAAACGTGATTGGATCAAACGCTACCCGTTTTTTGTTTGGCGCATATTCGGGATGATCGTTCCAGTCAATATACCACAAAGAAGCTTCGTAGCTTGGCTCTTGAATACAAATCACTTCATCTTGGCCCTCAGCAAAACCCTCATGTAGCACAAGTGGAGTTCCCAATAGGTAACAACCAGCTTCTTCGTTATAAATTTGGAAAACTGAATCCAAGGCACGCAAGGCATATCTGGCATCATCGCCTTTGCAATGATCAATCGCCATTTTCAATAGAAAGGAATATCTATTCGTGTGGTCATCGCTAGTTCCAAAGTTATGATCTGTAGTAACTTGGAAGTTATACTCCTGTTCGGATAAAGGAGGTTTGTGATCCTTGTCAATAACAAGGGATGAGTTTGTACTTTCGTGCTTCAATCTGACTCGCCAAGGTGCCAATATTGATGACGCTGGTATTGCCTCAGATTCATCATCAACGCGGATGACTTTGAAAAGATTGTTTAATTCATCAAAATTATCCATTAGTGTGACTTGCTGATGATTAGATGACCTATAATAGTCTTCATGGGAGTGTAGATATTTCCCGCTTTTATAGTGGCGAAACATGACTCCTGCATTGAAGTTGACATTTGAAAAAATGTCTTCCAAGTGGTTGTTTTCTAGTGAATGCTGGAATCTAGGGGATAACTTGTTATAATCTGGACCTTTTTTGCTCAAGAGATCAAAATGAGCTTTGAAAACTGCCAAATAAATTGTTAACGATATTGTGAAATAAGAAAGCGATTTCACAATCAAGTTAGCCCACACATACTTGAACCTGACATTAATGTCCTCCACTAAAGCCCAAGATTCAATAACAACTGACACAAATGCATAAGTGAAAATAAATACTCCAGTCCAATGAGTACTTAATACTAAGCCTAAAGATAAAGAAGCAATGAAAAGGTGAATAAACCAACCAACAGTAAACTTTTCTTTGACCTCTGCAATCTTTTGATTTGAGAGAAATAACGAGATGAAGAAAATGAAAACTCCATCGTCAGAAATCCTTCTTTCTTCAGTGATCATCGAGTTCTCTATCATCATCAAAAATGACCCAAATAAAGAAATGGAATGGGAAACTCCGGTAGACCTTAGAGTTTTGTAAGCAAAAGTGATAGATATTGCACCTAAAAATGCACTCACAATTCGCAATTGGCAATATGGAAAAAGCTTGTAGGGTACACCAATCGAGAATTGATCTAATGAATTTGCATCATAACCGAAAAACCTGGCTAGAGCTGTATAGAACAAACCGGCCAATGGTGGATTATAATCAATGAAAAACTCTCCCGTGAAATAATTATTAATCATTAAAGCATATTGAGATTCTCTTGAGCTTGGAATATCTTGTATTCCTATCTGGTATAATCTAACAAAAATGGCGGCGATCGTCATAATCACCAAATGGATGCGTTCCGTCAGTGATAGTCCAAGCCATGATTGCATCGACTGAATGTTAGTATGTACGTAGTAACGCGATGGGCCTCTTAAAAGAGCGTACTCGTTAGACTCTTTATCCGATGTTAGACCCGTCATTGGTGTTTGCTTTCTCATAGAAATTTGCTCTTATAATAATTGTTTATACAATAGGGAAGCTCTGACAGAGGAATCCGAAGAAATAACGTGTCAGGATTTTTCAAATATCGCTAAAAGTTAAGGCACACTTGGGAAGTTAATCATTGGAGCACGTTGAAGTACCTTGAGTTTTTCTGTTGGTTTTTACTATAATACGGCCGAAGCAGACATCTAGAAACAATACGTACTAGATGTTACAACCTATTTGGAATTTATAAATGATTTAAAACACTGTATCCAATTACCATAGGCTGAATCATGGCAATATGACACAAGCATATCTAAGATAGAATTAAGACTAGCAAATTCTTCTGGATTTTTATTGATAAGGTCGGTGATTGTGTAGTGTAAGAGAGCATCAACCAGCATGGAACCGGTCAAATCGGGTATATTGCATTCCTCATGCTGAAATGTTAAGAATCTTGCAACTTCCGGATGATCTATATCAATTTTTTTCTCATAAAAGTTGTTCAACGCTCGAAATATCCATTCTTCTGCAGAGCATATAGCATGGCATACCTCACTTGAGCTTTTCCCTATCTCCTTTGTGTCGATTATCATGGCAGAATAAAAAACAAATCCTCTTTCTCTCGTGAAATTTCCGTTCAAGAATAAAACCTGAGATTCATTTGTCTCATCGGTAACAACTAGCTGAGCATCATTTATACCGGTGCATCGAGTATCCAGAAGGATGTCAGTTGAGTATTGGTTTGATTTTTTGGAAAGATGTATATAATCGTAGGGGAGATTTGTGTGCCCACGCAATGGAGCACTCACGATTTTTAGCCCATATAAGTTCAAAACGTCTGCAAACTGTTTAACTATGTTAGAGGTCTGTTGATTTCTAGCATTGTATTTTGCGTCTTCTTTTTTCAACTCCTTCAAGAGATAGTGCTCAGATTCTTGCTCATAGCTAAGTTCCTTCGGACGAGACTTCCCCTTAACCGTGCTTTTCTTTTTATCGTATTTGGTATTTGCCGGGGCTGAGCTAGATATTGACCTTTTCAAGCAGCCATTTGACCATATTCGTTTCGGCAAGATACTGCGATTCAAAACACTACCTTTAAGCAACATAATAATATAACGTCCTTTATCAGATACTCTTTGCAACAGAGGGTTTAGAGGAGAATTAAAACTATGAGCTCAAACAAAAAGCCTCTGGAAGCGTTACATCAAGTTTTTTTCGGATGAAAACGCTACTTCGTGTTTTTCAATATGCTTCATTACATGCTATAGAGTAAATTTATGGACCAGTGGATATACAAATCTTAGGAAAACTAGAGAAAATGTAATGGAGCCACACCTACTATGATAAATGGCATAGTGGAGGTCAGTGCCTGCTAAAACACGGTTTTTTTATGTCCTTTTAGTTCAAGTTGTGTTGTTTGTAGCTTTGGCATTTTAGATGTTTTCAAAAACAATGAAAGCTTATAAAGGTAGAGGAACCATTTTCACTCTCCTTCCCTTTTTCCCTTTCTTGCCTTTACTGACATTGGACTCCACTGCCTGATCTTTTGCTCTACGTAACATTTCTTCAAACTGCCGTGTTTCTTCTTCCCGAAGCGCTTCTTCTTCAGGATCTATAACTATTGGAACATGTGTTCCCCACACAGACTTTTTTGTTGTCATCGTGAAAGCTGGATTTGAGCTACTGCCTTCAGTACCCATGTCATTGAACTCGTTATTTTCATCACTATCAGTTGCCAATAAATCAAAGCTGTTCGAAGTGCCTTTCAAGAAAGGCATGGTGTTAATGGTATCAATATGAACAAATTGCTTGTTTTTTTGTCTAGTACTGATCAATGTGTCAATAAGGTCTTCATCATCATCCTGCTTCATATTGCGAGTATTGCTCTCGTTGAAAATCTCTAATGTTTCTTTTTCTCTTCTCAACTCGCCACGAACACGAGCACGCTCCTCGTTCAACCTTTTGTTGTTTATTTCTCGAGTTCGATTCTGAAGTTGTTTCCGTATATACTGAGGGATCTGAGAAGGGTATCTAAGCTTCCTCTTCTGTTCTTCGATTGGTTCTTCATCTGCCTCATTGTAGTCTTTTGGAATAAAGGAGGCATCAAATTTAGACCAATCGATTTCCAAAAACCCGAGTTCAGCGCCATATGGTAAGTTACCCAAGAAGGGGTACTTACTGACGAGCTCAGGAGTCACTTTTCCTTCTTCGGAGTCGATATTTTCGAGGTAGACTTTCAAATTCAATGGCATGTTATAAGCTGGGTTGAGCGCTAATTGTTCTGTGCCTAGTTTCTTTATATCTGGGAGGCTAAATAATGAATTGATGACTTGGACATCTAGAGGTGAAAGGAAATAGTGTATATGAGAATTGGTAGTGCACTCGTAGTAATAGTAATTGTCTTTGAAAGATGGTAAGTTGACCTCGGAAGAGCTGGAAAGTGAGATATTTGATAAATGGCTCTCCACTTCCTTTTCGCAGATTGGTTGTGGACCATCCACCGCAGAGTCGACCGCCAAGGACTTTATGTTTTCTTTGATGTTGCTGGCTGCTATGTCGTAAAAAATCCCTGGGTCGCCATACATTTCATGGTCCAGTAGTTTTTGTGTCATCAAGTCGTCGATCTCCTTTTGAAAACACGCTTTTATAAACTCAGAGTCGCACATCATCAACCGGGTGTTGGAAACATACGGCGAGTACTGCTTGTAGTTCAGCGGCGTGCAGCTTTTGCTGATCCACGGAATGCTGCCCTTGAAGCCCTTGAACTGATAGAAATTCGACACGGGCTGCGAGTATATCTTTGAACTTCCTCTGTGCATGAGAGAAAGGTTGACATCTGTTTCCGGCTCCACTTTAGGGGTGGAGCCGTCAAATGGCTCAATCAAGACAGGTAACAGCACAAATTTCTCCTTGATCACCTCGGAACACAATGGACAGAAGATCGAAGGGTTGTGCATGTTTCCGATGGACGTTTTCGTTTTGTCATGTTTCACGTTGTCAAACATGCTCAAGAGACATGGGTAGCAGAAGATGTGGCCACACCTTGTCATTCTGGGCGCCACAAAGTCGTCGCCCATGCAGATGGGGCAGTGGTAGTCGTTCTGTTTCACCGCCACCCGCACAACGTCGTTGATATCGAGCGGCAAGTTCGGGTCCAGGAGCTGCAGCTTGTAGTCGCCGCCCGGTCTCACGATGAACTTGTAGTTTGCGTTGATGTAGCTCAGACCGGACAAATGGATGTCCGACCCTGCCGACCTCTTCTTCTTTCTCTGCCTCGACGTGCGTCCTCGGTCGTTTCTGTACCCGTTGCCGGCGCCGCTGTGGCTCTCGTCGTCGTACGGGGTCGGCTCTTTCGAATAGTTGTACGTCAGCAGGTGGCTGATGTCCATTCCTTTCTTAGACGACGACTTGATCATCGAAAGGAGGTCGTCGGAGTCGTCTACCAGCTGCTGCTTGTCGTTCCCGTTCAACCGTCCACTGCTGCTGCTGCTGTTCTTCGCCTTGGCGCTGCGTTTGGAGTGGTTTTGCGATGACCTGTTTCTCGAGCCCCCCTTTTTCATGCCGGAGGAGCCCGCTTCGTTCCCGCTGCTGCTGAATCGCCTGTTCGAAGACGAGCCTTCGTTTGCAGACGCCACAGGGAGAGTGCTTGCCGCTCCAGCAGCGAAGTCGCCTTTCACCTCCTTCCTATAGGGCGACATCGTGGAAAGACAGAATTCTGGAGCTGAAACCAGGGGCGAGGACCTTGCAAAGTCCAGAGAATAGTCTCGGCTATCCAACAGGATGGGCTAGTTAGCAGTGTGCCACGCAAGGGCACCTTCATGTCCGCTTCAACAACCCCACCCCCGTCTTTGCCGTCGCCTTGCCGTCTGTAAACACCGGTCCTGAGCTTACCCCCCAGGCCTGTGCACCGTTAGCCAGCCGGGGCCCACGAACAGTGCGTGAGGCCGATCGACTTAGCCCAGCCGTGGCGAGGTCGTGGGCCGCAGGAAAGCTCTTATCTGCCGCCGGGGAAGAGAGGCTGAGCAGGAACGCCGCCAGTGGACGGGGCTCGGTGATCCCTGCGCCTACATACCGTCGTGGATGGACAAGGACCACGGCCACGAGTGTTTATGTTTGCGTAGATCTGCATAGGTGGTTCAGGACACGCTTTGGCCGCCGGGCCCCGCCCCTTCTTTTCCCCTGCGCCCCAGATGGAGCCCTCCGCCTGCGAGGGCAGATTTCCGGGGACGGTGTTCTGTTGCCGGGCTGTGCGTTCACGTCTTCTGTCCCATTATCGGTGTCTGTCATAGACGCAGCTTGGACGTGGAGGTGTGGGGGCTTCGACTGCTTCTCCGACGTATGCTTTCTTGCGCTTGCTGGTGGGCCTTCTTTCTCTGCTGGTTTTGCAGTTACTTGCTTCTTCTGCGTGTGTAGTCCAGCAGTCTGCCCGCCCCATACGTGCCTCCCATCGTCGACAGGAATACAGATCGAATCAGCAGCCATGCAGTGTTCCGGCCTCCTCAACGTCCTCCTCCTGGTGTCCCTCTCGGTGACCGACACAGCCTCAGCCTCGACCACCAATTCAGACTCGATGCCGCTTGCACCGTCCACGTACTCGGCTGCCGCAGGCTTTGCACGTGAAGTCAGCCACGACTACTTCGTCGCCGGAGCAGCCTTGATCGCTGCCGCCGTCATCCTCATATGATCCCAAACTAGTAAAAAAACGTGCCTCTGGACATTTGTGTTTCTCTGCTACAACGCACAGCGCAGCTTTACTACTCACGTTCGCTCCCAGCCTGCCGATGTACAATTACCGCCACAACTCTCTTGCCCGTCTCTCCGTTTACATTCCATCGCCTGCTCAATCCCTTTGTACCTGTATTTTTTCTATAGAATGTACTCATTGAATATATCACCAACATCCGTTTAGGACTTGGCTTTGGCTTTCCCCAGAACAGCCACACGCTTACATAATGAATTTCTTCTAAATTTTTTCAACCATTTGCACAGCCTCGGCTTTTTTTCCTTTTACTTTTCTAATTTTTCATGTTACGAAAATTTTAGAAACCCCGTAAAGCAGTATTTCCTTCAAAACGGATCGGCCAGAAAGCCTGTTCTGCGTCAAGTTGCAGTGTCATTCAAAACAAAATGGCTACTAATATCAATAATACAAACAAGAAAAAGGTTCTTGACTCTCGTATCCCGTCGCTCATCCGTAATGGTGTGGATACCAGAGAAAGATCGTTTATCATTATGGTTGGGGACAAATCGAGAAACCAGATCCCAAACCTCCACTACCTTATGATGAACGCTAACTTGAAAATGAACAAGTCGATATTGTGGGCGTATAAGAAAAAGCTTTTGGGGTTCACCTCCCATAGACTCAACAGAGAGAAGAAGATCCGGAAAGATGTCAAGCGTGGTACAAGAGAGGCCAATGATTTGGACCCGTTCGAGGCGTTTTTGTCTAATCAGCAGATCCGGTACGTGTACTACAAAGAAACTGAAAAGATTCTTGGTAACACATACGGGATGCTGGTATTACAAGATTTTGATGGTTTGACCCCAAACTTGATGGCTCGTACCATCGAAACTGTCGAGGGTGGCGGTTTGGTTGTTATGCTACTTAAATCAATGAAGTCTCTCAAGCAGTTATACACTATGACAATGGATGTCCATTCCAGATATAGAACAGAGGCACATGATGACGTTGTCGCCAGATTCAACGAGCGTTTCCTCTTGTCCCTTGCAGACTGTAAAAACTGCTTGGTGGTAGACGATCAGTTGAATGTTCTACCTATTTCTGGTGCAAGACACGTCAAACGTCTACCTCCCAAGGATGAGGACGAAGTCTCTCCTAAGGAACAAGAATTGAAGGAATTGAAGGAAGGGCTTGCAGATACTCAGCCCGCGGGATCCTTGGTAGCCCTAGCAAAGACCGTTAACCAGGCAGAGGCTATCTTACGCTTCATTGACGCAATCGCAGAGAAAACCTTAGACTCCACCGTCGCCTTAACAGCAGGAAGAGGTCGTGGTAAGTCTGCCTCCTTGGGGATTGCCATTGCTGCTGCTGTTGCTCAGGACTATTCTAACATATTCGTTACGTCTCCTTCGCCGGAAAATTTGAAAACATTGTTCGAGTTCATCTTTAAAGGTTTTGACGCAATGAACTATGTTGAACATCAAGACTACGACATCATCCAATCAACGAATCCTTCGTTCAACAAAGCAATTGTAAGGGTGGATATCAAGCGGGCTGGCCACAGACAAACGATTCAATATATCTCACCAAATGACAACCAAGTTCTTGGCCAAGCAGAATTATTAATCATTGATGAAGCCGCAGCTATCCCATTACCACTTGTCAAAAAGCTTTTGGGACCATATTTAGTTTTTATGGCATCGACTATTAATGGTTATGAAGGTACCGGTCGTTCTCTTTCATTAAAATTGATTGATCAATTAAGAACTCAATCTAAGAATATTATCAAAAGTAATACTGAAACTCAGGTTGTGTCTAGGAAAGAAGGAAACGATGATAAAGATTTAGAGTCGATCCGTATTTCTGCACGTTCCTTGATTGAAGTCACTTTGGATGAACCAATCAGATATGCACCAGGCGATGCTGTGGAATCTTGGTTAAACAAACTTCTTTGCCTTGACGCAAAACTTCCAAAGCATACTAAATACGCGACGCGTGGTTGTCCTCATCCGTCCGAGTGCTCACTGTTTTACATCAATCGTGATACATTGTTTTCTTATGACCCTGTTTCTGAAGCTTTCCTTCAACGCATGATGGCCTTATTTGTTTCTTCACACTACAAAAACTCTCCAAACGATTTGCAATTGATGTCCGATGCACCTGCCCATCAGTTATATGCTCTTTTCGGCCCTGATGTTGGCAAAGATGCCTCAATCCCTATTCCTTTATGTGTTGTGCAAATAGCTTTGGAAGGGGAAATTTCGAAAGACAGCATTCGTAGTAGTTTGAGTCGTGGAGTTCGTGCGGGTGGTGATCTCATCCCATGGTTGATCTCGCAACAATTTCAAGATGACGATTTTGCTAGTTTGTCTGGTGCCAGAATTGTTCGTATTGCAACTCATCCGGATTATACCCATATGGGTTATGGTTCAAGAGCTATTGAGCTTTTGACAGATTACTTCGAGGGTAAGTTTGCCTCTCTTGAAGAGGTTTCAAGCACATCAGCAGCCGACAAGTTTTCTATTAATCGTTTAACTGATGCTGAACTTGAGGAAGCTGATGGCTCTTTGCGTGAAGATATAAAGCCACGTAAAGAAGATAGACTTCCTCCATTATTTGTGAACTTAGCTCATAAGAGTCCGTATTACTTGCATTACCTGGGTGTCTCTTATGGATTAACTCAAAAATTGCACAAATTCTGGCGTCAAAATGGTTACACTCCAGTTTATTTGAGACAAACTGCAAATGATCTAACGGGTGAACATACTTGTGTCATGCTAAAAACATTAGATAACCGTGACGATAAATGGCTCAGAGCTTTTACAAAAGATTTCCATAAGAGGTTCATAAACTTGTTAAGCTACAGTTTCAGCAATTTTCCTGCAGTTCAAGCTTTAAGTGTGTTGGAGTCATCTAGAATTGATGGTAATAACCAACAAGATTTTGTGTTTAACAAGTTGGAATTAGACAAAGCACTCACTCCATTTGACTTAAAACGTTTGGAATCTTATGCAAATAATTTGGTTGATTACCATGTTATTTTGGACTTACTTCCATATATTGCTTTACAATACTTCAATGACAAAATCAGAAATGAAGTCTCTCTATCTCATGTTCAAAGTGCTATTTTGTTGTCTATTGGTTTACAACACAAAGCACTCGAAAATATTTCCAAGGAACTGAACATTGAAACCAATCAATCACTTGCGATGTTTGCAAAGATCATTCGTAAAGTCTCGCAACATTTCCGTTCCTTAGTCAAAGAATCTTTCGCTGAAGAATTACCGGAAATAATCGACGATGAAATGAAAGAGTTAAACGGTGAAGAGGTCGCCACCATTAACGACGTTGAAGAGATGGAGAAAGAGTTAGAGGCCGATCTTGAAGCTGCTGGTACAGAAGCTTTGGAAGTCATCAGAGCGCGTAAAGAGAAACAGAAGGAACTAATCAACAACTTGAACTTGGATAAATATAAAATTACTGATGTTGCTGAATGGAAAGCGGATAAAAAAGCAATCAGTCGTGCCATAAAAAACAACGCTACGGTCAGTTTGAAGAAGGGCACCAAAAGAAAACCTGCAGAAACTGCAACTGACATATATGACAGCGAAATGAAAGCTTTAGCTAAGGAGAAAACTAAGTCCAGTAAGGGTAAAAAGTCTAAAAAATGATGAAGTATGAGTTGCTTTTTTTATAATGTTTTTGATAATTTCGATAGACATTTGTACTTCTAGTTTTATATTAACAATTATAATGCTTCTTGCATGGTACCTAATAAAGCCGATCTAAGCTAGTGCAGCAGAACGCTTATTAAATTATTGCTACTATCTAGTCTCTATGTGGGGATCCTTGAAAGATCTTGTCTGCAATAATGAGGGTGACCTTTTTTATCAATTTGTCGGCATCGCACTGATCGTTATTATCGAACTCAAAGACATTGTATTGTTCCATAAACTCATTTTTCAAATTACCTCCCGTTTCTTTGATGTAAGGTTCGTCGTTACCTCGAATAAATAGATTCTTATGATAAGTGTAATAGCCTGGCCAAACAAATGTATCGAAGTATCCTGGAGGGTCTGCCCACACATCCCCACCTACATTGTATGTCCTCTTTTCACGCCTATTTTTGAGTGCTTCATAACTAGTCTTGAAAAACAGGGTCAGTGAGAACATCTTTAACAACTCCTTGTCAGGCAAGATCAAAAATCCATCAATCAAAAATATCCTAAAACTCTCACGAGAATCAAAATGTTCAAGTTTTACATTTACCTTTTCCATTAAGTCTTTTATAATCCGTTCATCATTGTTGAAAAAGGCATCATTTACCGTTGGTTCGGTACTGGCCATTGCATAATCGAAGTACCCATTGCCGGTTTCTCTTACCGCTGCCTTCAGGTTCATAGAGTACGTGTTGGGTTTTGTCAGCACGGACAATGTCTGTTTCATCGCATCCATGTCTATAGCATCTGGACAATCCCAGTCCCGGTCTTTGCGAATGGGATCATAGGGAATGTCTTCTTCCGGTTTATAAAAATCATCTTCATGTATGATTTCACTATGAGGTAAAATACTTTTTAGTAAATGGGCCAGTGTAGATTTCCCTGAACTCGAAGCACCCGTTATACCTATAAGAATTGTACGCATGCGTCTTTCAGTTAAATTTAGTAGATTGGCATTATCCAGGTCGCCCACATTTAGAACACTATTGTGTGGGTAGCTTTTAAGTTTGCAGGTCCGGAAAGTTGAGCGTATCAAGAGAGCGAAATGATAACATTTCAAAGTATCATCAAAATGCACTATAATTCATGAGACGATCGACTAAAAATATTAAACATGATAAGCATAAGTTTACAAGGTTACTGTTTCGCTGAAGAATTGTAAGTTCAAGATCATAAGCTGGATTGGGGAATTAATTATTAAACATTAGATATTAGATATTAGATCATTATGAATTCGGTAGTTTTGTCGAAAAGAAATACATACATTTTTAAGATACAGTTCTGAACTTTCAAACTAAAAGCAGAAGGTTACTCTAAGCTTTTAATCTTTTTTTTAAACAAATTGAAACCTTCCTTCGGGCTTTTTATTTTCGATTTGCTTGATGTGGATGGCTTCTTGTATGATCCTGTAATCGATAGCGAAGGCCTGGATCCAGAGATGCTTACTCTGCTGTTTGAATTGTAACCTGACTGTTTGACGGGGATCATATGACCAGCTCCTGTCGGGCCATTTGGGGATGCTAGAGTTGCAGTGCCACTTTTATTTCCAAGTTGGAGTGGTCGTTGTGGGGGTGGTGATGGCGCCAACGCGCCACCGTTCATTCTATCAATTCGATCTTGCCACCATTTCTTAGCATTTTCGTTTACCCGAGATTCGTTCCTGATCTGGGTTCCGGCGTCACACCCATTCAATGCTAATAACTCTGCAACATCAAAAACCTCACGGCCATCTAAGATACTTGGATGTAATAATGCATATTCCAGAAAAGAAACTTTTGCATAATTCTGTTCTTTGCTGTCCGTCATGGATATTATTGATAATCCGGATTGATTGATGGAATAGAATATCTTTCTATTTACATCTGCGCCACCAGCTATTCCTTCAAGGACCTTGACTACATCGTCATCCCTCACGCCTTCTAGTAATAGTTGTAGCGCGTTGCTCCTGATACTATTATTGATAAAAGCTCTCTTCATATATTTTTTGGTAATAAAATCTAATCTCTCTTCATTACGAGATGATGGTACAGGCTTTTGATTGGGCTGAAGGTTGGCTTCGTAAATCGAGTTCATTTTAGAATTATTGATATGATGTACCAATGCTCTGCTTTCGCCAACGAAACTATCAAGCATCAAGCTTCTTACCTTTGATATACTGGTACCCAATGCTCTGTGTGAGGATGAGCACTGAATGCAAAAAACAACTAGCAAATTCAATGATATCCACTCTACTTGTTCGGTCGATCCACAATCTGCACAATAAATATTGGAAGGATCATTATGCTGAACAATATGAAGTAGAGACAATGATACAGATGAGACAGTACGAACTCTTAATGGCTCTTTGCGCAGCGAAGAGCTATCCGCAGACAAATCATTTTGAGCCTTGTACTTATTCTGGTTTTCGCTCGTATTAACTGTGTGTTTAGAAATTGATAATTTCTTGGCAGAAGACTCCCTCTTGCTCTCTTCATTATTCTGCTTAGCATATGCAATCATTTGTCCTGCTTCAAATAAGGCTTTCACCCATTCATTAGCATCTTCGGATGTAAATGCCTGAAAAACATGCTCGACTCCTTTGGCATTTATGACACGGAAACAGTTTTTGCGGGATCCAATATCAATAGTATTATGATCGTTGGCATCCAAAAGCTTGATATTACACAACGAAATATCAATTGGTGAATTCCTCAAATCCGCTCCTTTTCTCCAATCCATGTACTCAAAAAGCTTACCGTTGCACAATACTAACCATTGTTTATGCCAGCCTGACTTTCCTTGACCTCCAAAAACAAACAAGAGTCCAGCCTTGAGAGGAGTGTCAAATTTATCGGTTTCATAACACGAATTTTTATCGCTAAGTAATAAGGAATTTTTACAATTTGTAACTTTAGAATAGCGTCGAATCAGAGTTGAGAATTCATCAAACGTTGAACAGTTCTGTACCTTTTTCACAGCTTGGTCTCTCAAAGGTCTCAATCGCCAGTAATTCTTACAGAATGGTGAAGTTGGCTGAATTAGAGATAAAAGCATTGGTGTAACGGTGTCATATAAAAAATTGAAATAATTCATTTGAGCAACTGCAAAGTTTTTCATTTTGATGAGTAGCTTTTCATCTTTAGATTTACCAGAGCTCATTAACTTTGATAGCCAATCGTAATATTTTTTACTTTCCTCCTCAAAATTCTTCTTACTTGAGCTAAAATTCTGTAGGGTACGTAAAGCAGAAAAGTCAATCTTCGTTTCAGATGTGGATTGGTGGAGTGCTTTGAGAAATGAGTGGTTAGAGTCCTCACTGGAAGAGGAGTTTGAATGCAAGAATTCAAATTTTGAATAAACTAAATCGCTTTTAGGAAGGGTAGAAAGATATTCATTGCGGAACTCTTTCAGAGTATCAATTAACTGGAATCTGGAAGATTCTAATCCCTTCAAATTTTGGTCCATCGCATTTATATTTTCCATTGTTTGCTGCAGGTGTCTGAGAACATATGGAGCTAGCTGTTCGTAACTGTTTAGAGTTTCTCGAAGTAATGGGCCGTCCGCCATTGGAATTGGAAAAGGGTTTTCGGAAGCTATTTCTTTGCTCGGTGTTTTATCATGGGTCGACTTGGATTGGCTGTCTTTGAATTGGGATGATGATGTTGTGGGTATAACTTCTTTAGGAGAAGTCCGAGGTAAATTGGTCACTATTGAGAGTGGTTCACGATAAAAACTGAGTTCATAAACTAGCTCATTCTCGTAATAAATCTTCAAAGTTAACAAATCTGTGTAACTGTTATTCAAGGGTAATTTGATATCGTGAGAATTGACATGAAACGTAGATGAAGTCTTAAGTGCAGTTAATGAACATTTCATTGACTCTAAGTTCAATGTTTTCACAAACTTCAAAAGTAGCCGGTCGTAGATGAAAGGAATCTTCAAAACAAAGTCAATCCCATCTTCCTTGTGTGAGCTTAAGCGTATTAGCTCTACATTTGAGGTAGATGAGATGCTATTTGAAACAATGTCTAACTGTATACTGTTTTCGGATGTTGATCCTAGAAATGATATGCTCGTCAAGAATTCAGACAAAGACGGATAATTGAGAGCACCTATAATCATATCCGCCATTTTTGGACTGTTGAAAATTTCCGTCCAATGATGGATACGACCTTTCAGGCACATGCAACTTTTGAAATAGAGGCAATGAAGAGGGATATTACGAAAGAGAAAGGCCGAAGAATAAGCCAGCAAGAACAAAGAGAAGTCGGGCGCTGCAAAAAAATGAGGGTGCTGAATATTTTTTCTTTACCACAAAGAGTTAATAATTTGCTTGAAAACTTTATCGGATTGAAACTGGATTCTTTGAAATAAGCCGCCAAGTTCAATAATGTCAGACACAGAACTTGCTACTTCCAAGATGGCTGATCAAGTTGGTGTTATTTGCGAGACAGTAGACGAAGTTGGCAGTAGCGATAAAATTGGCGATGCCGAATCACATAGTCAAACTTGCGAATCAACGGATGCTGAAGAAAGTTTAAGTCTAGAGGAAAAGTCAGAGCCTGACTTATTCAACGTTGACCAGCCCATCCAATATTCCTCAGATGAAGAATCTGATGGCGAGAATTTAAATAGTAACAAAGACAAAGGCAAAGTTGTTCAGGAATCTAACTCCGAATCCAATGCTAACAGCTCCAGTTCTGAATCTGAATCGGATGAAAGCGAAGATGAAGATGAAGATGACTCTGATGTTGAAGCTAAAAATACTGTTTATGAAGACGATGATGATGAAGTAAATGAAGGAGAAAACGATGAACCTATCAAGTCCAAAAATGAAATTCTAGACTCAAGAGTGCCATGTCTACCTGAAAACTATACTGTTGATGATAAAACAAACATTCAGTTCATAGGAAATGTAAGTGGAGTAGTTGAAAAAAATGTGATAATAACGGCGGCAAAAAGTGCTGAAGACAGAGTGTTGAATGAAGGAACAGTGCTATGCTTTGAAGATCGTACACCTGTGGGACTTCTTTACGAAGTTTTTGGCAGGCTCCAATCCCCCGTATATTCTGTCAAGTTTAACACACAAGAAGAAGCTGAAAATTTTAGAGGAAAGAAGGGAAGTAAGGTATTTTTTGTCGTACCAACAGCGGAATTCCTTTCTACTCATCAGATCAGAAAATTTAAAGGGAGTGATGCCAGTAATTGCAACGATGAGGAGTTACCAGAAGATGAACAGGAATTTTCAGATGATGAAAAAGAAGCAGCTGCTAAAAAGAAGAAAAAGAGAAAGAAGAGACAAAGCACAGCTACTTCTAATTCTGTTGAAAATGGCCCTACTAAAAACCACAGTGAGGATGAAAATGAACTGCCTGAGGCGAAAAGACAAAAACAAGAATATTCTACGCCCAAACAAGCCAAACCTCCGGGTGGAGTTCCCATTTCTGTGAGAGCGAGATTAACCTCACTACCTTCTAAAGCTAAAACGCCTGCTCAAACTAATTATTCAGCTCAACAAAATAATGATGTGAATCCCATGAAAATGATGCAGCAGTTTATGAGTATGGTGCAACAGGTCTCAAACAGCTCAGCACCTTCACCTACTTATAGCGGTTCAAGAAACCAGTATCCTTCCCAATATCAGCAGCCTGCTCAGGTGAATTCTCAGTACAGCCCAACATATAATCCGCAGTACAATCCACAATATCACTCTCTAGATACACAGCCAAACATGCAATACTCACAGCAGTATACACAACAATATCACCCTTTTTATAACCAGCAGTTCAACCAACAAACAGCCAGTCAGACCTTTTCACAATTTGCAAATTCTGGGGTGGCTTACAACCAACCTGTCTACCCGCAGCAATATCCACCTCCTAACATAACCAATAGTCCACACGTATATACAGAACCTCAAAATAGCAATTCAAGTGCTAATACGGCACTCCTTGTTGCTCAGTTGGCGGCTGCAATTACAAACACTGCACATAATTCTGCATCTAGCTTTCAACAGGGGGACGAGCAAAGTCCTCTACCAGCTAACAATATTGGAACTAATCACAAAGCCGAAAACGATGAGGACTATGATCCCGCAGTATAAATTATATCATCTGTACATTATATAAACTCTTCTATACCAGCAGTTGGTTTTTGATGGCGTTTATCTGTCTTCAATCAAAAAACTGACGGCTTTGCAAACATCATATTTTTTTAATACGAAATTACAAGATAAATGTTTCTACTGATATTCAAATTGACGTATGAATTTCACTGAATACCCAACTCTATCAATTATCGCCACCAAATCAACGAATACAGAACGAATTTTCCAGTTGAAATATATGATATTAGTCTAAAAATGCACCCACTAGGTTACCTGAATTGTGGAAAAACATGCCAAGTGGAGACCATACCTGGTGGCTTAAACAGCGTCTTTCAACACGGTCTCGTCAAAAGAAATTGTTTGAAACAGCATACAGAACTTTCTTAAAAAACGTCTTAATATTATTATTGTTCAAATTTCAAGATTATTATTAAAACATTTGAAATAAGAAAATGATTTGAAATGTATTATAGCATAGGTTTTGCTTTCAGGTATTTATAGAGTATTAAAACTTCAATTACTGGGCGTGTGGCGTAGTTGGTAGCGCGCTCGCCTTGCAAGCGAGAGGTCATCGGTTCGACTCCGGTCTCGTCCAAATTAATTTTTTTTGTTTATTTTTGGGATTTAAGTAATGTACTACATAAAGCGTGCTATCTATCATTTAATAAGTTTCTTGAAGCTACTTTTTGCCATATGCAAGACTTCCAGTGGGAAACCTGCCAGTTCTGCAATTTTAAGTGCATGTGAATGCAAACTTACACCCTTTGTAAGCTTGTGATCAAAAAACAATCTTTGGTCAATTGATTTGAAATCCTCTGATTTTGCTTTATCTCCGTCATCATAGCTATCACATAAGCTTGTTTTGTAAAAAGACACCTGATTTGCAACATTACCATCATGGGCGAGAAGGTGCAGCAGTTCTGAGCCATAATGAGTAGCAAACAAAGTTTTGGCCTTGTTGGCTTTAAGTAAGTGAAGCAAGGTAGCATGCGCAATTGCAACACCTTCATTTGCTGAAGTTCCTCTTCCAAGTTCGTCAATAACGACCAAAGATTTTTCGGTTGCTTCTCTCAAAATAGTAGCTGTTTCATTCATCTCCACCATAAATGTTGACTGATGTTTGAATATATTATCAGAAGAACCGACTCTTGTGAAAATTTTATCGATTACCCCAATGTGAGCGTCCTCTGCAGGGACATAACAACCTATTTGTGACATGATGGCTATTAATGCATTTTGTCGCAAAAAAGTAGACTTACCTCCCATATTTGGGCCTGTTATTAGCCAGGCCTCTGAAGATTGGATCCTACAATCATTCCCTGTAAAATTGACAACATCAAATCTGTTTTTGAGCCCTTCTTCGACCACTATGTGCCTCCCGTTTTTCACATCGAAAATTGTGCTTTCATCGACGTGAGGTTTAGACAAGTTATATTGCAACGTTAGCTGGGTAAAAGATTGAATGACATCAAGAACTTCAATGATAGGTGACAGTTTTCTAAGCTCTTTGTATAGTTTTGAAATCTTTGAGTTTAAGTCGTTCATAATAACCTTTTCCTCTAACAAAATGTCATACTCCAAACTTACTAGGCATTCGCCAATATTTGTCCATCTAGAATCAATCAATTTGGTAACGGATTTTGACTTTTCTTTAACTTTAAGGCCCAAATTTCTTACCATTGTGGGAATAACTTTACTAGTTGATTTTAACTCAATTACATAGTCATACGTCTTCATGTCTTTAAGAAGTTTGAGTGAGCCACCATAGCCCTCTTCTTGGAATTGCACTTGTAGCTCTTGCTTCAAAGCGGTTGATTTTGCTACCTCCGTATCATAATCTTTTCTCAATTTTTTCAGATGAGATGATGCTGTTTCTTTGATTTCCCAGAAATCTCTTACCAATTCTCCATCTAATTTGTTAGAAGTAGATTTGAGGTATGAAACTTTTGGATCAATTGTTTCTTCGATTTGTTTTGCAAGTTTATGAACTTTTGTAGAGTGTATAAATTCATAAAAAATCGGCTCTATTAGCTTTAAAGCGTGATTATTTTGTGACCGTTCAATCAAATTATAGATTTCATCAATAACCCGGATTGTCATGGCCAACTCAAGATACTCGTAGCTATCTGCTCTTGAATTATCTATCCGTCTTATAATCCTGTTGACATCTGCTGTTTTTTTCAACTGCTGTACTAATGTGTCCAAAAAATAAGGATCCTTCAGGAAAACACCAAGTAAATCGTGCCTTCTTTTTATCTCGTCCAGATCGGTAGAAGGAGCAAGTAACCAAGTATTCAGAAGTCTTGCTCCCGGGCTAGTCACGGTTTTATCTATGAGGTGAGATAGTGCACCAATCCTTTTTCTTGATTGTAGCGTTTCTAAAAGCTCTAAATCTTGAGCTGCTCTTGAATCAATTTGCATTAAAGTGTTTGGTAGTGATCGAGTAGGCAAGTGGAAACTCGTTTTGAAGTTAGGCAAACAGACTTCAAGATAATGGAGTAGCAAAGAAGTCGCATTTTTTTCCTTACGAGACATGGAATCTAGGGTAGAAGAAACTAATCTTTTGTTATCAGAAAATCTCCACAAAAAGTCATCTAATGATTTTTTCTTTGATTTTTCATGATAGGATGTAATACAGTAAGACTTTAAGTCTACGAGTTCCGGTAAAATAGATCCATTCAAAACACGTTCCAGGTCCGCTTTGTCAGAGATAAGAATCTCCGCAGGGTTAATTCTGGTGACAGTAGATAGGAGCTGACTGAAATCAATTTCCAAAATATAAAACAACCCCAAATTAACATCGCACCAAGCAACACCTACTCTCTTCCCCTCAATATCCGGCTTGAGGTCATCTGGAAATGAAAGAGCCATCAAGTAATTATTTCGATGAAAATCTCGACACGATTCATCTACAATGATGCCAGGAGTCATAATCCTATCTACGGGTCGATTAATGATATTAGTCACTGGATCCAACACTTGATTGCAAATAACAGCTTTATATCCGGCCCGGTGTATAATATCCATGTACTTATCCAACATTCTGTCAGGAAATCCAGAGAAAGATATAGGTCCTAGTTTCAAATTCTTTTTGGTTAATGTTAGGCCTAGTAAACCGGAGTACTTGTCTGCCTGATCAAAATAAAGCTCATAGAATGATCCAACATGAATCAACACAATGTAATTCCCATCAGTCCTAGCAGAATAGGTGTTGTACATTTGAACAATACTTTGATAAAAATCTGTAAGTGTATTATTATCTGTGATTGCTCCACGATCTAGCAGCGTAGCGGCGGAAGCGCCATTTGCAGCCGATATTGACATTTCCATCTTTTCATTTATAATTTGATTTTCCTTGAATGAAAGCTTATCTTCTCTAATGGCTTCCTCAGTCACTGGCTCCGTAGAATCTGCACTTCCCATAACCTTTTTTGCCCTAGACTTCCGTTTTGATTTGGTTTTAGCAGTAGGTTTGGCCTGTGTTTTATGCAGTGTTCTGGAATCCAGCCTTCCTTCATCGAAGTCGGCAACTCCGCTTGTTTTACTTTCTTCGTTGAAACTGTTCGACTTCAATTTAGGAACAACAACCTTAATATCTGAGAGGTCTTCAGCAGTAAATAACAATTGATTGTCACCACTAGACTTTTCATGATTCTCCCGTCTAAACGGCAAAGATATAGAAAGGACGCGTTTTCCAGACACTTTTCTCCATTCAAATCGATTTACACATGCAAAAAGTCTCCTAGTCCCTCGACTGAACATCCCATTTGCACAAATAAATTGAATACCTTCAGTGATCGCCTCTAGCTACATCCTATGATAGAGCAAAATGTTGCAAACAGCGTATTTTCAGGTAGAATAAAAGCTTCGAAATAAATCACCTTCAACTCATGCGAGGAGTGAAAAATCCTTGCACCGAGGAATCCGCAGCTCTGGCAGTGTTTACTTTTTTCTTAGTGAAGCCCGGCGGGGCCCATTTGGCTGTAAGGCTCTTCAACACCTGTTGTCACGTTCTTACTCCTGCTTTAGTCGGCGTTGCTGAGGAGATAGAAGTTGCAGTTAACCTAAAGCCACTTAACTAACCACTGAACAGACCTCCAAGTCAATAGATTCTATTATCCTTCAAAGCATCGCTCCAGAGCAGCATATACCTTCGAAAGGTACCAACCACCATCTAGAATCTTTTTTGCATCATTAAAAAAATAGAGAAGGAATTTTTCATAAATCCTTTTAGAATCTCTGACCTCTTTTAGACAACAGAGTTACATAAACACAGACAAGAGTCAATTTGTGAACTCCTGTTAGTCCGTTTTATCTTTATACCGCGTTTTGAAGATGATAAAGTCGGCGAAAGCAGAAACCACTATAAATTCTTTGATATCTGGGTCGCCGTCAATGAAACATCGCCACCAGCATCAGCGTCAAAAATCGATTGTAACAGTATCCAAATCATCATCCGAAGGAGTATCAACACTAGACGGAATTGATACATCTATTACTAGCATGGAAGAGAGTAAAAATTCATCACCAATAAATAAGCAATATTTTACTGCTAACTCCAGAACAAATAATTCTACTTCGATACCGACGTCAGCGACAAAATCCGAGCTACCCATCTCCTCGCATTACCAAGATGATACTGCATTGACACCGAGCATAAAGACGGAGACGCCAGATACTGAAACCTTGATATTTTCAACCAGTGGTAAAACAGTTGACAAAAAGGGACTAGTTACTCCTTCTCATTCTATATATGCTAGCCCGTCTAGTCAACTGCCAAAACAATCATCAGTGAGAAGACTTTCTAAAGATGAAGACAATTTTAAAGTGAGCATTCCACCTCCTGATGATTCTTTGATTCACATTACTGAGGATATGTCCACCAGAACAAGCTCTTCTGACGACATTAGCTCAGACGGGAATGACGCAAACGACACCGCATTTCTTAACTCCATACATTCGTACCGTGTTCTGGCAAAGCCTAATTCCAAGGTAGATAGGACCAATCCAGGTCGAGCGACGGCAGATATTCATTCTAGAAGACATTCTAACGTTGACCCATTGGCGGTTATGGATGACGAACATGATCGATTGATACCGTTACCACATTCTGAACCTCATACATCCAATGAGGCTCCAGACAAACACATGCACGGCTTCAAGAATAACACATATCCTAGATCATCTACTGAAAATGTTCTTAAACACAGAAGCAATAAAGGGAAATCGAGTAGTCTACCAACTGCTAATTCTTCTAATACCATAAAATCTTATGCTGATAAAAGAGCATATCAAAGTATAAACACCATCAAGATACCAGATAATTATCAACGAACAAAGCTAGCTAAAACTTCAGGAATTGAGCAACCAGAAAGTGGTATTAATGATGATTATGCGAAACGTCATAGGGTTGCAAAAACTTCATCTTTCATAAATAACCCGAGAAAGAAGTCAAAGATGAAAGCTGACAACTTGTATAATATACCGGGACAAAATATATCCGAGAAGCATCAAAACTATGCAATTGTCTATGATTTGGTAACAGGGATCAGGTTTTCAGTTTCACGTTGTGCTAAAAATCCAGTTCAAATAACCGACAACCAGTTCAAGCAAGTTACAAAACTTATATTCAATAGGCAAGGTAATACCCAAGCCCCACCAACAAAATACGAGTTCAAGTTCAAGGATTATGCTCCTGAAGTATTTCGGGATTTGAGAAGAATGTTCAACGTTAATCAGGCCGATTATTTAATGTCTCTGAATGATGAAATAGGTGTAAGGGCAGTTGGATCATCTGGCAAGAGTGGATCATCATTTTATTACTCAAACGATAGAAAATTCATCATTAAGACAATTCATCGTTCAGAGCATAAGCACCTCCGAAGGATATTAAAAGATTATTACAACTATGTAACGGAAAACCCTAACACTTTATTGTGCCAATTTTATGGATTACATAGACTCAAAATGGCAACTAGAACAGGAACGGTCAAAGTTCATGTTCTAGTTATGAATAACCTGTTGCCACCAATGGTAAACACAGCCGACTGTTATGATCTAAAAGGCTCTACTTATGGAAGAAAAACATCGGAGAAGAAGCGGCTACAGGGCTCGTGTTTGAAGGATCTAAATTTCATTGAAAACAAAGCTGCCATTTATCTTGCGAATGCAAAGAAAAAGCAGATAGAGCAGCAACTGAAACAAGACGTTGAACTACTAAAAAGGTTAAATATAATGGATTATTCTTTGTTGCTAGGCCTGAAATTTTTGAATCGGGCAGATGAAGAACTATTAGACGAGACCAGCAAGAGACTATCGCAGATAACTCATCAGAATGTTCCAGGGGCTCATAAAAACTCAATTTTTGATACGGATGGCGGCATTCGTGCTATTGATACCCATGGTGAAGAAATGGACATTGTATATTATATTGGGATTATTGATTGTCTGACAAACTATAACACTCTAAAAAAGTTGGAAACTTTTTTCAGAAGTTTAAGACATAAAAGGGAGACAATCAGCGCAGTTCCACCGCATGAATATGGTGACAGATTTTTGAGTTTCATTTTTGATCATATTAAAAGTCCGGGGGACGAGATAATTGAAAAGAAGAAAGGCTTCGGTAAGTTCAAGGCTTTCAAAAAGTTCACAAACCATAATACAGCCTAATTGAATAGTGCTGACAGGAAAAGTAACATGATACTTAAGGTAATGAAGCTGCTTTACATATGGAATCTATTAAAACTCATTAAGCACAAATCAAACTCGTTGTTCATCTGTTGTGGAGACTTTCTCTCAACTCGCCAAAAGCTAATGACCATATACAAACACTCACACATTCCTTTTTTTTTTAACAAAACCATAGTTCCGTATTTCTTGAACTACTGGTGGCATTTATCATTCGCTTGAAATTTATTTTCTAACGCTTTTGTAAATTATATATTTACTTCCTAATATAAGATTCAAACGTAAAATCCTGATAGGCAATACTGCGCAAACCGATAAGTTTGATAATTGTACATTTTTTAATGTGATAATATATAAAATACTTTTTTTTTGTATTTTACAAACTGCAATTAATGAGCTTACTCTTCAATCATCTCATCACCGTAATCAGCAACTTCATTTGATTGCACCTCTTCAGCAGGTGCAACAACAGGTTCATCCACAGGTTCATCCACAGGTTCATCCACTGGTGCATCAATAGGAGCATTACCAGCTTGAAGTTCAACAGTCTCCAAAGGTTGTTCTGTTTGAACTACCGAGTGGGAATCTTCGGCTGGAAGGTCTTCAATTGAAACATTATCTGTTTTGACTTTTAGGCCAGCTTCTCTGAGCAAAACCTCCAGCTGTTCAGAATCTGGATATTTGGCAAAACTGATTCTCAAACTTCTGTTACCATAATCGTAGCCATTCAACTGGTCAATCACAGACAGCGCAGTATTGACATCAGCAAACTTCACAACAGCATTTCCTGAAGGTCTCCCCCCACGGCCGTATTGCAACTCTGCCTTTTCAACAGTAGCAACAGATCCAAACAACTCAAACAAATCTGACTCAGCAGTTTCCCATGGTAAATTACCAACAAAAAGAATTGGAGACTCATCGCCGTCAGCAGTGACGCCCAGGGTGAACTCAGTGTTCTTTGATAATCCGTCAGTTCTTATCTTTGGCGCTGCGACCGATGCGCTTTCTTCTGATCTCGGGAATTTGCTTGGTCTGACTTCAATTCTCCTACCAAACCATTCATAGTCGTTCAACTTGGAAATTGCATTTTCGGCATCTTGCTCATTGACGAAATGCACAGTACCCATTCCTCTAGACTTACCATATGAAGTTTCAATGATATCTGCTCTTTCAACATCACCAAACTCTCTGAAAAGATCCTTAAGATCTTGCCATCTAACAGTGAAGGGTAAGTTACCAACAAAAACCTCAAAGCCCTTGGCTGGCTCTTTTCTGAAATCTCTTTCTCTTCTAGTAGGAGCCGGAGTGTAAGTATCTCTAGAGGACCTAGAATATCTACTTTCCTGGGCATCATACCTATCTGTTTTGTCAAATCTATCTTGCCTGAAATCATTTTTCTTCTCTGGTGGTGGTAGATCCTCTCTAACGAAAATTTCACGGCCCATGAAAAGGGTTCTGTCGTAAAGATTGATGGCTCTTTGAGCTACATCTCTCGAGGCGTATTCCACCGTTCCCATACCACGTGGTCTGCCATGATTGGTAACAATATCTGCCCTGACTATAGGACCAGCGTTTGCGAAATGATCTTTCAATTCGTACCATTGCACATTATATGGCAAGTTTCCAACAAAAATCGAGTTTTCGTACTTTCTGTTTGATTTGACTTCATACTCGTTTCCTCTTGGAGCAAATCCACCTCTTTGGTGACCACCACGTCTCGGAGCACCTCTGTAGGATGAGAACAAATCTCTACTACCTCCGCTTCCACGACGAGGAGAACGCGATCTGTCACGACGTCCTTGGCCGCCGTTTCCGCCTCTAGCAGGAGATCTTGAGCGATCCTAAACAAAATATCAAAAATATTGCACAAAGCTGTTAGTTTCTATATTCATTTTGGATTCAAGTATTCATATAAAAACGCCCTAGCATCGACTAAACCGATCCTCTCGTGTTTCAATTCTAGAACAAAACACTGAAAGCCCCTTTCTTCTTCGAAGATATCTTCTCAGTTACGGCAAAATGCACCAGTATAAACACAATCGACAAAGTATCGAATCACCGAATACTCAACAAATATGCACCAACGCAAATAAACCAAAGCCCCAAGATTTAGTGTTCCCGCTTTCAGTGCCAAATGCTGGAACAAATCCATGCATCTTCCACTCTCGAAGAGAAGGCAAGAAATGGCATTGGAACGGTCTAGCGATGAATATGAATTTTCGTGAAAATAGTGAGACGACAACGACGACAACGACGACAACGACGACGCCAGACAAATTCGAACTCCCCTATGAAAAGCCTATACGCCTCAAGTATAACCTTTCTAGTTTCATGCCCAAGATCATAGCCCACCTATTCCTCAACTCCACTTACTCTTGGATAGTCGTCAAAGTCCATTGGTTCTGACATAATTTGTATTTGAACAAAGAGTAAAACTAAATCTTACTTTCAAAGCTCTCAAAAAAGTGTTTCTCCTATCTGAGTGGCATCTTTCCTTCAAACATCATCATCAACATCTACGGATTCCATGCAGATCGCTCTCGGCGAAGAAGTTGCTGAAAAGTGAGCAAAATTGTTAGTGAGCGCCTTGAAGGGATCGATCGGCGTTTTTTTGGTAAATTATTACATCTTTATCTATAAATATTGGTCCGCTATACCAACACGGCATCGAAACATCAATTCAAATATCCCTTGCACCCAGGAGCACCACAAAGACATGGAATACGTTCCTCGTCATTGATTTCTCTCTCGAACTTGTAGTCGTAAGTAAGCTCTTCGTTTCGCTTGACGTCCCTCAAGGCGTATATGACAATACGCTTCTTGCCGCCTACTTTGATGATCTTCGCCGTACAAGACGGTTCACAACAATGGTTAATGAAACGTGCAATTCCTCCCCGCTTGGAGGCATCAATGACAGTATTTTCATCTATCCGGAACAAGTAAGAGGAACCGATTCCTGATCTCAAATATTTTTTCTCACGGAGTTCGGCAACCTGCTGTCTGATTCTCTCCCCAACGTACTCAATGATCATTTCTCCAGCAGTGATAGGCTCCAACGCATACAAACCCCAGTTGTGAATTGCACTCCTTGCAAACTGAACAGGCTTTTTACGCTTATTCAACTGGTTCAAGTCTAGTAGATCTGTTTCTCCAATGATCTGCTTCTGTGCTGAGATGTCAGCAACAAATCTTCTTGTGTTGGCACGGTTCACTCTAGAGCTCTGAGCGTTGTTGTAGTTCAAAGTGTTTGCTTCATCATCGTCTTCATGTTTAACAGGATTCAAGTTTGTCAAGTTTCTTCTATGGAGCAGGTATTCTCTTTTGTATTTATCAGGAATCTTGTGGTACCCTTCGGTTCTAAAGCAGCCAGAAGAGTTTCTTAATTCCTTGTTGTTCAAGACCTCTTCTGCAAAGTCAAAAACTTCGGCGTCATCTCCCTCATCTTCCTTTTCCTCCCTTAGCTCTTTAGATTCCTTCATTGCTTCCATATGTTCCCATGCAAAGAAAGCAACGCTCTTAATAGGTTTTTCAAAGTTCAAGCCTTTACAAAGATTGGACAGGATCTGGAAATCCTCATCCGTCTTTATGGAGTTCTTCAAAAACTGCAGAGTTGGGGAAAAAGGCTCCAAATGATCATCAAAGACAGGACCAGGAAGGGCCGTAGAAGGTTGGAAGACATTATCAATTGTTTTTCCAATGGTCTCAGTTTCTGATGGGGGTGTGATATCTGTCTGTTCAGCTTCGACCTTGATTTCATCGTTGTCATCAAAGTCAACTTCGTCATCTTCTTCTTCGCTTTCAATATTCTCTTGAAACTTAATCTTCTTCTTGTCGAGTTTAGATATATGAGTTTCAGGCTTACGCTTCTTTATCGACTTCGACCCATCTTTAGCATTAAGTGTGTCATCGATTGGAGTCCCATCAGTTTCGCTAGCATCCTCATCCTCATCCTCATCTTCATCATCTTCTTCTTCATCGTCGTCACTTATATCATGCCCTTTGTTTAAAGAATGACTCATAGGAATAAATGCTCTTTTGACACTTTTTCTGACAACATTCAAATCTAACCTCTTAATTACCCTTATCGTATTTTCATCTTTGGCGATCGACCTTTCTTTTTCCTGTTGCTTCATCAACTTTCTTTCTTCATCCTTCTTCTTCTTTGATTCTTGGGCCAACTTCGCTATTTCGTCTGTGTCCAACACATCCAAAATCATTTTTCCAATCACCTTTTCACGGATATCTTTCAGTAAATAAGCATTCAATTCTTTCACTACTTGTTTTTGTGCTAATTTTACATTTCCTGCCTTGCCTACCCTAGTTTCATCTATTTGGTCATCCGGAACATATAGCGTCATATATACAGTATAATTCATGAGCTTTTTTCCATCTTCGGTATCAAAACATTGCATGGCTTCCGATAGCTTATTGAAGACCAAATAAAATCCATTTCTTTGTTGGAGGATCCGACTTATGTTGTATCTGCTTAAAAACCGCCGCAACTGATCAGAACTCACATGCATTGAGGAAACATACTTATCTGATATGAAAATGTAAGGACGATTAGAGATGTATTTCTGAAATTTGTAGCTTAAACTGAATGATGACGCAGGGAAAATGTGTCTATCATGAACAGAAACTTTCGAGCTACTTGTTAGTCCTTTTGAGCTTGGACCTGAAGGAAGCAACTTATTGTATTTCTCTCGATTCATCCTTGCCTCTTTTGCAAGTCTGATTTGTTCTTCTTTGGCTAGCTTTTCTTCCCTCAACCTCTCGATTTTGAGCTTCTCCTCCTTCTTGGCTTCTTCAACTTTTTGCTTTCTAAGCTTCTCCTTTCTGACATCCATAGTCTTATTATAGATTTCGTCATAAAGTTGATTTTTCACATTTAAGCCACATCTTATATACCGACCTTGTATAACCAATCTTTTGTTGGCCATCTCAACTGTCTTCAGAGCTGTACTGTGTGCTTGTTCAACTTTGCCATCAAAGCTTAACAAGCACATTCCAAGTGGGACGGCGGTGGATGGATCGTCAATTACTTTGACCTCACTAACGGGTCCGTATTGTGAAAAATTATTTTTGATTATCAAGGAAGTAGTAGTTGAATGAAGGTTCCAAATGAGGATCTCGTTTGAAGGCTTCTCCCCCAATGAGTGGGAGTCAAATTTGAATGTGGGTAAATATATCTTCTCTACTGGTTTGGAGAATGATTTCGAGAGAGACTTCAAATAGCTAGCAGAGTTGTTCAATCTGGGGTCTACCACGGTTTTGGACAGTCCTTGAACATGCTCGATTGCGTTCTTCTTCCTGTTTTCGGTCTTTAGATGTATTGTTTTGAAAGATTTCGCCTCTAAAATTTGGCCCTCATCCAAAGGTGCAAGCTGTGATATGAAATTGCCTTGCTTGGGATCTCCTAATGCGTAGGTTTTCACGATTGGCGCATGAATTCCTTGCCTCGAATGGGCCCTTCTGGTCCCCGAGGCAGATACGATCTTCGGAGAGGGGGATGGTGCAGAGGAAGAAGAAGGTGGGTAGTTAGTAGCTGTGTGATCATCACCCGAGGAGTGATGACGGGGAAGCCGGTGGCTGTGGTATCCGGAGTAGCTATTGTAATAGCTCGAGCTTTGCGACTCGTATAAGCTCGATGGCGGGTCCCTCTGCAGTGGCGGCGGCGGCGGCTGCTGCGGTGGCGGCTGTATACTGTAGCCGTCGTCGTAGTAGTCGTAGTAGCCAGCACCGTACCCGTTTGCGTAGTCGCTGGAGTACTCGTTCGGGTAGTCGGTTGAGTAACCGTTGCTCAAACGACCGCCGTGATCGTACCGCTGCTGAGGACCACCGTAATCGCCCTTCGAATTCGGAGGGTACCCATAGCCCTTCTTGTAGTGACCGCCACGATAGGCCATGCTTTTCCTTTGTCTAGCGACCGAGTCTCTTTGCACAACAACCTTCGTCTTCTATCGCCAGGCTGTCTATCAACATGGGAGATACTATCGAAAATGGAAAAAAGTGACAAGCGTTGTGGCCAAGAGGGAAGGAGACGCGAGAGATGGTGATTACGCTGAAATTTTTCCGGTGCCTGCTAGATAGATAGGAGGCGGCCAGACAACGTGTGGCCGCCGTCCGCAGGACTACCACGGGCCCGACACAGACAGGGCCAATCAATGTCACGATTTGTGGACGATGAAGAGGCAGAGATACAAGTCAGCTCTGGGCTTTCCGGAGTGGAGCAGTCGGTGAAAAGAGGCGCCGCTGAGAACGACGGCACTCCCGCCCCCGATGCCGCCGCAGGAGTACCCGAGGAGGCCGACGAGGAGGCCACGAAGGACGCTGGCGCCCACCATTACCGCAAGCGCAAGAGCTTGCAGGAGCAGCTGCTCAACAACCGCATGTACAAGTACCGGGAGCGCCGGAAGAAGCTGGAGAAGCAGAACTCCTCCTTCAAGATGCGCAAGGACACCCGTGAGTTTTACGGCAAGCTCAGCGCCGAGAAGCAGGCCAAGAAGCAGGCGGAGCGGGACACATACATGCGTGAGCTGGCTCTATTTCGGCGCCAAAGGGAGAAACAGAAGCGTGCCGAAGAAGAAGCCGAAGGCGAAACTGAAGAGGAACAAGATTTAGAGGAAGCCGCTGAGCCAGCTGCTGAGCCAGCTGCTGAGCCAGAAGAAGCCCCCGTCGCCGGCCTCGTTGCCTATTCCGACTCCGATTCTGAGTGAAAAGGGCTGGCGGCGTGGGCGAGAGCATCCGTGCACCGCGCAAGACGCTGTGAAAAATTCGGCTCGCACCACAGCACATAAGACAGCTGGATACATGATTATGACGGCCGAAGACGACGCAGGGTCAGGATCACAGGCCTCCCCTCTCTGTTCTCTTTCGGCACCACCACCGCCACACCCGCCATGTTTGCCTTCACATCCCTTTTCAGACCGTTTGCCGCCTCGGTGGCGCAGATTTCGGCCGTGAGGTTCGCATCGAAGACCCACAGGGCAACGTACAAGAGATGGAGAAAGACTGCGACCGGGTTCAAGAGAGGACTACAAGGCAGGAAGCACGGTAACGCCGGGTTCACGCAGAGGGTGTTGCGGGGCAGAACAGGCACCGCCTACTCTACCCACACGCAGTCGAAGATTCTGCAGAGACTCCTCCCAAACATGTGACAAGGCCGCCAGCGTCAGCGTCCGCGTCAACCGCACAAACATAGCCTGTATATATGTCTATATGTCGATATATCGTATCATGAAAAAATGTACATTTCTATAACGTCTGCACCCAGGCTGCATGAGAAAGACTCCTCACGGAGGCTTCAGAAGTGTTTAGAACTCAATCAAGCCTACATGTATTAGATGAATTTATATAACGATAATAACATAGCTCTCTATCTAGCCTCAGTCTTTTTTGTCGCTGAATGACTTCCACACACCATCGACCTTCCGGAGCTCCACCGTGGGGAAGTAGTGGTAGTTCACCTTAAGGGTCTGTGCCATCGGAATGTTGTCAAAGGTGACAATACGGAGCTTGACGTAGGTGTTGTCCTTCACCTGCTTCACCACCTTCAAAAAGTCCTCGAGCGTGCCCGTAGGAATCTCGTTCACATGGGTGATGAAGTTGGTGATCCCCACCGCGTAGAACCTACCTGGAGATCCGCTCGAGATGGTTGTGCAGTAGACGCCGCTTGGTAAGTTGTTGATCATCTGTCTGACACCATGGTGCGCGTTTTGCAATGCACACCCAGACCAGAACACAACACGGTCGGTGACAAAAGATTTGGTACGAGTCAGGTTGACTTCCAAGTCAATGACCTGCTTTTCACGAACAACCTTGAAGTTGATCTGCTCTTCATCTTTCTCCAAATCTTTCACTGCAGTGTCGATGTCACGGATACGGGTCACTAGCTTCTTGTTGGCAACAAGTAAAATATCTCCCGGGTTCAAAGGACAGCTTGGCTTGTTATTCGAGCCAACCGAAACAGATGGAACATATAAGAACTGGAATTTGTCGATACCCGTGCTACTCTCAACCTTCGAGATCCACTCTTCAGGAACACCGTTGATCCTGGCACTCGCAATAGAGATCGAACTGAGCTCGACGTCGATGATCTTGACATCTGGTTCCTCTCCCCTCTTCAAAAATTCTAACTCCCACATGACGTCAGTTATGTCTATACCCGTGGTGTACATCTTATCATCTTCTCCATCACAGGATAACCATAACCCTCTGATGACACCGTCTTCCTTATTACACAGAACACCAGAATGGCATTTCTGTCCACTTGTAGAATCAATCAATACAGCCTCAACGTTGGTTGCCTTGTATCTAGGAGCATTGGAGTTGGCAGGAATGTTCATCACACCGATATCGCTGACCTTTGTTTCATCCACAACCGGCCTGAGAGATTTATTGTATCCAATGAAAACAACCTTATCACCTCTTTGCATCGGTGTTTCACTGAATTTTGGAGTCTGGACAGGCGCATTGACCAAAAGAGGATCATACTTAACAATGGAATACCCCTTGGTTGGATGCAAGAATACCACCTTTGCAGGGACAATGATCGATTCTGCAATTGTGATATTAATGTCACAAAGATCATGCGCAACAGCATGTCTTGAAACTAGTACAAACCCTCTGCTTGCATCAATGACAACACCATGAACCCTTCTAACATGTCCTCCAAATGAATCCAATGGTAATTCGTAAATTGCATCGACTTGAACGAACGATCTGTTCAGTTGTTGACATGACTCAAACTCTGTTGGTAAATCTAAGAATTTGGCACTTTTCACGCTAATTTCGTTGTTTTTAAGAGGCTCCTTTTGAATTGTTTCAAAATCCCACAAACCAGTCTTATCATTTCTAGTTGCCATTTTGAATGAAGATGACCAATGTCTATCAATATAAATATTCTTGAATAATGGAACATGGATATCAGTTAGATGATGATACTTAACAGGAATAAAGGATTTATCTGGTATTGTTTTCATTACTTCAATGAAAGCATCCAATGTAGGCGTAGGCTGATCATCTACTGTATCGATGATCCAACAGTTGTTTAATTCTGAGCCGCCAAGTTGGAATGATCCGGATGCATCACTCACATAACAGCCCTTAACAGGAATATCGTAGATCCTAGCTAATTGGTAGCTCAACTCATTAAAAGTTGCACCACAAACAGATACGTATTTGGAAGGAGTGATATCATGCAAATTGCCAATTTTGATCACACGTTCAAAGTTTTTGCTGTTTCTTTGGATCATGAACTTGACTTCTTTACCAACGCTATCGTCCATAATATTATCCACTTGAATGAAACTAGTAATTAATTCGCCATTGATACTAATCAAACAATCACCCTCTTTAATCAACCCATCAGCAGGGCCAGAAGGCAATGTCACAGAAGCAATAAGCATACCATTGATGTCTTCACCTGTTTTTCTGACCTTCTCCTCAATGTCCGAAGTTAAGCCTAACCTTCTACACTTATCAAAAGGTTCTAGGGTCCATTGAACTTGAATGGTACCTCTTGTCACCTCTTCATCTTGTTGAATCTTTTCTAGAGCCCTCTTAACTCTCCAGACAGGTAAGAAGAAATCAGTCGAACTTTCTGAATTACCACCAGCTTGCAAGGCAACTGCATGCCCATCTATGTTGACAACAGGAGATCCACTTGATCCACCACTTGCACTGGCTGCTGCTTGAATATATTCTGTGTTAAAATCATTATATGTGTTGGCACCATAATCTGGTGCATTTCTGTCCAATCTTGAGATGAAACCTGATAAGATACTCAATTTTTCACCAGAATCGTTACCTATAACACGAATTTCCTCACCCACACGAGCCAATTTTGGATGTAGTTCTAACTGCTGTACTTTCATGTACTTAACTTTGGTGACATCGAATTTCAAAAATCCAAAATCATGGACTGGATCACGATAGATCGGAGTGACCTCAACTTCTTCATGGTTGTCAAAGACAGCATACCCCACAAAAGGACCAGGCCCAACAACGTGTCTATTGGTCAGAATGATACCTTGCGTACAATCAACAACAAAACCTGTGGCTTCTGAGCACAAGGAGGTTTCAGTGTCAAAATTGACAGGCTGCATAAAATGAATCGAAACAACCGACCTGACCACACGCTCAACGGTTTTCTGCCATTTGGTTTCGCTTTGTGGAATGTATGCATACTCTACGTTTTCTGAAGAGGTAGAGGCTGTTTCTGTGATGTCGTTGGATTGATCTAATTCCATGAAATCGTCATTTTCTTCGTTCAGGTGCTGTCTTTTTCCAGCTGGAAGGTCCAACGCTTCGGAGGTATGCTTTGTCGTTCCATTAGCTGACATATTATTGTTTATCCTTAGACAAGTTCTGGCTAGTGTGGGCCTTAAATTTGTAAACATTGCAGAAACTGAAGGAAAAAGAACCTTGAAGGTGAAAAAAAAAATTCATCCCTGCTTCCTCGGAAGACCACAGTATCTACATTTTCTCTTGTTGAGCGCACGCATCTGTTATTTAGCTATCGTAATTTCACAGGAACATGTTTATAAAATGATACATTCTTATACGGAGCCTACAGGTTGAGGACTGGCACTAGATTTGGGCTTACCCTTGCCAATACTTCCACTGGTTCGTTTAATAGTTCTAACCCATCTTTCAACTTGAGCGGTGTCTTTCATCGTGACATACTCCACAGTTGAATCTAGGAATGAACCGAGAGAGTTCAAAGCTAGATCATGTTCAGCTGCTCCGTCTCCCGTTTCGATTACGGCGTCTTCATCTGCATAGCGAGCTTCCTTTATCCACTTGCTTTTGGAAATCATCCTTGTGACTTCACGGATGTATCTTTTCACTTCGATGTCTGTCAACCCGCCCTGTTGGAAACGGTGTAGGGTGTCCAGCAACCTGCTTCTTAAACCAATCCTTTGTTTGATCTCCTTTTTGTTGAGCTGGAGGTAAGAGATGCCCACCAACCCGACCAACAACCCCCATGAGTTGGTAACCACGTGTTGATACAATTTGAAAGTCTGTAAAATGTGCTGTGTTATATGTTCTGGAATGTAAAACTTGTTGCAAAAGGCAACCAAAATAGGCGTTGTGATCACTATTCTGGTACGCGATTTATAAGGAGATAGCTTAGTCGAGCTGGGACTGTCAGTGTTTCTGATCTTCCTTGGGGATTTCCGTGGAGTAGAAGGAGGAGTCTGGAGAAGATTATCATGTTGTGTCTCTGATGGCCTTTCTTGTAGAAGAGCACCTTTAAGTGATTTCCGTACACTGTCTAATGTGTTGTACTTGGAGGACCGTACCTTATCGATATACGATTGTGTGGATAACGAAAAGCCTGGGCTTTCCTCCCCTCTCGTTCCAGTCGAAGGTGTTGCCAAATATTCGAGATTGACGATTCTTTTCGCCATGGGAGTGGAAGCAATCATTGTTGAGAAAAGCGTCCTGAAGTTCTGTAACAAAGTCAGGAGTTTTTTCCGGGGAAGGGGTATTTTATTTTGGAATGGATCGGGAAAGCTGTACATCGATTGAAAGTATTCAACAGTCACATAACAGCAGAGATGGTATCTTGCGACCTCGTCGTTTCCCGCTAGCGGCAGAGTACGTTTTGAGGATGTGTAGAGCGAGTTGGCATAGCTGATTATCTCGCTCGGATATGGTTCCGGTGTAGTGGGTAGTATATCTCTGATAGCGGACGTTATAAAAAGATTTGACATGTTGCTTGGTTGTCCTGAAGCGAATGTTTATAAAACTGATACCATCAGAAGCACAGAAGTCTTGATATAGGGATGGAAAGTAGTTGTAACAGTTATGCGATCCAGGAACCTCTCTTGCTCCGGACAGTGTGGAGCAAAAACCAGGTGCGCTGAGTTTCCCTTTTCGGTAAATGGAAAAGCCAGCCATGTCAGCAAAAGCTGAGGAGGGTGTTGGTTGGACCGGTTGTGCTCAGACGGCGACTCAGTATCAGACGATAAGCAGGATCAGCATCAGCACAGGACACACCACAGCACACAGTGTCGCAGACCAAATGACGGCAGATGAACCTATTAATGCGAACCCACAGGTGAAAGACGTGTCGCAGCTTCCGACGAGGCAAGCCAAGGGCGGCGACAGTGGTAAAACCGAGCACTATCCACATGAGGTCTACAGAACAAGGTTATCAAAGCTGGTCTCGAGGTACTCTTTCCACAGCAGGAATTTGAAGGGCAGCTGTGACGATGTCGACGACGCGAGCGACGAGGAGGAGGAGGAGGAGGACAAGGACGACGGCGACAGCGAGCCGCTCGATGCGCAGGAGGTGTACGACCTCATATCGTCGATCTCCGATCCGGAGCACCCCCTCACGTTGGGCCAGCTTTCTGTGGTGAACCTCGGCGACATCCGTGTGAGACACCCGGATTATGCTTCCGGCCGTGTCGGAGAGGTCAACGTCCAGATCACCCCTACGATCACGCACTGTTCCCTCGCCACACTCATCGGCTTGGGAATCCGTGTCCGTCTCGACCGCAGTGTTGACAAGGCTTACCGGATTGGCATATACGTTAAACAAGGAACGCACCAGAGTGAGGGCCAGGTGAACAAGCAGTTGAACGACAAGGAACGGGTCTGTGCCGCGTGCGAGAACCCGCAGTTGGTTAAGGTGGTGGGGCGAATGTTGGCCACCTGCACGGTGCAGAACTGACCAATGGCTATGTAGGAGGCAGATGTACAGCTCAAATTATATGTATTTCAATTCTTTTTTGGCTTTTTATCTAGTTCATCACATTGAAAGATGACAAAAATGGCCCGAGGACTAATTTCACCCGTGCACCGCGCTGACGTAACGCGTCTTTGCCCATAGACTGAAAAATTCTCAGCGAGGATTTGGGAAAAGGCGAGAGGTAGCATGAGGAACCAGGGTGTCGTCAAAGAGGAAAGGTTCCGCATGAAGAGCTGAGCAGCATAGGGAAACGAGAAGAAGAGGCCAGAAATCCGATTGACTCGAACCACAATAGACACAACACAATGGCAGAGGTATCCGAAACAGTCTACACCCCACAAGAGGTCGAAGCAACCTTGGAACAAGCAGTTGCATCTGCAGAATCCCAGATTGAGGATCTGATTGCCCAAGAGGCTGAAGTTGAAGACGAAGCAGCCCTTGACGCTGCTGCCGAGGAGGCTGCCGAAGAGGTTGTCACTGAGGCTGCTGCCGAGGCGGAGGCCGACGCTGTTGCAAACGCTGTTCTGAACGAGGCGGTCGCCGAAGTCGAGAAGAAGTTCGCTAACGACGAAGATGACGACGAAGACGACGAAGACGAAGACTCAGACTACGACGACGACGACTTCGATCCTGCTGACGAAACCGTTCTTGAGCGTATCGAGGCTTTGAAGGACATTTTCTCGCCAAAGCAAAGAGCCTTTGTCACGAACACAGTTTCCGCCGTCGTATCGGGCTCCAAGACTCTGACCCTCAACCTCGGTTCTGCGCTCTGGTATGTTGCCACCACTAGTATGTTGGTTGGTGTTCCATTGGCTGTTGCCATTTTGAACGAAACACAGTTGACCGAGTTAGAGAAGGAGTTGAACGGTGCCGGCATGGGCGTTGCAGCACCAGCTGCCGCCCCAGCTGTAGAAGAAAAGAACTGATGATGACACTTCGATAAGGCTCTTCTATTTTATGTAATGAAAAATCTCCCACATAACTGTATATAATGAATAAACCCACGGTTTTTTGTTACATGGTAGCAGGCGGGCATGGGCTCCGTCTCAGCTACTAGAACGCAATGAGGGGGAACGCAATAAATAAATACTAATCTAAAAATATTGTGGCTTTCAATTACAGTCGTAATTTAGAGGGCTTTTTTATCTGTCTTTGGGTGCTTGATGGTCAAGGCCCAGATGTCGAGGTAGTCGGTGATGTCATAAATGATTTCGTAGACAAACATACCGTAGATGGCCATACTTGCGCCGAGGCCGCCGTAGACAACCATGGCCAAGGCCTCCTCATAGTCAGCGCCGAAAACGGAGACCATCAGCTGCATCAAGACTGCCTGGACAACTGGCGCATACATTGGAAAGTTAGAGTAGGGGAACTCCTGCTTTGTTAGATGTCCGGTGATGATTTTACCGACTGTGAATGACATACAGGAACCAATGGTCAGCAGCATGGTGGTCGTGTATTTGGTCACCATGGCTGGGTGCAGGACAAACAGAATGGCAACGGTGAGGTAGTAGATGAAGAAGGGGTAGATGCCCTTAAGGGCGTCCGAAACCTCCTTCTCTCTTTTCGTCTCCTTAAGGCAGTTGATGACGTTTCTTCGGGCAGAGTAGATGTTGAACGCCATGATGAACCCGCCAATGGCGCCCGACACGTAGGTTGGGGTGATGACAATTGGTGCAATCGAGTCGCTGAGGTACAAGGTGAAGAGCTCCCGCTTCCAGACAAAGTCGACCCCCCAAACTCCGGTCATGACAAAGACGCCGGAGATCAGAAGTAAGCCCTCCACGGGACCCGAGATCTCTGACAAGAAGAGCTTGTGTGTGTAAAACTCCTCCCACGTGGACAGATAGAAGTTCGCAAGGGTGGAAAACTGGACAAGGAAGGGCAGCGGGGTGTCGGTGCCGAGGTTAGCGGCCGAGGAGAACTGAATCACCATCAGCGTTGTGTTCATCGAGTCGCAGCAGTGGTCGAAGAGCTCTCCCAGCGGCGAGCTCTGCCCGGTTCTACGTGCGTGGATCCCGTCGCAGGCGTCAAAGGTCTGGTACATGAAGACCGCAAAGGCGTGATAGAAGTAGAGCCATTGCGGGGAGACGGTGTCGTAGTAGGGGTCGAAGTAAAAGACAAGCACGTCTGAGACAACGATGAACAACAACCCGAGCAGCGTGACCATGTTTGGGGCCATCGAGAGCGGGAATACGTTCACAAACTTGAGCCAGAACGGCTTGAGGATGTACTTGGTCGTGATTGACCTGTCTTCGCTTTGGTAGCGGTATTCATTCAAGTGCTTGATGGCATTTTTCGGAATAAACGTGCTCATGGCTGGCGTATGGGGGGAAGAATCCTGTGGGGACAGTGTCTGCTGCTCCGGCGTCAGGCCTGTGGTGGTGAATCAGGACGGTTCTTCCAGGCGATTGCACCGCCGGGACTGCCATTCTAGACAGACGGGGCTGCAAACGGAGACATCACCATCTCCATGTCTGAAGGAAAGGGCATGTGCCAACGGCAGTGGGGACATTTCCCGCGTTCCCGAGGGGATAGGAGGCCGGCGCTGACGTAATCGCGGTTAGTTGTTCGGCATGTATAGGAGGTACACAGATGGAGTGACAAATAGATAGGTAGAGAAGGTCAGGATCAGGACATGACGTGTTTGGCAAGCTCGACGCCAAGGAAGGTGGCGGCGTTGGCCGGGAACGAGCGGGCCAAGGCGGGCCCGATTCCCGGGAAGAAGCCGGCGACGCCCTTCGAGCGGTAGATAGTGCGGGCGACCTCGGACATGGTGGTCTTCACGGTGGACGACTGCTGGATGCTCTTGATGGTGTCGACAGGAAAGATTGCCGTCCACATGGCGACGCCGGCGCAGCCGCCGGCCACGGTGATGGCGCCGAGGGAGAGCTCGTCGCTGCCGCCGCTCAAGTGCTTCTTCACGTACTCGTACGTGGCGAAGTACGCAGCGGAGCCGGGCCCGTCCCGGGCCAAGGTGGCGGCGGAGCCCTTGTAGATCGAGCGGAGCCCGCCCTGCTTGTACAACGTGCGCACCGTCTGCAGGAACGTCGCCTGCGTCTTGTCGATCTGCATCACCACCTTGATGCGCTCGAACGGCGCCGCAATGAGCGTCGTCGGGATGGCGCTGAAGAAGCCTGCGGCGCTGATCTCGGCTATCGTGAAGGGCACGTCCGGCGACTTGCCCCTCGAGCCCATCACCAACCGCTTCCCGAGGTCGTATCCCCAGAACGACACGGCAAACATCGGCGTCACCCCGAGCAACGGCGACGTCACGCCCTTGTAGAGCCCGAGCGGGCCGTCGTGCGCCACAATGCCCCGGACCGCCTTGGCTGCCGACGGGTACTCGTTCGTCTGCAGAAGCACCTTTGTCAAATCAAACGGGTGGCCCGTGAGCACTGCACACACCCCGCCAAATCCTCCTGCCGCAAACGACTTCACGTTGTCCACTAGGACCGAATCGATTTCCTCCATGCTTTGGTCAGCTGTTTTTTTTCCACTTTTTTTCCTCCAGTTTTTTTCAACTGTTCTTGTTCTCTGCTGTTTCTCCTGTGTCTCCCGCTTCTCCTGCTCTTGCTGCTTCTGCTTCAATCCCACTGCCGTCCTGCCCCTCTCTTTTATACCCCGGCCCCGCTTATCAACTCCGAGGGCCCCCCGCGCACCGCCACACGCTGCCCCGCTGCCCCGCCGCCGCCCCGCCTGCGCCACTCCTGCTTCTCCGCTCGACATGTTTTCCCGGCGTGTTTACCTGCCCCAGACCGTTCCGCTCGACCTGGATGGTCCTCCTTTTCCCGTGGGCGACTGACCCCCTGGTGTCGGGGCTCCCTTGCTCCTGAAGCCATCAGCAGTCTTGTGCCACATGTCACTCGCTGCAGCGCTATCCAAGTATGAGGAGCGGGCTTTCGGCGCCGAACCGGGCCTGGCACACGACCTTCGATACCTCCTACTCGGCACAGACTCGTCGTCGTTCAAGTTCACCACGCGTAGCCACAACGGCGAGGACGGCAGCAGAGTCGGCGGTCTTGGGGTCGAAATCACTGTGGACGCCGGCTCCGTGCAGCAGAACCAGCTTGGATACCTCAAGGAGTTTGTGCAGCTGGCGCTTGTTGTGAAACAGCTCTCGCTGGAGACGGCGGCGACGCCGACGGCGTTCCGGCCGTCTCTGCAGGCGTTCTACGCCTGCTTGGGAGAGTCGCTGCTGCGCTTCCAGCAGTTCCTTAACACGCTCTACGGCAGCGGCGAGCGGCAGAGCCTCGTGTCGCTGCGGTACCGCCTCGACGACTGGCTGACCTCGTTCAGACACATATACTGGCTGCACCTGAAGGCGAAGACGCTGCCGGCGCACGAGTTCTTGTCCGTGCTGCACCAGCACTCGCTGTTCGGCGACTCCCTCATCCAGCAGCTCTCCGCGGGGTACTACACCGCGGCGTTCAAACCGTACTTGCGGCTCATCAACAGCTGGCTGCTCTTGGGCGTCCTCACGGAGACCGAGGCTGTGCGGGAAGACTTCTTCGTCAAGCCGGACGAGACGAGGAAGGACTTCCTCTACTTCTCGGAGCTGGTGCCGTCGTTCCTGCGACAGAAAACAGCCTTTCGCATCTACCAGGTGGGCAAGTCGATCAGTTTCCTGAAGCTCTATCTCGACGACAAGCAGTGGTGCAACGAGTTCTACAACAGCACCAGCAATGAGGACCTCACAGCCTTGGACGACGCGTTGGTTTTGCGGCTCTACGAGAAAGTCATTTCCCGCTTGGACCTGTTGCTGCTCGAGTCCTACCAGGCCGAGATATCCTACTTGAGGAAGTTTCTCTTGCTCAAACAGGGAGACTTGATCGAGTCTGTCATCGACAACGGCTCTGCACTGTTGGGCGAGCCATCCTCTAGCCTGTCCAGCAACCAGCTGGTCACGCTTCTCCAGGACTCGATAGAATCCACCTCGGTCTCGCGGAACACACCCCCAGACGTCTACAACAGGTTGGACGCTCGGCTTTTGAACATCAACCCGGCGTCCTCTCTTGGCTGGGACTTATTCACCCTCGACTTCAAGCTATCGCCGCCAGTGGACCGCCTCATCTCTTCTACCTATAAGGAGTATTTGAAAGTGTTCAACTTCTTGTTCAAGATATCCAAGTTGAACTATCAGTTGTCGAAGTCGTGGAAAAAATCCCACCTCGTTGACAATAAGCTTAAAGGCAGCTTTGCTCATAACTCATATTCGACTTCCAAAAAGTGGAACAGGAAGATGAAAATCCACCAGCGAAAGTTTGACTTGATCAGGCACCAGTTCATCTCCTTCATCAGCTCTATCTACTCTTACATCAGCAACGAAATCTTATCCGAAAACTACCACCTTTTCCAGCAGAACTTCATCCCTAAGACGAACCAAGGTTACCAGTTGAAGAACAACAAGTTGCTTCCGCTCGATTTGAGCGACATCCAACTTTTCAACTTGGACGAGCTCAAGTTGATCCATGACAGCTACATTCTCCCGATTTCTAAGTCGGAGCTTTTTTATAACTTGAATGATGAAAAGGTCCCTCTCAATAGAATCCTTTTCCAACTCCTTGTTACCATCGAGAGGTTTTCGCATCTTTACACAGAGTTTCAGTCAACTTTGGCAGATTTGCTAAGAATCAAACACTTAATCGCAGTCGATTCGGCTTCCGAGTTAAACGACTACCAAACTATGCTCACGGAAAAAATCAACAAAATTTCCGAAAAGCTAGGGTCGGATATAGTAGACCGTTTTGAGAACGACCTGACACTCTTGATCAATCTATTAAAATCTTCGAGCGATCAAAGCCTTAAATGTTTGGGTCAGATCCTGGAAAACTAAAACTAGCAGTTGTATTGCTACCAATACATACTTATATAACTAATAAATCTAAATACTTTTCTATAAATAAAGCGTTCAATCCCACCCCATCTTTCCAAACGGCTTCCAAAAAAATTAAACTTGTTCTTAAAGATCCTGTTTTTAAAGCCTCAACAAAGCCAATTAGTCTCTTCTTCAACTTGACTTTATGTTCTTCACTGACAATTGCACACCCAATGACCAAAAATGCCCATTTAGCAATCACTGAAGTTTGACTATGCATACTGATGCGGTCCAGTATCTTAAACATAGAATCCACAATTTCTTGAACTTTATCATCACCCTCAGATAAGCTTCGATCTAGAATCTTCATTGAAAAGAGGTACACACCTTTGGCAACGATCTCTGAGACATAGCAACTCTCTGCCAACTTTTTACTCACATTTTTAGGATATGATCTCCAAACTTCATCAGGAAGAATTGGCCTTGTGTAGTATTGCGCAAGCTTTTGAATAGTATGAACTATTTTAAGATCTTTTTGGTCTAGCTTCTCCTTGAAGGAGAGCCATATAACCTTTGCCTGTAGTTCAATCATAGGCAGCGCCGCTCCGGCGGTGGGATTGTTCATCCATGGAACTGCACATTTGTATATTGGAACAAAAAGTAACGGTGCAATCAAATCAAAAAGTTCAAAAGGTGAAGTCAAACATCCTACCAATGATTTATCGATTATTAACAAGGTACCAGAGTAATTGAAAATAAAAGTTTCTAATAGTGTCCGTTCGAACGCGGTCACTTCTGCAGAATTCTTGACTTTATCGGCATTGCTGAATGAAGATAGTAGCATTTTGGCTTCGATCTCAAGCATGTCGACCATATGACCTGTACGCGACTTGGGTTCCTCACATGATGAAAGAATCACTCCATCATTGCAATTGCTGTTTGCGGACTTGAGCAAGTTTGTTTTATCCACCAGCTTGTCAAGTAGAATGTATGAGTCTGCTTCAGTGAATTCATCAACGCTGCAAGTATCTCCATTGTGATTATACTCCCAATAAGGGATATCATTTCTTTTTTTATTTTGAAAATCTGCCTTCTGATTCAGTGAATTCGTATAAAAAATGTTGTCACTTCCAATAACTGTTTCGTTTTCTATCTCTATTATTTTTTCTACTACTTTGGTATTGGCATCTTTTTTCTTCGTTTCAAGCCACATTTTGATTGCTTGGACTCCAGATATCAAATTCATGGTCTGGGAGTGTCTACCCTCATAGACAAACTTCTGTCTATTGTTCTGTAGTGTGAAATAAATCAAGATCCACTCTCTAGTTTCCATGATCGGCATCTCATCCAGTCTGTGAACTAACTCTTTCACAATCAGGGAATTGGACTCTTTTACCTTCGAGAGCAATTCCTTATCATTTCCAGATGAGCACCGATATAAGAAAGATGCACCACACGTCATGCACAATTTCTGGATCAAGGGATCAAACATCGCCGTAGGCACAAAAATTGAGCCTGGTAACAACTTCTGATGTGCCAACTGGTTCGAGATCGAAACGATAAACCCATTCACAAACGCGTTGTAGAACGTTCTCTCTTCACTGCTTAATTTCAGCCCAATCATTCCGTTGATACTACTGGGTATTGTTCCGTTTGCTGATTCTCGGAGGTATTGTCTTATAAGTGCATCTTCATCCAGAGTTGGTTTGCTTTCTTTATGCAGACTTGCACCATTAGCTTCAGTCCGCCTTCTGCTGAACTGAGAAAAAACTGACTCTGACCTTTTTTCTTCTTCCACGGTGATCAACTTCTCACTTGAAATCGGCGCTACAACGGGATTCATGTTGATGAACTTTACAGAAGTGTCTAGTTTGACAAGTTTGAACCCGTTTTCGTGTGACAACGATGCATTTCCATTTTCCGGCCAGCAGCAAACAAAAGACGCCTTTTCACACTTCAAACACACCGGCTTTTTCTCATCACATTTGATCTTCCTCTTTCTGCAACAAAAGCACCCACCCCGATTACGGCTACTCTGTCGTTTCTTTTTTCCGCTTGATTTCTGTTCTGTCGACACATCCGTTTCAGCAGACTTTTCATAGACTCGATGCTCTTCAATCCTCGGACCACTAGCAGGTGTAGCGGCAAAGATTATTTTATTTGCAGTGACACTCATGTCTGTCAATATTAGCTAGTTCTGAGGGTCTGAAAGGTGTCTACCAGAGACGGATAGTCAAAAATATCATGCGGCGCTGTCTGAAATTCTGCCAAACCTAGCGTGTTGGGATCAGAGTGCTAAAAGGACCTCCGAACAAAGTGTCCCGAACCGAAAGGTGAACTGACAGCCAGTAGAAAAGGCACGGTTAACAAGTCAGTGCTTGCAGGATGCCGCATGATAGTTCAAACTTCTTATCTGAATAGGTAAAAACTTCTTTCCTTCCCAAAAGAGAAACTCCCTCGGCAAAAGACCTAGCAAAAAATATGCACGTGATCTGGAAAAATCACCTTCTTCCATTTCCTCTATATAAGGATTCTATTTTTACAGCTGCTATACACCCAGATCGAAGCATTCTTTGGCAAAGAAGTCACCGTTGAGCTTTTCGACCTCATCCATGAACTCCACGCAGTCTTTCGAGAAGCCGTGCTTAGACAACTCGTCCCCGTAGTACTCATAGTTGTAAAACTTGATCATTGACCTCAACGACACCTCGTTGTCAAACCCTCGTTTCGTATTTTCTTCAATACCGACATTGAAGAAGTTGTTCAACCACGGGTCTTTCAATCCAATTTTATGAAACAAGTACACAAATGAGATCAAGTCCATGTTGTTAGCTCTCCATTTCTTGCCTATGAATGGGGACAACAGCTTTATCGTTTTCAAAATAGGAAGGTAAAAAAGCTTGTTGTGAAGGGTGAGGTAAAACCTCAAGATCTCGGTAGGTCTCACGCCAATAAGCTTGTAGATTCTCTGAATTTTGAACTGGCTTATTGTATAATACATTGATTGCAGCAAGTTGGCCATCAATATGCAGCACCGTTGGTTTGGGTTCACTATGGTGAATACGCGATTGTGTGGAACAAACGGTAGTATGAAGGAGAGCGGGTTCATGGCTTCACTGTTTTCTACATTCTCAAAGATGGAGTTGAAATCAGCCAGCTCATCAACTTTCTCATACTCTTTGTTGGGGTTTTTGGAGAGCGTTAGACACTTGAAAAAGAAATTGTAGTCCTCGAGGTAGTATAGTACATTGTAGTCGCAATACACGATTCGGTTATTGATTAAACTTTTGGTTTCTTTGATGTCAAAATCTTTTCCAGCATGAGCTTGGATCTTGTTACTGTCCAAGTATCTGAACAAATAGATCAAAAATTCTTGATCGAATAGTAGAGTAGTAAAGAATTCGAATTTCAAAACATGCGACAATTTGAACCATTTCTGTAACATGAGCAAAATGGATGACGATGATTTTAACATGGTTTCTTTCATTCTATTGATCTCTAGTTTTTGCTTTCCAAACGTGCTCAATTTCTCGCTGAGATACGGTTTCTCATCTTCACTGTTCTTCGATGTGTATGGCGTCCTCTGTCTGGTCTTACCACTCTCAGTACTCTGCTGAGTAGGAATAGTATTTGAAATTAGCAGTTTCAGGATGATGAAAATCAATGAATTGAAGTATGGTATACCTTGTTTGTAGAAATTTTCGACGTTTATCAAACTGCGTATCTCATCCTCAAACATCGGGTTCTCATTGATGTCTTTCTTCGTGTACACATAATTAGCCTGTTTATCTTCCTTCTTTGGAGGGTAGCCATTTTCTTTTTTTATAAATTCCTCAAAGACGGAAACAAATTGTTGAGTGTTGGCATTATCTTTGATATGGTGGAAAAAAATGCTTGTTGCGTGCCTGATACTCGCAGGAACACTGTCATCAGATGGGTATATATTAGGAAAGTTTGATTGTGTGATATACAGCTTCTTTTTTATTTCATTAGAAGTGTGCTCGAATTCAGAAATGTTGGAGTAGTTTCTTGTATTACCAGTATGTTGGGGAGTAAGAGTTGGTGAGGGCATCGGGGTAGCTATGTGGACGTCCGGCGGCTCGTTAGCAAAACCAGCCATGCTGTGCTTGCTATTTTTCAAGTGTTGGTGTTGGTTAATAAGAAGCGAGTCCACATTAATCAGGTCGGAAATCCGATCTCTGCCTTCATTCTTGATCATCATTTCCAAGATTTCTGAAATCTCATATTTTGGCGGAGAGTAAGTTGGATAGCGAGACATTAGTTCATTAACGTAGTATTCGTAATCAAGGGAAGAAATCGTATAGGACATATCGTCGACTTCATTTTCGCTTTTAGTGGACGAATCAACATCCTCTTTTTGCTTAGCGTCAGCGCCGTTAGTTCTGTTTGCGTTTTTAGCTTGACTCTTGTCGTCAGTACTTTTTTCTTTTGTTTTGGAGGTCTTAAATTTATATTTGAGGAAGTCTTTGGTTGATTCAATATGATTCAAGTCCCCAAACTGAAAGATAATGAGGTTGTTGAAAAAACTCAAAACGTTTCGAATCTTGAACTGTGTAATTACCAGGACCTGCCTCTTTTCACTATCGTTGGCCTTGGAATTCATCGATTCTACAACTAACGTGGGGTCGTCATTCTCACAATTGCTGGAGATCCATTTCCATCTGTCAATGGCCTTGAGGATTACGACCATTATATTCTTTTCTGCAAAAATATCCGACAACGCTGTCTTCTTATTGTACTCATTCAACTCTTCAGAATTGAAAGACAACACAACAATGTATAGAACAGTCAGCGCAAAAAAGAACTGGCTGGATAGCAATTTCTGTTTGATGAAACTGACCTTGGACTCTAAATTAGCGCAGTCCGTCAACTGGATGGCGTTGAATAGCACGATATCAACCACAATTGGTATCAATCCTTCGCAATTGATGATATGGACCACATTCTCAAATATGTGATTTTTCATGTCCAGCTGACTAGACGCGTTGTTGAAACAACCCATGGCAATGTACGATAGATGCAACAAAGACTCAAGAACCTTTCCATACGAGTTGTCTTTGAGGTTCCCATCATCGAAAAAACTGCATAGATTATCTCTTATCGACGGTAGGTCGTCGACAGATATGTTGACAGCTATCTGAGATATTGTTTTCAGATGCTTCAAGTCTTTGTAACTGAACCAATCGTTCAACTCTTCAACAAAGGGTAGTAATTGCACGTTTTCAAAAGTCAACTGAGGATACTCAAGAATTATATTATAGTTGGTCAACCCGTCAATCTCATGCTCGCTCAGCGTGTCGTCATACGAGAAACTCGAGTGCGGAGAGCCAAGTATATCTTGGTCGTCTGAAGTCTCGACCATTTCGTCCTTATCGATCAATGTATCAGGAAACTCATCCCCTTCACCTTCGGGTCCACCTGCAATGCCGAACTCCACGTCGTCACTGCCAACCGGCGGCATATTTTCTTCCATCCCAGCTTCGGAGATTCCGCCATTCCCCTCTCCGTAGGCGTAATCATCAAATGCATCCTCCTTTGCAGCACCAGGCTCCTCTGGAACAGCATGTGTCTCAGGATCGAACGAAGGTAACACCGAGTACGCATCTTCGTTCTCCTCTTGTGCGCCAAACGCCTCGTCAGGGAACACGTACGGCCCTTCTTCTTCAGAACCACTGTCATGTGGGCGTCTTTCCATGCTGGCTGCTTGTCTCCTGGGCTGCTTGTCTATGTTGTGCCCCTTTTCTGGACCAGGGCAGTGTACTTGATCCCACCGCTGCGAAAACATGTTGTATCTGGAGACAAAAAGAGTACTCCACAGAAAAGCTGGTGCGCTCGCTTTCTCGCAGTACGGCAAAGCACAATGGTGTAGATCGTTCCTGGGTTGAGGTTGTTATTGTACCGGTACTGTTGGAGACGGTAAAGAAGTAGGGCTCGGCTGCCGAGAAAGCTCACTCCTTGAATCCAGTAGTATCCGCAAGTGGTGTACTAACCTTGACACACAACATTCTTCGCCAACCAGTGACATGCTTCTTTTGGACAACGTGGTGGGATTGAAGTAAGTACAGGCGTATCAAAGTCCCCCGGCCGTCAGGGGATGGAATCGCATAGTGACTCCACCACTAAGCTCAGAAGAGTGAATACTAACATTATACATTACACATTATGGCCTACTTGTTTTTGGAAGGATCAAAATCACGACGACTGGAGGAGAAACCATCTATGGCAGAATCCATAGCTATTCCCCACACACACTTCTCACTGTGATTGCTACACCGTCGCCGTCCTCGGATAATGCCTCGGGCGATTCCAAGTACACGAAGAATGCCACTTTCATAGCGATCAAGGTGCAGTATGTGAAGAACATACAGGCGTTGGAGAAGGACAAGCCTCGAGGAAAGGCTCACCCGAACGAGAAGTTTGGCTTGAAAATCAACGCTCCGACGTTCATACCGACTGAAACTCTCGGCAGCAACATCCGCAGGGGCAGCAAAGAGATGACGAAGCAGGAGATCGAGTTCAAGCTGCGCAGAATGACCAAGGGGAAGAAGTTGTCCGACGAGGGCCGGAAGGTGCTAAGAAACCTTGCGGCGATCTTCCCGATCGACACGCTCTCTGTGGACGACTCGAACAGCATCACGTTCCGGGATTCGGACATCAAGATCATGAAGCCGTACAAGTCGTCGGACGTGAAGGTCATCGGCTGCGACGGCGGACCTAACGAACAGCAGCAGCTTGCGTATATCAGAAAGGTGGTGGATAGAGAGTGGGAAAAGATGGAGCAGACCCAGAAGGGCGGATGATACCAAGCGGTGTGTGCTGTTGCAGATATATAGATGTAGTTATAGATATGCAAATACCTTGTCATCTTCTTGCTCTTTCCGACGAACTAGCTTATGAGGGCCAGCACGATCAAGAGCACAATGACTAGCGCCGCCAAAAGCACGCACGTCCACTTGCGCTTCTTCTTCTGGTAGTTGTCGGCCTTGACGAGCTCGTGGCTCGCCAACTGGTTGTTCGTGGCGTAGTTGGTCATGTTGTTCTCGATCGAGTCGACCTGCTCTCCCTGCTGGCTCACCAGGTGGTCCAAGTCCTTGAAAATCTTGTTGATGTCCTGCACGCCCTGCGAGATCGACGTGATGGCGTTGTCCCTCTGGTGGATGAGGTCGGAGTGGTACTGCAAGCTCGCTTCAGAGAGCTCGCTGGCCTGCTTCTGCGTTTGCTTCTGCGTCTGCGTCTGCGTCTGCGTCTGCGCGTGGGCCCCCGTCGCAGCCTCTTCGGACACACTGCTGTACCCGTCACCGTGCACACCCTCCCCGGACGGTGTCAGCAACGCCGTCTTGTACGTCGCAGCATTGCTCTCCTCCCGGATCCGCTCCAGCGTCTTCTCGTACTGCTCCTGCACCAACGCACTGTGCAACTTCTCGTTGTAGCTTCGCACCACCACCTGGTAATTCTTGTACACGTCCTGCACCTGCTGCCTCAAGAGGTCCTTCGAGAACTTCACCGTCATCAGCTCCTTCGAGCCCCGGCTCCCGTCCTCCCCATCAGCAGACTTGAGCACCGTGCGCTCTAGATAGTCGATGTTCTCGAGCAACCTCTTGTGCACGCGCTGACAGTTCGCAATCGAGCCATTCACCCCTTGCCGCAACGCCGGCGTGTCCCGCTGCGTGCCCAAGAACGCCTCCTGCTTCGATATGCTTGAAACCAAGCTGATGAACTCGGCTAGCGTGGCAGATATCTGTTTCAGCGTCGCCGAAACGCTGTCCTGCTCCCCCTCCTCCAAATCCTCGGCCCTCTTCTTCCCCGCCGAGTCCCCGTTTTTTCGGTATGTAGCAAAAGACATGGTTATGCTCTGCAGAACCCCAATCACTCCAGCATCGCTTTCTCTTCCTCCCCATCCCCACGTTGCCGTACTCCGTCAGGTCTCTTCTGGTACCGATATCTATCTTCCTCTGGCAGCCTCCTCGCCCGTTTCGGAAAAAAGCATGTTGGGGCCGATCGGCGGATTGCGCTTACGTAAGGGGGCTCTTCCAAGAGGAAACGCGTCCTGAGAGTGACAGAGAACCATGTAGAAGAAAGACGCGTTGCTGTTTCAGACACAGATCGGAAAAGAAGTTGCAGGCTAAGGCCGTTTCTGCAACGGAGAGACAGCACGAAGCAGTAGGACACGCCACAGCATAAGAACAAACAGCAATGTCCAGAACAGAGAAGCTGGCGAGACTCAGAGCCGCCAGGAGTGGTGCCAAAGTGGACGACTACCACTCCGATAATGACGAGAACCTGAACATCTACGACGAGGTTGACGAGAACCAGTACCGGAAACACAAGCGGGACCGTGTTCTGAACGACGACTTTATTGTCGACGACAACGGCGAGGGGTACGCCGAAACGGGCGCAGACGACTGGGAGGCGCAGAACGCAGCGGCATACGGGTCCGAGGACGAAGACGTCGACGCAGAAGAAAACGGAAATGGGAGGAAACAGCCCAAGAAGCTGAGGAAGGTTAAGATGATCAAGGACTCGAACGGCGGTGCGGCAAGCAAGGGGATCGACTCCTTTTTCAAACAGCCCGCCGTGAGCTTCGAAAAGAAACAGCAGATGAAAAAGAAAGACAACGACCCGAGCATCCTCAACGACATTCTCTCCGACTTCACGTCCAAGGCGACCAGCTCGTTGAAGAAAAAGCAGACGGCGATCAACAAACGTAAAAACCCCTTTTCCTCGTTGAAGTCTAAAGCAGACGTGATCAACACCTCCACGCCGGCGGCAAAGAAGGCCCGCAACTTGTCCGCTACCAACACCCACTCCTTTGATTCCACCTCCCCAAGCGCCAAGAGATCGAACGACACAAGAACAATCATGCACGATGAGACGTCCTTCTACACCGCTCCGCAGTTTGACGAGTCGGTGCCTTTGGAGACCCCCTCTTCACCAATCAGAACCTCCGAGACTGCGGCCAAAAACCTCAATATACTTGATGCCTTGGACGACGTCTCCATGGACATCTCTGGCGGAGCCGACGACGTAGAAGCCAACGACTTTGACGATGATGACGATGAAGATGACGATATCATTATTTCCAAAAGGAAGAAAGTGTCCGCAGTGGTGCAGGTGGACCGATCCATCACTCTTACCTCAACGAAGATAGATCGGAAAATGAAAGCCGTTGATTCTTCTCCGTTGAAAAACGCCAAACAGCTGGACATAGAATCTTCGCCATCTAAGGCTTCGAACGTGTCGAACTTGTCAAACATAACCTTTGAAAAGCTAGAGGGTAACGATGTGGTCATGAAGGATGAGGATGGGGATGAGGGGATTCAGATGTTCTGGTTGGACTATATTGAGCTAGACAACTCTTTATTGCTCTTCGGTAAAATCAAAACAACCGACGGGAGGTTGGTCTCCGGTATGGTCCAAGTCAATGGGCTTTGCAAAACATTATACTTTCTTCCTAGAGCGAAAAAGCCGGTCAACGACGACGACGACGACGACAACGACGACGAAGAGCAAGTGGATGATGACCCAGAGAAACCTTGCAGCCCAATGGACGTATATGACGAAATAATCCCACTTTTGATGGACAAATATGGACTGGACTCGATCAAGGCCAAACCCCAACACATGAAATACGCATTCGAACACCACGATATCCCAAAAGAAGCAGAATACTTGAAGGTTTTGCTACCCTACAAAACTCCTAAGAGTAAAGGTGTTTCAATTCCAGCGAACCTCACAGGAGAGACATTTGCTGCCGTTTTTGGTACCAATACATCTATCTTTGAGTCTTTTGTCATGCAAAGACAGATTATGGGTCCTTGCTGGTTAACCGTTACAGGATGTGACTTCTCAAGTTTGCAAAACGTTTCACACTGCAACATCGAGCTGTCAGTTTCTTCGCCTAACGATATATCTCCCGATCTTTATACTAGAGATCCTCCTCCTTCATTGAATGTGCTCTCTCTTAATGTTCAATCTTATATGAATGCAAAGACAGGACGGCAAGAAGTTGGTTCTGTGTCTCTGGCACTTTACAAAAGTTTGCCACAAGATGTGCCCATCTCTCCGGAGTTACAACCAACGGAGCAAATAACACTTGTGAGGCCAGTTGGCGGAACTATGAATTTACCAGTAGGACTCAAAGGTTTAGCAGAAAAGAAGGGAATGGCTTTACGTATTCTGAACAACGAGAAAACCTTGTTGAACTGCTTGGTTGGGATGATCAAAAAATACGATCCGGATGTTTTCTTTGGTCATAGATTAGAGAATGTTACCTTGGATATCCTTCTACATAGAATGAAGGACCTGAATATCAATCAGTGGTCGAATATGGGACGCCGATCAAGAAAGGTTTTCCCAGAAAAGTTTAGCAGGTCTAACGGTCGTTATAATCTATTCCTCATCCGTGATATGCTTGCCGGTAGATTGCTATGTGACATTTCAAATGACATGGGGCAGAGTTTGACACCTAAATGTCAGTCTTGGGAATTGGCAGAAATGTATGAAGTTGTTTGTCGGGATAAATATTCTCCCATGGAAGTGAATTTGGCCAACCCTCTTGTTGCAGAAGATGCCAACAAATTACTAGCTGCTATTAATGAAAATGCACAGGCAGTTCGAATAATAGCGAAAACAGCCTTTGGAATGCAGATTTTGACGACTTCAAAACAGCTTACCAATATAGCAGGTAATGCATGGTCTCACACACTGGGTGGTACCAGAGCTGGTAGAAATGAGTATATTTTGCTTCACGAGTTTGAGAGAGAAAACTATATTGTTCCTGATCGAGAAACCCGTGCTCAGAGGCAAAAGCAAGCAAATGGTGAAACTGAGGAGAATGGCGACGAAGGTAATGATGAGAGCAATACTGTAAGTAATAAAAAAGCAAAATTCCAGGGTGGTTTGGTTTTTGAACCCGAAAAAGGCTTGCATAAGAATTACATTTTGGTCATGGACTTTAACTCCTTGTATCCGTCGATTATTCAAGAATTCAATATCTGTTTTACGACAATAGAAAGAAGTAATTTGGGTGAAGATGAACTACCCAAAGTCCCAACGAAAAGTGCTATGGGTGTATTGCCCAAATTGCTTCAACAGTTGGTGACAAGACGTAGAGAAGTCAAATCGTTAATGAAAGACCCAAAACTAAGTGCTATTGAGAAAGCTCAGCTAGATATCAAACAAATGGCTTTGAAAGTTACTGCAAACTCGATGTATGGTTGCTTGGGTTATGTGAACTCCAGATTCTATGCAAAACCTTTGGCCATGTTGGTTACCAACAAAGGTCGTGAAATTTTATTGGACACTAGACAGTTGGCCGAAAGTTCAGGATTAACTGTTGTCTACGGTGATACAGATTCCGTGATGATTGATACAAGATGTGATTCGTTTGCAGAGGCTATAAAGATTGGAAATGGGTTCAAGGAGAAGGTCAACGAGAGGTACAAATTGTTGGAGATCGACATTGATAATGTTTTTAAAAGGTTACTTCTTCATTCTAAAAAAAAATATGCAGCATTGAACTGTTCCATCAATGAACAGAATGAAGAAGTTACATCATTGGAGGTCAAAGGTCTTGATATGAAGAGACGTGAGTATTGCCCACTGTCAAAAGAGCTGTCGATTTTTGTTTTGAACAACATTTTACACAGCTCTGATCCACAGGAAGCATTGAATGAAATCTACGAAAAACTTGAGGAGGTTACAGCTGAGTTTGATGAAAATGCAATTCCAATGGTGAAGCTACGTATAAACACAAAACTTTCGAAGGATCCTTCCAAGTACCCTGGCGGAAAAAGCATGCCTTCCGTTCAGGTTGCTCTTAGACTCCAGAACCAAGGTAAAATCATCAAAGCTGGCAGTGTGATAACTTTTGTGATTACAACGGGAGACCCAGATGGTGATTCTAAAGATTTGGAAGGAAGTGCAGCCTCCGTCGCTGAGCGAGCCCGAGCATTAACTGAAGTTTTGAACTCCAATTACAAACCAGATAAAAAATATTACTCCGAAAAACAACTTTTCAATCCAATCGATCGGTTACTTACTCGTGTGGAAGGTTACGATGTTGTCAGACTGGCACAATCTTTAGGCCTAGAAGCACATCGATATGAGGCCAAGGCCAGAGACATTGTGCAGCAGCATGAGTTACAACCATTGGAATCGACGATACCAGACAGTACAAGGTTCAGAGACATGAAAGATCTGAAACTATGCTGTACCAATTGCTCAAGCGAGTTTCTTTTCGGTGGTATCCAGCCAAGTGCTGACTACCAGATGACCTTTTCAGGGATCAAGTGCAAGCAGTGTGAGCATAACCTCCATCCACTTTCCATTGCTGCGCAGCTAGAACTGTTTATCCGAACTGAGTTGTCGATTTACTACCAGTGTTGGCTAGTTTGTGACGATTGTGGTATTCAAACTAGACAGGTGAGTGTTTACGGTAAGAGGTGCATTGGAGCAAATGGCACTGCACACGAATGCAAAGGTGTTATGAGGATCAAGTATAGCGACAAGATGATTTATAACCAATTGCTATATTTGCAGACTCTTTTCGATATTGAAAAAACCAAGCAACAACAGCTCAAACCTTTGCCGTCCGATAAACCCCTCCCAGTTACGTTGAATAAGGGTGAGATCGATGCACTTGCTGAACAAAACAGGAAGCAGTTTTCTCTACTTCGAAAAGTTGTACAGAAGTACCTCGATGTTAACGGAAGAAGATATGTTGATCTTGCGTCCATTTTCAGAGTCAACTAACTCATTTTTTGTTTTTGTTTCTATAGATTCTATCATAAATTAATTACAAATAGAGAGGCAAACTATCAAAATGAAAATAAATAAGCAAATAAATAAAAGTCGTTTGTGAGTGAATCAATCCTTCTTTCCAACGAGGTCGCAAACAGATTTTCTGGTATCAGCAACAATTTCAACCAATCCGTTCCAGGCGTCCTTTTGCACATTTTCTAGTGAATTTTTGAGCTCCGAAATTTGAGCAACACTCTCTTCTCTGGTTTTGCTAAATTCTGGGAAGTATTTGTTTTCGATTCCGAGACCGACGCTCTGGAAACCGTTGGCAACGTTTCTGTACGTTTGGGGCAATGTATAGTTCAGGGCCACACCACCGAAGATCAATGGTGTGAAGAACCTCACTGGGATGGAATGGTTACGAGCAACAATTGAACCAAACAAAGTAGCTGTTAACACCGAGCATCCATTAGGGAGTAATTGTTCGTCCTCACCTTTGAATTCATAGAGTCTTGATGCAGTCATGTTAAAGTGTGCTTTGGCCGTCCCTGTGTAAAACTCGTACTTTTCACTTGCGACATCGTAATAGTGCTCGACGTTTTTACGAACTTTGGAAACAAAGCCTTCGAGGGCCGGGGAAGATGTTATGAGGTTCCCAAACTTGTTTATTGTGATTTCGGTGGAGGTTGCTCTTCCCTTCTCCTTGGCCTCTGCGTCCTCAATATGTGCCACTGTAGGTAGTCCCGGGACACTGAATTTGTCTTCTTCGTCTGAGTAGAAAGATCTTCCCATCTTGCGTCAGGTGTGTTGAGTATTCCTCTGATGTATCTCTCAGTGATTACAACTGAAACTTTCTCAAGCAATACTTGTACACAAGCTGGTCCATTGTAATTGATCAATCATCTTCTTCCTCGCATGGGAATTTCTTCCCTAAAAGTGTTTCTCCCCACTAGAGCGAGATACTTACGTAAGCAAGCGTCGTCATGTATATCGGATGGTTGTTATAAAGTGTAGTATTTTGTTATGGTATTGGTTTCTAGATAAGATAAAAGTGTTGGTGGCCACCGGCAGCTAGAAGATCAACATGGTGGTCGTGTAAACCAACGCAACGCCTCCCAGTATTATCAACACAATGTCCACCCCTTTTTCGAAGTTGTTCTTGGCAACGATCTTCAAATGGAGCATTGGCGGATACATGTACACCAAAGGGATGCATGCGATGCAGCCGATGAAGGAAACAAACAAATCCAAATTTGATGAACCAAGATAGGCGATGGCAGACGTCAAAAGGGTGATGCCCACCCTGAAAGCGTTTTTGTGCCACTTTGTTTTCGGATCAACTCTTCCGCTCGGTCTTCGCTTGAACAACCTCGACTCCATAATTCTGATTGCTGGCAAAATCTGTAGTGGCACCGAGAGCATGATGGCCAAGGCGTAAAAAAACTGGATGGAGATGACTGCGATTGAGTCCTGTGGGAGGTTCAAAATAACGACGGTTTGAACCTTCTCACCGTAGGTGATGTAACATAGCCATCCGATACTGACAAATAACACACAACATACGCTTATCACTGCCAACAAGACTTTCGGGAAATCTTCCGGATGACGCATGGATTGCTGGACAGGGATGATAAGTCCAATCCCTTCAAAGGCGAATATTGCCACACCGATAAATAGGGACCAGCTGTCACTGTTGAACATGACTACTTCAGCGGGCCCATTGGTTATCAAGTCCCTGGATGCATAAAAGACAATGGTGGCAATTCCAGTCAAAATGAAGACGTTTGCCAAGAGTGCAGCCAAGGACAACTTGGTGATATTTCTGATCAATGACATGGGGGCGAAACACAGCGTCTCGAAAATGACAAAGTAGTAGAGTGGATATTCCAAGTCTAGCGTATTTTTCAAGAATGCTTTCAAATTCTCTGCGGTGAAGACGGTGTATGCTGCGACAAACCCGATTTGTGCAGATACAATCGAGTTGAGAATTAGGATCTTGAGAGTCTTCCCGTACATCTTGTTACCCAACTCTGCGAACGACGATATTCCTGTTTTTGCTGTGCACTGTGATAGGAATAGGTAGCAGTAGTAGGACAACACGCTGAAAAAGACAAGCAACACGACACAGAAGGCCAACCCACCATTGCTGAAGGCTTTCGGCAAAAACAAAATTCCTGTTCCAACAAAGGCCTTCATCAATAGGAAAAACGCCTTGAGGGAGGAGCTCTTGTGTGTTTCCGTCTCTTTGGAGGCGTTCAGTGCCGAGCCTCCTAGTGTGTGGGTGCCGTTCCCCTGCACCAGCGGGGACTCTTCGTCGACCTTGTCCGGACTGCTGGTGTCGTAGTCACAGGCAAGAAAGTCCTCATCCTCGAGGTCTTCACCCGCAAAGTGTCCGTAGATCGTGAGGAACTCTAGGAAGTTTTTCGTGAACACCGTTGGCTTGGAAAGCGTGTAGCCGAATTTTTGCTTCTGCATTTGGATGAAGTCCCTGCGGAAGCCGCCGGGCAACCTCATCTGGGACGCCATTGAGCCCCGTCGTTCAGCGTCGTTCCCGGACATTGACTTTGACCTTCTCAAGGCCGAGGGGGCGTTCAACTGGTATAGGTCTCGGGTGATGTCGCCCGAGGGCAACTTGAGTGCGTTCTGCGGGTCTGTGGGGAGGTGCTTGGACACGTTCTTGAGGATCGTCGGGTCGTCGACAAACGAGCCGTACGACTTGGACGTGGTGCCGTCGTAGTCGGTGTTGTTGTTGTTGGAGTCGTCGTCGGACTCGATCGCCGGCGACGACGACCGGAACGCCCCCGTGGCGGACGTGTTTGCTGCCGAGAACAAGAACTTCCTGGAGTTCGGGGTCCCGGAGAACCCGTTCAGCGGGAACGAGTTGCCGTTGCTGTGGCTGTTGCTGGCGATCCCGTTCTCCGTGCCGTTTGTCGAGGACGACGAGTGGCGGTCCCGGTAGATCGAGCTCAGCTGCGAGACGGACGCCGGCGTATTTGCCATCGACGACGACAGCCTTGCCATCGACTGTCTTCTGGCGTCTGCGGGGCGGTTTGGCTGCGGAGATATGATGTTGATGTGGCCTGGATCTGTCGTGTAGGACTGACCAGGAGACGGCATGTTCTGGGGGGGTTCCGGAACAGTCTCTCTTCTGCTGCTGGACAATGTGACTGTGTCTATGTCTGCGTCTGTGTTTGTGTCTGCAAATGCAGTGGCTTCTTGCTGTTTCCTGTGTGCCAAGCAAAGCGTCCTGCAGCTGCTGACTCCGCCCTCTATCGCCTTCCAACGTCTATATCTGAGCCACGAGGCGGTCGATAAACAGTGTGCGGTCCTTCTGCCTGTTTAATTTTGGCCTTTTCTAGGGCGCCCCAGTGCGCTTCTTTATCGCTGAGCTTCGGAAAGAGGCTCTGCGGGGAAAGTAGGGGGTGGGAAAAGGGCAGGAGGCAGCAGAAGCCAGCAACCGCCAGGGTTTTCTCTGTTCGGTCGTGCGTCAGCTTCATGTCGTATGTGCAGTACGTACCGGTTGTTCATCAGAGCTGGGGGTCTCTGTGCAGGGGCCAGGAGCTGGAGGCGGCCCAGGCCAAAGCTGCGAGCCACAAGTGGGCCGAAAAAAAGCGAAACGGGCCGATCGACGTTTTTGCTGACGTAAGCAGGTAGAGGGTGTTTCTGGGCTTTCCCGGGAGAGGAACATGAAAATGGACAGACACATCAGGAGGAAGGAAGACGAAGGTTGAGGAAAGGACCTGGGGGACCGGGAGAAGCGGAGCAGACTGCAAAGACTACACACAGACAGCACGACTACGATGGGCTGGTGGCCATTTCACAGAGGAAACAAAAGCGACGACAGCAGCAGCAGCAGCAGCAGCAGCAGCAGCAGTGCAGATCAGGCCAGTTCACAGCCAATCTTTCTGGAAGACGTGCCTGCCAAGTACGCCCCGGCGGGGCAGACGCCGGCAGAGGTGCAGGCGCAGGCGCAGGGGCAGGCGGGCTACTCGGTGTCGAACGAGGTGAAGACGTTTGTCGGCACGCTGACGCCGCAGCACTTCTACTTCTCGAACCTCGTGCAGATCCCGTGCTTCCGAGAAGCAGGGCTCTCTGGGTTCTCGTGTTTCTTTGTGTTCTCGTCGGTGCTGTACGTGTACCACCGGTCGTTGCGGACTGCGGTGAACTGGGGGTTCGGGGGCTTGCTGCTTGGAAGCATCTTCGGGTGGGAGCACTGCAACAACACGCGGAGAAACTCGCAGATGGCGGTCCGGCTGGCGCAGGAGAGGCTCGAGCGGAAGCGCAGCGGGGCAGAGCCAGAGCCCCGGACAGAGTCCCGGACATGAGCATGACCACGACACACGGCGTGTCTTCCTGTATATATAGAGATATAGACGTTTCTGAATATCGGCTCTGCGTGCCACCCGCCGTCACCGGATGAGCCACTCGGGCGCCACCTGCGGGTTGATCTCGATCGTGTGCACGTCGAAGGCCTCGATCAACAACTCCACGAGGATCCGGCCGCCCTTCACGCCCGTGAAGCGCCGGTACTCCTCGCCGACGCTGGCGAGGTTCCAGCCCTGGAGCTTGCGCAGGCAGCCAATGACCGTGCCCGTGCGGTGGCGACCCATTCCGCAGCACACGAGCAGCGGGTGATTTCGCCTGTCGCAGATGATCTCCAACGCCTGCTTGATGCTGGCCTCGCTCAAGCCGTCCCACGAATTCGATCCGATCGAGTCGTACCCCAAGTTGTAGAAGAAGTTGATGTTGTTCTCGTCGATGAACTTGAGAAAGCTGTCCTGCGGGTCCTCGATCGCCAACCAGATGATCGACTTGAGGTTCAACTGCTCGAGAAACGAGTGGTTGAGCGCCGACGGCTGGCCCGACCGGTACAAGTGCTTCTCCACGGGACAGAAGTTCAACGGCGGCACCACCCGAAACTTCGGCGCATCCGTGATGATCCTCACCCCGTCTCCGGCGTCGCCGTGTGTCTTGATCACGTCCGACGGGAGGTCTGTGATCAGCACCGCGTCTGCTGGCGGCACGTCCTTGTCCTTCTTGTCCTTCTTTTCTTTCTTGTCCTTTTTCTCCTTCTTGTCCTTCTTCTCGCTCGGATCCAGCCCCACCTGGTTCTCAAGAACACTCATTGTTTCTGTCCGTGTCTGTGCTGTGGCGCCAAGGTGCTGCTTGTCAACCGTCCATCTGCTGGCTCCCGACACCGCCCTGCGCCTGCTCCTCCCCTCTGGCCAGCTCCACAAGGCCTCCTAGCCAACGTCCTAATCAGCACTTCTCCCTCCTCTCTCTGCCGCTACACCTACTTTCTCACCCACGCGCAGCTGACGGATCCGCTGCGCTGTGTTTCTCCAGGTATATACGCTACACGTTGCACCTTTTCGGTGTTGGAGGGGTGTTGGGTGCTTGCTGCAGGCAGCACAGCAGAAGCAGAGAGACCCCAACAGCAACAATGGCAAGAAAGGACGTTAAGAAGACAACGAAGCAGGCGGCCGTGCCGGAGAAGGCGTCAGCGGTGGCAGCTGCGGTGACGGGCCAGACGCTGACGCTGGTCGAGGAACTGAAGAAGTCGGTGAGCTCGGCATACACACAGTACCTCAAGGACCTTGAGCAAGACCAGAAGCTGCGGTTGGTGGACACGTTCCTTGCGTTCTTGGTGGTGGTGGGCGTGTTCCAGTTTTCGTTCTGTCTGCTTGGCGGGTCGTACCCGTTCAACGCCTTTCTCTCTGGGTTCAGTGCCACGGTGGGCCAGTTTGTGCTCACGGTGGCGTTGCGGTTGCAGAGCACGCCGGAGAACACAGGTTTGTTCAGCGGGTTGCTGCCCGAGCGGGCGTTTGGCGAGTACGTGCTGGCCAGCTTGGTGCTCCACTTTGTGCTCATACACTTCATCAACTGAGGTGCGGCGGGGCGGCTGTGTAGGTGTGTAGTGAAGATATACTTGAATTAATCGTTACTTATAAAGTAAAGTTTTACACGGCAGAGTGATTGGCGCAGAAATCACCGATGGGGAGGCGGAGCTCAGTCTTTGGCAATGCTCATCATGCTTTCGCCGGCGCTCTGGTTGCTGGTCCCGTTCCGCCTGCTGCTGCTGGCAGCGTCCTCCACCTCTATGTCCTCCACGCCGGCGGCCCCGTTGCGGACGTTTCCGCCCGTGCTGTTGCTGTTTCTTTTCGTACTGGTGCCAAGCTTGGCGGCGGCGGCGGCGGCGGCGCCTGCAGCACCTGTCTGTGTCCCGGCGGCGTCAGCCTCGTCGTCTTCCTCGTCGTCGTCGTCGTTGTCGTCGTTGTCGTCGTCGTCGTCATCGTCGTCATCGTCGTCGTCGTCGTCCATTCGGTTGTCGGTGCTGTCGTTGCTGCTGCCGTCGGCGTTGCTCAGCCCGCTGCTGCTGCTGCCGCCGTGGCCCGAGTGTATGCTCTGCAGCGCCTTCATGTCTGGGATCTCGAACTCGCACTTCTTGTACTCCACCATGTCTGTCTTGGACGAGGGCCAGCAGCGGAGCCACCTCATGCGGGGCCCGCACGGCGCCGCCTCGTTCAATCGGAAGCCAAAGAGCTTGAGCTGGAACTGGTCCCGGGTCCGCTGCTTCGTCTGGCGGTCGATCTCGGGGAACATCTTCATGAAGAGGCCCACAAAGCTGGTCCCGAAGAAGGCGCCGTCGATGTTGAGGTACCTCGACGAGCTGGGGAGATAGATGTCGTTGCAGTTCGGGCAGTAGAGGCGGACCGTCTCGATCCCGGGCGAGTCGAAGCGCCCGATAGGGATCAGGTGCATCCCGTCGCAGTAGTACCTCGGGCACGAGCCGAAGCAGTTCTCCTCGTACTTCTCTGCCATCGCGTGCAAGCCCTGCTTCGTGAGGATGAACCTCGCGTGGATCAGCCCGTACAAGAGCTCTGCCGCGTGCTCCACGAGCGGGATGTCTGTCGGCTGCACCGCCGTCTCCGGCTCGAGGTCCAGAATCACGTCCAGCGCCTGCTTGTAGTAGGGCACTATCGAGCTCAAGCCCGTCAAGTTGAAGTCGTCCTCGATGAACTCGGGCGTCACCTCGACGAAGTAGTCGTGCCCGAACATCGAGCAGAACTGCGAGATCCACGTGTCCACCTCCTCGCTGGAGTAGTTGTCCATGTCGTTTGTGTAGTTCACCATCGCTCTCTGTCCCTGTGTGTGTCGCTGTGTGCTTCTCTGCGTGCTGCTGCTGCTGCTGCTGCTGCTGCGCTCCTGGCTTGTTTCTCGTGCGTCCCGTCCCACACACTTGCTGCTGCTCTTGCTGCTGCTGCTCTTGCTGCCTTATGTCTTCCCTCTCTCTGTCTCCTGCTCTCCCGCCGCCCCTGCTCCGTCCCAATGGCCCGTCGCCACGGCCTTTCTTCACCGTCTGTCTGGCTGGCCAGCCGCCGCCAGCTCGCCAGCGCTGAGCACTGCGCGCCATCGAGCGGGCGGGTTTTGGCGCCGGGTGCGGTGGCGAGCTTTGGCAACATGTTTCGGGAGCTGGTGAAGAGAGCAGAGGAGGGAGAGTGAGGAGGAGAAGAGGGAAGGGGAGACAGGGGAGAAGAGGAGGAGGCGAGACACACTGCACCACCCAGCAAGCGATGAGCACAGAATACACATATCTAGGGGAGAGCGGGCTCGCCGCGGAGCCGTTCCTGCGCACGGTGACGGCGGTCGTGGTGGCGACGTTCGTGCTGAGCATGCTGCTCGACAGACAGCGGGCGGCCCGCTGGCTGGCGGCGTGGACGGGCACGGACCGCACGCAGGCGGCGCAGCTCGCCGCGGTGCTGCGGCAGAGCCGGGCGGTCGAGCTGGAGCGCAACCAGGTGTCTGCGCAGGACCAGTACGCCCGCTGGACCAAGCTCAACAGACGGCTGGACAAGCTCAACGGCGACGCCAAGCGGGCGTCGCAACAGCTGCAGGCGGCGCAGCAGTCGCACGCAGGCGTCTTGTCCACGCTGCTGCTGCTGGTCGAGAAGGCGCCGGTCTACGTGCTGCGCTCGTGGTACGCCCGCACGCCCGTGCTGCGGCTCGCCGACGGCACCCATCTGTGCCGCTCCTTCGGCTTCCAGCGCTTGGTGCTCAACATGCCCTTTGGCCCCCGCAACACCGTCAGCACGCTCTTCTGGTGCACCGCTCTGGAGCTCGTGCTGCACACGCTGCTGGCCTTTGTCCACGACGTGTGCGGCCTCGTGGCCACGCTGCGCAGCCCGCCGCCGCCCGCTGCTGCTGCCCCGCCCGCTGCCTAACCCTCTCTACTTGTATAGTCTGTCTACCCCCCGGTCCGGGCCCGTAGGGCCCCTCCAACCGCTATCTTCACCTTCTATCTCTCCAATCCATCGAGTCACGTGGCCACGGCGCCGCCCAATCGCGTTGTTTGGGTCTTTCCGCTTCGGGCAGTCGGGCGTGTTGTTGTCCTCATGCAGCCGGGTATCGTGTTGGCTGTCTTGTGCTGTCAGGCAGGTTGTAGGCAGGTTGTCGGTGGCCAGGCGGCTGGGGTTCCTTCTCTGATCTGCTCGTTCTCAGGGCGTATTATTAGTCCTATTGTTGTTGTTGTTTCGGCGTGGACGTGCTAGTTTAGTCGTGGGGTTTCGTGCTGCTCCAGGGCATCTCGTTGGTTGCGGATCTTCATCTTCAGCAGGGTTCCTTCTTCAGCTTGAACATCAGCACAGGCATCAGCTGCAGCCAAACATCGAGTCCACGACAGCCACGCCAACAGCCAGACACTGCTCCCCGACATGTCCTCCCGCCTCTCGTCTGCGTCCGCGTCCCGGTCGCTGTCCGGACTGCTGGACACGGCCGGACCGGCGTCCCCGTCGTCGCCCACGCCAGCAGGCCCCGGGCCGGCGTTCCAGATCCACGTGTCGTCGCCGTCGGGCCGCAAAAGCGGCCCGCCGAGACTGACGATGCAGAGCTTCTTCGACAAGGAGAACAAGCCGCTCGTGGCGGCCAAGGGGCCCAAGAACGGCGCCAGCGGCAACGGCAGCGGCAGCCGCAGGGAAGCCTCCGTTCCGCTGAGAAACAGCACGCAGAACTCCATCAACCGCCGGTCCCTGTCGGCGTCCATCAAGAGTGCCTCAAACAGGTCGTTCGGCGGCGGCACCGCGTCCAAGCGGGACTCCAAGGCGTCCCTCTCGACAGCAGCCTCCGCCACGACCTCCGCCACCGCCACCTCGCAGAGATCGCACAAGGCGCCTTCGTTGTCCTCCACACACAGCCACAAGAGCCGAAGTAGCCACCCAAGACACTCCGTCGACACCTTCAGCTCCATTTCGTCCAGCATCAACGAAAACGAGCCCTCGATCATCACAGACAGCCTCGATCAGCTGAACCTCTCCTCGGGAGAGCTTCCCAAGCAGAGCAAGAGAGCGTCTCTCAAGACGGCGCCTAAGGCGTCGTCCAGAAGCAGCGAAAGATACCCGACAACGACGATCATGGAGAACCCGCTTCCTGTGCAGCTTACTGGTGAAAACAAGCACGAGAAAAAGAAGTCCATCTCCAAATCAACCTCCTTCAGAAGCCTGAGAAACTCGCTCTCCATGAAGTCTCTCACCTCGTCCTTGAAAAACGATGATACCAACACATCCTATACCTCTGAATATACCTCTAGTAATGCGGAAAAGAGATCCAGTCTCAAAACAAAGAGAAAAATGTCCCTGGAGAATATCAGATCCTTCCTAACCAACAGGCGCTCCTCGGTCGATATCCATTCAGAGTACAGAAACAACATCTCCCTTCCGATAATGCAGCCTCAGACAAAAGAGAAGATCAGACACAAGCTGAGAAACTCAACCTCGATCATGTCGATGTCCTCCTTTGTATCGAACAATGACAGTGTTGGTGCCACCACCGAGAAGCCAAAACCAAGCAGCAAGATGAAGACCGTTGACTTGGACCAGTTGCACCACTCTTTGCTTCTAAAACTATGCAGCCAATCCCGTTGCGTCTCTTTCACTAGTTACTTGAACAAGTACCAAACTCTGACCCCGAGAAGACATTTGACCAAATTGACCAAAACTGGGAAAAGCTTCCTGTTGATGGAGTTTTCGTGTCAAAATTCAGAATCAGAAGCCGACTTGAAACCCTCCGGTGTTTGGAAAGTCATTCCAATCGATCAAAATGGCACCCTCATCACCCAGGTCATCCAAGAGCTGACCCTGACAATGCTAATGAGCAACAAGCCCGGCTTTGTCAGTATCAACTCTGCAAAAGTTGTCTCTGGACCTTGTCCTAATTCATTACTGGATTTGATGGATGTGAGTTCATATAATGATAAACAGCTATATTTGATAATGCGCTTGGATTATGCCGGTATCTCCTTGAAGGACTTCCAATTGGAGAGCTGGAAAGAAGCATCAACCATCCTCAACCAAGTCCTGGACGCGTTGTGTCTTGGCGAAAATGAGAACTATGAACACAGAGACTTGAATATTGAGAATATCATGATCAAACGCACAACTAGGGAAGTGCAAGATCTAAACAATCCTAACAACCTCGTCGAGAGGTCTTTCCTTGACGTCACGATTATTGACCATGCCTTGGCTCGTGGTATCGTAAGCGGTCAGTTGATGTATAGGAACCTCTATGATGCAGACTTCTTTAAAGGAAGTGGGGAGTATAGACATACCATCTATAAGCTCATGAGGCGTGCCGTTGCAAACAGCAAGGCGAATAGCGCCACTATTTCAAGCTCTTCCTCCTCCATGAGCATCAGCACGCTCAAAACAGAAATGAGCACCAACGATTCGAGTTCGATTTCAAACTCCGGCTCACATACTGACTGGTCACAATCGTATTCGATTTTCAACCTTCTTTGGGTGCATTATCTACTGCACATCCTTCTTTTTGAAAAAGGGTTGAAGCCCCTCAAGATGAACCCGATCTTGAAGAAAAAGGGCCGCCTAGTAAACGGGGGCGAGGTCGGTGAAGAAAACGCCATCTACGAGCGTTTGATGCAAGGGTACCGTATGGTTGAACCTGCTGTCCTTTTCGGCAACAGGAAAAACAGGTACATGAGAGAAATCAGGACGATTCACGAGTTCAGGGACTGGTATCAGAACTTGAACGCATAAAATATCCAGCATTATCCAGTCCGTCCGGGTTTATATTTACAGCATGTCTAAGTATGTTAACTTCCTTTTTAGTGTTTTTATAGTTTCAGAGAGTAATAACAAGTTTATAAAATATAAAACAGACGTAACCACCGTAATCTTCGAATTTTGCGGGCGCGTTGTTTACAAAATTGCAGAAATAATAACAGGCGCCAGCCGTAAACATGTATACATCACAATGTGGATCGCTATAGACACGGATCGGAGTGACAGCCCCATGAGAAGAAAAGCCCAAGGATAAAGACATAGCAAGAGATGGAGGCTGACTTTCAGAAACTCAAGCTTCGATCGAGCAATTTGTCCACAGTCCACGAGTTCGATGAACGAAGCACACTAACAAAGGAAAATGTCAAACTTTTGGAGAAGCAGAAGATGCTCCAAAAATACATGGATGACACGGGATTGAGTGCTGGAAACTTTGAAGAAGACCGCTTCTTTGACGAGGATTACGGGGACGATTTTGATGACGATGCGGATGGGGAAGGTAATAACGGCTTCGATTTCGATGCCCAAATAAAGAAGCAAATCGAGTCCCAAGGCCAAAGGAAACAGCATGTAAAACAGCAAGAACAAGAATGGCCTCAGAGCAGGCAGCGTAAGTCTGCTTTGAGATCCAGCATGGCAACGCCAATAGGAAGCCACGTTTATACCCTTGTGGATAAACCGACGGTTGAGCATGGCTCTATATCTTCCTTTTCTTCAAGAACCCCATCTTCTGTTCAATCACAGTACTCAGAAAGTGATACCGAAAACAGTGACTACGCGGCAGACTACGATGATTTCGAAGAGGTTGGTAAGACTTTGAACTTGCAGGAAAAGTTTCGCCGCAAACAACAGGAAGCCAAACAACATGTCGAGGAGGAACGACTTTTGAGACGCAAACAAAACACTAACTCAAGGAGTAAACTCCCCAGATCGGACTCGCGATTAGCACAACACTACGACGTTGACGATATAACAAACGATGCCGACTTCGAAGATCTCAACTACATTGATCCTTCCAAGATATATCGATTCAAAGCAAACCCTTCTCCTTCATCCCACGGTTACTTAGATAGGAAAAAATCTCTGCCTGTGATGAGAGTGGTCACCAGCGTAGCAGGATCACCAAAAAAAGTGAAAAAGTATTTGTCAAGCGTGGATATGAACTCAAAACTGGACAAATACCCGAAGCAGTCTTATCCCGTTTATGACCGTCATGGCAATAACAACCACGAGCGTGAATTAGACGAACTTGACGATTTGGATGATTTTGATCTCACCATCACTCTTTCAGACTACAAGAAGTTGAAGCGGAAAAGTAAGAAAATAGATTTTTCTCAATACGTGGAAACGCCATCTCAACATCAATACAGACAGCACAGAGAATCTCGAGATAGCCGGTATATTCCACAGCGGCTTTCTTCAAGTGGAGATTATAGTAGCAAAAACGTTCTCTTCTCCACTCCAGAGGATTCTAAGACTGCGCGGTTGACAAAGGAAGGAAAAATCAAGCTCATAAGGTCCTTAGGCAAGCCAATGGTTAGGAAGGTGATGCCTGCACATATATATGGCGAGATAGTTTATGATCCACAGCTGAAAAAATGGTGTGGAAATGAAGAAGATTTGGCAAGGTTTGAAACACTGAACTACTCTAAGCCGCAACTGATCACGAAGAAACAAAGTATGCCCCAGATGATCGGTAATATGGTATACGACGACAAAAAGCTTCGCTGGGTCAGTGTCACGGGCAACTATGAGGACGACCCCTTTGGTGAGGACTTCGACACAATAATGAATGGGAGTGAGGAGCCGGAGAGGACGAAACCGGGTATTCTGAAACCGAGCGGCCGGGGCGTTTCTGGGAAATTAGTGCCGTCAGAATCGTCCATGTCTCTAGCCGATCATTTGAAAAAGAAAGACAGTTATTTCAAGGTAACTCCGGAAATGTACAAGACCTGGAAAACCGAAGAGGGCCGTTGGGTCCGTAAAGTGGGCAACTGGTTTCCCTACGATGAGAACACACACAAATTCAAATACGAGCTGAAAACCTTTCTCAATCAGCAGTGAAAACATTGGCATCGCCTATTTTGTATAACAGAGTAGTATCAGCATCTTTTCTAAAAGTACCGGTTCCGCCATTTATGATAAAGCTGCCGGAATTAGCCCCTGGATCAGGAAAAGTCAGCGATAGCGCCTTCTCGAGGAAAAAATTCCTCGGGAAAGTGTGGCACCCTTTAAACAGAGATTCAGGCAAAAAGTCTTCCGACTGCTTGGTTTCACAATCGGATCCTGCTGAACACGATTGGCAATCTTCTTCCAGAGATTTTCTTTGTCGGCTGTAAGAGTGCAACGGTGGTGCTGATACGTGGTACAATATAATGACACTGGAATTGACCGACAAGGTCGTGGTTATCGGAGCCGGTATCTTTGGGATCTCGACAACCTTGGCACTAGCCAAACGGTATCCCGAGTTGAAGATTCAGGTTGTTGACAGATTTGAGCCACCCGTTCCTGACGGATCATCGGTAGACACTACAAGGTGCATCAGGGTGGACTATACAAACGAAATTTATTCCGAATTGGCCAGCGAATCTTTGGCGAAGATCAAGAAGGACCCAGTTATTTCACAGTTTTTCCATGAGACCGGGATGTCATACACTTACGACGGAAAGCACGACAGATGGGAAGACTTTTACTTGGCCGGCAAAGAATCTGCAGAAAAGGCAAACCAGGCACATCCGGAAAAAGTTGTGAGCCTGGACAGCACTGAAGAGGTTTTCAAAAGTATTCATGGTAAGGAGGGTGCAGTGCCAAGTGCAATTGACATTGGCAGAAAAACGTGGTGGAACAAGGGGTACCGGAATTTCTCCAACGGTTTTATTGACGCTGAGTTGGCGATGAAGGCATACTACGAGAGGGCCAACTCGTACCCTAATGTCACATTCACCTTCAGCGAGGTTGAAAAACTAAACTACTATCCGACAACTAATAAGTTCAAGTCTGTTTCCCTTAAGAATGGGGAAGAGATAGCAGCAGACCTTGCCATTATTGCTGCTGGTGCATGGAGCGGGAAACTAGTCAACTTGCAGAACATCTGTAAGATGTCCGCTGTCGAAGTGGGCTGGTTGAAGCTCACGCCAGAAGAACAGGAAAATTGGAAAGATATGTCTATCACTACTAATTTGTCCACCGGAATCAACTTATTTCCTCCATATAACGGCGAAATGAAGGTTTTGAGAAGATCTCCTGGTTACAAGAACACTGTCACAGTGGCAAATCCTGATCCTAAAGCAAATGACAGCATTGAAATCTCTTACCCGAGAACTAAAGTTACCAACCCTTCCGACTGGATTCCAAAAGATGCAGAAATAGCAATCAGAGAGAATTTAAAGGAAATCTTGCCTAGTTTATACCAAAGACCTTTTGATCGTACTAGATTATGTTGGTTAACACAAACTCCAAGTGCAAACTTTTTAATCGATCATCACCCGCATAGCGAAAACATCTTGTTGGCAACAGGTGGATCGGCGCATGCTTGGAAGTTTGTGCCAGTCATCGGCGATAAAATTGTTGACTTCCTGGAAGGCACTCTTGAACAACGTCTTGTTGAGTTGTGGTCGTGGAGGGAGAAGCTGGGTGACAAGGCGGATAATGGAAGCGCACCAAGGATGGTCGGTGAGCCACAAGAAATAAGCCAGGTCATCAGAACATCTGGGAATGAGAATTTGTGTATCTGACAAACTACTACATGGGTATTCTACTTTCTCTTAACGTTTATAGTACACATTAAGTGCGGTAACAATAGTATTGTCTATTTTTGTCTTTTACGATCCAAGATTATTAGCGTCGATCCGAATTCCGAATTGGGTAATAACGGCGACACTCGCCTTATCGGACCTTAGTAAGTGGCTTATCTCTCCAAAGGATGGGTTAATAATATAAATGGGACTTGGAAGAGGTAGTTTTTTTTCAAACATTTATAAAGTACAGAAGAATGGCAGAGAAATTTTTTGTCAAATTCATCACTCTGCAGATGTCCCCTTGGACTTTAAGTTCTTAGCAAACAACTTCACAATTCATATATCATGAGTACTCTTAAGAAAGATTCTAAAATTATTCTTGTTGGTTCAGGAGTTTTTGGCCTATCCAACGCCCTGCATCTTGCAAGTAACGGATATACCAATGTTACTGTATTTGACAGATTGGACCTTGAGGCACAAAGGTTTACCTTATTGAGGGGTTCCGATACTGCCTCCGCTGATATAAATAAAGTGTTCAGGGCGCAGTATGCAGAAAAAAAGCACTATCAGGACCTTGCATTTCAAGCTTTGGATGTTTGGCAAAAATGGAACAGAGATATACAATTACTACCTGAAGATGAGGCTAAAAATTTCACAGGACTGCAGCTTTTGGATATGTGTGGGACATTGAAGATTGATGATATTTTTGGTTGGGAGGAAAAGGCCTCGATGGAAAACTACATAAAGGAGGGTCTTGGAGCATTGCGATATGATATGAACGATCCGGCCGATCTTAAAAGGGCAAGAGCTGCAGGATATGGTCCTAAACTGGAGATTGCACTACAACTCAAAAAACACAAAATCCCTCAGTTGGTTGGTGCATTCGATTCCAGTTCAGGCATACTGTATGCGTCGAGATGTTTGCAATACGCAAGCTACCTCTGTAGGTCAATGGGCGTCAAATTTGTTCTTGGAGGCTGTAAAGGAACATTCAAGGATTACATCTGCAATAACAATACTGACATCAAAGGTATAATCACTGAAGATGGAAAGAAGCATTTTAGTGATCTTGTTGTTATAAATTGTGGGCCGTGGTCTACAAAGCTTGTTCCAGAATTAACAGGCATCAATGAGGCTACAGCTGGAAATGTCCTAATTTGTAAGATTCCAGATTACCGCAATGATTTGAAAGTGAAGTATTCATCCAAAAATTTTCCAATGCTGGCATGGAAATCTGGACACTCAAGGGAACACGAGCATTTGGGTGGGTTGTTTTTGTTTCCGTGCATGGAACCCGAAGGATACATGAAGATTATTATTAGACAAACTAAGTACACCAACCCTGAAGTCCTTAAAGACGGAAGAGTGGTCTCGATCCCTAAAACTGCAATTAGCTCTCCCCCTTTTAAGTATCTAACCAAAAACATTGTAGGGCAGGTAGAAGAGTGGCTTAACATTTTCTTTCCTGACTTGGTGGATCTAGAATGGCAAAGCAAAATTTTGTGGTACACAGACACTATAAACAATGATTATATTTATGATTTTGTTCCTGGCAAAAAGAATTTGTTTGTCGCATGTGGGGGTTCTGGTCATGCATTCAAGATGTTACCCGTCCTCGGTCAGTTTTTGGTCGACAAAATCGAAGGTCGTGAAAATCTTTATACAAACCTGTTTTCTTGGAGAAGGCCAGAAGACTTTTCTTCTGACCCAAATGGACTTCAGGAAGGTTTGGAAGGTAGCCGAGTGTATTCCAAGCAGATTATGTCCGTCGCTGAGGACTACAATTTCAGAAGGTTACCAAAAGCAAAGCTTTAGTTGTGAGTTGTTGCAAAGTTTGTGCAGGCAGAAAAATATCAGCCTTGCACAATACTATAATAGAATCGTAGTTTCCGTATTCTTAATTTATTGTGTATGTCTGTAACAATTCTGCTACCGAAAACAAAAGAAGCTACCCTTAGGAACGTTTTGCTAGTTCCAGAGCCAGATCGTTCTACGCATTGCAATTCTGTGTCATAAGTTGCAGAAAAATTTCCCTATCAAGGTGACGTTTAGCCCATCTTAGTCATTGAACCAAACATAGGGTACACCGAACGCCTTCACTCAGTTTGGTTTTTCTATGCTAGCAACGGGTTGGTTATTTCTGTGTTTTTTTTCACCTCATTGAACTTTCCCAAATAGGATATACGAGTTTTCTTGCGAAACATGTTTTCGCATCCTTACTTACTCGAACCTGCAACCTCGTAGTTATGTCCTGCGCATACTAGGCACCAAAAGGAAAATATGGCATAGTTTCAAATCCAGAAACTGATTGTCCGATGCCTCAACTACGTGCTGGAACGTTTGCGATTTTGAATCATTGGAACAATGGGATTATACGTGCCATCGAGCCTGTTGATGGTAGACTGTTTCCTTCTCCGGACCTCACCTGAAACAACCGTGGTTCATCATCAACATCACCTTTAATTTTTAGAAGAGTCTGCAACAAGTACTTATAACTGAACAACTTTCTTCAGATGTGACTTATTCTTTTGCACTACAAAGCAATATGACGACACACTAGACTTCGTCATTTAATTATTTCAAATTTTAAGGCCTCTAAATTCACCATCACAGCTACCAAAATGAATTTACTCAGCTTCATAATTCTACAACTTCTCTTACGGCTTACAAACGTTGCTTCTCTAGCAATTCCTAATGAACTTCATAAGAAAGATGATCCATGTGATCCAATTGTCAAAACAACTGTTACAACTGTTTTGACCTTTTATTCTACTGGCAGAAACTCCACCTATGCTTCTCTTCAAACTACCACCGCCGTCGGCTACACGCTAAACGAATGTGCTATGGCGTACTTACCAACTGTTACAGCTAGCTCAACTGTTCCCTCAATTTCTACTTCAACATTCACTCATTGTGATGATGGCCCACACTGCGATAAAACAACATGGGCGACGCCAGTATGCCCCGTCGGAACCCTATCTGCAGAATGTAACGTTCAGCCCACCTATATTCCTCAGCAGAACAGCTACACAGTCACCGTATTTACAACATCTTGTGGTGCTCCAGATGGTGCAACGGGATCTTTCTCATGTCATGCATCTACGGCGCTTGTTGGTCTAAATGATGTTTCTTCAACATTCGTTGTTACAAACTGTGATCATGCCGACTTTGTTTGTCCTGCTTCTCTCTCATTTTCTTCAACAAAGCTGGTGCCATCTCCATCTTCTACTCCTCCAATTCCACTTACTTCACCCTCTCAACTAACGTCATCATCATTTTTTGTACCAGCAACTCCAACCACTGTTTCTTCTGCTTCGCCTGCCTCGTCATTGTTTTCCTCATCGACGTATGTTACCCAACCATCCACTACACTCTCGTCATCTCTATACTCTAAATCACCATATATCTCATCTGTCCCTAGCGAATCAAGTACAATAACATATGTTACAATCTGTCCTGGTGCTTCTGAGGAAGTCACTTGCATCATTGGCTCCTCAGATGTTTTTGTTGGGACAACTAATATCGCTATTGCAACGACCTCATGTTATGCACCTCCAAAATTTACTGGTTCCTTTGGATTAACTCCTGTTCTGTTTACTTATACTGGGCTGACCACATACTCTGTAATCACAGCTTTCAATGCTGTGGTTCCAAGTTTTGTCTGTCCTTCCAGTATCTCATCATTTTTGACATCTTCAATTTTATCTTCCTCTGCTCCTACAAAATTGTCTTATACTCCATCATCGACTTTTTCAGTAGTTATACCATCTTCTTCAGTTCATTCGTCATCCTTCCAACATTCAATATCATCGTCCCTCCCATTTTCAACTTACCCCTCTTCATCACTTACTAAACTCTCTTCATACACTATACCTTCGAGTATGATACCTCCTTATACTTTGTCTTCATCTTTCAAGCCATCACTATCAACCATTTCATCTTTCTCTTCCAGTCAATACAAATCCTATAGTCAATCCTCATCATACTTTGGATCATCTTCTTCATTCACATCAGCTTTATCCTTAGATTCATCAAGCGTACCATCTTTGTCGCATAGCCAATTTTCATCTCAAGCCCCATCGTCATCTACTGGATACTCCTCACATAAAACGTACTCCTCATCTTATAGTCAATCCTCATTCTCTAGCCAAAAATTATCGTCTAAGATTTTGTCAACCTCATCCAAGTTTTCTTTGTCTTCTTTTCCTCCAAAGTTGGCTTCTTCATCTTCTATTTCAAGCAAGTCAAGTCCAAACTCTTCTGGGTGTATCACGTCGGATGTTACCTCGAGTAAAGTTTCTTTGACTACACTAATCACTGGTTGTGACTCTTTGACAGGAGCACTTTGCTTGAAAGGAATTTCGGCTACTTTGATAAAGAACACTTTAGTGTGGTTTACAACTACCTCATGTTCTATGCCCTCCGGTATTAGTGGCTCATTTGGGCCTTCAACAACTTTACAAGCAATAACTACTGGGGATATCGTAACTACGGTTACTGTCACCGATTATATTGTTCCAAGTGTTATTTGTCCAACATCGAGCTTTCCAACTACGTTGATAGCTACGAGGCCTTACACGAGGTCTACTTTTACGGAAACTGAATCACTCTGTACAAGCGGCTCAGTTATAGTTCCTTGTTCAGTCACCACCTCAGAAAGCTTGGCAAGTAATCAGCAAACAGTCTCCTCAATATCTAGATCCCCAACTCCTTCATCTCTAACTTCTTCATCCAAATCTCCTTCGGTACCAGTACCCTTAGAATCAACAATCACTGTCACAACTACACATTGTAAGAATGGAAAGTGTACATTATCTACCTCTTACGCCACCTCCACCTTTACAGCATCTAGCAGCTCCTTTACCATGTTTTCTGGCTCTACGTATACCACCTCATTCATTTCAAAGCCACTAACTTCAGCTTCTCCTTCGGTGCCAGTAACTTTGGAATCGACAATCACTGTCACAACCACACATTGTAAGAATGGGAAGTGTACATTATCTACCACTTACACGACCTCCACTTTTACGACTTACTGCAGTTCAGCTACCATGTCCTCTGGCTCTACGTATACCACTTCATTCATTTCGAAGTCTTCAACTGCTACCCTATTTACCATTTCGACATCTTCAGCTTCTTCAAACACATTGGCGACATTGATATCCTTAACAACTCCGATTTCTTCAACTTTCTCGACATTATCCACATTTTCAACATCGTCGATGACTTCAAAGACTTCTGAGAATACGTTTTTTACAGGTTTGACTTCTATCACTGAATCTTCAAGTGAAACGGTTCATTCTATATCAAAATCTTCTACTTCAGACACATCCTCTTTAAGTGTTTCTACATCAGCAACAGTTACTCCTAAAACGTTAACTTCAGCTACCTTCACATCTGGAACAGTGTCTTCTTCAACTACTTCCGCATTGGTCACCACCCCATCGACCATTACTGCTGTCACGCATGAAACTTCATCCACTGCAAGCGAAACAATCCCAGGTGCAACTCCAGAAACAGTTACAATCTCTACTACTACCGTCACTACCACCCACTGTTCAAACAATAAATGTACCATTACAACCTCTACAATTCCTATTGTGTCAACCCAATCCAATTCTACGTCTACCTCTGAGGCAAAAACTAATGAGTCAAGTAAACCAGCTGTACTATCCTCGTCATCAACAGTTCCCGAATCAGATACCGCTTCAATTACTACCATCACTACAACTCATTGCGAAAATCACACATGTTTTGCTACAACGTCTGAAATTTCGATTATTTCAAACACAGCATCTTCCTCACCTGCTTCTACTGTTTCTTCTTTAAAGTTCTCTGAAACATCGGCTTCAGTCTCTTACTCATCAATTTTAACTACTCTAACTACAACTGTTACAACGACTCACTGTGAAGAAAACAAATGCTCGTTGAAAACTAATACTCTGGTAACAACCCTTGTTTCAACAGTAGAGTGTTCCACCTCTTCGGCTTCTACAAAAACTGATTCTGCCACAATTCCTCAAACAACAATGACACCTATTTCTACTACTTCAGATTCAACGGCAGTTTCTTCAACAAATGTGACTTCAGTCCAAACATCCTCTCCTTCAATTGTTATCAGTTCAACGGTAGGAACTCCTGAAGGGACTACATTCTCGATCACAACGTTCACTACAACACATTGCGAGGATAATAAATGTACCACATTCTCTTCTGAAATTCCGCTAGTATCGACAACTTCAACAACCTTAGACTCTTTAGCCTCCTCTCTTTTGACAAGCACAGCGTCAGGGTCAACGTATGTTGTCAAATCAACAACAACTTTGACTACAACGCATTGTGAAGACGAAAAATGCTTTCTTTCCACAGAAACAATTGTAACATCGACTACGGCAACCACAGAATGTTCTGATTCTTCAGAAACATCTCTGCAACCAACTGAATTATCATCAACATCAACATCAACATCAACTATAACGACCTCGCATGCTTTTCCTACGTCCCCTGTCTCAGTTTCAACAGCTCTTTCAACAACCTTGGTAACTACCACTCATTGCGAAGATAGCAAGTGTATAACTACTACCACTACTGCTTCGTCGAGTACTGCATCTACTGTGACATCCATTATTACTTCGTCAACCGGATTGACAGATAGTGAGGAAGGTACGTCAACTATTTCAAAAACCCTGTTGACAACGCTGACTAAGACATCATCAGGCTCGTCTTCGGCCATAGTAGCATCCCAGATTACCTCTCCAAGTAGTTACTCGTTGTCCACATCCTCACACACAGTTTCCGTTCCAGCGGCCTCAGGATCATCATCATATTTTGAAAATGCAGCAGGCGCTGTTGTTACGCTTCCGCAGAATGGTGCTGTTTTTGGGATGGCATTTGGGTTACTGATGATGATGATTTAAGTACAATATCACATAGCCCATTTCTATGGAATTTCGGTCGTTTTTTCTATTTAAATTCTAGATTATGTTTTAATTCCAACTTACTTGACGTTGCTTTCTTAACCTATATTGACTGTTTTCGACTTTCTAGGAAAAATAGGATTGTATTTATTAAATTTACTGCTAAAGCTCTGTAATCTAAATAAATGATATGAAAATACATGCTTTTTACTTAAAAGTTTTGATTTTTTCTTTTTAGAATTGAGTTTGGAGAATGGAAATTATAAGTAAATTATAAATACGCTATGAATTAAAAGATATTAGAAATATTATTTACACAACAGAAACGAAAAATTATCAGAAAGTGAAAAATGGGAGTGGGCTATAAGGTATATTCATTTTTTCCTTTTCTTGCTTAGTAGTTTTGTTTTTCCTATTTGGCTCTGAAAGAAAGATATGCTATGAAGGGTAGGGGATAATGCAAAGATAACGTCCGACTCTATTTGAGGTCAGTACGATTAGGGTAGGACACGATTAGTGACGTTCATTCTAAAGTATTATTGGTATCATGGTCTAAACGTGGAAAGTCACCTCGGTGTGAATCAGTTGGTGAAGCAGAATCTGCTAGAACATATTCATCAGCATCCATGTCGTCGGTGTCTTCTGTATCTTCGGTGTCCAAGACGGGATGCTGGGCCTCGCCAGTATCGTCGTTTTCATCTAAGGTTTCCTTTGGCATGGAATACGGAGATTGGGTCTCGGACGCCAAATCTAAGCTCGAGTCTGAGTCGTGATCTTCAGCTATAGACCCACTATTGACTAGATGTAAGGGTTTTGGGCGATTAACGACAAAGCCTGTGTTGCTAGAATAATCGTTATTGAAGTTGGTATTTAGGTTAGGCTTTGGTTCATTGATCATATCATCAGGCATATCGTCGTCAAAATCGCCACGGGTTGGGTTATTGTTTATGGTTGGGAATCCATAGAATAGACGACGGAAAGTTTTCTTGATAGGGTTACCATCTTCAACGGCAATTCCGACATCTCTACCGTTCGAATCAACATAGTTCCTAACAGAGTTCATTTGTTTCCTACGATATAGGAACAGAAGTATAATCAGAATTATGATGATCACAGGGATACCAATACCAATGGCGACACCGATTGCAATATTTTTATTTTTTTGGGAAATACCAGTGCTATTAGCAACTGGAGTGGCCGTTATTGTCTGGAAGTAAGTCACTGTACTTGCACTGTTGATTAGAGTGGTAGAGGCTAAAACGATAAACGAACCATGATTTGAAGAGTACTTCGATGTTGCTGTTGTTGGTGGTTGCGTAGAAGAAGAAGATGAGGAGGATGAGGATGAGGATGAGGAGGTCGTTGTCGATGGAATTATGGAAAAAGAACTCGATGAGTGAGATGATGTTGTAGAGGAGGGTATGAACGAAGATGATGATGAGAGGGTTGAAGAATGTGTCGAAGAATGTGAGGACGACGATGATGACAAATGTAATGATGAAAGTGAAGACGACGAGAATGAGGATGAAGACAGAGAGGAGGATGAGGGGATAAATGAGCTGAATGAGGATGAGGAGCTAGAGAAAGTTGAGGATGAGAAAGTTGAAGAAGGTACTGGGGATGACGATGAAGAGGAAGATGTTAATGAGAATGAGGAGGAAGAAGAGGTGAAGGAGGGAAAAGAGGAAGTGGTAGAAGAAAATGAAGAGGACGAGGTAGATATTTCTGATGAGGTGGATGAGGAAGAAGAGGAAGAAGGAGAGGTTGAGGTCGATGATGACGAAGAAGATGGGGCTTCGGACGAGGAGGATGAGGAGGAGGAGGTAGGCGAGGGGGATGGGTCGGAGGTGGTTGTGCTGGAGGTGGTTGGGGAGAATGGGTCGAAGGAGGAAGTGGTTGGAGTAGTAGTTGGGGATGAGGAAGTAGTGGGGGTGGGGGTTGCGAAAGTGTCTGAGGAGGACAGGGTTGTCGTGTTGAAATCATCTGCTCTTTTCTCCAACTTGAAACGAGGGACGATTGCGTTGTTGGAGCCCTCCATGATATTGCGGATGATGCTGTCGGCGTGGTTTATGATGTCAAGGCCTTGTAGTTCTGACTCGTCTTGATTATTGTTGTTGTTGTTGTTGTTGTTGGTATTGTCGTTGCTGGTCTTGTCGTTTTCGTGCACGGCGGCGCCTGAGAAGAGAGCTTGGATGAAGTTTTTCTTTCTAGGGGCGTGTTGCTCTGGAGCGTCGTCGGTGGAGTTGTTGTAGAGGAAGCTGGCGGCGTCGGAGGAGCAGTTTGCAAGCTTGCGGAGGCTGCAGCTCTCGTCGTCACGCGTGGCGTTCTTACGCTGGAGGGCGGAGTATACGAGGGGGTTGAGGAGGATGAAGAGAGCCAGGAGGGCCAGCGTGGAGACGAACAGGACCCGGAGCCAGCTTGGCCGGCTCCTGCGGGAGTGTCTTGTGTGGGGACGGTATTCTTTGTGTGAGAGGGTGCAGTCGTCTGCGTAGCCCGACTGTTCTTGCTGTTGCGTAGGCAGGAACATCGTGGCAGTTGGTGGCGGTGGTGGCGGGCCGAGCTTGTGTGCTGGAGAGGTCACCAGGCTGGGCTTGTGGAAGGGTGTGGGTGTGGGTGTGGGTGCAGATGTAGACGTAGGCGTGCTCGACGGGTGAGCAGTGGGGCCTGGTGTGCGCTGGGGACAGAGGAGCGTCTGGTGGTGGCGGGCAGCCGAATGTACACGCAGCACAGGAGGGCAGGCCGGGTGGTCAGACAAACGAGGAGTGGGTGCCCAAAGGAGAGTCTTGCGGACACAGGGCAGCGGGACAGATCAGTCTCGGGAGCTGGAAGGAGTGGATGGCGCAGCGGTGGAGGGTGAAGCTGCGACGTGCAACGGGCTGCGGGTCTATTAATAGGGTGTGCGGGAGGCGGGCTGTATCTACGTGGACATGAACCTCGTCCAGCAAGGGGCCGACGACTCGCAGCAAGCACAACAGGGCACGTCCGGAGCAGGGTCCTCTCCTTCCTTCCTTCCTTCCTTCCTTCCTCCCTCCCTCCCTCACTCCCTCACTCCCTCCCTGCCAGCACCTGTTGTGCTGGAAAGGCGTTGCGGCTGGCGAAAAAACACAAAATCACAACACACCGAAGCCCTGCGCAACACAACAACAACAACACAGCAGGCCGCGGCGGCAACCAGAAAAGACCGACGCAAAGGGGTGCTGCCGGAACGAGCGCCTGGCCTGCCGGCATTGTCTGGGGTGCCCCTGTTTTTCTGTCTGGCGGGGACGACGGAGGGGAGGGCGTCGTAGCGGTGCGGTGGCAGGCTAAAAATAGGCGGCCCGCAGCGACAGGCCCCCTTGGGAGAAAAAGAAACGGCCCGGCGTAGAGCGGTGCGGGCTAAATAGGCCCGGGGGCAGCGGGAAAAGAAACAGACTAAAAGGGCAGCGGGCCCCTTTGGAGGAGAGGGGGAGGTCACGTGCGGACGGCGAGGGCTTGCCGGGCGGACGGAGAGCGGGCGGGCGGAACATGAATGGGCAGTCAGAATGTTGCCTGTTCGGGGGTGGGGTGGGGATTGTGAGAAAAGGGGCTATACGAGACTAATATACTGTGGCTGGGGGCAGGGGAGGCGGCTCAGGCGGCTCAGGCGGCTCAGGCGTGGGAGAGGTCCTTCGAAAGCGGGGTCAAGCGCAAGTAGGGCTTGATGGCCCGGAACTTCGGAAACAGGGCCCGGGCCTCGGCGTCGGAGAGGCTCGGGGCAATGATGACATCGTCGCCCGGGACCCAGTTGATCGGGGTGGTGATCTTGCGGCTGAGCTTGTCGGAGGTCTGCAAGGAGTCGAGGGCGCGCAAGACCTCGGCGGTGTTGCGGCCACAGCTGGCCGGGTAGGTCATGATCAAGCGGATCTTCTTGGCCGGGTCGATGATGAAGACAGAGCGGATGGTCAACTGCACGCCCTTGTCGTCGATGTTGGAGGCGTCCTGGTAGTCGATCATGTCGTAGAGCAGGGCGATCTTGCGCTCCGGGTCGGCGATGATGGGGAACTGCAAGCGGCTGCCGGTGATCTCGTCGATGTCCCGGATCCACGCGCGGTGGGAGTCGCTGTCGTTGACGCTGAGCCCGATCAGCTTGGCGTTTCGCTTGGCGAACTCCGGCTCGAGCTTGGCAAACGCCCCGAGCTCGGTGGTGCACACGGGCGTGAAGTCGTCCGGGTGCGAGAAGAGAATGCACCAGCTGTCCTTGCCGACGTAGTCGTAGAAGGTCACCTCGCCGACGGACGTGTCGGTTGTGAAGTTCGGCGCCGTCGAGCCTAGCCGGAGCGTGCCGTTCTTCGGTTCTGGGATGGACATGTGTGAGGGGGTGGGGCGTGCGTGTGCGTGTGCGTGTGTGTGTTCTGTGGGTGGGGACAGCGGTGTTGGCGGGGAGCAGCAGAAGGACGGCAGCAGGGCCCTCCAGATAAGAACCCTATGTCTGCCTGCCTGCCGCCTCTCTCTGCCTCCGCACATGTACGTCGTCGGCGTTTGGTGCTTCCCTCACCACTTTCCACAGTTTCCACAGTTCCACGGGCGGGTGCGGGGGACACGCCGAGGCTGCGGCTGCGGCTGCGCCCGGGGTGTCGCTGCGACGCCGACGCCGTTCACATAAAATAGACGCTGTTTATTCATTAAACACGAGAAAAGCTATACCAAGAAATACAATCAAGAATAAATATAAGAAAAGAGCAGGAGCACGCCGCAACCGCCCCCGCTGCTGCGGAGGGTCGGGCTCGGGGGCCCCGCCCGGAGAAGAATGGAAAATGGAGATGGACAGGAGATGGATGAGGGTGCAAGGAAACTTGGAAACAAGCAATAGTAAAATAAGAATAAACTATAATTCCGATATAGTAAAGTAATATAGTGTATGCATGAGAGGAGGGGGCGGCGAGGGGCGCAAGAGCTCTGCGGCCAGTGTGTTCCCTTGCCTATCCTCTCCTTTTTTGGTTTGGTTGTGTTGTTGCTGCAGGCGCAGCTGGGGCGTCTGCAGAGCCCGGAAGTCATTCGTCTGACTATGTGTGGTTGTGGTGTTGGGCTCTGGCAGAACTCAGAGGGCAGCAGCTTTAGTTGTTCTCTGGTCTCAATTTTCTGACCTCCTTACCGACTCTCCAGATCTCCATGTTTCTGATGGTGACCAACTCCTTCTCAAGTTCTTCTCTGTAATTGACTTGGGAGTTGAAGTCCAAGGATCTTTGGGTCTCGGAACCGTCTCTGACAGAGGCGTACAACTTCTGGAAAACAGGCTTCAAGTTTTCCTTGAAGATTGGGTACCAGTCCAAGGCACCTCTTCTGGCAGTGGTGGAGCACGCGTCGTACATGTAGTCCATACCGTACTTACCAATCAATGGGTATAGGGATTGTGTGGCTTCTTCGACAGTCTCGTTGAAGGCTTCGGATGGGGAGTGGCCGTTTTCTCTCAAAACGTCGTATTGAGCAAGGAACATACCGTGGATACCACCCATCAAACAACCTCTTTCACCGTACAAATCGGAGTAGACCTCCTTTTCAAACGTGGTCTGGTAGATGTAACCGGAACCAATGGCGACAGCCAAGGCAATGGCCTTTTCTTCGGCCTTGCCGGTGACGTCGTTCCAGACGGCGTAGGAGGAGTTAATACCTCTGCCCTCCTTGAACAAGGATCTGACGGTTCTACCGGAACCCTTTGGAGCAGCCAAGATGACGTCGATGTTGGTTGGTGGGTCAACCTTGGTCAACTCCTTGAAGACTGGGGAGAAACCGTGGGAGAAGTAAAGGGTCTTGCCTTCGGTCAAGAGAGGCTTGATGTCGGCCCAGGTCGAAGACTGGGAAGCGTCAGACAACAAGTTCATGACAATGGTACCCTTCTCGATGGCTTCGTTGATAGGGAACAAGTTCTCACCTGGGACCCATCCATCTTCAATGGCGGCCTTCCAGGAGGCACCGTTCTCTCTGACACCGATGATGACGTTCAAGCCGTTATCTCTCAAGTTCAAACCTTGACCGTAACCTTGGGAACCGTAACCAATCAAGGCCATTGTGTCGTTCTTGAAGTACTCCAACAACTTTTCTCTTGGCCAGTCGGCTCTTTCGTGAACCAACTCTTCAACACCGCCGAAGTTAATCTTCTTCAAGCCTCTGACAGCACCGACGTTGGATCTAGCAACGTTGGCGCCAGCAGCAGCAGACGCAACCAAGGTTGGTCTCTTGGCCATCGACGAGAGGGCTCTGGTGGAGGATCTGGAAGATCTGGCAAGTCTAGCAGCAGCGTTTCTGTACATGTTTCCTGTGTGAAAGGGGGGTATGTGTGTGAATACAGAAGAGAAGAGAGGAGAAGAGAGGAGAGAGAAAAACCAGGGGCAAAGAAGCAGAAAGAAGAAGCAGATAAGAGAGTCTGTGATGTCCAAGGGAAATGGGGGTTGTTATATACGTCGAGCCGAGGGGGGGAGTCAGAAAGTGGCCAACGTGAAAAATTGGACGCTGCTGGCCGCTGCCGCCGGCAGCGGCCTGTGTGAGTAATTCTCGAAGCGCAGCGCCGCGGCGGCGGCCGCCTCGCCGGTGCTGTCAAACCGGTACCGGGGCTGCTAGCCGCCGGCGGGCTACTCCGGTGGGTCTCCGGTGGGGCATCACCGGTGATGGGGCGAGCTCCGGTGGGTGGGTGACTGTTACCGGACGCAGAAGGTTGCTGTGTCCCACAGGGTGGTCTCTTGGGCGTGTTTGGAGCTGTGGACGCCTTGCGCTTGCTCGTGGGAAGCAGGGAAGCCACTCCCACACAGCTTAATAGGATTTAGGTCGATCGACCCAGTTTTTCTACAAAAACTGGGTCGATCGACCGCGGGCTCTTTTTGCCGTTTGTTCATCCGTGCACCGGGACACCCCCTCTGGCTTACCAATTCTCTTTTACGTGCTCTCGTTGGTAGCATGAGGGGAAAGCGGGAGAGCAGAGGTAAAAAAAACATGTACAAGGTTCTGATAGGTTAGGGACAGAGATAGCTGAGCATCGGCAAGGAAGAGGCAGAGAACAAAGTACAGAACAAGACCACACACGCCAACCATGTCTGTTTCCTTCTACAGAACTCTCAGAAACATCTGGCGTAACGGACTCGTGCGTTCCGGGCGTCAAATCGCATACATGAATGACACGAAGTCGGGCAAGCTCGTTGGCGAAGACGATTTCGGCAACAAGTACTACGAGACAGACGACCCAATGGAGATCCACATGAGAACCAGATGGGTCGAGTACAAGGACTTTTGGAGACCAGACGCCTCCCACTCGGAGCCGGGCTGGCACTACTGGTTGGCGTACGGTACGGACACTCCACCGAATGCGCTCAAGCCAGAGGAGAAGGCCGTCAGACATCTAGTGCCTGAAGCACACCACCCAATCAACTGGACGTACACCAAGGGCGCCTTTGTTCCGTACAACACGGCGAAACCTAAGTTCGAGTCCTGGGAGTCCAAGGTGGCGCCAAGAGCATGAGCATGAGCATGAGCATGTGCCGAACCGACCCGCCGCTCCGTCATCTATTCATACAACACAACACGACACAAACATTTTGATTCGTCAGCAACCCATTTATTTATTTAGTGTATTTACCACGTCTCCCTATATAAATATATAACCTCTAAATATATATTGTATCCATCTAAAGTCCCATTGTACTGTAAAGAAGTCTAAACGATTATACGAAACTATCCATCATGTTTGCTCATTATTTGGCTGCAAAGGTGGCAGCAACGATCAATGGGAAAACAAGAGTGACATCACTGTACACTTTGACGCTCTTGGCTTCGGCCTTGATCTTACCCCAGGAGACCGCTTCGTCCGGTCTTGCGCCGGCGTCGGAACAGTCGAACTCCTGACCCGTGTTGATGTAGACGGCATAGTCGGCACCGTTTCTCATCAAACAGGCGTTCGCAATGTGGTGCTTGATTAAACCACCACCCAAAATAAGCATACCGGCCTTGTACGCGTTCATCGACATCGAGTTGATCTTACGGATGTCCTCGACAATGTCCAATCTGATCTGCTTAGGACTGGCACGGAAGGTGTGGAAGAACAACATGTCACCAATGGAACCGTCCGTCAATGCTGGACAGAAAATTGGAATCTGGTTCTTGTGGCACCAGTACAAAACAGAGCTCTCGTCGTTGATCTCCTTACCCAACCTGTCGATGAATTTGCTTGGGGTCCAGAATGGTAATCCTGCATCTAAAGCAGAAGCCTGCTCCTTCTCGGCAAAGGCAGTCTGCTCCTCGAGCATGACATCTAACAATGGGACCATCCATTCCTCAAACTTACAATAGTTATCGTTAGGGACAACCATGTTACCAATTCTGTTCATACCCTTGTCACGCAACTGCTTACCAGGGGCAGAGAACGAGCCCATGTAGGTAGGTGCAAGACACTTAATGATGTCTTCCTCGATACCACCGGCAGTGGAAACAATCGCATCAACCATCTTGTGCTGCACCAAGAATCTTAAAGTGTCTCTTAGGCCGGAGGAAATCAAGTTTGAAGTGTAACCCATGAAAATGGTGGTCTTTTGGTATCCGTTCTCATCAAACTGGCCCTTGCGTTCGTGTTCTTCCAAGTCGTCAATGTGCTTACCTCTCCATGCACGCATGTCTTCGATGATCTCGCACGCCTTGGCCAAAGAGCTTGCCTGACACCCCATGTTCTTCATGCCTTCCACAATATCTTTGGCGGTAGCATTACGACTGCTTGGCTTGGAATAGTCGATTCCGTGGACAAATTCTGCACCCTCTGGAACTGGGTCAGAAGCCTTCAGAACAGCTTCGTTGGCAAGGTTTGGAATGAAATCAGATGACATCTTCAGTTGGCTTTTGATACAAATATTAAGCTTTGGCCACTCTTAATCAAATCTCAAGGAAAACCAAATCAAGGAAAAACCTGGGGAAAGATTGCAGGAACATGGGGTTTAAACGTTTCCGACCTATAGTGAAAAAAAATTACGGAAAATAAAAAATTTCGGGACAAAAAAAAGAGTGAGTATCACGAGAAAATGAAAAGTTTAGGATCTCCTGGACGAGAGAAATTCCGTGGGAAAATTCAAAATCCCTTGGACAGCCTGTCTGCTTCTGTTGCCGTATCTAACTTATATCAAGTTTTATCGATACATAGGCTACAGCGGAGTAAACCGAAGCATCATCTTCTCACTACGCGGAAGCGTGGTATAGATGTCGAGCATAGCCCCATCATAATCGTAGTCGAAGTTGTCAACCAGCTCAATTCTGTAACGAGCCATTAGACTTGACACAATGATTTTGATTTCAGTAGTGGCCAAGTTCATGCCAATGCACATCCTGGCTCCAGCACCAAAGTGCATTAGGTTACCTTTCATCTGCTTGAGCTGGGCAGGAGAGACGTCGAGCCATCTCTCGGGATCAAATCTGTCAGGGTCGGGGAACAATGTAGAGACACGGTGCAAGCTCCAGGGCTGCATTACCACCGTTGTACCAGCTGGTATTTTACAGGCTGGAACAGTCGAATTCCCGCGGAATATCATCCCTTTTGCCGGGACCACCCTTGGCTCTTCACCTGGGATGGCGGCATGCACTCTAAAGGTCTCCAGTATGACTGCATTCATGTATGGCAACAAGTCCTCGTTGTCTACCAAAGAGTACTTGAATGGCACATAATTTGACGGTGCGGTAGACTCATTGTTATTTATCTTACTGAGAATTTCAGATCGCAATTTTTCTTGCATTTCTGGGTATTTGGCAAGCTCGTAAAATAAGTAGGATAACGTCGTTCCTGTTGTGACATGCCCAGCTGCTATGTGATCGAAAAACTCTGACTTTGTTTTCATGATGTCAAAAACCTGACTCTTTTGCTTGGCCTCAGTAGAGCTTGGCACCGAATCGAAATAGACAGACAAAAGAGTTTTCTCTTGCTTTTCCTCGTCATTGCTTAGGCGACCCATAGAATATTCAAACTGGTTTTCAATCCAGTCGTAGCATCTTTTTGATGCTTCGACGACTTTTTTGGACACTACCAAATCATAGAACGATGGCATATGGGTCACCCAGAACCATGAGGAGGATTGGAGACCAAAGTCATTTACAATTATGCTCCCATTGCCAAATGGATCTGAGAGGAGGGACTTGTAGTTGTTTATTCCAAAGGAAAAAGAGGTGACCGCGTCCATTGCCATATCGCAGAAGAGAACAAAAACGTTAATTGATTTTCCATTATACCTGTCGAAAGCAGAAAGAGTATCCGACATTACCTTTTCGATCTTGGGCATGATATCGTGGGAGCATATATTACTCTTTGAATAAAACTTGTGGCTGACCTTCCTAGACTGCGTGTGCTCCTTTTTGGTCGTGACGGAAAAAGTGTTTGGTTGGCCATAATTGACAAACTGGGAGTAGAACGAAGTCTTGTCGTAATCGCCAATGTAAATTTCTTTCAAATAGGCCACGTCATTGATGTCAACCTCGTTTGGTCCAATCCGGACTACAGAGCCGTATTTCTCATGCAACTCCTGAACATATCTGTTTCTCTCCTCGTTCCACGTTTTGTAGAGGATGTAATAGCTTGTCAACGCACAAATTGTCGGGCCTGGGACCTTTGATAGCGGATGGAAGTAAAGTGGGTAAATGATTCCCCATAAGACCAACGTAGAAATGGTGACCGCCGCTACTCCGGTACACAACGATCCGGTACTGTATCTTTCCAGTATAAAGAATACTAAATCTTTTATCATGGCAACTCCACTTGTTGAAGATTTCTTTAGCTGAAAAAGCAGAGGAGAAGGTGGCCAAATGAAAAAAGGACCAAGTGTATGAGGAGAAAGAGTAGAGATGCTTTTAGGGGTCAAAACTCGGTCACCACTCGCTCTAGCCAACCGAAGACCTTGTCCCCCCAATCATATACACTCGAAGCCTCGGCGGTATCCTTAGCTCGAAGAATGAACAAGCAGATAAGGAAACCGCGAGAGGAAACTCCACGCGGAGCGGATCTCTTATCAGCGAGGGGAACGTTACTGCTGTTTTCATTTGAAACTACTACTATACACATCAAGATACACAACTTCTCTGCTTCGGCGGCAACAGCCTCCCTTGTCTAATATACATGCATTCTCGTTCTCTGGCCTGCGTAACTATCTCATCGCTCCACAACGCTTCCGTCTCAATCCCATTTCTTACCGTGTACTGTACTGTTGTCTTCGGGGATGTCGACATTAACAATGTTGTCATCCGCAATATTCTCTCCATCTATAGGTAATTCGTCCCATTCTGCAGCAAACTGCTGCAAAAAAAGCTCTAGATGTCTCATGTAATGAAGCGTGAAGTACTTTGGCTGGTGCATTGGAAAGGCTAACGGCGATCTCGACTCTATCCAATATAGGTTATCTTCAATCGCCTCTTCACTTTGAGTGATGTTGAATAAGATTTCCCAATCCTGGTATGAGTACTCGTGGTCCAAATTCGTGCAAACTTTATGTAACGCGCTTCGTAGCTCCAACAAGATAACCTGGATACGACTGAGTTTGTTTAGAACAAAATCGTTCTTTTTTTTGAAACCAGTCATGATCCGGAGATCTTTCTGGATCACACCGTGGTTTTGACCAGTAGCGTATATGTCATACGCTTTTTCGTATTCATTAACATCAAATTTCGAATCCAAGTCCTTGAAGTGCTGTCCAAGAGTTTGGCGAGACTCGTGCAGCTGATCAATGTTTGGATTAACATAAGCGCCTTCCCTGAAATAGTTGGCAAGTTGGATCGTGGCAGTGTTGGAACGTACAAACGACCGTGAAGTGATGAACCCAAAGTTATCCACCCCAGTTGAATCGAGGATCACATTGTATAGCATGTCTGCTGGATGGCATATTACAGGCACATCTGCAAATACGTCGTGTTTGCCTCTATCGAATTCTGAAATCCTAATACCAGGGGTATTATCCATTTCCACATCCCTGTCATTGCCATGGGTATTGTCCTTATCATTATTATCATTATTATTGTTGATATTATTATTGTTGTTGTTAATATAATCTTCAACGTTATCATTATTATTATCATCACCATGATTTTTTGTGTCATCAACCTTAAGCATGGAACTGTTTTTCATCTCAAAGACAGAAGCTTTATCCAAAGCATACAATTGCCGTGATTTGAGAAAATATCCTAAGGATTTTAGGAAACTTTTACTTAGACAGTACTCGATAACCGCATCAGAAAACGGTACTTCTTCCCAGACTGTTAACCTCGAGAATACAAAATCACTCGAGGTGGAAACTAAAATGGTCATAACCGGAATAGCTGCTAAAGCCCAAGCGCAAAAGATGGCCTTGCCCCCAGGAGTGGTTGGAGCTTCTGTACCCTGACCTAAAGTCATAAGATTGAAGAAGCAAAAATAAACCGTTGTCTTGTAGGGCCATGATTCAAGTATTGATAAGGCCATTGCGCCAACCATCAAGGTAAACATGAAAATAATGATTGATGTCGTTAATTCTGCCACTCCTTGGATTGTATACGCCCATTTGGCGATGTTTTTGATCAATACAAATGACTCCTGGTTGGTTGAACTGATTCGTGTTTCATTTTGATGTGTTTCCAAAGATTTCCGACGTAAGCGTTCTAGCCTATGCCAGTACAAAGTAGAGCTTGAAAAATCAATCATCATTTTACGAATACTGGTGACAATCAAACCAAACATCACCAAGCCAAAAACAATCCATATAGCAGACACTGTTTGTGCAGCAACATCTGTAGTTGAAACAACATCTTGTTCACCTATAGTGACCACAGAAACAATACAGTAGTAAAGAGAATCACCTAAACCCAAGTTTATGAGCCTTGTGAGAATACTGGCACCAATGATCAACCACACCGCCATTGCTGTTGTTTGAATAATCAATGTCTCTTGCACCTGGTCAATATTGAAAACAGGCTTATATTTTTTCAAGAGAAACCCCAACTCATTTAAAAGTAGCATCAGAAAGTTGGTGAAATGGAGAGTAACTGTTATGATGGCAAACCAAAAGCCTTCGCCTATTATATAGTCTTCGTCATAATGGTATCGGTAAAACCATACGTGATAGACAACAATTAAGACTGTCAAAATAACACATGCTATAGCCCATCCGGAGATGGAGATAACCTGGCAGTATGTGTATCTGATCTTTTTCCTGTAGTTCAAAAGCAAAAAAATGTTAGAGATTAAGGCAAAGACAATGGAAATAGAGTTAACCAAGTAACACCAAAAGGGATCATGTTCAAAAGACGGATTATGCTTATTTATTTTCCATGGACAGATGATGGCAAGTAATGAGAAAAGATTGGATAGTGGACCCGAACAACTGCAGATCAAGGGAATATATGAGGATGCCATAAACCAGAAGATAAAATGGTCGTCACCGGGTCTGACGTTCAAATTTGATATCTGCCACGTAGCACTGTTCAAGAACGAGTTATAGAACTCTTTCAACCCAGTCTCTTCGAGCTCAGATATCGTTGGCAGTGTGTACTCCACGTGTGCTGGGCACATCTCTATAGAGCCGGACCTTGTAGCTGTATTCGAGCCTCTGGTTTGGTCGGTAATAAGGGAGGTGTTCAGAGACAAGTTGGCCGGTATAAAAGCTTGTGGTAGACTGGAGGAACTCTCCGAGTTTGTCCTTGATGTTTTCACACTCTTTTTAACTCCGGGGCCGTAAACACTATGCGGGATAACGACCGGCTCCAAATCGTTAAGAATTGCCTCTCTATTTCTCGTCTCCTCGTCCATTAAAGCCAAAGCCATAGTGTCGGATATCTTGAACCTGGTGTCTCTGAGATGCTTGAGGAGCAGAAACTTTTTTCTGAAACGATTTGTGTTGAAGTCCCAGTTCTCACGGAACTTCCTCCGGCCCTTCACGGCCTTGCCCATGATAATCCGGCGTCGGCAGCAGCTATTTTCTTAGTGGTATTGTTTCCGTCCGAAGGCCTAGCTCAACTCCAAAGGCCGTAAGCAAGAGAATGTGTCGTATCGATTGATAATTTTTAAAAGTGATCGGTGAAACTCGAACTTTAAGGAAAAAAACCGTTTCTAGGGCGGAAGGGAAAAAAAAGACGCCTACTCATTTTTTGCGTACAAGACGGAGAAATCGTGACAGGTGTGGAAGTGTAGCAGTTACTTTAACAGAATCGAGCTAGTCGAATAAGATTAGAGTCCACAGAAACAGGAAGCAATGTTTCAAAGCTTGATCAAGCTGGCAGTCCCTATCCGGGGGAGGGCGAACTGTTTGAGAAACAACAGAGGCGTTCTAGCCAGATCCTATGCACAGAGTTCATCCAACTCGATTGCAGCTCAGCAGAGAAAGAAGATCTTGACGTACCAGAAGACCAGCATTGGCGAGGTTGAAGCTGATGCAGTGTCAGGCAGCAGAGTCCATTCTGGTGTCCTCGGAGGTGGGGGTGAGAACGAGACCATCATCCACCCTGCATTTGTCACGTCGTCGAACCTGACGAGTTTCCTCGGGAAGCCTGTCCGACCTGTGGTGAGTGTCACACGGTGTGAGACGTACGACTTGGCGAAGGTGCGGTCAAAGCTGTCGCTGAAGGGGGTTGCGCCGATCCAAATCGTGCCCAACGAATGCATATTGTTCAAGTACAAGCAGCAGGACGTGTTTGTCTTCAAGTTCGGGACTATAGTGGCGTGGAACATCGAAGAGGAGGAGATTCTCCGTGAGGTGGTTCCGCTTTTCAAGGACGCCGAGATACACACGTACTCGTACCAGTCCGAGGACCTCGACTACGTGGAGCTGACGGCGAAGACGGGCGCCGGCGCCAACGCTGCAGACTCCCATGTGTCTCCGGAGACGGAGATCATCTGCTTGAACTCGGAGTCTCCGCAGCAGAAGCTGCTTGACATGCTGGCGTTCTCTTATGGAATCTCCCGCTCGACCAGACTCGCCATTCTCGAGGAGGCCGTCGAGAGACACATCCAGCTGTCGAGGCTGACTATCGACAAGCTTTCGGAGGGCCAGCGCATTGCAGTCGACCCCAAGGACACGCTCAAGCTCTCCGGCCGCTTGCTGCTTCTCCGCGGGAAGCTCAACCTCTACTCCGAGCTTGTCGAGACGCCCGACATCTACTGGAGCGAGGCCCGTCTCGAGAAGATCCACGAGAACATCTCGCAGGCGCTGGACATCTCCAAGCGGATCGTCATCCTCAACCGCAAGTTGGACTACCTCTCCGACGAGGCCGAGGCGCTCATTTCCATCATGTCCAAGCGGACTGAGGTCAAGCTCGAGCTCATCATCATCTACTTGATTGTCATCGAGGTCTGTTTCGAGGTGTACCACTTCTACGACCGTCTCGGCGGCAAGTACAACATTGAGTACTTCCGTGCATTACTCCAGCGCCCTGCCTAGCTCTTCTGTCTTTCCTGTATATATCCATCTCTGATTTCTCAGACTTTTTGTCGCCTTTGCCGCCTTGGACGTCAAAGACCCTCCTTATCCATATCTTATCATATCCATATTCTCTCTTGTAGAACACCTGAATGATGGTTACGTAAGCAGAATCACGTGCTTTAGAATTGGCTCAAAACAGAATTTTTCCCCCCGAAAATCTCCTTTTTTCGCTGCCGCGTTTGCTGTCGCAGCTTCCCGTGCCGGGAGTGGGCCTCGTCTCCCAGCTGGCCTGTCTGCTAATCGCTATTCTTGCAAGAAGGGGGCTGTCAGGGCGACGGTGAAAGGTGCCGGAGCAGGCTAGAGGAGAGTCCAGCAGCGTAGCCGATTGCCAATTGACCCGAACAGGTATTTGTGTGCATTACAGAGAACCTTACTGGTGGAACAATCTAGGCTGTCGTTTGCTGTTGTGTTGCTGATACTGAAGAACTAAGACGGAGAAAAGGACCAGCACCAGATAATGCAGAGACGCAGAGAATCGTACGTCGAGACGTCCTACACAGGAGTGGGCGCTTTCAGTTCGGCGCCAGCACCCAGCACCAACGCCCTGGTGGCCGCTTCTGTGATTGGAAATGCGCTGAAGGCCAACAACCACAACCCTGTCGGGCTCAGCATCCCAAAGGTGCAAGCGCCTAAGGCCAACAGATACGTTCGGGCAGCCAGCATCACGAACGACTCGAAAAGCAGCATCAGCAGGAGCTCTTCAAGGCTGCCGGACAATTACGTGTCGGTGAGCAGAGCCAACTCGATCAACACGGCGAACGCCCGTCGTATGTCGATGAGCTCCTCCATGGCTAAAAACAGACTTTCCAACCAGAAAAGCGCCCCAAACCTGACCCCACGCAGGTCCGTCTCGGACTTTAGCCGCCCAGCCTCGAGCCACAGCATCAGTGGTCACAGGCAGGCGCCAAAGCCCTCGGTTCCGGTCTACTACAAACCGGAGCCTAAGACTATCAAGAAGTACGTTGCCTCGGTGAACGGACTAGTTTCCGTCGAGGTGCCCAACCCAAAGTACAGGGAGCGTGAACAGTCGTTTAGAAGGTCCGTCTCGGCAGCCAACGTGTCCGGCGGCCCCATGCGGAACAATGGGAACTACTTCCAGCCCTCGTCGAGCTCGTCGAGGGTCAACAGCATGAACTTCCTGCAGAACCAGCGGGTTCGTGCGGCCCGTGTTGCTACCAATGCCAATTCCGCTACCAATTCTAGCTCTTTGGTTTCAAGACCAGCCAACTCCACGAGGTCAATCAAAAATGTCTCGACTAGGGTCCTTCCAAACGGAACTAAGGTCACAAGCACCACCGTCAAAGAGTACATCGATGACGGGAGCGACGGAGTATACGAAGAAGAGGGGTTCGATGACGCGTACGATGACTTTGACGATGTCCATAGGCCAGTCGACATGAGCCTGACTCTTGATGAAGAAGCTGATGATGATGATGAGGCCGCACAACGGGTAGACTCCGAACAGCCTATCTTGCGCGAGATTGATGAGCTCAGAGAAACTAATGAGGATGACCAAAGTATCGAGGCGGATGTCGAGGAAAAACAAGAGCAAGCGCCAATTCAGAAACAAGCCGAGTTTGAAGCAAACCCAGGGGCGGGAACCAATGTCGAGCCAGAAAGGCCTGTTGTCGGGCTTGGCCATGATATTCACGAGGTGCCTCATCGGCCGTCTACCGAAGATGATGTTGATAGGGTGATAGATGAGCTTGCTACTGAGGAAAGCTACGAAGATAAAGTGAAGGACGTGATTGCCAAAAACGAAGAAGTTGAACGTTTCGAACGTGAAAAAGCCTTTGAATCGCCTAATGCAAAGGTGCAAGATCCAGTCATAATAGAGGATATCATGAGCCGAAAGCTCATCCCTGGCATTGCTCCTATCGGCTTCTCCAATGGTTCCAAACGTTCCGGTGTTCTGTCTCCTGGTCTAATACAGGATCCAAAGAAAGCAGCAGAGTCGCTCGAGTCTACGGAACACGCTGATGAGCTTTTAGGTCTAGATCTAGAGCCGGCTATCGAGCAAGATGATGAAATTGTCGATGGTATTAAAGCGCACCCCATAAGTGAAGCACCTGCCTCATCCGTATCAGCTAATGGCGTACAACTAGTCCATGCTGGAAACTTTAATGAGCTCGCTGAAGATGACGCAGATGAGGGTGACTTCATCCACGATATAACGGGTGAGGCTGATATAGTTGAGGACTTCAGCACTCGGGATCTGACTGTCCACAATGAAGAGGAATTCACTGAGGAAGAACTTTTGGCTGCACAGATGAAGCTCGATGAGTTGGTGAAGCAGAAAGAAAAAGAAATTTTAGACGAATTGATGAAAAATGGTGATGTAAAGGAGGTTGCCATTGATCAGCCCAACCTCGAATCAGAAACTAACGAGGGTAGTGATAATGAAACCAACATCAGTCAAAGCTCAGAAACTTCCGAGTCTGTTCAACAAGGCACCAAAAAAGAAATCGGCATTTCTTTGCCACCTGCGCCGCAAAGCCCCGAACCAATAGCCAAAACAACAACTGTACAGACTGACGAATCAGCGGCGGCCTCGGATGCTATTCTGGTCTTCCATACTTCCACAAATTCTCTATCAAAGGAACCGTCCTATGAAGTTCCGCCTGCGCTGACTTCGATTGGAGGTGAGGAAAAGTTTTATACTCCGCCAGTAACACCAGCCGTACCTTTGGCTGATGGTGATTTATTTGAAAATGTCGGATCTCCAGCTGAAACCTTGCAGCCATCACTTCGCTCGTACAAAAGATCAGAATCCCCTGAGTCTTCGATGATAAAAAATGATGATAGCTTTGTCACAACGCCTGTCCAGAGCACACGTTCTAACAAGTCAATGGCACAACATTTAAGACCCTCGATAATAAGTTCAAACTTTAACTCTCCACAAAATATTACCAGTTCGGTCGCAGATAGAGATAGCAATGCTTCTATTCCGAACTCTTCTGATATTCCGAAACCATCAGATTTTCAAGAAGATTCATTTGCAAACAACACATCAGAACTGGCACAGTTGAGAGTGCCAGACAGAGAGGCATCTATTCAGGCTAAAATTGATCAAGCAGAAAAACGTAAAACTCTTGATTTAGATTCTGAGGACCTTTCAGAGGTCAAAGATGCTGCCTCCGCTCAGGAAAAGCCATTTGAACCTATGTTCAACAATAATGGTAGAAGAAAATCTGTGCTCAAAAACTCGTCGATAGGCAACAATCGCTCTTCGCTGTACGTATCAAATGGACAGCCTAACGAGGCGTCTGGTGCTTACTTATCTCTGACAACCGCACAGAATACAAAAATGAACGCTATGGGATCTGCGAGTGCTGCATACAATGGCGGACCAAGTTCAAGAAGACAAAGTGTAAATACCTTGCAGGACCCTAGTTTGGTTAGTCGCTCGAGATCCGGTTCAGGGTCAGGTAATGGAAATTCAAATGGTGTCAATAATGATATCACGCCTCTGGCTGCGGCTGCTAGGGCAGCACAAAGACATTCTATTCAACCAGGAGCAAAGGCATATGTTACAGATAACACCTATGAGCAACCAGATAAAAGGTCTAGAAGACATGTGGGTTCCAATTTTCCTGGAAGTGAAACTCCAAACTCTAATTTGGGTAATATAGGTGGAGTCAAAGCACCCAATCCTAAGGTTGAAGAAGCGAAAAGAAGAATCTTACAGAACAGACGAGGACAGACTCGTGCAAAGGAACTTTATGAGCTCGCCAAATCAAGACCTCCTGTTAAATATGAATACTTGGCGTCTTTAGACGATTCCTCCTCACCAAGACGTTCGTCATTCGAGAAAACCGTTGAATCGGAAGAGCCAAATGGTGCTAGTACCAGAAAGGGTAAAATGGCTTCAATGTCTTTACGAGACATTGCTTCAATGAACTACGAGCAATATGAACGTAAAAAGCCTATGAACCGTGGGTACAAATCAAGATTCCAAGATGACAATTCTGATACTGATTTACCTCTTCCACCCTTGCAGCCACCAGCAAATTCTTCACCATATAATATAGCAACTTCCCCGGCAAATTCAAATTCCCGGGTGTCCAATGTCGACACTACTTCTTTTTCTTCTCCAAACGTCAGTTCTCCAGTACCCGAAAACAGCAAATATGGCTTCAGGCAGAGATTTTCAGGTTTAACCAAGAAAAAGTCCAAGGTCAGTATGGCTAATAGTGGTAATGATCAAATTTTGGCGCCAATCGCTGATGTAAATCCACAGAATTATGGTTCCCAAACAACACAAGAATCCCAGACCCCTAAAAAGTCTTTTGCTTTTTCTACACCTCATCTGCATGCTGAACCTTCACAAGGACAATCTGGTTCAACACCTCATGCAGAATCAAGGTTTGAGAAATTTTTCAGTGAACCACATGGTCCTGGAAAACGAAACGTTAGTACCGCTTCAAATGCAACCACTAATACTGTAGTGGTGAATGAAGAAGGTAAGAAGAAAAGAGGTTTTCGGTTTAAAAAGCTCTTTGGTGATCACTAACCCAGATACAAACGGTTCTGTACTTATAAATAAAAATGTTTCTGTTATTTACAATCCTTGTCTTTTTCATTTATGTTTCTTCAATTGCTTGTTTTTTTATCTTTGAACTAACGATCAAAAATGATTTCCTTTCTCTAGTTATTTATATATGCAACTATATCCTAAAACTTCTGTGTAAAAATAAACGTGGACGCCATAATCGTTCTTATCATAAAGTCATATCTTTAATTCCGTTGGCCACCTTTTCAATGGCAACGTTGTCACCTGCAGCGGGGATAAAACTGCCAAACTCATCATCGTCTGTGTCCTCATTCTGCTTAGAGTTGGTCGAAGTCTCTTCTTTGTTTTTGGCCTGCTCTATAATTCCATCGTCATCATTATTTTCCAGTAATCGTTTCTCTTCAGGGACCTCCATTAAATCTTCGATGTTGGCATCATCGAAGTTATCTGCTAGTGCACCTGATTCTAGTGTCCACCCAGTCATGACACTGTCTGCCCCTTTACTATCCATGCTGGTCCTATTATTTCCGTTGGCCTTTGCAAAGTTAGATACATCAGAATTCAATTCAAATGAACTTGATCCACTCTCAATGCTGTTGACTGTATCGCCACGAGATCTGGCCTCATCCATCTTCTTTCTGACCTGTGTTGCAACCCTGGCACCATCTGCCATTACGTTGTTAACCATCCCACGAATGTTTCCTACCATCCCACCAAAAACACCGTTTTCCATACTTCCAGGCTTATCAAGCTCAAATGATCTCCAGAATTGATTCTCAAAAAAAGAGGAATAAGTTTCGTTTGCCAATATCACCATCCGGAACATGGAAGCTGTAATATAAACTGGATGTGTCGGATCAAGAGCTTTGTTATGAGTGATACTGTCAAGCTTCTTATTGGACAGACTAGCATCGTTGTCATCGTCTTCCAGATTGATCAAGGGAGCATCTGGATCTTCATATGGTTGGGCGTACTTGAAGGCAAGTTGCAAAAAGTTGGAGCTTGCAGATAAGTATCGAACACTTTGTTTAGTTCTCCATTTCTCTTCATCAAATTTGACTTCATCTGGAATAGCAATCTCAGCATCGTCATTCAGCTGCACTCCTTGTTGTTTCAGTAATTGTCTTCTTTGGACTAATCTTTCTGCAATCTGATCCTCTAACTCTCGGTTCGCTATGGAATCAAAAATCAGCCCCTCACGCCATGGTGTGGTAATAAATATTAAATCTTCTGCCAATTCTAAAACAGTCTCTTTAGAAATCTTTCCATTCTTATCTGTATCGTACAGAGCGAAGAAATTAGACAATGCATTCATCAGGTCTTTATCAACCAGTTTATTCAATCCTAACACTAGACTTTCCAAGTGCATTTCCCCTGACTCATCTGACCAATTATCATACAATCGCTGAAGGAAACTGTCCTGATCCCTTGTGTTACGTTCAAGATTGACCCAAACTGTTATTTCAGACATGAATATCTTAAATGCTTCAAAATCCATTGAAACATTACCACGATTAGGAGCAGAATTATCTTGCAGGAGTTTACTGTAATACCTGTCATAGATATTTGACAAGTTGTCGTTCGTAAGATGTAGAGTTTTAGGTAAGTTCCTAATTTCTGCTCTTTTAACGAACAAGTCAATTCCTTGGAAAACTTCATTTTTGAAAGCATTTCTGTTTTTCTGAAGTACTTTATCATCTACTACATGAAACTCATTGAAGGCCACTTCCCACAAAATATCGAATTTCCTTTTGAGTTTTTCGTGGCTTGGCTGTACCTCATCCAAACCAATGAAGTATTCCTTGAACACAGCAATGCATTCCCCATCATCTGAACAACTGAGCAATTTTTCAGAATTGACCTTAATTATAGCCAATGCAACCTGAAATAACGTTTTTGGACCATTATAAAAGAATGCATCTATGACTCTAAATGCGAAAACTAAAGGCATAGTATTGAGGAAAAACGACAGGAACCATGGTAATGATACTATGGAAAGCTGGATATCGTGCTTGACAAAATGATCACCGATAGCAGGTATTGTCTTTTTCACTAAAGCTTCAAATACCTTTTGATCGAGTAAGACACCGTACATAGTCTTTGAATAATATCCCGGAATTAATTTGTCGCACAAAACAATGAGAGTCCAATAGGCTTGCTCTTCGGTCATAAAGATAAGTAAGGCAGCAACCACTATGTTCATTGCCTGACAATATCCTATTTCAGGATTTTTCCATGAGTATGCTGTCAAAACTCTTCTCAACTTGTTTATACCTTCCTTGGTTTGAAATGCTGGATACTCTGGCAAAGACCTATTTAGATCTTTTTCAATTTCTTCTATTGCAAAAGATTTCTTTCCTGAGTTGTCAGCCAAAATTTTCTCATATTCACCTACATTTTCGAATCTTAAATACATGGCACCGTATGACAACTCCCAAATTTCACCTCTTAGCCTATTTGGAATGCCGACTAAGATCAAACTACTGAAAATTTGGTTCTCTACCAGCTCTAAGTTTCTCCCATATCTGCGTGAGTATTCAAACCAACGTTTAAGCTTGACAACTTCTTGTTCCTTACTTTGATCGCCAGGAAATTTGAACTGTAATCCTAGACCTCCTTTGGGATGAGAAGTAATGTCAATATGTTTCTCCCCTAGTTTAGAGTTTTTGCAGTTTTTGGAGATCAAGTACTCAGAGTATAGGCTTTTTTGAAATTCAATCAATTTAGGAACTTGATGCTTTGCAGCTTGGTGGTGTTTCGATAGTGTGTGCCAAAAATATTCGGCTTTTGTTCTTATAGTATCAGACAAAACATCCAAAATCATTCCATTGTGTGTGGAAAGCCTCACCTGAACAAGTTCGACGTTTGGGATTTTCTGTACCTTATCGATTGTTGCCAGGTGAAAAATGGTTTTGTCATATGCACTGTCGTTCTTTTTCAATAGAAGATAGTTTTCGGTAAGTATCAGTTCACCTACAGCTCTCACATTGGCACTGTTTGGCATCGGTAGATAATTGCCAGCATGTTTCGTTCCTCCGCTGAAACTGTATAGAACACGGCTAGTAATAATGTACTCTGCGCTTATCTTGTCATTTATATGTTCTGTAGCAGGCAAATGATAAGTTTCTTGCATCAACTGGTCTGGGGTCAAATGATTGGGATTATTGATGGATTCGATGGCGTTTTGGGCTAGCGTCGCCACATTTTTAAAGAAATCCATAGTTGATGGTCCGTAGAACAAAAAATCAGCTGTATATGATATCTGTTGGCCACCTTTGATAACAACCGCTGGTATTGATGACAGCAAGATGCAAGGTTAATATACTGTTACAAACATTATGAGCAAAGCCCTCGGGACGCACTGCCTGATTGCCTCAGCGGACAGTCCGATGCGAAAGAATTTCGGAAATTTCAGTCTGCAGGAACCGGCACATGTAATGGTTCAGTGATAAATGTTATAGTGAATGTAATAAATAGAATGAACTGGTAAACGTTATACATAGTATACATGACAGTAGCTGGCTTGAATGCACCATACCACGCCTGCCCCTCCTCAGGGGCCTGTGCCATTTTCCTCTTCCTCTTCCTCCTGAACGTCATCTAGCGACTGATATAATGCTGCATCGTCGAGGTTGTTGTTCACCTGTTTGTCTTGCTCGACCAATTCGTTTAAAGTAACAAGCCTCTTTGGTGGCAAAGCAGTAAATCCGTTACCTATTTTGGGCTCAAGAAGATCAGTGTCATGAAATTTTGAACCTTCCGCATGGTGTTTGTGGCCATGTACTTTTCCATGCTTCGGGTCAACGATATCTCTGTGGATATGCTCCTCTTCATTACTCTTGGAAGATTTTGCTCTCATTTTCAAAACGGGATTGATTAATGGATTGGAGGATGCACCCTTCGAAGATTTTGAAGTTTTCAACGTACTTTTAATTATATTATGAGTATTTCGCAAAACGTAGTGGACAATCTTGTTTCTCAATATAGCAAAAAGCTCTTCGTTAGACATAATCTTGTTTCTAACTTCAATCATAGGAACTTCAATAAAAAAGTCGGACAAGTTAATGATGCGCAATTTCCCTGCCCCTCGGAAAGTAATTGAGAGTCTCATTTGGTCGATCTTTACCTGCTTTGCCATATAATAGGTAGCTGCCCTTTTGTCCATTAACTTGAGATTTTCAGATTTACTTTTTCCCTGCTTGCTAATATTGACGTTGTTTGTAAAAGAGACAGTACCTTCCTCTGTACTCGGATTTGATACTGAAGGTAAGAAAGAAGAGTTTTCACTTTTTGAGCTATGCTTCGGTAGTAATTTGTGGAAAGCTCTGGAGATCTTGGAACCCTGTTTTTCAACCGTCGACACAGAGGAGGAACTGTCAACCCGCTGCAGGCTAGTGGCATCAGAATTGATTGACTCTATTTCATCAAGCAAATCATCAGAATCACTATCATTTAATACTTGACTATTTTGAAGCACTTTACTTTTAGGAAATAAAAACTCCTGTAAGGCTTCTGCAAATCTCATATCAAATTCAACTTTGAGAGGCGCAAACGAAAAGCTCTTTTGCTCAACAATTTTGATTCCTCCAACAGGCGCCAGCAAAGTCCAATCCATTCTGAACAAAGGGTCACGAGAATCATCCAAACGGGTGAGAACCATTTCGTATTCAGCTTTTGGATGTTTGTCAAATACTGCAAAATCATACACATACGCTGTGTTTGTAGATTCTCCATTTGAAGAGTCTGTGAACATGTAATAAGAATCAATAGCACTTACTTCTACAAAAGGAGTCTTATTTTCATCCACAAGCTGAAGTTTGATAATAGGAGCCATCACATTCCACTGAGTAAACTCGTGCAGATCATTGTATTTTTTGGTTTTCGAAGTTTGCATGATATCAACAATAGCATTCAAGTTCAAAAATACTTTTTCTAATTCAATATTGATGGACTCTACATCATCCACGACATCAATATCTTCGGAATAGTTGAAATTCATTATTAATCTTCGACACTGGAGGAGTTGTCTTGCCTCAGCTTGTAAATCTCTTAGATCTACACTGAGTTCTGTGAAATCGGAAAAATCTGAATATTTTATGAAATTTTTCACAGATTCTTTTATTTTATGAATCTCAGTCTGATCATTCTCAAACATTGAGGTAAATACATTTTTCAATACTTCCAACTGAACACTGTCTGTTGTCACATTGACCTCTGGAGCAATAATTCTGACAGTTTCTTTACGTCTCACGTTCTTGTTATTGCCGTTCGTTGTATAGCGTAACTCGTTTGGTTTTACAAACAATAAAGCACATGAGATATCTTGAACAACAACACATTCATCTAATGAAACAGGAGTATAGTACATCTCAATCGGAAGCTTAGGAGGCCAACTGAAAGTTTTTGGATTAAAAAAAGAGTGTTTGTTATTGAAAATGTTTTCTCTATCCAGAACGTAAAGAAACGCATCAGTTAATATCAGTCCATTTCTGTTTTCACATGGCATGCTTATCTCTCCAAAATTTGAGTCAGCTTGATAGCCCTTCACTGTTACACTCCGTAAAACGATTTGATTACTAGTCAATAAAACACATTTGTTGCTATCAGTACTAATGGCAATTTGAGGTAAGATAAGTTTTAGCAGGAACGAGTCTTCAGTTTCAGCTTCCTGGTAACCAGTGGTGTCATGTAAAGCTTGATCAAAATCGTCCAACAGACACTTTGACTTCTCAAATTCAGCTTGAGGATCATTCCGAAGAAATGAAAGATCCGGATCTTCTTCCACAAATTGCTCTGCTGACTTTTGCACGGCTTTAGCCAGAGATAAAGCTTGCTGACTCATTGAGAAAACCAAAAACCTTCTGTCTTTGACTTTCTCCAAGTACCGTAAAAACCCAGACTTAGACTGCTTTGTCCATTTGATGTTGATGGTATATATGCTAAATCTGTTAATATAATTGGATGTCTGCATTTGTGCGGTAGAGATTCTTGACTTAGATCTTGAAATGTGTGAGGAAACTCTAGAAGCAATCTTTGAAAGCTCATATTTTACCTCATCATCAGACTCTTCCTGATCATCCAGAAATTCATCATATTCGGGGAAAACACCTTCACTAAATTTGTCCTTTAAACATCTTAGTACATGCAGCCTGTGGTGTAGCTCCTGTAAATCTGCATCCAGACCTGCCAAAGTTTTTTCAACAAACTTATTAATTGGTTTAGATTTTAAATCTTCTATTTCAGATTTATGGAAGGTTATCTGATCTTCTAACTCTTCTATTCTTGCGTCAGCAAGATGGGAGGCAGCATGTGAGAAATCTCTGTTGCCCAACTGACAATTGTGAGTTTGTGTCTCTATCACGTCAAATGGGAAGTCGACTTGAGAGCTACCAGCATCTCTCACATAATAGAACCTTGGCGTTGACGCAAATTCATAAACCTTCCACTTTGGTTCTTCTTCTGGGACAGGTTGAGTTTCAAGCTCGATGAAATCGTTATGATCATACCAAACTCGATCCATATATTCCCCACTTGTCGCTGAAGAAGAATCGTCAGTGAAAGTAGTGCTGGATTTCTCAAGGCCCAACTGTTTAACTAGCATACCAGTCGCCGAGGTTTGATTGAAAACAGCTGTTAGTACTCTTAGATCAGCGTCAACAAAATCCACAACGCCCTTATCCATTTGCAAGTGATACTCTTTTAGGGCAGTCTTAGTTTTATCATCAACGGTGACAACTTCCCTTCTGCATTGGTGAAGATCCATTGTGAAAGATTTGACAAAACATTTCATGCCAGTAAAAGCAACTTTACTGCTATCATGCCCCACAGAAGAATGCTGATAAACATGTGTTAAGTAAAGTGGCGAAAGATCAACGGTATACGTTAGCCCAAAAATGCTAGCACCAAATTTTGGAGACTTACTATCAACCAAAAATTTATTCCTGAACAATTTTCCAGTTTTTATCGGTAGTCCTAAACTAGACTTGAATGAGTCCCACCAAAAGAAAAAGTAAAACATTGCCATGGGTGTTAGATACAATGAATTGAAAGCCGAGCCTGCTGTGGACTTTGGTAGCTCATGACATTTGTTATCATCACGAGAATACAAGGACACCGCCAGATATATATAGTCACTTCTCCAACCTTCATAAGAATCCCAGGTTTCTCTCTCTTCGTCTGTTCCAAAAGTATCTGGATTTCTTAACTGAACATCATAATGAGGTCTAAAAAACTTCGTACGTTCAACTGATCCAGGCTTCACGTGTTTTTCATTGTTTAAATTTCTTTCAAACAAAAAGCCAAGCTTCCATACTATTGGCGTACTTGTAAGTCTTAAAAGGACTTTGGAAATTTTGAAATCAAGAGGAGTACCCATTCCGTTGGTCATCAAACTAGAAATGTACTCTGGATCAAATACTGGAACTCCTATTTCAAAAACTTGGCTCTCGACAATCAGGAAATCTTCAGGCTTGTCCTTTTTGTTAATTGAAATTTTGACATCTTTGTCCCACTTGAATGCAAATCCAGCGTTACGACCAATTAAATGATAAGGCGATTGGCTTGCTTTAATAAACAACGCAATACCATTCTTCAAAGTAAAAGTGAATTTCGATGGTACAAGAAGCGGCATTTTATCCCAAAATCCCAATTTTGGAGAAATATCAAGTGGAGGTTTAGATAACAAATCAAAACTGTTGAATGCGTAGCTCATACCCGGTTGTAAAGAAGGTGCCCATGACACAGCAGCGGCCTTACTTGAGTCAACAAAAACATCCATATCTGTGACAAATTTAACGTTAGTCATGGTACGTGCAACATGAAAAGCATATAAACTATCTCTCATTTGTTTATCATCATACTGAGGAACGCACGGGACAAAATTGTAACGGATTTCTTCTAAGGAGTATTTCTGTTCGCAAATAACCATATCACCAGCAAACTGAACTGCGTCAGAGCCATCACCTTTGCCTCCACCAAATCCTACCAATGGTAAAGGATAGTCCTTTATTTGTACTTTTACCTCGCTGCACCACAATTTGAGATTCATTGGAACCAAAATACCGTACTTCATATCTCTTGGCATGCCACCAGCAACTCTGTGCAGGAAATCAGGATAGTTCTCCAAACCAAATTCGGGCTCATCTAAATCAACAATAGCATCAAGCACTTTGAAACCAAACAAAGCACGACTGCTACCCTCCACAACAACAGGGAACTTTTTGAGAAATTCTTTACGAACTTTTGGATCAGCTTTCACCCCTCCGTCAATACTACCCATACACTTCTTCATTCTTTGCGTAGCCTTAACTCTACTGATCCAAGACTTACTGATGTTAGCATTCAGTCTATTCCTTGGTATTTCTATTGAGGTATGATATTCTCGCTGATAACCGAGCCAAGCTTCACATTCCTCTGTAAGGATCTCATTTGCCAACTTAGAACGTGCAACAGTAACTGTACCTTCATTTTTACTTTGAAGTTGTACCAAACCAGTGGACAACGATTTCTTCATCTGTACTGATCCTGTCGATGAAAAAGCACCGCCTCGGACTCCTTTACTCAAAGCTGCCGGCATAAGAGCAACACCGTTCTCAAAGCGTAAAACATTCCTGTACTTCTCTTCCAAATTTAACAACATCTTGGTTTCATACTTTTCAAAAGCTCTTTGTTTCGATAATCTCACTTGCTGTTCCATTTTCGCCAACATTACAAATGCTGTTATTTCCTCTTCAAAAGGATCATCATGGTTACAATATAAAATTCTCTTACTCTTAACACGAACTTTTGGAAACCTTGGAGGTGAGTCTACAAGGCTTGGCATAATTACCCCTACCTTGAAATCTTTATTGGTATTTTCAATAAACATCAAATCATGGAAATTTACCCGCAATTTTTTGATAGATTTGAAAAAAGCTTTCAAATTGTCAAAGGTCTTATAGAAAACATACTCATATGGAATCTCAACTCTTATATCTTCACAGTGTACCGTTATTTGCTCTTCATTCTTCACTATGAATTCTTTGGGGATGATGATGAAATTGCCATTTGTAACAATAGCCAAAAGGGTCCAGAAACCTTCGGCGTGCGCATTTTGACCATATATTCTGAAAACTTTAACTCTAATACTTTGAGACTTGGTAGCCGATGGTAGCTTGGTATACTGCAATGAGTCTATTTCAAATGCAAGATCAACGTCAGATGGAAGTTTCAATTTTAGCATTATCAAAGGAAATGCCACAAGTATATTCAAAGGATAAGCAGGTTTCTTTTCATTAAAATTGGCATCTTTTTTGTTGAAAGTGTGTTTTTCGTCTTTTTTCCTTCCCCCTAATGACTTCAGCACAGTCAAAATAAAAATCACTGTCCATAAAACTTCGACGGATAACATTATATCGAATATTGGGAAAACCAAAGAAAGCCTATTGTTAAGATACGTGTACTTGACGTGGGTGTTTTGAACGGAAACAATTTTTGGGAACTTGTCAACATGTTTTTCATGATCGTAGTCTCTTATTAAGGAAACGGTGAAATCAGACAGCCTGATATCGGAAACTGGTATATCAACAGTATTATCATGATTTATGTTGAACTCTAAGAATGAGAGACTAATACCACGCTTAAAGTTGTTGATAGAAGTTTGATCTTCACCGTCCCAATACTTTACTGGATTTTTGAAACATGAGGTTAGTGTTATTCTATGTATCAAAAATTTGAACGAATTGATACATTTAGGGAGCATTGAGCACTTTCTTGGCTTGTGCTCTGTATGGCGTGCATCAGAATTTTCCTTTTTTTCTTTATCTTCTACTTGTATTTCAATGGCAAGCTCTTCGAGAACCTTGATTTCCTCTGCTACAGCTGAAGGTTTTCTGTTTACCACTTCGTTGGCTATTAACGCCAGCTGTTTGAAAATATTGATATCTTCTGCCAAGAACTCAATATGGTGAGTGTAGAGAGATATGGTGTCAATGACGACAGTATCATCGTTCACAGCAATAGAACAAGAAGCATCAAACAAATCCATGACCAGCAGCTTATGCACAACGGAGTGTTCTATGATCGAAAACTGTATATTTCTGACAGCAACAAAAATTGACTTTGTTGGAGTCAGATAATTGTCCATCTCAAATAATGAAGCTAAATTGTCCGTCAGAGATGAATCAACTAAAATATCGTCGATTAGGAATTGCGAGATGATAGTATCGCTCAAACGCACCTGAAGCATTGAAGTCAAAAGTTGCGCCCGTGTACGCATTCTGTGTGTAAGACGCAAGATATTATCCAGAATGGCTGTGGAGTTTTGTTCTTTTGCTTCCGGGACAGTTTCACTAGCACTATTTTGACCTCTATTTTTATTAGTTTTGTTACGCAAGGCCTTCAATTTCTTTAGCTCTTTAAAAGCAATAATGTCCTCAAGGTTGGTAAAAAGCGTAGTGTTTGTGACTGTGAAAAAACTTCGGGCTATAAAGGAATCATCATGAGTGAACTGTTTAATAACGTCAGAGTTATGTATATTTTCAATTGAAAAGATAAGGGCCTTAAAATCCCAAATGCTGAGAAAGTTAAGAAATTCGACTCTTAGCTTTGAGTTTTTAAACGTCTCAGTGTAAAAAGTTAATCCGGACACGTTAGTTGTCAGTTTATAAAGCTTCGAGCCGGAGTATTTTTTGTAAACCATATCTTTCTTATCGGCACTGTTAATAGCATGAACAAAATTCTTGATGCACACTTGCGACTCGCCAGATTTCACATGCAATTCATCGACGGCAAAGTAGACATCACACTTGTCAAATTTGTTAAAATAGTCTTCAAAGCTTCTCTTTTTCTTTTCAGTGGAGGTGGTTTTCCCCTCATGTTCGGAACTTTTGTCAGGGGGATTTTCTTCTCCCACGTTTCTCGATCTTTTAGGTGTCAAATTCTTTACCAGCTGCTTCAATTCGTCTATGTCAATACTTACGCCATGTCCTACACATGATGAAACAAACTTGCTGAAATGAGGAGTGCAGGCGCTGGCAAGAGGAGTAGCCCCAACAATGGTCCATTTGAGGTCTTTAACCATTTTCCCATGTGCATCCGACAGGTTAGATATGCTGATATGTATCGAATTCCTTAATTCTCTTTGCTTTGTTTCCCTGTTTGTCTCCATATCACAGTTGAAAGAGAGGGACAGCGTCTCCAACCTGATCGAGGTGTCTTTTCTTATCACATCAAGATTGTGTATGACCACCGTTAGGGGCAGGATATACCGAAGCCACTGTAGTACTTTCAGAGTCTTGTCAATTGAATGCTGTTGCTCCAATTTAACTGCAGCTGTTGACTCTCCAACCGCATTACCGTTTGGCACAGCAGCCACTGGTGAAGGTGGTTGCTGTTGGGGGGCCTTCGAAGCCGTGGATGTAGATGTGGACGTGGAATTCTCCACGTCTAGCAAGAACAGCTTGAGGCTGTAGAAATGTACAACAATCAAACCATCGTGGTGGGTTGCCTTCAACTTCTTGCGATGCAAGTAGTACATCGGTCTGATTTGCACTGAAACCGACTTGATAGAGACCTTCAACGCTTCAAGGTTGATATGCACATTGATCAAATGCAGCCAGGAGATGAATCCAATAGTGACCTTTCCACGAAGAGCTATGTGGAGCAGAACGTAAAAGCCTAGGTAGGCAAACACAAAGTACTTGAAGTACTCTAGCATGGTTTTTGTCTGAACTGTGAATCCCTTTTCCTATGAAAGTATGACTGTCTATCTGTCTGTGTCTACTCCGCAACACTGGCTCAGGAACCTGAGTGTTTTCTACCTGCGTTAGTAGGGGCCTAAAAGTGTTTTCAGAAAACGCAATTGCCAGATACAGTGACTGTTTATGCACCACTGATGAGATGGAAGACAATCAGCAAGTCGCCAAACAAAATGTCTCTCTGACCTCTAGACCGCTTCCGAATAGAGGGTCCAAGATAAACGCTCAGCTTCCGAAGGCCTGTAGCCCGCAGGCCCCGAAAAACGCAGAGCCTATGGCAGAAAAGGCCCAGTACCCCGGTTCGGGACGAAGTTGAGAGTGCCCGGCACAGCGCGAGGCTCTAGATGCCACGGAGATAGGCCGGGAGGACCGGAGAAGCGAAATTTGCATGCAGAAGGTCCAGAGATTACCGCAAGGCTTGCAGGTTGCAGACTTGCAAGCCTTGAACGGCAACGGCAGCAAGAGATTACCAAGAGATGACCGGGAGATGATCGAGGAGGCTCGAATGGATCGAAAAACAAACGTGGCTGCTGCGGAGGTACAGGAAAACGATGGTGTTGGCTATAGAGGGTGAAAGAGTTACTTAGTTCTTTGATTATTTTGTAGTTGCACGGAGAAGAGGCGCTCAAGAGGTAATTATGCCGCTGTCAAGAAGGTTGTTGTGGAGGATCGTTTCTCTGACGATGGCGAAGGCGAGCTTGATGTTGTTGGTGTCCGTGGCCTGCGTGACATAAGGCACCAAGTTCAAGTTGGCCCGGTTGAGCTGCTTGAAGCGCCAAAGGATGTACTTCACCGCCTTGTTGACGTTGGCACCGCCGACGTAGTCGGGGAAGTACTTTTCCATCGGCGAGTGCGGAAGCTTCTCGATGAAGACGTCGATCTTGTTCAAGCAGAGAATTACTGCGGTTCTGCGGAACCACATGGAGTTCACGACGGACTCAAAGAGGTTCAGCGACTCCTCGAGGCGGTTCTTCGTAGGCGACTCAAGCAACGTCTGGTCGTACTCACTCAGAGCAACGCAGAAAATGATTGCAGTGACATTGTCAAAACAATGAATCCATTTCTTTCTCTCTGAGCGCTGGCCACCGACATCGTACAAGTGGATGTCCAAATCCTCCATTTGGAACTTCGTGTCGAAGATACCGGACGTTTGTTTTCTCGTACGCAAGATGTCAGTCACGCTCGGAAGGTAGTCGGCCTGGCGTATCCGCTCCAAGTTTTCGAAAAAGTAGCCGGCCGAGTCAAGGATGTAGAAGTCGTAGTCTGGGTTTTTGAACAGCTCCGTCACCGTCGGGTCAGCTGTCAGCTGGTCGATAATGTCCGCCACCCGCGGGTTGAGAGGCTCGGTGTTGTCTGCCTCAAACGGCACCTCGTAGTTGACGATGAATTCGAGGTCGTCGCTTGTGACGTTCACGAGTTCGGAAATCAAGTCGTACTCCTTCAAAGCGTTGGCAATGCATTTGGCAGCCTCGCAGATGTTCTGGAATACGAACGGCTTGTACACAAGCTTTTCACTCTCGGTGAAGCCATTCTGGTGAATTATCTTGATCTGCTTCAAGATGGTCGACTTACCAGACTCTCCGGCACCCAAAAGGAGCACCTTTGCCTGTGTCTTTGGCTTCGTCAAGCATTTCGTATTTTTGGACTCCACATTCTCGTTCACCGTTTGAAGAGTCTGTTTCGATTTAAGTTTCGACGAGGAGTTGGAGGGCTGACGTTGCTGTGGTAGTCCTTGTGCCGGGGTTTGTGTATGTGGCTGTGTTTGAGGTGTGGTGGTTGCTGCCGGAGTTTGTGTTTGTGCTTGTGTTGGCGTTGGTGTTGGCGTCGTTGGGGCCGGTACTTGTGAATTCGTGTGGGCGTCAGATTTCCCAGCCGGCGTCGCAGCAGCAGCTATCCCTGTCTGCTCCTGACTTCCTGCCGACGAGCTCACAACATCACGAGTCGTTCCTTTCCCGCTCGTGTCGGTCGTGTCGCCAGACGTGTTTTTGCGGACGGCTGCCACGGGCTGGCTCTTCCTCTCAACTGGAGCAGAGTTTTCTTTCGACCCGCAAATCCCCATACTAGTATGCTCGTGATCTCAGAAGATGCCGGTTGCTGGTTGCTGATTCGGGTTGTTTTCCTTCGTTGACAGCTGCAAAGGCTGTTTGGAAAATTAACTGCTGTTGTCGGTCACAACAAAGTTGGAGTTCTCGCCTATGGCTATTTGTTATCCTTCTTGCACCTGTGTTCCAAAACACAGTTTACCCAGGTGTAGCCTCCTCCGGTCCCAGTGCCGCCTTGTAACTGTCACTCGCCAGAAGTGGAAAGCATGAAATCCGGCAAGCCAATACGGGAAAAAAGATGGGGGCTCTCTCCAGCCAGCCCTCCCGCCCAGACAAGCGGGCAGCTCTCCGCTCTCTTTTCCGGCCGGTTTGGCCACAAGCCCATTTTATTGGGGCGCACATGTTTTTCGGAAGTTTTCCGTTGTTGCATTGTTTCTTTTCGGTTCGTTAAAATTAGAATCTGATTATAGATGATATAGTCTTTACTTATTTACTTGTACACAGTATCGTGGAGGCAGGGCTCACACTGGCTTGCCGCCAATGAACTCACTCCATCTTCTGACCTCAGGAGGAATGACAACCTCGGACTTGCGCAGATCTGCGAGTCTAGCTGGAAGCTTCTCTTTCAAGCATTCCGCAAACAACATCGAAGTTTGTGGTTCGTTGAAAAGTGGGATGCCGAAGTCGATAGCGTTTCTTCTCATGACGTAGTCCTCGTCGTCAAGGCTTTCTGCTCTGGCCTTGGCCAAGTTGAACACACCCTTGATGTCGTATTTCTGGAAAACCTCTCTCAACTCTCTCTTGTTGGTCTTTGGGAACTCGATGACCTCGACCTTCACGTCAGTGTACTCGCTCAAGTACTGGGCGACCTCTGGAGTCGTGGCGTAGTACTTGTAGCCAAGGCCACCCAAACGGTTTGCAACAGTGCCCAAGAAGTCCTTGGTCAAGTCACCACCAAACAAGATACCGGATGGTGGCAATGGCAAGTGGAAGTTCATGGTGGCTTGGATGGTGGTCCAGTATGCCTCGATTAAGTCTTTACCGAAACAAGCAATCTCACCGGTGGAGGACATTTCGACACCCAAGAATGGGTCAGCACCAGCCAATCTGGTGAATGAGAACTGTGGAACCTTAGTAGCAACGTAGTCGTACTTCTTGCCCATCAAGTCAACTGGCTTCAAGGTGGAGTCTTGCAAGAGTGCTCTGGCAGCAACTTCAATGAAGTTGACACCCAACACCTTCGAGACGAATGGGAACGATCTGGATGCTCTGATGTTACATTCAATAACCTTCAAGTCTGGGACACCTGTCTTTGCGTTTTCGGCCTTAATGATTTGCATGTTGAAAGGACCAGTGATCTTCCAAGCAGCCGCAACTTTGTCGGCAATTTCCTTTAGTCTGCCCATGATAGCGTCATCAAGATCTTGAGGCGGCAACACCAAAGTTGCGTCACCTGAATGAATACCTGCGTTTTCAACATGCTCAGAAACAGCATGAACAATGACCTTACCGTTGGCTGCAACAGCATCAATATCAATCTCTTGTGCACCCTCAATAAATTTGGAGATGACAACGGGATGTTCAGACGAAACCTCAGCAGCATTCAATAACTTACTTTCCAACTCGGATTGTGATCTGATAACCGACATGGCTGCACCAGATAAGACGTAAGATGGTCTGACCAAGACTGGAAAACCGACAGCATTGGCAAACTCTTCAGCTGCGGCAACAGAGGTCAATTCCTTCCATTCAGGTTGATCAACACCAAGAGTATCCAAAATGGAGGAAAATTTGTGTCTGTCTTCGGCCTTGTCAATGTCTTCAGGGTTAGTCCCTAAGATGTGTGCACCTGTGTTCTGCAACTTTAATGCAATGTTTTGTGGTAATTGACCACCGACGGAGACAACAATTCCTTCCGAGTGTTCCAATTCGTAGATATCCATAACTCTTTCAAATGATAATTCTTCAAAGTACAATCTGTCAACTTCATCAAAATCTGTAGAAACAGTTTCCGGGTTGTAGTTGACCATGATGGTCTTTTTACCTGCCTTTCTTAATGCTCTTGCAGTCGAAACAGCACACCAATCGAACTCAACGGATGAACCAATTCTGTAAACACCGGATCCCAACACCATTGTACCTTGATCTTGGAACTCAACATCGTGGCACGTAGCATTGTATGTAGTATATAGGTAGTTGGTAGAAGCGGGGAATTCTGCAGCCAAAGTATCAATTCTCTTCACGAATGGAGTAATACCATAACTCTTTCTCAATGATCTGACGGAAAGTTCGTCTGAACCAACTGCTAATGCAATCTGCTTATCAGAGAACCCTAACTTCTTGGCTCTAGACATAACATCTTCGTCGATTTTTTCAATTGATCCTAGACCTTCCATTTCCTTTTGCATTTTCACAATATTCATCAACTTGTTCAAGAACCATTTATCAATCTTAGAGAGCTCATGAACCTTGTCAACAGAGTAACCCTCATGCAATAAAGCTTGGCCAACAGCTAACCATCTTCTATCAGTTGGGTTTGCCAATGTGTCATCTAAGTCTTCGAACTTGCCACCTTGAAAACCAATAAATGAAGGGTCAACTTGTCTAATTGCCTTTTGGAAAGATTCTTCAAAGATTCTACCAATTGCCATAACTTCACCAACAGACTTCATAGCAGAACCAATATCTCTTTTCACATGTTGAAATTTAGCCAAATCCCATCTAGGAATCTTAGTGACGATATAATCAAGTGATGGTTCAAAATTAGCAGAGGTAGATTTTGTAACAGGATTTGGTAATTGTGGAAGGGTGTAGCCAAGACCAATCTTTGCAGCAGTGTAAGCCAATGGATAACCTGTGGCCTTGGATGCCAAAGCGGAAGATCTTGACAATCTCGCATTCACCTCAATAACTCTGTAGTCTAATCCATCTGGCTGCAAGCAGTACTGGACATTACATTCACCAACAACACCCAAGTGTCTGATGATTTTGATAGCAGCAGATCTTAACATGTGATATTCTTCATCGGATAAAGTTTGGGAAGGAGCAACAACAATGGAATCACCTGTATGGATACCTAGAGGGTCGAAATTTTCCATGTTACAAACAGTGATACAATTGTCACATCTATCTCTGACAACTTCGTACTCAACCTCTTTCCAGCCTTTCAATGACTTCTCAACTAAAATTTGAGGAGCTAATGACAACGATTGAGCTGATAAATTTCTCAATTCAGATTCATTGTTAGCAAAACCAGATCCTAAACCGCCAAGAGCATATGCAGATCTGACAATGATGGGGTAACCGACTTTGGCAGCAGCTGCAAGTGCATCATCCACTGTATTCACAGCAATAGATTCAGCAATTGGAATATTAATTTCATTCAATGCACGAGCGAAAAGATCTCTATCTTCAGAAGTTTCCAAAGTTTTGATAGGAGTTCCCAAAACCTTGACACCATACTTCTCCAAGATACCCATCTTGTTCAACTGCACACCAACGTTCAAACCGGTTTGACCACCAAAAGTGAGTAGAATACCGTCTGGTTTTTCACGCTCAATGATATATGTAATGTATTCAGGAGTAACTGGTAAGTAGTAAACTTCGTCTGCCAATGAATGAGATGTCTGATTGGTTGCGATATTAGGATTTATCAAGATGGATTTCTTGTTTTCCTCCTTCAGTGCCTTGATAGCTTGTGAACCAGAATAATCAAACTCACCTGCTTGACCAATGGACAACCCACCTGACCCAATCACCAAAACTTTGGAGACATCTACGAGGTGCAAACCATTGTCGTCCTTGAATTTTTTCACTATGTTACCACCTTCATAAGATGCAGTGGAGTATGACTTATTTTGAGTTCTCAAGACCGACTTGAAGCTAGAAAGTCTAGCTATCTGTCTAAGTTTGAATGGAGTGCTTATGAGTCTTGTCATTTTTTATGATACTAACAATAGAAAAGATTTCTCTTTGCAACTGTTCTTTCAGTCTCAAAGGTAGAAAACTTTCCGAGGTTAATGATTTTTTCTCTAGTCGAAGAAAAAAATCTTTATCCTTGTATCTTGTTTCAAGAAGCAAATCAGTTTTTGAGAAAAACTGTAAGAAAATCTTAAATGGAGAAGAAGATTTGAAAGAAGAGGGAAAAGTAGTGTAGAGAGTTGCAAATTTTTTTCACTCTCTTCCAGAAATCATCAAAGCTGCAATTTTGGAACCTTGACAAATTTTGTGACTCAATCCGCGATTTCCGGTATTACTTGTTTAGGAAGGTATTACTGTATCGGGTAATTTCCGGACCGCGGTAAACTCAGCTTGACTTTTACTTGTTAAGTTCACCCTTAAAAAACTGTATGAAGAGATTGCCGACTCCGAATTTTTCTGAACTTTTCTCAAACGGAAACCCCTTATCCTAGGTCAGTCAAGCGCCAATCGTCGTGTGAAGTAAGTTTTTGCTAGAAACAAACATCAGGTTGTAAAATGAATTTGCAAACCGGACTTCAAAAATCGAAGATAACAGTTACCGTCAGTTGGGTGTGGCTGTAAAAAAAATTGCCAGTATTGAGAGTTACTCACCTTCAACAGTCTAACGTCACTTTTCTTGCATCTCGCTCACGATGCTTTGTTCCCAAGGGGGAGGCATTGGGGGGAGGGGTTGTATTCATTAATATAAAAAGGAGTTTATATTTGAGAAAGCATTGAAAAGGAAATGGGGAAAGCTAAATGCTAAAGATACTGCTATAGCAGTACAAAGGCCGGAAGAGCAGCAGAACAAAAAATCAGTCTCTTTTCCATCTAGCATGGAAGGGTTGCCTAGCATAGTAGATTCCTCCCAACGAGAGATTTGTGTTCCATTGGTCGACCCATGAAATAAGGGCTGAGCAAAGAGCAATTTCTCTTGGAATTTTTGTGTCATCGACAATCAAGTTGAAACCTACACTACCTGCAGGGGCAACTCTTGCAACTCTCTCTCTGACTTCGGACTCTTTTTCACCAACGTTTTTGACTTTCTCTAAAAACTTTCCTTCTGTAGTCCACTGGTAAGTATTACCATCGGCAAGGGTAAACATTCTGTACGAACCAAGCGCATCGACTTTATGGCTGATTGGATGCCAGCCCAATTCCGCAACTGGTGCTTGAGGTGCTCTTATCAACAAAACATTTGATCTCAAGCCAGCTCTGCATGTTGCCACTGGTTCATCTTCACCCTTTGGACCTGTGTGTCTAATCTGGGCAGAGTACATCTTATAGGCACCCTTTACTGCCCTCGATCTACTAAACCAGAATAGCGATTCATTCTGGGAGGTTGGTCCGGCTGGGCCTGAGCCTTCAGTTTTGGTGTCATAGACGTCCCAAATTTTGGATCCAGTTCCGAACCTCTTTCTATATGCATATTCCGAACACTTCGATTCGTCCAAGTCGATGTAGTGTGGGATATAACGAGAAGAACGACGATGTGGAGAGATCAAGATAGACTTGACGAGAACCAATGGTCTCATAATAGGTCTCATTAAAAGTTCGACTGGCATGTTTGGCTATTATTATTGTTTTAGTTTTCCTTACTAGTATTAGTACAAATTACTCTACTGTTCGACAAGCTACTAAGCAACGAAACTGTGTATCTGGTGTTACACTTTATAGAAAAGGAGAAAGGAGCCGGCAACAAAGCACCAAAGGAAGGGTTTGGGGGAAGCACAACAGAAAAAGGTCCTTTAACAGAATGCATCTGCTACCCACTGCTCTGTGAAGCCAGTAGGATTCAGATCCCCGTTTGTTCATGTCACCAATTAAAGGTACAAGAGGGAGACGCGCGACATTAAATCTGTTGTACGCGTGCTGGCGATTTCCCTAAATCGGGCAATGGTAAATACTGCGCTAACGGTTTGCTGGAGGCCAGGGTTGTACATGGAAATGGATCCGAAGTCTAAAGCTGTTGACAGAACCGCTGGCGAAGTAACGTTTTTACGGAGCGCCAGAGCTTAAGGTTTAGCTGTTTAGCAGTTTAAGTCATGCCTGGAGCAGACGCCGAAGTTAGTTTGCCGGCTGAGACGAGTGACCACCACCCTATCCAGAGTGGCAGCGGAAACAATAATGCAAATGTGATCAAGTCCAAGCTGGCAGATGTGAGTGATTTGCAAGACTACTACGATGCGTTGGACGAGCTGGAAAAGCAAAATGGGAAACTGCAAACATTCAACACCATGCCAGAGACAGACACGAGAGATAGATGGCCAACGTTGTTTGAAATTTTGAATAAGAAAACACAATCACCGTTAGACCTATGGTCTTTTTATGTCTTCATGAGGGACGAGGCGCACTCTATTGACTACATTGACTTCTGGATCGACACGGTACAGCACATCAATCTGTGTAAGGTATACGTGAAAGGCTTGAAAGATTCCCTACTTGTGAGTGCGAGAGCCAGGCAGTCAGATATAGTTTCAAACGCGTTGAACGTCAATAACAAGTCGCTGCTGATCGGTGAAATTGAACCTCCACAGACAAGGTACAGCGTTAAGCGTTCTGACTCCGTGAAACATGATGCCGCCACAAACAGAGCATCACAGAACAGTAGTAAAAACTCCGGGTCTTCTTCGATGCTATTAGATCTATTGATGAAGCATGACTTGTTTGAAGGAGAAGACCCCCACAGGCTCTCCACCTTTCTTAGAGGTGAGCATTCTGTGAGAACCAGTGATCCGGTGGTCAATGCCAGGATCGACGAAATCAAGAGAAAATCACAAAATTTCCCGTCGTCCACGAGTATCAACCAGGCCGATATAACGGAAGGGTCGAAAAGCAACCACTCTTCATCTAACTTCAGGATATCAAGAATCAACCCTGAGATGGTTGAGACGTTAATCCAAGACGATTTTGATACAAAGCACAGGTCATACGACAAAGCACATTTAATAAGTCGGGTATCTTTGCGCAAATCGACACGTAATATTTTAAACACCTATCTTTCTGATGACGCAGAAAAACGAATAGATCTACCTACAGAGATACTCGACAAGGTCAGGTTTGAGCTAGAAACCCAGGGGAGAGATGATCCAGAAGTTTTTGACGAGGCAAGGGAGTATGTTTTCAAAGCAATGGAATACGACGCATATCCCAACTTTTTGAGGAACCACGCCTTAAAGAATGTGACGAGAAAATCTGCAGCAATCAGAATAATGTTGTCGATGATATCGGGTTTGGCTGCCTTCTGGACGGGTTACACGCTAATTTTCATGAACTACGAACCAAAGCCGACCAGAGCTGTGGTCGTGGTTCCCTTCTTTTTCATGTCATATTTCTTCTTCACTGCGTTCTACAGGGTGGACCCGATTCTGTGCTACGCGGGCTACTGCGAGAGCAATTCCACTCCTGGAGGGGTCCTCCCTATACGAGAGCCGTATGTGAAAAAGCTCTTGCGCAAGAGGTCCTGGTTTGTATTGACGGTGCTTTGTGCTGTTGCAGCAGCTTTCAGTGTGATTTTTGCCCTTGTTCCGGGGAGAAGACTCACCCACTCTTCTTAAAGGACTGTTTTCTCATGTTGTAAGCCTACTACCTCTGTATTTTTATGTTCTCTATACTTTATACTTCTTTTCTTGTGTATTATAATCATCTTCTCTTGCTCTATAACATGTTCATCCACTTTGTCACGTGACATTATTGGCGTCGATCGGCTTAGAGTTGCTTTTGGCGTACAGGGCTAACCTTGGCCCCTCTACCTTGAAACAAGCTTCACTTTCTATAATGCTTTACCACAGTCCAATAACGGTGACCTGTATACAAAGCAATTGTTGACAGTGATACAAATTCGTTGTTGCAAGAGCCTGAAATGCGAACGCAGTCCTCTACGCCTAGACCGAGCACACTCACTGTAAGGCGTGAAAAATGCCAGCCGGGTCGACTCTGCGTCGGGAGCCAGAAAGAGGAAAAAGCAAACGTGGAGCTCAACGGTACACTATAATGCAGAGAATGGTCACTGGACATCAAGGCAAAGAAGCAAGTGCATCGTTCTCACAGACTAGTAAAGAGCACCCTGAATTTTCAAGATGAGGGGCAGCAACATGAACAGCAAATATTCTTCTCGTGGGGGCTCTTCGTTTAGAGGGTCTTCTGCGTCGGGGTCGTATGGATACTACCATGACCCATACTACAGCAGCTCTCCCTCTCGAGGAGGCAGAGGAGGCTCTCGTGGGAGAGGTGGAAGCAGTTCATATGGATACTATGGCAGTCCCCCTGGTTATGGTGGACGCAAGGAGTCCGGGGACCCGCAAGGACATCCACATCCAAGTGGCTATTCGTACGGACGCCCGGGCTCTGGTTTGACACCGACGTCTTCCGCCTCCGGTTTGACGCCTGGCTCAGCGCAACAGCACTCTGAGCAAATGTCAGCGTACCCTGCTTCGAGTTCCAGTGCGGGAAGCGCAACTTACGAGCGGAGCATGGAAAGCAACGGCGAAAGCGGTGGTTACACCGCACATGGAGCTTCCAGCAGCAGCGGAGGTAGTAACGAGGCAGGAGGAGATGACTACGAATCGGCCCGGTGGGAACAGTACGTTGGCGAATATAGCCGAGGCAAAAGTGAAGGGTCTCCTCGATTTAGAGGCAGAGGAAGAGGTCGGGGTGGCAGCGGGAGAGGCACCTGGAGAGGAAGCAGAGGTGGACCATATTATGGACGAGGACGAGGCGGCTTTGAGTACGAAGGGTACCCTACTGGGCCGGCGTCTGGACAGTTCTACTACGGGCGAGAGTTTGCTGCTGGCGGCACGGCGGGCAGCGGCGATGTCGCTGCAACCGTTGGGGAGGCCCGGGCTTCTCCCGGCGAAGGATACAAATACCACGGGCACGAGGAGAATGGCTACCCGAAGGCACACCCGGGCGCCGCCAAAGACGAGAGTTCTTCTGTGTCTGCTGGTTCCGGCGCCGCTGCCGGCGCCGCCAGTGCAGCCACTTCTGCCGCAACTTCTGCTGCCGCCGTTGCTGCTGCAGCTAGTGGCAAGGCCGAGGTGGACAAGCACAAGGCGGAAGAGACAAGGCTCAAACGGGAGCACGAGCACAAGAAGAACATGGAGTTTCGGGAAAAGCACTGGATTGAGCGGATCCAGGCATCGGGGGAGATGCGGAAGACGCTGTCGAGACACTTCAACGAGTTGGACGCGGTGAACTCGAAGTTGTTGGACGTCGGGACCCGTCGGGCGGAGCTCGAAATAGAGGTGAACCGGTACAACCGGGTCCTCAAGGCGGAGGAGGACCGTGTCCGGCTTGCCGAGGAGAAGCTCGAGGCAATGAACCTCTCTTTCTGAGGCGGGCGCCGCCGCCGCTATGTAGAATAAAGGTATGTAATGTAATGTATAGAAGATCAACGGATAGATCGGGCTGCGCAGCAGTCCCACCGAGGTTCCACCGAGTTTGCCGAGTGCTCGCGAGCGAAGGAAATCTGAACGATTCTTCCCTGCGTCCGACGTCAGCCGCTTTGCGGGAAGTGAATGGCAAACGTATAAAATGTAATGCTCGGCTTGCTGCTGGAAGAGTGGGCAGTGGGCGTAGGGGAAAGAGATACCGTTGTGGGGGAGTCTAGAGACAGACAAGACGTTTGAAAATGTTAGACCTATTCGAATCGTTTTGTAATTGCGATTGCTCTGTTGTGAAGGGCTTTCTGCTTGCTGCGTTTGCAGTGGGTGTTTTCAAGATCACAACATTGGTGCTCTCTCTGGGCACGCTGCTTGTGCAGGCCTACGTGCTTCCAGCAGTGAGCTTCGCCAAGTACGGCGGCGGGAAGGGCGCCTGGGCGGTGATCACAGGCGCCTCCGACGGCATTGGGAAGGAGTATGCGTTGCAGCTCGCGGAGCGGGGGTTCAACATCGTCCTGGTGTCCAGAACGCAGGCCAAGCTCGAGCTGGTTGCCGCCGAGATCGAGGGCAAGTACAAAAGACAGACGAGGGTGGTGGCCTTCGACGCTGCCGAGGATGCGCCGGAGAACTACGCCGTCCTTGCGAAGGCGCTGGAGGGGTTGCCCGTGACGATCTTGGTCAACAACGTCGGCCAGTCGCACGCCATCCCTGTCCCGTTCCTCGACACCAGTGAGGAGGAGATGATGCGGATCGTCACGTTGAACAACATCGTCACGATGAAGATCACAAGGGTCGTGGCGCCGGTCATTGTGGCGAACGTCGGCAAGGCCACCAAGCTCCGCGGCTTGATCTTGACCATGGGCTCATTTGCCGGCTTGGTGCCAAGCCCGCTTCTCTGTGTCTATTCCGGCTCCAAGGCGTTCTTGCAGAACTGGTCGACCTCCTTGGCGGGCGAGCTGAAGCCCGACGGCGTCGACGTCGAGCTCGTCATCTCCTACCTCGTCACCTCCGCCATGTCCAAGATCAGAAGAGCGTCCTTTACAATCCCAAACCCTCACCGCTTCGTCGCCTCCACCTTGCGCAACGTCGGCCGCCGGGTCGGTGCGCAGGAGAGATATGCAACAGTCACCCCATACCCTGCTCATGCACTCATGCATTGGGGGATCGAGAATTCCGCAGGCGTTTACTCCAAAATCGTCAACAAAATCAACTTCGTCATGCACACCACCATCCGTGCCAGGGCGTTGAAGAAGGCTGCCCGTGCTGCCGCCGCAGACACAGCCAAGAAGCAGTCTTAGGCCTCCCGTCCTCCCACTTCTGCCTTCTACATACCGTATAGTCCTGTATATCTTGCCAAACGTCCGACTCTGAGCCCTCCTACCGCCCCGCCACCCGCTGCCCTTGCCCTCTATGCCGGACGCGAGAATTTGCCCGGACCCGTGTTTTTTTCCGCACAGGCGCATTCCGCCCATTCGGGCTCGTTTCGTGCTCAGCAGTTTCACGCGCCGCATTGGTGCTTGTGTTTACGTTTGCGGCCAGCAGGGAAGGGCAGGCAGGGGCTGGTGGGAGCTGGCAGGCCTCAGGGTGTGTCGCCTCAGGATGCAAGAAACAGGTTTAAGATGAGGATAGAGTGGAGGATAGAGCACAGGGTGGCAGGACCAGGGCAAAGAGGCTACGACAAGACGCAGGAAGACTGACTAGACTGACTAGACTGACTAGACTGACTAGACTGACTAGACTAAGCTAGACCAGGACAGAAGTGAACTTGTGGCTTCAGCAGCAGCACACCGAGCAAAAACGAACATGGAGGTCAACGATTTCGACAAGCTAGAGAAGATTGGAGAGGGGACGTACGGAGTGGTGTACAAGGCGATCGACACGAAGCACAACAACCGGATAGTTGCTCTCAAGAAGATCCGGCTCGAGTCGGAGGACGAGGGGATCCCGTCGACGACGATCCGAGAAATCTCGTTGTTGAAGGAGCTCAGAGACCACAACATCGTTGCGCTCTACGACATTGTGCACTCGAACTCGAACAAGATCTACTTGGTGTTTGAGTTTCTCGACATGGACTTCAAGAAGTACATGGAGTCGATTCCAGAGGGCCAGGGCATGAGCAAGAACATGGTGAAGAAGTTCATGGTGCAGCTCGTGAAGGGCATCTACTACTGCCACTCGCACCGGGTGTTGCACAGAGACCTCAAGCCGCAGAACTTGTTGATCGACAAGGAGGGGAACCTGAAGGTCGCCGACTTCGGGCTTGCCCGGGCGTTCGGCGTGCCGCTCCGGGCGTACACGCACGAGGTGGTCACGCTCTGGTACCGGGCGCCGGAGATCCTCTTGGGCGGCAAGCAGTACTCCACGGGCGTCGACATGTGGTCCATCGGGTGCATTTTCGCCGAAATGGCGCAGCGCAAGCCCTTGTTCTCCGGCGACTCGGAGATCGACCAGATCTTCAAGATCTTCAAGGTGCTCGGCACGCCCACCAAGGAGGTGTGGCCCGAGGTCGAGTACATGAGCGACTACAAGGAGACCTTCCCCAAGTGGAAAAAGCAGAACTTGGCCACCATCGTCACCAAGCTCGACCCGCCAGGCATCAACCTCTTGCAGCAGCTGCTTGCCTACGACCCTGCTGTCAGAATCAGCGCCAAAAGGGCCCTCATGCACGAGTACTTCCGCACCGACGACGACTCCTACCACCAGATGGAGTATCCGCAGCGCTCGAGCATGCAGGTCGACTCCTCGACGCTGTACGTCTGATGCTCTTTACCCACTGTGATTCCCCTCTCTTTTTTTCTTCCTTCCTTTCTTCCTTTCTTTCTTCCTGTTCTATGCTTGCCTTTCTTTGTTTTCTTGTTTCTTTTCTTCAGTATAGATTCTCCCACTCTTTGTTTTCCCCGCTTTACATGTTTTCGCATATTTTGTTGGATGACGTTCAACTGGTACTGGGTGATTGCTCACAAATCCAGAGTTTGTATAAGTACATTTATATAAGGCTTATTAATCAGTAATTACATTTGGCATATATCTATCACGCGGAGACTGGTGGAGAAGGGCGGTGGTCGTGGATCGTCGGCGGTTGTCTGTATGCCACAATTCAAAACTGGACAATTGATTTCGTTTCGCAATAAAACAATCACTTCTCTGCCTCGAAAGCAGCTATGTACGTCAGCAAAATCGCAAACACAACCTTGCAGACATCCTTTCCCCGCTACAACACAGACCATGAAATTTTAAAACCAGAAATGCACGCGTAGCTCAGTGGTAGAGCAGCAGATTGCAAATCTGTTGGTCGCCGGTTCAAACCCGGCCGCGGGCTCTCTTTTTTCTTTTTTCCCACTCTATTTTTCTTGCGCAAAATTGCGCGCAGTCACGTGCAGTCGCGCTCCAGCTTTCGCCCTCTTCCACAATAACTCCGGCAGGAAAGAAAAGGTACCCCAAACGTGCCAGTATGTCCCTCTTTGTAGAGAACCCGGTGGAAAATTTCAGGTTTCGGCAAGTGCCTGCCTATATATATAACTGTCTCCTTTTCTTCGCCTTCTCAGATGTTTCTGCTCGGACCTCTTTTGGGTTCCGTGCGTTCTTCTTGTTTTCAATTCTCATCTTGCCACGTTCAACACTCAAACAATGTTCTCCAGATCCATCCTCAGAAACTCCGCCTTCAAGGCATCTGCTAAGAGATTCGTCTCCTTCGACGCTGCTTCCCAACCAAGAATCAGAATTGGTTCCGCCGCTCCAAACTTCAAGGCTCCAACCACCGTCGGTGAGATTGACTTCCACCAGTACTTGGGCAACTCCTGGGGTGTTTTGTTCTCCCACCCAGCAGACTTCACTCCTGTCTGTACCACTGAATTGGGTGCCTTTGCTGCATTGAAGCCTGAATTCGACGCCAGAAACGTCAAGTTGATCGGTTTGTCTGCCGAAGGCATCCCATCCCACAAGGAATGGATCAAGGACATTGAGGAAGTCGCTTTGGGCGGCAAGAAGTTTACCTTCCCAATCATCGGTGACGAGTCCAAGGAAGTCGCATACAAGTACGACATGGTTGATGAAAACGGATTCAAGGCCTTGCAATCCGGTGGCCCAATTGCTACCATCAGATCTGTCTTTGTCATTGACCCAAAGAAGACCATCAGATTAGTTCTGACCTACCCTGCTTCTGTTGGTAGAAACACCTCCGAAGTTTTGAGAGTCATCGACTCCTTGCAAAAGGGTGACGCTAAGGGTGTTGTTACCCCAGTCAACTGGCAAGCAGGTGAGGATGTCATCATTCCACCTTCTGTCTCCAACGAGGCTGCCAAGGAAAAGTTCGGCTCCTTCAGCGAGGTCAAGCCATACTTGAGATTCACCAAGGCCTAATTTGATTGAGTTAAAACTGGCTTTTCTTCTGTCCACAAACTTTACTCCCCCTACATCTAAATAGTGTATAGGATTATTTATACGATGCTTTCTGACATAATGTTTACCTGAAAACCAAGAACGTTAGGGCCCTGCTTGCCCTGTTGTCGTTATCAGCTCCTAGCCGATGACGTGCGCCCTTGCTGGTGCTGCACCATAAGTTACCCGGTACTCTGTTTCCGAGGGAAAACTCTCACTTTTAGCGGGCACCGCCATTCTTCCCCCCTTGATCTCCTCCGAGAATGCCACTTTGAGTTTGGCGTTAAAGAGTTCGGCGAATGGCTGTTTCAAAGAAGGAACTACCCCCGGGAACACAACGAAGGTGTCCGCAGCATAAGCCGGCACAGCACACCATAGTAGAAGACCTTGTCTGAGGTAACAACAACGTTGGATTTTTCCATTATCTGGACAAGACACACGATTTTCTCACATCCTTCTCACCGATCGATAGTAGGAAAGGAAAAAGAGTGACAGAAAGGGAAACATACAGGTATAAGCTACGGAAACAAAGCAAGCAGGCTACTTTTTGTCAAGTTCATTTAATCCAGTTTGCGAAAACAAGCTTTGTTATATGCTTCTGCAGCTTTTCCGTTTTGTTCCTGTTCCGTATCTTGCATCTATCCAATATAAAGCCTCGGTATTGTCCGTTATCTTACTTTTGAGCTGTATCTCTACCGATTTCAAGCAACACGATGTCGAGTAAGCAGCAAAGTGAGAATTTTCCAAAAAAAGAATCTTCCGATGAAGACGATGCGATGTTGGGACAACTGACCCATCAGATAGAGATTAGAAGCGCAAATATGAATCCCAACTATAATCCGTCTTCACATAGCAGAGTCCAAGCACAAAGAAAAATTGCCAAAGCAGATAGCCAAGATTACTCCCTTGCAGATAGCACAAAGTCTATCAATAACACAACTACAAAACGAAAATCCGATGGTAATGTGAAGGCTTCCAAAACCTCAACCAAGAAACGCAAGAAATCTACTACAGTGGCCAGCGACAACGGCATTGACGACAACTCCAATAGCAACGACGATGAACCTAATAACAAGAATAATAGAAACCAAAACAGCAATGGAGGATCGGGATCAAACTCGGGGTCCCACCCCACAGCAGGACACCGTCCTGTCACTTCATGTACCCATTGCCGACAGCACAAGATCAAATGCAATGCATCTGAGAAGTTCCCTGATCCATGCAGTCGCTGCCAACGAATGAATCTAAAGTGTGAGATTGACCCTCAGTTCCGTCCAAAAAAAGGATCCCAAATACAGTCGTTAAGAAATGACGTTGACGAATTACGCTCTAAGATAGAATTTCTTACAAGAAATGAGAACCTGATCACGAAAGTCCTTCAAAAGTCAACTTCATCACAACTGCAACCCATCAAAGAAAATTCCGATATAGCGTATGTCAATGATCGAGCTGGCTCCCATGAATTAAGTTCACCTTCAATGGTGGCGAAAACACTCTTGAAAAAAGAACCGGTTCTTTTGAGTCTAGATGGCAGATCCAATTCTACGACCTTGCTAAACGACTCAGCGAGCAACAAGGCAGATTTGAACCCTGCATTGGAGGCAGCAGTTCGGAATGCTACAGAGTCCCCAGCACAATTTGGATCTTCAATTCGAGATGAAAAGAATTTAAGCGATGGTCAGCTAAAGGGAACACAGTTGACTACTCCGGTTAATACAAAATCCATATCCCAAAATGCGCTATCTCCAAACTCTCAAATATCTGAATTCATTTTGGGTGATGTGAAAATAAGCATAGATAAAGCTCAAACGTTGCACAAAAGGTTTGTTACCAACTATCTACCTTATCTACCAATAATGGTTTCAAATGATCCTGTCGAGCTATATCATCAAAGTCAGTTATTATTCTGGACGGTGATGTTAACTGCATGTTTGTCTGACGCAGAACCTAATTTGTACAACTCATTTGCATCCTTGATCAAGCAGTTGGCTATAGAAACGTGCTGGATCAGAACTCCTAGATCAACTCATATAGTCCAGAGTTTATTAATTTTGGGAACCTGGCCTCTTCCAAATCAGAAAGTCTTGGACGACTGTTCTTATAGATTTGTTGGATTAGCCAAAAGCTTATCACTACAACTAGGTTTACATAGAGGTAAATTTATGACTGAATTTTCAAGAACTCAAGTTGCACTTCCTGATGCTGAAAAGTGGAGAAGCCGTACCTGGTTAGCAGTATTCTTCTGTGAACAATTTTGGTCTTCGAACCTAGGGCTACCTCCTAGTCTTCAGACAGACTATTTACTAGAAAGTGCAAGAATTGATTCTACATTACCCAAAAATTTTCGATGTTTGATTTCTCTCGCTATCTTTCAGGCAAAGTTGGTCAATGTTATGGGCTTGAATGTCTCAAGCCCTGATGGATTGATGGATCCAGCAAACCGTGCAGGTCCATTGCACATAATGGAAAGAGAACTCGAGAGACTAGTCTTCAAGCTTCAAATCGATGATTTAGTTGTTGAAACTTATTATCTATATGTCAAGTTGATGGTCTGCCTATTTTCATTTTTACCTGAAACACCAAGTGAAGATCAGACAAAGTATGTCACAACGGCATACCTTTCTGCGACTAGAATTGTCACGATTATGTCGAAATTACTTGAAGTTAAGCAGCTCACAGAATATCCAATATATGTCCGTCATTCAGTGACCACAGCTGCCTTTGTCCTGTTCAGACTTCACTTGACTCCCTACTTATTACCGAAGTACATTGATTCTTCAAGACAGTCTATCGTTACAGTACACAGACTTTTCAGAAATATGTTGGCGGCTTGGAAAGACGTTGAGAACGATATTTCACGTACTGCAACCGTGTTGGAGAAATTAAATTTTGTTATTATCACACACCCCGAGCTATTCACTGATACAGAAGGTATTATAGTCCGAATGCGGTCTCATTTAACTGGATCGCTATTTTATGATCTCGTTTGGAATATTCATGAAGCTAGGAGACGCACGATTGAAGAGGCTAAAAATAATGGAAATAAGGCGTCTTTGTCGAAAACAAAGAGTACAAACAATAAGAGAAAACCTCCCCCACTACCATTTTACAACCAGATCACAAAGGATGATTTTACTGCAATAACGACAACGACTCCAAATGGTACTACGATAACTACCTTGGTTCCAACAGATCAAGCTATTTCCAATGCCAAAGCGTCTGCCTATAAAGCAGGTTTATCGAAACCTACTGAAATCAATGGGATACCATTGGCGATGCTCGAAGCGACTGGTTCGTTGTCGTCTAAACAAAACTCTTCGGTGAACTCTTTTACTTTGAAATCACAGTCAAACCAACCAGCTGCTAACAATAGTTCGGTCACTAATAAATTAGTTGCGAAGAGTATTGCCAATAATAAAACTCAACTAACCAAGAAGCGAAAATCGTCTATTAAGAAAGGTGCTCCTGAAGCTAATGCACAATCAGCTAATACCAATAGCGAGGTAGTCGGAGTTCCAAAGGCTAAATCGACATCAACTTCCGAGGATTCTGGTATTCGATTACAGCGTTCCACCTCAATGAATGCTGCAGCAAATGGATTGATACCACCCCCTTTATTTCCCTCAAGCTTGAAGCCCAGTGCCAGCACGACAGATGCAAATGCAGAGGTGGTAGACCCTATCAATGGTGACACTGCTGGTGACTTTAGCTCAGGCTTCAAATCGATACAGGATAATAACAGCTCTAATATAAGTCCTATAACCACCACTTCAGATAGCAAGCAATCGATGGGCCTCACCCCAGTTAGCATATCTGGGCTAGAGAAGTTTTTTGAATCACCAAAAATGTCAATGTCTGGCCAATCCAGTCCAGCAGGCCAGACTGATATCGATCAAGCACAACAAGATACTGCAAAAACTAACGTTCAGGGATATGCAAGCAATTCGAGAACTAGTGCAAGCTCTAGAAATCCAGGTTCTAATACGGCTGGATCAACCAGTCAGAGTCCAACCGATTCTGACTTGCTAAACGAAATGTTTATAGACTCCATTTTTCAGCAAAATTTAAGCAAACCTGCAGAGGACGACGATTTACTTGGCTGGTTTGATATGAACATGGCGCCGGAGTTTTAATGTCAAACTTAATTTACTTTTTAATCCTGCTTTTTGTTATGTACACTTACTTGATAATTTATGTTTATTAGAGAAAAGGATGACAAATATGTATATAAAGAACGAAAGAGATAATAGACAATCAGTTAAGGAGGAATCAAAACCGTGAATGGAGATATTAAACGAGAGAAGACTAGTAAAAAGATATGAGAACTATAGTAGTACGGGTCGATGAATGATGTGAAAACGGGAAGAAAAAGTAAAGAGAAAAGAGAGGAAAAGGGTAATAAGTAAGAGAAAAAGAGAAATTTTATTCCTCCTCAGCAGTTTCTGATTCGTTAAAGGGATCCATGATACCACCTTGACCTATAGCAAAAATACATTCAGTTTCAGCAAGACATGGAGAATCATAAATCTTGCAAATTCTATTTGCACCTTTACCTTTCTTGAAGTACAACCGAGTCGTTGAGGAATGGGCAATGATGTTACCGCCGATAGGCTTTTTTGGGTCTGGATTGAATAAAGCACCACCATCGACCTGGGCCACAACCTGGTTCGTAATCACCACAGCAATACCGAACTCATCTGCTAATCTTTGTAAAGTTCTCATAAACCTAGCGACATGCATTTGACGTGCACTTAACTCTCCACGACCGCTGTAATCAGTTCTGTACAATGCCATTATGGAATCAACCACCAAAAGGGAAAAACGGCTCTGTGCCATCATCTGAGCAGCCTGATTGAGTAATTGAAGTTGATGGTCCGCATTGTACGCACGTGCGTATGCAATATTCTCCATAGCTTCGTGTTCATCCAAGCCAAAACGACGTGCAATTGGAACAATACGAATAGGTCTGAAGGTGCTCTCAGTGTCAATGAACAAGCATTTGCCCTCACCGCCGCCCATTTCCACAGGCAACTGTGCTGTAACAGCCAAGGTGTGACAAAGTTGTGATTTACCTGTTCTGAACTCACCAAATATTTCGGTGATGGCGCCGGTCTCAATACCACCGCCTAGTAACGTGTCGAGCTGTTTGGAGCCGGTTGTTAGAGTGATCAACTCTGAACGACGTTGATGGAACTCGGTGGCGGTAGTGAAGCCCAGCGGAACAATCTTTGAAGCCTCTGAGATTAATTTATCCGCCTTCTGGTCTGAGATCCCCTTTATTGTGGTGAGAATTTTCTTCGGGGTATAAGCTATAGATTCAACGGTACATAGGCCTGCTTCCTGTAATTTTTCAATATCCTTCTTGGAGATCCCATTTCCAATGAGCGCTTCCACAGGGGATGGACCTATCTGACCCTCATCATCTTCGTCCTCCTGTCCGTATGACTCTCCAGTGCCTTCACGATGCCCCGTGGTGGTGGTCGTAGCAACTGTGACAATCGAAGTACCGTTTCCTGACGCGTCAGTCATGGCCGTGTCTTGGTTGGTGTCTGGCTGTTCCCCGTACTCTTGAGATTCGTAAGAAAGATCTATCGGCTCCTGTGTCATTCTTTATAATGCTTTGCTATCTATTACTGCCTCTCTTCCTTTCAGATTCCCTTCTTATGGACAAACTGTCTTCTTTTCCATTTGTGGATGCAGAGGCAAACATGGCACAAACAAAAAATAGAGATCGCCGATCTGATAGCAAAATCATGTCGCGAGATGCTGCCAAAACTTAATTTGTCTAAAAGAGTGGAAGATAGCAGTGAAGAGGGGTATAGTAAGCAGAAGAGGACGTAGAACGAGCTATTATTCCGCAGTGCAAACGGTATATAGAGAGCAGCAACAGCTTAACAAGTTCTAATGCTATTGCAGACCAATGTTCGAAAAGAGTCTGTTTCTTTCCCCGTCCTGGACGGAGATGTGGATTCCCGATCGGAGGCAGAGTCAGACGCTGAGCAACAGGATGTCGTGGCCATTTCCTTTCGGCCTGGGAAAGGAGAAGAGGGCTATGACTATGATTCTGAAGAAGCAGGAGGAGGAGTAGAAGAAGAAGAAGAGGGAGGCGACGATGGCACCGTTGATGGGGCCAATTCCAGAGCAGCAGACATGGAAAGCATTTTGACCAAGCTGTTCGATAAAGACCACACGAATTTGAGCCTTATATTGGACAAGGCCGATTGCTTTGAAGACAAAGAAACCAACAAAAGAGTTATGGAGCATTTGCAGAGGTTGAAAAACTTGAGTAACGAGTTATATCAGAAAACATACGACGTCGACCAGCGCACATACTTGTGTTACATGACCACAACTACCAAGGATTTAAGCGAAATTGACGGAGTGATTCTCCGTCATTATTACTTGGAGAAATTTGTCTGGAAGTCAGACCTTTTGTCGTCACTTAGGATCCTATGCTCGAGGCTCTTTTTCAAGGGCGAGTCCCAAAATATTGACATTATGATACATTCGTTTGCCAACAATTGGTTCAGCAGATTCAACCAACCCTCTTTTATTTATGGAAATATCATTGGCGTGTATTTGGTCACTTACGCTCTAATCTTGCTCAACACCGATCTGCACAACGATCAGATTATTGCCAGCTTGAGAAGTAGCTCCCAACAGTCGCTGGCTGTATCAGGTATGAAGATCACCCGCAAGAAATCAGGGTCTCTTTTTGATATTTTCAGTCATGACACTTCATCCAGCATTGCTGAAAACGAATCTGAGGGAAGCAAATGCGTGATCACCTGCATAACAAAGAACCAGTTTGTCATGAACACCATAGCTGCCTTGAATGATAATTTTGTTGTCGTCAACCCGTTAATCATGAGAAAGCAATTGCGGTTGTATTATTCTAATGTGAAATCTCATGAAATACTCCTTCCTAAATTTGATGTTGATACTGAGCTTGGACAGACAAGCACAACTGTAAATGGGAAGAGGATGGAACCAGGAGCTGGAGCGGACACCCACAGATTGAACCCCGAAGACTCGACAGCAAATGATGTCTTGATTGTAGGCGAAGACCCAAACGACGAGGTTACCGAACTGAGAACCTTGCCATCATTGAAGCCTGCTAGCTCATTACCTTCTGTTGCATCAACGAGGACAAGTTTCGAAGTTGTCTCAGGTACAATCAAAGAGACAGCAGGTTCTTTTGGGTTTTTGAAAGAAACCGAGAAGCACGAGACGTCTGCGGGGCTCGACACTACTAATATCACAGATTCCCCCATTGTGAAAGAAGGTCTTCAGAAGGTACTAGTGAACGACCTATACCTTGTAGCGGACCGGAATTACGAAAGATACAACAGTAGCGCATTGTTGTTCAAAGATGTTCCTGAAGTTCACTCGACACCTGCTCCACCGGCTCCACAGACCCTCAGAAGGAAGAAGTCGCTGATTGATCGCATAATGAAATCTCGGAGAAATAATAGAAAGGAGAAGGATTTGACGACGACGACGATCATGACAAGAAAGCCGACGAATTCCATGACGACGCCGAAAAGATCTGAATTCAAATTTGCCGAATGTTTTGTTGCAATCTGTGACGGGGAGTTGCGGATTTTCGAGTTTGACAAAAACCCAGATAAGGTGAACAGTTACAGTGGACATGGAAGGGGAGAGTGGACCGATTGGGCGCAATGCTTAGCGAGCGTCTCGTTGGCAGGCTGCTATGCAGAAGTGATTGGGAAAAGCAGGCGTAGGTCTAGCCGGGAGGAGAAGGAGAAGCTGACCGAGAGGTTTGGCGACCGGGTGTACTGGAAACTCGAGTTGCCGTACTCTATGATGGAGCTGGTGAACGACCAGTTGCGAGAAAGCGAGCTTCCCGTAGTGGGCCCCGGCCAGAAGGTAGGCATGAGGAGGAACAGCAGCAGGAGAGAACGGGAGCAGCGCAGTGAGCGGCGGGAGAAGTTCGAGAAGATGATCTTCAGTGCCTACAGCGAGGAGACGGCGACGGAGTTTGTCAAAACGTGCAACTACTGGGCCGGAATGCAGAGCAGGGTGCCAAGTGTGAAGACGCAGTTTTTCGACGAGATGAAGCTGACGTCGTTCGAATATGGGTTCTCCGAGGAAATCGTGGCGATCATCACCCGCCTAGCCGGTACCGTTCCGCCCGACGGTACTCCTGCAACTTCTCCTACTATTTCTGCTGCTGAACGCAAAGAGCTTGTCAACAGGCTGCGGCCGTTGCTGCTCTCCGAGAAGGGCATCGCAGATTGGCGGCCGATCGTGCGCTCGTGTGTGGCCGTGGCCGAGCCCGTCTCTGCCGAATCCCAGGCCCAGGGGATCGCCTGCTACATGGACGAGTTAAGCAGTGCCTTCTGCCACGAACGCCGGTTGCTGCAGCTTGTCCGGACCGTGTACAACAAGGTTCTCCTCCACCACGAGAGCCGGCCGCTGCTCGAGGCCGTCTTGACCGTGTACGAGAACCACAGGACGGCGTGTCTTGCGCTGCTGCGCGAGCGGAGACGGTGGCGGGTGCAGCGGTGTGTGCTTCTGGAGACGGCGGCGGGTGGCAAAGAGCAGGTGTAGGGCACGATATAGCTAGCTATGTAGAGGGGTCTAGCCCACTAATAGAGATACAGACGACTCCAAACCATAGCGATTGGCAGGATAGATTTGACAGAAGCAACGGCGACCGGAATCAAGACTGAGCAGAAGTGAGCAGGCTTTCATCGAAACAAATTCAGTAGACCTAACTAGACAGATAAAATATTAATAGACAAGATATAGAACAGAATGTCGGACCCTTCTTCAATCAACGGTGGTACCGCAGTGGCCATGGTGGGCAAGGACTGCATTGCGATTGCCTCGGACATGCGTTTGGGCTCACAGTCGCTCGGTGTGTCGAACAACTTCGAGAAGATCTTTAACTACGACCACGTTTTCTTCGGGCTCACGGGCCTAGCGTCGGACGTGATCACCGTGAACGAGAACTTCCGGACCAAGACGAACCTATACAAGATGCGTGAGGAACGCAACATTGAGCCGGAGAAGTTCGCCAACTTGGTGAGCTCGAGCTTGTACGAGCGCAGATTCGGGCCGTGGTTCGTTGGCCCCATTGTGGCCGGGCTCAACTCCAAAACGGGGAAGCCTTTCATCTGCGGGTTTGACTCGATCGGCTGCATCGACTTCGCCAAAGACTTCGTTGTTTCCGGAACCGCCTCGGACCAGTTATTCGGTATGTGCGAGACGTTGTACGAGCCAAACCTCGAGCCAGAGGACCTCTTTGAGTGCATCTCGCAGGCGTTGTTGAACGCCGCTGACAGAGATGCGTTGAGTGGTTGGGGTGCTGTTGTGTACATAGTGACGAAGGACAAGGTGGTGAAACGATACTTGAAGTCTAGACAGGACTGATCGAGACCCTGATCCGCGTCTTGTCCTCCTTCTGCTCCTCCTTCTCCCTCTCCTTACTACATACATAGGATTGTAGCTTTAACTAATAGTAATTCGTCACATACAGAGAGTATAAATCAACACAAAACGGTATCAAAGACGGCGGCGATGACGACGCCACCACCGAAGACCACGGAGATTTGTGCTACATACGTGCGTCAGTGTGAACTGTTCTCCCTTTTTCTATAAACATGTTTTTCCGTTGAATGCATCGTGCCACTCTTTGTCGTGCTCATTTGGCCTCTGGCGGGTTCTGCTGCTGCATCCTCTTCTGGTACTCTAGCTCAACAACCTTCTTGAGGTACCCGTTTTCGCCCCACTCCTCTTCCTCTCTCTTCTTTTTCTTCTCCTCCAGCAGCTTGTTTTTCTCCTTCCGCTGCAGAATCTGCAAACGGTCGTTGGCAAGCCGGTTCTCGTGCAAGCACTGCGAGAGCTGGATTTTCACATCACTGCACTTCCCCAGTACGGTTTCAAAGAACGGAGAACGGTGGCACTCCTCGAGGGCGTCGATGAGGTCTTCGCAGTTCTGGAAACGGTCACGGTCGAGAATAGGATGCATCTGCGGGCTTCTGTTTGTGCTTGTGTTTGTGCCTGTATCGTTTGCTTGTGGCTGTGCTTTCCAACCCCGAACCACAGCTAAAACATGGCATGCTTTTAGCCTTAGCTTCCTTTGTAGCTTCCACTGAGGAAAAAAAGAAAAACGCTGAGCTGCAATTTGCAAACCGCGTAAGGCGCAGAGGGAGGGCCGCAGACTCAGTCAGAACCATCAGCGATCTGTTTGGAGGGGAAAGGAGGATAATGGATGTCAGTGGGAGGAACACATGGGTCACACCGTCAGCAGATACGGACAGAGAAACTTGTGCGCATAAGCAATGACCTCCGCCACCGATGAGAAGGAGATATTTGATTTCCTAGACTCGCTACCTACAGACGACGCATCATCCTCCAATGCAGACGCAACGGCATCGGCAGCAATAAACAAGAGCTCTGGCTCGGGAGCCACGCAGCAGACATTGAAGAGCGGCACCGACGCAGATGGAAAGAAAACGAACGATGACATTTTCGAATTCTTGGACGAACTGGAGGGCAAGAACAAGGAAAGCGGCAAGAAGAATAATACCTATACAAAGAGCAGTGGCAGCAACGACAATAACAACAAGAATGAGGCCAAACTCGAATCTTCTAACGAAACCATAAAGGATGACGAGAAGAGTGAGGGAGCAGGGAAGAAGTCAACACCCGTGGCGCCGCCATTGAGAACAGACGAGCCTGTGAACGATCCGATTACTTCGATTGCTTCGTGGTGGAGCAGTACGGGCAGTGCCAAGGTATCGACACAGCTCTCCTCATTGTGGGGCACAGCGCAGTCCATAGGGGAGCAGGCGCAGAAACAGGCCGAAGATGCCCTCAAGAAGGCCCGGGAGCAGAGTCTCGAGGACAACATCCGGACTGCGGTGAAGGAGCTTGGTATCTCCGGCGTGCGTGATAACATCAACGAGATGTTGACTGAGGAGCAGAGAGCCGAGTTGATGAGGTTGCCCGTGCCGGACGCCAAAAAGGCGTTGGAGAGCTTGAACTCCGGGCTGAACATGGGCCTCTCCTTTGTCGGAGGCACCTTGAATGAGGTTGTCGAAAGAATAAACGCCATGAACAACAAGGACGAAGTGATTGAAATCGTTCTTGTGCACGACATGAAAAACTTTATTGGACTCACAGACATGGTCAAGTACAACTTCGAGGACGTGATGAGCCAGCAGGTGGATGGGTCGATCGAAGTGAACGTCCACGGTAGCGGCACGATCAAATCATTGCAGGAGGGCCAGGCAGGGAGCCATTCCAGTACCACCGACGATGTAGACCACACAAGTGAGGAAAGAATTGACTTTGCGCTATTCAACGGTAAGGGCTCCGATGCGGAGAAGTTGATCATGGCCAACATCGAGAACGAGATGAAGAGAAGGACGGAGAGAGAAGATCCTGCTAACGAGTCCTCCACCACAGACTCAAACCCATCATCACCAGCGTTGTCGAATTTGGGAAATACAGACCCGGAGTCGGGTGAATCTGAGAGCGCTGTCAAAACTAGAAAGACTACCATCTACATCAGTTTACTTGCATGGACATCTAACAAAGACAACACGTTGAACAACGGCAAGGAGATCGTGATTGACTCCCACTCGTCCTCGTCCTTCACCATATCCTGTGTGCTCAAGGATGAGGGACATGGCATAACCATTCACTCCCAATCCCAGCCGCTGCCTTTGAAGTGGGCACAATGGATCGAGGGCAACCTCGAGGAGGGAGAGAAGGAGGATGACATCGATCCAAGCGAGTGGGTCATTGGATGGGTCAAGAACGCCATCTCCAACGCCATTGGCGTGACGTCCCAGTCCTACATCATCAAAAGAATGGGTTACTAGAGATGTCCAACTTCTCTGTTTATTCTTGTGGTGCTCTTTTTTTTCTTTTAAGTTTTAATCTATATCGTAATATAAGCAGACGCTGAGTTGAATAATAAGGCGGCAGGGTAAACGTACCGTTTGTGGAGAGAGGAAGAAAAAACTTGGCCGGTCTGGAATTCCAGTTCATAGAACGGTTAATTGTATGGTTGCAAACGGTAGGACTCAGTCCTTGACACCGTTGTATTGGTCGAGGATCTTGGCCAAGCCTTTGTCGGTCACCGCCAACAGCTTGTTGTCCCAGTCAACGACCAAGGGTGGAACGAAGAGCTTCCCGTCCACCTCCTTGAGACCTCTCAACTTCTCAGAGTCAATGCTCTGCAAATCTTTGAGAAGGTCTTTGCCCTTGGTCAGTTCCGGGAACGCCGTCTTAAGGGCTTTCTTGCAGAAAGGATGCATGTGGAGAGCCTCCTTGAAGAACTCGAACTGCTCTGGGGTTGGAGGTAGTGTCGTTGGGTCAATGGTGTACTTGAACTCGCCGTTGTTTGCAGACTCGGGGGACTTGGCAACGTTGTCCTTGAGCATCTTTAAGAGCGACTCGGAGGCTTTGCTTGCTGGGTTGTGGCTGTAGGAGAATTGGTGGAAGCTGCGTGTTAGTATCACTGAACCGGCGTGACCATCTGTCTATCTTTCTCGCTGTACATACAAAAGGGTGATGACTCCACCCATTCCCTGGAGGGACTTGAACATGGACATTTTGCTTTGCTAAGTTAGACTGCTTATGTAGATCTGCACTGCTTGGTCACTGTATCGCAAGAGCTGAAGGTTAAGAAGAACATCCGCCTTTTATGCAGCCCCGAGGAAGAGATGATACCCCAGATTCGGGGGTGTGGGCGGACCCTAGAGGGCGAGAAGCGAGAAATTGTGAGGAAATGACGGGGCGTGTGAGGCCGGCTTGTTCGGAGTAGTGTTAGGTGGGGTGGGACGGTACAGAGGGAACGCAAATTACATAGGCGGCTAGGGGAAGTAGCCAAATACTTCTTCGCCGCGTCTCTGGGACCAGAGAGGCATGTTTGTTCTCATCTTGTCGACGACATCGAGGTCGATATCGGCGACGCAGAGCTGGTCGGCGTCGGAGGCGTCCGAGCACTCGGCCAGGATGGTGCCGTTCGGGTCGATGATGCAGGTGTGTCCGTAGCTCTCCCTCTTGGAGCCTATCGCCGGGGTGTCTGGAGCAGCGGCGGAGCCCTTGGTGTCGGCAAGGACGTCATGGACGCCCTTCTGTGCAGGAAGGACGACGTAGGACTGGGTGAGGATGGCCATGGACCGGCCCAAGACCTGGAAGTGCGGACCCGTCTTCATTGTCCAGGCAGACGGGTACGTGAGGATCTCTGCGCCGAGCGTGCGGAGACGGAGGGCCAGCTCCGGGAAGCGCAAGTCGTAGCAGATGGCCAAGCCGAGCTTCCCTGCCGGGGTGTCGAACGGAGGGAGCACCTCGGAGCCTGGCTGGACCGAGTTGGACTCCTTGAGGATGGGTCCGTTCGGAATGTCGACATCAAACAAGTGCAGCTTCTGGTACCGGTGCAGAAGTTCGCCGTCCGCGTCGAGGTAGACGAGGGTGTTCTTGGTGCGTTGCAGCGGGTCGTTGGCCGCCGGCTCGTGGATGCCGACGGCCACCTGGATCGACTGTCCGCCGCAGTGCAGTTCCTTCAAGGTGGCTCGGATCGTCTCGATGAACGGCGACGTCTCATACGACTGCGCAAGCGCCTTGGAGTGGGTGGCGTTCGAGGCAATATAGTCTGCTGCCTCTGGAAGGAAGATGATCTTGGCATTCTGCGCCACCGCCCTGCGGATCAGGGCGGCTGCCCGCAGGCCGTTTTCCTTGAGGCTTGAAGAGGAGCAGAGCTGGCCGGCCGCAACAAGAACCATATTTGGGAGCAGTGGTGGGGGCTGCGGTTACCTGAGTGTGCCAATGGGTACTCAGTGATCAGCGGCTGCTCAACCTTTCTGGTGGAAGGCGGCCTTTCTTGAGTCAGATTGCCAAGAGACAGAGAGATAAAGAGAGGCGAAACGGGAGTGTGGCGCGGGCCGCTGTGTCTCCAATGGTGTGGCGGTGCAGGCCGTTTTTTTTTTCATGAAATTTTCAGTTTTAGTGACGGAAAGATGAAGAATAAGAAGAAGACGGAGGAAAAGAAGGAGGGGAACCCGGGGAAGAGAACACAAACCACAAGATGAGTGCAGAAAGAACAGTGTCGTTGTGCGTTCCGGCTGCGGTTGTGTGCAGACACAACCGGAACTTGGACCAGCTGACGCATGCTGCGTACGAGATTGCGAGAAGCGCATGCATGTTCAAGGTGAGCGAGGTGATCGTGCTCGGAGAGGGGAAGGAGGACCGGAACAGTCTTGTGCTCGGGTCGTTGCTGCAGTTCTTCATCACGCCGCGGTACTTGGTGCAGGAGACGTTTGCGAAGGCGTTTGCTAGCGGGCAGTTGCCGCGGAACGTGTTCAACAAGGCCAAGACGCTACCGCTGGTTCCGACGCTGCTGGAGTACCTCCAGCCGGGCGTGAACAAGGCGTGCAAGTACCGCGAGGGCATCAGCATCAACAAGAACGTGCTGAAGCACCGTCGGAAGAACGCGAGCGGCAAGGTGTGCAAGGTGCCCAAGGCACACAAGACGACCCGCTTTGTGCAGGTGGGCGCCGGCGAGGTGCTGGAGCTTGCCGGCGAGACGGACGGGCTTCCGCTCAACGTGCGTGTCACCGTGGACATGGCCGAGAAGAAGGTGGTAGGCGTGCAGGAGGCGTGGGGCCCGTACACCGGGTACGTGGTGCGTCTTGCCGCGAGCGTGGAGGATGTCTTCACGGAGGTGAACACTGCGCTTGTGGGCGAGGACGGCTACGACATGAGCTTGGTGGCGAGGACCAGCGACTTCTTTGCCCGCACGAAGACGAAGACGCCGGCCCTGGCCACGCTTCCGGAGGTGTCCAGGGAGGAGGCCGGCCACAAGAGCCACGTCCTTGTGGTGGTGACGGGCCCCGCCGGCGAGGGTGAGGCGGAGGACGAGGCCGGGGAGCTTTTTGATGGAGCGATACGGGTGCCCGAGGGGTCGCGGGTGGAGGAGGGCGTTGTGATTGCGCTGAGCGTGGCGTGTCGGTGGTAGAAGCTGCGGAGACGGCGGGGACGGGGACGCGTGTAGCGGCAGCAGAGTAGTCTGGGGTATCTAGCAAGCAGCACCAGTATCTAGCACACAGCACCAGTATAGAAGCGCCGCCATGCCGAAAGGAATATTGAAGAACGCCCACACGGACGCCGCGTACCGCACGGAGTCGCCGAACGAGCTGGACCGCGAGAAGGCCGTGTTCGACAGACAGAAGGTGATCGAGAACACGAGACTGAACGCCCAGCTGTCGCACGCCAAGGGCGTTCCCGGGCTGCAGCACATCGAGCAGAAGAAGCAGCGGGGGGAGGCCTTGAGCGAGGAGGAACAGTTGCGCTGGGACGAGCGCAACTTGCTTGTGAACGAGATGGAGAAGAGCGCCACCATGAAGATCGACGAGCCCAAGACGCCCTACGAGGGCGGCTTCGACCCGAACAACGACTACTACCGCACCGACAACGAGGCGGACGACGGCGCCGACGGCGCCGACGCCCGTGACGACCCCTTCGACCTCGGAGAAGGGCTGGACGACGCCGACGACGTCCAGCGGGGCCACATCGACGTTGTTGCCGGCGACCCGCCCCACCCAGTGCTGGCGGCCGCCGGACCTGCTGAGCCCAGCGCCGACGAGAAGCACCGGCGCTTCGAGGAGAAGCGCAAGCAGCACTACCACCTGAAGGCTGCCCCGTTGAAGGAGCACCACGTCCTCCCCGCCGCCGACGACGACGACGACGACGACGACACTGCCGCCGACCGCCCTTGACTCTGCTCCGGCCCCGTCCCCCGTCCCCCGTCCCCCGTCCCCGTTTCCCTCCCTCTTTCTTCTGTATACACCCTCAACCTGTCTACTTTGACCTCATCTCCTGCGTTTTACGCCGATCGGCCCTCCGCCCCTTTTTCCGCCCGCAGGCAGAAAAAATCTCGCAACCCCGGCTTATCGATCGTCCCACAGCCGGCACAGACGTTTCTGGCAAAAAAAAAAGGCCTAAAATGCTCGGCGGAACTGCGTCAGGGCCAAAAGCGGAGCGAAAAATGCTCAGCTCATGTCCAGCCGAGCCGAGCGCCCGACCGAGCGCCAGATGCGGGACCTACAGCCCGCCCTTCTTAAAGAAGGGTGTCCCCGTTGCCCCGTCTTGGAGATGTCGCCACCGTGGGGTCTGGTCACGGGGAGGTTGGGGGTCCGGATAGCTATCAGACAGCTATCAGACAGCTAGCAGACTGGGGTGAGACAGCGAGAAGGACAGCGAGATAGCAAGGGACACACAATGAAGCTCACGAAAACACCGATGCTAGCACTGCTGGTGGCTTGCGCCAGCACAGCGGTGTCGCAGGCGCAGGCTCACGGACACGACATGGACATGGACGTGGAGGCGACGGAAACGAGGCCTGCGGCGCCGGCGGCGCCTGCGACGGCCACGGACTGGGACGCGGTGACGGCGACGCCGTGGGCAGGCGGACACGCCCACGGGGTGCCGATTCTGCAGACGAAGCTGACGCCGGAGCAGCAGAAGTACTGGGAGAGCTACAACACCACGACGTACCTCACGCTCGAGTCGCCGTACAGCGGCCACATCCACGCGCACCTGGCGCTCCTCTTCATCTCGGCGTTTGTGCTGTACCCGTTCGTGCTCGTGCTCAACAACCTCGAGTCGAACTGGTTCTTGCCGCTCCTGGCCGTGCAGGCGTCGCTCTCGGTCGTGTCGTGCATCCTCTACTCGGTGTTCATCAACAACGTGCCGGACTTGTATCCCAACATGGCGTACACGAAGATGGTGACGGGCTGGTTTGTGCTCACGCTCCTGCAGGCCCTCTTTGCCGTGGTGAACTCCGTCCGCAGATGGGTCCGGCCCGCCGGCGGCGCCGGCGGCTTCCAGCCGCTTGCTGCCGGCCCAGCGGCATTCAACCGCTTCACGGACAACGCCGCCGACGCAGCGGCCGCCGGGAAGACCGCCGGCAAGGCCGACAACATCCAGCTCAACGACTTCTGCTCGCCCTCGTCAACCCTCTTTGACGACGACAACGCAGACACCGACTCCTTCAACCTGGACGACGACGACAACTCCGCCAGCGCGACAATGCACGGCCTGGGCCTCAACTACAATGGCAACAGCACAAACAATACCCTGAGATCCGGCTCCAACTCCGGCTCCAACTCCGGCTCCCCGCTAGCCTCCACCTCCCAGTTGACAAGGTCCCGGAACGCCGTCATGCAAGCCCTCTCCTCTTCGAAAGCCCTCACCGTCCTCTCCTCATCCTTTGGCTCCCTCTTCACCTTCCTCCACAGCGTCACCACCTGGGTCCTCCTGGCATACTTCTTCGTGCTCTTCCCAACGGCGCTCTCTTGCTTGAACTTGTTTGGCAAGGGACAGAGGGTCTTCAACCTCTTGGCCCACTTCATCAAAGGCGGGGTGTTTTTCACCTTGGGCCTACTCTCCTTGGCCCGTTACTGCGGCTGCTTTGCAGGTATTGGAGGAGGCTGGAACTACGCATACATCGATTTAGACAGAAACAAGTCCCAGAATTACTCAACGGTCTCCGAAGCAGACCGTGCAATGTCCGGAATGGGTGGCACAGGCTCCGGCGGTTCTGACGTTGCTCACTCCTTCTGGATCAGGTGCCATCAGCTCCTCACCCCCCGTGACGTCATCAACAGATATGGCGGCTTGATTTGCACCTTTGAGTCCGTCGAGTCCTTCCTCATCTTTTTCTACGGCTGCTCCAACGTCTTCCTCGAACACTTGGCCTCCACAGATGGTGTCTGGACCGCCAAGGACTTGCAACACGTCTCCATCGCATTCATGTACTTTGGTGCAGGTTTATGCGGACTCATCACAGAGTTCAAACTCTCCTCATGGAGACGCTCGCTATTTTTCAACGTTGCCGGTAAGCAGCTTGCCACCACCGAGAACATTCAGCTTGACGATAACCTGACTATCGACGACCAACACCACATTTTGGGATCGAACAAGATGATTACTCCAGGTTTCTCACCTAACCCCTTCCCAGTATTCACAATCTTCTGGACAGGAGTGTTGATGTCCAAGCACGCCCAAGCGTCAGCCTTGTCTTCTGCAATTCACGTTCAATGGGGATCACTTTTAACATACGGTTCTTTCTTCCGTGTCTTTACATTCTTCCTCATGTCATACTATCCTCTGCATGGCTCGAGAGAGTGCTTCCTGCCTTCTAAGCCATTGACGGAGTTGGTCACCAGTTTCTGCTTGCTCTGTGGTGGTATGGTCTTCATGGAGAGCACCGACCAAGTCATTGAAGCGTTGGCCTACAGGGGCTTAACCCCAATGTTTACCATCAACGTTAGTGTCGGGATCATCAGTTTACTCATGGCCTGGGTTATGTTCATCTTCGCCGTCAAGGATAGAATGAGAGCCAGAATGTTGGCAAACTAGAGGGATATAAAAACTACTCAAAAGGGAAGATAAAAGCAACAGCAACAGCAAAAGCAAAAGCAAAAGCAAGAACAAAAAACAAAAAAAATACTTAAAAAATCAAGTCTAATCAATTAAAACTGTTAACCCTGTTATGTCCGCCCCTTATTACCCGATAATCTTATTCTTTACACACCTACCTATTGTGTTACTTGTTTTCTTTTCTCACTGTTGAATCTTGCTATTATTACGTTCCTGTCAAGTGTTACTTCAGTATTTTTTATGACTTATGTCCCATATGCCCTTACTATTACTGCCAATGAACCTCTGTATTTTGTTTTCTTTATTTCTCCTCCATCTTATTCTTAATATCTTGTTGTCACCCTATTCTTTTACGTCCTAATTTTTAATTTATTTTACTCCTTAATCGACCACCAAAACCTTTTTTTATCGACTTGTGTTACTTCTGTATATTCGAATTCAAAGCTTGTGAGAACGATAAGATGGATGGCCGGAATTAGTCGGACTTTCCGTACATCTGGTTGTCCTTTGTTCAGTGCATCTTACTATAAATAGACTGTTTACTAATGTTGGCAGATCTGTCTTGGCCACCGCACGCAGGAACAATAAGCCTCTGATTTTTTTTGATGTCCGTGGTCAATCTTCTGCCTAGCTGCTAATAAAGCCCGGTCTGTTTTTAGAAACATACGGCTCAGCGCTGTTTTTTTACCGAGGGGCCGAGAGATCGACGGACTGAACAGTGTTGAGGCATTCCCCTTAGTCGTCCTTTTTGTCACATTTCGGTCTTTCCAAAGTATCGTTTGACAAAAAGACCTATTTTAAAGGATACAATTGAAGTGCTTATGTATGCTTTTTGAGCTACATATGGCAAAGGGGAATCAATTGAAAACACACAGACGATTTCCGACTTCAACCGATGTAGTCCGACGCCGATTGACCAAGACCGAACCTGTTTGCAACAGGTTATAGCGCAGCCGGAAACATTTATGTCGACTCCTTTTTGGTTCCGCCGCTTGGTATTTCTTTAAAATCATTGGATCTGCCCCTATTGGTTTTATTCGGCTTAGTATGGGAAGACAGATACGGTAGTGTAGTACAATCTTGCTTCGTGTTTTGCTCCTGGGAGCACACTTTAACAACCTGTATTACTCGCTTTTTTAACTTACTATGAAGCTCAACAGACTAACACTTACAGCTTTGCTGCTTGCTTTCTCTGGCACAGTACTGTCAAATTCTGAGCCACATGCTCATAACAATATCATTACAATGGGCACCACAACTGCCGATTGGGATATGGTCAAGGCTACACCTTGGGCGGGGGGCCATGTTCACGGAGTACCAATCCTCAACACAACGCTAACGTTGGGGCAACAAAAGTATTGGAAAAGCTACAACACCACTACTTATCTTACGCTGGACAGTCCATACAGCCCTTACGTTCACCTTCACCTAGTGCTCCTTTTTGTCTCGGCCTTTGTCTTCTATCCGTTCGTGCTCGTGCTCAACAACCTTGAGTCAAACTGGTTCTTGCCACTCCTGGCCGTGCAGGCGTCGCTTTCGGTCGTGTCGTGCATCCTCTACTCGGTGTTCATCAACAACGTGCCGGACTTGTATCCCAACATGGCGTACACGAAGATGGTGACGGGCTGGTTTGTGCTCACGCTCCTGCAGGCCCTCTTTGCCGTGGTGAACTCCGTCCGCAGATGGCTGCCTTCAAACAACAGCATATCAGGGTTTCAGCCATTTCCTACCACCGACTCTAGCCATTACACTGATGACGTTGTTAACAATTCTAGCCTCTCAAACGAAGCCGCTTCAACAAGCATTCAACTGGAGGACTTCTTCACCCCTTCGTCCAATCTTTTGGCGAACAGCATGGAGGGCCTGAACTCCAGTTTCAATAGCGACAGCTCTCTCAGGATCCCATCGGGATTGGACACAGACTTTTCTTCAGCTTTGACAACAAAAGTCAAAAGTTACAGTAGCCTACTTGGACAAACTATTTCAAGAATTTTGTACACCTTGGCTTTTTCCTTCGGCTCTCTTTTTACAATTCTTCACAACGTTACCACCTGGGCTTTACTTGCATACTTTTTTGTACTTTTTCCAACTGGTCTTTCGTGCTTGAGCTTGCTAGGTAAGGAACGAAGGGTTTTTAATTTATTGGCCCACCTTATCAAGGGCGGTATTTTCTTCATACTCGGCTTGGTCTCCTTAGCCCGTTATTGCGGTTGCTTTGCAGGAATTGCGGGAGCATGGAATTACGCATACGTTGATTTAGACAGCAACAAGTCACAGGAGAGCTCAACTGTTTCCGAAACGGACCGTGTCATGTCAGGAATGGGAGGAACAGGCTCAGGTGGTTCAAACGTTTCCCACTCTGTCTGGATCAGGTTCCACCAAGCACTCAATTCTTACGAAAACAGGGGCGGAGGCTTGATCTGCAGCTTTGAGGCTATTGAGTCTTTCCTTATTTTTTCTATGGTTGCTCCAACGTCTTCCTGGAGCATTTAGGCTCCAGGGACGGTTCATGGAGCGCTATGGATTTGCAGCACGTCTCAATTGCTTTTATGTACTTTGGTGCAGGACTGTGTGGTCTTGTAACCGAGCTAAAGCTATCTTCTTGGAGGCGTTCATTATTCTTCAACGTTGCAGGTAAGCAACTTGAGATTGCTGAAAACATTAAACTTGACGATGACTTGACTGCTGATGAAAAGCTCCGAATTATAGGATCGAAGAAAATGATTACTCCAGGTTTCTCACCTAACCCCTTCCCAGTATTCACAATCTTCTGGACAGGAGTGTTGATGTCCAAGCACGCCCAAGCGTCAGCCTTGTCTTCTGCAATTCACGTCCAATGGGGATCACTTTTAACATACGGTTCTTTCTTCCGTGTCTGTACGTTTTTACTCATGTCATACTATCCTCTACATGGCTCGAAAGAATGCTTCCTACCATCCAGGCCATTCACAGAGCTTGTTACCAGTTTCTGCTTGCTCTGTGGTGGTATGGTTTTTATGGAAAGCACCGACCAAGTGGTTGAAGCTCTAGCGTACAGGGGCTTGACTCCGATGTTCACTCTCAATGTAAGTGTTGGAATCGCCAGCTTGATAATGGCTTGGGTTATGCTTATTTTTGCCGTTAAAGACAGAATGAGAGCTGAACAATTGGCTAAATAGATTATACCTGTTCAAATAACGTTACTAACCACCTTCTTATTCACTAAGTTTATGTGTTTTTATTTTCCCTGGTTGTTGAACCTTGCACTTAAAACTTGTAATATGTGATAGCAATACTCAATGTTATATCCCATTCGCCTATACCATTTCTGCCAACGAATTTCAATACTTTCTTACGTCCCTTATCATATACTGCCATCCTGATCTTTACTCTTCTTTTATTAACCTAGCGTCAAAGTTTTTTCTTTTCGAGTTGTGTTACTTTTATATACTGAAAAGTAGAATATATATCAATGTATGCATGCATGACTCTTTCTATCATTGCATTGAAGCTCACAAATACTTCCTCATCTTCTGAACCTTCTTACCATATCGGGTACTTTGAAAGGCACACGTAAAACAGCAATCTTAGAGCCAGCCATGTCCTTGCTTTCGCTCTTGTTTGGCACAACAATAGTACATCCCAACGTACGGACGAGAGCAAGCAATTTGGATGGCTTCAAACTCAAATCGGCTGCTAACGACGACAACTCCAATCTGTATTCAAACAACGACAAGAGCAACACAATGATGTAGCATAATAGTTTGTCCTCCTCCTTTGGTCCCACGTTGAAGAAACGAATCTCTCTGTCAAAACTGTTACTGCTGACTTTGGTGTTTCCAAAAACTTGAAGCATGTAGTTTATAGCACGTGAAGGTGGAACATTGTGGTAAGCAGTCATTAGCTTATCCCTACGACTCAAACGGCGATTGAAATATAACCCAACAAGCATGGAGGTGAAGGATATCATCTGTAATTTCCATCTGGCATCATCAGATATGTTCGAGGATCCAGACAATGAAGAACGCTCGGACAGAGCACTGGCAATGAGGCGGCCAAATGTAGACTTCTTTTGATGTACGGGTCCACGTTCCTTAGCTGGGACATAGGGTAAGAAGTTCAATTTCTGTAGTACCTCATCCTTCTCGGTTTCCTTCTGCTCTTCCAATGCCTCTTCTTCTTCTTGACCTTCCACTTTAGCACGGAAAAATATATCTATTGGGAAACATTGAAGAATCTCTTCAGGAACAATCTCTTCAATAGGATATATTTCTTCAACATTCGTGGCTTCGGTATGACAGGGTGGAATAACTCTGTTTTCTTTTTCCACCATCTTCGCCATTTGGTCTCTGTCTGGCATACTTTTAGTGGTTTGCCTGATACCATCAACAATATCAATTTGAGATTCTTCCAACATACCGGCATCAATCTTGTTTCTTGCAGCCTCGGTAATAGCCTTTTTAGCCTTTTTCGTACCAAACTCTTCACCCAACGCATTTCTACGCTCAGCAAAGGTACCTTCGGCAGATATGTCCTTGCGCTTCAGTTTCTTCACTAACTTTGCGTCGCTGATCAAGCTTCTGGAGGCATTCACACGTCCTGAGAACATCTTGGTGCGTGGAATCAGCTTAATGCTTTTACTCTTCGAGTCGTAAACCCCAAGAACATATTGCGAGTCTGCAAGTTCGTCTGCATCGTATTGCAAAGCTGAGTCTTTGGATTCTCCGTGTAGAATGGCCTTGTTTGGTGCCTTGGTGGATGTGTAAAGATCTAGTGACACCGATCCTGGAATCGTAGTAGAGTTGGTGAATGATGCAACCACCGCCTCTCCTGCTTCGGAAACAACATCGACCTTTCCGATGCTCACGTTCTTGCCCATCTTTAAATTTCCTGTTTCTTTCACGTCCGATCCCTTCGTCTTGCGTGGTTTTCTTGTGCCTCGGACTATTTATTTCTATGCCGTCTACTCAGTCGAAAAGTATGCTATCAAAATTTTTCAGCCGGAAGGAAAATGGAAAAGGAAAAAAAATCGCATCAAAAAATAGTAATATTTTTTTTTGATTTTTTTTTCATCTTTTTGAAAAGCTTCCCCTTTCGGAAGTTCCAATATATAATTTCCAGCTTTAACTTCCATGTGCTCTACATCAGCCGTCTTGGCAAACTTATCCCGTTGACGCTTTCTTATAATACAAAACTAATATTTGGCAATGGAGAGCAATACAATTCCGGCAACCTCCCTCCCGCTGAACCACATCTCATATTATGAAGTCCTTGGTGTGCCGCAGGACTGTTCAACGAAAGACGTGAAATCTGCATACCATCGTCTTCTACTTACACACCACCCCGACAAGAAGGTACAGCGAGAAGACACTACGATATTACCAAATAGACACTCCATACAACTAATACAGGATGCGTACCGAACCCTCTCGGATACACAGCAACGAAAAGATTACGACGCGGCAATACATACGCATTTTATCAAGTTAGGACTAACAGCTTTATCGGCCTCAACAGTTAACATCGATGGTATGGATCGCATAGACTTAAGTGAGTTTGAAGTGACTGAATCACAGCCAGAAAAGGGGGGTGTGGGAACTGCAGGTGATAGCGAACTTGAGGAGGTTTTCGTCCATGCATGTCCGAGATGCCATTTTGAGGACGGATTTGTGTTGTCTGAAACGGATCTTGAGCAAGGTACACACGAACAAGAGCAGAATAGATTGAATTCTACTGATGTAGATTACCAGCTGCTTCTACAGTGCGCTTCTTGTAGCTTGTGGCTTTGCGTGACTTACTCTATATCATGACATCTAATTCCTATATCGTTTACATTTACCCGTCAAACTTTATATAAATCTTTTCTCTAACATTATCGCTTCTCTATCAGCTTTCAAGAATCCGTTTTTTCTCTTCTTCCATCACCGCGTTTAATGCCTGGCCAACCAAATCATGATCGACCAAAAGGCCAATATGTCCTGCAGTACTGCGGAACCTTCCACAAAGATCATACGCGTACTTCTCACCATATCCATACTCCCTACCTCGCCAATCTGGTACATTTGCCACAGGGTCGACACTACCTTTTCCACACCGATCCGGTCCATTAGGTCTTTTTCTGCCACGTTCTCTAGGGAAGTTCCATCCTTGATAAACAACACCGTCACCAGGTCCGTAGAAAAACTTGTAATATTCTCCTCTCTTGATACATTCCTCACCATCAACAAGACTGTATTTGACACTTGGAACACCGTTTGAGAATATTTGAGCCATTGGAGGGTAATTAACATGATCTTTCCTTTCCAATGATTTGATGAAAGTTTTGGTCCTCCCCAATGTTCTCGCTAAATACATGTAACAGTCCAACCACAGAACCACGGGTTCATGCAATTTACTGATTTCGTCTAAAACGATCGATTCTGTATCATGATTGACTTTGATCTTTAAGAACTTTTTGATTTCATGCTTCAAGGCAGTATCTTTGATACTATGAAGATCCAATTTGCCACTTGCAATGTCCTGTTTCAATCTGACATTTGAAACTAGAGGACTCAAATTGTACAAGACCCAATTCTTCTCATCCCAGAAGTCAATCATATATCTCTTACCGCTTCTGAGGTCGCGGAACAAGCACATACCTCCACCTTCACCATTCTCGTCTTCTCCACCCCAGCTTGGGGGAATAAACACGTAACTACTTCTCATGAAAAAGTTGGCTTCATGAGTCAAGATATCCCGACTCAACAGAATGGAGTCATTAAATCTGAAAGGCCCCAAAATGTTAGCACACGGCATAGGAGTACCCGCATATATTATTGCCCTAACTAAACTTGGATCTTTAACCATTGCACCATGAGCTATTATTCCACCCATGGAGTGAGCGATAAGAATGACACCCTTTTTATTCTTTTGTTTATTAACAATACTGATAAGCTCGGAATGTAATTGCTCACACAGTAATTCCGGAGATAGTCTCCAATCATACCCCCAATCCCTGGCAGTAACGTTAGGGTTTGAGTTTAACCTTTTCAACAACCTTCGGGAGATATCGACGGGGCCGATATGGGTCAGCATTCCATCAGGGTATGAATCAGGATAGTCTTTATCATCAGGAGAAATATTTGGGGTTCTGTTGAAAACCACATCACGAGCGTTGAGTTCACGCAATTCGTCATCATCCGATGGCCCAATCATGAGGTTTATTTTCCTAATATTCAGACCTGCCTTTAAGACAGGAATCCAGGTTCTACGGTGTGTTCTAGAGTCTCTCAAAATGGAACCTCTGTAACCTCCCAAAACTATCACATCACCGTCCAAGTCATCATATATCTGCATAGAGGACGACGCATCCGTTTGATGGGTGATACTGCTTATTGGGGACATTGGTACTGAAGTCACAAACTTAGTAGTGGTTGCCAATGTTGAAAGTAAAGGATTATGACTATTGTTTGCAGTTGTTGTACTGGCCGACGGAGTTGCCGAAGGCTCTTTTTCTATTAATGTTGAGTTGATTGAATTGTTCAGTGAAGTCAGTGACTTATTATTATTTTGAACCACTGCCGAGGAAGGAACATTGTTTGGAGGAGTAAGAGCAATATCCTTAGCTTCAGTTACAGCCAGCTTAGGTGCTGGATCTGGAATGGGTAGCGCTTGAGATTGTGTTGGTGTTGGTGTTAGAGAATCTGATCTTATTCTAGTGGTGACAAACGAGATCTTGCTTGAAATTGATTGAGATAAAGATAAGGAAGGGGCGTGCGGTAACAAGGATTGTCTCAAAGCCTTAAATTTACCGTCATCCAAATGGGTAATATCCTTGTAGTATCTTGCCTCTTGCAGGGTGTCTAGCGATTCCTGCCTTTCTAGCTTCAAGCGGACGTCTTCCCTGTCTAACATTTCATCTGGCATCACTTTGTGGGAGATGTCATTCCAGTAAACATAGACATCAGCAGGAGGATCGGGAGCTTCAGGGTGGCTTGAACGTCTCTGCAAGACAGGTCTTGCTTTTGAGTGGGACTTTGACTTCGCTGAAAACGGCAGCACATGGCTCAGTTTCCTAAAGGTTTTAGTGATTAGCGAGAAGTCATCATGGTGTTTGGGGCGTGCATGAGAAGGTTTCTTTCCCACATTCTCCTGCTGTCGTTCATCGGCAACAGCTTCGTCTTCGTTCTCGATGTCCTCTGCCACAGCGGCGTTTGTTGGGTTGGAGAAAGGAAGGGAGAAATTGAAGACTTTGTGAGACTCATCGTTGTCCTGTGCGTACGATTCTAAACCATCTTCGTTCTGGGAGATAATTTTGGGGATGGTTCTACTGACCTTTGGAGTGCCTTGAAGGGAGTTGCGATGCACGACCGTTGGCTGGATCCTTCCCGAAGGGATCGAACTCACCACTCTAGACGACTTTGCGCTCAAATTGGGACTTGCCAGGTTGATGCCGCCGATGATCGAGGACGCATCTTCTCGAGAGATTTGTCTTGAAAACTTGTTTGTTGGATCATTGGGTGCTTCTGGATAGCCCTTGCTGTCGTCGGGTTGGTAGGACTCTATGGACACGTCGTCGTCGTCGTCGTCAACTTCTCCGCTGTACGAGATCTGTCTGATGGACGACCTTCCGCCCGTGGAGGCTCGGGAGACGCTCTTGTTCAGACTACTCTTTAGCGCCTTTGCGGGTGCATCGGCTGCGTCCAAGCCATGGGAGCCTAGGTGTGCTGCAGGCTTCGGTGGGCTCACACGAGCAGAACCGGAACCTGAACCTGAACCCATTGTTGGATATTTTTTTCCGGAACCTGTCTTTACGCTGATCGAGGGTTCAAATCACAGCAAGGCAGACGAGAGGCAGTGGCAGAGCGACGCAAGCTATAGATCGAAGAGTCTAGGTATGACAAATGCAGCAAGCGTACACCTAGTTCTATGTTCCGAGGAAATGGTCGGGGCTTCCGAGTATGTGCGTGGTAACGTTTGTGTGCAAAGAGGCTTGCTCGGAAAGGTTGATAAGCCGAGACACGCGGGACGGAGATGCAGGGCACGAGGACGCTAGCTGGATGACGGCGGCAGCAGGAACTCAAGTTTGCCGAGCGGCCAGAGAAGCCGGGTTAAGGCAACGGTCGGCCACAAGCCCATGTTCCAAATCTACTTTTTCCTGAAGGTACCTTCCCGGCATGCCATCATCTACCGAAAGAGGAAGGCATGGCTTTAGCGGGAGAGAAATCGGTCAACAGCTCGGAAGCCCGGCAGAGCTTCCGGTGGGTCGGATGCGCCGCTAGCGAGACGACGGCTAAGAGCTGGCAGTCATATGGTACATGCTGCACCGTCGGTGCCGGCTATCGACTGGCGGAGATGTCTTTGTCGTCCTAGGCCAGAGAGAGTAGAGGTGTAGGAGGTAGTGCCAGAGGGGGCAGAGGGTCCGCAAATAGCCACCGCCCGAGCCGAGAGGCGGAAACAGGCGTTTTGGTCAACTGAGCGCGACGCGGCGCGGATTTTGGAGGAGGAAAAATTTGACAGGGAGACGACATTGGGGAGGTGTTGAAGTGCCGAAAAGACGACGGAATGTTTCTTCTTGTGCTGTGATGTTTCGGTGGTGTTTGCTGTGTATTTCTCTTCTGGACATCGCACAATCTTAAGTTTCGTCCAGGCTGCTGGCTCTGTCCTTGATGGCGAGCCGCCTGCCACCTGGCACGGAATGTGTCTCTGTGCGGAGAGCAATCCGATGTATAGTCGAGGCTAGTGCACTTTTCCTTGCATCCGTGGAAGCGTGCCCTGGGGCAGCGGTACTTGCACGGGTCGGCATGTGCGACGTAGTGTCGGCACCACTGTTATAGTGGGGCCGGCCACGGTCGGGACGACGGCCTTCCAGCAGCAGGCGTGCACGGCAGCCGAGTTTTTCGGGCGCCGGTGTGGGTCTGCGGAGGGCTGTTCCGACCGCTCTAGCAACAGCAACGTAGGAGAGGATGGGGTAGAATACAACTATGATATAAAAAATACATGCCGGGGCGTGCTGCGGCCCCTACTTGGAGTTGATCTCGGTCAACTTCTTCTTCAAGGCGTCGTTTTCCGCCTGCAAGCGCTCGACGTCCTGCAGGGCCGCCTTGTAGAGCAGCTCGACGTTCTCCAGCTGCTCGATTCTGGTCTTGCGTCTTTGGCGGAACGCCCGCTGAGCGGCTCTGTTCTGAGCTGCGCGTTTGGTGTTGGAGACGGACTTCTTCACTTTGCTGGACTCCACGACGGCGTCGATGGCCGTCTTCGACGAGAGCTTGTTGTCGTCGTCGTCGTCGTCGTCGTCGCCGTCGTCGTTGTAGTCGGCGTCGTTCGCGTCGTGCCCGCTGCCGCCCATCTCGATGTCCTTCCTCGGCGCACCCTGTGCGTTCGCATGCAGCATGCCGTGGCCGCCAACGCTGGCCCCCGGACCGGGCCCGTCAGGCCCGGCCCCGCCCTGTGCGCCGGCGTTACCCAGCACGTTCTGCATGTGGTTCTCCACCGCATGCATGTTGGCCAGGTAGTTCATGTCGTTCGACGCCGCCGCAGCGGCAGCAGCCGCCACGATGTTGTCGTTGTCGTCCTCGATCTGGTTGATCTGGTCGTCGTCGTCGTCGTCGTTGTCCTCCGCCTTCGCCCGCTCGTCCGTCGACTGCTGGTTCAACTCCGGGTCCACCAGCGAGTCGTCCACCGCCGACGCGTTCGTCTTCCCCTCGTTCCCGCCTCCACCGGCCTTGCCGTTGCTGCTGTTGTTGTTGACGTTTTCGCTCGACCCAATGGCCGACACTGCCGTGGCTGCGGCCACCGCGTCCACGTCGCCTGTGTTGGCGCCGGCCATCCCGCCGACGTTCCTGTTCTGCCCGTCCGTGTTCATCGTGGCGTGCGTGTCTGTGTCTTTGTGTGTGTGTGCCCGTCTCAGCCCTCTTGCTTATGTCAGGCCTCAAACAACAGACGTACGGAAATAAACACAGCAAGTTTATGTAAGCCCGTTCGCCACTGCTTAGATAATACTGCGACGGGCGCTTGTTGAAGACCACGCCGGCGCTGCGGAAAAGGTGGTGCTGCGCGGGCGCGGCCCGCGGCCGAGGGCGAGGCCGAGGGCAAAACGGGGCAAAACGGGGCAACACGGGGCAACACCAAAAGGGGCAAATGGGCCGATCGGCGGCTCCGCGCCTGTCACACCCGTGCACCGCCGGCGCCCGGGACCTCTGGCGCTCGCTCTCTTTTTCCCGGAGAACGCCCTCGCGGACAATAGAGCGGAAACAAAGCTCAGCAATCAAGCTAATTGCAGCCTTCAGAGCCGGCGCCGTTGGCCGAGCGCTGAGCCAGCCTCGCCGACATGCCCGTCTCCCCGTGTGAAAGAGGATTTTCATCCGCCAGGAGGCCTTTCTGGTTGTCGTGAGGGGTCTCAGTGTCTGTGCTCAGCCGAAGACGAGCCCGTGGTGGCGCCGTGCTCATTACGCTGCTTGTGGTCGTCTGCCCCCTGTACACAGCACTGCTCAAGGCCAGCACTCCGCCCCTGCCTCTCCGAGAGAAGAAGCGACACCCGTTGTCGAAATACATGCACCCCCCGCCGCCCCCAGTCCACAATGTCTGCTAGAGGGCTCTCTTCCCAGACACCCACCCACCCGTCTCAGGACGGCCCGAACGGCCGCCGCAGCACCGCTGCCGGCGGCGCTGCGGCAGCTGGCACACCCGCAACCGCAGGCGCATCCGCAAGCACAAACACAGGCCTAGGCCACAACACGCTCGACAACTCCAAGTTCTTCCACCTGTTCCAGACGCCCGAAGGCGGCCCGGACCCGGTGGCAAAGGTACCGACAGAGTCGCTGTTCAGCCCGGCGGACCTCTGGAACACCGCCAACCCGCAGCTCTCGTCGGGGTCCCTGTCGACCGTTCCGCCGCCGGCGGGACACGAGCACGCCTCCATGGGCACTGCCAGTTCAGGCTCCGGCCCCGCTTTGAACGTCGCCCTGGGCATGCCTGTCCAGACGACGTCGCTGTCGGCGCCGTCGTCCTCCCAGCACCACCTCACCGCCCAATTGCTGAACAGCGCCAGCAGCACCAGCGCCAGCAGCTTCGGCGTGGCGCCCCGAGACCCCACCGCCAAGCACCAGTCGTCTCCCAACCTCTGGTCCAGCAACTACTCGGCGTCTCTGCTGGACGAGTCTGCCGACACGGTCAACTCGGCGTCCAACCCGGCGTCCAACCAGAGCTCTGTGTCTGCGCCGGGCTCCGCAGGCAACAATGCCAACGTCTTCAAGCTCTCCAGGTCGGCACGATCCTCCAGGTCGTCCAGGTTCTTTCCGAGCCCGATGTTTGAGTCTAGAAACTCAGGCGACCTCGACTTGACCCAGAATGAACAGCAGCAGCAGCAACAGCCACAATCCCAACACCAAAACATTTTCACGCAGTCTCCGCTGATGTCAACTAATAGACGTACCACTATACCCAATACCCCCTCCACCTCTTTCAATTACTCTTCTCCTTCGGGCTTGAACGATCCTTCCCAGCACAACAACGACATCCTGATGTACGACCAGAACCTCAAGACAGGCTCAACAAACTTCCAAAACATTCCTCCAATCAGCGTGAACCAAAACTACAGCAGAAGCGATACACTGTTCAACTCTTCGACCCCAACTCCTCAATACGACCCCCCCAACGTTAGCTACTTCGACAACAAGTTTAACTTTATCCCTCACCATCTTCAGCAGCAGCAGCAGCAGCAGCAGCAGCAACACCACGTATCAAGCAGCAACAACATTTCTTATTCAACCTTATTTGGAGAACCAAACTCTTCCACTATACTCTCACCACAGTTTTCAAATAATTCTTCAACCCCGCTGCCTTTCAATACAGACGGTCAACTGCCAGTAGCTTATAACAGCAACACCAATTATCAACTATCTTATCATGTCAACGAAAACTCTCAGATTTTACCAACTTCTAGCTTTGTCGATAGAGACTTGAGTCTCGACAACGACCTTGATATCAACGATTTGTCAGAGCTGAGCTTTGCAGACTCCCATGCAGAATCTCCATCTCCATCTCCTAACTCTTCTCCGAATAAGGGTATTTTTCAGCAGAGCCAGAATGCTTACATCCCAAATACCAAAATTTCAGGCACAGTGAAGCATAAGTCAAAACAGAAGCAGAAAAACATGAAAGAAAAGGAAAAGTTGACATTCGCCGGTTCTCATCCACAATTCACGCCGACTTTGAACCTTACGAACCTCAAGTATAACAAGATATCACTAGACTCTCCGCATACTCCGTTGGCCCAGCAAAATATCAATCAGATGCTTGTGGCCAATAACATCAACAATGCCAATGATAACATAGATCCGATCACACCGCTAGATGTGAAGGCAACTTTTGATGATCAAAAAGATGTTTTCAATGAGATGGGAGACTTCTCAACTTCTCCCTCATCTTCAAATTTCCCATCCCCTTCAATCCCTTCTCTACCATTATATGAGCCTGAAGAAGGTAAAGAAAATTCCTCAGAGTATTTTAAAGATTCAGATAAAATAGCAACCAAGTCTAGAATCTTACATTTTATTCATCACATCATCACAAGACATAACATAGTTTACAGAACATATCTTGTATCAGTTCCATCGCAAACCCCTACCAATGTTCTTCTTGATCTGATTGAAACAGTTTTTTACCCATTGGGGGTAGTAACTTCGGTAGTGAAAGTTTCCAACATAGATGTTGAAGAACCCAAGATTGACATTGCAGAAAGCAAAGATGAAAAAAATACTTCTGGCGATTTGACTATAGATTCTTTACAATTCTCTCGGTTTAGAGTGACTGTCTCGGTTGCAGATTCTGGGTTGACCACATACTCTAATCCTAACACCTTTAACTCGACTTCGAGCAACTATTCTCGACATGGTAGATTCAGCAATAATGAAAAGGATTCTCAAACACAGCAGCAGCAGCAGCAGCAACAACAACAACAACAGCAACAGCAACAACAGTCCCAACATTCAGGGCCATGGAAGAGTATCAGGTATACTCTAGATGGACGGGATGTCAAAATGCTGATTTACTATGAAAGTGATTCCAGAGAGCCCACGAATACTACATCGAAAGCAGAAGGCTTTTCATCGGGAGATATGCACATAATTAACAGTGCGGATGATGCCGTTTTGAAATCTGCCAAGGCTAATGCTCAATCCTCCATGTCTAAGAGTTTGACCACTAATAACAAGCTCGATGTATGCTGGTATCCCGAGGGATTCAGCTCGACGTTTCACAGACGTGGTGTTAACAACTTCATGTTTGTGAGAGAGTTACAGAGTAAGATGATTGTCAATCGTACCAGGGTTTCTGGCGGAGGCATCATTGAGATGGGCGAATTTCGAGTCAGCGTCCCTATCGAGGAGATTGGGTTTCTTGGTGAAAATAGTAACAATACCAAGTCCACTGCTAACGGAACGAATGGGACGAGTGGTACTACTGGAGAAAGATTGAAGCGTTCATTTTTGGTGAATATTGATTTAAGAGAACTTGATGGTAAAAACATCATTACTAACAACAGCAACAATAACAATAACAACAATAACAATAACAATAACAACAATAACAGTAACAGCAACAACAGTTCACATACACATACACATGCACATATACACACAGACGCAAGTCATACGAACGGTAATACAAACACACCTGCAAGCACGCATTCACACGCACATACGCACATGTACATGAACGGGAGCGGGAGCACTCCGGGCGCAAGAAAGAGCAATAGTGGGGCTTTGAATCCCTCCGTGAACGCCACATCTGCCTCTTATTTAGATTCTACCGACCCAAACACAGAACGAGACAGCGGAGCGTATTCGATCGCAGGTTTGAACTCAGGGTCAGGTTCAAGTTCAAATTCAGGCAACAACAACACCGAGCGAACTGGACATGGATACCACAATCACAGCTACAATTATAGTAATAACGGGAACCACACCCACGGGAGCCGTTACGGCAACAGCGATAGCCTAGCTTCCGAAACTTCAGGGTCCGGCCTAACTCCGGTACAAACCCACAGTCCAAACTCGATGCCAAACCAAGGCGCCGTTGACGCAAGCGGAAACGGACGTGGTGGTCGTGGAGGTAAGCTCGGCAAGAAACGTGAAGGCCGTGGCGGCTTCCGATACGGCAGTCGACGAGGCGGTGGAGGAGGAGGCAGTCGTGGCAGCTTCAGAGGCAAGCAGCATATGGCGACGCATATATAATTTACAGTAGAATAGTTTTCTTTTACAATGTACTTTCTTGAAAAGCAAGCATATGGAAAGAAACGAGAAGCAAGAAGGAGAATAGCAGTTCTATCAGATTCATTAAATCAGTAATTTTTTGTTAAATTCAGCGACCGAGGTCTCTTACAGTGTGAATAAAATTTGTTCATCACTAGAATGCTATTCTCTTTTTTTCTCTTTTTTCTGTCTTCTTTCTCCGCTAGATCCACCTGGATCTAGACTGGAAATTGCTGTCGCTGGCAGCGGCAGCAAAGGGGTAAGTGAAAGTAGTAATAACAGTAGAAAAATCAGCTATCTGCGACATATCCGCAATTTCTCTACCTCCACGACCCAGAAATTTGTACACGAGGGCCGCTCGCTTAGTGAAAAGCCGGTGGTAGATACTTATCAGTCCGCCTGTCGAATAGAATCATCATGAAAAGAAGAGGAGAGGAGGAGGGGGAAACGAAACCTTTCGTTCAACACACTTCTTTTAAACACCCAGTGTAGCTCATACAAGGCTGAAACTTAACGATAAACGGTGGTTGTCAACATGTTGGAATTCAGTCGGAACAATTGGTTGGTAGATGTGCTAATCACTGCAGACTGGGTGTTTGAAGAGGGTAGGTGAGAGGACAAAAGGGGTGAAGGAGAGAGGAGAGAAACAGAAAAAGAGGGCAAAGCAAGCAGAACAAAGAGGCGTCTGCCTCTCGTGGCTGCGTGTGCTTGCGTGTGTAACCGTGCCTGCGTGGTGTAGTGTGTACTCTGACATTAGAAAAGGCATCTATACATGTGGTGTGTTAGCTGAACAAAAGGTGCCCGTTTCTTTCCACAGCGAAAGGCGGCGCTTTTATACCTTTCCGTTCTCGCCTCTGGACGAAAAACGTCTCGTTTTTTTTTCAGGGTTTCCCATCTGCGTCGTCTTTGGGATCATCTTTAACATCTTGGACAGCTGGGTCGTTGGCAACCTCGGCGTCCCTGGCTCTGGACGCCTTGTCGAAGATCTGCTGAACGTTGAACTTGGCGAGTTCCTCGAACGCGTCGTTGGGCACGACGCTCATGCCGATGTTGTTCTTAAAACAGTAGATGTTAAGAAGCGTACGGGCGCCCTTGTACTGAAGACGGCACCAGCCGGCACCGAAGGTGTCGTCGAGCTTTTCCTTGACCGTCTCCATGAACTCGTCCCGGGAGATGGTGTCGAAGTTACGCTTGACTAGGTTCACGTTGTATGTCTCGAGAGCGGTCCGAGCGTCGCCGCCCCTGGCGGTCTCCTCCTGCACGAAGGCGTCGACAGTGGCAGCTAGTAGCTTGTCGAACTCAATCTTGGTGGCGTTGCAGGAGCGGTCGACGGGGATGAGCTTCTGCACAAAGCGGCCCGTCTTGGCGCCGCTGGCGTACAGGTCCCGGCAGACGGCGACGACGAGGGAGCTCGGCGTGACGGGCTGCTTGAGCTTGAAGAAGGTCAACGACTCGACGCCGAGCGGGATCTCCCGTAGCACGAGGTCCTTGTTATTTCTGTTCTGTTTCGAGCGGTCGTCGTTCTTCTTCAGCTCGGCAAGCTCCTTGGCGATCTCGTCCTCGATGTCCACGGCCTTTTCATCCTCTTTTTCATCCTCCTTTTCATCCTCCTTTGCGTCCTCTCCCTCTCCCCCCTCCTCCTCCGCCTTCGGATAGTGCTTCTCGATGGCGTCTTGCAAGAGCAGCCTCATCTCCTTGGCCGCCGCCACCTCCTTGAACCGTGCACACGACGCATACACCCCGTACTGGCCCGGCTCGATCAACGCATGGCATCTCTGCCTCTTCTTGTCTTTGCCGCCGCCGCCGCCGCCGTTTTTGCGCTTGCCCATGTTCTTTCAGTCTAGCGTTCTTGCTTGGGGCCTACTCTCTATACGTTGTACGTCTCTACATAGGTGCTAAGCCGCAGCCCCGGCACGAACAGCCTCCTCCTGGCTCTCCAGGCTCTTTTCGGTCTCGGCCTTGACACCTTTGCGTCTCTGTCTTTCCTCAAACGCGGCCCGGTTCGCCACGACACGCTCAACGATGCTCTCGACAGTCATGCTGGCGTAGAGGTCGAGGCCGGTCGTCACCTCTAGGAGGAGGCCGGTGGCTCTGGCGTCGTCATAGTCGTCTGCCTGGAGGGGCGTGGTGGGCCCATGCACGACCCGGTGGACGGAAAGGCCCGTGCCCCGCTTGAAGAGAGTCAGAAACGGCGTGTCGACGGCCCGTGGGGCGCCGAGGACGAGGCCGTCGATGTACTTGCTCTGGAGGACGCAGAGAGAGCGTTCGAGCAGGTTCATCACCGGGTAGCTGCCGCCCCGAGCGGAGTTCACGGCGGCGTCGTCGGCGACGCCGACGACAACAAGACTGCCGTCTGCGTCGGCAAGCTCCCGGACACGTTTGAGGAACGTGATGTGTCCCGGATTGAAAAGGTCGAAGCCGCCGTCGACGTAGTAGACAGGCTTGGTCCCGGCGGAGGCCTGGCCCTTCACGAGCTCGTGCACGCCGGCCTCCGTGTACACCCACACGGCGGCGCCGGCACTGCGGGCGTCTGCCGCCGTGGCGTATCTCCTATACCGCTCGACGTTCTCCGGTGTGAGCAAGGTCTTGCCACCTGCTTGTGCAGCATCCGCTGCAGAAACACGCTGCCACTGGGCCCACTGCTGGCCGTCGACACGGGCCAGATGGTGCTCCGTCGTGTGCACCAGCATGCGGCCCACGAGGTCCGTCGTGCTGATGTTCGGCGTCCGCTTCACCACGATGAACCGGCCCTTCGCCTTCACCTCCGCGTAGCAGTCCTTGCCGTCCTTGTCCGTCGTGATGTCGTCGCCGTGCACGACGTACTTGCACCCGTACTCGTCCATCACCAGCGGGTCCGTCACGTAGGGCGCGTTCGCCACCGCCGTCGTGCACCACCGGCAACCCTCCACCGCAACCATCCGCTCCGCCAGCGTCATCACGGGCGGGCCCTTGTTCACCAGGATGTCTGTGTCGTTGTGCACCCCGACGAAGAGCTCGTCTCCCTTCTCCCGGGCCTGCATCATGGCGCCGGCGTGTCCGTGATGGGCGAAGTCGAAGCACCCGTCGATCCAAATCCTGCCCTCTTGCAATGCAACCATGTCTGTCCGTCTGTCTTTCTGTCTGTCTGTCTGTTTGTTCGTCTTTATCGCCCGTCTCTCTGCCGATTCGCCCGTCCCTGTGGCCCTTCCCGTCTTCCGTGGCACTCTCCACTTGCACAGAGCCGCCTCCGCTGCCACACTTTCCCCCCACCGCTTTCCTCGACTTTCGCTAGCACGGGCCGCCCCCACCGGGTGCGTGTATAAGAAGGCCTGTGTCCCCCGCTTCCTTGTGGCGGCGGCTCGTAGGATGCTAGATGATGCTGTGGAGAGGAAGCACCAGCACCAGCACCAAGACTAGCACCAAAGACCGCCATGACTGCAGCCACCGCACACAGCGTCCCCATCCCCCACTCCGATGAGCAGATCCCCGTGATCGGTTTTGGCTCCGGCACATCGTGGCAATGGAAGAAGAAGGCCTCGGAAAGCACGGCCGTCTCCGCCGATAAGCCCAGCAACGTCGACCCGGACCTTGTGCAGTCCATTGTGGACGCGTTGGAGACAGGCTTTTCCCACGTGGACACGGCAGAGTTCTACACCACGCGTCCGGATGTCGGACAGGCGGTTAACGACTACCTCAAGAAGCACCCGGAGAAGAAGCGGTCGGACGTGTTTGTGACAGATAAGTACAACTCGCACCCACCAGACACGCCGAACGTGCTTGCGGACGGGTCCATCCGCGGGCCGTATGCTTCGCTCAAGCAGGGGCTACAGCTGATGAAACTAGACTACATCGACCTGTTCCTGCTTCACACTGCAGACACGCCGGACGGCCTCTCGCTAGAGGACGCGTGGCGGGAGATGATCAGACTCCGTGACGAGGGCCTCGTGAAGAACATCGGTGTCTCCAACTTCGACGTGCCACATTTGCAGCAGTTGCAGAAGGCTACCTCGGTCTTGCCGCAGGTGCTCCAGCTGGAGTTCCACCCCTACCTGCAGAACCAGAGCCCAGGCGTGCACGAGTTCTGCCGGAACAACAACATCCTCATCGAGGCGTACGGGCCTTTGGTCCCTATCACGAAGGCGAAGGAGGGACCACTGATCCCACTCCTCGCCGAGCTTACAGCCAAGTACGGCGTCAGCGAGACTCAGATCCTACTCAAGTGGGCCCACAGCTTCGGCGTCGTCACGGTCACCACCAGCTCCAAGATCGAGCGCATGAAAGACATCTTAGGCGTCTTCGACCTCGAACTCTCCGCAGAGGACCTCAAGAAAATCACCGACGTGGGGAACTCCTGGTTCTTCAGAGCCTTTGCCATCCCTCCCCTGCCAACGTGGGACGAACAGCTCAAGAAGGAGAGAAACGTCCTTAACATCTAGACATATTTACTCTACTATTAATTTATTCACGTATCGATTGGTTCTTCATTCGCATGTTTATAAAAAGTAAACAGATCAACTCCTATAATTTTTACTGGATGATTTTTCCCAGTTCCCTATAGCGCATTCTTTCTCGTCAAGTACTCAAATCTGCTGAAAGTGTATCCAATAAACGGTAGGTCCGCCTTGGTGTCCATGCCCTTGTTCTTCAGGCTCTCACGGTCCTTCTCTGCCTGCAACAGCGCTGGCGAGTCCGGAACGTTCTCCAACTCGTCTGTTGGGAAGAACCTCGTGTCTGTCACAGACCTCAATTTCGGAATAAATGGTGCCTCAACATTCCGGATCTCCTCCCAGTTTACACCACGGAAAAATGGATGTCTCTTGATATCATCTGCACCATTGTGTCTACCGAGTCGATTCTCCGCACTGGTCAACAATCTGAGAATCAAATCTTCAGCCTCTGGACTCAAATGGATATCTTCTGGAAACACCAAAGTCTCTTGCCAATTCAAAATCTTCTTATATGTCTCTGTTGGCGTCTCTGAACAGAAAGGAGGCCAACCAACTAGACATTCAAACATGATCGCCCCAAGTGACCACCAATCGCACTCTTGTCCATAACCTTGATTGATGAAAATCTCTGGCGCAATATAGTCCGGAGTACCAACAGTCGAATATGCCATCAACCTTCTGGACTTTCTCCATGTCTGCATTTGCTGTCTGTTTGACATGGTCAGGTTAATTGGATCAACCAAAACACTGTTCCTGGCAGACTTCACGGTCTTGTCGTTCTCTTGCTGTAAGAGTTTTTTGTAATACCCAGAATCGTGTGTTTTGTGGAAACCAGTAGATAATCCAAAATCACTCAACTTAATATGCCCTCTCATATCAATCAAAATATTGTCCGGCTTGATATCTCTGTGAATAAATCCCAATTTGTGAACAGCCTCGATCGCTAAAACACACTCAGCAATGTAAAACCTTGTAACGTCTTCGGTGAAAATTTGCCACTTGATCAACATAGTCATCAAGTCTCCACCAGGTAAAAACTCCATGATGAGATACAAGTACAGTTGATCTTGGAAAGAATAGTATAACGAAACCACCCAGGGAGAGTTTGCATCTGCCAAAACATCTCTTTCGGCCTTAACATGAGCTAGTTGATCTTTTTTATACATTTCACTCTTCAACAAAGTCTTCATCGCATATATTTTACCGGTGTCTTTCTTCTGTACCAACCGCACTTCACCAAAGGCACCCTTACCGATAACTTTGACAGTGTTGAAATCATCTAAAGATAATCTGGTACGACGCAAACGTAGGTAGTGGGACTCATTCTTGCCAAACAATTGGGTTTCTCTGTTCCTCCTCTCACTGCTGATCTCGGTGCTCAACTGTTGTTCAAATGCGATTCTTCTTTGGTTTCTTTCAATAGCATGTTCGATTGCAGTTTTGTAAAAATGCTCCAAAGTAAGTTTCACTGCAGACGCTCTGTCCTGGGATTGCTTGGAAAACCATTCTGGGTGACGTTCAAAATAAACATACTCACTTTCCTGCTTTCGTTGTTGCGCAATTTGCTGTGCCTGTTGCACTTGCTGTGCCTGCTGTGCCTGTTGCACTTGCTGTGCTTGCTGTGCTTGCTGTGCTTGCTGTGCTTGCTGTGCTTGCTGTGCTTGCTGTGCTTGCTGTGCTTGCTGTGCTTGCTGTGCTTGCTGTGCTTGCTGTGCTTGCTGTGCTTGCTGTGCTTGCTGTGCTTGCTGTGCTTGCTGTGCTTGCTGTGCTTGCTGTGCTTGCTGTGCTTGCTGTAATTGTTGCTGCTGTTGCTGCTGTTGCTGTTGCTGCTGCTGTTGAATTTGCTGTTGGGGGTTCAATGCCGTACGCATAGCGAGATTTGAATGACTCCCCATTCTCGAGATATTATTCAAGTTATTGTTGTTACTCAAGCTCTTCTGTGGGGAGTCAAACGAGGAATGCGTCGAAACAGTGGTGAGGTTGTTTGATCTAAGACTTTTGGAAGGACTCACCGGAGGCTGCGGCTGCGTGAACATTTCACTGTACTTCGAAGGGGAAGACCCGTAGAACGGCGATTGAGCAAAAACCCCATTGTTGTTTTGGATCTGCACTTGCGGCGACACTAGAGCTGGCGCTGACATGTTCGAAGGTTGGGAGAAAGAGTGCGGAGAGTTTGATCCGTTCTGAGAGAGGTTGGACACAGAGTTCTGCTGTCTCATGTAGTTTGCGCTGAACGCACTCATTGGTTGTTGCATCTGGTCAAACCCAAACCCCTGCTGCTGCTGCTGCTGCTGCTGTTGTTGTTGTTGTTGTTGCTGCTGCTGCTGCTGCTGATACTGTTGCTGTTGCTGCTGATACTCATTGTATTGATTAGCCTGGTTGAAGGCCATGTTTTGGCCGAGGTACTGGCCTTGGTAGTCAGATCCTGCTTTGCCATCCATGCTGCGGTTTCGACAGAAAGCCCTAGCACCGTGTACTCTTGCGGGAAGAGAACTGCAGAGGACGGGAGAACTATAGGCTTTCTGCTCCGATCCAGATCAACGGACCTTTCAAGCCAGATCAGAGCACGAAGGAGAAGAGCTACACAGGAGAAACGCTCGCTGGCGCTCTCGCTTCGCGGTGAGTCGAGGCAGGGAGGGTGCTCGAGCTGACGCGATTCTCTGCCATGCTCCTTTGACTGCCTCGACGGACAGGGAAAGGAAGGAAGAAGGGGTTGATCTGAAAACACAGCACCCAAGTCGTCAATTACAGACTGGTTAGCAGTTATAAACGCATTATAATAGTAAATAAGTGGATTATAAACACATCTAGAATTGTAATGCAGCACCCTTTTGCTTCTTATCACCACCCAACTCGAAGTGCTTACATCTCTTCAAAGCTAATTGAAGCTTTGTCTTACAGCTGACACATTCCAGTCTCAAGACGACCTTCTTGGTGGTCTTGGCTTTCTTGTGGAAAACTGGCTTGGTTTGACCACCGTAACCGGATTGCTTCCGGTCATATCTTCTCTTACCTTGGGTGTACAAAGAAGCCTTACCAGCCTTGTATTGGGTAACTCTGTGTTGAGTGTGCTTTCTGCATTGCTTACCCTTACAGTAGGTCTTTCTGGTCTTTGGAACGTTAACTGCATTGAAAAGATAAATCGAACGGGAAAGGGTTGTGTTAGTAAGTTGTTACAGTGGTTGTTTCTGTTGGTCCACGGGAGGAGAATAAAGCACGAGCTGTGGCAGCTTCAAAACAGTCCTGTTCATAGAGCAAAAGCGTGAAAATCCAGGAGTCTACTCATTTCTTCACTTGTGAAAATATTCAAATGCGTTCACTGTCTCATATGGAAAACTGCTTGCATCCCTTCACAAGCAACCGGAGGCAGCTGTTTCAGCAGCACCTGTTACATCAGTCGTTCACTCCAAGGCTTTCATGTCAACTTGTCCTGTCGGTCTGCTCTTGTACTATGCTCTAAACTTCACTTCTGGCCGTTGATCACTTCCGTGTGGCCCTTCTCCTGCGTCCTTCCCCTCATGAAACGATCCGGCCTGTCAACAGACCTTGTTCTGCTCGTGTACATACCCATCTTTGATCAGTAATCCGTTGTATGATGCTTTCCAAGGATCTTTTGTGCCACAGAAGACAAACACCTCTACGTCTAGTGCTCAGCTTCTTCACCACCTATAGCAAGAAAAATCCAACCAGGTGGAAACCGACTCTCGCTCGCGCAGCTCTGCACCCAAAGCTGTGACTGTGTTTCCGGTGGATTTTTTGTGGCGCTGCTGACCGCGGCGGCGACAAAAAATGAGGCTGAAGGAGAAAAAGAGGGTTTGCGCCCTGTATGCAAGCACGTGACACCAAGTAAGAAACGTATATCGCTTACATCTAACTGATGGACAACTGACTGGCTAGTGGATTAGGAAAGAAAAAACGGTGTAGTGTTATTATTAATTTATAGAAAGATATATAATTATCGTGGGTCGTAGAATAAGATAAGTGGGTAAATGCTGTCGCTGGGAAACACACAGTGGAAGGATAAACAAAAAGCCAGGGGCTGAAAAATAAATAAATAAGGATAGTGGGTAAAGGAAGAGGAAATAAAAGAAAAGCAAACATAAAATGCATTCATGGAAACGTAAAACTCATAACGTAGTCAGTGGTGGTGGTATAAAAATAGATCTGGCATGGCTCAGATGAACTGCTGTATGTTCTGTTTGAAGTTGGCAATTTCTGGTGGGATTTGGACGTAGCAGTTGTCTGCGTCGTCGAACTCATAGTCTAAGACCTTTGCGTAGTACTTGAGCTTCAAACGAGTGTTGTCGTTGACGTTGCTCTCCTCGAGAACGGAGGGCTGCTTCTGCACAGTGTCGAACATCTTCAAGATGCCGTAGATGTTGTCGTTCACCAGTCTGTACTCCTCAACGACTCTCTTGAAGAAAGTGCTGTTGAAAACAGTGAGCAGGCTCTCGACGGGAAGGAAGTCGACGACCAAGGAGAGGAAGTTGCTCAACGAGCGTTCGGAGCTGGTTGGAGCCGCAGACGACCCTCTTATAATTCTCTTGTACCCCTGGTTCAGCGTCAGCTTGACAACAAGCTCGTTGCCGACATTCGCCATGTTGAGGTATCGAACGAGGTTCACAAGAAGCGCGTCGTCCAAAACCAACGAGTTCTTGCACAACACCTCTCTGACGGACTTGAGAATGAGGTTTTTGTCGCCAGTGTTGAGGACGGCAGTCACGAGCTGGTTGTGGAAGTTGCAAATGTAGATTGAGTACTCATCGCTGTGTTTGTCCGAGCACAAGCTTTTGTTCTGGAAGTCAAAGTCACTTCTCAACAGAGCAAAGTCCCAGACTTTCAACGCCATTTGCAACTCGTTCAACCTCAAAAATGAATAGGACAGCACGACTAAGCTCTCAATGCTGACAGCAGGTAGCCACTTGAGGTTGTTGAACTTGTAGAGTGACTTGAAGGCCAGCACTGGATCGACAAGACTTTGCGATCTCAAGAAAATAGAAAGGTATTCGGAAATCAAGTGTTGTGAGGCAGACGACTCTTTATCCGGAATATTATTCACAATGGTGTCTAGTAGTAGTGTGCTCTTCTTGAAGTCGCCGCAAAGGTTGTACGATTCAATCAACTGTTGATGGACTGCATCCTGGTTTGGATAGCTGTAAGCCTTTGCTGGCAAAGAATTCACGCTCTTGATTTCAGTGTTGTACAGGTTTTCAATGAAATGTAGATCTTTGAACAATGTGGAAAACTTGATCATTTGGATGTGGAAATGCTGCTGGTTTTGGGAGATGATTCTCTTGTTGAGGATTTCGAAAAGATTTTGAGGGGTGATCACATCTTTCACTTTGTAGTAGTTCAGGCAAGTTAAAAGATCGATGTAGATGCTGTTGTTCTTGAAGGTGTTGGACAAGGAGGTTGACTCTTTGTGGTTGATCAGGAATAGTTCAAAGGCGATCTTGAAGAACTCGAAGCCGTTCTTGTAGTTCGAGAGCTGGTACGATTTGATGGATCCCTTGACAAGGTTATCTATGATCAGTTCGTAGGTAGCATTGTTTGGCTTGATGTTATTGGACAACATGTCGGAATAGGTGTTCAACAAATGGGTCAGTCTTGTCTCCAACGTTTCATCTGTGTCCCTGAGCTGGATGGATTTCAAGACTTTATTGTAGATCTCGATCGAAGGGATGATTTCATTGTTTCTCATTCTGATGAAAACCGGCAAGACCTCGTTGAACTTCCCCATCGACATCATGGAGTCGACGATGACCTCTTGGGACTTGACAGGGTCGGTGTACAAGAAGGTGTCTAGGGCATCATCGATGGATTCAAACGTGCGGTTGGCTTGATCGTTGAGCTGTTGGAACTTCACGTGGTTCCCTGCAGCCGACTTTTCATTGGCGGTTTCGGTATCCTTGACGCCCTCGGATGCATCCTTGATCTGCAAACTTTCAAACTTTTTTTCCAAGTTGTCTGTCGAGAAGTTTCTGGAGGCAACTAGCGACTTATTTGGGATCGCCACCTTCCTGATGTTGTTTGAATTTGCTCTTCTGATGTTCAGGACAGTATGGTTCTGGGAGACAGAGTCGATGCTGATGTTCAGGCGGCCGTTCTTGTTGCCCTTGTGGTTCAACTTGCGCAACAAGATTTTGTCGTAGTCGTTGCTCTCCTCGAGCGTCCTGAAGGCAGACGCCTCCTGCTGAAGCAGGTAGTTGTTTCTATTGCCGTGGGAGTTGACGTGCTCGTTGTTGCCGGAGTTGGAAGCGTTGAAGATGACATAGTTCTTGGTCACCGAGAGCGCCGGAGCAACGTACTTGAAGATGCTGCGGTTGGCCTCGTGGGACGAGGTGTTGCTGTTGAAGCCGACCTCGTCAACCTTGATCAAGTCCTTGGGGCTGATGTAGCTGGGGTTGAAGAACTGGTGGGTGTATGTGTTTGTGGAGACATTTCTGGAGAAGGAGAAGCCCGGCTTCTGCTTCGTGATGGCGATATTTCTGAAGGGACGCATCACCATGACTGTGTGAGTGAGTGTGAGTGTGTGAGTGGAGTCTTAGCAAGAGGGGGGAGCCGGAGTCTGGACGGAGGCAAAGGAAAGAGCAGACGGGGGAACAGAAATAAGGTTGGCTGGAAAAACGTAGACACAACTGACACACCAGACACGGAGGGTCCAGCAGAGGGAACAATATTGCAATTGGAGCACATTGATTGGAAGAGCCAACAATGTCTGGGTGGAAAAAGGCTGGAGACGGACGGAACCGTTCTCGAGTGCGGGCAGACTAGTGCGCGAGAGACGGAAAACCGCTCACACCCCGTGCCGAGCACGGACACAGGGGGCGCCTGCAGCACGCACCCGTGCACCGGCGGGCAGCGGCGCGGCCCCCGAGGAGCCAAAACCCGTGCACCGGTATTTTTCCGCCTTTTCAGCCCGCGCAAGCCCTCTTGCTGCTCATTGGTCGCCGGGTGCCCTGCAGCGGTCGTCTCTGGCCGCCCGCTGGCAACATCCAACCCCACACACACGGCAGGGACACGCAAACATGTTCGCTCGCTTCGGCCCTCTCGCCACGCCTCTTATCTTCCGCAGCGCTTATCTGAACTAGCGTCTCGTCGTCGCCTTATCGCATGGACGCCCCCGCATGGGTGCCGCTGCGGTGCTACTCGCCCGATAGCCCGATAGCCCGCGATGCGGGCGATGCCGCCGGCCGGTGCCAGCACTGGCGATGACGCTTGTTGCCCGGCAGCAGGGCCAGGGGGCAGATAGCGCCTGCGATAAGCATGTCGGGGCAGTTCCAGAACCACAGCGAAGACCCTCTGCCACTGCGATACACACGCCTGCAGGCTGGCAGGCGTCCTGTGCGTGGCGATGTCGGACTCTCGCAGGAAGCTACGTCGCCGCTGCGGGCGTGTCCGGGACGATGGATCTGGCAACTCCTCGGGGCGGTGGCCGGCTCGCAGCACCGCTGAGCAGTCTAGCCGGATCCGGAAGTGTGTGTTTGGACCAGCTGTGGCTATCTGGCGCAGCCGCATGCAGCCCTGCTCCTGCCGCACGTCTGCATGCTGCATGCAGTTGCAGAAGGCTGCAGACGTCTCAGTCGCCGCCAGCCGCACGCCGCACACCGCCAGCCGCCGTCCTGCCCGCGGAATTGCCCGAAAAACCACACACAACTCGGCCCCCCGTGCTAGGCAGGGCTGACGTAAGCGGCGTGCGATATATTTACATTCACCCACGTTGATAAAGTAGGGCGAGCGCTTTGCCGGTTGCGGCCCAAACAGCAATCCTCCTCGCATGGCGGGCCGCCATTGTTTACCGCACGCACGTATCCACTCCGTCCCGTCTTGCTGTGAGACACCGGCCTTGCGGGACGGCCCAGCATGCCCAACACACGCCTGCAAAGGCCACTGCAAACACTGCGCAACCCGGGGCAGAGGTGTAAGTGAACGCAAACACCCGTGATGCGGGTGCGAGAAAACTGAGACGCAAACGCAAACGCAAACGCAAACGTGAGCATTGTCCTCCTGCTGCTACTATTGAGATATCCGCATTGGGCTATCTCCCACATCGTTCCTTTTTCCGGGAGGGTGTGCTACGCTACACCACGCTATTATTAACTGATCGGTCAATCAATGGAAATCGGTCGGTCAATCAATCCAGCGATTGATTACGAAGTCCCTCTGTGACTCTCTCTCTCGTTTTTTTTTCCCCATTTACCCCATCTTCCCCTGCCATTCTCCCGGGCACCTATCTCTCGTCATCCTTGTCTGGCCATTCCAGTTAATTGCTAGGCTTCTGCTTTCTTTTTCCCTGCGGTCTTTCTCTTGTGGTTTCCCTGGTTCGTTCCTTCCCTCCCCTCTTCCGCTCCTTCCTTCCTTCCTTCCGTCCTTCCTCCCCCCTCTCCCTGCTTCCGTCCCCCTTCTCCTTCACCCTCTCCTCTCACCCACGTAATTTCTTATCTCGGGCTGTTTTTCACACCACACTTTGCCAGGCTCCTTTGCTGAACACCAGCGCTTTTTTCCTTGCTTTTATTCCGTATACCACCTGCACGTTCTTGGTTGAAGCGGAACTCGTCGCTTTGAACACAATCGATCCCCTTCCTCAGATAGCTCCACCGAGTTATTTGGCCCTGCCCCTCGTCCCACCCCAACCATGCAGTGGAACAATTCCTATCTCCAGCAAGACCCGCTAGACCCCCTGTTTCTCAACGATGAAGAAAACCAAGGCCTCAGCCTGAACCTCAACTTCAACTTGAACGAGTACAACCTTGATGCTTCCTCCTCGTCCTTCAAGGCCATTGTCGACAACGACCTGAACTCTAACATCATCTCCACCTCCAACGACAACATCAGTAGCTTCATCTCGTCCGAAAACGATCTCGACAACACCTCCCCCTTGTCCTCCATCTCCTCCAATTCCGCCGCCACCACCGTCGACCCTCTTCAGGAAGAGTTCTTGCAGATTGACAGTCTTGCAAGCTACAACTACAACTACAACAGCAGCCTCAGCAATAGCAACAGTAACAGCCATACCTCGGTCAACTACCTCAATTTCGAACAGAATGACCTACCGGTCAGCAACAGCCTCACCATCAATACCACCGAATTGAGAAAATCCTTTGGTTCTACACAAAAGAACAACAGCCTTCTCTCCTCCGCCTCCACCGCCTATGGTTCCCTTCAGAATTCTCCTATCTTGAAGTCTCAAAACTTCAAGTTCATGAACTTGAACCCAACTCCAAGCTCGCTAGATAGTCTGGATGCTTTCAAACTTAATGATTTGGTACAGGTCGACCTTCAGAAAGTTTACAGCATAGAGGACACTACAGCTCCTTTACTAAGTCGAGAAAGTGAAGACATCATAGAGTCATCAAAGTACAGCCTCGCCACCTCGATTCCTTCCTCCGCTTCAACTACCGCAGACAATGAGGAAGATGACGACGATGACGACGATGAAGAAGATGAAGACGAAACTCGCTCGAAAGCGGCCCCAGGTTCCAAAGCTAAAAAGATCAGTGACTCTAGACTATCACTTGCTCAGCTCTCAATTGTCCTCAATTTGGAAGGAAACGACGACGAAACGGCCAAACGGGAGAAGAATATTCTGAAAATCTTGAGAGAAGACTTGGACTTCCCCATTGGCGAGAAAACCTGGATCAGAGATACTCCTGTCGATGAAAGAGAACGCTTGATGACCGAATTGACTGGCAAGGTCGAACAGGTCCATGGCTACGGCTACTCCAAGAAAACTCTGTCCATTATAGTCAGAAGAGCCAGTTACTACATGATGCAGGGCAGACTCAGAAGAGAGAGACGGTTACAGAGAAAGAAAAAGAGCATAGCCCACAAAAAAGCACTTCTCGAGTCCTCCATCGATGCCTCTGCAGACTGATGTATTCACCGACGCATTTTACTCACACATACACTACACTCAGTTTACTGGACAGAAAAAAATCCCACAAACACTTCTCATATACCAAAGTCCCTCTAAGTTATAGCTTTTCTCAATTAATATCCAAGGTTGTCTTTTCCCGCCGTCTTTTGTTCTTTTTTTTCCCTCTCCTTCTTTTTAGTTCTATCTAACATTTTACACTTATATCTACCTATCCACCAGCTATTTATTTTCCTCTTTCCCCTCCTCTTTCAGTTCTCCGCAACACTCTCTCCCTTTCCTGCTTTGTTTACTTCTCCCCCTGCTCCCCTATCTCCGCTATATACTGTCAACATCCCCACTCAAGTCTGACTCTGCCCGGCCAGCCTGTCTTTCTACCGGCCGACTGCCTTCTGCTTCTCCTATTGTCCTCTGAGCGCCGGCGCTAGGAAAATCTTTCCGCTTCGGGCGTATCGCACAGCACTAGTATACGGTCTTTCCGCTGTCGGTGGAGAACCCGGGCAAGCATCTCCGTCAGCACCTCCAAAGAAGTGACCACCTTCGTTCATGCATGGAAGGCCATCACCTAGTTGACAGCAATAATCGAAGGTGCATTAAACACAGCAACAATGACCCTTTCTACCAGCGAAGACGCTGTTGGCTCCGATCCGCTAGACGTGCAGACACTGGCCGCCAACTTCGACACGCTCATGGCAAACATCAACAAGAGAACCCAGCAGCTCGCAGAACAGGTGTACGAACACGTGCAGGAGAAGAAGCAGATTTCCGACGAAAACCTGACTGCGATCGAGGCAAAGTTGCAGCAGTTTGGAGGATTGCTTGATAAATGCAACGACCTAAACACAGAAATAGACAAACTCGAACAGCTACAACTGTTCACGCGTGACTTCAACCTCCGACTTCAATCCTTAAGCGATACACTCAGACGTGTTAAAACGTGAGAGAGAGCGCTGTGCGTAGTGCTATACATGTTTTTCTCTCGTAAAACTAATTATACAGATACGTAACTTGATTGTGTAAACTATTCTATCATCAATTTTTCCTTGCTTTGATCTCTTGCTTAAGCTCCCTCTCCAAAACCTTCCGGTTCTGTAGCTCCTTTAAACGGTTCTTGAACCTAACACCTGCAAGGATTGTGAGCGCAACGACCCGAAAGCTCAATGTTGCCTTTTTTTCACTTTTTGGCGTTGCTTGAATGCCAGCATTCAAAAATAGTATCTTGTTCTTTTTGAACATCTCGTTCTTGAGATCTAGCTCAAGTTGCACGTACTTCAGCATGTACCTCAAGTCAGAAATCTTTTCACTCTTCTCTTGAACTTTCAGCATCAAAAGATCTTTTTGTGCCTTCAAGGTATCGAGCTTGTTGGAACCCGTCATTCTGCTAGGTGACTCGGGCGTTGGTGGGAACCAATCCAGCCTGGTGTCTCTTTCAATGCTTGCTCTTTCTTTTTCACGTTCAAGCTCCTCATTCAAAGACTTTATATCATTCTTCAAGACTTGTAGATACCTTTCGGAAACCTTTAATTTGCTGTTACTCTGTTCATACTTCGTCTTCCATTTTGCAATCTCATCCTTGCTGTCTTTTCCTTGGTTTCTAATCTCGCTCTTCATTTCTTTCAACCTCTCAATCAGGTCATTCTTCATATAATTGTACTCTTTGACAACGTCATTATACTGGTTGTTTTTCTCCTCAAGCTTTTTCTCAAACTCTTGAACCTTAAAGTCATTGCTGAGGCCCTTGGTTCTGATTGTTTCGGAAATCTTGTCACTTCTGGCTAAAATTTTATCCTGCTCATCCGAAACAGAGTTGATAATGTTTTCCAGCCTTATCTTCTCATCGTCTAGTGACCTGATCCTTTTCTCTAATTGTACGATCTCAAGCTTTTTTTTCCTGAGCTGGAGTTTTAACGAAGAGTTCTCCTTTTCGGAACTTCTCAAGTGGGTTATGACCTCTTCGTTAGATTTGATTTTTCTATTCAACCTTTCCATTGAATTTTTCAACTGAAAGTTTTCATCCTCTGTTGACAATTTTTCGCTTTCGAGCTTCTCCCTTTGTGCTTTCAAAGTATTGATACTTTTCTCTAATTCACTCAGCTTTTCATCAAGCCCGTTTGTGTTTACTGACTGTAAAACTTGACTATCCAACTCTTGTCTCAGGCTGTATATCTCTGAGTCTTTCTTTCTGATAAGTTCCTCCAGCTGGTAATACTTATCAGATAGTAAACTATACTCAGCTTGTGAGTTTTTATACTCTAGGGTGACTTTAGCCAAATCATCGCTTAGATCATCAACCTCTTTTGAATTGATGATATTGTTGTATAACGTTTCAAGGTCCCTATACTGAAAATGTAAATTTTCGAAATCTTGGACCAATTTAGATTTTGAATCTTCCAATTCGTCAATTTTAGCCAGTAGCTTGTCATTAATGTTTTGGTGATCTGTGATTAGATTTTCAATTTCATGCTTATGATTCTCTCTTTCTCCTTCAAATTTTTCCTTGAGTTGGATAAGGTCATCAATACTGACTGTCTCCTCATCGTTTGAAGTAATATTTTTATTGCTTTCACCATTATAGCCTTCATTAGATGACTTCAATAATGTGGAGAAGTCAAGTTTCAGACTGGAGATTTCATCCTCTTTTCTCTGGATCAGCTTCTGGCTTTCCACTAAACTCTCATACAACTTTTCTTTATCATCTTCCAAATCACTAACATAGCTCTCTTTGATGTCTCCTTCTTTGTTCCTGTATCCTTCAAGAGTTTGCTGCAGTTGTTCCAACTGCTCTTCATAATCGTCGATTCTAGAGTATAAATCTGTAACTTCATCCGTGAGTAGTTTAGTGGCTTCACTTTGATTTCCCTTCAGTTTGCTCACTCTAGACTCCAAAGACTCATTCTTTCTCTGGTATGATTGAAGTTTCAAATTCAATTCTTTGATATTTCTAGTAAATAATAAGGCTTCAGACTCTTTATTGTCCAACTCTTTTTCAAGTGAGTCAATGGTTTTAGAAGCTTCTTCCAACCGCTTCGTCATCTCTTCCACTTTATCTCGTGACATTCGATAGTTCACACGTTTATCTTCATCATACTTTTTCTTCAACAGAGCATTTTCAGCTTCAAGCTCTTTCAATCTAACATTGGATTCTTCTTCATCTGAAAAGTTGTTTCCCGGGACTTTCTCATTACTCATATCGTGCTTGTCGAGATTGCGATTAGCTTCTTCTAGCTCGGATTCCAACCTGTAAATATCATTTGATAAATCTTTGTTTTCTTTTGTTAGATCATCTATGTGACGCTCGAGTTCAGCATTTTCCTCCTCTAGCTGACTGATTTTTCTTGCTGAATGGGCATCATCAACATGATTTTCCTTCACATGGTCCAATTCCAATCTCAATTCGCCCAACTCATCTTCATAGTTTGAGCATTTCGCTTCTAGCTTTTCAATTTCTCGATACAGCCCATCTCTTTCGTGCTTTACTTGTTCATTTTCTCCTACTAGATACTGGTTATCGGTTCGCAACCTGTCAAGGTCTTCCTCGTATCGTTCTTCCAAAGTTTCTATTTTCCCTTCTGTGTCTATACCTTTAGGGTTTGAATCAATAATTTCCTTTAGTTTTATTATTTGTTGGTTCAATGCAACGTTTTGTTCTATGAGTTCAATTGAATTTACAGGGAGTCCTGTAAGATTTTGCCTTAAAGTGAGCACTTCAACTTTAAGATTCGTATTTTGTGACTGAAGCTTTTTCACCAAATCAGATTGCGAACGCAGCATGTTTGAATCTATGTTTATATCCCTATTTTCGTCGTGGGAGTCAGAGACAAAATCGGGTATTATTTGAGTGCCCTTGGATATACCTTCACGCCCAAAAAGTTTTGAAATTCTGGAGTGGCGATTTGTTTCTGTGAAAGGTCTCTGTTGCTCAGCATTGTCATCTTCCCAGACGGAGGATGCCACAGATGAGGAATTTAGTACGCTGTCATCGGCTCTGTTATATTCTGCATTGTGATTCGCCGTGCCGTTGACCCTGTGTAATGTGTGAGTATTGGAGGTCGAGCGCCTAGGGGAACCATTGATACCGTTGGCAGTTTTCAAATTGTTGCCATTTCGTATCTTCTCTAACCTATCTGTGTATTTATCCGAGAAGTTGAGCACGGGACTCATGTTTGTAGAGGAATAGACTGACTCAACGAAGCCGTTGCCTGATTTCGAACCGATGGGGGTGAATTCCGGCGATGTGTTGGAGGGGATGTTTTGAGCTCGGGAATTCCCCGGTGAGCGGATTAGCTCGTTATTCAAAGGGCGCATAGTGGCTTATCCTATTCTGGAGCCAATGCTACTTTAGATGAAGCTTCCAAACAGAAGAACTTGCAAGCCTGTGAACGTGAATATGAACCTGGACATGAAAACAAATATCAACAAAAACAAAGTGAAATGGGGAACGCGACTTTATATTGTTTTATCTTCTTTTGTCGTTCTTTTCTTGTACATTTGTTTATTTATCTATCGAACTATCTACAACAGACTACGGAGTTAGTGCTTATTGACAGCGTCAATGAAGTCCTGTAGGGTCTTCTTGGCGGCTCCGGAGAAGATGCTCTTTCTGGCAATTTCAACCCCTTCCTTCCAGTCCTTGGTCAAACCGGCGACGACCGCGAGAGCGGCCGAGTTCATCAAAATGTAGTCAACCAGCGGGTCCACGCCCGGTCTGAGGGCGGCGGCGTCGGAGTCCAAGATCCGCTGTAAAACGATGGCGTTCTCTGCCGGCGTCTGGGACCGCACGAGGTCGAGAGAGTGTTCTGGGAGGCCGAAGTCTGCGGGCGTGAGCTCAAACTCGTGGATCGCGTCGGCGTCTTTGCTGTAAAACCACACCTTCGACTTCCCCACGGGAGAGATTTCGTCCAAACCGACCTCGCCCCAAACGACCATCGTGTTGGCCATTTTGCCCCGGGCTCGGTCGATGCGGACCGCCGCCTCGCAGTACGTCCGGCCCAACGTCTCCGTGTAGACGCCCAAGATCCGTGCCCGGATGTTGATTGGGTTCAACAAGGGTCCGAGGATGTTGAAAATCGTCGGGATGCCAAGCTGCTTCCGCACGCTGACAACCTTGGCCATCCCATGGTGAAAAGCAGGCGCAAAGAGGAAACACAGGTTCGAGTTCTTCACAATGAGCGGCGTCGACTCCGCGTTCACCTTCATCAACTGCACGCCAAGCTTGTTCATGAGGTCGCCTGAGCCAGATGCACTCGTCGACGCCTTCCCGCCGTGCTTGCACACCTTGAGCCCCATCCCAGCCCCGACGATCGCAGCGGACGTCGACACATTGAAGGTGTTCTGTGAGTCACCCCCCGTGCCCACAATGTCGAGGTAGCCCAGTGGGTCGACAAGCTCATCCGGAATCTTCTCTGAGTACTTCAGAATAGTCTCCACAGCCTGTGCAATGTATCTGGCGTCAAAGTCAAGCTTGTGGATGCGTAACCCGGTCAAGAATGACGCAATCTCTATGTCGTTAGCGTCTCCGGCAAAGATGAGGTCCAGAGCTGCGGCAAAGTCCGCCAGTGAGAGCTCTGGTGGCGTCGCCACAAGTTTCCGCAAATAAGGCGTCAGTGGCTTTGACATTCTGTGTGTTTCTAGTACCGTGTCCTTTACTTTCCGCCGTCCTGGCACTGTTTCTTCCTGCCTTCTATATGCTCCATGTCGTCCGTTGACTCAATCAAATCTCCAGCTTTCCCCGGAGAATTCCCGGGCCCAGGATCGACGCGTCGATTGGAAGCGGTGGGGGTGCCGCGGTGTTCTTTTCGCGTTTCCGTCCCTGACAGGATTCGCTGTTGTTGTTTTGCTGTGCTGGGCTGTTGCTGAAGACGGTGTTGTTGCTAGCGCTGAGCTTGAAACGTTGACGGGCACCAGAAGAAAGCCTGCAGTGAAGAGCACCGTGGAAGCAGACAGCAGACAACGATGGCCGACGCAATTGCACATGAGCCTATTGGGATTGCCAACCTCCCTAACCAAAGGTAAGTTAGAGAAAAAGAGTTTGTGTGGACAAGTCAGATCAGACGATGGAGAGAACAGGAACAGGATACTAACTGGAGCGGATTGCGTATCACAGATACAAGCTTGTTTCCAAGACCGGCGCCACGTTTACGATAATGTTGGCGGGGGAATCTGGGTTGGGGAAGACGACGTTCGTCAACACGCTTTTCCAGACGAGCTTAAAGAACCACCAGGAGCTGCGCAATAGATACAACAAGCCGATCAAGAAGACTGTGGAGATCGACATCATCCGTGCGGAGCTCGAGGAGAAGAACTTCAAGCTGAACCTGAACATCATCGACACGCCGGGCTTTGGCGATAACATAGACAACAAGAACTCGTGGGCGCCGATTGTCGACTTCATTGACGACCAGCACCATTCGTTCATGAAGCAGGAGACGCAGCCAAGCCGTGGCGGTGTCAAGGACTTGCGTGTGCATGCGTGCCTTTACTTCATAAGACCGACCGGGCACACCTTGAAGCCGTTGGACATCGAGATCATGAAGCAGTTGGGTATGAGGGTGAACCTGATCCCGGTTATCTCCAAGGCGGACACCTTGACGCCTAACGAGATGCTGGAGTTCAAGAAGAGAATCAGAGACATCATCGAAGTCCAGGACATCCGGATCTACTCGCCACCGATGGAGCTGGACGACCAGGCTGCCTCGGAACACGCCAAGCAGTTGATCGAGTCGATGCCTTTTTCGATCATCGGGTCTGAGGAGGAGTTCGAAGTCAACAACCAGCTGGTCATCGGTAGGAAATACCCATGGGGTTTTGTCGAGGTCGAGAATGACCAGCACTGTGACTTCAGAAAGCTGAGAAGTTTGCTTTTGAGGACGAACATGTTGGACTTGATTCTCTCGACCAACGAGATCCACTACGAAACATTCAGAGCGAAGATGATGAACAACGACAGCGATAACTACGAAAACAGGAAGGGCGCCGACAAGGTGTCCCACAAGGACACGAACAACCCGCAGTTCATCGAGGAGGAGAAGAAGCTGAAGAGATACTTTGCCGAGCAGTTGAGAAACGAAGACCAGCGCTTCAAGCAGTGGAAGCAAAACATTTACACCGAGAAGAACAGATTGAACCACGATTTGGCGCAGTTGCAAGCCCAGATGAAGAAGCTGGAGGAAGAGGTGAGAGTGTTGCAGGAGAAGAAGGTTAAATCTGCGCCTTAGATGGGACGATTAACCCCCGCCACTGTCAACTCTATATCCGACTCATTGTGCATTTTTTTTTAGCCGATGGATCGTTCTGGTTCATCGGATCCCCTACTTACATTTGTCTTGTGTACTCTCCTTTTATATTTACCTCAACATTTCCAAACATTCCACGTCCATGCGCTTTTTCCTGGTAAATGTTATTTGATTTTTATTTTATTAAAACAACAAAATTGTAGAAGGGAGAAAATGATAAAGTAAAGATTATATATAAAAGATATTTATTGAAACTATCATCAGGCTTAATCTTGAGCTCTCTTTGCGGCCTTCTTTGCAGCTTTTCTGTCAGTACCAAAGATCTTCTTTGATCTGTTCTTCTTTTGCTTTCTTTGTTGTCTAGCAGCCTTCTCGACCTTGGTGGCTAAGCCGTATCTGACTAATCTGTATGCTGGTTCGAACTTCTTGGCGTCAGCAACGGAGTTGTAGACCAAACCGAAACCGGTGGACTTACCACCACCGTATTGGGTTCTGAAACCGAAGACGGAGACTTGGTCCTTTTCAACCTTGTACAAGGCAGAGAGTTGTTCTCTCAATTCATCCTTAGAGACGTTAGCTCTGTTTGGGTGGATGACGTCAATGACAAACTGTCTTCTGCTCAACAAAGCGTTGGACAAAACCTTTCTAGTTCTAATAGTGATAGCGTCAGACTGTGGACAGATAAAATTTTCAGCGAGTTGCGGATTATGTTAGTATACGATTCGGCGATGTGTGGCGAGACGAAGGGGGGTGTGGAGAAGCTGCCGGTGCTGTAGTTTCAATGATCTCAAAGTCGACGGCGGCTCTGGTGCGGTGTGCTGGCTATCATTGTGTGACGACTCGTGTGTGTGGCTCCGTACTGTGCTGTGATTGTGCAAACACTCCTGGCACGCTATACGGGGCACTCTTTCTGCTGCTGCTGCCGATCCAATGTAGTGCTGTCTGTTTTCAGGGCGCATGTGTTCCCGCTGGACGCCCCACACTGGTCTCTCGACATTTTTCACTCTACTCTAGCACGTCCGGCAATCTCTCTCTGGCTTTCTTTCGTTCCTTCATCACGGCGTGCTGCACACGACATGGAGACAACATACCATCTTGTACTATTGCTGGTTTCTGTGATTGAAGATACGGGAAACAAATGCACTATCGATCCTCCGCAACGCCAAAGTCTTCACCAACTTCATCTTCAACTCAGCAAAACGCAGAAATCCCTGTGTATACCCTCTCACTGCTCCTGCTCCCTCGTCCCAGAGCCAGAGCCAGCACCATAGACAGGGCCGGCCACCACCCGCACGCTTCGGGGCGACTTTCCGCACTGAAAAAAAAAAAGTCCCGGTCTCTCCTGAGACCGCTTGTGTGAGGTGCGCGGGTGGGAAGCTGTGGCGGTGAGGCGGCGGAGCAAATTCGCAGTCACAATGGCAAAGGGCAAAAAAGCGGCAAGATAAAATGGGTTACGTAATTTGGCACGTGACCGGGCTACCAAGGGAATTTCTCACTTTCGGCCCGTTTTCTCCATCCTTTATCTGGTGTACTTCATTTTACTCTGTACTGTTTTTTTTTTTTTATTTTATTTTATCTTATTTTATCTTATTTTTATTTTATCTTATTTTACTTTAGACAGTATACAAAGGGCACGATACAGCGTGGCGAAGCGATAGAAAGGGTATATGGCTGGCTGCGACAATCACGCTCTGATCCTCAAGATGAAGTTGACGATGACGGCAATCAAGAGGAAGAAGCAGAGCATGGTTGGCCCAAAGCGGTCGTCGTAGGGACCCGAGCCCCTTCTTCTGATGGCGTTGGCTCTCCAGTGGTAGGTGATCAACGCGTAGACCATCGTGCCCATCGCAAGGAGCGTGAACAGCGACGCGGAGATCCGGCCAACCTTGTCGCCGAAGTTGAGCAACCCAATGGCAAGCGAGCCGAGAATGACGGTGAAGTTCAACCACGAGAGGAACGTTCTCTCGTTGGCAAAGAACACCTTCGGCTCGACACGGGTAGGCAGGGCAATTCTCTTACCGGGGGCTGTACAGCTGGTGTTAGTAGTCTGGGGCATGCGTCGGCCGCTTATCCGCGTGCCGGGGCGTTGCTGCGTACGTACTTGTCTGTAATAGTGGTGCTGATGACATGCTGTGTGTGCGTGCGTGTGTGTCTGTGTCTCTCGCTGGTCCAATCCGATGGCGCCTGCTCTTCTCTGGCTATAGTTCTCCGGCTGCTTCCTCCACCACAGAACCCCGTGCCACCTCCGCCTATATATACGGCCAGCTGCCTCTATCATGTCCACCAGACAGGAATATTGCGACCCCAATACGGTGCACGTGCGCCCCAAAGCGGCAAGCCCGCCGGGGGAGGCTGCACAGCCCGGATTCGTCGATCGGGGCGTCGGCGGTTTTTCCTGGCCTGTTCCAGGTCCTGTTCCGGTCCTGCTCCGTAAACGCAATCCAAACATGTTGAAGTTGGATTGGGACGGGGGTGTGGTTGGTCAGACCGGGGCGTGCAGGCGGACACTGGGTGTAGTGGGGTCAATTGCCAGATGACAGCCGAAACCGACACACCGCATGCCGTTTCGCCGGGGCCGGCGCCGGCAGTCGCCCTCGAGGAGGTGAACGCCTCCAGACTGGTACGTCCGTCAACAGAGAGAAAGTTCTGAGCACGCCTTGCAATACTAACATCCGTCTCCCTGCTACTGTTTCACGTGTGCCACAGCCAGTCTCGGTGTCGGAACTGGTGGAGTTTGTGGATGCCCGCTATGGTGCGTGCGAAAGCCTGAACGAGCTCGTGGGCGAGATCTTGGCGCTGTTGTCGGCCAAGTCGTCCAAGTTCAAGTACATCGTCAACACGACTGCGGTCGCGGTGCACGAGAGGGCGAACAACGAGATCAAGAGCACGTTTGGGTCGCTGTGGGACGAAAAAAACGACGGCCTGCTGAACTTCAGATACAGGGCCGGTGACGCGCAGTGGATCTTGTTCAACGTCATCTTCGTGTCGATTGCCTAGTCGATAGCGGTTGTCTACAGTCTAGATATATAACACATGCGTAAAGATTATGCACAGACACAGATGGTGTCTCCTTCATACCTCACTTCTTCAGGGGGGCGTAGTGGAACTTGCGGAAGATGGTTGGCGGCTCGTCGATGTGTTCGGTCATCGACTGCTTGCACAGCTCCGTGCACTCACCCAGAATGAAGGTGATTCTCGACTTGTCCTCCTTCTTGCACTCGAGTATCACTTTCAGCAGATCCACGGGGAGGTCGTAGATCTCGCCCAACGCAATCCCCCACTTCTCGACATACTCCGTCTCGTTTGCCGAGGAGATCAGCTCGATCAGGATATCGAGTATGATCATCTTGTTCTCCAAGATCCCGTCCTCGTCGTGCTTCTGTAGTACATCCATGATCTTGTGGCCATCTCTCTCCAAGGAGTCCACAATCTTCTTCTCAAAGCTTCTTCGGTAATTGAGCATGCTGAGATATCTCAGTAAGAAATCATCCGTGATGAAGTCGAACAAAGACACGAGTAGTTCTGGATATGAGAAATCGATAAATGGCATTAGATACTCCTCGTCGATCACATTCAGAACGCTGTCAATGATGGTGGACGATTTGTACCATGACTTGGTGAACAAGTCGTTCATCATCAACCCGTAATCCTCCAATGCTAGTGACGATAACTTCTGTAAGCAGTACGCACCAAGCTCAATCGAATGGTTGGTGGCAACCTGCTTCAGCTCAAGCAACTTATGAGTGTGCACCTCGTTCAATCCAGACGTGATCGAGTCAAAGTCCCTTTCCAATGCATCAGTCAAAATCAAGCAATCGTTCGACAAATTGGTGATATACCTTGGCAAATATCCAATGTTCTCATTGACTTGCTCATCTCCTTTTAGCATCTTCCCCTTAGCTTTTGCGTCCGTCATTCTAGATATCACCCATAGCTTGGTCATCTTGTCCAATGCGCTAACCCAAATATCTTGATATTTCCTCATGATGTCATTGGCAAAGAACCCGAAATATTGCACCAAAACAGAGGCATCCCCCAAAGTACGGATGTTTTTGGTATTGGAAGATAGTATGAGCATAACATCCTGCGAAACTTGAAAAGACAAGCGGTCTTCTCTGCGGTCACTTGGTTCTTCGCTCAATGACTCGAATCTTGCAACAGCTTTTTCAAGAGCTGTATCAATCCATTTGGTAGTGGAACTGATGTTTTCTTGCAGTGAGCTGTTGAGCAACTGTTTCTTTTTATCTTCGGACAAAAGTCTGATACTTTTGATTTCTTTGTTGGATATTTTGAACGTTTGCTTCAAAATTTGTTTGTTTTCGTAGTCCAAATCAATAATTTGAGCCAACTGCTGATTGCTGAATTCGCCAGAATCCAATATACTGTTCACAATATCCCGAACGGCCTCCTGATGCCATTCTAATATTTTAGGAAAAAAATTCCACTCTTCAGGGAAACATTTCGTAACGGCAGTTTTGTAATCCGATATAGTTTGATAATAGAAAGTACCTTGTTCTCCAAGGAAAATACTCAAGTCTTTGGAACTTAGTATGTCAATAAACCTGTCTTCAATGCTCTTCTTGAAAATTTGTTCAAACTTAGCCTTGTATCCTCTTTCAGAAGACCTTTTCACCTTAGTCATCCTACTGTCATTCAAGTTGGCGGTAGCAGAATGTTCCGTGTTGTTCTTCTTGTCAATCAAGTAGTTCCACAAACGCACTTTCAAGTCTTCTCTTTCTTCATATTGGATTATTTTTATCACCTTGATGAGAAATCCAAAATTACCGGTTTCAACAAAATCTAAGACGGAATCAACGATTATACTTAGCAAATGATCAAACTTCTTCACACACTCGCCTAGCTGCAGGGAGAGATCATAAACTATGCTTTTAGTGTTTGACAAAATTGAATTTCTGGACATTAGCTCCATCTGATCCTGCAAATCTCTCAACTTCGTTAAATGGTAGTGCGCAATCAATAGATTATCACCCGTAGAGTTCGGTAATTCTCCATTCTCATCCTTTGTGATCTCATCATTCAATAGCCTCATAATCGTCTTCTGATTCTGATGAAAAGTGGCAATGTTGTTATAAACCTCCTCCGTTGCATTAATGTTTTTCATGACCAAGGCGGCATGATCAAATACCACGAAGTCGTTGTTTTTGTTGACATTTGACAAGTTATCCCGCCGTAGTTCATCTAGTTTCCCGACACTGTATTTCAAATCTTGCAAGTTTTTATTGGCTGACTGCATACTGGAAATCATCATATGAATTTGTTGCAAATGTCGTTCTTGCTCGATCTTCAATTGGGAATCAATGGTCGATTGTTCCTTGGATATGTCGGATATCAAGGTGTCCAAATTCGAAAGATCGTCTTCATCTTGTATCAGCTTGTTCAGTTTCGCCAGTACCTGTGATGAAATCTGGGTCGACATTTTAGCTTGGCTTTTAATCCGAGATAATCTAGCCTTAACTTCTGTTTCAATTCTACTAACTCTACCCTCCCCACTTCTATACCAGAACTTGACAAGCACACAACAACTCCCAACGTCTTCTTTTCCGTGCCAAACCTCGGCGCGCATCGCCAAGATTTGATGGTCCTCTCATACATACACACCTGGTGCTCTTGTCCTGTATAGTTTACAAACATATAAAATGCATCGGTCTAACCGTTTATAAAAATTGACCTTTGTTGACAACAAATGCCTCGATAGTGGCAATAGCAGCATAGAGTCTGTTTTCTGCTTCAGGGAAAACTATAGAGTGGTCACTGTAAAAGACATCGTCTGAAACTTCTTCCTTATGTCTTGGCAAACAATGCATGAACTTGTAATCCTTGTCGGCCAAGGCAACCAGGTCAGAGTTTATTTGAAAGCCTTCAAACTGCTTCAGCTTTTTCTGTGTTTCTGCTTCTTGTCCCATCGACACGAATGTGTCTGTAACTAGAATATTGGCACCCTTTGCTGCTTCTTTCGGGTCGTGGGTCAGCTCTAAAGTTGCACCTGTTTCGGCCGTGGTTGCATTGGCAGCATCTATAACATGCTGTTCAATTTCAATTCCATTTGGAGTGGCAATCGAAACGTTGATACCGAACTTCATCGCTGCTATTGCTAAGTCATTGATGACGTTATTGGAATCGCCAATCCAGGCAAGTTTCAATCCCTTGAGTTCTTTAAAATTTTCTTTGATTGACAAGAGGTCACAAATTGCTTGAAGTGGGTGGTATTTGTCGCAAAGGGAATTAATAATAGGAACGGAAGAATGTTCACATAGTTGCTGGATCTCAGAGTGGGAATTCACTCTGGCAAAGATACAGGAGGTCATCGAAGAGATGACCTTCGTGGTGTCATAGAAGGATTCGTTGACGCCTAGTTGAATGTCATCTTTGCCAAGGAACATTGGTTGTCCGCCAAAGTACGCAGCTGCACCCTCTGAAGAGATTCTAGTTCTGGTGGATCTTTTACTGAAAAGTAGCGCCACCAACTCACCTTGCAATGGCCATGTTTCTGGCTTGACACCCGCTTTTATCAGTTTCTTGTGGTGCTGTGCTCTGTTGACGAGAGACACGAACTCTGGAGTTGTCAAGTCAGCAATGGAGATCAAATGGCGGATGGTATTAGAGGCCGTCATGGAGGTTGAGAATGTTCTTTGCGAGAGCTTAGAAAAAAACATGGTAAGAGACTAGCAAGTATAAAAGTCGAAGAGGATAGTTATCACAACCGAAGCGAAAAGAAGCAAGCGTGGAAGATGTTAAAACAGAAGAAAAAACCAGTACTTATATAAGTCACAAGCAAAAGTGCAGACGCCAGCAGTTAGTCACACCGACCAGTGGACGTTTTTTTCATCGAACTAAGACGTTGGCAATATTCCTCACATCAAGTGTGAGCAAGGCCGAGTAAATCTAAGCGCGCAAAGACAGAATTGCTCGTTTAGGCAATTTTCGGCGCGCTTAGCTGACGGCATTTGACTAGCAGATTGTTTTATTGGGAGAAAATATGTAAGAATTACAAAGTTCTTAAGGATAATGGATGCAGGTAAGCTAACTGCAATTACAAAGAGCTTGACTCATCCTTTGAGCATATTGAGCTGTTTTGTTTGTAATGCTTCCGAGCTCTGTCTTCAAATGATTCATCTGTAGTTCACGCTTGCTGACTATGTCGGATAGAGAGGTCAGCTTTTCCTGCGTTAGCTTTAGCTGCTCTTCGAGTGGAGCTACAGTATGGAAAATAAACTGTGCTTTCTTATGTCTCTTGGATAACAGTACAGGTTTGCTGTCACACAAATCATGTCTCTCTTGCAAATCCAGTCCAATAACCTCGACATTCCCTGTCGGAACAAAACCCCTCGCGTGACGCCCATCAGTTTCACCGCCATCGCCAAAGCTTTCAAAATTATCCAAATCATCAAGGTTAGTTTCTGAAAGTGCCTGTTCAATTTGTTTTCGGCGCATGGCACTTTTTTTCTTATCATGAGGTAAAATTTCAGGTTCAGAACATTTGGGTGTTATCCTGGTTTTAGTTGTTTCTGTTGGCCCATGCACATTGAGATCATTCTGTAAAGGCATTTCAGTGTTACCATCACTATCCAAATCTGAGCCACTAATGATGTGGCCCTCTACGTTCTCACCTAACAGTATTCCTTCGGCCGTATCCTGTTCTCTCTCTTCGCTATTCTGGTTATCTCCGTGCGTAAGTTCTAGAATGGCACTTTCAGTCGTACTTTCGTAAGATTTAAGATAGTCTTTGACATTTACTTTTTTGTTGCCTTGGTCTTCATTCTGCAACGAAGAAATGCCTTTCACAGCAGCTTCAGCGATAGGTGCTTTGGCCACAAAAGTTTTCTTCTTTGAATTGCTGGACAGTTTTCCTTGAAAAACACTCAAATATTCTTCCTCGTCAGACTCATCACCTGTAAACAAAGAAGAATTATGAAGGGGTCGTCCTTGTTTGGAAAGAGTGGAGCTGTTTGCCTTGGCGGTGCTGCCGAAATTGCTCTTCAGTTTTCTTGGTTTAAACTGCTTGAGCTTCGGAGCTTGCAATTGAATGTCTTCCTCTGGATCATCATCTTCTTCAAGGAAGTGAAGCTTTACCATGCCTAGTTGACAATCTCCTCATAGTCAAGTGTTTAGTTCAAAAAAACCTCTTATCATGTCCACTCTAGCCTTTTGATGTGAGAACGATTGTGGACAGGAAAAAATTTTATACCCTCACACGAATTTTTGGATCATCATTGCTCACTGTAAGATCAACAGCCTTGGGCCACTGTCTTGAATGGTGGAGCGGTTATCCTAACTAGTATAAACTTGGGGAGGAGAGAGTAACATTAGAGGTGAGAAGTGAAATGAGTGACAGCAGCATAACGAATGATATCCCTGCACCTGCACAGAAGCTTCACCATGCTATGGTGTCAAGCGGTAGAGCTACATACACGCAAAATGAATTATTGGAGCTGCTGAAGTACGATGATGCTAATGAGTTGATGCAAAATGCACAAATTTTGCTTAATAAAGGGCTATTAAAGATTTTGGAGTCTGATGGAGAAGGTGACACAAAAGAAAAGCAGATCTTGTTTGCAGCTATCACAGAACAAGAAGCCAAAAAGGTAAGTAATATGACCGGTGATGAGGCAATCGTGTATTCCCACGTTGAAGCAGCAGGCAGAGAGGGTATATGGACAAAAACCATCAAGTCTAAAACAAACTTACATCAGCATATTGTCTTGAGATGCCTTAAGTCACTTGAATCCCAGTCGTACATCAAATCAGTCAAATCGGTCAAACATCCAACGAGGAAGATATATATGTTGTACCACTTGACTCCATCCATTGATGTGACTGGTGGTCCGTGGTTTACCGACTCAGAGCTTGACACAGATTTCATTGATTCCTTGCTAATAGTCATTTGGAAATTCATCGCTCAGAGAACTTTCCCGAAATGTTTCAAAAAGAAGGGATTAATTCCAAACGGTCTGAAACAGTACAGTTATCCTGCACAACTTGTAAGCGGTATGGGATCTCTTTTACCAACTCTCAAGGAAATCAATGAATTCATTGTTAGCTCAGGAATCACTACGGTGGAGTTGACCCTATCTGATGTGAAGTCATTGTGCGATGTTTTAGAGTTTGACGAGAAAATCGAAAATAATGGAGGCTCTTACAGAGCCACATGGCAAAGTGTCCTCGAGGCTGGTGGTGGTAAAGTAGAAGGAGAAGATATATATGCACCACTTGATGGCGAGATTTTCAGCGTAAATGACAACTATAGGGTTCTTGACACAATGCTGAACGACGAGAATGGAGACAATAATAATTCTAGTTCCCATGTATACTTGGATTCATGGATAACTTTATAAACTGAGATTTCTTGCGAAACTCTAACGATTGAAATTTTGTACATTAATGATAAACATTTTTTAGTAAAGGTGCTATACGGGATGATACTGGTTACATATTACTGATGTATGGTGGGGGTTCTGACTCTTCTTCGATTTCTTCATAGGCAGGAGGAACAATGAAATTGAGTTGAGGTCTTTGTCTCAGTTTCTTAGCATCCAGAAGAGAGAAAACTTTGGAGGGGACTACTGCAAAATCGCTTGCCTTCTGTTTTTGTTGTTGCGCATCCCAATAAGTCGGAGGAGGCATCTTACCATCAACACTCTCACCTTTCAAAATGGCAACTTCAGCTTCAAGAATAAGCTCAACCTTGGATTTTTTAGTTTCTGGCTCCAGCAGTAGTTTTGCCAGTTGTTTAATCATTACGTTGTCGGCCTTCTCTGCTCTAGTGTTGGATAAAGTTTTATCTATGCTTTGAGATCGAGTTCTCATGCTAAATGAACTTACCAAATCGGATATATCAATACTAGAGTTATCATCCAGCTCAGAAATCTCCTCAACTGAGATGGAAACCTTGATTTTGTGAGTAACACTAAAATGGCATACCCGATTCTCCACTTGATTGGTAGTTGGCACAAGAACCACTTCTCTTTTTGAATTTTTATCCTTGACGTTGTGTTTCTTGTGTACCTTTCTCAAAGGAGTATCGAATTCCCAGCATTGAATGCCATTTTCCAAGAAGTCAATATTGATTTCTTCCAATAGTATTCGCTCAGTGTTTGCCAAATTTGAATGGTACATTGATTTTTCCTCCTCCGTAAGCCGGTCAGCAATATGATATTCTGTAACTTGATCCAGGTATACCTTGATGGAGTTGAGCTTATAGCCGGTGGGGTCTATAGGTAAAACTTTGATGTAAAATTTGAGAGAACCTCCTATGGCAACTTGTCTATTAGAAACCGCTATTTTATAGTACAACAAATTCCTCCATCTGCCTAGGGATAGTGCGTCAGAAGAGGTCGTAGAGACTGCGCATGAATCACTATCACATTGGACCAACTGGATCGGTAGAGGTTGTGTGACCTTGGTCTGCGGAATGAGAGATTTTGTGAAAGAGTTCGGAATATAATTTACAGTAACTGTAATCGAGTAAGCGGTTGATCCGAACACGTTTGACATCGTTTCGGGAACGTTGTTAGGGATGAGAAACTGGAAAGGGTAAGCAAAAGAACCTTTTGGAAAGTAGTCTGTGTCTAGCACCTTGTCATTCTGTTTGTATTGCCAAGACCTGGACTGGCTGAAAACAGGAACTGGCTTGTTCGCAACAAAGAGTGAATTTGGGTCCGGTGCCATGTACTGCGGGAAATACTTCACATTTAATAATCCTTCAAATTGCAATCGGATGTGAGATATCCTTGCCGGCTTTTTGACGTAGATGCATAGGTACCCACGGAGCGGGGTCACCGTGGAGCCGGAATCATCTGATCTCAGATAAAGAATTTTATCTAGGAGTTTCAATGAAAGAGTAAACTTGCTGGTCGTTAAAATGGGGAACTCGCTGCCGCCCGGGATCTGATCAATCTCCGACCCTGTGGAAGACACCGGAGAAAGATTTGAGTTGATTGCAGATAAGGATGGGTTGAGGAGCGGAGAGACATTGGCAGAGGAGCTGTTTGACTGCTTGCCCAAAAACTGATTTAGCATCTCGTCTTTATTCCAGTGCTGCTCGCGATTTGCTGGTTTGGTGGATAAGTCGTTCACCTAAAGCAGGGGAAAGCACAGGAAAACAGAGATTAGCTTCCAAGCTCAGATACCCCTTAAAGATTTCTGGTTCCAAGAAGCGTTGCTTGCATCCAACGGGTGATAGAGATCTACGCAGCCTTGCAATTTTTCCACACTTTTTTTTTGCTATCCTACTGTGGCTGGCTAAACGACAATTGTCTGGAGCTGTCAAGAACAATGTTCCTCGAAGAAAGAAAAAAACTGTTGAATGCAGATAAGCGGACCCGATTTCCCGATCCGGAAGCTCTGTGCGTCTCCGAAAAGTCTCACCATTTTTTACGGTGCACGGGTGTTAATATATGTGTTGCTTTGAGTCACGTGATCATGCTAATGACACGCTGGCGAGTTTTGGCAGCGGAATTGATAACAAGGCCGGCCTTCTGTAAAGATGATGATGATGATGATTAAAGACGATGCCAAAGAAGAACAAAAGCACGCATCTGTTCTCCCCATCAGAAAGAAAGCAACCGGCTTGGACCACCGCATTCAGTCTGGAGCAGAAGATAAGGAACACTACATTGCAATGTCTTCACTCACTACTTTGCCAGGCTCAAGTGGTAAACTTCTTAGAAGAATTCGTACGTATTAGCTGCTGGTTTTTTCTCTTGGCGACATTCTTGAACATGCCCGGAAAAGTGTGCAGATTACTAACATTTAGAAAACGACCGCAAAATTGCGTTTTCGTTGTAATTCAGACCGTGCATGCCGCCCTACGTTAGATGAGCCCAACATTGCCTTGAATTTAGAGATTTGTGATTTGGTTAACTCGAAACAGGCGTCCCTCCCTCGTGAAGCATGTATTGCGGTAGCGAAACTCATCAATTCGAGAGATCCTCAGGTCTCCGAGTTGGCATTGACCTTATTAGACTACTTGGTCAAAAACTGTGGCTATCCGGTGCATCTACAGATCTCGAGAAAGGAGTTTTTGAATGAGCTGGTCAAACGGTTCCCTGAAAGACCTCCTCCAGCATACTCGAGAGTCCAGAGATTGATCTTGGGCACCCTGGCTGAGTGGGTGCAAACGTTGTGCAAAACTTCAAGATACAAGGACGATTTGACCTACATCAAGGATATGTACAGGCTTTTGAGAAGCAAGGGTTACGACTTCCCAGCTGTTAAAAGAGAAGACGCAGCCGTTTTGAACCCAAGTGACAATTTGAAATCTATTGAAGAGCTTCAAAGAGAGGAGAGGATCGCTCAAAGTGCTAAGTTGCAGGAATTGATTAGAAGAGGTAGACCTCAAGACTTGAAAGAAGCTAACGACTTGATGAAGATCATGTCTGGTTTCAAAGAGGACGAAGCGTTGGAAGAAACAAAACAAAAGGTCTATGATGATTTGGAAAAATTGAACAGGAAAATTGACCTCCTAGATGAAATGTTGAATAACGCTTCCAACAGTGGTAAGCTTAACAAAAATGATGACACTTTACAGGATTTAATATCGACGGTCAAAGTCGCCCAACCAAGGGTCCAAAAAATTATTCAAGAAGAGGAAGGCTCTGGAGACGTTGCCAAGCTCTTGCTACTGAATGACAAGATCAATTCCAGTTTGATAAAAATTGCAAAATTGCAAGGTGAAGATATCAGTAACATCTCGGGCCCTGCCAGTAGAGCTCCACAGTCAATAAATTTGATTGATTTCGATGATGACGAGCCAGAATCACAAGCTGGAAATTCCTCTGAAGCAGCGCCAAACACTAATGATGCAATCAATGACTTGCTAGGTGATTTAGGTGGGTTGTCGTTCGATAACTCGAGTAGTAACAATGCTAACTCTCAATTCGGCGTCGGTGCAATTAACCTCCTGGGTACCCCAGAACCCCAAGGTGCTTCAAAACCACTCTCAAATCTAGATATACTTTCTGGTTTTAACACTCCCCAGCAACAGCAGCCACAACAGAAAAGTCAATTCCCCCTTGTTGCTGCTTCACACTCTTCAACTACATCTGTTTCAACCCCAACTCAGCTCGACCCATTTGGGTTCGATTTCGGCTCTATGCCTGCACCTGTCTCCACATCAACGCTTGTCTTATTCAGCGATGAAAGAATTACCGTTGAATACACTGTTTCTAAAAAGCAACCGGCTTTTGAAGCCACATTTTTTGTGTCTAATAACACTCCAAACCAATTGTCAAACCTTCAGTTATCTCTAGCTGTTACAAAAAGCTTTGAATTATCCCTGAACCCTCCTTCCTCCAATGCGCTAGGTCCTAACTCTAAAAAAGGGATTAAACAAAACGTAACTGTTAAAAGCAGAAGCGGTGAAAGCTTTAACTCACTCAAGTTCAAATATAAACTAGCTTACCTCAGTAATGGTTCACCAGTTGAGGATTCAGGAGTTGCATCTATATCTTTCTAAGTTTTACTCGCTTGATATACAGTTTACTTTTCTCAAAATAGTATTTGTTCACCTTCACTGTTTACTAATTTAATGTACTCAAAATGCGTACAGTTCCCATCACAAAATGTTTTTTTAGAGCTCATATATTTGAATTGACAAAATAAATCATTGTGTAACTGATGTATATGTACAAAAAAAAATGAAATTACATAAAAAAAACATAACTATCTTTGCTTCCCGTCATTACTATTTGTTTCACCACCTGTCAGGCCGAACAGCTCGTCAATCTTACTCAAATCTGGAAAGTCAGAATCATTCAGATTCAAGTTGATGTCTTCAAAAGATTTATTCTCAATTCCAGTGCTGTTTCCAGGGGTGCCAACATCATTACCCGATTGTGGATAGTAGCTCATTATGTTTGAGGCCAAAGAAGAGCCAGGTTGAGGAGAAAACCTGGTGGTGATGGAAGATGTGTTCATCCTACCGTTACCATCTGCTTTTTGAGCGATTGGTCCACTTTGACCTTGAGACAGCGGTTGAGCCTGCGCTTGCGCTTGGGCCTGAGCCTGGGCTTGCGCTTGTGCTTGTGCTTGGGCATGTGCTTGTGCTTGTGCTTGCGCTTGCGCTTGGGCTTGCGCTTGGGCTTGTGCTTGGGCTTGCGCTTGGGCTTGTGCTTGTGCTTGTGCTTGTGCTTGTGCTTGGGCTTGGGCTTGGGCTTGTGCTTGTGCTTGTGCTTGGGCATGTGCTTGGGCTTGGGCCTGGGCTTGGGCTTGTGCTTGTGCTTGTGCTTGTGCTTGTGCTTGTAGCTGTGCTTGTAGTTGTATTTGTGCTTGTAGTTGTGCCTGATTTTGTGGTTGGAACTGTGCTTGTGCCTGTGTCTGTGCTTGTGCTTGTGCTTGCATCTGTAATCTCCGTTGATGCTCAATCTGTCTCTGACGGATCAGTATCAAATGTTTCCGTTGCTGCTCATTGAGTTTGGGGTTTTTTATCAGCATATTAAGCTGCTCTAACGTTAACGAATTTGTACTTTTCTTTTCTCCTGAAGATGAGCTAGCTGCATTTCGTATTTGGGGTGAGACAGAGCCTTGGCTCATTTGAAGTGGCATTGTCGGATTCATATTGCCATTAGCAGCCGCATTCGCTGCAAGGTTTGATTGTTGCTTTTCAAATTGTAGTTGCTTTGCTTGCTGGAGTTTAGCAATATAAGAACTTGCCAGTTTAGTCACTTGACTTTTCTCCAAGTTCGGATTTTGCATTTGAATCTGGTTAACAATTGCAGATATCTCAGCATGTGACAAAGCGAATTTTGGCTTCACTGGCTTCTTGATCCCATTTTGTGATAATGGTATTTTGGCGGAAGGAGAAGGTGAGACGCTTGAGCCAGTTTTGGCAATTTGCAAGACTTGCTCTGGAGTTGGTACTGGAGACGGCTGTGATCCCGGTCTCATATTCGAAAGGTGGTTTTGTGGTGATGACGCCAAAGATTGAGGAAAAGAATTAACCTTCGCAACTCTTTGAGACTGTGCCATCTGTGATATAGAGGCGTTAGAAGATGATGATACCGGAGATTGGTAAGAAGCGCTCTGGGACGATGTTTGTGGCTGTAATTGGTGAGATTGTTGTTGTTGTTGCTGCTGCTGCTGTTGTTGTTGTTGTTGTTGTTGTTGCTGTTGTTGTTGTTGCATGGACTTTTGACGTTGAGCCAACTGTCGCTGTCTTTGAATTTGCAAAAATTTCTGCACTTGCTCAGGGGTAAATTGGGTACCATTAGGAGTTGTAGGCCGTTGAATATTTGCTGGAAGGCCCATATTTTGAGTAGTCATTCTATGCTGCATCGAGGCTTGTTGTACAGCTGCAGAAGTACCGTTCATTTTGGAATCCAGTCTCTTGGCATCAGGTGGTAGTTGTCTGTTCGTCGTCTGGCCTCTAATTCTCTGGTAAGCAGCATTCCGACTTTGCTGTGCATAGTTTTCTTGCAACGCTCTATCTCTGTCGTTCTTCAACTTTGAAAGCTCCTCTGGGGTTGGAGTATCATTCTTCTTTATATCAGGATTAACTTTACGAGGCTGTGGAGTTGGCTTTTGTTGGGATTCCCGTTTCTTCATCAACTTCCGCATTGCATCGAACAACGAAGCCCATCTGAGTCTTCTGTTTCCTCTTTGAATGGAGTCTATACCCACACCTAGTGGAGATATCCTCCTCTTTGTGGTGGCTTGAACTTGGTGAGCAGACTCCAACCATTCTTTGGCAGCTAGGGCATTCATTCCCCTCATATCAGTGAACTGGAATTTATCATTTAACTGGATATATCTTTCAAAACATTGCCATGGGGTCCTTCTCTCAATGTTGGATGTATAGCTTCTAGTAGGCTTTGCAGATAAATGTGCAGAAATCACATCCCAGTTGAAAGAAAATTCAGAAACATATTTGATCAAATATTTATCGTCCTGGGGCAACCAGATAGTAGGAATTCTGATGTTCAACTGCTGTATTGGGGGTGGCTTTGGTGGTTTGAGAATATTTATTCGCCTGTATGGGCCGAAAAGACCATTTTGGCATCTGAATGATCTCTTTTCATTGTCTTCAATTTTCCGAAACAATATCTTCTCATATTCAGCTTCCTCATCTACAGGAGGTAACATTTCAGACACATGGCCGTACAATTCTTTTTCAATCAGATGATCTGCTTCCTTTTCGCTAAACGGGGCATAGAATGATAGATTGTTGATAACTGCCTTTTCGGTTATAGAAAACTGATTATAGTTGGCATAAACCTTGAAGGGAGTATACCGATCGGCAACATGTTGCTCATACTCTGAATACGTGAACTCTGGTAATTTCTTGTTAGGAAACACTTCTTCAACATCATCAACATCCATCTGATCAGTATCAGTATGTCCGTTAGTTAAATTATCAATATTGTCACTCCTACTTTCATCTTCGGCTGCTTGTGTAATCATATCCGAATTTTCGTCGGCATTATTTTCTGACTCAATTTCCATACTTCCCTCCTCATCTTTTTTGCTGGATGAATTTTCATCTTCTACCTGCTCTTGTCCATTCTTGGTTTTCGCTCCGCTTTTCTTGACGTCATCTTCATTTGTTATATCCTCTACTCTCTCTTTCAAGGCATTTTCTTCGTCACTTCCATCTGCTCCGCTCTCATTATTCACGGCTAACGATTCATCTTCGTTTAAAAATATAATTTCTGCTCTTTTAACACAACACACTTTACCATAGGTCCAATAATCTTGAACAGCTTGAGCTAAATAGATACATTGAGCCAGTTTGAACCTTCTCTCCTCCCTAAAATCTGTTGCTAGCCATTTTGCTTCTGAGACGGCGTTATCCCAATGAGTTTTCTTACCAAACTTCAAAAAGGGATCAATTATTTTCCTTGGTTGTCTCAAAGACCAGCTGTTTTTTCTTTTCAATTCTTCAATACGAGAATGTAGCACTGCAACTTTTCCTTCAACTAGGGATGTTTCAAAAGCATCTGTTGTCAAGGTCTTGTGAGCCCTCAATAATAGCTTTTGCAACTGAAGGGTCTGCTGGTGGTAATAAAGTTCCGTTAGTGAGCGTGCCTCAGCGACTTTATGTGGTTTTCTTTCGGGCATTAAAGCAATCATTAACTTTTTGATATCAACTTCTCTGTACTGAAGATCACGATTGGAGTGTTCATCAGCACGCTTAGGCGGGCATTCAACAGAATATTGAGCAATCAGTGATGAAAGGGTGATCTCATTTGGATTAGTTAAAATCTTGTGTTGAATATTTTCGGTATCTACAACCGCTTCCACTGGTGTCTCCTCCTGTTGTTCATTTTGCTCACCTTGGACAATTACCTGTTCTTTGATTGTACATTCAGTAAAATCTTGGGATTCGCCAAAAGAAGTGTTTTCTGTAGCAGGCTGTCCAGCAGTTGTTGCTTGATTTATTACCTTTTCTTGCGCATCATTGGATTCGGAGAGCTCTTGCTGTTTTCGCATCTTCTGTTGTTGATTTTGGTTAAGATCTTGGCCTTTCTGTAGCTTTTCCTTTTCCGGAATTATTTCATTTTCTTTACCTGGACTTACAGTAGCGTTAAAGTTCTCACTCATTGTCTCACTTATTTTGTTGTGTTCAGATTCTACAGTATTGGAAACGGAATCGTGTTCTACAGGACCTCCACTCGATTTCTTGCCTTGGGTAATTTTAGAACTGGTCACTTCGAAATCAGTCTGTTGTGCAGACTCTGATGGGTCGACAGATGATGGTTTCTTGTCTTCATCGCTATCATGGCTGAAAGTGTTGGAAATCGCGTTATTTTTATTATTATCAACAGCTAAATCACCTTTCTTAAGCATGGCCTCATTGATGATATCAGCCTTATCATCAGATTTAGCTTGAGGTGTTGGAGTATCATCTTTGATTACTATGTTATTGGCAACGGTGCGAGGTGACGGTAGTTTCTGCGCTGGTTGAATCGAGAGTGGTGATGGAGATTTAGATTTGGAGCCTCTTTCATTTGTTAAAGACGAGCTCACTACTGCAGTTACATGCTGATGATGAGCATCGGCATCTATTATAGGCGTTGAATGATTGGAGCTGGAGCTATCGTTATCGATAATTCTGGACGAGCTTTCAACTTTTTGGATTTTCTTCGGAGGCTCTAAAGACTGACTGTTTGATCTTGAGGAAGCAGGGGATTTTCGCTGGATTTGGTCTTGCTGATGTTGCTGTTGCTGGGGTGACAGGGATTTTCTGAAAATTTTCTCCTTGGAGAGAAACGATATGTCAAAAATATGGCCATTCTCAAGATCGTTCTTTTCAAGGAAAGCCATGAGCTTATCTTCTATATGTTGAACATGATCTCCTGAGATGGGAACAAACGGAAGTCTGGCTACACAGTAAAGCTCAGACAGCTTACGCTTTCGATCTTTTATTATCTGTGAGCATTCTTGTTTCCTCTTTTCTATTGACTCTAGTCGTATTCTATCCATTGAGTATGAGTGTGTATTCTGGGTATTTGATGAAGCGGGGGCTGCTGGCTCCTTTGTACCGTTCTGGTTTGGTGATGAGGCCGCCATGTTTAGCCAGGCAGTTTATATGGAGTTCTAGAGTGCTAGAACAACTGCACTTGATGGACGTGGGTGGTTCAAGAAGAGGACTTCGTATGGAGAAGGTGGCAGGATGTACAAGTACCCAAATCCTCACAGCTCTATACTCCAAACTAAACCTTCTGCAATCAAGACAGTATGCGGTGCTATAGGTGGACCCACGTTACGGTAAAGAGAAGTGCTCCTCGGTTGTTTGTTTCCTGAGTGTTGTCTTGGGCTGTTGAACAGATAGAAGTTGTTGCTGGCAGAGAGGAAGCAGTGAGAGTGAGAGACAAGAAAAAAAAACAATAGGGGCTTTGTATTACGTAAGTTGTAAGAAAATAATATTATAGTAACAGTTGTAGTTAGCATTTACTATACAATCTGCACACACGTCCTACTTGTTGAGAACTACGAGGCATTGACGTCTCAACTGCCGAGATCGGGTGTATCTGGTGACGGAATCCCCGTGTTGCGGATGGTTCCAGTAGTTGTCGCAATAAGTCCAGCCCTTCTGGTCTGGGACCCAGCTTTTGTCTAGCCAGATCCATTTCGTGTTCTCATAGTTTTTCAGTTTCGGGAAGCAGAAGTCATCTAGACTGCCCAAGTACTGCTTCAAGTCAAGCGTGCAGTAGGGGGAGCGTTCAAAAAACATCATCCTCTTGCACCAGCCCAACCCAACCCACCTTCGTTCGTTTTCTAGAAGATGGAACTCGATGACCTTGGTGTTCCTATCGATCGAGTTTTTCGTGTTCAAGTTTAGTAACGTCACCTCCAGCTCGTTGTCTGCGACGGAGTAGTTCTCGCCTGTAAACAACCCCAGAAGCCTTTTCACGGGCTTCAGCCGAAAGAGAAGCCGTCGGAGCGCAATGAACCACGTGGAATAGTACGTGAACACGAAGAGACTTGTGCAGACCATCCAGACCTTGTAGGAGATGTAGTTTTTCATGAGGTAGACGTAGAACGGGGTCAGCAGACAAAGATTGACGAAAAGGCGCCTGAAGTCTTTCGACGGAGCGTTGATTCTCGACACAAAGCTCGCTCTCATGTTGAAGTTATCCAGCGTGTCGACAATCTCCTCCAGAGTAGGCGGCGTCATGAAGTAGGCTGTGTCAACAAAGCTGGTTTTCACGAACCAGTTCGTGCAGCAGTACGCGAGCACGATAAACGTCGGGAGCACGATGATGATGTAGTTGTTCCAGTGGAGCACCGACAAGATGTAAATGAACATAAGGACAAAGTTGCGGTAGTACGACTCCGTCGTCCATGTCACAAACGAAAGTACCCGGTTCGCAGCGATCAGAAACGGGTAGATGGAGTGCAATGCGGCGATCACCTGCGGAGGTGTATCCTGCAACAATGCATTCGGATGGGTGTCTGCGGAGGGCACGAATTCGGCATGCACAAGATTGTTCTTCATGGCAGCACCAGATGCATCTTCTGTCTTGTATGGCTCTCTTTAAAACACGTCTCTCCTTCGGGAAGTGCTACACCGCTCTGGTGCCTGCTGTCTTTTCGACAGGGAACACATAAATGGGGAAATAAATCAACTCTCCGTCACGTCTCGGTCGCTCCGAGAGGGGGTGGGGGAATTTGATAAGACGTGGCCGGACCTGCTCGTGTGCAGTTCTCGGCGTCGAAGCACCCTTCTGCTCCGTCTTTGCTCTCCATATTTTCTGTATGTCTGCACAGTATGCTGTTGCCACTGCCTTTCTGTGAGCCTTCCAGAGTTGTGCCGGTTCTCTTCCCTCCCTTTTCCTATGCTATACTCTACCTACCCGGTCGTCAGAGTGGTGGCAATGTAATATTACGTAAGCGAAAGGCGTGTGCGGATACCTCGTTCTAGGAGACGGCTCCCGGCCAGAGACGCTGAAGTTTGCCTTCTTGGTCCCGCTGTCCGGGCTTGCTAGCTGCTGCTGTGGGGTCCGAGACGCAGCAAAGCAAGACAGAGCCACAGTGCGTATATACAAAACACCATGTCAGCAGAAGAAGCAAAAAAACAGGACACAGCTGTCCCTGAGCAGCAGAAACAGGACGAGTTCATCAAGAAGTTGGAAGAGGACGACGAGTTCGAGGACTTCCCTGAGGACGACTGGGAGGAGCCCCAGAACACAGACGGCAAGCATGATCTCTGGGAAGAGAGCTGGGAGGACCACGACGACTACAAGGACAATTTCATTCAAAGACTACGGTACGTATACAGCGGCGCCAGCCGACCTCATGCTGACAGACTGCGAAGCTGAACCGAATACTAACATCACATAACTTTTTTTGCCTTCCTTCTTTTCGTGCAGTTCTGAGTTGCAGAATAATTCTTCTACGGGCTCAGCATGATTGCTGCCGTGGTAGGGGGGCTACCGGCCGCCACAGAGCCCTCTCGTATAGTCCTTCTACTTCCTGTGTATTATAGTATAGATAATAATGCGTATCCTCGGATCACAAAGCCTTCTGGTGTAGGGGTGTGGTGCGCTCTTCGTGCTTTTGCCTGGGGCAAAAAGGCGGTGAAACGGCCAGAGCCTTCTCTCTCCATGTTCCGGGCACTTGTAAGTACGAGTGGCAAACGAAAGACGAAGAAGAGTCCAGCAGAAGAAATAACGCCCTCTACAAGCTCACAGCTAGACAAAATGGCCACGCTAGAAGACTTGGAAAACAATCAGGACCTACAGATTGACCAGGAGATCTTGAGCTCCTCCACGACAGATATCAAAAATAGGACAAAGCTACTAGATAACGAGATCAAGATCTTCAGGTCAGAGTTCCTCAGGCTACAGCACGACAAGACCGTAAGTTTGCAAAAGATCAAAGACAATAAGGAGAAGATCAAGAATAACAAACAATTGCCTTACCTTGTGGGAAATGTCGTTGAGTTGCTAGACATTGACGCAGAGGAGAACGCCACCAACGAGGGTGCCAACATTGATCTCGACTCGACGAGAGTGGGGAAGTCGGCAGTGATAAAAACGTCTACGAGACAGACGGTGTTTTTGCCGTTGATCGGCTTGGTTGAGCCAGAGAAATTGAAGCCAGGAGACCTCATTGGTGTGAACAAAGACTCGTACTTGATACTCGACACCTTGCCTGCGGAGTATGACTCCAGGGTGAAGGCCATGGAGGTCGATGAAAAACCAACGGAGTCCTACGCCGACATAGGTGGTTTGGACAAGCAAGTGGAAGAATTGGTTGAAGCCGTCGTCTTGCCTATGCAGCAGGCCGAAAAGTTTAAGAACTTGGGTATCAAACCACCAAAGGGTGCGCTAATGTACGGGCCCCCAGGTACTGGTAAAACCTTGTTGGCCAGAGCGTGTGCTGCACAGTCCAATGCGACGTTCTTGAAGTTGGCTGCTCCGCAGTTGGTGCAAATGTTCATTGGTGACGGTGCAAAGCTGGTTCGTGACGCCTTCGAGTTGGCAAAGGAGAAGGCCCCAACCATCATCTTCATTGACGAGTTGGATGCAATTGGTACCAAGAGATTTGACTCAGACAAGTCGGGTGATAGAGAAGTGCAGAGAACCATGTTGGAGTTGCTAAACCAGTTGGACGGTTTCGGATCGGACGACAGAGTCAAAGTCTTGGCCGCAACCAACAGAGTCGATGTCTTGGATCCGGCATTGTTAAGATCCGGCAGATTGGACAGAAAGATTGAATTTCTATTGCCATCCGAAGAGTCTCGAGCTCAGATTTTGCAGATTCATGCTAGAAAGATGACGGTTGACTCAAGTGTAAACTGGAAGGAATTGGCCAGGTCTACGGACGAGTTCAATGGTGCACAGTTGAAGGCAGTCACCGTGGAAGCCGGTATGATTGCTTTGAGAAATGGCCAATCCTCGGTCAAGCATGAGGACTTTGTAGAAGGTATCGGCGAAGTCCAAGCAAGAAAGACAAAATCTGTTTCTTTCTACGCTTGATTTTGTCTTGTCAACCATGAACAGAGCAAACTCTTTATACAGGTTATCATAATATAATTCTAATGTCACACGTAGATTATTCAACAAAAATTCACGTATATAAGTAGATGTTACCATCAAATCCAGCCATGGACACCAAACTAGTTTCTAAAGGATGGACATCGACGCAAGAGATCACTTTTTCTGAAACTTTGAGTCTACGTATGACCTTAGTGGACTTCCAATCCCAGAAGTAGCAGTAGCCATTGGAATCACCGCTAATTAGTGTTTTGCCGTCTGGAGTGAACCCCATCTGTATAGCATATGCAGCCGACTTGTGGCCAGAGAAAAACTTATTGCTGTTCTTCTTGAACTTATCCTGTTGCTTAGTGCTATAAACTAATATCTGATTGTCCATACTTTGGCCGACAAAATACTGACCGTTCGGGTGCTTTTTCACTATCGGCATGGCTTGCTGCTTTGGGTCTTGGATATATTTAATCGGCATATTCACACGTATATCCCATATCTTCAACGTCCTATCATCCGACGCAGTTATAAACTGATTTCCACCGTTGATGAACTCGATCCAAGTAATTGCACTTTGGTGGTGCTCATATGTTTGTATAGAATCCTTTGTACGCCAATCAAAATGTTCCACCCTTCTAGAATCTAGTGCAGCCATATACTCGTTGGGTTTGTTAGGGACAAATGTGGCCATATTGGGATTAGATGATACTTTGTGTTTATACTCTACTTCACCTCTTTCTGTGTCCCAGATCTTAACGGTTCTGTCGTAGGAGCAGGATATAAACTCGTGACCGCTTTCAGAAAACGTTACATGTTTGACCGGTTTGCTATGGCTATGGTAGTCTCTAATCAAAGATTTGGGCTTTGTGGTGGACCAAAGCTTAATCATGCAATCGTTACCAGCTGAAAGTAACATATGGCCAGAGTGGGGAAAAAACTCAAGCGATGTTACTGCAGACTCGTGGGCCTTGAAAGAAGAAAGTAGCTTCTTAGGAGTGAAATATTCCTTCTGTCCAGCAACAGTAGTGGCAAATCGTATCTGATAGTCTTTAGGAAGGTCATATATGCTACTGTTGTCAGACCTTTTCCCGTAATACTTGGATGATTCCTTAAATTCGTAGTCCGGCTCGCTTTGTTCAATTGTATCTGACGCTTTCATTACAAAGCTTTCATTTTCCGGAACCGCAACTACTTCATCATATTCATCATCATCTGATAATGAGCTAGAGCTTGCCCAAGACCCTTTATAGCCTTTCCTCTCTTCCTCGTCATCAAGTATCGATGGATCTCCTTTTGACTTTTTCCTCTTCAAACGTATCGCTTTATCTTTAGTAGCTTTCATGGCCATGAAAACTTTACTTTTATTCATTTTATTCGAAGCTCCATCATCGGCAAGATAGGCTGAATGTATTCGCTTGTTCCTTTTAAATTGGAGTGGTTCAATGTATTCCTGCTGGAATTTTCCCGACGTCGTTTTGACTGAAGCATCTGCCGAAGCGTGAGGAAGATACGGAACTATACTATCTGTGGTTTCCTCGATTTCAACATCGTTTTCGCTTTCGGAATCAGTGGAGTATCCTGTGACAACACTCATTGACCAATTACTATTATGAGAACAGACCGAAGAGCCACCTATAGTACAAAAACATCCGTCTTCTAGGCTGCCAGAATACATGTTCACGCTTGCAGTGCGGCTCGATCTTAGTTTTTTTTGTATTTTTTTTTTTTCAGACGCCTGAGCCATTCTCTTGTCAAAATAATATGATGAGCTCTTTCTTTTTCTGTTACAATCGAAGGAAGCCAGCAGAGAGACTTGAAACAAACATGGCCAAGCGTACTAAGGAGGAAGCTGAGGCCGAAGAACAGAGCTATGATGACTCCGATATCGACGTCTCTTCGACAGACGACGAAGAGTTGCAGGAAGAAGAGAAGATCGACGAAGAAGACGAGATCGTTAATGTCGACTTTGACTTCTACAACCTGAACCCAACAGTGGATTTTCATGCCACCAAGAACTTTCTGAGGCAACTCTTTCAGGATGATTCCGTTTTTTTCCCCTTGTCTGAACTTACTGACCTAATTCTCGAAGAAGGACATGTCGGTACAACGATTAAAGCAGACGGAATGGAAAGCGATCCGTTTTCCATCATCTCTGTTTTGAACATAACGAACAATTTGAAGTCTAAGGCAATGCAAGAGCTCACGAAATACTATATTGAAAAGACTTCCAAAAACACCCAATTCAACGTCATTTTGAGACAACTTTTTTCCCCGTCCTCCAAGCATAAGGTCGGTCTGATCTTCTCTCAAAGACTGGTCAATATGCCGGTTGAAACTGTGCCTCCTCTGTATACTATGCTTCTTGAAGAAATGGAGAAGTCTGAACAGCGGGAAAAAGAATACGATTTCGACTACTTTCTTATTCCGTCAAGGGTGGCCAAACTCGTTGCCTCGATGGCAGACAAAGAGCTCGATGATGAGGACGAAACCACAGCCCGGAAAAGAAAGAAGAAGGACACTGCTTTGCCAGCCGAGTACGACTATGTCCATTATGAAGACGAGCAGCTCGAACAGAACGCTCTCCACTACGGCTATTTTGAGTTCACCAACAAAAACGTCGAGGCCGATGCTAGAAGAGTGTTCAACGACTATGGTATCGAACCCCAAATGAACCTCATTCTCATCAACAAGACGTCTCTCGCCAAGGCTGTTGCACAGATGGCCAAGGAATATCCCTACGCGGCTTGATAAGCCGTCATCCTCTCTTCTCTCTGTATTTGTGTATGTATCATAATAATTACCATATCTGGAAACTATTTAGACATCACCCACGCATTCATGCTCATGAGCCCCATAAGTCGCTCTCTTTTAATGCACGATTTTTTCTACTCCTTCAAGGTTCCAAAATTTTTCTGATCTTGCCTTGATTTTAGAGTCCCAGTAATGAAAACGAATACAGATATCTTTACATAAAACTGTTAACAAGCAGCTTGGCCCTCCTAAACTTGACGAGCAACAATGAAGCATACAGTGGTGGATGTCTCTCCAAAATGTATTACAGGTTTGGAGTTTGGGGCATTGTCTGATGCTGAAATCATTGGTCAGTCTGAAGTTGAAGTTTTCACCAGAAACCTCTACGATTTAGAACATGGAAGGAAGCCAGTTCAGCATGGTGCCCTAGATACGCATATGGGTGTTTCTGCAAACACTGGGGAATGCCAAACGTGTCATGGGAACTTGGCATCCTGTCATGGTCATTTTGGTCACATCAAATTGGCCTTACCGGTTTTTCACGTTGGTTATTTCAAGGCTACGATTCAAGTTTTGCAAACAATATGCAAGTCATGCTCAGCTGTCCTTCTTGAAGATGCCATGAAGGAAAAGTTTCTCAATGATTTGAAAAGACCTGGCCTAGATAATTTGAGAAGAATGAGAATATTGAAGAAGATTCAAGACCAAGCAAAGAAACAAAGAAGATGTTTAAGATGTGGTTCAATCAACGGTGTTGTGAAGAAGGCGGCTGCGGGTGGTGGACCAGCTGCGTTAAAAATTATTCATGATACATACAGATGGGTCGGTAAGAAAGGTGCCCCTGAGAAGGAAGCTTGGGATGAAGACTTTGATAGACTCTTTGATGACAATCCGGAACTCGAAAAGTTCGCCAAAAGATGTTTTGATGATTTGAATCCGCTGAAAGTTTTGAATTTATTCAAACAAATTGAGCCCGCAGACTGTGAGTTGTTGGGAATGGATCCCTCCAGGGGCGGTAGACCGGAAATGTACCTCTGGCGGTATTTGCCAGCTCCGCCAGTGTGTATCAGACCTTCTGTTATCATGGCAGATGCTTCTAACGAAGACGACTTGACTGTCAAGCTTACAGAAATTGTTTGGACGTCATCCATGATAAGAGCAGGGATTCAGAAGGGTATTTCCATCAACTCACTGATGGAACAATGGGATTACCTACAATTGGCTGTCGGTGTTTACATTAACTCAGACATCGCCACTCCTTCAATGATGCAGAATGGTGGAACAAAAGCGGCAAAGCCTATAAGAGGTTTTTGTCAGAGATTAAAGGGAAAACAGGGTAGATTCAGAGGTAACTTGTCAGGTAAGAGAGTGGATTTTTCGGGTAGAACCGTCATTTCCCCAGATCCCAACTTGAGGATAGACGAAGTTGCTGTCCCAGAATTAGTTGCCAAAGTTTTGACCTATCCTGAAAGAGTTACAAGATATAATAAGAAAAAGCTGCAAAATCTTTTGATTAACGGACCCGATAAGCACCCAGGTGCTAATTACTTGCAAAAGAAAGACGAAGAGTTGAAAAGAAACCTGAGGTATGGTGATCGCCATAAACTTGCTAAAAACTTGAATGTTGGAGATGTTGTTGAAAGACATATCGAAGATGGTGATATTGTTTTGTTTAATAGACAACCTTCTCTACATAGGTTGTCGATTTTATCTCATTTTGCCAAAATCAGACCATGGAGAACTTTTAGATTGAATGAATGTGTTTGTACCCCCTATAATGCCGATTTCGATGGTGATGAGATGAATTTACATGTGCCTCAGACAGAAGAGGCAAGGGCTGAAGCGATGAATTTGATGGGTGTGAAGAATAACTTGTTAACCCCAAAATCTGGGGAACCAATTATTGCTGCGACCCAAGATTTTATCACTGGTTCGTATTTGATCTCGAAAAAAGATTCGTTTTTTGATAAAGCAACTTTAACCCAAATGTTAACTTCCATGTCTGATGGTATCACCGACTTTGATTTACCTCCTCCAGCAATATTCAAACCGGTGTTCCTTTGGACAGGTAAACAAATATTTTCGTTGTTGATCAAACCTAATAAGAATTCCAAGGTGTTAATCAACCTTGACGCTAAATGCAAAACATTTTCTCCCCCAGCAAAAGGTTTGCCAAATGAAATGTCACCAAACGATGGATTCGTTATTGTGAGAAATTCTCAGATCTTAGCTGGTGTTATGGACAAATCATTGTTAGGTGATGGTAAAAAGCATTCTGTCTTCTATACAATTTTGAGAGACTATGGACCTGCTGAAGCAGCCACAGCTATGAATAGAATGGCCAAAATGTGTGCTAGATTCATGGGTAACAGAGGCTTCTCTATTGGCATTAGTGATGTCACACCAAAAGATGATTTAAAAGAAAAGAAAGAGAGATTGGTCGAAATCGCCTATGCCAAATGTGATGAACTAATTGAACTGTACCAAACAGGCAAGTTGGAAACTCAACCGGGTTGTGATGAGGAACAGACTTTGGAAGCCAAAATAGGTGGTTTGTTATCTAAAGTCAGAGAAGAAGTGGGTGAGGTTTGTATTAGAGAATTGGAACGTTCCAACGCTCCTTTGATCATGGCAACATGTGGTTCTAAAGGTTCTACTTTGAACGTCTCGCAGATGGTGGCTGTTGTCGGTCAGCAAATTATCTCAGGTAACAGAGTCCCAGATGGATTTCAAGATAGATCACTTCCTCATTTCCTAAAGAATTCGAAAACCCCTCAGTCCAAAGGTTTCGTTAGAAATTCTTTCTTTTCAGGTCTAAACCCGCCAGAATTTTTGTTCCATGCTATATCCGGTAGAGAAGGTTTGGTTGATACTGCTGTCAAAACTGCAGAGACTGGTTACATGTCTCGTAGATTGATGAAATCTTTGGAAGATTTCAGTGCAAGTTACGACGATACAGTAAGAAATTCAAGTAACGGTGTGGTGCAATTCATTTATGGTGGTGATGGTCTAGATCCACTGGACATGGAGGGTGATGGTGTACCAGTCAATTTCAATAGAACCTGGACGCACTCATATTTCACAACTCTTAACCATTCTGATGAACCACTTCCACCTTACAAAGTAAGAGAAGTTGTGAAGTCTGTCCTTTTACCTTTGAAAGATGCCTTAATTAGGGTTGACAACGTTGGTAAGGTCGTATCCAAGGAAGACTTCGATAAAATTGATTATGTGGATATTTACGATGCTGAAAGAGGATTCTACGACTCAGTTTCCAACTACATTGAAGGTAAGTTGACACTCTTGGCTACTCATAGAGTTTCAAGGGGATTACCGTCATTTGACGAAGAACCTGAAAAGAAGGTTATTGATGATGTCAAGAAGGAAATCAGTGTAAGTCAGATTCTTAAGATCACAGAAAAAATGATTAGAAGCTTTCTGGACTTATGCTGTACTAAATATAGGAGAGCCAGAGTGGAACCGGGCACCGCCGTTGGTGCTATTGGTGCACATTCTATCGGTGAACCTGGTACTCAAATGACTTTAAAAACTTTCCATTTTGCTGGTGTTGCTTCCATGAATGTTACCTTGGGTGTTCCGCGTATTAAGGAAATTATTAACGCATCGAAAGTTATTTCCACTCCCATTATCAATGCTGTGTTAGTGAATGACCGTGATGAGAGAGCTGCTAGAGTTGTCAAAGGTAGGGTTGAGAAGACATTACTAGAAGATGTTGCATGTTACATTGAAGATGTTTACAAAGAAAACCAAGCTTTTTTGCAAGTCAAGGTTGATCTTAAAACCATTGATAAATTACAATTAGAGTTGAACATTGAGCAGATTGCAGATGCGTTGATTACCTCGAAGCTAAAGATAACTAGAGCAGACGTTTCAATCGTTGGTAAAAGCAAAATTCAGGTTTTAGTGAATGACATGGTAGGAGACTTCAAACCCACTGGTAGATCTTCCGCTTCAAAAGAAATTGTAATGCTAGCCCACAAAGATCCAGATGAGAGAGATAGGCTGGAGAAGAATGCTCTCTTTTTCAAAATGCAACAGTTAAAACGTTTACTTACAAAGGTTGTTGTCAAGGGTTTCCCTGAAATATCCAGAGCGGTCATTAATGTAAAAGATGATGATACTAAGGGTTTATTAATTGAGGGTTATGGTCTCAAAAATGTTATGGCGACCGATGGTGTTATTGCGTCGAAGACGAAAACCAATCACATCTTAGAAATCTTCCAAGTGTTGGGTATTGAAGCTGCTAGATCTAGTATTATCAATGAAATTGACTACACTATGGGTTCGCATGGTATGGCGGTTGATCACCGTCACATCCAATTGTTAGGAGATGTAATGACTTTTAAAGGTGAGGTTTTGGGTATTACAAGATTCGGATTGGCTAAGATGAGAGATTCTGTATTGCAATTAGCTTCTTTCGAGAAAACGACAGATCATTTGTTTGACGCTGCTTTCTATATGAAGACGGACCAAGTTGAGGGTGTCTCAGAAAGAATTATTTTGGGTCAAACTATGGGTATTGGTACCGGTGCGTTCAAGCTAGCTGCCAAAGATAATGGTAAGGCTGTCAACCTGAAAACTAAGGAGACTCTTTTTGACAGTTTATGTAAAGGTGTTGTCCCCCCTTCAATCCAGGTGGCGTAATCACTTTGTTGATTCCTCCTGATCGTTTTTTACTGCTTTTCCCACATGTATAACTAGCTCAACAATTTATAGACAAAAGCTAAAGACTGTTTTTCTCACGAACAACGTGTGATTAACTATAAATTTTTAATACCAATATAATAACCAAAAAAATAATAAGAAATAGATAATTGTAAAATGAAAATGCAGTATAGCGAACTCGATGTTAGCCGATCAATGTATGCGCATCATTGACGGACTAAAGGTTTAGTAAGAGTAACAATTGCTCCGTTCCTAAACACCTCAATATCTGTGATATCGGACCATTCATCAGAATCTTCTGCTTTGATTCTGAATTTTGTAACTTCGTTTTCCAGAATCACAGTTTTGCCATTGAAGGTTTTGATTTTTACAGCCTTTGAATCGTTGGAGAAGTCAATTCCTTTAGCTTCGGCAGCATGAGATCCCACAAAATTGTAAATGTTGCGCTTGATGATTTCATCCTGCTCTTGTTCATTCTTAGCCGCTTCGATATCTTCAGGAAATTGCCATGGCTTTAATTTCAAAGTCATCAAAGCGTCATTAGTAGGAGCAAAAATTAAAATATCCTTCTCTGACTTACTCCCAACTTCTTCAATTGTCTCACACTTATGGTATAGTTCTGGAAGGTCCCGGAGGTATTTAGCAAATAAACTTATATCAGCCCTAGCCGCTAGCGCACTTGCAACATCTATTGGCTCGATAAGGGATCCTTCTGGTGATACGATTTTGCCATGTTTGTCATTTTCAGATAACTCAACAATTGGAAACTTGTCTTGCGAGCCAATGATAGGATTAAGCATTTTCTCTTTGAAAGTATTCAATATTTCAGACAAAGATTCCAAATGAAGGATATTCTTCTTATTGTGACAACCATTTGAATCTTCCGTCAACTGAATACTTAAACTTTCTTCAGAATTTTCAAAATAAGTCGCAATGTATTCGGAGTCACCAATAATATACCCCAAAGACATTGGGTCTTCGAAGGAAGATAGATATGCTTCTCTTTCAGGAAATGTTAAAGAAAGATTAATAACATCTTCAACGCCCCTTTTAACTAAATCCAAATCGTCATCAATTATGAAGTTGATTCGGGCAGTATTTTTGGCCTCTTTCTTTTTTAAACCGGCTTCATCTAATACTAGATCTAAGTCAAAAACGTTCTTACCGTCCCTTTTGGTTAATGTAGCATCATCGATTACTAAATTAAAATCAAAAACATTTTTACCTTCTCTTTTGGTCAATCCCATATCATCAATGATTACCTGTGCATCAAATACATTCTTAGCATCTCTTTTCTTGAGAAGGGGGTCGTCGTATCCAAAGTTCAAATCAACAACATTCTTTGCCTCTCTCTTTCCTAATTGAAATTCTTTTTGTTCAATTTCAAGTCCCATATTGTGAATTTGATCGTCCGTCAATTTTGGGTTGAAAACATTTTTAGACATCGTGAGTCCTGTGCTTAAGGCCACAATGGTAAGTACTGTTGCCTTTGTAAACATCATGGTGCCTTTGAATTCTTAGCTTTGACAAGGCTATCAGCAAAGAAACACATGTTGTTATTGGATAAGGGCGGGGTCTTTACTCATTTATATTCAAGTAAGAAAAACAGGTGAGCAGACCGTCGCTAAAATTCGAAAGTTCTGTACATGAATTCCAAAGTTCTTTGTTGATAACGAGGGGCACTGATCAGAACGAAAATGACAGGCTATGTCTTAGGGCAAGGTGTGTTAGCTACTGAGTTATGGTTTCCGACTCCACTTTTTCATATGTGCACATGGACAGTCAAGTCTCTGTGCTGTTTGTAGAAGCTTGGGAGAATCAAAAGTTACGATGGGACGATGTTGAATTTCCTAACGGGGAAGCCGTGGAACAACACGATAATTTGCTTCAGCAGTTCCTTTCGCAAAATGAAGAGACAGACACTGATCTTACAGTTATGAACAGCAGCAATCCTATGTTTAATGCATCGTATGCCAACAGGGTGAAACAAAAAAGCAGAAAGCTTAATTGGAAGGACATGGATTTGAACGCGTTCAGCTCCAAAAATAACAAAAAGAACCAGATACATGATCTGACGATATTGAACAAGCCAAACTTGGGTAGATATCCAAGCAATAATGACATGGACACTTTTTTAGGACTGGCAGAGCGTGCAGAGCTTGGGATATCAGACAATGGCATAAATGAGGACACCATAGCTAACGATCGAATAATACGTCAATTTAGCATGAACTCGGATGAGGAACTGGATTTTGACAACGACAGTGCAGTCACCAATAGAAAGCTGTCCAACCCTGATGTATCAAGGAGCTTTTCGTATCAATATGCCACTCCAACCCTCAACAACAAGTCTAGCATTCATAATTTCCAGGGATCTTCACATAGAACCTTGTCCCAACAAAAAAGACAAGTAAGTGATAACTCTACAAGAAATATTAGCTATAATACCCCCGGTCACCGCAATATTCGCTAGTTACTAATTTACAAAAGTGTAATTACCTATTAATACACAAACAAATGAATAATTTATTTAACTGCCGTACTTTCCCTTGCATTTATAGCATTCTGCAATAATGAAAGAAACCATTTTTCTAGAAATGTACCAGTTTCGGTGAATTATTTCAAATGTCTCCTCTGGAGGGAGGCAGTCATATTCCAAATGTGTTGCCATGACTATGTATGGGACATCCCGATAATCAGGAATTATCAAATTCACATCTCTTGTGTAATAAACACCCTTAATTTTTCTATTCAACTTGAATCTTTGGTTTATCCACCTCCTTGAAGAAGTGAGATATCTCATGGTCCTTGTTGTTAGAGTCACATTGTACTTTTTTATTTTATTTTTTAGTGTATTCGTAGCTATTATTCCACCTTCCCTGATGATTTCCAGCTCTATTTGAGAAGGTCCATATATTAAGAAGGGGAGTCCAGCTTCTGGAACTTCGCTCTTGGAAAACAAGTTGACTCGAGACCATTTGTCCAACAAAAAGGCTTCCACCTGATTATAAGTGAGCACGTACTGTTCAACAAGCTCTAACATTTTGATTGTGTCATAATTTATTGTCTTCTTTATGTTTGCAAGGTTCTCAAGAGTGACCACCACTTTAGAATTTGCATTTGAAGATGGCTTTGATATTGTTACACTGGGCTTTGGCTTCTCTTCAACAGCTGGATGTCTTGTCCTTTTGTTATTTGTTTTCCCCTTGGTGTTGCCATCAGTCCCTGCCTCTTGAGAACTAATATTACAGTAAATTTTGGCAGAGCTAGCACCACTCCGTCTGCGAATTTCTAAATTTCTTGCTGGCAAAGGGACATGCTCAACTGCTTTCGGCATTCTCTTAACGTTCTTCAAATTAAATTCCCTGATATCTTTGAGCTCCATCAGTGGAAGGGATCTAGTCTGTCTGGCATTGGCTTTTTCCTCCTCAAAATCTAATATCGGTAACGTCCATGGTGAGACATTGAACCCATTGAGCTGGTACCCTTTCAAAATACTTTGAATGCTTTTTACTATGGCCGTGTCCTTACTGCTGCTAAAGTCTAGGTTGCTAGGTATATATCTGTAACTGAACATTAGGTCATTAGGGGCGCTCAAGTTGAATAGATCTAAGAGTAGAGATTTTATGAATTCTTGAGATCTGTAGCAGAGTCTGTCATCTTGTAATGGACATCCACTCAATTGGAAAACCTCTAAATATTTTGTGAGTTTAGAAAACTTCACCCATACCACAGTCCAAATCCGTGCAAGTTTTATTGGCATGATTAAGCAACGATTTCTCAAACTAGGCACTATATCACTATCATGTGGATCCAACTCTTCATAAATCGCTCGTTTGAACGGAAGCATCAATTCCTTTAGTTGTTTCAAGTCCAATTCAAAGGGTTTTAATACTGATTTCATGTCGTCGTCTTCCCATATTTCGTCCTCTATATGTTCATTCTCTGTTTCGCTATCTCTCACAGTCGAAGACTCTATTTTGTTTATCACACATGTATCGATCAATATCTGGATTTCGTAGTCATACTGTAGGACATCATTTTTTTGATATATTCCGAATGTCACATCGGGTATGTTCACACTGCAGACCTCCCCCAGCAATTCTCGTGAATCCATTAGCAAAGTGTCATTTGTCAAGTTTGAGCCATGATCTCCATTCAACGAGTTGCGTTTTATCCCCTTTGCATATTTTTTCTTATTTTCTTCGCCAAAAACACACGAATAAACTATTACCGTGTTTTTTATCTGCTCATCCATTATCTGTAGTGAACGAGAAGGTTTGTGTACTGATATATTTCTTTAGTCTAAAATATTTGGCACTTCGTTCTTTTGCAAATTAGTAACGGAAATAACCATTAGATCTTCGACTTTCGGAAGCGCGCGCAAAGTTAAAAAAGTGAATGCTATGTAAGAATAGTAGATTGAGAAGATATACAGAAATTATTAAATACTATCTCTAAGTTGAGGTTATGTACATGACTTGCATTAGGACTAAGCAGTTTAATCCTTTTTGTATACTATGGCCGTGGTATCCCTTCCGGCCACCATCTCCTGGTGGATTTTGCCGTTGTCTAGCAGCTGTAGTCGGTTGTTGAACTTGGAAAATTTCATCATTGTATTATTTTCAGGTTCCAACAACAGAGGAATAGTCGACGGTGCACTAGCCCGAATTCTCTTTCCATTACCCAACTGGCCGTACTCATTATCCCCCCACACGTAAACATCGTTGTTTTCGAGAGTAACAATGGAATGGTTCCTACCAACGGTCCATGCCTTCACCTTAATCTTTTCCAACTTGTTCGTCATCTCGTTAAACTCTTTCACATCATTCAACACCTTTATCTTTTTTGGCTCATAAGTCCCGTGCACAAAATACCCCAAACCAAGTTCACCTTTCAGGCCATGACCCCAAGATAAATGTAGGTTATTTTGCTCTGCTTCCGGCAATGAATCAAAAGTGAAGGAGTTATCAATAACATTTCTATCACTTTTCAAAGACTTTTCAAAAAGTTCATATATGTTTGAGGAAGAAAAAGATGCATAAGCTGTGTCACCTCCAGCTTCGATATGGGTACAACGAGGAAACTCGTTTCTTTTGAAATGAGTTGCAATGAATTGGACTTGTGTTGGGTAAGGTATGATTTCAGTATCATAGTTTATCATGGTTCCAATCGCACCATGTGTATTTTTACCAAAAGCCCAGACAGCACCTGTTTTATCCAAGCAAAGTGTGAAATAATCACCGGCTGATATCTCTGTGATCTCTCTTTGAAAAACTTGGCCGTTTTTCATATACTTATTCAACAACACAACGTCGTGAACTTCATTGATTTTGGGCGGTTCGTCAAACTGGGAGAATTCAGGTAGACCAAACTGGCCATAAGATTGGGAAATTTTTGTATTATATCCGGTTGCAGTGGTAGACACACAACCATCCTTGTCTAGCAACACTAGATGTTGAAAGCCTGCAACCATGTCTTTGATGTTATTCTTGGGTGTCTTCAACTTAAGATAGTTAACAGTGTATGAGCCAAGCCACCCCTTTTCCTTCAAGTTGATTTCCTTCTGAAGCTCGATATTTTCTGGTAAGTAAAACACTTCTCCGTGTTTTGTTAAGGTGTACACTGTATCATTACTAATTTGAACTTTTTCCAAATGTTTGCCTTTGATGACAGGTTTCTTTGAGTCTCCACCAAAACCAGCACCCCATTGATACAAATCACCGTGTTGGTCGATCAAGGCCCCAGACTTTTCTCCAATTGCAATATCTTTGACTATGACATTGTCAAACACATCGAGTCTCTTGAAAACGGGAATATAGTCGAAGGAACCTTCATCCACGACCAGATGATACTTGTTATTACCACATATGTACACTCCTGGAACAGAGGAGTCGTTAGGATTGGTTACGGTCGTTGCGAAAGTCTGAAGAGCGTCTAGTTTTCTCTGTTTTCTACTCTTGATTCTTTCGTACATTTCATCAAAGGTTTCCAAGCCTTCTTCGCCGAAGAACTTGCCTTTGATAAAAGCCCAGTTCTGGTAGGCCTGTAGTCCACCAACAGTCAAGACTAGCGCTGCCACTCCGGCGGCCAAGAGCTTGAGCCTTTGAGTCAACTCGAAAGTTTGCTCATTTGAGGAACCTGGATCTTGGGAACGCTGCTCTCCTTCTCTAAACTCTTCGTCGTGGGATTTTTTGCCTTTGTGGAGTTTGTTGTATGACTCTTCTAAGTTCTGTTTCTGGATGAACTCGTACTTCTTTTTGTAGAGGTGTTCTAAGGTGTCTGGTCCTTCATTTTCTGGGCCTTTACCAATTTGTTTGGAGCTGACATCCTCTTCCTTCCTAACGATACAAGTGGTGTGCAGAAATCGGCGGTTTCCCTGAGAAGCTACTCTAAATGCTGGTCTGCTGAGCCTTAACACTGACATCACGGGACCAATGATTAAGATCTATAGCACTGAAACTGTTTCCAGGCTTTCTCTGGGCCCTTGCATTCAACTCTTCCAATCTCGTGTCCACTGTCAGCCTGAGAAAATATAATAATAATTCATGTAGCGAACGTGACCTGGGCTACTTTTTCTTGATGGAATCACGTTAAAGCTCGGGAATGGTCACGGTGTTGGGACGAGATACAGGTATGGCGCTGAGGGGGTAGTACCACATGCTGTGACCGTGGTGCCTGGCCGATTTCTGCTGGCCTAGTAGGAGAGGGATAAATAGAGAACGTCTGTCCGCCTTTTTTGTAATGAGGCGCTCAGATGTATTTGGATGATAATGTGGTAGATGCACAAAAGTGGCAATACACATCAACCTATATTGCAAACAGATGAAGAAAGATAAATCCAGTAAGATCGAGCTAGAGCCTAGAATAGTGGATCACTTGTCGAAGGAGCCTGCTGTGAGAAACTCCAGGGAAGTGAAGTTTGATGATCTCAAGAAGTTTGAAGACTACATCAAAAATGAGTCGTGGGACGACGAGTATGACCAGATGAAGGTCCACCTTGAGTACATTCCTCCGTTTATAGTCAATGAGATTCACGGTGAGGAAGAGCATATCAAGCCGCAGATGAACGCTTTGAACAAGAAGTTCAGGCGGCACCTACACCAGCATTTGACGAAGCATCTCCTCCCAGAGATTAACAAGATGTCCGGGATCGGCTACCAGTTCAAGGAGATCGACGAGGGTCTCGTGCCTGATTTTAATGGTGTTGATTCAACCTACAGGTGGCACTACGAGGACCTAGGCAATCATGGTTTTGACGAGGACGAATACAAGGACAGGCATCACTGGGATGCCACTCTCGACGTCGCGTGCGACTCGAATGGGCCTTTTGTGAATGCGCATTTCGTATGCCAGCCACGGCAGTGAAAGCAGTAAAATGTATAGCACTGTGCACAGTGTATTTCTTTTGATGAAGTTTATGAGTTTTACGACGGACGCATGCAAAGGATTGTAAAAGGGATTGGGAGAAAATCTAAATCAATCTTGCAGTTTTACTACATCATATTACATTTCATTTTTTTTTTAATTTTAATTTGTTCATACCAGGAAACACCTTCGACTGCTAACTGGACCGTTTTGACCATCTTGCGTCCCTCTCTGGCAAGCACAACATCACCAAACAAAATTTTTTCTCTTTCGCAAATGTCCCAGTGTCCGAGTGGTTAAGGAGCCGCCCTGCTAAGGCGGTGGGTTCTGCCCGCGCAGGTTCGAATCCTGTCTGTGACGTTTATTTTTGCTACTCAGCTCTCTGCTTGTAGACTTCCATCTCTATCCTTGTCTTGACACCCCTCCTCTACCTCTTGTCATGCACCGGCACACAGAGTTTCATCTACCTTTGGCAACCCCCAATTTCAATTCCAAGGCCTCTAGTCCTGTTTGTGCTAGTTTCTGTGCTAGCCGGCAACCCGACCTCCGGACCGGAGGAAGACCGCGGAGGCCCGGAAAGCATCTCGCGAGGACCGAACGGACGGCCACGAGGCCTGTTACAAGAGTTGGAGACGAAGCCTAGAGAGGAAGACAGGGGTAGAAAAGTGGTTTAGAGGCATAGAATAGGACTGAAAACGGCGTTTAAAGGAGATAGAATGTCTGCTGCCGCAAAGACAATTAGAATGGTCATCATGGGTGCTCCGGGATCGGGAAAGGGCACCCTGACCTCGAGGCTCTTGAAGAAGCTTCCGCAGATCCACTCCTTGTCGACAGGCGACATCTTGAGACAAGAGATCGCCAAAGGGAGCGCCATTGGGACCACGGCGAAAAGCTTCATCTCGAGGGGTGACCTTCTGCCCGACGAGTTCATGGCAAGACTTGTGGAGAACGAGTTGCAGGCCCAAAAGTGGCTGGATGGGAAGACGTCCTTCCTGCTGGACGGGTTCCCAAGAACGGTGGCCCAGGCTGAGGAGCTAGTGCCCGTGCTCAAGCCCCATGGCGCTGACATCAACTTTGTCGTCGAGCTCAGCGTCCCCCCCGAGGTCATCCTTGAGAGGATCGACAACAGATGGGTACACTCGTCGGGCCGGGTCTACAACTTGCAATACAACCCCCCAAAGGTCCCTTTCAAGGACGACCTCACGGGCGAGCCGCTCTTCAAGAGACCGGACGACAACCCGGAGACCTTCAAGGTTAGGCTCGACAAGTACTTCGCCGAACTCAAGCCCATCCGGGACTACTACGAGAAGCAGGGCGTCTACCACGTCGTTCGTGGGGAGACCTCCGACATCATCTTCCCGAAGCTGTACGCTCTTGTCGAGAAGCAGCTTGCCCCATAGCCATGTACGCATTACTCTTGTAGAAAGCAACCCGGTATTTCGACCGATAATGAGAAGATAAATAAAAAATGGGGCACGCCCTGTGCCTGGCACAGCCAGGCACGCCGGTAGCGGATACCAACCCTGGAAGGACGTTTTTTTTGCTTGGTAATATACCTCTTTCTTTGACCAACGTGATAACTGGGCTCGTCGTTACTGCTGCTAGTTCTACCAACGTTGCCGTTACTGCTGTGTTGTTGCGAGTGATAGTGGTTAAGCCGGTTCCGCTACCTGCATAGCGCCAACCCCCCGTCTAGGGTCAGACTACCCTTTCAACTTTGCTAGCCACTGCGCCGACAGCAAAATTATCTCCGCTGAAACTGGGAAAGCTGTTACAGTTGAAGCAGTCCCGAGACAACCTACATCAAGCCTCCAGGCACCCTGCCACATACTCGGAGCACCGACAAGCTTTTTCTGGACTCCCCGATCATCTTTGCCGCAAACCCAGACTCTTGATACTTTCACGATCTCCCTAACACCAAAATTTATTACTTAGATGGCAGTTAAGCAGCCAGTCGCCAACGACGAGGTGTCGCATGAGAACAGCAGATCGGAACAGGACAACAGGGCTTCTAAGCATGACAGGTCTTCCAGAGCGTGTCTGGTGTGTAGACAACGGAAGGTGAAGTGCGATGCATTGGAATGCTACCCAGATAAGTGCACAAATTGCGTCCAGTTCAATATTAAAAATTGTTTTCTACCTGCCCCTAAGAAGAGGAAAAGTAAGAAAATAGAGGAGCTGCTGAAGACAAACTTGTCTCTCCAAAATTCCCCCAACTCAAGTGACTTATCCGGAGATGCGACCTTCTTGAACATTAGCACAGATGGCCCCTACCCCTCATTCGTTGGTGAAGACATACAGCGCAAACACCCTGACCTGGCTGAAATTCAGTTGGACCCAGCCAGAGTATTGAAATATATCCCAGGCTCGGTGGAAAGAAATGCCGACTTTACAGACTGGATCAGACCTTTTATGGGCACTGTTTTGAAATCTTTCCTATCAGAACACTCAAATAATCCTACAGGTTACACCAAGATTAATGCTACAGAGTATTCACATTTGGTGCAGTCAGGATGCTTTCTTTTGCCAGCACCCGATGTATGTTGGAAATGGATCAATGCTTTTTTTACCACCAGATTGTGCCAGTACCCGATTCTTATTGAAAGCACATTCCGGGAAGAATACAAGGACTTAACCAACCCTCCAAGCTTGCTATTGTTACATTCTATAATATACTGTGGTGCAAAGTACTATGACGATCCTTCATGGTCTACTGCTGAAAGATTGGCTCATATTGAGAAAACTGAGATTTTATACACTAGAGCCCTGACTTTTTACGACAAAAAAATCGAGATGGATTTGTTGTGTCAACTACAATCATTATTGATGATGGCAAACTATAAGACTGCTAATGATCAATGCCTAAGAGCAGATCCTTTTTTATCAGAGTTTCGCTAGACTTGTGCTACGCTCTTGGCATTCAAAAGAACCCCGACCTTTTACCAAATGTTTCTGAGCTAAATAAAAAATTATACAAGAGAATTTGGTGGTCCCTTTTTATCACTGATACGGTTTACTCATTTGTTTTTTGTAAACCATGGTCAATTAATGAGAGCGTCATTTCTGCTGTTCCAATGATAACAAAAGAAGATTTGAGAGAGGATCCTAATGATCCATCTGATGATCAAACTTACGAGACCTTGTATTTCATAAATCGAGTCAAACTCACCATATGCATTCGTAAAATTTGTGACAATATGAACCAGATGAATCGTCAGCCACCAAAAGCGGGCGTTCCCCGCTCAAATTGCATGGGGGAATGTGAACAGATGATGAGAGAGTGGATCGAGCAATTGCCGACTTCCTTACTCTTCAGGATAAACTCTCCAGCAAATAATGCCTTCAATGCATCTCTATCGTTAGAGTACTACAGTATTTTACTCTTACTATACAGAATGTATTTTTTGAATTCTTTGAAGCCTCAAAATAAGGACCAGAGTTTCTCATCTTGGGGTATTGTTTTTAAAGCTGCACACATGGTTGCTTTGATTGCGAAATATGCCCTTGAAAACAATTGCATTTCTTTCTGTCAAATGTTGCTACCATTTGCGATGAACATCGCCGGATTGATGATGATTTATCACCTTTATAATAAGGACAAAAAGGTACATAATATTGTCAAGCAGGATATAGAGATTTTTTTGGAGGTACTCTATGGTGTTTCATACAAGTATTTCTATGCCCGTCTTACTTATTTCTATTTGAAGACTATCTATGAAGATAAGTCTATGCAAGCCAAGATGCTAAATGCGATGTTACAGGAAAACCGGTTGCCTGTTCCAAAAATAACGGCAACTGAGCTTTCGAATGATGATGATAATACGAGCTACCAATCTGTTCATACAAGGGCAGAGAAAAATAATAGCAATGAAGTGAACGTTGGTCATGGGATCGACGAAGAGCAACAGAATTGTATTCTTGGTAAAACTACTAGTATTATTGGTGCCAAAGCAGAACAACAATCAAAGGGAGAGATATCAAACGATGACGAACTTAAAGCTTCTTTGACCAATGTTCCTGTGAACTCAATATTGTATAATAACAGCCACAACCTCAGAATGCCAGAAATAATGAGTTTTAACACAGCACAAAAACTTCCGAATGGTAAACGAAGAAGTTTGGAATCGAGATCTACTTCCATGTCATCTACTAGTGCCTTTTTGAACTCGCATTCCCAGATTCTGCCGCTTCCTGTAATGGAAAATCAGATGTCCTCGTCTCAAAGTCCTCTTCCATTTGTGACCACCCCAAGCAACTACAGCGCTCAATATGGTCCTTCTTTTATCCCGCCGAATATTATACCTCCACGAGATCCGCCTTTCATGAACTTCAGACACACCCCTATAGAGGTCAAACCCAGCCCAATGCTGAATCTGAATCTGCGCCCTGCACAACAGCACGTAACACCAGCTATCACAACAAACATCGGTCTCGCAGATAACATGCGATCAGGGACACCAGGATTGTTTCAAGCTCCCCATGATGTTGCTAACGTCAATAACGTTTCCAGTTTTGCACAACCAAACCTTGTTGATTCTCCGTCTAGATATACCCCTGAAATTCCAAATGTACGACATAATCCCTCCGATAACAGTGCAAATGTAAACTATAACCATAATATCTACCCTCCACCAGTCACTAGCCTGAGAAACAATATGGCCAATAACAACAATAACCAGCTCATGGTACCCGTTCCTCAGAATGCTGGCAGCGAATCTGCCAACGGCAATACCGAAAATATCAAGCAAAGAGCCTACTATGGTGACAGCCATCACGTGCTAAGCCAGAAATTTGATCTAGTCATGCCCCCAGATGTGCTTCCTGGCATTGATACTTCGAACTGGCATCCAGAGTTTGATACCTCGTTGCTTCCCTTTTCTGAAGTCGATCAAATCCCGCCAACCTTTGATTTTGACATGGACTTACCACTTTGAAATTGTGTAATCTGTTCATACAGACTCACATAAACCAGCCCAAAACACTGCGAGGCATGTTTGCCTAACTATTTCAGCAAATATGCCTGTTTTCCTGTAATAATGTACTATATACTATTAATAAAAAGAACACCAGCCGGTCACGTGCCAGCGGAGATATAAGTTCTTGAGGCCGAGAAGATAGAAATTACCGCTTTAGTCGTAAACGGAACCTGAGAGACCAACAACTGGACATGTGTGTGTCCTCAGGTTGCCTCTGTCTGCTCTACGAAACCAACGGGAAACTTTACAATCCCAGTAACAGGACGAACGCTGAATACAATGCTTATGTTCAAAACTGGGTTGTTACGTTTTCAAGGGGCTGCAACCTCAGGTCTTTTCTCACCATTGCGGACCTTCAATGCCGCTAGGCAGGTGACGGCATCACCACGACTGTTTTCTAGTAAGATATTGGACAAGATTGCTGTAAGAAACCTCTTTCATGCACAAACTTTTTCAGCAAAGAAGAGCTCTACAGCTGGAAGCCTTTTTCTGGGAAACCGGCACCTCAGGTGGCATTCGACTAGGACTCCGGGGAAAAAGGATGCTGGGAATGCGGATGAAACCGGCAAGAAAGAAGAGGCCAAGAAGGCTGGGTCTCTGGACGAGATCATAGAGTTGTTGAAGTTGTTGAAAGACGAGTGGCCAACATTGCTTTTTGCAATGCTTTGCTTGTGCTTCAGCTCCGCCGTGAGTATGCTTTTCCCTACTATCGTTGGTAAGATTATCGACACTGCGAAACCTGACGGCGACCCTAGTGAGGAAGATGAAGATATAGGAAATTTCAAGGTTCCTAAAGTTATTGATATCATGTCATATGAGATACCCATTAACGTGTTCTATGGTTCTTTGATTTGTATTTTCGCTGTTGGCTCGATGGCTAACTTCGGCAGAATTATTCTGCTGAGGAAAGTGGGTGAAAGAATTATGGCAAAACTCAGAGTTGATATTGAAAAGAACATTTTTTACCAGTCCTCCAAATTTTGGGACAAATATAAGAGTGGAGATTTGATTTCCCGTCTTGTCAATGATTCCACCGTAGTTACAAGATCAGTCACCCAGAATGTATCCGATGGTTTGAGATCAACCATCAGTGGGTTCGTTGGTGTTGCTATGATGCTTACAATTTCGGTCAAGCTGACAGGATATATGTTTCTGATTTTTCCTGTTCTTTTGTTCATTGCGTTGGTATTTGGTAGAAGGGTCAAGAAAGTCTCAAGGGAAATTCAGCAACAATTAGGTTCGTTGACAAAGGTCTCCGAGGAACAATTTAGCTTTGTGAAGACAATCCAAAGTTTTAATAATGAGAACTATGAAGTGTCCAAGTTTAAGAAGGAAGTGACGAAATTGTATGATTTATCAGTCTATGAAGGTAAACTCAACGGCTATTTCTATTCTGGAAATGGATTCATTGGTAACTCCTTTTTAGTTTGCCTACTTTCTGTCGGTGTTTGGATGGTTAGACAGGGTGAGCTGTCCATCGGGGAATTGTCATCTTACTTGATGTACACAATCTACAGTGCATCAAGTGTATATTCCTTATCCAACTTTTACTCTGAACTAATGAAAGGTGTTGGTGCCTCAGAACGTGTCTTTGAACTATTAAAACTGAAGCCCGATATTGATCCTTACGTTGGGAAAAAGGCTTCTGCAGATGGTGACATTGTTTTTGAGAACATCAAATTCCATTATCCAACCAGAACTAATCATCAAGTATTTGACGGATTGAACTTAGTTTTAAATAAAGGTGACCATGTTTGTTTAGTGGGCCCCTCTGGTTGCGGTAAAAGTACCGTCACCCAACTATTACTGAGATACTATGATCCAGATTCAGGTAAAATATACGTCAATGGTAATGATTTGTCTGAATTGAGCTTGGCTAATTTTAGAGAACAGGCCGGAATTGTCCAACAAGAACCAATGCTATTTTCTGGAACTTTGAGAGAAAACATTGTTTATGGTAAAAGAGATGCGAGTGAGGATGATGTTCGGAGAGTATGTGATCTTGCTAACTGTACTACATTCATCAATAATTTCCCTGATAAGCTTGAAACAAAGATTGGTGCTAAGGGAGCTCAACTGAGTGGTGGACAAAAGCAGAGAATTGCCTTAGCAAGAACTTTACTGCTAGGTGCCGAAGTATCCGAAAAGGTGAAAAAGAACATGAGCAACCTAGATGTGTTTGGGGAAGATGGTGAGATACTTTTAGGTCCAAGTGTTTTGATTCTTGACGAAGCAACTTCAGCGCTAGATGCTCACTCAGAGGAAGCCATAAAGAAAACGCTTCAGTTGAGACATAAGGCTGGTTTGACCACAATTTCCATTGCACATAGGTTGAGTACCATAAACATGAGTAACAGAGTAATTGTATTTTCGCAACATGGCGACATTGTGGCTGATGGATCCTTTACACAAATGATCAATAACCCAAATAGTGAATTGAATAAATTGTTGAATAAGAGTTCCAAAGGTGATAATACAGAAATCGATCTAACGAAGAAGGAGAAGCTCGAAGAAGAATTAGAAGGGGAAAACGAGGAAGATGAAACCAAGGCGGAGACAGATGATACACAAATGGTATCAAACAAGAAGTAGAAGAAATCCATAGACATGCCCACAGATGGTTAATGCTGCGACAAATCTTTTGGAAAGGTCCATGAGATATCATTATACTTGTGTAAATAGAAAAACTGTACGAACATTTTGTCTATAATTAAAGTTTGTTACTTGCCGATTACGATTTTATATGAATATACACTAAAGATTGATGTTTTAGAACGATGATCAATGTGGGTCACCGCTATCTGTTATCTCCCACAGTGCGTACTTTCCCTCTTGTGAAAAGACGACAATATCATTTGCTCCGTCATCCACGAAGTAATGCTCTCCTGCGCTATTGTACGATCGTGATACGTTTTTAACTCCATATGAAAATAATGCGAACCAGTCCAACCTACTGGAAACATGACTGAAAACTAGTTTTTGCACCTTTGAGCTGATTAAGGTCTTGTCAATAGAGAGGACAGCAAAGTCGCTCCTTTTGGAAGACTCTAACATTGTAGGATACCTTGAAATGAAAGGGTCCACTTCTTGCCGCAACTGTAGTCCACCGATAGATGCATATGAAAGCCATTCAAGGGTTTCGGCGAGGGTGTCTTCATCTTTAGTGATAGTCAGATCCGGATGCAAGACTTGATTATACCGAAAAACCCGAGATTCAACTTCTCTATTACCGAGTAGCGTGATACCTTCTTCCTCCAGTTTGGGTACCAGTTGTGTATCAATGTTGTCAGACTCTGAAGTTAATGTGAACTTGAAAACATCCACACTGACGTTTTCCGCATACCATAGCAAACGGATCTCGTTTTTCCTATTAAGTTTAACGTTATTTTCAAAATTTAACATATCAAAATTGTGGATATACATCTGGCTTTTCAAATTTTTATTTCCCCTTGAAAAAGCTGACAATTTACATTGAAGTCCAGACTTAAGATAACTGTCTGACCGAAGCTTAAGCGTCAAATTCCCCTTAGTTACGCAGATACTGTTGTCATGCGTGATGTCTTTATCTAGTGTAACCAGTTTCAATGCACTCCTTTGCTCCACATTGAGCCGCAATAAAAATCCAAGAAGCTGAGATAAATTAGCTTCTCCTAGTATCTTTTTCAGCTTCATCTGTGCTTGGACGTCTGATTTTATTTGTTCCAAATCAGAGCCTCTCACCAATAGGTCAACTTTGTTCACGAAATTGTGGGAATCCAACAATTTCTCGACTTTGGTCACAGCAGTTGCATTGAAATTACCGCCACTAACAGTGCTATGACACACCAAATATTCTTTCATTACTATAAGCAATCTGCACACCCTATTCTTCTTTTTAAATGTTCCGAATAACTCGTTGCTCCGATCTTCTTTTCGTCTACCAAAAAATGTTTTGTTGAGTTCATGTTACCATTGCAACAGAAATTGATGTCGCGCAGCGGATGCGTCATTCGTGCTCTGCCTATTGTGATACGCCAGGGTCTGAGGATCTAGAGGACTGAAAGCGGGAGAGAAGACAGAGAGGAAGATGGGAAAGATGTAATAAGATAGGAGGGAGTAAGTTTGAGAGAGGTAAAAGGAAGATACCAAAAACCCAATAACAAGCAGAGAAGAAAAAGTTGGGAGAGAAACGTCAAACAAACACGCACACAGTAGACCACGTCCAAACTAATTCAACCTGAAAGATGACTGCGAAATATAAGGTGGTTGAATCACAGAGTGAAAATCCGCTATCCAAAATCGTTCCAGGACAGACCATAGTGGAGGTTCCGGAATTTGAATTAGAATGTGGCGATATCCTGTACAAAGTGCCTGTCGCATACAAAAGCTGGGGAAAGCTCAATGAGAAGGGAGACAATTGCATGATCATTTGTCATGCGTTGACGGGGTCTGCAGATGTTTCCGATTGGTGGGGCCCATTGCTCGGCAGAGGAAAGGCTTTTGATCCAACCAAGTTTTTCATAATTTGTCTAAACTCATTAGGATCTCCATATGGTACTGCTTCTCCCCTGACGACCGATTACGAGTTTGGTGAAAGTGAAAGATACGGTCCAGAGTTCCCATTAAGCACGGTCAGAGACGACGTCAACCTCCACAAGCTGGTTCTCGATTCCTTGGGTGTCAAACAATGTGCAATCTGTATTGGTGGCTCTATGGGAGGTATGCTTGCCCTAGAGTGGACCTTCGTTGACGACGGAAAGTACGTCAAGAATTTGGTGGCTTTGGCTACAAGTGCTAAACACTCGGCATGGTGCATTTCGTGGAGCGAGGCTCAACGACAGTGCATCTATTCCGATGCTAAGTACGACGACGGTTACTATTCTCTGGATGACCCACCTAATGGTGGGTTGGGTGCTGCCAGAATGTCTGCATTGCTAACTTACAGATCTAGAAACTCTTTTGAAGCTAGATTTGGAAGGGAAGCCCCTACAAACAGACAAAAATTTAAAAGCACGACTAATATCAGCAATAGCATTGGCAACAACAGTAGCCAGGAACCCGAAGTAACAAGAGAAGAAAGCTCTGCAGTGGTAGACGAAGTGACAGAGCACGATAGAGAAGCCAACTGGAGAGTCCACAATGATGGAGCAAATAGAAAAAAGTCTTTTGAATCTTACCACACAAACAGCCGCTCCAACTCAATCTCATCTAATATAAGCGGCGATGATGCACGCTCTACGCTTTCGACCGTGACTTCTGTGGGAAGCACAGAAGTAGTTACAACGCAGAAGCCAAGATCAAGATCTCGTCGCTTACCACAACACTACTTTTCGGCACAATCGTATCTCAGATATCAAGCTCAAAAATTTGTTGGTCGCTTCGATGCAAACTGCTATATTGCAATTACTCGTAAGCTAGACACACACGATGTGGGTCGTGACAGACCAGAGTATGATAATGATACGGCAAAGGCCTTGCAGTCCAGAAAGCAACCTTCTCTTGTAATTGGTATCAGCTCTGATGCTCTCTTCACTTTAAGTGAGCAAATATTCATTGCTAAAAACCTTCCTAATTCTACTTTGAAGAAGATAAACTCGCCTGAGGGACACGATGCTTTCTTGTTAGAGTTTCACGAAATTAATGAGTTATTGCTGACGTTCGAGCGTGAAAATCTGAAGGATATCATGGAGAACAAGGGAAATAATGAAGAATGGAATGAAACTATAGATGAAGTTAAAGAAAGTGTGTTCGGGGAAGCTGAAGATGTTGCTCAATGGTAGACATGTTGCTTATCGTAGCAATACTGTGGAACTTTACAAACTTTTTGTACAACTATATATTTGCAAGCTTTACCTTAAAATTGTGTCGAAGTAAAAATACATCTTATAAAATACAAAATAGCGTTTAAAAATATAATATACTATAAAAAAAATCATTTCGCCCTTTAAACCAGTAACCAAGACCCATCGATATCAGTTCCATCATTAGAATCATCAAAGCCCTCTTGTTCATCATCTGCCAAATCTTGTTTATGTTTACTGATACTCAACTTAGTAGCATAATCCATCAAAACGTATATCGCATTTATGGCATTCTGAACTCCATTTTCTGACCTAATTTTTTCGCCCACAACTTTAGCCTTTTCTATTATTCTCTTATTTGTGGTGATTTCTCTCAAAGCTTTTGCCATATGCTTAGATTCTAATGACTTTAATGCCACACCGCATCCCAAATCTTCAACTCTGTTGGCATAGAACTTCTGGTCTCCAAAAAATGGTTTGATTATGGTAGGTAAACCAAATCTCAAAGACGCTCCTGTAGAGCCAGAACCACCATGGTGAACAGCTGCATCTATTTGAGTAAATAGCCAATCATGAGGAACATTACCAGAGTTGAAAATCTCGTCCGGCAAACCAATTTCAATGTCATTTTTGTTTTTCGATCCAAGTCTATCTGACCACCCTTTATTCAAAATGCATCTGACATCACTCTCCAAAACCGCATCAACAACAGCTTGTGTTAATTCCTTAGGGTTGTCAACGACAATAGATCCAAAACCAATGTAAACCAATTTTTTATCATCGTCCCTGGCTTTTTTTATAAAGTCGGTTAACTCTTTAGGAGGAACATAGCTCGCTGATTCATCCAAAAACCAGTAGCCTGTCACTTTGACCCACTCGGGGAAATCCACGGACGGCGGAAAAACAACTGGGGACATGTTGTATAAAAAAGGAACACTGTTTTGGTGCATGGCACCTAAATTGGTTTTGGGTAGTCCCAATGTCTGAACTCTCCACTTATTTACCTGATAGCAAGTTCCCCTCCAGTAACCGTTCTCAAAGGCAACGTGTGTCATATAATTGTATGCACCACCTAATTTTTGATCTGGAACCATAAAAGCATTGGGATATGCCCTGGTCCTTGTCCAAGGCATAGTAAATGCTCTAAAATATGGAATTTGTAACTTTTCAGCAATATGAATACCTGCTATAGATGATGGTGATTCAATTAAAACATCACAATCTTGACATGCTTTCCATGAGGTATTCAAAAGATCGTCAATCCAGTCTCTAAACTTCGCTTTTGCCTCTCTTATGAAAGAGTAATTGATAGACGGGTGTGATACCATAAGTGACATTAATTCAGATGGATCACCAGCAATGACATCAAAACCTATACCATAACTTTCTACCCACCCCTTGAACTCAGCATGTGTAACAATCTTCACCTTATGTCCTTCTTTCAAAAGCGCTTTACCTAAAGCAATATATGGCTGAACATCTCCCCTTGATCCAATGGTAAGAAGAGTAAATCTGTAAGGTTTGAAAGCTTTGAATTCTGCTTGCTTTAGTGGATGCTCCTCAACAATTATAGGCACGTTGAGTCCAACAGCATCCGTTAACTTGCTTTCAAACATTTTTAATCTAGCTGAGTTCAAACTTCCGGCACTTGAAGCTAAGTTTGGTTCAATATCATTTTCTGTTGCACTGCTTTCAGCACTCAACCTCTTATAAGAGTCCAAATTCTTCAGGATTTGAACTTCACAATCATCTCTAGCATCATGAGTTGAAAACTCAAAAAACAATTCCTCGTGTCCTCTAATAACAATGACTAAACCAAAATAACCAAATCTGAAACCACTCTCTTTGTTTACGTTTTCAATATCTGCCATAGGCAAAATCATGACGGTACTTGTCCCAGGAATTGTAGATCTGAAACATATCTCATGAGACCCGATGTATAATTTACCATATGTAGGAAGTCCTTTGAGCAAATATAAGTGATACGTAGCTATCAATTTCTCACTTTCGTTCAATGAAAACCTGTTGATAAATCTCTTTTGACAAGAGATTCTTTTGGCTTGGTCTCTAACAAAAAATGGGTCTTCTCCTTCTTTGACAAAAGAACTTTCTTCGTCAAAATGCATTACGGGTCCAGAGAATATAAGACTTTGAGTAAAAGAAGTAATGCCTTGCACAATCGATGACGTCCATCTATGAGGTTCTTTTTCAGGAACATGTTCATTTGTCGGATGCGTAGTATCAACAACTTTTTTGAGGCCAACCTTTGTGTCCAGATCTGGGACAATATGAATACTTTTTGAACGCCCTCTGAGCCTCGACGAAATTAAACTTTTAGCTTTACTTGGTATAAATTCGTGTTTTTGCACGTTAGTTGCTTCATCATCTTCAGCGGTACCAAATTGATCATCAATTTCGTCATCACCCTCATTACCTTCATCTTCATCTGAAGACAGAATAGAATCTCTGAATCCTTTGAGCTTCCCCTTTTTTTCTTTTGGTTTGAAATTTGTCAATTTAACGGATGAGCACGATTTCTTTATAATCTCAATTTTTGATTTCACCAGATCAGAGTTTCTAAGATCATCGTTATCATCAATCAGACTGCTAGATATCACAACTCCTGCTTTCTCAATGGCACTTTTAATATCTTCAACAGCGGCATCACCTTTCGAGAAGAACATCACAAAATAATCATCAATCGCAAACGATTCCGCATTTTCGATGACTTTGATCCTAAGGTTTTTTGTGACACCAACAACGGAAGTTAACTCCAAATCAATAACATTCTGTAATGGGATTTTGATAGCAACCTGGTCGCCTTTGTTTCGGGAGGAAAATATATGCTTTTTCAAGATTGTCACCCATGATCTGGCAACATCGTGATTGTCGGCTTGGAACCAGTGGGTTCTTTTCTCTGTTACAATTCTTATCCATACAGGTACGACAGGGTTTGAATTTTTGGAGGATCCATAAATCTCGGCTCTCAATGCTGTTCTGAGATCGATTACCAATTCAGGGAAATATAGATCTTTAGGAGAGGAATAGACTGAGAATGTATTTTCTCTCAAAATAATCCATTTTCTATGCATCCTCAGAGAATGAAATGATTTAACCGATAAAGAGCCACTTTTAGAAATACCACCCTTGTTGCGTTTTGGTAAGAAGGCAAAAAATAGGATGTTGTTGTCTGTGATATAAAGATGTCCCTGCAATAGGACGTCTCCCATCAACCAGCACGGATAATCACCAATAAAAGCTTCCGATTGACTTATATCAAAAGTTTCTCTCAACTTTCTAGATATTGCGTGAGCTTTATTTTCCAACACTTCAGGTTGATCACCTGGCTTGGCATTGTCAGTCACCTTTTTGGCTACCGATACTTCAAATTTCGAATTAATCCCGTCTCCATCAAACGTAACATGATGTTTACCCTCTGCTGGAGCTATCGTGTTACCGCTATAAACGGAAGGAGTATCTGTAGGGGTTGAAATACCAGATATTGCGTCTGAATCATCGTCGTTATCAAGGACTTGCAAATGAGTTGCATCATCTGGTGGACCTAATTCTCCATCTGTAGAGGAGTCTGCACTTGTAAAGTCTTTATTCCGAATAGACTCAACTTCCCTATCTTCATCTTCAATATCTTGGAAACCGGCATACATACTCGCTGCAGTTAAAAAACCGGCAAAACTCCGGGAGATTCCTTCCACTGTTGGCTCTTCAACTTTATCGCTGGAAATTCTGTGCATTATTGGAGAACCGATGGCAGCAACTCCTGATTTGATTGGACTCAAAGAGTGCTTGGATATTGAATTGATAAATCTCTGGGGAGACATCGCTTGCCGTCTAGCCTCCAAACTCCGACTTGAAGCGGATGAAGATGTTCTACGATGACGTAGAGAAAGCCTTGATCTCGTGTTCTCCGGAGATAGTTCTTTCCCTTGACTTTTCCTCAAATCACTGATCCCATCCTCACCATCCTCATCATCATTATCACTATCGCTATTTCTAATCGCAGTTGCATCTTCATTTTGGCCTTCGTAATCGCTATTGTTATCACTCACAAGCGAGAGACTGTCATCATCTTCTCTATCGAGATCATTGACGAGGTCCCTTTCATCGTCAATTCCGCCATCTTCCGTTTCTTCATGGCTTCTTAGTCTTGCCAAGTTCTTATCTATCAGGCTTCTTTTAGCACCCTTGGGAAATCTCAGTGCAGAGCTCAACAAGTGTTGTGCAGGGGTGACCATCAGCATTGGCCCTGCCTTCAAAACATTCAAATTCTTATTTAATTGTGCATCGAGACCAGAAACAGCAGACTTTGCACTACATTCACAAGCTTCACTTGATCCCAACTCCTTTTTAAAACCTGCCGTAGTCCCAGTTGAACTGTTGTCTGCCCCAGGGTTGCCCGTGCTGTTGTCACCGATACCCACACTTGAGTGGGTTTTTCTCGATTTCTTATCTTTGTCCATCCCTTCTGTTCTTGCGGAACTCGAATGACAAACTAGACTTTCAGTTTTGACAGCTCTTCAGGGTAATATTACGTTATAGACTAGAGTAATTATTGCCATCTCTTATTTGCGTTCTTCCCTATACTCTCTCTTGATAGAAAAGGCAAGATCGGGGATGGGATCTTGCAACTAGTCCCCCAATTTTTTTGTCTACTGTGCTTCCGCATCTGAGATAGAAAAAACCATAATCTCATCGTGTACATCCGAGCTCCGGGGCGTTGCCAGCTATTGTGCTGCTCTACGAAGTTTATCGCTCATGGTTAATATCACAATTATACAAGTCTCATTTATAAACAGAGGCGGAGAACCTGTAACTCACTGCCCAAAAGCCTTTACGTAGTTTAGTCGGTCATCTACCTCGAGAATCAACTCCCTCATGTTCCGAAGCTCGTATCGGCCAAATAAGAAAGAGATCATTCCGTTTACTACCCCGGTCACAAAAATGATGCAGCCAAAAAAGTAAAAGAGGATGGATGACCACGGTGCACGGTAGGATACCACTGTGATGACAGGAAGGAAGGCCAACGTCACAGCAAAGGAAATCACAAAATGCCACATTCTCCATTTCCTCTGCCAAACCAAGGTAGTCTCCATGTATTCGCTGACAAGGTCTTTCAAATCAAAGTATACCTGTAACAACTTCTCATTTGAACCACTTCTGGAGGTAGCTAAGACGGTTGTAGCAGTAGCCTCAGAGTCACTAATGACTTTTTTCTTGAACCGGAAGGTTGCCGAGTATGCAAAGTGGTCTGAATACGACCCAATGCTTGGTATCTTCTCCGTAAATCGGACGCTAGCTTGCACAGGTTCTAGTAAGTTTGAGTCAATCAAAGCATAATCTAACCTGCAGGCCTCGTCAGGTCTCCGATGCGCTCTCCAGGTGTTGAGTATCGAGTCGCAGGTGGTGGCTGCTCGAATTATTTGTTCCCAAGGATCCATTGATTTCACCAGTTCCAAGTCAGTTTGACCATTTAACAATTCCCAGCTGTCTTTCAAACCTGCATCTATCTCTAATATTCTATAGGGCAAAGATCCCGGTCTCGAATTCAAATCACCGACCAATATCACCGCGTGGCCTGCTAATTTAAGTTCCTCCACAATAACAGATATTTCCCAAGCCTGACACGATCTATGAGCCTCATACGCTGCGTCTCCGCTGGCTGCATATGGTGCATGCATGTGCGAATTTAGGAGAGCAACTGTTGTCTCATCAGATAAAACCAAGATTGTCACGGCCACGCTTTTCCCGACGTACCAATCGCCCCTAAAAAATGCCGATGGACGTCCGTTAACTGGAAACCTGTACAAAAACGTCTTTTTAATTGGAAACTTAGACAAAACTGCCAACCCGGGTCCCGATAAAATTCCCGATGAAAACCATCTGCGAAATGGATATTTAGCTGCACAAACCCGGTCTAGATATTCCCAATCTTCCTTCGACCAAACTTCCTGTAGTGCCACAATGTCATAATCATCCACATCCGATGATGATGATGGGGGTGATACGGCAACTGGAGCAGAAGTGCCAGCTACTATCGATGGTGGTGATGTTGAAGACGTGAACAGATTGACATCACTTTTTGCCAACCGATCGGCAATGGCAACTAGTCTCTCTTTTCTAAATGTTGAAACATATTTCAAGCCCCACGTATTAAACGTCAGTAGCTTAAAAGTGTTTACAGCGCCTGATCCATTATCAGAGAGCGCCATGGTGCTCAGCGAGTCTGTGTGAACAAGTTTCATCTTATTGTCCTGAAGATATTTGTGGCCGTCCTTCCGAGACTGAAGCTTGTTCGTCTCCCTCAGGTCACTGAGTGAAGTAGTCGATTGCATAGGCTGAGTAATTTATAATCTGTCTACTAGAGTTTCAAAGATACTACCTGTTGTAACTTTACCCTTTTGACCAAGGATCTCAAGCGCTGAGCACAGCTTTCCATTTTTGTATTATCAACAACATAACGGTTCTTTGCCTCCCAAAAATCGCGTTGACGAGCCTCTCTGCTCACGTGATTTTATATATGTCTTTAAAATTCACTTCCATGGAGGAGAGGAAAGGAAAGAGAATGAGAGGAAAAGGGACCACGGAATTATAGAACAACGTTCATATTTCTATTAAAAACCATTACACTGACTACATATTATATCGAATGTATGAACTGTAGTATGGAGGACACCTGAACCATCCACCTACCCACCCCTCATCTTTTTTTCTCTGGCTTTGATCAGTATTGACTCACTGTTTTTCATTAATACGAGCACTAGTCCTGTCGAGACAGCAGCAATTCCTGCCATAAATGTGTAAGTCCCTCCCAAGGTCATATTGTCTTCCATTTTGGTAAGACAAGACACGAAAATAGCACTCATACCACATCGAAATAGATTGTTGAGTGCTGTAGCACCGCCAGCAATTTCAGGGAACATATCTACCAACACGGTGGTGGTGATATTCAAGGGAAACATACAGAAAAACGTTATGAGAAAAGCCATGACGAGGATGACTGCCAAAGCAATCCGATATTCCAAACACCAACCGAAAACGACTGACGCCATGCACACAATACATGCCGCAAATGGAATACAGTATAATCTGACTAACAAGATATTGAAAGGTGGAATTGGTGTTATACTGGTCTTCTCAATGTCCGAAATATATTTGGTATCATACTTGGCTTTCCGTTTTTTGTAAATTATATCTAACAATCTGCCGGAAACTAAAGTCCCAACGATTGTAGCTGAACCCGGAGCAAAAAAGCATAAACCTACATGCAACGTAGAGTAATGGTAATCAGAGCTCAAATGAACCGACAAGGAAGTTTGCGAGATGGTCCAAACTGAAAACAATAATGACGAGGGGAGCAAAATGTTGAAAACGCTGATTCTAGTAACCAACTTCAATGGCTTCCAAGGTTCATACTTGTGCAATCGCTTATCCAATAAACTTTGATTATAGCCAACAATTCTATTCCCAAAATAAGCTAAAATAGGGCTCCTGTGGATCCAAAATTTTGGCCTCACACTCAAATCACCGACAAAACCACGATGAGTCTCAGGGAGGGCAACAAAAACGATTGCAAGGATGAGACCTTCTAAGGCAGCAGAAAACCAGAAAATAGCTGGCCATTTCCAAGCCGTATCCATGACTGCACCAAGAAACGGTGCCACACCTTGACCGATAAGTGTGAACCCAGATGTTAGACCTGTCAACCCACCTCTGTTTCTTCTAGTTGTGAAATCTCCCACGGCAGCAGAAGTAATGCTTACCAAAGGAGCAAGAAAAGTAGCAAGAATACATCTCAAGAAAACAATTAGCCAATATGTCCTCGAAACAGCTAGTCCAACATTGGTAGCAATACCTCCAATGATACAGCCCAGAATTACGGGCCGTCTCCCAAAAATGTCAGATAGAGACGACACGAACACAGGTGCTACTGCTTGGAAACACAAATATGACGTCACAGTAAAATTGATGTGCTCTTCCGTTGTATGAAAAGCAACGGCCATTTCTGGTAAAGCAGTCCAATATATCGGCATTGTCATAGCAGAACACATTCCAACCAGTGCCAATAATAAAGCCAAGGACACCCGCTCACGTTTGCTGAGTATAGTATACTCGTTTTCTTTTGTGGAAGTAACTCTTAACAGCTCCAACTTCTCCTTACAATCATTATCATCATTAGCATTATTATCATCATCATCATCTGTTTCAGATATGTAGCCTATGTCATTATCATGATTGTCCACTTGTTCATTACCACGACCGTTGACAATGGCCAAATTATTGTTCAAAGACCTCACCCCGTCTACATAGCTTGTGCCATCACTCTCATCGTCGTCTGAACCCGTATGCGAAGACATTTCCAAGACCATTCCGTGTTCACGAGTGTACGGAGCTGAAAAGAGACAAGCCTGGAAGTAGCTTTGTAAAATCTGACTTAGCTGGAAGTAGGCCCGACGGTAATTCTTTCAAATGAATGTTTGTGGGTGAACTTGGCGAACTCAATCAGTTTGATCAACTTGCAGAACTTAATGACTCTTTTTTCACGCGTCAACGGTGTTAGTCGGCGGTAGAGCCTTTCATCGGGGGGATAAACGGAGATAATTCCTTATCTTGACGTTTTTGCACTTCACCAAATAAAAAAACGAGCGGAAAGCTGTTCCGCTCACCGACGGGTCGGCGCTTCCTCGTTTTTCACGTGCACGACAACCGAATCTGGAATGGAGGACGCAAGGACTGAGAGAAAGGAGATGACGCTATCAGTTGAGTTAGGGGTTAGAGCTGCTCACCGAGGGCCAGTTAGGTATATGGCAGGAAAATGGGAAAGAACCAAACCAGTTGATAACAGTGAGAATAGAAATGCCAGCAGAGAAGATTGACGGAAAGTTTATTAGTACGGATTTGAGATCAAAGATCAAGGACGAGATCGCAACATTGAAGAAGACACATCCTTCGTTCAGTCCAAAGATTGTCATCATTCAAGTGGGGGATCGTCCGGACTCTTCAACATATGTTCGTATGAAGTTGAAGTCTTGTGCTGAGGTCGGAATCGACGGTGAGCTGCTAAAGTATCCTGCAGATATTTCACAAACGGAGATGATGCAGAAATTGGATGCCTTGAATAAAGACGTATCTGTTCACGGTGTCCTTGTACAATTGCCATTGCCTTCTCATCTTGACGAAGAAGCCGTGACCAATGCAGTCAATGTGGAAAAGGATGTGGATGGCTTCTCCGAACTGAATATCGCTGCAGTGTTCAAAAAAAACTCCAAGTTAAAGATTGTGCCATGCACTCCCAAGGGTATCATGTATATGTTAGACTACGAAAAGATTCCATTGGAAGGCAAAAATGCAGTCGTATGTGGAAGATCCGATATAGTAGGTGGACCTATGAGCAAGCTTTTGGAGAAGAGAGGTGCCACAGTAACAACGTTACACTCTAAGACCACTCCTGAACAGTTTAAATTTTTTTTGAAGAATGCCGATATCATTGTTTCAGCGGTTGGAAAAGTCAACTTCATTCACGGCGAAGATGTGAAGCCAGGATGTGTTATTGTTGACGTCGGTACAAACTATGTTGCTGACGAAACTAAGAAATCCGGCCAAAGAATGGTTGGTGACGTCGATTATGAATCATGTGCCCAAGTGGCGTCGAAAGTGACTCCTGTCCCTGGAGGAGTTGGCCCAATGACCGTTGTCATGGTGTTAGATAACCTTTTACAAACAGCAAAGGAACAATCACACTTGTAGGTTATTGAACAGAGAGAAAAAAAGTGATAATTTCTCTAGTTATTTAGCTCAAGTAACTACTTATTCCTACTACATATAGAAAAAAGTCTCAGCTATTTAAGATGCGCAGATGCATTTTCGTAGAGTGATTGCCAAACATATGCTTCACTTAACATCATCTCTATGTCATCTTCCGTCCAGTCTGCTGTTTTCGATGTGTCCTGCAAAAACATGATTATATCCTGGAACTCCATATCCAGCAAATCATCGCTAAATCTTCTTAAAAATGCGCAACAGACGTAAATGTGAAACTGACTAAACCCCGTAGGGAAATCGCTCAAGTATGTATCCCACATACGTATGATCAAGTTCAGCTTAAACTCTCGCATTAGCATGCAGTTCATCCATCTGAAAGCAAACTGAATGAAATCTAAATTTTCTCTCTTAAAGTGTGATGCCAATTGGGGTTCATCTCTTTTGATCAAGTTTTTCAACTCTGTTATTTGTCTTATAATTCCGGGTTGCTCGTGGATAAAGTTATCCTGGATGGTATCCAATACCTTGGTGAAGCACCAGTAAGTATCTGCTTCGATCACATTCAAAAGCTCCTTCGGCATGCACTGGGGGTCAAATTCATTGACATCAACACTAGACGCCAAGTAATGAGCAAGGAAGATCTGAAAAAATGGCGTAACCAAATCGTTTATACCCTGAACATAACCGCTGGCGGGATGTCTGATTGCCCAAAGATAAAGTATTTTTTCCAACGATCGATGTGTTGCTTCATATGAATACAGTTTTATGCTTGGATTAGTACGCAAAACGTCTATTTTGATCTGATGCCATATTGTTTGGTCTTTCTCTGACCTGAAAAGTCTTGTTATACTGTTGACATATTCTTTACGTTTTCTGCTCAACACCGATGCTCTCGTAGTTTTGTTTGTAGAAAGATAGCCGACAAGAATCTGCCACACTAATGAACGTAAAGAAGCTGGGATTCCACCCCAGGATTGTTTTCTCAAATCAGCTAGCTCAAAAGTTGTTTTTGTTAGTTCTTTGACAATTTTATTGTATTTGATGATATCGTCACGAGGGGGCTTCTGTACAGACAATATAGAAAAAGGATCTTTGACTATATCCTGATAGTCTTTTTTCAAGAACGGGTAATTAACATCTGTCTCCTCGTTCAATAGTGTCTGCTCAATTTCTTTGCCGGTCTCTGTATTAACACTGTTATCATTATCGTCTATTGTGAGCTTATCTAGGGCTAGGTTATTGGGCAGGCCATTATTTGCTGTTTTCACATCATTAAAATCATCCAACGTGTCATTCCAGTCGTCATCGGAGTCATCAAACGGACTCTCACTTGACTTCTTGTTCGATTTGGAAGACAGACCTAGCTTCGCCAGGGTATTAGAGTGTGTCCTAGAGATGCTCAAAGAGCTGCTCGAACGATTGGAACGGTTAGAACTGGTGGACATGCGGTCGGGGGACATAGAACGTACCTTGGACTGTTCTCTGACGACATCCAAAAAAGATTTCGACACAACCCCAGGCTGATCTGAAGGATCCAATCTTGCCTTCAATGCGGCTGACTGTTTTTTTGGTGACAATTCGTTGTACGCCAAGGATGATATCGTTTTAAAAAAGCCTTTTGAGGACGAGGAGCTCGGTAGGGACAAGGCTGAGTTATTGCTGTGGTTGTTGCTTCCAAGGCCATGTGATATGTGCGAAGATGAACAGTTCTTAATGCTGATAGATGATGGATTGGCCTCCATTGCATCGGAGGTGCTGTCAGCGAAATGATCGTCTCTTTGGAAATTTGTTCCGAACTCAAAGGGGTCAGAGTCAAAAACGTAGTCTCCAGATTGTTTAAATTCCTGCTGCCAAAAGTAGATCTTGCCGTCAAAGAATGTGTTAGTTCACCAGACTAAAAAGAGAAATCAAAAGAAAAAAGGAGAGGAGGAAGAACATTAGATACATAACATCCCCCTTTCTGCACATACCCCTAGCGGCTGGTGGTAGCCTTTTTTCCACATGTCTGATGGAAAACGCTATGCTAATTTGACTGGACTTGGATTGTAGCAGTCCTTTAGCCAACGTCACCAAAGTTCTCTGCCCTCCCCAACTTGAACGATACTCTCTATCTGCTCTGTGTACAGTTTTCACATTTCCGTTTCGAGAACCTCACTGCAGCATTTTACTGCCACCAGCGCTACGCAACTATTGTTGTTCTGATAAATCTTTCAGGTACACAAGAGCTTTATATACATAGGGTGCCATCTACTGGGCGTAGTCCCTGAGTCCAAGGTCCCACAATTTGTGTGTTTCCTTCAGCTGGTAGTTGATGGTCTTGCTGGCGTAACCCAGGCTTCTATCGCTGGCGCTGGCACTGGCGCTGGCCATCTGGAAGAGGTTGTCGATGACGTCTTCGAGCAGAATTGCTTTCCCGGCCAGCATCGAGTTCGCCAGACCGAGAAAATTGGCATTCACAACGTGGATGTGGAAGTGGTAGTATGACGGCTGGTAGTGCACGTAGAGGCGCAAATTATCCCGTTGGAGGCCCTGCGCTTGGTAGATCCTAGGCAGCTCCTCGAGGATGCTTGTACGGATCCTCTCCAAGTAGCCCAAATGGCCAACTGTCAAATCTCTCACCGACGAGATACTGTCATCGTAAACGATGCAGCAGCAGTACAGCGTGTCGAGGTTCTGGCCGTCCCACTTCATGTCCGGGAGCACGACGTAGTCGTCGTTCCGGAACAAAACCCGCTCGGCCTCGGCCCCGTGGTGGAGAATGTTCGTCACCCACTGCAGCCGGTCCCCCTTCATTGTCTCGATGTAGGGCTTCACCACCGTCTGGTACGCCTCCGGCGTCTCCCGTATCATGTGCAGCCGGGCGCTCTCGTACTTGCGGACGTGCGTCTCCGTCGCTGGGTACACGAGCGAGTACTTGCACGTCGGGTCCTTTTCAACGTCCTGCTCCGCCAATGTCGTCCCCCACCAGTACACGTCGTTGCTGGCTATCGTCCTGACCTGCCGTAGCAGCCTCTCCGGCTCCACCGTCTGGGAAAACCCCGTCTTTTCCAGCGTCAAAATCGCCTGCTCATCATCAATGCTGCCCAGCAGCACCACCCTCTTCGCCAGCGGGTCTTCCTCCAACGTCCGCACGTATTTGAACCGGGTCACCGGCTCTGTCTTAGTGTCCATCCTTATCTGCTCTTCACCCTTCCCATCTTCTTCCAACCCAAAGACAGGCCCGTCGTTAATCCCGGCTTTCGTACCGGGCTATAAATAGCAGGGCCCCCCAAAGCTGCGCCCACTTTTCTCCGCCCGCATAAAACAGCTGGCGTGGCCTGGACATGATTTAATGACGAGAAGGGATAACAAAGCGGGCCAGGTACGACGAGCCGACCCGTGTTCTTTCTATTTGCCACCGCACATCTCGGAGTACAGTACACTAGGAGCAGATCCAGAACACGATACAGCACCATGGGATTACACGATATCTTGACAGAGCCCTTTGCGACGGCCTTCTCCAAGAAAAAAGATTACGACTTCAAGGAGACTCTGGGGGCAGGGTCGTTCGGGACGGTCCGCAAGGCGATCCAGAAGTCCACGGGCAGGGAGGTGGCCGTGAAGATTATCCTCAAATCAAGGCTCCACGGCCACTTGGAGGTGGTAGAGCGGGAGGTGAACCTCCTCAGCTCGGTGAAACATCCCCACATTGTCGAGCTCATTGACTCGTTCCAGACGAAACACAACTTCTACATTGTCACTCAGTTGGCAACTGGCGGCGAGCTCTTTGATCGCTTGATCAAGAAGACATCCTTTACGGAGTACGACGCATGCGAAATCATCTTCCAGCTGCTGGACGCCATCGCCTACCTGCATGCACGCGGCATCGCCCACCGGGACATCAAGCCCGAAAATGTGCTCTATCTTTCGATAGAGAACAACTCTCCGGTCGTTCTAGCTGACTTCGGTGTCTCCAAGCAAGTCAACGTCAACGCACACGAGAGGTTGACAGGCGTGGCCGGCTCCTTCGGCTACATTGCCCCTGAAATCTATTCCGGAGAAGGTTACGGCGACTTGTATGGGTTGGGCAAGGGCGGATACACCCTCAGCTGCGACATCTGGTCCCTGGGCGTCGTGGCATACACCTTGATTGGGGGTTACTCCCCTATTCGTGCGCAGAACCCGCAGGACTTTTTGGACGAGGTCAGAACGAACAACTTTGTCGTTTTCCACGAAAAGTACTGGTCCGGGATCTCCGAGGAGGCCAAGGACTTTATCATAAAATCACTTGATATTGATAACAGAAGAAGACCGTCAGCTAGTCAACTGCTGCAGCATCCTTGGATCCAGAATCATATTCGCTACGGTGGGAAGGCCGCAGTCAACGAAAAGAACATAATCTCCAACATACAGGAGGGTTTCAATGCCCACGCCAGATTACGCCGTGCTGTGCGGTTGATTATAATGAAGAACAAGTTGGAGAAATTAAGGCAGATCCGTGCTGCTTCTGATCCAAACCCTACCGACACCTCCTCGCTGGAAGATGACGACACAGACGACTATCTGTTCTGTGGCAACTCACAAGACTCCAAAATTCTTGAGTCATTTCACAACATGAAGCTGCTGCCGGAGGACGAGGGATCGAGAGATAGCCAGCTGTCAGCAGATTCACAAGGGTCCAAAGATACAGATGCACTGAAACGTTTGAAAAGTAAGGAGTTGGCCTCCACTTTCCAAAATTTGGTACGTATTGCTCAGGATTCAAAGGAGCAAATACGCCAGTACCAGGAGGAGGAGGAGAAAAAGGAGAAAACTTCTCAACCAGAGTGATGCTGGCTTCAAATTTTCAGGGGATAAATAACGCAGCCAACGAAGCAATCGATTGCAAAGAGGCGCCAGCTTTTGGACCGTCTTGCAACACATGTGAATATGTGTATAACAGATTCATAGAAATTTTATAGTCTAAATATACATTCTGCAATAATGAGCAAAAATGGGTTTAAATCGTAATCATGAGCTCGTAATACACAACAATCAACATTATACAGTTTAAAAGAGAAATTTTAAAAATAAAACATGGATGTGAGAACAAAATAGTAAGTAATCGACGGATTTTCAGCCTCTACGAAGTAAATTTTTGATTTTCGATTTCGTCTTTTGGTTTTCATTCTTCACTTTATTGCCAACATTGTCAATTTTTAATTTGCTCATACCCTTATCCAAATTAATTTTAGAGACTTCGTTCTCTTTTACCTCCGTAACTCCTTCTAAGATACCTAGCTCTATCAATCTATTTGAAAATCTAGAAAAATCTATTGTTCCACTACTTCCACTGCTACTGCTATCTACAGATTGGCTTCTTTTGTGTCTCCCCTTCACATAACTGTTGCTATCTCTGATCTGGGCTTTAGGTGATAGCAAAACGGTCTCTTTCGCCTTGGATATAATTTCAAACCGAACTAAAGAGGGGGGTAAGATACCTATTTTCACAACTGCTTTGGATTTCATCAAGCCATAGCCAATATGTAGTGTGACTTTTTTCAAGTGGTTGAATTCCAGTCTTGACAAGTCATAACTCAATCGGTTTCCCCGAATTGTTAGGTGCTCCATCAGCTTCAAATCAGCTGTGATAGTGTTGAGTGTCAAGCAAATGGGCAAGCGCATATCTAAAAATGTGATGTCTAACCATTCAATACTAGGAGGTAAAGTATTTTTGAATACTGAAACTTGCAAGCGAAAGTCCAATTGCCTTATTAAGGGAGGCAGTAGCCTCAAGTCATACTCAAGTGTCTGTCCTGATATTTTGAAACTTGAAAGGCCTTTCAAAATTGAAAAATTCATCGAGCTCCAGTCAACCTGACTCTCGGAATTAACACAAGAAATACTCAGTACTTTGAGGTTGATTGGCAATCTTGATAAAAAGTTTTGAGGAATTTTTGTAAACATCACTAAACTAAGCTCTTCTAATGCAGTCAAACTAGAGATGTTTTCAAAGTCAGGGAAATCTTGCGATAAAGACATCATCTCATACTTAAAATAACTCAAATTATTAGGCAAGGAGAATTTGTTTTCTGCTTTATAAAAGCAGTTGCATAACACTAATCGTTTTAATGTCCTCGGTAGATTATTTATCAAATTGACAGATATATCACATGAATTTAGTGTCAAATCAGTCAAACGAGAAAGATGTTTTAATGAATAGCGCAGCTGCCTATCAAAGTAGTACAACTCTAAGTATTTTAATTTTTTATTCTTCAACCTAAAATTGCCAGACTTGCTTGCAGAGTAGTATGCTGAGATCTTTAGTCTCCTTAGCTGGTAATAGTAATTCAATGGATCAAAGTCAACATAGGTTTCAGAATTAATGTTCATGCTCAAATCTGTGATAAACTGACATACCGACTCAATTTTTCTATTCAACCATTCAAACTTCATGTTTTTATATGTAAGATTGTTATCTAATATCTTAATGGTTATATCTAAACCTGTATATGAAACTAACTTCAAGGCTTCAAAAAGACAAGCGGGAAGTTCGAGATTCTTATCAATGACAATTTTAATATCCAATTTTCTCAAATCTTTGAGTTTGACCGCAAATGATAGGAATTTCGAAATACACTTCAAATTTATTGGATAGTCGTATATATTAAGAGCAATGTGCTGTAGCTTTGTTAAGTTCTTCAAATTAAGCAACGTGATATCATCGGAGGCAGATACGGATAAAAATTTGATCTTTTTCAAAAACAAATCTTCCCAGCTCTGAAACTCAACCAGTTGATCATAATATACATAACATAGATTTTGTGCATAATAAACCAACTTAGAAAGGTCTCTGTTTATCGTGAATACCTCAAAAACCTCTCTGCTGAACGATAAATTTTGAATTATGATCTTTTTTTCTAAAAGCAAATCCAATAATTTTTCAAACTCCGGCGATTTTAGCAAGATCTTCCCTAAAACATTGGTAATCTGCAAATTCGTTCGTTCATTCATAAACCTTGAGATAATAAACACATTCACACAGAAATGTGAATGGATAATGAAATCGAGCTGAGCTTGAATACCCATCATGCCCAGCACTTCCTTCAAATTGAGATTATCGAAAATCACATCGGTCCATATCCCATTTTGAATCTCAAACGGCAAGTCCGGAAGTATTCGTATGGCTTGAGTGTACTTTCTGTTTACACTTATCAGTCCTGAACTTCTTGCCAACGTGAATAACAAATTTAACAGGTGTATAGGCCATATGGGAAATGTGGACGTAGACTATCAACTACCAGGTCTGTAACACCCGAGATACTAGAACATCAACGGATAGCCATTTTAGCAACAACAATAAAATTCCCCTACTATTAAAGCGGGATAGGATGCATTACAAACTGAAGCCCAATGATAATCGCCTACGATCCGTGCCAGCCGTTCATCGACTCGTTCTGGGTCAAAAATTGACGCAAGTGATCGTTCTTGTCACTAACCAGTTAAAACCGTATATTTCATCAGGTTCCTTCTCAATGCAGTGTCACTCAGGTGTATTCCTTTCATCCTTCTGTGCATTCTCCATTTACGATGTATGCAATTGTTACAAAGGTTTTTTTACTAAAATTTACTTTAATAATCTTTTATTCAAACAGCCCACGCTGAATATTCTTAACGAGGAATTGTTTGATTTCTTCTGCGGAAACTAGGTCCATCTCCACGCCCAACTTCTCCAACTCAAGCCGGGATTCCTCGGCAACTGAAAGAAGGCTGCCCGCCGTTTCCCCTTCTGTGGAAGTCATGTTCAAGTTTTCACCCAAATTAGTGTGTTTCTGAGCCCCCAGAGTTTGCCCTAACTCTGAGTTACCACTAATCTTTGTAGAGGTGAACTTAGCATCTGTGTCCATGCTATCGATAGAGATCGAGCCCTCTAACAACTTGTCATTAATGGATTTCATACTGTTTTTATCTAAAGATGTTTGACTTAAGATCCTGCTAAACTTTTTCCATAGTTTGATCGCATCGTAATCCATGTTTTGGCCAGCGTCAGCACTCTTTTTAGCTGCAATGTTTTCATCATTATCATTGTAATCACCTCCCCCTACTACCAAGCTATTGAAGGAGTTCACCCTGCTGAATTTTTCAAGTAAAACACGATCGTATTCGTTCACGAATATCTTCACGTTTAATGCATAATACTCTTTACTATGCCACCCCAGTTCGGCATTATTACTGTTCGTATTACTGTTTTCTGGACGTAGGTGTTCATCGTATAAAGTCCTGAATGCACCTATATCGACCATTCCAGATTTGAGGCTTTTGATTGGATCCACAACAATTGCGACATACGGATCTTCAAATCCTTGGTGTAGTTTTTGGGTTTGAACATCAATTCCGCTTAACCAGCACCCAAATCCGGGATGCGAATGATACCAACCTATAATGTTCTCTTTCCTTATCCCACTCTCCTGTAACTTTGTTAAATAACTGAGCATAAATTCGTACGAGTCATTTTGAGGATTCACTCGTGATTCTGTACCTTGCACGGGCAATGGATAACAATCTAATACTATTAACTCATTATCTTTATGGTATCCAACAAGCATACCCATAATTTCAATCATTCCACCCGAGACAGCATGTGTTGACATCTTTAGCATAGCTAGTAGTGATACATTAACTGTTCGAAAGTAGTATGGATGCTTTTTCCACAAAGCTTTACTTGTAGGGTCCCGGTCAGCACTATCAGCACTTTTGTCGTTAAGATACGTATAAAATTCATTATTCGTATTTCCATCTGTCTCTATCACTCTTCTTGTTGCGTCAGGTGGGAGATCAATGTTGATAGAACGGCCTTCAGTCAGCTTCTTCACCTTCGATAAGCCGCTGTCGACTGCACCATTTAAGATTTCCAACAGTGCAAAAGAGGCATTTTCTAATGGATGTTTGTCATCAAAACGACCGGCACAACACAGGTGGTCTTCCTCCATGATCAACCTAGCTATTAGTATTGAGAATTGTAGTGCCAGAGTAACGTGCTTATCGTTTCTAACCGAAGGATTGCCGGGGAACACTAGAAAATATGTGATACGCAATTTCCACTCTCGGAGAGGGTGAGTGAGCGCTTCAACACCTAGCTAGTGCCATGAAATCAGCTCTTCTACATTCACTGTATTTTCTAATATCATTAATCGTTCATGCATTTGTATACAAAACGTTTCAATACGAAACAAATATATCTACAAACTGAGGGGTTGAGAGTGGATAAAGCTAACGATTCTTTATTCTCTCCATGAGTTTTTGCACTAATACCGGATTAGACATAATCAAATCTACTTCAGCATCCAACACTGCTGAAGTCTCACAACTGCTAGTACCGCTACTACCAGATTCAATACGGTGTATTTTACCGCTATTGTTGTTGTTTGATTCTTTTTCCACTGTGTGATCGAACAAATCCCAATCTATGCTTGGTTTCTTTATATGTCTCAAAGAATTTTTTCTGGAAAGAGTTATGGCTGGCATTGCCAACTCACTTGTGCTGGTGGGTATATGTAAGTTGGCGGCCTGTGCTGCCTGTGCTGCCTGTGCAGCTTGCCCTCGCAAATCTGATGAGCTCCCCTTCAAATGACTTTTGAAGTTTGAAAGACCTGGCTGGCTTGATAAGCTAGTTCCACTGGCTAAACTACCGAGACTTGCCATACTAGTCAGACTAGCTGACCCATTCAGTCTCAAATTGTTGCTGCTATTCAATGGATTAAAGCCTAACATCTTCAAATCTGCTGAGCTGTTTCTGGTAAATTCATAAGCCTGCGAATCTGATCTACTGCACAGTACTTTAGGAGACGGTTTGGCTGAACCACCCATTGCAGTTTCAAGATCCGATTGTGATTCGTTATCACTATCACTTTCACTTTCACTGGCAGTTTCCATGGTGCTACTCAAAACATCATCGGAGTCGTAACTCATACTGTGTTTCAGTAAGATTCTTCTCAAACGTTCAACGTCATTCAGGACCAAAGAACCGCGCTTGCGTCTTCGTTTCATGATTTCAGCAACGTCCACTTCAATGAACATATCGGTCACATCGTCATAATGCCAAATGTTCAAATCTAAGCCATAGGGTTTTGGTTCAACGCAGTAAACATAATTATGCTGGACTTCTAGTTCTGTTAACATTTCCTTACTCAAGTTCATGAAGTAGCACAACAAAGCTCTAATTATGACCCGATGAGAAACGATCAGCACATGGTCTTTCAATCTCTCCAATTCTATAATTATTGGACGCAATCTGCTTAGAACATCCAAATACGACTCACCTCCAAGACCTGGATACCTATAGGATAATTTATTCTCTAAAGATTCCAGATATTCATCGGGGTGCAAATATCTGAAGTCATCCTCAGCCATAGAGTCGTAAGATCCACAACCTAAATCATTCAAGATCTTGAAGCTTTTGAAAAAAAACTCATCACGAGGGAAATAATGTGCAGTTTCAATTGTTCTTTTCAAAGTTGATGTCCATACATTGAAGTTCTTCAATGAATGGGTTGAAGTGTTCGTTTTGAATGTCGTAGTGTCGTTAACAAACTCTTTACCGTATTGTTTCAACTTGAATTCCTGTCTCTTCTTCGAGATAAATTTTGGTAATGCTTTAGCAAACGCTATGCCTTTCCTTGTGAGGTCAGAATCTCCGCCCAACCTATTTTGAACGTTATAGACAGACTCGCCATTTGCAGTTAACCAAATTTGGCGATCCGTAAGGTTGAAATTCAAAAGGAAAAACACACATTGAGAACTCAAATAACCGCTGATGTTGAAAGATATAATTTTCTTTCCGGCATTTACAATCTTCACATATTGGATATCGAATTTCTCGTTCTCACTTTCCTCCGATTCGTCGATGGTTTCGTACACTTTTGAGTAATTGTGCAAACGCTGTCTGAAGTCTTGCAAAGCCTTGGCCGGGTCCATTTTCTTGTAGTCCGGGCCACTCAACTTTAGATGAATGTTTTTCTCAATCAAGTCCTCATCCGTGCAAATTGACTCGAGGAACAAAATTTTCACCAACCCTTTGGTACGCTTGTTTATCGTCTCTACAATCCATCTCCTACGAGCCTTTGTCGTGTTGGTCGCATCGAATATGCCCACATTCCCGTCGTCTGATAATAGGAAATCCAACAGATGATCGAGAGTCTCCTTTGCCCACTTTTCTCTCAGCTGGAAATTCTCCTTGTTGTTATGATCAAACAAGTTTGCGTCGTGGGATGCCAAGCGGTCTCCGCGTTCGGCTTCGGGCAGTCCGCCCACATACGACGGCGAGGGGGATTGCATCGGCGTGCTGTGGTCTACCGTAGGCCCCTGTATCGGATAATTACTAGGCGCAAACACTTTTAGCTGTCTCCGCGTATTTCCCACATTGAAGATCTTTGTATTGTATTGCATCCAGTTCAGATACCGTTGCAACTTTTTCGTGATGTACGATTTTCCTCTGGCGGGTAAACCAACGCATACAATCACCAACTTCAACGCATCGTCGGTGGGGTTTTCTGACGATTGCAGCAGCGAGTTCGACAGCGTCGTGGTACTTCTATCTGCCTCCACCTCGTTATTCGTAGCGTTGCTGCCGTGCTTGCAGTTGCCTGCATCGCCCTTTCTACTGTTACCTTGATGGCTTTCGTGACCATGGTCATTTTGCGTCTTTCTATTCGTATTCCCTTCCATTTTGGCTCTCGGACACAGAGACAGCTACCTGATCGGGAGCAATGTTGTCGGTGGCCTTCGGAATGCAAAATTTGGGTTCCCAACCACCAAATTCGAAGCTTTTAAGGCGAAAACTTTGCCGACATGTATCTGCAAGAGTTAACCTTTCCGCAGGGATCATGTCAATCAATTACTCATCCGGAGAAACGGGGCCCACGGCCATCGCGCCCAGATGATTCAGGACGATCGGCGTCAAATTGTATTACGTAAGCGCAACCCGGCGTTCCGATTTCTTCCGGTTTTTTATCACGTGCCTTTCCGCCACCGTTACAGGCGTTTACCGCCAGTCTTGCCGGTTTGGGAAATTACCGGCGGCAGAACGGATGCTACGAATGGGTTGAGATCGGCATGGATCTTGGACTTTTCTTTTTCCCCAGACAGAGTCATCACACCCGACTTGGGGGGGTTTTAGTGGGTCGGAGTAACAGAAGGCTAGAGGGAAAAAGGTGAAACGGAAGACAGACCACAAAGATGCTACGTTCTCTTCTCATCGGTAATAGCAAGAACACGACCACAGTGTTCAAGATCTCACCCAAAAGGTTTTCTTCACAGCTGACTGCAGACAAGTATGCTGTGAAACGTGGGGACTTTGCAAAGTTGAGCGACGAAGACTTGTCGCACTTCCACTCGATCTTGAATCCAAACCAGATGATCACAGACACAAACGACCTGATTGCGTTCAACCAGGACTGGATGAAAAAATACACCGGGCAGTCGCAGCTGGTGTTGAAGCCGAAGACCACGGAGCAGGTGTCAAAAATCTTGGCCTACTGTAACGAGAGAAAGCTTGCGGTGGTTCCACAGGGCGGTAACACAGGCTTGGTTGGTGGCTCTGTTCCTGTTTTCGATGAAATCGTTATTTCCACGGCCAGCATGAACAAGATCAGATCGTTCGATGAGTCTTCCGGTATATTCAAAGTGGATGCTGGTGTGATTTTGGAAGCCGCAGACACTTTCCTTGCCGAGAAGGGCCACATCTTTCCATTGGACTTGGGTGCCAAAGGATCATGTTTTGTTGGTGGTAATGTTGCGACCAACGCCGGTGGCTTGCGTCTTTTGAGATACGGTTCTTTGCACGGTTCTGTGCTTGGACTGGAAGTTGTGCTGGCGGACGGTACCGTCATGGACTCGATGCATTCTTTGAGAAAGGATAACACTGGCTACGACTTGAAGCAACTGTTCATTGGTAGCGAGGGTAGTTTGGGAATCATCACCGGTGTTTCGATTTTGTGTCCAGCAAGACCAAAATCTGTCAATATTGCCTTCCTTGGATTGGAGAGCTATGAAATGGTCCAGAAATGTTTCCAGACCGCACGTAGCGACTTGTGTGAGATCTTAAGTGCGTTTGAGTTCATGGACCACGACTCCCAACTACTTGCTGCCAAGAGCTTGAAGACGACACATCCATTGTGTCAAGAAGATGAGACGGGAGTTGATTCTGTTCCTGAATATCCATTCTACGTATTGCTCGAGACAAGTGGTTCGACAAAGGAACACGACGATGAAAAATTGGAAAACTTCCTTGAAAAGGTGATGGGCGATGAAACCGTTGTTGATGGTACCGTCTCACAAGACGAGACTCAATTGCGTACTCTTTGGACTTGGAGAGAAGGTATTGCCGAGGCTTCCCAGCAATTTGGAGGTGTCTACAAGTACGACGTTTCCCTACCATTGGACAGCATGTATTCCTTGGTTGAGGCTGTTCAAGAGCGTTTGAAGAAGTTGAACTTGTCCTCCACCGAGGACGAATCGAAGCCTGTTTACGAGGCGGTTGGATACGGTCACATTGGTGATGGTAACTTGCACTTGAATGTTGCTGTTAGAGAATACAACAAGGAGGTTGAGAAGGCTTTGGAGCCGTTTGTCTATGAGTTTGTTTCGAAACACCATGGGTCGATCAGCGCCGAGCACGGGTTGGGATTCCAAAAGAAGAACTACATTGGATACTCCAAGAGTGAGGTTGAGATCCGCATGATCAAGGATATCAAGCACCACTATGATCCAAAGGGTATCTTGAACCCATACAAATATATTTAGACGTTTTCTATCTATTCATCATTCAAATCCATTCTTTGAAAAAGTAAAAAAAAAACACTCATCGACACAGTGAAGAGTAGCTCTCAAACTTCCGATTTTAAAAGTAGTATGTAATTTTAGTTTATGATAGACAACCTATAAAGGAATGAAAATATACGAAGCAGATGGAGAGAAACACAAAATGGGTAGAGGGGGAAGAAGATGACAAGATGAGAAAAATCATCAGAAGAAGCAGAAAACAAACAATAGGAAGAAGAGGAGAGAAAAAAAAAAGGAAGTAGCGGAGAACTAAAGGTAGTATATATATGAAAAAGAGTAATGAGTGGGAAAAGAATAGATTAAAGTAGAGAAGTAAGATGACAAGATGGGTTGGAGTATGGGCATAAGGCGTTAGTGGTGATTGTAAACTGATTGCTCATCGTCAGGGTTTGCCACACGTAGAACCTTTTTAGCGTAATCCGTTGCATCTGCCAAACTTCCGTCACTTAATCTTCTTCTGCCCAACATTATCTTGTCGGCTTCATTATCTTCGTCACTTGCAAAAGGATTGGAGCCATCTGCGTTGGATTTGAGGGCTTCTTCATAGGCAATGTCATCTGCAATGATGGATTCGTCGTCATCTGCGTACCGAGAGAATATCTGGCGGCGTAGAAGGAACAATAAGGCCGCTAGTATCACGAGGAACCCCAGAACGCCTCCGACGACACCACCAATGATGGCCCCCTTGTTGACAGAGGCGGATTTTGAGTTTGCTGAGTTTTCTGACGCAGAGGGAGATTGTGTGACGTAGACGACGGAGGTGACTGTTGCAGAGGAGTTCTCTAGCAGGGTGGTCATCAAAGAGGTGTACTTTTCATTTGTAGTTTGGGACGGTGGCGCGGAGGACGATGGCGAGACTGATGTCGTTATTGGGGAGGAGGATGCGGAGGAGGAAGCGGAGGAGACGGTGGTGGATGGAGAGAGAGAGGAGGATGCTGGAGTGGAGGAAGAGGAAGAGGAAGAGGGGGACGAGGAGGAGGAGGACGTGGATGCGGTGGACGAGGATGCCGAGGAGGAGGAAGAAGAGGGCGACTCGGACGAGGCGGCGGAGGAGGAGGACGCAGCGTTCGAGTAGGAGCTCAGGTCGACGCCGGCTTGTGCCATCACGACGAACGCAGAGGAGCCGCCGCAGTTTTCCGCCGGGTAGCCCACGCAGGCGACGGAGCAGGCGTTTGATCCGTCGACGGAGCTCGGGTACGACGAGCCGCAGTAGCACTCGTTGCCCTGCGTCATGGCGAAGAAGTCGTAGCTGGAGCAGGCGCTGCTGCACTTGTCCGACGACTGGTAGATGTTGGTGCCCTGGGACACGTAGGACGACGGCACCGAGCCGAAACAGCCGACTCTCTGGCCCGTGGCGTCTGCGCCGTGTATGTGTGAGAGCAGGGACACGAGGGTGGGTATAAGGAACGTGGTTCTCATTCTGGCTGTGCAGCTGTGAGTGTTGGTGTCTTGTGTGAACGAGCGGATAGAACGAGCAGGGGTTCTTATCGGAGACTGTGTGTGTGCGACAGGTGTGCTATGCGGCGCAGGACACACGCATGCAGGGTGTTGGTTGTGTTGTGTGTGTGCAGAGACTGGTGACCCGACCGGACGTCTTGATCGCTGAGAAGCCTATGTGTGGCCTGGCAAGGTGTCTGTGCAGAGCGTTTGGCGGATGCAGGGGGTCTGGAGAACCGGTGCTGAGTGCTGTGCGTCTGTGATGCGATCCAGCAGCAACAGAGACTCTTTTCCACCTCCGACACACCCACCAAACCGCAACGGTGTCGCCACCGACCCTGCAACAAGCTGAAACAGAGCGTCACAAAGTGGTTACAGCACTGGCTGACAGCCTCAGTGCCTGTGTCTGTGCCCTAGCGATCGCTGAGCGCTCAGCGACACGACCGAAAGAAAAAAAAAAAAAACGCCGGAGAGGCCGCCCCCGCCCACACCCCCTCATGCCTTCATCGCCCCGCTTACGTAACACAACAATGCAAAACCACACGCCACGCGCTGCGCGACGTTCACGAGCTTCGTTTTCCAGGGGGGAGCAGCGCAGCGCCAGGCAGGCAGAAGAAAACAAAGGAGCAGCAGCGAGGGCGCGTCGCGTCGCGGTGTCGCGGTGTCGCGCGCGCAAAGGGCCTCTGGGGCGACCGACCGCGGACGGGGGAAAGACGCGGATGCTGACGTAATTCCGCGACAATTTGTGTTTCCGGTCGGCGCGACGGCGAGACGGGGCGGACGGGCGGGCGCGGGCGCGCTGTGGACGCTCAGGTGCTGTAGGCTTTCTGGACCCGCACGCCTTACGTGAGACGGGGACGGCTCTTCACCAAGTGCTGGCTTATCTCCATGCCTGGGTTAGGGTGGAGTGCTGGAGTGCGGTGGCAGTGGTGGACGCTGTGTGGTCGTGTTGTTGCTTCTTCTTGCCCAGCAGCTCCGCTACCGACGCCGACACGTGTGACAGACGTCCTGCCTTTTCCAGAAGCCCGTTGCACCGCTCCAGGCCCGTTCCGACCGTCCGCCCAGCACACCACACAGCAGCCGAGCAGCGCAGCAGACCAGCGCCAGTACCGCCGCCAGTACCGCCGCCAGCACCACCCACCCAGCCACCGCCGCCACCGCCGCCACCGCAGCCATGAACAGCCGCTCAGAAACCGTGCCGGACAACGAAAAAACGGTGTTCGTGCACTTGACGGAGATCAGACAGCGTCTCTCGGTCATCAAGAAGGACCACACGAGGTTCATGGACTCCAAGGAGATCACGGAGATCTACCAGCGCGTGCTCCGGTACACGGACGAGCTCCAGACCATCCGCAACAGCCCCGCCAGCAACATCAACCCCAACAAGGTGGACGTGCTCGTGGACGAGATCTTCCAGCTCCTCTCGCTCTGCTTCGTCACCTGCGGCCTCTCCAACACCGCCCCGGCCACGTACGCCTCGCTGTCCACGGTCCAGCGCTTGCTTGAACACCTCAACGAGTCCTCCATCTACACCCCGCACGACTTGAAACCCATCAAGGACCGCTTGGACGAGATCTCCACCATCATCAGCTCCAACGACTGCTCCAACAACAACACCGAGATCTGCCTCTTGAACAACAAGTTGGACATCTGCTACTCCGAGTACAGCTTCATGATGGACAAGACCTCCAACCTCTCTGCGGACGTCAAGTCCCTCATGGACGACCTCTTGTCCATCAAGTACAAGTTGTTCGAGTTGATCACAGAGAACATCCACGACGACAGCAAGGTCGATCAGCTGACCCGGGACCTCACCAAGTGCCAGATCAAGGCCGAGCAGTTTTTCTCCAACAACGAGAACGAAAAGGGCGCCGGAATCATCAAGGGCTTGATCGACAACTGCTCCAACTACTTGAATGACCTCCATTTGGGAATTGACAGAGTGGACCCCCACTTGACCGCCATATACGAAAAATTGTTGAACTTGAAGTCGATCTTGGAAAACCTCTTCCTGACCAAGAGATGGACCCTGAGAACAACAGATATCTTCAACTACCAGAAACAGTTAGTCGAGATCGACAACTCGAGAGTAAACGGCTACTTCATCAGCAAGGACTACAAGGGCCAATCCGTGTTGCTATATCTTTTGAGATCCTGCTTTGCAATCATCTACAAGCTACTGGAATCCTCAGAGCCAGTTTCCGAGTCCCTACAACCAATCCATAACCAATTGTCCACCATCAGAAGATGTCTTTTGGATTTGAAGAGAATGGGCGGAATCTCCTCCATCAGAGAACTCTATCCCTACCAACTCAAGTTGGACTCCATAGACAACATGAAGGTGGACGGCAAGTTTATGATCAAAGGTCAAATCCCAGAAGGTCAAGCTACAGTGACAGCCCTCTTGGCAGAATGTTTCGACATTGTTCATGAACTGAAAATCGAGTACTACGACCGGGACGAAGAGCTGGAGGCAAGAGACGATAGAGAAAAGCCAAAGTTTAGCGTCATTGGAACAAAGGCCTCCCAGGACACGAATTACGACTACAACCATGCAGATGAAGACCAGCACGATCATGCTCACGATCACGGCCATGACAGCAACAGTGGTAACCCTCCCCGTAGTAAAACAGAAGACTTGGGAACCTTGGACTATAACGACTCCGAAGATAATTTGGCAAGTTATGCAAACAGCATAAACGAAGATAGTGGATTAGAAGATGCCGATTAACCTCATTAACTTTCCTTTGCCCAATTTTCCAACTCTTCTATGTTTCATCTGCCTTTACATAAATACTTCTTGTTTTTATTTGTTTCCTGTTTGCCTGTTCAAAAGAACCATTATTTGCTATTCTTCTATCCGTTTACTCTGGTGATGTTTATATAAAATTGAGTTTTCCTTTTTTTTATTTCTTAGTTTTCTTATTCTTCTATTACTTTTCCGTCTTCTTCACCAACCTATACTTCTTCCCATCATTTATTTATCTCCATTCTCTCCTCACACTTAATTTATAAACTTTATATATCAGTATATAATATGTATGCCTCTCTATCCATTTATTATACAATATTTGAATGATTATACAAAGTCTGTCGTCCGCTTAATAAGCTCAAAGAAATCCCGAAATTCACCCGCAACAAGCTCTTCACAACTATTTTTCTGCTCTTCGGACTTGACACACTCAATGGCCCATTCCAAAAGCTTGACCGACTCAACATCTTCAGCCAGCTGAATATTTTTTTCGTTCCTTCCAGCCTCGTGCAACATTTTGGCAAATTGTAGGTTGTCAAAATTGGGAAGACTTTTGGGAAGAAACTTCCACTTATCTTCCCCCGAAGCCCTTATCGCAAGATCAAAAGACCCCCATCGCTTACCTATTCTCCATGCATCTTGATATCTAGTCAAATAGCTGTTCACCTTACATAGCTTTTGAACTGCTATGCGAACCAAACCAGCATTGGATGCAATACGGCGTCCTTCAAATTCCAGCTTGTAGAACTCCACGTCTTTCTTCCTCTGTGGGGGCAACCTTTTCTTCAAAAGTTTTTCACCAGTGTCCATATCGACATTCTCCATAATAAGTGCACGCATCAAAAACAAAAGATAGTCAAACGGTATCAAAGACTTCAGCTTACCAAACAAAAATGATCTTACCTGGACAATTTTCACCTTATCCTGAATTTCTTGCAGCTGTTCCGGGTTGCATTTGCTGTCATCAACTAACAAAACCATCGGTAAGTGCTCTTGTATCGTACGCTGCTCCAGCATGAGTTTGAGGGAGCTTGACAACTTGTTTTCACTACAGAAAATATATCCAGTTTCCACTTGTCCGTTGGTTTCATAGAGAACTCGAAATCCGACATACCGAAATTCGCTTTCACTAACTGGCTTTGCAGGTAGTCTCCTTCTGTTAATTTGAGGAGAACGATATTTGCAACCTTCATCTGCCAAGGCATCTCCTAAAGTTTTAAGATAATACTGGTCATTCATAGACTTCCATCGCAATCTATTGAACCTATCTACAATGTGCCTATTTTTCAGGAATTGTTTATCGTATATTGCCATCATTCCTAAAGCCTGTATGAAGTTCGGCTCCATGTTCCAGATTTGATCAGATGGATGTATCATGCTCTTTCTCCGATGAAGAGCTCTCCACTCTTCAAGAATAATATCTTGATATTTGATATCTCGTTCACATATCACAACTTTATCGCTATTTGCTATAGTCCTAATTGAAGAACATACAAAAACACATCCCGACTGTGATTCATGATCTCCCAGCAAGCCTGCTTCACCAAATGTTTCACTCAATTTCTGAACTTGTCTGTTTAATGGATAAGGCAGTATGTGCAGATCAGGATTCGGCAACGTCGAAGCAACTGAGGTCTGTTTGAAAAGAATGCTATCAAACTTTTCCCAATCATAGTTACGTGTGAAAAGATAGATATCTTTGAGGAAATCTTTTTTTATCTGTCCCTGTTGCTTCACGTGCAGCTGATCACCAAACGAATAAATGTGAACTTTTTTTTTCTGGAAGGTATGTTCACCATTATTTGCCATGAAATAGCTCACCAACCCAAAGCTTTTACCTATAGATAGATGGTTTGAGGTTTGGCGTACAAAATCACTAATACCGAAATATTGTTTTCTCCAAAATCTAAAAACTTCCCTATTCTTCTCATCACTATCTCGGTTCACATGAAACTCCCATTCACTTCTTGGAGTTACGTTTCCAAAAAAGTCATACTTAAATATATCAAAATCCCAGTATTCAATTCCATAATTTCTCAAATCAATCAATCGTTGTGGATGTGCCACATAGTCTTGTTTAGTCTTCACATGAGTTGCTTTCCTCTTGTGTTGCCCTTGCCCATTGATGGTTAATGTGGAGTTGCTTTTAGCACTATCAGCGTTATAGAAGGAATCGACTACCCAATTCCTGTTCTTTTGGCTTGCCCAGCTTTTCGATTGGTCAGATTCATTTATATTGTAACTTTGAAATGAAGGTGTATACTCACTTGAGCGAGCAAGTTCAAATTCTTCAGAATGAATCCATGATTCAATGAATGCCAAACCATACCTACGGGGTATCGTTGCATACTTGGCATCAATCAAATCTATATCCCCTTGATTAAGAACAAACAATTTGCGTACAATGTCGTATATCTTCCTCTTATGAGATTCGTGGCAGTCAAAATGTGGGTTTGTCATTGACAGAATCACCACATTATGAATACAGTCCAATATAATTCGCATGGACCCGGGACACCATTTGTATGTGCAGAACAAATACTTTTCATAGATGTAACGTCGGTTATCATGCGAACTGTCTGCTAGTACCTTTTCAGTCTCCAATTCTGGCTGTTCAGCACACTCCGGTGTTTCATGAGTTGGAGAATTTTCGCCCAGTTCATGACGAAAGCCTAGACCAGCATCAAGCTCTACTGGCGTAGTATCTGGTACATAAGAGTAACCCCTTCTGTAGCTATTGCCCATCTCAACCTTGTCTTTGTCAACAGACAAGTAGGACCATTCAGTTCCCGGTGGATTATCGAATTCGGGTTTTATAACAAATGAATGATTGTATATGCTTCTCCGTTCCAGTTCCACATCTGCAACTCCTGGGCTATTTGCGGCACCAAAAGAGTGCTCTGGTTGTGACTTGTAATATAACTTATACGAAGAAAACTTTTTATTTTCAACATCCTTTAGCCCGCTCAATCGTCGAATAAGAAGGGCATTGCCCTGACACGATTTGAGGAAAGGGTAGATGTGTGCAAAATCCTCAAATGTAAAAATGTAGTTAATTCCAGTTTCAAGGGAAGTAGCTATACGTGAATATCTTCCAATGAAGCCCATACCATACACCGAATTTGCTAAACTGTCCCAGATATCATCGGGCGAATTCAATCCTTCATATTGCTCAATGTCTAACTGATTGAGTAGCATAAAATCATTCTTGAGCTGTTTTTGAATCTTCTCTCTATTGGGTCCTGTTTCATTGTCGATTCCAATGTCGAATGTGTGGAGATCAGGATAATTTTTGTTGATGTATTCTAGATAAGCTGCGTAGTTCACGTGTATGTGCGATTTACTGTCACCAGTTTTGTCTGGAAACCTTAGTTGCTTTAACTTTCCATTTCTTTCGTTAACAGGCACTTCCAAGACCTTCTTCTTGTGGATTTCGTCCATATCTCATCGCATAGGAGTTTTTCTGCTTTCTCTTCTCTCAATACCAGCCTTTTGGTTAGCCCGATACGATAACAGTTAAAAGAACCGACTCATGCAGAGCTTGACAGGATTGATTTTCCCCAGCGCGGCTCCCTTTGTACTTTTTTTTTCATCCCGGCAACTTCAAATTGGTGTCGAAAGAGACTAAGGGCATGAAGAGGAATTGGAGATTGGAAATAGAGGAAAAAGTTTGGTTACAGCTGCCTTTGCATTAGAAAGAGGTATTTTATATAGAGCCCACTCAATAAACTGTGCTACACTTTTGACAGAATTAAAAAGCAGTTGACTTTCACTCGCCTCATTTGCATACTCCATTAAGATTCAAAAAGACATCAGCTTTCACAAGCGGAGAGAAGACTGACTCAGCACAATAATTACAGACATTTGAACTACCGTATACCCCTTAATGTCTAGGATTTTTGACAATCTTCCTTCGTCTCTAAACTCGTCCAAGGATATTTCTCATAAGTTGGCTTATGAGTGGTCGTTCTGGCAACACTTCAGACCGACCAGCGTACCTTCAGTACCAGAAGAAGGTAACACAACCACCGTTGAAGAGAACAGCCATCATTCCGAAATTGAATCTAGTCTATACACAGAAACAGACGCGGAGAAAGAAAGCACGCTGAATAAAAGCATGGAGACAACTTCGGAAGCAGATGGTGAAGCGGAAAAGAATGAAAATGCTGACATGCGTGCAGCTCAATACATTGAAGGAACAACTCTACTAACTTTTCCAAAAGTTTACTCTAGAGACGCCGAAATGGAGCAGACGGATACAATTGACACGGTTGAACAATTTTGGCAATCCTTCTGTAATCTGAAAAGCATCAACGACGTGCCTATCGATACCGAGTACTTTTTTTTCAAGAAGGGTATCAAACCCCTATGGGAAGATGAATTCAACAAGAAAGGCGGCAGGTGGTCATTTAGCTTCAGTAATAGCCATTTGAAATACAGGAAAAACCTCCTGTGTGCTTTCTGGGAAATGTTGCTCGTCAGACTGATTGGAGGGAAGTTTCTTTCGGCAGATCTTGAGCTTCCTTTAAACGACAAAACCCTCGACAACAAGGAATTTAAGGAAATTCAAAGCAAGATGCACATGTCCAACGCCGAGTTAAACAAACTGGTTTTGGATGATATTGCTGGCATTGTAGTCAGTGTTAGAAGTAAGAAGATCATATTGAGCATATGGAATACCCATTTGAGTTATGAGAAGTTCAAAAAGGACAATGACATCTCTGGATCAGTTAAAAACGAAGAATATAACCATTTTTTTAGGGAACGTTTAAATCCAAAGACAAAGCATATATATGAAGAAATCGGGCTGACTACGTATCAATTCAGACAACTCATTTATGAGGCCGTTTCACAGATTTTCAGCGAAGCTATTGAATTAGTCAAGACCAAGGATAGTGCCCAAGATCTACAGAAGATATATAAGCAGAAACTTTTCAAATACACCCCTCACTTCGTTGATGGATACTCTGTGAATACGAAAAAGACCAAATACAAGTCAAAGAGAACATCTAATGACTGGGACTCGTATAAGAATATGCAGGGGAACAACTATGGTGGTGACAAGGCTAGTTATGGTGATGCCGAAAGATTTAGCAGTTTGGGTAAATTGAGAAAGAAGGTTGAGTTCACCGACGAAGGGTTGATGGTGGAAGAATTGAATGTTTTGAGCTTCAAACAGAAATGGAACAGAAGACGTCGACCTGCTATGAAGTCTAGAGGATCTGAAAATAGCGACGGATTTGACCATCACAGCAGCATTAACGGTGACGAAGCCGACAATTTCTGAACGAAAAATAATGTAATGTAAACTAGATGCAAAAGACTCTCAAATAATTTTATAATTCTCTTATTGTTCTTAGTTTTTGGTTTTCGATTTTCCTTGTTTTATATTTATAATTTTTTTAATATTTATTAGATAAATAAGATAAATAAATAGTTGTGGGGTTACGGGTCATGAACAGTTTCATAACCGTGGAAGAATAAATGAAGAATATACACCTGGAATGAGAAGTTTTGTGCTAGAAGCAATAATTAGAACTTGACGGTAGAAATTGCGTGGTCGTCACCACCAACTAAACCGAGTGTCTTTGGAGTTAAGTAATCTCTCTTTTTGACATATGGGGCACCCACTTTCTCAGCATCCAAGTCGGATCTGTCTTTTTCTAAATGTTGTTGCATAATGACCATCTTGTAGGTTTCTAACTTGTGTCTTCTGCATTCGACGTAATCACCAATGAATGCCTTACATTCATCGTTACTCTTGGTGTTTTCGTTGGTCATACATTCGAGAGCCTTTTGGAAAGTACCGAAACACTTGTTTGGACCGCCGACTCTGCTCACCTGTTGAATAGCCATGATTTTAGGTGTGTTGTGTTGTGTTGTGGTGTGTTGCTCTCTGACGTGGTCTTCTACAGTGAATTCTAGAACTGCTGCAGCTCATCCTGCGAAACGCACTCAAATCGTCATCAGGAAGGGACGCACAGGAAAGTTGGCGAGAGGGGAAAAAAGGTTGAGCAAGTACGCACCCGTACACCGTGCAGTTTGTGCTCGATCATGAAACGGAAAGCAGCAAAAGCAAAAATAGAGGGAAAAGACATTGAAGGTGTGAGAGGAAGACATAATAAGGTCAGAGAAAAGCTATTCCAAAAGTTTAGTTGCATAGCAAGAAAAAGAAACAGCTATGGATTCAATGGCAAATGCAACTTTTGAGGAAGGGGTTCGAGAAAAACACAAAAATGGGGTGAATAAATCAATTGAAAAGTCTAGAGGACGTACAAGGGAAAGACTGTTCTCATCTCACCACTGGTCGGGTCCACCAACAAATGCGATATATATGGAAGAGGCGATTGCGACACCGACAATTATACGGAACACGTTAACTCCTGAGCAGATAGAAGCGTATGTGATTCTAGTTCGGATCGAAGAAATTTGCAATATTATTAGTTCGGGGAATTATGTTCCCAAGGACGAAAGATTACGTTCCCCATCACCGCCGCCCGTGTATGATGCTAGTGGCCGAAGAAAGAACACCAGGGAGGTCAGGTATAAAAGAAAATACGAGAACGAAAGATGTTTTCTTGTGGAAAGGGCACTGAAACTAATACCCGGCTTTAAAACTCCAGATTGGTACAACCCAAGGCCAACGACGATTGTTGAAAAGCTCTACATTAAGACCAAGGAATATCCACAAATTAACTTTATTGGATTGTTGATTGGGCCCAGAGGTAATACGTTAAACAAGCTCCAGGAGGATTCTGGAGCTAGAATTGGTATTCGCGGTAAAGGGTCTGTGAAGGAAGGTAAGAACACCATGAATATATCGCCAGAATTGAACAATTTGCAGGATCAGCTACACTGCTTAATCACCGCTGATTCAGTTGAGAAAGTTGAGAAGGCGAAAAAACTATGTCAACAAGTGATGGACAAAGCGATTTTTTCGCCTGCCGGCCAAAATGATCTGAAGAGAGATCAATTGCGTGAACTTGCAAAATTGAATGGTACGTTTCGTGACGATACTGAGCGTGCATGCCCAGTCTGTGGGGAAATGGGACATAACAGAAATACTTGTCCGAATAAAAATAGGACTAACTTCGTCAATAGCTTAGTTTGCTCGAAATGTGGGAATGTTGGCCATTTGGAGAAGGATTGTAAAATCCAGTCCAAGGCTGATGATCACATGGATCAAGAGTTTGCTGATTTCATGAATGAGCTTAATGAAGATGCAGAGGGTACTGGTAATGATGGTGGAATTTCTAGTAAGGATGGTGATTTCAAGGACAGAGTTCCATTACATCAACCTCACATGATACCGACAAAGCCATCATTACAGAATAATGATAACTTCACATCCAACAACAACAAACGCTTTTCAGAACACTCTCATTATGATAGTTATGATGGCTATGGTGGTGGGGCTGATGGAGCAGGTGGGGCAAACGGATACAAGAGGCAGCATCATGGAGATGCATATTCCAGCCAAGGGATCAGTGGATACAGACAAGGCTACGGACATCAGTACACACAATCTTACGGCGGAGATAGATACGGACAGGATCAACAATACCAATACAGACAATCTTATGGTAGCCGCTATGGTTATGGCCAGCAACAGGACCACCAGCATCATTCACATGGCAAGCAGTACGACACACAGCCTCCATCTTATTCGAGTTCGATCAACCCATTTGATAAGCAATCTCGTGCTACGCACCCAAGACAACAGCTTCCTCCACCTCCACCCACTTCTAGTTCCGCTACTATTGTTAGCACCACTAATTACGCACCCGCAAGTACAACTGGAGGAGCATTAAGTGTGGGATTACAAGCCCCCCCGGGATTAAAGAACCGGTCTAGTGTTTTCTCGCCACCGCCACCGCCGCCACCTCCTGGTGGTGGTTCCAACTCCAAAACGGGAACCTCATTACGAAAACAAGTTCCACCACCGCCTCCGCCACCACCAGCCGCATAGATGGATTTTTATAATATGTTTTGATTAAACTATCTTTATGTAGATTATGATAAACTGGTGACTGCGTGAAAAAAGCTGTTATGGTTTTTATAAAAAATACAGAAAAGTTTTGATCTGAAAACTAGGAAAAAAGTAGAAAGCACAAAGGATGTAAAAGTAAAGTTGAAAATAAAAGAGTAAAAGTGGAAATAGGAGTGAAAAGGAAAAGTAAAGAAGAAAATATGGCAGTGGGAGAAAGTAAATAAAGCTGAGTAAAATGAGTAAAAGGGAGAACTGGGAAAAAAAAAGGGGTAAATAGATTTATATATGATATGTAGTAAATATAACAGTAGAAATTTTGGTTAATTTCTTTTTATTTTCCAAACTGATTATTATGATGATTTAGTTATGACTATGAGACGAACGAAGGATTGATTGCATGACTTGCTTTTTATTTTGAATGCTAGAGTATTTGATTATTCGAATAAACAGCAAATACTTTTTTTATTACAATAGACACATCTGTCAGAACCGTCGATTTTGACACACTTAATCTTCTTGAACCTGCATGTTTTGCATGATGTCTTTTTCGATGACTTTCTTTCCTTTTCTAATTCCTTCTCCTTTTCCTTTTCCTTATCCTTAAGTTCTGTTGACTTTGGAGGTTTCAAGGATTCATTAAATTTCCCAAACTGAGGTTGAAATTGAGGCTGAGTTTGAGGTTGAGACTCATGCTTCACCATGTCCAATGAAGATGAGTCACGAAGATGAGGGGTGTAAATTAGAGCCCGATCAACGGCCATGCCATTCGGCACCGCTAGATGTGGGGCAGAAGGGGAAGAAGAGGTGGTCTGCAGGATGGCAGCTGCATTGGATGAGGAGGAAAGGATGTTGTTATTCAGCACTGCCGGTGTTGGTGAAGGAGTAGGTAAAGCAGACGAAATAGATTTAGAGGCGGAGATAAACGAAGAATCGCCAGGAACTTCGAGCTTGACAGAAATTTGGGAATTGCTTGGCAAAGAGGTATTATCTTGGCCCGATGCCGAAAAAGAGCAGGTTTGGGAGGACGGGAACGTTGATGTTGGGATTGAAGCAGATGAGGATGCTGCAGATGAAGGTGGAGAAGCCGGTATGCTTGTTGAAGGAGATGGCAAGACCGAGGAATCAGCCGTTGGGGTTGCACTCGTGAAAGGGAAAGTGTTAGGAGTACCGTTCATCTTCTCGGTTTTGTTGAATTTGATTATATCGTTTCTGGTGAAACCCTTTGAGAAGCAACACTTCAGCTTTTTGGACATGCAAGCGGAGCAGGGCTTGAATTGCAAATAGTTGAACGATGTCAGCTTGTTGTTGAGGGCATGCTCTTCGTCCTTGATGATTTTGTAGTACTGGTAGCCGGATTTAGGGTTGATGGAGATGAAGTCGCAATGGGCTATATGAGAATTGATGACTTTTGGCTTGACGTTTTCAGCGAGATTGATCGTATCCAGCGCTGACAGTATGAAAATCTCGGAGTCACACTTGATTTTACGAGAGCGGCAACAATCACACGAAGGTCCGGATCTCTGTCTCTTTGTGTGGGTGGAAGGAGACGCCAATTTGATTGCTAGAGGGTTAGGAGCGGCACCATATGTTGATGCAGCCGACGGCTGCTGTTGTTGGCTGAGGTCTGCAGATCGAGGTGGAACATGCTTTTGGTGTGGTTGGTGAAGATTCGCCTTTGGGCCCTTGGTGGAGATGGAATTTTTTCGGTTGGACTTTTTGTTTGCTTTTTTCAACTGCTGGCCGCTCTGGCTCTGGAGTTTCGAGAGCTCTGAGACGGAGGCCAGAGAGGACGACGATGAGGATGAGGAGGAGGATGAAGAGGACGACGCGGATGAACACGAGGAGTTAAGCTCTTTCTCTGCCTGGTTGCAAAGGTACTCCAAATTGAACGAGGAGGACAGCTTTCTCTTTTTCTCATTGGAGGAGATGGTGGACGGCAGAAACGAATCCAGGTCCACGGAGGTTGCTGTTTGGATCAGCACGTCGAGTTTAGACGGTTTCTTTGCTACCGATGCCGGTGCCTGCGGCGGGTTTGCCTGAGCGCCACTGCGCTGCTGCTGCGATGGCGCAGCTGGCGGGCCCAGCGGCTGCGGCTGGTCTGCCGTGCCGTTCTGCTGGCGGTACGGGTAGTAGTGGTTCATGTCTAGTGTGGAGGTGGGCACGTTGTTGTTCATGCTGAGGGAGTAGCACACCAAGTCCGAGCTGAAGTTGAACGTCATGGCTGGCCGGAGACGGAGAGGGGGTCACGTGCGCGGGGTGAGTGTTCGGAAGTGCTTTTCCGAGCGTGGAAAAACGGGTGGTGTGGGAAAAATCAGTGGAAAAACTCGAGGAGAAGCAGACGAAAAGGGAGAAAGGGCGGAGTTGGCGATTTCTGTGTGTGCGAGTTTTTCTGAGCCAGTGGAGGAGAAATGGGGAATGGGGAGGGTGTGAGAAGTGGGTGAGAAAATGTGTGTGACTTGTCGGAGTAGCTGAAAAGGGGGTGGAGACGGTGCTGGCGAAGGGGCGTGTTGCTGTAGCAGTGTCGGGGTGGGCGTGCAGAGGCGCCGGTAAGTGTAGGGAGGCCTGTGGCGAAGGAGAGGGAGAGTCGGTGTGTCGGGGGGGCGGAGTTTGAGCTCGGCCGGTGGTGGTGAGTGCTGGACTTTAGGATCCGGGCTGTAGCAGAGCCTTGGGTGTGTTGCGGGTGGGGGTCCTGGACGGAGTGTAGTGGTGGAGGAGCAGGAGAGAGAAGGAGGAGGACGAAGGAAGACGGAGAGGGGCGACAAGAAGAGCGAAGAGGCGGAGCACGGAGGCGGACGGGAGAGCAGGAGAAACGGAAGGAAGAAGCAGAGAACGGAGCGGACGACTGGAGTGGAATGGAGCTGGAGTAGAGCTTCAACAGTTGCTGGAGTCGAAGCCGTGGAGAATCCGTTGGCGGTGCGGGTTGGGAAAAAAAGGCACGGAGATCGGTGTTGCGGCCTGGCGGGCTCGCTGCTGGCAGGCGTTTTTTCTTTTCCTTTCTTTTTGCGGGTACGGGGGGCGGCAGGCGGAGGCGGGGCGTTGGCCCCGAAAGCGGCGGCCCCGTTCCTCGACCCTGCCTGTGGGCAGGACCCCTGCCTTGGACAGGTTCCGGGGCCACATCGAAGGCGACACCGGGGGCCACATGACTCCGCCTGGGCTCGGCCACGGCGCCGGCACCGCCACCCGGTGCGTGTTGGGCGTGCCGAGCGTGCTCCGGTGCGCTGAGCAGCGCAGAGCGGCACCGCACAGTCCGGCGCAGTGCCCGGCGGCGTCTCCGGCGCCCGGCGCCACAGCGGGAGACGGAGCGAGGGCGAGGGCGAGAGCGAGAAGCAGGGCTGTGCGGGGAGCTACGCGGACGAGCGAAGGAAGCGGGTGCGGGCGACGGGGAAAAAGAAAGGAGCGGACGTGGCCGGGGTGGGGAGAGGCCGGAGTGCTGAGGGGAGGCGGAGGGGAGAGGGAAACGCCGGGGGCTGAGCACACGGATGTGTGGGTGCCAGCCTCGAAGGCCGACCAGACGTGTGGTGGAGCAGAAAGCGCAAGCTGCAGCACGGCAGGCAGGCACGGCAGGCACGCCCCACGCAGCACGCTGGGCCGGTCGCCTCCCGGCCGGACTAGGTCTCGGAGTTTGCAGCCTTCTACCGCCCCGCCGGCTGCGCCAGCGCCTCGGGACGCGGGTCCCGCAGCCGCCTGGTCGCCGGATCGCCTCCCCGCGCGCCAGTTCGCGCGAGCAGCACAGCGCAGCGCAGCGGCCCACGCGCTGCGCAACGCCCTGTTCCGCCCTGGGGCCCGGACTCGCTATCGCAGGCGCTCCGGCGCTGGCGCACACGGCTGCGGCCGCGACGGCGGCGGCGGCGGCCGTTAGAGCAAGTTGTTGTTTCGAGCACGCTGTTCACACCCATCGATCTACCTATCTACATACGCTCCTGCCCAGCTACACTGCAGTCTCCTTCAGATACGCGTCGTGCAGCTTCTTCTGCTGCTGCTGCTGCTTCACGAGTTTCTTGCGGGCGCTCTTGCTCACCTCCTCGCCGTCGGCCAAGTGCGTCGGAACTCCGTCCGCGTCCCATTGGCTGTACACGTGCTCCAGGCCCGGGCCTCGGAACATCTCCAGCGGCGACACCTTGGCGCGCTCCAGGCGCTCGCGCTCCTTGGCGGCGGCAGCGCGGGCCTGCTCGGCCTTCTTGAGCTGCCTGGCGGCGTGGGCAGCAGCCTTGTCCCGCTGCTGCTTGAGGAGCTCGGCCTGCTCCTTCTCGTTCAAAAACTTGATCAAGGCGCCCTGGCCGTCGCTGCGGTCGTCCAAGGCCACACCCAGCTCAAGCAGGTCCTCGTCTCGGAGCCGGTCGCAGCTGTCGAGCAGCGTGCGGCTGTCGAGCCCGCCCTCGATGCTCAGCTTCCGCACCTGGTCCCGGAACTTGCTCAACACCTTGACGAACGGCATCCCGACCTCCTCGACGCTGCCGGCGGCAGCGCCGGCGCCGCCGGCGCTGGCCCCGCTGCCGCGCACGTCCTTCCACCCGAGGCCGTCCTCCCTCACGTCAAACCCGAAAACCTTGAGCATCCTCGTCATGTACTTGACGATCTCCACTAGCAGGTCGATCTTGAGCTCGTGGCCGCCCACCTCATTCATGTAGATGTTCGTGCTGTTCACAAGCTCCATCATGGCGCGGATGGCCTGCGGCACCGCCAGGTTGTCGCACAAGGCCGCGTGGACGTCTGCCTTGCTGCCGCCGAAGTCCTTGAAGAGCTTTTTCTCCAGCGGCCCAAACTTCTTGCTGATGATCTCCCCGCCGTCGAGCTTCTCCTCGTTGTCCCGCTTCAACGCCCGGATCTTGCCGAAAAACTTGTCCAGCGTCGACTCCACGGAGTTGCTCTCGTTCAACAACGTCTCCTTGAAATCGAGCGGGTTGTTCCACTGCACCAACGCAAAACACAACCTCAACTGTCTCGAGGTGTACTTGCTCAAGGCCTCGTCGATCGTGATGAAGTTCTTCAACGACTTGGACATCTTCTGGCCCTCGATGTGCAAGTGGCCCGTGTGCAAAAAGTAGTTCACCCACTGCTGGCAGTCGAAATGCGCCTCGCTTTGGGCCATCTCGTTGTCGTGATGTGGGAACGCCAAATCAATGCCTCCAGAGTGGATGTCCATCTTGTCTCCAACAAAGTCAGACCCCATCACCGAACACTCGATGTGCCACCCGGGCCTACCTTGGCCCCACGGAGAGTCCCAGAACGGCTCACCGGCCTTCGAGGACTTCCATAGCGCAAAATCAGAAGCATTGAGCTTGCTGTCAATAGAAGCCTGGTTTGTCAACGAACCCTCACCGTCTTCTAGCAACGCCATATCGCCCTTGGACCACGGCTGACACTTGGCATATTGGTGGTTAGCACTGCCGTCGAACTTACCGGTGTTGAAGTAGACAGACCCATCAGACGTCGCATACGCATACCCCCTCTGCACAATCTCCTCAACAAAGGACACAATCTCAGGAATATACTCGCTGACACGCGTGACCACAGTAGGCTCTAACACGTTCAACTTTCGCATGTCCAAGTCGTACTGTCTCTCCCAGTAAGAGGAGCACTTTCTGAATATGCTTGGATCCGTAACCGTTGAACCCAGCTCCGCATCCAATACAGGAACAATCACATCTTTCACCTTGCTTACAAACTCATCAAACTGAACTGTTTGCGGGTTTTCAATCACCTCTAATGCGGCAAGGACGGCTTTGACATGCATTGGGAATTTGGGCTTACTCAGTCCAATCTCCTTCAAATCTAAAGTTTCAACCCATGGCTTGAACTCACTCTCGACATTTTTTCCCGTAAATTCAGACAGGTTTTTCGAAACATATGCTTGAAGTGACGACTTGGATTTGGTGATCAGGTCTTCTGAGACCTTTTTTTCGAATTTTTGCACATACTCATCAAATAGATATTCTTGTCTTGCCTTCAAGATGATCTTGTCATCGATGTCAGTAACATTTTGAATAAACGTCACGTCGTAATTGAAGTAATCTTGCATCACCCTTCTGTTGATGTCAATACTGACATAGTTCCTTGCGTGGCCCATATGCGAGGAGTTGTACACCGTTGGACCACAGGAATACCACTTGATCTTACCTGGTTCATTCGGAACAAACTCAACTTTATTATGGGTAAGAGTGTTGTATAATTTCAAAACAGGGTATCCGACTGGGACCTTTGTCTCTGGTTTAAACCATTTTGTAGCTGTGTAACTTGTATTGCTTTCAGACATGTATCGTTGAAGTACTTTCTTGTTGTCCACCGCTTTTCTTGAAAAATATGTAGGTCTGCGAAGCTTGATAAGACTGATAGACTTCAACATAAACTGGCGTTTCTTAGCAAAAAGTAGAATAGAAGGAACAAAAATACAATAAGATTTTCCCGTCGAAAAGAAAAACATCATTTTCCTCATCCAAGAGTCCACCCAGAACATGTTGTCTTCGACTTTGACTCACTCACAAGGCATTGAAAAAAAAAGTGGAGCGGTGCACGGATTGCCATCCTCTGTCTAATCTTATCCCATGTTCTTATTCAACTTCAATCTTTTACAGTCTTCCCAGACCATATGATAATACCCTTACTATCATACCAGCTATTGAACACGTTTTATGCTGTGACATGAGGTTAATTTGATCCTGGAACGGTTCTGAAAGGCAAATTAGTGGAAAAATTTTAAAATATTTCACATTCCCAAAAACTTCTCATTTAGATTGTATAATCACTTGGTCTTTTTAAGTAGACTGTTGTAAGTATAATCCCATGTAGCTATTACTATCTGTTTTTCCCATCTGAATTGCTAATCGGTAATCTAACATTCAGTTTGAGGCCTTACTTCCTGAATTTGGGTGAAAATTCCCTTCCCGTTTTAACGCGTAACCCTATTTTCCGACTAAGCATGTATCTGACACGCTGGACTCCTAATGCTCATTCATTTTTTATTGATCTTTTCTGAGTACTGCAACTAAGGGAACTTCATTTTCAGAAATGTCATGCATATACAAACTTTCCATATCAGGAATACGATCTTTCTCAGATGAGACCCAGGAAACAATTCAGTTCAGCAAACCGTTAACTCTTATCGTTGGCACAAACGGCTCTGGTAAGACCACCATAATCGAGTGCCTCAGATACGCCACTACCAATGAGTTGCCCCCAAATACCAAAAATGGTGCTTCATTTATCAATGATCCAAATTTACACAGTTCTAATGAGACGAAGGCTCAGATCAAATTGGCTTTTCAAAATACAAGAAAAGTCAATATGATCCTCAGCAAAAGTTTGATGGCGATCAAGAACCCGAGAACTCAGCAGATCAGCTTCAAGACCAAAGAAAATCAACTTATGGCTATACATCATGGTGAAAAACAGACAATCAGCTCAAAGGTGGCTGATATTGAAAATTTAATACCACACCATCTCGGAGTTTCCAAGGCGATTCTAAACTATGTAACCTTTTGTCATCAGGATGAAAGTTTATGGCCCATCAGTGAGTCTGCGGTGTTAAAGAAAAAGTTCGATGAAATTTTTGATTCCAGTAAGTTTATAAAGATTTTAGATTCAATAAAACTGATAACCAAGGAAATCAACACAGACGTCAAGTTGATAAACAACAACGTAGAACATTTGAAAAATGACAGAACAAGAGCTCAAAATAAAAGGCAATCGATCAAAGTTCTACAGACACATATTAACAACAATAAGACAGAAATGCAGTTGCTTCAAGAACATGTAGATGAGGTAACACTGAAGCTTCAACAGTTATACACTTCTAATCAAGATTACGAAAGAACGATCTCCAAAATGGAATCGCTCGAACAGGATAGAAGAAATATGCAGAAAAATATTGAAGGCATCAAACTTACTACTGAAATCATTCACAAACCCAAGGAAGTTTTGTTATCCGAGTTGAATAATTTTACGAATGTTCTTGCTCAACAGACAAATGAATGTTTATCGCTGCAAAACACCATTGAGTCCAAACAAAATAGTTTATCGGCGACTCGAGATAGCCTTAACAAGTTATTGATGAAAAGTGGTAATTTAGAAGCACTTCACAACAAGCACCTAGCTAACATACAAAAACGAAAGAAACTTATTGAAGAGTTCACCCCGCAATTAGATAACGTTGATCCTTCCGAATTTGATTCAAGCTTAGAGGAGAAAATCAGAAACTTGACAAGTAAAAAGCAAGAGAGGGAACAAAAATATACTGCATTGTTGAGTGAGATTTCTGCACAATATGATAAAGCAAAGTTTTCCTTTACAAAGGAAACTCAGCATTTGGAATACATGAAAAAAGATTCCCAAAATTTACGGAATAAAATTCAAGAACTTGAGTCACGATATGAGAGTATTGCAGGTAATCAATCTAAACTTGATACATACCGGGCCAGCTTATCATTAAAGGAAGAGTCGTTTACTAAAATTAAAGCCCTCAATGAAATTAGTACCATCAGTCAACAGATAGATATTGAGGGAAAAAAACTCACGCTACTTGAGGTAGAACTTGAAGAAAACCAACATAAAATGCAGCTCACAAGACGTAATAACGAGCTTATATCAAAAGTTCAGGTTTTGAAAGAAATGAACGGAAACTCAAGTAGAGAAATGGAGATTCTTTATCAAAATATTTCTAAAGTGGTGCCTACGATCGTAGATTATCCAAAAACTCAACTGTTTGAGAAATACAAAGAAGAGTTGATTAACCTTGAGAGGCAACTAAACAGAAGCAGAGCTGAGCTAGAGACGAAAAAATTTAAGAAATCGAAACTGAAAATGACTCACGACAATAACGTTGCTACTGATAGTGCCATGACTTTGGAGGTCAATAAGCTTGAAGATAAATTTAATGAACTGAAGGTAGTTTACAAAAACGTGTATGGCGATAGTTTGAATCTAACAGAATTTGACTTAATTATAGCAAATGTTGAAAATGACTATAATGAAGAGTTTGAAGATTTTAAGGATATTCAATTTTTGCTGGCATTCAATACGAGAGCCATCAAAAGTGCAGAAAAAAAGCATGTGTGCTATTTATGCCGACGTAAGTTTGATGATGACGATCCACACCAACAAGAGCAGCTACCCAAATTCATTGAACTTTTACAGAATAGAAACAATGAATTGTCACAAAAAGTGGGAGTGGAAAAATCTATTAACCGGAAAGAGTCTCTTCTAAACATGTTGAGAGAATTTAGGACTAGTGCTTTGCGATTGTCAGAATTGCAGGATAAGCTTATTCCGGATCTTCAAAAAAATATTCTGGAAAATAACGACATGTTAAAAAACTTTGATGATGAGATTGAGAATGCTGAACTTGACAGCTCTGAGCAGAAAACACAATTTAACAAACTTAAAGGTGTTGAGCAAGATGTTGCTACTTTTGAGAGACTCAGTAGTGGAATCACCGAAAGGAAAGAACAAATGGGTAGGTTAAACGAAATTTTAACAGAACAAGGAATGTCAACTAGTACCGAAGAGCTTGAAAGCATCAACAAGGATCTTTACTCTCAGCTGAAAAATACCAGAAGCTCCATTGAATCTTTGAGGTTGGACAGAGACATGAAGCAGAAAAGAAACAACCAACTGGAAAATGAAATTAATCAGCTAAAGCTATCGATAAATGACTTGGAGCTGAAATCTTTGGACAAAATCAATATTGAGAAGGCAATCAAGGAAATGAAAGATCAGTTGTCCGAACTTGAACAAAATATAGTTCTCTGCAAATCTAAAATTGAAGAGTTTGACACCAATGTGAAGAAGTTAGAGAACGATCTCGAAATTCAGAGAAAAATCCGGAACGATGAAATCAATGATTTAATGAAAGCTATACAGCAATTTGATGATATAAAAAAGAATTTCGCCAAGATTGATGAGGATATGAAGGATTATGAGGAGAACGGGGTTTTTGATCAGTATGAAAGGTGTAAAGCTGACATCTCCAATCTCAAATCTACAATCGAAATGTATCAAAGATCAATTGACGAAAAACAGAAAGATTTAAAAAGACTTGAATCTTTTGTTTCTGACTCTTCTCATCAAGAACGTAATATCCGATCGAATATCAACTTGTTAAATTTTGAAGACGATCTCATTTCTATCGAAAATAGGATTGGGCAACTTGATACAAAACAGGCCCAAGCTCAAAGATCTGAATATTTGAAACAGACGTCGCTACTACAAGAAACACAGAAAGACTATCAGAAAGAGTTTGCTACAAAATTAGGAGAGACTACACAGCTTGAAAGGCAAATGAAGGAAGCATATTCCGAGATAAATAGAGATTACAGAGATGTTGATAAAAAGTACACAAGTGAGTATGCGAAGCTACAGACCAAATTAGCAATGGCCACAGACTTGACAACTTTGTACAAAGCAACAGATAATGGAGTTATGGAATTCCATCAAACTCAAATGCAAAAGATTAACAACATCATCGATGAATTGTGGAAAAAGACTTATACTGGTAATGATGTTGAGACAATAAAGATCAAAGCTGACCCGATTGCCGTTAAAAAGAAGAGCGAGACTTCTGCTACAAACAACAGGTCGTACAACTATCGTGTTGTTATGATCAAGAACGGGACTGAGTTGGATATGAGAGGTAGGTGTTCTGCCGGTCAAAGAGTTCTCGCCTCGATCATTATACGGATTGCTCTAGCTGAGTGCTTTTGTTTAAACTTCGGAATGATTGCTCTAGATGAGCCGACAACGAACTTGGATGATGAGAATATTGAGAGTTTGGCGAAGGCTTTGCACGCTATTATTGAAGAGCGTTCAGTGCAGCGGAATTTCCAGTTGATTATAATTACACACGATGAGAAGTTCTTGAGGTGTATGAATGCTGTTGACTTTACAGATCACTATTATAAGGTGATAAGAGATGAAAGGCTTAACTCGACAATTAATAAGGTCAGTATTGCCACAGTGACAGAGTGATCTTAACGAATGACTATGTAAAGTATAAATATGTGAGATATAATCGTAAATTACAGGTTGCTCTTCATTTCAACTTCATTGCTCTTGCTCTTGTTCACTTTGAGAAGCATATTTCTTGATTTTTTCATCACCGTTACCTTGTTTCCAAAGCCACAAAGAGTCAATGGCGTAATTTTTCACAGAAAGATTTTTCTCCTTATCAGATGCATACATTTGCAACAGATCGATAATTTTGAGTTTTATGATAAGTTTCCAACACTCAATTTCAAACATCCCCTCCTCACCTGTCTCGTTGATTTTCTCATCGTCGCCGATCTCATGGACTTGGTACTGTAGTGTCCCGAGCTTGTATAGCAGTCTGCCTAACGTCCTGCAAGCTATACAGACCTGGCCGGGGAAGGTCGATCTTAGGTAGTGGGCCAACTCTGGAATGGTGTAGCCTGGCAACTCTGGATTTTGTGCATGGTTGTATAGCCCCTGATTCTCGTTGATATACTGGCCAATGTTTTCGCTCGTGATCAAATCTGCCTTGAAATCGAAACGGACGGATTCGAGAGAGTCGTACGAAATGACGGGTGGTATGTCGCCCGGGGAATCAGACTTCATCCACTCCAGCTGCTTGGGATTCCTGGGGAGGTCTGGGAAGTACTTCTCGTGTAGCTTTTCGTTGAACTGGGGGTCGTTGATGTCGAGCACCTCATATGGCTGTGTCGGCTGCGGGAAGTGGACACCGGAGGAGGACGAGGGGTCTGCCAGCTCGTCGTTGGGGGATCGTTTTAGTCGGACGGCATCTTCTATCGGTACCGGTGCGTCGTCATCGACAGCTACACGGCTGGCTCCATTAGCAACGGCAGGACGAAGGTTTGCGTCCTCCGACACCTCCTCAAAATCCTCCCACTCGCCATCAGAATCGGACGGAGAGCTGTGCCTCACCTTCTCCTTCTGGTCCAAGTAGATGACCTTCGCCTCCTTGCTGAACCTTATTCTCTTCGTCTTTTCTTTTCTTGCTTCGTTTTCACCATCGTCAGCTGCATCGCCCTCCAGGGTACTGTTGTGGGGGGTCGTCAGCGGCGTCTTCAACGCAGATTTGAGAGAGGTGTTGGAAGTGCTGCGCTTCTCTTCTCCACGCTGAAACTGCTGCCGAGACTGTCTGTCCAGCTCGTGCTCGCCGCCGACCCACGTGCCCATCGACCCCTCAACGGGCTCGTACAACGGGTCTTTGGTTTCCGCCGCCGGTTCAGACCCCGCAGCGGGCGGTGGCCCGTACTTGTGCACAGACCGCCGCATCAACATCTGCAACACCTTCGGGTCGAGGTTGTCAAGCAACTCCTGCTTTGCGTCCTCCCGCTCCGCCACCGACATGTGTGCAAGAATCTCGATGTTTTCCTGGTGGATCTGCTCGACCTCGGAAAGCCCCGAGTAGTCCAGCTTCCGGTCGCCCTTGCTCTTGAAATGCTTCAACCCCGTGTCCGGCGCTGTCGTGTAGATCTTGCCGTCGCTCTCCGGCGCAGCTTCTGCAACACCCCCGGAGCCGACGCTGCCTGACATCGACGACAGCCCTTTCTCCTGCAACCGCTGTCTCCATCTGCTGGGCCTCTTCGCCCGTGCCGTGGGAAACCCTCTCGTGATGCCCGCCTGCCCCGGAGGCGTTGGCCCCACTGGCGCCTCCGGAACCACCGTCTCGTGCTCCACTATTTCGCCCAAAAGATCCATCTGTGCACTGGCTACCTCTCCTGCTGCCGCTGCTACAGCTCTGTCGACTTCTTTTGTTTCTTTCCCTCTTCCTTTGGCCTCTTCTTCCTGCTGAGCCGGCTCAAGCTCTTCTTCATCTGAACCCGTCCGATTCATGTTCTCGCCCCCGGCCTCGCACGTGACGTGCCTGGCCCTCTTTTCCAGCCAGCGCCCCTCACATTACTGAGTCACTCGTTCTGCCGCGGCGGGGTGAATCATGCCGGGACGGCGGCGGGGAAATAAAAAGACGACAAAGTGCCTGTGGAAAGATTTGGAAAGCTCAGCAGATGGAGCAGAAGTCTAAATGGCTGCATCGGACAACGACACAGCATCAGCTATCCTTCCAAGCAGTAATGACGAGAGGATTCTACAGCAGCACCATTGCACAGCTCCCACCGGACCCTATGTTCGGGCTCAAGGCCCGGTACCAGAAAGACCCAAGAGACAAGAAAGTCGACTTGGGCATTGGCGCCTACCGTGACGACAGCGGCAAGCCATGGATCTTGCCGTCTGTGAGGTTGGCAGAGAACTTGGTACAGAACGCGACGGACTACAACCACGAGTACCTCCCGATTGGCGGGTTGCCAGCGTTCACGGCTGCCGCGGCCAAGGTGATCTTGGGCAAGGACTCGCCGGCCATCGCTGAGCACAGAGTCGTGTCCACACAGAGCTTGTCTGGTACGGGTGCTCTCCACCTCGCCGGGGAGTTCTTGAGGGACCACTACAAGTCTGCCGGCGAGACTGCGGGCGAGACTGCGCCACCACTGGTGTACTGCTCCAACCCTACGTGGGGCAACCACTTCCAGGTGTTTGGCATCGTCGGCGTGCCAACGGCCAAGTATCCGTACTGGGACGATGCCAGCAAGTCCCTCGACCTGGAGGGCTTCCTCAAGAGCATCCGCGAGGCTCCGGCGGGCTCCGTGTTTTTGCTCCATGCCACAGCACACAACCCAACGGGTATGGACCCAACTCCTGAACAGTGGAAAAAGATTTTGAAGGCCATTTCGGACCACGGCCACCTGCCGCTCTTCGACTCGGCCTACCAGGGCTTCTCGAGCGGCTCGCTTGAAAAGGACGCCTGGGCCGTCAGAGAGGGTGTCCACAACAAGGAGTACAGCTTCCCCGGTGTCCTCATCTGCCAGTCCTTTGCCAAGAACGTCGGCATGTACGGTGAGAGAGTTGGCGCTGTCCACCTTGTGCTACCCGAGCACGACGCAACCCTCAACAGCGCTATCACCTCGCAGCTGGCCAAGATCGTGCGCTCAGAGATTTCCAATCCACCGGGCTACGGTGCCAAGGTTGTCTCCAAGATCCTTACCACCCCTGAGCTTTACAAGCAGTGGGAACAGGACCTCATCACGATGTCCTCGAGAATCAGCTCCATGAGAGAGCAGCTTGTGCAGGAGCTTGAGAGATTGAACACCCCAGGTTCCTGGCGCCACATCACCCGCCAGCAGGGAATGTTTTCTTTTACCGGCTTGACTCCCCCACAGGTCGCCCAGCTCGAGAAAGACTACGGCATATATCTTCTCCCAAGCGGCAGAGCCAGTATCGCAGGCCTTAACCCATCCAACGTCAACCTCGTGGCCCAGGCCATTGACAAAGTCGTCAGAAACTGAGTCTGCGGCCTATGGGAGCCTCACGAAGATTCCACGAAGATCCTAACCGTTTACCACCTACTTGTACAACTTTTATTTAACCTTCTTCTGATAACTAACGATTATGTCTCTTTCGGCACCCTCCATACCCACATACCTGTCGACGCGTCGATTTACGCACCCGCCTCTGTAAACCGGTGATCTCTCGTCTGGCTTTCCTTTTTGAAAAGACACCCAAAGCAGAGGTAAATTCGGGGAGTGGCCCATATATCCGCCGTGCAATTGCTAAAGATAGAGCTCAAACCACATAGTGCAATGTCTCTCAGAGCATCCATGAAGAACAGCAAAGACATGTCTTCCAACAGCTACGACAGTAATGCGTTATCGGACACAGAATCCGAGATTCCGGTATCCACAGCAGCAGATGACGGTGTTTCACATGTCAACCATCAGCTGAAAAGAAGATCATCGTCGATGTCTTCCATGTTCTCTCTCCACGAGGAACCATTACCACCTCCAGAAGAACATGAAATTCGTGCTTTTACCAACGACAATAGACATCTCTCCTTTGTGAGAAACTTGCACATGGCTGATTGCATCACCATGCTTAACGGCTTTTCCGGCTTTTACTCGATCATCTCGTGTCTTCGGTTCACGTTGACCTCCCAGCCCCACTACTTGCAGCGTGCGATCTTCTTTACCTTCCTCGGATTATTCTTTGACTTTTTCGACGGGAAGGTTGCTCGTTTGAGAAACAAGTCCTCCTTGATTGGACAGGAGTTGGACTCCTTGGCTGATCTTATCTCCTTCGGGGTGGCGCCTTCGGCTATCGCCTTCTGCTCCGGCATGCAAACCACTGCCGACGTGCTCAATTTGGTGTTCATGGTGTTGTGTGGTCTTGGGAGATTGGCTCGTTTCAACGTCACTGTGGCCAACATTCCAAAGGATCAGACGGGCAAGTCAAAGTACTTTGAAGGTCTCCCAATCCCAACCTCCCTCTGGTTGGTGCTCATGCTCTCCTACTTCATCAAAAGTGATCGCATTGGTGAGAACCTCCCTCTAGGACTTCTTTGGGAAGGTACTCCATATGAATGGCATCCACTCAGTGGTCTGTATTTACTGCAGGGTTGTTTCATGATCAGCAAGAGCATTCACATCAAGAAACCTTAGTTCTTCAAAAATTCCGCAATACGCTATCATATCCTCCTTTCTTTCCATCATGGCCTCCTGATATACCTCCTTTGTTCCTCCCATATATATGAATTTATGTTTATCTATATAAAACATCCAGTTATATTAACAATGCACATGGATCCTGGTTTTGCAGATCTATAGTGACCTATTCTACATAATTTACAGATTACCTAAATGGTTTGCGATGACGCACTTCCCATGATTCAGAACCCTTCTGTTGTCTTGGAAATTCAGAGGCCTCTTTTGTGCGTCGTTGTGGACCATTATTTGAACTTTTGACTCTGCTTCTAAAATCATCTCTTTTCGGTAGGTTCGTTTCTCGCAAACGCATAATATTCGTTAGCGTCTTCACTTCACTGGTGTCATTCTCACTTGACTCTGACATCGAATTATCTTCAAGGGACGGTACATTTTGTATTTTTGTGGCATAAGACAAATCCAAACCTTTCCCGTAAGATGTTTTTCCCTGTAGTTGTGTGGACTTAGCACTTCGATTTGTCGTAGCCCTTGCCATGAAAGTAGCATTCCTAGATCCCGCTCTCAAAAAGGTTCTCCCTCTTGGGTGGGGCTTGCTCACATTCCCTTTTTCTACGGTTCGTGCAGGCCGGGCTACTCGAGAATCCGGTTTTCTTGTGCTACTGTTTTGGAACCGTGAAAGGGATGGAGGGGGCATTGTGCTTTTGCGTCGCTGTTCTCGCACAATGGCGTTCCTCTTAACAAGTTCGACTTGCTTCTCAAGCTCCGCCACTTGGCCCTTCAAACGCTTGACCTCCTCTAACTTTACCAATGTAGCTGGCGTCACGTTTTCATTCAAGTTCACGCACCATGCATTCTGAAAGAGACCAAAAAGATAAGCTCCCAACGACTCGTTCAAGTCGACAACTGTGTCATTGATTTTCTTCAGCGAGCCAGTTTGTTTGTGTATTCCCCTCAAGGCGGAAACATATTCCGACGATCTGTGTTTATCAAAAAAAGGCATATCCTCTAGTGATGAGCCAACAGGCGGTATCTCTGGTTGTTCTCTCGTCACAGATTTGTCGAAAAGTTCAATCCTTTTTTCGAGCTCTTCTATATCATCATCGGTAGCCACACCGCCAACCGGCCTTTTTGAGTCGCTCGGTCCATAATGTCTTCTGTTCCCTGTTGTCAACCCCGAATCGGCAAACCTTCCTGATGACGGCCTGTCTGAGGATTTTCCGATGCTGTATTGTGATGGAAGCAGGATAGGCATCGGTAGTGGTGATTTTCCAGAGTATGGTGACGACAACGGATACCGCGTCGAGTGTGTGCGTTTTGGGGTGGTCGGAATCGTATCCTTGTTGGCACTCATTTTCTTCTCCTTATGCGGTGTTCCATTCACAGAACCCATGCTTGGATATGTGAGCCGATACAACGTATCTTTTGCTCCGTTAATAGAAAAGCGTGCATCGAGATGTGCGGTTGTAACAAAACATCAACACGAAAAAGTGATAAAACATGTCGAGGAAAAACAGAGCGATTTCCAAAATGGCTGAGACACTTCTCTCTGATCTCGAGCAAAACAGCTTTTTTATAGAGCTCCAAGAGAGGTGCCAATTCCTGGACAAAAATTTTTCTACTTGGATATACAGATGTATACTAATCTAGTTTCTGCAGTGTAGCTTCCCTGGACATATTGACGTCATTGAGAACGTCCTCCTTGTACCAGTTACTTATGCTCTTGGTCAGAGGTCCCATGGTGCCCTTGCCTATGAGCAACCCATCAATCTGCTTGACGGGGACCTGTGAAGCCATTGTTCCTGTACAGAAGGCCTCGTCTGCGGTGTAGACCTCAGTTAAGGTGAAGTTCATCTCTTTCACGACAACCCCGTGCTGTCTAGCCAGGTCAAGTACTTTCTGTCTCGTGATCCCGTGCATCTGGTTGTCCCGAGTAGGTGCCCACAACTCACCGCGGCGAACAATAAAGAAGTTAGTTGCATTGCACGTCTTGACGTACCCCTGGTGATCCAACATGAGGGCGCCGTCGGCGCCAGCGCTCTCGGCGGAGAGACTTGCCATCACGTCGGTGGCCTTGGAGAGGTGGTTCCACATCTCATCTTTCGTATCTGGAGAGCCTCTACGCACCCAAGAAGTCATCAACCGGATGCCTCCCTCGTACGGTGCCTTGGTCACCTTTTTGTACTCTGGGATGATGACGATCAACGATTTTCCGATGTTGACCTTTCTCGACTGGTACGGGGTGCTTTTGAGACCCCGTGTGCAAATCAACCGTAGGTGTACGTCGTCGCTCTCCGACATGCCGGGGTTAGCGTCAATCGTGTCGTAGATCAGCTGCAGAAGCTCCCGCTTGCTAACGCCTAGATCGATCCAGAGCGCATACGCCGTCTGGAAAAGCCTGTCCAGGTGTTCGTACGCGTACTGCACGTTTCCCCTTATGACCCTCAAGCCTTCCCAGACACCGTCTCCGACAAGCACCGAGGAATCGAATACCGATACCTTGGCTTCATTTCTTGCAAAAAGCTCGAACTTCAGACTGACTCCGTCCCGGATACCAATCTGGATGTTTTCGTTCCTCGGGTCCTCCACAAAAGCGTGGTCCCCATTCAACTGTTCCTTGTCCATGATTTGAGATACAAAACTTGTAGTACCTGGTACTGTTCTAGAATAGCAGCAGCAGCAACAGCGGTAACAACTACATCCTCAAGTTTTCTATAGCAAAAGTTACTTTACTACTCGACGGAAGCGGGTCTCGGAACTTCCGAGATCGAGGGAACCCACTACCACTACCATCACCTTTGTGCCATAGGCATCGGGTCTTGCCATGTCTTCCATTCTAATACAACGGCTTCCCGTCGTTGCTGCCCTTATTGTAGTCTATACCGAGTAGCCCCCTGTTTCTCCCCCTTTCTGTTGATGCTGTCCCCTCTTTGCCCCTCCCGCTGAAAAGTGTGGCGTCGGGGGTGTTTAGCCAGCCCGCTTCGCCTTCCCCGGAGACGTTTCTGCTAATAAAATGGATATCTTTGTTCAGAAACGTGAGCCTATTGATAGGGGAGTCTGTGGTACTGTTGGAAGCTAGATATACAGCAGAGCAGATGCTTATTTCACGGAGACTACTGAGTAGCAAATTAGCGTGGAAAGGAACTAGCCAGTTTACCAAGATCAGCTTCAGTAAAGCACGCAGATACAAAATGACAGACACCAAACTAAACAAGGACGAATCGGAGTGGAGGGCCATTTTGACGCCTGCCCAATTTGCTGTGCTCAGAGAAAAGGCGACGGAGAGACCGAACACGGGTGAGTACAACCATTTTGCAAAAGAGGGGGTGTACGACTGCGCCGGGTGTGGTCAGCCATTGTACCGGTCGACAACGAAGTTCGACTCGGGATGTGGCTGGCCAGCGTTCTACGAGGGCCTTCCTGGCGCCATAAAGACGGAGACAGACTCGAGCATGGGCAGAGTCCGGACAGAGATTATGTGCAGCAATTGCGGCGGCCACTTGGGCCATGTGTTCAAGGGGGAGGGGTTTAAGACTCCGACGGACGAGAGACACTGCGTCAACTCCATCAGTCTCAAGTTCAAGGAGAAATAACGGCGGCTAGCGCTGAGACATTTTTAACGCAGACGAAGTAACGAACAAAGAGGAGAATGCAACAAAAAGGCAAAACGCTAGTTGTATTAAATGAATATACGAGAAGTAGGGAAAAATGTAGACACTATTTGAGGTAGTCGTAGGAGTGGATGCCGACTCTCCATCCGTCTGGGTCGGTGACGGTGGCTGTGGCGGCCTCGATGTCTCTGTGAAGGAAGATAACCTGCCGGGAGGTCAATTCCTTGAGGAACTTCCCCGAGTCCTTGCAGGACACGGAGAAGTGGTCAAAGCCGACGACGGAGTCATCGTTGTGGTTGGTGCCGCCAAAGACGTAGTAGCCCTTGAAGGAGCTGTCGTTCTCAGTGCCCCAGTTGTGGGTCAACTCGATGATGGACTGTCTGCTGGCCTGCTCGACGCTCTGCTCCTTGCCCTCCGTGTAGCCCTCTGTGTGGTCATAACCGACAAAGTAAAGGGTGAACTGGGCGTCGGGGAACTCTCTCTTGGAGAAGAGCTTCATGCCAAGCACCCCCCGGTAGAACTCGAGGGAGCGGACCGGGTCCTTGACACGGACCATTGTGTGGTTCATTCTGTTTGAGGCGAGCTTGTAGCCCTCCTCCTTGTCGATGCCGTTCTCAATGAGCTCGACCCAGTACTGGTCTGGATCGAGGACAAACGCGATGTTCTTCTGTCTGCCGTCCTCCAGCTTCTTCTTGAACTCGACGCCCTGCGAGAGGAGGTGTTTCTGCGCCTCGGCGATGTTCGAGACGGCAAAGCACAAGTGGCCAAAGCCCTTGTATGGCTCGGTGTTCCCGTTGTGGATCTCTACCTTCGGCTTGGCGGCCTCTCCCTTCAACTGTCTCAACTCGATGACCCCGTCCCGCTGAGACACAGGGAGCCCTGCATCCGGGTGGCGCTTTGCGTCCACTGCCACAAACGCAGACGTGAATTTCTCCGTGCTCAGCTTGTGGATAACCGAGACGCCGAAGGCGTCTTCGTACCACTTCACGGACGCGTCAACGTCCGAGACGTGCAAGCAGCTTGTGTTTGTGATGAGTGACGTGTCTGACATTGCTGGTGCTTTCTCTGTCGTCGCAATTGATGCTGTGGTTATAGAGCACAAGCGAAAGAAGAAGAGCCAGACGCTGAAATGAACCGGAAGGGAACAGCAAAGTCGATTGAAGTGGACGATTTTCATTTTTGTCAGAGCCTCCTTCCTCCAGCACCTCCCTCTTTCCTCTCCCACTTTTTCCGCCGCCGGCGCTCCAGCCGGGGCCGGCGGTGAAAACGTCCGCTGCCCATGGTCCCGCCCGGCCCCCACAAATGCTTTTCCCACGGTCATTCCGTGGGAAAAAACTTCAGTTCTCCCACGGTCTCCTTCTTTTCCCCCCGCCAATCCCCTTTCCCCCGCCAGAAATGCCACTCCGCCGGCCACTTTCCCGCGACCCCGCCCGGGCAGGACTTGTTTGTCGTGGGGGGGGGGGGGGGGGGGGGGACGCTGACGTAACGCAACGACCATGCCAGTTTTCCCCCTGGCACGGCCGTTCTTTCGGAAAAGTGGCGGGGGCGGCGTTTCGATAAGAAAAAAGTCGGGAGGGGAAAAAAGACGGTGTCATAGGCCGAGAAAGACAGAAGAACGGCCAGAAAGACACGGAGAAGGAGGTTGGATGGGAAAAGCGGTTGGAAAAGGGTTTGGCGGATCACAGACAAGAAATGAGCAGAAACTTGAGCTACACAGAGCCTGTGCCGCTGGAAGGAGGAATGAAAGTCGGCAGAAGAGCATCTGGAATGCAGCAACAACAACAAAAAGCGCCAAAACAGACTGCTTACAGTGTCAGGGTAAAGGGGCCGTCCAACTTCGAGGTATTCAACGCGTGCGTGAACGACCTCACCGGTAAGGACAAGCTTGCGAAGGTGGTGCTTTACACCATCCGACTTTTGTCCACTGTCCACAACGTGCACGGCCTGGGTAATCCGGCTGTCGCCCGCTCGGTGAGGTCGGCCCTGGTCATGGGGAAGGAGACGCTCTCCGCCGACAACAGCTTTGTACTCAACACGTCGCAGACGGCTCTCTGTGACGAAAACGAAGGCCGGGGCTTTTCTGCGTTCGGGTCGGTGCTGCGGCTGCTGGCGAAAGTGCTTTTGCGTCCGTCGAACGCGTTGTCGGCAACAAAACTGGAAAGAGGGCTGCTGGTGTTTTTGGCGTTCGTCGTGGAAAAGCTGTCGGGCTTGATGGCCGGGTTGAGCGTCTACAGACATCTCATGCGTGCCGGAACGATTCCGTTCAGGGTGTGGAAGTTTTCCAACCACATCCGGCACAGTCTCCGCCTCTTGCTGGACCGATCCAAGCTCGACGGCCCAGCGACACGCGTGCAGCGGGTGCTAAACTACTGGACGACAAAGGACATGATCTCGCAGATGGCAAACTTCTGGTATGCCATCTCCGACGAGCTCATGCTCGTGTTCAGATTCAACATCTTGCTTGACGGGAAACACGGAGGCGGCGCGTTCACCAGCGCCCTCTACTCGTGGGCAGAGGACCAGGAGCTCTACTCGTGGATGGCCACCATCCTATTGGGGCTTAACAACGACTGGAACAAGTGGATTTTGCTCAAGGACGAGCAGTCCCGCATAATATTGAACCAGAAGGTGAGGGCCAGAACGAGGAGGATAGTTGGAGACTTGAAGCGGAACAACCGCATGGCGCAATCCAGAGACTTGGATCCCGAAGAGGAAGACTACGACGACGAAAAAGATGCAGGAGGAGACCTGACGTTGTCCTATGTCGACCAACTTGACCAGAACAGGAAAAACATCACCACTGTCCAGATCAACGCCATACGGCTCTCCTGCGATCTGGTGTTCGATGCGCAGTACATCTTCCAATGGAACATGTACAAGCCTTTCCACGTTTCCCTCGGGTTGCTGAGTGGTGCTCTTGGTCTCTACAATTTGTGGAGAGACCAGAAGGACCGGCTGACCCAGAAGGCTGTTTTAGCTGCCATAGAAGCAGAGGCTGCCATCGAAGCAGAAGCTATTGTGGCGGACGCATGATGTTAAGAGTAGTATGTAGTAGATTCGGTCATTATAGAATGTATAGGTCTGTGGCTAATAACGAAACGTATGGAATGTACGAGAGAGGGGAGAGGGAGAGGGAGAGGGAGAGAAACGCAATCACATTAACACACCCTTGGTAGAAGGTACGTCATTGCTACCTGTAGGGGTCATGGCGTCTCTGATTGCAACAGCTAGAGCCTTGAACGCACTCTCACTACGGTGATGGTCGTTCCGGCCTCTAATGCAGTCCACGTGCATCGTCACTCTAGCGGAAGTCGCAAAGCTTTCCAAGACATGCTCGATCATTTCGCAGCTCAAGTCGCCGATCTTCTCTCTCTTCAAACCAAGCTCGACCACTGCATATGGTCTGTTGCTAAAGTCGACGACAGCACGACTCAAGGCTTCGTCGAGCGGTGCATATGCGCTTCCAAACCGCTTCACACCTCTGATAGGCCCATGCGACGTAAGGGCTGAGTGGAAAGCCTCTCCGAGTGCAATCCCAACATCCTCAGAAGTGTGGTGGTCGTCGATGTGCAAGTCACCGATACACTCGATAACAAGGGACCACCCAGAGTGTTTAGCCAACGCATGTAACATGTGGTCCAAAAATCCGATCCCCGTGTGAATCGAAATGACCTGTGCCTTTGCATCTGCAGCAGGTGGATATGTCTTCTGTAGAATAGATGATGGGAGTTCAATGGCACCTCCCTTCAAGGAGATGGCTACCTGAATCTTAGTTTCATTGGTGATTCTTTTGATGTATGCCGTGTGTTTGCGCACGACGCCCTCGGCGGCAGAGTCATCCTCCAGCTTGTGTTTCTTCCGTGCAACTTCTGTAACAGACATATTTATTTTTCGATGGATAGCAAGAAATGTTAAACAGATGAAGTGTATTGCACAGATAAAGAGAAAGATAGAGTTTGATTTGAAGTTGAAGATAAAGTCAGTCATGAAGTTCGGAAGCGTTGTCGCTCTCTTCCAGAGTTTTTTCTCCAGGTGCGAGCGGTTTTATTCTTCCCATTTGTAATAATTGTTCAATTCTTCTTCATCTTGATTGAGAAAACGGGAAACATCGGAAAAGGTAAAAACATAAACGCACAACAACAGACACACGCCATGTTGAGAAACATCATCTCCAAACGTGCATTCCATGCTGCCACCCGCTTGCAAATCGCTAAGCCGGCCGCCGACGCTGTTCCGATCGACAGAACTGCCTCTCCAAACGGTTACATCCAGGGCAAGCCTGTCAAGAACTTTTACGTTGACGAAGAAACCAACGAAGTCGTTATTCGTGTCCAGCCTCTCCAGCGTGAGGGCGAATCTATCGAACAGTTGAGAAAAAGATTGGTTTACCAGAGCAGAAAGAGGGGTATCTTGGAGACTGACTTATTACTCTCGAGATTTGCTAAGAAGCACTTAGACACACTCACCAAGGAGCAACTTGAGGAGTACGACAAGCTCCTTGATGAACTCGACTGGGATATATATTACTGGGCCACAAAGAATTTTGAGATCACACCTCTACCAGACAGATGGGAAAACTCCGAAGTCCTGAGAATTCTACAAGAAGACGCAAAAAACAAAGAGAAGGAGATTTTAAGAATGCCTGCCTTGGGTTAGCTTACTTGGCGACGATATTATATTCGCTTTATACACTAATCCCTTTACGTATACATATATAAGACGCTTATATATATATAATGACTGAATTATGAAGACGCAAAATGTGAAAGAGTTAAATTATATCAGAATGAAAAAATTCACATAGGAGTTTTAACCACATCTTCATCTCCGAGTTCTTCCTTCAGCTCGTTAAGTTTGTCGTTGATGTTCACCTGCTCTGCAGCCTTCCTCATCTGTTCAAACTTTTTCTCGTTCTCAGCTAACTCTTCAAATTGTTTTTCGTTATCTAACAACGCCTGGATCCCAATTACCCCACACTCGTTGAATCTCTCAAGTAACTCTTCTGCTTCGTCAATTGGGATCGTTGCAAACACCTTGTTCACTTCGTCGAGACTTCCAGTACCAAGTGCCTGCTTCATTTTCTCAGGCAGCTTCTCATATATTTCGTACTCTTTAGTACCCTTAGCAGGAACGTTGACAATCAATTCTGAGTTCGGATCTACTGACCTTAACTGGATCTGTTCAACGCCTTCATCATACTCCCCCTCGCCATGAGCTTGCTCCTCCTCTTGTTCCTTCTTAATGATTTCACATCTATTTTTAACATGCTCGATCATACGGTGACACTCTTGCTCGTAGGCAATTTTGCCCGGTGTGTTGTCCATTTCGAGCTGGCTGAAGAGCTGTTTCACGTATTGTAGTCTTACGTCTCTAGGCATCTGGGGATTTGGTGGGTTTTCCAAAAGATCGGCACTGAACTGTAGAAGCATACTTTTGTTAATAGTCCTCTTTGCCAAATCTGCATCACCATTCAACTGGAAGTCGAATGCCTTCATGAGCAACGCATCTTTCTGGTGTGTGCATGCAATGAACGGGTGTTCCAGAAGATACGCCCCACACGCCTTCGTGGTTGGCAATTGACTGAAATCGATTGTTTCCTGCAACAATTCCAAGTCGCCGAGCTCTGAAATAGGTTTAGATGGCTTTTTCTCCACCACTTTTTCAGCGTGTGGAGAATTGATCGTCTCTACCGACTTGGCATTGGCGGTGGAGCTAGGAGTACTTGACTTGGTAGGCTCAGAGGATGAAGCTGCAGGTGAGGCCTCGGACTTCGATTTATTGATAAAAGAGGTATTCCAGCCGTCGTGAATGTCATCGCTAGTGATGTGGCTGTACTTCTCTTGATCAAACTCCTTTAACTTTGGGTCAATCTGTGCCAAAACAGCCTCAATCTTTTCTCTGTGTTCCTCAACCTTCTTCCGAATGTTGGTTCCACTTACATCTGCGTTCTCCTTCTTCAAATCCGTTTCAATTTGCGTGAATAAGTCCTCCACCATCTCGTTATACGTTGGTGAATCCTCTGCTTGGGCTTCTAGAGTGCATCTCTCAGTCTTATCGAAACGCTCATCAAGAAACTTGCTTCTTTCCTTCTCTGACCCCAGCTGGGTGTCGGTGAACTCGGCCAACATCTTGTCGACCCTCTTGTTCAACTGTGTGTACATCTCCTTCTGGACTTGCAATCCCTTGATCTGCTGTTCTCTCTGCGTCCGCTTTTCATGGATGTCTCTTTGCTTCCAGCGGATGAATGAGTTTTTGTCAACGTTAGGATGCACCTCGACGTCTGAGTCGTCCGAAAGTTCCAACTTGTCCCACTTTGAGTAATCAATTGCCATGCTGTGAGTTCTGTTACCGAATGCTTTACTATAAAGTGTCCCTTTTATGTTCTATCTACTGCTCCATGTGATGGGGGCAGCACTATAAGTCAGAGTGCCGTCCTTCTTCAGAGTCATATATCGTGTCTCTCGCGCCCTCACGATTCTTTCCCAGGGAAGATCTCTGAGCCAAGTGCAGTTGTTGTTGCCACTAGAAGCTTCTGGAAGGAAGGATAGACTTATAAAAGAGGAATACCGGCCAGGGCCATTGACCTTACAATACCTAGGATTGTAAACTACCAACATGTCTTTTAGCAACACACCTCGAGTGAGATCTTCGCTCTCCAAACAGACAGAGCTGCCATTATACGACGCTGAACAGAACAATGCAGAAAATGATGCCCAACAAAGTGACCAGAGCCACGTGAAGAAGGAAGATGACGACGAGGAGGAGTCTTGGGAACAGTCGCATTCCAATACACAGTCAAAGGAACAGAAGGAGCCGGACAGGAAACGCAAGGACAACATCAACCACAAAATAGGAGAGCTCCTTGAGCTCATCCCTCCGTCTTTCTTTGCTGATGTGAGCGAGAAGAACTCGGGCACGAAAGATGGCAAGCCGAACAAGGGCCAGATTCTTAGCAAGAGTGTTGACTACATCACCTGGCTTCAGAACGAGATAGACATTCGGAACAGGCACGAGGTAGAGCTGACCCTGATGCTTCAGCTCTCTCCCCACAACAGACATACTGTCGCGGAGGAAATGTTAGCGAAAATCGGTGTGGGTCCCCTTGCGGAGGAGTAAGTGAAAATTTTATCTGAGACCGATTCCTGTTTCTTTCACAGCGGCTAGGAGAATTTACTTTTGCTGCTGAAAAGATACACAGGGTGACGATAACACTACCGCCGGATCAATAATGAAGAGTCCAATTACTGCTGTCCCTTCCGTGGGGAATTTTCTTGTGGTGTCAAATATCTTGAGACCGGGAAGAAACGAAATCTGCATCCAGCAGCTCGAACAGCAAGACGAATCCAACACACAGACTCAACCAGCATACAACTCGAATATTGAGTTCCAGAATGACGAATCTGTATCTAACTTCAAATGGATAAGGCAAGAAAACGAACCAGCTTCTGCAGCTGCATCTGCTGCGTCTACAAGGAAAAGAAGAAACTCAGATTCATGCTCAGTACCAGGAAACACAGAAAGGTTCACCGACTACTTGGTGGTCCTTCTTGCAACTGGAGAGATCCTCATATACTCCACTTTCACCAAGGAATTTGTAAACAAGATTTCTACGGAGACTCCATTTTCAGCAATCGAAGTGATTAATAAGCTGGGACACTCGAAGAAGGCATTGTACAATTACGACTACGATCTTATTGCGTTTGACGCAACCTCCTCATCTCTTAAATACTTTTCTTCGAATTCTCCTCAGTTGGTGAACTCAGTACAGTTCAAGCATGACAATGCCATCTCGTGCATTCTTTTCAATACTTCTATCCTTGACCCTAAGTCTACTTCCAACGTTGAACTCATCTTGGCCTCAAAGTCGGCATTATATTTACTAGATCAAAGTCATGAGGTTGTGAAGATCATAGATATAACACTCGATGCTTCAAATACTGCATCACCTACTCTTGCTTCGTCACCAGCCAAGGGGAAGGCCTCTAAACCCAAATCCAAGTCTAAAACAGCTAATAATAATACCAGTGAGTTGGTAGAGCCTTCTTCGTCTTTGTTCTCATCGTCCCCAGTCATGAAGATGATGAAAAACGGGACTTTTTTATATATTGTTCGGGTAGACAGCCCAACTATTCAAATCGTTGATATTGATGCAAAGGAAACCAATTCTTTTAGGTCTATAACGGCATCAAACAATATTACCGACGTGTCTTTGCTCAATATAAACAAATCAGTGTTACTCTCAGCAACTTTGGTTGACGGATCCATTGAACTGTTTCATGATAAAGGTGAATCCAGCTTTGCTAAATTGGAAATAGAAGGAGGGAGTGATGTTGGCAGATTCGTCGGTTTGCTGAACTCGAGTAATGTCATCGATGGAGTTTACAAAGGAATTTGGTACGACAATTTCAACGTCCAAATTACCGATTTTGAATTTGAAAACATCTCAAAGCTCAGCGGTACAATTACAATTAGTGTCACTGAATTGGCTGAGCCAACTGATGAAATCATAGATTTGGGAGAAGACGAAGAAGACGATACGGATGATGTAAAAGCCAAAGCTAGTAGTGATGACAATGCTAATGAAGCACAGCAAGAAAATGTTGAAGCTTTGGCTAGAAATGACGACGCAGAAGTAACTATGGAGGAGAAGGTGAAAGACTACAAATGTGGAGAATTGACACAGATAACAGAATTAATAAAGCCAAGGCTGGTGCATAAGAAGCACGACGATGTTTACGACAAGGAGTTGGCCCAGATTCTATCACAGAATACCGACTATGCCAAGTCTGTAGTTTACTTGCTCTCGGCACAAGACTCCACGGTTATGTTTTCAAAGATAGCGTTCATCATCTCCCAATACCAACACCAGCCGTTGAACCAGGGATTTGACTTTGTCCGCAGCATAAAAGAGTGGTTGAAGTGGCTTCTAGTTTTGCGGGGTTCTGTGTTAGCAGAGGATGACGAATCTGTCGGATGGTTGAGACTCTTACAGTCCGATTTCAAGCAGGAAGCAAGGTCGTTGAATGGGATGATTAAGTTGACCGGTAAGTTGAGCCTGTTGAAAGACCAACTCACGGTGCGTAAGGAAATGATGAGAAGAAAGGCCGACGGAGACGAAGAAGAGGAAGCTGTCGACACGGATGCCATTGATGAGACTACTTTTGCTGAAGACGCCACCAGCAGCGTTGTGCTCGACGGGGAGGGCGGCTTTGAAGATGAAGAGGAAGAAGACAATGACAATGAGGAAGAAAATAACGGAGAGTGAAGGAAACGGTGCCGCGGTCTGGGGCCGAGGGTAGCTTTTCCTTGCCGAAGATGAAAAAAGCAAGACACAAAAAATTTTTTCCACTGTGTTGTAGTATCGTCTTCTGTTCGGGTAACGTGTATCGATCGCCACGTCCGTCTTGCTGGCCATTTCCCAGCTACAGTCGCATTTATATACTCGTGCTTATTCGGTCTTTAACCTGTCTTTTGCACAGTCTTAGAGCCACTAGTCAGATTTTATAATAACATCATTACAACCGCCACCATGTCTTCCGACGATAAGCTCTACATCTCCTACAACTGTGTACATAAATTATGTCAAAAGGCCGCCACCGAGATTCTCTCTACCATCGGTAAGCCAGATGTTATCGTCGCCATCGGTGGAGGTGGATTTATTCCATCCAGAATTATACGTACCTTTTTGAGACAAACCGGAGAAAAGAACATCCCCATCCAGGCCATCGGATTGTCTTTATATGAAGACCTGGGTATGGGAGCAGATGCCATTGGTAAAGAAGTTATTCGTACTCAATGGTTGGATTTTGGGGCTCTTGCACAGCATTTTGATTCTCTCATCGGTAAGAATATTTTAATTGTTGACGAGGTGGACGACACCAGAACAACTTTACATTATGCTCTGACCGAGTTGTACCAAGACATTCAAGAAAACGCTGAAAAGTTGGGTAAAGACATGGGTAATACCAAATTCTCTATTTTTGTTGTCAACAACAAGCTCAAGCCAAAGAGAGCAGAATTGAACAAGGATCTTATGAACGGTGGCATTTATTTATCTGGTGAAGACGTTGAAGACAGATGGATTGCTTACCCTTGGGAATCCAGCGATATCGACACTCACACCGAACTCGCCATAAAACAAGGCAACAATTAATCTTGGTCATTACCCTTTTTCAAATTTTTTTTCTTATCTATCATTAGTTCATCAGCAAAGTATATACAGTTACATTCTTCATTCATGTTTTAAATTTATAAACGTTAGTAATATTTTGAGTCATTGCTCAATATTCAGATAGTAATACTGACATCGTGTTATTTGTTGGAACTTATCTTATCTATCTTTTCTTGCATGTCAACCATTTGCTGAACTTGCTGTCGTAACATATCCTTCAAATCCTCAACATCGGCAGTAAGTTCGCCAACACGCTCTTCTTTCTCTCCAAGTAAAATCAAAACACGCTCGTAGTTCTTCTGAAGTTTGCTGACTTCTGCCTCTTTGGCTGTAACTTCGTCACGTACTAGCTGTACCTGACTGTTATCTTGGATCAAGCGTACAATTTCTTCACTAGCTGCATCTTTCTCACGCTCTAATGTCTTTGTTTCGTCCTTTAGAGTGGTAACTTCAAGTTCCAACATCCTGATATGCGCACTCAACTTTTTTATTAATTGAATATTCAATCCTCCACCACTGCCGATGTTCGGTGTATCTGTTCCGCCATTCAGTGTACTTACACGCTCACTTTCAGCATCCATTCCTAGTGGAATGTCATCATTCAACGATGCCAAATCCTGCGAAGCGTTGTTTATAGACGGTGACTCCAGTAAGAATGGAGTGGTCCCACTAACACCACCAGATATTAACTCGTTATTTGCCCCAGACGTAGTGTTAATACCTAGCGGTTGTTGTTGCATATCATTGCTGTTAAAGGATATAGTGGAGTTTTGATGTCTCAGTATCTTATCCTGAGCAGACATCGAAGCCATGCCATTCAATTTGTGTATAGAGAAAGAAGAATTGGACGTAGAGAGTCTAGGGGTAGTTGATGATTCGCCTACAGATATAGAAAATCTTTTGCTTGAAGTAGAGCGTCCCATTGTTGAATTATTCATTGCCTTCATATGGTTGAGCGAAGAAGATGACGATAAATCTTGTAGATAAAAGGAATTTTGATTCATATGCTGTGATGAGGTAAAATCGTTGGTACGTAGTTTTAGTGATGATTCTAGTCCTTCTTTCTCTTCTTCTAGCGTTTGTACTTTCTTTTCAAAGCTTTCCTTTTCCTTCGCAAATTCTTCCTTCAATTGCTCGATATTGTCTTCAAGTGTCTGGTTCGCAGTCATCAGAGAAGCGTTCTTTTTCTTCAAAAGATTAACTTCAAAAACAAGGTTACTCTCAAGCTCTTGTAGCTCGCTATTAGAGGTTGATTTTTGTTTTAGATCATTACTCAATACCTTTATCTTCTTCGAGTAAACAATGTTTGTCTTCCTTAAATCTTCCAGTTGAACCTCAAAGTTCGAGATTTTTTTCAAATACGAGCTTTCAATCAATTTCCAGTTTTCCTTTGCTTGGTCGTACTGCGACTGAAGCATCTCCATATCTTCCGTTGATTTATCAGTAGGAATTGTACTTTCGCTTTGGAACCTGAGAGCTTCAATCTTTTGTCCAAGTCTTTTAATTTCAGCTTCACTTTCTCGAGCAACATCAGAGCATTTTGCCTTCTCGTCTCTCAATTGACCTTCTAAATCCGAAATCAGTGTATTTTTCTCTTCGCTTGTTTGGTTATATAACGCATTCAATTTTTCATACTTCTCTAGAATTTTAGAATGTGCTGTACGTTCTTCTTTTAGTTCTGCCAAAGCTTTTTCTAATTGAACATCCAATTTGCTAAATTTGATCTCTTTCAACTCATCCGTTAAACTCTCGTTAGCACGAACAAGAGAATCATATTTGGTCCTAAGTGTTTGCAAAGCCAATTTTTCCTCAACCAAAGCTCTTTCATTATCTTCAAAATCAACTACTTTCTTGTCCAGAAGTTCGACCTTATGATTTAACTCTTCTGTGCTCTTCTCATACTGCTCCACGTCTTCTTCGAGCTCTGCTTCTCTTATTTTCATCTTCTTAAGCGATTGATTCAGAGCAAGTTCCTTTTTGGATAGCTTGTTGCCTTCTTCAATCAACTCATTTATTTGTTGTTCTTTCTCTTCTAACTTCTTTAACAACTCACTTTCAGTACTGGAAAGTGATACCGGCTTCGCCTTTTTCACTGATGACAATTCATTCTCAAGTTTACTGATTCTCGTCACGTAGCTTTTTGAATTATTATCAATTAATTTGGCAACGTAAACCTTAAGGTGGCTAACCAGCTGATCTCGCTGACCAGCCAATTCCGCAGGAATCATTCGATAAAGATCTTCCAAGTCATAATCCACCGCGGCAGTGTTACTTTGCTGCACGATGGTCGAAGAGCTGCTCTTTTCATCTGCTATAGTATCAGATGCTGCCTCCTTTTGCTTGTCTTCTCCTATTAGTTTCCTTTTAGGTTTTGGTTCGTTTTTACTCTTTTTTTGAGCAGCTAAGGCTAACCTTTCTTGTAAAGACAGTTTCTTTTTTTTTTCCCCCGTTTTCTCAGTAGCTAAAATAGAAGGTGTAGAAGTCGGCTGCTCTATGATCTGAATCTCCTTCGTAATCTCTGGGTTTTGTAACATGTTGTCAACCTCTGAATCCTTTTCTACCTTCTCAGAGGGATTCGGCTTTTCCAAAGGTTGTTGTGTTTGCGCATTGGTCACGGATTCAACGTCGGCCTCTGTAGAAAAAGGTGTTGTATTCACCTCGCCACTTTCTTCGTCCATTGGTCCGATGATGGCTGAGTATATGTGTGACTACGAATGCCAGCCAATCTCTCAAGTGGTCTATATGTATTACGTGAATAAATATTACTTAAAGCCATAATTAGCACAGAGTGATCTATTCTCCCGATTTAACTGTTGTCTTTCGAGCGCGTAGATAACTCCATCCGGGTCGACGGGTCGACGTTTTGCGTGTCTTATCACTATGAGGCCTATCCAGTCAAATTGAAATGGGAATGCACATTGAGGAAAAGATAAGCATCGAAATCATTATTTTTCATCAAAGATCTAGAAAGTGCCATCCGGCTTTTTTCTCAAGTACTTGCAGTGAGGCTACCGTAACGTTAAATTGAAAACCTCAGGGGTGGGAGAAGTGCGATCTGGCTACCAAGTCAAAAAGTGAATGCTTAGTTGTCATGCATTTATGATACTTGAAACTTTTTAATATGCTACTGGTTTTGATAGTGACAGGTAGTACTATTGAAATAGCGTTGTAAAGTTCATATTATTCAAAGTGTATTATAAGCTATAGTAAGATTACATAAGCAACTTAAAAATAAATCAAATATGTTTCTCTGCAAAGAACTTTAATCCGTCCAAACTTTTTTCCAAGATTATATGTTCTCAAAATGAATTGTTAGCAAATATCAATTATACATTTATATGTGTTGTAATCTAGCTATTCTATTATGAATATCCATAGTATATTGTTCACTTTATATTATAGTTGTTGCTTATTAATATATAACTAATATAACTAGCCTACAAACTAATATTCTCAAACATAAATACAAGGGACAAACCTCTTGTATTTATACACTTACACCTTCGGTTAAACTTGCCATTATTCATTTATCATGGCGGCTAACTTTCCAGTTTTAGATTACTTAAGATGCCTTATCATGATAAGACTCTTATCTCTTATCACTCAATCCTTATTGGCCTCGGCATCTTATCTCAACCCTAAGATACCTTATCATGATAAGATTCTTATCTCTTATCCCTCGATCATGATTGGCTTCGGCATCTTATCTCAACACCCCACCATAATCTAAACACTTGTAGATATGTTCGACATTCCAGCTAGACC